TTAATTATTAAAAAGTTATACTAGACCTTAATAATTATAAGAGGATTAGCTTTTAATATTAGAAATTAAAGAATAGCGGCTATATATCTAGTAAAAGTATAGATTAATAAACTTTATAATATTAAAAGATAAGAAATACTAATTAAAAAGAGCCTTTAATTAATTAATATTAGAAAAGTAAGAGATATTTTAAGAAAAGCCCTTAATAAAGAAAGATTAATTTTTTAAAAGCCTATTAATAAAAAGCTATAAGAGGTTAAAATAAGAATAAAAAAAAATAATCTTCTAGAGAAAATTATAGAAGAAAAAAAAGGATATTAAATAGAAGATTTAGATAAGAGTTTATTAATAGATCTAATATTAGATAAAGAAAAAGAAAATATAAAAAGAAAAAAAAAAGAAAGAAGAAAATTAAGAGTCCTAAAAAATTAAAAGGGGAAAAAAAGCTTAAGACTTAAAATAAAAAAAATAGCCAGAAAAAAAATATAAATATAAGATTAATATATCTATATTAATAAAAAAGGCTATTGCTAATTTAAAAGGCAAAAAAGTATTAAAATTTTTAAGGAAAAAAAGGATTAAACCTACTACTATATACTAAATTTATATTAAAAAAGTATAAAGTATAATAAGACTAAGAAATGTAGAAGATAATATTCTTAAAAAAAGATTAAAAATGCTTATAAATAGTAATAATAACCTTAAATCCTAAAATATTAATATAGACTATTAGAAATAGTTTTAATAAAAATAGAGACTTAATACTAATCTTAAAGATTATTACTGCCTAAATAAAGGGGAAATTAAAATATAAACCTAGCTAAATAAACTAAATATAAGTATTAAAAAGGTTAGAAAAGTCTTATAATAGGTTAATTCTAAGAAGATTAACTTAATCTATAAGCCTTATATATAATTATTGGCTAATATAATTAATATAAAGAAGGATATATTTATAAAAGAAGCTAGAGGGGTATTAAAAATAATTAGAAATATAAAGCTAGCAGTAATAAAGCAATAGAAAAAGAGATTATTTAAAATAATAACCTATTCTTATAAAAATTTATTTAAAAAAACTGAATAATTTATAAATAAAACTTCTAAAAATAAATAGGTAATAAAATCTTTTAGCAGAGCCTTAGAAACTAATATAAAAACCTCCTTTTTTATAGTAAATCTAGAAGACCCCTTTATTAAGAAAAAAACTAGGTATTTAAAAAATATGCGAAATGCTAGAACTATATAGTTTAAAAATAATATAAAGGCTAAGTAAATATTAGATATACCTAGCAATAGCTAGGTTAAAGGAAGAATAAAAAGTCCTATTCTAGGAAGTCTTAAAAGCATAAAAAATAGAGATATAGAAGTTAAAGAATCTTTATCTAAAGACCTTCTCCCTAAGAAATCCCTAATATTAGGGATAGTTTAACCATTTAAAGATCTTAGGTTAATTAATATAAATACTTCTAGTAATATATCTAATAGCTTATATTATAAAGCCTAAAATAATTTATATAAGGCTAAAGAATATCTTAAATCTAAATATAAGAATAAAAAATATTTTAACTTAAATAAAGAAGACTTTACTCTAAATAAGATATAGAATTAATATATCTAATTAGGTATTATAATAAGAGAGGACTTTAACTATTAAGAAGTAAATAGGATTTTTTAAATTATACCTTTTAAAAGAAAACTAATAAAAAAGATATTATAATATATTATTATAAAAGTAAAAGTAGCCCTTTATTATAAGAAAAAGAGTAAAAGATTAATAGGGCTTAAAAATTTATCTAAGAGTATTCTTTAGAAAGTTATTGCACAAGATATCTAGATCTATTTAATCTAATTAGCGCTATATAATTATAGCAAATATAGGCTATAAGTCTATTATCTTAAGGGATATAAGCTAAAAATATTAAATATAGAGTCTATAATCCTTAAAAAAGGAATAAGCTAGAGCTTTATAACCCTAAGAATTAGATTAATTATTAGAGATAAGTCTAAGAAAATTATAGGTTTAAGAGATATTATACTTAAATAGGGAGAAATAATCTTTATTAGTAATTTATATTAGCTAATATTAAAGAATTAGGGAATAGATTTTAATAATATCTGCTGTTTTAATTATAGAGAATAAGATAAGATAAAATCTAATTAAAAAGAATCTAGGCCTTTTAATATTTAGGTAAATAAAGTTATAGCTATAAGTAAAGCAATATTTAATTAGCTAAACTAAGATTATTTAAAAGTTAAAATAGAGCTATATTTTATATTAAAGCAAAATATATTATTAATCTAAGATTATTTATAGAGGAAAAAAACTTAGCTTTATAAGTTAGGGGTTTTAAAATATATATAATATTAGAAATTAGAATATTTTTATTTTGGGAATAATTTATAATATTAAAAAGAGGAGATAATATAGACTATAATAACTAAAGAAGGCAAATAGGGGTATTTACTCTTAGAAGAGAGGAGGCTATATAGTAAGAAAAATCAGTATAAAGAATATAATTAGTTAAGGGATTATATACTTTTACTTAAAATTTTTAAAAAGTTTATAAATAAAGCAGGAGAGGAGAAAAGATAATAAAGAGATAATACCTTTTAGTTATTTAAAATAAAATAATTAGCTTTTTTTTTTATTATTATTTAGTATTAGTTTAGTATTAGATTATTATTAGTTTATTATATTAGTTTATAGCTAGAGCTTCTCCTTTAGCTCTACTCTGAGCTCTAAAGCTAAATACTCTTCTCTTCTTTCTTAATACTTACTCGCTTAAAGACTTTATGCTAAGTCTTAATATATCTTCCTATAACAATATCTATAACTTTAATAAAACTAGATATATAATAGGCGGGCCTATACCTCGGCCTAGCCGGGGGCGAGCTCAGCCCACCCTAGAAGCTCAGCCCACCCGAGTATTTTTACCATTTTTTAAGTGGGCCAAGCTTTTAAACTAAAAACTTCAAAAATTTATTAAAAGTCGAAACCTAAAGATATTTCACTCGAAATTAAATATTTATATAGGTTATAACCTATATCTTATATATATAAAAAAAGAAAAATTAAATATCTAAAAATCGATTTTTAAGAATTAAAAAACCAAGAAAGATTTGTAATTTTCGAATTTCTATGTGTAATTTACTAACTCTTGCCCTAGCGTACCCAATTAAAATCTTAAAATCCTAATTTTAATATATAATGTAGACTAAAATATAAATTATTTTATAATATTTTTTTATATATTTCTACTATGCCTAAATAGGCTAGGAAAAATTAAAGTTTCTTAGGGTGCGCCGAGATCCCAAATACTTGGGTGGTATGAGCTTTTAGGGTGGGCTGAGCTCGTCCCCGGCTGGGCTGAGCTACATCCCGATAATAGGCCTTACTACTACTACTAAGGTAATAATATAAGCTAAATATTATAGAAAGTATTAAGTTACTTAATTAGGCAATTATAAATAGATTATATTAATTAAATATATTAACTCTATAGGCTAGGCAATACTACTATATATTATTTTTAAAGGCAAAACCTATATTTAAGGCTAGTACGAGGATCTTAATATACTAAAAGACTAAAGAATTAAAATTAGCAATAATAGCTAAACTATAAACCAGATTAAATTATACTGGCTTAAAAAAGTTTTTATACCTTAGATAGCTTATTAAAAGACTAAATAATATTTATTTCTTATTCTAGATAGGTATAGTAATTATTTAACCTTAAAATTTAATAAGATATATAGCAAACATAATATTATTTTAGTCTATATACTACCGCACTTATTAGCTTTTTATTAACCTCTAAATATTAGCTGTTTTAGGCCTTTAAAAAAAGTATATAGTTGCTTAGTTTAAGATAAGCACTATTAGGGATTTAATCATATCGATAAGCTTAACTTCCTAAGTATTTACTCTAAAGCTCGCGCCTAAATATTTATTTCAGATATTATTAAAAGCAGATTTAAAGCAACTAGTTTAATCCCTTTTAACCTAAAAGAAATACTTAAATAGTTTATTATTTAACTAACTACTCCTATACTATTAAAAAGCCGGTTAACTACTTCTATAATCTCTCTATCTAAAATACTACAGAATTATAAAAATTTAAAAAAATATAGGACTATACTTTAAGGCTTGCTTAAAAAATAAACCTAAAGTCCTCTATCTACTAATTAGCTAATCCTAGATTATTTTATTTAATAATATAAATACTTAGTAAGCAAGAAAACCCTTATAGTATATAAAAATCAGAATCTATATCTAGCTAATAAAGAACTCCAGCAAAAAAAGTAATAATCTAATTATTAAATAAGTGCTATATAGGGTTTAAATATTAAAAAAAGTCAAGCTCTTGCGCAGAGGAATAATAAAGCTAATAAAGCTCTTACTAGCACTATAGAGGGATCAGATAATTTAACTATACAGCCGCGCCAGCGGGCACTACTAACATGTTCAAATTATAATACTAGGGGCCATACTAGAGTTAGATATCCTAATTAATATAGCGATGAAATATCATCAAATTACGCTGCTATTTAGGTAGTAAAATCGGACAGTATTTCATCTAGGTGTTTGGGGTGATCAGGTCGGGCGGGTGATCAGGTCGGTCGGGAATTACGTTAATGGTTGATGGCCGCATCGCCCACGTGGGTGGTAGAGAATAACAGCATAATATGGTCGGTCTATGCTTGTATCTGGCATGTACGAAAATATAAAATTGCAGATTCAATATAACCTCCGACGCAAGTCAATGGAATATGTATGCCAAGAAACTGTTTTGATTTTAACGGCAATTCAAAGTTCTATATATACTTCGATGAATACATCGAAGCTCCGCGACATCCACAAAAAGCTGCTTTGCATGCCCCTGAGTAGCCAGGGAGTGTGAAGAAGAAAGTAAACTGCAATTCCCTCCATGATTGTCTGTATATGACAACAGGTTTATAGAGAAAGGGCATCGAAAATGGAATAGGCTGCTATATCACGACTAGAAGTTCGAAGTAGCTGTCGTCGCAGCGTTTGAACCAGAGTTGACATTCTGGACGACCAACTTGTCACCAGTGAGACTGGTGACACGGACATCGACTGTTTCACTGCCAAAGCCACCGTCCTTCTCGAAGAAGTTGTAGTACGTACGAGTGGTCTCCTGCCACGTCTTTCCGCCGTCAGTACTGACCTCGAGCGCCTTGATTGGTAGGTTCGAATTGACGACCTGCATGCTGAACCAGTACTGAGAGGAGCCGTCCTTTGCCTTGAGGCTGAGGGGGCTGTCGATGCCGCAAGGAACGATGTTCCATTGCACGTCCAGAACGCCAACAGAGAGTGCTGCCAGTTCGGAGAAGGCGTCGGGGAAGAGGTCCAGGTGGTTTTCGCCACAGCCAGGGCACTGATCGACAATCTGGATTGTATAATCAGCATTAAATAATTCATTGGAATAGGAATTTGTGTTCACTTACCATAGCCTTGATGGACTTCCCGCCGGGTACACTGACTTGTGCACAGGCACCGCAGTTTGCTCCATTGTTCCAATTCGAATTGGATAGAGCAGTGCCGAAGATGCTGGATGGAAGAGTGTAGCCCGAGAAAGAGCAAGTTCCATCCTGGACTCCATTGGTAGTATAGTATGTCGCCTGGCCTGAGTTGCTGCCACCAAGAACACCCCCAAGCAGATCACCAGCAGATGGTAAAGCAGCAGGAGCAGCAGAGACAATAGAAGCACTGCTCAGAGCAGCGGCTGCCATCGCGCTAAGCTGCGGATATCTCATTTTCGATGACGGATAAACAACAAGGTATGTAGTAAGAATGAACGGATGCGTGCTTTCCTTTTTGGACAGAAGAAGCAACACAGAAGCAGAGAATGTAGTAAACTCAGAAGAATTCAGAGAGGGGTGTAGTTAATAAATCCTGTCTCTCTCTCTTTGTCCCTTCCCTCACTAACAAAGAGTGAAATTTCTGGCAATGAATGCGACAGTTTTCGAACTGAATACAACCAACAAGTGATATAGAAAAAAATGAATGGACCTGCGGAACAATCGAAGCCCTCAAGCTTTTGTTCCAGACAGAGGCAAGAGAGTGTAAGATTTGCGTAAACGCAGGTTGGGGAAGAATGAAGAAGAGAGAGCAGTGCTAAAGAATGCCCGAGATGGCGAGGAATGTCAAAAGGAGTCACTCTGGCATTTTCCCTCGTGGGCGCCAATCATCATTTTAAATTAAACAAAGACAGCTACGGCGTAGACAGAGCTGGTGCCTCCTCTCCACCTGGGGAAACAATAGTATGTCAATCGTAAGCTCCACTGACACAGTTGTCATGCTGAAACGGCGGGCATCTAAAGTCTGATGCTTAGCTTCGCAGCTATCATATTGAAAGCGCAGCCAGGTCAATAGTTTGGGATCACCAGTTGGCCCGACCTCAGGGGCAATAATGCCAATCGGAAGTTCAGGCCCCAAACATCTCATTTAGACGGTAGCTAAGTGGCATGTTGCTGCCGCCAGTTCAGATGGTTTGCTTTCTATATTGTTCCTTGAGAGTAACTAGATTCAAGATTGATCTGAGCCTCAAAGAAGCCCGGCATTGGCAACTTAATACAAAATATAATTGATGAATTTTGCCGCTGATCTTCCCTCATTTCTTTATTCTTAGACCCTTCTGCCGATCGAGACGATCGCGGTATCTACTCCTCGGGAGATACTTAATTAGCAACGTGGATCACTTCTACAAAACGACAACAGAAAGTGTTAAATGGTAGACCTGGTCTCCCCAAACGCCCAAAGCAATCCAGGTATTTCTCCTTCCACATAGATACTATAAATTCTATAGTTACGGATGCCCACCCAACCAAACCGCATGAACTGATGGCTATAAACATCGCGCAAATGGTACTGAGAAGAAATAAGGTATCTAAGAATCCCACATGACCTCGCTGAGCCTGAGCATTGCATCGGCGATCCCTCTCTTGGCTGCCATGAAATCCTCGCGATTCTCTGCACCGCGAGGGCCCTTCATAATTTCGGAAAAACAGAGGTCTACCAGTATCTTTAGCTCATCGTAAGAGAAAGGTTCGCCGTTTCCAGCCGCCAGTGCTTTATCGCCTTGCGCTGCAAATAGTTCCTTCTCTTCCTTGGCATAGTCAAGTGCTTTTTCGGCTCCTTCAAGGAACCAGTCGAGGAACTTGGCACTGCGAGGGAGGGCGACAACCTCGTGCGGCTGGCTCGGATCGTCTAGGGCGTTGCTTCTCTCGGTGTCCTCACCGGTTGGATCCACAATTATATTCTTCAGGTTCTGTTGGAGGACAAGAACGTCCAGCTGAAGGCGCAGAGCGCCGTTATGGTTCATTGCCCCAATATATCTAGTGCAGGAGATGAAGACCTTGTCGATGAACCTGGCAAGGCCCGAAGAGATGAACCACTGTTCATTCGGGCCCACATACGCAGAGACGTTCGTGTCGAAGGAAATCAGATCAGTGTTTAGTTCAAGGACCGCCGGAGACGCAGATGTCGGCTGGTTAGGGATGATATGGTGCCAATGCACGTTCGGATCGGGTGAAGGAGTAATAGGAGTATTCGATTCACGTAATTGAGGAGGGGGAGGGTTTGGTCCCGCCATGGCCTTGGTAAGCATGTGGATAATGCCGCACCGGATATCAATGTGCAGCGTAAGAAGCGCTGCTGTGGCGAGATCTCGGAGCGACTGCACTGTGGTATCGAATGCTACTGCAGTCTCAGGATTGAGAGGAAGATAGACCGACTGGCTAACACTGTCCCGCTTTGTCCTCATAGCCGTAATAAGAGTCCATCGACGAGAGTGAGGAACACGCCCCGAGGATGACTGCGGCCGCGACTCGCTCTGACTGACATGTCGCAACTTCACAAGATGACTGGCAAGCCATTGCTTTCAAACAGTCAGTTTGAGCCTTGTGATATTTGGTGGCATGACAGTGGACGTACCATGCTATTATACAGTAATGACAGCGCAACGACCGTCTTAGGATCTGAGATGATATCATACGGCACGAGAGGATTCTTATTTGTCTCCTTGATCATAAGATCGATTTCCTGGACATAGTCAGCAGGGTTCATGTACCCCGCTCATTGCAGACATACCTTATCGACAAGTTCTCTTTTCTTATCACCGGGGTTTTGCCATAGCTCAAGTACTGTATCCCGGATCTCGCCTGATTCCGCAAAAGCCGCGGCTGCTTTGAGACGGACGCCCCCCGGTGCTTGCGGGGAAATCTTGGAGACAATTGCTGAACGATGTTAGCCACGCTTTGTCTGTCCTAAGAAGGAAAAGGACCTACCCTTGTACCAGCCGCAGCACTTGTCATAGTATGTCACAACTTGGCTAATGACAAGCTGTGTAAACGTCTGATCTTGAGGAATAGTATCCAACATCTTGCTAAATGCTTTGACAAGGTTCATGAATTGGACAGTCCCCTACGAGAAAAGTTCGTGAGTTAGCGATCCATGTCGAAGACAGGAGGACTAATAAGCGTACCTTAAAGACCGGTCTGGGAGAAACGGCTGCCCACTGCGGATCCTCAGTAAAGGCATCTGCTGAAATGAAACTCAATGTGCAAAGATCAGTGATAGCTTCCTCAAGCTGAGGCAGAAAGACGTTGACTAAGAAATCATCCAGGAAAGAGGTCAGTGTGCTCATAACAATGTCCGAGTCGACCGGCACGATATCCTTCAACCGTTGGATGAAAGATAGAGACGGGGGTAGCAGAAGACTCATATTGAACACACTCGGTTCGATGAGTAGCTTATGGCCGGTGCCCGAATTTCCTTGTCTGGTCTGAGAAGAGTCGGTAGTGGTCGCTCTTTGAGTTGACTTAGTCACCAGACCGGGGACGGAAGATCTCAGGATCTCGTCCAAGTCATCCTGTTCGGCTTTCATATCGGATGAGTTTTGATCGACATCAGATAGCTTGAACATTTTCTGTACCCTGTCAGACGCGATATCATACCACCTCGGGGAACTGTGTAGAATACCCTGTTCTTATCTCTCTGGTTTGGAACGGTACGCCGTCCATCAGAGTCGCCCGCTGTTGGCCTGAAGGACGAATGTCCATCTGTTGCAAGATAGTCATGCAAGAGAGAACGAATCTGAAAGTGTCAGCAAACATGTAAAGAGCGGTAGTCGGACAAATAAATGTTACCTCGCTTTGATATAGTTTCCATAGCTCCTTGAAGCCCCCGGTCAAGTTACTGGCTTTGGGGATGTCTTCACGTTCCACGATGCCTTTGACCACATCATGGACAACTCGATGACTCTCCGCTATTGCCTCAAACTTAGCATACAAGGCCCATAGGAATTCACTAAGCACGTGGCCGCGCTGTTCGTTGATCTCAGCTGGTGAGTTACTTGTGCTATCTCTGGATGAAAAGCCTCGCGGCAGGTTCGGGTATCGAGCATCAACTTCCGCATTGGTCTTGTCGACAACCGCAAAAAGTTCAACAGGCATTCGCTGTTCTATCCGATCAATAGCAACATCCAGATGTCCCATTTTATTGAGTGCCTCAATAATCATGTGGATATAGCTGAAGGTGTCAGCTTCCGGGTTCCTCGAAGCATCCTCAACCATAGGCGAGGACGTGTCCAACTTCGCTAGGAAGCCGTAGACAGGCCTTTCCCACGTTGTCACGCCATTAACCCCGGAGACACTAGCCGTCCCGTTACTTTGACCATTTATCACTGGAGGCTTCCATCTATCTTGGCAATAGGGCGATTTGAGATACAGATGGTCATGTAGCTCCTCGATTAAGATGTCGGTCAAAGAGACCTCCTGGTTGCTGAAATATGCCCGAAGGTCGGCAAGAGCCCCAATGCTATCGAAGTCTGACCTCCGCAGAAGGCGAAGAGCATCTTGCAAGATATCAATCGCAGACAAGAAACGTTTGTCGGATATCCGACCTTCTAGCTTCTCGGGCAGGGATTGGATCTCTTGGATCTGGTGGAATAACTGTAGAATATCATCGTAGCTTTGAGATGAGTGAGCCAGCCCTTTCAATTCGGGTTTGGTCGTGAGAAGACCGGCTTTCGTCTCTTCGAGAGAGTCGCGTAGCGTCCGCACGCGGGTTTGTGAGCTTTGTATGCTGCTTTGGATCTTATGGTATGTACCGATAGAACTATTGAAACCCTGGTGGTGCTCTGGGGAAACCAAGATGAGCATACTGCTTTCAATGAAGGGGCTACGTTCGATAGAAACTCACCGTTGACAATAGCCTTCAGCGTCTTTTGAATCTGCTTGTGCATCTCCAGGAATTCCGGTTCCCGATCTGCTTTACCCAACGTGCTGTTGTCCATCAATTGCAACCCGACCTGAACAGGAACGCATTCATCGCTGGCCATGAAGTCCCAGTCACGCTGGATCGACTGGAGGATGTCCTCTATCGCCTGCGCTCCCCGGGCCCTCCGCGCACCATCTGAACCCTCTCCTCCCCTCGATCGACTCGTATAGCCAGTTTCATCTCTTCCACCTGCCCGTCTGGCACCCGCATTCGGATCTCTCGTGCGCGACCGTGAGGTCGCCTGTCGCTGCTCACGCTCTACCCTAGCCCGGCTTCGCTCCCGCGACGGCGACGTAGAATAGTCTGCTTGCTGAGGCTCCTCGGATAATCCGCCATATCCACCTACACGGGGCTCTCGTCCTCCACCTGCACCACCGTAGCCGTTTGCCCTCCGGGTATCTCCATTGCTGTATCCTTGGTCATAGCGGCTCCCGTCGCCGTAGCCATTTCCGTTCGTATAACCGCTTCGTCCGCTCATGCCAGATTTCCGATCGGTCGTAGACGCGTACAAAGAAATTCGAAGTCGTTCAGCGCGCTAGCTCGCGGGCTATTTGATATCCCGGCGGAGATAAATAACTAACTGATTGAGGTTGGGTCGGCGGTCGGTGGTCGTGCCTTCGTTGCCTGTTGTCAAGTCTCGAGATGGTTGAACTGTTTCGACTGTGATTCACCCCTTCATTGATTCCCGTTTACGGGAAGGAAATCACCGCTAGGACAAGCTATAGGACCCGCCTATGAGAGAAGACCAGGGCGCGGAACTCCTTCTGCGCACGAAGTGAAGAAGTCGTCGGGCAATTGTATGCGTGAGAAAGCGGTACTTAGGCTGACTGCGGCGAGATGCTCTCCTTTCCCCACACAAGCTTTCGGACAGCGCCTGTCATGTCCCCGCGGGATGCCGACAGACAGTAGACTGCATTGTTATCAAGATTTGAAATGATTGGTGTTAGAATACCTCCGCAAATGTATTCTACTTTCTATTTATATGCATTCAAAGTCCAAAAAGGCTAGAAATATAGAGCGCCCTCTATGCTCCCGTCTCGAGGCAGACGATGCCGGATCTATGTCGTCGTCTGATGATGGATATTTACAAGGCAACCTTAATCTAAATGGGCTGAGTCTCTTTCTTCAGCCAGGTGCGCGTCAACTCGTCCTTCTCAAAGAAGTGCTGCGTCTTCTCCCAGACTTCTTCGTGGTAGTCATTGACCCATTTGATCTCTGCCTCCGTCAGCAGGGATCGTTCAATCAGATTGCGACCCAAGGGTGTCATGGTAACATGTTCGAAGCCCAGCCACGCCTTGTCACCGAAACGGTTCCGCGTTTGCACCTCGCGAGCAATAATCACGTCTACAAGGAGTTAGTATACAGCTATATGTAATGATCTTCTGGAACCAGAAGGTCGCTCTTACTCTCGATACGGATACCAAACTTTCCATCTTCGTAATAACCGGGTTCTACAAATTGTCAATTAGACGGATGACTTCGGGAGGAAGGGGTGGGTGACATACCATCGGAAATGACGTTTCCTGGAGACAGCGAAACCTCAGAATACTGGACGCGCGTGCCAATACCGATGGGACCTTCGTGGACGTTCTGTGTGCCATTAGATACCAATTCGTTGTGCGTCAACATCGATCTCATACCAGGTAGGACCCGATTCCGTGACCGGTGCCATGAAGATAGTCCAGGCCTTCCTTCCACAAGTGCTGTCTTGCAAAAGCATCAAGAGCAAAGCCGCTCGTTCCTTTGGGGAAGACTGCGGTGTCGATTCCGATGAGACCCTTAAGGACCAGGGTGAATGCCTTCTTCTCGAATTCCGTAGGCTGGCCAAAGTGGAATGTGCGTGTGGTGTCGGTAGTGCCATCCAGATACTGGGCGCCGGAGTCGCAGAGGTAGATAGCCTTGGGATCAATTACGGAACAGCTTCCCTTCTCAGGCTTATAATGGATAACAGCCGCGTTGGGGCCTGTAGAAGAAATGGTGTCGAATGAAAGGCCGACGAAGTTCTCATGCTTGGACCGAATCTGCTCCAATTTGTCTGCTGCTTCAACCTCGTCCAGCTTTGTATGTTTGTTAACCAACTCGTTTTCAAGCCAGGCAAAGTACTCGGTGAGAGCAGCACCGTCTCTGATATGACAAGCTCTCATGCCCTCCACCTCCGCTTCATTCTTGATGGCCTTTGCATCAGAGATGGGGCTTCGAGCCTCTTCGACCTGACCCTCTCCGCCCAGGCTTAGACTGAGTGCCCAGGAAGCCTTGTTGGACAGGAGGAATTTCGTAGGTGTCTTATCAGCCGCAGTCGGGGCTTTCGCGCTTAAGGTCTTCGCATCAGCAAATATGGTGTCATAGGGCTTAATGACGACGTCTTGGCCAAGATGTTTCTTCGCTTCTGGGGTCAATTTTTCGGCATCGATGTACAGCTCCGCTGTAGTGGGAGTAATCACTGCATATGAAAAGAACACGGGGTTGTAAGGGATGCTGCGTGAGTGTCAGAGATCCGAACCGCCTGGACCCATAATGGCTATGACTTACTCGTTCCCTCTCAAGTTGAAGAGCCAAGCAATTTCATCAAGCATTGCTATTTCAGTTAGTATCTGTCCTGTTAGGAGTGATACGGATCTGAGCGCTCACAAATAACAAATCCGGCCCGTTTCTTCGTCTGAAGGTCCTTTCGCAAGTCACTGATTTTCTCCTGGAAAGACTTTCCAGCAAACTTCTCCGGGTGGACCTTGACCTTCTCGTTTGGACGAGCCGGACGGTCCTTGCCCCAGACAAGATCGACCAAATTCTGCTGGATTCCTACCAAAGAGGAGCCGTTTTTATTGAGCGTCTCTGAGAGCTTGCGGGCGCTTGCTGCAAGATATCAGCACCCATCTCTCGGCAGTGTCCCATAAACGGAATGATCACATACAGGCTGTGATCAGACTCGGGTCGACACCCACGACTTTTCCACCCTCTGCTTGCTCCGTTGTCCTAGTATCCGCTTAGTCTACACCCGTCCTTCCAGTCTTGCAACAGAGCGCATACCATTCCTGCCAGGTCGGGACGCCTTCCAGTCCACGCTTCAACAGCAACCAATTGTCATCCAACTGCTTGGCGGCCTGGTTAAAATACCGGCCATCTGTCGATAGAGCTGCGTTTGTTAACGACACAACGGCCGTTCCTGCGGAGCCGGAGAATCCAGAGATATATTCTGCAGTTATGGGTAAGCCTGCGAGCTGACGAGGGCGCGGAATTCGATCGTGCGGGACTAATCTAACCTCGACGAGCATCACATGGCGCGATGTATTCGGATTGGTGACTATCCTCGCTGGGAATAACTGGAAAGGCATGAGACGATTAGCTCTTTCGGGGGCATGAACCGAGGGCACGCACTGTATACGTCAACCTTGTGCTCTGACATGAGCTGCCTGAGCTTTGCCAGGCGCTCAGTAGTGTCTACCTTCTCCATGTCGACAGCGCGGAGTGGAGAGTAAGAAGAAAAGAGCTTTGTAGACTGTCGCGAGAGCGGCTGTCGCAAGGGTAAGGAAAATATCCAGGTGTGACGAAACGGACGCCCGCAGAAAAGCATCGGCAGACGAAGTGACCCCGCGATGTCGACAAAGGGCCTAAGAATGAGAATCTAAATTCTCGGGGATGTGCACACTCCCGGAATAGGTGGACGAGCGAACTAGCTTGAGCCCGCAGAGCAACAATAATTGGAGTGGAGATAACAACAGAGGAGATCGCGTGCGCGGAGTGTGACACGGAGTCTGGCAGCACAAGCGTACTTTAACACTGCAGTCACCGGTAAAGCTAGCTAGCTAGTTAATAATAATGCTTAAGGCTACTAGTTAAATCCTCTGTAATGCTTGTGGGTAAAGACACTGCCGTACAGCGCCCGTGGCTGCTTAGCGACAACGGAGCCCCATAGGCGCCGGTCAGTAGGTAGGGGCTGCTAGTTAAGTACCAGTATTAGTTATCCGCACAGTTTCTCTCTGCACACCCACTACCATTAAGAGCTTCCCAAGTCAATGGGACAGGGTGCCAATGGAGGCGCTGCATAGTTCTGAAGCATAAACTAGTCAAGCTCACTGCACTGGCAGCAAGTGAGGATAAGTTATGCCACACGCAGATTATTATTTGTCCGCTCGTCTATTCTAAAAATTCTTCTTGTCTTTCACGCGCCTCTCTAAATCAGTGTCGTTTGTGCCCCTCTCCTGTTGTCTATTCCCCCCATGCAAGCTCACCGCCTTTCATTTCTGTCCTAGCGTCATATACACGTGATTGAAGATTCTCCAGGCTTGGCATCGCTCCCCTGGTTGTGTCTGGATCTATATCAGCTAGTGTGGACGAGAACGAACCCGGCCATGTCTGCTGGGCTGGGTCAGACCCCAGATCCACAGGCCCTGGTGGCAGGGGCCAACGAGGTTGGTATCAGATATCCAAGACTGCGCTTACAGAAGGTCTGACAGTCAGAGATATAGACTGTGGCCCAGCTCTACGATCCGGCGAATGCGCGGAACCCCACCAAAGTCAAAGAGCTTCAGGAGCATCTGCAGTTGCTGCAGAGAAGCCCCCAAGGATGGATCGTCGCGGATGGTCTGATGGGTAGTAGCAACCCAGATGCCAGATTCATGGGTGCCCTGACGTTCATAGTCAAGATTAATCAAGACTGGTTAGCCATCGCCATGAACCTGCAGATTCTTCTATTTCTTTTTTTGCTGACATCGAAGAAAATAGGTCCAATCTCACGGAAAATGATGCCCGTGAGCTTCTGGAGCGTCTGATTAACCATTTTGTTCTATTTGCTGGTCGTGATGAGAAGCCTCTGGTTCTCCGCAAATTGGCATCAAGTCTTGTCGCCATCTTTCTCAAACCTAATGCACCATGGAGACGTGCCCTGTGGAACCTGGCTGTCTGTCTCGCGCATGGGAGATATGTCCCAGAGGAGCAGTCTCGGTCAATTGACTTCCAGACTGCAACCCTACCGCATCTGGGCCACAGTCAGATTGTCGCGTTGCTGTACTTCTCCGCGGCTCTTGCAGAGGAGACGTCAAAATGGTCCATGGAGTCCCGCCGCAGGTGAGTGGGCATTTCCTCTGAAGTACGATGCCGGAAACTGATAATGATGATATTAGTGGTGACGACCATCCTATATCAGAGAACATCGAGGATGCATTGACGCTGTCTGAGTTTGTCCTGAGTCTCATTCTTCAGCAGGAAACTCCAGGTCAGGACACCAATGCTGGACCTGGAAACGAAGCGATTACTTCGTACAATGTAAGTTTTGGCCTCGCTTGACCAGTGGAATCAATCTCACCCGACAATCACAGGTGTGGTTGACCGTGCGCGGTTCGATACGAGCGCGGGATCCCATCCCGTCGTCCCGACTAGCCTCACCTACCACGCGAGTTATCCAGAGCCTTCGTGTGCCCATTTTATCAAAGACTGCAACTGAAGTAGTGACTGATTTGCTCCACTCGAGGGATAATATCTTGAATCAAGAGCATCTGGCGTCGATTCTACAATTCATTGTCAGTGATGTTGGTGCTGCTCACGTTGTCGGACTCGTAGAAGGTGTTTACGATGACGACCATATGGTCTTCCTGGAGCTGTTATTGGCCTACGCAAGCCGGGAATACAGGGATATCTTGATAGAGCCTCTGACTCCGGAACACGAAAACGTTCTGACGTTCTTGCACACGCTGTTCCATGGGCCAGGATATGCGGCTGTTGATGATGAGGCCTGTCCTTACCTGCTTGAGTGGTGGACTGAAATGGCCGATGAGCTTCAGGGTGTCTTTTTTGATACGGAGCCGCCTAGCATTGACCGAGCTAAGCAGAATCTAGCCCGTGCCGTCCTTGACTGTTTCGCGAAGTTGATGTACCCAGAGCCCCAGGATCTTCAAGGTTGGAGTGATGACGAGAAAATCGAATTCAACACTTTCCGCCGCGATGTGTGCGACTTTCTGCTCGCAGCATACCCGATCTTGGGCATTGAGCTCATTCAGGTCTTTCAGGAGAAGGCGAAATCAGCTATGGAGAGTCAGGACTGGCGAACGTTCGAGGCATCAATCTTCTGTCTCGGGCATCTATCGGAGGCAGTTGACGAGAACGAACACGCTGACCAGTGCCTCAACGCTATTTTCTTCACCAACGAATTTGCAACTCTCTGTGCTGGCCAGGAAGTACAGATCTCAGACAAGGCACGTCAAACTCTCGTGGACATGCTGGGTCGGTACAAATCGTTCTTTGAACGTACGCACGCGCTGCTGCTGCCGGTATTAAACTTCTTGTTTTCGTCCCTGGACGTAGCTTCGTGCGCTACAGCGGCATCCAAGTCGATCTCGTTTCTGTGCAAATCATGTCGCCAATCCCTGACACCGGTTCTGCCAACTTTCTTGAATCAATTCGATCAATTCCGCATGAAGCCTACGGCCACTGTCCAGAACATGGAGCGTGTGCTAGAGGGTATAGCAGCTATTGTGCAGACACTACCTACAGACCAAGACAAAGCAGAATGCCTTGAGCGCCTCCTGCGCTTTTTCCAGGAACAGGCTGAAGTGGCTCGAGCTGAAGCTGTGCGAGGCGAAACCGAAGCAGCACAGGGCCATGCCCACTTGGTTCTGCGCTGCGTTGCCAGTATTGGCAAGGGTCTCCGTACAGATGGTGATGCGGTCGTCGACCTAGACCGTGACTCGACAGATCCATACCCGGCTACATTCTGGAATACGGGCCCTGGCGCTGTTTCCCAGGCCTTGATTATGCAATGCATGCACATCTTAGTCAATGACTTTCCCATCAACGTGGGCATCATCGAAGCAGCCTGTGATATCCTCAAAGCAGGCTACACGGAGAAAACTGGACCATATGTCTTTCCTCCCGTGACCACTGTCAACTTCGTCAAAAGCATCCCGCTAGGAAGCCCCGGGGCGGATATAGTTATGGGCACGGCATCAGCATTCCTGGCCTCACACAGAGACCATCCCCAGCAGATCAGCAACGAGGCCGTGTCGCTGATCGTCCATGTATATGAGACGTTCTGCTGGATGCTAGAGAATCCACAATACAACGATCCCGAGATTGCTAATAGTGGTATTGACTTCCTTACTCGTTTACTGCCCAAGTATCATCCCATCCTCTTTTCCCTCACTTCCTCTCCCCCAGAACCTACGCGCGACGAGCTCAACCGGCGCGGTGGCACTGGACTTTTGGGCCATAGCCATCCCCAAAGACCGATTCTTGAAACTATTCTTAGCTTTACCTTCATGGCTCTCTCGGGAGCTGATCCGTTACCACTTCGCTCTGCCTCTCAGTTCTGGGTCAGCGTCCTCAATCTCCCCATCGGTAGGGAGGCCAATGCGTCGCAGGCTGTTGAGGACGCCCTGAAGGAGTGTCTACCCACTCTTTGCCAGATTCTAATCACGCAGTTAGCTGGGCGCTGTGCCCGATCCGACATCGATCATCTCGTTGAGGTCCTCAAAAGAGTTATCTTCCGGCAGCAGGGTGCTGCCCGTTTACATCTGTCTGTTGCACTGGCGTCTCTGGGATCCGACTCGTCTCAGAGCCAAGGCGCTCTTCCGTCCCCACAAGACAGAGAGCGTTTCCTTGCGATGCTGATTGCTGCGCGTGGATCAGCCAAAACTAAGGAGCTAGTCCGCACGTTCTGGAAACAGTGTCGTGGCGCTGGGTTTGACTACGTCGAATAATAGATCACAATGATGGTGACGACGATAGGGAAGCTTCTTCTTTGAGATCTTATGAGAAAATGATCCGCTTCTTTTGGTCCTGTTGGATCGAATGCCTATCTTGATGGCAAGAGCATTAAGGATGGACCTTGGTTTGCTCTCCAAACTGAAGTAGATTGCTCAGCATTCGGTCGGAGGATAAAGTTCCCTGTGTGGTCCCATGTGTGGCCTATAGAAGCATTAGCCATCAATGATTGTCAATAAAATCTCTAGCTAATAGAAACTTGATTTTCTAACTAAGCCAGTTCTTATCATTGTGATGTGCGATGAATACGCGGTAGATAGAATAGAGAGTGCGGCAATGATCAGAGTTAAAGGAGAAGGACCTATGAGAGGAGGGTTCGAGAGGGATAAAACAGTGAGATGTAACAGATCTTATAGAACTTTCAGCAAGGGACCTTCAACGATCACCCGTCCACGCACAATTGGCACAGGTGTGGTCCGCGACATCGCCCAACGCGACGCACTCGTCGAAAGGGCCGAGGCCCCGGCGGCAGTGTGTGCATTGGGGGAGCTGCACGTCGCCACGTGACTGGGTCAACGTGGCCAAGATGCGATGGCTGCTAGAAGCAGCATCCTGTTCGCGAGGCAGGTTGTCACCGTTCACATCTCTGGGAGTGGTGCGATATTGCACTGACTGAATGCCGTCGCTCATCGACGTCGCCAGCCCAGCTTGGACATAGATTGACTGACTGGTCGAATGAATCCCCGAGATGACCACATCCCCCATACAGCTCTCTGTGTAGCAAATTACCTTAGATCTGTCCCATATTGTCCAGAACAAACGAGCCGGAGTCCCCCGCTGCACAGAACGATGTCTGGGTAGGTATGATTGGGCTTGCCGGTGGACTTGTCCAGAATAACGTACTCCTCTCTGCTTCTGGTGTCTGGTCGGGCCAAGCAGTCTGAGGACGTTGCAGATTCTGTTGGAGGACGTCCCACTCCCAGGCGCGACGTTCGCGCTGCCATGTAGCGTATTCGCGCTGAAACTGTATGAGGTTGTCGTTGAGGCGTGCGAGGTATTGCCGGTACAGCGTCTTTGCGAGTGTGAGTCGGTCTTCGTTAGTGGAATAGTTGGGCGTGATGTTAGACTCGGCGCCACGCTGATCTGGTAGCCTTGCTCATCATAGCGGTGCTGTGCTCTTAGGCTGATTATAATAAGTCAGTGTTCCATTACATACACCCGCTGTGAAATCAGTCATCCTGCATATCTTGATGTATGTACTAGGCCCCTTTCTGAAGCTGCCCAAATGGGCCTAAACCGATCCTTCTGGAGCCACAGCCAGATAATGGCCGTATATGGATGGGACCTTCTTCAGCGGGATGTGAGGCATTGTATTTGATCCGAATACGTACTTCGGGAGAAGCGGCCTCGACAAACGCCCAGTCAATGATCTTCTTCGAGACGATAGACTTGCCCGACGAAACCAGCACCTGTGCCTATGGATAAGGGCATAGATTTGACCACCGTCCTCTTCTCTTTCGTTTCTGCTAATTCTTTTCTCATGGATGCCAATTCGATTTTCGACATGGGGATGTATTCTTCAAGAGAGGTGATGTACTCGTTGGCGTCCTGCAAGGTTGCTTCGATGTCTTTTTCTGCAAAGTGGAGTACATCCCATTTCTAAATGAGCGTCAGGCCTCATGCGTGACAGATATGAGACACCCGGACTACCTTCTTCAGGCCTTTTTTTTTTCTTGGGTTAGGGATTCGATAGAATGGCATTTTATATTGTCTAGGGAATTATAGATTTTTAGAGGAAATCTGGTAAATAGATAGATATAGATGATATATTAGTGTTTTATATATTCCAAGACTGTTGATGAATCTCGACGATTCTGATGGAATTTAGGGATGAAGATGATCCTATTCCTCCCTACAGAGGGGAAAGCTAATATACTAGGATATATATGATGTCCCGGGCTATGGGCTATGCCTAGACCGTACCTGGCTACTAATCCCGTAACAAAGATTAATCCTTCTAATTTGTTTTGTGGTTGAGATGGCAGATGGGAAGAATTGCGCTGCTAATCTGGCTAATTTGTAGGTATGCAATACGGCACTGATTCACTCGGGGGTGAATTACTCTGACTACTTAGAAGTTGGGATTCACTGCCTCGGCCAATCAGACTTGTTTTGTCATCATCTTGCATGAGGCCTTCTACAGCTCCTTCAAAGCTATGAAGAAGATCCCGGGGATAATAGTCATGGAGGAGAGACTTGGGAATATAAGTAGAGCTCCGATTTCCAAAATTCCAAAATTCCAAAATCCAGAATCCAAAGTATTCTCCTTCTTCACCTATACTAGCATTTGAGGTAAACATAGGTACTTTGAGCAAAATGAAATACGTGCAACTGGGAAGCAGCGGTCTTCGCATCGCCCCCATTGGCGTGGGATGCATGAGTTTTGGGAACGGCGAGGGCCGTTACAAGTGGTCGCTCTTGGAAGACGAAGCGCTGCCAGTGCTGAATTATTGCTACGAATCTGGCCTGAACTTCTTCGACACCGCAAACCTCTATTCCAGTGGCAAGTCGGAAGAGATCCTGGGCAAGGCGATCAAAACATACGGATGGCGCCGTGAAAACATTGTCATCGCAACCAAACTGTGGGCGCCAGTCGGCCGCGGCTCCGAACAGCCCATGTCAATGACAGATGATGAAAAGGACAACGCCGGCTATGTGAATCAATACGGATTGAGTCGAAAGCATATCTTCGAGAGCATCGAAGCCAGCTTGCAGAGACTCGATCTGCCCTACGTCGACCTGCTGCAGATCCACCGTTTCGATCCCCGAACGCCGGTGAAGGAGACCATGGAGGCGCTTCATGATATTGTGAAGTCCGGCAAGGTGCGCTACCTCGGTGCGTCATCGATGTGGGCTCACCAGCTCCTGGAGTATCAATACACCGCTCGCATGCATGGCTGGACCGAGTTTATCTCGATGCAGAATCTTCACAACGCCATCTACCGAGAGGAGGAGAGGGAGATGTATCCTGCGTGTGCCAAATTCGGAATGGGTGGGATCCCTTGGAGCCCCCTTGCAATGGGATTTTTGGCTCGACCCTGGCGTGACTTCTCGAAAACCTCACGCGGAGAGTTCCAAGGCCCTGGTTTCCACGGCCAACAGACTACAGAGACCGACAAGAGAATCAACGAGCAAGTGGAGCAAATTGCCCAGCAGCATGGTGTGTCGATGGCCATCGTGGCCATTGCTTGGTCCCTTTCGAAGCCATTTATCACGGCGCCGATTTTGGGAATGAACAAGAAGGAGAGAGTGGACGAGGCAGTGAAGGCAATCTCCTTCAAGCTCAGTCCCGCTGAGTTGAAGAGCATTGATGACCTGTATGAGCCCAAGAGGGTGTTCGGCCATGAATAAGTTTTGCATACTTACATCTGGGGTTGTAGCTTGAGGCCTCTATCGCGAGTATTTTGAAATGGAAACGACCTTGTCGAACTTCTCCTGTAGCATGACTAGATTGAATATTATCGAGGCGATAAATTAGGGAACTTCTTTTTACGCTACTGTCGAAGCCTCCTTCTCATTATTGGTCAGGGCCTTTCCTACGGCTTTAGATCCCTGGTTAGTGTGATGCAAGCGGATGACATACAGCAGTAGTACGAGAGTAGGTCAAGGGTTGATAATAATAAATATCTCAGATGTGCAGGTAAGAGACCCGATACTAACAACTACGCCCCCATCTTCCTGTCATCAAGTCACATACGGTGCTGCGTTGGAAGAACGGCATCACAAATATGGATCGATTCGTAGAGCGCCCATCTGAACGACGGATCGCTTTAAGACTATTGTCCTCGCAGCGCCGCACTGCATGGTCAGACGAAGATTGGTCGGGTATTACCGATCCCAAAACACGCCGCAGGCTTCAAAATCGCATAAACCAGAGGGCTCGACGTAGGTCGCCTACCAATACCAATTAGCGAGTATCGTCCTGACCGTCTATATATACAAATAGGTCTACAAAATACAAAACCGCAAGCCCATTCGAGGGACAGAAAAAATAAAGAGTGCCACGATTCTCCTTCCAATGAACAGCATGAGTCAACCACACTTGCGATTGCTCCTGCAAATAACGACCAAACAACACCTAATACCATTACTGACCCCGCCCCTCTCGAGGAGATCAAGGATGTATGCATACTGGAATCTGATTCCCCGCCAGCAACAAGAAGAATGGCCAGATTAGAAAGAATGGCTCTTCAATACTACACGATGGGCTCCCTGCGAACCGATCTCCTACTGAACCTGATTCAACTCAATTTCACCAGAGCCCTGATTGAAAATCGAAGAATCCTCGGCCTGAACTCCGATCAGCTCCATGACGATGCCATCTCACCTTTCAACACTGCTGGTCCATGGCAAGATGACTCTCTCTCTACCCTTCCAACAAGTCTCCAACCGACTGCAATCCAGCGCTCTATCCCCCATCACCCCTGGTCGGACCTACTCCCTGTTCCCCAAATGAGAGATAATCTGATCCTTGCTGGAGAATTCGAGGAAGAGATACAACTTTGTCTGGATATGAAGGGAAATGGAAGCACGCGATCAGGCATCATTGTTTGGGGTGATCCTTGGGATCCGGCCGGGTGGGAGGTGACGGAGTCTTTTGCTCGCTCTTGGGGCTGGGTTCTTAGGAGTTGTTATGATTTGGCTTATTCTACGAATCGGTGGCGGGCGAAACGGAATGAAAAACCGCTATTTCGTATGTGATTTGATTCAGGCGGTTTATTTTAAATAACATTAGATAGAATGTCTTGCTATCCAGCCCGTGCGGGTGATTATCCGTGGTCAACATCCGTCATATCCAGGGAAACAAGTCATGACTTGTTTCTTAACTCTTCCGAACTATGCTCCTTTCTACAACCAACCCTGTAATATTTGCTAGGATTGTTTGAAGAAATCCTGTGCGATGTGCGTGACTGAGGTATGTAGCTCCTGTAGCTCCTTATGCGCAGTACTTATGACAGCGATGGCAAGTCACAACTGCTATCGGGACAAGACTGTAACCTCGTTCTTATTATACAACATATAGACTGGTCCATTCAGTATTCAAACTCCTGACAAGGTGAGGGAACAAGGAGTTCCATCCGCCATTATGCGTAGAATCGCTCCAAAACTCGAGCTGTAAACATAAAAGATCTAAGAATCATCTTTATATAGCGTCGGCATCTCTGTTCCAACACGCAGTTACGACTTCTTCAGCTTAGATAGTCATCTCCTAGACTGTACTGCTTCTCTGATTGATTCTGTATGAATCCACATACTATAAAATGTGTGTGCATGTCCGACTTTGGGGTTCTTATTAGATGATGTTCACCGCTTGATCTTTCTCGCTGATGGCTGCTCTTCCATCATTGGTCTCTCTTCCCATCTATCTTTTCTTCTTTCCGTAAGCTTAAGGAGTGATGGCGTTTACTGTTTGAAAATTATCTCTCTGCCACTTAGGTTAGGTAGCTACCTATCTCTCCCTGCGGTTCTTCTGTTGTCCTTACATTCGTCACTGGTCTCACAACCATCAATGGTCGCCTTGGAGAAAAGATGCTATCCGCCTCGATTGCCGGCCAGGTCCAAGAGGTAGAGAATGGTAGACCTGAAGACATCCCACGATAATTTTCAAATTATATCGAGCGTTGTGTTTTCTGTATGATGAGCTGGGAATGTTAATATACTAATAATGCTGGCCGAGGTTCCCAGGTTCCAATGAGCCAGGGTGTCCTCAAAAGGAGTTAGCGCGACGCCGGCGAAGTGGACAGCAAGCACACTTCCTTCTCAACCTCCGACTCTCCCTGTTCTTCCCCAGACGGCCTTCTCCCTCTTCCCTTCGCTCCCCTTTTCTATACTTTTTTTTGTTTTTTTAATCCTCGCTCCTCCGGCTGGTCTCTGGTTCCCGCTTTGTTTCCCTTTCTCTCATTGGATTCACCGGGAAGCGGACTGTCACGATGAGCGGACGTGAGTACACCTTGCACGCGATCGCGTAGCTGAGACCATAAAAGTCCTCAATGACTCCAAATGCTAACTGATTCACAGTACGCTTCCTCGATCTAATTAAACCCTTCACGCCCCTCCTCCCGGAGGTGGCTTCACCGGAAACGAAGGTTCCCTTCAACCAGAAGTTGATGTGGACGGGAGTACGTCTCTTTCTCGCCAGCGCATGGATACTGGGAACAGCTTTGAAATCTGACATTCGATGTGCAGTTGACTTTGTTGATCTTCTTGGTGATGAGCCAGATGCCTCTGTACGGTATCGTGTCTTCTGACACCTCGGATCCGCTGTACTGGCTCCGTATGATGCTGGCCAGTAATCGAGGAACGCTGATGGAGCTGGGTATCACTCCCATCATCTCCTCCGGCATGGTCTTCCAGGTACAACCCGCCCATTGAGCCAACTGCGTGGGTAATTCGTGCTGACTTCAATGCTAGCTCCTTGCTGGAACCCACCTCATCGATGTCAACCTTGACCTGAAGACCGACCGCGAGCTGTACCAGACCGCTCAGAAGCTGTTTGCCATCATCCTCTCCTTTGGCCAGGCTTGTGTCTACGTCCTTACGGGTCTCTATGGTCAGCCCAGCGACCTCGGTGCTGGTGTCTGCGTGCTCCTGATCGTGCAGCTGGTTGTTGCTGGTCTTGTTGTCATCCTGCTCGATGAGCTGCTTCAGAAGGGCTACGGTCTTGGAAGCGGTATCTCCCTTTTCATTGCGACCAACATCTGCGAATCGATCATCTGGAAGGCCTTCTCTCCTACCACTATCAACACTGGCCGTGGCCCCGAGTTCGAGGGAGCTGTGATTGCCCTCATCCACCTGCTGTTGACCTGGCCCGACAAGCAGCGCGCTCTGCAGGAGGCTTTCTACCGCCAGAACCTCCCCAACATCATGAACCTCCTGGCTACCCTGCTAGTCTTCGCCACCGTCATCTACCTGCAGGGTTTCCGTGTTGAGATCCCCGTCAAGTCTTCGCGCCAGCGTGGCATGCGCGGATCTTACCCCGTCCGTCTCTTCTACACTTCGAACATGCCTATCATGCTTCAGTCCGCTCTGTGCTCCAATATCTTCCTTGTCAGTCAGATGCTGTACTCTCGCTTCTCGGACAACCTCCTTGTCAGACTTCTCGGTGTCTGGGAACCTCGTGAGGGCTCCGCCCAGCTGTATGCCGCGTCTGGTATTGCATACTACATGTCTCCTCCTCTGAACTTCAAGGAGGCTCTCGTCGACCCGATCCACACCGCCGTATACATCGTATTCATGCTGGTTGCCTGTGCTCTGTTCTCCAAGACCTGGATCGAGGTGTCCGGAGCTGCCCCTCGGGATGTTGCCAAGCAGCTTAAGGACCAGGGACTTGTGATGGCTGGTCACCGTGAGCAGAGCATGTACAAGGAGCTCAAGAGGGTTATCCCTACTGCTGCTGCTTTCGGTGGTGCTTGCATTGGTGCTCTGTCTGTTGCCTCTGACCTCCTCGGTGCTTTGGGTAGTGGAACTGGAATTCTTCTGGCAGTGACGTAAGTTCATCTTGGACGACACACTTTGAAATAGATTACTAATTAATTGAAATATAGGATTATCTACGGATACTTCGAGATTGCTGCCCGAGAAGGCGACTTCGGCTCAGGCCTCAAGGGCCTTGTCCCTGGAAACTGAGCTCAACAGGGAAATCTTTTATGAAGAGCATGAGGGAAGGCTGGGGATACTTTTTTTTCCGTAATTCTGTCTCTTTAGACTTAGCAGGTTGGTGTACTGCAACTGCAATTGTGGCTACGACAATATCTGAAATCTTGAGCGTGTAACCCTGAACAACACGACGGCTGATTTGGGGGAAGGGGATTCGGCATCGAGTCCGATGTTATGAGCTACATCTGAGACTCGATCTAGAATGGGCCCTCTGTCAGGTCGAGCCACAGCTGTATATAGCACCATCTGGTTGTAACATTAACGGGAGGAGGAAAAAGATCAATTTGAGAAAATTGTTAGGTGCCATGAATTATACATATAACTGTCATGCGTAGCAAAAAAAAGAAACCTTTATTTATATTCTTTCTAGTAGTAATATCCACAAACGATTTCAGGCGCGGGTATAAAACAGGCTGCCTTTCTATTCTCTCCAACGTAACATTTTAAGTTCTGTAATCGCCATTGATAGTCACATACTCATGACTAAAATCGCAGAACCAGTAAACCGCCTCCTCACCACCTCGGCCCTGATCACCCTTCTCACCACCACCCAGGTCAACAACAATCTCCAGATCCTCCGCCTGCAAAATAGCACTGGCGCGCGCCTCGTCCACGGTCTCAGGCTCTCCATTCACAAGCAGCTTCAGGATCGGACTTCCGTCAACGGGCTTGAAACTAACACTGGTGCGCTCCGGGATAACAGTACCGGGGGCAACGCCCTGCGCGTATCCAATCGCACATAGAATACGGCCCCAGTTAGCATCGCGGCCGTAGAGGGCCGTTTTGACGAGTGGGGACCGGGCGATGGTGGATGCGATGATCCGAGCGGATTCATAGTCGGGAGAGTTCTGGATGCGGACGGTGACGAACTTTGTGGCGCCTTCGCCGTCACGGACGACGAGCTGGGAGAGAGACTGCGCGAACGAGGTCAGGATCTCCTGCATGGCGGCGTAGTCGTCTGAGGAGGTGGAGTTGATGGGAGCGCCGCCGCCGCGGCCGTTGGCGAGGAGGGCGACGGTGTCGTTGGTGCTGGTGTCGCCGTCGACGGAGATCGAGTTGAAGGATCGGGAGACGGCGTGCGAGAGGAGGGACTTCAGCGCGGAAGGGACGATGGGGGCGTCGGTGCAGAGGACGCCTAGCAGAGTAGCCATGTTCGGGTGGATCATACCGGCACCCTTGGTCATGCCGGCCAGACTGTAGGTTCGACCGGGGGAGGACGGCAGAGTGAACGTTCGGGAGAGGAGCTTGGGGAAGGTATCGGTGGTGCAGATGGCGCGGGCAGTGCTGAGCCAGGCATCGTGAGTCGAGGACAGATTGGAGTGCGCGGTTGGGATCTTGTTGAGGATCTTGTCAATGGGAAGTCTATATATAATGAGGTTTTTCTGTTTAGCGAGATGACTCTTTCTTTCTTTCACACCCAAGAAGAAGTTTTACATACCTCTGACCAATAACACCGGTGCTCATGACCAAAGTACTTGGCTCATTGAGACCATAGCATTTGTCAACCGTGGCTCCCATGCTGACAGCGTCTTCATAACCTCCTCTACCGGTGACCGCATTGGCACAGCCAGAATTGATAACGACAGATCGAATGCCCTGACCCTGGCGCTTCTCCAGAACCTCCTTGCTGACCTGGACCGGAGCAGCCTGGAACTTATTTGTAGTAAACACAGCGGCAGCAGAGCAAGGTGTGTCCGAGGCGATGAGGGCAAGGTCCGGAAACTTGGTATTCGAGGCCTTCACGCCGACGTACGTTCCGGAGACGGAGAAGCCCTTGGGATAGGTGCCTGAAGTAGGAATATACTTCTTCTTCGATTCGGGGATCACCATGTCCAATGGAGCAGAGTAATAGCGGACCTGGCCCTTTGCCATGCGGGCAAAGACGGCCATTGTGGCCGTCGAGCTTGTTGTCTTCACCATGGGCGTGGTAAGAGCCAATGGCAGGAAGCTGGGGTAGGGACTGAGATGAAGTCTGTGAGAATAAGAAAATAGAAAACGAAATCTGGATACTGCACGTACCAATTGGTCTGCAGGCTCAAGCTAAGCTCGGGAAATCAATGGAAAGATATAGCTATGATTCACAATCGGACGGAAGCCGGAGATCTTAGCTCTCTGTCTCTCTCCGCCAGTCAGTCAATTGTGCCAACGTTTCGCCCTTCCTGCTGCGAGATTCCCGGTCAGCAAGAGATTGTCAAGGAGAGACTAGCCATGAGTCGTCCACAAGACCAGAAGAAGCAAGTAGACGGCGGTATCCACGAAGCTATCTTATGGCACTTTTTTTCCCCAGAGCGGAGGGATCGCCGATATCGCGGGGCCGGAAAAACGCGCCGGAAGACGCGAGATCGTCCCCAAGGCAGTTTGACCTGCTGGACGCCTCCTTGCATTTGACATTATTCAGTTGGTCTGTCTAGCTCGGGCTTCTCCCGTCGGTCGGATAATATATTATTATGGTACGTGTTCCTGCTCCTGTGCAGAGTTGCCAGCACAATCTTACACGGAGATGAAGCGCAAAGCAGCGGACGATAGTCTTGACGATGAGCAGCCCGTCGTCTCGACACCTAAACGACAGAAGACGGCAGCAACCAATGGCTATGCGGATGAAAATCAGGCTCTCGCGGACGACGAGCTGGACGCGACGCCCTCGAAACGGGTGCGGATGTCGGTGCAGAAATCAAAAACTACGAACGGCCTCACTCCTTCAGGTCTAAAGACTCCTACCCACAAGTCCAAGGCCAAATCGCTCTTCTCCACACCTACAAAAGGCACGCAAGTTGCTACACCGACCCGAGCGAGGAACGCTGACCGATCAGCCAAGCGGAAAAGTGCGCGTGTCCTGTTCGAGCAGGACGACGATGACATCTGGGATGGCGCTGATCGACTGGCGGAGGAGATCCTGGAAGACGAGAGCGATGAGCTTGCCAACGGTGGTCAGAACGGAGATGTAGTCGAGACTGTGGAAAAGGGAGGTGATGATGATGCAAAGCAAGCCCAGAAACCTACAGAGACACCAAAACGTGGAAGAGGACGGCCGAAAGGCGCGAAGAATAAGCGATCCCCGACTCCTGAGGGAGAGCTGCCACCGCATGAGCGATATTTCTTCCAAAACCGCGCTGGTCCTCCACGGACGTCGAATAATAACCTCTCGAAGGTGTCGTTGCTGACGCACGAAGAGTATTTCGAGAAACTCGCACAGTATGAAGACCCTCACAAGGAAGAAAAGGAGTTTCTGGTAGCCGTACATCGTCGCTCGTTTCCTCAGTGGAACTTTGAGCTGAGTGAAGGCTTCAACATCTGTCTTTACGGCTATGGCTCCAAACGCGGCCTGGTCCAGCAGTTTGCGGATTGGCTTTATAATCGATATCCATCACCTCCCACCATTGTGGTCGTTAATGGGTACACCAGCGGTATATCCGTACGGACGATCTTCGCGACTATCGTTGGGGCGGTGATGGGTGCCGACACTCCGTCTAAACTGGGTTCTCAGCCTGCTGAAGTGTTGGATCTGCTACAATCTGCACTCCAGTCTCGGCCACGAGACGCGCCCATCGCTGTCCTGATTAATTCGATTGACGCGCCTCCCCTTAGACGGGGGGCAAGCCAGGCACTCTTGGCGCGGCTGGCAGCTATACCGTCGGTCCATCTGCTAGCGACGGCCGATACAATGAACTTTGCCCTTATGTGGGACATTGGTGTTCGGGACCAATTCAACTTTGTCTTCCACGATTGCACGACCTTTACGCCGTATGAGGCAGAAATTAATGTGGTAGACGAAGTGCACAGTCTTCTGGGTCGCAAGGGCCGCCGTATCGGCGGCAAAGAAGGTGTAGGCTTCGTGTTGAAGAGTTTGCCCGAGAACGCGCGGAACCTCTACCGCGTACTGCTGACGGAGCTTTTGTCGACGATGGGCGATGGAGCCGTGTCGGACGAAGAAGACGACGGCGGTGAAGCACGAGCAAGAGGCGGCGCTCCCGGCGAGGAAATAGGGATTGAATTCCGGACGCTATATCAGAAAGCAGCGGAGGAGTTCATCGCTTCGTCCGAGATGATGTTCCGGACGCTGCTGAAAGAGTTCCATGATCACCAGATGATCACCTCGCGAATGGACGGGAGTGGTACGGAGATCTTGGGCGTGCCACTCTCGCGGGAGGAGATGGAAGGTGTGCTGGAAGATCTGGTGTTGGGTTAATTCCGGATTGCATATAAGATACCCCTGTACGAAAGCTATAGATATAGAATTGATGGATTGCGCGTCCCAAAGAAAGAAACAAAGAAAAGAAAGAAAAATCTATATCAAAATGCTTCCTTTCGACTCCATGCCCCTCCCCTCATTCATTTATTTGGTTCTGTACAGTACAAACTCCACATATAGATCCGATCATGGTCCTCTTTCTCTTCCACCAACAGCAAAACAGAATACAGCACTAGCACTTTCACTGCAGCTTTGAAAAAGCAGCCAAAGCCATGGTGGCACCAAAACTGATCTTGAACGCGACATTCTGGTGGACAGCACGTTCGAGATCGACGCCCTTGACATACTTCTGGAGTCGATGGACAGGGATCAGATTGTATCCTTTGGAAGCGGCCCACTGGTGCATCGCAGCGCATTAATCAGTCAGTCAGTCCAGTCCAGTCACAGATCTTCACTTTTCATTCCATATCGACGACTAAAGTCATTCAAGCCAATAATGGCTTGCTAATCGACCAAAAACTCGACTCGTGTCACTTAACTCACCTCCACAACGACTACACCCACACCCAACAGCACAACCAACGCCTTGGAAAAGATCCTCAATCCCAACCCGGCCAACACGCCCAGCACACTACCCAGACTGAGCTGTCGTAGCGTCGACGCGTTCAACCAGCCATTACTGTTGCGCGGCCCCGTCTTGCCTTGCTTCTGGAGCAATGGGTCGGTGTTGGGATCAAGGGCCCAGCCGGAGTCCGGGGAGGCATGAGGGCTGCGATAGGGCGCGACGTATTGGCATTGAATCGGGGCGGCGCAGAAAGGAGAGGACGGATGGAGTAGGGAGAGGCCAACGCCTACGGGGATTGAGGCGTAGAAGAGTGATCGGTGGAAGAGAGGGGAGAGGAAGGTCGTCATGGTGGATGGTATGTTTTGCTGGGGACAGTCGTTGACGATAGGAGTTCTTGGAGAGGAATTGGATACTCGATGGAAAAGGGAGAGAGAGGATTCCTATTCAATTGTATATTGGGGTATTATGTTGGATATTGGTAATTATGGTACTTCTATAGATCAGATCAGATCAGATCAGATCAAGGGATGTTGTTTTGCTTCATGCCGCCGTGACGTCAGCGGGCGGTCAGTTGGCCGCGACTTGTTCTCCGCGGGGAGACACAGGCTAGAAAATAATAATTAATACCATAGATGGCCAAAGAAAAAAGGGGTTTATTTTGTGTGCTTCATGTGGAATACCCATGGCTGATGGAGGCTTTTGAAAATACCATTGGGATGGAGATGAATCTACGGTGTGTTGATCCTGAGACTGGGAAAGTTGATGAGATCGTTGTCGATCTAGATATATGCTCATTAGATATCCGCTGAATGAGATAACTAGAAAGGAGCATATCTATGATTAGATAGATAGTTAACAATATGCAATTATCTACTACTTCTGCTCGGTGTTTGACAGCCGGCGTTCGGAACCCGTGGGAGTCGCCGGCGGCCATTGGAAGAGTTGCCCGTCTCGAGTTAATCAGAGTTAATCAGTTATCAGTTAACTTATTAACTATGGTACAGTAACTAGTTGGTTAGTTCTCGAGAAGACTTGACGAATTAAATGAGGCAGGTTTTATCAGCATTCGAATTCAGATTGCTCAGAGGGCTGTGTCACCTTTTGGATTGTGCCATCCTTTAGTTTCTTCCATTTGACGCTGTCGACTTGCCGGGCAAAACTTGGGTTCCTAAACAAGTAATTGCGTGTTTTTACCCAAACGACTCCATCAACGGCTGTCCGTGAAAAATACGGCCGTGATTGCCACATCCAGTAATATTCAATTGCAAACGGCGGGTCTCCTGAAGGGGATGTGCTCTTTGGGTCAGACCGGCAGTCTGTGATTGGCTGGCACAGAAAATACAGCCTCCGATCGCCGGGAGGCGCAACGCCCTACTTTTTTTTTTCCGCGGGGGAGGGGAAAGGAAGAAGAATAGTTAGTTATAGAACTAGGAAAAGCCATCTTATCGAGACTTCATCCTCCCGTGACTCACGCCGCATACAGCTCCTGCTTTTTCTTCCTTCGCCTTTTTCTTTTTCTTTTCTTTGACTTCCTCTATCCAGAATTCCATCTCCTACTTCCATCATGGCTTCTGCGCAGACTTCCGCCACCAATGGCACCAACGACTTCACCGTCAAGGCTGGCCTTGCCCAGATGTTGAAGGGAGGCGTGATCATGGATGTGGTCAACGCAGAGCAGGTTCGTATATCCCAATCCTTTTCTCTTTACTCACGTCATCTGGGCTGATGGCTGACTCTTTTCTCCCTATACAGGCCCGCATCGCTGAGGAGGCTGGTGCTGCCGCCGTCATGGCTCTCGAGAGAGTCCCCGCCGATATCAGAGCCCAGGGAGGCGTGGCCCGTATGTCGGACCCCTCGATGATCAAGGAGATCATGGCCGCCGTCACCATCCCCGTCATGGCCAAGGCTCGTATCGGACACTTCGTTGAGTGCCAGGTGAGTCGGGCTATACGGATACCGCAGAAATCATCCTCAGACTGACCGGGTGTGCCCTCGTTAGATCCTTGAGGCCATTGGTGTCGACTACATCGACGAGTCGGAAGTCCTCACGCCTGCTGATAACCTCTACCACGTCACCAAGTCCACCTTCAAGGTTCCCTTCGTCTGCGGTTGCCGCAACCTGGGTGAGGCCCTCCGCCGTATCTCTGAGGGTGCTGCCATGATCCGCACCAAGGGTGAGGCCGGTACTGGTGATGTCGTCGAGGCTGTCAAGCACATCCGCCAGGTCAACGCGGACATTGCCCGCGCCCGCGCCATCCTCACCTCCTCTGCCGACCCCGAGCCCGAGCTGCGCGCCTATGCCCGCGAGCTGGGAGTCTCCTACGAGCTTCTCCGCGAGACCGCTGAGCGTGGCCGTCTGCCCGTCGTCAACTTTGCCGCCGGTGGTGTTGCCACTCCCGCAGATGCCGCTCTCATGATGCAGCTGGGCTGCGACGGTGTCTTTGTCGGCTCCGGTATCTTCAAGTCTGGTGACGCGAAGAAGCGCGCCAAGGCCATCGTCCAGGCCGTGACTCACTACAAGGACCCCAAGGTGCTGGCCAGTGTCAGCGAGGGTCTGGGTGAGGCCATGGTGGGCATTAACGTCTCCCAGATGAGCGAGGCTGACAAGCTTGCCAAGCGTGGCTGGTAGAGTCATCCATCAATCTATTGATGCTATCCTTTTTTTCCCTACATCTCATCTTATCCTCCTCCTTCAACCCTAGCCTAGGCTCTCTTCATTACCCTCATCCTCTTAGACGATCGCCGCTACTACCACGGTTCATTCTCCTACGGCCCGCTGTCTGTTCACCCATATAGCATATCTCTCTTTCTCTTTTCCTGTTCGGGTTCTGGTTCCCAAAAAGCACGAGGACTGTTTATATGATTCATAGCACGGCAGGAAGAGCTGTTTGGCTGTACATATATAGACATTACCTAGCTGAGACGCTAGGGCAGGTTACAGTTAAATCACTACTAACTAGCATTTTCAAAACAATAAAAAATATAAAAAGAAGCCAATACTTCTGATTTCCAGACCAATATAGACCTAGATAGTAAGCTAATTCAAACTGAGGCCAGAGGAACAACAGAAACAACCAAAACATCCATATCAACTACTACTATACGTCCATGTCCATGTCTATGAGAAGATCGCGCATATGGTAAAATTTAGTCTAAAATTATCACAATCACAACAACGACATCTATGTATAACAAAAAGAGAAAAAAAAAGGAATTCGACTGTCCATGACCTAGAGTATAGTATAGTAATAGCACGACCTTCATCCGGCTCAAACTCCAGATACTTACTTACTTACTTACATCTACATCTCCAACTCATCACCACCCAATCTATCACACTCATCCGCCTGCTTTTCCGCCTCCGTCTTCTCCTCCAGACTCTGTTCCTTTTCCTCAATCACACCATTCTTCTCCTCCTCAATTCCCCCATTCCTCATCCCATATCCCCCCTCCCCCTCCTGTTGTTGTTGTCGTCTGTCATTATCCCCCCCACCCATCTCCCATCCAAAATACCTCCAGACCATCACCCCCATCCACACCGACGCCCACACCACCGTGGCAAAAACCACACTACCCACCACGACCGGCACGAGCACCAATAGCGCCACAGCTGCCCAAAGACCCGTCACGAGCGCCGCGACAATCAGCGCCGAAACCACACTTAGTAGAAACACGCCGGATGCGAATAGCGCGAAGAGAAAGAGCGGTATGGCGCAGAAGAGGATTTGGATGGCGAGGAAGGTTGCGAGGAATGGATGTGTGAGGTAGAAGTCGTTTAGGGAGCGGGTTATGGTCTCGCGGCGAGGAGAGGGGAGGAGGCGAGTTGTTGTTTCGGAGATGGTGGTGAGGAGGGAATTGATGGTGGTGGTGGTGGTGGAGGTTGCCATGACTGGCTTGATGGATGGATGAGTTGTTTTTTCTTCTGGACTATGCGTGCGTGCGCAGGTATGTTAGCTTTTTTTTTTGTGTTATTCAAATGAATAAATAGGTCCTGAAATGAATTCCCAGTCCTGTTCATGTATAAGATTTGATACTTACCTTTGCCAACGGGAGGGAATTTTTATTTATGATAATAAGAATGATATGGATTGAAAAATCCACCCCCCTCTTATCATCAAAGTAGAGATGGGATGGGGAATGATAATAATCAAGGGTCGTGCCTTCAACTTGTAAAACGCTGAGATAAAAGCAAACAAAAATATGACTGAAAGAGGCAACAAACAACAGGGCAATGATTTAAGGGATGATTATATCCCGGAACCGGAGGCGCGGGCCACGGATATTCTGCCCGCGGTATGACGCAGGCGGTGTGATCAAATCTACGATGAGGAAATAGATTTACTGTAGGTTAGTTACTGGTAGTTGAAACAATTCAATATTGGCATATACATGATGTTGAAGATTTTGAATCGTTTATTGTAACTGCTTGGTGTATTTTGTAGTTAGTTAATTGAATGCTCGTGTATTAGTGAACCCACAACTCCTGCAAGGCACCACTTGGGTAAAATGTCATGCATATAGTTACATATATAACTATGGAGCGTCCAGCACTCCACTTGGATAATGCAATAACTCGGAACATGTGATGAGATCAAGAACACCTTCAGATGCATGGATGCAAGTGAGAAAAAGGAAAAAGGTTTCTCAACCCCGACTCTCCGCCCATCCAACCCATCGTCGGATACAGTCGTCGACAGCTTTCAAGGCGTCCTTATGCGCTTCGACTTCGAACCACTCCCGATGCTCCTTGCCGCATTGGTCGCAAGGTCCGAGATTTTTCACTCGTTTATCTGCCAATTCGAGGTGGATCAGTCTTTCCACGCGATGCACATGCGGGACCTTTCTTCCGGCTACCGGACCGGGAGATGCTCCTTGCCGGCTTGTGGATGACCGCGCTGGTGAGGGTGATTGAGACGCAGAAGATGGAGTGTAGGGATAGTAGCGGATCAGAGTCAGGTTGTGAGAACATTGTCTAGTCCACTCATTCAGACGACGCTGGACGTTGTTCGCACGGCCAATCTTCAAGCGGATCGTTTCCGTCTTTGCATTCGGGCTTCGACTAGATGAACTTATGTGCTGTGCTGTGCGAATGGCATCGCTCGTGCTGCGACTGTTGTGTGGTCGGTTATTGCCCGATGGCAGAAGAGAAGAGGCAATCTCATGTGATGGAGGAGTCTTCGAGGCTGAGGTCGAGGGCGTCACCCAGAACATGTAGATGTAGCCTTCATCGTCGGCTGCGGATATCGGTTTGGCCAGCTCTGCTAGTAATGCAGACGCCGTCTGGGCTGGAATATTGGGAGGAATCAACGCCAGCAGTGAACCCGCATTAGAGGCGCTCGAGCCGGGAGGTCGCTGCGGTGTATGGTAAGACGACGACGACGGAGACGGTCGGGAAGATGGTCTTTGGGGCGTGCTTGGTGCTGATACACGCGGTGGACGCTGGTTCGCAGAAGCTGGTCGAGTCTCTGCTGGCCTTGGATGAGGTTTCGAAGCTGGTAGGTCCTCCTCTTCCTCACCAATCACAAAACAGCAGAACGTTATTGGGCGAGGACGTGGACCGCTAGAATGTATCTTCGACGGGTGACTTCCAGGTCGATTGGTATATCGCTTTTTGATCTTGGCCTCGTCAACTTCCAACAAGCCGAGCCTGTCGACCAACGTATCGATGCTACTTCTTGGATTCAGCTGGACGCGTCCATTCTTCTTTTCGTCAATAGCACTAGGCGTAGCCAGTTGGGCTTGGTCTTTGTGTTGCCAGCAATAGAAGGCCGTAGGATCAATACCATTCCGGCCCGCCGTTGCAGCGACGCGTTTTGGCGGCGTTGACGCGGGAGAAGAGCCGGGAGACGAAGTCAAGGGCCGTCGACATGGTCGACCGTTAGATGTCAGACCTCTGCATGTCGTCGCAGGGTTTAGGGAATCAGAGCGAGGGAGGGCCGACTCCGGAGTGTTCGCGATGTAGGGCATAGGTAGTGAGTAAGGGAAGTAACTCAAGGAATGAGAATACTTCAGTCCTCAAGCAGGAAGAGCGTTCAAGAAAGACTGGTAGATAAGGGAAAAAGGAAAAGGAAATGTAGCAACGCAGCTTGCTACGGGAACTTGTCAAATACGAAGAAATAATTAATATTCTCAAATCTTGGGAAAGGATTTGTTCTGTAGCTTAGGTACCCGATCACAGCAACGTTGTTCCAGAATACCTTCAACAGGCGAGGCTATAAGGCGTCTTAAAAGGCAGTGATTCGTTCGCTTGATGACCCGACACGACAGAGCGTTAGTTGAAAGACCACATGGCGCAGTCGCACCTTTCTTTGTCCACTGCAGGGGGGAATTGCATCGTAGACCAAGGCTGAAAGCGCATGTGGATTGTGGAGAGCGTCAAGGGGCGTTGTTGGGTGATAATTGCACCGCCACCCTGAGCAAGAATAGCAGCAGTGCCTGACCGCATTTTGTAACGGCGATGCACACCGCTATGACTGCCGAAGATCGAGTCCCATCTATGATCTTAGAGTAGGCGCTGATGGCACAGTCTTTTCACGTTAACGGGGCGCATAAGGCACTAACTGGAGGGGTAATGGGCGTAGAGGGTGACGGGTCTATGCTTATACAGTAGCTCTAGACTACAGGAATGGACGGACTCGCTGCATAATACTAATTGAAACAATCTATTATACTGTTTATACATCATCATCACTCTTAGAATCAACATTTCTTCCAGGAACCATTTCTTCATGCAGCTTAGGTCGTTTCGGGATGCTGCCTCAGCCACTCTTTCTTGCCGAAACGCTGCTCTTTTCTCTCAAGGAAGTTGGTAATCCTGGCGTTCATCATCAATAATCTTCACATATAATTCCAAGAGTAGCAGTCTTACAATCCATTGATATCTCCTTCCTTGCCTGGAAGTGAATAATCATCCCCAAACCCATGAACCAAAATGAGATCATCCGGAAGTTCAGTTTCTTCCTCACTTTCCCTCGCATTTGCATTCCGCCTGACGAACCTGCTGGGACAGCGTAGACATTGATTTTGATTCTTACCGCAGTTGGCATCCTCCAATACATAAGAACAGAGGGACATATAACTAACTGCCTTGTGCTGTTGGAAGTAGCATTCGGCCCTCCTCTACATGTCATTTGTTGGCTTGTTGATACTCTAACTTGCATAAATTCCGGAGAAGAGAACGAACTTGTCTCTGAGCTCCATCACCGAAATATAGATCTCGTGATAATTCGAGTTCTTGCTGTATCTTGCAATCTATAAAATCTGGTTGATCCGCCGAATCTGCGAATAAGCTTCTGTGGCATTGGGGAATTTAGGTGCATAGAGGCACTGTTCGGTTTTAGGATAGTTAGCTGTGAATCATCTCACAGATATTATTGCATTACCCCACATCCATATATAGATGGATCGAGGGCCTTAGCTGTTAGGAAGTGTAAGCTCGAACGGGACCCTTCCATGGTACGAAGACGGATATCTCGACCATCGTTCAAACGAAACAGCTCTCCTTTGCTGGTATGGTTCCGTGTTAGATGCATCTGGAATAGAATCGTATTATATCTGCGTATCCCTCAGGAAAAGACATCTTCTTTCTGGTTCGTCGTCGTGGAATATCGAAATTGCATCACGAGCACTGGTAGGACAAGCAGTGCTGTCTTCGTGTCCACATGGGCAATCAGGGCCCTTTCGAATAAGTACTCAATTTCCATCGCTGAACATTTGAAATAGTCAAATCTTCTCTGCTATTTCCCTTAGATCCTGCTTCCCATAGATGCATCCTTGCGTGAAGATAGATCCAATATGATATTTCTGAAAGTTCAGCAGAAGGGCGCAGAGGAGGCTTTGAAAGACCTATTTCGATAAGGGAAGCATCCTTTGATGATTCACAGGAATGGATGAATAAGGAGTGGAGGCCTAGTCATTCATTAACTACAAGCAAAATATGACCGAAAACCCAAAACGAACTACCACGATCGGATGTGGCAAACTGCAAACAATGGAGACACGCGACCTCAAGAGGAGTACCACGGATCTTACCCGCTCAACCTTGGATCTGGAGCCATCACTATATAGACCTACAATGAAGACTCCTGGAGGAGCTTGAGTGGGAGAATGGAGAAGCGAGAAATATATAATCGAAGAATCATACTGTATTAACGACATGCATTTCATGTAAATCTATCTCTGTAATTCCAGTATTTGTTGAATGTCAAGCGGTGGTATATTTCTCGCATGAGATGGCGGCGGAAAAAAAAAAGGAAAGAAAAGAAAAACGTGCAGAATAAAACACGAGATTCAGAATAAATATGTCCGCGAAGGGAATTCACCTGCCAGCAGCAGGAATGAGGAGACGGCAGTAGGTCTCTCAAACGCCAAATGACTCTTCCAAATGGTCACAATTCAACGCCGGTTTTCCCCTGGTATAATCTATCATACAAGAAGCAGGTATCATCGACCAAAACGTATCAGTGCATACAATCTCTCCCAGAGATTTCTAGAGAGGCATGTACAGCGGTCACTGCTCAGGGGCCAACAAGGTTAAGGCAATCATCGATGACAGTCTCGAGTTCACCGATACGCCCTTTCAATCCCTTGTTTTCTTCTTTGAGAATACCGACGACACTCCACGCTTCCGACGAGGGGATGCCGTGGCAGTTGGTGCACTTCGAGTTATTACCTCCGGTGAACGCTCCCGCGAGGCCTGTGATAACCCGGTCATAGGCCGAAGTGCGGGGAGGAGCCGGGAGAGGTTTGGCCTCCTTGGGAGGAGCTTGGACAGCGGCTGTCAGAGACATGGGCAGCGTGATCTGAGAGGCGCTGGGAGACGAGCAGGCGAAAGTGGACACGGGAGAGTTCAGGCACTCGTTCTCTCGGGAGAAGATGCTTTCTGCAGTGCTCTCGTCGCCCGATTCGAATCCCGAGTCGCTGGTAGCAAACGTTGCGGCGGAGGCCCGTTTCGACTGTCGTCTGGGTGTCCTCAAGTCCGCACCTAGATCGCTGAGGCCGTCTTCGTTATCTGAAGGCTTCAAGGAGACCGAACGTCTGCGGGCCTCGTCCTCCCTCTGCCGGGCTTCCCGTTCCTGTTCAAGCTCTTCTGTTACCGTCTTCAGGGCCTTATCTTTCTCTAGGACCCTCTCCGCCATATCGTCTAGCTGAATCTTGGTATGTTGCACCCGCGTGCGGGCCTCTTCTAGCTCTTCCTCCTGCTCCATCTTCTGGGCCAGGACCTGGTGCAACGCGAACGTGCGTTCCTTGTAGGTTGCCTGCAGTCGACGGAGAACATCTTCTGCGTTTGCCTTGAGGCATTCGAGAGCCTCCTGAGGATCTCCGTTGCTTAGACGCGGAGGGAAGAGCGCGGCGTTGATGTCCAGATTCAGGAATTCATCATCGGCCGGTTCTGGTAGTACTAGCGTCTTGTCTCCCTGCTTCTTCGACCCGAAGAATGAAAAGCGACCAGGCGAAGCGACTTGCTTCAAGGGCGAAGGAGCACTTATTCTGTGTAGACGATTCATCGGGAGGGCTGATTCACTCAGCTGGCGGAGATGGCCCTTCTCTTGGGCTAAATCGGACGACATGTTCGTAGATGTCTGCTTTGGCGGGGACATATAGACTCCCAGGTTGACCGAGTCGGACTTCCCCTGAAACCAGTCCACTAAGATTCTCCCACCGAGTTCGAGCTTCCTCTTGGTCGAGTTCTCGCAGTATGTGTTGTCTTTGTGCCGGGGGTCCTGGAATGAATTCGATTGACCGACGCTCTGATTAGCGAGCAGGACAGACTGTCGAGTGAGCACCTCCGTGTTCGCACGTCGATGATGAGATAGGTAGGGAGCGGGCTGCTCTGCTAGCGCTCCGGACGGTATTGATTTGGGATTCTGAGTTGTCAATGCAGCTGGAGGGGCCAGTACTGAGTCCCGAAAGTCATCGTAGGTCTGGTAGGAAGTGTCTCCATGCACCGCTCGAATCGTGGATCCGGTCAAGAAGGAACTGGAAGTGTGACGGATCTGGGCTGGAGGAGGTTGGACGTTTTCGAGCATTGATGGAGAAACTAACAGACTAAGCCAAGCTTCGCACGGAATGAGGATAAGGGATGGTCGTTTGTCCGTTCGCGTTTGGCGTCCCAGGCGGGGGGTTCCCGGCCCTGTGTTTTCCACGTAGCTCAAGCCCAAGAATGCCGATCCAACGCAGATGAGCAGCTAATCAGCGTGCTCCAGACAGCTTCTTTAACGAGCTGCCTAACGGCGATAACTGTGAGGGACCAAGCAGATGGTGAATTACGGAGTACTCGTCCGCCCTCTTCCCGTGAGGCGATCAGGGGGGGATAGGGATGGGGATAACGGCGGGCGGGAGAGATGTCGATAGCAGACGCTGTCTGTCTCCAGTCCGTTTAGGGGTGAAACGGCGCGGTCGCAGGCCGGATGAGTGCACGTGCCGCGTGATAAGACTGGAACGAAGACGGATGGAGTTGGAGACAAGGCGGTAGTTAGTAGTTAGTTAGTTAACGATCAATAATGAGAGAGAGATGTAGCGGTAAATCAGCAGTAGATGCAGTAATATGTATTATTATTGATGCAGAAGGTGCTGTAAGAATATGCGAGGGTCGGAACATTTCCAAATCCCTGTAGTCTAGAGGCTGCACCCTTTATTAGTATTATTTGGCTGTGTAATAATAATAGTTAATATCGCGAGGTTGGGGATTGCTTCCAAAATGGCGGTGGCTGAACAATCCCCCACCGCTCACGCACGCGCGGCGATCGAGCCCAGCTGGAGACCAATAATGCTGGATAGCCGCGAACAGCAATGTGGCGGTTTCAAGGGCGAGCCATTCAACATGCAGGGAGGAAACAATTAAATGGAATCCATTTCTATTTTGATCTTGTCAGTCATGCTCGAAGCTGAATGAATGTTCATAATCCACCATGATAGGCAGAGATCAATCGGCTCAATATACGCGACTCGACATCCTCTGCGTCATCTGGATGGGAAATTGCTTTTTGAATTTCTCTTGCCACTGAAAGACTGCCGCATTGGTGGTAGTAGAACTGGATTACGCCCTCCTATGGAGAGAGAGAGAGAGGATTGTCGAGAACGCCCACGAGGGCGTAGATGGCTTTCCACGGAACCTGTGTCCGAAGTCTGTTGCTCTGCAATCTGATAGTTATAGCAGCCGTAGCCGCTGAGCATCCCTGGGTATTAATGACTTCTTATTCTCGAACAATGAAGGACTCCATGGGATCTAGTTACATTCATCCTGTTCCATTGGTGATGGAACCGTGGATGGGATTCCTGGGGTTGTTCCACACCTCCGCGAGCTTCTTCTGCCGACAGCTCCACTGGCTGTGACTTACTGTACCATATTATTCCTTCAGCACACGGATAGCGACAGCTTCGCTCAGCGACCCAGTCGGCCCAGCATGGTGGACCATTTGTCCAATGCTTTAGCAACTCCAGCTCAGTTGTCAACCTCGTCATCCTCACTGGATGGCATCCCGTCGGATCTGGAGGCCTCCATCCGTTATGCTGGTGCGCTGCTGACACAAGCTGCCGGGATTCTGTTGCGACTGTCGCAGGACATCATCGCACAGGCGATAGTCACATTTACGCGGTTTTGGATCGGACCTGAGGGCGGTAGTCTTCGGATTTACGCTGCCAAGGTGCGTGGTGAAGCTACAGAGAATACGTGAATGAAATCGACTGACACGACTTCCGCCAGGATGTCTCCGCGGCTTCTCTCTACTTGTGCGCAAAGCTCTCGTTTCAGCCGACGTCTCCGCGTTCCGTTCTAAATGTCTACACCTTCCTCCTATCCCCAGACGCGTCTCCACTATGGTTCGTCAACCCGAGAGGTGTGGCCAAGAAGCCTGCTCCGGATACATACTACCTGTCCGAAGGGACCTACCAGACTGAGCGGTTGGTTTTGATGCGAATCGAGTCGACGATTCTTCGAACACTAGGCTTCAACACGCACGTCGCGCTGCCTCACACTATCGCCCTGACGTATCTGCAGACACTGGGGACATCGTCTTCCGCCGTGGCCAAGCGCGTGTTCGAGCACCTTAATGCGGCTCTCCTGTCGCCGCAGCTCCTCTATGTAACTCACCAGCCGAATTCCTTAGCGGTGGCAGCTATATACCTTGCGGCTCGGGAGACGGGTGTGAAGTTGGTCGATGGGGAATGGTGGGAGGTCTTTGATGTTGATCGAGAAGAGCTCGGGTTCCTGGTGGTGGGTATGGGTAGCATGGTGAATTTCGCCAAGGCAGAAAGGGAGAAGTGGAAGACACGAGCTATCCCGCTGGTGATCGATGAAGTGGAAGCAGAGATGGAACGGAGAAAGATGCTGGAGGAGGGTGAATGAGCATCGGACGTGATGCGGACCGCAGTGCGTCTTCGTAACGTATCTGCTGTCTGCACGGGCCATATCATGATCCTGCTGCTCGAGGCCTTTCGAGCGGACGGTATCGGACTATTGTGCGTATGGTGCAACAAGCGCAGGACAAGAGAATAGTCCAGCAGCTGCAACTTATATGTTGACTACGGACACCTCGACCATGCACTGGGATTGAAGTCTACTTGTCCAGCTTCATTGCTGTGATCATAATCCTGACATGCATGGTCACGTACAGACAGGGGAATGCCATAGCGCTTATAACACTCCTGGTCTGCTGTAGTTTATAAGAGACACCGGCCTTGACTCACCATACAGATGTGCACGTTATGCAGACCGGATGGTGGCGACTTTTAGAGCCAGATATGTAATATAGTACTAAGCCGTCTATTGAATCAGGATATGTCTGCCTATCAAAAACTGTCCCTTTGGTAAATCGAATCCAAGGATCCCATCATTTTAGTTAATTATTATCATTATTCTGTTGAGCGTGACAGCCTCAGTCAGCCACCGCAGGCAGGTGACGCCAAGAAACCCCCCGTCATCCCCGCGAAGTGCAGGCAGAAGGTCCTCCAATGTGATCGAGCAACCGCCACAACTCTCCGGTTGCTTTATACTGCCTGCTTACTGGGAGGTCGCAGTCGTCCGCATACAACTCGAGTGACAGGTATCCCTGGTATCATCTCTGCTACTTTGCACAAGAACACCTTTCCATCGACTGTTCCCATAACGTCTGTACCCCGCATCGACGAAGGAGAACAGGGAGCAGCAACGTCGATATGAACATCCTCCACTCTACGCTGTCCACCTGGCGAGATCGCCTCGCGCCTGTCTCACGGACATCCACATTTCGCTCTACTGGTCAGATTACGCCAGAGGAGTTCGTCCTGGCCGGTGACTATCTGGTCTACAAGTTCCCGTCCTGGTCCTGGGCCGATGCCTCCACTCCCGCCAAACGCGTCTCTTATCTGCCTCCTGGAAAGCAGTTCCTTGTCACCCGCGGTGTGCCGTGTCATCGCCGACTAAACGATAACTTTGCGGGAGATGCCGGTCAGGATGATGTTATCATCAAGGATATGTTGGGCGATGGAGCCGGCGGTGACGAGGACGGTTGGTTGAGAACTGGCGGAGGAAGGGAGCTTGCCGACAGTCAGGAAGCTAAGATGAGAGATGTTCGGACGGTGGATGAGGCTGGAAATATGGGCGAGCGCGAGGAGGAAGAGGAGGAGATTCCGGATATGGAGGATGAGGATGACGATGAGGAAGCTATTATCAGAGAGCCGGCCAAGTCGAGCACGACTGCGTAAGTATATCTGCAGCTCTCTATTCCCATCATCTAGATCCGTTTTTTATCTGATTGATATGGCCGTTTTTACTAACGACCTCCAATATGCAGGCCTCTTCGAACATACACTCTCTACATCACATACTCCAACTTCTATCGCACTCCTCGACTCTATCTATCGGGCTACCTCTCGCCCTCCGAGCCTCTTCCTCCACATTTGATGATGGAAGACATTGTCGGTGACTACAAAGACAAGACCGTCACCCTCGAAGACTTCCCCTGGTTCGAAGGTAGCGTCAAGATGGCCAGTGTCCACCCTTGCAAGCACGCCTCCGTCATGAAGACTCTCCTCGATCGTGCCGATGCCGCCCTCCGGATCCGCCGCCAGAAACTTAAGGAGGCCCAGTCCGCTGGAGACGCGTCAAAGCTCAAGGCAGATAGCGGCTTGGAGGGCCTAGTGGACGACACAAAGGGCCTCTCTCTTTCCAATGACGGTCATGCTGCTGGTGTCGCCGCTGCTGGCGGGAACGGTGGTGACGAGTGGGAAGTGCTCGAAGGTCACGAGGACGACGATCAGCAGAATGCCATCCGAGTCGACCAGTACCTTGTTGTCTTCCTCAAGTTTATCGCCAGCGTGACGCCCGGCATCGAGCATGACTTTACGATGGGCGTATGATGGAGGAATCTTCGGGATTGACAATACCCATTTTAACAAGTTCGAGGCGGCAATCTGAGCATTTCATGCAGGGCCACCAGCACGCTGTTCGCAGTCCACATGACTACGCGGAGAAGCAAGCAAGTAGAAGGACCCCCAACATGGATTTGTCTGATTTGGGATCATGATACACACATTCTTTAAGAGTTCTCGAGGTTTCTTCGCTTTAACAGTTGCGTCGTTTCTTCTTTTGACTTTTACCCAGAGCCGTCATAATCTAGAACATAACGATCGAGATGATAGGCGTTTCAAGGCGCGCGGCGAGTGTACTCTTATTTCCAGAGATGCGAGAGATAGCCGAAACATAGTGAATTTGTAATATTTTTTTTCTTTCCCCCTTAGGAGTCTAAAGCATCGCACCGGAAGAAAAGAATACACAAAGGAAGAAGATTTGAATTGAATTTCACCCAGAAGAGTATAGTTACATGGATTGAAAAGAACGACGACCTTTTCGAGACCAGGCAAGGGAGAGAGGAGTCAGATTTAAGCAGATAACGAATAGACAATGACTATGACATGATTTCGACCTTAATGTGAGCGTCCATCATAATATCATCGTCATCGTCATCATCAATAATACTACCAAAGAGAAGCGATACTCTTATTTTCTCCATCCACAACGGGAGGGAGGGATCCCAAGAGCAGAAACGAGTTGCGTTCCCCCAAATCGACAGGCTTAACTATCTAGTTATAAGTTACGATAAACTAAGACTGCATTGTTTGAGATCGCAATTCTGAAGCTTCGAGTTTAGATTTCATGTTATACTTCACTTGAGTATTAATTAGCAGTGCGATACTCTCTATTCTGTAAGATCTCCCCCCCCCCCCCCCCCCCCCCCCCGAATATTTTAACGTTATTTAATGAAATGTTGTATTGGGACTACCGCCGTGGTACATACATAAATAAAACAGGTATCATGCTAAGATCATCAGAAGAATAATATCCATCCATCTGTCAAAATCTTTTAGAAAACATCGCATGTTGTAAATGGAAAGCAACCCCATAGTCAGTGAAATGAAAAAAAAAAAAGTTGTGGTCCAAGAAGGTTGGTTTATGTGCCAGTAGATAGATAGATAGATAAATGTGATGAAAATGACATAAAAAGAAAAAAAGGTTCAGAATCCAATTCAGAACCCTTTCTTCTTCTACAATTCATTTATTTAGAAAGCTCCGAATGCCGTGCCAAAGTTGGTGGTGCTCCTCAACTTCAGTTCTGGCTCGGGTTCGCCTTGACCATGCGTGGAGGACTCTGCGTCGTCTTCTGAGATGCTTGGACGGTTAGAGAACAGTTTCCTTGCCTCGTCTAAAAGTTTCTGGTCGAGTTCTTCGAGGAAACTATTATCCTTACTTTCATTGTTTTGCAAGGAGAGTGGGCCCTTCAGGGCCGGGTCATCCGTGACGTCTTTGACGTCCGGGAAATAGGAATCGGAGCACTCTGCTGGTTGTAGCGTCGTCACTGGTTCGAGGGGATTTTCATCAGTTATCTCATAAGTCGTCTCATCGGTCGCTTCATCAGGAGGGTCTGGATCTGTCTTGAGAACGACCATCGGTGTATGGCCGGCGTCTCGCTTCAGATTCACATCCGGAGGTCCTAATTCAGATAGATTGAGAATAAGGCTCTTTCTTCGCTCCGGACTCGCGCGTTGAGTGTCTGCACCGGCGTCATCAGAGCCCGACCCTCCTGAGGGTGACGCAGATGGTGGTGTCATGACTTTTGCAACGACATTTGGTGGGAGACCGGTAGATTTGAGAGTGATACCATCCAGCGTACTGTCGAGCTTCTCGATCGGTACCGACACACTGGGCCCTGCAGATGCATCAGCAGCTCGAGACAAAGGAGATAAGGCAGCATCCAGAGACGGTGCAGCTCCGATCCCGTTCCCCTCGATTGGTCCTAGCTGGTCTGGTTTCTTGCTTTCCTCTGCGAAGACTCTCGTCGGCTTCGGCGACTTGATGGAGCCCTCCCATACGTGGTAATCTCTGGACAGTTCCACATGGGGTGCTTGAGAAGCAAACGAGACCTGCTTCCATTTGACGCTGGACGTGAAAGACGCGGTGGCGGAGACATTATTGAATCTGTCCGTTCGACCTTGTATGGCAGATTCCAGCTCTGCGATTCGCGCCTTTAACAATTCTCTCTCTCGATCCCATAATTTCCTCTCCTCCTCGAATGTCTCCCTCTCGCGATCAAAGCTGGCCCTCTGTTTATCGAGCAGCGCCCTCGCTTGGTCGACATATATTTGGAACTGACTGTATAAGTCCACATCGGGGGCTCTGCCACTCTGACTGCCAGCAGGTACGGACCGGGTACGACGAATCGGGATCGGAGTCGTGGACGGTGAAAACCGGACCTCCTTGTAGAGGCTTCCGTGTCCATTCAGCTTCTTGGTTGTCATTGCGGTCTTCATTTTTAGCTGCGAGTCCACACTATAGAGCCGCTGCTGCTGCTGCACTGCAGTCCGGAATGCTAGGACGATAAATCGCTGGCATCGGGCGGTGTGCGCGAAGTCTTATGGGGATGGAGCAGAGCACCTCTGGTCCTTTTTCAACCAGCCCCCAACGAGAATAGTGTTCGATATTGGCGCAGCGTAAAAATGGACAATATGATGGGATCTGCTGGGCTTACAACAGCACAGCGGGGACAAGAACCACGTAGTAGGGTCGATGGGGTCTCGCTTGGGGCGTTTCCAGCACACTGTCCGCATGCACGAGGCGACTAGATTGCTAGTGGCGAGCAACTCAGCGATCGCAGGCAAGATGCACAGCTGTATTCAGGGCTATCGCATATCGATTTTTTTCTGGTGTTTCTCTCTCTGTAAGGCTATAGCTATTGCAAATGTAAGCGGAGGAACAAACAGGGGACAAGGGCCTTTTTCAAACAGACAAACCCAGGCTGATGGAGCCCCCCGTTGACGGATAGCGGGCGCCCCCCGTGCGGGGAAGTGAGTGAAGGCGATGTTAACTAACTTAATTAACGGCCAATGATGCTGACGGCCGAAGATCGCTGGTTTGGAGTTGTTTTTCCTTTCCCCAGGCACAAACCGCCGAGGTAGAGAATGAGCGGCTCAGTGAATGCAAAAACGCAACAATCTGGAGCCAGTCGAGGAAAATAGGAAACAAGTGAACAAAGGGAAGGGTCATACTGGCAGGTAGTTATATCATATTATACCATAGATATTTAAGTACAAGATGCGACGAACGATTCCTTTTGGACGATCACACGAGAGACTTCAGTCCGATGACGTCGACGAGCAAGGTTGTGATGCTCGATCAGCACAACTTTTTGCTCTTCTCTGCCGTTGATTCCTGCGCGACAGACATTAGCCAAAGCTACATCACATCTATCTATACTTGCAACAGAAGACACAGATCGGTATTGGATATATATTGAGTCATTATTGATTATCGTACAGTACATTAGTTAACTACATACATCTCTAGGTTCCGTCAAGTCATCATCCAAACAAACAAACAACGCCCTATCCGTCTAATACAGAATAGAATCATATAATATAATATAATATCCGTTCCAGAAAGAAAAAATAAAATCGCCCGACAGAGTGGAATAAATGGACCCTTGTAAACGCGCAAAAATCCGAATGCAACCCGAAACCAACGCAACGTCATCATGCATCCCGATAGCTTTCCCTAGCTATCGGTCGGTATAGTATAGGATAGGATATAGCAGGTAATTATTATCCCCGCATAGGTCGTTTCTGGCAATGCGCAGCAGTCTTTCAAGAGATGGGAGGGGGAGTGGGGAGGTTGGCGATGAACCCGAGAGGATGTGTGGTAGTCGTAAATAACATGAGGATCTGCGAAAGCGGCCCTTACAGAGATGGGCGGTCCTGTGAACGACTACCTCTGCGCACAATCCTCTCTGCTTCCTCGAGGACATGTCGATGCATGGCCTGCACAGGATGAAACTGGACTTCCTTGCCCATCGCTCCAAAGATTGTTGCAAGGTAGAGGACACCTCGCGCAGAGAGTTCGCGTCCACCCACCGTGGCCGATGGGAAGTAGAACCGCGGATCCAGGTAGAAGACCACACTCTTCCACGACGGAAGTCGCTTCATCATCTCGCGCCCAACCTGCTCGTATAGTCTCAGTGTCCGCTTCGGTACGCCGGTCTGGGTGTGGACGAAGAAGAAGATCTCGAAGCCGACGCTGCGGATGCGACTGCGCGCGGTTGCGCTCAGGGTGTCGAGGAACTCGCCGGCGCGCTCGAGGTTGAAGGAATTGAGGAAGAAAAAGGTGTATCGCGAGTAGAGGAGGTCCTCCGCTTCGTCGTGGATCTGTCGGTTGACGGATAGCAGCTTGCGCGCAGTGCCATCCTCTCCAACCCAGCTGGGGCACATGCTGAGCGCTCGATATCGGCCGCGCGACGTGAAGGTATTGCCGCGATCATTGACCACAATCAAGGGTTGGTCCATATACTCGTTCGGGACCGCCAGGGCATATTCGTAGATCTTCAGACGCAGCTCCGCGGGTAGTCGTAGGAGATTCGCCTTCTTCAAGGGTGCACCCCGAGCTCCAGGCTCTGGGATGGGTAGAGGGTTCATCATGTTTGGCGATTAAAGTGTATATATATATATGAGTATGGAAGTAGTAGTAGCTCAGCTAAGCTCAAGCAAGCCCACACGAGCTCCAACCAACAGGACAGACAGTCAAGTCGGCTACTTTTGCCTTGGGGGGATATTATTTCTGGGATATTAAAAATCACGACATCATTAAGCAGCAAAAAAAGAGAAGAGCAGAGAAAAAGGGAGCAGAGGCAAAGTTTTTCTACTTTCGGGGGGCGCATCAGGGACTGATTGGCATAGCATCCGATCAGCGAACAAGTAGCGATGATCGGAGTATGCCGGGCCCGGTGGTCTGCCTCCCGGGGGCTGGCCGAGAGTTTCAAAAGCCAGTTTCAATAGATAGATAATTAATATGCATCGGGCCAGCCATTTAGTTAGCTATTATTAGTTGCATAGCCCTGAGCTGAGCTGACACCCTGGATGATCCACCGTTTGGCATCAAAACTCTGCCGGATAAGTCATAAAACATAAGTTAGATCTAGTATTATCACAGTACTTCCATGGCGCTGAGCGGAGACAACATTAACAGAAACAACAGAGATTGTACTGTACAATCTTTTGCCATAGACACTATAAGGCTGGACTCCACCGGGACCCATCGCCTCCCGGGAGTATAAAAAAAAAAGCTCTACTCACTTCCGTCGGGTTCATATCCGGTCCTCGGGTTGGGAACCATTCCATGGACGGAATGTTCACTGTTGGGAAAATAATCAAGACCAAAAACCGTAATTTTGCTGAAAAAAACTAAAATAAAATGCCGAGGCCGCAAAGTCATCGGCATTTGGAACGGCCCAGCCCTTTCGGCCCGCTGTGATCGGGTCAGACCCGTCGCGTCTGTCGCGCTATCTGGATCTTGAACATGGATCAACAGTGATACGTATGACTACGACACTCTGACAACCCCTTGTGTCGTGAGAAAGAAACAAAAAAAAGTATAAGCATCCTCCATGGCGAATGGTCTCTTTCCACGCAGGTAGAACGTCCCGGATGCAGCGTAATGCCGGAAGCCTCGGGAGTTCATTGTCCTTGACAGCCAGGTGGACGGTGGATTCGCGCTCACCGCATCTTGTCAATACGCACTACGCCAGAATTGAGACAGAAAGTGACTGAGAATGAAGAGGATTCCGCGGCCGGGCCTGTTTACGCCGTTACGGGAATACTGCGGTGGGAAATGGGTCTGAAACAGCTTCCCCAGACGACAAGACGTCGATCTTCCCGGGGAAAAGACGAATCTGCAGTCTACTTGAACATGTGCCCATTGATTTGTTTTTGATTAGGAAATGATGATCCCCTACTTATGTATCATCATTCACGTCGTCCTATACACCCCCAACCCCCATGCAGCCCGCAGCACGGCCAGACCCCAGGCCATCCCAAGACTGTCCCAGATCACATTGAGCTTGCTGCCTTTGACCTCGCGCCATCCCACGGGGACCTCCGCAACGGGGATATTGGCGAATTCGGCAAGCATCAGCATCTCCACGTCGAAGATCCAGCCTTCTGAATGCATATAGGGGATGATGTACGGCAGTGTCGCGCGGGAAAACAGCTTGAACCCGCATTGGGTGTCCTTGATCATGGCCGTCTTGGGCGGGGTAAGGAGCCACAAGATCAAGTGGAAAGAATGCATCAGGAAATTCCGTAGCTTCGAGCGCTGCTGCTAGTTAGGATCTTCCTGTCTTAAAAGCCTGGCAGCCGGCAGTTGAGGGGGTTCAGCGTACCTTGACGACAGCTTCACTGCCGACCATATGTGCTCGCGACCCAACGGCAACGGCACGTCCTTCCACATCCTCGATATCCTGGCAAGCAGTCACCAGCTTCTCCAGGTCATCGAACTTGCTAGCTCCGTCGGCATCAGCAAAGACAACGTATTGCCCGCGGACATGACGCATCCCGTGGGTCACTGCACCGCCCTTTCCGCGATTTTTTGTCAGAGAGACCACACGGATGGTACCTGGGGGGATATGGACGCCCTCATGACGGTGGGGTGTCCAGGGACCGGCGTAACCCTTGGGATGCGGGGAAAGTTGATGGTCGCGCGCAAACGCGAACGCCGTCTCCTCCGTCCGGTCCGTCGAGCCGTCAGAGACGATTAATATCTCCCATCCCTTGACTGGCCCGGCTTGGGTTGCATGTCCATTTGTTTGGCCTTTGCGCTGTCGGACCTTCGTTTGGGCCAAGCGTCCATTCTGCTCGGCCAGCGCGCCATAACTATGCTCCAGGAAATTCACCGCTTCTTCCAGCATGCCTCCCAGTCGTTCTTCCTCGTTATATGCAGGGACCACTACCGACATGAACAGATCTGCCTTCTCCATGGCAAGACCGTCTATCTTGCTCCGGCGTCCGGCGTCCAAAGCATCCTGCCAGCAGGGTAGTGATTGAGGCCCCGTAATCGATCCATCTTTGGCCAATGCCCTATATTTCTTCTCCTCTGGGAACGGTTTTCGAGGTTCGGGAGCGACGGTATAGAGGAAGATGTAGAGCTAATTTGCTTCTTGTCAGCATCTGGATTGATAGACCTCGCAGTAAGAGACTAACCAGTACGAACACACCCACGGTGCTCGCCAGTAGACTGCCAAGTGTAATATAAATGGGAGCGCTGCGGACAAGGTCGACGCAGTGCAGGCAAACGCTGCTCCAGGTTTCCGCCATTGTCAATGATGCGGTGTCGCAGCCGGCGCAGTTGCAACAATCGCGAAGGGAAGCCGGAGGAGCTCAATTGCTCGATGATAGGGAACCAATCACCGGACCAGCCATGCGCATAATGGAGATGAAGATGTCCACCATCCGGCTGCAGACAGTTGATAAAAATATTAGACAAAGACGCGCGTTAGAGCGCTTCGCTCGGAATTATTGTAACTATCTTTGTATGAAATCGCAGGCCGAAAGCGCCAGCTTGTCCTTATCCGGGACGCTTACGAGGCTTGGCGTTGGCCAGCTGGAGCTAGTAGTACTATCAACGTCCCGAGAATTCAGGAACAGTTCTAGCTTGCCAGCCGTTCCACATCTCGAGTAACAACATGTCTTGGATGGAATAATCCATTTCTCAGCGTCAGTATATTTATTATTATCGATAAGATTGTCTCTTCTGGACCTCAGGAGGTGCACTTGAAAGAAACATCGCTGAGCAGTCTCCACGGCAGCTAAATTTAGTCACGGGAGCCACTGAACTTACTGAGTGGGCTGATCTTGAATCTGGATCCTGACTTACATGACTTATCGACATCCCAGCATTCACAACAGAGATGACTTCTATCTACCGGACTCTGAAGTGCCATTGTCGCAAGCGACCAGTCTTGTGTCTGTACCATGCACGTCCAGGGTGGCCTAGTGAGCTCGTTCTGCTACGTTCCTAATGAGATATCATCGAGTCTTTATGTTCAATGCGATGCTAAACACCGCAAGCTATTATCTACAGTAGGTTAAAGCATATCTATCCTTGCGTTTGGTATGATTGAATTCCTGGGTCTCGAGTGAGTGGGCTTCTGCTATCGAATCATCATATCAGCCGATTATATCATACACCATTACCATCTGATCCCAATCGAAACAATGGCCAGGGAGCCGTCTCAAACCCCCAAGTGCAAATTTCTCATTTGAAATATGAGTATTTCAGACCCTTACGTGACCATCGTGTTCCTGAAATGACGGTTCTGTACGAGACAGCAATGTGACGAGGTCGAAAACGCCGCTGTATGACAGAACCTTCCCTGTGAGAGACGCCCAGGCTCCCTGGGGCGTGTCACGCAACTTCGGGTTGATGCGTCAAGAGACTTGATCCTCTCACCGGGTAGATGCATCATGACATGATATTTGTCGAACAGTCGGCGTGCAGAGAAGGCAACCGATCAGGTGCTTTCAAGCATCTCGGGCTTTCCGTCTTTCATAACGAGTCCCAGTATCCAGATCGTCCAGTTCAAGGCAATCATCAGCCCGCACGATCCTTTTTGGCCACAGTTTAACCCTAGCACACCTGAGGGTGAGGTCAGGCGGAGGGTCCATCCCCATATCATTGTTTCAGGACTGGATGGATATATCATATGTATACATCCTTCGAGGCAGTCGTTACCCGCACAAGGCAGACAATCTGTGGCACCAGTCGCGGTATCAATGGCGCTCTGCAGGCTCCAGAACATATCAGCCTCCTCGGCTCTCAGATCACCTGGCAGCAGTGAAGAAACCTAGCTCAACAACAATCGGGTAGTGGAAGGTTGTAGAGCGGACATGCAGTAGAATTTCAAACTCAAATCCCTATCAATATGTCACAGAACACGGTTTCATGATTCCCTATTCTCGATATATAAGATCTGCACAGACGTAGTAAATGCAGCTACAACATAAATCCCTGCCACTCACGACGAGAAATACACACAGAAAAATAAAAAATAAAAGATAAATATCAACAAATCCGCCCCCAAACTATGACTTCCCCTTATCTAAAGAATCTATTATAAGAACCCACACCAACACGAAACCTTACATTATACAGCACATCCCAACCCTCAATAAAACTACCTAGATAAGTAACAAACGCGAGCTAGTTAGGTACTATTAGTTCAATGCCCGTGCCCGCGCCCACCGACCAGTATAATCAACTCCTTCTCACCGACTCACGCAGGTTGTCCAATCAAATTGAATCATACCAAACCAACATCGGTCCGATACGAATAGATTAGATATGCATAATGCAATCCTTCCCCCTTGCATGCAGATAGCAAGTTCAAAAGAAGAAGTCGAAGATAAAATTCTCGAATCAGGACGTCTATGAGTTTTGTGGATTAATAGATCTGTGTGTGATCTATCAGGCACGGAGGATCTCTTTTTCATTTGATATGATATATTTACCGATAGGTTATAGTGATTTTGCTGGGGTGTTTTCATCGGGGTTATATTCCGATTGCTTCTTTTCTTTTTCTTTTTTTTTTGTTTCCCTCTTGACCGCCTTAAGACGTGGAAAAGGCAAGTAATACGAGAGGATGTGGATAGATAGTTATTGAACGCGGAAGATGGGCACTCTGAAGGTTAAATAAATATAAGAAAAGGGTCAAGCGATGTACATAGATAGAAAAGCGAAGAAACTCGACGTCAAAAGGTACCTATGTTGGATAAAAGATGAAGAGAAAAGCGGCTTAGAAAGGATAGACTACAAGAGAAGGTGGTCTTTCTAGATTATTACATGTAACTAGAAAGGGAGCAACGTGGCCAATTAATGGAGCGTTCACTCGTTGGAGATTATACCCAGTATGATGATATGTTGGCTAGCTGATCGACATTTTCCCCTATATATGAATCCAAGGAATATATCCTTTTATATCAGAAAGAGGATTATATTGATACAGTCCATGACCTCTTCATCGCAAAGCATTGCTTTCCCAAGCCTGTCCTGTTTCCACCGTTTCCAGCTCCCGTCGCTCCAACATCGCAATATCATATTGTTTCGTCCGGCAATACTTCGACACCTTCCCACCGCCGCGCAAAATAGCATAGATCTCGCTGGGATGGATAATATTAAAGATCACCATGACGATGAACATTAAAAGGAAATCAAAAACATATATGAAGACCTCATGCGTCATGATATAACCCGACACTCCTTGCAAATACTCGACGACGCGCACTATACATCGAACCAAGATGAGGATACTGGTGACGTAAAGCGCGTAGAGATGTTTGCGCCAGGGGTTATTCTTGGTAAGAGATGCTGCGGTGGGGTTTAGTGTAAGGCGTATGTGGAACGCTGTGGCCGTGACGACGAAAAAGCCAAAGGAGGCAATTTGGGTGAACAAGCCGGCATCAACGATCTTTTTGCCGTGGTCGATCTTGTCGGCGTCTTTCTGGGTGATTAATACGCCGCCTGTTTTGGAGAGGATTGTATGTTAGATTGTTCTTAATTTTAAGACTCTTGGGAAGACATTTACTTACCTATAGCCTGCAGGAACAATGAGATAACATCGCCGAGAACGAAAATCTTTGTTAACCATCTCCGACTAATTATAGACCTGGACTCTCCGTCTACTATCCGTATAATTCGACCAAGGAGCATGTATATACTGGCGGAGAAGAAAGCGGGAGCGACCAGGATAAGTACCGTTTCGACGATGAAGGGAGATCTGGTGAAATTGGGACTCTGGTAAGATGCCACGAGTCGACAGGCGTATCCGATTATTTCCACTGTGCGAGCGAAGGTGTCGTTGTTAACTTATGGTGATTGTGGTCGGAATCAGATGCCAAGTGTTTTCTACTTACAATATCCTCCTATCGTCAGGGGTATAAATGACCAACTGCGGGTTCGTGCAAGCTGCCAAGTGTGAAGAGCGCTTGTTAAACAGAAACATACTATGGCGACAATAGCTGCGCCAGCCGATGGATCGTACGCATATTCTCGAAATTTTTGAGGCATGATGGGATGATACCTATTGTGGTCGGTCGTTTTAATGAAGAGAGGAGTGCCACAGAGGCTCGGACGACAGCAGATCTGAGTACGGAAATATTTTTTCCAACAAAAGAAGTGATGTATCTCTTCCAGAGCATATGCTGATCAACTGACGGGGGTAATGTCGACAGGAATTGTCTTCTCCATGGTACAGATGAGCGAAAATGAAGGCTTTTGAAGCCCCGGATTGCCATTTGAAATCGAATCCTGATAGCATAGCCACTCTCGTAAACTATTCTCGAACTTATCATCCTGCCGACATTGACTGTGTGGATCTAGGTCTGAAGCAACAGCATTCGCTATCCCTTAGCAATAATAATGGTATAGTCCTGACTCGCTTTAGAGTGCAACGGCTTTTCCCAAAACGGACCTTCCTGTCCGTAAACCATTCCCGATCTGGCGAGAGTGGATAAAACTGAGCGTGTGGATCTCCAACTATGAATGAAGTTCAAGTATTCATTTCGATTGTCGACAGGAATCGAACAAGCTCAATTTTAACTAGCCCTCTTGAAGTTCGAGCTTATTAGTGATGACTCGTCAGGGTCAGACAGTTACGCGGTTGTGTGGATGGGACAAAGTGGGCAATACTGATCGCCAAACACTGAAGATAAAGTCAGAATCAGATTGAAAATTCATACAGGAATAATTCTGCGAAAGCTAAGTACCTAGTTTAGACCTATTTACGCGAGGGTTCATATATCTACTAACATCTGCACTCTTACATGACCAGACTCGAGATAATCGCACTTCACCTGACATACTATGGGAGAACCTAACAATCGTATACAAAATCGAAAGGCTCTACATATTCTTTTCGCTTTTCCATATACAATATATTCCTACTGGAAATTCATAAAGCGCGATGTTGTGCTTAGCGCCCGGTCTATATTAATTCGACTGTGCCGCAAGTTCATCCACCAATGAATCCAAACGATTAGACCATATCGCCGAGAAAGCGAAACGATGCGCTGGACATGCCTCACCAACATACAAGGCTGATGCGAGGGGCTGTGCACCATGTTGAGGTGGTTCATGGCCTTGCGGTCAGCACACAGGTCGTTTCGGTGTATCGGTCAAGTAACTTCATTTTATCACGACAGTCGCCTTCAGAGATTCTATATTGTGTGAATTACTGAATACTGTACTTGGTTTTTTTCGTTGTGGCAATGGATCCTGCGGGTCTCACATTAAGTATCGTCGGCCTCGCAGGATTTGTTTCAACCATCATTGACCTCTTAAACTATGTCTCCGACGCTGGAAACAGAGATGAGGATTACAAAACCATCCAAGATCTTTTCGAACTTGAACGTGGCAGATTTATGCAATGGGTGCAAGTATACAACAACTATCGGCGGCCCAAGAAAGAAGCAAAAATGATACGAGCTTTGCAGGCAGACCCATCTGTCAAGACAATTTTCACAAGAATGGAGCGGCTGATTGCGGATGGCGCCTCGATCATGGAACAATATAGTCTAAACAGACTTGATCTATCCGGTGATAAGCGGTCAAAAGGTACTGGCCGCATGCTGCCTATGACATACGGACGTCTAGGCCGCAGGACAAACACTCTTCCGCATCGGATTCGTTGGGTCGTACGTGACAGAGAGAAGTTCCGTGCTCTGATAAATGATATGACGCTTTTGAACGACAGATTCGAGAGTCTCTCAAAGATGCGTTATAAATTGGAACATAGAAAGCCTATTCACGAGGAAATAAGCTCTTGTTCGGATCAATACATCTCCGAGTCTATATCGGTGGTATATCAAAGGAACGATACCCACTCTGCCACCCAGCGGTGCTCTACGGTTGAAGACGAGACAGGCAGTTCACCCTTTCATGATGGGCCGACTGATGGGGATAATGGAGCTACGATTTCGCCTTACATGGCTATCTACAACGAAGAGGGTTTGGAAGGCATAGGAAGTTTCTTATCAACTGTCAACCCCTCTTTGATCAGCTCAGATTACACCAACGAATACATTGACACATATCTGGTGGATACTCTTGAATTAAATCCATTCCTCTCAAGTGGAAGACACGAAACTTCCAGGGAACTGTGGATTGGTTGCGGTAATCTCATCTCACATATCCGGAAAGAAGATACGAAGCACTGCGAGGCCATCTTAGCAAATCTACGGCCATACCGTCAAAGTATCGGTCTAGAACGCAGGATGAGACTGGAGCTAAGGTTTCTGCTTAACTTTTCTTCGATAAACCCACTTGATGTGAATCGAGGATGCACCATGGCGCCAATCGGAGATAATATATACGAATGGAGAGCTGTGGTTGAGGGCCCAGTGAACTCTCCATACGAGGGCGGCATATTCTATATTCGAATCAAAATTCCTAGAACATATCCAATGGAACCACCGCAATGGAAATTCGAAACAGCAATATACCATCCCAATATTTCGAAGACTTCGGGTGAGGCAGTTCCTGGCCTCTTGGATCTTATTACACAGAATCGTCCCTGGTGCGCGGACCAGACCTTGCTGCTATGGATTGTATCAATTTGGAAGCTCTTGAAAAAGCCATCTCAAGATCCAATGCACGTTGTAGAAAAGGATATTCTACTACAGCTCAAAAGTGACCGCATAAGCTTCGACCGGACAGCCAGACAATGGACTAGCATGTATGCTAGTCTGACAGCCGAATACCTGTTCTCCAACCCTAAATACAACATCGAACAGAAATCCGACGAGGTCATGCGCCTCGAAAACTTCTTGCTCCAAACAGCAGAAGCATGTTCGCAACTTGAGGAGTATATCACAGATGCAGGATTATCAGCGCTTCCAGAAAGAACCTCCGCTTACTCGGTGAGTGGCATGCTAAAAGAAGTCCACCATATCAGAAACTCCCGATTCATCGATGTTCTCGGTGGAGAAGAGTTTGCAAGACATGCTGCAGCTCGCTTATGTCCCTTGTCGACAAGGACGGACCTTGTCCATGTCTTGCTCGCTGAACTCAAACGCGGGTCTCAACCAATAAAGCGACTTTTGACCCGTGCATCGCAAGACCTGAGCAGGCTCATGAAAGAATTCTTGGAATGGAGGCTGCAGATAGAAGAAGATCTAGCCACCAAAGCATACCGGGATTGTCTATATTTTGAGGAAGATGCAGCCTTTGTTGGTGCTGGCTTTCAGAATTGCAAGGAGCAAATAAGTCCTTCGGCAGATCTTCCTTTTCTTCTCGATGAATAGGGGGCGTTATGTTTCACGTTATAAATATCTGCATTTTAAGCTCTACTACGATTATTCATTTATCACAGTTTCTCTTGATCCGTTGGATGCGCGTCTTTCATGCTTTTAAATATTGAGTGGTGCGTAGTTAAGAAACAAAAAAAAAAGGATAGAGTCCAGTGCTATGTCTGTTCGATATGTTTCAGAAGAGTTCGATCTGATGGTTAACTGTCACATCCCAAAAGGTATACAGGGTAAATTGATCAGACCATGACTCCTTACATAGATAGTCGAGGCGTATAGTTCTAGCTGTGACAAACTAGATGTTCTGCGTTGAAGTTAGGCAATTTTGAGGCACGATGAGAATATCGGGAGCATACACATACAGTACCTCTATCTGACGCTTTCATGGTTGATAGAGCTGTCCTAGTCATCAAGGGCATATGAATGACTACTCATTGAGCAACTACACGTCCGTCATCTTCGTATCTCTGTCTTTCGGATCTGGTGATAAAGTTTTCGATTTCCGATCAATCATATTTGGTTGTCTCATTGTGTTCTCGAGGTCGAAAGCGAATGCTGTCGCCGCAAAGGTCCTCGTTTCACGATTATATGTAATCCAGCACTCGAGCTGAAAGCCATATGGGTTAGTGAGAACGTAGAATAGATAAGCCATAGCACTTACCGACGCGATGCGCATTCCTAACCACAAGCACCGATGCGTTCGCGGAACGATAATCGATGGGAATTCAATTGAACGTTCCTCATCTTCACCGGTACAGCTGCTAAAGAAGCCTTTTGGATGGTACAGTTGGCTCCACATTTGACCACGGATAAGGAAGTCTTCAGGTAACTGTGCAGCTATTCCAGGCTCAGGATGCGGGAATTCTTCGTGCTCAACTCTTTCCATGTCGATATCGGAGCGAATTAATGTATTGAGGAAGCTAGCAATACGTACCCAAGGCACGTATTGCTGGATATGAAGCATGGCCCTGGGATTCAATGCAAAACACCATAAAAATGCTAGTGAGACGTGGACACTTGGAAGCACGTTCTTGTCACCTAGACGCTGAAGAATGACCGCTAACGTTGAAAACGATAGATAAGATGCATGGGCGAGAATTTCTTCTGAACTGGAGAATGCGCTGTCTGCTTTTGTTGAGGCAGTTTCCCGGAGAAGGGTAGGAGCCTCACGTGGCATTGTATGGTTTGAGGCTTTCCAGAATTCTCGGGCCGACTGGTATACTTCCTGTTGATCCAGATGCTGCGTCCTTTCAGGGGAAAACTCAATTGGAATGATGGCATCCTTCTGACCATACTCTAGAATAGCCGCATAATTGGAGCACACCACGTGTACGCCATGCTCGCGGAAAAGTGTCCCGCTCCGGGCTATGTAATTGTCAAGTAAGTGTAGGAACTTGTCTGATAATTCGATAAACTGCTGGATCGAGCCGTTGACAAACAATGTGGCATGAGCACTGACGAATGCAGCAATGGCTGCTGGATAGCGCTCGCTGACAGGCCTCGAACGATCCAGAAGCGGGTTGAAGAGCAGCAATATACTCTCCTTAGCACTAGGAAATGGCTGTACGCTGACAAGTGATTTCGTGTAGTAAAAGAGCTGCTGGACGATATTTGGCCGCGCCAGCACAGCGAGGTGATGTTGTATCCTTCCCACGTCCGGATTCTTATCAGCAGCTTTATTGTACCAATACCGTGCCACACCAGACCAGACTTCTCGATCCCGCATGTCTACTTCTTCCACAGCCATTCGATATCTTGCTAGATCACCGAGGCATTCTATCCAGGTATCCTGGAAGGCTGGCACACTTTCGAGGAGGAGTGTCATCATAGAATATGCCATATAAATGAAGGTCAGCATATGTTCCAATGAATCAGGAAGCCCGTGCCGCAGTAACTCCAAAAATGAGTGAATCCCATAGCGCCACATGCGCGCTGGCATAGCATATCTCTCGGCTAATCTTCGCAGACCCAGACTTGCGGAGGGATGCTGGGAAGCTAAGAAGAAATCATGATGCTCATGCAAGAGCGTGCGGTGCAAAGCAATCAATGCTTGCCATTGACGATCGTCAAGTGCATCCCGTGATTGAGACTGCCGTTTATCGATCTCCATGCACTTCTTTTCAACCATTACCAATCCAGCATATATCCCGCGGACCTCGTTGACCAACTGATCCTCTGTGATGGGGTGTGTTTCCGGTTGGAGAAACATACCACTGGCTGAGCTATTTGACAATCTTCGCTCAGATTTATTGGTCACATTATGATGCTCAGCCTGAGTGTTACCGGAGCGATCCAGCGCTTTCGCGGAAACTGCATTTGTTGCAGCATCGTGCCAGTTTTCCGCCAAGACAGCCCCGGTATCATCCATGTCTAAAGGATTTATAGCCATCCCTAGATCAGTTTTCATCGTCAGGCTTGCTTGGATTCCTCTTGAAAGAGATATTTTTGCGCGCTCGCATGTAGGGGTCATATTTACCCGATTCTTGCGGTTTCCGTGGCTGATCCTTAGTAGAGACTGTCCTTCGTATCCTCACTGGGCTTCCTACGTTTCCACGTTCTTCAGACGTAGCTGTCCTCTTCCGGCGCTCGTATGCGCTCCGGACTCTAGCCTTGGAGATAGGCGATCGCGAATTGTGATCTTTCTTTGCGGTGAAAGAGCGTTCCGCAGGATTTCTACTCCTTCCATGCAGATCAAGATCCTGCAAACGAGGCGCGTCTGGTGAGGCGTATGCAGATCTCGGTCGCCCTAATGGGACCGCTGGACTGAGGACACCATCATGATAGTTACTGGTCGAGGAAACACTAGAATGGCCATCTTTGGATAGAGAGCTACTGAATGATCGCCTGTACTAATCGTCAGAACAAAGTACAGAGAGATCTCTGGTCAGAGCACACATATGACAGATCTTACTGGATAGGTTGTTTTCCAGCGTTTGACTCAGCTCCCGCAGAAAACGGACTGCTGAATCTGTGGTGATTTCTTAAGAATTGTTTTCGATGCGCTCGTTTGATAGATTCATTCATTTCCAGTGTAACTGCATCATCCAAACTGGCCACTGATTACGCGTCAGTGATTGATCAATACGCAACTGAGAAGGTAGAAGTCCAGAAATGAGCTAGCAAGGAAACATATATGGCCAAATAAGAGTATATGACGCAGGTGGGGGAAGCGCTGTAAGCATATTGGTCTCATTGCCGACTTCGGGCTGTAGAATCGCAGGACAGACAAGAAGAACCGAAGGAGCCGAAAAGTGAGTGCAGAGGGCTTGGACTTCTTGGACTTACCGAAGAGAATGGAATTTCCTCTTAACGTGCAGACTTAATGCTTCAAAATGAATTCTGGGACGCCAGGACGTAGTTATATGTGCCAGCCCTTAGAGTAGCTTCATCTATGGTAGAGACATGGCTAGCTGCCTTGTGACAAGGCGGACCATTGCGACCGAAAAATTGTTATCGAAGGGAGTGTCTTTGTTCGGATATGACATTTAAATTACCCGTTAGGTATGGTATGTAATAAAAGCTTCTGCAAAAATTCGATCGGGTATTTCATTTACAGTCGACTTCCATTTACAAATATATGTATTGTATCGCTAATAACTCTGCAATAACTTTTTTTTATTCAGCAGCAGTAGTATTGGTTAACTATTCAATAATCCTTTAAGCTCATTTATCCTGAAGGGCGGGGTAATTCCCAGTACCATGTGTATGGAATCATCCCGCTCGCTAACTGAACTGCGTCTTTTAACTCCCAGCCACCCGGTGCACATTACCCAGCTTTATATGAGAACCAGGTGCACGGAAATAATGTCTCCTATCCGGATGTCATATAGCTTCATGACCAACATAGCAGATTCGAATTAACTATAACTGACTGTCTATCTCCTTCTTTACTCAGCCCATAGTGGGGGCCCCTGCGTAGCTACCACTTCTACTAATAGAGTCACATGCAGCCATCGGTAGTAGTAGGCTGTTGCATAGAGCCCTAGCCTCACCAATCTTATAAGAGGTTCACAGATCTCAAAAGTGGCTGTTCTCACTTGAGTGATGTCTTCTGCAACACTCATCTAACCCTATTCGAGTTTGACACCCCGTTTGTTCTAGAGTAAGCCTGGTTGTCTAACTATATGTTCCTGTACAGATATTGTCCTTCTGATCGCACACTGTCACCTGTCAGCATAAGATAAATCCGTGAGATTCGTGTGCTATATCCAGCTTCGCATTACCAGTCCTTCCAGATGGCCAGCATGATTGACTGGGATCAGAGTCCCTGGGGCGAATGGACGATATAGAATCATTTGCACTGCGCTCGGCCGGTGGCTTCCTTTGTACCGTTCATGTATATTTTCTGTGTTTTATACCTCGCTTTTCATCAAGATCAATGCGCATATACATTCCACTTGTCCCACTCATCCGTTTCCAAGACTTCTCAGTATCTTATTGTCAGTGCCAGCCTTGCGCGGATGCTTAAGAGACCATTGGAACGAGACCGGTATGAACAAGACACGATATAAGCGAAGAGGTATAGTTACTGACACGAGAAGCACAGCAATGCCTATAGCCCGAGGATGACCACCTTATTTGCGGTTAGCAGTACTGTCGGGCTTGCGTCGGTGTACACAGCAGTGTACGATACGCGCGTGAATACGGCCCAATTCCTTCTACGCCCAGGCTATACTAGTCATTCTGATTATCGGTAGACGATTGTCAGTCCTTACGAGAAGGTTTCCAAGGATAACTGAGAACTAATGGCGATCCGGCGAGGCAACGACATATATTACGAGACCATCGCCCAAAGACAACGCGGATTTGGCTATCTCCGCCGCCTCTTCTTGCAATAGGCCCTCATTCACCGCATTATTCCTGTCGCCTCGCGTCCGCCAGCTGTCCAGACGGTCTGTCATAAGCATTAGGGGTTTATCTACCCTACCGCCTCTCAAAGGCCGATGCAGTCGCCTATTTTATTGTTGGTGCTTTTGCAGCTAGCTTAAGTGGAGCCCGGCCCGGGGAGTTAGAACTGACGCTTAAAAGAGACTGACTATTACCTAGGCACCGGAGATCAGCCTCTCTACTTATTAAATGACTCTCCATCCTTTAGGCACCGGTCCCAGAGAGCTATTATACTTAGCAATTGCGCTACGGCAACCAGTTGAACGCAATACGAGGTGGACCAACCGGCTCATATGCTCCGGTTTGCGGCCAAGAATTCCGGGAGCCGTAGCCAACCTACTTTCATAAAAGAACACGATCATAGGCAACAACAATAATGACTTGCATACGAAAAATGCATGCTAGTGAAGTCAGTCGGCGCTGCTCTAGACTGGATAGGCTTTTCTGTCTCACGCCAGAATCGCCCTGTCACTTGCAGGCAACCTCTTACTTCCTACGGTAGTGAAACCATATGTCACCGGTTTAGAGACCTAACTGATACTACTTACGTGTCAACCTTGCCCGAGATCAGGAGTGGCATAGATAGGCACAGGGATCTCGGGTCAAGGGAACAACGTATGATTGGCGCCTGAGCACCAATTGTTTGACATTCCCTTTCTGCCATGGTCTCGGAAATTTCAATTGGGGCATTAATATTGCAAAAGCGTTCTTTCTCCAATCGCCATGGTCACTTGGAGTATTCAGATACTATACTTAAACATAAATATACGAATTTGTATGTCCCAAGCTGCGGGAGAAAAGAGTTCGTTGCTCTTTGACCAATAGCAACAAGATTCTTGTTTCTTCTGGGACCACGTCAGAATATAGGTCGCTGTCTTTGCCACAGGAGAGAAAAGGTGCCGTTCATCAATCGCATTCAATTTTTGAGCATTTATCCACTGTGTATACAGTCTGTCTCTCAAGGTTCAGGGCTATATGACACCTTCGTAGCAAACCTAGTCTATTTTCGTTGAGAGAGCGCGTTTCATCCGAAACAAATTGAACATGATAATTTCCATTGTGATCAGGTACATAGTTATGAAACATTGCTATCCATGTGCTTGCAATAAGCTCAGATGCTTATATCACAACCAGCATGTTACGGAGCATGCTATTGGCTAATGCAGTATTTAGCTAGGTGCACCTGACATGGGTCAAGATATTCTTTTACGCCGTTATGGATTATCGGCATATAATTTGATCGCCATAGACTATCCAACTTCTCGATAATATCAGAGCGACTTATCATGCGGCAATGAGAAATCAAGTACGTTTGGCTTAGAATGCCCTCAGATCCAGTGGGCTGGGGATGCATGTCCCGGGGAAGCAGCTTGAGAGAGGAGAGCTCTCCTGAAAACATGCGTCTGTCTTTAGTTATAGTGATCCGAGTATCTAAGTACACGAACATAACTAACTAGGGATACAGAGTTTCCTATACTGATTATTGTTGGATTATATCTGAAGCGAAGCTCGCTGAGCTTGAAATTCTTTAGCAACTAGCTCAGCGTATTTAGCTCTGTTGGTGGAGCTAGAAGGCGTGGGAGAAACCCGACAAGAGGTCTGCCTGTAGGTAGACTCCGACATTAACTATATTGTCCCTTCCGAAGAGTCGAACGATCTTCCTCAGCAAGCCCATCATCAACAACATACCTCGATGAGGCCCAAGAAGTTTCCCCGAGGAATACCGCCATTGACTTACTTACAAAGAGCGTTATAAGATGGAATGGAGCTTTCGATGTCAAGAGCATTGAACGCAGTTCTTTGTGACTTAGCTTCGTTGCTCAGCCAACACAAAGCGGTGTGCACTCATAGGGGAATAAGTACTAACCCACTACTGTAGCCTTGTACGACACTGATATCGGATAAGCAGCGGGATCACAGATCTGATCCAAGTGAAGTTAGCTAGCCATATCAGGGCAATAAAATGTTCCAATGCACTCGTACGACACCACTGTTCCTTGCAGAACGATACAGTGACAATTAGGCTACAGCAGACTGATACTATGATCATTAGGTTACATGAGCTTGAGGACACGGACTCCGACGGATGGTAAAACTGTACCATGAGCTGTATAGGGTTGAGTAATAGCTTTTGAATCTTGTAAATGTCCTCATTTTGGTTGACGTCAGACAAAAAGATGGCTTTTTACCTCCACTATCTAAATACCCCGGATCTGCGTGCCCCTGTATCACGCATGGTACTATATGCAGGTACTTTAGCCGAGTCTAGCCGCGGCCAAAAGTACGGAGTAGGGCCGCATCTGACTGGCTGAACGTCAGTTTATCTCTTTCTTTGTTCTTTTTTTCTAGATATGTATTTAATGCAGCTGTGGACTTTCTCTGGGAGTATATACCTCGTACTTGTCATGACTGTTGCACGCGCTCTATGACATACCTTAAACTTGGTACTGCTTGTCGAATGTACATTATGGAGTTTCTTTTCTTCGCTTTTCCAGCTGCTGCCTAGATGGTGAATGATTTTCTAGAAGTTTTCTAGAAGCATAGAAGTTTTCTAGAAGCATAGAAGCTTCCAAGTCCTGAGGAAGGTCAGCTTATGACGTGATTTGTGCTCCCAGAAATATCTTCCACACCTTTACTCAACTTTCGGACCACAAACCAGTCAGGCTCTCTAACTCATTGTAACGTATTTTATTGTGACTACGCCCTATGCTTGCTTGACCTGCCTTGCCTTGATCAGAAATTGGAAAAAACGAAATGAAATACGATACAAGTATCTGAACATACAGACGTATCATACTTCGTCACCAACTGACGTCTGAGATGAGGAAGGGAGGCAAATTGCTTCAAAGTACAGCTGAAAACACAGGAAGTAAGGGATATCGATCCAACAGCTGATAAATTGTAGCCTGATAGCCTTGGTAAAGGCATCTACCTATCGGACGCCCCTTACTTGAGGGACGAGGGAAGGCTGGAATGATGATCATAGAACTATAGGCTTCAATATAATGATGGATCTTAATCACCTTCCTGTTTTATCAAGACTAACAATGCCTCTTATAGCCCGTAGTCTGCGCTCGGGGCGCATTTCTTTTAAAAGAGGGGGTGCTTCACTACATGATGAGTTATGGAAGGATAATCTAGGTTTCATAGCTAGCCTTCTATTTTTATCTTCTCCCGTCCATGTTTGCCTGTTACAGATTCGCCATTGGCTTTCTCTATTATCCTATTATCTACCAACACGCGGAATTACATCGACGCGGCAATTGGATGGGTGGCGGCAGAGTAAAAACTCTGAAAACACCAAGTCTTTCTATTAGCCATTGATCTCAACATGGATATGAGCATTTAATGAGCAGAACCTCTGCCTTCTTCCGTCACTGATCATTAACAATGGCGCAATCAGATAAGTGAATCGATTACGCCCGGCCAACTCAATAATGACACCTGTCTGTAGTTATGTAGCAAGACTACCTATCGGCTGAAAATCGGATGCGCTTGGCCGCATTCAGTATTATATGCCTTGAAAAGATAAAGAGATTCAACCGATTATATGAGCTATATACAGCTGTCAACAGGGTCGCCTGTTCGGCGACCTGCGGGGACCTGATGCGGCCCAGATCGTAATAATGCGGGTGATACCAGTTTCACCCTGATTCAATCCATGCAATAATCCATGCGAACTAACGTATTTCCCAGACGACCTGGCCACCCGGGCGACCTGGCCAGTGCCGTATCACATACAAAATAGCCATTTTTTAAACCTGGATATCTTAACAACCACGTATCTAAAGATTATCAACGAGGGTATATATAAAGTTTATGATATTTAAAATATACAGGCTGAATTTTAATTATTTAAACTTATTTATTCTCTAGGTATCTTCTAAATAATATAAATACCAAAATTACACTACCTATTTATATTACATCGCGAAAAAAATAGTTTTTAGAGTCTGAAATTTTACTATATATATAAGGACGATTCTAAAAAGCTATTTCTTAAATATCATATGTGTTAGATCTGTGCTTGTTGAGATATCCAGGTTTAAAAAATGGCTATTTTGTATGTGATACAGCACTGGCCAGGTCGCCCAGGTGGCCAGGTCGGCTGGGAAATACGTTAATGTATGTTACACACATAACAATGTGCAGGTCTTTTTTTTTATTGGATGAGGATCAGGACCCTATGTTAATCAAGTAGTTAGTCTTAGTTCGGAAACGTGGGGCTTTCTAAGCCTACCGGAGAGAGCGCTTCAAGAGAAGGTCTATCGCAACTAGGCAACTAGCGGTTGCCTAGTTCAATGCGGACCTTTCCTCCCGCTATAGAGAGGATATATTTGAAATGGGTTTTGCCTTCGACCGAAAAGGAGAACTCCTAGTTGGTCGGAGCTGGATGTCTAATATGTTTTATACAAGTTCTTGTCTCTTCAGTTGCCTACAGCATGGCGATTTCCTGGAACAGATCTATAATATCATCGTTTATAAGAATCGATCTTGATTTTCTTCCAGATGATGAAAGTGGCGGCGGGAAAGATCGGGGTTACCTATTACCACACTTGCTGTGATACCAATCATACATTTAGGGCAGACATAAGGCGGCCGCGGCCTGGGTCTGCAGGCAACCAGAATAATGGCGATACATAGGTCATTAGATAAGGATTCCTTCGGTGGTCAATGATAAGATAATAATTGGTGTATAATTGACCTGACCAGGGATAAGGCCGGACGCTATGCAGAAAGCGGTAAATGCTGATATTGACTCTTTAATTTGTTATAACGTAATTCCCTACCGACCGGATCACCCGCCCAAGCGGATCAGTGCCGTATCACATACAAAATAGCCCTTTTTTAAACCAAAATATCTCAACAACCAAGTATCCAAAGGTTATCAGAATAGGTATATACAAAATATATATTATTAAGATTATATATATCTAATTTTATCTGCTTAAGTCTTACCATTCTTTAGATATCTTAAGTAGAATATAATTATGAAAATTACAATAGTAATTTATATTACCTGGATAATAAGCAATTTTTAGAGCCTAAAATCTTAATATATGAAAGTTTACTATTATAGAAAGCTATATATTAAGTATTATATATACTAGACATATGGTTGTTGAGATATTTTGGTTTAAAAAAGGGCTATTTTGTATGTAATACGGCACTGATCCGCTTGGGCGGGTGATCCGGTCGGTAGGGAATTATGTTAACATCTTCAAGATGACCGAGCCACAAAATTGCGGGAGCCCCTTGCAACTGATCCTGGAGGATTGGATTGCCGGTTAGATTCACAGCTGACCAGTTCCTACACACTCTCAGCGAGATCCAGCCTCCCCATGACCTCCTATATTGACGGCTAGTTGCAGGTCTTGCTGCTCGCCCTCGAAATGATAGCCTCATACGTAAACGCAAAGAAAGCTAAACACTGACAGGAACAGCTGAAGAAAGGGCCCCCACCCTTCTTCAGAAATCCGTACGTTTCATCTGTCATATAAGTAGGTAACTAAGCTCCGAGAGTTGTGGCCTAGTGCAGGCTGATGAGGTTACCTACAGGATGACCTGCCTGCATGTATGCAAACCCCCCCCCCCGCCATGTGCACCTCCACGCCTCTTTTATGACGTGAAAGTTCAGATTCTCTCGTGTTCAGTGAGTTTCTAGTTTCGTGGCATCTCGTAATAATTACTGTAGATAGTCAGATGCAGCAGATCCTACAGTATACATATGACATATACACCGAGGGTCAGACTATTGATTTCCAATCGGTCCTTTTATCTACTATATCACTCAAGGTTCTAGAACACGGTCTTGCCGAAACTTCCCTTTGTTGACATGTCATCGAAGCAGGAATTATGCATGGAAATTCACTCCACGTTGGCATGCTGACACGAGCGTTGCGCACTGTATCCGATCCATGCCTACTTGGGTACTCTAGACTTACACTTGGCGCACAACATAAGGCTGTCTCATAGTGAATAGATAAGGCTTATAGCCCCATCACGATATCTCCGTTCATTTCCGGATTCCAAGAAACCTTGTTCAACACCACCACTAGTCCATAGCTATATCTTCACTGCGGTATATCTCATTGCCGACAACCCTCGAGCCTCCCAAAACCTCGTCTGACACCAATCTAGCGCCCCCGGTCAGCCGAAATAAGATTAAGCGGACTTTTTTAGAATCCATGCGATCCTTCGAGAGATATTGTTCATCATCCCACCTCATCATTTGTCATGAGGCCATTCCAGCTGCAGCCTGATCACGTAGGCAGTCAAGACCGCGGGAGTTCAGGGATGATTTGCAAAAATTGCGTCTTTCAAAGAGTGGTAAATCAACCTTGAAATATATTCTGTAGGTAGATCATGTTGAAAAGTAGACGGGGAAGCATTATAGGTATCTATATCTCGCAAGTGCGTCTAGGTAGAACATCCCGAAAAGGAAATCCGGTGAACGGCAAGTGGTCGTACACAAAACAAGAGATTATGAAGTCTATATTACTCTATTCATTCTAATATATCCGGATATATCACGTTTTGATTGCTTCATGGGAGAATATATCCAATATCAAACTGTTGTTTACACTTAACCGTGTATAGTGCTAACTAAGAATTAGCCTACATGTAATATGGAACGAGTAGAAAGGGCATCTTATAGCAGGTGACTAAGGTGCTAATTCAGAAGCTCGATCTATCTTTTACTTATCTCATCTGGCCTTCTGTAAATAATCTTCATATGGGCAAGACCTGAGTAGGAGTATATTGTCGTCGAGGAATCAACAATTTACGAGACATCGATGTTATGCTGGACCGTAGTGTTGCAGCAGGATCATAGTGCTACACTGCATATTCGACATCGTTTTAAAACTAAGGGACCAGGACATGATCGGTACGTATAGACCATGCTATACATCCATACGGGGTGATAAACTAAAGACGATAATCTGTTCAAAGGACGTGTATTGCTAACCAAGTATCTAGCTAGGGACAATCTGAGCAGATTTAGGCAGCATGTATGATGAAACAGGGAGATTAACTGCAGTTAGGATGATGCATTGGCTGAATTAGTGCATTATCTCTGACGAGTCTTTCACCTGCAGACGACGAACAATCTCTGCTTTTTATTTTTTCTTAGGGGGAAGGCAAGTTGGAAACGTGAATTGGAAAGGAATGGATTGGAATTGATGAGGAGGCCGTACAGTCGTAAAAATAGAAATACTGTTCCGATAAAGCAGAAAAGAAGAAGAGAGATTGTAAAACCATTGAGACACATGCGCCCGTGAGATTGGACACTTACGCCCTTTTTGACAGAGAATGAGAAGATGAGCCTGGGGGGTTCGTGAGATGATGCAAGCTGCCGCTGTGCTAAAGAAAGAACTTGGAGAAGGGAGCGCCGGTGCTATTATTCGATGTCGTCTAGTGGACGAAAAGAAACCATGTGCAAAGTAGACTCGGGCATTGATGCACCTTATCTGGTAATGGATAGTAGAGCATGAACCGTGGAACACCAGTAACGCCATGCTATGCAAGCCTAAAGAAAATGCGAATGCATAGAAAAAAACAAGGATGAGAAAGGGACTGCTGATGGATTCTAAGTTTCCTTGTGCACTGTCGATAGATCTTGGTCAACGACCGCTGATTGATCAAGATAGGTAGATTCGGAACTAGATCGATGTCAGGATAATCTGACCCAACCGTACACGTACATTCAGTATCGGGAATACTCACCTTCTGTTTCACGGGCTTCCGACACATTGGACATGCCGCGGGCTTTTTGGGACGTGTATGGTCGGCTCTGCTCGATGGCATGTGTTGGTTTGCACACCAACGACAGAGAACAGCATGACCACAGGGAATCAAGACTGTATCTACGAGTTGACTCAGACAAACTTTGCATTCCAAGCTCACATTCATCTCCTCCGCTTCTTTAGGTTCTGGTCTCCCGTCATTCTGGTTGTCCAGGCCCTTCGAAGGAGGCTCCTCGGCAGCAGTGTGTGCCGTATGAAAGCGCCTGCCTCGAGCAATACCCTCTTCATACATTCGCAGAGCTTCGACATCCTCAGGGCGCATAGCGCGCAGAACACTGTTCATTTGTATCTGCCGCGTTATCAAAGCGTGTTGGCGTGCAGTGAGTGCCGGATAGGACACGTAAGTTCCAGCGGCTGGAACTGGAACTGGACCTGGCATCTCAGCGAACTGTGCGTTTGTCGGCTGTGTTGCAATTCCCTCATATTGCGGAGGGGAGGGACGTCTCGAGTGCTGGAATCCTGGATCATCCGGGCGCCTTGCACGCCGACGACTGTTCAGATTCTGTGGTGGGTTTGCTCCGGATCCGATTGTGATATTTCCATCAGAGGATTGACTTTCATGCCCTCGCTGCTGAGCGACAGAGCTGGATATTTCCGGACGTGGAAGGGCCACATGTGGATTTGCGCGGGGATAGGCAAGAGGGGGCAGTCTATAACTCGATGCATGTTGTGTCTCGGCTGGAGATGCGTATCCGAACGAAGCTTGCGGAACGAGTGAATATCCTGGAGGCACAAAATGAGGGCCTAGTTGCTGCAAGGTTCCCGCCATATGTTGGTAGGCTTGATGGTTGTTAGCATACAGCGTCGGCACTCCCAGTACTTGGGTAGCGGTTTGTGCCTGTGAGCGTCTGTGGGTTTCAATACGGTTATATTCCGCCCAGCTATTCGCTACGGCTGGACGCCATTCGTGAGTAGATGCACCGTGAGTTGGAGTCTCATTATTGCCAGATTCGGTCCCGGGGCCCGCAGAAGTTGATGTAGTAGTTGACTGCTGCGAAACTGGGGCGGGAGATGGGCCATTCACGCCAGTCCAGAAAGGCGCCATAACTCTGGGCGCATTCCCATTTTGGGTTTCTACTGCACAGTTAATATAACACATTCAATGGAAATGAGATCTAAGCGGAGGAGCTAGAGACCGGACCTTCAGCATTGTTAGGCGTTTCAGAGGGCGCAGTACTGATTGAAGTTCGATGAGCAGTATTATGGGCCTGGTTCCACATCTCTGTATTGTACGCATTTTGCTCTGTAGATATCTGCGGATCAGTGTTGTTCAAGCCGGCAGGCTGAACTGTCTCCATGTTGGCTGAGGGCATGATGCCTTGGACGCTCTGTAAGGACCGGTAAGAGGACAGCTGGCTCCCAAGATCTTGCAGACTGCAGAGAGCTCTGGCAATTCCAGTATTGATGGCTTGGAGTTCTTCTCTGAGAGCCGTTATATTATTGCAACGGGGATAGAGAGACCTCTGGGACCCGCCAGGAACAGAAGGAATTCCTGAACCCGCGAAGGCAGCAGCTTGCGATCTAGGATCAGAATGCAAGCTGCGCGAATGAATCTCTGGCAAGTTCGCTGTAAGATTTGAAGTCGCTAGAGAAGCTGGACGGAACTGCGAGGCGTGTCGGGCGCCCCAGTATTCTAGAAATGAATGGTTGATAAGCGAGTGCACACAAGTGTTAAGTGTACAGAAAGGAGCTATCGAGCCTTGTACAGACAAAGAAAGAAAAATCGTATTTACTGAATTGGTGAATAGCAATATAGGAAACAGTAGGGGGGCCAACGAACGTGGAGACGCAGAAACCAAGGAATCGTGTCGGTGTTAGTACGGTTGCAAATACTGACCCTGACACTTCCAGCAATATTTGGCGTAGCGCGTCGAGTTATACGCGGTTCTAGTTCTCTCGTCGAGGATTGGCAGATAGCCAGGCGCAGAGGAGCTGCTGCAGTAGTCGGCACAGAAGCAGCAGATAGACTGGGTTGGGAGCAAGCACCCAGAAGCGTATTTATGCACGCAAGAGGTAGTTGGGAGGGAGGTCCAAGTGGACATGTTTCGCTGTGGAGTTAATCAAAAGTCAGAACGTCGAGGGAAACGGTCTGTCTTTTGTTGTTGGACTGCAGTCCCCGATACTCAGCCCTGCGTGTGTGTGTGTTGGTTCCGCCTCGATGTTACGGGAGTACTCACAAGCATGCGACAAGACCCTTCAACCATGTGTCAGTAAGCAGCCCAGTATATGAGAATAGATCAATCCAAGGTCACCTGAGGCTCAAGTGGTCTTCATGGGAATGACCACGGCGAGAGTCACATATAAGCCCTGGTGGTCCGGATTCAGGTGGAGTGATGACCGCACGACCTGATCAGTTCGTTCCCAGCGAGATGGACGATCGAGACTGGCAGCGTTACTACTACCACCATCGACGGTCTACCTCCAAAGCTAAGGTCTTTCTCTTGATGCCACTTCGACTGGAGGATTCGAGTCTGCGATGGCAGGGCTTTTGGCACAACGTGCTGGCCGGCCACGAAGCAAGCGGACGACGGGCTGACGTCCGAACAACGTTTGCACGCAAGCTGTGCCAGCTGGAGTACCAGGACATCTTGCTCCAGGGCTCTTCTTAGCTAAAAACAGGCCCGCCACGCGGACGGAACGGAGTCCGTCCCAAGAGTACCTCGTCGCTGCGTCGTTCAAGGCTAGATCCCAGTTGTGGCGCCTGCTGAGAGCTCCCGAAATTGTAGCATGGTCTCGCGAACCGAACGCCTGACCCCGCAGGATGAGGGGAAACGGAGCCGATCAGCTACAGCATGCGCTATGTCTGGATTATTATTACGGAGGACGGTGGATGTGATATGATACGGGCATCGCATAGATCGACTCGAGAGATCCGGACTCCCGCGAGTCCGCTAAGTAAGTAAGTACTGTACTGTAAAAGTACGGGCTGGAACGAATCCGTGGTTCTCTCGCGGTCGATTCTCCCTCCCTGCACGGCTGAATTCCTCCTTATCAGTGCGACTCTCATCCGGACCTGGACTGCAACATCGCCGGTCATATAATAGTTCGAAAGTTTAGGTGATTGTTTCCGCCCGCGTTGTGCACCGACGTCATCCGCCGTACTTAGGTTAGTAGGCTCTGCCAAGAGAGAGCTTTACCTTGTTGCTCTCATCCATGAACATGATGCGATAACTTAATAGGAGTTAACCGATAGCGACGTTGCTTAAAGCACTCGTGCCAGACACAGCCACTGCTCGAGGACATGAAATACACCGAATCGTTTCTCCACATTCATGCGTTCGAGGTTGTGGTTGACCGCTCGCCATTTGAAACCAAGCGTTATCCCGTCACTGACGGCACGACGAATGATGACAAGCTTCACGATCCAGACAGAGCGCGATGCTCCAGTCACCGTCAACTCTACAGCCGATCTCTCAAAAGAACAATTACTGGCATTCCCAGCTTTTAACATCTGGTTCTCAACCTTACAGCGCTCTTTGACGAGACAACAGAACGAACATCATGAGTTTCACGCGGCGCCCTATGTGCTACGGAAAGTCGACATTCAAGCGGTGGATTATTTCAAAGGTGGCCGGCTAGGATTCCTGAAACTCAAAGCCGAAGTCTCCAACGATCAGGGTGAAACACTTCCAGGCAGTGTGTTCTTGCGAGGCGGCAGTGTCGGTATGCTGGTAAGTTTCACAGGAGTGTTTCCACTTGGCGAGCTTATTTCCTAATCCGGACATTCCCCTCATTCCAGCTCGTCCTCCAACCTGGCGATATACCCGAGTCCTCCGAAGATGGAAAGCGTGTCATCTTGACCATTCAGCCCCGTATACCAGCGGGGTCTCTCGCATTCTCTGAAATTCCCGCTGGAATGCTCGACGACAGTGGTACCTTCGCCGGCGGTGCTGCAAAGGAGATCGAGGAGGAGACTGGGCTCAAAATTCCGCAGAATGAGCTTATCGACATGACATCGCTAGCGCTTGGATTGCTACCACAGCAGGCAGACGGCGAGGAACTGCAAAAGGGCATGTACCCATCGCCCGGAGGAAGTGATGAGTTCATACCGCTTTTTCTATGCCAGAAACGCATGCCGCGGAAGGATATAGATGGGTTGCAGGGTCGCCTGACTGGCTTGAGGTCACATGGAGAAAAGATCACCCTGAAAGTTGTTCCCCTGGAGCAGCTGTGGAAGGAGTGCGTAAGGGATGGCAAGAGTTTAGCTGCTTGGGCCCTCTATAATGGTTTGAAGCGGGAAGGACGCTTGTGACGGTCTGAAACACGGCAGGTCCAGAGCATATTTTCACACTCAACTCTATCTCGATTCGGAGAGGACCCTGTATCTATAGCGGGACAAAAACTATGAATCCGTGACGATGCGGACTGCTTGCTCACTGAGCGATTGAGAAGTGGAGAGTGAGTAAATTTCCAGGAACGAGAGATGTATAATCATAACAGGATCCCCTCTATGTCTACTATCCAACATGTGCGCAAGGTATCATGATAAAAAAGGAAAGCGAACACGGCCTACAAAATCCTTTCTCTCTTCTTACCGCAGACCCAGCCTTTTCGCGAGCTCGATTCCTTCAGCTAGTAAGCCGACTCGACCATCGATTGCATAGCCCTGTTTGTCGAGCTTTTTAATCTCCTCGAACAAATTGTTCACCGGCACGGTAAAACACTCAATGAACTCGTTGTCTTCGAGCTGCGGCTCTGGGTTCTGGTTCTCGGGTAGAGACATATCGACGCGGACGTGGACCAGATTTTCATTTGTGTTGCAGAATCCGGGATCTGTTGAGTCGGATATCAGGATTTACAAACGATTACAATGTTGCTATGTCGAAGCACATTCGAGTACATACCATTATACAGAATGGTACTTGTCTTCTCGGCGACTCCGACGTATCCAGTCTCTTCTCTTAGCTCGCGCACGGCGCATTCCTCAGCCGTTTCGCCCTCATCTAAGAGGCCGGCGGGAACCTCGATAGTGACTTTATCAAGCGGGGCTCTGTATTGTTTCTGTAGGAGCAATTCGGGACCGGTGTCCTTCTGGAGGAGTGCAACAATTCCTACGGCGTCAATGAGCGCGTTCTTTGGGCGCGACTGTTGAGGAAGACGTCACGTCAGCAAATGAATCAACTATTTTCATGATCCATACTCGATTGTCCCTAGCACTCAGGCCAAGCAAGGTCCTTATATGTGAGCTTCGTTGGCAAAAGGACACGAAATGATGGTTGTGTCATGGCAGTTGGGGTTTTAACCGAAGACGGTGGCTCAAATAGAGTCTCGATAAACATCCCACATCGCTTTGATGAGAAGAACTCTTAAGTAGTTGCAACAAAACTCCACGCAAACATCTCCCGTTCCCAATAGGGCATCAACCACGCGGATCAACACCATCCACCTTGCATTTATCTGAGCAACATATGAAAATAATTACAGGGAATGACACGACAGGAAGACTTCAAACTGTAGCAAGAATATCAGAAGGACAATCTAGTTATGAACTCACCTGTCGCTCGGCCGATTCCCATATCCGCTGTACTCCTAGCGGATCAGTGTAGGTGCATTTGACCAACCTTATCCATTTGGCCTCAGCAGGATCCTACGGTCCGACATTCTGGTCAGCTCAGAGACGTATATAATATTCCAGCAACATCCCAAATGGGATGGATGATTTAACAAAGATAAGTAAACAAAATCCGACTGGACAATCCAGCCGACAAAGAAGAAAGGAACCCGCCAAAGTATGGCTACGCGATATCCCGTACCAATGGTTCTCGCGAGATGAGCTTCGAGGCGCTCTCCTGTCTAGAAGGAGCAGACATATTTCCCGGAAGCAGAAAGGCAGAGAAGAAACAGCACTCAGGGAAGAGGTTAATGGAGAGAGATAGATATCTAATGGAAGCTTGTGGTCTGAAACTGGGAGTGAGCAATATTGAATGTGACACTGGATTGTTCCAACGATAAGACTGATTGATACTGAATCGGTGAGGGGCTCCGGCCGGCAGCAGTGACCTCATCGCAAGTTCAGGGTTTAGTACCCTAATCTTATCTCCGCTCATCCCGCGACCGATTCCCCTCCAGGCATAAATCTCCATATCAGAAATATGATTCTTGCGAAATTTGCCTTGCAACCCAGGTCAAGTCACCTAGCTTCTTAGGGATACCCTTCATCACGCACATATCTGGCCCAAATAGCACTCCGGCAACGCGAATTATGCTGTTCATCACTTAGACACTGATACCCGATAGCCGTATTGGCATTATGAGGTAGTGTTTCTTCTTTATTTCCAGGGTATTGAGATGGCGCTTCTCGTCGCGACCCCGTCTTGGAACATTGAGTCCTATAAACAACCTGGCAGACAGAAACTAAACACTTAAAACGGAGCGGCAGTAATGTTTAATCGCCAGAGAGCATACTAACAAATAGATAAAAACGAAACAACAAATCTCATCTCAAGAAGCGAATTATACATCTTCACTAACCTTCAAAACCCTCCCTCATCTGTTCTGAATTGTGAAAACAACCATTTTAACATCCTCTCCCTTCCACCCTCAACGATCACCTGCTCGAAAAGCCCAAAACTCAAAAGACACCACCAAACCCGTACTATAACTATCATATGCACGTTACAGCATCAGACGCTCGGCTCCGCTACCTACTTACCTTACCTACCTTCCTACCTACTACCTAAGTAATAATAATCACTACTAGATACCCCGCGCTTTGTCCCTGTTCTAAGTCTCATTTCAGCGTGCATATGACCAACCCATGCATACCCGCGTACCCACGTACATGCAGGATACTACTACCTTAGGTAGGTAAGTATTAGACTAAGCTCTGGCATTTTCGGAGAAATAATACAACAGAAACTTGTTTCCGGGGCTTTCCGAATCCCAGGAAGTGGTATTTACTACCTAGGTAACTATCCTAACTGGCAGAATTGCAAGCATGCAGTTAAGTTAGATAGATAGATAACTAACTGGTTAGCAGAGTAATATAAGACAAGATAGATACCCCCTTCTTCCTCGAACTACTTAGTCTAAAAAAAAAACCCGGAACTCGCATTTCAAATGCGCATGCATTACTACAGCACAGTACAGGAAACTAAACTATAGTAAAGTAAAGTAATAGATCATGGAACGGCCCCGAATCCCACTAGAGTACGATACTACATAGTCCAATATGCAACACCCCAAAGCAAAGGCTGATTGTTATTTATCTATGCCCATAGTTAACCAAGTAAACATTGTACGTTACTCTACTCTAGTTACTCTAGTACTTTAGTAAAGTTGGCCATACTTATTATGTACTACTAACCTCGGATTAACCAGTATGTTAAAGGTGGATACGGATTACTTCCATTAGAGTCAGTAGGTACATACCATACATAGTTAACTAACTCCCCTCTTTTCCACATAAAGTGGAGTCAACAAGTATCCATTTTATTTCATTTTATTTCATTTCACTACATGTTACACACCGAAAATCGTCCCGAGGTAAAGGGGGAAAAAATTCATGCGCCAACTCGCTGAGACTGTGCTATGATACTTCTGCGAAGACATAGATAGTGATTAAGAACGTATTCCTGTTGGTGTATGTGGATTTAGGCATACGTAAGCTCCGCAGAAATGTATTGAAATTCGTTCTTATCGTTTTATTTGTAAGTGCTATAGAAGAGGGGTCTGGGAGGTCGGTTATAAAGTCCTATTTGCTTTTTTTTTTCCTAACGGGCGACGATGCGTAGCTTATTTTCCTCTTTAGTTTAGCCTTGACCCATACACAGCGGTCGCCGGTCGGTGAGATGTTCGGCGCAAATCTTTTGTGGAGCCTATCCGGCCTTAAAGTGACTTCTAATGTACTGTTCAATTCATCTCTTTGGGTGATCCTTCTAAAAATTTTTATTCTGATTTTTTTGTAAAGCTATTTGAGGTAACTAAAATGTCTACCTAGTAACTGATGACCCGTCTAGGATCATGGGGAACGAGAACTTGTGAAAAATTAACCGCCCGACGTTCCTGGGAACCATAGCCCCGAGGCGGCTGTGTGTGTGTGTGAAGTCCTTTTGGTGCCTCCACCGGAAATAGTCGTAATAATATCACACCCAGAAGGGAAAATCATGATGCTAATAGAGAGCCCGCTCCGTCGAATCAGCTGGAAAAAACGCAGAAGGGCTACATATGCTGCGCTCGTCGTCGATTCGTAACGATCATTGCGCTTTGAGGTCGTAAATTGATTGGTTGAAGGTGGGGAGGAATCAGAGGGAAGCTAGTGGAAGTGATCTGCCATCTAGTCAAGCCTCGATCTGCGCTAGGCAAGACTGGAACTCCGTCCAATCCTTCATCACCACTTTGGCGCCAAGATCGGACAGCTGCTTGGCCATCTCGGCCCTCTTCTGGTCGCCGTGGTAGCTGCCAACGTAGGCAATGACTGGAATACCTGCACGGATAGCACTGAGGGCGCCACTCTTGCTGTCTTCGACAGCGACGCACTGCTCAGGCTTAACGCCCAGTCTCTCCATAGCGTGCAGGTAGATGGCAGGGTCTGGCTTCGAGGTGGGCTTGGGGAGCGATGAGGCAGCGCTGAAGACATGGGTCGGGTCGAAGAACTTGTCCTGGCCGACCTTCTTGATCGAGGCTTGCACGCGGCGGAGAGCGGATGAAGAGACGACTGCCATGCGGTACTTGCCCTCCCGATGGATCCTCTCCAGTTCCTCGTTCACGCCAATGCAAGGCTGGGCCTTAGCTTCCAGCTTGGCAATGACCTGGTTCTCCTCCTCCTTGACGTAGTGCTCAAACTCCTCCTTAGGCATTTCGAACTTGTATTTGGCTTGAAGCGAGATCATCATGCCGCGGAAGTTCTGTCCAACGAAGTCCTGGATGAGCTGCTCGCCCGTGTAGCGATCCGTGATCTGACGCTTGGCAAGGATTTCATTTGCGATGTCTGCACACGCCTCGAACGCCAGCTCCTCAGAGAGGACGAGGGTGTTATCGCAGTCCAGCAAGATCTGGTTGATCTACATGAAGACAATGGGTTAACGGAGTGGGTCCCAGACACTCAGGACGACAGTCGGACAGGGGATGGTTACCTTAGGCATGATGGCTGATATGGAGATGAGAGATGGATGAGATGTGGTTGGTGGAGTCTTCCAAGAGAGTACTGGTATAGACTGTGTCGAGTGGTTTTTGTCCTGAAGTTGATTTAATTTGGATCAGAAGTTGAAGGAGGATTGGATGGAAGACAAGTACGAGACTTGGAAGTGGCGTTGAGTCGTGAAGTGGAAGTGATGGCAATCCGGATAATTCAGGAAAGAGGGAAGGGCAATACTGTCCTTAAGTAAATGGGGAAAGAGCGCTGAGCCTGCCAGATTTGAACAACGACCATGACGAGACCCAGAGAGAGAGAGCCAACCTGTTTAGCGATTGATGGCTGATTTCACCCTGGAGAGAGAGAGGGGCCGGTAAGCATCACAATAGCGGGCAATAGCGGGAACAGTGACGCTCGAGAGGCTTGAGGTGCAAGGAGTATGACGTCGGCTACTGGCTCCGCCCCAGGACGGTCGGGATGCATCGGCAATCGGGGCTGACCCTACCATAGACATACACTATGTACTGGCATACAACTGATACAGTGGCTCTTTTCTAGTTACCGTGGCAGCGCTAAACCCGCCAAACAAGAGGAGACGCTGACTGGCGCGTCTCTCTGAGTCTTTGAGGATCATTGTGCTCCACCCATAGCAGACCGTGCCTTGAGTGCAGAAACTACGAAAAGGAACAAAAAAAAAAAAAAAAAAACTGGACCAGGACGTCAAAATCCTATCGACGTCCTTGATTTCCTCCCGTGCGCGCTCTCCTTTCCTCTCCCTCTGACTGACGTGCCTGTCTCCCTGCCTGACCTGACCCAACCGGCCAAATCACTCTCTCTCAGTCGAGGGACAGCCTCACGCGGACTCTCTGCTCTCCTAGCCCCCCTCCCATACTACTGCTGCCCCGCGCTGTCCCTGTGTGCCGCGGTCATCTGTACTCCGACGCCCGCCTGTGGTTGCAGACCTGACCGCCTTCCTATTCGTTCCCGGTGCGCACTGGCCGTGATTCCGGCAGTTTCTATGTTTCTACGGCGTACGAGTACGACTACGACTACGACTACGACTACGACACACCCCTTTGCAGCGAAACGCCAAGCGCTCCACGGAGTGCAACGATAATGGGAACTTCCGACCCTTACCCGGTGTCCCTGTCGTCTCTCCACTTTCCATCTGCAGAGCAATCGCTCTCCCAGACTCTTGCGTCTCTACGGCGATCGGCCCTTTCGGTGTCCAATAGGCTTCGTTCCATCGAGGCGGACGCGCGATTTGTCCATGAGGTTGTCGACCACTATGATCTGCCCCTTATCGCGAACGAGCGGTGCGGCAGCTGGTATATTCCTCCGGACTCGAAGGCTGGAAGTGCATACTTCAAGAGCACGGACGGTCACACGGGCCAATGGGACTTCAGCTTCCGCCGATTAAACCTTCAGATCCTCCCCGTTGCACGGGACCATGGAGGGTAGGAATAATAATAATATCAGGCCCCATTCCGCTTGTCCGTAACAGAAAGAGACTAACTGAATATTGTTACACCCAGTTGCATTATTGTCGACTCAACCCGCCGGGGAAAATGTACGTGTTCGTGGAACGAGAACGTTCCTTGCAGTTCTTGCCGATTTGGGAAAGATCCTCGTTGACCAGATGAATGTGCAGTGATGCCCGACGCGCTCTCCAAGACTGTTCCGATATGGTGCGCGGTAATGAACAGGGCTCTATTTCCCTCGCAAACCGCCTATCATGCGGTCCAGTTTCCCCCGGACTATCTAGGCCCGTCCGAGGAAAGCCAGATTGAGCGGAGAATTGATGGCTTCGTCCAGGCACTCAAGGTACTAATGACTCCATCATCAGATCTGAAGATCCCAAGAATAGACACTCATTGTATGAGAACAATAGGCACTCAAGTTGGACATAGAAGCTCTGAGAGAGAGTCTCGGCAGGCCCATCAAGATAGCCTGGGCAAACCGAAGTTACCTGTACCCGGCTGATCTTCACAAGGGAGATGGATACAATCTTTTTGTCCTGTGCTCCGCATCCAAACGGGTGCATGGCGCCGAAATGTCCGAGGGTGGATACATCCAGGGCGCAGGCGATGATAGCGAAAGCTGGGCTCACGGATTGACACCGCCCGTCTTCTGGGAAAACAAATCTGCCCTATTGGCTACGGACGAGGAGGAGTTGCCCGACCGCATTCAGGAGCTCATGGCGAAACAGCGCTCACAAAAGACCGACCACCAGGCTATACGCGTTGCCCCGACGCAGAATCTCTATATCAGCAGAACAAGTAGCCTCTCCACCGACAGTGATGGGTATGACCTGGTGATAGACTGCAATGCCAGTCCGCAGGCATCTGAAGGCAACGCGAAGAGATTAAACCTTGGCTGTGGTTCCGCAAAGCTAGGTAGCCGTGATCTACGAAAGTCACTCGACCAGGTAAAGACTTTTGTCAATACCACGCTGCTCTCGAATCCAGCGCAGTCCTTACTAGTCACCTGTGAAACCGGAAAGGACCTCTCCGCGGGAGCATTGCTGGCAATATTGTGCTTATTCTACAACGACGATGGTGAGCAATTGCGCAAGCTCGACCCAATATTGTGCACTGCTGACCACCAGGAAAGGACAGTTTGTTGGGCTTCAGTCACAGCAGTACATGGACAAACAATTCATCAGGCAACGTCTCGCATGGATTGTCACGTCTAAACATGATGTGAACCCTTCAAGGTCGACTCTCCAGTCTGTAAACGCATTTCTCATGCAGAGACCGGATTACTGAAGTAATCCCTTCTACGGTAACTACCACAAAACAAGACAACCAATGTTCCTTGCGCCGTATAGAAAGAAGTAAGTGGTATTAAAACATTGACCCAGCTAAACGATTATCACGTCTACGGTGCCCGTATAAGCCAATCATTCATTGGCGACGGCTTCCACGATCGCACCGGCGCTTCCCTGGTCCAGTCCGTCTAGCACGGCCATATCGTCTGCACTGATCTCGAAATCAAAGACATCAGCATTGGCGGCGATGCGTGCAGGGTCCTCGCTCTTCGGAAGGGGAACCCATTCCTTCTGTATGGAATAGCGGACCAAGATCTGCGCTGTCGTTTTGCCGTATTTTTGCGCTAGTCCTACTAACGTTGGGTCGTTGGCCTTGTAATTCCGCACCAGCGGTGAATAAGCCTCGACGACAATCCCATGCTTCTTGCAGTAGTCCACGATAACGCGTTGCTGGGACCACGGATGAAGCTGCACGGATCCATTGGTTAACTGGACTGTCCTGATAACTAGTCGCGAATATCGAGCCATAGGGAAACTCACCTCGAGCTGGTTCACATGGGGTGGCCAGACCTTAGCGTAGGCCTTCATCTCCTCAATGTGCTTCACTCCATAGTTGCTCACTCCAATACTCCTAGTTTTCCCTTCCTCCAGCAGTCTCTCCAGCGCTTGCCATAACTCCTTGCGGCCAGCCGCGCCAGAGCTGCTGCTGTGGATCAGGAACAAATCGACGTATCCATCTTTGCCCCCGATCTTTTCTACGCTTTCCAAGATCTTCTCATACGTCGCCTCAGGCGAACCGCCAGGACTCATAATTTTGGTTGTGATAAAGACTTCGCTGCGCGGCAGACCCGATTGGCGTAGAGCCTCGCCTACCTCGCGTTCATTCTGGTAGAATTGCGCAGTGTCGATGTGACGGTAGCCGACCTTCAGGGCAGTCTGGGCGGCTTTGAGGCATTTATCATCGTGAGCACGGTAGACACCAAACCCGAGTCGAGGGATTTTGACGTTTGAGTTTGGGAGAGAAACAAGGTCGGTGATGGCGTATTTCACGGACATGATGGGCGTTCCAAGGTTCAGACTGCCTGTGACTTTTCAGTCAGTGGTTTGAAAGCGGGCGCGAGGAGAGTCGAAGTATTGCGTACACACGAATGCGATCCTTTCGATCCTGGAAGCGAGAAAATTCAGTCTTGAGCGATTGCGTCTCCGAGGATGGCGATTGACGTGATTCAGGCGAGCGAAAGATTTGGTGGATAGTCTGTCTTCCGAATGATCGGGTTACCCCACTATGAGAGGGGACCGAAGCAGTGATATCATCCCGCCCCGAGCTGCGACTTAACCACCAGGCACTGCGATCGCTCCGATCGCGCTGCCGATATGTCTTCAGGTTCTATCTACTACTGCATATCCTCGTAACTGTCTCACTTGACGCCGTTCATGGAGACTCGTAGCGCCCAAGCTTACCATCAGCAAAACGGATCTTATCCACATGAGTTATGTGTGCTTCCATACGCTTTAGAGAAAATGAGGCCCTTCGACCCCTGAATGGTTGCTGCACGACCGCAACGGCGGTTAGAACAAGGCACCTTCTTCTAGTTCCATCGCTGAAAGTCCACTATAAGATTAATCCCCGTCCGGCGCTTAGAGTATCCCTGTGGTAGGATGTTGTGGCTGTTACTGTAGTTTAAGCCGTAACTACCAGTAATTCCGACCGGAGTTGCAGCCTCACACATCAATAATATATATCTGAAAGAGTAAAGCGGACACGTCGAGGCCCACAGGCTAGAATCATTAGAGCGTGGAAACTCTCCGGATGGCCCGAGAGGAAGAACACGGTCCCTATCTTTCTATCTATAGATCGTAGAAAATCGATATAGTATTGCTGGATCGTCGACTGCGTCCTCAGACTCCAGCAGGGAAGAACGCTGATGGGAGTCCAGCATGAGCCGCTCCAAAATCCCGGAGATGAATGGCTGAGCAACTGGACCTGGAGACCCTTGGTAGGAGAAAATTATTCAGGACTCGAGAGGAGAACAATGGATGCTCTGTTTGGTGCATCGTATCCCTGATCAGATTTGGCATCGCTATTTAGTCTAGATAGATACTGTCATTAGCGCAGGACAGTCCAGACTCCAGAGCGTTGCTGGTTCCAGTCAAGCCTCAGAAGTGGAGGGCTGAGAACGTGTCAATTGAAACGCGCACGGCAAATAAGAGAAGACGCCGGTCCGGCCCTGCAATCGACCTTCAGAAACACGATCGATAACCCAGGGACCCCTGATATAGATCTGTGACAAGGGAGATAAACAGACATTGTCATTAACTATCAACTTCCGTATTTAAGCAACAAAAACCACCCGTGGGAAGAGCAGTTTGTTGCAGGACAGTCGAGTCGGTTGCTGTGGAGGCGGCTGGCGACTTTGTTGACAAGCCATCGCAACTCTAGACTACCCAATCGCTCCCCACCCCTGACGGTCGAGCTCCCTACCGCTAACGATCTGAACACCCCCGACCGACCGTCGCTGAGGCTAAAAAAGAATACAGGGCCGAATTTCACCTCTCCGGAATTCGAAGCCTGAAGATCTTACCCGCTCTACGCCAGGCTATTGAGAGCAAATCTCAAAGTAATCCAACGTCTGGTCCGAAGGCCCTTGATGACGGGCCGCTGCCACTATGTTGGTGGTTGAGAAGCAGTGGATTAATGTGCAGCAGAAGACCTTCACAAAATGGTCGGTTTCTTTATCTCTCGTGCTCTTCCCATGCTGTCTCGATGCGCCATCTCCTTTCCCTCATCTCGAAATGGCCAAGAAGCTGACTAGACCTTTGATATTATTCCCCGTAGGCTGAACAACAAACTCTTGATTCGGAAGGTAGCGATCGAAGACCTCGTGCATGATCTTTCCGATGGCGTGAGCTCCCCTCTCCCTCCCTCACTCGCACTAGATGCGTCGTCGCGGCTTGTCTAGCTACTCTATCATCGAACGGAGACTAACCCATCCTGCAGGTCATCCTTATCCACCTCCTCGAAATCCTCGGCGGCGAGTCGCTCGGGCGATATGCATCCAAACCGAAGCTGCGGGTGCAGAAGTTCGAAAATGTCAACAAGAGTTTGGATTTCATCAAGGGGAGGGGGATCCAGATGACGAATATCGGTGCCGAGGATATTGTAGATGGAAACAGAAAGATCATCCTGGGTTTAATATGGACCCTCATTTTGAGGTTTACCATTAGCGATATCAATGAGGAGGGTATGACCGCGAAGGAGGGTCTGTTATTGTGGTGTCAGAGAAAGACAGCATGCTATCCCGAGGTGGAGGTTCGAGACTTCTCCACGAGCTGGAATGACGGTCTGGCTTTCTGCGCTCTGCTGGATATCCATCGTCCCGATCTTATCGACTTCGATGCCCTGGACAAGAACGACCACCGCGGTAACATGAAGTTGGCCTTCGACATCGCCACCAACGAGATTGGCATTCCCGACCTGCTGGATGTGGAGGATGTCTGCGACGTTGCGAAGCCTGATGAGCGATCGCTCATGACTTACATTGCCTACTGGTTCCATGCTTTCTCCCAGCTTGAGCGTGTGGAGAATGCCGGAAGACGAGTGGAGAAGTTCGTCACCAACATGCAGGGCGCGTGGGAGATGCAGAACTCGTATGAGCGAAGGATGAAGGAGTTGCTGCGTCAAATCAAGGCCCAGCGTGATGAGTGGCGCGACTCCTCTTTCGAAGGAACATACGCAGATGCCAAGGAACAAGCCACCCAATTTACCATCTACAAGAAGAACCAGAAGAGAAGGTGGGTTGCGGAGAAGTCGGACCTTGCTGCCCTGCTGGGTAATATCAAGACGAAACTTAGTACCTACCGATTGCGACCCTACAATCCTCCTGCGGCGCTGAGGCCCGAGGTCCTTGATCAAGAGTGGGAGGAGTTGACAAGGGACGAGCAGGCGCGCAGCCAACTCATCAACGAGACCATTCGCGATATCAAGAATGCCCTTCGTCGCTCATTTGCTGATAAGGCCAACGATTTTGCATTGACCTTGAAGACGCTATCCCTCGCTATCTCTGGACTTGAAGGTGACGTGGAGGATCAATTGGCCCACGTGCAACGCCTGAATAGCAACCTACCTCCTCTTGATGCATTCCTAGATACCATTGCCGATTTGGAAGAGCAATGTGTAGAGGCGAACATCGAGGAGAACGATTACACTACATATACTCTAGACGAGCTGTCCTACGAACTGAGCCTGGTTAAGTCGAGTGTCTCAAAGAAACTCGCTTTCCTGGAGAATCAGATGGTGGCCCGTAATATGACCAACTTGACACCGATACAACTCGAAGAGTTCGAATCGGTATTCAGACATTTCGATCGTGACTCTTCGAACACGCTGCATGAAATCGAATTCTCCGCCGCACTTGCCAGTCTCGGCCTTGTGTATGATGAGGATGAGATGCATGAGGTATTCGTGGAGACATGCGGTGCTGACAGATTGGCATCAAACGCTGGCGTCAGCTTCGAGCAATTTATCCGCTTCATGGTTAGCGTGACAGAGGATCAGAACACAGCAGAGCAGGTCTTCCAGAGTTTCCGGGAAGTGGCCGATGGGAAGGTATGTTTCCCTTTTTGTCTACTCCTCTTGTTGGAATCTTTCATTTTGTGCGCATTGATCGACTGACGTCTTTCCCAGCCGTATGTTACTGAACTTGATCTCCGTCACTCCCTTATTCCAGATGAACTTATCGAGAATCTGCTGGAGACCATGCCAAAGCACGAAGGCCCGGATTTGCTCGAAGATCGCGATATTCCGAAATACGACTATATCAGTTTCATGGAGAAGATGATGGATGTAGGAAATGACGGTGAAGATGAAGGTGAAAGTGACGATGGTGATCAGTACTCCGCCAATGGAGACCACTGAACCAGCCCCTCGACACCCCCATTTTTTCTTTCTTTAGTGCTTGATGCACCGCTATATTGCGGTTATTGCTACTGGTGTTTGGAGCTGACGAAGGGGGTTATGTCTCCTCTTTTGAATTCCTTAGTGGTTAAGGAGTAGCCGCAGTCCATTTGTTACGCGGTAGGCGGTAGCAGTCCTTCATTTGACCAACAGAAAGGTCATCGAGTTCTGTTCTCCAGTAGTCTTATATCCCCACAGTCATTGTGTTTTGTACATAACTAGGTAGCGTTTTTGGCTCTTTGCATACCATACGGGCTGAATAGTTGACTTGGAGGGGCCTGATCGGGGGAAATGCCCAAAATATGGTAATAGGGAGAGGATAGTCCTATAATTGGAATTTACTCTCTTTTATTCATATCGTTCTTATCATTGTTCCATAAACTTTTGATAGTTTGTTACTCCTTACTCCTTACTGCAGTTGTTCATTGCCGGCTCGTTGTCATCACGTGATTCGCGCGCAGGGGAGATCATGTTTAACGCAGCCGCAGCAGCGTCCGGGGTAGCTCTGACCGGTTTTTGCGAGAATACTTGACACACCTCTGCTAGCGCATCCTCTTTCCCCTCAAGCCACTATATCTAATCATCTCTTCTGGTGGTGAACTGATTGGTGTACTTTTTTTTTCTCCTGAATTGAATTCGACTCTTTCTTGTGTACGCTTTATACCCAATTTTCGACCAGCAAAGATGGACCGCAGTCTAGATGAGATCATTGCGGAACGCCCTGTAAGGCCACCTTGCTGATTTCCGCGCCTCCATTGTCCACTGTCGAAGTGGTCGGAGGTGTTTTGTGGTTTCTATTCATGTGTATACTGATGGGATGGTGATGTAGCAGAGACAAAATCGCGGTGGTCGTGGCCGTGGACGTCGCGGCAATAATCATCCTCGCGACGGCGTGAAAAAGGTACCCTTCCAGCCCCTTTGCTGAGCGCTCGCACTGTGGACATTGCTTATTCCGGTATTTGTTTTTTTTTTTTTAGGTCCGCCCTCCTCTTCCTCTTATCGCGTCGTAATGTCGCCTATTTCCAAAAAGCAGAGCGTCCGCTGGTTGCGTAGTCGAGACTTCCAGAGGCAGACTACCGCCGACGATGTTCCTTTTTCCGCAAGAATTGAAGAAAAGACCAAGATGGAACTCGTTGCCATTGAAAATACCTAGATTGACCCTCAGCTGACCTTGTCCTGTTCTTGGAATCGCAACAGTCCTATAGAGAAGAGCGTGTTGATTTGGATCGGTAAGTGGTGTCTTAAAGATACAGGAGTGCGGGTTTGAGGGTTCGGTTTCGCTGATGGAAAGATATTGGCGCAGTGATTGGGTCCACGACAAGTTTGAAGATGACAGAGACAGTGCGTTTTTCGATTGATTGATTGACCTGCCAGACGTCACGCCTTTCTTACCAGTCGTTTTGTTGTTATCAGCTCGTCCGGCCCGCGGACCTCGACCCCGTCGTGGTGATCGCTACTCCCCCGAACCTGACCAGTATGTTCAACTTATCCTGATCGGATATTGGTCCTTACAGCCGTACTAAGCTAGTGCAGTGCCCCTACAGGTGCTAAGATTCGCGTCGAGAACCTTCATTACGATCTGACAGAAGAGGACCTGGAGGTGAGTGGAATCATGTCATGCGAGATGGAAAGTGTCCTGACAACGGAATTTCTCCAAATAGGATCTGTTTACGCGCATAGGACCAGTGTCCGATCTCTCTCTTAGATACGACCGCGCCGGTCGCTCGGAAGGCGTCGCCTTTGTCACCTACAACCGTCTCAGTGATGCTAGGACTGCGATCCGGGAGTTCGACGGCGCAAACGCGAAGGGCCAGCCTATCCGGCTAACTCTGCTACCTGCTGGAGGAAGCAGACGCAATCCTTTTGACAATGTCGAGAGACCGAAGGGAAGTCTGTTCGACCGTGTGGAACGGCCCAGAGACAGAGACGACCGCAGCCTGAGTCCCGAAAGCGAGGGTGCCGATGGTGGATCTCGTCGCCGTCGCCGTGGTGGCGGTGGTGGAAGGGTTCGACGTAGTGATGTCTCCAAGCCTCCCCCAGACCACATCGACCGGTACGTCCCCGGTCAACGTTCCCCGGAGCGTAGGAACGGCAGCGGACGACGACCAGGCCAGAGGCGGGACGAAAGGAACAACAGCTCGAACCGTCGGACCACTAACGCGCGGCCGCGCAAGACTCAGGAGGAGCTTGACCAGGAAATGGACGACTACTGGGGAACTGCCAACGCGGGAGCCGGAACGGCCGACAAAGAGACTGTTCCTGACGAGGCGCCTCAAGTCGCGCCTGCTTCTACGGCCGCTGCTGGTGATGACGATATTGACATGATCGAGTGAACGGGTGCATGATGGAACTCTTATCTTTATATTTCTACTCAGGGCTCCTGGCAATTTCTTCGTACCAAGCAGAGTTGGCTCTGCGGAAGAGTATGATAAAAATGGAAGAATACTCTTTTCTTGATTTTCATTTCCCCATATAAACGGACAGGCTTCTCTCTTTATTGTCATTATCACCAGTAGCTGGAACTATGTTCCAGAATGGTTGCTTGCAACATCCCACCGGGCAAATTGCAAACCCCTCTCCTCTTTTGATGCTGCGATTTATTATCACTAGAATGTTATGTCCATCTATTTGTTCCAGTCGGCTGGGGTTATTTAACTGTACTTTACTATGACCGATAGAGAATGCAAGAAATATAATTCTGCTCTACACCTGTTCCAATCATGTATTCGCGTAATAACTACTACAACATAGAATTACTATAGACAAATATGGAAATCGGAGAGACAAGAACTTTTCGAATAATCTATCAGCGAAGTGGTGTAAAGTAATTTGCTCAACGAGCTATTCTAACTAATAAAGAAGAAGAAGAAGGAAAATAATGACCATAAAAAAATACAATGTTTATGCATGTGCATTTCCCCTAGTCCCATTTCAACAATCCATATTAATTAATTACTTGCAAGCAATGGGATATAATATGAAAAGCGAGAAAAAGAAAAAGAAAATAATAAACTAGACCCGGAAAAGAAAAAAAAAATGAAGCGAGGATATTTTGAAGAAAGGAAGGCATATAATTGTAGACAGGAAAAGGAGAGAGAGGGTGTGTGTGTGTGTGTACTCCGTACAATGCTACCGAAATGGTGATGAGGTCGGGTAAGGAAAAAAAAATTGTTTTTTTTTTTGGGGGGGGGGGATTCCCTATGGGAATCAGAGATGATTCTCTCTCTCTCTCTCTCTCTCTCTATCGCCATAATCCGTAGGGTTCTCTGCAGGCTTTCCATAGCTTGATGGTTCCGTCTTCGCTTCCGGTTCCGTAGAGCTTGCCGTCTGGGGAGTAACTGATGGACCAGATGGGGCCGTGGTGACCCTTTTGGACCTCTGAATTATTTATTAGTCTCACAGTTCGAGATGAAGATGGATTATATATGTGCTGGTTATTACATACCAAGTTCCTCGTCAGTGTGAAGATCGTACACACGCGCCCAGGTGTCATCGCCGGCACCGGTGACGAATCGACCAGTCTCGTTGTTTACAGCGACACTGGCCACTTCGTATTTGAAGTCGATCTTCTTGAGTAGACGGCCTGGACTGGCACCGTCGAAGAAGTAGACACTCTTTCCTGCGGCGACGCTCAAAATTCCTGGGTCATTGGGCGAAGTTGCTAGGCTGTTGAGCTCGCAGGTGCCAATTGTACCCTCAACAGCGTACTCTACGACTGGATGCCGTGAACGAAGATCCCACCATCTGATCTTTCGGTCCTCAGCAGCGGTCGTTAGGATGTTGTAATCCTGGTTCCAGACAATAGATTTGATCGTGCCAGCGTGGACACCTGCGCCAATCTCATAGCTTGTCGAGCCAGATCCCGCTCCATTGGCATTAGGGGATGTGGGAGATGAAGCGTTGCTAGTTTCACTCCTTGTTAGGTCGAAAATACGAAGCTTCTTCTCTGCACCACCAGTGGCAACGACCTGCGGGTTCAGTTGAATGGGGAAGGCCACGGCGCGGACAATGTGCGAGTGCTGCAGTGTATGCAGACATTCACCCGTGTGGGTGTCCCACACCTTGCTATTCAAGCAAGTTAGCTGAGGATCTGTCTCCAGAGCAGACAGGAGGGAACATACGCTGAAAAGTCAGCTGCGGCAGTGGCTGCAATAGTAGCATCTGCTGATAGGCGGGCCTGCCATACAGCACCCTTGTGACCCATGAAAGTGCCAATCCTAAGAAATAGGTAAGTATCACACGTTGTATTAGATACGAATAACTTGAAAATACCAGTCTCCAGTTATGCCATCCCGGAGCATAGGATTGTTGTCTATTGGCGACATCAGTTATTTCTTGCCTCCGAATAGAGATATATGGAAGGCCAATTTTTACCTTTGCATGCGGAGATAAGGTAGTACTGGTCATCTTCCACTATAGAGGAAAAGCTAATATGAGGCACGGGCCGCGAGTGTCCATGACAAGTCAAAGGAACAACCTTAGGGATGTCTGTAAGAGTCTTAGTTTTAAGAAAGGGTCAATTCCGGATAAATGCCTGGCAAGACATGCCTGGCGACAAATGAGGAAGAACCAATGGGTCAAAAAATGAAAAGCTTTATCTACATCTATACTTACCTGAAGCCATTTTGATCCACTAGAGATAAATCCACTGAAACACGAAGCTGATGGACCCTGACCGCAACGCTCGGCTAATGATTTCGAAATTGGAACAAACAATCAGTCACCCAACAAATAAGCGTAGAAGGGACCTCCGTTAGATAAAAAAGGAGCCTTTGACGCCGCAAGACTTTTGATGTCTTTGATGTATGTTTAGAATACAGGGAAATTCGTCAGGTTCATCAAATCATAACAGGTAAGCGGGGTTGGAGAGGTGTCAATTCGTTCAAGAGAAAGTCGTGGAGAGAGGACGAGGAGCTTGATGGATGGAATGGGGAGTTCAATAGTATCAACGGTATTTTCAACGGCCCTGCGAATCCCGGAAGAAGTCCAGGGCACGTCCAAGGAAAGGTGAAGTGAAGTATCGCCAGCACTCGATAGCCCGAAGTGGCTTGAGTTGGAGAAAATGTCCGATCCCTGACACTAGCCGGTGTGGGGAACAGTGCGACTGCACGTGAGCTCTGTAGTTGGTCGTCCGCCCGTCAATAATAATAATAATTACCATATTATCCTGGTTTGCTGAGGCGCTTGCCGACCTCAACTTGGCTTGCTCCTCCTAATCTCTTATATTTCTGTCCTTGAATGTCTCCGCAATTGTCGACTCAAACTTGCATGTTACGCGATTCCATACAGCATCTCGAGCATCGTGAAACGCGTCGCATCGAAACTGTCTCACCGCCCATTTCCAGCGGTCAGGCGTTCCACACAATGGAGATCCACATTCAGTGAAGAGCGCTAGAGTACGGAGTAATAATGAACTATATCGGATTTGCTCCAGTCCTGGTTTTCGCAAAACGCTGGGAGAATATGCCAAACGACGGTGTAGAATCGAGAGTCGAAAATACACCATGGGTGGAATAATGGGTCTGTTTCAGTGGCCTTGAAACATGGAACGTAATGTCGTTTCATACCCGGGGAGTATATAGTTATATTGAAGTCAAATTTGATGATCTAGGATGCATATCTTATGCGACTACACTACTTGGAGCTTAAGTTGACATTATTATTAGTATCATGGAATGTCCTCATGGATTCTAAAAGACGCGATTAGAAGAGCTCACCGCCCACGTGATTGATTAGATCATTAAGGCGGTGTCCGTTTAGTGGCCGATTACTGTACAGTCCATGTTGACAGCAAGCGTTATCACTTGGTGACAAAGCTCTCTTCTGATTTCGAGCTTACATTAGCTATTGTTTCTCCGGGTCTATCCTACAGGCCCATATACCTCGTCATACAAGAAGCTGGAGCAGCGTTTTATGCATGCCTGACTTCAAGATCTCTGCGGCCCTAGAGGGCCACAGCGATGATGTAAGGGCCCCTCCTGCTCGATAACACTATTCGCGATGGGATTGAGGGCTGTTGGATGCTGATCGATTACTGTCCATATAGGTTCGCGCGGTGGCATTTCCAAACCCCAATGTCGTTTTGTCTGCCTCCCGCGATACAACAGTTCGTATCTGGAAGCTTGTGTCTACCCCGCCCCCCGCCTATGACTATACCATCTCCTCTTCTGGATCGGCTTTCAGGAACTCCCTGGCGTACTATCCACCCACCCCCGAGTTCCCGGAAGGACTTATCTTCTCTGGTGGACAAGATACTATAATAGAAGCCAAACAACCTGGAAAGGCCGTTGGAGACAATGCGGATGCTATGCTACTTGGTCATGCTCACAATGTCTGTGCCTTGGATGTCTGCCCGGAGGGCGGTTGGATTGTGAGCGGAAGCTGGGATACTTCAGCAAGACTATGGAGGCTTGGTAACTGGGAAGCTGAAGTGGTATTTGAGGGACATCAGGGCAGTGTCTGGGCTGTCCTAGCTTACGATAAGGACACCGTTATCACCGGTACGTGGCGGCGAAGCAGTCTACGCCCTGCTTAACTTACTTACATCTATTTAGGATGCGCGGACAAGATAATTCGTGTATTTAATACCTCTGGAAAGCTTCTACGGAGCATCAAGGACTCGCCCGAGGTCATAAGAGCTCTCTGCAAGGTTCCTTCGTCCAACCCCACGGGCGCCCAATTTGCGTCTGCTAGCAACGATGGCATAATCCGACTGTTCACCTTGCAAGGTCAGATAGTAGGTGAATTGCATGGACACGAAAGTTTCATATACTGTTTGGCATCGCTGCCTACCGGTGAACTGGTCAGCTCAGGCGAGGATCGAACTGTCAGAATCTGGAACGGCACACAATGTGTCCAGACGATCACACACCCTGCCATTTCAGTATGGAGTGTGGCTGCTTGTCAGGAGACTGGCGACATCGTCACAGGTGCTAGTGATCGGGTCACGAGAGTATTCAGTCGAGAAAAGGAGCGCCAAGGAGACGAGAGCCTCATACAGCAGTTCGACAACGCCGTCAAGGAGTCTGCGATTCCTCAACAGCAAGTCGGAAATATCAACAAGGAAAAGCTCCCTGGTCCTGAGTTCCTCAAACAGAAGTCTGGCACAAAGGAAGGGCAGGTGCAGATGATTCGAGAGGAAAATGGTAGCATCACCGCTCACACGTGGTCATCAGCTACACAAGAGTGGATCGCTGTAGGAACTGTTGTGGATGCCGCCGGTAGCGGTGGGAGGAAAATCGAATATCTTGGTCAAGAGTACGACTATGTCTTCGATGTGGATATCGAGGACGGCAAACCTCCGCTGAAGCTGCCATATAATGTATCCCAGAATCCTTATGAAGCAGCTACCAAGTTTATCCAAGACAACGAACTTCCTATCGGATATCTGGACCAAGTCGCAAGATTCATCACGGAAAACACTCAAGGAACTACCATCGGTGAAACAACAGAACAGCAACCTACAGGGGCCGATCCATGGGGCCAAGAACACCGTTATCGTCCAGGAGATGCCACCGCTGCTAGCCAAGCAACCTCCGTACCAGCGCAGCGGCCAAAAGTGCTACCTCAGACATCATACCTCTCCATTAGATCCGCTAACCTCAAAGTGATTTCAAAAAAGCTTGCAGAGGTCAACCAGCAGCTAGTATCTTCTGGCTCGAAAGAGGTCTCCCTGAGTCCTTCCGAAGTTGAGACAGTTCAGGCATTATGCGCACAAATGGAGTCTTCTGAGAGACTAAAAGAGTCGGCTACCGTGGAGACTGGAGTCGGCTTGGTGTTCAAGGTCGCCACAGCTTGGCCAGCTGCCAATCGACTTCCTGGACTTGATCTTCTCAGGTTGCTCGCTGCTGCAACGCCGCTTACAGCAAAGCTCGACTATAACGGCCAAGACCTCATATCGGCTATACAATCGAGCGGTATTTTTGAACCTCCATTCAACGTGAATAACGTTATGCTCGCTGTTCGAATGTTCGCCAATCTCTTTGAGACGGAAGAGGGTCGCAGCTTGACAGCAGGCAAGTTCGATCAAATTACTTCTATCGTGCAGTCTGTCACGACCGCTCCTGGAAACACATCAAATCGCAACCTAACCATTGCCGCCACGACTCTTTACATTAACTACTCGGTTTACCTAACCACTGGTGGACGTCACACTTCACCCGAGTCCTCAGAACGGGCGCTCGTGTTGCTCGACGAGCTCACCAAGCTCCTGTCGAACGAGAAGGACTCTGAAGCCGTCTACCGTGGCCTCGTTGCTGCAGGAACCCTGGTCAATTCTCTTGGCGAGGAGGTTAAGACTGCGGCTAGGGAAATTTATGATATTCAGGGGTTGCTAAATAAGGTGCTTGCGGCAGGCCTTGGGAAGGAACCCAGAATTAAGAGTATTGTGGGCGAGATCAAGGGCCTCTTGCAATAGAGGAAGGCAATGTAGCTATCATAGACATGCTTTCCTCACATCCTGTTTTTGAACAAATGATGAGTCTTACGCCAAGCAAATGAAAAGAAAAGAACCACTGGAGTGGACATAAATGCTCGTAGTTGAGCAGAGGTTCTTTGCCATTTCATGTATTAATATACACAGGATATAAGTCTTTCGTATTATATTAAAGCCGCCCTTCTGCATCAACGCCGACTTCCACGATCTGGTCGATTCCCTGATAGTCCGGGAAGTCGAGTTTATACTTCTCGACGATTGACTTGGTCAAGAACCTTCCGCCAACAAAGTGTCTGCCTTTGTAGTATTTGACGCAGGGCTTAGGAGCTGTCAGGCTGATCAGCGCCTGCGGCATAAACTTCGATCCTGGGCCTTCCTTGGGTGGACCGCCGGAGATATCCCAGGAGCTGGGAGCGTCAACACTGAGAATTGGCACGGACGCAGATTCCATCTGTGAGATGATAGAGGGGAATGGATCACGCAGAGGACCACCGAACGAAAAGCCAAATATGGCGTCCACGATGAAGTGGGTGGACTTCAGAGCGTCGGTGAAGTCAGGCACAAAGGGAACGTCGAGGTTCTTAAGTTGAATTTTGAGGCGCTGCAATAAAGGTCAGATCATGATTGCTATGGCTGCTCGCATATGCTATGACCATATAAATAACTAACCTCGTAGAGCTCATTCTTTCCTTGCTTGGGGTAGTAGACGGATGGGTTGTATCCATACTGGGAAAGATGGCGAGCTGCAACTAAGCCATCACCTCCTATCAGATGAGATACATGTCAGCTTTCTGCTCATCTCACAAGACTTCAGTTTATAGCTTTCCATATCATTACCATTGTTGCCAGGACCGCAAACAACAAGGATATTCTTCCCAGAGCTCGGTGGGTGCATGCGATAGACTAAGTGTGAAATTGACCAGGTCAGCTTCTCGGAAGTCCTCTTTCACACATCGAAGAATAGATGCTATTATAGGGCTATAGAGCTTACCGGCTTGTGAGACTGAAAGTCCTGCAAGTTCCATTAGTTGGTCAAGCGACCAACCTCCGATTTCCATGAGGTCCTTATCCAAGGATGCAGCATCCTGCGCAGAGATGGCCTGCTCAAAGGTTTAGTTTGATATCTCGAGATCTAGCGGTATCAATTCCATACCTTGAGCGACATTCTGGCTGTTCTACTGTATTGTCTACAGAATCTGAACAACGGATTTCTTCCTGCGAATGTTGAACGGAGCATGTAGCGCTACGATTGTTGGCGCTACTAAGTACTCCGTACGTGGAATCAGATGGAATTCGACCTTTTTAGGTTTTCAGGTTTTATGGGAATAGATTGTGTTTGGTAAGTTACAGTTGAAGAGATGAGAATAGTCCCAGATCATGCAATTTACAACAATTGATCCAGAGCTTCTTGCCCACCTATTTATTGCATCATAAGCTTACTCTACGTGAGTATCAGACCGCCCGCCGGATCCCCTCTCCTGATCCGAGCGCCAACGTTCTGTCGGAACAACTGATTTCCCGAGACGCCGGAGTTCTGCAGCTTCCGCGGAGTTGAATCGGGGCTATGGGAAAAAGTGCTTTGAGAGTCGCCCATCAATATCATCCAACATATTCCCGTCGAACTGCCTAGAGCTTATCAAGATGGTGGTCAAGCTTCGTCTCTCCCGCTTCGGCAACAAGCATTCGCCTTTTTACAACATTGTGGTCGCGCAGGCACGGTACGTATTTCTTCTCCATCGGGTCTCCGAAAGCAGCGCGCAGAAGTGACCAAGGCTGCTTTTGTGCCGTTTGTTGTCAAGTGCCAGTATCAAACAGATTTTTTTTTCGTTTCCTGGGTGTTAACTCATGATCCTGGTGCAGATCTGCTCGCGACTCGAAGCCTCTCGAAGTCATCGGAACCTATAACCCTATCCCTCAGCGCCCGACCAACTTGACGGACGAGGAAGCCAGAACGGCCAAGGCGTACAAAGAAATTGCTCTCGATAGGTCAAGAGCGAAGTACTGGCTCGGTGTTGGTGCACAGCCTAGTGAGCCTGTCTGGCGGTTATTGAGCATGGTATGTTGACAATGTCTTTCTACTCCGATCAGCCTGAATGGTTAAAGACGGGGACCAAATGAAGATCTGGTCCTTTAGTCTTTCCCTATTCATTTGATTTTACCAATACACACAAGTTCTTTCACTCTAGATCCTTCACTAACAAGCCTGATCGATATAGATCGGACTCGTCGAACCGAGACTTGAGCAAAAGGCACAGAAGAACTAGATGGATGGATGATATCTGCGAAGGATTGACACACTATCGATTGGGTTATGAGCGTTTCATACGTGTTCTTGCAAATGAATGCGACCGCCTAAGTGCAAAGTTTGAGAGCCGCTTTGCTTCGGGCTATACACACCGGCAAATCCGGAAACAGGATGAAGATCGTCCTGTTGAACTTCTTCCAAGTCTTTGATCATGACAGCCTCTCCTGGCATTATTTTAACGGCGTTATCAAGAGCTAGTTATTCCCGATAGCTCTCGGATGAAAGATTACCCTGCCTTATTGGGTTCCTGTATATTATATTGAAAATATGTTCCTTTTGATATCTTCACTGCATCTAAAACGAATATATAAGTCACCAGTCGCAGAAAAACCGCAACGGGTTCATCGACGAATGAAAGTCGTATTGATATCGGCTGCCGGATACCCTTTCTCCTTGGTTGTGCCGCGCACCAGTGAGCAGCAAAAAAGCACTAGCATACATCTATCCATCTTTGACCAGACAAGCCTCATCGACCGGGCCAATCTCCTAGTATATATAGTGAGCTAATTTGAGGATTAGAGAATGACAAATGAAGAGAACTGTAGACTACTAAGTTGGTCAATAATACTAGACCCCAGCGAGCTTAGCTAACCCGTGGACCTGAGCATGTTAGGTATATTAGCTCCGAAACGGGGCATATTGGTCTACGCGACGCAAAGACTGCAAAAGCTACAGTAGTAGCAAGAATTCTCTCTGCTCGAAATCCAAAAACACCCCCATGGAATGCATTTAAGATGCGGGAAAGATGGTCTCCCGTTTCCGTATTGCGAAGTGCCCGGTTCCTTACGTGCATCTTAAGATTGAGAATGAGAATGACACGAAATGATCTAGACCAGATCTGTGAAATTTGATGTTTGAAGTTCGATGGGTCGTTATCCTTCCAGAAATAAGACTGCGTGATCGATAGGTATATGTTTACTGACTAACAGTCTTTAAATTCATTGAAATTTCTATTAAGTATGAGAAAGGCGTTACAGTAAATTCTCATTATAATTGGCCTCCTCAAGTCATGGACTTTACGCTGCTCTAACTTTGAGGAAGCGGATCTGGAACTATGGAAAAGGCCCTCTTCGTGGGGAACACTGGAGATTTGATGCTACTACTCTTAGGGACTACTTAACTGACCGGTCCAATTGTGATATTTCCTGCCTTCAAGCGCGTGACTAGTACCCCAGGCTTATTAGAACAAGAAAAAGAATCTCTAGAAGGTTCGATGCAATATGGGATATTAGACGAGAAGCGTTCACGGTTCAGAGACACGCGTAATGCTTACGATGGCTGCTGGGAATATTCAATGATTCGCTATAGTAAGATCATGCGTCCTGGGAAGGAAAATCAAGCATATAAGACCTTTCCTTCTATTGGATAGATCAACTAACGTACTATGCGAGTTGGAAGCTCGGTGTAACCAAGAGAGGGATTGGCACAATTCCTTTGCTTATGAGCGGAAGAGCAGACCATACTGGTACTTACTGTAGATGTTCGCATCGTGCTATGTCAGGCCGGCTACGAAATTGGCAACAACCCGTAATTGTATGTGAAACGGGCACAAATTGAACCGTCTCAGATTCCACGGTAGATGAGTTGCGCAGATATGATATCTTCTTGAGAATCAGTTAATTTAGATAGGGCCGTGACGCCAGCAGAATAGCGGCAGATCGTTATGGGGCGCGATCGTGTTGGTCCCCCCACTCGGCGATTACTCGTATGTCACTGGCCACGGAATTCTCGACAGGACTTTCCGCTGTCATACTCTACCCTGAGGAATGTCCTGTTTATTGCAAGGAGTAAGTAATAAGTCTGATTAGTTATTGATTTCGTGATATTGTTGTGGACCGTGGGCATCAAAGAGATACTGTGTGCTATCTTCTTGTTGCCCTGAGAACCCAAAACATTCGCGAAGGTGCGGGGCGATAAGTATAGACGTGCTACGTCGGGTTCACCAAATCCTCTTGAGATCCAAAACGGCGCTCGCTCGCATTTTCGATGATCGAATCATGTAGACAATTTCTGCCAACAATGGAATAGGGACGGTAGTGCTACATTTTAATTGCGTATCTCGACTCCGGATAGCGATAGTCGGATGAGGTTTGCACGGTAAAAATGATCTTTTGTCTCAACAATGACGAAGTCCGGTGACTTGAGGAGGAAAGTGGAATCCCTGGAGACAATATGCCTTAATCTCCTACTAACAATTGGAAAGGCTCCCATTCTAGTTACCAATCAAGTGGCCCAGTCTGTTGGCGGATGCTTAAGTGCAGTATTATCCACACCTTTTCCCGACTCGGGCACCACTGTTGGTCTGAAGATGTTGGTTGCTATTGGGCAAGACTAGAGGACATCCATCCTCACTACTGGCTCCAGCGGGATCCCCTGGTAATTGGGCGTGGATCGTATATCCTGCAAAACAAGCCACGGCCGTGGTGACGATCGCATAAGCGGTAAAAGCTCCCGGGTATTGTCTGTCCAGCATGCGATGACTTGAAGTGGAAAGCGCAAAAGGACAAAGGGAACGCGCAGTGGAAATATCTTGGGAGCGAAGGGCAGGCTATCAACCGAGAGCCTTGTAGGAAACTTGATCTTCAGAGCAGGTTCGATATCCTATCCAGGGGCCGTGGTAGTTACTGACGAAAGACAAAGATGGGCCCTTACGACACGGCAAGGTGAGTCTAACACATCCATCAGAGAGAGAGAGAGAGTACAGCCTTTGACGCAGGGCTTGCAGGGATCCTTCATACTGAAAAGATGTCTAGCAAGGACCAGCCATGAGAATCCCACGATGTATGTGGTCCGTGATCGATTGTGGCTTGCAGAAAGCTGCGCCATAAGAGCACTTTCGTCCACTAGGAAAGTTTCCCATAGATCCGGCTTTTGTCCTTCTTTCGCTCCCATCACGGAACACCCCTTCTGATAGGATTCCTGAGTGGATACCGAAGCTCTGTTCCGCTGTAAGGGTTCGATCCGAGTACGACAATATGCTTTGGATAACTTCAAGGTGAATGAGCATTACAGTAGCCAGTCAGGTTCTTGACCGATATCCAGTTCAATAGACCACAGGTGAACAATGCTGGTGTTAAAGAGGGTGGGGTACAGACAGTACATACGTCGTTACGACCGCTTCTGGCACCAGCGACTCAGCGCTGTGTCACGGATTATTTCCATCAAGATGGAGTTTTTGGATTTCAAGACCGATCCTAACCAATGATCGACTGTCGTTCACTATTGAGTAAATCCAGAACATTTGCAGTCACAATCTAAACATGTGGCAATAGGAGACACGATCAAGGATGATTGCATCAAGCGGCGTGAGTCGCTGGCCCTAAAGGACCTATCTGTACTGGGTTGATGCTATTGGCTACTGATAATCCCAAGCGGTGTTGGAATGCTATGAGAGGTCGTCTGACACTGGAGCCAGTTCTCCCTACAGCAAAACACTTCTCTGTTCACAAGAAACTCTCCTGCAGCTGTTTTCGCGGCGAGCTCTACGGAGTAGGGCAGACAACGAGTATGAGCCACAGGGACGTCATCCAAACCATCGTGAAGCTCGTATCGGTAGGCGGATATCCATGTATGCAGCAATTTGTGTGGCTTGGCGGTTCGTTGAATATGGATCTCCTGGTCGAACAATGCTATCTACGCCCTCTAGACGCGTTTCCTCTTCGCTGATACTATGGGATGTATCGCTATATGTTGAGTTGACACGGCACAAGCAAGGATGGATAGAAGTAAGAGGTATCTGGCGATTATTCTAGTCGTCCTTGTCTATGGTCTCCTACTGGGATTGACGTACGCCACGGAATGTACGTCTACTACGGCACGACAATGTGGACTAGACAGCGCCAAGGCAACAAAGTCATGGTTTCGATGTCTATATACATTATACATGAACGCCTAAGTATACTACAGGCGTTGCGCCATTTTCCTTCACAACCAAATCGTTCCTCATTGCTTGAGCAGGGGGCCATGGTACAAACATGAAACTTAACCTGGGCGGCGCCTCAACGATAGCGGCCTGTCCGCCTCAGAAGTCAGAGGACGGACGCTTGCTCGTTATGTATTATCCGCGGTTCAAATGGCAGTTCGGGGCGAAGGACATCGATATCGATGACGGTTTCTTCAATGCTCCGATCCTATCGGGAAGCGGTCTCTATCAATCGCAGTTCGTAACTCCGCTCCTAAAGCACGAGATGAGGTCGTTGCCTGGCTGATGATAGTCGACCGTGGAAGAGAGGAGGGGAGGTCACCACAGTTTCAGCGCAGCGCGTGTTTTGGCGCCTAGTCCGTATATTGTTTCCATCACTATTCATCTAGATACTGTACTTGTACTTGGTATTATTTATGACAATGTCTTCCTTTCCCATCACGAAGGAGATCCTTGGAGTGAGTCGAGTCGACATTCCATTAGCATGTCGAATTGTTCCCCTTTCCCACCATCACGCCGTTGTCTTGAGATCTCGCTACCCTTTTGATATCCTTCAGGACCATTTGAAAGAGTCTGTTGCAGTCTCCTAAACTTATTGAAGCATCTCCGTTCCGGATTCAGTTCGATCGGGCTGTCAGATAACGGCTCTCCCACACGGCGGCTCTACAAGAATTACCCCTCCACACCCTTCATACTTCAGTCCTCTTGTGGAAGTGTCATTTTGCAGCAACAGGTAGGATTCTGAGCGCAGGTTCCGTTGTCAGTGGCACAAGCAAGCAGGCACGACACCTTCAGGGTCACCTAACGCAGCAGCTGTACCGCCGGACGGCCACCGCTGCTAACCAACCTTCGTGCCCACCATCATCGCCAGTGGCATTTCTACTACTTCCTGCATAACTCATAACCCGGGTTAGATTCCCGAACTGCAGCGTATGGACAAGAAAAGAGACGAACTGGCTGCTCTGCAAGTAGGACCGTACTAGGAAAGAGAGAGAGCGTTTGATGTGAGTGTCTTGGATGCTTCCATTGTTGTATTATTGTCTAACTTCAGCGGATAGATAGAGAGGGCTGTCCTCTGGGCCGTTCCATCCTGGTCCAGCGGGCGTTCCACAGAACGCATTGTTATATTCCCATCCTCAGGCATTCCAGGGTGCGCTCGAGTCGCTCTTGTTCATTGTTCACACGAGCACAAGGCCCGGTGCGTGGCGTCTGGAAACTTAAGAGTCTCGTAGTTCGGACGGCGCTCGAACCAAGCCGCGTTTGGGACGGTCGTGTTTCTCCTGCATCGCTCGCTCAGGAACCAGCCACGATCGTCGTCCATTATTACTATTGAGTTAGTAGTATTATTATGGACTCCATTCCACCACATTTATCATTTCCCATCTCCGTGCTATCATCAGCTTCCCGGCAGGACCCGCTTGTGCTTCTGAGGTCCGTGTCTAGTTAGTTAGATACGCCGTTAACCTCGAGTCCACTGCTTGTCTTCTAACTTCTCTATGCTACTACTACTACTACTGCAAGGACCCTAGCGAGCTCGCTCCTAACTTTCTCCCCACCGCAACACTTGGTCCCAACGTCTATTATTCCACGGCCATCGTCCTACTCTCCTCATCATCACCATCACCATCATCACCATCATCGTCGTCTGAGAAGACTATAAACCCTCGATTTATCTACTACTACTATCTACTCCACGCGCAGTTCTTCATCCTAGACTGCTGTCTGTTAACTTATCTCCCCTTGTCTCCTCAAGCCGCGGCATCCACCCGCACCGTCGCCCACCGTGACCGCGCGGCGCACTTACTGGCATCCACCTCTTCCCACGGGGCACGCACTCCACGTTCGGATCCGGAAGCCTTCTGGACTGACTGGCGGCTCGTCGACGGCTAGCGCAGGCTACATTAGTCTCTCGTCCAGTGCATCTTCTTCTCCTGGGATCGACCAGCGCGAATCCCCGTCGAGAGCTCGTCGTGCCTTGTCGCTTGGGTCGCGCTTTTCCTGTCCCTTGGGCTGGCGGCGTGCGTTCCTTCCAGGGCCTGGGTCTCTCTCCCGTTTCGCTTTCGCCCTTGACTCGATCCTCCGTCGGCTTGACTCGAAGCTCGCATCCCCCCCCCTCCGACCCAGCATATCCCAGTCGGCCCTCTCAGACCGTTCCGGCCTCGACTGGCCGTCCCAAACATTCTCTCCGTCGTCTTCTCCAGTCAGATCCTCTCGCCGTCGAACACCCAAACCTCCCGCACGCCCCCAAACCCAGGCTTCCGACAGACACTTCCCACGCCCGCTTCTGCCTCGATCTTCCGCATCCCACCTAATACCTCATCGACCTCTAGTCCCGTCCGCGCTCTCCTGCGAACAACCACCGCCCTCCATCTGCCTGCCATCATTACGCGATCCGTTGGGCTTTGCGCGTCGCCCTATTTCTTGGCTTCTCCGGCTGCCAAAAACCTCGCTGTCGCGTCGTACGGTGATACGGAAACGACGGGGATATCTAGATGAGACTGGTGTGATACGGATCCATTCGACTCGCATACGAACCTTGGCTTTCTCTGTCGCATTATAACCTCGCGACTTTTGTCAGGCGTCACTTACTCTCTTCCTTTGGATCTGCATCCTGTTTTTCGCGATCTCAGCACTACTCGGCGGCCGCGGCCTCTTAGTTCCCCATATCAACGGCTTCCAGATCGTTTCGCGCGCATTCCTGACCGTCTGCCTGTGCAGCTTGTCAGGTCTCCCAGAGACTGTGACTGGCAGTATTAGATCCGGTGACGAGCTCTACGCTGAGTAACCTGCGAGGCATGGGTGGGAGTTCGAACCAGTCTAACCGCACGAGCCCCGGGTCCTATACCACGGCACAACGCACTGCTTCCTTATCCTCTGGCTCTTCGCCTCCTAGCCAGTCTGTCCCCTTCTCTCAGGCGTCCTCGACGGCTCACAATGCGATGTCGACCAGCGACGTCTATAATCCCACTGTGTCGCAAGCACAAACATCCCTTGGATACCCGTTCCCGATCGGTGCCGCCAGTTCCCTCGACAGTGTTTCAACCGCCATGCGTCTAGCCGACTCCGATCGAACTGCGCAAGGCATGAACGGCTTTGGCAGGATGGGCCATAGCGGCGCTATCCTGATGCGCAAGCTCCCGCGAAACACAAGCCGCGAGGCTCTGCGAAGCATGCTCTTGTTCGCCAAAGATTTCATTGATGCGGATTTTGTCGCTTCAGATCTCCCTGAAGACAACGGATTTTTGAGTGCTATTGCCCGTTTCAACACGTTAGGAGCAGCAGAAGAAGCAAGGGCGCTACTGGATGGAAAGCCAAACTCGAAGAACGAAGCCAACATGATCGTGGAGATGTATCCGGGACCTTCTACGATCGCACTAACTGGCAGACGCAATACTGTCGACCACACCCCTGCGCGCGGCATGTCCGGTGGTATGCCATCCGGAGGTCCACTAGGCCGTCAGTCTTCTCGTTTTAACGGCACATTCCAGAGTCTGGAGCGTCTCAACACCACGAACGGTCTATCTCAGACCAATGGCGATCCACTCCCCACTCCAGATACGAACTCCCGACTGCACAGCCTTTTCTCCCCGCAGTCTCCTATCGGAAATGGAATCAGTGATCTTCCTCGTGTCAGTGGCAAGTCTGTGATCGACCAAGATTTGGACGAGGAAACGGGAGAATTGCTCAAAGACCCCGTTGGCTATGCTCAGAACGGACATGCCGGCTCTGTTTCGATGCCTAGAAGGTCCACCAACCCTCAGATTCCGACTAACCGCTTTGCCAATTTGTCTCTGACGACGTCCAATATGACTTCTCCCATCCAGAGCTACGGACCGGGTTCGGCGCGCATGGGTGTTCAGACGCCCTCATCGACATTGGCCCCTAATAATGTACCAGGAAATCATGGCTTCCATTATCCGAACCAACATACCCCGCGCCACAGCCTGCCAGCTGCCAATCCCAACGACCTCAACCCACCTTGCAATACGCTCTACGTCGGCAACTTACCCGCCGATACATCCGAGGAAGAGCTTAAGTCTCTCTTTTCGAAGCAGCGGGGTTATAAGCGTCTTTGTTTCCGAAACAAGCAGAATGGACCGATGTGCTTTGTGGAGTTTGATGAAATCGCCATGGCGAGCAAAGCGCTCAACGAGCTCTACGGTTACAAGCTTTCCAACAGTGTCAAGACCGGCATTCGTCTCAGTTTCTCGAAGAACCCTCTTGGAGTCCGCAACGGTCAGCCCGGTAGTATGAATTCATCAACCCCTCTCACCCCGCCCGGTGGTAATCACAGTGCCAACGGCCTGGCTGGTGTGCCAAATCCGATGTTTTCGACTGCGACTGGGCCGCCTCCAGGGCTTTCTGCGCCTCCCGGTCTTGGTGTTCCAGTCGGCGTGAGGAATGTTCCTATCCCTCCTGGAAATCCGCACTCGCTGGTGCCGAATGCTTCGTTCGGTCCGAACACTGGACTTGGCATCAGAACCAATGGCATGAATCCTATGTCAGCTTCAACTCTAGCGGGAGGGATTACTGGCGCTTCCGCGGGACATCCTTTAGGAAGCTTCAACAACCTTTACCCTGATTACATGATGGGCCGATAGATTACGGCAAATTGCATATTCCATAATGTCCGGCATGTTTGATGACGACTGGGTCATAAGCGGCGTACTGGGGTTGCCTGGCTTTAGCGAGCCCAAGCAGCAATTTGGGAGTCTCCACGAGTCCCAAGAGATGTTGATCAAAGATAATTTCCTCTTATTCGAATCTTTCCTCTTCGCACTGCGGCAAATCCGGCGCTATATATTTTCTCTTCCATAATGGCGTTGCCTAGAGACACTCGCAGCTTACGCACCATATGGCCTCCAAACTTTCGAGTTGGTCGGTCAGCAGCAATATCTCGGTCTTCTCACCTGCATTTCGTTCTCTCAGATTCTTGTGAGAAAAGGAAGATTGTCATTTCAGTTAGCACCATGCCGTTTCCCTTTTCTCTTTTCTTGAACATTTCTTCCTGTTCGTTTCTCTTGGCCTTGTTCGTTTGATCATGCTGGAAAAGAATGATTCCCCCTTTGCAAGCGTCCATTTTACGGCGTCTGAGTGTTTTCCTGGATGAAAGTGTCGCAGGTGTGTAGGAAGAAGAGCGAGTCATTGGGGGGGGTTGCTATTGTGCGGTTCTCGTTTTACCCTGATGTGTTTTCTTTGTATTCTGCTGTGACCTCCATCAGGCAGCACCTCGTTCTCTATTCTCCCTTCGATACGGTATGATGCATGCAATATACAGGATGAGATATCTATCCTGAGAAACATTGTGAAGGCGTTCACACTACACGCATATACGAATACACATATCCGAGGCCTTGATGAGTCCTCGGACCTGGGAAAGGGCGTCTGGCTGTTGTTGGCCTATGGATCTTGCAGCATTTTGCATTCTGGCTTCTAATCCTATGTTTGCATTGTTTATCATCTCGGATCGGATCGCTTTTGATTTGTTGTTTGACTCTATGTGCAATCTTCTGTCGCTTCAGCGGTTTACCCTTTAAAGGAATCGGGATAGGACATGGGAAAAGAGGCGCGCTATTTTACATGATACATCTCTTTCATTGCGGCACTGCTGCTCTTCTGGTGGAGCAGGTTCTCCAGCATGGAGCCTTCCCCACTTGTATTTCCACTTCGTCGCTCGGCCTCTCTCTGAGGGGCGTTTTGTCTGCTAGTAGCTTACCTTTTGCTTTCTACTTTTTCTCCTTTGTCAGACATTTGCTTATTCTGCTAGCTTAGCTCATCTCACATTACTTGATCTTGATGATACGTCGGGCTCAAGAACAAAAAAGAAAAAAGAATGTTAGCAGAGCAGTTGGTACAACTCTTGTAGAAGCATGTGTGCAGTAGGGATCCTCTATAGATAGTAGCCGTCTGTCTCAGCAGTTGGACTGGAGTCACTCAGATTTGAAGCTCTATTTCCAAACCTATTTCTTGAATATGCACTTGTCATTTGGTATAAAAATATGAATAACACTGAATTACTACCTACCTAGGTACTGGTTGAGCCAGAGTGGGCCACATAGTAAGTCACGTGTGTGTCCGCACGGACCACCACCCCTGCAGAAAAACTTTCCGCGCGGTTGTCCGATTCTCTCTACTCACAACATCCTCTTCGAGAGGAGCATATAACAGAACATCCTCATTCCACCCTCCTCATAAGGCAGGGGGAGTGTCAATTGCAGTGTTTATTCCATTTGTGTCATCACTCAATCACTGACACTACATATCTGCCACCATGCCTCCCCGGATATCCAGCTTGCGAGTCTCGAACTCGCTACTACCCTACCTTTCTTCACAGTCGACATGTCCCTCATCCTCCTCCTCTCTCCTCTCAGTACCCACATATACCTCAACTCCCTCAACATGCCGCCCCTTCTCATCCACACTCTCTTCTCAAACCCGCCTCCGCAACCAAATGTTTGAGTGGTTGAACACCGAGGGAGCTGCTCTGAAGCATCACATCCCCGGAACTACAAACTACCTCACGGATATCAAAGACCGCAAGGCCAAGTCCCAGGAGAAGCCTAGCGAGCAGTCGGCCGATGGCAGTGCCTCGGCGGAGGGTGCGGCGTCCGGAGCAAGCGCTCCTGAAGAGCGATCACGAGCTCCGCGACCTTTCCCCTTGAACCCCTCGTTCGTTAGCGAGCCTATACTGAGTGAAGAACTCCGTAACGAGATTTACCAGCGGGTCGTGGTGCAGAAGAGGAGCGTGCGTGCCGTTAGTGTGGAGCTGGGTGTTGATATGAGGAGAGTCGGTGCTGTAGTACGACTAGTCGAGTTGGAGAAGAGATGGAAGCGAGAGGTATGTATCCAATCCTCTTCACAATATCAACACAGTCCTCTGCCCTTCTGCAATGATGAGCAAAACCAAAATCGATTAGTCTTTAAGACTCCTGCATTCCCAGCTGGAGGATGTTTACCTAGAATTACAACTCTCTGAAACTTGCATTATCTATTCTCCAAACTCAATACGTTCAGATCTGCCATACTCTGAGACTGACAATATTGTCTAGGGAAAACCTCTGGCTCTGCCTTACGCGCGTGCCGTACGAGAGATGGTCCCTACCACGCCACTAGCTGAGAAGGGCCAACCTCAGGTTCCTCATGAATCTATCAACGACCTGCCTGTCCACCGACTTACCGACCCACAAATATTCTATCCCGTCTCTGAATCAAGACAGTTCACCCGTATTGATGCTGGTCGTGTATTCTCTGGCGCTCCTGCCCTTGAGCATAGTCGAGAAGCAGAGCTCAGAAACGCTGACCCAGCTGATATCACCAGCCAGCTTACCCGTCATCCTGAAGAGGTCGAACGTGTCGGCAAGGGCGCAGATGAGATTGAAGTCCTGCAACCTGCTGATGTGCGCATCCCGCACCCACACCTGATCTCATTCGAGCGTGACCGTCGGGCCAATCCTTCTGAGCACAGAGAGCGGATGAAGCGCTACGAGCAGCGCCTCAAGGAGGAAGAGGCCGCAGAACAGGAGCGCAAGCAGCTAGCGCAAGAGCGCCGCGAGAAACGAATCACACATGTGGAACCAGACTCATCGCGGTTTGAGTTCCGTTTCAAGGATGTTGTTGTCAGCCGCGAGACCACCGGTGTGGATGGACGCGGCTCTGCTGCACCCGGTCGCAGATATGGTGTGCCATCCTATGACCGAAAGAAGGGTATGGTCAAGATTCCCACGAAAGTGGAGGTCTAAACTGCTTTTCAGCATGTATACCACGAATTTCATGCGGTCAAATCTTTTTTTGACGATTTGAGGATACCGATATCGGATTTAGACTTCGTTTTCCTCGTGTAACTCTAGATGAACTGTACATATACCTCCTGTCTTGGTTGTTAGGGCTAGCTATACTGTGTTTGTATCCGGGAGTCCTCCAGCATGAGCCATGAAAGGTCTTGAACAATCAATAATTCAATATTAACGAACGTCAAGTGCATGAACCTGAATATTAAAAGTCCTGATCTCTACCAAATTTGCTGTAAAGACTGGAGTTCTCAAAACCGTCCGCAGAGGACTATCAACTCGTGGACGCCGTAGAATCTCGCTACATCCAATGATCGGGGCAGAATACTGTCACTTTTATATTGGCAGGGTATATCCGAGACACGAGTGGACATCGTATGTGACCTTTATATCGTAATTCATACTTGGTTAACTTGGATGATACCAGGTGAAACCACAGATACTGAGTGGTCAGTCACCGACTCTAACTAGGTAAACTGTTGGATAGGCCAACTAAAGATCGACTGATAAACGATTAAGAGTGCAATGCGTTGTTTTGCTCGGGTCGCCGGTCAATTGCGAACTATAGAGACAGACTTCGAGATACTCCATCACATATCTTTACCAACTCGATCTTCCAATCGGTTAACCGATGCGCTGATTCTGCAAACCTAGGAGAAAAGAGTCATGAAATTCAACGACCATCTCTGATAATCACCAAGTTCTCAATCGATCTACTCACATAATTCCTTTCATTAATGCATGAAGTGATCATCCGGCCAATTCAGAAGAGAAGAGAGATAAAGAGAGCCGGATATCTGACTCTCTGCAAAAAGTTTCTTCTGAAGCCATTCGAGTCATATAAACCACTCCCACTCATTCTGCAACATCCATTCCAACACATTGAGCCATTATATAGATCTTCTTGATCAATGTCAAACTTTCGAATATCATCTCCCATTGACAAATATATCAGGAAGGCAAAGGAAGGAAGTTTCAATTTTCAAAGGAGTGGCACCAATGTAAAAACATTAGGATCTCCGCCTTGAATGCCGGTCTAGAAATTTTCATAAATGACCATTAGCGAGAGTTCTGGGCTGTGTAAGTGAACTGATACGATGCTAATGGGAGGGAGGGAGGGAGCACACTGAATTAACTAATGCTTGCTTCCCTTGAGCTGTTCTTTTGTGTCTGGCTTCTTCTTCCCATCAGCTTCAGCTTCAGCCTCGACTTCCCCTTGACTAGGTCTAGGACTTGGAGAAGGATGAGTAGGTATAATAATATCGTTGTGGTTTTCTGAAGAGATGTCACCACCACCACCACCACCACCACCGCTCTGCTCGACGTTGATTTCCTTCGTTGTTGTTGTCGTCGTCGTCGCTTCATTGGCTTCGAGCAACACGACGCGTTCAAGTCCGCCGTGAATCATGTCTTTGAACAACTTTGCTCTCAACACGTCATCAACAGCGGCTAGTTCTTCCTCTGGAAGATAATAAGTCATTTGTCCGCTCGGAGGCGTATGTGCGCCTTGAGAAAGTGCTGGCGTGGTAGAGTATGAAGATTGTTCGATATCTCTGCGAGAAGCCATCGAACTGGCAGGGACGTAAAGGAAGTGTGGTGGTGATGGAGGTTTTGCCATCATCATCATAGGTGGATGGGCAACTCTATCTCTGTGTGGTTTGAGGGGTTTGGAGCTCTTCATTGTTTGTTGTGAAATAGGATAGAATATAAAAAGGTTTGATTGTTGTTGTTTGCGGGGTACGACGGAATATACGGCTTTGAAAAGGTGGGAGGGGGGGTTGTATAAATATACATATTTCAAAAGACTGTACTTTATGTTTACTACTTTCTAAAATAACAAGATATGAAAAACCATCCTGCTCGGCAATGCAATCTACGACGCAGAAAGGGCCTATGACTCACTCACTCACTATGCTATTCTATCCAACATTTCAATAAGTAAACCCAGGCTAATAAAACAAGACTCGCTCTAGATCTTAACATATGTCATAAAACTCTCCCATAGGTACACACCATCTCTAGCCGAAGTCATTCAGTGGGGTGATTCCCCAGCGCCGCAGTGGCGAATAAACATTTTAGAGTCTAAACACGATCTGAATCTGGGGGAGGCAGAGAGTAGGTGCTTAGTCCGTCATTGTGGAACGGAACTAAATTCGGTGTGGAGATCCTGGGCCCTGTCTAGGGTTTGGGTTTTGATTGAAGGGTTTGTGTGTATAATTATAAAAAGTAATGTGAGGACATATACTGCGGGAACAGTGCCATGAATCAGGGTTTCTTGGGATCGTAAAAGGGAGGCGTATGTATTGAGTCATAATCGGAAGATTCGTTGATTTCGGGTTTTAGTCGACGAGAGCTGTGATTTGCGATAAAGGCCGAAGTGGCTTGAGTTAGTTGGTGGATGTGGAATGAACTAATGCTTGTATCTAGATCGTTCTTTGGAGATCTTCATGTCTGTCTCTTCGTCATGGCGTTATATATTGGGAAGTCCAGTACTAGATAACAAAAGTGACACAACAAAAGCCGAGTCTACGCGTTTTCTTACATTCTTGTTTTCTTTAGGTCAGATATATTGTTTAAAATCGTAGAATGAGAATCGAACAAGATGTCCTATCTCGATATCGAACTGGTTGTTTTGAAACTCAATGCCTTGATGCTGTCTATGTAAAAGTGCGTGTGTAAAGAAAAAAAAAAAAAAAAAATCAAATTTATCGGTCACGTCTCTGCTGAGGAACTCAAATATTTGAATAGGTATTACTAATGTAGATATCCCATATAACCCAGATCCTATTGTTAGAATTCGTCCGCTGAACGCCTATCTGGTAAAAAAAAAAAGACGCCTTTACACCTTCGCTATTAAGACATCGTAGAAAAAGGGATATATTTTCCCTCGTCATCCGACCTTTCCCATATCCACGCTGATATTGTATGCAGTTGATCTCGAGACGGCCGTTGTTGCCGGGTATGAGGGATCACGAAACACGATGCTTTTGATTCTTTCATTCGGATCTCAGTCTATCATGGCCGTATTAGCATGGCATTCAAAAGGAAATATATCACAGCCAGAACTCACTTCAAACAGCTTCTAAATGCATAACTTCTATCCCAGCCATGACTTGTCTCTGACGCTCCTCGATCTCATCGACTCTCCGCATCAGATCGTGATGCACCCAGTCCACCGAAGCGCGATTCACAGCTGCGTTGCCCACGTAGCGACGCAGGTCATGTTCGGGATCTGAAGACTCCTGACAAAGCTTGTGGCGGGAGATGCCGCTGAGTCGGTAGGCGAGGAAATCTTGTCGTGTTCGTGGGTAGGGGAGACGAGGTATTTGTGGAGTTGCTTGTGGTCCGGGAGTTGCGGTGTGTTTTTGCGCTGGAAGTTGTGGTGGTTGTGGTTGTTGCTGTTGTTGTTTTTGGGGGTTGAGCTGTTGAGGCTTTCGGGTGCTAGAGATACTGCCTAGAGCAGCTAGACGGTGGATTCTCATGGTTGTGGTTGTGGTTTTGGTTGGAAGGTGTAATTTTGGAGGGAACTGGTTTGTGTGTACTACTAGGAGTAGTAGGAGTAGTAGTAGATACCTAATGTATATGTGGCTTTGTATGAGAGATTCTGACACTTGCTGAAACCTTTGATGATAGTCTAGCTTGACTGAGTGGAATCATCCAAGGAGTCTTGCGGAATAGTTATATCTATCTCTCTATCTACTCCCCACCTACTCCGTAAAGAAGCGATCAGAAAAGAATCAATGCCTTACGCTTCGATAACGACATCCGTTCTCCGAACGTTGGCCTTAGAGCCAGCATCAGGCATCATGATCATACAACGCGCGTCCCACGTTTTCTTCCTTCTTTTCTTCGTCTTCGTTCATTTTCTTCCATCTTTCCTCAAATCCCCGATGCATATACCCCTGTCTGAGTTCTAGATTCGATCACATGGAACGTCAAGCGTGATGATTCAGCTCCTTATCTGCTTAGTTAGCACCTGATGGATCCATTCGTCGTTATCGTGCTGTAGTTCGTGTTTCCGGCAGTTCAGTTAGTTCTCGTGGCCCCCCCTGTCAGATCAGACGGCGATCATATGCTATCAAGCAAGCCAAGGGAGAGAAGTGGAAAAAAGAAAGGAAAAGAGAAAAACCCTCAAGATTATTCCATCCCACCAATCTTGTCTCCTGCGTTGAAATTGGTTTAGTTCTACTAACTTATTACTGGGTATAGTAGTAGGTAAGGTATGGCATGGCATGGCATGGTATGGGATGGGATGCATTTCGTCGTGGGAACCCTGGTCGGAAGAGCCGGTCGGCGCCCGCCGCCGAAGAGCTTTTGTTCGAGACTTTCTTACTCTGTACAGGGGTGTGATTACTTCGTACATTTGTCTATTTTCGCATCGCTTGCATCGGAAATGGCCTCTATCTCGTGCCATCGTGTCGCATCTGGAGTGGTAAAGTGTCTAACAGGGTGATCGGATGTATCAACCCGATTTGGGCCCTTTCTCCTGAAATCAAGACGATGCGGTAACACGGAGCTCCTGCCGGCAGTTGATGGAGACGTGTGAATAATGTGAGGAACCAGTGTATTCTGTCCAACGGTCTGCGAATTGCCGTTCTATGCCCGAAAGATCACATCGGAGCATCTATAATAGACTTGGTAGCCAAATTGGACCCAAAACAATCAAGTTGGACTAGTTATGGATGTGAAGTATGTAGAAAAGCTCCTCCAGCTCCTCCTGTTTCGCATCATCAGGGATACTATTTTAGGATTTTCAAACTCCAGAGTTGTCGATCATCAAGTGGAGAGCTATCGTGGACTCTTGGTCCGTGAGTTCAACGGTAGATACCTTTGACTGCCTTTCCGGGGGTGGAGTAAAAAGGGATAATAGTTAGTTAATAATGACGGCTGCTAGGTAAGTAGACAAAGCCGGTCACCCAAAAGGAAGATCTTGACAGCTCACTCGTTTCTTTTTGCTCGTTTCCAATTGTCGTCCGGGACGGACAGCGGCTGCGGCCGAGAGCTCCTTGGGGTAATAGTATTAAGTTAACTATTGGATTATTACTATGTACGGAGAAGGTAGTTCGATCAACTACTATCGACTAGTTCAGTTATCTACTATCTAGTTTACTTGCGAAACCGACTCCCCGGGAGATGCACCACCCGGCGTGGCCTCATGCTCGGCAAGTCTTCGGTGTTTTTGGATCCGGGGATGGAGTTGCGGTTCTGTTTTCGTGGAGTATCTGGTTTAGTTATTAGTTTATTTTTCGCGGTCACTAGATAGATCTATAGATTTTGACCGCAGTTTCGGTTATTTTTTCTTTTCTTAATAACCGATTTTCTCCGTGGTGATTCGTAGTGCGCTTGTAAGTATTCGACCGGCTAAGCCGATCGGATTCTTTGCCTGATGCCTTTTTGAAGGGAAAGGTCGCAGTCACAACTGTGCATATCGCTAGAACCCAATATTCGGAAATAAAATATTATTCGAGGATCAGTTTTATTCTCACTTGGTTCTCAGATATGTGGTACATACATAACATTTGACGCAGGTCATCGTTTCAGTAACATACCTACTATTACACAGGGGTATATATCGCAATCCCAAAAGGAGGGGATAAAGACATGAACGACGCTAGATAGGATTTGTACATACTATACAAACCCAGCAGTAATATTATCATCAAACTCTTCGTTATACTATATCGGTCACACTTCTCTCTTCTCCCTCATCCCGATCCCCACCGAGATCCTTATAGAAAACAGCATGACACATTGGACACGTGAAATGGCACTCGAGAAACCACCGTTCTAGACATACATCGTGAAAGACATGACGGCATTTCAATTCGTGAATGGTCTGGGTTCTCGACACGGCCTCGAGACATATTGCACTGTAGAGGGGAATAACATTAGCTAAATTACTGTCCGAGTGAGATGATCGCATGTATATATATATAACGCGATACATACCACACATACGTGCCATCCACCTCGCTCGATAGATGCAGATCGGATTTAAGCGTTTTCCACCATGTGTCGAAGGACTCTTTCGGTGCAACCTTTTGCAGTTTCTGTAGTCGCGATTCCTTGGATGATGTTTTGAACTTGAGACGTTCACGCGCGAGAACGTCTGGTCGGCCGAAGCGGTGGCATGTCCAGAGGGAGATTCTGGTACGAATTAGTTTTGGACTTCTATCTCATTTTTTTCTTTCTTCTCTTTATTTAGAGAAACAAAGCAGAATAAGATAAAACATACACGATAATATCCAGAACCAAGAAGGAAAAGACCGAAAACGAAACAATCATCCCGACGTGATCGATGCCGCCATGGTCGGAGTCTTGCGACGACATCGACGACGTGCTATTTGTGCTGTTCATGGATTCAAAACGGACGCTCTGTTCTTTTTATGGCGCTGTCTGAGAGCTGAAGGTAGTGGTTAGAATATCGCCAACAAAATCAGGAATGATAAGTAGATATACTTTTTTTCCTGGATAGGTCAAATTCGTAATATCTAGCATCCATCTGTTGGCGTTCGGAGAAGAAAACGGTGAAGATGCACGTATGCATACGACTCATGCTCAAGCCTCTCACTCACGATCCTTCATCAGGGACGCATCGCATCATCGCGGAGAGCTACGTTAAGTACCGGAATAGGTAGGTACCTAGGTAAAGCTACCTCGTGCGGGGGGCGTTATCATAAGCTCTGCCGGGGGTTCTCAATCACCATGAGATCAAAAAGAGGAGCAGAGAAATTCTACGAGAGGACGTAGGTGAAGAGAGCAGAAGTGGACTGTTCGGTTCCGCCCGTGAGCATCGACTGGACCCGAAGGAAAGGTAATGAGCTTCGAACATGCGATCCGTGTTAAGGAGTCGAATGAGATGACGTCGATGACAGCTATCCCCGATAGCTTTCTTCCTAGCTAGTCAAGATAGCGCGGATTGCTCGACCGGGGAAGCTTTGTTTTAGTTTCAGCATCACACGTGGACTTAGTTTAGTCACTTTAGTTTGGCTTTTCCATTCTCTGGATGATGCTACTTATGCTAGGAAGGATAGGTAGCATGAGATGTGCGCTTGGCATCGAGTAGCATCAACCCAGCATTGAGTACGAAACCAAACAGAACCCATTCCTCGGCTACTGCCGGCTCTTCAATTCATGAGTGCTAAAATTAAAAGCTATCATAGAAGAATGCCTTTGAAGCTATAAATCTCTTCTCGTCACGAGCCCAAGGCTTTCTTTTTGCCTTCTCGTATGCTACACTGCGTGTATTCTCAGTACTAGTACCTCCTTACTTACATACACTACACTACCTAGATATTTACGAGAACCCCGATAGTTTAAATTTTGTTGTGTATTGATCGCGATCACGCTACTCATCCCCCTCATAGACCGAACCCGCGGCCAGAGAGCTCTGCGGATCGGGAGGGGATGTTCGCCGAGTTTAGTTATAGTTCCAATTTCGGTATAGGCACGCCATATCTAACCTTGTTTTCATTGCGATCTATTTCCTATAGCTGATCTCGATCGGTGTATGGTGATGCTATTGCGTCATGTTCTACTATTGTTTATTTGAAGAGGTGGTTAGGTCAATATGCTTAATCCGCATAGTTTATTGTTCCATGTGGATATTTCAAGAGAAGACTAGTCCCTAATCCACATCACTAACAGCTAAGCTACTAACTTTTCTTTGAGGACATGGATTGACATAAGTAAATGAATTATCCACTTAAAGCATAAACTATATATCTATACAGATCATATCATGAGAATCTTCTTTTTTTGGTTTTGGTTCTCGGGAAAAAATCCAAGGAAGAAAGAGAAGTATAGGTGGAAAGAAAGGGCATCATTAGTGAAAAGAATGGAAACTTCATCACCCCAAATCATCGCCGAAGCAAAGCTTCATCCATAGCTGTCGTTGGCTGCGCATTCCTCTTTGCTGCTGCCTCAGCAGTATACTTCAGAGACATGGGCGCGTCATCTTTGGGCATATAGAGTTCCACGAACTAGAGCCGGATATCAGTCAGATTCTGTATTATTTTTCTTGAAGAAAAGAAGATGGGCAGTATAAACTCACCTGCAAGAAAGGAGCGGAGGAGAACTCCTCGTTGGCGAATAGATCCTCAATCTCCCTGACTGTTCTAACTTGGTATGTTTTGTAATGGCCCTTTTTGGCACCAAAGGCAGGAACGAGGTCCTTGTTATTCCAGGGTTGAATGTCGTTGTATTGTTCCTCCCAGCCGTGGATATAGCGTTCGATGGTGTAACCGTCATTGCAGATGACGAAGCTTATGCAGTCAGCATTGGATATCTCACATATCGATATAATAGGAACAATAGGAGACTACTCACATGATAATGTTCAATTCCTGCCGGATCATGGTGCTGACTTCCTGCGCCGTCATCTGGAAACTGCCATCTCCGACAAAGAGGATGGTTCGGTGCTTTCCCTGTTCACTGGCCGCCAGAGCAGCTCCCAAAGTCGCACCGACAGAGTAACCGATACTACCCCAGAGAACCTGGCTGATAGCAGTAACGTTCTTCGGGAATCTAGTCTCCCAGATCCCGAAGTTCGCAGTACCAGTTTCTGTAACGACGATATCGTTCTCGCGCAGCCAGCGGCCGACAGCCGGCCAGAGCCAGACGTGCGTGATGGGGACATCCTTCGAATGGATCAAGTTGCCATTGGGTCCCTTGTTCGAGGGGACTGGTCCAGGTTGGAGGTTCAGCTTGCCCATCCGCTCGATCACCTTACGGAGCACACCCTTCATCCTGACTTGCGGGTAGTGCGAGTATCGGACTTGGATCCGATCACTGTAGAAATCAATGGTGTTCAACTGACTGATGCGGTAGGTGAAACCGGCCGTGTTGAAATCAGACTTCAGTGCTCCAATGCTGAGGACCAAGTCTGCGCCTTCGACTCGTTCCCGCACACCCTCATTCGAGCCATCTCCGGCGTAGACACCGCCGTAGTTGGGCAAGGTTTCATCAACGGCACCCTTGCCCATAGGCGCGACAAAAGTAGGTAGATTCGAGACCTCCATCAGACGATGCACTTCGTCAAGTGCGCGGTGACGAATAGCACCGGCATCAACGAGAATGACCGGGTTCTTTGCCGCGTGGAGATACTTCAGTACGACATCAACTGCATAGTCCTCGTTCTCGGGATCATTCTCCGGTTCTTTCAAATCAATAGGCGTCTTCAGACGCTCTCCATCGACTTTCTTCTGGACCATATCTGTCGGGAGAGCAATGTACACCGGTCGACTCTGGATCCAGCACTCGCGGAGCGCATGGTCGATCAGGATGGGAGCTTCATATGCGTCTTTGATCTTCGCCACGACGCAGGAGATGCTTGCGCTCATTTGAGAAAAGACGTTGAAATCACCATTGCCAAGCGTGTGATGAAGGAGCATGGCATCTCTCTGAGAGACGGTGCTTGGTTGACCGACGATGTGGACGACAGGAACGTGCTCTGAATAGGCGCCTGCGAGACCGTTGATGGCGGATAATTCCCCGACTCCAAAGGCCGTGATGATAGCTGAAATACCGTTGATTCGAGCGTAACCGTCTGAGGAGTAGCCTGTTCGCAAGAGAAGTAATAATTAGCTCTAATCCAATCATTTTCGAGGTGTTGAATCTGGCTTTTTTTTTTCGATTAAAAAAGCACTCACCAGCATTCAATTCATTACAATTTCCAACCCACTTCAAACCACATTTGGGGATGTAGTCCAGAGCAACCAGGTTATAATCGCCTGTCAGAGTAACATTAGTTACCTAGTCTATAAAATCGAACTTTCAGTAAATGATAGAGAATACTTACCGGGAACACCCTGAATCGACTTGATTCCCAGCTGACGCAGACGCGTGAAAAGATACTCCGCAATATCCACTGGAGACTTTAGCTCCGCGGTCCTTATATCTGTAGCCATTTTTTTTCTATTGCGGGGAGAGCTAGATAGGGTCTGTTCAGATCTCGAGTAGATGTAAAAACGAATAGTTCGAAGCAGCAGTAAGCACCAGATAAACGCTATCTCCTTAACTGCTATCTCACTAGAATGTGAAGTTGTCTTTGTGAATCAAAAGAATTAGGTAGTGAATCAAATCCAATTCTGATTCCCACCTCATCAGCATATATTACTTTTAAATATCCCATTCCCAACCTCTAATTGTTTGCGCCCCTCCACCATGATCATGCCTATATTAAGCATCCTGGAAATCATACCACCCAATCATCTCATCCTGAACGCAAGCCCAGTCATGGATCATGTACGCATCATATGGTGTTCCTGCGTCCATGCTCCGATGTGCGGTAACTATCGTATCTCTCATTGCCGTCTTACATAGGTACATCCCTCATGGCAAGTTCCGTCGGTTTCACCGCAGCTCAAACACGGCATCTATCTATCCCGTAACGGACTCGGGAAAGAAATCCTTGTGGTGTTGGAATCGGGATGTTTCGTAGTTGCACAGAGTCGGGCCGGGAAAACCCGATCGTACTGTAGCGTGAGCTGTTCGGTTGAGATGATCCGAGAGAAGCTAATACATAGATAACTAGGTAGCATATAATTATGGTACTGTAGGTAATTAATAGCCAAAGCTAGATTGCTAGCTAGCTAGCTAAGCTTATACTCTATGAGTAGTGTTGAACGATACTAGTGATGAAACGGACACCGAAAATCATTAGCTTGTCTTCTTTCCGTTCTCCCAGCGAAATATGGTAGTACTCATGAGGATGATTTTTAGGCAATTAAGTAATACTCTATGCAGCTAGGATATTTTCTTTCCTTGCGGCCGAGGTGGCGTGCAGTATGTATCGGAGATTTTCATCGAGGATCGCATCCATCCCGGAGATCGTGATCGTGGTACCTAGAAATTCCGGCTAAAGTGTGCTTTGGCTAAACATAAGTTGGTAAGTGTCTGGGTGAAGGGAGATCCAATGAGAAACATCGGCTTTATTTTACAGATGGTAAATTTAGCAGACCGATTGATTCTCGCTTGAACATGCAGCCGTCAGTTGTCATGGGCCTAAAAGACCCCGCCTCTAATACACTCTTCTAATCCATCGTAGAGTAATGCATGTACCTGGTAGATCATAATAAAAATGCCTACCATACCTCACAAGGTGCTCGAGCTGTAGGCCAAGTCCGAAGCGCTATTTCCCATAGATCCTTTATGCATGGCAAAACGCCGCAAACTAGACTGGACCCTTGCAATGTCAAGGTCTAGACAAAATAAGCGCCTGAGACCCTTGCGGTTGTCCATCTCCGCACATGCAGCGGCCGGGACCGAACTGTCAGATTCGATTTATTTACAGGATGCGATCGATAAGTCTATTGCGTCCACACGCTGTCACTCCAAATAGGACCGGTTAGAACGATCAAACAAGACCGTAGAATAAACACGAAAGCACACACGACGTGTCTCGGGCCTAAATCTGTTGGGATTGTCAGACCACAAGGATGGGATCCATGGCCCCCCCAGAAAGTTGCAATGGCTGCTGTCTTTTTAGCCACCACCACGACCCTTGCCATCGATGTTGGGTGATCATATCACCCTCCTGAATAATGGGACGACGGATGCAGCAACCAGTGAATGTATCGTATCACGTTGGGTAGTTTCATCGACGAGGACTTATATAGATAATGCCAGTACCTGTCTTCGTAGGTCTGCTCATGCACCTTGCGTCTCTCATATAGTTTGCAGACACAGATCTCTATCCACTGTTTCAGTGGTCCTTGGCTTCTTGAATACTTTTCCCCGACTCCTTACCGTGACAATACGTGACGAAACCCCTCGCCGTCTTTAGCCGGTGTCAATTCAAACAAAATGGTTGCAAAGGTAAGCGACCGACGAGTTGTTGATGCGAATCCACTCAAGGTGGTATACTAACCAGAACGCCAGATCGGTATTAACGGCTTTGGTCGAATTGGCAGACTGGTAGGTCTTCTCTGGCAGAAGTCTTGACATGTGATGAGCATAACTCAATCGGATAACCAGATCTGTCGAATTGCGTACGTATACCAATAATCCCTTGCGATGTTTCGACACATGGCTAATGCGAAGGAAAACACAGTGCGGAACATGACGGCGTCCAAGTGGTGGCTGCCAATGATCCTTTCATCCAGCCAGCATATGCAGTAAGCAGCCCCTGGGGAAAATTCCCTTTTGTGTGACCAGTCGCATCAGATAGATAATCTTATCGCTGGCGACAGGCTTACATGTTGAAATACGACTCGACCCATGGTCGCTTCAAAGGGACGATTGAGGTCGACGGATCTGACTTGGTCGTCAACGGCCAGCGGATTCGCTTCTACACCGAAAAAGACCCAGCCCACATCCCCTGGGGAGAAGCAGGCGCCGACTATGTTGTCGAATCGACGGGTATCTTCAAGAGTCTGGACAAGGCAAAAGCCCACCTCACTGGGGGCGCCCAGAAGGTCATCATCTCTGCGCCCTCGCCCGATGCGCCGATGTTGGTGCTGGGTGTCAACGAATCAGAGTACAAGTCCGAGATGAACATCGTCTCCATGGCGTCCTGCACCACCAACTGCCTCGCTCCGCTGACCAAAGTCGTCCACGACCACTTTGGCATCGTGGAAGGATTGATGACCACAGTTCATTCGTACACTGCGACCCAGAAGACCGTGGATGGTCCATCCGCAAAGGATTGGCGCGGTGGGCGCACTGCCGCCCAGAATATCATCCCCAGCAGCACTGGCGCTGCCAAAGCAGTCACCAAAGTTATCCCGGCGCTGCATGGAAAGCTGACAGGCATGGCTTTCCGCGTCCCGACCCCCAACGTGTCCGTTGTCGATCTCACGGTGCGCACGGAGAAACCCGTGACGTACGATCTGATCAAGCAGACGGTTAAGAGGGCTTCAGAGAATGAGCTCAAGGGTAGGTAAAGAACGGGCCCTTTTTTTCTTGCGGCAGATCTGATTTTACTTTCCCTTGTTGTAGGAATTCTGGCCTATTCGGAAGATGATCTAGTGTCGTCCGATTTGAACGGCGACACGCACTCGTGTATCTTCGATGCCAAAGCCGGCATCTTGCTGAACGACCACTTTGTCAAGCTGGTTGCTTGGTACGACAACGAATGGGGATATTCCTACCGAATTGTCGACTTGATCCGTGAGTGTCCAATCTCCTTGTTGGAAACTCGGTTATGCTAACACTCCGTAGAATACATGGCAGGCATTGATTCTGCCAGATAAGCGGCTCGGATTTTATGAGGGCCGTCTTCCTAGGCAAAGTTGCGATCGGGTGTGCAGGGGCAAGGATGCTGTCTGGGGGAGTGGCCGATAGCGTGCTACAGGGCGGCTTGTAGAGGGTTCAGTCTCTAGTCAAATTGTCTGTCTTTACACGTAATGCGAGTGATCATAGATAATAATGCAACTCTATACTGTAACATATGGGTCCGGTCGCTTCCATCGTCGCAAGTCATCATCTGCTTCGTACTTCTGTACTGTAGCTTCATGTCCATGATAGATACCTATCCACGGTAATGTCCAGTTAATTAAGTTAACTAGTGAGATAACTAAGTTGACTAGAACCGATGACTCAGCTATTCCGGGGGCGTACATAAGCCGATCAGCGACATTGATCGTCCCTCGTGGAGATGGCAGAGTTCCTGGTCTCCACCGTTGGCGCCTCAATGTGGTCCGTGAAGCCCCCGCGATCAGTTTGACAGGAGTCCAGATCGAACGACCGTATGGTAGATAGTTGTAGTAACGTTAAGCGCGCGATCCCCATACGGTCAACCATTGCCAGGATGCTCACATGATCATACTGATTGATTAATGAGAGCTTAGAGTCTCCCAACAATGCGAAGGGATGCTGGAGATAGGAGGACAGGACGGGGGGGTTAACGAGAACAGGCGCCATCTAGGAGGGCGGTCATTATCCGGAGGGCCAGTCCGCGCGGAACCGCCTGAGTCGTGACGTCGAACAGACAGGGGAAATCATGTCTAACACTGATCCATCGCGTTCTTTGCAACCGAAAGAGGATTGGTTGTATACGTCGTGTAGAGTATGGAGTAGATATGCCATCTGGCATATGGTATGTATGCACAACACCTATCCTGGCCAGCAGTGATGTTCGCCAGTCAGTCGGTTCGTTCCCCCTGTCGCCAATGCCATGATGGTCAGGTTGCCAATTTGGGCGGCCGGGTGCGCAGTGCCGTGAGATCGGTGGCTTCCGATGAGGTGAAGCAGAAGGAGAATGAATGAAGGGAAAAGAATAATGTTGGCCTGATTCTCGCTCTCCTGATCCCGAGCCGGCCCTCCGCGAAACAACGCGCCGACCTTTGGCCGATCTCCACCATCGGCACCGGCCGCACGCCACGAGCTGAGTCATCCAGTGCTGGCTTTCATAATCAGCGCCAGAGTCTATCGATTTAGCACAATCAGCATAATTAGCATCTCGCCGTCAAGTTAGCATCCCTTAGCATCTGCTAGCATCGCTTAGTCTTCTCTGTTAGCATCCCAGCTTGCACACTGATTGGATCCCAACGGCGACAGCATCGTTGCTTCTGTCAGTTACCACTCTCTTCGTTCTCCCCGTCCTCTCGGCTCCAAACACGGCACATCCGATTCAGCTCCTCCCCTGTCTGCTGGCCGAATAACAGCAATTGTGGGCGATTACTCGTACATGCGAATACGTATCGTCCCGTAGAGTAACTAGCATGCTGTACTCTGGACTTCTGATGTCGCCGGGTAGGACCGGAGTCGTCTGGAGGGGTTCTGCTCCAATCCCAGCTCCCTGTCGTCCTCGATGCTGATCTAGATCCCTTCGGACAAGTTGATCATGGAGCAAATAATCCGCAGACTGCGCTCATGGCAAGATCCAGCGGGGAAGCTCCTTTTCGAAACAGCCTCCGAACGATAGCAGCTTTGCTTTAGTCTCAACCTCTCTCCGTTCTGACAGACAGAGCCGTCCGTTCTGTCGGGACTTCGATACGGCTGTCATGCTCCGTTGCGTCCTGTACTTAAGAAGCGCCTGCCTGCACCCCGTCCCAGTCCAGGACCTGAGCACGACTCTCTCTCTCTCGTATTATCAAACACACAAAGGCCCTTTAAAGTCCCTCCGTTCAGATATATCTTGACAATCAGAACGTCTCTCCATCTGATCTGTGCGCCTCTTGTCATTTCAACCCCTAGCTTTCGCGGATCAATTGATTTCCAACCATCTTTGACCATGGTACGTGCTCCTGAGTCTGGGGTTACAGCGCCACCCGCCCTTACCTGAGAAAAACATCGGGTGCTGACCGTCTCTCAGGACAACTATTCTCGTGGCATGCAGTTAAACAGACATTCTCTGGACATGTCTCCGTGCTTTGAAGATCGCATGTCTCTTGCAGACGTCGACTTTCCAACGCTGTCGGATCTTTACTATCTTGATGCGGACAAGTCCTTGAGCGACGCTGATCTGTTCCGCTGGGATGCGACTGAAGACCCATTTGCATTCGACTTTTCCATGGATACCTCCATGAACAACACTGCTGCTGCTGCTTCTTCCAACCCGAAGGCCGTCTTTTATCAAAACCAACTGAACGACCGTCACCTCTCCTGCGGATCGATCTTTTCCGTATGTGGATCACCTCTTTAGCGAGATTCGCACTGCGCGCATTACTAACGATCAATCGCTCTACAGGACCTCGACAGCGAAGGCGGATCGCTATCACTCATCCAAAGCGGCAACAGCCTGTCACCCGTGCTGTCAGATCTCGATTCCCAGTCGCATCACACCCCTCTCGCTAGTCCAACTTCTCTGCGTCGAGAGGTTCCCGTCACGCCAGAGCAGATCACTGCAGGCTCTCCAGCCCTCCAGCCGACGACCTTGAGCCCACACGCCATATCTGAGTGCGGTGATCTACCCTCTCCAATGATGGGCCCTGCTCAGACGCAGTCGGCCAAATCCTCTTCATCATCAAAATCGTCGCAGCGTTCCTCTCGTGCTTCCCACTCAGCCGATGACACCAAGGACACTGTTGCCAGCAAGCGTAAGGCTGCCCACAACGCCGTCGAGAAGCGGTACCGTACCAACATGAACGCCAAGTTCATGGCTCTGGGCAACGCCATCCCCAGTCTGCGTGCCAACAAGTCCAACAGCTCCATGAACAGCAAGGGTATCAAGACCAACCTCAAGGATGGCACGCAGACGCAGAACAAATCCGAGGTCCTTACCAAGGCGCTGGCGTACATCCAGGAGCTCCAGGACGAGAAGTACATGCTTCAGAACGAGCTCTCCTGCCTGAAGGATAACCTCCTTCCCAGAAATGTCTGGCGCAGCTCGAAAAGGCGAGATGCGTGAGGATTGAAAAAGAAAAAAAAGAAAAAAGAAAAAACAAAGACAAAAAAAAGCTTTTACGATTTTCCTTTGTCAAGGGTGTTATGGCCATCTGAATTTATGTACAACGCCTTCTTTTATGATTTCTCCACGGAAATTTACGCTTATATGTTTGTAATGACCTATGAACTAGTGCAAGATACATGTCTAGTACCTAATACAAAATGTCATCGGAGCAGCCGTCTTTCGCCTCGGTGGGGACGCGCTGACCTGGCGTCTATCGCCCTTTCATTCTATCCCCTTCTCTCTGAATGTCCTGCAAAATTGTAGTCAATTCCCTAACATATTTACTCATCCCAATCCAGAACCTGAGAAGTCACACCACTGTTTCCCCCTTCTCCTCCCCAAGCACTTCCATCATCACCATTGACTGACATCTACTCCAGAGGACAGAATCATAACATCAACACATCATCCATCTTCAAATGGAGTCGCACGAAGTTCGAATAAACGAAGTCCCACAACCGAATCGGATCACATCCGAATCTGATCTCGACGATCATCTCTCCCGATCAGACACCACCTTGCAGCTTACACCAGATTAGGTGGCCCCCTTGACCCTTTCCCCCACCGCGGATAATACATCCGGCATGCAAATCAGCAGTTCTTACCATTGTCTCAAACTCGGGACTTCAGGGGCAGAAATATCTTCCACCCTGGCAGGGTGGGTCGATCGTCCCTAGCATCATGTCCTGGTAGAAAGAGTTCCTGGGAAGGGGGGAGGGGCGTTCTTAGTTTATCTACCTTTGCATAGGGCTGGAGTGGAGTATGAGGGGGTGTTATTTATGGTGTTTATGGAGGATTCTATATTTGGAAACAGTAGTGGATACTATGTATGTATTTATTTCTGGGGACTGAATACTGCGTAGGTACTACTCTCTGATTTGAGTAATACCTACTCTATGGTATTATATATGGTGTATATTGGTTGTGTTTGCTGCTGTTTGTAGTAGTATCAATGCTATATTCTTGCTCACAGTGTGAGATGTAGATAGAGGCTTTGGAAATGTACTTATACACCTGTGTATTTATATATTTGATTTATATTACATATATATAGTTTTACTATACACTACAAAAGGTATAGATTAATTAGTTAATTATCTATAGCCTACTATAAATCTGAATTCAAGTTGAAATAAAAAACCACACCTCCTAATGGATCTGATCACACAGCATCATCACGTATCACCCCTCGCTGCTTCTGCAATGACTTTAATATCCGAACCAATATGCCCACGCCCAAAGGCCCATAATCGTACAGAGAAGAGCATGATCGCCCACGTGACGATGAGGTAAATGTGGAAAGATCACCCTTCCCCTTCCATCTAGACGAGGAATGAGATCTCCACCATAGCTATGCCGACGACGAAGGCCGGGGTATAATAATTCTCGAGATATCATCCCAGATAGACGCGTAGATAAATTCATTCCTCGTCAGAAAACATGCTAGGTGTATGTGTGTGGTGGTTTACTTGGGTCCTTTCGAGCTGTAATAAGTACAAGCCATAGATAGATATAGATAGATCTTAGCGATGAATATCACATTACATTATATCATATCAGGATGACTCCGAGTATATATATATGAACGATCGCACATATTAGAATTGCTCCGTGGAGTATTTGCGTAATTGGTGTTATATACCAGTTGTAGTAGAAGATCTAATATCGAAATGCATGGAGTATGTATTAAGATCCACTAGAGTAGTTCTTGTAGATTTTTTAAATATAAAAGTTCCTGCTGAATAGCTAGCTTGCCAGGGGAATTCTCCAAATTCAGAACTTAACTTACCTCTTAGTCTGTTAAGCTATTACATACCTCTATTCATTCTATTTATCCTTAGAGAGAGAGAGAGGGGAAGGGGGTTCAGATGCTATAGCATTATACAATTAACTCTTCTATCTATCTATTTTTTTTCTTATTCTTTACACGGTCCATCGATCTATTTTATTTATTTATTCAAAGATACGTCATGTTTAAGTAACTTTTTTTAAATTTATACTGTAGTTAGTACCATGGTATCTCAAAAAAAAGAAAAGAAATGGCCATCAGGACGTGACAACCGTACTAACTAATAATACTTAATATTATTACCAAGCTGCGACATAATAGGTCATGACTCGTACATACATAGTTAGCTGTGCTATTACCTATATGCCTTATCTGGCGCGATGTGTTATGCTTTATTTATTATATTTTATTTTTACAGCAGTTAGTGTCTTTTGAAGTGTCTCTGGGATAAATAGCAATACTTACACAGTAGCATGGAAGGAAGGTCCTGATTTATCGCCTCGATAGCTCAGAGATTACATATGTAGTTTTGCTATTCTAAGATCCATACTAGAATTTATAACTAACTTCGTCAATATACAGAGCTTCTAGTCAGGTGCTTAATCATATATGCTGTTTCCCAGTAGGAACTATTATTATAGTCCCCTATAATCTATAACCATGCCTAATCTTTATCAGATAATTACATATACGGAAATCGGACCCCATCACATCCCATGCTCTACAAATAGGTTGCATACAACTAGAGAAAAGTGAAACAACAATTGATAAAAAAAAAGGCTGAGTCAGCGACGCAAGAATAATACTCTTTTTCTTCGTGTACGTGAGTATTGCGCATATATGCACGCCACATAATATATATGCCCATGCAGAGTAAGACTGGAAAAAAACAACAAAACAGAAAAATCAGAAAAGACAGTTGCTGTACTGGGTATCTGATAGATAATAGGAGACGGAAGAAAAATCCCAGAATGGATGGAAGCATCTGAAATCATACCCCGGAAGGGAATCGTATCCGGTCATGATGCTAAATATAAATAAAAAATGCGACCGAAAAAAGAGAAAGCAAAGATACCACCAACGACTAGAAAGACTCCTTATACGGCACATGAGACACGTCATGTGTCCTCGCGATCCAATTCCTGAATATCGGGCGACATTGCTCCTTTCTCCACCGACGTGGTAAAGCTGGCCGGCGAATCTGTCCCTGTACTGCCACTATTAGACGAGAGCACAGGTCCTGCCGCAGTTGGTCTTATAGGAGCACTGTCCGTACCGCTTCTGCTTGCCGCTCGATGTCTTACTCGCGTCGGAGAGGTTATGGTCGATGGAGGGGGGCTTATCGCCTTCGCCATGGGCTCGCCGGCCTTGTCAATATGACTGCCCGCGGTGCCAGATGCAACGCCAATTGACGGGACAGAGTCCGCATATCCTCGCCATTTTCTCCAGCCTTCAAAGTCAATGAGAGCTTGCATGCAGCCCCATTCCGTCACCTTCTGTTCCAACCATGGGAATCCAACAGGCTAGAAGAGCAGTTAGCAAGACCCGCATCGACCGTAGCAATGAGTAAAGAGGTAGATACGCACCTTTGTCAAGAAGTCGTTACAGCCAGCAGCCAAGGCTTCATGTCTATCGCTCTGCAAGCTGCTGGCTGTCAATGCAACGATGATGACAGGACTCTTAAACAGCGACAGGTCCTCGAGCACGTCTTCTTCCCTCAACTGATTCTGGGAACCAGGTAGGCCATTCTCCGAAGGGGAAGTTGCGGTGGTGCTAGCTGCGCTGGAACGGCCCGAAGCGGTCTTCGAGAACACTCCTATTCCGTTCAGACGCTCCAACCGCCGGATCTCTTTCGTTGCCTCCAGACCGTTCATCACTGGAAGCTGAATATCCATCAAGACAAGATGAAATCCGCCTTGTCGCCACTTCTTGACAGCCACTTCGCCGTTCGGAGCACACTGCCAACGAACGCTCAGACGTTTCATAAAGGCCTCCAAGAGCTTCTGATTGATGACATTGTCCTCCACTATAAGCACGTTAATCGGCGGGACAGTGCCTTCAATAAGTCCACCGAAAGCTGCTCCGGGGGATGTTACACCGTTGTTCTTCTTGGGCTTCCGAGGTGGGCGGGGAGAAGGCCCACGAGCGGGAGGAGTAAGACTCTTAGCTTGAGGAGACTCTGGTGGGGGTGCTGGCGGTGTCGGAATCGATGGTGCAGGTGTTGGAGCCTGACCATTTACACTAGGAGTGCCATCTAGAGGAAAGAAAAAAAAGTATCAGCATATATTCGAAAGCGCAAACAACCTGGTGATCAATATACCTTTTGCCACGGCTGCCGATGCAATAAGGGTAGGGGAGTTTGTAGGATGACGAAGAATACCAGGCCGGCGTTGGTGTCGATGAGACCGACCTCCTGGGGACGGTAGTGGAGGCACCTTTCCGGTCGTGAGAACAGATATCGAGGGAGTCTGATGTACACCACTTACGCCGCTCCCCGTAGAAACAGCACTGGATCCGTGTGCTGGAGGGGTCCCGACGTTGACATTAACTGGCATCAGCGGAAAGTACTCCCCATGTTCACCTGGCTCTGAATGATGGTAGTAAATACCGGGCGATGGCCTGGGTGTCCGTCGCTGAGGGGTATCAATGATCAGTGCTTCTTGTACACTCTGTCCACCGGGATAGTAGGTATCGATAACGGCGACCAGGGACTCCTCCGGATTCAGTAATCGTTCATGACGGTTTGAACCCTCCCGCGGTGTAATCCTAATCAGCAAGTCTGGGGAGTCGACACTCTTCCCAAGCGAGTTGGGATACTTCCACATAACATTATCACGTAGGTCATCTACCAAGTCCTCCTCCGACACAGTCACCAACGTCGCAGACGCACCGGGTCGTTTGACCCATATCTTACGTGTGACCATCACGGGCGGTGCTGTGGCGAACGGGTTCGAGAACTGATCCCCGTGCTGAGACAGCAGCCCCGGCTCCAGCAGGTTCTTGACCAGATGCTGCTGGGAGAGTGGGAGGAGGGACTGCCGTCGCACAGCAATGCTGGGGCGTTTGAAGTTCCCTGGAGTGGCGGGTGCGAGAGGAGGCCTCGGGGTCGACTGCGAGTGAGACGGGGCCTCGGACACGGAGACAGTAGGAGGGCTCAATTGAGACTGGCCAGTGTAGACAGCTCGTTCCCGACCCTGGACGGTCGAATATGCGTCCGACTGCCCTGATACCGGACGCGAGATGGACGTGGTCGAGGAGGGCGTAAAAGCTGGATCGGTAGTGGGCGTCCGGGGCGCAGAGCCGGCGCGGTCTGGCGGGACGGTGGAACCGGTCGTTTCTCGTCCTGGACTTCGAACCTGATCTCGAAGACTGAACCTCTTTCTTCTGGTCGCTTTCTGGCCGACGTGCGAGTCGTGGCCGTCGGCACGCGCTCCCAGTGCCCCCTCGCGCGCTGCCTGGTGCGCACTGGGATCGTGCACCGGCCCGGTGGTGGCGTCCGGGTCGACAGCAGGACTGGCAGGAGAGTCAGTATCGCCAGGAGAATCGACCGGCAGCGACGAAGCGCAACTAAAGGGACGGGGTCTCTGGGAGCCCTGGCGGCGCGAGTGCGGAGAGGAGATGGAGAGCGAGCTGGAACTCGAGTTCCCGTCGGGCTCGATGTCCGGATCCGCCCCATTATTTGCTCTCTCGGTCACGGCGGAGGTCGACGATCGCCGCAGCAGCTTCGCCCTCAGCAGCCGCGATAGACGACCGTCCGGCATCGTGAGGACCAGCAGGGCGAGCTTCTCTGGCGGCTGATGGGCGGGCGCGCTCGTCACTTCATCGTCGACTCGGGGCAGACGAGCAAGCAGGTCCAGCACCGGCGACAGGATGGGCGGTAGAAGGCCAGACGACGCAGCTAGCTGGCTCGTTGTGATGGCGGGATAGAAAAGAAAGGACACAGAAGTCCTGCCAGCAACAAAGCCTTGCCCCCACGTCCTGCAAGCAGTAGCTCCTGGAAGAAGAAGAGAGTCGCACGAACTCCCTTCGTTTGAAGGAAGAGAAGCTCTGCTTTGATTACAGAGAAAAGCGCATCGACCAAACCAAGACCGGCTGCGATAGATAGTAAGATAAGAAAAAGACGATCAGGAAAGAAAAGGGAGAGAACAATCCACGGAGGGGGGAAGATGCAACCACGAGATTTACCCCTCTCAGTCTTTTCGATCGGGCGTCTAGTTATACAACCAGCTTGACTACCTACTGGAAGCAGTAGCTCGCATACAATCCCAGGCGAGGAAAGGTTAGGAAACAGCAAATAAATGGCCAGGGAAACGAAAGCTTCCAGGGGAGCTTCAGGCCGCGCGACTCTAGTGAGGAAGTTCTAACTAAGTCGAGATGGTCGTTCGAGCGCGCAGACCAGCCCAAGACCGTCTACTGTTAACTAACAAGCCTAACTAACTACTTAATGGTAATCTCTTTTCTGGTCTCTCCCCTCGTGCGCGCTTGATATACATATCTCTACCCATTCCTGTTCGATTAACTAACTAACCCCCTGAACTCATCTGTTGATAATGATGTGTAAGCTACTACTATCTAAGACCAAAGAAAGCTTCACCAGAACATGTCTGACAAAGCGAGATCTGTTGGTTAGTTATAACTAACTTAACTAACTAATTAGCTAGTTAGTTATCACTTAGTTGGGGTAAGATAGACTGTTTGTTGAGCCAGCAAACAGGCTTATTTACATCTCAACGCATCAATCAGCCGTTACTTATCTGCAGGACAGCCGCATTGCCAAGCAAGATCAGTAACCAGTAGATTACAATATTTGTAGCAGTAAGTTACGACGCCCATGAGCCAAATCGACATTAAGCCAATATGATTAGTTTAGCACATGTAAAAGTAAAATACAACTAATCGTATGCAGTAGTCCTTGACAGCACAACGTTCTATGGTCCAATCCAATAATTATCTATGTACGGTAGCAATCTATCCCTTCCTCTATCAATGCACATGCAAACAGCCCTTGACCTGCAAAAATGCACAGTTCCGTGATATCGTAACTCATCATCAAGCCCATAACACCAGGTATGCAGGACAAAACAGCAAACAGAGAACGCCCACGGTAACAAAGTTGGCTTTGGTTGTTATTGTTTCTCGTCGGTTATCGACAGCTCTTGCTCTTGCGCTTGCTCTTTCTCTGGCTGTCCCGATGCTCCATGACTTTCCAGGTCGCCCGGTCGAGTGGAAAGCACGCCATCTCCACTCTCATTGTGGTCTTCGCTCTCCTTGCTCTGCAACTCGAGCATCTCGTCAACGCTCTTACCAGCCGCCTTGGCTTCCTTGAGCAGCTTGCGATTGCGAATGCGCCAGATGATATGGCTAATGTAAATACCACCTTCTAGGACAACGCTAAAGTTCGGAGAGAGAGGTTAGCATTGCTACCAGACAAGAATCGTCAAGGGGAAGAAGAGGGACACGAACACAATAATGTACATGATTCCTCCTAGTATATCGAAAGACCCCTGCGCAGCTGTTCTCGACCTGTTAGTAAATCTATATCAATTTGTCAAGAACCAGGGACGGCATACCCAAGGCAAACAGGGAGAACAGACCACCTGCAGTGTCCATTGCCAGGAAGAACCAATCTGAAATACGTCAGTGAATCGCACAATAATGCACTGAAAATGCTCCCTGTGACTTACTGATTCCGACTACTCGACCCTTCCTCTTCCGGATCTCAAAATACGGCGGGATCAGCCCGAGTGCGAGCATGACGGCTGCAATGGCACCGAATAGCAGATCTGGCCATGTAATTCCCTTATTGTAGGGTATCTACCGCGATGGATTAGCTTCGTCGTCCTGATGTTCGACCAGGGAGTGCTTGCGTACGCGAAGACAGAGAATAAACATAGTCTCCAGACCGCCGAGAAGTACACCGGTGCCCACAACTGCTAAAGTCGCCCTCCTCAAACTATAGTTACTGCTCGCCAAAGCTTGTTAGCATTTTCCAGCTCGACTAGGCTGCTTCATACACATACTGGTTATAGTATAAGATCTGGCCCCAGCTGATGAGGGAGAAAAAGGAAAACATCTGCGGCTGCACTTGCAGCGGGACGTTGACTTTCTGTAGTAACGAAATCAGCAGGCTGTTCGAGGAGAGTCCTACCCTATCCATGGCCTAACTAGCACCCGTACCTGAAGAATCATGTAAGTTCCCATTGGGACCGCACCTTCAAGAGGATCAAGTCAGTTGATTTTCTCTTAGAGCACGATCTGTATCTGGGGGGGGAAAGAAAGAAAGAAAGAAAAAAGAGAAGAACTCACAAGCTGCCCATAGAAACATCATAACAGGAGGTAATCCATCCGTCTTCTTTTGTCGCCAATTGTACCATATCTGAGGTATCAGTTGAACGCACCACAAGACAGTCCCAATGGTCCCCAGGACGGTGGAAGCGACGGGGATATTATTCCCATCTGATGACATAGTTCTAGCCTAGTCCAACAGGAATTTTAGAGCTTCTTCGAAAGAAGTTAACTGCCTGGAAGGTTGTCTAGAGCTTGCCGCTCGTGACCAAAGTTGCGGGTATGGCAGCGACCAGAGAAGCAGTGCCTTCAAGACATCAGATAATGATATTCACTCGAGATCTGGTCCCCAGGCAATAAGAAGTGTGCGCGAATAGTGTGAGTGATTGGTCGCTTTGGCTTCCGACAACAACGAGTCGGTCACTACGGACACTATTAAAGATCGGTGTACTGCTGTATAAACCCAAATCCAGCTCTAGAAAGGCAGAGAAGCGACAGGGGGAAATCGACTCGTATTAATATAGCATCCAACAAAGACTTTAAGTCACTACGTAAAAACGGAACGAACGAAACGCTGCAACGTCCCAGAGAAAAATAATTAGTATGACTATGGGCTCATAGAAACCCCGTAATGGAAGGTCGGGGACAAGGAAAAAAAGGGAAAAAAAAGCTTGGCTTCATCATGAACACATCTTCTGGACAACCCGGTTTGACCGAAAACGGGACTCCTCATTGGAGGAAACGCAACAGTTGAAGAAGGCTAAGACGAGGCGGGTAAATCAACTGAGTTTCTAACGAGATGCTTGGCCAGACTTTCGCTATCTGCCAGTTTGCTTCGATCGATCCTCTGCTGCTAACTGGGTTGCCGTTGCTCGAAAAGTGTGGGGAATGGCGAGCTTTTCTGCCACTGTAGGCGCTAAGTATGTCGCTTATTTCACTGATTAGGTTAACGGATGGAGAGCGCTGAACTATCAATTAGTTGTTGTTACTCCGCCTTTTGAGTTGTCGATCAACGAGGACATCTAGGCCTATCGATTCCATCTTACTCATGCTTGATCGATTAACTAGTTATCGAAATAACTGGAATAACTGGCATAACAATAGGAGAGTGGTACCTTATCGTTATCATCCATGCCGTAGATCCCAAGACGATCGCGAATCGAGCAATAAAATCCGTCCGTGCTCAGCCAGTACTGATCACTACATTTAGTTCGAGTAGGAGGTTCCTGGCCATCTTCTCGAATTCGGTCCGATAGCGATTGATAACTACTTACCATACACACATCAACCACGGTGGGTAAAATAATACGTGGGAGAAGGCTTGAATCGGAGTCTGGTGGCAATCAATGACGGACGGCACGTGGAAGAATCCGTTCCGCAAATGGAATTCCACGTGCATCTATTCTCCACGTGACCAGAAGTGGTACGCTACAAGATCGATGGAATTAATACTCCGTACGTCAAACCGGAAATACATTGGGAAGAGGATTCGCTGAGGAACTGCACCATACTCGCAGCCTATATGTTACTGTCTTCTGATCACACTATATCCACACTGTCGAACTTCAACATACGCCATCAGTAAGCGCGTCGTGACAATATCAAAAGGAAAGCGAAGGAAAAAGATAAGGCCGCTTCAAGAGGGAAAGCACCTTAAGGTCCTATTGCCAGAGCAAAGGAAAAGAATCTCCACCGTCCACGGTTCCTTGCGGAACCAATGTCCAACATCCCTCTCCGGGATGCAGACGAACAAAGTGAAGTACAAAATGAAAAGAAAGAAGAGGAAGAAGAAAAAAAAAGGTTCGAGTAAGCTATAAATGACTCGGGAAATGGAGAACGTTGCAGAAAAAAAGACAAGAAATGGCCATCAGGACGTGACATGATTTTACAACCAGAATATCGCCAAGACAGATACGATCGCAAGGGTATCATGGAGAGGTGGTAGGGATAGTATACGCCAAGGGAATACGGTCGTATAGCCTGCTTGACCATTAGAGCAGGATGAGGTAGTTGGACGGAGCGATACCGGTCTCTCCGGTCGCTTTCTTCGCCTGCCACCATCGCCCGCTGACATCGGACACTTCAAGGATCTCATGCTTGGCAAAGCTGATTTCGTTGGCATCTTCAGGATTGGCCTCATACGAGTAGATGGCCTTTGCCCGGTATGGATATTCGGTTGGTTGAGCTAGTTCCTCGCCACTTGTCGTTCCAACAGCGGCAGCCGGGGGAAACTGTGGCATAGACGAGTTCCGGTTTTGCGAACCGGGGGCACCACCCGCATGGCCAGACACGGGCGTCGATGTCTCGAAGCCGTTGAGTTGGGCAGAAGTGTACATTTGAGGCGTCTGGCTCGATGTATCCGGACGAGCTCCGTAGGCGTTAGACATAGGCCTGCTGTCGCGGTAAGAGCCTTGTCGTTCCTTGTGAAGAGCGAACGAGTCGATATATTCGCGGTGCGCAGCCTGTGGCGTTGATCCGAAATAGAATACCCAGACAATCTGTGACAGCGTAAGCAACTAGCCCGAGCGGACATCTGGAGTGATAAGACGCACAATCACCATAGACAGCAGAATAAATCCAGCGGCAGCCGCCTGTTTCGAAGACTGCGACTGATAGACAAGCGAGTTCACACCGAGTGTTGTAAATACCAGTCCTGCCGCGAGATAACCGACGATCTATGAACGAACCGAATCAGCGCATAGCCAAACGGGCGAGGTACTGGGACAATATGGCAATCATACCGCAACACCATATACTAAGCTAGTATCCGAGCCTATAACGACCGTGACCCCGACAATGATACAGAGCATGTACGCAACAGCCCACCAAGCATAGTTTGGAAAGTCTGACTGGATGTTTGCGACAATACAAGCAACAAAGGTGATCAACCAGGCGAGCTGTACGGAATATTGTTAGCGGACCCGTTCATCCCATATCCAGACTCCCGAGTTTCGTCGAATACAGAGAGCGCAAACCACATACTATGGATATCGAAATCGTCGCGAGTGCGAACGGGTCGCCAATGACGTTGGCCACTCTGAACCTCGCCATTCCGCTTCTCTTATTCTCTGAAAACGGATTGGGCTTTTGAAAAGATTGCGAATCCGAGTATGTCACCATGAAGAACCGGGAAATTCTCCCTCGTTGCGTCGATGGGAATTGAATAGGGACTCGTGTATTAGGAGAGTCTCAGAAAACAAAATGAAGCCGTCGAGAGAGAGAGAGAGAGATGAATATACGTCTTCTAACGGGGACGTTGACGGCGCGCAAGATGTGAGGCAATACTGGCAATAGAGTTAGGACAGCTGTATTGAGTTTGGATCAAATAAAAATTCCATCATGAGCATCACAGAGTCAATCGGTCGACCAACGTCATGCAGCGATCGACTGGAGCGTCACGATCGGCCTTTCGTACCTTTGGGAGGGGAGCGAAACGAGTGTGATGGGAGTTGAGTGAGCGTGTGGATGTAGAGTTGAGCCCCCAGGGACACGAAGGCAGCACCAGGCTGAGGGGGTAAAAAGAAATACGAAACGTGATCGGAGAAGAATAGACTATGAATGAACGAGAGGATGTCGATAGACGACGGGACTTGAGACCTCAGGATGGATGGGCAAAAGGACTGGAGGTGCCTGAAGGTGCAAGTCGTGTCTCAAGCGGCTCGAAAAGGAGTTCGAAAGACGCCTGGCTGGTCGGCTCGCGGGCCTAGCGTTTCAAGACCGGCAGCGGGCCACGATCGCAGTGGGCCAGCGGACGTGGATGATGGTCGACTCTCCGTCTCTCACGGACTCCAAGACGGCCCTGGACCCCAGGATCACCAGTGGAAATGACCGGTGGAGATGGAGTCGCACGCCTTGTCCTCACCGTTTGATGGTCCCTGCGGCCGATGGATCATCGTTGCGAGCGCCGTCGGGGTTCGAGACTCGAGATGACAGCGCTGCCATCGCCAATCCACGCCCGCGCTGGCTCGGCGCGATGGGAATCCTTACTTTGATGATGCAACACAGCCCTGCAACTTCTTCAAAATCCAACACTTCTCCTCTATCTACACTAAACGGCCCAGGCCAGTGCGTTCCAGCAAACCCATGGGTCTCCAAGTAAGGCACCGCCGGCAGCACCCGCAAGAACCGTCCATAAGGCAGTGTTTGGCGCCAGCAACGTGCATGAAAGTGGCTTGGTCGGTGAAGCCATCAGCATTCTTGTTGAATACTCGAAGTGGCTCAGAGAGACAATAATGAGGTGGCACAGCCCTGCCCTATGATACATACGCCTTTTCTCTCAGGTCTCTACAGCCGACGATTCAACCATCCGGAAGAATGCCAGATCATAGATGGTACCCATGGATCGATCCCACTGTTGCTCCCCGCGTACCAAGAAATAGGACATTACAGTGGGGGAGCCCTGGAGCATACTGAAAACTCTGAAAAGAAAAAAAAAAAGAGAAAAAACAAAAAATACTACTGGCAAGCATGAATGTGCCTATATGGCCCCAATAATACCCTGCGACTTTAATCCTAAGTACGTGGTGTTTCTAGACTTTCTCTGACCCGAGCCTGGGATACGTACCGCAACCCCGCCGTGTGGAGTCGTACAGCGTACTCTGTGTGACTCGTATAGAAGTTCCGGAAGAAGCAGCAGATCGGATAGAAATTATGGCGGCAACCTGCACATGCGAGCAAGACTCATACCGCCAGGTACGACAAGCGCCACCTCAGATACCCGACGCGTCGACTCTAGATGAGACACCGCCATGCTGCAAGCAAAGACTACGCATGAAGTCGGAGAAAGAATCGAGAGATTTTAGACTTCACTCCGAGGTGTTAGGCGTATTGCTGAACCATGCTGTCGGACTCATAGTAGCCTTGTGATATCATCACTATAAGCAAGCAGCTAACTACTACATACTGGGTATCAGATTCCAAAGCCCATTCTGTCCCACAAACGAATACCCTACCTGAGTTGGCGACTATAGCGAGGAAGGGACAAGTCAACTGCGATTCGCTCGCCATTCTTACAGAGGAAAGGAAACCTTACGTTCTCCAAAAGCACAATGCACTTTGTATTACATCAACAGGGTCAAGACCAACAAGCTAACCGGAGAAGTAACGAACCGAAAGCAGCATTGAACAGATGATATCATATGCTATCTGTGAAGCAAGAAAGAGGAAGAGAGAGAAAAAAAAAAGAAAACCAGGCTTAGCGCAGATCTCCCTTGCAGGGAATGCACAATGCTCCATACACAATCTGAAACGACTGTGGTTGCTTGTCTTGAACCTTAACGCCCTTGAACTCCAGCGAACCCCTCGGTGGTATCTATCCAGCTAGCCACGAACGAAGACAAGGAAAAGGCCCCCATCTCAACGAAGCCCGCCTCCGCTGGGACAGGGGTGCAATGACAGAATCAGATGTCATATAGATCAGATTTCACGTGCTCTCTTCTCCCTCACAACCTCCTCTCTTCTCACCTCCCGATCGACTTCTTCCAACCTCCCCTCCCAATCGACCCAGCACTCCCCGCCACCAACAAGTCCAATCTCATACCACCGCTGCAGCACCCTCGCGCTGCGCGTTCTCAATTCGGATACTTCCTTCGCTTGCTCTTCCTGCACCTGTGCGAGGCGATCCAGACGGGGCTGGAGTTCGACAAGGGATGCAGACGCTTCCGCGTCGGGTATGGGAAGGTCGTTCAGGGACGTGAGGCGGGATGCAGTCTCAGGGAAAGCAGAAGCGTACGACAAGACGATCGACGCGAGATTCTGCACGGTCAAGCTGGTCGGGATCTCTTGTTGTGGGATAGAGCGGAATAGATCCGGATGGCGGTCATCTGTTGTAGTTGAATCAAATCAAATCAAATCAGCAAAACCCGGGTCTCGCAATGGTTATCTGGGCCCCCTTCTAAAACACAGCTGGAAAGCACTAACGAAGCTGAAGAACATCATGAACCGCCGGGATTGTTTTGCTGAGCGCTTGCAATCCGGTCTCTAGACGCGCCAACCGACGCGCAACTGTATCATCAAGACCGTCTGGCCTCGGGGCTGGTGTAGGTTCTCCGGTCCAGTTCACATCGCCTGTAAGCAAATATTCCAGGCGGCGCAGACGAGCTTCCAGGAGCTCAATCGTCGATCCAGCGATCGAATCGCTTTCAACCGTCATCGTTTCATGAAAGACTGAGAACGCTTTGTCTTTCGAAATGGTTGATTCAATTCACATCTTCTGCGACCGGATCGTTGGTAGATCGGAGAGCGTCGAGTTAATGCAAACAAACCAAACATAACGGAGGTTCACATACGATGCCGACTGGCCAATCATGTCAAATACGCATGCTTATAGTAGAATTTGATCTACTCAAACTTGGTTTGCTACTCTGTGACTCGCTATATCATCCTGAATAATGCCTAGAGGTTTGGAGTGCATCTGAATCTATGGTATAAGTTGTAGGTATGTACTTTATGCATTCCTGACTAGGGAACTATGCTAACTGGCCGTCTCAACGTTAACACATTTGTTCTACATCATTCGTTTCGAGGTTTTGTTTACTGGTTTCCGCGCAGTCAGGGGACTACTGCCCACTACTGGATAGTGACTGGGTGAATAGACTCACCCCTCCCTTTTCCTGCATCTCCTGTCCCTGAACTGTACCCTGGTCGGACATAGGTGCCTCGTAGTCGGCAGAATTCTCGCTGTTGGCCGGCGCTGAGTCAACCGGAACAGGCTGAGTCAAGGACAGTGATTGTCCATCTTTAGTTTGTTCCCCTGTTTGCTCCTGCGATGGTGATTGTTGCCCATCCTCTGGACCCTCGTCCTGTAATTCACGTTCCGCTTCCTTCAGCTCGAACTCGAAGGACTCGTTGTCCCTTTCGACGAATTCCTAGTACAATGTCACAAATAGTCTCGAAGAAGATAGGAATTTTCATTCTCACCTGAAGGGGGGTTGGAGCTGGACTCTCCCCAAATTGGACAGCGCTACTGTTTGCATAAACAAGCAAGACGCTTTTCGACTCTTCTCGTGCTGCTCTGAGAACCTCGATTTCCCGAACCTTGCGAGCGGTGTAACCAATAACGTCTGTGTTTGGCGGTGCGACGTACTTTCCCGTGCCATTACTCTTACTAGATTCGGACTGTTGTGTCTTAGCATCGTCAGTAGAAAAGCTGATCCGCCACCACTGCCACCCTTGCTGCGGCTTGTCGATATCCATTTGATCCTCAGAACGGCGTTCCGCACACCGTCTGAGAACATATGTTATATGCGGCTCTGTGCATACACCTCGCAAGGTGTACTCACAATGAGGTGGTTCGTCAGGTGAGGCAGAAGGCTCGGTAAGGGTTTTGGAATAACCCCGGAGGGTCTCTAAGGCATTTTGTCTTCGCACTTCGAGCTCTATCATAGTATAGGTTAGCCATATGATCCTCTAGCTGGTTTCAGGCTTTTACCTTTCAGCTTCTGCTCAATCTTTTCCGATATAGCGCGTAGCTCATTAGCAAGTCGCTGGCCTTCTGCGTTTGCCGCTTCCGGTGTCAAGGAATCACCTGTGGCGCCATTCGCGAGGTTTTTAGGTAGAGCCAACACTGCTGCCGCAGCTGCTTTCTCAAGTATCTCTTTCGACGTAAAGCCTTTGTTGACCAGTGACCTGGAGACAGTGAATCGGTCCATGACATTTTCCAGCTTGGCAATCTCCTTGTAAGCTTCAAGCCGGCTGGTGCGGAATTCACGTGCAATGTCTCTGCAGGCACGAAGATAACGATCAGGGTAAAACGTAGCAGGTATTTTCACTTGAAGCGATGTAGCTGACGGCTTAGGGTTCTCCAATCGGATAGTGAGGACATCAGCCACACGTTCCAACCACACGTAGTCAAGCTCTTCACCCGGCCTGTCGGCCCATACTGTACGATCCAGGACATCATATAGCGTCTGGCCTTGTTCCGGCTCTTCAAAACATTCGAGCGTAACGAAACTCCTCTCGATCGGCGTATCTGTGCCGGAAAGTGACTGCTTGACTGCGTGAGAAGAAAAAACCGTTGTTAATTTATTCTCTGGAGATGCGCGCTCCGCTGCTGCAGACCACGTTTCCAGAAATTTAGGTACAGCAGCGTCAGGCCCGTATGTCGACATTGATCTGAAACTCGCCAAGGCATCGACACTCCCAAACGCACGTTCTGTGGAATCCAGAAAGGCGATTGATCTCTGAGTTTCGTACAGGATGTCATCCCAATCATCATCATCGCTATAGACATCGTCAAGTGAAACAATCTTGGGGGTGTTGATAGGTTGTCCGTTCCACCATTGTGGGTCATAACCATAGTCCGGCAAGACCTTCTCCCGGAGCAGAAGCGCTTCCCTGGCCAGCGGAATGGAATGAAGAATGGTGAGGAGACCTCCCAGATGCAGGCCTTCTTGGGACGGGCGAAGAAAAGCAGGCTCATCGCTGACCCGTGCGCGGTCATGAGGATCTGGGCTGATGATCGCTTCACGGGAGCTGGGGTTAAAGAGAGTCATGGCCCACTCTCCCGAGTCATAGTGATCTCGCGTTGCAGGCCCGAAATTTGGCCCAGCACTGCTCGTAACCCCTATCTCTTGTTCTCCAAAACTTTGGTCCAGAGACATTGCCATCGCCTGCTGCAGATCGCGCTCTTCTCGCTCCGCTAGAGTCAACCCTTCCGTATTATTTTCTGCTCCTTGAGCAATTGACGTCAATTCACCAGAACTTCGTTAAATCCGTGGGAGGTCGTCTCACCCGTTGTATTCGCAGCGGATAGATCTGTCTTCTCGCCATATCTAGGCGCATCAGGCGTTGGCTGCATATTGACGCGCGAAGGAGGCCGTGACGGAGGTGCTACATAGTTGCTGCTAGGAGCAGGCTCGGGATTCTCGATGTTGAAAGCTAGAGATGTCAGGTATTGAGAAGTGGAAATACCCGGTCCGTACTTACAGGGAATATCCTGACCACCGAAGAACTGCGTGGCCTACAGTCCGGTCAAACATCATTTCTTGATCAGTTCGGGCAATCCAAAAGACTAAGTATAGCATGGAGCTTCACCTCTGGCTGAGGGCCGGCGGGGTTCTCGAAGTACGCATTGATGGCTTTTTGGGAATTGAGATCGTTCGCCTATGCAGGAAAAAAGGTCAGTATGGGCTAAAAGTAAAGAACAAATACATCGCAATCACCTTCAAGTAACTGATAGCTTGCTCGCGCGAGGTGCCTGTGAAGCTGACAAAATCCGTGATAGCTTCCTCCGAAGGTTCGGCCATCTTTGGAGCCTTGTCCACTCAACGACCCCGGTCAGGAAAGCGAGAAGATAGGGAGGAGCTCGCGGAGCGTAGTGAAAGGGCGATATATGAGTGTTTTGAAAGTATGCGACTATCCGGAGGCGATCCCGGTATTGCACAACGCGACATAGGGAAGTCCTGAAGCTCGCGTTGGTTGACGCCTTCCGTCAGAGCTTCCCCGCCGCATCGAGAGTGACATCGGCTGCCAAGCCCCGAAGTCCATCCAGGATCCCAGAGAAAACAACATCACTTCCATCATTGCTAATTCTGGTTCAAACGTTTGCATATTTCTATTATCAGCATGCAGCTCTGCAATGTGGCTGTTGTCCTAAATAAACGCCTGCATCATCTCACAACAGCGTGCATCTGCCCTTTGTTCAGTTGTATATCGATACTATCCATAGAAACTTCTAAGAGTTACCACTTTATTGGACTGAACCTGTGGCCATTTGGATGCTTTGTACTATACATAGTACCAGACTAACATGTCCGAGACGATAGCATCTGGGGTGGAACAAAGATTCAGGATCACCATCTATCTAAGAAACCCAGCCTTTGTATAGTGAACTTATTGTCTCGGGACATCCAGCAAACTTCCTGGGCAAAGGAAGATGTGGTTCAAGTAAACTGGGTTATTGCAGCAGAAGCGGGAGAGCACAGTCACGTCGTTGAGGCAAACAACTCAGTGAGGTTCTCTCATCATCTTAGCATACTTGCATCAATTTCAACAATGTCATCGAATGAAGGCTCCGTTCTTGGGACAGAAGATTTCCAGGATACATCTATACAGGAGTTCACAGTCGCTACTAATGGTGACCACTCGAGGAGCGACGACTCCGTCGGCGAACCGTATCAGAATCGGATCTTCAGAATGAGGCAGCGAAGACGTAAGGTTCTAGCAGCCATTTACTTCGATATTAACCATGTTTCTATTCTACGAAGGTTCTTCAGAGCACGACGAGGAGCCGGTGCAGCTCACCATGGGATAGTCAGATATATATCAGAGTGTACCCATGCAGCCTCCTTCATTGACCGTGTTGTTGGACAAATGGCTTATGCTCATGGCTTGGAACCCTTCGATCTAGACTGTGAAATCGAAACTCAAGTACGTCGGTCTAAAGAGCGGCGTTCTGTTGCACTCGTGACGCAACTTGGATGGAAATTAGTTGCGATATGCGCACACTCGGAGGCTTTTCGACGGGCTTGCGAGGAGATGGACAGAACGCAATGGATTATGCTCCTTGGAGAAATATCGCAGAATGGCCGAAGTCTCGAAATCTTTGCTAGATCGAGGAGTCTCGAGTGGCGTGGACCGCTCCTGCATCACCGCACTCGCTCTATATACGAAACGCTCACTCGCGCTGACATCGATCTTACTGCCATTGGGCATCCTCATCATCTTGTCAGGATGACAGATGGTCGTGTAGCTTGCCCCACCTATGAGGATAAGCTCCAAGAGCACATCGACCGATATATATTCCGCTCTAGTGATTGGCCACTTGGTAAAAGAGATCCTACCACTCGCGTCCCAGCGGATGGCGAATGCGATCTCTGTTGCTCAAGGAGCATATGCGATTGTACCGTTCCTTCTCTCGCGGGCGACCTAGTGGAAATAGTCCAATACGGCGAGAAGGGTATCGGCGTTCGCGCATTAGCAAACTTCAAGAGGGATGATATCCTCGGTTTATACCTCGGTGAGCTTCGACCCAGGGATTACAAGCACGACCCCATCTACTCTCTGCTCCAGCAACCAAAGGTGAATTGTCCGGGTCGAGAAGTAATTATATCTTCAAAACAGTACGGCAATTGGACTCGGTTTATCAACCACTCATGCGATCCATCCACAATGTTTCGCAGGAGAACGATTGGTGACCGTATTTGTACGACGGTGGAGGCAATACGAGACATCTCCATTTTCGAAGAGATCACTGTAGACTATGGGGAAGGCTACTTTGCTGCCAATAATACTTTGTGTCTCTGCAAAACGGCAGCATGTCGTTATAATAGCCGAACGGGACCTAATGACCAGTCACTTACCGGACCACATATATACAGTCCCTAATATTTTTGAGCTTTTTGGACCGGTCAAGTTTCTTTGGGGTTTCCATACACTCACACATGGGACGTTTGTTTACCTCATTATTGATCTATATAGTCACACGGGTCATATCTACGACATCAGTTCCCTACTACTCAGCTTAGTCAAAAACTCTAGATCATTCAAAGAAAACTCCCTCCCTGCAATACGCCCGATCATGAATGACATTCGCGAAGGCCACATTCATAACACAGAGACTAACCTCAATCGAGCTGAGCTCAGACAATATTCCCGCCTCGGATCCCCGCGCGATCCACTCTGCATGCGGGGAAACCCCAGATTTGCCGGCAGAGATACATACCTAGGTAGTGACGGCCGAGGGAAACCGAGCACCTAAGCCGAAGGGCGTGATGGGGTTCCAGGTACGAGGGGCTGCTTTGACAGGGTTTCCTTAGTTTCTGTTTTTCTTCTTCTTCTTCTTCTTCTTTTTTTTTTTTACTACTATAAATACCAATCCCTGCTCGTTGGAGGCCCTTATATTTGCCTGTCTTGTTCCTCTTATTTACCAACTTACTAGGGAGTGAAGGGGTAGCTTAGCCACCTACCTCGGTAGAGATAACTGATTACTCCTCTTCTTAATGAAAACTTAGGGACTCAGGGCGCTGGAATTCAAGGGTGACAAAGGATGAGAGCATACCATCTCCGTCCGCGTAGAATCGGACCGCGGCAATGGATACACAAAAGCTGTCGGACAGGTAGCCTGTCTTTTGCCATCTACGCGGGGAGAAGAGGTCTCTTAACACAGAGCTATGCTCGTGGTCCTTCAGAAGTAAGTAATTCGATGGATACGACGATTCTGAAACAAAAGAAAAAAGTCAACTGACATATATCATCAATTTTGATTGTTTATAGCCACCCTTATTTGAACAGACAGTAGGACAGCATTTCGCTTCAATTGTTGATCAATACGGAGATAGACCAGCGTAAGCTATGGCATCCCCAGAATTGCGTCCCAGGTATATGACTGACCAGCCCATCACCAAAGCGTAATAGCAAAGCATCAAAATACACGCTTAACATACGATGGTCTTGATGGCAAAAGCAACAGTCTCGCGCGAGGTCTTGAATCCGTCGGTGTTCAGAAGGGCGATCGCGTGGCGGTGATGCTGGGGAATTCAATTGAATATGCAATTGTATGATTCGACACCCATCTCTCTATGAAACTCCATGCAGGAACTCATTTGTTTCAAAGGCTACATACGCTCTGTTCAAGCTTGGAGCGATACTGGTATGTTCGAGGGTCCTTGTCTATCTGTTCTGAGAAAACATCAGACTAAATCATTCCCAGGTCCCTTTGAACCCGTCCTTCAACGTCAGCCAAGTTGCTGCCGCTCTCAGCCACCTCAGTGCGAGCCATTTGATCATCAGTGCCGAAGCCAACCTGCCCCGACGTGGTCCTCGTGACAACATCCCACTTCTCAGACACCTTCTCCCCGATTTGGAGACTCCGAAAATCGAATCAGCCTTGGTACCATCATTGAAGCAAGTTATAATGGTGGATAACTCGTCCGGACGAGTCGACCTCTCTGCTTATAAAAGCTTAACACCATACTCATCCATTATATCTGAGCTGGCATCGGACGGCAGACCACTTGACCCTCGAGACCTCTCGCCACATGACATTGTCAATATCCAGTTTACATCCGGGACGACATCAATGCCAAAGGCGGCTTGTCTAAGCCATCGATCAATCTTGAACAATGGCGCCCAGATAGGCGATCGGATGCGCTTGACACCTAACGATGTGGTCTGTTGTCCCCCACCGCTCTTTCACTGTTTCGGATGTATATTAGGCTATATGGCGACTGCTACACACGGATCCGCCATCGTATTTCCATCAGAGTCATTTAACGCCATTGCATCCTTGAAAGCTGTCCAGGAAGAGAAATGCACCGCACTCTATGGTGTACCGACCATGTTTATCGAGGAACTCAGTCTCCTGGAGAAAGGCGAGGTCCCATATGAAGGATTCCAGTACCTTAGGACAGGAATCGCTGCCGGCAGCAGCGTCCCTGCTGAGTTAATGAGAAAACTCCACAAGACGCTGAATTTGACGGAATTAACAATTTGCTACGGCATGACTGAAACGAGTCCCGTGTCTGCAATGACAGCAACTGATGATCCAATGGAGAAGCGAATCTCGAGCGTCGGGAGGCTGATGCCACATGTAGAGGCCAAGATTGTGAACCCTGCAAATCGCAGTGAGATATTGCCTGTGAATACGAAAGGTGAGTTAGTCGTAAGCGGCTATCTTGTCATGAAAGAGTACTGGGGTGCCCCGGAGAGAACTGCCGAAGTGATGGTTGCAGACCAAGATGGGAAGGTCTGGATGCATGTGAGCCTTCTCATTAAATAGCCTGGTAATTGATATATTAAGCTGACCTATTTCTCAGACAGGGGATGAGGCAACAATATCTCCCGATGGGTATGTTACAATAACTGGCCGGATCAAGGATCTGATCATCCGTGGCGGAGAAAATATCCACCCATTGGAAATTGAAAACACCCTTCTTTCAAATCCAGGCATCTTGGATGTATCTGTTGTGGGCGTTCCAGACGAAAGATATGGAGAAGTGGTCGGTGCGTTTGTCGTACCCAAGGACCAGGGCAAAGGAGCGATAACTATCGACGAGATTAAACAATGGGTACGGGAGAGGCTCAGTAACCACCTCGGTGAGTCGATCGAGATTCTCTTCTCTATCTTTCCTTCATGGGATATCTTCATGCAAGAGACAGCCAGGTCCCCTAGAGGTGACTTGCTAATGTAGACGCAGTGCCGAAGTATGTCTTTTACCTCCCTGGCCCGACTGCAATTCCGAAGACTGCCAGTGGGAAGATTCAAAAGTTCAAGCTGAAGGAAATGGCTATTCAATCTTTAAAGGAGAGGAACTCAAATGGGGGAGAAGAACGGTCAGAAACCGGAAAGGCAACATATACAACTCCTGTTTAGCGAGGATAACTAAGATCTTAATCAGCGAGTGAAACACAGAAATTTTAACAGTAAATTACTAAAAATGGGAAATTATTCAAAGCTATTATTTCGCTCTGCGTCGCGGAGACAGGATTCGGAGGGCCTTGGTCATTTCTATGAAGGCTCAAAACTAGCGAGAAAAGTAGCGAAGCGTAAGGCACCGATGCAAGCTACATATGGAAGCGACGGCATGTCTTATAACAAGACGATATATGGCAGGCACCCCTGCTCACCCTGTTTGCAGACTTTGGCTCCTTCTCAAGGAGGGGTGTGGTTATGCATTTTGTGTACTACCATCTTCCCGGCGAGTCTGCAACTATTCTTACCTGCCGCATCGACATGCGTGACAGTGAGAAAATCATTGAAGTCTGGGCAACAGCAGTCGATCCCCTTAACAAACCGGTCCTTCACAGCTTCGTGGATTGAGATTCTCCTGTCTGGATCCGGATGAAGCATCTGCAACAGGAGACGCCTAAGCGATTCTTTGTGTAGAGCGTGGAACATGCTTCCACAGGAAGGATATTCCATATTTGTGACTATACCGTCCGGTTTTGCTTCGATGAATATGTCCCAACCTCTCAGAAATTTAGCATAATTAAGATCTTTGGGGTCTGCAAGCTCCCATGGAGTTCCACGGAAGCAGAGAGCAAGGCAGACTATGGCGCAGGACCAAACATCAAGTGGTCGAGGATCATATTCTCCTGTATAGGTTGTTAGCATTCAGTTATACCCATGAAAGTGACACGGTCTTTGCCCGTGCCTACCTTTTTTTGCCAAAACTTCGGGAGCAATGTACGGCAAGCTTCCGCAAATTCCTGGAGGACATCTTCGCACTTCGCCCATCTCCTTCCCACATTGACCACCGGCAGCGCTTAGACCTGGATGGAGGCCGCTGAAAACTTCTGACACTCCAAAGTCTGTAATCTTAAGATGTCCTTCACCTGACAGCAGCAGATTCTCCAGCTTGATATCCCGATGGGCTATTCCGTTGCGATGTAAGTAAGAAACGCCCTGTAGAAGTTGTTTAAACAGACACATATTGTCTTCTCGCTGCAAATAATTCCTCTGAACCAGGGAAAAGAGATCTCCATATGAGCAATATTCCATCACATGGTTCCACCGGCCTCTATATGAACAGAGACGTACAGTTTTGACAATGTTTGGGTGGTGTAGACTGTTAGCAATGCTGAACTCTGACTTGACCTTTTTCTTGTATTCAAGTTGGTCTTCTTGACTGCCACACTTGCGAAATTCTTTGACAGCGTATTGGACATCCTTGGAAGAGTCCTTTCTATACACAATCTTCACAGTAGCTGTGGAGCCCTTTGCAATCTCTCTTCCTCTTCGTCCTGGAACTTTGCTGGCCGTCGTAAACTCATCACTAAGGTCACACGTGTTTACGATGAAATCGTCAGGGACGTTCGCACTCATCCGACGTGCCTTCAAGCCAACCCCAGAGTCAGCAGGAATTGAAAAGTCAGGTGGCCCTGGTCGATTTCCTGGTCCTCCTAAGCTGGGAGATCTGGTCTTTAAAGCTCCAACATATGGAGAATTCTGGCGCAGGGATGAAAACGGCAGTTGATATCTTCTCGGACTAGCAGAACCCTTTGGCGACAATGCTGTGCTCATTTCCCTGCACGGTTCGTCCAGCGCGGAATGATTTATGTGACGAAAGAGAGCTTTGATAGAACGCGACGCGGTTTTCAGCGGTGATGAGTGAGGTGACCCATCCTCTGGTGACCGTTCCTCCTGCTCACAACCACTGGGAGAAGTATCTGACCAGACAGAAAGATCCCCTTCCCCTCCTTTCACGAATTGGTCAAGCTTGATCGGTAACTGTAGTTTATCTGTCGTACCCACCTGGGCTTGCGTGGGAGAGTAGTAGGATATGTCCAATGGGCGTGACTCATCCATCATGGCAATGCTCTCAGTTGGTCCAGGACTTCGTTCTTCGAGATTGCGTTTGGTATCATAAGGTAGGACCTCTGACTGGATATCCAAGGACTTTGTTATTGTAGTGGTAGATATCAAGTGATTCTTTTGCGGCACGCCACATGGAAATCCATGGTCCTGCAACGGATCCTTTATAGATATGTAGGCCTGCGACATCACAGCATGGAGGAGTCTTCACAGTTAAGTATTTGTACTTCCCAGGCTCTCGTGGGTCTCTGGGATTCCCTCCTCGCTCGGTTGTGTGTATCTCAACTGTTAAAAGGGACAGTTGTGATTATCCAACGCGAGGTCTTTAGTCCGTGTGGCAGAATATATCCAAGAATAGGACAAATTGTACAGTGTCTGACGGACTTTGCAACTTGATCAAAGCATTTCTTCCAAGAAACTACGTTTCAGGGTCGTACTTTCTGCCGGAAGAATGTACAGAAATCAACTGTAGCGTGCAATGTCAACTCATCCAAATAAAAATTGAGAATCGAGAATATCAGAGACGGGCAGCAGGCAGGCCCAAGCGATTGCCTGTTGGCGTCATTTGAATAGAAAGAACTTGTGAGGGTAGTTGCGACCTTCTCAGCATGTAGACTTTGAGTTGTCTTACCAGGCTGGCAGGTAGGCAAATAGCCTAGTTGATAATGCCTCGATGGTTAATAAGATTTCGTAATTATCTATCGATTGTTATTCCTCTTTGATCGAATGTCCCATTCCCCTTTTGTCGTCGGTGACATAGTGACTGCTAAACCCTATACGGAGGGGACGCTCAAATTCCATGGACAGCTTGGGATGATCCGTGGGACTGCCACGCATCTATGACTTACAGTAACTTACTCCAGCTGCTGCGACAGTGTTGATAGACTGCGTGTGTCACTGGAGGCGGGGGCTAAGAATAATGCGCAAAGACTCGTGATAATTTAAGGGGACACCGAGTATAACCAGTTTGCTTCGCCTAGACCCACGGCATATATACCGAGGATGTATTGATTGACTATTGTACAGCCACATGCTAGTTTCTTCAGTTCAGTAGAATATGAGCATTATAAAGCTGTTCGTATGTAGGGTTTTCCGTACGGAGGTACATCTGTGGCCACGTCGTTGCAAGAACCGCCTCAAGAGGACAGCCAGCCCTATTCAGGTTGGCATCAAGAGGACACTTCTGTCCGCTGGAATAGGTGTAATCCCTTGTAAACATTTTAGTCGTGTTTGTCCGTGCTGTCAGAGCACGGGCCACGACACTCTCCTACTCACCCGTGATGTTCAAGATCTCTGATAATGTCTGTGTAATGCTGTTCGATGAAGAGTGGCCAGGTCGTCAGTTGAAGCCGGTGGCATGGGCCACGTTGAGCAAAGGCAGAGAACATTGGAAACTGTAGATGTTCCCGAAGAACGGACGAAACCGATAAGCAGAACCGGCAGGTAGAGCGGCTGGTGCGGACAATGGGTCTCTATGATGAGCTTTTTAGATTGGCGAGCCTGTGTATCCAAAAAGCTGTATGCGTAGTGCAACAATAGCATCTCAGAAATCCTGTATGCCTGTCTCTCCCTGCAGTTTAGCCTTTGGTTCGCCTCCATTTGACTTGTCGACTATCCACTCAGGCTCTTCCTCATCGAAATACCGTTCTTGCTCTACACCCCAGTCGTCGTATTCGTCATTTTCGTCAACGGTCTTATAATCGAAGTCGTAATCGGCACCCTTCAAGAACCGCATCTCCATTTCCCAACGCCACCTCTTTTCTCCCTCTTCCTTATCTTCAGGTACGTCATCTCGGTCCTCTGCTAGGATCTCGCCGTTAGGTCCAACGCTATAGCTAAGCATGGCATTGGGGTCTGGATGAGCCAGAGCTTCCAGTTTCGCCTCCGACCTCCGCAGATCCGCCTCCAGCACGCCGGAATATCCTTTGGCACGACCTTCGGCTTCCCTCTCTGCCGGTGTCTGGAATCGACGGATTAGACGATCGTATAATAATGGGTCTGCGCAGCTGCGTGTCAGTTCACTCATTGTTTCAAGTAAGCAGCCCAACTCGTGTATATTGGGTCAATGAAAAACAGGATAGCGCAAGCGGACCGGCAAGCTCGAGGTCAGCAGAGAAATACTCCGGGTGAGCGTCAAGATAGCGCTTGCGGCGGTTCTTGACTATCACTGAAGCCGGAGGGTTCGTGGTATGTCCCGATCTCTGCTCAGGTAGTGCCTCCTTGGGCGCATCTGATTCAATTTTCTTGCCGGTATTCATCGGAAAGTAAGGCATGTTCAAGCGTCTTAGATGTTAGCGTCCTGCGGGAGATATTGATATTGCTGAAGCAACAACGAGCTTCAGCTCTGGAGAATGCTTATTAGATATGGCGGGGATGGCAAGCCGGATGACGCGGGCCCGCAGTCTGGAGAATAATGCCGAAACAACGCTAGTCGGCGGAATAATTGACCTCTCCTTTCGCAGCATGCTGGTCCGTTTGGCCAAAAGCAACCAAGATACGTTCAGCTGGGACATGGACGTCTAAATTCTATATTCTCAAAGGTATGTGCACTATGTTCTTCTTTTTATCTCTGCAATCGTTTTCTTTATGCATTACCTTCAAGGATTGGTGCTTTCACTGCCGCTCAACATCTGGAAAATTTTGCTTATATGATGCCACCTTTCTACATCTCCATTGTTTTCTAAACAATAATTAACAATGCACCAGATCCTTCAGCCTGAGGTTTCTACGCCAGCTTCTTCAGAAATATCTTGGTAGGAAGTTGCAGCTGTAGCAGACATTATTTGCCTCAGTCATCTACTATGGCTATATCCCTCGCCGCTCTGAGGCAAATGATACTTGCCCATCCGAAGGCTTTGGCCCAAGGACTATCATTGCTGATTCTAGCTGCGGCATATTCTCCAGTGTCTGTGGCGAACCTCGCACCTGTATATGGAGGCGCCGCAACGAAGCTTTTCCACCGCTATGGAATGGCGGTGACCGCCATCCTCGGATGGTTCTTGAAAGAGCGCATCCATGAGATGTCCCGCGGAAGGATCGCACGCCTTCTTCCGGTGCTAGCAGTTTCAATCGCAGCTGTCCAGTTCCTGCTCTTCAAGCTTAGTTCGTGGTTGGGTTCTCCATTTGGCCCCGTGATCACAGAAGCATTTACCTACTATCCTCTCCTGGCTCTTTCGGTTGCTGCCTCAGGGAAGCTGATCCAGTATGCCACAGAGATCCAGCGTTATGGTGAAACCCTAGCTGAGCATGGACCGCTGATTGCTTCCTATGTCATTTTCAACTTGGCAGAGAGGCTATCAGAAACCTTCATCTCCAAGGTCATTGGTTCAGGATTCCTCTTGACCCGCTACGGTCTGCAGCTTCTGATTGCGGCGCTCTATGCTATTACTATTCCCTCCAAGTCACTGCTCCTAACAATCCCAGTGCTGCTGTTAAACTACAACAGCAATGTGCACATTCCCACGAAACACACAACGGCGGTCTTGAATGAGAGAATTGAGCCATATGGCTTCCATCTCATTGACAGAAGAGACTCTCTGACTGGATACATTTCCGTCCTGGACAACCTCAACGAGGGCTACAGGGTCATGCGCGCCGACCACAGTCTCCTCGGTGGTGAATGGACCAAGCTCCCAGGACAATACAACCCCAGGGTCAAGGACCCCATCTATGCAGTGTTTACCATGCTGGAGGCTGTCAGACTAGTGGAGACTGAGCCTCCACGTCCGGCTGATCGAGACAGCAAGGCCCTTGTGATGTAAGAAATCATATCGCCCAATTACCTCTTTCGCGTAACGAACTGACATGGACCAGTGGACTCGGAATTGGCACCACTCCTGGCTCCCTAATCAGCCACGGAATCGACACAACGATTGTCGAGATTGACCCCGTCGTGTACTACTTCGCTAACAAGTACTTCCACCTGCCGCCCAACCATACCGCCGTCATCCAGGATGCGGAGAAGTTCGTCAAGAAGTCCCTGGCATCCTCACCGAGGCCCCAATATGACTACATCGTGCACGATGTCTTCACCGGCGGCGCTGAACCCATCAACCTCTTCACTCTTGAATTCCTCCAAGAGCTCAGCGACTTGCTCAAGGACAACGGAGTCATTGCCATTGTTCGTTTCCCCACCTTCCACCTAACACTTCTCCTCCTCAGAACCAATACTTACAATTCTAACAGAACTTCGCCGGCGACCTCACCCTCTACCCCGCCGGCCTCGTCGTCCGCACCATCAACGAAATCTTCCCCTCATGCCGCATCTTCCGCGAAGACGCCGCCATGGAAAACCACCCCGCCGTCGACTTCACCAACATGGTCATCTTCTGCACCAAATCCGCCGACATGCCCATTCGTTTCCGCAACCCCACGTCGGCTGACTTCCTAGGCAGCAAGGCCCGCGAGACGTACCTGATGCCAAAACATGAGATCGACGCGTCTGCCTTTTCGACTGTCGAGAAGGGAGGACGACGCCTCCTCAAGGCGAGTGATACGGATCATATCGCTGCGTTCCAGGATCGGAGTGCTATTGGTCATTGGAAGATCATGAGAACGGTTCTGCCGGATGCGGTCTGGGAGAATTGGTGATTTCTTTCTTCTGCATCGCTTGGTTATATGGGAACTCCTGGAAATCTTCCCGTGAGCAGAAAGTTGGATTCGATTGAATCGAAAGAAGAGAGAGAAGGAAAGAAGGAGTCCCCAGACCTATGTCTTCGCGACATGTTATTTTTTTCGTGTGGACAAATGACTCGATCTATTTCTACACTACCTGTGTTACCATCTATTATTGCCTCGTCATAATCACCCTCATATCATGTACTAAATATAGAATAGAACTTGGCTTTACACTAAATGAAAAGCGGAAAACAAAGTATTATATCAATTTCAATTGATTGATTAGATTCTCTTCTCAGGGTATCATACTGTACAGAAGCGTACATACAAGAAGTGGGTGAAATATTCTAAAACAAGGGTGTGGGGTAAAAAGACACCTGTTCAGGACCTGTTCAGGACCTGTTCAGGACCTGTTCAGGAAGAAAAATAAAGAGAGAGAAAAAAGAAAGGATTCCCACTTCCTGTACTGTTGTCTCCCGTTGTACTCATTCTTCCGTTTCGCTATTCCACCGGCCATAGTTCACACTCATCCCGCGTTCCATTCTCACAGCTAAGTTACGGCCTTGCCCGCAGTTGATGTATGTTGTTCTGCCATATGAGTGTAGATAAAAGTGATGAAAAGTTAGATGCGAATGGGGTCGAGTATAGGTTTCAATGAAAGCGTTGGTTGATTGGTCCCGCAACTCATAGCGGAAATACTGTACCCAAAAAAAGGTATAGAAGTAATAAAAGCGAATTTACAAGAGGTGATTTTGGTATCAAGGCGCGGGACTACCGCGAGGGCTACCTCCTGGTTTCTTGACCAGGCCGGCGAAGAAGCTCGCCAGAGCTTGGTTGTGTGCTTTCTCATCACCAACTGATGTCGCGGGTACTTCTTTCTTCTGTGCCCGACTTGCTTCTCTCTCCTTCATAGATGTCAGTTTGTTGGGCATATACTGAAAGGGATATTTGCCTGCTCACCTTGAGCTTTCTGAGCATATCGTCAGCATCCACTTGGATACCTCCCATGTTAAATTGGACGGGTCCAATATGTTCGTTCACACGGCCATTATCTTCAAGTGCAGACATTTCCAGCTTGGGTATTTTCCTAACTGCACGATCTTTCTCATCATCCTGCTTCAGCTGTTCGAGCACTTCTGCCTGGCTCGCTAGGAAGGTTTGCATATCTTCTGCTTCAATCTCAATCTTGTTCGCATTAGCTTGGCTGCTACGAGCAATAGAAGTCTCGCGCTTGGGATCCTTGATCGTCTGCTCATAGATGGCCACCGCGCTGCTGCCCTCATCTTCCTTGTTTGACTCATCCTCGGCATCTCCGTTCTCTACGGGGGCGTCATCGAGAGTTCCGGGTGGATCCTGGATCTCGATGGACCAAGCGGTGCCGACACCTTCAATGTCGAAGCCTTCCCTAATGATACGGATTTTACCCCACGAGTCCCAGTTGGCGGGCACAAGGATCTTGTCTCTATCAATCACATTGTGTCGCAGAGACTGTCTTTTGAGGAGTGAATGTATCCCAAGGGAAGAATGTATCAAGCTCTGTAATGAGTTCGCCAAAAACGGCGTGGTGTAGATAAGTGACGAGCCGTCTGTATTGTCATAGTCAGTTACCATTCGTGCTGAGCAGCAGACCATTACTCACGTTTGAGAAGAATGGTTCTCATGAACTGGAGGATGAAGTCGAACTCCTCTTCGCGCCAGCCGTGCTCCTTTTCCAGTTTCTCTATTTTATCTGCCTGTATCCCAGCGGGGATCCATTAGCGACAGTCCGGGCACAATTTTGGAGTAGTTTCTACATACCCCTTGGCAAACGACACACATCGGGATTCCCAGTCCCTCATCCCACTCTCCAGGGCCTAAAGGTATTGTGACTGGTCCGCCAGCACTGGTCGTTCCAGCAGCCGCAGCGCTGTCAAGACCCCTCTTCCGATCCCGCCACTCTGTCATGATCTCCTCCATGACGAGCTTGGTCTCATCATCCAACGAGATCAGCACCGAGCGCAGCAAACGGACCCATTCTCGCAGCTGTCGAACCCAAGTCCACGGATTAGACCAATCCAAAAGGATCACTATCAATGTTTCAGGCACCGACTGGGGTGTCAGGAGCGGCTTGATAAGGGGCGCAAAAGAGGGTGAGGGTTCGGAGAGAAGATATGCAGAGAGACGGGCGAGAATATCTGTAACGGTATTTTGTCAACACACTCTCTCCTGGAGACAGCAAAGTCGTAGGCCGGACGCCATACCATCATGATCGGCATCCAATACATCCTGATACGTGTAGCCCAATGCAAATTCGTTGGCGACAGACGGAACCCTTCCTTTCCTCTTCTCGTTTGATAGCTGAGGATTTGACGGATCTGAAGACAGAGTCTCGAGAAATTCTTTCTGACTATCCGGTGTTCCCCCTAAAGTAGTAATAATAATATACATCAGCGAGAAACTCAAGCGTTGTCTGCAAGGTCATGCGGGAAATATAATGCGCGATTCATCCAGGCGAAAAGAAAATACAAACCCAGAATCAAGAGATTCTTCTCTGGCAGTCGCTTCCCACTTGCGACGCTGTCCAGCATCGAAGACCAGATATTCTTCTTTGCGCCATCTTTGCTTGTCGGTCGACTGCCGCTGCCGCCGGCGGACCTGGAGCCGGAATTTTGGCTGAGTGTTGACATTCGCTGTCCGATTCCCACCATCTCAAATCCCGCTCAGACCATTCCTAGATCCTTGAAGAAATGCCTTAACAAGCCTGACACGTCGTGCACGCGTCGATCGGAGAACGAGCTCGGTCGGGGGAAATGGGGTAGGTGTGAGCAGAGCGGAATCAGGGGAGGCCGCGGATGGTCGGGGAGCAGAGCTTATATCTGATCCAACGGCGGTCAGGGGAAACCAGGACAAAGACGATATCAGATTATGTCCAAAGTCCCACGAGTGCTGATATTTCCGCTGGTAGTGACGGGCTCCTTTCAAGAGCGAGCATGTAAACACGATGTATTCTCCGTCCGGAACGCCAGCCTGACAAGGTTACGGTGGGACCTCGCGAGCCGCCATTGAGAAGCTAGACTCCGGTTATTCCTTGCGGCGGGAGCTTTCGCTCGCAACAGGTGAACAAAAGCCACAACCTGACAATCAACCCAGATTACGAGCTGCTGTTTCCAGCTTCTCTACTGTTTCGGGGCGCGCTGCAGCTCCAGAAACAAGCATGAACGCCATACGCCAGGTACAGGCGCTTAATAAGCGCGAACTCGAGAACGCAGTGTGAGTACAATCCCCGCCTTGCAGCCGCAATCGAGTTCGATAAGCCTGTCTCGATACGCATTGTACTGACCCTGTCTGATGCTACAGACCTCCAGAAGCATCATGGCATGCCGATTATCGCGACACCGCTTACATCTACATCGGCGGTCTCCCGTATGACTTGTCGGAGGGTGACATTATCACCATCTTTTCGCAGTACGGCGAACCCGTCCATATCAACCTCGTCCGAGACAAAGAGACTGGAAAGAGTAAAGGCTTCGCGTTTCTCAAGTACGAAGACCAGCGTAGTACTGATCTTGCAGTGGATAACCTGGGCGGTGCAACCGTCATGGGACGACTGCTGCGGGTGGACCATGTCCGCTACAAGAGACGCGAGGAAGAAGGCGACGAAGATAATGTAGCGAAAATCATGGGAGATCGTGTTCCAGCTGGCAGAGATGATGATACGGATGATGAACGCAGAAGGAAGAAACGACGGACGAGCGATGATGAAGGAGAGCGCAGACGTCCATTACTGAAGGAAGAGCGGGAGCTGCAAGAGCTGATAGTTAACCACGATGAGGAAGACCCCATGAAGGAGTTCCTGATTGAAGAGAAGAAAGAGGAGGTTGCGCGAGCATTGGAAAAGCTAAAGAGTGAAACGAAAAAGTCATCGCGACACCGAGGCGACAGTCGTGAACGTTCTCACCGACACCGCCATCGCCACCGACGCAGACGAAGCGAAGACAGGTCCCCTGGTAGAGAGCGAATTTCGCACAGGGATAGATCAGAGTCCCGGGACAGGAGGTCTCGCAGATATAGAGATGAGTCCCGTACCCCCGAACTGAGATTCCGCCGGGAGAGATCACGAACAAGGTCGCAGTCTGTGGATCGTCGACGCCGTCGTGACAGTAGGGACGATGATAGATGATCAATCTGTCTGTTTCCAAATTTTATACCTACGATCTAATCTTCGCTACATTATGTGCTTGCTTGTCGGCAAGCGGAACATGACTCTCAGCTCCCAAAACCAGGTCAACAACCAAGGTGCCCTTTTTGGCAGATCCTATCCGACCAATGGCATCGTCAGAGACTTATTCGGTAGCAAGCAAGCAGTCGGTTAGCCAGGTAGCCTGCCTGCTATGTCTCCCTGCACATGTCATGGCCAGAGCCCCGTCGGCTCGAATTTCGGTCCTCGACTCCGCTCCCACTTCGTCGAGCGGGTTTTGCAGGAGTCCCTTCCTGGACGCAGACTCGGGGGTTGCAGTATAAGAGAAGGCCTACTTTAGATAGACACTTCAAATACCAATATTTTCATCCAAAGAATGGCCTCAGCCGCCGCCCAGATATCGTTTCCAGCCCTCCCTGGTACAGTATCGCTTGCCATCTTCCCCTTCTTGGAGGATGAACTTCTCCCATCGTCCTTCTCTCCCTGCGCCGATAACTAAGATGGTATGATCATTCGTCCAGCCAATCATGCCCTTGTTGAGCAAACCGAACGATGTCCCCAGAGGCGGGACGTAATGGGAACCCGGTGGAGCCTCGTCTCCAATTTCAAAATGCGCGCTTGTGAAAGAATAGATGTCCGAGAAGACTCTGGGCAGCAGCGGGATCTTCCCCAGGATGCCCCATTTTAAATTTCCTCCGTCCTCGGAAGGGGATGACGGAGACTGGCTGCGCCTAGACAGCTGCCGCGGATGCGGAAGGTCAAAGATGTGAAGAGTAGACTTATCGGAGGTGACTGCCAGTAGCGTGTTAGATGGCGAAATTGCAAGAGAGAAGATGATCGCATGATCCACGCCTCGTCGTAGCTCTGCGATCTTCGTGCAGTTGCTCGTAGAAAATACCCGTATCAATGTACCCTATACACACTGAGGTAAGTGATGATGTCACATGACAAGAACGTACAACGAATCTTACCGCTTCACTCGCTGTCGCCAGTATCTCCCCATCTGGGCTCAAATTCATAGCTCGTAGTGGGGAGCTGTGTGCAGGTATGATACTGACATTGCCGGTCTGCAGCTCGACGAGCTGGACCTGTCCGGGCGACCGGCCGGGGAAGGCTAGCAGCTTCTGGCCCAGACAGGCCAGGCCTAACGGATTATCTGATGTCTCGAAGACGGATAGTTTCTGCGGTGGGTTGGAGAATGCGAAAACATGGATGCTGTTCAGCAAGACGACGATGATGCGCGATTTCGAAAGGCGGACTTGGAGCACGGAGGTGCGGAATTCAAGGGTGATGACGGCTTTCTGCTTTGCATCGTCCCAGATAACGAGCTTTTGGGAACATCAGCAACGGCCTACTATAGAATAAAGTAAAAAAAAAAATCGGGATTGCGCACCTTGTTCTGAGGGAACTTGGGCTGTCTGCCTCCTCCGACGATCGCCAGGTAGTTGGACTGGCCCAGCATCTCCGCCACCCCAATCCCCGCGTTGAAGTCTGGAAGGCATCAGCCTCCTCCTCCTCCAGCCGCTCTGGCACTCTGGCACTCTGCACCAAAGGGACATACACACCTCGAGAGACTTTCAGTTCACAGGGATCTGAATTGAAGACTGGTCCAGACGTTCACATCAGTACCCGCATCCGGTATGTACATAGCATGCAATGCACCTTACCGCAGAAACCCGTATCCAGCCCGACGGAGAAGCAGCTACTGTCATTATTGAAGGCCACCGACAGCGACACGGGGCCGGTCGAGTCATCGATCACCTGTCTTGTGTTCATGTTGAGAGGATGGCCCTCTCACATAGTCTCCTGCGAGCGCTCCCAGAACCCAGGATGGATCGATCGATCGGTCGATGGGGTGGTTATGCGGAGCTACTAATAATAATACTAGTAACTGGGAGAGGTATGTCCGTCGATAAACAAAAACAGGGCGCAGTGGAGACCAGAAAAGACACAACGGCCTCTAGCCGGCACGTGCGATCGGCTAGGCAAAAAGATCCAGATGGAAATGATTATAATTATACTGGAAATATGACCCCAGCCGTGAGATGATTGTAGTTCCAGCTGGCCCAGATGGTCGATGACAACAGCCGACGAAGTCCTTTTTTTCCTGCCTCAGGTGTCGATTGCATCCATGGATCGCTGCGCGGCTCTGGACCCTCCAGCGTGTTTAGTTACCTAGGTAGTTAGTAGTTAGTTACCTAGTTATTATTGTTTCTTGCTGGCTTTCGATCCACCCCCTGACGCTCGTGCTGCTGGCCGTTGAAGACAGGACACGCGGGGGACGGCCGACACAGATGGGCAGAGAATACTTCGCACAGCCGGACCATCACCTGTAGAAATCATCAGTAAATGATCTGTAGAGCGTGGTTTGGTCACCTGGAGAAAAGAACAGCAACTCCATAATAATAATAATCATTTACATTCCATCGCTCGTCCTGTTCCTGGCCGGGTGATCGGCGTGATTGGCCGAATCTCGACCCGAGCGTGGAAAGGGGGAAACACTTGAACAGACGCTACGGCGGCCGGCCTCTCGCTCTCTCTCTCACTGCTGCTTTCCCCCTACGCTTCCCCCCTCAAAGGTTCCGTCAGGAGAAGCATCTCCAAGCAACCCTTTTTCCTCTGCTGCTTTCCCTCCTCCCCTTCACTTCTTCTTCGTCTCTGCATCCTTGACCTGCGTGCTGATTTCGCCCCTGCACCTCGTCCGTTTCCCCCTTCCATACCAGCCACCATGTCGTCGGCACTGAACGCGGTATGATTGCGACTTTCTGTCTTGCTACGAGAATTCCCCAGATTTCTATCGTCCTCTCCCCAAGCTAAATGCCCAATCTCGTCCCCAACTTTGTGTATTGACCGGTCCTGACACCCAGATTAAGATCCGTCGCAAGAAGAATGTCAAGAAGGGAATTCAGTTCTGTCTGATGGTCTGTGGTGCCAGCGGAACTGGTACGTATCCCGACACGCACAACGCAACACGCGATCCTCAATTGACCCGGTATCGCAGGACGGACGACCTTTGTCAACACGCTCTGCGGCAAGAAGGTTCTCGAGCACAAGGATGCGGATGATGCGGCCAACGCTCACATCGAGGAGGGCGTCCGTATCAAGCCCGTCACCGTCGGTGAGTAACCGCGGACGGCCACGCAGGTTTATTTAGGACTAATTCACACTGATAGAGTTAGAGCTCGATGAGGAGGGCACGCGCATCTCACTAACCATTGTTGACACCCCCGGATTTGGGGACCAGATTGACAACGAAGAGAGGTACCTTGAGGGACAGGCTCGTAGACATGGGGCGCCGCAGCTAACAGGACGCAGCTTCTCAGAGATCGTCGGATACCTGGAGCGCCAATACGACGACATTCTCGCCGAGGAATCACGAATCAAGCGTAACCCCCGCTTCAGGGACAACCGAGTGCACGCCCTTCTGTACTTCATCACCCCCACCGGCCACGGTCTGCGCGAACTGGATATCGAGCTGATGAAGCGCCTGTCACCCCGTGTGAACGTTATCCCCGTCATTGGCAAGGCAGACTCGCTCACCCCTGCTGAGCTGGCCGAATCGAAGAAGCTAGTTATGGAAGACATCGAGCACTACCGCATCCCCGTCTACAACTTCCCCTACGACATTGAGGAGGACGATGAAGACACCGTGGAGGAGAACGCTGAGCTGCGGGGATTGATGCCATTCGCCATCGTCGGTTCTGAGGACATCCTGGAAATCGGTGGTAAGAAGGTCAGAGCGAGACAATATCCGTGGGGTGTTGTGGAGGTGGAAAACCCCCGACACTCTGACTTCCTCGCCATCCGCAGCGCTCTGCTCCACAGCCACCTGGCAGATCTGAAGGAGATCACCCACGACTTCCTCTACGAAAACTACCGTACCGAGAAGCTCAGCAAGAGCGTCGATGGTACTTCTGGAGGGTATGTCTTCTCTTCTCTGTCCCCTAGCATAAAATAACATAGTCACTAACAATCATCAACAGTGCCGATTCTTCTATGAACCCAGAAGACCTGGCAAGCCAGTCTGTCCGTCTGAAGGAGGAGCAGCTCCGCCGCGAGGAGGAGAAGCTCCGCGAGATCGAGCTCAAGGTACAGCGCGAGATCAACGAGAAGCGACAGGAGCTGCTGGCTCGCGAGAGCCAACTGCGGGAGATCGAGGCCCGTATGGCACGCGAAGCAAGCCAGGCGGAGGAGCTCAACGGAGAGGCGTAGATAATACCCCGAAGGAGTGGCGCCAGGAGCGGGAACTGATCCTGTGGTTCGATACCGTCAATGCTCTACGTGCTGTAATTGCGCAGCCCCTCTTATCGAGGAAGCGGATAAGGCGTGAGAATGGTATTATGGCGCTTGACAGCATTCTAAAAGGGAGAAGAGGGGAAGCTCCGGCATCGATGTCTGCATCTACCTTTTCCATCGGGGAGAAGAGGGGTCAGATTCAGAAGATGACGAGTTGTGCCTGTTTCTCTCTTGACTCTCCTTTCTTCTTTTTTTCTTTTCTTTTTTACGTGTGTGTCCTTTTTAAACCCCGAGAGATCTTATCATTTTCGATGCACCCGGGTGGTAACAAATTCGGGCTGGAGATAGCATGATTTTTAATCCTTGACACAAACGCCTCCGGACGGAACCCAAGACAATTTTCCTAATCCGTTTTCTTCGCTTTTTCTTCCCTCTCTTTCGGTACGCGCCACTATTCGAGGCTTTTTGACGCGTCGAACTATTCTCCATCCCCGATCTCACCTTTGCAGCGCAGCAAGATTCCCTTTTCTTCGAAGCTCTTTGTGTTCTCGTTCTTCATGCCCTATCTCATGTCTTCCCATCCCTGTTGAAGATAGCTGATTTTATTAAATCGAGGAAGAAAAAGCATTGATCTAGTATGTGCCAGTGCTTTTGATGTCCTTTGCAGAGGATCCCTACTAGTGTGTCTTGTGTATCATCGTATTAGTAGAAGGCATCTAGTGAGGGTTTCCAGTTGACCAAGATGTCGTAGTGGCCTCAAATAGTCAGAAGCTGAGAACCTTTTCACATTCCGTGCTTCAAATCCGTAGTTTCTATTACCGTCGGAGTCGGCAACTTACCGCGTACCTCGCGATATATATATCAGTGACGTCCGGCCGTCCATCTTATACATATCCCTAAATACTTATTAGAACAAGAGAGCAACTATTCTCCACCACTTAGCGAAAAGGAACATAGAGAAGGAGTCCGATTAACCTCTTATTTTTCTTGATTCACATCCATGTGGGAGAAGAAGATCAGACGAAAAACAATAACCCACCCCACAATCAACAAGACAATAAGTGAGATCAGACGAAATATAACAAGTTAAACAGACGTAACTGATAATAAATCTCAAAAGTATAGGCAATGTCTAGTTAGCTATATATTATGGCATAATAAATGAACATTTAAGTAGCTCTTTCTCACTACGAAAAATAGAATTAAAACACTATATATCTAGTTCCTCTAATATGCCCTGGATACCTAAACTACTGCAGTCATCAACGGGACTTACTGATAGTTATAGTATTATGACTAAAATGCACCCTGGAAGATGTGAGATCACACCCCACCGACGATGTGATTCTCCTTGGGCGCGGGAGAAAAATGACTGTCGCGGCGCTAAGGGACGCTGAGAGTGAAAAGTATGGAATATGAATATTTCTTATCTGAAGAGTTTTTATTGACTGTTGCCTCTTGAATGCTTATCCCTTGATAAAGGGAATTCCACGGTGCCAGCGATAGCTACCTTTTGAGTTTACGAAGGAAGCAACCAATCGAACATAAGGCCTATAGATTGCAACAATTTCAGACACGACGGATACAGACACATATTCTAAATGTACGTACGGAGAGGAAACAAAATAGGCTCAATAGAACAGAAAACAAAAGCGCACTTGTTTACATTCAAGTCATCTCGGTGTCTGTCCAAGGAGGAAGATGAATAGAGAAAGAAAAATGGAAAAATTTCAACCAGAGACAAGAGGAAGAGAAAAGACAAAACCACTAATAAACAAATGCACTGGGGCACTCGCGAGAGCATATCAGCGCCGTAGGATTTCCCTGAAATATCTTGGGTATTGGGGGATAAGTGAGTACTGTTCTCTGAGATCAGTAGTATGGATAGATAAAAGATAAAAAGAGAAAAGGAGGCGAGAGAAATATGACCAGGCAACCAAGAATATGGCAGCGAAAATGACAAGTCGCATAAAGAAATGAATACACGACATTTCCGCTTTCAGTGTACACACGAACAAGAGACGAAGAAGGGGGACACCGCTGGCCTAGAACGAGATCGGTAAAGGAGATTATTAAAAAATTGCTAAAGACAGCTGTTCTCGAAGAGAAACCGTGACCAGCATCGCAGAATTGAAAGGGGAGTTACCCGACAAGAGGCTACTTCAGAGCTGAACAGGGCAGCTGAGATTAGAGGCATCTCTCGTCTCTTCCGTTCTCGAGGCTCAGTGCTGCGGCTTATTCCAGAAGTCCAGACTTGCAACCACATCTTCGCCCGCTTCATCTTCATAGGCATACAAAATCTGGAAGATCAGAATATTAGCACATCTGTGATCGGTTTTGGAACAAAGAACAAATCTAGGAACGTACCTCTCTCGTCGATGAATGCAACATTCGAATGTTCCGCCCAGTCATTATGTGAATAAGCTCACTGGTCTCGATATGTCTGATTTCGATAAAGTTCGGCTCAAAAGCAAGGATATAAGGATACGAAAGCGCAAAAGCGTTAGGATTTCCTTCCCAGGAGATCCTCCAGTCTGGACGTGCACGCCATCCATTCCGGTTGACAAAGAAGGAGAAGTCACTATAGTTGAGAAGGAACTCGCCGTTCATTCTCTCGATATGGATGGGCTTAACATTTTCTTTGCGGGCGACAAAGTCAAGAGAAGTGTCAGCTTGATCGAGCAGCGACTGACTCTCGGTAGTCTCAAGGCTGACAACCTCAAAGCCACGAGCGCAGCCCACACACAGGGTAGATCGGAGGAAGTGGACAGAAGACGATTCCGCTGGGATGTAATATTCCTATATTGTGTGTCAGCCATATGATTTATACTATACGACAGTGCTTTCTTATACTGACCTTGAAAGGCTTCAATGTGTCCTGTCCACCTTGGAACATCTTACTCAGAGCTGGCTTCTTCTTACCCTTGGCGAGGTTGTCCATTGGCTCAAAGACCTTTATTGTTGTCGATAGTGCTGAGGTCTTCACAGAGCAAACAAGGTGGCGACCGAGACCAATACCAGCTTTGAAGAAGTTGGCATGTCCTTGGATCTTCTTCGGTCGTCGGGCGAGGGGGTTCTGCCCTTCCGTCACCTCCAAGGCCTCCATAGGGTAGGAACTGAGCGTCTTGTTCGAAAGTACAAGAAGAAGCTGATACTCCTCGAGAGTGTCTATTTGCGTAACTCCACTGGCATCCAAGACCCGCCTTGGCTTTGCATTCTTGTCCTTTGGCCATCGATCTGACAGGTAGATACCGCTGTCGGTACCATAAACCAGTTTGCGGCCACCGTCAATCGGTACAAGACAGTTTACCCGATTCACAGCAGTGAAGAAGTTCTGGCAAAGTATAGACTTTGAATAGAAGTTGCTATTCCGTTCGCGCAGTTTCCTTTGTTGCTGTTCCACCATCTCAATAAACTTCTGTCGTTGCGTCTGTGACGTAGCGTAAAGCGTCTGATCATAGCCGCCTTTCCCAAGATGCCTGAAAGTAATCGGCAAGCCGTCCCTCGAGGAGGGAGGATTGTTCACAGCTTTGTTGCCGATAAGACTCGAAGAAGGCCGCTTGGCAATGCCCAGTCTTGGGATCACCTCGTCCATCTGTGTGATGACGAGGAGCTCCAGCGGAATTGGCTTCTTATAGACCCTGTACTCCTCACGCTTATTGACAACCTTTATTCGAACGAGCAGTACCGCATGATCGAAGAGATATGCAGTGACCTCGGAACTATCAGTCGGACTCTTCTTGAATGCCATCTTCGTGAGCAACTGGCGGTTTTCTTCTGTGAGCTTGAGATCGACATAGTCGCCAGGTGCAAATTTCAGTGCCGAGTTGAGCTGAACCAGGTTGAAATGGTTCTCGGCTTTACCACTCTCCGCATTGACCTTGGACAGAAAATCCTTGATGATACCTATTGCTTTCGGAATATCCTGCTTATCCGGGCTATCGTCTGCAGTGTACTTCAGTACGTTTTCAAGCAGAAGAGGATATCGCGCCAAACGGGTTGTAGGTTTGGTCAAATATCCATTCAGTTCTAGCTTTCGAGACTCCTTTAGTCGTTCGGTCTCCTCAACGAAGCGCGCAAAGGCTGGGTTCGAAGCCTTTTCTTTCTCGAACTCGTACTTTCCATACAGCTGATTCGCACCGTACTTTATGAACGGATCAAAGCGAGGAACATGCTGAAGAAATATGTCTCCGACAGTCTTAACGACATGGCTTTCCTTCTGTCTCGCATTGAGGGCTTCGCATAGCCCTGAGTTAACTTTGAGGACCTCCAAGCAGTTCCCAAAGACTGTGCGGATAAATTTCTCTCGTCGATGCTCAGGAATGGGCGAAAGTGTCGTGTTACCCGCAGAGCGTAAGGGTCTCATCCAGAAATCCCGCAAATATTCCAGATCCTTGACGAAGTCGCGCTCCGTATACATGATCTCGAAGATAATTTCCTGCCGTTTCTTCTCCCTGTCATCGATACTGTCGGAAACTTCTTTCGGAACCATATTGATCCAGAGTTTCTGGTCATCATTATCGTCATTGTCGTGGAGACTGCCTTTGGAAGCTGACGACCGGAGACCAGGCTGCGGTTTGAGGTTGAGCCGGGCCTGCTGTTCAAGTCGTCGTGGACAAGCGATCGAATAGCACAAATTATCACGCGTGCAAGTAGGCGAGTAGCACTCGGTCAGCAGGGTAAATACACCGTTGACATCAGAGCTAGGTGCCTCTTCTCCCATGGTCTCCCTAAACTGGTAGATCTCACCGGGGGCGTCTCGGAGGCGATGATCATATGTAACATCGTGGAAGAACTTCTGGGCATCGAGCGCACGCCCTAGAAGAAGGGCGAGGTTTCTATCGGTAGTCTTAATGATATACGAGATCGTATCGACAGCCTCTATACCAGAGAACGCATTCTGATAAGACAGACCGTTCTTCTGGCGCAACCCTACAGGTACCCTCTCACGGAACACATCAGCCACGCGAGAAAGCAAAGCGGGGTAGACCAAAGGCGCTCGGGGCCGAGGTGGAAAGTTGACAGCAGTCTGTTGGCTGCCGGATTTCTGCATTCTGGTGCTTTGCATGCTCATAGTTCGATCCGGAATGATGGTAGACGCCATAGACATCGTTCTCGAGCTCAACGAAGCCTCACTGGGACGTCGTGCCCCTGGTTCCCTGTCCTGGCTGTTGTAGCTGTCTTTCTCATTGGCAATTGGCGGGGCAGGTTCTGGACCTGAAGGTGGTCGCCGATTTGGAATTACCCTTCCCGTGATGGTTGTATGTGCATGATCACGATCAGCGTTGTAAGAACTCAGTGACATTGTATGCTCATTTGCATGCCTCTCCGGAACAGGTCGTCCCTGTGGGGTCCTTGGCACTGTAGAGTTATATATATTGTGCCGAGAATAAACTGCAGACGTGTGATTGAAGCCACTTGTTTGCGGCTGGTGTAACGGAGGACCGCCCATTCTCGCCATTGCTAATGAGCTGGATCGCGTAGGATCGGAGTTCAGGGCGGGGCCAGGAGCGTACCCTCGCGCCGATTGCATCGGATTCGGATATTGGGATACCTGGCCAGGTCTTGAATCCATTCGTTGGGGCTGTGGCCATGCAGAACGTCCCGAGAAAGGTGGTGGCATACCCTGTGAAGGAGGCTGAGGTGCCATCGGACCGTTGGGCTGCCTTGGCTGGGCATACCCGTTGGTCGTTGGATATCCATATCCATTTGGCATCTGTCGCACTGGCGGTGCGGGACCCCTCTGCATCTGGGGATGGGGCACATGGGAGGACATGGTGTGTGCTCGATCCTGCGAAAACTGCGGTGTCTGGGATGTCATCGTCTGGGACCGTCCAGGTGGTGGCGCGCCACCGAAGATATCAGTGAATGCGGCATCACGCTGAAAGGATGAAGCATGTCCATAAGGATTTGGCCGGTAGTTCCGGCCCTGCTGGGCCCCCAGGTCCGCCATAACCCAGAGCTACCTCGAAAATGTAACTATCCAAGCAAGCAAGAACCCCTTTCACTTTTGGAAAAAAAAAACCTATCCACTCCAAGTAAACGGGCGATCTCGACGTATCTCGTCGGCCCGGACCGTGCGAAAGCTCGACAGATGATTATCAATCGTGAGGGGAGGCGAAGTAGAATTTTGCACCATAGGTGTAGTGAGGCGCGTATCCTGATACAGAGGCCCCTTCAAGCAAGAAATATCCCCGGATATCGTCCTGAGTGCGAAACAAATGTCGAGGCTTGTCGTAAAGACCGTACAGATGCAATAACCGATATGCGCAAGGAGCCTTTGGCGCGGACGTAGAAACTGGCTCCAGTACTCATGCCCTAAGCATCCTCTGCAGCCCCTCCGGGATCGTCGATGAAGAATGATCGAGACCTCGAGACTAGACGCGGGGGTCTCGAGGAAGACGTGTTGGATGTTGTCAGTGGTGTTCGTGATCGAAAAGCACGGGGTTGTTGGGTCGAACAGGCACATGTCTGACTTAACCCGGATAGGCAGATCTCGGGTCAGTGCGCGCGGCCACCGCGGCTCCTGTACGGCGGACCGGGCGAGCAACTTGGAACTCTGGCTGGTCGGCCACGCCGCGAGCTCTCCCACGACCACCAGACCTTGGTTTCTCAGAACACACGCTGCCATTGATAGCGGGTTTATTTGCTTCTTCTTGCACCTTACGGAGTCTCTAGGTCCTCTATCAAGGATCTTAGAACCGCCATCGAGTCTGCTGACCCACGAGGACTTGAAACGCCGTCTCCTACTCCCATTCCATCGAGCTTCACCATCCATCGTTTACTGTGAGGCCGCACACGCGGTCTCCTGCAGTCGTTCAACATGGCCGAAAGCGAGTATTCGCCCAAGTTTGCCCCATTTTTCTCCTTCGTGAGTGTCCTTCTGATGGTCTCCTGGAGCTCTTACGTCTTACTGACAAGCGACTGTAGGCGGGAATTGCTGCAGCAGTGAGTCGGCCCTGAAAACGAAACGTTTCGCGATATACATGCTGACTATGCCGAAGATGATCTTCGGGTGTATGTCTTTTGTTGCCACCGATGTTTAAATGACCTATCATTAAGCGGCCGATACTCACAATGAACAGCGATGGGAGCAGCGTATGGCACAGCGAAGTCCGGCATTGGAATCTCGGGAGTTGGCACATTTAGACCGGACTTGATCATGAAGGCATGGGACACTTCTTATTCGAAACTTGTTTTTTGCCAATTGTAGCTGACTCATGGCAGTCTCTGATCCCTGTTGTTATGTCTGGTATTATTGCGGTCTACGGTTTGGTTATTGCGGTCCTGATTGCCGGAGACATCGGACCAACTGCAAACACGAGTTTGTACACGTACGTCCACTGGTTCTGCAGTCGTCTCAGGTGTGCACCTTATTGATATTGTTGTCACAGTGGATTCATGCATCTCGCTGCGGGACTCTCCGTCGGTTTGGCCGGTGTGTCTGCTGGATATACGATTGGTATTGTTGGAGATGCGGTATGGTGGTCCCTTGGTGGTTTTCTTGGTTATTACTAACCGCTACTGCCACAGGGTGTGCGCGCATACATGCAACAGTCGCGTGTCTACGTAGGAATGATTCTTATTCTGATTTTCGGTGAAGTTCTGGGTCTCTATGGGTATGCTGCTGCCCTTTCCTGGCGAAAAAACAGCGTTGAATGAGCTGACTGACCCGTGCCAGGCTGATTGTTGGACTGATTCTGAACTCCAAGAGCAAGCCTTGATGGTTCTCTGGTGTATTGCGAAGTTTCTTCATGGCGTTTCCTGCGCGATATCCGGAAACGGATATCTGCTTTGTATGCTATATGGTCTGTCGAAGGACGTCCAGCCAGACCCCGACTGTGCTAGGGACGGCGATGGGCCGTACGAGATGGACCGGATTACTTGATATGATGTTGAACGTCGAAGTGCGGGCCCTCGTGAGTGGCAAGGGGAGCGTAACTTACATATAGATCTTCAATACCAGACGGGAAGATATGACCCTCAGATCCGTGCGCAGGCCCGTAGCGATTCCACGTAGGAAGACTGCAGTGGCCGTGGAAGATCTCGAACGATAATAATTGGAGGCCGCTGGCGCACTCCAACGTGCCTGTTTAGCGCCCGAATGCTCTGGCCCCGCCAGGTACGTCAGAGCCCCAGGCCTCCAGGCCCCCCAGGCGGTTTCCGTAGCGAGACACCGCAAAAGGAGCTGTAGAGTACTGTAAAGATCCCAGATCCAGCTGAAGCTGCAATCGGCATCGCCCGGTACGCACTCTCAATTCCTCTCAGGCGCTCAATTCCATGGCCATCGCAGGACTGGCCCGTCATCCGTGATAGATTGGTCGTGCGTCTCCTATCAATTCATTTCTCCGACCGATCTCCCCCACAATTTTTACTTGCCCTCTTCCCCGGGACAGGATCGCTTGCCGTCCCAATGGCTACAGAAACAGTCGAAAATCAGACACATAACCCCGTCAATGATAAGAAAAGCGGCGCCCAGACGGATGTGAAAGCTGCTGCGGCTGTGCACGAGCAGGAAAAGGAGTTCGTGGCTTCGGTTCGTCCGGCGCATGAACGGTCCCTGAACCCATTCGTTGTCACAGAACGTCCGGAGGATAAGCATCTGGGGATATCTGCGCGGAGTCTACGGCTGGATGACTTTGAACTCATTAAGACCCTTGGCACAGGTATGCCACGCTCACCAAGCAATAAAAACGACTTATCCCGTTCTAATATTTCGCTTTTATCTCAGGTACCTTTGCCCGCGTGTGGCTCGCACGGTTAAAAGATTTACAAGACCCAAAACAAGTATATGCGCTCAAAGTACTTCGCAAAGCAGATGGTATGAAGGAATCCACTGTGCATTTCATGGCTTGAGGTGGTACTGACAAGAGGGAATTCTACAGTGATCAAACTGAAGCAGGTGGAACATGTCCGCAACGAACGCAAAACACTGAGTGCTGTCGCTGGCCACCCTTTCATCACCACTTTAATAACTACTTTCTCTGACGACCAATGTCTATATATGCTGGTATGGGTTTTCCCCCCTAGGTGAAGCACTGCAGAGCCGTAACTTCCCATGGCTACTACGTCCGGTCAAGAACTACTAGTAGTATCGCGAATAAGTGGACCGGTGCTTCATCAAGCAAGCTATTGCTGACTATGATATAGCTTGATTATTGCCCAGGGGGCGAAATATTTAGTTTTCTTCGACGTGCACGACGATTCAGTGAATCGACAGCGAGATTTTATGCCGCAGAAATAACCCTGACACTCGAGTTTCTCCATGATGTTCAAGGCGTTGCCTATCGTGATCTTAAACCGGAAAACATCCTTCTCGACGCGGAAGGACATATAAAACTCGTCGATTTTGGTTTTGCCAAACAGGTCGGGAACCGTGAGACTTACACTCTTTGCGGGACACCGGAATATCTTGCACCTGAGGTCATCCATAACAGCGGCCACGGTCTTGCTGTGGACTGGTGGGCGCTGGGGATCCTCATATATGAATTCATCGTTGGACAGCCACCATTCTGGGATCAGAATCCGATGCGGATATACGAACAGATCGTCGAAGGCCATATCCGTTTTCCGCAGAACATGTCGCCAGCAGCTCGAGACATTGTCTCCCAACTATGCAAGACTCACCCGGCCGAACGACTAGGGCATATTTCTGGCGGTACTCGCAGAGTGAAGTCCCATCCATTCTTCGATGGAATTAAATGGGATAGTCTCTACTATCATCGCGTTAAAGGCCCCATAGTGCCACGAGTGGAGCACCCAGCGGATGCTGGGAACTTTGAGGAGTATCCAGCCCCTCCTGATCCAAGCACGCTTACTGCCTATACCGACGAGATGAAAGATAAGTACGAGCCCTTGTTCAAAGACTTTTGACCATGGGTACATTATATATGGCTGGATATATATGACCTTGGACTAGAAGCCATTATTGTTCCCAGGTCTCATTCCATTCCTTCTCTTCGCATATCCAGGTCGCTGGTCGTGCTTAAGAAGGTTTTCCCTATTGTGCTCTTGACCCTCTAGTTCCAGCTTGCAATTTCGACCTGCCATCTCACGTGCTTTCCCGTGCATCCAGTCACATGTAATATATACCTATAGCCCTATATACCTGCACAGTAGCGACATTTCTTTCCGACTACGTTTGTCCTTCAGACCTGTCCCATTTTTCTATGGACTATCTCGAGGATCAGGACTACTTCCATGACAACAAGGCTTCGACAAGGAACCAAGACACGAATACACATTCAAGTCTGATTGCTTGTCATGAGCTTATCCTGGCGTTGTCATAGGGGGAGCCATCACATACAAGGAAATATTTTTGCATTTTAACCTTCTTATCTTCTCCCTTGCCCTTGCCCTTTTTCTCTTTTCTCATTTCTCCTGACATTTGCGTGTTATCTACTTTTATTTATTCCTTATTCCTTATACTTTTTGCTTCTTCTTCTTGGATACTTGGATTTGGTCTTGATTTCCATTTTGATTTTTTTTTCCTTTCTAGGGATCAAGGAGTCAGATCAATGGGCTTACTGGTTTCCGGTCTATACGATTTTTCTTTTCTTTCTAGGAGAAGGGTCCATGCCATTACAAAGAAAGATATGAATGAATGAATGAGAACTTCATGAGCTATCAGGGATGCATACGTCGTCACTTGTCTCTAGTATCGTATCTTCGAAACTGTCTTTTGAGTTTACTATACAAAAACTCGCCAACTCCATCCATATCTTATACTTAAAACCCTTGTGAGATCTGAACCCGAAAGCGAGGACTATTCTCAAGAAATGGTGACCTTTCCTTATCCCGAATTGATTGCCAAGATACGATCTCATCTAATAATAATGGCACAGTTTGTCGCTTAATTTCATCATGACTTGAATGGAAAATGGCAAATTGTTTGAAACATGATGGGAATCGGCTCAGGATGCATTACAACAAATAACCCCACCCACAGAGACAATAATGGTAACATTTCGTCTTTCGAGCCAATTCGAGCGGTTCCTCCTCCCGATCCCGTCAAAACTCCAACGTAGTCTGTCGTAGAGAAGAAATGGAGACAAAAAAAAAACAGTAGTAGAACACAACACAGATCGATGCAGAAGATTTCACAGAAAGGACTCAGAGAAGTTGGTCACATAAATTAGGGAAGAAAAAGGTCGATTTGAGTGTCCAAGACACAGGCCCGATCAGAACAGAACGCCTTGCTAATGCGAGAAAGAAAAAACCCGAAGAAGATATTCAATATATATCGAGGCGTGACCGACATGATTCTGTGCAATTATATATAAGATTTCATGAAAGACGTCTGAAGGCGGATTTGCTTCGTGCCTTTTGAATATAGATGGCAAGCACGGGGCCTTTTATAGCCATCCAGTGGAGCGCTCGGAATCGAAGCATCGAAAGTGTGATGTTGGTGATACCGCGGTGAACTTCTAGTACTGTTAAGACGAAATGTCCGTTATTCAATACTACCACCGCTGGCATGGCGTTCAGATTCGGGCTTCCATGTGCCTATATTGTGGCATGTGTCAGTATTAATTTTTAAAGACTAAGGGAAGGGATCGAGGTAATGACGAACCTTCAAACTCATGCTTGACAAAAGCAAGGGGGTCATCAATCTCTCCAGCGCCCATCTGTCGTACGCCCGGGCTGAAGCTTGTTATGGGTAGGACGACCACGTCGCCGACTTTCTTATGCGTCGTGATTCCAGTGAAGTCAGCGGCTGTGACATTCTTGGGTGATCCGGTTTCACTCTTGAAGTAGTCAGGGTTGTTGAAATAGCTGAACACCGCATCCGTCCACACTGCAGGACCTGTGAATTCCACGATCGTCTTGTCCATCTTGGACTTGGTAAGGATACCCGCCTTCTTCATCCGAAGTGTTTCTTCCGTGATCGTGGCGACGATATCGCGCAGCACGGGATGTCCCCGCTTTGCCTGGATAGTCCATTGACAGAATTGTATCCGGCGAGAGTACCACTCATGCCAATCCGGGCGATCCGGGTCGGCTTCAATGCCTACTACGAGGCCAACCGTCGATCGGTCCAGTTTTTCTGGCAGCCATTCTGATGCTGGTTTGAGCGCGATGGTATCGATGTCGCTGTAGATTCCTCCGCGCGCCAGAAGGATCAGATATCTGAAGAAATCTGCCTTTAGGACGGCAACAGGAAGGGACTCATATGCCTCCGTCACTTCCGGAACACCCGCGTATAGGTACTTGATCAGATGTACCGCTGTATCATCCGCGACGACTTCGTGGACGAATCCAGGATGCATCTCTGTCCAGCTCGCCTCCATAGGCCGCAGCGTTTCACCAAACCAGCCCGACGAGGGCGTATATTTCCATGTCTGCCAGATGTATGCGGGGAATTTGCTCTTGAGATCGTAAGGGAAATGATATCGTAATTTTTCTCGTAGCGGCTTGTCAGCTATCGACTCGAGAGTCTGTTGCTGCACAGCACTCTTTTTTTGCGCCTGTTGTGGCGGGGACTGAACAGTCTCCTCGTTTCCGGATGTCGACGCGACGGATTGCGGTTGGCTTGTCGAGTGGGAGGTGCTCAGGAGGACAATGAATGTGATGAGGCAAACTGCCACGATCACTGCCTTTCGAAAGGTCAACATGGCTGGTGGGTTGTCGCAGCAATCGCTGTAAATAACTTGAAAGACCTGTGACAGGTCAGGGCTCTGGTTGTGACGGGCTTATCCGACGGTTGCGCAGGACGGAGGCCAAGAACACCAAGACCCTGTCGCAGTCACCCAATCCTCACAGACATGAACAAGAGGATGTGGGCAGGACTGGACATAAAAGCGAGAAAGTTGAAAGCCGTTTTTTTCTCTGATGATCGGCGAGCAGTTATCAAAGAAAAAGGGTGCAGAGATGCCGCAGGGATACGGCTACACTAGTAGCTGTGGAGCGATCGAGGGAAACAGAACTGACGGACTGTTCGGAGTTAGTGTTGGCGCCATTGATAAGGCGAATCGAATGGTTGACTGACGAAGCTTTGTGGCGCACGCCGCAATCTAACAGGGATACGAATATCGTCGCAGCTCGACGAAAACGGCAATTTTGTAGCAACGGAGAGCTGACGAACGCCAGTATTCGAATATAGTGCGTTGACGACTGCTGCTGGCGGAGTCCTCGAACTTATTGACTATTACTCTATCCTTCTAGCCCGGTCCCTGCCGGCTAGAGGGGCATACAGCTCGGCGAGGGTAGAAAAAAGCTCGGCAAGGGTAGAGAAGTTTTTCTAAAGAAAGTCTTGGTATTTTTTTCTATTCTCAATCAGCTCTCGCTTAATAGCGCACAGATTATATATATTAGGGCATAGACCTATATACTTATACTATAATTAAGTAAATAGAATTAAAATAGAATTAAAATATAAAAAGCCTTATACTAAATATATATTAATACTGACTTTTTTATCTTTATCTTCTTTTTTTAATACCTATTTCCCCTTTATAGCAAAACTCTCTATATAGCTAAATTTTATATAGACTAAAATAGACTTATAAATAGAATAAGATAATATTATATAAGGCTTATATCTTATATATACTAAATAAAAGTTAGATAATATCTTCTAAGGCAGACTATAATAATAACTAAGTTAATAAGGTAGATAATCTATTTGCATTTAGATTCTATTATAGTATATTTAATAAATATATAGGCTTAATATATACTAATATAAAATAGGTCTGATCCCTTATATAAATAATAGCTAGGTTTCTCCTCACTAATAATAGGCTAAAATTAAGAAAGAGATAAATAAAGATAAGCAGAGTATATCAAATATTTAATATATATATAATATATACTAATATTATATAGTCCCGGCGATTAATATAGCTAATAATATAAACCCTTTAAATCTTATTAAGAAATTATTAATTATTAATAGTTATATATAAGTTGCTAAATAATCTAAGGGAAAACTATATATATACTAAACTAATACAGCTATAATATTACAATTAATAATATTAAAATATATAGTATACTTATATATAACTAATTTATATTATATTATTATATCTGCTAATAGTATCTGGGAGCTAATATATTTATTTTAGCATATATTCTATATATACTTATAATATATAGTTAAAAACCTGATATAGAAAAATATAATTTAAAAAGAGGAGATAGCTGGGCATAAATTTATCCCTATATATATTATATATATAGATACTAACTATCTTTCTAGCACCCTAAAAAAATAAGTTTTTATTAATAGCTAATAAGAGGCTAAATATTTAAAAGAATTAGAGTAAGATAAGCATATATTTTATATATACTTAATTAATACCGTATAAAAATATTGCTGGCTTACTTATCTTATAATATATAGATAAATATAAGGAAATTATATAAATTATTTATTTTATATGCCCTATATATACTAATACTATTCCTAGATAAAATAACTCTAAATTTGCTTATAAATAAAGTACCTACTTTTATTAAGATATAAATAGATATAAATATAATTTATATTAACTATATATTATTATCTATCTCTAATCTATTTATCTTATACTTATACTTATTTTAAGCCTAAAATAAATTATAAACCCCTAAAGTTAAGATAGAAGTAATATATATATCTTATTATACCTATTTTTAGCTAGCGCTAGCCTAATCTCTAACCTAATCTTTATTTCCCTTTCCCAGAATTATATAATTATTGTATTATTATTAATAATAAGGACTAAATTCTTTTTAATAACCCCTTAGCAGATATAATATATATATAAAAAAAGAATAAGAGATAATATTAAAAGCTAATATATAAATAGAGATATATTTTTATTATCCCTAATTCTGGCCGCTGTTATAAGATAAATATATATTATATATATATAGAGCTACGCTAATATCTTTTAATAATATAGTCTAAGCCTGCCTAAATATCTCTATTCTCCCTTATTGCTTATTTTAAAATTAAAAGATAAGCCAGCTCCTATATATATATAATATATATTAATATTAAATAGAGAAAAAAAATAAGAATAAAAATAATAAGGATAAAAATAAAAAAAAGGAGAAAGAGAGCTCTAATAATAAGTATATATATTTTTAATATATACTTATACTAACCTTGCTATAGATAATAAAATGGCTAATAAATTTAATATTATAATTATTAATAATAATAATATTAAAGAGCAGTTTAATAATGCTAATAATTAATTAAGGGATAAGTAAATATATACTTAATATATGCTTTATTAATAGATCTTTAGGTATGCTAAATTCTTTCTTTAAGTATAATAGTATATATTATATATATTTAATATATATATAGCTAATATAGATATAGGGTATTATTATTTAGTATATTTAGCTTATAAATAGTCTGGTTATTTCTTATACTGCCTAAATATATGCCTTATATATTTTCTCTATATCTAGGTGCCTATCTTTAATAGATATTTAATAAAAAGGATATTTTTAAGAATCTATAGCTTAAGCGCCTATATACTCTAGTTTAATTTAAAATAAAATATATTTATGCTTAGTATATATTATCTAGTCCCTTCTCTCTAGGCTAGTTATTTTAGCTAATAATTCTTTTTTTTTTTTATAAAGTTATTATTCTATAAATTCTTTAGCTCTTATCTTTAATCTAGTAATATTTTAATTTAAAATCTTAATATATTAATAACAGGCTTCTCTCTCTATTACTTCTAATATATTTTTAGTATAAGGTCTCTATATTCTATGCTTTATACTAGGTAGTAGTAGTAGTAGTATAGAGTCTATATATATAAGCCCTATATTAGTTATATTTTATCCTAAGTTAGACTGTAGATCTATAATAGAGACTATATCTATTAATTATATTATAAAAATAGAGTCTAATTATTAGTAACTGCGAGCTAAGATAGTAATATTAGATATATTATATATATTCTGTAGATTATATAAGAATATAGGCTTTTAAACTTGTTTAGCTGTTATATATTAATAATATTAGTCTATATAATTAGAGTTTGTAATCTAGTATAATAGTAGATTATATATATTTACCTTTTTTTTATAGTTAAATTATAAGCTATATAATATTACTATAATTCTTCTATATTGTATTAATATTAGTAGTCTTATAAATATCTAATATTATATATATCTCTTAGATATGCTTTTTTATATTTATATATTAATTAGTTACTATCTGTATCCTATATATATTTAATATATACTTATTATAAAATAGCCCTAAGTAATAAATATGCCTTTTTAGTTATATAATTATCTTAAAAATAGCTGCTTTTACTAAGCCCTATATACTTATATATATATTTTTAATATTTAATAGGGACCTTTAATGCTTTATAAATAAGCTTATTAAGTATTTATAGTTTCTGCTTAGAATTAATCTAAAAGCAGAGATTAGTATTAATATTATATATACTATCTATAAGCTAAAGAAGCTTATTAATTAAATCTACTATCTATAAGCTATAGATTATATATTTAAATAGATATGTTAAAAATTATACTAAGAAGTTTCTTATTATATAAACTAAACAGAAGATAATTATATATTATAAATATTCTGACTATATTCTTAAAAGATTAAGACTATAGAGAAAGTCTTTAAATCCTATATTAAAATTAGACTATAGAAATATAGAATAAGGATAAAGTAAATTATAGTCTTATTAGATATTTGCTTTATATATATATTAATAGTAATTATTTATATATCTTTCTTATTTTAATAGATATAAGCAAACTAAATTAGAGAATATACTATATCCCCTAAAATTTAAAATATCTTTATAAATATAGTTATATAAGCCTCTTATATTTCTAAATTAATAAAAATATAAATATAAGTATTAATCCCTTTATAAAATAAATATAGATTATATATATATATAGTAGATATATTTACTCTTATTTATATTATTCCACCTAGTAATTATAAAGAGGTTAATTTTCCCTTAGACTATCTTAAATAAAAGGTCTATTTTAATATACTCTATATTAAGAAAAGCCTTTGCCTGGGTATATATGCAATAGATAATAAGGAAATATTTATTATTAAAAAAATAGATCTCCTTAATCTATTATTTATTACTATTATAGTTATAATTTAAAGTAAATTTATATTATATTCCTATATAATATTAGCAGTTAATATTTTATATAAATAGCATTATATATATACCTATAATATTACTACTAGCTAAATAATAGAATAACTTTTTTTTAGCAATTAATACTATAATTTTATCCTTAATATTAAGGCTTTAATAAATTATATATAATGTATTCTTGCTATATTAGTTATATAAGGTTATAAACTATAATAATATAATAAATTGCCCTAATTAAAGGTTAGTATATATTTTATATATACTAGGTATATACTTATATGCTATAAGATCTAGGATATTTTATTATTAAATTAATATAGTAACTTTATCTATAATATCCTTAGACAGTTTTATAGGATAAAGAGAATAATATAAATATCTTCTATAAGTAATTAAAAGATAAAATTAAAATTATTCTTAATAGACTAGAATATAGATATTAAATTTAATATTATATTTAAATTATATTATCTTTCTAAGATCTTAAGAATAATTAAAACTATATTATATATGCCTAGAATATATAGTCCTAATATATATATACTATGGTTTTATTGTATAAACACTATATTAAGTAATTATACTAAGATAGGGTATATTAATACTATATAAATATTAAGTAAAAAGAGTAGTTTTATACTATAATTCTATATCTATAAAGAGAGGGCATTTAAAATATAGAATCTATATATATAATTAATATATACTAGACATATATTTATAATATATATATATTGCTCCTATAAAAGACTGTCGGTCTTTATCTTATATAACTATACTCTTTAATTTAATAATAAGAATATAATCTAGCACTATCTTAATCCTATATTTTTATAAAAGTATTATACTACCTATAATAATTATATATTAATATTTATAAAATATAGGTTTTATCTTATTTATATTTTTATAATAGTTTAAAGTTATTTTAAAATAAAGATATCTAGAAGCTATTAGCTTAACTTCTTTTATAGGTTATTAATATAGTTAGGAGTAATATAATTATATATATTATATATATAAAAGATATCTAGATAAATATATTTATAATAATAAATACCGCTGTATTAATAAGTTTAATAATATGCCTTTATATTTTCTTTATCTTTATTATCTTTATGTAATAGCTTTAAATAAATAGTATTATAGCTATTAATATTATAGACTAAAAATTAAATCTAATAATATTAGCCTTTAATATAGTATAAGTCTAGCATATATAGAACTTACCTTTAATATTTCCTTTATAATCTTTTAATTAATTTTATATGCTTAGCTTCTTAGATATAGTTTTACTTTATAAATAAAATATATAATTCTTATTGCATTGATATAGGGATAGCTAGGCATATATAAATAATCTTATATCTCTGCTATAGAAATCTTTAACTATCTATTTAATAAAATAATAATACTAAACTCTTTAAATATATCCTATAGGTATATTAATATTATATGCCTAGTATATACTACAGATATACCGCTGATAATCTTATATTAATCTAATTATTAATAGTTTTATCTTCTAATTTAGCGCTTTTTTACCTAGGAGAATTAGCTATTATATCTTATTTAAATAGATAAAGGATATATCTAGTATATATATAGAATATACTATAGTTCTTTATAGCTCTAGCTTTAGTATTATTATTATATATGCGACAAAAATTGATTAGAGACTAGCTCTATTATTATTTTAATTAAGCGAGAGCTAATTAAGGGTAGAAAAAAATGCTAAGACTTTTTTCAGAAAAACTTCTCTACCCTTGCTGAGCTTTTTTCTACCCTCGCCGAGCTGATACCCGCGGCTAGAGGAGCGAACAGTGATGTCGTCGTCTAGAGAGCGAAGGCCGCGTAATTCCTCCGTTCCACGAAGGATGTTGGACTGACCAGCTAGGTCAATTGAGTTGGCGCAGGAATAATATTAATATTAATGACTGTCTATGTCGACTGGAAAGGGAAAAGGGAGTTGCTGAAATACTCCGCAAAGAACGCACCGGGCACCTAGATCTTTCACAACGGACGATCTGCCGTTCTGGAGATCCAATATACCGCCTTTGGTTGGTATACATGTTTTCGGCTTTAGTGCAACGGTCGTATCGCTACCGCTTGCAGGGGCCACAGCCAGAGGAGTTTTCGATGGCTTTTGATAAATGGCCATTGTGGAATGGAGAAGTCGATCATTCCGTCCTTAATTTACATATACGGACACAGACATGGACACCCTCCCATTCAGGACCGCCCGGAATATATTGCATTCGACAGGAACACTTCTTGTTGGGATAGTATAGATCATGCGTGGCACCTTATAGGTCTCTGGCATAACTATCGTCAAACATTCCATGGAGTTTAGGCCTTTGATCTCAGGAGACAATATACTTAGTTGGTTCTTCTGCAACGCCGGCCTCATGATGCCATATTGCTTTTAATAATAATGAACTAGCTCCACCATTAGTGTCTAATTTCTGGTTATAATCTAATAATTGCCTTTTATCTCCACTCAAAAAAACAGCTGAGGCAGGAACATATATTTTTTTCCTCTTCCAGCAGGGCAAAATGGTCACGAATACCACTACAAAGCGTTGGTGGTCTCACGTAATTTAAGATAGCCTTCAGTTGCTGTGGGGCCGTAACATTGGGGTCAGGTTGCCTTAAGTACTCTACTATAGCACATGGGCAGTTTCTCGAAGCTCATTGCTGCGTCAATATTGATTGCATGCACCTTCGCTTCACGTACAGATCGCGGGCCTTAAGTGTGCCGCGACCGCTCTTCTACAGGTTTTATTTCATTTTATTCCCGTGATTAAAAATTATTGAGGCCCTCTCAGTAATTATTGAAGAAGGGAAGAATAATTTCATAAGCGCGAAATGTCTAACTACTCTTATTCTGGCTATTATGTAGCGAAGACTCCTAGCCGCCGTTACAGTTGAGATTACAGGGAGATTGGTGAAAGGACCTCCCTCCATTGCCTATTTGGATGTAACTAGAAACGAGTAACCAGCCACAACCTGCATCTTCGTTTGGACACGTGTGAATAATAACTGCAACGCTTTTCTATTGGGTTGATGTTTTTTTTGATCGACATGCTATGCCATAATGCGACAACAGCGTCCGCTTACATAACTCACAAAAAGGTGCAGCGCTGAATAAGATGTACAGGGATCGATCGTCTGAAACGAACACCGATCTACATCACCTGCAGTCTGTCAGGTGCAGTTCGCAGATTGGGCTGACTCTATATATACATGGAGATGAAGCGGACTTAGCAGCTATGATGCCTCAGGTCGCAAATGAAATCATGAAATCCTCACCTAGTTAAGCATCGAATGTCTGCCACAACGGTTCGCAAAGAATAGGCTTTTCCTTATACAGTAGGACAATAAACGTGTATTCAAGATCCTCGGAGCTCTGGTAAGTGGGGAAAAGTAAATAATTACCTAAACATATAGTATTCTAAAGATGACCCTTTATGCAAATTCTGGGCTGGGGGGCTCTGATGCTAGCTTACACTCTTATTGTCATCCAGACAGGTAACGCCTGAGCATGGTATGAACAAAAAGAACATCATTTCTTTGGTCCCAGCAGGGTAGCCGATTTTGGCCGCTTTTTCTGCATCTAGGCGATCTACAGGGCTGCGCAGAACATTTACTCTGTAGGCGGTCCCGGATCCCTCCCGAGGGCAAGTGCTTAAGCACACTAAATCAGACGTTCCGGCGGTCCGGACCACGCTATGGTATTGTTGTTATAAGTACCGCCCTTGCTGTTGTGCAAGGTCGACTTGAATAATAATGGAGCAGATCAATGCCTTAGTAGTGAGATATCGGACGAAGAAAATGACTTGAAGTGCCAGACGGAAAGTGACACACGGCCTGAGCTTCAATGAGTATACGATTGGAATGAAAACTGGCGGTTTACCGTGGGGAGAATGATGGTCAGTCACTGCATCATAGCTATCATTGCGAGGTACATGCTAAGCTGTCCTCGTCTCAACTAGGTTCTTGGGCAGAAGAGACATTTCACGGTGCTGACAGCCAGATGCAAGTCCAGTGGCCCAGACTGCTGATAGGGCAGCAGACGTGGAATTGACTATTTGGTATCTGGAATCCAGATGACTCGAATGAACGGCGCATCTGCAGTGGTAACTCTCACGCTGTTATGATCGCAACAATGACAAAGCTTCCTGGACGCGGTTGGTTTTGACTCGAAGATCACTTCGACCCACCGTTCGACACAGGTGAGGTTGCCAATGGCCACAGCTGGCTATCCAGCATATTGGACAACGGTACGAGCCGGTCGGCGATTGAGCTCCGCGCCCTTGATAAGTATGCCAACAATTGATCACCAGTCGCTAGCTATCTCTATCCTTACTCTACTAGTAGTTCTGCGATGCGTTCCATGATCGCAATGAGCCTCAACAAGCCAGTTCTGGGCATCCATCATTCCCTTCATGACTTCAGCCCGCAGTGGGCCGATACTATGAGATCTCCTGTCAATCCCCCGTTTTTTAGGTGATATTTCTTGTTGCTCTGCGTTCTCTGACATAAAGGCAGAAGCCTCTCACGCAAGAAGCGCAAGTATCTCATTCTACCTGACATCAATCCGTCGTTTTCCCTGAACAGATCGGTTACCTCATTTAATCACTCCTGTATTTATTAATGTGTCCTCTCCATGGTCCCAAATAATTAATCCATACCGGTTTATCAATTCATTGAATCCTCTTACCTGGGCAAGGTCTCACTGAGCTGCTTTATCAAGACTCCAGACCTGGCCCCATACAACACGTGAAATGAGCAGCGAAGCCTCCTCGGACATCGAGAAGAGATTCTCTGGAATCGAACCAGCATCCAAACAACCAGCATCCAGACCGTCGAAATGGACATGGAAAAGGATCTGGTGTATCACAGGGCTGGCGATCTTAGGGGCCGGAATCCTGGCGATCATCATCACCTTGCCGATAGTCTTGCGGCATCGCGGCGGATCATCGTCTAATGATGCAATCCCGGATCGACCTAATGATCCAACCCACCCACGGTTGGCTGTCGACAACTTTCCAGACCCAGGCCTTCTGGAACACAACGGCACTTGGTATGCGTTTGGGACAAGTCCAGTCTCGAACGTGAACTCCACCACATACGCGCACATCCCGATTGCGACGTCACAGGACTTTGTACATTGGAATCTGACCGGTTTGGATGCATTGCCCATTGTTGGGGCATGGGAAGCCGAGGAGAACCATCTTGCTCCTGATGTTATCCAGAGGGTGAGTTGATAACTCAAAATAGTATCAAATGTGCAAACACTCCATACTGATGTCGCATACGCTAGGACGACGGGAGGTTTGTTCTTTACTATGGCGGGGAGGTGAAGAACTGGACAGCCCACCACTGCGTTGGAGCTGCAGTCTCCAATGGCACCAGTCCTCTGGGCCCATACCATCCTGAGGACAAGCCTCTAGCCTGTCCCAAAAACAACGGTGGTGCTATTGACCCGTCCCCCTTCCGGGACGTTGACGGTACACTCTATGTCACCTATAAGGTAGACGAGAACAGCATCGGACATGGAGGGAACTGTGACAATAGCGTCAAACCAATACTTCCAGTTCCAATTATGCTCCAGCAATTAGAGAGTGACGGTGTCACACCAGTCGGTGACCCTGTCGAGATCCTCAGCAGGGACAGCAGCGATGGTCCTCTTGTTGAGGCGCCGGCCATTGTCCGGACAGAACAGGGCATGTATTACCTGTTCTTTTCCTCCAATTGCTACAACAACCCAGCCTACAACGTCAAATTCGCCTGGTCGCAGTCGCTCAAGGGTCCTTACACAAGGGCTTCACGGCCGTTGCTGCAGACCGATGACTATGGCCTTAGATCTCCAGGAGGGGCGGATGTCTCCAGCGACGGAAAGAAGATGGTCTTTCATGCATACTGTAGTGCGACTGACAGATGCATGTATGCGGCTGCCATCGATATCAGATCGAACGAAACGATCGCATTCACCGCAGTTTAAGGCTGCTGTTACCCCAGGGTCCGTGGAGATAGCCATGGGAAATGATACCATGGCCGACTTTGCTATGAATTCTCTTTCTTTCTAATGACATACATGCCTCCAGTTTGACGAGTAATCAGACCCAAGTTCTACGATCTGAACCAGAGTCTGTGAATTGATCCCGCGAGATCGGTTTTTTGGTCCCTATCGGCCAAGACCATTTAAGATTTTGCAGCCTTGACGTCAGGTTTTGTCATCTCCTACTTCTCAAACAATCATGCTACCATTCTCGGATCATTCAATGTCGATATGAAGGCGTTCAAAGTATATTTTCCAAGCGTGTGCACTGAAATTGTTGTTTAGCGAGTTATTCTAAACGCGGCTTTGATGCGTACATTTCGGGTTACGATGTGATGTATGTTTACGTTGTACAATATGCAGAATAGATAGATATTTTATCACCGTGCGAGCATTGGTAGCATCGAGCAGAAGCTGTCAGATAGAGATCTCCGAACGAGCTACACTATCTCAGATTTGTTGATGCCAAGAATTCCTCCCCATACTTAGTATACTGCCGCTATTCACCGCTGAGGAATACAGCCAATCAGAAGCCTTGCAGATGACGCGATTGCAAGGTATCCAGAAAAAAAGCGCGAGTGTCTGCTCGGGTTGTTCAGCAGCTGAGCTCCTTAATCGGAGTGCCCACTTCTCCGCCTCCGTCATGGACTTTCGTGGTCTTGAAAGTGCATCTTGCCTCGAGGTCAACTTTCCACGGCAGTCGCCTGTTCAGACATCATGAGTTCTCTCCGCGGTGCTGCTCGTTCAGCGGCCAGGACTTTGAGAGCTGCCGGATGGACCCAGCCCAATGATGCTGCGGGCCCTTTGACGAGACAGGCGCGGCTTATAAATAGTCCTCCAGCATTGTCTGCGACTACCACCCGATCGATTCGAACTTATCAGCCTAAAAAGGCGCAACCTGGCGTCGCAGAACAGAGAGACTCTTCCTCGAATCCGGCTCTGTCGTTTCCTTGTCTCGATGCACAAGAAGCAAGGTCCGCGTCTCTCTCCGCGAGGTCTGACCAATCCGGCCCGGAGCCATCGTACACGACGGGACATCACGAACAATTCAAATGCAAAGAACCGTTGCTGTTGGATTGGGGTGGAATACTGCCGGAGTTCGACATAGCATACGAGACCTGGGGCCAATTGAACGCAGACAAGACCAACGCCATTCTCTTGCATACCGGTCTCTCCGCCTCCAGTCATGCCCATAGTACGGCGGCCAACCCGAAGCCAGGTTGGTGGGAGAAGTTTATCGGACCGGGTGCTCCAGTGGACACAAATAAGTACTTTGTGATCTGCACCAACGTGGTCGGAGGATGCTATGGTAGCACGGGCCCCTCATCGATCGACCCCTCAGATGGCAAGAGATATGCTACAAGATTCCCGATCCTTACCATTGACGATATGGTTCGTGCACAGTTCAGACTGCTAGATGCACTGGGTATTAAGAAGCTCTATGCGTCGGTTGGATCTAGTATGGGCGGTATGCAGAGCCTGGCTGCCGGTGTCTTGTTCCCTGAGCGAGTGGGCAAGATTGTCAGTATTAGCGGTTGCGCACGAAGTCACCCATACAGTATTGCTATGAGGCATACCCAGCGACAGGTGCTGATGATGGACCCCAACTGGGCCCGTGGCTTCTACTACGACTCAATTCCCCCGCATTCTGGAATGAAGCTTGCTCGTGAGATCGCCACTGTGACATACAGAAGTGGTCCCGAATGGGAGAAAAGATTTGGACGAAGGCGCGCGGACCCAAGCAAGCAGCCAGCTCTCTGCCCTGACTTCCTCATCGAGACTTATCTTGACCACGCCGGAGAGAAGTTCTGTCTCGAGTATGATCCGAACAGTTTGCTGTACGTCTCAAAGGCGATGGACCTATTTGATCTGGGCTATGAGCACCAGACGGCCACCCTACAGAGGAGAAGTGAGAATCAAAGAAAGATTTCCGAAGGCTCGCGGAATATCCGCGACACTGATGTCGCCTGCAGCCTCACCCTTCCGGCCAAGCCTTACGAGGAACAGCCATCTCAAACTCCCACTACGCCAATGGACCAGTCCGTTGCGGGCAGTCAGGGTCAAAGTGAGGATCCTCACGGGCCACCCGCCGACCTTGTCGCAGGTCTTTCTCCATTGAAACACCACCCAGTTCTTGTCATGGGTGTGGCAAGCGATAGCTTATTCCCTGCGTGGCAGCAACGAGAAATTGCAGATACACTTAGGGCAGGAGGGAACACCCGTGTTCAGCATATTGAGCTGGGTGAGGATGTGTCCCTCTTTGGACATGACACATTCCTTCTCGACTTGAAGAATATTGGCGGTAAAGTCGGAGAGTTCTTGGGTTGACCTGGATGACCTCCTCTATAATGTCTTGAGTTATGCGGATGTTGTCATGGGCGAAAAAAAAAAGTTGGCAAGTGCATAGGAAGGCGTTTATTAGTTTTTTGAGTCCGGAACGCATCAGGCTATTCGATTCTGTGTCCATATCCCGTTGTATATATTGATGATAACCCACCACTTGAATGATACCAATTCTTACTCATTTGCTCGTCCTCTACTAGGATTTCCGGGGAAATCAAATAATCTTGATATTAAGACTTCGAGGAATATCGACCCATATACCAAGTGTCTAGCTTACGAACTAATCCGTCCTCAGAACACTGATGACTGCCCACCGTCCAGAGCCAGCACATGACCATTGACATACCCTCCTGCCTTGCTCGTCAAATATAGGATCGTTCCCGCCATCTCATCTTCCTTTCCTGCTCTACAGAGTGGGATGTATTCCGGCTGAAAGGTGCCGACGACCGTCAAATCCACACGAGGCAGCTCTCCAATGATCTCCGTTGGGAAGCCTAGATACAACAAATCAGTATAGTGTAAAACGAATCAAGGACACTCTTTGACTTATCAATGCTCTCGAAGGAAACATAACAACTAGGGGGAGAGAAGGTAAAGGGCCAGGGGGCACGTACAGCCAGAAGCTATCATATTACCCCTTATCCCATGTACAGTCAAAACAGCCATCATCTGCTTCATCAGTAACGCCATAGCAGCCTTGCTCATACCATACGCATAACCACACGACACAGCCCGACTCTGTCCGGCAACACTACCAATTGCCACAACCTGACTCTTCTGCGAGACATTACCCTTTCTATTCCCCGCATCTAACAACCCGACGAATGCTGCAATGGTATAAAACACACCGGCAGCATTAATCTTATATGTCTCCAGAAACTCATCCATCGGCGTATCCATCAGATATTCACTTAGTTCATCGGCGCTCATGTCCGCGTTGAATGTTCTCGGACCCTTTCTGATATCGGTATCTTGGTTCAATTCCCAAAGGCGAGCTCGTGTAGATTCTGCAATGATTCCAGCATTGGCTATCACGACGTTCACGTAGCCCGTCTCGCTTTTTATCTGGACTGCTGCATTACGTAGGGACGTTTTGTCAGTTACGTCTGCGACGATAGGTCTGATGATAGCTGGATATTTGCTAGCTGTATCTTCAAGGGGTTCGCGGCGGCGGCCGAGGATGTAGATCTTGCGTGCGCCGTTCGCGGCCAGTGCGAGGGCCATGATTTTCCCGAGACCTGAAATCGATGACTTGTATGTTAGTTGACAGGAATTTCCTTTTTGAATCTATATATCTCCTGAAGGGAATAATTGTGAGGGGAAAGAATTGGCAACGCACCAGTCCCCCCGCCGGTAATCACGACCACAAGGCCGTCGACTTTGAACAGATCCTGGACATCAAAAGGCATCTTGACCTTATTTCTCCTTTCCTGATAAGTTCGTTGCCCACTTAGACTCGGGGTATGATGATATATATCTCGAGAAGAACAAAGACTCTCTTTTATGGCGAGTAACAAAGCAATCGCTAGCAACGTGGTACATCGATCAACGCTATCAATCAAGCCCTGTCACGCAGTGTAACCACCTTTCATGAAAGATGCATATAGAACTAAGACTATCTCAGGTTACACGTTGCTTTGTCTTTCGGATAGGGCGTCGAGCTCGTTTCACATCTGCCTCGGATTTATTACTATCGTGGCTTCTATCTCAGTGAGTGATTCCATCGTGACTAGGCACCTTTTTTTGTTTAGGATTGATAAATATAGAAATTCTAAAGAAAGACATGTGGACTAGTGATACAGTAGCTTCTGGATCTGTTGCCATAGGAATACTAACAGACATCAACGTTGATTACATGCATTTCCCAACAATCACTTTCTATACCACATCCGGGTAATTTTTGTCTTTTTCATTTTCTTCTGCAACTGAAAGACGCCATAAAGCAACGCTTCTGCAGTCGGAGGACACCCAGGAACATAGATATCAACTGGAACGATCCGATCAACCCCCCTAACAACACTATAGCTATAGTGGTAATAACCACCACCATTCGCACAACTGCCCATGCTAATCACCCACCTGGGTTCCGGCATCTGATCGTAGCATTGGCGAAGAGCTGGCCCCATCTTGTTGGTCACTGTCCCCGCTACGATCATCACATCGGCCTGGCGAGGAGAAGCTCGAAAGATAATGCCCAGTCGGTCCTGGTCATACCGAGGCATGGAGACGTGCATCATCTCAATGGCACAGCAGGCAAGGCCGAAGCTCAGTGGCCAGAGGGAACCTTGTCTAGCCCAGTTGACGATCTGGTCGAATGTTGTTCTGGAATAATTATTCGGTTATTCTGGCCCATATGTGCATGGTTGTCTTGAAGAAGGGAGAGTACTAACAGGACATGTTCCACGACGTTCATGTTCTTTTGTTCCGTGGACAGGGCGGTTTCGCCATTTTGAAATATCCTTTCAGTCCGTCCAGTACTGTGGCTGATTTTGCGTGTCGAGTATTGTCGGTGATGCAATCGGTTTTGAAAAGTAGTACTTGGTAATAGGATTCTTTGGCGAAAGATAGACTGGTGAAGGCACAAGCGCCCTGTAGAGATGACAGAAGTTAGTAAAATGCAATACATTTAACAATCCCCTGAAAGAGAGATTGGAAGAAGGGAGATTACAGTACCATATAGGAGTTTGATATTGCTCGCTGGAGTCATTCTTCCAAGTACTCTAAGTTCGAAGGAGAAAGAGTAGGTACCTATACAGCTGTTGATCAAGTCAAGGAAAACTCTCACAGTCAATTGATAATGAACAGATTCCTACTTGCAGAACTGATAGCTACATCTATGTCCGGATTTCCTGCAAGTTACTATATGCTTAGCTGGAGCAATGTGGGTTTATCCCAACTATGTGGGTTTTCCCGACTAAGATAGGCAATATCGGATCATGACTATCCATAAACGTCTGTGGTGGCCCTTCTCTTGCATAGATACAAATTCATGTGCCATTTTCCATTTTAGTCTAATAATTAATGTTGGGGTGAGATATACTCGCGCTTGAACTATGGTCTAGTTGTGAAGGTAATAATGCAACGGGACCAATCATCCGAGTTGCCGAGAGCCTGGTTGACATTGACTTTAGGATATCTTTTCTCGTCTATCGTCTTAAACGAAGGGATAAAATGGGAACTAATAATCCAAATACGCAGTACAAATGTACCAGATGTGGCCGGCATTACTCGAATGCTAGTCATTTACGGCGTCATGAAGCAACGCGTAAGAATCTAAGCTCAAGCTATAAGACTTGAGGCACTGACGAGGCCATCCTCAGATTCTTCAACTCCCCGGGCAACGTGTGGTTTCTGCAATCGACGGTTTTTGAGAAGGTATGCAATATCTCTTGTTTATATGATCGGTCGAACTTGCGTCTCATGAGATTTGACAGTGATGTATTGCGCCGTCACTCTCGGACTTGCAAACACAAGGACACGCGCGCAGTGCTTTCCCAGCCAACGCGCGGCAGGAAACGGAAAGCTTGCGATTCATGTGCACAAAGTCGGATGGTGTGCGATGGGGAGCTACCATGCGAAACATGCCTTGCGAGGAAGTTAGATTGTTCATACAATCGTCTGCAGCAAGCTAATAACCCCTGTGCCTCATCACAAGAAGAAAGTGACTCAAGGCCTCAGAGGATCACTATTTCTTTCCTTCTCAACTATACAGACCCGGTACACAGATCATCCTATGACCTGCTACAATTCCTGACCAGGAAGAATGATGATGCGCCTGTGCCGGAGAGCTCAGTGCAGAATTATCATCAGGGCAACAACACAGGATTTTGGCAGTCCATATTCCATGACTTCATAGATACCTCTGCACTAGGCCCGCCTTCTCAAGAAACAGGACTCACTTACGGATGCAATGAATCCGAGAATATACCAGGGGCGATTGACCGATTATTGACGGAACTCAAACAGTATCAGACACACTTGCCAGGCATCAAACCTGACTTAGTCAAAGCGGAAGCATTCTTCTCATCGTCAAATCTTCTCAAGTTTGTCACCTCGTTTTTCCAACACTGTTATACCAGTGATCGTTTCGTCCATGAGGCATCATTCAATGTGAACACTGTTTCGACTGCTCTTCTCTTGGCGGTTGTACTTCTCGGTGCAACTTGTGCTTCACCCGCCGATGCTGCTCTCGCAGAACAATATTTGACAGTTGCTGAATATCTGGTGTTCGAAAATACTGGATTTCATCAACTTCTGTATCATGACGAGAATCCACCCCAGTCGAGAAAAAATATTGAACTTGTCCAGGCAGCAATCATCGTGATGTACTTACAATCAGCCAGTGATCAAGTCGAATTCAAAAGAAGAATTCGGATCCAGCGATTCCCCTCGTTGGTGTCGGTTATTCGATCACTAAGACTGACACAAGCGATCAACAATACTCCTCTCAGTAGCAAAGAGTTTGTTCTACAAGATTATGTGCACAAAGAGACTCTAGTGAGGTTGTTTCATCGTATGTTTACTGCAATGCTTCTTTCACTGACATTATTGGTAGGATAATTTCATGGGTGTACTTGGCTGACACCCACTTGGTTGTCTTCTACCGTTGCCCGCCACAGTTCAAAATCTTTGAGGCAGACTTTGGGCTCCCTCAGCATGACGAACTCTTCGAAGCAGCTGATCCACTTGATTCAGAACGCATTATATCCCAGATAAGAGATCGACCTAAACCTATGTCTCTCAAGTCAATACTTCGGCTTCTGATGGATGACAGCCCCGTTCAAATGGAAGAGATACTCCTGCAGACCAACAGTTTATTTTCACTTTTCTTAATTATGTCCGGTGCGTTGCTCCATCCAATGACTCGAGTGGTCGTGTTTACTAACGATTCACGAAGCGCTTCAATCTATCTTGTTTGAAATCTTCTCAATGAGAAGTTGTTTTCCCAGTCTAGAACTATTTCGGCCGATAGATCGCGCTTTGGATAGATGGAAAATGCTATGGGACTTGTTCCATACACGTCATGAGTGCACCGGTGCATCTCGATCCGCATATGTGGTGCATGCTTCTACAGAACACTGGTGGCTTGCCAAAGCGCTTATAAAACGGCGTGATATAGTTGACGAGGAAGCTGGGTGTGCAGCGGATTCGATGAACACATTTCATAATTTGGTCAAACGCCTTACGGCCGAGGATGTAGATTGATATTCTTGTACAGAATCGCAGAGTACGAATCTACAAGAAATTTAGAGCATGTTATAAACACATAGTTAGTAACAAATAATAAAATTGGGAGTATTTTGAGATTGCTGAATCATGGAATATGACATAGAAGATAAATTAACGGCTGAATGCCCTCAGATTAGCTCTCAGGTTCTCATCGGTTTCCAGGCGGGTACGAGCGTGCTAAAGCACGTCTGTGTTTTGCCGGATACCATGCAACTTTGGCTTTTGGACATATCGCCTCGTCACTGGGCAACTAACTAAATGCTATCATTGTCTAAAACAAGCGGCAAATATGCCATTCAAAGAACAGTTGCCATAAGGGTCGAATTGCCTTTGGGGATGAGGCGAAAGAGGGGAGCGATAGAGCAAGGTCATGGCGCAATAAACCGGTACAAAACATAATATGTCGCGGCAAATGCGTAGAGTGACTGATTCCTCGCCAAAAGGCCTTTCAGTAAAAAGCTATATTTGGAAGTGATGCATTTGTATCTCCTGAAGGTTAGCTGCGGACGATAGATATGTAGTCAGATAATGATCAAACCATGTGCGAGAGAGAGCAGACTTAAGAAGACTGGAGATTTGGGTAACTCCCTCCAAGCTGTCCCTAGCCCTATCAGATTGAAAACTACCTTAAAAACCACTCCTCAACGGCGTGCTTCAACGCGATCACCTTCGAAGGGCCAGACACACGGAGCAAGAATCTGCCTCAGAGTTTGCGGTTGAAATTTGTCATCATATAGGCATCATGGGGGATTGGAGGGGAATCTTCAAAAGAAAGAACGGAATACCGTCAATACTTGTACACATCACACAAGTATGAGATACGAGCAATAGGACCACTAGTTAGCTAAGTGTCGTTAGCCATGCCTTCCATCATCAAAGAAGGATCATGTCCAAGCAACGTGTATGCAAGCACTAGAGGCAAAGACCACTCTGGTTTTGAGTCTCTAAGATCTCTGTTCTTATCTCAATCACCCGCGCCCGTATAATATAAACGACGCGTCTTCTTCCACTCGATGCTCACGAGCACCGAGGGATGAAGTCCACGCTTGAAAGCGCGTCATGAGAAGCTCATTTGTCTTATCGTCACGGAGACCAACCAGCAGTGCGGTACGCAAGCCTATAAATGGAGGGTTAGCCGTAGCGCATACAGGAAATATCGAGAGACCTGGTACTCACCTGCTTGGTGCATTCTTAAAGGAGACCAACATTGATGCACTAAGAGGAACGGTCGAACACGCGCCGGAAAAACGCATCGGTCCGTTCCGACAACCCCCAATTTCACTTACGTCAGAGCGAAACCTGGAATTTCAGAGGCACGTGACTCACTGTTGCTGCCGCGGTTTCAGCATTGAGCCACACTTGGAAGCTTTGTGAGGTATACAATTGCGCAGTCCGATATTGTCCAAAATGGCCGCCGTTTTCTCTTTCTCCGTTAAGCCCAGCCATGGATCCCTCAGGATCTAGAGCGTGGCGTCGAACGAGCTATCACGAAGAAGACAGTGACGACGGTCTTGTCTACGGCGACGAATACTTTGGACGATTATTACGAAAGGCAGAACAACACGAGAACTCGAGAACACGAAAACGAGGGCAGACATACACGGGACTCGGAAACTAACGAAAATATGTCATCCTGGCTTCAGCGCCAGCTAGGCTCACAGCAAACCCAACTTACTGCTACAGCAGTATTGTCTGGCGCTGCTGTGGCTGGTACTATTCTTGGTTACCAGGCCCTCAAACGGAGGGAAGCAGTGAAGGAACTAAAGTCCTCCATTCCACCTATTAGTGAGCAGCATAAAGCGCAAAAGGTTCGTTGGACTGAAGACAGCTACCATGCGGGGATACCTGTGAAATAATCGACTAACGCATCGAAATAAAGCTGTCGGAATATGGCACGGCTACTCCACCATCGATGAGCAAAGAAGATGAACGTAGTGCGGCACTTGCCCGAAGAGCACAGGAGGGTGATTATGACGAAGGTGAGGAGGTCTCTTAATTGACAACCTTTACGTGCGTCCTTACTGATGATGTGTCTCTTAGATCTCATTCTTGAACAGCTTGCTCGCAACCGTGTATTTTTAACTGACGAAGGCCTTGCCAAACTTCGATCTTCTTTTATAATCGTCGTGGGATGCGGTGGTGTGGGATCGCATGCGACTGCTGCTCTGGCTCGATCTGGAGTTGGAAAAATCCGCCTAATTGATTTCGACCAGGTCACGCTTTCATCTTTGAACCGACATGCTGTCGCAACCTTGGCAGACGTCGGTACACCAAAGGTGCACTGTATACGGAGGAGACTGGAGCAGATCGCTCCTTGGGTCAGATTTGACTGCTACAATGAACTCTTCGGCAAGTCTGTAGCCGACAAGCTCCTAGGCCCTTGGGAATTGGAAAGCCACGGGCCCCGGAAACCTGACTTTGTCATCGATTGCATTGACAATATCACTTCCAAGGTGGAATTGCTTCATTATTGTCATGCTAATTCTATACCTGTTGTTTCATCCATGGGTGCTGGTTGCAAGTCAGACCCCACTCGCGTCGTAGTGGGCGATATCTCGCAAAGCACAGATGACCCTCTATCGCGCAGTACTCGACGACGGCTCAAGGCGCTTGGTGTAAATTCTGGTATTCCGGTGGTCTTTTCTACTGAGAAGCCGGGTCCTGGCAAGGCCTCTCTCCTGCCCCTCCCTGAGGATGAGTTTGCGAAAGGACAGGTGGGTGAGTTGGGTGTGCTGCCCGACTTCCGCGTTCGTATACTTCCGGTGTTAGGAACGATGCCTGCCGTGTTTGGATACACCATAGCGAACCATGTCATCTGCACGGTCTCCGGATATCCCCTTGATTACAGTGTCAGCGTAAAGGGCAGAGACAGGACATACGACAGTGTCTTGTCTGCCTTGCAAGCGACAGCAGAGAGACTGGCTCGAGACGAAGCAGGCGAAGACGCATATGGTCTCCGTATCCCCGTCAGCAAAGACGACGTTGCATTCCTTCTCGATGAGGTATATAGAGGGAAGAGTGTCATTAGCGGCCTACCCAGTCGCGTCACCTTGGTTCCCTGGGAAGTTCCAGCTGGAGGATTCGGCGCTGACAAGGAATGGCTCAAAGAGGGACAGAAGTACGTCCGGATGGACCTGAAGAATCTGGTCTGTATGACAAAGGATGAGGCTACGCGGCATGAACGGGAAGTGCTGAAGGGGAAGAAGAGACTGGAAGAAGTATACGACAAAAACATTCTGCTGAAGGTTGAGCAACGCAGGCGGGAGATAGAGGAGTTCGAGAAATATAGGTAGACAACTTGAATCGACTGTACGATAACCTTGAGATGTGTAAGAGAGTTCAGAGTCCCCTCAGTATTGAATACTGATAGGAATGACTGTATATATGGGAGAGACTTATTGTGATTGTCATAAGCAGAGTGCATTGTTGCATCTTGACAAGTCCGTTGTAGGCTGTAGCTCCCTGAGATTCTTGGCTGGCGGACTTGGCGGGCTACCTTTGTCGCCAAGCCGCAAAGTCTTAGTAAGCGTTTTGAGACCAAAGACGGTGGCCAGCAGATACGAACCCTTTTATATATGGTATTTGTCCTTTCATATTTTAATTTGAGCTGTGCTGATCACCGTAGATTCCTCCAGTGATAATTATTATTATTGGATCTTCATCGCCGAATTCAAAACTGCGATCTACAATTCACTAGCGGAGACCGGACCAGACTGGGCAGTCCGTTCGCCTACAGCCGGTCCCAGCTCCTTTGTCGAGTCCAGATTTCACGGAGCCACACGTCATTAAGTAATTAATGCTACCCGGGGGCGCTGGTGGTTCTCACAGCATCTCTTTCGAATTACCAGTTCCCGCACCCTTTAGTTACTGGCAGGGCCGAACGAAGGAGGCGTGAACGGTCGGAGATCGCTTTCCCAGCGGTTCATAACTGGCAGCAGCCAGAACGGATGCAACAATGATGGCAAGCAAGAACAGTTTGGAGGAGGATTCGTATACGGATCCTCACGATCTCGAAAGCAGCGACGAGTCGGACGACGGCATTCACCCTACGGTCTCTTCGTATCCTCGAAGCACCACTCACCCTCTGATCGATTATGTCAAGAACGAGTGGCAGACGAATCCAAAATACCGAGATGCTTCTAAATCACCGTCGCCCGATCGATTCCCGACGGGATTCCGGATATTGGCGTCCATAGTTACGGCCCCGCGGTTCAGGCGTTATATTATCGTCTATCTTGTCTTGCTCGTGACGTGCTGGCTTACGTGGAAGAGCATACTGGCCCCTCAGATGGCGGAGAACGAAGCACTGGTCAAGTCGCTAGATGCAAAAACGAAGGACCGTGTCGGTGGCTGGTACGGAACAAACGCTATACCGAAATTTTCAGACATCGTTCATATGAGGACGTTGGATCCGTCCCTGCTGCCCGGGGATGAACGCTTGAGAGCGGGGGACAGGAATAGGAGGAGACTGATAATCGTCGGAGATGTGCACGGGTGCAAAGATGAGCGTATGTTCTGACACGATGTTTCCTGCGGTGAAGCCGGGGTTATTACTAACGATATTTCGATCTATAGTCGATCAGCTGATGGAAAAAGTAGCCTTCAGTCCCGCGAATGGCGACCATCTGATCTTTACCGGTGACATGATAAACAAGGGACCGCAGAGCTTGGCTGTCGTCGATTTTGCTCGTCAACACTATGCCTCCTGTGTGCGTGGTAACCACGAAGACAGAATCTTACTGCTGCGTCAGCAGATGAAGGATTCCAATACTCTGGCGCAGCCAGATGAGTTGGACAAGGATACCATCTCCAGTGGCCATTACACTGAGCGAAAACTCGCAAAACAACTGAACGATGACGAGGCAGATTGGCTCGAGGCTTGCCCCGTGATCTTGAAGTTAGGACAAATCAAGGACATGGGGCAAGTGGTCGTCGTCCATGGGGGTTTGGTGCCTGGGGTTGATCTCGACAGACAAGATCCTTCCAGCGTGATGAACATGCGGACGATTGACTTGGACACCCACGTTCCAAGTCCGTCTAGAGATGGCATGCCGTGGACTAAGGTGAGCTTCCTTCCTTTATCTTTTATCTGCGTACCCCTTGACATACGCACCATGCGTCGGTGGCTTTCATTCTAACCAAATGTAGGTCTTCAATAAGTACTCGTCTATGCTTTACTCTGAAATCAAACGAACCGTCCCGAACGCGAAATCTAGAATGATGACCGTAATCTACGGCCACGACGCCGCATCTGGTCTGAATATCAAGAAGTACACCAAGGGTCTCGACTCCGGATGTGTCAAAGGTGGAAAGCTCACTGCAATGGTCATCGAAGATGGCGGTAAGCAACACACCGTCTCGGTGAAATGCTCCAATTACCTTGAAGGTTAAAAGCGCAGGCAAGCTCCAAAATAGCCTCGTCCTATTCTAACTTGCTTTCTTTCTTTCTTTCTTTTTTTTTTTTTTGTATTCTGCTCATACGACTGAGCGTTGTTTCAACATACATATGGTCTGTGGTTTTTTTGGGTGACTGTACTATTATTCCACATAGAGGCTCTTTTTGGCTGGCTTGATTGGGGTTGGGTGTACCATCGAGCATTAGGGATTGAATTGGCGCATATACTATCATTGGGTATCGCTTCGAAGGGTATAAGACCTATTTTCAATATATACGAAATCAAACTTGCTCTAGCTGTACAGTCTATCTAGCCTATCTGTTATTCAATATAAAAACCCAAGAAGAAGGCGGGGAAACGAATCTATTATAGAGCCCGATATAAAATGCCGCGCTCACGATTTATCAGCTCGGTCCGGGCTCCATATGCACCCAACTACCATTCGCTTCCCAAATGCCGGCTTTTGTAAAATCCTGATATAATGTTCCACCCAAGGGATTCATCTTCATGTACCCAAAGCGAAAGAACTCTGGAAGTCCCTGTTCCTGTCTCGTCCACGTGAAGGATTCTACGCCCCCATCGGCTTCTTTGTAGCCATGGAAACGCTCAACGTCATTCACAATGACGCTGATTCCATCTGCTTCTCTTGCTAGATTATCAAATTGGAAGGTGATCTCTTGCGCGCTGTAGCTGATCACAGGAGCGGTAATATTCGGGAGGATACTTCCTAGCTGGGCGTCCGCGAGAAGCGCGCCGGGTGTCTGGAGGATGCTATCGAAGCCCCAGCGAGCAACGCCATTGATGAAGAGGCCAACCAGGAGGCCTTGGTAGAGGAGACTTGGACGAGTCTGGATTGCCGTTCCGGGCAAGAAGAGAAGGCCGAGGATATAATGGTGGATGCGCAGGTTCATCTGGGGCACTGCGACCATGGCAAGGATACCACAGGCCATGACACCATATAAGAGTAGATAACGCGGTAGTCGGCCTTCTTTTCTGAATGCCAAGGCTTGGGTAATCACGGCAGTGACGAGGATAGCAACAATTATGATCAAAACTGGGATCGCACCCGGTTGTTGCTTGATATCGTGTGGCGTGAGACGCGAAATAGGGAGTCTGTCGAACGTGTAATTGTCCAGGGCGGCTACCCAGCAGCCGCTCAGCCAAAGGATGGTCTTCTCCCATTGCGCGGTCAGGTCCTTCAACGTATGACGGACGCAGAAATAATAAATAGCGAAGCCGACGAATGCTGCTGGGAGGAAACGACCGAGTCCTAGAGAGACGACTTCGTAGTAATCCTGGAAAAAGGGAGGATCCGAAGAGAGGGCCACCTGGAACCAGACTATGACAAAGGTCGAAGTGTAGAACACTGCCGGTGAAGTTGTGAAGAGGCTCAGTATACAGGTAGAGATGACGGAGATTGTGAATAACGGCCATCGTTCGTCCGTACATTTTGGTGCGGACTTCGTCGCTGACGACTCCCTTCCGAAGTAGAAGGATAGCGGAAAGTGAGACGGAAATGAGATACTTGAGATGCCATGTTTCTTAACACTCCCAAAATCAGTCTGCTGTCCAGCGCGATGTAGTACACCGCAACCTCCCTTCCGATCATCGATAATACCAGCATGCATGGCTGCTGCGCAGATGAAAGAGTCGCCTCGGTAGATGCCGCCTTGGGATGGCTGGTCGCCAGGAGTACCTCCAATGACTAAACTTTGATAGTTAATCTCCTGGGCTCCTACAGCGTAGGGCTCGAGAACCATGGTTGACTTGCAGCCTGCTGAGCAGCGGAATGCGAAACTGCTATTGTCGAATGGTCGACAGAAGTCACCATTGAGTCCACACGATTTCGAATTTGGCCTGGAATAAATGGTCAGTCTTACAGCTGATGATAATAAGATCTTCACATTTTAGGCATGCCTTACCAAAGTCTAGTCGTGCAAGAAAGTCGGGCAGGAACTCCATATCCAGGAATGGCAGAACTCGTAACAGAGGCGTGCAGGATGGAAAAGAACAAAAGCACCCACATCACATGAAACGCCAGAACTCCCCAGATCTTCAAAGCACGGCTTGGCAGACAGCTATCCACCAAGCGAATAGGGACGATCTGGAAGTTGGGGAAGAAGGGCTCGATCTTGAATTTATGCGGTGGATCTGGCCCCTTAAACCATCCCACGATTGACCCCAAACATCCGCGTTTGCCTTTACTGTTGGAACCCCAGTGTGTTTCAGAGCGCACCGGGGCAGTGGTAGGAAGCAAAGGCGCATCATGCTCGTCATCTCGATGGTCTTCCTCGATGCCATCTTGAGATGGAGCAGAATCCGCACTTTCGCGGCGAGGGACATTCACATACTCACCACTACTGCCGGAACCTCCTCCAATCTCCAAATCTTGCAGGGGGTAGCCCCGCTCGCGCTCAGCTAAGCCAGTATAATCTGCAGATAGACTATTCGTTGGCCCTTCGCTTAGGACCATGGTTCTAAGTTGTTCTTTGGATTTGCTTGATGTGTTTTTTTCTACATCACGCGAGAATTATGATCGCCGAGACTGTTTCAGGGTCTGCTTTGTCCCGGCAGAATTAGGTGTCCCTTAGTCTCACCGCCTGGAATATCCGGGGTAGGGATTTATCCTGTTCAGGAAGGCGGTCTGGTCTGTTGCCAGGCATCAACACAGGTTTAAGCAAGCATTATTTAATATTGCTTCTGGGCTATCATGCTCGTCGAGAGATGTTCCAAGATTGAAAGAATGCCGGTCGCTTTTATACGTGCTCACTGACGAGCCTTATCAATCAATCAGGGCCAGTATAATCTCCACCACCGTCAAAGTCGCAGTATGTTTAAATGCATCATACCTAGTTAATGGCTGGAAGCTTTCTTTTCTTCTTGTATCCGATATAAAAAAAAAAATGGCAGAGATGCAAAGGTTCTGTATGGAGCGTTATTATGACTGCAAATCGGCAACACCACTGTGACAATACGGGCAGTTGCTAGTAAGTCATTATTACGATACTAAAGGAATTGTCATTAAATACTATCTCATTAAGGGGCGTAAGAAACATAGTAAAGGGAGCCATATTGAGGGGTATCAAGAAAGAAAATCATATGATAGATCAGAGATGTGGAACTCTCGATCCTCGTAGATCATCATCGTTCGCTTCTCGCCTTCCCATCACCACCCATGAGCGAGAAAGGCAAATAGAACTGTGTGCTCGAGATAAATGTGGACATAAGCATCGCCATAAATGTTCGTGAATATCAGGGTATCGAGGAGATGACCACCTATTATAAACCAGACCGTTCCCACCATCCCTCGAAGTTGACTGCTGTCAAACTAGTGCATCCAGGAATGGAATGCTCGAGAGTTGGTTGCAGGCCCTAGTAGGCTGCATTACGCTGCCCTAGACGTAGTGGCGACTATACCAGCGACGGCGGACGGGACTAGCTCACTGTAAGTAATTGGGATGGCCGAGTAGAGAATGGTGCTACTTACACTGCATCGGCGCGAGCTGAGCGCACGCGGAAGACGAACCAAATCCCCTGCAGGAGGTGATTGATCAGTATCATCCTGCATAGATAACTTGAGTGAGAGCGACGAAAACAGAAAATACTTACCACCAGGCCAGATGCAAGCCAGAAAACAGCGGACAAAAAGCTGAAAGCCTCTGCAGCCTTCCAGCGTGCACAACTGCTGTTATAGCTGAGGTATGTTCTCCCGTCCCAGCTTATGGCTTCCCATGGACCATACCAGCAGCTGCTATCCTCGAGCGCATCGACTAGTACACCGAACGCTGCAAACCAAGCGAGTCCCAGTATGACATCGACTGTGAGGTCCCTGGTTAGAAATAGAGCAACAGAGATGATTGCACATGTTTGACTTACTAGGCCAGACAAAGAAAGATGACGCGAAAGGTATAAGCCAGAGAAGTCCAAGCAAGACCGATAACCCAGCGACTACTTCTGTGTAGATCCAGCGTGCTCGGGGCCATGAATGGGCACTGTCATACTTGTGGAGATACCATCCAATAATACCAGCAACGATCTAACGAGTTGGGGTTTGCTGTTAGTAAAGTGAGATAGTCAACTCATTGCAGGCGTGACTCACAGCACCGAAACCAATCTCTCCGATGCGCAGGAAAATGGACACTACGCGCGAAATCAGCGGCATCTTGACGTGTGTGCTGATGCGCAATAGCCCAAGTGGATGTTGCTTTGGATGGAGCTATGACCTCTGAAATGGAGTCAGTGGACACGTAAAGGAGGGCGTATAGCTAGATGAGGAGTCTCTGGATGGGGATGCAGAGGATAAGACAGGAGAAAAAGCCAGGCACCGCAGACAGCAGCGGATGGTGTCTTAAATCTTGCGCAAGCTAATGCAAAGACTAAAGGACTGTTGATTGTCCACTCTGGAAGGTTCCGTCTCTGGAGTTGGTCGACAGGACTAACATTTGTTGGCGTGCTTTTTTTTAGTCACTAGCAGTTGCACTCAAACTATCCAGGATGAGTCCTGGGAGACAGCGTTTCTCCTCACTGCGCAGGCATCATTCCGCGACGCAACTCCCTTGCTATAATATGGATGATTTGTTACAAGTATCATGTTACTCCCAAGAAACCAGTACCTCTGCAGAAGCAATCATTCTAATCATTGGCCATCAACCAGCCACATACGCAGATGTCGTTGCCAGTGGTGCCCGATACTCACTAAGGGTAACCGGGGACTTGATGCGCGCCTCGCATTGCTCTCTGGGCATGAATCAGGCTAGGGGAATGATTGGTGGACAGAGCCAGAGAGATCACCGTTAGTTGCTGATTTCTACAGGTTACATTATTACCTGGCTGTGCACTGAGTGTTACGATAGTCTGCAAGATCTCGAACCTGAAACACTGGGTAAGCTGTTCAATTGTGGCGTCCCAAGGTCAGCAGACGCGTTTACCGTAACAGAAAGTGCTGGAAAGCAGAAGTCCTGAGGGTGATACGACAAGATTTCAGTTCTTTACTCAGCATCTACCCAAGCTCCAAATTGATTTAAAAGTAGGTACGAGCTTCGAGGTCCACTGCTTCAACAAATACCCACATAATGAATTGCTTTAGTGTATCTTCTTTAGCTAGGGCCTGCCCCACAAGAATTGCTGCGGGTACGGTGCCTCCTCTAAAACATTATTTCGACTGCTCTAGAAAATACACGAGACGCTTGATTTCGCCCAGCTTCTGCCCTGACAGAAATAGTTCCCCATATTGTTTCGCGAAGAATTGATTCCAAATGCACCAGCGGTGCCAGACAAGATGCTCTCATGAAAAATTTCACCCGTCCTACTCTACTCTTAAGTTGTACTAGGTATCATTAAGCGGCTGCTGATCTCTAAACGATACGGCGCCACGTCGACGTTCTTGGGATAACGTTGAAAGTCGGTATCATCGTCCGTTGCGTCATTGGCGCCGAAGAGGAATGAGCCCCATCAACGATATATCGTCGTCCTGTGTGAGAGTGCCTGGTTTACCGCTAGACATATGTGATTATTCTATTGTGCTCTAAAACATCTAGTTTATGCTAGCTTCCATTGGATCCAACTTTAAGGTTGTTTACATTTTTTTTAAGGTGCCAATCTAGTGCCGAGCGACTCGTAGATGCTTTGGGGTGCCCGCGCATGCGACCGGGTGAATCTCACCGCCCATCCAGTCTATATCATCAAGGTACGTACGTTATCAGGATAGAAACCTACGGATATAGTACCTACGGATACACGTCGGGTCATCTCTCTGATAAAATCCAGTGTAACAGGCACCTGGATACTGATAATCTAGGTAGAAACGCCAACTTGCTGTAAAATACTCGGAATTGACTTCGATGACGAACCACCGAATGTCCGAGCCCCGTCCTTAAACCGACAAGTCGAGCATTGCTCTTTGCTACTCAATTGATATTCTTGGGGGGAAAGAAAGCATTTCAACTTAGTTCTCAGCTTGAAAAGAGATGTACAACGCCCAAAGTACCATCTCTCCTCGATAAGGATCAGTTACTGTCCCGCACCACAGCTACTGGGGCCACCAAAATGTGGATATCTACACGTCTGAATACACAGGGCACCCGCTCGTTGATACACCCCTCGAGATGTCCCATATTGGGATTTTCGAGTTCCTCATGTATTACTATTCCATCCAGAAGAGCAGCTATACAGACAACGCGGTACAAATCCTCACACACCGCTAATGCACCAGAAGCACATAGTCGCCATCATTCACATTCTCACCAGCATCACCACCACACGAACCCCAGCTCAGAAAGCATCACCAAGCCTGAATTCTGGGCTTCAAAAGAAACATGGAAAAGAGCAGCCGTTAACACAACGAGATGCCTCGTTGGGTGTACTTCCGGGGACTTTTCCAGCATGTGGTTCCTACAGACGTACTGGCCAGGCCTTGGAATGGGAATGACCATGCCGATCTCAAGTAAGTATGCTACTTTGTAGAAAGACCTGATTTCATACGCCTCATGATTTGGCTAACACTAATTAGTGATGGCAGGGCTGGCTACATCACTTCTTCTCGAAACATTATTCCTCCGTTTTGGTTCTGAGCGCTTACCTTTGGTACTCGCGGGTAGGACTGCCCTGGGAATGAGCCTCTTCTCAATGTTGGCTATGGAGACGGTCGAGAGCATAGTGGATTATAATCTCACTGGAGGTGTAGTGGCACTTGATGATCCGAAATTCTGGCTTGCAGCGGCTGTCTCCATGGGTGCGGGATGGCTTGCTCCGCTGCCGTATAATTATATCCGACTTAGGAAGTATGGGGTGGGGTGCCATTGATTAAGTTTATGCAATTATAGATAGTTAAAGATAAAGTAATATGTAATATTCAGAAGGTATTGTCGGCAGGATTTAACATCAACTTCTGAATTCGATCCGAGGTTAGGCTCAACATACTTCATAGACATGCATCGGGTATAAGACAAACGGTGACTTTCAGAGCGAATACCAGAATCAGCTCGAAACAATGCATATCTCCAAGATTGGCCAAGGTATCATTCGTTTCCTTTCGAAAGACATTTTCAACTCCACTGCAGCTCCTCAACTGTCTCACGATAGTCCAAACCCTGTCAACTCCACTCCCATGAACAGAATCCTGCTTTTCTCAATTATCACGAAGGAACCACTCCATTATATTCCTAAACACACCCTTCGCCCCTGTCTCGATCACGTCCCCATGGCACGGAATCAACCGATCAAAATCCCACTGATCAATCCTCCGAATAGACTCCTTATATCGCTGGCGATTAGCTACTGTAAGATGCCATATGAACCTTTTCTGCCACGTCGCTGGCGGAGCCGTCGACATCAGAGGCGCTATGATTCTCGTCAATATCCCCGACGTGGGCGATACGCCCGATTTCGAATACTGTTCTGTTGCAGGGAGGTTGAAAAGCAAGTCAGCTTCGATCAGGGTACGGCTACGCTTGTGCAGAAAGACCAGTTCCCGCGATACATGGCCGTCGACGTATTCCGTCTCGAATTCCGAGTCGAATTCTTCTGAGATCTGTAGCTTTTGCTTGTTCTCGGACGTGAAGATATGTGTGAATTCGGTGTTTTTGAACTCCGGGTTCGATTGCCGCTTCTCTTTGAGCCCTTCGGGCGCGAGGACCTGCGCGTCGGGAAATGCATCCTTCCATCGCGTCACGTATAGGTGATGCTCCATGTCTGGTGCTGCGATGTATTTGACTGGGCCTCCTAGCGAGGTGATCGCGTCGTGTACTTGGGGCGTGAGTGCGACGGGCGAGAAGACGGCGAGAGAACCGGAGGATAGCTTGACTGTACGGCGAGAGAGCATATCAGTAAAAGAGCTCGAGCATGCGATAATTGGCCTAATTATCTGTTCAGCTCACCAAGTGTTCCTCGACCTCCAAATTTGATGATCCCAAATCGCGCAAAAGGTACGCTCAGAGTTACAATGTCTGGTGTGACCTTGCGGATCACCATCACCTCAGAGGGATTCCCTGGGAATAGTTTGGATGCCATGCTTCAAAATGCGCGATCAATTGTTTGATGCGAGAGATAGAGTATTTGCGCAATTGAGAGTCAAATAGGTAGCTAGAGTAAAATGTTGCCTTATCTCCAAGTTCTTTGTGTTGGAGCGAGCCGGGAGCTTGAAACGACGTCAGTGTCAGCTGCGTCAGAGGGGCTTCATGCCAACGGGTCTAGAGTAGTTACCCTAGAATGGGATAAGATCTGTAGCGATGTTCGCCAATCCGGACATTGCTTGTTAATCTAGAACTTCCAATGTCGAGATTAGGTTTGCGCCAAGCGTTACATGGAATGCCATCGCGCTGGAGCTGGTGCTTTCATTGTCATGAAGCTAGTCGTGACGTCTTTGTTCTTGATATCGGGACCGTTGATAGACTCCGAAGTTCCCTAGAACGGCAGCCCGGCAAGGCGGAGAATCAAGACGCAGGCCACGTAAATAATCCTACTTGGTCGACGCTCTCGATTAAACACCTTCTAATTATCTACGAGGATTCCAATAAAAATTCTATTCATTCCAGAAATAGCTTGAGAGTACCGCGACAGCAATAGGGGTATCAACGATCTACCACAACACCCGAAGACGCCACAAGCCTATCTACATAACCAGACACCAAAACCAAGATGAACCAGACATATCTAGCTATACCAGCCTCTGCGTTGGTTATTCTGTAGATGCTCCTCTTCCTCGCGGTGAGGAATGAGCGATTCGGTAATCTCGTATACTTCAATCAAATCACGCCATGTTTCAAAGTCGAGGCTGAACACCGCTTGGTGCTTTTGAATGCCTCTTCTCTGTGCCTCGCTTGGTGCATATGGTTTCGCGGCCTCTGAATCAAGAATATGTTAGAAGAAAATCATAAACGCAGGATGATATATCTCAGCGTAGGGATGAACTCACGCAAAGTTAGGAGCCCTCGACTATCCATCGAAACGCCAACGCTGCCATCTCTGACCAGGAAACTGACGTAAAACAGATTCTCCACCGTCTGCCCAAAAGACCGTGGATTGACGCAGAATCGGAAAAGTGGTACGCCACCGTCATCGGCAACATTGTACCTGCTCATTACCTCCTGCACCATTTCATCTGTCACATCTGGAACGCCTGACAGCTCCCTTTCCACAGATTCTTGGCCCTTCTTTTGGATCTTGATCAGGAGCCTGTTGATATTCGAGCACATAGCCGTGAGGTTCGAAGTCTCTTGCTTATCGAGGTCCTCCTCCTGGAGCTCTTGCGGCTGCACAGCCTGCGAAGGGTCGATTCGCTCCCTCGCTCTGTGTTGTGTCACTTGCCGTACACGCTTCTGCACCGATAGCGGTCCCAGCAAAAAGCCAGAAACGGCCGGTCGGTAATTATGCGGGACACATGCAGCACGACCGAGCCAGTCCCAGTTCAACGCATCTCCTTGCTCATCGTCACTGTCGTCAGCCTCTTCCACGGCCCTTTGCCGACGGCGCCTCTGAGTGCTACTCGGAACAGCTGAGGCGTCGCCTTCTGGAGCGCTGTGCATAAATGATATACATTTCGAGACGAACTCGTCTACATCAATGCCTGCCGCAGTATCTCCCAGGGTCAGTTGCGCGGTTTTCTTGTAAGACAAATCAGCCGCATTGACTAAGAGGCGTGAATCGATGGTGGCATCGGCAGTCTGTTTAACATGATAGAAAAGCTCATTCGCCTTTTCGACCGTGTCGATAAGGCCGGTATTACCGGCTTGCAAGTACTCAGAACGCGAGTCTGTATGCTCGTAAGAAAATGACCACAAGTCTCGAGATAAGGACCATACCATGTAACTCTCTCGAAAGATCCCTCAAGCCCTTACGGATCCGTCGACGCTCGTCTTCGTCTTGGTCGGGATCGTAGAAATCTTTGTCGGTGACTTGCGACCGGCGCGCCTGCGACGGAGTGGGTAGCTGAGTGTTGGCAGCTCGTTCCGCGAGTCTCCGTCTCTTGTTCACTGAGGAATTCGATGGTGTTGGTTGACCAGGCGCCATCGTCCGGCCTTGCTTTCGCTTCTCCGTACGGGAGTCCCGTCTGGAAGCTTCGTGGTTCTCTTTGTCAGATGAAATAGATGTTTCTGGTGAAGAAGGAGCGCTGACGTCTGATCCGTCATCGGTTTGCTCAGGTTGCGCTCGGGTGCGTGCAATGCGTGCCATGCTCTTCAGGGACGTCAGAAAAAGCTGCGCCGCAAATTGATACGTCCGGGTGGTGGACAAAGAAGGTGCAGTTCAAGAACACCAAGTAGAGTGAAGAATAGGTGCTTAGGACCGCTTTCTTGTCAATAGCAACACCTCAGAATCACAACATCTCGCAAAGACCACCGGACATTAGCCGTGCGCGACTAAAAGCGCATCTTCTCCATCTGGAGTCGCGTTCGAGACGCGCCCGTGACTGCGGTCATGTGACCAGGGCTCCCCCACGTCATGCCGAGCGTTATCGCCAATCAGCTGGTCAATGCGGCATCAAGAGCTCCCGGCCAGGCACCGAAGACCAAAGCAACGTTCACTGCTCACGCCTGAGATAGGATGCAACCCTAGCCATTGTCGAGGTCAAGGAAGGCGGAGAAATGGAGGCCTTCACATTCGCTGTTTCTACACAGCTGAACTTCCCAGTCTACGTGAGGATGTAAGCTTCCTTGAATGTCCATACAACCATTTGCTTCGACGGAGGCCTATGTGCTATTGATGGTTTGGTACTATGAGTACTAATAGTTATCAGTGGTTCCCTGGAGGGAAAGCAGAAACAGATATCTTACTCCGTTCTGTTAAAGGACCCCAAACTGCGGCACATTGGATCGAACCAGAACCCTATCTCGGATCTGTTTGTCACGGCGCAGATATGGTCGGACTCAAAACCCCTTGGTGTGCCTATGCAGACATCATATAAATCATTTAAGTCGACGCGCGCATGGAACGAATGGCTGCAGATGCCTATGTCAATCAAAGATGCTCCATTGAAGTCGCAATTGGCTATCACGATCTGGGATCTGTCCCCCCTTGGAGATGATGGCGCACATAGCCACAGCGTTCCCTTCGGTGGAACGACAATATCGTTGTTTGATGCAGATGGGAAATTAAAAATGGGAAGGCAGAAATGCAAGATCTATCGACATAAAGCGGCAGATGGCTTCTCATCGACTACGACCCCATCAACGCCCCCGCCGAAAAGGCGCCGACCTAACCAGTCAGGTGCTGCAGAGCCTTCACCGGAGGAGTTGGAATTAGAACGCGTTGAGACACTTATCAAGAAGCACGAGATGGGTGAAATTCCTCGGATCGACTGGATGGATCAGATGGTATTCCGCCAGTTGGAGAAGATCAAGCTAAAGGCAGAGGAAGCTGCCAGGAAACGCGCCATTCGGCTAAAGGCTGCAAAGATTAGCGCTGGAAATGCGGAGGGTACAGATGAGAACGCATCGGATGAAGAGGAAAGAGACGATGAGAACTTTGTCCTCTATGTCGAGTTTCCGCGTTTCGACCACCCGATCATCTGGGCTGATCATGAATACTCACCCCCTCCTGTCTCGTCTCATCCCCAGCATACGCAGACAAACCCTAACTCTACTCTAAAACCGCCTCCTGAAGTCCGGTTCGGCCCTGGGATACAGGGTTCGGAGGAAGAGGCCAACAGAATCATCCGTGTATATGATCCCGAAGTCGGACAGACAGGGAATCCGTGTGAGGACAAACATAGACGGTTGGTCCGAAGTCATCGTACTGGGATCATGGACCGTGACCTAAAGCCAAATCCGAAGATTCGCGATGAGTTGAATGTGATCATGTCTTACGGACCCACGCAGGACCTAAGCGCTGAAGAGAAAGATCTCGTGTGGCGCTTTAGATATTACTTGACCCGCGATAAGAGGGCATTGACGAAGTTCGTGAAATCAGTGAACTGGCGCGATGTGGGTGAGGCGCGGCAGGCCGTAGATATCCTCCCCAAATGGACAGAGATCGATGTCGACGATGCCTTAGAACTTCTGGGTCCTACCTTTGACAATACGGCTGTCCGTACCTATGCGGTAGAGCGTCTCAGGAAGGCAGATGATGAAGAGCTTCTTCTTTACCTTCTCCAGCTTGTCCAAGCCCTGAAATACGAGAAGAGTCCAGAAGAGAGTCCCAACGATGCAGCTCACGATTCTTCCCTGGCCAACTTCCTTGTTACTCGTGCAGCCAACAATTTCAAGCTGGGCAATTACCTTCACTGGTATCTTATGGTGGAATGTGACGATGCTAGTCCAGGCACCTCTTCAAGCCAGCGAAGGCTTTTCGCTCGCGTTGAGTACTATTTCATGGCCGAGCTAGAGAAAGTGCACCCAGAGTACCGAAAGATTCTCCTGCGTCAGGGCGAGTTGATCACCGTGCTTTCAAAGATCTCCAAAGACGTCAGGTTTTCTCGCGATACCCGGCCTCTCAAAATCGAGAAACTAAAGAAATATCTCAAAGACCCGAAGAACGAGTTGGTTAGCATTGAGCCACCTCTTCCGCTCCCACTAGATCCGGAGGTATTGATCACCGGCTGCTTCCCAGAGGAGTCAAATGTCTTCAAATCTTCGTTGTCCCCCTTGCACATCAACTTCAAAACCTCTGATGGTCGCAAGTATCCCATTCTCTTCAAAGTGGGCGACGACCTTCGTCAGGATCAGCTTGTGATACAGATCATCACGTTGATGGACCGTCTGCTGCAAAAGGAGAATTTGGATCTCAAGCTGACTCCCTACCGGATTCTAGCCACCAGCTCAAACGCAGGTGCCGCTCAGTTCATCCCGTCTACCTCACTCTCCGCGGCTTCTGCCAAATACAAAGGCTCCATTCTCGCTTATCTCAAGGACAACAATCCGGACGACAGTGATCCTCTTGGCGTGCGCAAAGAGGCTATGGATACTTATATCAAGTCCTGTGCGGGTTACTGTGTGATAACTTATCTCTTGGGCGTCGGCGACAGACATCTAGAGAATCTTCTGTTAGCACCAGATGGACACTTCTTCCATGCTGACTTCGGGTTCATATTGGGAAGAGACCCCAAGCCTTTTGCGCCTATGATGAAACTTTGCAAGGAAATGGTCGAAGGCATGGGAGGCACTTCATCTCCAAATTACATGCAGTTCAAGCAATACTGTTTCACCGCGTACACCACCTTGCGGAAATCAGCTAACCTTATCCTCAACCTATTCAGCCTAATGGTTGATGCGAACATCCCTGATATTCGCGTTGAACCGGACAAGGCTGTCCTAAAGGTCAAAGAGCGGTTCCACTTGGAGATGAGCGAGGAGGAGGCGATCCGACACTTCGAGCAGCTCATCAGTGACAGCGCGAATGCCATCTTTGGAGTCGTCATCGACCGTCTGCATGATTTCGTGCAGGGTTGGAGAGCTTAGCGCGTCTAGAATCTCGTCTTGGAGGGTTACACTGTCTACATTCTGTACTTATCAAGGAATTCTATCCATTGGGAGACCATGTGCAATTTCACGTTTGTTTTGGAGATGGGCTAGGAATTTATACGTCGGGTGGCGCAGTACGGGAAAGACATGCTAGTTAAGAGCGATACCCACAGGCACGCTGCTTATTTTTGTACATACATATTCGGTTTTCCTTTCATATAGGATGATATATCTAGATGGTCATGGTAGTATCCAAACGCTATTTAAGACTAGATCACTCATATGTTGTTACACATGGCCTGGTACTCTAGATGAAAGCAAGCGAAGCCTGTCACCACTAATTAACTCGATGGACCGTTTACACTTGACCCTCCAGAAGACTAGCGATTCTTCCTGAGGGGCAATGTCAATGTTACATCAATGATTATACAAAGTTATCACCCGTTGGGTATATTGATCTGCTCACACACAACTGTACACATAGCCGGCAAATTCTATGCTTATATACACATAAGAACATGAGATCTCCATAAGTAAATATGTAGTCAATCCTTCTGGCTGCCAATAACAGGTGATAACTTCGCGCTGGTTCCAGTCCCATCATTTTTGGGGACTCGAATTCCCAGCTCGATCCATTCATCACTAACATCAGCCGTTTCACGCATATCATGCTCATAATCTTGAACTGGATGAGGTCTCTCGCTTTGAGTTTCGTCGACAGGATTGGAATCCCAAAGACCTCGTTCGGCACCGCTATCACTACCACGTCGGTTGTTATCGCCCCTCTCTTCCGTTTCCTCAGCGGCTCGTCTCTCGGCATCTTCGTCGTCTTCAGGTGTTCCCTCGCGACAGGCCCAGGCGTCGACAAAGCGGAGAACCTCCCGGTTCCACCACCGTTTCATGATTAGGAGGCGGAATGGGACAAGGGCTATGATGAGGACTGGGAAAACAGGAGCGCCGCGCGTCAGCGTGACGATGAATATCACTACTGTGAGGATGATCTGCAGGATCGTGTAGATGTGAATGGGTAGGTAAGAGGGCCTTTTAGCCGGCGAGGACTCAGAGGATGAATCTGAGTGTGATGTAGACCCGAGGGCGGGTGGAAGTGCAGGGAGCTCAGAGGGTGGTGTGAGTAGATAGAATGTTCGGTATAGAATTGGGCTGGGATCACATTAGCTGACGAGTCACATATAACAGAGACTAAGTCCCAAGAAATGAAATGGGGAGGGTTATGCTTACTTGACGGATAAGCTTTGCTCTCCCATAAACATGAACAATCCAGCTAGCACACTTGTGGGTGTCAATCCTAGGACATGCATAAATGGCGGACTGACGAAGAGAAGAACGCCTCCAGCATGTAAAAAAGACGACCATCTTTGCTCATAGACTCGTCGTACTTCTCGATTTTCGACTTTTTCCTCTCCGTCAACAATGACTGTGACCTGTTCCCGTTCTGCGTGCATCAAGGACTCTGAATGGAGAGGAGCCTGAGGTAACAAGCCATTTGCTGGCGGTATTCCAAGAATACCACACATAGCCGTTGTTGTGCCTAGTAAGACAATATCCCAAGCGAACCCGCCTGGCTTTCGGGTGCCATACCGGTCGATGGTACATATTATGGAACTGACCTCATGGTCGAAGAAGAAGAGTACCGTGATGATAAGCCCAGGTATAAGAGCACCAAAGATCCATGCCACCGGTAATTTCCAAAATTCGACGAAAAATCTATCCCGTTCGGGGGATGTGGGCTTGAACGAGGTGCTGACCTGTAGAGTCATCTTGTCCAGCTGCTTTAGTTCCCCAATGTAAGGAAGACCGATGAAAATTATGATAGAAATAGCAGCAGCATATTCTGTCAGGCCGAGACGAATATAGCGGTGAAATAAGGGTTTCCAGCTCTCCGCGGTTGAGAGAAAGATTGCAAGGAGCATAGTCCCAACAGCGCCAATCACTGCATATAGAAACGCCGCAAATGACAAGCTGTCATGCGCTCTTTGTAATTCCTGGATGGCTTTGTGGAAATAAATAATACTGTTCAAAAGAGAAAATATTTCGGTCGAGAACGTGGTCACATAACGCATGGTCCAGTCGTGGGCGTTAATTATGGCGAGGAGATAATGCAGCCAAGCAGAATGGATGAGTGACCACGCCATAAAAGGAAGAAAAGGAATCTAGGAATATGAGTACAAGTTCAACAACATCAATTGTCGATTGACTAGCAAGTTTACCTTGAACGAGTCATTGCACAGTGAGTATATGTTCTCGGCCAGAACCGAGAATGGGCCAGTTACACCCAATATCGTTAGTGGCTGAATAGAAAATCTGCAAATACCGTAGGGTCAGTCTTGAGTTCAAAAATATCCGAATAAATAGAAAAGATCAAGTTAGACAGTATATTTTCTGGGACATGGGGCAAGTAATTGATGACATCTCAGCGCTAAGAGACCCCATACGCACAAAGAGAAAATAATTCCGCAGATCCCTGTACTGAAGACAACTTCTATTGTCCCCCAGTTCTTTCCAGTGAGGACATATAGATCACTAGCGAAAGTGATTCCCGGTAGCAGGTTGGTAAAGAACACATAAACGGCACTGGCAAAGATCAATTGATTGAAGACAGTCCAGTCCGACACCCACCGCCGTCGTATATTCACAATATCCTGTTTCAACAGCCTAAATGGACGTAGAGGCCCACCAGCCGCTACGCTGCCTTTCAGCAAGCGAATAGGTTTTGGGGTATGCTTGGACGGGGTTATGATCGAATGGGCATCTGGATCTAGCTCCTCAGCTGGTGGTTCAGGCTCCATCTGCCTACTCTTCTTCCTCCTATGCCACGTTCGTCGATGAAGGGACGAGCCTCTCACTGAGGGCGGGCGAAAAGCGGAGATCAAAGACATTGTAAAGTAACTGAAGCAATCCTTGACCGCCAGTAGGTGCCCAGATAATCTTTATCTAGATTGCTGTGCGCAATTGGGTGTAGTCCCGGGAGCAGATTCGGGGAACAAGCACTTCCTAAAGAAGACCTCGGACTTGCATTGTTACAGCGAGAAAAGACAAGATTTCGAGTCAAGTTAGTTATCAGAATACGAGCTAGATCGCCCGGACTAACTTGTGCCTCCTCCCACTTTATCAAAAAGCCCGATATCTACAGCCGACGTCACTGCTTTCCCACTCACCGCCTTCATTCTGCCAGCACAATCTGTCGACTTTTGAAAGCTTCGATGAAGACGAAATTCTATATCTCCGGTTTCGCGCCTGTTTTTCATACAGTCTCAACGCTTAAAGCACCTTACATGTCACTATAGGCATGGTCGGGGTGTTTTGGGATGATGTCTTTGCAGATTCTATTCAGAATCACTCACCCCTTCGCAATTCCCTCATGATGGCAGCCAAGTTTATTCCGCGCAAGATCTTCCCTCATTATGAATCGATTCCCAGATCTTATTTCCTCGGTCATCACCGGGCCGGACTGGAAAAGATGAAGAATATGTTGTCGTCTGTGGACTATATCATTGAATGCCGTGATTTCCGCGCTCCGGTCACTTCGATCAATCCTATGTTCGAGGAAGCGCTTGGGGATAAATCACGAATGATAGTTTATACTAAGAGAGATTTGGGAGGGAATCACAGAGCGGCAGTGCAGCAAGTAAGTTTCGCTATGCGTGTTTATATCACTTGAGTTTCGTGGAAGACGCGCCGGCTTACAGGAATCCATATTTTCTAGACCGAGAAAAAGATCCGGAACCTGGATCCAAAAAGCGCCGTCTTCTTTGTCAGTTCGTCTTCGAATAAAGACACTGCATCCGTCATCAAATATCTTAGGAATGATGCTCATGGTCCGGATCGGCTGGTGGGATGTCGCGTTATGGTTGTCGGAATGCCCAACGTGGGTAAATCGACACTAATCAACGCTCTCCGGAACCAAGGCATGGGAAAAGCAAAAGCTGTCAGAACAGGTGACCAGCCTGGAATAACAAGAAAGATCGGGACACCTGTCAAGATCGTTGAGCGAGAAGAAGGCTCGGATGTCTACGTACTCGATACGCCCGGTGTATTCGTTCCTTACATGCCAGATGCCGAAAGGATGCTAAAGCTGGCGCTCTGTGGCTGCGTGAAAGATACCATCATTCCACCTACCACTATAGCAGACTATTTATTATATCATATCAACCTGCACAACCCGCAGGTGTATCAGCGATGGTCAGAACCGACCAACGAGGCCCTGCCTCTCCTCCAGGCTTTTGCACGTCAAACGGGATTACTTGCCAAGGGAGGGGTCCCGAATATAGACCTTGCAGCGCTGCGTTTCATACAGAAGTGGAGAGCCGGTGAGTTGGGGAAATTCATCCTCGACGATGTGGATGCTGAGCATGAACGGCGCCAACACGACACTGGGGAAGAGCCTGGTCCGAGCATGACACAGGCGCTGAAGGCCGCAAAACTGGCGAGAAAACAACGAAATTCACCAGCATGAGATGTATGATATCATGTAGACGTATATTTTTGTACAGTAGATAAGAGAATTACATTGTACCACCAATCCATTGTTTTTTTCCCTGAAATTCTCAGAGACGGCATGTTGTATCAAAAGAGGAAGGCTGCGCAGGCACATCCGACAAAGAAAAAAAAAGATCATCATGTAAAAGCCCTGGAAATGACATAGGAAAAGAGATACACAACCCTAACTCCGAGAGAAGAAATGAAAACCCTGAATGAGTTATGAGATCTTGTCCAGCAATCGCCGTCTCCTCCGGTCGACGAGTTCTTCTTGCACTTCCTCAAGTGTCGGCAATCGCCACTCAACACCATCGCCAGCATCGCCCGGTAATGGTTCCCATCCATCCTCCACGTCGTCCTCCTTCCCTTGCTTCATCATACTCTCGAGAGCCTCCTTCTCCTTCTTCTTCTCGTACGCCAGTAGCGTCCCATCCTCTTCATCCAACCCATATCCGAAATAGGCTGCATCGACATTCTTCTTGGCCACATCTCCTCCACGGCCTCCTCCGGTATCCTCTTCCTCCTCTGCGGGTCTACGCCCTCGCCTGGCGGCCGCCTCGAACATCTCTTTGACGCCGGGAAGTTCTCTCGCGCGCCCAAAGTAGCGATACCCTTTCCCACCACCCGGTATCTCCCTTCCTTCATCGTCATAGACCCGCCCTCCACCCCGCATGTAATTAGGCCCGCCTAAATTCCGTATCTGCATTTCCCACATCCATTTTTCGCGCATGAGCTTGTTGATTTCATCGTTCAGGTCGCGAATCTGGTAGTCGCTCAGACTGGGGTCTTGAATGCGTGTGACCTTGCGCGAAATCTCCTTGAGGACCTGGCCACGCCATTTCTCACAGGTAGGGATCGAATCGATGGATGTGATGGCTTTCGGGCGGCGTGTCCGGCCGATATCAAGAATGCCCAGATCGGCTGCTTGTGCCGCCCGGAAGCGGAACAGCATAGACTGCGCCTTTTCGCTGTTACGGGCCTATTATTTACTCAGTCAGTGTTTCTGTTCCGGGATGATTTCATCGAGATGACCCGGGGTTTGAAGAGCAATGAACTCTCAAGCCCATAGCGGGGAAGCTCCAGAAACTTACCATGGCGAACGGCTTTGCGGAGCGGGAATAAAAGTATTAATTGACTAAAGGCGAATTCGACGCAGGAAATCGGGCCCTCATAGGGATATATTGGGAGGAAAGGTGGTGGAGGGGAAGATCCTCGAGGCGCGAGGACGTGGACGTGAAGGTGGAAGTCGAGCTTAGAGAATTCCTGCAGCCAATCAAGCTTACTTGCCTGATCGAGCAGGCTGGCAGCGGATGCTTGGCACAACCTCATCCGTTCCAATTCACTGACCACTCCTTATGCACCACAATTGCATCTCTGCGGATTTTGGAAAATAGTAAGAGGCTGGTTCTATTGTCGGAATATAAATATATTGGCAACACTAATATCAGAGATTTTGACTTTGCGTTCTGGCTCAGATTTAGCCAGACCTTGAAATATATATAAATTGGAACATTGAATCTGAACAGTCTGTATATGATTAATTTACCTTTTCAATTGCTTTAAGCGTCAGAAAACAAGTACTCGGAATAACTAGATGCTTAGATACTTAGATACATATCACATAAAACATAAAACAAAACTTCATGCCACGTCGTAGCCACGGATGGCTTCCGTCACATCACGCTAATAATTAACAATCAGACCCTTGCCCTTCGGTACTCCGGATAAGACCAAACTAATGCTCGTAAATAAAAGAAAACTCCGAGTGAAACCCCAGTCTGTAAAATGGACACGAATTCCTGGCTCCGGTGGTTCCTCATAGGAATCCCTTGGTATTACTGGGCTTCCTCTGAGGCATATCGAAGGCGCCGCTCCCCTTTCGGCTGCCCATGTCGCTGAATGTGCCCATGCCAGGACGTCCGACAGCACTGCCTCTCTCCATCCGTAGCGCTTTCCAGCCTTCAAGTTCTCTCTCCAAGCGCAGGGCCTTCTCACGTTCTTCGCGCAGCTCCCTCTCCGCGCGTCGCGCCTGAAGCTGATTTTCAGAATCGCTCTGCTGGAGATCCTCAATCGTTTTGAGGAGACGCTCGGTCTTGTCACGAGATTTGGCAATATCATCGGTGAGCTGAGCGTTGATCTTGTCCCGGCGTTCAATTTGGGATTGGAGATCTTTGACGGTGCGGTCGATGCTACGTACTGAGCGCTGCTCCGCGTTGCGCTTGGACTCTTGCTCTTCGAGTTGCGTCTCGAGCTGCGAGGGTCGGATTAGCTTCTGTGTCCTGTAACGTGAATCTAGGTGAAACAACTCACATCTTTGATTCTCTTATGTAGGAATCTAACATCCTGACTTGCTGACGAGTACCTTTTAGTCTCCAGGTCAATGCATCTGAGCTGTGCTTCCTTGAGCTGCTTTTCTAGAGCTGCCCTTTCCTTAAAGAGCTGTGCGTTTGTCTCTCGTTCAGCGGTGACTTCCTTTTGCATTTCCGTCGCCAGAGCCTCGGCTCTCCTCATTTTACCGACAGCAGCAGCAGAGACATCTTCTTGCTGTGCAAGCTTCGACTTTAGTTCGAGGAGCTCACGGTCCATGCTTGCGGCGTTACGCATAGATGGGCTTTCGCCCTTGACTAGATCCTCGAGCCGCTCTCCCGCCTCAGTGAGCCTAGCCTCAAGCATCTTCTTCTCCTTGAGAAGCATATCACGTTCTGCCGACACATCGTCCACAGATGTCCGCAGGTTGCGAACCTGAGAGAGGAGCGATACGACCTTTGCCTGGGCGTCATTGTGAGCTGCCACAGCCTCATCCCTGGAAGTCGAGACATCCTGGAGTGTCATTTCCAGACGAGCCTTTTCTTTAGCCCATGTTGAGCTGTTAAGCACTTCATTGTCCCATTTGCTGCGAAGATCATCAAGTTCTTCACGGAGACGAGCGGTCTCCTCGCGAGCATGAAGAACGTTCTCACGCTCGATCTCGAGCTCGTTGGTGAGGCTGGAAAACTCCATTTGGTATTTCTTTCTCGTCTGTTCGAGTGACGCCTCCTTATCCTCGATGTCCATGGCACGTTGATTCCTGTAATCTTCAAGCTCATTCTGCAGTCGTCTCTTGGCTTGCAAGGCCCCTTCAAGATCAGCGGAAAGGTCCTCGATCTTCTCCTCATAAGACTGCGTCTGACGCTGCAAGTCCTCCACTAGCGCATCCATCTGCTTGCGTTCGGCCATGATACTGGCACAAGTGTCTTCAGCCTCCTTAGCTTGAGACTTGGCGAACTGTTCCGCGCGGGATGCCTTTAGTACGGCGATCTCTGCCTGCTCAAGCTTGCTGAAGTATTCATCCGCACGACTCTTGTAAAGACTTAAGCTCGAGGCAAGATCAGTGGCCTTGGAAGTTTCAGCATCTAGACGTATCTGGAGATCTGCGAATTCCTGAAGCAGTTGGTTTCGACTAGCCGCATCTTGGTCCCTGGCAAGCTGCAGTTCTTGGGCATCTGACCGAGCATCACGAAGCTCCACCTCCAAGGTTGCCTTTGCTCGCTTGAGTTTCTCTGACTGTGACTTGGCTTCCGTTAGCTCAGCCATGGCGTTCTTATGGACTTGTAGGAGGGATCGACGAGAGTGTTCCTGAGAGTTGATCAAATCGTACAATTCCTCGTGTGATTTCGCCTGAACGTCTCGGAGGGATAGCTCGCCGGATTGGATGCTCCTTTCCAGAGCTGAAACCTTCTTAGCAGAGTCATCAAGTTTCTCATGGAGGCGGCCATTCTCGCGCTCCAACAGCTGCATCCGTCGAACCGATGGGCTGTCATCTTGCCACATATCTCGTACCGGAGTGGATCGCTCGATTTGAGCCTGTAGATGCCGGTTTTGCATCTCTGTCATCTGGAGCTTATTCTGCAGCTCCTCAAGTTCTGCAGCCATATCCATCCGCTTTTGGAAGGTGATGGTATCGACTGTTCTGTCAGACCGTCCAGAGTCCTGAGCCGCGTCGCTGATGTTGTACCGTCGGTTAGGGGTAGTAGGGTTAGAATATCTCTTCATGGCTGCTTCGGAATTCTTGCGTAAGTGAGTGGGTGAACGAGCAGTGGCGACCTGGTTCTGGTCGATCTCCTCAAGCAGTGCGCGTTTCGAGGAAGAGTAGCGAGCATCGAGCTCCTTCATTTCGTCCTCGTGGCGACGACGCATCTCGGCAAGCTGGCTCTCAGCCCTAGCATACTTCTCTTCAGTGACACGGAGATTACTGTGCGCTGCTTCCAGGAGTGCTGCCAGATTGACTTTCTTTGATAAGTCTGGCTGGACTGATTCCCAAGACTTTGGTGTCTCATCAATTTCTGGATCGAAGACCTTGTGCAAGAGCATCAATTGCAGATGAGAATCTTCAATTTCCTTGTTTGCTTGATCCAGAGCAGCTTGCAGCTTTCGGGTGTTAGCTTGTGCTTGAATCCTTAGCTGTCTTTCAGTCTCAAGATTCCTGTTAGCTTCTGCGAGCTGAAGGTTGACTGCAGATGCTGCTTTCTCTGCATTACGGCTCGCCTTGTGTTCTCGAGCAATCTCATGATTCACATCCTCCAAACTCAGTGAAAGCTTTTCCTTGTGCTTCTCGAGAGACGTAATCGAAAGTTGCGCATCGCCTAGCTGACGAGCCAACTTCTTGTTTTCTTCCTCGAGTTTGCATTTCTCATTCTGCAGTTGCGACATGCGGACCCGCTGGTTTTCACCGGCCCGTGAGTTGGATCTTGCGATGTCAAGGTTCTTCTGCTGGATCTTATTCAAGAGAGCACGGTTGTCATTTTCAGACGCTGTTAGCCTGCCTTTTACTGTGACAAGTTCTCTCTCAAGGCGTTCCTTATGCTGATCGTGACGGATGCGGAAATTCTCAGAATCTGCAATTGCCTGCATGAGCTCTTGGACCCTTCCAGCGAGACGACCCCTTTCAGCTTCCACTTCATCGAGCTGTTTTTCTTTGGCCTCCAGGTCACGCCGCAAGCTGTTCTGGCGTTCGTTTGCTTGCTTGATTATGTTCCGCTCAGCCTCACTCTCTGCGTTTAATCGGGCATTTTCTGCTTCGGTGTATCGCTCACGAAGCCCGATCAACTCGTTTTGCAGATCCTTACGCGCCTTCTCCGCAGCTGCTCGAGCTTCAGTAGCGCGACGCAGAGAATCCTGTTGAATATACATTTCTTTCTCGATGATTATCTTGGATTCGTTCAGCGATTCGTACTTCTCTTTGAGCTCTTTCAATTCGTGCTCCGCGAGCATTTGGACGTCATCTCTGGATTGGCGTTCTCGACTGAGCTCCGCCTGAACTTGGAATAACTGAGCTTTTAGATCGCGGACCTGCTGATCCAGCATTGCTCGGCTTTGTCCTGCCTCGGCATCCTCCGACATCTTTTCTTCTAACAGTTTGCGAGCATCCGCCGCCTCACGCTCAAGGTTCGCTCTCTCTGCCCTCATAGCGTCCATTTCCGCTTGCACTTCGCGTAGCCGCTTCTGCATATTATCATGTCGAGTAGATAGTGATAATTTCTCGTTCTCGAGACTCATTCTATCTGTTTCATGCTTTTTCAGGTCGTTGCGGAGAACGGATAACTCGCCTTCTTTGCGCCTTAGCATCTCCTCGTAACCTGTCGAAGTAGATGAAAGGTCTGCAATCTGTTGTCTGATAGATCGGTTCTCATCGACGAGTTCCTTCACTTTCTTCTTCGAGATGTCCAGCTCTTTACTGGTATTGGCGAGCTTAACGTCGAGGTCTTGGTCAGATTTTAGTAGTTTGGCTTCCAAGTCGTGCAGTTTGCGGTCTTTGAGACTCAGATGACTCTGTAACATCTTTATTTCCTGAGTGAGATTGTGGACCTGTGTATCTCTCTCTTGATTCGTGCTCTCAGCCGCCTTTAGCTTGTCGTTGAGTTCTAGCAGGTGCTCCTGCAGCTCATGCTTTTCAGCCTCCAGACGTTCAATGATCTGACCAGCTTGTTCAAGCTGCGTCCTCCTGATCTCAAGCTGCTCCTCAGCCTTCTTCTTGGCGGCAATAAGATCATCCAGTTGATCCTCCAGGGTTTCTTGATCGGCAATGGCGCCAGATAGCTTCTCAGTCAGCTCAACTTCACGCAGTTGGAGACGCTTGAATATTTCTTCCTTGTCAAGAGCAAGAGTCCGTTCACTTTCGAGAGTTTGCTTGATGCGTTGGATTTCTTGCTCTGCTCGCCGTCTCTCTTCTTCTAGCTTCTGACGATCGGCGAGCTCCTTCTGCATTTTGGACTCGAGCTTCTGGATCTGCTCGTCCCTTCGCTTCACCTCCGTTGCTGTCCGAGTCTCTCCAAGAAGCGGCTTCATCCGCATAAAGAGCCTCCACCATGGGTTTGCTTTTAGATCCAAGTAACCATGGAAATTCCGCTGAATGATGCGAGTTGCTTCCGCACGGTATAACCGCTTATTTGCGATTCGCCGCTGGACGAAGCCGCGGGAAATGGATTGGAAGCGAGTCATAATATCTCGAATATGCTTGTCACGTTTCTCTTCGAGCTCAGCCAAAACTCCCGCTCTGAAGAACACTTTCGTTAAGCCGACACGATACCAAGCTTTATCCATGCCTAGTTTGTCTAGCATCATCTGTGTAGCGCTCTGATTGTCTAAATAGCCTTTAGGCATGTCACGACACAGGACTTCATAACGTTGTCGGAACTCAGTGAAGGGTAGCCGATTGGGAAATCCAGTGCGGGCGATTCGGATGCCTTCAAGGACACCGTTGCATCGAAGTTGATCCAAAACCAAGGGTGCATTGAACAGTTTCGGGCGTTTCTTGTGGTTAGGAATTATGCAGCGGATAAAGTGTGGATGAGTGGAATGTAGCGAGTTCATGAGCTTCGCGAGCTGTTCCTTGTGTTTTTGAGCTGCCGTTCGGAACAGACCCTTTTTCACACGGCTTTTCGATGTAGACTCGTCGCCATCGCCGCAATCGTTAAAAAGGTTTGCAACATGTTTATCGCTGGACGACGCCAGAAGACGTGTGATGTTATCGTTCAAGGGATCTTTGTTCTTCTCCAACCAGTCATGTGTTGAATACTCAACCTCAGCGGCATAGTGGGTGAGAACGAATCCTTGGTTCAGGCGAGAGGCACGGTACTTAGGCGATTTGCGATCCCATAGCGAGTGCAATTTCTCCGTAAAAGATTTGTCGGTAGCCTTCGGCATCACGCAATCCTCGTCCAGGCAAGAGAAGATACCGATCGGGTTTGTCAGCTCGATGAGGTCGATAGTAGGCTGTAAGTCTTTTCCGAAATCAATGAACTGCCATTCAATCTGTTCTCTGGCGTACTCTTCTTGTTCAAGAATAAACATGTGATGGTTGAAGAATTGTTGAAGCTTCTCATTTGTGTAGTTGATGCAGAGCTGTTCAAAGCTGTTATTTTCGAAGATTTCGAAACCAGCAATGTCAAGAACTCCGATGAAAGAGCTGTCATCACCTGCTATACCATTGCGATCCAGCTGGCTGTTTATCCTGTTAACGAGGTCTCCGAATCCACGCTCATAGATACCCTTGGCCAAGGCATCGAGTGCGGCGGTGACCTGCTCCGGAGTCTGAACCTTTTCGACCAATTCCCGACCAGCCTTGACCTTGGGATGAAGCAGCCCTTTTACGAACGCTTCCGGGTCAATCCCCAAAAGGTCGCATGCTTTCTGCACATTCTCGTATGCTCCCGGCGCCAAGGCTGCTTGATCGCCTCGCAGACTCTCTTTACCGATTGCGATATTGCCAAGGTGGAGCACCGCTGCGATTGTTCGTAAGATGCACATCTGGTCATCTGGCGAAAAATTCATGATATGGAAGGCCTCCATCAATGAATTCCACTCGTCCGCATCAGAAACCCCGGCGACTGAGTCATTGCCATCCTTCAGATAAGAAAATCCATCGAAGTCCAGGTCGCCCAGGTGAAGAGTGTCCCGCAACTCTCTGTCCGCGCCCTGAAGAAGTTGATAAAATATATGGTAGTTTCTCTCCTGGGGATTGGGCTTCACCACCCTTGATTTTTCAAGAAGGTACCAGTCTATCCAGGCCCCCACAATTTGACCGGAACGGGTGAATTCAATTCGAATGAACTTTCCGAATCGAGATGAATTGTTGTTCCTCACTGTTTGTGCATTTCCGAAGGCCTCGAGTATGGGGTTTGCTCTCAAGATTTGCTGGGAGAGATTTGAAAACTGCTTCGCTCCTGACCTCGACATCGGGGTATCCGCCGTTGCAACAGCCGCAAGATACTGGATCACCTTTTTGGTATTCTCTGTCTTACCAGCTCCCGATTCTCCACTATATCGTAGTGTTAGAGAATACAGATCCGGAATCATGCCTTAAGGATACCACTTACGTGACGAGGATACTTTGGTTTTCTCCTTCTTCCACAAGATTTCGAAATGCTTGGTCGGCCATTGCGAAGACATGTGGTCGGGTATCTTCTCGACTTTGACCCTTATACATTTTGACATACTCATTGGTATAGATCGGCAAGGGACAGTACGGGTTGACTGTGACCAAGAACAGTCCTGAATATGTCTATAGTATACTATGTTAGAATGTTGAAAGATGTTTACTGGGGACTATACTGACATATATCAAGTCGGATTGATACCGTGAGTGCAGGTTATGCACTACTGACGCTTCGTTGAGATGCGTAAGTTCGGCCATGTCATCTGCCTTATCGAACTTGGCCGGATTGACCTTGTCGACTTGGTCACTATCTACCTCACGCTGCTACAATGGTGTTAATTCCGAACAGAGAAGTAAACATGGAAGGTTCATACTGTTCCGTCATCGCATTGCACCAACAGCTGGGCCCCTTCTCTCTCCTCCACCACCAGGCCGCGGACAAACGCCTTCTCAGGATCCTTGAGCCAGACATAGCGTTTACCTGAGAAGTCGTTGTCTCCTTCCATTACTCGAACCTGGTCTGCTCCCCGCCGTAACTCCTCAGATTTGATAAACTGAGGAGCAAATGTACCTGTCTGGGCATTCTGTCGAACTGAACTGGATCGTTGCCGACCACCCGGGGACGCAAGCGATACTGGGGAGAGATTTGATGTGGAAGAGTTGCGCAGGTGACCCTTTGCCTCCACTGCAGCATTCCCAGGTGATGAGAAGACAGCGGATCTTGGCCGCGAAGGGAGGGACTGAGGTCCTGGAGAAGGCGACACCGAACTGCGCCCGAACGGATTGGCCCTCCTTGACGGGCTGTTTAATTGTGACGGCAGCATGATTGGATGTATTCCAGCAAGGTCATTTGTAAGATTGATCTGTCTCTTTCACAAACTGCCAACAATGCACAGTAATGCGAATTCCGGGGTTTCTAAGATGAGTGTAAACGGAACGAAAGAAGAGGTATATCCGGCCCCTTCGAATAACGTAATAATCTCTGAAAGCCCCTGGCTCTCTCACTCCAAAACGACAAAGTAAAGAAGTACAACAGAGAAAAGAGAAAGGAGAAGAGCGTCGTGTGGTGATGTCGATAGTGGTCGGGTAGATAATAATAATACGAGCAGCTAGCTCGACTCCGCCTGTTTGTTTACATTGTTGTCACTCAGCCCTTCCAGCGCCGCAACCCCCGTTCCCCGGGCCGTGCACGCGCTAGCCCCGATAGGGCCGATGCTAGACCGAGCCATGGCCATGTCACGTGAGGCCCGTGCTGGCCATCGCAGTCTTGGCACAAGAACTTGCTCGGGCGTCAACTCTCCTATCACTTCGCCGTCTTCCATCTCGCGCACCGCGGCCATTGCCCCTTCTTCCCCCCTATTCTGCCACGTCTCCCAGCTGTATCACTGTTTTCCCTTTGCTTCCATTATTATCTCACTTGTGGTAGGGAGCCGTCTAGCGCGTTTTGCATTCCTCATCTCCTTGGAGATATTCTCGAGGCCACTGGATACGCGACTTTATGATCCGTGCTTTTCCATGACCCTGAGATCTTTCCCATCATAGTGATGCTTGGGGTTCTTCCACTATCTACATGGTCTCGTGTTTTGGGATACTAACCATCTTACTGTTCACTGTTTGGTAGTGTTGCGAACCGCCATTTTTTGCGCGGGTGAACTGGGCTGTAGCACACAACATGTCTAATTATCCCCCAACGCCTTCATTTGGCGGGGCGTTCAGTTATACGCAGCAATGGCCGCCCCCTCAATTTTCCACACCTCCATTATCGGCCTTACCCTCTTACCCTTTCTCGGGGTCAACTGATATTCCAGGGCAGCCGCCGGTACAAACAGGTCCGGTCGTTGGGAATCCGTCTGATTTGCAGAATATGACAAATCTTGATGGAAATACCCGAATCCCCGGTCTCGGGGCGCATGGCAGTCTGCCACCACCTCCGCCGTCCTTTCCTTACATGAACCAGTTCCAATCGCCTCATATTCCCCCGCCAACGTTCCATACGCTCCCAGTTCCCCCTATGGGCTTGCCATCTTTACCTCGAACAGCTGCTCATATCAATCCTCTTCCATCCGCTTCTCAGGCTCCGGCTCTGTCTCGGGCTAATCCAGCAGTAGATGCGCGCGAAAATGCAGGCAGGGTGACCCCGAATGGGTTGGATACTATAGACCGAGAAGAGGGGGAACTCAGCGATGGGGATGGGCGGGTATCATCACAATCACAACGTTCAGTAGCTCAGCCCTTCTCTGGGAGTTCCCAGGGCTTCCTAGGCGCGCGGGAGCAGATACCAGATGGCCGCATGACGAAGTCAGTGCCGTCGAGCAGCTTCGCAACATCTCGAGATTCTCGCCAACAGAACCCATCTAATGATAGCTCTGAGAGAATGGACTATGAGCCGACGAATGTACCATCACCTACGGATCGATCACCGCGACGAGAAGAGAGTGGTTCTCGTATTAAACCCAGCATTCTTACTGTTTGGACGAACGCTGACAATGCATAGCTTATCACCCTCCTGTTTCTATCAGTTTGGACCCGACTGCGCAAGAATTTATGCCAATCACTACGATTACCCAGACAACAGCATCCTCAGATGAAGCAAGTAATAAGCTCAGCCCGACCAAGGACGTCAACGGTCAAAGTTTGCATTCTAGCAAATCACCAGCTCAACTGCGGGTTCTCGCTCAGGGTGCTCTTTTGAGCCTTGCGCCTCATAATATCCGCTACAATGAGCTGGTGAGTGAGGGAATCGACTCGACAGTTCTCAAACGGCTGTACGAGGAGGTGGGAATCAAGGTCCCGACTGTGTCAGGCGAGCAGAAGCCAGTCAAGGATACGTCAAAGCCCTCCACACCTGATGTTGTTCCTGTGCAACCAGGCGCCAGATCTGATTCTACGAGGGCTGAGGTTGTCCTGTCAGACGCCCAGAATCCTACGAAACTCCCTGAGAAAAAGCCTGTCGAGAAATTGCCATCCTCTGGGCCTGTGGGCGTATCCGCTGAGGGGCAGACGATCACAGCGAAAGATACGAATGTGCCGCCTTCTGGTATTATCGCTTCTCAAACAGAAAGCAAGCCTTTAGAACGGAAGGAAGTCATTGCGCGGATGCTAGCTGCCAAAGCAGGGAAGCTTACCACTTTGGCCGGCACACCTAAACCACCCTCCGAAAAGGACACCTCTGTTTCCAGTGCTGCTGTATCAAAGCCCCTGGAGACCACTGTACAGACTGCGCCCCCCAGCGAGACGCAAGTCAAGGAGAAGAACAAGGCCCAGACAGAGCTAGCGCGACAAAGAATGGAACAGCTAAAAAAGCAAGGTATCCTCAGAAGCCAACGTTCTCATGTCGATGGCGAGTCCTCCATCATAACCCAACAGCATCACGGTGCCGTGGGCGCACAGTCTCAGCCCAGTCAAGATGCCTCGACAGTGTCAAAAATCCAGCACCCGCTGCCAAATCGACCACCGGAGCCGGAAACGTCTGTTCCTGCTCGCATTCCGGGTCTATTCATGACCAGTTCGGAACAATCCGCCCCCGGAGAACTCTCTTCTACACCGAAGACAAACGTTGGGGCTACCATGCCTCAAGTTGGAAATTCTCAGCGGAAACGTCCACGTGCTTCGGACTTTGATGGCTTAGGTACTCCGCCTAAAAAGGTCCTTACTACAGAGTCTGTAATGGCCTGCCCCGAAGATAGGCTTGTGATTGATATCAGTGATGATGAAGATCTTTACGGGGAAAATGATGAAAACGGTGCTACCGCCACAAACAGATCCCAGCACCGTACCGTCTCTGAAGCTCCTGCGGGTCTCCCATCATCGACGGAGTATCCTCTAAAGAAGCCTGGGGCCCAACCACATCAGCGAGCGGCAGCTTCGTCTACCCCACAAACCCCGTTGAAGATTGGAGATCAAGAAGAGTTAAGGTTGAGAGACCAGCAAATCCAAGAGATGCGTAAGAAGATCGCAGCACTAGAAGAGAGGAAAAGGGCGAAACTGGCCGCTAGCCGTGTGCAATCACCTCCGGATTCGAATCGTGCTGCATCGGCCTCGTTGGACACGCCTCTAGTGTCAAAGCCTTCTATGCATGCGAGTACCTCCAGTGCTGTCAAAGAGCACCATGATCAACCAACAGTCCAAGCGAATTTTATCTCCTCCGTTGGCTCACAAGGTTCAGGCTCCCCGGCTCTGATTCGCAGTCCCTCGGTTCAAAGTCTTACGTCAGTTGACCCTGCACACCTTGAGCGAATGCGGGCGAAGTTCATGCGGAAGAAGGAAATCGAATCTGGCCTTCCTGCACTTGACGCTGAGCTTTCAAAGTCCGAAGCTAAACTGGCGGAATTCAAAAGAGAAGAGGAACGGTTGCGTGCTGAAATTGCAAAGGGGAGGGAGGGAAAGAGACAGCTCATGGAAGAGTTGGAAAGTTTAGGCGTTGAGACTCAGGGATTATCAATGGATGAACTCCAGGCAGCGAAAGCTGCCTTTGAAAGACCCGTATGTTCAACAGGTAAGCAAGGTCCCCAATGCAGCTTATGAGCTCCACAAACAGTCTCCATCGCACTCTGTGGACAACCTGGACCGCTATTACCCTTGATTATCGGATACTCATGGTTTAGTTGCCTTATCCTCAGCTTCTATCGAGAATACACCTAGCGCCGATACCAGCAACGTCCAGAACGTAGATGAAACAGCACCCAAAGACGCCAGCCCGGACCATGAGCCATCTTTACGCACCGATGTTGCATCAAGAACAGATATTGCACATGCTCCGGTCTCTGTTCCGCAGACGTCTCAAGAAGCCATTGAGTTGACTATGTCCGCCACTGTCGAGGATTCTCCCAAGGATGCCGACGGAGAATCCGAGGAGTTGTCAGATGGCGCGTCCTCTTCTTCTGGCTCTGCGATGGATGAATCTGTCGATAGCCCCCGACCAATGTCCATTGGACAATCTGAGCCAGATGAAGACCCGTCCAACCCCCATATAATGCCACCCGATTTGCCTGAGACACCCCGTGGTTTGGAACCTGTTGAGGCAGAGACAGACGCCCAGCCTTGTCCTCGTGTTTCGCCGCAGCGGCCGCCAACTCCGCAGGAACATGAAAATCTGAATGAGGTAGACCAAGAGAAGACTGCATCGAATATCGAGGAAGTTCACACATCTCGTGAGCCTTCGGTTATGTCTGATGATGTCTACGAACCACCAGAGCCAGAACCAGAGCCAAATCCTGATATCGCTAACACTGTCTATACTCCCCCTTTCAGCCCTCCTCCCCCTGGATCAATAGAGCCGGAGGATACAGTGGCAGCGCCATCGCCACATCCTCAACCTGAGGCTGGCGAGGAACTAATGCAAGATGTTCAGAAACCCAAACCGCTCGACGAGTCTCACATTGAAACACTGCAGGTAAAGTTGGCTCATTCAGATGGCCCCGCATCTAATTGCTACGCTGACATTAGAACCAGGGGGATCGCGGATCTCAGGAATTGGAGCACCACTTCGTGCCATATATCAGTCCTCTGAGATATTTCACCGCTTATCGTTATCACCCAAATTTTACGGCAGATGTTTCCGATGGCTTTCGTTCCCTGACTTATAGTCACAACATTGATCCTACGAAAATCTTCTGTCCGTATGAAACTGCGGGCGGTGTGTGCAATGACCACTCCTGCGAGTATCAACATTTCCGCGATATATCACTGAGCGGTGCGTTGATAAACTTGACAAGCTTCCAGCCCCTTCCTTCCACCTCTTTTGGTGCTAACTTACGCATGCCCACTTCACGCCTTACGACCCCCTTAATCGTTGCTCTTTCCTAATCCGTCATCGGTCTGCATTGTGCGAATACTGACCCGGGACGCTATTAACTCTCACAGATGACAAGATCCTCGTCCAGATGGGGTCTCAAAGGGAGGGGAGAACGCCCGAGGAGAAAGACAACTACATCGCTGGTCTGAAACAAATCATCAATGACATGCGACGCGACAAGGTGAAAGACTTTAACACGGTCGCTGCCGAAATAGCCGCATACCGTAGACGATTCCTCCAAGACCCTTCGCGCATTCTACCCCTGTAATATAAGGAAGGTATCAACCCTATCCTTCGCCTTGTGGTCGCCGATCATGGCTCTGAAGATGGACCTTTGATCGCTGTTCCCGTACAGCAAAGGCAAGTCAAACGAAAGGAATATACTCGACTAGAGTGACCTAAGAATGGGTCCTCTAGACTCAGCGCTGATTTGCAACCTCAGTGCTGTAGCCGCATTCTATTTAAACCCTATCCTTGTTATTCGTCTTTTCTCTTCTATATTGACGCGAAGCTACCGAACTGCTTTTGAGCATAGCATTGAAGGCGTTGGGATCTTTCCGCCAATACATGGGATTTTCGTCTGCGCTTATAGCGCCTGATCTTCTCTATTTACTGCTATTTGGCATACGGTGGAGATGAGGCGTTGGAATGGTTGGAGTCATGGAACATGGCGTAGGGGAGAGAAACCATACAAGCCACAGGCTTTTATGGTTACGGAAGATAGCTCTTGGGGAGGAGTGGATCAGTAAAGGAGTCCGTCTAGGGTGGCGGCGACTACCTGGTTAACATACCCTTTCCTCCAAGTTCAGCTTCATCTTCCAACCTCGCCTGATGACTTGTAATGGTCATTGCAGCTGGGTACAGTTGCTTTTTAGCGTCCCGCTTCCGGTGTACATTGATCAGGCTTTTAGAATACATATGATTAAGAGAAGTGTTCTGAATCACATTCTAAATAAACTTTTAGATTGATCTGCGCAACTGTCTATGGAATATCTAGAACTGGAAGTTGCGCTAAACTGGGCGTTCCGCAATAATCCAGAGTTGTAAAAGGTACCGCATATCCAAACTCTAGCTGGCACCATTCTCCTTTAGAGTCAGCAGCGGTACATGGGAAACAGCAAATCACCTATACCAGTACCGAAATCTATCAATGCTTCTCGGAATAACGCTTGCCAATATGAGATGACATAGGCAACCGCACGATAATAGGTATCCTATCTAACGAAGAAATCACCCTAGAAGCCTTTTCTCAAGTGCACTGAACCTTTAGAAGCCATCCCACTGCGCAATGCGTGCCATTTTGCAGCTGTAAATTATCCAATATGGCTGAAGCTGCTGCGCCATCAGCATGGCCTTTCTGAAAAGAATCCAGACGCGCCGTGGTTTTCGAATTATATGGCACCAATATGACCATACCCCGTTGCCTTGCACGCCTAAACCCTCAGCGCTGCAAAAAGTTGACGCTGAGTGGATATGCACTCAATTCACGCGTCATGAGATCAGAGGTTGAGAGCTGCGCGGGCGGTTTCTTCACCCTAAAGAATGCGCGGGAGCAATTCCGCTGATTATTAGCTATGACGCCCGGAAATCAAGCGACATTATGAACAATAATAGACGGGTAAGGGCGTTTCTCCAAGACAGACACGGGTTCGTGGCCAGGGCGGAAACTCTTTTGCCTGTTTGTTATCCTTGACTCCTGGATTTTCTCGTAGTCTCGCCGAAAAAGAATAATTCTGGACCCTTGTCCAGTTCTCACAGGCGACGATAGGATCAGAGTAGTCCAGTCAGTAGTAACTTAGTACGTTGCTCGTCCCCATTCTCCGCCAAACGCCAAGTGGAGAATCTTCAGCGTTCAAGGATTCCTCCGTATGTATGCACATCGTCCCAAGAGCGCGGATCCGATCTGCTTTAGTTAGCGCACGCAGGGTAAACCGTTCCAGACTACGAACCTCCACAGAGTTCGCGCTGGTGACATCTTCCGCTATTTAACGCCCCAGGACCACAGACTCCCAATGTAATTTACTCCGAGTTGTTGCGGTGAAGCGGCCCAAGTCAGCCTAGACTAAATACCCAGGCAGCCGTTGCGGAAATTAGGCAACAAGGCCCCCTATTTCGATTTTACATTATTGATAGTTATAATCTCGCCTGAGTCAACGACAGTCGAGAGTGGAACCTATACTGTGTTTCTTACTGAGTCATTTCTACTTTCTTGTTTATTTAGTGGTTTAAGTAAGAGCGAGATGAGTTCTTCCCGTGAAGTGGATCTTTCCCCCAAGGCATCCTTCAAGGCAGAATCTCTCTTGGATGAAGTTGGATCCATACTTTCTAACTAACAAAAAAAAAGCAAGCTAGACAAGATGAAAGAGAATGATTCATCTAATACTGTCTAGGCTAAAACAGGGGATCGATAAAGGGACAAATGTCAAGAAAGAAAAAAAAAAAAAAAAAAAGGAAAAGAAACACCAGATCTATTCTCCCGTGAATGCTTCCTACCTATCCCATGCCCATGCTAAACCATGCTGAATGACGTCGTCGCGAGACATATGCAAAGTCAATCTAAGGATCCCAATACCATGGTTCCTTTCCGTTCCGTTCCAAATGCAGAGTGTCAAAGATGATGGAAAAATAATCATGCAGAATGCAGTGCAATACCCCAATGCTAACGATGAATGCAGTAGTTCATGATCGATGTTTCGATGCGTATAGGCTGGAATCCGAATCAGGACTTCATTCCAGAAGAAGTGGAAGATTATAATGGGGCTTGACTTACTCATAATCGCAGATATATCGGTCGAAGAAAGAGCCCAGGCTCATCTGACGTGTGTGCAGCGACTGCAGGCGGAATGATTGCAAGTGACGCACCGAGGTTGGACATCGTAAACCTTCGGTCCGTCTCCGCATTGGCAGCATATATAAAGATAGCCATCAACTGGAGCGTCGGTGCGACTCATACCGGGGCTGCCAATGAGAGCCGTGGACAATTCTCGAGTGAATGAGCCATGTTGGATCCGAGAGAAGTTGGGTCCCACGGCAGATAATGATTGAACCGGCATGGGTGCAGATGGGATGGAAAGAGCCATCTCAGAGTTGGAAAGATGGACTCCGTCCTGTGGCATTTCTGGCGAAGACGGTATAGGACCACAAGGGTAAGGAGAAATAGGCTCAGATCCTCTGAGAGTGATATCCGCATCAGCGTCTTCGTATGTGCAATGCTCGCAAGCCGGGTGTCCGCATGAAATGCAAGCTGTGTGGAGAGCCATGTTGTGAGGACCAAAGCTACACTTGCAGCAGTACCAGGTGGCCATTATCAAAGGTGTTGCAAACAGAAGGTATATACCGTTTGATACAGAGATGTTGAAGACAAAGAAAGCGTGTAGTATATAAGTAGTAGTGTGACAAGCTTGAACTGATGAAGAGATCTGTCACAGAAGAGAGAAAGAGCGTCTTTAAATAATATTCAAGATCCATATGAAGAGCTATCGTCAAAACTAAAAAGAGACCATATACGTCGTTAACTGAGATCAGGTGGCTTAGAAGCAAGGAAACTAGGCTAACGCCCTATTGATCACAGCTTTCGGAGACCTCCGTTAAGAGGACGATAGAAGGCAGCTTGTAGGGCGCTCTAGAACAGAAGAAAAGAACACTCATGTATCTACATCAGCAGTCCGCACCCAAGATAGGCTTCGGCCTGGAAAAAATGGAGACATTCGCTGCGCCGGTGGAAGAATGCCTAGGGAGCCCACTGGGTGCCGGAGTGGGTCAGCTAAGCCTTTTTGCCCTGAAGGGTTCTGTCATACTCTCGCTGAGGACAGTTACTCTATGTCTCGAACATTTAAATAGGGTTTTTTTAAGGGTAAGCATTGACTTAAGCATAAGATTGGTCCCGAAGACATGGCGGAGCATAGAGGACCCGGGCGTCCTTGTTTGCCCGGAGAACCGATATGATGTATTATCATCAGATGACTTTTCAGGAACGGTGAAGAGCCGGGTGAAGCTGAAGGTCGAGGTTCGAATCAGATCTGCGCAGGGTCCGTTTTCAGGCAGCGACTGGCGGCTTGCTGCGCGGTTTTCTGAATCAGTGATCTGGGGTGGAGGCAGAGGGAATGGTGGAGGGTATATGGGTGAAATTGCTGCCTGATTATAGACAGAAGTATTCAGAAGGTAAAATATTGCTGTGGGTTTGCAATAGAATCATTGCAGTGGTATAAGGAAATCTCATGCGAATAATTGGGCGGTAGGCCTCAATAGAGAGTATGGCAGCTCCAAAATCACAGATATTTGGTATGACTATGTGCACAGATACATAAAAAGACAATGTAGATATCATCAACTACGGAACTAAAGACAAGTCGGACTGACACATTCCCCGAATCATGGGAAATAAAAGGTATATATAATTGAAAGACAAAGAATCGGACACAGGAACATACGGAAAGGGAAAAAACCCATTGATGTAGAAATTCGAACCTACTCTAACCTCCATGGTCACTTTCCCGGGAAATAAGCTTTTTCTACCAAACAGTCGCCGCATGTCGAGTGTTGGCATTCGGAACATTTGGCATGGATAGATGATTGCGGCCCGGAGCTTGAGCCACATGCACAGCAATACCAGATATCGGTGCTTCGTCTTGTGGGATGAGCAAATCCATCCTGTTCTGAGGTTTGGTTCATTTCGAGAATACCGTGTTGTTGGGTTGATCGTTGGCTAGACCCAGTATAAGCCCCGTGTGCCTGTGTATCACTTGTCGGTGTTGGTTCAACACGTGTTCCACGCGGATCTTCGAGTTTCTTTTCTTGCGCAGAACTAGAATTCGTCTCATGCCGTCGAAGAGATTCTTCTGCATCTGCTTGCGAAGTAGGTGATTCGCACAGCAGGAAGGGTGGAGAGCTATGCCTTGTCATTCCGCTTAGAAGCAGCTGCCCTTTTGGGTCCGATTTTTGGTACCGTTTACTATAGTAACCCTGATCCTGTCAGATATAGCAAAATACATTAGACGGCGAGATTCACCTGATTCGACATTTCCAAGGTCCAAACTCTTCAGTCAGGATAAAAGAAACGACCGGATGGTAGCTTGAGGAATGTAGATGAGATGTGAGGCAGGTTGATCAGTTTCCGTATTCTTTCTGAAGTTATTCTTGGGCTGCTGGAGGATGCATGTCGAACGCCTCTCCGGACGAATTTATCTCACATTAGCAGACCAGCTTAGAACCCGCACCAGCACCCAAAATGCTAGGGAATATCACAGAGCTCCAGTTATGACGAGCGTCAGATGTCAAGGGCACGATAGAGACCAGACAAGAAGTACCGCAATCACAGCCACGGAGGTAAAAGGCATCTCATGTCTTTTTCCCAGCCAAGGGCCATTTCAGGGCAACATGCCCGAAAAGGGTGCGCGGGTATCGTCCGATTGAAATTTGGGAAGGCCGAACATGCAGGTCAATGGGGTGTTTGGTGATGCGCCCGAGGCCTTTTTACCTGCAGCCACCAGGCAAAGCTGCAGATTGCAAGAAAGGCTTCCATGATAGTCCATAGCCACGGTGACTGGGTGAATTGGTTCGATATCGATGCATATGAATGGAGCCACACATAGGAAGGTCTTGAGAAGACACCCCTCAGGCATATCGGCACCCTGGTAGCGGATGGTGCTAGGTGGCGGAGCCATCGCATAGACCATGAATTGAGGGGTGAGCTGGCTCTGGAGGAAGATTCCCATGCGAAGCATCGCGCTTGGAAACGTTTTTGTCTCTCAGTTATGAACCAGTCATATATCATGGCAGCGAGAACTCCAAGTAGTGTGTTATCTCGATGGTGGATCTAGTTTTGTTAGGAACTGCCGAGGCATACCCAAATAATGTCTCAACCGGCACCTCATTGTAACATAGAATTCATCGAGTACTCCGGCATAAACAGACAGTATAAAGCGCTGAAAAGAAGAATGCAAAAGAATAAAGTGACACAAAGAAGAAATCTGCTTCAATTTAAATATTTTGAATTCCATAAGAGCCTCTGATCGAACGTTATCCGTTGCAACCTCAGCAATCGTATGCGATGATGTTATTCGTCAGCCTTGTTTCAGTCACAGAGCCGCATAAGCAGTTTCATAATCACACATCATATTGATAACGCACTAGGAGAGAAGAGCCGCAATATCTTCCACAGGATAGCAAATGAGCACGAATGTAGTCGCATGGTCTCCTGGTGTGAGGTTCAGCTGGAGGCTGACATGTGTAACCAGCCTTGAGCCGCGATGAACAAAATCGCGAGGAGACCCCAGTCCTGCTCCTGGCTCGACCTCCAAAGATAAAGAGAGTCTCGGTTAATTAGATATGCTTGGCAATAAGTGTGGTTGACGGTTGAGATGGTCAAACAACCAGCAAGTATGAGATGGAAAGTGAAGCGTATGAATGGACTAAGAGACTCGGGGTAACTTTGTCTATGAAGTCGATAGTAGAATGGTATTCGGCATCATAATAACATCAAATCATTCTGGTAGAATATGCTGTCTCCAGCCAACTGAGGACTTAAGGAGGGGGACTTCGTGTTGTGAACAGAAACGAGGAGGAAGTCGTGTTGATGCCTGACGGCCTTAGATAAATTAAAGTTCAGGAAGGATAAGGAACAGGCATCTATCAGTCACGTGGTCCGTTATCTGTTTGCCTGGTTTGCTCTCTCTCCTCCGTCATCCTTTCGGGATCGACACTGCGCCTTTCGATTTATCGATCTGATCTTCCTCCATCATTGTCGACGTTGCTGCCGTCTCTGCTGCTTATCGACTTCTGATGAACGGAAAAGGGTCGTGGTTTCCGCAACCATCTCAAAGATGGCCAGCAGCACGGATACACGTGCGAGTCTCGCTATTGCCAGAATCATACCTGCGCTGATCATCGGTCTCTTTGTCTACGTGTGTTATGCGGTGACAAAGCAGCTGTGCAGTGAGTTCTCCATGTTACGATCTCTGAAGCTTATCTGTTAACAATGTTATAGTTAACTACTTAATTCATCCTTCCCCACATTACCACCATTCTCCCCGCCTCGGTGCTGGCGTCGTCATCATTGTCATATTCTACATCCTCCTGATTGCAGTCCTCACCACCTACATACGGGTTTTATCTACCATCATATGGAACACAGGCTTTCTTCCACGAGGTGCAGCATGCAATCTCCAGCAAAAACAAGCGGAGAATACCGCTGCTGGCCAGCGAGATCATCAGAAGCATCGAAGCAACGGACAGCAGCCAAACCCTCCACCGGAGAAAGTTGGTCAAGCCGAGCCTGATCTCGAAAGCGGCTTAGATTACAAAGCCGCTGGAAAAGCATATCCTTTTGATGCATATGGTCTGGAAAGTTTCTACACGAAAGATGTCTTTGTATGCCAGGAGGACGGCAGACCTCGCTACTGCTCAAAATGCTGTCAATTCAAGACGGATAGAGCACACCATTGCCGCGAAGTCGATCGATGCGTACGGAAAATGGATCATTTCTGTCCTTGGTAATACCATCCTGGTGAATATCCGATAAGTAACTGAAAGCTGACTTGAGATAGGGTTGGGGGCGTCGTTTCCGAAACGTCGTATAAGTTTTTCATCCAATTCGTCTTCTATACCTCCCTATTCTGCATCTTCAACATAATTATCACCGCTGTCTTTACGGCAGAATTACGACAAAATGTGAGTGCTACCCTGCCGGTCGCCCATCGATGCTTGTTAGACCAGTATTAACGTAGCATGCTTTATAGGCTGGACGTGTTAACGCTCACTGGCTTGTCGTCCTGGGCGTGTGAGTACTAAATGTAATCTCTTCTCCTTGCTATTCTTTCTGACCTTTAATATAGATCCTGCTTCTTTGGCCTGTTCGCATCCGGGATGACCCTGAGTTCGCTTCAACTTGCCATGAATAACTTGACGACAATCGAGAACATAGGCCACAAGACGAAGGTCTGGACTCTGGCCGTACATATTCCCCGGCCACACGATATTGGAATTGATCCTGAAACACAATGGGCCGCTACATTCCCGACCGTTACATATCCGGCACCGCGAAGCTCCCCACTCCTGCGAGGGCAGGACTCGAAATCTGAAGACCGCCGCGTTTTTGCTATTCTCCGTACCCAACCAGGGGAGAATCCTTGGGATCTCGGGAGCTATATGAAGAACCTTCAGCAAGTCATGGGCTATACAGTGGCTGACTGGCTGCTACCACTCAAGCAAAGTCCGTGTGCCGATCACAGCAGTCTAGAGAGTGCATTTGCCCTCGGTCCTGCGATCCAGAAATTGAAAAGAGAAGCCGGTCTCGAACCCCCCGAGCAACCTAACGGCGCTGCCGTTAACGGGCGCAGTACGCCAGCGCCAGAACGATACAAGAACAAAAGAGCTGATCGCCCTTCTCGTTCAGTCCCGTCTGAAGATCAGTCGAGTGACGGGATCGGTCCGGCCTTGCCGCCGCAAGCCTACCGCGCTCATCATCATAGCCTCCATGGCCATCATGGCAGAGAGTCACAGGCATCTTCTAGTCGTTCGCAACCATCCGAAATTTCTAGTCCCAGTGGATCTGATTAGATCACACAGCACATGATATGTGCCGACGGACACTTCCTTTCATAATCATCTTTCCAAGCTCGCTATAGAATTCGCATAACTGGCGTTCAGTCACCAATGGGTTGGTCATATATACATTGCATTGCGGTCACAACTTTCTGGGTACTATTTCCTTGTTCTTTGCCTTTCTTTTCTTTTCTTCTTTGATTCACTTCAATTGTCATTGCATTGAGCGTTTCTGTTTTCATGGGTCATGGGTCATGGGTAGCTTAGTGGGTTAGATAGTTTAGTTTAGTTTATATCCAGGCTGGGATTCGGGTCAGGGTTGTTTATAGGGTTTTAGATAGCATTGGCGGATGGACCGGTCACGGTGTACATACATAGATGGGGATACACATACAAGCAATTCTTGAATCGCATTCATTGTCCGATGTGGCGAGTAAATTAGACCAAGGCCGAGGCTGAAGCAGGCTTGCTTCCTGCCGTCAGTAAGCACCTTGATGTACGATCTAGCAGAGCAGCGGGTGTAACATTATCGACCCCTGTTATAGAGTGTTAGAGAATAAGGTTACTGAACTTTAACATAGAGTAGTGCGAGGGGATAGAACCCTGGGTCAGCTCCCTCATGGTCCATGGGTCATTTGTGTTCCTTTGGCCGTTTTCGGAGGTAACAAAACAGATGTATGTACTATCCAACGACGCCCCGTCTAAAGCCGGACTGAAGCTCCGAACAGCTAGCATGGGGCGCGGAACCATTCTTAATTGTCCTTTTCGTGTATACTGTCTTAAGAGCACAAGTCACAGAGAATCCATAGCATCATTCTAACCCGACGCCCGCCGGGGCGCAGGCCAGGTTTGCTTATTCCTTGGCAGGTTAGCTAAGATGTAGCTGCATGAGGATTTCTTGCATGGCACTAGATGCAGCTTCTGCCCTAGGAGTGAGTATCTGGGTGGCCTCTCTCTCCCTTGACCGCTGTGTGCGTTTTTATTTCAGAGGCAGAAAAAGGACAGCGGCAGAAGGGCAAAGCAAAAAATCAGCTGTAGAGCTCAGTACGCAGATCAATCACTTCATAATATGTAAAACAATAGATGTAACGAGTCTTGCTCTCTGGTAGACGCGGCATCTGCATGTTTAATGCAAGTAGGACCCGGACTGGAAATCTGTACCGTTGAGCAGATGTTCCTTGAAGCCAATCATCAGCGGTATGAGACGATGAGCCACCCAAATAGTCAAAAAGACAAGAACCCCTCCAGCCAGGTTAGGGTCATAGTCAACACCCAATAGTCCTGTGAATTGCAATCTAGGAAAGATTATCTCGTCGCCTGGAGTGTGTGCCCAACCACGTTGGCTCGACGCGATTACTCCACGTTCCTCCTCACGACTGGACACCAGTGAGACTACGTCCGCAAGGCTGGGACCATGAACGGTCTCTGGGAACCCGAAACCCACGACAAGCGTGTAGGGGCCCAAACGACAGTATGACTGCCATTGGTCCTTGGGGGAACCCCAGTTCACGTTATTTGGGGGGTATATTAAGCGGAAAGATAGGCCCTAAGGAGGGAGCTCAAGAAATCGCTTTGAAAGACCGTCTGCAGAAATCTGTCGATTCCCCTCACCAGTTCCAGGACGCTCCCATCCTTTCGAACCACCGATACTAGAAGGAACACAGGTTTATCCCGTTAGCTAGTGGAGGCCACGAACGTCTTTCGGAACCACTTTTCGGCCAGCGGCGGCTCCCCAAGTCATCGATCCCCAGCCTAGAGTACTTGACACTGAGTGGAGAAGGTTCAGCAACGACGAGGCAGAGCCCCGGAGGGCGGAATAGCGACTGAGAGTCGGTCGACAACGCCCGAGGAGCGGACAGAGGGGGTTGTAGCTGAACTGCACACCGGTCCAGCACCGGCAATCTGGGAGAGGAGATCCCTCTGGAAGGCGATCAAGAGTCGGTAAGCGTTCTCTCTCTCTCGCGGGGCTGCAAGGCACGCCCCGGACAGCCTCGAGAAGGGCCGGAAGCCACGCCGTCGACAGAGATCAACGATCATCGGGGCCATCCGAAGTGTGCAACAGGGCTGAGCCTCCGAGGCTGACAGACCAGAAGACCCTTTTCTCCGCAAGAGAGGTATTAGTCCATCGCCCTGTCCTACCCGTTTGCGCATCGTGGACGACAATCCCGATCGACCTCAGATCGGATGTCATTGTGATTTCGAATCCCATCAAGAAGATTGGATTGTGATTGTTGATTGTGTCTTTTCTTCCGGAGTGGCGGGCCATCTGGAGTGGAAGAAGCATCGAATCTCCACCATTTGCGTCACGCGGCAGACGGACCGTTGCGCTTCACCAGCGTCAGGATAGTCAGTCAGTCAGTCAGTAGTAGACTAGACGTCGCTACACTATCCTGCTAACTATCTCCTTGTCTCTGCGCTGTCAAACAGCAGACACGACACGTCGAGAGTCCCAGTCATTGATTGGCAAACGCGCGATTCCCCGTAGAAGCCTATGACAGCTGAATCCCCTCATCCATTGCCCCTCCAACGTCAAGCATCCCGCGTGGTTCAACGCCCTGGGGAAGTTTTCTTATAATTCCAGGTCTTCCACTGGTTTCTGGCCGCTTTGCTGCTCAGAACAGATACCAGTATTGGCATCACTGCCATCTTAACACATCTGGACCAGCATCAGAAACATTCCTCCTGTTAACAGTTTTGCGCCTCGATAAGGGAAAGGAAAAAGCATCATCACCTCTGGTATCATCTCCCATTGCTATCCACTAGTATGGCTCATTCAACTCGTCATCGCCCTGCGTCCCCTGGGAGCAAGCGCTTGATGGATCCTATGCGCGCTTCCACAGGCACGGTTCCATTGGGTCCGTCCTTGGATGTCTACGCGTCGCCTGCGAACTACTATGGCTATGATCCCCATACGACCCCAAGATCAAGTGTGGAGAGAATGGCAGATATTCCCTACAGAAACAACCACGACCCCTGGGTCGGAGGCGATCGAAAGCTCGAAGCGCAACCGATTTCCACCAAAGCTTTCAGAGATCCAGGTCAATCGACTAAGTTACGGACGGAGTATGCCATTCGACCAAGACCAAGGAGCAATACTGCGTCAGGAGCTGACTCGAATCGACATCCATTGAGCCTGGCTATCCCGACTTCGCCCAGCCGTCCGCCTCCCTTGATCACGACCGTCTATGATCGACCTCCGAGTCCACTACACCCACGATCTACACACTCGAGAGAGGATTCCGAGAGATACCTCCTGCCAGCTTCGTCCATCCATAGCCCACGTCATCGCAGGATATACAGCCATGATTATGCTAGCGACACCGGTCGACTGGACCCCGAGAGAGCACGCAGGGACCGCGGTGGTTACCGTGCTTATAGATCCTCTGGCCGCCATGGACACCCACTCACAGGTGACCTGAGAAGAGACGACGTCGACGACTATGATGCATATTCATACACCAATGCAAAAGAGCAGTTTGAGAAAGAGTTCGCGGGCAACCCCGCTCCGGAAAGAGAGAGTTACCGGAGAGAGCGGCCAGTGAGTATGACCGGACTCGAATCATATCTACCGTACCTGTCGAGGAAAGAACCAAGAGCATTCGGACCTCCGCCGTCGCAACGGGGCTTTGATAGACTGGACAAGGATGAAAAGCACGGACGAGTGGGCCGTACTCGCGCAGGTAGTGACGCCTCGCGTGAATCGTCGGGTTCCCTTCACGCACCGCGGCACAGAGCAGCCGTCGTGCATCAGGATAGAGACGAAGGCTATTCCTCGTATAGGGAGGACCACAGTGATCGTCGACATTCCCGTCGCCACCACCGGCGCCACGACGATGACCTGAGAAGTCGCGATCGCCGTGATGACAGAGATTCCAGAAGCGATAAGCTTCATCCTGCCATGGCTGGAGGACTTGCCACGGCTGGACTGGCTAGCGGATACTCCAAGGATCTATTAGACCCTGATGCCGGTTCAAAGCATCGTCATCGATCCCGCGATCCTTCACGCAGCTATTCGAAAACCAGAGCGGACGATGGACACAGGGAGCACCGCAGACGGAGAGCGCGTTCCTCTCTACGCCGCCCTGGAAGTGACTCAGATGACTATAGTTCCGATGAAGCCCTCCATCAATATACGCGAGCCCGATCGCAACATCGAAGAATTGGCGAGCTCAAGAACTCCGATTACGCCAGAGATGGGCGGTCGTTGGATTCTGAAACGGACAGTTCCGACAGTCAGAGGATGAGACGGGTTCGACGCCGCAATCGTGATTCTCGCCACTCTGATGAATCTATCGCCAAGGAGACCTCCGAGGAGCCTCAAGATCGCCAAAAGAGGTCTGTCACGGTAGGCGCTGCTGCTCCCAAGGAACCTGAAGCCCCGCCGAAGGGAATCCTAAAGCCTCCTCGTGAGAAATTCCCTGAAGAGCCGACTGCCGTCAGGGAGGGTGTTGCGCCTCTCAAAGATGCGCAGAAGAATGGAATTCCCCCAGGTGCTCGGTGGACTAAAATTGACCGCCGTCTCGTCAACCCGGCCGCGTTAGAAGCCGGCCACGAGCGCTTTGAAGAGCGGTCCGAGTACGTCATTGTTCTGCGTGTTTTGACAAAGGAAGAGATCCAAGCCTACGCTGTAAAGACCCAGGAGATCAGAGGTGAGTTCGGCCATAAATCCTCCCTTAATACCCGCCCCTATTGAGAGCCACACTAACATAAAACCAGATGCTCGATACAAAGCAGAGCGACGAGAACGCCGTCAACGCAGAGAAGAGGCTCGTCGCCAGGGCCTCCGAGGGCAGAGCGACTCTTCCAGCTACGATGACGATACTACCGATGAAGACAAAACACCCTTGGCGCTCGAGGCACCTCCGGAAGACCAGCCTCCACTACTACCACAAGCGCAATCTCGCGCTCCCAACGTGCCTAACCCAGAACCTGTTCGGAAGTGATACCGTGATTTTATAGAGCCTAGACTCATATCTTAAACTAACCCCCTAGAGACGGGCGTGTTGTTTTCTTTATATATGCATTCTCCTTTCCCTTCCGTTCCCCTTTCCTACCAGACTAGACGAGCAAGCGATGCGATCCACGATGTATCTGTCTTTCTTGCTTGCTTTTCCCATCGAACATTTGCAAGATATGTGTACGATACACTGCATGAAGAGATGATACCGTATTACGTTCTGTACGAATATTATGAACAATTACCACAAGTCTCCCTTTTTTGGTCTTTGCTGAGAATATAAATGGTGGATTGTTCACCCGACTACTGTATATCCGATCAGATACAGGGGTTTGTTTATGCTTATATTAGTCTCTGGGTCAACACGTGGGGGGTTTGTTTGGTAAACTCTATCACGAATTATCCCATGGATGATCAGATGTCCTGTTCCCTTGGATATGAGTTCATGGTAACGAGTACAGTATATCTATCCAAGACCATGGTCATGGGACGAGTCATTCCCAGCACCGTGGAGAGAGAGAGAGAGAGAGGCTAAGTCTCCGGCAAAGTGCTACTATGTTAATTGCAAACTTCTAACTAGGGATCACAGCACATTACAACCATGAATCACATTGATATATCTTACTGTTCCTAGTAGCATGTCTTACTACTGTATGTTGATAAAATACGACATCAGAGACCTGGGATCCCGAAAAGAAATCCGGTCAAGGAAGGAAATGTCATAGGACAACTTCATCGACGATAAGGCCCCATGCAAGGGTTTTGAAACTTTCTAATATTTCTTTCGATAAACGCATATCTAAGCATCATAACATCGTAGTGCCTTTGGTTCATCTTGCTTTTTTTTTGTCTTGCCTTGTTCGTTTAAGGGGTGCATCTGCCCATGAAACGCGGGTACAGGCACGCTTCACGGACGGTCCAGAGCTTCATGAGCCAGGCCAGGAATCTTTCTTAATGTTAGCTTTTGGGGTCCTAGAAATAGCAAATGTGTTTAAATCAATCAACATACCTCTCAGCACCGAAACCGTAACCTCCGTGAGGGCTGGATCCATACTTTCTCTGGTCCAAGTACCAGAAGTAGCCGCTGGGGTCGATGCCCTCGCGCTTGTAGGCGGCCAGGAGCTCATCGTAGTCCCAGGTTCTCATACTACCTCCGACCACTTCACCGACACCAGGCATCAAGACGTCAACAGACTCTGTAACACGCTTGTCGTCGTCGGCTCTCTGCATGTAGAAAGACTTGATTTCCGCGGGGAAGTGAGTGAGGAAAATAGGGCGGTTGATTTCGTCGGTCATCTTGCGCTCGGCAGCTTCGGCACTATTCAACTATGTCAACACAATGCTTTCTCAACCCAGATAGGCTCTCGGATCTGAAATGAGAAAAGGCGAATGGAGTTGAAACTTACATGTCATCACCAAATTCGTGGTCGTTGCCGTCCTCTCGCTTAATACCGTGCTCAACCAGCCAGTTAATGGCATCCGCATACCGCATCCTCAAGAATGGTCTGGCAGGCTTCTTAAATTCGGGGTTGTATTTCTTGATAAGCTCAGCGGCGACAGGGTCCTCAAATGTCAAATCGATAACCCGGCAGATGAGGTGTTCGAGATGTGCGAGGAGGTCATCGAAGGTGATGAAGTCGAGTTCCGCTTCGATGTGTGTGTATTCAGAGAGCTTTGTTTGTCAGTGAACTAGTACACAATTTAACAAGAGGAACAACTTACATGGCGACGGGTCAGGGACTTCTCAGCACGGAAAGACTTTTCAATGCAGTATACGTCTCCCAGAACAGGAAGGACAGTCTCGAGGTAAAGCTGGCTGGACTGAGTCAAGTAGGCAGTCTCACCATAGTAGTCGAGCTTGAACAGTGTAGCACCACCCTCGACTTGAGTCTGCACGAGAGCCGGCGGGCTGACCTTCTTGATCGCAAGTTCTCTGTAGGAAGTGTTGAAAGCAGACTCCAGAACGTCACGGACGTACATAACAGCGCTGGGCTTATCATGACGCAGAGTAAGGTGGCGCAGGTTAAGCAGTGTGTGGGGGTCACCGTCCTCAGGCACCCGGGTCGCCAAAGCGTCATCTCCTCCAGGAGCTTTGGCGATGATTCTAAAGTAATCAGCGTGCAGCTCTCGGTTGAGAGGAGCGTGAGCGCCAGCTGGGACCTCAAAAAGCTCTCCAAAAATCTCGATCGAAGTATCACGGGTGAGGGTCAGGGCATCGTATGTCTTAGAAAGCTGACCGGAAAGCAAGCACTGCATCAGGTTCAGTCCACGACGCAGCGTGATGAAGATAAGTCCACCCTGCTTGGCCAAACGCTGGACACGTCCCTGAACTCGCACGCGCACAACTCCCTCCTTGGGCTCATCCTTGTTCTTGCGCAGTTTTCCGATAACCTTGGGATCCGTCTCTGCGATGTTGATGAGAACGGCCTTGGGTAGCGACTCGTCCTCCGAAATCTTGATGTTCTTGGCCTGTTCCAGGATAGCCTCACGCGCAGCCTCTTCTTCCGCTTTCTTCTCGGCTTGCTTGGCCGCTTGTTCACGCTTCTTGCGCTGGACATCTGCGTATTTAACGGCCTTCTTCAGAGCGGAGCTAGCCGCGGGTTTGTACTCCTCCTCGCCCTTCTTCTTCACCTGGTACTCGTTATCGGCCCCGCGCACGAGGTATGCTTCCTGCAGACTCTTGAAGGGCGCGGCCTCAGTGCCCTGAGTCTCAGGCGCATCAATGCCTCTCTCCTCGTCGATGTATATGACCGCCATTGTGCAAGATTGACTGAAGAAGCGACCAGAAGAGGTCTGGCACAGCGCGCGCTGGTCTTCGTTGCGATTCCGATGAGTCAAAGGGGAGGGGTCCTTAGCGCGATTGCCAAATTCGCTGTACTTTTTTGAGGGCTATGTGGTAGCATCACGTGATCTAGGCGCGCCATCGTCGCGGGGCTGGCAGGAGCAAGTATGACTGTTTTATCTACTCAAAGCCTCAGTTAACTAGTTAGTTAGACAGCGCTTGGGAGCATAGTTTGATAGGGTTATCAAATTGCTCTTCGGTCTGTGACATCCATAAGCCTGAGACTTCAACTCCAATCTAAAACGTTCCTCTGCATCCAATCAAAAGATTGACCGGTAAGTTCCGATACATGTGAAGTAGGTATCTGGACGCTTGAAATCATATACTCTAAAACTTCATTGTGAACACCAACAACTCACGATAGCAGACGAAAAGCAGGAATTCTGATTTGTCGTATGTTCAGCCCAGCAACGAGCAGGAAAGACATAAGAAACTCTTCAAAGACCACACTAGATTGGATACAAGACGAACAATATATCTTGAATTTACCCCTAGTAGCACTATATAAAAGACAAGGATCGGACAAGGTCATGGACATGGACATGTCAGGGGCAGACAGACTCAGGGATTATCTTCTATACCCTGAAGTTCATCCCTCAAGGGTCGCCGACTTATCACACCCCCGGCCGCAATGATCCTGACTCGCATCCGTCTAAACCTGGTAGCTTCTAGAAGGAAAATCATCTCCAGCGTGTGAGATATCACAGGTACATACATGTAGAGTTATGCGCACGGGCTGGGTTGCAGTCTAGCATGGGACCACTGGACTAAATGTAGAGAACGGGTGATGGGATCTCCAGTCCAGGTTTGTTGGCTGCTGGAAGTTCGGGGTGTAGTTATATAGTTACACATGTAGTGTGTTCTGTTGTATTATGATTAATGTATGATTAAGATAGGTTCTCTTCGTACTTCCTTTAGTATGTTTGGCAGTTATGCGCGTACTTCGGAATCTTATTGTATCAGCCCTGAGATTGAATACATGCTCTCTATTCGTCAAAAGTGGGCACGTGGTAAGTATATATCCTCCTTGCCGTTCGAGTTTTCTATTCTATAAAGCAAACTTCGATCTTGGAAATAACTTATAGACGAACGGGTTTAACCTCATGCAATGGAATCAGAACTGCTTACGCCGTTATTATAAGATATCAAGTCTAGTGCTTTTTATATGGCCAAATACGGACAATAACGCGAAAGGTCCTTATGTGTAGCAGTAAAATAAGAGAATAGATGCGTATACTGCTTGAGGCAAAACAAGAATAGTTCGAAGAAAAGCTTCTATATCTGTTTTTCTCCTACGGCCATTCAGACCTCCATTCTGAGACTGAATCAGAAAGTGTGCACAAGATTTGTATGTATAGTCAGTCTCCTGAGAGTGCAAGACTCTTAAACAGGGGTGTTCGAGTAACCCACTGTTTACGTCAACAACAGAGTACGGGGATAGGTTATGTTGGCAGGGAAAGAGATCACCACTGACGAAGACGTGGAATCATATTAGACATAAAGCCTTTCATGCCTGCCTACACGTGTCAATGTTGATCAAGTAGATCACCAGGTATAACGTTATTGATGGTTTAACCTTGAGTGGCCCTGATGCCGATTCCGCATAGCAACACATGGCAAGATTTGTGACGATCAGCTCCGTCATAATTGCGCTCTTTTGCGGAGAAGCCTGTTCGATATACCAGCATCAAGGTCTCAACATCATGTCAACTGCAATGCAAGTCTGCAGGGGTAATGACAAACAGGACCGTTAGACGGGCTAACCACGACGATGCCTGCGATTTCAGATTGTCCGTCAGCATTCAGCACATAGTTATTGCCATACACAACAGTAGGAGACCCCCCAAATAGAGGCATCGGTGCATCCCCCACTGACGGAAATTCGGGGAAAGATAGCGAACTGAGGAGAACAGTAACATTCCGAGAAACATTGCCTCTATCAAATTGTTGAAATGCCGAGCTCCAAAGAGGGCAATGGAATGATGACAGCGGTTACGGTGATTGTCTGTAATTTCGCCATTCGCCAATTCATCGATTAGATCGAATGAGAATAGCAGGTCGGATGTGAAATGATAAAATCCGATGTCGTCCGCATGGGGTTTCTCAACGAAAATTCCAAGCATAGGTAAGTTGCAGTGGAGTACTGGCGACCGCGCACCGGTTTCGCAGATCCCACTTATGGCATGATCATAGAAACAGGACTCTCAAGAGAACCACGGATTCAAGGAACGTTGGTGGAGCGTCACATGGAAAATGTCCGATATTTCAAGTCCGTCGACCATCATCTCAATTGATCTGGCTGAAGTATAGCAGCTGAGTAAGCCGCGATAGGCTGACGCAGATGGAGTTCCTCCTAACGACCTCGAATGATAATAACCCTTGTGGATGACCAACTCCCCCCGAAGTGACTCTGCATGCCTGATTTCCAGGATCCTGCAATCACATCGTGTCGCTTTCTATGTTCCGAGACATCCCGGAAAGCCCTAAGTCGACTAATTTAGACCCAAGTAAGAGACGGGACGGGAGCAATCAAGGAGGCGTGTCGATTAAGAGATCGTTCTGGACTTTCCCTTCCGCAGAATCATGATTATCTCTCCAGAGACTCAAATGGGGGACCTCCTAATGACTCGTAATGGGAATAAAGGATGGCAAATATCAGAGTTGGCCCGGTCGTTAGGGTAGCGTCTCAAGCTGTGCGCCGCGACTTGAGTCGAAAGTCTTGGCGGATCACCTCTGCCAGCTTCTATTACTATCATTATGATTGTTCATCTCCAGAAGTGACCTGTGAGTCAGGCCAATAATTAAACCATTCACGAAACCGTCGGACCTCATTCCCGCAGTGCAAGCCACTAGTTGATCCCTAAACTGGAGCGGGCTTCGGATCTCAGAAGCCGTTTATCGTCAAATATATGCCCCAAGGTCTCGAGTCCGTGACAACGCCGCAATAACGACAATAACGCAGAAATTCTCATCTTTTTGTTCCCTATCCAATAGAATTGTACACCTAGCATCATGAAACGTCGCTATTGATTAAGTTCTCGGAGAATTTTTCATGAAGCCATAAGAGGCATTTCGAGGTGGAGCATAAATTATTAGATACCTACCAACTAACGCAACAGGAAACACTCCAGATATCGAAACTGGAGGAAGAAGAAGCGAATATATCCGCTAGATAGATAAGCTGAAATCGTGGGTTAACTAACGTTTTGAACGTTGGAAAGCGACGGGAAACAGGGATCACATCACGCTTGTTCTTGTTCTTTTTCGATTTTGGGAGCCGCGGGAACTCATCCCCGTAATTTAGCCCCAGGTCCGTCCCCTGATTGCGCACGGGGACTCTGGAGTTCTGGCCGTAGCTGATGCCATGCACTGGATTTTGTGCATTGGTATTGGATATTTTTTTTTATTGAAGAACTTCAAGTATTTAGGGGGTTTTATTTTTCTTTTTTTTTTTTCTGCGTCCTCTTCTCAGAATTACGTGGGTCTTGTCTGTCTATCCCCATTGGGCGGTTATAGTATACACCGTTTTCTAAAAAGAGATAAGTTGTAAGAGGCATGCACAGTATAATAATAATAACTATCTATCAGGGCTGAAAGAAACAGTCGAAAGGAACGACTAGATAGCTCCACTCTACGATCATGCAACCTACCTAGGCGAACGCCCATGCGACATTGTCAGGTCGAGGCCTTTCTATTTCTGGATTCGTCGGCGAGAACGGTCATTTAAACCGAAACTGCTCTCGGATCGTTCGCAGCGGTACATTGATCGAGTCAGGATTGTCTGTTCAGCGGGCAGTGAATGAATAATAATCCTGCTCTTAGGTTCCTGGAGACTTATAGATCTTGAATGGGTTTAGGGGCTTAGGTGTATGTAGCTTGAGTTTAGAAGTGAGATAGGGATATAGCAATATCACAGAAGACATGGTCATCTAACTCTAATCTACTGTACTTCCCTAGCTAACTACCGCTGGACTGTATTATTATCTATGTCAAGCCAACTTCTGTGCTCAATCCAGCGAATACCATATATCCCCCAAGACTACCTAGCCATTACGTTAGATATGTGCAGTTGTTGCCTGGAAAGGGCTCCAGTCACGCTGTGCAGCTTGTGTAACACTCCATCAGTGCCATATGCAAATACTGATAAGGACTCGGGATTTGGAACGCACATACTCCCGCCATGATCTCTCGCTGGTAATAGAGGCCATCTAGGGAGTCGGGACACTACTACTACAGTACCTACTAGAGTCGGTGCTGCACCTTCAGCTTATGATGCCGTAATAATGCCTCCCTCCGTATAAGACCGAACTCGAAGGAGTGGGAACTTGCAGCGTCGAACATGCCAGTTACCGTACCAGCTAACTTCCTCATTGCGTTATGATCTTCCCCCATGTCTGATTGATATTTTTTTTTTCTTTTTTCTTTTTGGCTTCTGCATCCTGTAAGCCATCATCCCAGGCCCTTACTGTCGATCTGCCGGGTCTGATCCCCTTACAACAGGCTGACCGATGCTAAATGGGCTGGGAACGAATGAAACGATGGTAGCTTGTTCCCTTCAAAGGATGCCGTGCGTACTGCATAGCCTATCGGATTTAAGTGGCTTTCGATCCGCTATGACATAGATTATGAATCTCAGCCCATTGTGGATCCAGCACTAGAATAGATACCTTTTTTTTTAAAGTGAGTACGTGTCACCTGCGCAGAAAAAAGAAAAAGAAAGAAAGAAAGGGAATAATGCAGCTACACTGGCACTCTCACCTGAGATTGTTAAAATTAAACTTGTGTTGTTGATTTCTGAAACGAGACGTTGGCGACTGGAGGGTTAGATACTAGTCTGGTCATCTGAACGCAGCTTGTTGCCAGACTCAGCTAAGCCTCGGTCGCTAGACCCGTCGGTTACATGCCGGCTTGGAGTCGATCTTGGTGGAGGACTACCATAGTTAGTTACTCTCGCATTGACAGCAGAACTACGGAGTACGGCGGGCTCGGATCACATGTTCTTGCTAACACTAGTCCTTTATTGATTACCCAGTTACTACTCTTCTTGGAAAGATATTGCCTAGTTAACTAGTTAGAGGGCCTCGGCCACTGTTTTGTCATGACCTTCCATTTTAGAGCGTAGTGGGGGGTTGACATCTGAAGAAAGGAAAGAATGACGACGATGGGGCTGGCTAGTAGTCATCATCAGGCAATCTCGAATTCGGCATGGTTCAACAATTAAGCCCGCAGAGATTATTATTGAACAAGCACTGCACGGAGTAGACTATCTAGTATCTACCCCCTATCGCGTGCATATTGAGTTTGAAGAGCGGCCGGAAGGGTTAGCTGATCGGACAGCATGTGGAAAGCTAGGTCTAGGCAGGCTTATTCTCGTGAGAACTTCAGCTTGACCAGGTTCTAGACGCGGCGGGCGCCTACTCTACTGCGAGGTACCTAAGTATAACTCGACACTAAAATCAAGTGGCTTGAGGACATGAACGTGCGCTCCGTCTGCCTTGGGTATAGCTCTCTGCCGTGAGAGAGCACAGACGTCCCGCTGGGAACTTATGACTCCAGGTTTATCCACTCGGACAAGCCCAGCTAGGTCATGGATGGCTTCTGGAGGAGGAGGGGTCGCAGGATGATCCACTGAACATTTCTTTTTTCGATGAGATTGCCCCCAGATAACAACAGCCTTCTGCAGCGGAGTTCTTCCTGGAAAGATCGCATAGCCCGAGACTAGACGCACATACGGTCGTGGTGGTCAGTTTGTCACTGCTGTTGGGCCTTTCAGATTCAAGGCTTCTCTATTATTTATGCTAGCGACATCTGGTCGGTAGGGTTGATTGCTCTGGAATAGACGCCTTTGTAAGCTCGAGGCTTGGGACCAGCATTGTTAGCTGTTCCGTTCCCTCTTCCGGTGCATCTAGCACTTGATCCATGGATCCGAGTGATACCAGAATACGCTGGTGTTGCTACCCTACTCCGTACTCTAGAGCAGGTTCTGAGAAAGTGGGGTTTGAGCGGAGCCAAATAATACCCACCCCCAAATCGGTTTGATCACTTTAGAAATGATAGTGCTGACTGTTCTGTCCTTTGTATGTGCGTAGCCGTATGCATATCCGTCGTTGCCAGTTGGAAAGGAGTTCTTTCATCTCATCAACTCAATTCGCTAAATCGTGGTTGGCGGTGGACAGGCTCGTGTTATTGAGATGCGCCTAGTAGCCGGTCGCAGTTGCATCGACACTGAATGGAAGGCCATTCAAATTGCTGGTTATGTTTCGCATCCATCAACGCTCCGGAACTGCTACTGTAATACCTACCCACATTTTACGGACGTAGAAAGACTGGACCAGCGCGGTGGCTTCGATAAATGACGCAGAAGGACGGACTGTTGTTTGAAGAGAGCTATGAGGCTCAGAAAGCGTTCTTAAGTCTTACTGAATTTCAATGAACATGTGCTAAGCACAAATCTAACTCCACTACTCCGTACGTAGATCCGAGTTTGGCCAGGTGCACTCCGTACTCCGTACTTAGATTCCATGTCGCGGATCATGTCCTAGCCAGGGTCATCACGCTTGTCTTCAAGTTGTCAACGCTCAAAGTTCAGGGGTGATTCCGGGGTGGAAAGCTCGATCAAGAGGCATAACCCTGTATCCTGCGGCGCCCCGGATCCCTCCAAGCTTTAGAGCCCATGTCCGTGCCTGGCAGCGAACCTGAACTGAACTGACCTGAACTGAATCAAAACAACCGATCTCCAGTTACTTCACCATGAAGATTGATAACGGCACAGATGCGACGGTTTGTTGCCATTATTAATCACTGGAGAACTAGCATCATGCACTGTGAATCACAAGCCTTTGGCCGATTGACCTGTTTTCTCGCCAGGAGGTCCGACACATAACAGGCACAGCATGCTGCCCATACGATATTCGTCCGGAAGTCACGCAATCCCTGTGTACCGAGTCTTCGGGCATTTTCTCCAAACTCACCATTTATCGATTACTCCATTCAGGGTAAATCGCTTTCAACCTTGATTGTACGGAGTAGGCGCGTAGGAACAATCTTGTGGAGATCTTCGAATCCCAGATGGATGATGCCATGCCATGCCAGCTCAGATTAGTATACTCGATAGTCCAGCTTATCTGAGCCTAAAAGCCAATCGCCCCTGTGACTTGCCCAATAATCCTTGTTCGGGAGGCAGCGGGAGCCGCGCAGGAGCGCTGTTGCGGGAGCACCGAACAGGGGACGTTATTATTATTATTGTCAAAGACTCAAAGGCCAATCTGTCTTGACTGGACGGCCAATCAAGAAGCACCCAACCCGAGAGTTTCCGTTTTCTCATCTGCTCTCAATAAAATAACTAACTAAGCATGCCATAATATCATATCGTACGCAGGACATCGTCTCGAACGATGCAGTTTTCTGATTCGCGGTGTGGCCGCAGTGGGATACCTTCGCAACGGGCTGTTCTCCTCCGTGCTATCCCGTCCATGGAACATCGATGCAATCGAAGCAGATGGCGGAGCACTGTCGAGGGTTAGAGAAGCTTCGAACGAGCGATAGACGGTGCTGCGCGCCCTGCATCGATCACTGTGGTTGCCTGCCGGGGGTGTGACACCACCAATCGCGAGGGCGCCACACGCATGGCGGGAAATTGGGACCGGACGGGCTGATGCCAACGGTGCGACGTCCTCCTCGACTAGACCGGAGAGCTAACCCGATTCTGGAATTCCTCCATCCACCGTCGATGCTTCTTGCAGCTCCCAAGTTGCGATTCATGCCGCCTCCGGAATCCGTGGGATTATTGCGGCGCAGCTCGGAGCCGGCTGCTTGTTTTTTTTTTTTTTTTTTGTCCTACTAGGGGTGTTCAAGTCCAGATGGGAGAGAGTAGTAATTATGGGAGAGATGCAGCCTCTGTATTGCAGATACGCGTTGCAGATATGCGCCGCGTGCTTGGACGTTCTCCCTTTTTCCCTCCCCTGACAGGTGCCTGGATGTCCGTCCTGAGGCTGTGATGGGTGATCTGTTTCGATTGCGGAAGAACTCGTGTGTTACCACTTGGACTATACGGAGTACGCCGAATCATAATCTCCAGACATAGGGCGCCATATGACGACAGATGCCTCGTTAAGCTCTGGCAAGATGATTCTGGTATCTAGTATTATTATTCTGTTCAACTTGCTGCTGTTCGGTCTTTCTTCGAGGACTATCAGCATCCAACGCCAAGAAACCACGGAAAGCCAATGTCTGCATGGCACAGGGGCGGCGGTGGGGAATCAGCTCGCTCGTCCACGGCTTCAACGTCTGATGGGATTGGAACCACCCGAAAGCCTCGATCGCGGAAGGCGGATGTGCGTTGCGATTGGGCCGCTAGACGGCTACTGGCCAGCGCTGAGAGAAAAGAGGGGCCAATGTCCGTCGCGGCGGCGGCCAGAGGGGATCACCGCGATCGATCAGCCGCTGCGCTCTCATGGGCTGGGGTTAGTTAGTTAGTTAGTTAGTTACACGGACGTTCGAGGGGGGAAAAGCAGCACACGGTCAGGCCGTTTAGGCTGTTTCGAGTTTATTTAACGGGGCTAAGGAGGGTGGGTAGGGTGACGGTCGGGGGGTTCTCTGGCGTTCTGGGCGTGGTTGGTGGAGCGCAGTGGTGAAGCCCCATACGACGCGCGCTCAATGCCCTCAATAATGTCGTCTTTTCGGGGCGTGTGGCGCCCGTGGAAACAAGGCTGACAGTTGCAGTCAGATCGCTCGTCTGGACTTCGTTCCGGCAACATACCCGGATGGGAGAATTTGGCCATTGGAGCATTGCCCATGCGAGGTGGGCGGCCGATGGTGGCAGGATGGACGATCATGGTCGATACGGAACGACGGGGCTCACGGATCAAGTGGAGGCCGCGAGCTGTCAGGGCATGGCGCCGTATCGACCGAGCTATGGTACACATACAAAAATCTCCTGGGCAAAGAATAATAATAATACCCCCCGTCAGATGTCAACAACCACCTGCACGATGGTCATTCTTTATCTATCAAGATCCAGATCCCGATATCCATCGAGCCAGTGATGCAGCAACGGACTGTTCCAGAAAAAAAAGGGGGGGGAGAGGGAGAGGAGGAGGAGGAGCAAAAGACGACATCCACCACCTCCATCGTTTCCCCAAAGGGTAATTAGTTAGCATCTTCTGTAGTAAGTTGGTAATACCATCGTGAACACTTCGAGGGGATAGCTCAACAAGACGGTCCAATCTGTCCTGTTAAACGATTCCCACCTAGTTAGTAAGTAGGTGTTGGTTGCGTGAGAAAGGTCAAGAATGCTTCCCAACAGCTTCGATGACAGCAGCCGTTCCTAATAGACACACACACCAGCACGAGACAGTTAATAATAATACCAAGTCTGCCGCGTGGTCTGGAAGCGTAATTTGATACTACTAACTACTAAAACTCATAGTGGAGGCCTGTGTCTAGTGCAAAGTCGTCTTCTGGAGCTCTACTCCGGACTTAGTCCAAAGAGACTTTCTTGGACCTGTCGCAGACATTATTATTATTATTCATTCAGCAAACGTTCCTGAACTCTCCGTGGCCCTTGTAAATGTCTCGATCGAACTATCTATCATAATCCAACGGTCTTCCCTGTCTAACGTCTTTGATGCCCCTTCGTTTCCTGATCCCCTTCTCTGGTGGACGATCTGACCGAAATCTTCATCCGTCTGCTATCCTCCACTAGTTCAACGGCCCTGGTCGGTGCTGGTCTGGTCAAATCCATCAGGACGCAACTCAGTCGACCTGAAGGTCCTGAACGCCTCTCGTCTCTCCTTTCCACGCACCGTCGCGCTGCACGCTGCACATCATCTTTTTCTGGCGTTCATTCCGCCGCAGCTGTCTTCATTTCTCGAGTCCAGTCCCCCCGTCGTGCATGCTGCATCCTACCATCCATTTCGGATCCTTGTCAATATTACACTACTTCTCCCGCTAGTTACAAGTTCCCTCTGGAATAACCCCACCGGTCTGCGACTCCCTCCTAGCATTCTCGTTGCTTGCCTGCCGTCCTCCTGTCCCAATAATTTCCAATCGCCGCCATCCGCATCGGGTTCGCGTTGCTGGTATCTTCTTCAAGCGGGCATCAAGCCTGTCGCTGGGTCTTTGAACACCTAAATAACTACCCTGGACCCTCCACTGGCACTCGCATCGCACCGTCAACCATCACGCCCCATCCGAAGCTTCCCCTACCCCTCTTCCAGGGCTCACCCCCAATGCCTAGCTTCCACTCTCTGCTAGTCGTCGAGCTTTTCCTAGTCGTCTCAGCCTCTCGCGGGCATTGAACCCGCTTAGCCTCCTGGCGTGAGCGTTGCCACTCCCTCGAGCCCCGTCACAGGTGCTCGAGCTTTCTTCTATCAAGCAAAAAGACGTTTACTACTTCCGGGCCATTCGTGGTATCCGAAGGGCCTTTGAAAGGCTCTCGCGATTCTGTCAATCAAGAGAACCAAATTGCTGTCCAGCAGTCATGACCGCAATGGTCCAGACCGATCTGGGTCCTCCCCCAACTGCCAAGTATAAGGATGACTCGGCCGACGATCCTGTAAGTGCCATTATTATTATCTATTGCCTTTGATCGTCCGTTGTTGGAAAAGAGCACGTTCGCCCCATCCTCCGCGTTGCTACGAACACCGCCCCCCAAAACCATTCAAGACCAACAATACCGAACCACCAGTCAAGAAAGGCACAGAGTATAGCATATATCATATGTTATATTTACGTCGATCTCTTGGTTGTTGACGAGAATTACTTTGGTATTGTTTCTATTCGTTTATTGTTTTTTTCTCTTTTTTGCGCGTCACAATCTTCGCGTGTTGCGTATGTTGTGCCCTTGTCCCTGCCACTGTTGCCCCTGCTTCAACACGACCACGAACAATACCCCGGCAGCTTGCTCAGTACAATGTCTTCTTTTACACAGTTCTTCTTGAGAATTGTCCTTTTGAGCTTCCATACAGTCAGCGCTTGATCTTGCATCATTGTCAGTGGCCGGTATCTTCGTATGATTTACCGGTTGCCTGTTCGTCCTGTGCTACAAGAAGCCCATTGAAAGCCCATTCACAAGCCTCTGGTTTATGTGCGCGCTGGTGTCACCTGGGTTGGATTTGACTGAGGTATGGGGGCCATAAGAGGCCCGGAGTCGAATCGACTGCCTTCTGTTGGTCACTGCCACGGCGAATCGCACATCTGTCCTTTGGAATCCGCGCTTTCAAGGCCATGTATTCTGCATATATGGTGCATGAAACGCAATTGGAGGTTCCACGTGCAGATCCAGTCCAGGTGTATACGAGCCATCAGCACGGAGAGGCCACCACTCTCCTGTACAACGTTCCTCCCTCCTTCAAGAGTGTCGTTGCATCGTGACCTGTTCCATGAGCACGGTGCGAGTACAGACAATGACATCTTCGGAGATACCCCTGTTGCCGTCGCTTATTCTACGCTCTCGATTGGGCCGTTGGGGCGCACCCTTTAGATATAATTGGATCTATTGCTATTTCAGCACTTGTTTCTCTCCGAAAAGGACCACAGCGGTTTCTCTTTCTGGGGAGAGTCTGTCTCCCTTGAACTTACATCGGATTCGCCAGCGGAATGAACCTGAAAAAAAAATATTACCTATGATGACTGGGGAACAAATTGGGCGTTACCTAAATTACTGTTCTTCTGGTCCATATCAGGCACTTTGTGCTGATTTTCATGCACAATTGTTTGAAAGGGGCTGCCAGGACACAGACTTTTTTTAACTATTTCCTTTTGAGAGATTCTATTTGCCATAAAACATTTTCAGTCATTTCCCCTTCACATGGATATCAATCGGCCATAATCAGTGAACAGTATGTGGATTGGTCTTGAGGCTGACAATGTCCGTCCATCTATAGCTTCGTCGCCAGAACTCGGGCCATCAAATTCCCCCGCATCACGCTCTGCAACATCCTAGACCGACAAGTCTTGCGCAACACCAGAAGCAACGACCGAACTCTCCGCATCAACCAAATAGCTCCATACCGTCGGGAACATATGCGACTGCGCATGGTCTAGGGAACGGTGTACCGTTGCAACATCAAACTCCATACGGACAACCTACGCAAGAACCAACCTATTATACTACGCATCCTAGTCACTATACCTCGACAAGCGCTCCTGGACAATACCCCTCAAGCGGTAAGTTTGCTCTTTCTGATACTCAAAAATGGCAGGGTAGCATGGAAAGTGTTGAGTTGGGCAGACGCCTTGTTGCGAGGCATGTAGATGCGCTGGTTATATTGCTTAACTTCCTTTGGATGGAGGAATATTAGGGATCTGATACTTGGGTTGCAGGTACTGACGCGCTCTAGGGCCTCCTGATCTGATGGCAGCTACCGCACAAATGCAGAGGCCCTATCCTCCAATCTACCATACACCCCAGTCTAACTCCCCGGCATCCGTGGCGTCACAAACACACGATCAGCATGGAAGGAATTTGTATACGCAATCGCCGCAAATGCCCTCGCAGATGTATGGTTATCAGCCGTATTCCTCGATGAACTCGGTGCACCCGTCGCCTTATGCACCACACCCGGCGTCTCAACAGCATGCCCTCACATCGCAGTCGCTGATGATCCCGCATCAGACAGGCGCTGCTCAAATGCACCCGCAGCCACAGGGACATCCAGCTGCTATGACCACCAACAGCCCGCAGCAACTGAAACTGGACTCTATACCGTCTCAGGCTACGCCGCCTCAAAGGACGCCCATCAACCCGCCTCACTCGACGCCCGCGACGGGACAAGTTCCTCAGAACAACGTACATGCAAACGGAGCTGCAGCGGCGAATCCCAATGCGGCACCAGGCCCGATCCCAGCCACGACTCCCCTTGTTGTGCGACAGGATAGCAATGGAGTGCAGTGGATTGCCTTTGAGTATTCACGTGACCGCGTCAAGATGGAATATACCATCCGCTGTGACGTAGAATCTGTGAACGTGGACAATCTTAGTCAAGAGTTCAAGACAGAGAACTGCGTCTATCCTCGAGCTTGCTGCAGCAAGGACCAGTACAGAGGCAACCGATTGGTCTACGAGACCGAATGCAATGCCGTTGGATGGGCGCTGGCCGAGCTGAACCCCCCACTGCGAGGTAAACGAGGATTGATCCAACGAGCGGTCGACAGTTGGAGAAATAGCAATCAAGACCCTCGACTTCGCAGTCGCCGAGTGAGGAGGTTGGCAAAGATAAACAGGAGGCAAACTGTTCAATCGCCGCAGCCTAGCCATATTGCTGCCCCAACTAGCGCTCTTCCAGGAGTTCCTGGACCTGGCCTTACAGCGCCAGGACCACGGCCACCCCCTGGGTCTATGTCGCTAGGCGGCGGGCAACTACACCATCACCACGCTCACCATGATGGGAGCACAGGTAACGAGGAAGTCAGCGGTATGTTCCACCAGATGTGATGCGTTTCGTTTTGAGACTTGTCAATACTTTTATGGTGGAGAGTGTGATGATCGCCATGTATTATTTGTTCTGTAAAGACGGGTTAAGGATACCTCTGATGAGGTTGGAATTTGTCTGCTGGGATCTGTGTTTACTTGTCGGAGTCGGGTCCTATCTTGTTCCTTTTCCTTGTGTTTTTCACCTCCCATGCCCTTCTCGGTTTTCTTTTCCTGTTTCCCTCCTGGATATCACATGGTACCCTGTTGCGCGCCTGCCCCTCCTTTACGAGATGCCACAAAAGCGTAGGCTAATTCCACATCCCTAATATCCCGCGGAATATAGGCGGCACTGGATATACGAACGGTACTCATCGTTCGTCTGATGCTACAAGTGGCCACCAGCCGCCTGGACATGGGACGACAGACCTCCGGACTGGTCAGATTTTCCACGGTTTCCCAATGTACCCCCCTTCTGCCAGTGCTTCAGGGGCACCAGGTGGGCCTTCAATGCCTCCCCTCCAGGCCAGCAGCATGGGATCCTTTAGTCGCCACGGGACTATCGCGACATCTTCCAACAGACGCGAGGAGGACGACAACGACGATGACGAGCGCAATCCAGATAATGCCGCGCTCTTCGGCGACCTCCCCCAGGGCAAGCGTCGAAAGTTTATTCTGGTGGATGATTCGCAGCGCGGCTGTCGCGTCCGTGTCAAAGTCATGCTTGACCAAGTGGACATGAACGAGATCCCGGATTCTTACCGTCAGTCCAATTCGGTCTATCCGAGGACCTATTTTCCCGTGCAGATGAAGAGTCCACCCGGTCGCGTCGTCCCAGGGAAGAGATACTTCGACGATGACGATGAAGAAGATGATGATGGCAGCACTGCGACTGTGGGAAGGACGTTGGTGCCGGCACCATCCATCGACGGGGAGACCGACATTGCGGTTCCAAAGCTGTCGAGGAGCAAGCACAACAAGGAGATCCTGTTGAATGACCTTGGGTATCGCATGAGCTGGAGTCAGAGCAGAGTATTTGCGGGAAGGACATTATTCCTCCAGAGATCCCGTAGGTTGACTTCTCCCACCCGTCATCCCTCCGTGCGCAGAGGCTAACTCGGTGGTATCTTATAGTTGATGCCTACCGTAACAAGATGCGTAACACAATGCTGAATGCCGGCCAAGAAACTACGTCCATCGCTCCACATTTTGAGACGCGGATCGGGAAGAGGAAATTCCTTGAGCGGTCCAGGAAGAAATCTAGTCTGAGTGCGGCAACGGCTGCGGTGGCTACGTCTGCGTCTCAACGCAGTGCGGAAGAAGTAGAAGGCTGAGGCCTGGCTTTGGAGTACTCCTGAAGTGCCCGTCGATGGCTGTGGCCAATTGAGCATGCTACCGTCGCAAGTCAGGAGACTGTGTACCAAATTTTCTTTTGTTTTACCTCTTCTCCTTTGTTTCTCCTTATTGGCCCCCTTTTACCATTCCACGGTGCCCTTAAGATACCACTTCTTCCGTCTTTACCGATTGTTTCCCTTACAGTTCGTGTTATTATTGACTTGGATGTACAATATCTGTCCTTACCGTTTATACCCTCTTGTGTTCGATTTTGTATGATGTTTTTTTCATGTGCGATTAGACCCCTCTGGCTTTGGGGGGTTATTGGTGGGGAAATTGACAGGATGCGGCTGGAGACAGCAAAAGTTCGGAAGGATTGATGGGCCGGAGTGAGATATACGAGGGAGGCCAACATGCGAGGCAGCATAATGGGTCTGTTCCTTTGGCGTGATGGATGGGATAGCAGCACCTTGTTCTTCTCGGGTCGCATGGACATGTTTGTATCGATGGCATTGACGGATATGGCATTGTACATGGAATGGGAGTCAGCGGTGGATGGAAACCACCTGTTCGGGATTCAAGGGCGAAATGGTCAGATTACTACAGGACTCTTCGGTTCTCTGTTTCTTTAGTTGTTACTATTTATTATTATGCGAGAAAGAGAAGGAGGGTGGTTTGGTGGAAGAAAGCGAGTTGAAGTTCGGTGTGGAGAAGGCCGATATTGAAAAAGAAAAGAATTCGATGAGAGAGGGCAGGTTGTCTGGTCTCTCTTCGCTGGCGTGTATGTGTTATCAGTGAGATTGTAACTAGCGAGCGTGAATGCAGAGACGGTGAATTCGGCTCGTTGACTGACTTGCAGCTGTAGTCTTTACCATACTCAGTTGCTTTGGGGTTTTCGAGATTCTTCTAGTTATCTACAGTATTACATACCATACAGTACCTTGCCGTTTACGATTTCCGCTCTCGGCCACCCGATCAGTCCTATGGTACGCGCAAAACAGGCAAGAGACAGACTTGATGCTCTGTAATCTGCTGGACACTCTTAATTGGGAAGTGGATGTGCAGAGACTAGAGTAGCGAAAATTGTAGTAGTGTGTTCTTACTCTTGACTCTTGAGTCTTGACAGCGGTGGAACCTGTTAGACTGGTGCAGTGGTGGGGTCCTGCATGAGATAAAGATAGCAGTCAGTGAGTAACCAACTAACTTGCTTGCTTAGAACACTTGGTTGATTAATTAGAGACTAGAGTAGTTACAATACTCTCTTGTTATATGATCATACTGATAAGAAAAAAAAAAGAAGCTTATCCTATTAGATCCTCTTCTAAGCACAGACGAAACCCAGCATGTATGTATGTATGTACATTCGTCGAGATCTATGTAGCACAGAGTACCATAATTTAATTACTCTGTAATTAGTAGTTACCTATGTAATAATCCTTCTAGTAATAATATACCAATAAATACCAACCAGCAGCGGGCTGAGGTCAGTGGCTTTGCCTAGGTTTTCCTGTCTCTGTGCGATGGTCATGGCATGGTTTTCTGGTCCCGAAAAGCCACAGGAAGCACAGCGAAGCGACCCGAAGCCGGTCGGCCGGGAGCGGACTGAGGCACGTGCGAGGCGCCGGCCTTGGGCATTTATTTATATTTTATTTATTGTGATTATTGTTATTATTATTATTTTTATTTATATTTATACTTCAATTTATTATTTTAGTAAAGAGAAAGTGCGACAGAAAGCTTTGTTTTTCCTTCCAGATAACTAAATCCAGTTCAGAATTTCAGATCCACGAAGAGGAATAATAATAATAATGATCACAATATCTTGTCTTACTATCTATCTAACTACTTTAGTTACTGGCGAATAACTCACCAGTTCCCAGTTACTAACTTTAGCTGACGAGCTAAGCCACTAGTTCTCGCCATAGCTCCCATGCGATAACTATCTACCATATTATTATTATTATGATCTTTCTCCTATCCGATTCCCTGGCAAAACACAGACCAACAAAGGCTTGGTTGAGGTTCAGCCCCATCCGCGTCCCTGGCAAAAAAGCCGGATGCAGAGAAGCCATCCCAGCTCGTCGTCAACACTCGTTTCTCTTCTCTTCTTTGGACCTTCTTCTTTTTTTTTTTTCTTCTTTCGTTTCTTTTTTAGTCTTTTCCCTGCTTTTTCCAATTCCTAGAAGTAATTAACTTACTTACTCTTGGGGGTCGATCATCTCTCCTCTCCATTTTGAGTCTAGAGTCGAGGATCCCCCGGTGGTGTTTTTCCCCCGCACCTCTTTCGAAACGCGATCTTCACGGCAGCAAGACGGTGGCAGGGAATTTGTCGCAGACAGACACATCGGGTTGATGCACTCCAGCCGCCATCAATCGCACTGACACCTTCCTGCTCGCGCTCGCCATAGATAGGGCCAGCTGATAGTCACTGTCCCTGCTTGATAAACTAGTCGACCCGGCAACCTTTCTTCTTCTGAACTCTCTCCTACGTCCCCGACCGTGTAACTTCGCGCTTCAACAGGGGATATTCTCTTTTTGCTCTTCCCCCCCCCCCCCAGCTAGATAAGACCACAACGCGGATTCAATCAACGACACATTTGGGCGCTGAAGGTGAGCTGTCACCGTCGTGGCATCGAGCTGAACTCCGTCCGGATCGGCGATCCAGATAGCCCTTTTTGAATGAGACAGCCCACGCTGCAGGCACGCATTCCCGAAGGGGAGAAAAAAGAAAGGACTGTCATCCTGCCTTGCATACCTCCGCGGAATCATTATTTGTGATAAATAAAGCGCTCGGCCGTCGTCGTCAACAGGCATGTCCGGTACCCACCGGTCATTCAGTTTCGAACCTGGGGAGGAACGGTTCCAGAGCAACCAGGCCGCTGAAGCGCCCCAGGGGACCGATGATGCTCTCACGGCCGCCCCCATCGTTGGGAATGCGTCTGCCGTGCCTCCTGCACCGCCTCCTCACGGCGAGCCAGCCTTGCAGTCAGCTCGACAATTGGCACACTCGCCCTCGGTGCGGACAAACACGACGGTGACGCCGGGGATGGACAACCTGGGGGCCACAGCTGCAGGCGGTGGTATCAGTGGAATCGCCCTGGGAGTCGCTGGCAATAACGAACGTCAAAGTGGTCTCGAGGCCACGAAAGAGATACAGAGTCCGGTGAACGGTCGGTGGATTGGGCCGGCCGAACGAAGCCAAAACAACAACATCAACAATAACAACAACACCATCATCAACACCAACATCAACGCCAACACAGCATCAGATACACCATATGTTCCATCAACACCCAGTTGCCCCAGTCACGATTCGCTCGGACCGCTACGACCACGGGACTCCTACGCCTCCAATTATTCTCCCCTAGGGGCAGCCGCTATGCCGGCAGGACATGTCAGTCCTGCAGGTAGCACGCCGCATCTCACACCAACGACGAATCCCTCCCAACGGAGTCTGATCGATCATTACCCATCATATCCGAGTACAGGAAGCTGGTACGATGGTCCTTATCAGAGACAGTCGGCTTACGGTGCCGCTGTCAACCCGATGATGATCAACGCCGAGGAGATTGCGGATGATGGCGATGACGACATTTTCCGAACGCCTCAACGGAAATCGATGCTGCCCCTGGGTTTTCGATCCAGCGAAGCCTTGCCCGCTGAAACTAATGGCACGGCAGGAGGAGGCATGGCGGGCGCATTCGGAAAAAAGGCGCAGCGATCTGGCGCTTCCAACGGATCACCATATGGCCAAGTTTCCGGGCTTGAAGTCGGCTATAAGAGCGAGTATGCCCGAGGACGGGGTGATGGAAACCGAAAGAAAGGATGGATTGTCGGTGTTGTCCTCGGTATCATCATTATTGGAGCCATTGTCGGGGGTGCCGTGGGTGGTGTCTACGGCAACCGAAAAGACAGCAAGACAGACGTCAACGGCGGTGATAGCGAAACAACATAGACCACGGTCGATATTGAAACGTCCGACCTGGTGATTCAAGAGTTACCTGAGTTCGCAGTATTTGATGACTGGTGGAAGATCTAGTATGGCCCGTGAGGAATTGGGGGCAAGTGAGATCTGATGGTCTCGCTATGCTACTGGAAACCCGGTCCAGATCTTGCTACAGGTATAAGAGGACCGCGATTTACGGCTCGGCGCGTTGAGTTCGAGTTTCTATCTTTGGTGCATCTCCAGCGAGCATGACCGATGCATGCTTCTCCTCCCACAAGCATGCATCTTGACGGCGGTTGATGATATATTTCTCCTTTCATTTCACCTCCCTTATCCCGCACTCCTGTCTGTCACCGTTTCTCTGATGATGGTTATAATGGATGGCTGCGGTAGACTCATCTCCTTTTCTACGGCTGTGTGTGATACGACTCTTTTTTTACTTCAGCGAGTTTTTCATCATCAGGTAGTGGATGCCTGGCGCATACGGTGTGATTGACAAACACTAATGGTTTCGTTTTCCTATGGATCTCTTTACTTATTGTTTTGACGACATGGGCATCTGTGACTGATTCCTCGGTTCGGGAAGAACCGAATGCAAGAATAGTTATCGGGAGTGGTGTTTTTCTTCTGGTCCCTCACTTCTGATCGAAGACTCCGAGATTTTGGTAGATAATACATGAGATACCAGAAACGGAGCAAGACAGGAAGATACATAGGAACCAATGAAGGGGTATTATAATGCATAACTAGCTGCTACGTAGTATATAGCTGGAATCGACCCTTATGCGGGCTATTGTCTATCTATCTCTGTAAAGAAATCTGGGGGGAGATATCATTGAAGATAAAGCGAGACTTGACGATCTGGTATTATTGCAGCGGGGTTTTTGGTGTATTGGTTAACTTTGACTTTTAGGTACTCTTTTTTTGTGCGGATGGATTATGTATGTCTGAAGGGTGAGATCTGGCTGGTCTTCGACAGGTTTTCACCCGGTACAGAGATTGATAGATATATGTAATAAACCTTGATTCCGTAGTAAACTGGCACTTTACTTGGAAAAGAGTCAGACATCCTTATATCGAAGCATATCCCAAAGTTATCAAGCTACTTTATCTTTCTGTCTTATGTATAACTGTATATCTTCTACAAAGCAGGATAATCAATAAATCTGATTCTATCGTCCACTCTAGGATTAACAACTGGCAATCCATCCGAATCATTCCTTCCAATAATTATACTCTTCCTAGCCCTCTCAACGCCCTTGACATGATGGTCATTTCTCGATCGATCTCCATCCGATTCCTCTTCGCCATGTCCAAATATCCGAAGCATCAGACTCGTATCTGTCATGGCAGCCTCCTCATTCACTATCGTCTCTTCTTCCGGAAACATCGTATACCCATCATAACCACGAGCAATAAATCCCGCAAGAGCGACTGTGTACATGCGAGAAGGATCGATTTTCTCTAGCTTTGTTGTTGTTGTTGTTGTCCCGGGTCCTTCGATGAATAAGAAGATATCTATGACGCGCTCACCGGCTTTCTTTTTCCATGTGGCTACTATACGCAGGCCTGAGACTTGGAGGAAACGGCCGTCCATGTGCATGTCCCCGAGGGAGTTCTCTATGGCGTGGTATAGAACTCTGCCGCTGGTTCGTTTCACAATGAGGGCGTTGTCGAATGGACAGATATCTGTGTTGTTAGTCTCTAGTCTTCGTTACTGAGCCATCTGGCCCGGGGTGTATTACCGATAATATCTCTCACTCGCAATGGTCTACCTCCTGGTAATGATGAATCGAGTAGACGATCGCATCTGATCGCGCCACTGTTGAAGAAGGCTATATCTGTATCGTAGAATCCACGTACTGCATCCGCAATCATATTGCCTAGATTGGTTTCCTGTCTTCGAACAATTGAACTGCGACCCTCGAGAGGGGTGTATGTATGCACCAAAGGCGACTGGACTAGTGAATCCACGCGATTGTGAATGGATTCCAGAACCTCACTGATTTGTGGTGGGAATGTCTCGGGGGCTGGGATAGCTGCCTCGATGTCGGTGTACTGACTCACTGCGGTCTGTTAGTACAGTAGGTATAAGCCATAGTTAACTAATGGTCATTGACTAAGGTACCTAAGGTAGGTATACTTACGCTCCACATGAGAGACACTCGCAACTCCCTTATCATCCTTCTGTCCAACCACTCGCACTAACGACAAGCCTCTCCAGTCTGTTCCGCTTTTAATGATCCTGATATTCCCCTCGGTATAATTAACCAATCCATTAATAACAATATCTGTATTGTCGCGACCCTGCTCAATATTCTCTGGATTTGAATCTGTATCGCCGACATATCGTCGAATAACCTCATGATCGTGACCGCCGAAGAATAAATCTACTTTACCGTCTCCAGAGGCTGTCATGTCTGCTACCTCCATGTCCTCGGCCAGACGCATGTGGGTTAGGGCAATAATCAGATCGCATCCCTTATTTACGCGGAGATGGCGCGATATTCGTTTGGCTACCTCTGCGGGTGACGCGATGGTTGATGGAGGAAGATTCTCGCAGTTGGATGGCCAGTCTCTGTTACTTATTAGCGAGCTGTCGTCACCTTCAGAACTGGATATTGGTGTTTTTTTTTTTTTTTTTTTTTTTTTTTTTTTTTTGAAGGACGGTTTGTTTCGTATCACATACGTTCCTGCCAGTCCGAAGAATCCAACACGAACCCCATTAACCTCCCTAATCACATACTCTTCTGCACAACCAAGGAGCCCTCCTGTTTCGTGAAACGCGTTCGAAAGCACCCAAGGAAAATCAACTCCATCCGAAAGATGCCTCAGTCTCGCGTCACCAAAGTCGAAATCTAGCCCCATCAGCAATAGGTACTTCAGTGAAATCCGCGTTTGCTAAGAAAGAACGATCAGACCATGATTCCCATAACATGCTATATCGACGTTCACAAAATCAAGCACCGGTCCCATATGCTCGCCCTTCAAAACACTTGCTTCAAGCGATGGGGAGAAGCCATCGCCGCTAAAGACTGTTAGGCCATTATCGCCAGTGATTTCTTTTTTGAGGAAGGATTTTTGTAAGTGTAAAAAACGCGAGAGTAGATCCGCTGATGGAACGTGATACTGCCAGATAGGTATGAGTTTGGTTGAATGTGTAGGGTTAGGGTTCGGTTTTGACTCTGAAGTATGTACTTACGACGTCGTTGAAATGAGCGAAGCGTAGCTCGAACTGCATTGTGTGTATCTGCTTTCCTTTGTTGAGAGCAGGTAGGTAGGTGAAGTGGATGGTGGTGGTTAAGTTATAAAGTGATTATGGGTTGTGCTAGGTACTGTACAGATGTGGGGTCAGCCAAGGTATGTATGCTGACGAGGAATGCAAGTAGTGTATGAAGCTACCTAATTTCTCGACAGTCATATATAGGTGAGACAGGCAGCAAGGGAGCTCCAATGTCAATCGGTCCAATTCGAAATAACAGTCAGCAGCGAGCAGTCAGGAAGCAGATTGATCGGTCACCAAGCCATCGAGAGTGTGGAGCCAATACTTGAGCAACGTCACGTCGATCTACAGTACATACATACAGGGCATCCAATGCCGCAGTAAACCAGATCGCACTACCATCTAGATTCCAACCCTGCTAGGTGCTTGACTGAGGCATAATAGTACTACCTTGGTAATGTATGTACGTACATTAGTTCGTATCAAATAAATGCAGATTCAAAATTGTCCCGATCTAGATCTCCTCCGTAGATCAGTGGCGGGGGATTCTGGAGCCAACCGATCCATCCCTGACGGTGGCTCGTGAAACATCCACGTTAGTGCTAGTGATGGAAACACTTAATAATTATTGGCTTGCCCCGGGTTGTGAGCTGAGAGATCGTCGTTCACGATCGAAGCCCTACCTATCTGCCCACATGCTATGTAATATATGCATATCCTGATTGTTATCAAAGCTCCTGAAACCTAAAGTTTCCAGAGACGGCTACTACTAAACCGAAAATAGCGAACATATATTGAGATCAAATGGAAAACATTACGTCTTGACTTGGCAAAGTAACCATCTGACTGTAGACCAAGGAAATCTCCCATCGAATTATGCGCATATACTGTCGAGGCACGGAGTCATTCCTATTTATACTCACTATTCTTCCATATAACCTAGTGGATAATTACGATATGGTGGCATTGATTCTTCTTGAATTACTTGAGATGCTTCCTAGGCGATGCTAACAAATCCTCCGCGGCCATTATCATGCAGACAGTTCTTGGGCCAGATAGTCGTCCAAATGCTTTTAACATTGCGCTGAGATTTCTTCGAGGCGCTAGAGGATGATAATAGAATGCTTCATCCTCTAGGATCGAGCTCCAAGCTATTGACAAGGGGCAAGCACAACTGATAGCATAGATGGGTGCACTAGCTCTGGAATGCATGAGCATAGAGAATAGTGGGTCCACTTCAAAGTATCGCTGAGTAGCTTTCTTTTGATTTCTTTGTTTTTTCGGAATGATGTTGGGCGAGCCGAGTAAACATGAGTGGTAGGTCTCTGTCACTCCTGATAATATGGGCCAGCACCGACTACCTCTGTCGACTCGGAACGGCTGTAGAACAGATGCATCCTGGTATGAACAGCAGTTGATCGCCCATTACGCCCGGAATCCGATTTTCCGGGATCTCCAGTCAGTACTTCTGGGACCGACAACTAGACCCCCAACCGTCGTCAGCAGGATCACCTAGATATGATGGCATCACTGTCCCACTTCATTGACGGGCAACCGAGGCGACTTTCTTCCAAGGGAGATGGCCAGGAAGTGCATAACTTTCGATTAGGGAACAGCACATTGGACCGCAGAAACCTAACCTCGAGATGAGCTGCGTCCATGATCAATTGTCCTCGTCTTTCCAATACAAGCGCATATTCCAGAAAGCATGCTCATTAGGCTCAAATGCAGGCAATTGCAACGAGCTCCGTGTCTGAACATAGGATGCTAGGACTTCTTGCTCCGGAGAGAGATTGTCAAGGGGCCCTCCGAATAGAATAGCGGGATTTGATGCAAGTATACGGTCCAGATGAGCTCTCTCGGCTCCAGGACAGTATAAAAAGGTGCCCTCGTTAACCAGCTCGAAAGCTTTCGGGTCTTCGACCACGGTAATTCCAAGGGACTGCAAGAGCTCCTTATCAAAGTCATTGAAGACGGGGTCTTGGGCAAAGACTTGCACAGCAGCAGACTGTGTATCAAGAGTTTCTGTGGTAGATTGCTGTCAGAATAGCAAGGCGATTGCAAACTTACGGAGGACATACCAAAGAGCCCAGCAATGGCAGCTAGAGTCGCCAGCTGATACAATGATACGCTTCTGCGGTCCACCCATCCACCGCGAAGAAAACCGCTAGGACTACCGAGACCTATGCAGACGATATTGTCTATATTCTTCATGGATTGTGAAAGTCGCTCCCGTAGTACATGGTTGAGAGTCTCATTCGTTGACGACTCGTCCCACTTCTGCCTATGCGCCTCGTACTGCTTTTTCAATTCTCCAATAGTCAGCCGAGATGGCGGTTCCGCTGGAAGTAATTCCCCTTCAGCCGTCTTGACAGCCCTTCTCGGGACATTTCCGCCCTTAGTAACATGAGTCCAGCCATCGTCATCGGCGATCTCCAGGCGCTTCTGCGCAGTGGCTTTTTTCTTCCGCGAGGTGTGCGGCATGATGCGACAGAGAGTACCTAGATTGGTCGTAATCGCGACTTGTCTAGGGGTACGAATATCTTGAGGGCACTGGTCCCTGGAGAATCCTCAGTTACTCATTATTGCGGAACATTTTTAGCAGTGCGACGAAATCTGCTCGATGGGATCTCGGCGGTTATACGGCAGACGGTTGGCCAGAGTCTCAGCCAATCAGCGCGAGCCGTGCCCTGTATTTGGAACGGAGGACAAGAGTGACAACAAGCATCAAAGAATTGCATATATTTTACATACTTAAACCTGATACATTGAGATAGATCATGGCTATCACTGTCTTTGTTTCGGTATCGAGATTCGGGAAAGTCTCTTCTGTCCATTGATTAAATCGCATGTCTGGATTCTCAGCTGTTGTCTCTGAAAGTTCCATTAAGATGGCACCCCATCTTTCATCGTTAACACAAGTTACTTATTAGTCCAGACGGGACAGGACCGAAGAATGTGATTAATCGGCTCATGATCTCCAGCTCAGGCTCAATTCCAGCTTCCTTCAGCTCTCTAAAATCTGGGTGTAGTGTTTCGATACCTGTTATCACATAGAGACACTGAAACAACTTTAAGCAACAACCTTTTAACCTGGCAAATTGGCAATAGTTCAACTTACAAGAAGTCCATAAGAGAATAATCCTGAAGGTTTCCCAATACCTTTTCCAACTTGCGCCTCTGGGCTGCGCCACATAACATTACCTATCCTAGCATTGAGAAGCTTTCCGCCTTCCAATTGCAAAGAACAGTCAAGATAGGTAGTTAGTTAGTTATTAGCTAGTTTTACTAAGCAAGCTTTTCACCGCTCCCTTCAGTTAATTAATTATTAAGTTCAGGGGTTGTCGATCTGAAACAGCATAATATTAATCTACGCCGGCAGCCTTTCTTATCCTCTACATTCCATCTACGTTATATTATCTGACCCGGTCAAAGTTCTGTTACTAACGGGCTGCTGCTAGGTTCCACGAAGTTACTCTGTCTAGCCGGCTTTTCTTTTCACTTACCATCTATCTATATCCCACTTCCTCAGATGCCGCCACAGACGACATCGTCACTCAAGACATATTTTGACGAGTTACAAGAGACCAACGGTGATGATGAATGCAGGGCTTGGTTAAATAAAGCTTTTGACTCAAGGGCTGAATTAGCAATCTTTGTTGCTAGTCGCCGAGCCGGAGTGGGAACTGGAAAGTATGTGGGTTTTCTTAAGGGTTCCTTCAACTTCAGCTTCCGCTTCAGCTTCAGCGATGGAGGGCCGGACGCTATTATTCGATTCCCCAAACCGGGACACACGGCTACAGCTTATAGGGACGAAAAGGTTACAAACGAGGTCCAGATCATGGAATACCTTCGCCAAAACACTGATATTCCTGTCCCTCGCATTCACAGCTGGGGCTTAATTGCTGAGAGCCCACAACAACTTGGTCCATTTATTATCATGGATTATGTTGATGGAGAGCTTTTGTCGACTATCTTAAAGCAACCAGATCAAGAAGACGTGGTTTTAAACCCAAACATCGACAACACAGTACTAGAAAAGATTTATCATCAAATCGCCTATTACATGCTTCAACTTTCTCAACTTACGTTTACTCACATCGGAGCCATCTCGAAGGATCACGCTTCGGATACATGGCACGTTGCCGGGCGGCCATTAACATACAACATGAACGAGTTGGTGACTGTTGCTGGCTACCCTGATGGTCAGTTTCCTACCGCACGGTTTGACCGTGCAAGCGATTACCTGAGATCAGTCGCGAACGAGCACCTGGCCCACCTTTGGACCCAGCGCAACCTCGCCGATGATCCGGAAATAGCTCAGTGGCGGTTCATTGCCCGTCATCGGTTTGCACAGCTTATCCCAAAGTACTGTACTAAGGACAGTGGGCCATTTATACCCTTTTGCGACGACATGCGACCCTCAAACATGCTTGTAAACCCAGAAACACTCCGTATTACCGCTGTGCTCGATTTTGAGTTCACAAATTCCATGCCGGCCGAGTTCACGTATGACCCGCCTTGGTGGTTGTTGCTATCTGGACCAGAAATGTGGCTTGACCGCGGCTCTATGAACGAATTTTTGGCCCTCTATGAGCCCAGAATGGAGCAGTTCCTGCAAGCGTTAGAAGAAGTGGAAAAGGAAACAGCATTAGGGCGCAAGCAATCCGATAGACCACTTCTTTCTACCCAGATGCGCGAATCATGGAGGACTGGGCGTTTCTGGTTTGATTATGCAGCAAGAAAGAGCTTTGATGTGGACACCATCTATTGGGCTGCACTACATGACGGTGATGTGGATGTTGAGTTACTGGACGACAAGGCACATGCAGAGATGGAGTCATTTATACAAACAAAAATGGAGCAGCTGAAGGCATATAAAGAAGAGTGCACTGCTCGTTTTTCTTCAGAGAGGTAGCGGGTATGTGGAGATACCGTTTTAATCTTCCATCAATCTCACTTCTGTTTCCTCAGTCATCAAGAATCAATACGAGGGAGATGAAAGATTTGAGTGTGTGTCACAAGGCATGTGCCGTACTCTTTCATGAATCTGTCAAAGGCCGAGATGAAAAAATAGAGCTTTCTTCACAGTTGTTTAAAAGGCCACATAATTGTCTACACATTTAGAGTGACATATACTGGCTAAAAGTCTCAGGATCAATATTCAAATTGAGAGATAAAGAGACTCAAAATAAAGCGAATATATAGAGTTTTAGGTTGAGAGGAGCTCATCCCGGTATCTCAGGCGCAACACAGGGTACAGGTCGAGACAGGTCACGACATCACCTGAGCACGCTGCAGATCAAGCCGCCGGTGGATATCTGTATGTGCCTCTCGACAGATCTTGGTTGGAGTCATCACATCTCCCTGGCCATATAGATCGAATCGATCAAACGGTCTGGAAAAATCCTTCGCCCGCACCGTGCTCATCCTGCCGCCGTCGAGGAAGTCGCCCGAGATCATGCACAGGAATAAACGCCGCAGATGAGAGCTCTCCGCCCAGACGGGGGCCAATGAGCGACGGCAGAGACCAGATGGAGCAACTGATTGAAAGAACAGCAGGACGAGATGAGCGTTCATCTACCTCCAGAGCTTGTCTGTGACTCTGTGTGGCCTTTCAGGGCGCTAACGCAGGATGGATTTCCCCCGAATGCCTGGCATATACAGGAAAGGAGCCTTGTGCCGGTGGAAAATACGATCAAAGATTCAGAGCAGCTAGTTCCTATGGTGCTCGCATGTACCAAGCTAGCTAGCTGCCCTGGTATTCAAACAACGCGAAGAGAATATACGCAGGAACTTTCGCCGTGTTCAAAAGTACTCTGCTTAGGGACGAAAATAGCTGACCTTGTGGTGAAGAGCATCCATATCGCATCGGATGCGACGGCCCCGCAATTCTTCAGATACATAGCAGTCGATCGGAACAATGCATGTAGGCGTCATGATCTATTATTATTTTTGGTATTATCATTGCAATAGCACGAGAGAAGCTTATCCGACAATCAACTATCCGTGACTATGCTGTCCCACGACGCGGAAGCGGCGTGGGACAGCATAGATACTTTCTTCTGCAAGCGCCCATGTCGGGTGACAATCCGATGGGCCATAGAAAGAACCTTCGTCCAAGTATGAGGCCTCGGGTCTGTCAATCCTCCGGTGCGCCCTTCACGTTGAATGGGCCATCTGCTTCCAGTTCGTCGAGTCACCGTTCAGCTGTACGCGCCGTGGTCTAGAGAACGGTGGGATCGACTACTTAAACACCCAAAGTTTCCATTAGCGTTGGTTTGGGCGCTTGCATAGTGCGCGAAGGTGAACGAATAAGATAGCACAAACGGGATGGCATCGCTGAGCGGATGTGATGGCACTTGCAGCAACGGTCTTTTGATCCCCTCGTCCCTTTGATCGCAGAACATCGGTTGGTCACTCGCCGCAGCCCAGTTTGTGTTTCTTCATGGCGGACGGACAGCGCTGAGTGGTTTGGCAGACAGACAGGGAAGCAAGATCCCCGTCAGCGCTCATCGAATCAAGTCGGCAGAGACGCAGTATCGCCGACATGGCCGCCGACTATGCTGCTCCATCACATCGTCCTCCGCAGGTCAGTGAGCCAATCTGATGTCTCTGCTGAGATTCCCTGCGCGACGAAAAGACGAGCAGTCGGTCCCCTCAAAAAGACGTGCGATCCGCATGGCCAAAAGATCATCATGGATTCTTGATTCTCCCGGACAGCGAGACAGTCTTCGCAGAGTCAAAAAAAGCGAATACAGCGCAGGTTTATATACTCTTTATCTCCAAGTCCTGCTCCCGGACGGAGGCTGCTGTGAAAGCACTGCTCCCACCAGGGTCCGCTATACGGTCGACTGCCCACCATGTATTCGCGAATAACGATCTCGATATGGACAGCAGTGGCTGCGCTGCTCTATGCCGGGCTAGCCAGTGCCCATACGGTCATCGTGTATCCTGGATATCGAGGGAACAATCTCATGACCAACGGCACCGTAGAAGAAGCAAATGGTCTCGGCGAGACGGTTGTGAATGGGAGTTCGATTTTTCCATACGGCATGCAATGGCAGTATCCCTGTAAGTTGCCCAGAATCACAGTCGGTGTGACCTCCCTTAACAATAACACGCAGGCGGAGGAATGCCTACCTCAACAAATCGAACAAAATGGCCTGTCGGAGGAGGGGCGGTATCGTTCCAACCAGGCTGGTTCCAGGGACATGCAACGGCCTTTTTTTATATCAACTTGGGTCTGGGAACGGTCCCTCCAAACATGAGCCATGTCATGATCTCCCCCTTCGAGCTCGTCGGCCCAACAGATCAACCGTATCCAGGAACCTTCTGTCTACCCCAAGTCCCGCTGCCAGCCAACATCTCCGTCAATGTTGGTGACCATGCGACCATTCAGGTCATCGAAGTAGCCAAACACGGTGCTTCACTATATAACGTGCGTGACAATTTGCGGCTATTGTGATACTGTTTGAAGCGCCAGCTAACACGGTCTTTTATCTTCAGTGCGTCGACATCGAATTCGCAGACCCAGCAGACGTCGCAGAGGTGACGCGCGATAACTGCTTCAATTCCAGCGATCTCTCATTTGCGCAAGTCTACACGACAGCATCCACCACCTCGTCCACTGCCTCCAATCTTGGAGTATCGCCCTTGAATGTTCTTTACCTGCTTCCATTGCTGCTGGCCGGCCTCTTTTTGTAATGATATAGACTCTGCGTGTTGATTTTTTCATGTTCTGCAGCCTACTGTCAGCTGCTATCTAATTCATAGCTATATACCCCTCTTATTTCCTCTTCTCCAGCGCGATGTCCCACGGCAGAAGACGTATCAACATCATGACGAGCCTCACGATAAATCAGTAGTTCTTATATTTACTGCGAAGTTCCAGGATTTTCATAACTCCCATTCGAATCAACTTATCAGAGCAGAGTATACACGTAGAATACCTCTTTCCTGTTATCCCAATTCTACTGTAGATATAGGTCCTGAACGCTAAGATTCCTGTAACCTTGTCTCTATCTAGTGCAATCCACCAAATTGCCAACCAGCCAGGACTTCATTTGTATCCTGATTTCCTGAATAGATGATTATATTTATCTGAGCTTCTATAGTGGAGACCGCCAGCTCCTTCCGCCTCTAAGATTTAGCGATATTTTATGGGTCGCGGGGTAGGACAGCTCTTTGATCTTTATATCCTTCTAACCGAATTCAGTCGTTCATGGCTACTGTGTATCATACTCCTTGGCCTCCTTGGTGCTCGCAGGGGTGGTGACGGTCTTATCTCTTCGGACGACTCAATCTCGAATTAGCAGAGAATCCCTCCGATCTCTCCCAACTCTTGGATTCCCACTACTTCGCATTCCTCACAATGTCGACGATACTTTCCCCCAGCGCAGAAGCCGCCGCTCGCACAGAAATAGACAGCAGGACTTCTGGCACTTCACCCGGTATTCCTGGCCTTGTTTACTGCGCCGTAAACAAGGACGGAGAGATCATCTTCAGCCACGCCTCCGGTAAGACGGGTCTCGGTAACAAGACCCCAATGACTCTGGACACGACGTTTTGGATAGCTTCGTGTACGAAGTTAATCACGAGTATCGCTGTTATGCAGCTGGTCGAGAAAGGGAAAATATCCTTGGATGATTCCAGTCAGATCGAATCTCTTGCGCCGGAGTTAAGAGATGTTCGGGTCCTGGAGCGGGCTCCTGATGGCGACTTTTGCCTGGTGGAGAAGGATAGAGCTATCACGATGCGGATGTTACTATGTCATACATGTGAGAGATCGAAACCTAAGCGATATTTTGTAATAGCAGTCCTGTTTAGTTGACTTCTTTGGGCTAAAAACAGCCGGCTTCGGATATGCCCATGAGGACCTCAAGTTACGCGACTGGTCTCGTCCCATCGGCATCGACGACTTTTCAGGCCATGAAAACGACGTCCTGCATCTCCCACTCGTTAATCAGCCTGGAACCCGTTTCCAATACGGTGTCGGATTAGACTGGGCAGGTGTCCTCGTTGAGCGGGTAACAGGCCTGTCACTAGAAGATTATTTCCAAACGTTCATTCTCCAACCTTTGGGGATCGAGAATATCTCTTTCTTTCCAAATGCTAAGATGAAGGCTAACCTGGCTTTTATGCATCAACGAGGAAAGGATGGGTCATTGAGCGTCACGGATCATGTCTTTCGATATCCTTTCCTTCCTCCTAGATCTGGAAAGGAAAGGCGCTTTTGTATGGGTGGTGCAGGTTGTTTTGGGAATCCAGTTGAGTACTGCCGTATGATTCGTCTAAGTGGGAAAAGTAACGTAACTTGATGGATAGAAGATGCTGATAGAAAGCGTCTAGGGATTCTAGCTCTTCTGTTAAACGATGGGACGAGTCCACACACTGGCGTGCAGATTCTCAGACCAGAAACTGTTAAAGGTAGGAAATTAGTCATTATTACCGGGTTTCAAAAATCACTCATAACCCGTCTAATGCTCTTGCAGAGATGTTTACGGATCAAATTCCACACATGCCGAGGCATTGCAACGAGTATATACCGGCAGCGAAGCCGTTACTCACCAAAACTTTCCCTATGGTTCCTACTGCCGATGACTTAACTGAGGGATGGGGGCTATCGTTCTCTTTGAGCCATACGAAAAGTCCAACTGGAAGCGCAGTAGGGTCGGCCTCCTGGTCAGGGATAGCGAATTTGTTCTGGTTTGCTGACCGACAGAATGGAATTGGTGGAATGGTTGCGTCGCAAATTCTTCCTTTTGGAGGTAGGTACGGAATCCAGGTTCTAGTATGCGGTTGGAGACTGATAAGTTCATGGTGTAGATGTCGAGGTCATGGGTTGTTCGGAGCGCGTGGAGAAGATTATATATGATGGATTGGGCAAATGAAGGGGACTGAACGGATTAGACTCGGGTATCCAGGATATTCAGAAAGATGAATCGTGGGGCCTTGGGTATTTTCTATCTCGAACATTGTGCCGCGTAAATTTATTTCTATATAGATATATAGATAGATATTTGTCTGGGCTCTATCAGGCTTTCCCATCTTCCCTCCACATACTCGAGGCCAATCCATAAACGATGAGGTAGCTCTCAAAGAAAAGAACACAGCAATAGTACTATTAAGGGCATTAGTACGCCACAGATTCCAGGCACTCTATTGCACATCACTATTTTTTTAGCTTAGAATACTATATATCTTTCCTGAACCCAAGACAATCCAGACGCTCTCTGTTACCCATCTGGAAGCAAGCCACAAGTAGTCTACGCGGGGAAACCTCGGGGCTGACCGAACACCTACTTAAAGCGGCAGCCCGGCCTGAACCTGACGCCATAGCCATACTCTACCAGAGAGTTTCTGCACAGAACCTGGCGAGCTACTTACTTACTATATCTCAGAAGGTACCTAGGTAGGTACATGGATGGAGACGATCAGTCCATTGGCAGTGTTTGATTCATTCACAGAAAAGTGGGGGCAAAAATAAACACCATACCTAGACATATATCTATTTCTCTGTCCCGCACACACATCAATACCAACTCTCCTCATCAACACACATCAGAAAGACCACCAACCAACATCATGGCTGCGACCGCAAAGCGTCCTGAAATCATCGCCCTCGCCCGCGATCTGCCTAGGGTGCCAATGTGCGAGGAATACGAACGCATGATTTCCGGAATGATGTAAGTTGTTGGGCTTGCGACGGAACATACAACCAAATCACTCCAATAATAATAATGAATTTTTAAATTACTCATCAAATATCTATATATGTATACAGGTACAACCCCATCAACCCCAAACTCATCGAAGCTCGCCATTACTGTCGTGGCGTGACATCCGACTACAACAGTTTAGACACGAAGAGTATCCCATATGATCAAATCTACGAGAAGCGTCTCGAACTCCTACGCAAAGTCGTTGGAAGAGTTGGCGATGGGACATTTATAGAGCCGCCTTTCTTACCTGATTACGGATGTAATATCATTATCGGGAAGGATTGTTTTATTAATTGGAAGTTAGTATACCCCCCTTCCCCTCGCCCGGCGTTTTCTCCTTTCCGCATGGAATGGAATTGCTGATAATAAGAAATGAATAATATAGCCTAACAGTCCTCGACACAAGCCTCGTTGTGATCGGAGACCGAGTCCAGATCGCTACCGGAGTGAGTATTTTCACCGCCGGTCATGATACCAGCGTTCTGTCACGACGGAAGGGCGTCGAGTTCGGCCATCCGATTTTCATCGAGGATGATTGCTGGATCGGAGGTAATGTGGTGATTTTACCAGGAGTTAGGATCGGGAAGGGTTCGACGATCGGGGCGGGATCCGTTGTCACGGCGGATATTCCACCGTATTCGGTTGCGGTTGGTAATCCGTGTCGGGTGAAGAAGACGATTCAGTCTGTGGAGGAAGAGGAGCAGGATCCGAATAATCCTTATAGAGACTTGGTGAGAGAGGGTTGTTAGGTGGTTTAGAGGCGGTGGGTGGGTTGGAGCAGGTTGGAGCAAGTTATTTATTATCTAGCTATATGGAGTAGAAATCTCTAGTTTGATTTTTAGTTTTCTTGAGAAGTGGCCTGTCGTGATATGATAAATGAATACTATATAGACATGCTCGTGCCGCTGGTCCAAATGCCAGAATAGGCAATGCATGTTTTTCTGGAAAATGATATGTATTAAGAATGCGGCATGTGCATCTTGAGACAATAAGAAATAGACGTATTATCCTACGAGTGCAAATACATGTTATCAGCAGGTGTATTCTGGATATATTACTTATGGAGCACTGCCCGCAGTGAGTGTGGCGGCATACGGCCCACAGAGCTAAAACATGAGGTACAGATCAAATCGAGACCGAAGAATGAAATCAGAATACTACATGTCGTGTCACTCAAGTGCTGTTGATCAGTCGAAGGATCCCTTCGACGACTTCCTCCGGCTTCTCCTGGGGCACCCAGTGGCCCGCGCCATCAACAATCTGCAAGAAGCGAAAATCCGTACACACAGTACCGTTAGCCATCTTCTCGACGGCCCCAGGCTCTTGGTAGGTCCCCCAGTCCTGTCGACCAGAGATAAAGGCGCAGGGGACTTCGATCTTCTTCCCTGCAAACGTATCCAAGTCGTGGGTGTAGCGGCCACCGGCTGCCGTACGGACTCGATACCAATTCAGGCCGCCCTGGAAGGTGGTGCGGGAGTATTCAGCAACATAGACGGCCAGGTCCGCGTCTGGAAGCCAGGAGTGAGATGCGAGTTGGTCTGCGGGAGGTTCGTTGGCCATATCCAGCGCAACAGCCTCAGGCATGGTGGCATCCAAGGGCATGATGTAGTAGTATGGCAGCTGGGCCAGTTCGGATGCGGTCCAGGCGCCGAGAGGATGCGGGTCGTTGCGGGCCCACGACCCGCTCTTGAGGTGAAAATATCCCCGCAGGAAATGCTGAAGCCCTTGGGCGGCCGTCATCATATCCGAGTTGGCAGACTCGGTCGAGTAGTACCATTTGTAGTGTTTCCGGCCCAGCGCTGCCAGTGCGCCGTGGACATCGGGTGCCGCGCCCTCTGCGCCGCCGCTGGCCCTCGCCGCCGAAGCAGCAGCCGGGTCGTTGGCCGTGTTGAAGGGCAGCACAGGCGTGCCATTGAACGGATGGCTCAGGAGGACGACGCTGCGGAAGAAATCTGGGCGGACAAGCGCGCACATGGCGGCGGACACGGCGCCCGAGTCATGGCCCACGACACATCGGACGGAGTGATAGCCCAGGGCATGGACCAAGACCACCATGTCGCGCACCAGCGTGGTCAGCGAAAAGGTTGCGAGATCGACCAGTTCAAAACTCCGGTCGTCCCAGCCCGTCGTGCGGCCGAACCCGCGCTGGTCGGGGGCGACGACATAGAACCCAGCATCCGCGAGGCGCGGCATCACCTTGCGCCAGGAGAAGGCCAACTCGGGAAAGCCATGCAGCAGCAGCACGAGAGGACGATCGCGCGCTGGAGAGTATCCGGCCTCAAGAATGTGGAACGAGAGGGCGGCCGTCTTGACGATTCTGGACGTGACACCCGCAGGGAGTGGCAACGACTCCACGGGGGATGCTTTTGTAGTAGTGTCGGCCATCATCAGAGTAAGTAATTAGGTGCTAACTGTAGCTGTCTGGCTAGGTTAGTTCGTTCCGCTGCGGCGATTATTACTCTAGTCGTGATGAAGCAGCATGCACCACAGGAAAAACCCGGGGTTAAAGTACCATAGAGGCAGCAGGTCATGGTCAAGGTGAGAAGGCAGGCGGGGAAGATCTGGCGATCGATTAGCCATATCGATTAGCCGTGGTGGAGAGCAGTTGATGAGACTTAAGCAGTTTGTGTCGCGGTGATCCATACTGGATGTATATATCGATCTTGACACAACAGGGCTATCTGGACGAGTTACCCTAACTACCATACTACTATAGAACGATGATACTAAGTTAGTTAGTTAGACTAAATAACTGCCAGGCACATCGATGACGGACAAGACTCACGATCCAGATTCCCCTGCGGCGAGGCTGAGCGGAATCTCCAGCGATCTTCCTGGTCATGACGCAACGAAGAGCTCTTGGGCCTTTTTGATCCGGTTCGAACTCAACAGCGAACTCAATGTCGACTTCATCTGTTCGCTCTTTTCTTCTTCTTTTCTTCTTTTCTTCTTCACTTCTTCACTGCTAATCATCCTCTGGCCCTTCTTGCGGTCCGACGGTCTCCTGCTCAATCGTGCTGTTGCGCTCCCACCGTCAGCCCTGTGGCCGCGACAGGTCGATCCGTGCTTTGCTGGTTGCGGCGATCGTTCCTCGTCTCAGGCTCACTCGCCCCCAATTCGGCAACGTCTGCTTGCCTTCGCCGTCGTCCGTTCTCTCTTTGCTGCAGGTTGGCAGGGAAAGAATAGGCATACAGTCAGGGCCGGTCTGGTTGACTCTGTGAGCGGTTCAGCCTCACCTCGTGGCTCTGCAGTTGCTGCTGTCCTCCTTCTCGCGCGTCTGCGGCAGCAGACACGCTCAGCGCCACCATGTTTCGTCGCAAGAGGAGCTCGTCTCATCACCAGGTATGTCAATCGCTCTCGTTCTCTATCACAGAATGTAGCGCGGAGTTGAAGAGTGGCCATTGAATCGATGGATTCGCTTATCATCTCTACTCTACTGCTCTATCTCGGTCCAAGCTCGCTGACGGTATACCACAATAGCCGTTAAATACAACTCCGTCACTATCAGCTCAAACGGCTGCCTCTCATGCATACCTCGCATCTCGCGCATCGAGCAGTAACCTCTCCTCGGCCGCTGCGGCTACAGCTCTCCGCACGCTCTCTCCAACCCCGACACCGGTCGAAAATGTCCAGACAAAGAGGATGCTGCAGCGGCAGTCGTCGATATCGTCCGCGCATACGACCATCGGGCCTCCCATACGCTCCCAGATGGGAGTGCAGACTCTACGACGAGCCAGCAGTTCTGGCTCGATGGCCGCGAGGACATTCAGGGACCAGTCGCCTCGCCGTCCAGTGTCTAGTGGAGGACCCCCAAGGAATGCTCCTCCAGTACCTCCGCTACCTCAGGACCTTCCATCTCGGACGGCTCCCCATCGACGCTCTGTAAGCATGGAGCCCCCGATGCGTGCGATGTCGCCCCCGGTAAAACGACCATCTGGTCGCGGCGTTAGCCTGGACAGGGCACCTAATGCCCCAACCAGTCTTTCGGCCCATCGTACCTCCAATCTCAGCACAGTTCCAGAGTTGGAACGAGCGTCAAGCAGAGCGTCCGTGAACTTTTCTTATCCCGTCAATTCGCCCCGTCACTCCCCCACGCTTGGCGGGCCCGAGTCGGCCAAGAACAATGCCGGTTATGGGGCATCAGATGACGCAATCTCTGCTGCTGAAACGGAGGATGTCCAATATACCGTCTCACACGCTGCCGAAAAGCCAGTGAAGAAGAAGACGAAGGCTCTCGCCCCCGGATCTGCGGAAGGCAGTCATCTGGCGGCCGGGACTGCTGGTGGCCGCCCAGTTGGAACTGCTGTTGCAGCTGCACAGGCGGCTTCCTCGCCAGTAGAAGAACCGTCTAAGCCAGTTGCTCAAAGGCATCATCCAACCCCAGCAAACATAAGGAGAAGGCCCCAACAGACGAAAGGGAAAACGAGGCCGCGCTCATTCTCAGCGGATCAAATCGCTGTTCCTAGCACCCAGCCTCCCAGCGCTGCAGCATCACCGGAAACGGGGGAGGACTATCAGATACCGCGTCCGAAACCGAAGAAACGGCCGTCGACTGTCCGTGAGGACCATGAAGCTGAGGAACGGGCGGAAGCCGCTGCGGCTGCGGCTGAGGCAGGCAGAGATTCTGCGGAAAGCCGTCCTCTGCAGGTCCGAGTCTCGACTCCTGAACAGTCCACTGGGGTGCTCGCTCAAGATGGACAGGGAGATGACGCTGTTGTTATTCCAGGTCTTTCAGCTTCCGAAGTAGTCTACGAATCCCCGGTCTCGCAACCGCCGCCTCCCGCGCAGAGCAGGCTTACGACCCACGATGAGTGGGAGGAGTATCGGGTGGGAAGGCCTCACTCGCTCAGTCCCAGCAGGTCTGCCCGGTTCTCAACACAGCTTACAGTCTCAAATTATGGCGAGACACTCCACGAACCGCCTCCACGGTCGATGTCACCTGCCAAGTCTGCTATGAAGCAGTCGCCTCAGCAGTCACCTCAGCAGTCATTGTCTCCGGAAAGACGTACGCCGCTGGTGATTCGAACTGGACAGGCTCCAAGCGAGATTTCCGATGCCACATCCATCGCATCGGATGACGGTTCGAGAGTCGGGTCCAAGAAAAAGACCGCTAAAGTGAGCTTTGATGATGAAGCAGAGGTCGTGGGCATCGCAGCCAGCCCTCCCACCTCTCCTGAAGACATTGTTCCCGAGAGTCCACCAGACAAGATGAAGTCATCAAAGACAAACTGGTTTGGCCTAGGGAGGAAAAAGTCGCCACTTGCAGACAGGCTAGATGGCGAGGAGTTCGGTGACTACTTGAAACCTCGACCTGTTCTGCCTTCATTCGGCAGTATACGGGGTGCTAGGGAGACTGAACCAGAAGAGCCTGTGAAGGAGTCTGTGAACACCAGCGAATCGGTCGCGGCAGTGCGTTCTAATGATGCCGCTAGTGTGGTGGCCGGTCTATCCAGCGATCACGCTATCGCTGGTATTATTGCCAACTCCAACCCGAAAGCCCTCCAAATACATTCAGAATCAGAGCCTAAAGGACCTGCACAACACGCCTCCAGCCCCGAGGATCATTCGTCACTAGCCAGTGCGCGCCCTGCTCCCATCAAAGTCAACGGAGGAGAGCCCACGTCTACTAATGGTGTCCCTGTCAAGGGACACACCGATGGTGTTCTACTTCAAGATGAGTCGACCAGAGCAGACGGCCAAGAAACTGTGCCTGTCATAGCAGTGCAGCCAGCAACTCCCGCTGTCGAGGAAGTGAGGCCCAGCCTTGAGTTGGTCAGAATCCCAGGCGGGTTCCCCTTGTCGACTAGCCCACCTATCGAGAAGGAAACACCTCTCACAGCACCAGGAACTAAACTTCCCGTATCTGCGACAGGGGATGGTTCGACTGACCTCGAGTCCAATACCGAATCCGACTCTGGTAACAGCGTTTACAGTGATGCTCCAGAAGATGTAGTGGCAGTTGAGGGCGATGGCTTCGGCTCGATAAACGCCATTGTCGACAGTCAAGTGAAGACCACGGCGGCGGCTGCTCCCGATCGGGGTACTGCGCTACTGCCTGCGCTAGAAACAAAGGCCTTGCAGTCTGACGAAGGAAAAGCAGTATCACCAGTGTCTTCTCTGGGTTCGGTTGGCGAAGGTCCCTTTTCGTCACCATATCCTCCTTGGCCAATCAGCCGTCCTGTTCAGGAACCACGGCCTGCATCGCCTCCGGTTGCAAATATGAAGAGACCGATGCGACCCATGTCCGCTGACCCGTACCAGGCGTCGCAATTGCGCAGTGCCTTGCGGACTTCTGAGACGCTGGAGACCAAGAGACAATCCATGAGCGTTTCCCCTGTTCCGGGAGCCAGGGTTCCAATCCAAGGAACTGATAGACACACTATGTCTCCCAGCTCCTCTCTTCAGAACGGTATCAAAGCCAACGCTGGTGGAAAGAGAGCATCTCAGTCGTCCCAAGGCTTTGCCGGAGTACTCCGCCGGACGACGTCAAATGGTAGCGATTCATCCAGCAGCTTCAAGCGATCCGGGCGCGCTTCGAAAGATGACGGCCAAATCACACTGAGACGGACCATGAGGGGTTCAGGGGGCGGTCGTCCTCAATCTCCCGAGGGATTTGTATCGAAACGAAATGGAACCAGATCGTTCTCATCCGGCCCTACATCAGGAATGATGCGCACAACTTTGCGTAGCGCTGGAGCAGCTGGCAACCAGCAAGACAAATCCATATTCTCTGGACTGGGCAAACATTCAAAGGGCAAACCTTCCGGCCAGTTCTCGTCGCGCTTCGGCGATGACTCCGATGATGATGCGACAGGTCCAGCGCATAGGTTCCGGAGCCGCTTTGACGACTCGAGCGATGATGAACCAACTGTGACGACGTTGCGCCCCGTACGGGGAATCCCACGCCGCAGCGGTGCAGACGACGGCGACTCGACTGATCTAGAAGATAGCTCTGATGACGAGGCGCCTCCGACAACGCACCAAGAGGCAGTCTCCGCAGATACCCCATCGGACCCTGCAGCGATAGCTGCTTCTCTCGTTCGAGGCATGAGCCAGGCGGAACTCGAACAATGGCTGTCAGGGTCGCGCAAAAGGGGCAGACCAGGCATCTTCAATCGACTGACGCCAAAGAAAAACCGAGACAATGGCAAACGATTCCGTAAATCGGATCTTGAAATCCCGATCGGGAGAGGTACACCACTTGAACAATCGCCAGTTGAGCTCAATCACGTACGAGGCGACAGCTCCATCAGCAGCGGGTATGGACATACCAGGACAGTCACATTGGATAGCGGCTACGCTTCATCGCCAAAGCTGCACAAGCGTTCTCTCAGCAAGACGGATGTTCATGACTCATGGCCGCTGAGATCGTCCGGGCCACCTGCTGAAACACTCCAGACCGAGAACGAAGACGAGACAGCATCAATTGCTGGTCCTCCGCCGCGACCTCTCACCTCTGATGGCGTTCCCAAGAACGGAAATGCCAGAGGATCTCGCAATTTGGGAGATACGGCGAGCGAGAGTCTGTGGGCTTTGCGCTTCAGACCTAAGCATAGTCGCCGTGGGACACAAAGCACTATCGGCGCGGCATCAGACGTAGTCGTGGGCCGTAATGGGAAGAAGAAACGCTTCCCGATGCTCAGACGAGCCTTTGGTCTGCGCGACTAGACACTGCATTATTTCCTCTCTTTTCTTATTTCCATCGCAGCTGGAATGCTGCCATTAGTATTACATTCTTTATTTCCTCTTCCTGTACAATTCGGATTGCCACGATTTGCGGGGCAGTTACTTTCTGGGAGAGTACGGCTGTCGTCTTCATGCCCATATCATATTGTCTGCTTCCATTCTTTCCTCCCTGTCTTCAGTTCAGTTTTCTTCATCGGAGACAAAAGGGATGTATGACTGATTTTGACCTTTTTTTGACACCACATATATGTCTTATCTTCACTTGTCATCGAGGGACGAGATGTATCAAGCGCCAAACGCGGAAATGATCATCCACGAGGTTACCTCAACCCAAAATTGCCTTCTGCCTGGATTCACCAATTCTTCTAATCACCTTTTTTGTTTCCTTCTTCTTTCTTCTTTCTTTTTTCGTTCTTCTTTTTCTTTTCTTTTCAAATCTACGCATGGAAGAAGTAATCCCCATAATACTGTTTCTTGTCCGTTATGTGATACGTGCCCGATGTTATATTGCAGCCACGAACGGACGATTAATTGACTGAGTATAGCATGTCCATGCCTCCGTGTCTTTTTGGTCGAATGAACCAGTTATGGTAATGTGCGCTTGTGGTTTTTGTGGTTTCTCTCGTTTCAGAAAAGACATGATCCAGATAATCATAATATAGGCCTGAGCGGACCTGAGTAATCGATCAGATTTAATATGCGCAGTCAGGGGCGCTGCGAACAACTGTATGGTCTACTGCGTACATCTTTATCTAAGCTGGGGGTTGTACTGAGTGATATTAAAGTAGCAACCTCTCTATATCGAGGATTCTAGAGAATTACTACGCAGTAACTACTCCGTATGTTTACACTAATAATTGCCGTATATAGCCACAACGAGACGAAAATGCAGAATTCGATCCCCCAGCCCATTATTTTCCCTCGGTAAATAAGGCTGACCATTCGTTCATGGCCCATGCAGCAATTACCCTGAGCTGAGTGTGCTTGCCAAGAGTAATCTATAGTCTAGGTAACATAAATAGAAAGGCTGGGCCCAGCAAATAGATAGATCTGATTCAGGCCCGCAGAGAGGACCCCGATGGAAGGGCACAGGCATGGACTGAAAAGCGTCTAACTAGCCACTGGTAGAAGAGGAAGAAGGAAGGAAGGAAGGAAGGCTAGGCTACCTAACTAACTACCTAGTAATAAACAATACTGCTGATAGTTACTAGGCTGTCCGCCTTACCTACCTAGGTATTTTACTGCCTTCACCGACACAAAAACTGTATGAGGTTATTATTTGCAACAGCTGCAGTTTTACCATAGTCGGGTGGCGTTGAAGTCTAGCACCCTTTAGTCTAGTATTTCTTTTTTTGACTTACCCTGCGGTAAGTTAAATATATATGTATCAGAATTGCAGAGAGTATTAATTAATTAATTTACTCCGTAGAACTCGTAGATAGATACCACTAGTCTTGTCGATAAAGAAGATCTGCGATGGGCTGAGAAACAATAATATCATCAATGCGTCTGGTCAGTGCGCACTACCCACAAAGCACACCGGCCTCGATGGGAATACCCCATTTCAATTTTTGGAAAGGACCAAGCTTGGGATCTTGGAAACAAGAGAGAGAGGATGGGGCGTCTTGTGGAGAGTGAGTGGTTAAACTAGGTCGATGCACGGATGAGACGGAAAGCAACAGGATGGAGAGAGTTGAGTCGGGGCCAATAAACACAGACCACGATGGTGGCAGGTCGGTCTTTTGCAGCGCGTCTACTCCGTAGTCTAGAGCTATCTAGACTCTAGTTGTATCGATAAAGCGTGCTTGCTTGCTTGCTTGCTGCTTGTCTCGCCCAGTCAGGCTGGGTTCGCTTCCCTGTGCGTCTTTTTTTTGGTTTTTTTGTTTGGCCTTCTGCGAGCAATTATTATTGCTAGATACTGATGGGGTTCCCTCCTTCAGCCCAGTGGAGCTGAGGCTGGAGTTCTTGGGAAGATGCAGCCCATCTCATTCTCCGCTCTGGCGTAGAAGAGGGTAGAATAATAATGGATCCGGTTGCCTCTTGTACATACTAGTTAGTAGGGTGTGATTCTGGATTCTATTGTTGTTGTTATTATTATTATCACACAGCGGGTTAACAGGCCTGTGATTGTCCGACTCAGCACACAATCTTGAGGGGATGGTGGCGCCGAGGTTGTCCAGATGGGTTCTAGACCGACCAGTTGTGTGTTTTCCCGACGGGGGTTGCCATGGCAAAGAGCCAAGAGAGAGAGAGAGAGAGAGAGCTTCCTCATCGCGAGCTGAGCTGGGGAGCTGAAAAGGAAAGCTGCAAGGTGGAGCAACGAGAAGCGGGAGCCGAGGGGCGTTTCCATGGGATTGATTATCTATGGATCATTAACTAGGTAACTAGTCTAGAGGCGTAAGGTTACCATAACCCAGCCTCGTGTAAGAAAAAGAGGAGACGATGCGAGAGAGTTCTTGTTCTTGCATGGCTGGGGAATCATGGACGAACGGATCGCTGGTTGCTGCTGCTGCTGCAGGCCATACCTTAGACAGCTTTTCCAGCGATCGGGGACAGCTCCATAGTCTACTAATAATGAACAAGCCCACCAGAGTTGCCAGCGAAGAACGCCTGGAGTACATATAAATATACATATACGAACCCCCAATGGCAGAGTGAGAGAGGAGCAGTCCGCAATGGCAATGGCAACGAAGTAAGGAGGATCTGTTGTAGACTATCTCTCTCTCCTCCTCGGCTGGGGAGAAACAATAAGAATAACAATGAAAGAATCACATCTAGACAGGGATCGGCGCGATGCCCGGAGCAGTAACGCGTTGTTTATCTCTTCACGACATCCAAACAATAATAATAATAATAACTTTCCCAGCCAGCCCGTCGTCCCCCGCCAGCCCCCCGTCAGATATACAAAGATCCCCCTCCTCTCGCTCTCCTCTCTTCTCTTCTTCTTTTCCTCTTCTCCTTCTTTCTCCCTTCCATTCCACAGCTAACATTCCAACCGTACAATTACTTACTTTACCCCAGACTCCAGAAGCTTAGCATCTTCCCCAGCATTCCAGTGCACGCTTCTTCTGTCTTTCTTCCCTTCTTCTCCTCTTTCTTGAGTATCTCTGTAAATCAAAACTGGTTGAGCGAACGCAGACGCCGTCCGCCACCTCCCAGTTCCTTCACAAGAAGACTCAAGCCCCTTAGTCTTTTCTTGTCTCGCCTTTCGAGTTGTTTTTCAACAGTTCGAAAGGCATTCGAGAAAGGACGCCCGAAGGACAGTCAATCTGGACTTTGACGCTCGCGTCCCCATCCCCTTCAGTGTCTTCCCGTCGTCGTACCGGAGTGACGCTGTCTCTGAGGCTACTCACACCCGAGTAGAAGGAGAAGTCAACTTGGATCGCACTTCGCGCGTCGGACGGGAAGATACTCGAATCGCCGCTCCTCTCCCTGACCCCAACGTCTACGGAAAGGAAGAAGTCGACGTCGACGTTCGCTACACTTCTGACGACCGTCGTCGCCCAGCTCGTCGCTACGAGGAGTCCGATCTCGTCTACGAGGAACGTGAGCGTTACCCCGAGGTAGAGCTTTCTCGTGAACGGTAAGTTAACAATCTCTTGGTTTTTTTTTGTTTTTTTTCTTGCCTTGCTTTAGCGTTCTCTAGTGCTGGGCCAGTTTCCTTGCAATTGGGAGCGAGATGCGGGTGCTTCTGCAGCCCCAAAATAAAACAAAAACACAAAAACAAAACAAAACAAAACAAAACACAGACCCCATGTTTCCGGTGGCTGTGGCGCGATCTCCAGGCTATTTTCCATATTCCCTGCAGGCGCACAAGCATCGCATCCCGTGTCTGTCCGGATCAACAAATCCGCACACCGCATGGCTTTTGTTACGTGTCTCAGAAAAGATCCTGCTAGTCGGCCAATCAACTGTTTGGCACTGTTGTTCTCCACTGGCGCCAGCTGAGATAGTGTCTGACTGCTCTGAAAAAAACATATAGATACCGTGCCCCCATTGGTCATCACCGTCCTGGTCCTGACCGCGCCGAAGTTGAGTCCCAGCTTGATATCACCGAGCGTGAATATCGCCGTCGCGTCCACCCACCGACCTACGAAGTCGACGCTGCCTACTCCTCCAGTGCTTACGAGCCCGTCGAGTCCTACCGCAGCAACAACTCCCGCAGCAGCACTCGTGAGGTAGACGTCGACGCCTACCGTACCAGCAGCCGCTACTCCGCTCCCACCGAGGTCAACGTGAGCAAGACCACCGTCTACGAGAAAGACCCCAAGACCAAGATGGGTTACTACGACGACGAAGGCCACTACCACTCCTTCCGCCGCGGCGTCGAGCGTGCGGCCGATCGCTTCCTCCACCCCTTCCACAGCGAGGCCAAGGAGGACGTCGTCGTCCAGGAGCGTGCCCCCGCCCGCCGCCGTGAGAATGTTCGCGTCGTTCGTCCTCGCAGCGGCCACCCGCCCGACACCGTCCCGATCCCCTGCCACTTCATCCGCATTGGCGATCTCCTGGTCCTCCAGGGCCGTCCTTGCCAGGTGATCCGCATCTCGGTCTCCTCCCAGACCGGCCAGCACCGCTACCTCGGTGTCGACCTGTTCACCCGTCAGCTGCACGAGGAGTCGAGCTTCGTCTCCAACCCCTCGGACTCGGTCGTCGTCCAGACCATGCTGGGCCCCGTCTACAAGACCTACCGCGTCCTGGACATCGAGGACGGCCACGTCGTCGCCATGACCGAGACCGGCGATGTCAAGCAGGGTGTCCCCGTCCTCAACCAGGGTGGTCTCTTCGAGAGACTCAGCGACGCCTTTGCTGACGGCCGTGGCAGCGTTCGTGCTCTGGTCATCAACGACGGAGGTCGCGAGCTGGTGGTCGACTACAAGGTGATCCACGGATCCAGACTGTAAACGAATGGAAGGGTCGGAGTGTAACTGGAAAAGGTTAGTTCCCGTCGAAGTGTCCGCGCTTCTTCAACTTCCCCGCTGACGTCATTCGACTCGGTCCGTAGGCTGCTGCTTCTTCTGTATCTACGCAACATATGATTTCTTCTCTGAAGATAGATGACTTCTTTTCTTCTCAAGCAACCCTACTGGATCGCAGCCTCATGATCTTGGATTTCCCTTGTACGCGAACTATGATGGATCATGCATGATGGATAAAAAATGCCAGGGGAGAAAAGGCGCACGACACAATGCAACAAACAACACTCATGTATCAGATGCGATCACCCCTTACTGTACCTATCGACGATAATGCCCCCCTCCTATTTTCATGTCCCTTTATTTCACTTTCCCTGACGTTGCACATGAACATTTGAATCTATGATGGAGGGAAGTTGTATGTACCCATGATGATCTTGGTTTGATGGCGGTTGAGGACTTTGTCGCCTTTCCTGAATTGGAGATGGCTCGATTTTGACTTCCTGTCATTAGCCAAGTGTGAATGAAATACGTGTTATGGAAAAGTATCTTCATCGTAGAGGACTCGTGCTCTCCAACCTCGTAGATTTACTTGGCTGAGCCTTTGTTGTACCTGTCTGTCGTTCGTTCAAGGATAGTCTATAATCAGCTCGAGGTGATTCCAAATCCATACATATCTCGCTTTCGTATCATATTGTATCGTAGCACTATTGTCTTCAGTCACTGGTTAGCTCTCTGTTCATATTCTTTTTTCTTTTTTTTTTTCCCCTGTCTATTTATTTATTGAACAAGTGAATTCTCTATTCTATTCGATATACATATATGTATACACTCAGCCAGCCAGCCAGGAGGATGACTTCATTCTGTCCACTCGTTATTCGCCAGACAGATATTTACTCCTTCCTTTCTTTATTCTTAGGAAGGATATAGTATGTACATTCTCACAATCAGATAGAATTGATTCATTTGTAACCTTACATTATAAAGATTTTACATTTCCCCTATCGTTGTTGATGTTGATGATGATGATGGGTTCATGATACATACTCCGTACATACATACAAACTAAAAGGAAGAAAAAAAAAAAAACATCGTCAAGACAAGGAAAATAGAACAGGATATGTTAAACCTCGACCTAGATCTAGAATTTGGAAACCGCCTTTGCCCGCCCGAGAGAATAGAGCGTGATTATCATTACCGTCGAGAAGAAGGAGAAAAACGCAAAAGTCGAGTGCATGAAATGGAAAATGAATAAGACAATCTACCAGCCACACTGAGTCCGTTTCCCGGAAGAGGCGTTGCTGATGTGAAAGAAAGGAAGAAAGAAACCAGAGAAATAGAACCAAAGATGACAGCACCAGACACAAGTAAAAGCTCACAATGCCGCATCGATTTTCAAGAGAAAAAAATGGCCATAACCATCTTTGTCTATGAGATGGGACCAACCAGAAAACAAACGTCCGATCCGATAAGATGTATGTCATGAGATTCCGCACGACGCCGAAGCCGATGATGACCAAGATACCGTCCCCTAGCTAGTGTACATTTGCTGAAATAAAGAGACATGTTGGGTATCGTATGTGCAACCCCCCCGAAGTATAGGCGTAGAAGTACAGGAACAGCGAGGTAAATTGATGGAGAAAGATCGTGTCGAGTAACAGCGCCTGTAAGATGTCATGTCACTTTTCACCGTATTTGCCATACTCCTGCTGCCATTTAAGCAGGTGCCGGGTGAGAACATCCATCATCTCGACACTGCTCAAGTCTTTGAAGTCTCTCTCCTTAGGAGGCTGATCAGAGCCACCTTCGCTCTCTGTCGGTGCGGCTGATGGTGTGCCGTCTTCATCTTCGCCATTCGTCGCTTGTATGAGAGTCTCCAAGTGGGCGCCAACATTTTTCGCAAGCGTTTTACTATTCGCGAGGCTGCTTGCCGTATCACCGTTTCCTGGTGGTGTGATGCTCTCCCCACTGACAGCCATTTCGACCTGCATCCGCGAGATGAATTCCAGAATCGCCGCAACGCGTCTCTTCATTTCGTTCATTGTAGTGCGGTGAGGGTTCATGTAGCGTGGCCTGCTGGGCCTTCCAGACTCCCCTCCATTGGTATGCACACCATTTGCTTGTTCTCGGGGAGAGTCCCCGCCAGTATCGTGCGATTGACCGCGACGTGGGGAATGATGCATATCGAAGCCATTCAGGTCACGATCTCGCGTGTATTGATTGCGCCCAAGGCGACCCCCACGTCTAGCTGGCCGGCCAGTCTTGCGTGTCGAAGGACGAGGAGCGATAGGTTCTTGGTTGAGCACGGGTGTGACGGGCGCGGGCTGGGGAGGTTCTGGGGCAGGAGGAGGGGGCGCTGCCTTGGCTGGAGAACCGGCTTCCTGGTCAGATTCCGCTGCAGAAGCGTCAGCCAAATATTCTCCGGAGGTAACAATGTATATGGCTTCATAGGTTGGCAGTACTCACCGTCGCCCTTGCGACGATCCGATCGTCCTTTTCTACGATTGTTAGATTCGGCTGGTCCGGTTTCGGATGTCTCCTCGGGCTCCTTGGTTTCCCTCTCCCGCTGATTCCGTGATGTCGAGCCCTTCCGCTTCTTTGCGCCATTTGTACTGGCTTTTTTCGATTCATCATCAGAAGGAGGTTGAGAAGCCGGGTTGCTTTGCTTCGATACGGCGGACGGAGATGGCGACGCGGTTCGTTGTCTTTTAACGACCTGCTTGATACTGCGAACGGATGTGTCAGTGGCATTCTCTAGAACATTGCAAAGCAGGCGAGAGAGGGGGTCACAACATACGCTTCACTGTCGCTACGACTCCTCTTTCCACGGCGGCTTGCGACCTCGTCATTAGCGGCCCTGGTCTCTTCCTTGCTCTCTTCGATGGCCCGGCGTAGCTGCTCTTCTTCATCATATGCCGCATCGCGGCTGTTCATAGTCGAACGACGCTTGGTGGCAGCATTGTCATTCTGCCGATTCTTTGGTTCTTTCGCACGTCCTGCGTCGTCTCTGGAAGAAGCTCGTGAGGACGGTGGGGAGGAGACTGGAGCAACTGGTAGGTACTGGGAGGAACGATTGCTGCGAAATCGTAAGCGATATGACCGCATTATGAAGAGTCATAAGACAAGCTTGTAGAGAGACAAAATCCACGATAGTAGTTGTGTGATAACCAGGATGTTGCTTATTGTGTTCCCCTGACGGTCCTCAAGAGTCAGAGCACCAGGGGAGGCCGGCATAGTTGCTCTGGCGTCCAGTGAAAGCAAAAGAGGCAGTGAATTGACAATAAAAACAATCAAGACACAAACGATACCGGGGAGGCCGCCTGAACTTACCCATTAGACTCATTGGTGATTCTGTGGAGGTCCGCCCGACACTCTTCACAAAAATATTCGTCAGGGCTCATGGCCTCATCCATGATTCCCACACAGCCACCATGCTGCCAGACCTTGCAAGCATCACACTGGATGAACATGCTACCTATGTCATCATTCAGAAGATCTGAGGTATCTGCTGACGAGTTCAATCCGGACTCATCCTTGACGCCAGGATTTAGCCCGGCGCGACCGAGAGCCTCCCGGCGGGAAGGCGGCAGGCCAGGATATTCTTGCTGTCCACAGAGACATCTAGTGACCTCCTCTTCTTCGCCATCCTCGTCTTCTTCTCCGGAAAGCTTCAGAGCCTCCTCGTTGTCATCCTCCTCTCGAGCGCGCTGGCGCTGGCGCGTTTGTGGGAAATCGTTCTTCGAGGATGTGTCCGGGTCATCGGTGGACTGCGAACGCTGAGTCGAATTCCTTCTCTGTGGAGAGGCTTTATTATTCGACCGCGTACTCCGTTCACCCCGACTCAGAGAGTTCGACGAGCTTGAGGAGTTGGTGTGCTGGAGAAGGGCAGGCGACGGCTGGGTGGTGCGAGCGCGAGAGGAGCGACGGGGCGACATGATTGGAATTTCTGCTGAACTCGTCCAAGTCTCGAAGGTACGATCAGTCGATGACTGGAAGAGCGTCCCCTCGTAGCGGGATCAGTTCGATCCCAGGGCAGCTCGAGCAGGAACAGCTCGAGGATAAGCTGTCGCACGCGGCGGAGAGGAGGATTCGAAAGTAGCCCGCTGAAAAACGGAAGAAGGATTCGACAGGGCCAATTGCGAGAGGAATCAGAGAGATGACGGGACAAAAAACACTCTCTGGAAGCTCCAGCAACAGCCCACCGGCTACATAGTCTGAAGAAGCAGTGAAATGAGGAGCGGGGAGCAGAGGGATGGGGGGAAGAAGTCGAGCAGGGAGACGGAACGGGATGGCGCTTTCGCTCGCAACGGCTTGGCTTCGGTCTTTTGCTCTCTGCTCGACGGAAGCATTAATTAATATTGGTGCATCCGCCTTTCCCCGCTCCAAATGAAGAAAAGCAGCAGAGAGACGCGCTCGGTACTGCCAGCCAGGGAACCGCGTTGTGCTCGTCCACGTATTCTTCTGTTCGGTTCCTCGCGCGTTGGCATCATCTTGACGAGACATGATATTGCTTAAACTGATTCACTCCTGCTTTTTGCCATTCACCTGCTAACCATCTCGCCGCTTGGACATCTTCCACTTCGACCCCGCTTACGCCAGTTCTCGCACGGCTTCACGATCCCCGCTCTCGGTTACTCCGCGATGAGGATTGTTTCCTACCGTCTGTCCTTCGAGTCTTCCGTCGCTACGCATACGTATACTGGAAGGGCCGTTGGGGTGGGATGCCGAAGGGAGCACGGCGGGAACCCGGATGCGCGCAGGGCTCATCGCAGGGTTGGGATCGTGGGAAAAAGGCGTTATGAACAGCGTACTGCTCGAAGGCAAGACCGTTGCTCCAGAAACTCCATGGGACAGCTGTGAAGGAACTTTCCTCCCGATATTATAGAGCATGCCCAAGACGTTGCTCCCCAGTCCTTGATCATCTTGTACTGTACATACATACAATGGGTGGCCTATCGGATGGCCTGGTGACGATACCAAAGGCCATTGTCACTGATGTGGCAGTCTCTACTAATCTACCAAAGGAGTCCCATTGTTCATCTCAAGTCGACGGTCTTCTTTCACCTGTCGTCTGATATGACGGCTCCGCGGAGCTGGTGCCACCAGTCGTCTGGTTTCTCCGCAATATAGTGTTCTACTAAGCGGACGCGAGAGACGATCATCGTAGTACTAGGAGGAGCTGCCAGGTTGCTTGCTGCTGACGACGTGCTCTTGTCTGTAGAGCTCACCATCCGATGCAGGCACCGTGGTCTGGACTCTTTCCAGCTGCCTGGTCATACTTCATAGTAGACTTCGGTAGAAAGGGGCAGAGACTCGGCAACAGCCGTGAACCACCGTCAATCGATACGTGCTCGAGACCACCACGTCCGTGGGCCAGGTCACACCGCGCTGGAGTCCCCCAAACCGCACGGGGGAAATGATTATAGAGGAAAGCAAGCATTTTGTAAGAGCGGCTTGGAGCACCAGCCAGCCCGATGGTCCATCGTAGAGCAACAAATAATAATAAGAATAATAATAATATCCTCGACATCCTCAACGACCGGACGAAGATGGGTTCCCAAAGGGGCTTAGCGTGGTATGGGCCGAGCAGAGTGGCTGCCACGGTTCTTCTACTACTTCTGCTTCATCTCCGTTGAAAGCTCAACGCCGCGAATCCGATCGATATCCCTCGCCCCCGCTTCCAGTCTCGATCTTTCCCCATTGTGCCGTTCCATTTTCATCCGACCCTTCATTCCGTCATCCAGTAGCGTGTTGCTAAGGACTCTCCGCTCCATCTCGCCAGCTTCACACTTCCGTTCTCCTTAAAAGTCTGCATTTGTGCTGAATAATTACGGATTGTGTGTAAGTCGGCCCTGATTGCTCTGGGGCGGTCCAGCAGATGCCCACGGCCTGCAAGGATGCCAGCGTATGCTGAATACTTGAGGATCTCCTGGGGAAACGCACTATGGCATCGCCCGGAGTAGCAGCTATGAACAGCAGTGCTGACTGTGGCCACTCGCCAGTTTTTTGGATAGAGTCCTCCTGATATCCCACCCCCCTCTGCACGGAGTCTGCCATATATTATACCAAAGAGGAAGAAACCAAGCGAGAGGGACATATTGTCAGACAAGACTTCTCAGATAAGCATCATCGACATTGTTGTTGGGTGCGAGTTTTTGATAACCCGCACGATGGCTGCTACGTTGAGTACGTCTTCTACTACAAAACTCTAGACACTCACAGAAAGGGCTTGGAGATGTCATCTCTTAACCAGGAAGCTTGACTGGATAGCTGGTGATATATGGGCCGTCTATGTGTTCAGTTGCTGACATGGTCGATCCGCAGGCGGGACGTATAACTCCGCTCCAGACACACCGTCCCCGGTGTATCCAGATCGATTAATTAGACCGTTACCAAAACGTCCGCTTCGTTCCCGACTGTCTCCAGAAGCCGCGGAATCGATCCTTTACCCTCCCGCCCCTCCAGTGACACAGCTTTTCTACGGTGCTTATACGGAAAATGGGGAGATGGTGAATGATGCAAAGGTATACGTACAACAAAATGCCGAAAACTATGGCCAGGATGGTAGTACCGATGGGGATCATCATCACCCATATGAAAATGGAGTTGACTGTGTGAGTGATGACGAGGATGGTCCGGTAATGGTTCGTCGAAATGCTGGTTTTCGCGGAGCATCTCTGTCACCCTCTGCGGCCGCGGCCAGCCGACAAGCGTACCCAGGCAATGTGGATAGCTCGCAGACCAAACCATCCTCAGGGCCTGATGGTTACGACGCCTTCGAGAACACCAATAACAAGAAAAAGCGCAAAATCCCTACCTCCGGAAATTTGGGTAGCCATCACTCGACGCTCTCTGCAGACCTCGCAAACATGGGAATTTCTGGCTCCGCATCTTCGTCGGCATCCGTAAACGATGCTGGCACTGGTACTTACTATGGTTCTGGAAATCCGGCATCACCTGCAGGCTCTGGGATCTCTGGACCCGGAAGAGGTCGGTTTGGGCGCAGTTCTGCTCGCAGCAGCAGTGGCAGAATTCCCCTTTCTGTCTACTCACAAAACACTTGGCCCGGAGGACGAGCAGGTATGTACTATTGTGGTTGATCGGTGTTCGCACAGCGATGCTGGTCACCGGTCCATTCTTCAGAATGTTGCTCACCAAACTTGCAGGTGACACGGGATCCAAGACTGACCAGGGGATTATCTCTGCGGCCATTGCCAACGCGGCAGCGTTATCCTCTTCACCAAAGGGCCAGGAAAATGTCAGCCTGCTCGATCAGCAGACGAAGAAGACAACACCAACCAAGACCCAGTTCACCTTTACTTGCGAGTCGGATTCGTCTAAAGGCATGGCCCTGCAGACGAATCCGTTCCCCCTTCCGCAACACCCTCGATCACCCAGTTCGGCCGTTACAAACTCCGCACAGAATTCGCAGGGAGGAGTTGCTACCCAGGGTACTCAAACAAGTCCGAATATGGCCACGCAGGCAAACCAGGCTGCTGCACAACAGCAAGTACCAGGCTCGCAGTCCAATGCGCAGCCCAAGAAAACACGACGTTCGCCAAGCAGTATCTATGCTCTGGCTGCGCGACAGCGTAAGATCCAGCAGCAGTATGCGAACCTCCACCGTCCGCCAAACCCGGAAGACATATGGATTTGTGAGTTCTGCGAGTACGAGGCCATTTTTGGTCATCCTCCAGAAGCACTTATCCGTCAATATGAGATCAAAGACCGCAAGGAACGAAAACGACTAGCAGAGAAAAGGCGACTGCTTGAGAAGGCGAAGATGAAGGGCCGTAAGGGCAAGAAGGCCACTAAGAACGCTGCCAAGAACGCGGCTGCCACGCATGCGCAGGGATATGATCGACACCCAGGGGATCCAGCGGCTGTTGATGGCCATGGATCAAACGGTGACGACTATCTTGACCACGAGTACGACGAAGAGCCCATCCCGATTCCTGCACCACCTCACCAGACGCCGGTGAAGCATCCAGCCGCTAATGGCATTACTGTGAATGGGGGCATTATATCAGCAGATACTAGAGGCGTGGCAGGAGGAGGTACAGATTCTAGCAATGGGTCTGCCTCCTGAAAATCTAGCTCTCGCAGTCTGATGGAAGTTGCGAACCATACTTCCATCACTGTTCTGCCTGCCGGTCGCTGAGCGTCTGCAGCATGCATTTCCTTTTCTCCTGTGTTATGCCTGACGTTTTCCTGTTCCTTATGCCTTCTTTTTCACCTACTACACCTGTTCTTGTGCATTCTCTATCATCATTAAGAACATGTCTGTCACCCACTTTTGTCGACTCTTTCTTGCATCCCTTGACTCCCCACTCAGCGTTTTGTCTCGCATGGTCCTTCTGCATAGCATCTACGTCACATCAGCGCCTCCGTATTCGCTTTCGATTCACGGTGTATGTGTGCATGGTCCTTGTTCCCTGGCGTGTTCTAGGATGGTGGAGTGTGGTCTGGTTTGGGTATCGATGGGCCGCATTCCCAATGTCATGATGGTCACGTTTCCAGTCTAATGTTATTCATTGTCATTGTGTAGTCAACACGACCCCCTTCTATTCCTTGTGATGGTTTCTGTGGAAAGTTGTCTTTTCGTTTGATGGATTCAGATATTTTTGGCCCCATGCGAAGGTCTCGCTAGTCCCGTTCACATACACGAGATCTGGCTAACTTTGCGCCAACGAGAGAATGAATGACAATGGTATCAAGTAAACAAACTGGGCAGTTTTCGACCAATTATCGTAATGGTGCAGCGATCTGGACTACTGAGCAAGAGAGATCGAGTCCAGAGGCCTAAGCCTCGTATAGGATTGCCAACGTTCTGAAGGAGCTGATGACTTCTGCGATCGGTGTTTTTGTTCGCTTTCGGATCTCAGCGCAGGAGTGACGGCGGGCTCATTGTGCAGTCTGCTAGACCACGTTGAGCCCACTTCAATGGCCAGAGACATTTCCATTGTGACTTATCATTGTTCTATTTTCGCGCGCGGCGGAGTTCAACGAGGGCCAGTCGAACCCTGCCGCCGGCTGGAATCCGCGGCGGAAGCGACAGTCCGAAACAAACCACCAGCGGGAATGTTGCGGGCGATCCGCGCGACGTCTTTGTCGCAGCGCTTCTACAATGAACAACAGCCAACAGGAAGACATCCACAGCATGGTGGTGAGGAACCTCATGAGGAGCCTAGCGCTTCATGGCATGACTCTCATCGGCCGTCTTGGGTGTAGGATTCGTTTTGTGTCCCATAGTCCATACCTTCCTGTGGCGGCGAGTCCCCTCCCTTTGTCTCTGCCCCAACTTGAATCGTACTTACTCTTGCGATGACCTCCACCATGGCGCCGTCCTTCACTAGTTTCCTGACTTCTACGTCTCACTTTGTGGTATTCTTGGAGATAGGGCAGCTGTCGAGTCGTTGAGCTTCCAACCGAACCCCATTACACTAACGGTACAGTCTATTCTACACGGCGCCAATTGAAACAACAACAGTCTACTGGACAAGTCAGCTCACCACGACCTGAGTAGGACTACGTAGCAAGTCGCTACTGAATTTACTTGATGAGCTAGGAGGTTCGTCTGTCGAAGGAGAGAGAGACTACGAAGACTTCAATCAAGATCAGGGCCACATATCTATAAGATCTGAGGTACGGATCCCCTCGACCCTGAGATAATCCCCTCTTTATCTCCTTCGTTTCTTCAGTCCTTGCGATACAAATCTTCCTTCATATTTTCTGTTTCAGGTCATAGAAACCGCCCTTTGATCATTCACTGGGCTCATTCTCTTTTCCGACCTGCTATTGATACTCCCTTTTGCTTTCACTTTACCATTGAATGGTATTCTATTGGACACAACAAGGTCGACGAGGGAGAGAATATTCACGTTCCCTTAGTTGTGACTACGGAAGCGCTGTGCGCATCTCACCCCTGTCATCGTTCATCGCGGCTTCCCTTCAAAGCATTCCGGTATATACTGGTTACCTTGTTTTCTTTTCTTATCCAAAACCAACGCTCTCCTTGGCCTGAGCCGCTGAATCACGGTCCACCTTCATTTCAATCACCGCTGTCGAAATTTCCAATGTTGTTTCTTGTTCTCAGGATCTTCAGATTCGCTCGTTCTCAGGCTAAGAAACGAACCGCTGAGCAGCAGCAGCAAGCCTACGATCCTCAGGGTATCCGGTCCGGATCTTCCACTATGGCTCTCGACCAGGCCGGTTCCAAGAAAGCGTTGCTCGAAGATGTCATTCGCTTCATACAACTAGTGATGGCGCTTGTTGTCATTGGACTATACGGTCAAGACCTCAGCAGCAACCACCAAAATGGAGTATATGTGAACGCTAAATGGGTCTATGCCGTCGTCGCTGGCGGTCTCGCAGCACTCACGGCGTTCATATACTTGGTTGCAGCATTCGTCGCCAAAGACAGGCCTCTGAGAACACGCCCACATCTCCACCTGCCGCTGTTTTTATGGCAGTCCGTTCTATGCATCTTGTGGCTGGTTCTTTTTGGGATCTTCGGCAAGATGTATATCGGAAACTCCAACACTAAGAATAATAGCAACGTCGACAAGATGAAGAATGCCGTCTGGATCGATATTGCGAACTTGGGGCTCTGGGTCATCACTGGTCTCTGGGCAGGTCTGCGTTGGCGGCAGAGCAACAAGGTCGTGCCACAGGATACTGAAAGTGTCGGTGACCTTGAAAAGGAAAAGGCCGAGGCCACCGAATAAGCTACGGGTCCAGACAACGGTACAACCTCTATCGGTCAACTATTCGGCCTTGTTATTACTGTCCTTTCGGCGGCGCCCTCGACATACGTCTTTGAGTTAAGCAGGATCCTGCCTTTATTTGCAGGGACCACACGACGATAGACTCTGGAAGTCAGGTGGTCATTTAATTGAAATTCCCGTCCACGCTTTACACTCGGCAGCCCCGATCTTCTCGGGTATTTTCCCTTTTTTTTGGCTTGGATGAAGGTTGCTTAACCCCTTTGAGCCCTGCACTCTATCTGCGTATGTACATTATCATGTGCTGTGTGTATGGTGTCTGGCATCCTTTTTTCTGCTCTATTCTTGGTCTCTTACCCTTTCCTTTGTTGCTATCTGCTTGTTTAGTGTTTCATTCAGTTAGGAGTTAGGGGGCATCTACTTAGGCGTATCGAGGTCAATAACAAGTCCATACTTTGTCCAATCATTCAGGATCGAGTACCTGACGATAGATGTGTTTCTTTGTTACATAGTACATGCAGTCCATACTGCGGAAGATACAGAGTTTTGCTCAGTAATGAGTGGCCAGGCATACCGGATACTGGATACTATATTCATGCTCGTTTCAATCGCAAATTAAATTCCCCACTCTATCTGACTAGAACAGACAGAATATAGATACAGCACAGGCAATTTGATCACGTACGAACTATCATTGGTCTCATTCGGTGGAAATTTGAATTACAGAAGAGACAGCAAGAAGAAGTAAGTACATACATAGTAAGCTCATCTGAACCGTCAGTTTCATAATTGTATTTGCTAAATGCGATATCTCTTCGATACCCGTGGCTAGCTAGCTACTCTTGGATCTTTCTTCTTTGTTAGGAGGATGGATCGAAGAATAGAGTAATAATATAAATACGGGGCAGAGGTGTTCTGTGGTGATCGATCGTGCTGAGGCCAGTGGATAAACTGACTCCCATATATCTGCAACATTTGGGACATATGGGGAAGGCGGATTTATTACAGGCTGGCTCTATGAACCTGTAGGGAGTGATATGCATACGTGGAATGATATTGTTTATTTGTGGTTTGTTTTTTTTTTTTTTTTTTCCGGATTGGCTTTGTGAATTAGACTGCTGATGCTGGTCGACTGGCGGAGGAGCCATCGACATTATTAGAAACTTGGGTTCTCTCGCCGCATGATATATTCGGTTGGCTCTCGCTTGTCCGCCGACTCTGTGCGATCATCATGCTTAGTTGGCTGCGTGGTCGGGATGGGGATGTAGAACGAGAATGTGACCATGAATACGGGGAGCCCCGAGACTCGAGAATAGGGTGGTGGGGATTGTCAGATGGTGTAGAGCTGCGCTGGAGGTTTCCGGATAATATTGAACCACTGCCTGCAGTCGGTCCAGGAGATCTCGTGGACGTGTTCGAAATACCAGATTCAAATCTTGAATCAGCCTCCTCTGTTGCTTCGGATGATACTACATCAGATACTACCATTGATGAGGCCCCGAAAGATTCCCGATGTACTTTTTCAGCGAAACGGCTGCGAAAGTCGTCTTCGACGAGAGACTTGCTGGTTTTGTCTTGTGGACGATCATGCTTTCTTTCCGGGCTTCTGTGGCGGTAAACGCTGCTCGCTTTGAAACCAGTCGGAGGAGGTCCTTCAGCGACTGGAAGTCCCGTCGCTATTGGCACTTCATCGGTCATGAGAAGAGGGATTTTCTGAAGCAGGTCCTCTGTTTTCGACGGTTGTTCAACCACGATCGGTTCTACCAATAGGATGTATTAGTATCAGGGATAGGGACGAGTCACAGTCGGGAAATACGGGAGAGCCCGGGGACGTATTACTCTTCAAGATAAGGATGTGCTTACCTTCCACAGGAAGTGGCTTTTCTACTTGAGTAGTAATCTTTGGGAAATACTCTTGAGACTCTCGAGCAGGTGTTGATGTGAGTTGTGGTGTTGGTAAAGGTGAGACTCTTGCAGATGATTGCCCGGACGACTGTTGCGATGACTTGCGTCTGAGGAGAACCGGTCTCCTCCTTGAGTTCAGGGCCGTGTTGGCTACGAAAGCAGTCTTCTTACGACTCTGTTTTGGTGGAGGCTCCTTGTGGGTTTGCGTACCGGCAAGTGGAGTTGGGGGGTTGGAGGATGTTGTCCGCATGATGTTCTCTCCGGCTTTATCAGAGATTAAGATTCGAGTGGTCTTCGGATGTTCTGCTTGTGTTCCCTGCGACTTCTTCAGGATGGGCGGAAGACGCGTTTGAGTTCGTCCGGAGCGAGCCTGTTCTCCCTTCTTGCTCCCGTCATCCTTGCTGCCTTGTTCTGAAGTTGCTTTTGCTGCGGACCAAATGGTGGTGTCTTGATCAGCGCATTGTTGAGCCTAGAACAGTTAGCAGACACTTAGATAGTTAATTGTGTGATATCCCATACTGTTTCTAATGCACGAAGCCTTTTCGTTGTCGCAGTTGGTATTGTTTCGATAGCACGATCGTCAGATATGTGCACGAATAAGGTAGCCAGAGTGGAACCAGAGAGAGAGCTGTATATGCGCTTGCTGCTCCAGATTCTCCAGAAGAAGTTTTCTAGCCGTTGTCCTACTCCATCCCGTAGAATAGAACTGTTTGTGTTGTATACTAGATGGAACGTCGTAGTCAGTCCTTTGCTGTTCTGTCCGCACAAAGAGAGATGGAAAGGGTTAATGGCACAATACCTCTCCATAATTTGATGATATCGTCGACATCGACACCACCTAAGACGGCCAACTCAGAACCGACATCCCCCTTCGTGAGAACTAGATCCTTGGGTAGATTCTCCGTCATCGCAAAAGAATCAAGTGGTAGCTGTGCACCACTGGCATTGGCTTCAGGACGTCTGTTCCGACAACTACATAACCAGCATGGCCAAGGCTTAGCGGCCCGATAATCAGTTCGAAGCAGGAATAACCTGCTCGTTTATCGAAGTACGGTTGCCACTTTCACACGTGCCAAAGAAGAGAGAGACTTCATGTTGCACGAATCTTGTCCATATCGATCTGAGCGAGGCGCTGACTCTCTTCTCGTATGTGGGGGGCTATGTCCAGAAGATAAAGGAAGAACGTCTGAATCGAGGGATAGAGGACCCGACCCGCTGATTGCGACTTATCTTCACCCCGAAAGCCTGTGACTGGCTTCGCCTCCTTTCTTCACTCCGGGCCAGCAAGGACAAAGCAATGATCAAAGAGGCAACGCTGGTGACCGCAGCCTGTATCCGGAGCTGGTATGCAAGCGAGAAGATGGACCAGACAGGGATAGGTGATGGGATAGATGTTTAGCGTTGGTAGGACTTTTCTGTTTCAAACGAGACGGATCACGATGCCAGGAGGCACTGTTGGTCGATGCTGGGCTTCCAGAAGGTCAACCCGTTCGTTTGGGGAAGGGCGGAAGTGAGCTCCGCAAGGCACGGCTATGGTAACTCTGCCACCGCTGTAGGATCAACCTCTGCTAGGCCACGTCCGCAACACTGGACTCCAGACAAGAGTGAAGATCTTCGAGAAAATCCTTTACAGTTTATTACAGCTGAGACGATCAGCCGGTCGCCGAGTCCCGTCATAGCTTGTCATCAAAAACAGGAGCTTTTTTGGTTCTCGGCGCGGCCCGGCACCAGAGAACGAGCTAGATGCCCAGCTTCCCTAGCACAGACGTCGGTTGGGTATACGGAGTAGATTATAGAACCATATTTCCACTAGACTAGCAGTCCCCTGATAATGATTATGAGTTATTACTCCTGTCAATCATGCTATCATTCTCTGATGCGAAAACATGCCTTGGGGAATAATATGGACAAAGAAAAGTGGCACTAGATATGGTACATGATCCTTCTACTTCCCATTCGTTCCGTTCTCACAGCATCCTTCACCGCATCTTCCATAAATACGTGCTCTGTTGGGCTAAACCAGCCAGAACGGCACGAAGCGGATGTTCGGGAATCATGCATGTTCGGTCATTTTAAAGACATCGGAGTTGCTCCCCATATTGGGCCATACAATTTCGCTGCAACGTTGACCCGTCGAACGGAGAGATTCTGGTTCGCATGCCACGGAATAACAATTGCGCCAGAAGTTAAGGATCAGATTCAATTGTGGCCATGTGGGGGAGTTCCCGACTCCAGATAAGCGGGCAATCTCCATTCCTGCGGCCTTGGCGAATCTAATCGTCGATCGTGCAACCAGAGGTGAAGAATTCGGTTTTTTCCAGTTTGCTTCGAAAATCTTTGACGAATAATAATACTCTCTGCTCTGGACTTAACTAGAGCCCTAAAGCACCGCTACGAGTTCTTCCTTCCCTAACTTCATACATACCGTGACCACTGCCATTCGACCTTGAGGATCCGGAGATTCTGACAGAGCACAATGGATCTAATAATATGTACAGTAATTAATACAGGCTTCTCGGGCACTAAGATATATTAGTTAATCCCGATTCTAAGGTGCTGATCGGTGGTGGCTGCATCGCCTCCCTGCAGGGATGGCTGTCCATTCCCAGATGCAGGCATTACTCCGTGTCTGGGAGTTCACCAGGCGCATTATCTGCTAAACACAAATAATAGCGCATATATATACACGGCCAATAATGCAGTCGAGAGAACCGCCTGGCTATACTCCGTACTTGTATATCCTGTTCTCTGAAAAAGCGGTCCTGCTGGACTCATGCAATTGTCCGGAGACTGAAGCAGGCCATTCCTACTAACTAGAAAAGCGGTATGCGAACCACCTGGATGACAGCAGTTCGATTTGGCCGGGGTAAATACTTAAGTTCATAGTTAGTTAGCTCAAATTTAGGTATGTCATCAAGGTACCTGGCTCAAGTCCACCCTTGACACTAGTTACTTCTCGAAGGAAAAAAAAAAGCCTTATAAACTACGTACTCCGTACGACTGAAATCAATTAGTTTAGTTAACTATCGATACCCTCCTTTGTCATAATGGCTCGCGCAGCTCACCCATCGGAATAATCACGATGCTCAACATCCCTTCGCGGCATTCACTCAATCAAATTCGACGCAATTAGAGTATCAACTACCCCTCAATTAACCACCCGCGGCCTCTTCGATTTTCTTCCACGTTATTGATCTGGAACCGATCTGATCTGTAATCTGTAAATTCTAGAGTAGTAGTAGGAACTATATTACCCGCGTCTGCGGCTCTAGTTATCGATTATTACTTCGGGGGGCCATCGCTCAGTAACAAACCTTACTTGTAAAGTGGCAAGAGGGAGTTGAAAGCTGTGCTGTACTGTTGCTGAGCGACTATGTCCGAGGTTCACTGTTGTATGATTTTCAGACCAAGCTTGACAAGACGCGAACTCAAAAGACGTTGGGAATGCCTCGAACATATGATGTTTCTGGAATCAAAATGCAAGTCAAGCTCTCATCTTGCTGAAACGTTTCTTCTCTTTTTCTTTTCTTTTTCGTCGTTGTCTTCAGATGTATCAGCATCCTTTTTTGCCTCTCTTTTTTCTTCTTCTTCCTCGTGTCGATAAATTGTATGGGTATCAATTATCTATAGTCTATGGTCTATGCTTTTATTGTTCGTGAGTCATAAGTGGGCCGTGATACAGGTCTATCAGTGTGATGAAGCAAAAGGTCCGACAGAAGACAAGGAGGCTTCAGTTCGAAGCTAGTTCCCGAGTAAGAACAAAAACCCCAGACTGCCAGGGGTCGCCTGAACATGAGTATTAGTTAGCGCCTTGTACAACCGTCCCAGAAACAGAGATGCGCACGAGTCTATCGTCGTACGCATCCCAACAGTCCACAGTGCCATGATCTATCAAATTGCACTCGAACACAGAAAGCAAGGCCAACAAGCCGTAACAGAAGGACTCCTGGACGCAACGTGATACACTTCCAAGAAAGTCGAAAAAGTGCAACTCCGGATCGTTGAATCAAATAGACAGAATAGTAACCACAAGCCATGAACCGAAGAGTCGGCCCAGGAGACACATGTTATGATGTTGCCCTTCGTAAGAAAATCACAGCTGTCTATAACCGAACCCAATATCATGTTTTTGCTCCAGTTGAAATAAACAGAACGCTAAGATTGTGAAATATCAAATGCTGTTCGGAGTGGCGCCCTTAGGTAAGAGTGTAACCACCGTCAACACGGAGATCCGCACCAGTGATGTACTTGGCAGCATCACTGAGCAAGAAGGTGACGGCACCCATGAGGTCCTCGGGAGTTCCCATCTTGCCAACAGGAATCAAGGAGGTCCACTTCTTGTTAAGCTCGGGGTTCTCGTCGAGGATCTTGCGAGTGAGGGCCGTCAGCATATAACCGGGGCTAATGCAGTTAACCCGGATGTTGTGACCAGCCCATTCGACAGCAAAAGATGCAGCCAGGTGTCGCACAGCGGCCTTGGCGGCATTGTACGGAGCCTGGGGTTGAGGAACGTTGACAATGGCACCAGACATACTGCCAATCATGACAATGCTACCGGGGGATTTACGATCCATAAGGTGCTTGGCAACAGCCGTGGACCACAGGTAAGTACCATCCACGTTGACACCCCAGAGCTTCTTGATGCGGTCATGTGGGTATGAGATCGCATCAAAGTTCTCGGTGAATCCAGCAGAAGTGACCAGGTTGTCGACCTTGCCGTGGGCGGACAGAATTTCAGCAAAAGCCTTGTTTACGGACTCGGGGTCCGAAACGTCGGAGTAGTGTGCAGTAACCTTAGGGAGGCTTATTTCCAGTTGTTAGATGGGGTGTTCATCACACTTAGGAGTTGGATCGAACTTACTCTTCAGGGTCCAGTCCCGGGTTCTCGTCACGGAACTGCTGGACGAGCTTCTGAGCCTGCTCCTCAGCCTCCGCCTGGTTGAGATCGACAATGGCCAGATCAGAGCCAGAGTTGACAAGAGCTTGGCCCATGACTAGACCCAGACCACGAGCACCACCGGTGACCACGCTGACCTTGTTCTCCAGGGAGAAGGAAGCGAGGGTGCGCTTGAAGTGCATACCACCACGGCCCTGGACGATAGGACTGCGAGGCATCTCATGGTCCTCCGGGTATTCAATCTTGACGTTCTCGTCGGTACGCGCCCAGGCACCCTCGTGTTGACCGGAGGCGCCCCCGGGAGCAGCAGTCGTGGCGGCGGCGAAGGGATCCTTGTCTTTGGGCTCATCCTTCAGCATCGCATGCGTGGTGGAAATAGGACGGGTGCCATTGACAACCCGAGAGGCAGTAGCCCGGCTGACAGCTCTCACGGCCGTACGTGACAACACAGGCTTGAACATGGTGATTTTGCTGGAGAATCTGACATGGTCTTAGTGACAGCAGAACAAGGGAGTTGGGAGAGGAAGAGTAAGCTGACTTGATATGTTTCTCAAATAGCTCGACAGCGAGTGGAAACCCTAACTCACTCTGCTTCTTCTGCTCTAGATACACACGTTGAACTAAAGCCTAAGGCAGGAAGCTACTTAGCAAGGGATTCCGCAGGCGAGGATAAACAGCAATTGAGGCGGCACCAGAACACCAGTGGCCTGCTGCTGAGGGAGATCAACAGAGAGCAGATAACGCGACGTGCTTGACAAGATACCTCGAAGGAAACAGAAGACAACTCGGACGGGAGAGAAGTACTAATAAATAAAGCTTGCAGAGCTTCAAAACATGCGGGGCTGGTGCGCGAACCATGTGATGTCCAGCGGTGGCAGTTTCAGGCCCGTCTCGACCGGATCTGTCCAACTTCCCCCCCTTGCCCAGAATCTACTAGGTAAACACGGCCAACGGACAAAGCTACGCGGCATGCTTTCACTATCAGACTATCTATCAGTTTCTCTCCGCAGCCGCCACTCCGCGACAGCTCTGTCCATGCTTTTCCCCAAAAGACGCCACCGACCAAACACCGTCCTGGCACTGTCCAAGATAGCTTCCCCTGCTTGTTCAACATCCCACCTCAACTCTGTCATCTGCCTGGCCCGTTCAACACGGCCACCGCCCATTGAGGTGGCTGCTCCCGGCATATTAAATAGGTCTGCTGGTCCCTGTCGCTTACCGTCTAGTGCTTGACGATCAGGCCATAGTAGTAGTAACCACCAGGGTCTGTTAACAATTCTATGGTACACGGTGAAACGATGCCCAAAAAAAGGAAAGAAAAAAGAAAAAAGAAAAGAAAAGAAAATTCAGTATCGGACCCTCACCGCTCCGAGGACACGATTACAGAAACGAGGAGTTGCGACGAGCGGGGAAGCTGAGATACAGGACCTGGAAGGATGTGGGATAGCGGGAATTATTCTATTGCTGGTGCTAACTGTGAAGAGTATTTGTTGCCATTGTTCGTACCATAATATCGTATAGTTACTATCTATAGCTATAACTCTGGTGTGGTGCCTTGGAACCGCCATGGCGGCTTCCAGGTCGTTCTTGGGTCCTCAGAGAGTTTGGCTATGATTCTTCCATATTGTTCTTCCATTGTCTCCCCGACTTCCGGGGAAAGCCGTGGCCGTTGTGTGCCTAAGCGCTGGCCCTCGATCTGGGGCCGAGAGCGCCCCCGAACTGTCCGAACATGGCTAGAAGCCATCTTATCCCGAGTGTCCCGACCGATCACCTCGCACGATCTCCGGATTTACGCTCTCATATCATATGGTAGGCCTGGTCCGTGGTGACTCTGGTCCATTTCAATCTCCAACACATCCACGACGGCCGGCAGATTATGCTGCATCGTCACCGACAAATTCGACCAGCGGCGTACCGCTCTTGCATTGATCCTGCATCCCAAATCAGCTCAGTCAGTTATAGTTATGTATTAACTCAATCGAGGGCCCAGACCCGCTGGGTTGTGGGGAGTTAGAAGACTCGAAGAATGACGATGGAAGTGCCCCGTGGGCCGTGCCAAACCGGGGTGATAGCGAAGAAAAAGCTGGACGTGCGGCGTGACCTACCCCTTTCTTGTGTACAACCCGCGCAATGGTCCCGTGATGCGGGCTGCGGATGACCGTCTCCATCTTCATACTCTCAATCACCACCAGCGCTTGGTCCTTCTCCACCCGGTCGCCTGCCTGGACCTCAACACGAAGGATTTTACACGGCATCGGTGCTAGTACGCTGTTAGCAACATCACGGATACCCAGTGCTTTTTCCATCCATTTCCCCCGCGGTATTTCCAGGCGATACTGTCGACCCCGCTGAAATGCGATCACCGAGTTCTCGTCTCGTATCACCGTAGTGTCCAGTCGTGTGTGGGGGAAAAATGATCGCACCACCCTCGACTGCAAGTCAACCTGGGTCGTCACGTTGTCCCAGACTTGTCCGTTGACAATGACACGAAACTTGTCCTCCCCAGTTTGGTGCACCTCGACTGCATGCTCCTTGCCGTGTCCAGCAGCTGCCGTTTCTTCTGCAAAGGTGAACTGTCGTTGCTGATAGCCAGGGCCGAACCCCACGGATCCTCCTCTGGGTCCTCGACAGTGAGTTTGGACGGCGGGTTCAGATGTGGAATCCTGGATCAGACAAGCCAGCGCGACCTGGGCCAGCACTTCGTCCGGAATACTCTTCTCCGCGAAGAGCTCCGCTCTGTGCTTCTCAATGTACCCAGTCTCAACCTTGCCCTCGACGAAATCTTCGCTCTGGCACACGGCCTTCAGGAACTCAATGTTGGTAACGGGTCCAGCAACCTCATACTCCTCGAGGGCGAGCGTCAAATTGCGAATGGCTTCCGTTCGGTTTGCGCCTCGCACGATAAGCTTCGCAATCATAGGATCGTAATGGGCAGAGACCTCGTCTCCTGCGACGAACCCAGCATCAATTCGCACATCTTTGCCGAGAGTAGGTGTTCGCACATGGGTGAGCAGTCCAGAGTCAGGAATGAAGCCTTGGTCAGGGTTTTCAGCGTATATTCTGGCCTCAATGGCATGGCCGCTGTTCATGATCGTGGCTTCGATTTCTTCTTGGGTAAGTGGCAAAGGGGCTCCTTCAGCGACGAGGATCTGCCAGTGAACCAGATCTTGTCCGGTAACCATCTCTGTGACTGGGTGCTCAACTTGGAGCCTGGTATTCATCTCCATGAAGAAGAACTCGCCCGTCTCATTGTCGAAAATGAACTCGACAGTTCCTGCACCTTCGTAGCCCACGGCCAATGCAGCCGACCGTGCTTTGTTCCAGATATCCTTCCTCGTCTCTTGAGGCAGATCGGGGGCAGGAGACTCTTCCAAAATCTTTTGATGGCGTCTCTGAATGCTGCAGTCTCGCTCACCTAAAGCGACGCAGTTTCCGTGCTTGTCCGCAAAGACCTGCACTTCAATGTGTCGTGGCGTCGTGATATATTTCTCAATCAACACATGATCGTCTCCGAAGGAATTCAGAGCCTCCGACTGAGCTGACCGCAGCTGATCTTGAAACTCCGCTTTGGAATTGGCTATGCGCATGCCCTTCCCTCCTCCGCCCTTGACTGCTTTAATCAGCACTGGGTATTTAATCTTATCGGCCTCTTGTTCGAGGAATGCTGGATCCTGGTTGCTGCCGTGGTATCCTGGAACGCAGGGCACGCCTGCTGCGGTCATGATCTCCTTCGACCGACTAGATTTGGATCAGTGATACTAGTCTGTAGGAGGGTTATCAGGGCTGACCTCTTGTCTCCCATATCCTCGATAGCCTTCCATGGTGGGCCAATGAAGACTAGGCCGGCTTGCGTACACTTTTGGGCAAAAGCAGCATTCTCGCTCAGCTGTCTACCTGTTAGAAAGTTGAAATACAGCCTGGTGCTAGGGAACGACGAACAAAGCCGTAGCCGGGATGTATAGCCTGACAACCCTCCCTCTTAGCAATCTCTATGATACGATCGCCGTCGAGATACGCCGATGTATGTCCCAGATTGAAGGCAGAGGGCGAGCTTAGAGCGTGCTGGGATTTTGCATCAGGGTCTGTGTACAACGTAGTTATGCGGATACCGTGTTGAGAAGCTGTCCGTCCGACTCGCCTAAACAATCGGTCGTTACTAGAGTGACCTCTGCAAAGATGCCCTTACTAAGACTTACAAAGCTATCTCGCCTCGGTTTGCAACGAGGATAGAGTTGAGAGAGGTCTGGCCACCAGCTGGGTTTGCTGCTGTTGAAGCAGCTCTTGCAGCTGTTGATCGGATTGCAGCCGACCCCAGTCGGGAAGTAGTGCGGAGAAGCGAGGACAGAGGCATTGCACTGTACACTCAGCTCTTGCTTTGGATCTCAAAACAATAAGTGGTAAATATTTCCAGAAACACAAATCATGCTTCGAAATCAACAAGACCGCCGTCCGACAGGTGTCTTAAAGAGACGTATTACATTCTTCCCTTTCCTCGGCAGGCCCCCTCAACCCCAGAAAATGGTTAAGCCGACGGAAAGCGAACGCGGGGAAAGAGCCGTGCACGTGACACCGCCGATCCATCCTTGTCCTGGAATTCCAATTCGGGATCCGCAAGAGGAAAGCGGAAACGCAGGGAAATTCAGATCTCGAAGGCTGCGGTCACATTTTCCAGCCTAGACGTCGTCTTTGCTCAGACAACTTTTATTCCCGAGCCACTGTTTAATTCGAATTGAGATTGCAGACGTGGCACATTTTCGTGTGGTCTTGTCAGCTTTGGAGACCCTTTTTTCGCTGATCACGGAAACCAGGGTAGTAGTTCCTGGCACCTGACCTTCTAGCTATTCTTGGTATCGGCATATGATGAAAGCAAGCTTGGAATGAATTGTTAGCTTTTCCTGCCTCGAGAACCGCTGCTTCCACCAACATAGCCTGAATGGGGCGGACTCCTGTCTTGGCTTCGACCGCGCATTTTCTCTGAACAGTTCTTATTGGCGTTTTGAGTCCCTATCCACCATGTCGGACGATGAAGACTTCGTTGACGATGACTACGAGGACGAATGGTATTGGGCTGAGGACGCAAACCCTGATATTGCTGTGCGTTTCTCAACACCCCATCAACCCTCGTGAAAAAATTTTCTGCAGTGGAAATCTGTCTGGGTGAAATGCAACCGAAAACGAGAACTGACTTTGAAATTCGGATATTACAGGATAACCTAGCGGAAACTGCTCAGCATTCTCCTATACCCGTGGATGACCCTGCCCTCGAACTCGTAGAGATCTTCAGCGACTGGGAATATTATTCGGACGATTATTACGATGACGACGCATCCGTGGTTCGTAAACTGCGGAGCACTCGAGCGTCTCCATACAGAAGCCGTACAAAGTCCCAAGGGAATGGTGATGAGACGAGGAACACAAAGAAGCGAGAACTTGCACGGGTGGATGACATACCGGAGTTGAGTTTGGACGATGAAGAGACTCCACCGCCCTTCGAGCTGATAGACGCGTCGTCCTTCAAGGGCGTCGTATGGAAGAAATCGGACGATGCCGCTGTCCAGAGAGCACAGCTGTATGAACCCGGTTTTGGGGAGAAGGTGGCTCTCCTCAGGAACTGGCGAGAGATCTTTAAGGACTCTCAGCCCAAACGCAACGGAAATGGGATAAGAAAGTCCAACACTACCAAGTCTGCTTCTAGTAGTAATGGTACTGCTACAAGGAGCCGACGAGAAAAGACACAAAAGATTTCAAGTGGGTCTGCAGATATCACTCCAGAAGGTCATCCGTTGTCAGGCGATGTGTCTAGAGCAGATGTTCCTCAACAGATTACGGAAGCTGATACGGGCACATCATTCACGCCACCCCCTCTATCCATCAATGGTGCCGAAAAGCCAGCTGTTGCCGTAAAGACGAAAGACGGGCCACAGCGGAAATCTACATCCCGACTCAGACGTACGGCCACAGTGCAGGATAAACCACCTGGTGCGAGTGACCACGCAGCGGAACCTGAGCAAAGGGCATCTACCAAAGCCTCACAGCAGAAATCAACGAGAAGCGACGAGAATAAGAAAATATCTATCGCTGTGGAGGTGCCTGTACTCTCTACTGCGGGGCGACGTTCGCAGCGCAAACGGCGGGCTTCAGAATCCGTGGATAAGGAAACGGAGAATACTCAGCCTCGACCGAAGCGTGCTGCCCCGGCGAGAAGAACAAAGGCAAACGATCAAGTAAAAGAAGCTTCGTCTCCACCAAAAACGAACGTTCGACGGTCGACCAGGACGCGAAATGGTCAAAAATAGGTCATGCCGAGCAGCATGATTGATGATAAACAACACATTTATTCTCGATTCTGTACAGTTATAATTCATTGCTTATAGATTCAGGCCCCACTGCTAGCTTTTTCTCTAGCAGACATGCACATGATATGAGGAAAGTTCCATAGTAACTTCAGAATACATAAGGTGTGTGATAAACTCGAACAACTAGATCAGGCGGTTTTAGGATCTGCGTTTTGGCTTTCTTCAGCACTCTCATAAGATCATTTACTGCTTTTACCCTCTGAGAAGGGATCATAAGATCTCTTGTGGATAAGACAAACATGTTGGCGTTGCCCTCCTATTCATGAATATTCCTTGTGAAATGCCCTTCCAATTACCATTCGTCGAATCTCGCTCGTGCCGGCACCAATCTCATACAACTTCGCATCGCGAAGCAATCTACCAGCCGGGATCTCATTAATATACCCGGTTCCTCCCATCAGCTGGATACCATCCAAGGCACACTCAGTGGCTCGTTCCGCAGCGTAGAGGATAGCACCGGCGCAATCTTTCGTGGGAACAACGGTCCCGTGGCCTGAGACAGCAGAAGCATCGATGCCACGAGCTGTGGAATAGGTATACGCACGGGAAGCCGCGAGTTTGGTATGCATATCTGCAAGTTTGCCTTGGATGAGTTGATTGTATGCAACGGGAGTCCCGAACTGCTTTCGGGTGTGGGTGTAGGGAAGAACGAGGTCGAGTGCAGCTTGCATGATTCCCAAAGGACCAGCACTCAGAACAAGTCTCTCGAGGTCCAAGCCTTCCATAAGGACCTTGACGCCCTTGTTTACCTCTCCAAGGATGTTCTCTTTGGGGACAAAGACATCCTCGAAGATAAGCTCGCCCGTATTCGAGCCACGCATTCCTAGCTTATCGAGTTTTCGAGCGCAGGAGAAACCCTTGAAGGTCTTTTCGACCACGAAGGCCGTGATGCCCTTCGATCCTTTCTCGGGTTCCGTTTTCGCATACACGACAATGAAGTCCGCATCGGGTCCCTATATATTGCCAAAATGTCAGGTTTTATGGATAGGATGAATCGTAGAAGATCTTTGAGAGAGCAGTCGACTAACGTTCGTGATCCACATCTTTGTCCCGTTGAGCAGCCAGCCACCGTCGACAGCTTTCGCCGTCGTCTTCATGCTCACGACATCCGAACCGGCAGAATGTTCAGACATGGCTAGCGCACCGACCTTCTGGCCAGATATCAGACCAGGGAGAAACCTGGCTTTCTGCTCTGGCGATCCATTCAATGAAAGCTGATTGACGCAAAGCTGCGAGTGAGCGGCGTAGGAGAGACCAATGCTTCCTATTTAGACGATTAGGATAATAATGCTATCAAGTTCTGGTATAGGTCTTCAGTACCTGAAGCTCTGCTGATCTCTTCGAGGACTATACAATGCGCCTGGTATCCCATGGCCAATCCGCCATATTCTTCGTCTGCTGTAACCCCAAGGAACCTGAGATATAAGGAGGATTCTGGCTTAGCTGTAATCCAGAATAATACCGGGGGTATGCTAGTTACTCACCCAGCGTCTCCCAACTTCTGCCACATTTCCATGGGGAATTCATTTTGCTGATCCGTCCGTGCAGCAACTTCTTCGGGAATTTCACGTCCTTGATGAAGCAAGCATTAGAATATCAAGCACGTGAAATATAGTATTGAGATGTATATGGCTAAACCCATCAAATGGAGCCTTTCCCGTAGAGCAAGACTTACTCGTGAATTCCTGCACTCTTTCCCTCAATTCGACCAAATCGTCTTCCGTCGGTAGTTGGAAGCCCTTCGGATGTTTTGTTGACAACATGCGCCATGCAGGGGTCTGCACAAGCGGTCGCTGTACCTGATTGAGCGTCCTGGAGGAACGCAGGAGCAATTGCGGAACTCTAAGAGCGGCCATGTTGTCTATTTGATCTGAAAAGATGCACAATTCAGCAAAAGAGAACGGGGTATATGTGCTAGACACGAGCAGAAGTAAAGCCGATAGTAATCGACGGGTAAGCCCCGGCTCACATGCGACGGTTGGACGCGGCAATCCTCGCTCTCCGCATTTTCCCCGCCCCCGGACAATCATCCTCTCTCCACGCTCTGGCGTACTACTACTACATACCTAGGTACCTTACCGCACCTCGTCCTCTCTTCCTGCTGCGTACCTCCCATTGCACTACTCTTACTCCCCTCTTTGCAAAGGAGATATCTGAAGAATAATAATCTGAAAAACTGTCTGACATCTCTCTATTTCCTTTTTCCTTTTATCCTTGCGACGTTCTCCACCATGGCCCCCACAATCCGAGGCCCGTCCCTAGTCCTTCTCCGCAATTTGCCCTCGAAAACACTACCCGGTCGCCAACTACAACCTCGACGACGGCTGCTGTTAGGAGGATTCACGACACGTCCACGGACAATTGCCAGCTATACGCACCGACACCATGCTTCCGCGATATCGGTCCTCCCCACGGCGGTGGATACATCCTCCGCTGATTTTCAGGAGAACGCGGCACAAATGAACGAGTTGTTGGAGAAAATGTCGAAGCTGCACGAGAAGATTGCACAAGGAGGACCACAGAAATCGAAGGAGAAACATCTGGCACGAGGAAAGATGCTGCCTCGAGATCGAGTGTCGGCGCTTATCGACCCTGGGACATCTCTTTTGGAACTCTCCCCGTTGGCGGGATATGACATGTACGGAGAAGAGGTACCGTCTGGAGGAATCATTACTGGGATAGGCACTGTTGAGGGTGTCACATGCATGATTGTCGCCAATGATAGTACCGTCAAAGGAGGCACGTACTATCCGATCACCGTGAAGAAGCATCTCCGTGCCCAGGCAATTGCACAGGAAAACAAACTACCTTGCATCTATCTCGTGGATTCTGGCGGTGCCAACCTTCCTCACCAAGCCGATGTCTTTCCAGATAAAGACCATTTTGGCCGGATATTCTTCAACCAGGCAAGGATGAGCTCACAGGGGATACCCCAGATATCGGTCGTGATGGGACCTTGCACCGCTGGAGGCGCATATGTCCCTGCTATGAGCGACGAGACAATCATCGTCGAGAACCAGGGCACTATCTTCCTTGCGGGCCCTCCACTTGTCAAGGCAGCGACGGGAGAAGTGGTGTCCGCAGAAGACCTAGGCGGTGGACATCTACATAGCACGGTGTCCGGTGTCACGGATTATCTGGCGGTTGATGACGCACACGCCCTCGTTCTTGCGCGCAGGTGCATATCAAACCTGAACTATCCCAAGGCCTCTTTCCCTCTACAGTCGACTACGCAGGCCATTAAGGAACCTCTCTACGATCCAGAGGAACTATCGGGAATTGTGGGCACAAACCTCCGCCGTCAGATACCTGCGCATGAGGTTATCGCACGAATCGTCGATGGCAGTGAATTCGCCGAATTCAAACGTGACTATGGCAGCACCCTGGTCACTGGATTCGCCCGAATCTATGGAACCCAGGTTGGCATTGTTGCCAACAATGGCATCCTGTTCTCCGAGTCCTCACTCAAAGGAGCTCACTTTATTGAGCTCTGCGCCCAACGAAACATCCCACTGATTTTCTTGCAGAATATCTCGGGGTTCATGGTCGGTGCTGATGCAGAAAGAGGCGGTATTGCCAAAAATGGCGCCAAGCTAGTCACCGCTGTCGCCTGTGCCGATGTTCCTAAATTTACTGTCGTGTTCGGTTCCAGTGCCGGTGCTGGCAATTACGGAATGTGGTGAGTTCACAATATATCCGTTCCTCTTTACTCTTCAGTATTAATTATCCTCAAGCTAACGCTGTCCGTAGCGGTCGGGCTTACTCGCCCCGTCTTCTCTTCATGTGGCCCAACGCCAAAATCGGCGTTATGGGCTCTGAGCAACTATCTGCCGTCATGGAAGCAGTTGGCCGTACTGCAGACCCCGCTCTGAAAGCTCGTATCGATCTGGAGTCCGAAGCGACCTTCTCCTCTGCTCGTCTATGGGATGATGGCGTCATCCCTCCGTCCCAGACCCGACGAGTCCTGGGTCTTAGCTTAGCGGCAGCTCTAGGAGGAAATGTGGACGCCGACGTTCAGACAAAGTTCGGTGTCTTCAGGATGTAAAAATTCCTTTTCAAGCGACGGTGCGGTTATTTGTCAAGGATATCTGTCCGGTGCATCTTTGCGTAGCAGAACACGCGTCGTGCCTAGCAATCCATAAAGAAAGCATAGATTTCAAACATGCCATCAAATCTATCTTTTCGCGGACGATATGACTATGAAACGCTCCAATGGACTATAAAAGATAAAGATCTATTATTGTACTTAAACCAAAACGAAAATGAAATAGCTTTTCTGATGCTCGACAGATGTGAAGAGGCTCAAAACAGACAAAATCTCTAAGACGTTAACCACATCTCAAATCGTCAGAAATTAAATCATGGACAGGATGGAGTGGAGAAAGAAGAGGCGTGGTGGATCAGTAGAATCTTCCGTTAGGAATAGCCCATGTAATGGCCATTTAGTAGGCGCGGTTGTCAACAAGCGATTCTGAGGAAAGGATAATCATAAACATGAAACGGAATCAAGATAGAAAAGCAAGTAGAATAAATATGGCAGTTATATGCTTAGTGGGGAATATGAAAAAAGGAAAAAAAAAAGTAGAAAAAAATAAAAACAAAAACAAAAAGCTAGAAGCACAAAAAAATCACTTTTTTTGACTTCTTTAATTCACTTTTTTCTTTTCCTATTGTTTTCCCTTCATGCGTCGCTCTCAATCCATCTCATAAAATCACACAGGGCCCCTTACGTTTGGAGTCTCGCTTTCTCTCTCGCTTGCGATCATGACGGTTGGGCCCTTCGCGCTTGCGCAAGGGGTTTTCATTCTGTCTCAATTGGGTGGCTTGTAGATCTTTTCTGATGATCTGTCGACAGAGGTCTACAAAGACTTCGTTCACGTTGGCCCTGCGACGAGCGGATGTCTCGTAGTAGGGAGCATTGCCCCAGCTCTGGGAGAGAGCAAATGCTTTGGCGCGTGATACAGCGCGGTCTTCCTCCAGGTCTGACTTGTTTCCGACTATCACAAGAGGCACTTGATCATCGTCCTTGATGCGGATAATCTGCTCCCGGAGCTCTGACAGCTCGTTGAGGGAAGACATGCTAGTTATGGAGAAGACAAGGAGGAATCCCTGCCCTTGCTTCATGTAGAGCTCTCTGGATAAAAGATCAGTCAGGGCTTGTAATCTTTTTGGCGTTATCTGGCGCGATTGCAGTTGAGGTTCTGTCAAGAAGGTATTTTGAGATCTCATACCTCATAGCAGCTGAGATATGTTAGCAGGTTTTCCAACAAAATAACTTGGAAAAAAGGCGGTGCTACTCACTGAATTGCTCTGTGCCTGCAGTATCAAGGCTGAAATGGAATGTCTTGTCAGTTTCGATACAAAGTAGGCAGTTGCTTTCGCATCACGTGGTCAGAAGCACATACATCTCCAGGATACATTGTTTGCCCTACGGAAGATTAACGGCTGCACGGTAAAGCAAGGGCAAGAGGCTTCGAACTCACGTCTACTTCGATCTGTTTGCGGTACGAATCCTCGATTGTAGGATCGTAGCTCTCTATCCAGACATTCTGTACAAACTGGGCTATGAAATTGTAAGCTTAAGTGTCCCAAGGTTCTAGCGACGGAAGAAGTCGGGTGAACAGAGGATTGGTAAAATGGTGAATAAGCGGAGGCCGCTGTGACTAGATGTCTATAGGGGGAGAAAGGAGAAAAAAAAGGTCTATTTACCGGTAAGACAGCTCTTCCCGACTCCACCTAAGGTCGGTCGCATCAGTGAAGCCGCTTACGACAATGCCAGATAAGAGGCTAGAGCCTACCAGCACCTAACACGACGATATGATATTCTCGTCTGGGTTACAATTGATGAATTAGTCTCCGCTATACGAGACGTCCGGGAATGTCCTTACGGACGAGGTTTCATGGGCTAGATCAGCACTTACCGTGGCTGCATCTTGGTTAAACCTCGAATCCACGTGTCCTAACGCTTGGACAATCCTCTAAAACAAGTGGAAACACTGCACAGAGGTCCGTAGCAGGGGTCGAGCCTCCTGACCGTGAACCCTCGCGGCACCGCCTGCGAGAATTGTAGTTCCGATTCCTCACGGAGGATTTGCTAGAATGTTGCGGCTTTATCTTACGTCGCCAAAAGAAACAGATATCCTGCGGTTTAGCCTCAGAGTGATCGACACCGGATTGCGGAACAAAACACACGAGTAGGATCTCCAGATCGTTATAGCCGGTCTGTAAAACCACAGGGACAGCTTCTTCTGGAGCTGAATGCGGCCGCGCCGATGTCTGTCAGTCCAGATCCCGCGTACAGTTCCTTTGCGCCCGCTCAGTTATCAGTTCCCAAGACTCTTTAAGCAACTGTATTTTTTCTTCTCGAAGGTCAATGGTAGCGTTGAGACCTAAAAGAGTACGCCCGTTATTCTCCGCAAAGGCTAGCTGGGACGAGGACGAAGATTGAGCAGTGTGCCAAGTGTAGGGACGCTGAGGTGGAAGAGTCGTCTTGGAGGGGAACCGTATCGTGCCAATTGGCCGTTCCTCGTTCTTGTGCGCCGGTCGTCGTATCCTCGTATCAGGGTAATCGTTGTCACCAGCTCCGGTAGGCTTGGGAAGTCCGGCGGAAGAGAACTCGACCAATTGTATAGGTCCTTAGAAGAGTGACTTCAAAGGCCGCAAGCAAACTTGAATCGCAGATTGGGGGGAATGTCGTTGGCGGAAAGCCACGACACAGGACGTGCTGCGTCAGATCCGAGTTAGCGAAAACAATGATCTTGAAAATGTTGCGGAGACGGAGAAGCTGCACGGATCGCGGTCGGTGAGCGCGCCGGGTGGTAAATAAGGCGTAGAAGAACCACACCTTCAAGCTACGATGAAACGAGGGGAAGCAACTGGCACACGAGCGATAATGACAGCTAGAAGGACGGCCGGCTAAAGGTATGGTTCAATTGCCCCATTGAGCGTGGATTCAACTCTAGCAGCACACCCGAAATGTCTGTCTGTCTGGTTGTCAGGAAACGATCTGCGGCGGACCGGCATTTCGAGCAGCGACTCATTAAGAGGCTCAGGGGAGCGCCAGGAACAGTGCCTTTGCGGAAACCCAAGGAATTGAGGCTCGAGGTATATCGCAAGTGTACTCACCGTCTGGGAATGATGAATTGAAGCTGTGTTGTCTGGGGAAAGCTGGGGATGCCGTGAGTATCCACTTCCACGGCGTCCTGGAGAGATGAATTGCTCGAAGACGAGACGAGATAAGTATTTCCAGCAATTGCAAAAGACGATCCTCACAAGATGGCACTGAAACTCGCGGATGGCGGCCGTCTTCTTCCGCACTGCCAGCTGTCTAGATGAACGAAACTCTCCACCGCTTCAGTGAACTGTTGACGTCAAGCGTGTCAAGCATGGGCACTTCTGCGATACAACTGCGATACAACTCCGCGCAATGATGCAGTCTCCTCACGATGCTCTCTGCTCTGGGATCATTTATTATTATTATATTCTACACTACAGCTGGCCCGCTTCTTTTGTGGCCTTTTTTTAGCGGGATTCTCCCCGCGGTCCTCGGGGGCCACGAACGTGAACGCAATTGCAAAAACTCACCCACAGGCCATTGTTCGGGGCCCACATCCGAACGCTCTCAAGAGAACTGGAAAAGAGGGTTTCCGCTTATCGATCAATTAGTTTAAAGTGCTCTCTGGCGTCTCATTCGGATATAGTCGAATCGTGCCTCGCCCAACAGTGAACGTGCACCATTGGTTCCGCGGGTTGTGGCCGCAGATTATCTCAACGCTCTCCCCTGCTTAGTCGGGTGCTTCCAGGGATCCAGGGTCCAGAGTAAATGACGATGTTGCCAGGAACCTCGCAGCAGTACTCTAGTCTCTAGGGCTCTAGTCGTCTCGAATCTTCTCTGACCCGCGGGGTTGATTGTCGCCCTCTATCTGCTCTCCAGACGCCTCCGTGCTCCGAGAAACATCGCACATCTCGCGCTTCGGTGATTCTTGTTGGTACACAAGCGCGAGTCACGATTGGAATGCGCCATATGGAGGTCGATGAGCGATTCGGATGTCATGGCCCAGTGGAAGCCACCCCACCTGCACCATCAATCACAGCCCGACATGGCTACAAGTACAATCTCTACCTAAAATCACACAGCCCATGGGGACCGTTCGGGAAGACCGTTACCTTAGAAAGCCGGCGTGGACTGATTTGGCGTATGATGCTGCCGACTGCGCTTCCGCCAGCCGCACTAGAGACAACGACTAACATGCTTTCTATTAATCGAGGAATGCTGGATCTCGATTTTTGTAATCCGGTGCCAGGGATTCGGTGTTGATCTGCAATAAGTACTACTCGGTTAATACAGGTTCCGTCACGACCCGATTGCGCACCTTGTCTTGGAAATTAGCACGCCTGCAAAACTGTCCCAAAGCATACACATTATCATCATTATCAAGTGTAACTACCGGAGATACAAGAACGGCGTAAAAGCTGAGTGGCTTCCTGGATTGTGCAGATACGTCTCAATGCGTGCTCTGTCGGGTTCTCTTCTGATCGTAGATGGTCTGTGCCTCGGAAATAAAGCACAAGTGGTGAAGGTGAAGTGGTGAGTCCAATGTTTCTTGCATCATTGTTAGAAATCTCCAATCACAGTCCCTATCTAATAGGCGATTACAGATTTAGGCGCCTGAGGGATGCAGATGCCCTCTGGCTCCAAGCACAGCTATTATTATTCTCTGGAGTCTGCAGACACCGCGTGGCCTCGGTCCACTTCTGTTGTTGTCCCACTTGATCCCCACATAGTATACCCCAGAATTTCCTTATAACACGCTGTCACTTCGAGAATCCAGACAAATTCTTAATCCGGGAGCTCCACCAGAATCTCCAGTACCGTTACTCTGCTAACGACCGCAGATGATGTCTTTCCTGCGGTTTTTTCCGTGGCGCATCCACACTCTTGGGGTCAAGATCCACATAGGCCAATCCCATCAATTGTGGTTCTAACGAGATGCTACTATGCGCAAAATAATGCCGTGGTGCAGAGGCACGGCAATAAGTCCTCGTCCCATAATTCACTATATATGTGCTAAGAAAGTCTCGACCGTGGGCATCGACCGCTTCTTCATCTGTAGCCTCTGTAGCCCACGTTTGAAATTTAGCCACATAAAGTCTCGATTCGGCCGATATGCTTTGTACGGCTGACGATGAGAATGGGCTGACATGTGCCGTGACAGGTGCATGAAAGCCAACATATGAGACCTTAAACCAGCCATACTAACTTCGGAAAGAAGCCGAGAGCAAGTAAGGCCCGAGTAACCAAATCGCCCCTATCCCAAAAGGTCAATTAGATATTACCTTATCCGAGCCGGTAAACTGACAAGTGGCTAAGTGAGCGCTAGATTAACTCGTATTTCCCCCTGGAGATCGCTGGTCGAGTCGATATACAGAAAGGCAGCTCCAGCCACGACTTCCTTGGCAATATACGAAAAGAAAAGATGCCCCCAAGTCAAGGTTCCGCGAAAAGCGCACTGATGCTGAATGGAATGTGACAATCTACATGATCAGGAGGGATAAGGACTAATGCGCAACTTCGAAAAGTCACCATAGGGGGCGGAACCGAGGAATGAGATGAGAGCTAGGGAATAAACTAAAGTCTAGTAGAGATCTAGAAAGTAGCCATCTAAGAATGACAGGTGCAGAATATAATACGGTAGGAAAATCCTATCAAGCTCCTAGCGCTAGAGGTATTAGGGACTCCATAGTCCGGACGGATATAATAGATAAAGGCACAGTAAACATTGGGTTGGGTAAACGGGAGTTGCAAGGATGTAAAAATAAAAGTTTATTCGCAAGTTTTCTGAGAGTTTTATATTCCGGGGGTCTTTAAGCGGCTTATGGACCACACTTCATAACACCTTTAGAGTAACGGATCAACATGAATAGAGATCCTGCACCCTATCTAGATGAAGTCCTGGTAATGTCCCACATAGCGAGTTCAGTAGACTGTAATAGCCATACTAAGCCAATTATGAATTGCTATTACCAGTTTCAAAGAGCGCGTCTCGCCGTTAAGAGGAAATCTATACTTATTTATACTCGTGAGTATTTTCCAATCCCAATCCAACCGCTGATACTTTTGTTCGTAATCAATTTTCTGAATGATAATATAGTGAATTCCTAATGAGACTTTGCGTAATACGAGCAGCGTGCACATTTGTTGATCATCGCTTGACTATTTATTGCAACCTCTCTTCCACCACCAACTCCCGAGAATATCATCAGCATCTTTGTTGTCTCTTTACATACCCAAAAATTTCTCACACGTCTTCAGCCACAATACGATAGTAATAGCACTACTCGCTCCACACTACGGTGGTCAAACATGACAAAGAAGAGTGCGATGCGGCCATACGCGGCCAAAAATGCCTAAGAATATCTATGACAAACAGACCAGACGGTGCCTTATTCGAGGGATTCGATATCACCGTTTGTAAGTCAACCAATATATTGCGTGACATAGTGACAGAAGATGCTGCATGCACAGAAACAGATAGGGTTCACAATGATACAGCCCGTGATACGAGTCAGGTAGCAATTCTCGTGTACTCCAGAAGAATAGACAGAGGACTACCAATACATTGTGGATATCTATCAAGGAAGTAGAGATATCTAGATGTGGCAGAGAGAATAAAGCGTTCATTGGTATATCACTACACATTTATACAGAATTCACCAGTCACTTCATCTGCATTCGCTTCCAAATATGATATCCAGACTCAGACTGTTGAGCTTGATCTTTAGCACTCTCCGGCATAGCATTGACATTGCATATGCCTCGCGCAATTAAGAAAGAGGAGTCATCATAGTCTGTGAAGAAGTCGAACCAGGCAAGTTTATGTGTCGGGTCTGTATAGGGCTTTGTTTTTTCGTGCGTGCTGGGGAAAAGTGCAAAGGTGTATAGATAATGGGGCTTGTCCTAGGGTTTGAAACATGTATCTTGTCCGAATAGAATGGCTCAATAATAATATGGGTTGTCCACCCGTCAGCGAACAGGGAGCGTTGTCAACATCTAACGCAAGAGTCGAATCAAGTAGTTAAGAGTAAATTAGAAGGCCAATGGTGAGCTATCATTATAGCCTATTCTTGGCGATTTGAAATGGATAAGTGGCGGAGATATTTCCATGCACATCCTCAATGCTGGCACCATCTCCAGATAGTGATGATAATAATAATAATGAACGTGCCGGGAAAAATTCTGCGCTGGATTTATGGGCCTTATATAAGCCGAGTATTCCTAAATGCGCTAATGGACGGCATCAAACTCTTATTGGTTGCATTGTCAAATGCTTTTACCGCCTTCTGTTTACGGTAACTGAAGTAAATATCATAGACTATTTGGTCCTCTTAATCGTTTAATTGTTTCTTTTTACTCTATATCTTTGTCAGATCCGCTAGTTTTACTAGAATGATTGAATTTTTTGGTCTCACTAAGCTGTCTATACTGCTCAATCTGTAATCTTTGCTAAACCTGCCTACCTATTCTACGCTACCTGTTCTATCAGTTTCGTCAACTCCGCTGGATCCATCAGATCCATATATCTGTTTGCTATACATTCTCTGTTGAATTTACTAGATTTACAATATCTGAAATTCTCATTCTGTCAAGACTGATAAATCCGATAAGTCTAATGTTGACCCCTAGACGAATATCAGCGCCATAGGAACCAACAACAGCTTTAGTAAGTTGCTCCATTGGCTAGTCCACTCATACCTGATTGAATAATTCATCCTCAATAGGCTCCTTCAGTCGGTTTGTCCCTTGGATTTAGCCTCGTTATGATGACTTGTCCCGCTATAAAATCCATATCCGGCTAGCCAATGAGAAAGGTATTGATTTCTCAGGTCGCGCACCATTCATGATGGATTAATAACACTCCCAAGGTATCTTCATCAGTAAGGTCACGGTACGACTGTGGAAATAGTCAGAATACGGGGGAAGTTCTGGCTATACGCAGAAGTCGTCTTCCTCAGATCATGAATATAGGTAATCTTTAAAAAATCCATGAACTTAGAATTTATAAAAGTACTCTGGTATAAGTAACAATTTCTATTACTCCAAATAACCTAACATTCATCGACAGGTTCTATTATGATTTCAAAATGTGCCTGTAGACTCTACCAACCAGATGAATGTGTCGATCAGAAGCGGGGGGTTACGTGAACTGTACTCTCAACGTCTGCGAAAGAAAGCGCAATTCACCAGAACATTGTCTATCCTAATAAATATCTGCAGCATTAACTTACATCAGAAACTCACACTCCGGTTCGAAGGCTAATCTAGAACTTTATCTCAATCTGTGTGCATGTAGTTATGATCATGCAGTATTACCAGACCCTCTGGTATCCTCTTCGATACGTATCTGATTCCCCTTCCACTAGGCTTTTCAGTTGCTAAAGCGGTATATAGATAACCTTCAAGATGCCTCAAGACGATGACAGGCGGGTCTGCTGGCCAGACTAGCTCATCGAGCAGAGGACGAAGGTGCGATGTCCTGTCTTTGCAATTCATTAAACATACCCCTCTGGTTTGTGGTGTGGAAAGGGCACACAGTTTTGATTATTAAAATCCGTTCAACCCCATTACTCTTAAAAATGTATGTTATTACAAAGAATTATGATTATCGCATCTCCATGCGGTATGGAGTAGAGAGACGTATAATTGACAGGTGTCTTCCTACGCAGACAAATTCGCCAAGTTGTCTGGGTGACAGTATATACACTAACTATGCCAATGAGGCATTGGTTCGTTTCAGGAGAGGAGGCGATCATGAACTTCTCGAAGCAGTGAAGACTGTGCCAGCTCCACGAAAGTATACTTTAGGGTCATCAAGAAGACGAGTAGAGGATCGGCTTCTATATATTCCATGAATCTACCTTGAAAACGCAACAAGTTTGTCTCAAAAAGTATTTTAATCAGATTAGCAAAGAAATCGAACTTCTACATGATGTGTGCCTCGACTGGGCGAATTTGATTTCCGGCTTCATGTCGCCTAGAATATGTTTGGTTCACTACTTTTCAGCTAGGTATATAGTTAGAGTCAAAGAGAGGGACTTTGGTTGACAGCTGCATTTATCATCTCAAACTTCGGTTGAAATTATAATAACTCCTTGTTTTTATGTGCACACGATAGCAGTGCGCACAACAGATAGAGCTGAAAGTAAAATTTCATAATTTGGAGGATATATGTATTTCTGAAAGGTATAAAAGCGGCGATACATGATTAGAAGAGATAGTTGTTGTAAAGAAGTTACTCAGGCCCAATTGCTCTGAGTAACTACCCGAAACTGCCATTGCTAGCAACCAGGGAAAGACTCTGACGTAAGAGAACCGTGAAAGATTTCAAATTTTGTGGCTGGTTAAATCAGTAGTTACTACTGTAGTCTGTGAGTGATCATACCGATCCACATGTACAGTACCTTCCGTGCATAATAATGCCATGGATAATAATAATAGGCAAAAATACCAACACTGCGCAAGAATCGGGGATGTATATCCGAACCGCCGAGCGAACTCCATTTCGGCGAAATGATAAGTGAACCTTTCAACTAGAGATCACTGTTAAAGTTGACTACTATATAACACTAACGCTGGTGCCGACCATGACTGTTTTATCCAATGGTCTTGAAGATAGGCACTCATTGTGATTGATGAGACTCATCATTTTCATTGAGCTTAACTAGTCAGCCAGATCTTGATCCATGCTATCAGGCACATCGTGTCGATGATCGATGGGGGGCCCGAACAGAGCCACAAACTCGGGGGGCGGAAAGGAAATAGCGTGCCTAAAAAGACACCAATCAATGGCAATCATATCAGTAGACATGAATACGAGCGCCGATCCCAAAGATCACCATAAAAGTATTGAACTCTTTATGTAGTTTATCCAAGTTTTTATGATTTTATTCCAGTTTTTCTGGCCGCCGTATTCGCTAGTTAAAGTCAGGCGTTGTTGCCTTACTCTCATTGAAGATTAGCTAAGTTAAATAGTTCGCGGATGGCTTTTATGGCCGTTGGCGCGCGTGGTTCGTGAAGGAAAAGAATGCCGAAAGGTTAACACCGGTCCTGCATCGGCGCGCCCTATCGAGGACTAGGATCTGTTAGCTAGCGCAGGACCAATTATTGTCGCATGGATATCTAGCCCAGTGACCTCTTCCGAATGTACCGGGGCCGATCGTTTTATGACTTATCAACCTCCCTGAGATTCGTTGCTCACATTGGGCATTATTGAGGCCAAAAGACGATCGTCAGCCTGGTACAGCCATGCTGAAGAATTAGCCGCGCAGCACCAGATTATAGATATCGGTTGATTTATCCGCTGGTCAATTAGAGTTGCAGAGCTGACGTGCAACGGTGCTGCTTGACAGTTACGCGCACGTCCTTTCATAATGACGACATATCTGTATGCTTCAGGTGTTGATAGCTGAGAAGATTGAACTCCATCCCGTGGAACGTTCATTGATAGAGCATTGATGCAGACAGCTGTAATATTAGTTTATTGGGATCCTTTCCGCAGGTATTTCATTCCTTTCCTGGGACTACATCTGTTAAACCGCAATGAAGGCGATCGGAGTCGAGGAATATGGACCAGTGGAGAATCTTGTGCCCAAACTGCTCCCTGACCCAAGAGGTCCTGACGGCCGAGACTTATTAGTGCGGTAAGAGATCTCATCGTCCTTTACGAGCCCCTTGGTGGTATCGGTGCTAACTGCGAAGCCTCAATAAGAATTCAAGCCTGTTCAGTCAATCCAGTCGATACCAAAGTCCGTGCGGGAAAGTATGATGACTATCCAGGTATGTGACTACCGTAGGCTGGACCTAATGTAACAATGGACTCATCATACGCTGCGGCCAGACTATTACGCGAACGCTCCGCGGCCATTCCAGATCTGCGGTTTTGATGCGGCGGGTACAGTCATAGCAGTCGGACAAGATTGTGAACTGTTTAAGAAAGGAGACGATGTCTACTACTCCGGGAATCCGATCCGGCAGGGTTCAAATGCGGAGTATCAGGTCGTTGACGAGCGAAGCGTGGGCCATAAGCCCCGGAACCTTGATTGGACCCAGGCAGCTGTCATGCCTTTGACGTATATCACGGCGTACGAGGCGTTGGTGGAGAGGTTGGAGATCCCGAAAGGGGAGCGTGCGGCTCTACTCATCATCAATGGATCTGGCGGGGTAGGTTCTGTCGCCATCCAGATAGCACGTCGGGTCCTCAATCTGCCTGTGGTGATCGCGACAGCTTCGAGGCCGAATACGACCGAATGGGTGAAGGAAATGGGCGCGACGCATGTAATCAATCACAGGGAGGATCTCGAAAAGCAGATCAATGCGCTGGGCTTAGATGTCCCGCTGAGGTAAGAGAATCCGAGCATATCATTATTCCCGGATATCGGCCCGTCGGCGTTCGTTTGTAACAAACCTTCTTGCTTGCGCAGGTACATTTTCATCACCCACACGACCGACCAATACATGGAAGTCTGTGGTCGAATCGCGGCACCATTCGGGAAAGTCTGCTCGATCGTCCAGGGCCACACACCAATGTACGGAACACAATTCATGGCCAAGTCGCTATCTTTCATTTGGTGTCTGCTTGGAACCAAGCCATATTACCATGTGGATGTAGAATCGCATGGCAAGATCCTCAAGGAGCTCACGGGCCTCATCGAGTCCGGCACAATCAAATGTCATTTGACGCGTCGGCTGCGTTTGACACTTAACGGACTGCGGGAAGGACATAGAATTATTGAAAAGGGTGGGGCTATTGGAAAGATTGGCTTGGGAGTAGATGAGGATGGCATCGGGGAAGCGTTTGCGTGATCCGAGACAAACGCACGAACACGCGGGTCAAAATACAGTTCAGCATAGAGACGGCGCCATGCAAAGAGGAAAACAAGGAAGACTTACGAATAGCTGTTGTATAGCTTCATGAACAGGCGGGACGGAGGTATCTGAGCGCTGAGAATTGAGGTCTCAGGAAGCGAGGATGTCGGTTGTCGACGATTGGATACGATGGATGACTTGACCACGTGACCAAGAGACGGGAATCTTCGACTTCAACTTCATGTCATTGTCAACTATCCTCATTGCTTGACGCTAGCTAGCAGCTAACTACTATCTAATTCATATTAAACCATATCGCGTATTCCATGTCCAAACGCGTCCAAGAATCTTTTGATCATACATGAGTCTTCAAAAAAAGAAAAGAAAAAAAAGTAAAAACACAAGGATAGAAACGTTATCCAGACCAATAAGAGTATCAACGGTTCCCAACTATGCAGCGATGACAAGACACAACATGGACGCCAGATAATAACAAAATGGGAATTATTCGACAGAAAAAAATAAAAACAGATGCCACAAAAGGTATTTGGAGTTGTACAAGTACGCCGTGAAGCGCCAGCCCGGGCCTGCCTTGCCCTGCGTCTGTACCAATCTAAAAGAAGGAAAAAGAAACTCCCGGTAACGAGGATGTCTGACCATAATGGTCCCTTTAGTCGTCCCAGTTGTCAATGTCGGTCTCCTGGGCCTGCGGGATCGGGTCATCCAGCTTGGAGCCATAAATGGGACGACCATCAGGGGTCAATTGACCGCGGAAGTCTGGGTCATAGTCAGGGCTTGTCTCGTCAAGGGTAGCAACATAGCGGTTGCGGCCACCCCTCTTGCTGTGAGTCTTGGTGTAGTGTGCATTGAGGTTATCGCTTCTGGAGAAACCCCGGTTGCATCCTGGCACCCAGCATACATGAGGCTTCTCCTTGGAGTGGCTCTTCATGTGCCTCTTGAGATGCTCTTGCCTCTTGAATCGACCTTTACAACCTGGCTCCTTGCATCGGAACTGAACCTGCTTGATGATGGAGGGCAAGTTCTCAAGCTTGAGGCTCTGCTTGGGGACCGGCTTCTTAACGGTCTTCTTGGAAGGGCGCCTCTGGAGCTGTCGTTGTCTGAGACTTTCACGCATACCAGGAGACAAGTTGAAGTCATCTTCCATGTACTCATTACCACCGCAAGATACACGAGTCATTGGCGTCCCTGAGCTAGATGAGGTCGTCATGGGACTAGATCGAATAGGGGTCGTCGGTGTGTGAGTGCGGAGACTGTGGATGGAGGCGGGGAACGCGGAGTAGGAAGGAGGCGGCGTGACGGGAGCTTCTGGGAACGCCTGAGACGGGGTGATAGTCTGAGGAGAGATGGCATCTGCAGATGGCATCCACTGTGGGATGCTGTTCATCGACATGGAGCTCGGAAGCCGTTCTGGTTGATGAAAGATAGGACGGGACAAGCAGGGGTTGGAGACGGATTCAGGAAGGTAACCACGCTGGCCGCCATGGTAATAGTTCCTAGCCATATGATTGTACTGCGGCATGGTTGGCTGATAAGGAAAAGGGTTGCCGTTGTCATAGCCCTTGGGCATGTCCGACTGGATCCAGAGCTGCTCGCCGCTGTCGGCATAGCCGGGCAAGTAATCGAAGTTTCCATCCATGTTAGCATAGGGCAGCTGCATGCCGTCCGAGGTCATCTCTGCAAGACGGAAGCTGCTCCTCAAAGGAGTGGTTGCATGGGTTGTTTCGAAGTGATGGCCAGAGAATGACTGTCCGTCGGGCCAGCCGGGTGAGGCCAGGGACCCTTGACTATAGATAGTGGTTGGGGTCGGGGTGGGTGAATCCAAAGGCGAGAAACTCGAGGCCATAGAAGGACACTCGCTCGATCCATATGAACCACAGTCGACGTCGATGGTGAGTCTGTCAGACATATTGCACTCGGATCTCATATCTTCAGTGTCCTCGTGGTCGATCTGATTAAGGATAGGATCAATGATGTCTCCGCCTGTTCAAATGATTGTTAGGCTCCTGTGATCTTGAACTTCTTCTGCGATGTGTGAAGAGAGAAGAATCCAGGAGACAGAAAAGAAAGAATTCGACTCGTGCTGAAGTTGGTGAAAGGAACGTGATAAAACTTTAGGTAATGAGCGGGAGAAAGAATGTTGCAGGTGGAGGGAGAAGCAGGTCCAGGGCACCGGGGACAACGAGGTCAAATAACAAATTCCTCGCCTCATATATCCGGCCTCGAGGGCGGGGACGATTAGACTTACACTCAAACGCCATTGCTATTTTAGAGATTGACGGCAAACGCGACGCGTGCCTGTGATGCCAAAGCAAGGCCTGGAATGTGGGTTATGATTCCTCGGGAACGAGGTTCAATCCTACCGTCCTAGCAGTGGACGATCGAATACGAATCCGCTCGAATAAGGGTCGTGACAGTCGCGCGTCAATCTGGGGAGGTTGGACAGGACGGCGACCTTTGGTTCCTCGTGGAAGAATTGCCCTTAGACGCGCTCTCGAATTGGGGTTTCAGGCAAATGGAGAGTTGGATGGGAAGGCTCAGCAAGGGGATGTGATTAACTGAGATATCTGCCAGGACTGAAAGGTTTGAATTGTCTTACTTTCCCTAGGGAAGGAGGGGTGGGTTCAAATGGTTTATAGGATTTCCCCTGCCGTTTAGCTTCTGACAGCTCGACCTTGCAGTTGTGGCCCGTCGAGTATCTTGGAGTAGGTTTACAAGCCTCCCACAGCCATCCCTCACTGTATCGAGAATCAGTTGGTGGCACCACTGCCCTGCGGATCATATCTCATCTGGTAGTCTCTCGATAGCAGTTCTGCATCTGACCCAATCTGGACATAAGCACCCACTAAGCAGATTCGAAGAGTCCATCATGCATCTCATATGGGGAATGGGGCGATGGAATGCTTGATACGGTCCTCGTCCCACAAAGACACTCTTCTTGAAATGTGAGCGAGGCTAAACCTTAAGCTTCCCGCTGCTTATTTACTTTCGGATGCTTTCCAGAGTTCAACTGCTGCTCATCGTCGAGCACCTCGCCCGGGCCATGAACCCACTTCCCTGTATTTTATCCGGATCGGCGTCTGGGACCTGCGTATGCGATTACAGCATAAGACCCTGAAAGATCTGCCGCCACCGTGCATTGACCTGTGGGGAAGACCAGTGGTAGTTACGCTGAATGCCATTGTGATGTATTATCCAGGTACCACCCAGGCGCCACTCCAGACAGCCACAGCCATCATCTCCAGATCAACGCCACAATTCGGGCCTCTTTAAGGAAAATTGCGGTTCGGACGCCGTGTGATCTTCAGACGTTTGGAGATTTGTATGCTCATGGTGGACGAGACATGGTCATTATCACGGGCCCTCGCGAGCAGCTGGGACGAGATATGTCTGCGATGACGATGGAGGGGAAGGGCGCTTGATTCCCAAACGGTACATGCCTGCATTCTCCGGCTTAGGAACCCGGTGTCTGGGCACAGCAGACTAGATAGTCTCCCCGAAAAGGTCAAATATGATACGATCTCCCTCGTCCATTGATCCCACTAGGGAGCGTGGATCCCGAGTAGGCTAGGTCGATCTGACGGCGAGCGATGGTCTGTGCAAACCTGGTCTCCTGGCGGGAACTATTAGTAGCATCTCGATCTGTCCAGGTGGGCCAGTATCAGCTGGAGAAATCTGGCTAGCAGAATCGGGAAGGACCGTGGATGTTCCAATGTTGAAGAGACTAAAGCGTCATCAAACGGTTCTGAAAATAAGACCATTGTTAGTTGAAATTGGTTCGATCATCTGCTGCGGTCGAGATCTATATCTTACTGATCAGGGGCTAGTATTACCGGCCCAGATTCATCGTACAGTAAAACCCATACGCATTATTTACCCACTGCACTGTTGGTAAATAACATACAGCCGCGCCAGTGCCTCGTATAGTCAGTCATTCGTTCCTCAGGCAGTGCTATTTGTGGCGATGGTGGAGTTTATCGACGGGCGATCAGACGCACATCATGAACCCACTGCTTGGCGCTCCTGGACTCTCCAGTCATTGCTCGAGAACCCACTGTTTGTAAAGATGGTTCATTATGGTCCCGTCGACCTGGAATCCAAACAACCTATCACCGTAGCCAAAACTCTTTCAAATCATAGATGCCACTTCCTGGAGAGCTTCCGCTCAGGAACGTCCGCAACCCTGGGTCCAAACAAGCGGGCGAACCGGATCGCAGTGAATGATTGGGAATGTAGCATGTCTCGATGATGACCTAGCGCTCGAGACGCCGGGTCTTCCGCCCTACCGGTACATCGACGAAGCGATCATTCTTTCCCAATACGTCGATCATCGTATGAGTAGGACTGGTTGTTGAAGATTAGTTTCCGTCCCAATCCAATCTGGCCTTGGTTCTGGACGCGACTGTTGCTAGACCATCGCCATGACGGTTAAACATGAGGCGAATACTCTAGATTACCCATGACTCGCATCGTTCACGTATCTGGCCCAAGATGGTAAATGGCTGTCGTAATGGGCCGACCGGCGTTCTGAAGATGAGCCAGTGGTAGAGCACATTGGAGGTGATGGGGTTTGGTTGCCCCTCCACACAGCGCGATCTGGATTTATGATCTGTCACTTGTCAGCGTCCCAATATTTGGAAGCAAGCCATCACGTTGAGGAATGATCGAGCGACCAAGATGGGCCATGACGCTACCGATTGGCTCGCTGGCACTTGCTCGCCGCTTCCGGGGTCCATTTCTTGAGGCTCATCGACGATTCCCCGACGAACCATGAGGTTGTTGTGCACGGCCAGAGAGGCCATCTTCGACTGCGGGAGGAAAATTGCTGCCAGGAACGCACGGAACGACACCTGAGGCATCTATATGAGGCATCCGATTCCCCGATCAGGCGACCAGTCGGGTGTGAATATTGGAAGAAAATGCCGGAGATCTCATCTCTCATCTCTCATCTCTCATCTCTCATCTCTCATCTCTCATCTCTCATCTCTCCGGTCCCTGCATCTGCTATGTAAATATTATTACCATCCACCACGAACCATCCTGCATCGTGTGCTTATTGTCGCGCTGGGCTTGCATGTAACTGGCCTCAGGAAAGCATCTGGTATGTGATATTACGAACATTGCGTGCTGCTGGCTCTTTTTTTTCAACGCTCATGCTAGCACCAAAGACTGCGTCAGATTTTGTGATCGCTTACGACCTTAGCAGCTCTAGACCAACTGCCTGGCACCTGTCACGTCGAAAATTGAGGCAGGTAAATATCTACTCTGTTCAGATTAGTCTTGAGCAATTACCATGGTTGCGAGTTCGCCTCCACTGTTCAAGGTTGACGGCCCGTCTCCGGGATAATCGGACCCTGCCAGTGCCAACACTTGTTCTCTTGAGGGGCACGCCATATCATGCGAACTTCATGCGAACCTTCTTGCCGGCGTAAGAGCCGCTTCAATGCGAATAATGATACCCCGCCATGGGCTTCTTACATTTACTGGTCATATCAACTATGGTACAGTCCCCGGAATAAAGTGGTCAGATCTGAACTTCTTTTTTTTTTTTTCAGCCCTCGCCTGTGATTTCTTGTTAATCCAGTGCGCAATGTTTGGCTGTTCTTTGACGAAGCTCGCAAGAGGACGCCATTGGTCATTCTGTGTCCTTTGTCTTACTACCCCTCTACAATGTTAAACTGATCCTAGGCTCCTACGATATGTTGATATATCAACTTCAACCGAGTCTTCTTACGAGCCGCTACCATGGTACAACCCTAGATGGTGCGGAGGCGGAGCGCTCTCGGACTTGCTCGCGGGACGGGAAGACGGTTTCTTCTGCCGGGCCCAGTTCGGAAGGCCCGTATCTACGTAGCCTCGGATATTTATCGTCATCCATCTGTTTGGACTCTTTGAAGTTTGGAGTCTTGGACTCACGTCTCCACGCGGGTATTGTCAACTGAGGCTGGGACTCTCGCAGACCCCAATCCACAGCCTTGGATCAATCCACTTTCCAGGCGGTGGTCCACGCACGGCCACTACTTACTACAACATACCCCTCTTTTCAGTACTAGTACTCCGTAGTATACTTCGTCTCACCATCTTTCATGGCCGCAAGCTCTCCGACCGAGTGGTGCGCTAGTTTGGATGGACTTGACTAAAACTACTGTCCGGGCTGCCGGACCCAGATCCTGGGTCACGCAGGCTAACCTGGATCTCTATCTGTGCCGGATTTTGGCCGTTCAGCCTATTTGATTGGCTGATAACTCTCCTTCTGTGCTTTTGGGATCTGACACCCGGAAGCGAATAAGAAAAGCTCCGAACCTAATCGTGACATTTGTCATTCCAGTGCATGAACGACTTGTTCGCAGGCCGCTAGGCTCATAGTGCTCATCCACGTTTTTTGATCAGTCTCGACAGTGGGGATGGGATTATTATTCTAAAAATTCAAGTTTTTCTTTCTTTGTCCTTTCTAGCATTTCGTGTCGAAGTTTTGGGAAGCTATTCTGTGCTATAGTACTAACTCTAGTCAGTCAATTACTCATTGACAATAATAGGACGATCTCACCCAATTACGGCCAATATTTGTCGCATCCCCCTGCAGCAGAGGACTGGTCTCAGCAAGGGGCATCTGCTGCCCTGGCAAAATCTGTTCCTCTTTCGCTTGTACCAGCGTGCTGGGACGGAACAAGACACCAATAACCAATAAGCTGTCAAACAGAGAACGACTGCTACCATCTCCAGACTCGATCCCTCTGCGCCTCGGTACCGAAGATGTCGTTTCATCTGCTCTTTGCCCACTTAGCCACTATCTTTTCGATCTATTCCATTCATCAGGCATTCTGTCTCAGGCTGAGCTGCCCGTGCACACTCTCTAGCTTCCGCATCGGTTCGTGCGCAACGTGCCATTTGTCCCATTCGTCCGGATAGGGCAGTTTCATCATATCGGTGCTTTTGGGGAATGATTAGGATCAAAGTTGAGCCTCCTGGAAGGACAGAAACTGTAGCAACTGCGACGCCTGCGCCGAGCCAAATGACGACACTGGTATCTGGGTTTTGGGGACTATTGAGGACGTGCAACTGGATCGTTTCTACTAACTACAAAATTCTATCATTTTTATAGAGAGAACTATAGCTAAACTCTCGAAAATTGACTCACTCGCGCCTGCTCGCTCAACGAAGCGGAGCCACTTCCCATCTCTTGGCCGGTACTAATCCGCATATAGAGAGAGTAACTTAAGGTCTAAGATATTCCACTCCACTCGCCGCAGACACAGCATCTATACCAGATTTTTTTTTTCTCTTAATCTATAATAAACAGGAAGCTGTTTAAGCAACGCCGTCGCCGGGTGTACAAGTAACATCCGTCTAGCAGGCGATGGCGCTGTGTGCGAGCACTGATCGGACCCCGATATTCTCATAGTTATTTGGCTTTTCTCCGCTCATATCTCGTGTTCGCATGAGTGCATGAGTAGTGCCTCATTGCTTGGTATAACTGAGCTTTCCTGCGTGTGCAAAAGACATGAGGCCCCGTGATCTTCCCCATGGAGGGTGTTAAACTCACAGGTTCCCATAGCAATTGTGAGACAGGAAAACAATACAGGGATGGATAAGAAAGGAAACCATACTGTGTAGCCACAGGGCTACTAGTTTCTCCCTACAAGGAAATGATCAGAGAATAGGTTCCTTCTAGGTACTCTCATGTGGTGGCGAGTGTTGGCTTTGCCCACCTAGAACGAGTCCGGTTGTCCAACACGAATCTCGAATCCACATAAGCTTAGTCACTGCCTGCGCAATAGCTTGTATCTGCTGAAAGCCTGTCAGATCTTCGTCCATTAGGGAAATCTCTTGGTGAGGCTTCTCAAAGGTCCACAGCGGGAAAGATAATAGGTAGATAAGTCAGTCGCTGGATAGCTAAGCTACATGTCTACCAGTTATGTCAATAATTGACATCAAATGGCATAGTATGTGAATAGTCCCTCCCAGCTAAGATCAGGATGCAGGTACGCGAGCATACATGCTCCCAATTCAGCTCGCACGAAGTAGAAGATGGTTGTTCGAGTCGAAGCTTTGAGACTGAAACCTATTGCGGGTCTTTTCCATACACGTACAAATCCAGCTGCAAGATTTCTGCAGGTACAGACAATAGAGATGCAAATCCCTACCAAGCAGATTTTGGCCTTGAAATGTCTCGTCTATTCATTGGCCCCAGAGGGTCATCTGATGATCATCATAAGGCAGGGGTCTGTTGCAGAACTAGCAGTCGATCCAATATCATTCGCAGCGAACATCGATCCCAAAAACGGACATGCGTCTCATCAGATAACCCTCTTCTACCTTCACAGCTACATTTGCCGGCTATCGTCCCAAGACTGCAAGCTGTATCTATAATCTATCCACTATTACCGCCAAAGACATAGCTGCAGGTCAACCCGGGCACAGGTGCATCGGTCGATATCCAACAACTACCTAAGGAAGCGAGCCTGTAGCTTCCAATCGGTTGTAGACCTGAAAGGAAAAGCAAGCCATAAGGCAAAAGCTTAAGATTTCATCGTCTAGATACGCCGAAAATACTCGATAAGCCCCCCAAAACTGTAACCTTCCAACGCCATTAGTATGACGCGGCCACAGCCCATCGCCATATATTTACCAAACTCTCTATATTCTCTATTTTTCTCTTCTCTCACCAATCCAGTACAATACTCGTACGTAAAATCGGCTAGGCTAGATACAGCAGATTATCGTGGGTGCAGGTGGGTGGGTGTCTTATCACCAAACTCCTCCAGGCCGTTACTATCTTATATTTTCGCAACCCCTTGCATTTCGGCGCCTCATCCCCTCTGCCCTCCCAACAACGGGTACCGAACAACGATAAACCATCTTGCCAAATAAAGATAGAATCTTCAGAAAGTTGAATAGATCAAGCCACACCCTCTTTTCCCCAGTTATCTATTCCAGATATGCAGAGAGGGAGATCAGTGGGGGCATTTAGATTCTGCAGCCAGGTACGTGCAACTGCGCCTTTTTTTTTTCGGATGAGAGGGACCGAAAAAAGAAAAATAATTACAGAACAAAAAGACATGACGACGTCATTCACGATCTAAGTAGGTAAATAGATAGAGTAGTATTGCTAGAGGGGCGGTAGTAGTAGTGGTAGTAGTAGTAGGAAGTATACAAGTCGAAAAGTAAAGCTAAAGTATATATGTACGGGTGGCTGGCGTCAAGTATCCTATTTTGGTACTTCTTCCAGGTGTAGGTTCTAAACTAACTAACTACCATCTTTAGAGACCAGCCAGCCAGATCTACAGAGAGAACTCGAGCCTCTATCATCATCATCTTTCCAAGTTTTTCTTGATCCTCAGTTCTGTCGGTTCGGTTTCCTTTGCCCTAAGTAAGCTCAGACCCTTTTTCCCTTTCCCTCCCACCTGTCTACTTACTGTAAGTATTACTTTAGCCCCTGCCTGCCTGCCTGCCTTGGCAACAAGATCGATCGGAGACTTCCCCCCCCCCATTTTCTAATTTCTCTCTGAATAATTGATCTAGTTTCGGGAAGATCGGAAATCGCGAAAACGCGTACTTTGTTAAATTAATTATTTGATTTCTTCAATAGATGATGGGGTCGTGTCTGTCTGGTTCGCGAGACGCGACTCTCTCTCGAGAGAGCTCTTTCTCGCGTCCTTGCTTTTATTGTAATTCTTTTTGGGAGAGTGTCTTATTGGTACTACGTATTATTGTGTAGAGGGAGGAAACGATGTGGGAATTTGTTCTATTGGATAGTATGCAGTTCTCTCTTTTTTCCTTGTTTCCTTTATTGGGTGACGAGGAAGGCCAGGGATTTCCGTGGTAATTCAAGTCGAGGGGTTCGTGAGATAGAACGAAGTACAATACATACATATACTCGGACGATGAGGAGGTTTGGTGAACTGACATTCTCTATATTGCTCTCTTTCTTTAAGATAGATTCATGTCTCTTTCTATTTATCTTTCGTCTTCTCCTCAGACTTGATCTCTGGGCTGTACTCCAAATATGCCTCGATATTTCTCACGATGCCATGACACATCAAGCGTATCGGCACCTATTAGTTAGTGACTAGAGGCAACGCACTGGCAGCAGTTGACAGTTTGGTCCGATTATAAGCTCATGCACCGATCAAAAGGAAAGATCTGTAGTTTCGAAATATACAGACATGGCATTTCTACTGTTTCCAGAATCTCACTTACGTACATGCAGACCACCTGATGCTCATGAACCGGGTTATCAATATTTGCTTCATTAACCCATGCAGACAAGACGGCAGCAGGTGCAAGGTAAATGCATAATAAAGTATTTTAATAGAAAAGAGGAAGAGAAAGAAAGAAATGATCACCGAAGGCGCAAGAACCTAGGGTGAGAGAAGCGAAGGAAGGGAAAGAAACAGAAAAAGACAACGAAACACAGCACTTTCGAGACGAATCGATAAAGCTTGAAATATATTCAGGGAGAATCATTCTTCCAATCGTACGAATAGCCTGACTTGATTATTTGTTGTTAGTGAAGCCTTCCGCTGCCTTCATCAATCTTAGTTTCTCCGAATAACTGTCTTGAGCACCAAACACACGGAAAAGATAAATATTTTTGAGAAGCACATAGAAGTTGAAATATCATCTTCGGACAAGCAAACTGAAGGAGCCCTATGCAAAGTGGTATCATATCTTACCCGCGGCTTAGCCTTCCCTGCCTTGGTCCGAATCTTACAAGCCGTTAAAGCAATGAAAACAGAGGATCCTTGACTCACATAAACACCGCATCAAAGACAACGTCAAAAACTGAGATAACAAGACGCCGGCCTCATTGGGCATGAAGAGTACATTCCCCAAAAGACAGAAAGCATGAACCGCATGTGGAGTCACCATAACTCCTACCTCAGACCCTCCAATAAAAAGGCGAAACTATAAATGTTATAGGACGACCACGGACTGAACCATTTTCCGAAGAAAAATGAGGAAAAGCTCATTTGCCCATTCCGCCGTGCATCATATTCCGTTGCTGTTGTTGTATCACCTGCGCCTGGACAGCTGCAACTTGCGAAGCGCGTTGCTGTTGCTGTTGACTGGACTCGCGCTCTCTCCGCATCAACTCGTGCACCCAGGACCGCGCGCTCCTCTCCAGTCCAGGCCCATATTGTTGGGCGATTTGTGGCGGATACTGAGTAGGCGGCCCATACTCGGGCATGTACCTCTGAGCCATGTCTTGACGAAGGCGAAGAAGCCGTTGCTGATACAGCTGTTGATAACGCTGGTTCATGGCCATACCTTGGAAGTTTTGCGGCAGGTGGCCACCATTGGCTTGAGCTGCATTGAGAAGCATCTGCTGCTGCTGTTGCTGCTGAGGGGTCATTTGAGGCGGGCTTCCCTGGTGATGTTGCTGTTGGCCAGGATGTCCTTGCTGCTGCTGGGCCATCTGCATCTGAACAAGTTGGGCACGCATCAGCTGTGCTTGATATGCTTGCTGGTTTTGCAACTTCTGCATCGAAGCATTGTGCTGCTGCTGTTGCTGGTGGTGCTGATTCTGCTGCTGTTGGTGCGGCTGCATCATGTGTTGCTGGTGAGACTGGATATTCTGCTGAGCATGCACATTTGCCTGCATCTGTGCAATCTGCTGCGGGGTAAACTGCCCGTGTCCGAGATGCCCCTGTTGCGCAAGTAATTGCTGTTGTCTCTGCTGGATCAGCAGCTGCTGTTGCTGGGGAGTCAAGCCCATGCCGTTGCTCATCTGCGGTGTGCCCATCATAGCGTGACCCATCACTGGTGTCTGGGCCATACTGGAAGCATTCGGGCTGCCATGACTCATCCGCTGGGTAGGAGTAGCATTGCGCATAACGGGTGTAGCTTGAGACATAGAAGGTGTACCATGGGTCATCTGAGGAGTCCCGTTTCTGCTTTGGCTTTGCTGGCTTCTCGATGCAGCCATAGGATGGGCCATAACACCAGGGTGAGCATGCTGCAAAGCTGAAGGCGGTCTTGGGGGACTACCAGCACCTTGCGCTGAAGCTGTCATAGTCATTGGAACCCCAGCTTGAGTTCCCATGGAACTTCCAACCAGCGGGGATGAAGTATTATGAGGTGTCTGATTCCGGACTACGGGAGACGATTGCGGTCCTTGGGACACCTGACCTATGCCATTAGCCTGCGCCATGGCGTGCCTATTCTGTTGTTGCGCTGCAAGCTGAGCCTGCGCTTGCTGAGCAGCAAGTTGCTGTCGCCGAGCCTCTTCTTTGGCGTGCTCTTCCGCCTGCCGTTGTTCCATAGCCCTGCGTCGCTCTCTTTCTTGCTCTTGCTGTTGCCTCTTAATATGATCTTGCTGAAGCTTCCGTTCGTGCTCTCGTTTTTCCTTTTCCTCATGCTGCATGCGGATATTTTCCAGAGTCTTGAATCTAGAGAAACGAGGCTCGAAAGGTGCAACACCACCTGCATCATCAACAGCAGCCGTTTTTGCAGCACCAGCAGCTGCCGAGACAGTGGGTTCAAGTCGCTCATCCATGATAAGCATGAATCGCTCTTCTTCAGCAGCCAACGCCTCGTCCGCAGCAAGTTCAGCCACGGTCCGTTTCCTTGTCTTAGGAGAGGGCGGGCTGTCACGGTGAAGCGGACTCTCAAGAAATTTGAGTAGATCTTGGGCCGCATCGAGGCTATCCACTGGATCCAAGAAGAGCGGAGGGGCTAATGCCCTTACGAGTTTAGACTCGCATTCGTGGAGCTCATGAGGTTCCACGAGCATCTTCTGTCTCTTGGCGGGAGGGCCCCGATCCGTCGTATTGGTCGATAACGGAGATGGCTGAGGGCCAGCAGCGGAAGTCGATGGAGTACGCGATGCTCCATTAGGAGCAGCCTGTTTCTTATTCACGGCCCTGGGGTCCGGAGTCGTGGAGAGCAGCGTCAGTTCCGCATACAGGGAGCGCGGAGTCGGATGTAAGACCGTAGTGAAGACTCTAGGTTTCGCAGCAGCCTGTTTCTCGGGTGTCCTGCTACCGGATTCAGACTGCTTCCCACCGTTGGCCGCAGAATCGCCATTGGTCTTCGCGTCTGTCCCATTACCCACTGCACCCGAAGACTTGCTGTCTGTCTTCTCCGGGGTGATTTGGTTCTGTTTCGGATAAGGGACATAGGGTGAGGGAGTGACATGTTGGTTATAGTTGTGTATAGAAAACGGAGAATTATTCTCATCGGTGGTGGAGCTGGATGCCTTGCTTGTTTGAGCGGACACTGACTTGTGATCCACAACGCGCACTATGAGACAGCCTGGAACCATGTAAGCACTAATACTATTTCATGGAAGGTTGGTGTGCAATTCTACCTTCATAGAACCTGACGCCGGCCCTAAGTAATTCCTCCAGCATGTCATGGGGGACAGTCCCAGCTCGGATATGTTCGATGATGACTTTCATCTCAGAGTTGTATGGGAAGCTACCATCCTGCTGGTCGAATCGGAAATGTGTGGGGTGAAGATGTATTATGAGCGAAGGAGGACATTTCGAATACTTCTTCAGGATGTACGAAGTTGTTTTCACTGTCGATCATGTATATCAGCATACCACTTCAAACCAATGACTGTATGGCCGTAAGACAAACCATATGGCTCAGGGAACTTCTTGGAGACGCGGCGATCAGCTTCCGCCACAGATGTCCTAGTCGAGGGTCTCTGTAAACGTGATGCGGGCTCGTTCGGTTTCGGCATCTCCTTCTTCGGCCGCTGAATTGACCGATTGTTCGCGCCATTCACCGCAGAACCCCCGGCAGAACTCGACAAAGCAGGTTGACCAGCACCAGGAAGACGCTTAGATGAGGAGGAAGGTGATGCTGATGGCTGCGAGGGTTTAACGCCGTTAACCCCCCCTGTCTGAACGAAAGGCGGGGGGCGCTTCATCTTCGGGGGCTGAGAGGCGGGTTTAGAAACCGCGGTGGCCATGTTGTCGATGCCAGCAGCGCGACACAGCCGCTACTATCAGCGCTCGTCTGCGACTTACAAGAAAGCCAGCGCGACGGTATAGGACGAGTCCTCTACTCCGAAGTTCGATGTTCTTGCCGACGCGCGAGACATGTGGGGAAGGGAGGCAGAGTCCACAACGACGAGCTCACCGCGATAACTGGTGGCTAGAACCGGGTAATGAGGGGTTTGGATGGCAGAAATCAGAAATCCATCGAGAGTTCGAGATATAGAGAGGGTGAAGCGATGGATAATAGCCGAGCACTCAAGGTGAGGCTCTCCATGGAGTGACGGAGTTCTTGATGCCAAGCCCGCGTGAGCCTCAGTAATTATGGTCACGTGTCATCCGCATTCGGGTTGATAAACGCCCCGGGGGTTCTCCGGAGTTCAAGTCTGGAGTCTGGAGTAATAAGATAGGACAACAAGGCACAGATGATATATTTATCTATTTATATCTTATGATCTCGGAAATTTCCCTATAAACTGCTATCAATGTCCAAACTACACTACAACGCTCAAACTCGTGCCCAATATATCTACGACTCAATCAAGTTTAATTTTTATATTATTGCTATATTGCTATATCTTTAGGAGACGAACAAGGTATCAAAATACAAAGGCACGGGTCACTTTCGAAAAGACCGCCAGTAGCATCAAAAGTACAGGTCGCGTTATGTGCATAAATCGAGGGGAATCAAAGGAAAGATCAATACAGCAATCATCAGCGAAAACCAGAGAGCCATATCCGAGGGAAGGATGGAGCATAACCCGCGGACTCATCATCATAAAAATTTATTAATCCTGACCAGAGACCCTCCGTCTCCAGTCGTCTCCGGTCCGCAGGACATCGACCACATCGATGCGCTTGCCCAAGCCGGTGACACCCTCCTTCTGCCACCACTTTTCACTCTTTTCGCCAAGAGCCGACTCGTCATCACTGTCAATGAGACCACCACGGCCCCCTTCATCGCCAACCACAACTACCACCTGTCTGACCCAGCCAGAAATGTGATGCACGGCATCACCTTCATTGCCAGTAAGAGACTCTTGAATGTAAACAAGATCCGGGGATAAGTGCCTGATCAAATGGACATGGCCTGTCCGCGTGCTGAACGGCATGATCATGGTCTCCTTCTCGACTAGGGTCTGAGCCTGACGGTACAGAATCTTGAAGAAAGGAGTGGCCCCTTCAAACTCGTCTGTAGGCTTTGGTTCGACCGTTGACAGTTCAGCGTCAGGGAGCTCGCCCGACGCCGTTGCCTCTTCGGGTGCAATGTTGGAATAAGATGAAGCAATCGACGGGGCTGGCCGAGATAGCGAGTTTTGACTGCTGATTGAATGCTTCAGATCCGGCGCATAAATCAGAACAAAGACTCTGGTGGCATCAGGATCGACATGTTCCGGAAGGTGGGAAAGTATGGACTGTAAGGACATGGTTAACGAGCGAAGTAGACGCATCATATCGGTGAGAGGAAACGTACAGCATGTTCAGAAACCGCGTCTTCAGAATCATCAGCTGATTCAGAAGAGACAACAATGGCCACTGTCTTCTTTCTCTTGGTAAGAGAGCTTGACGCATCTACTGCGCGTGTCGGTAGAGCCCCGCTCATCGCTGGGCCTGCTGCTGTTGATTGCGACACAGTATTCTCTCTCGCGCTGACCTCTTCGGACCACCGAGAATGATCTTCGAAGTCCCCTCTTCCCTCCTCTCGGATGGAAGTCAGCGCGCCTCCAACCATAGCACCGGCCGCGGCAACACCGGCTGCCACTCTCCTGCTGGCACCATCGAATATCTGCTGCGGGCTTGGCGTGCGACGCAGCGCGCCCTGCATGCGTGCCATCATACCAGCGCTATCTTGGTCACGAATATCGGTGGATGTAGTTCTGGCATAGTCCGGACCAGGAACCCCCGGAGGTACAGTCTCGTACTCCGGAGGTTGATGTTCACCCCCGCGATATTCCCCGTCACCGCCATCATTCTCGTCGTCGTCGTTGCGTTCGCTCCATATCCAAGCTGCAAGTCCAATTGTCGCGACAGTCACCGTAAGCGCGAGCGGCACCCAGTACCCCAGCGCTGTACGTCTTCCCGAGGCCGAAAAGCCCGTCCCAGCTGGCCGGCGGCGACGGGTCTCGTGAGAGTACGAATACGACATTTGGCAGGTAACTAAGGGCTAGGCTATCATACGCACTGCAAGGCTGAGACAGTATAACAGAAAGGTAACATCTCCTTCTTTCCTGATAAAGGAATAACGAGATGATTAAAGGAGAAGAGAAGGTTCGGCTGCCTCGGGCAGTGAGGCCGGAAACATGTGGCTGGAGCTCCCCTCCTGTTTACCCGCGTCTTACGCCGTTTGTCTCGTTTGTTTCGTTCCAGAAATCCGGAGGCGGGTCATCGCTGAGTCATCAATCGCTATCGACACGTGACGGGCTTGGCATCATGATTTTGTCTGGCGATTTGATATTGAGTCAGCGGGCTTCGTACGCGATAGGTATTGATTCGCTGGGCTGTGGTTTCTGGTTTCCTGGGTTAGTAGCTCTCTACTAGTTGCATGGACCGGATACCTCCTCTGTGATCATTCATTTATTTGCTCCCACCTATTAAGGGCTACACTAAGAAGTGGGCATTGCCCCTCATCGCGGTCGTCCTCGGAGGGTAATCATATACCTGCAGCTCTCCGGACTGTATTCAAACAGAAGTTGTTTCGAATAGCTTGCTAGGATAGTGTCTACTGTCCAAGGGGACATCTGCGGAAAAATGCCACACCCTGTCACAGTGCCTCCTACGGGCTTCCAGGCCCTCATTCTTTGTGGGCCTGGCGTCTCGCTCAATACGTTCACGTCGAATCCTGAAGAATTCCCCAAGGCTCTTGTCCCCATTGCAAACCGCCCAATGGTCTGGTATCCACTAGACTGGTGTTACAGGATGGGCATTACAAGTGAGTAGAGGTCCCTTAAACAGGCATTAACATGCAGCCATCGTTGCTATTCAATGCCAACTACCATTGGATATACATTGCTGTTTCAATCGATGGCCCATAATCCTAACGCGATTGCTTCTGTCTAGACATTACCCTTATCACTCCACCCCAAAGTCAGCCTCCGTTGGAAGCTGCTCTCTCGCAGAACCCACATCTCACGTCTCTCCCTTCTCCGTCTCCATCTGTACTTGCACCGGCAGACTTGACCTTGACCACCGGAACAGCCGAACTTCTGCGTCTACCAGAAGTACAGGCCTGCATCAAGTCGGATTTCATCCTGCTGCCATGCGATCTGATATGTGACATCCCAGGAGAATCTCTCCTGGAAGCATGGATGGTTACAGAAGGTGCTCTCGGTGGTGGTACTGGCAGAGATCATCTGAATGCACGAGAACCCAAGATTGTTGGAATGGGTGGAGAAAAAGGAGGCCGCAGAGGTGGATTGGGAGTCTGGTATCAGACAAAAGACAGGGAAGAGAGCGTCAAAGGTGAAGTCACAGACTTTGTCGCTACAGCACCATTAGAATCGGATGAGGCTCCTGTCGTATACCCGCCGACTGATGGGCCGGTATCGATAAGATTTGGGCTATCGAAGCTGGTGCTTGCTATGCCAATGGATAGTCTGAAAGAGAAGATGGAGGATAACAAAGGCCTCCTACTCCGCCATTCGCTCGTGAAGAGGAATGCGCAAGTTAAAATGCTGACGACCTACAGAGATGCGCATATCTATATCTTCCCCTATTGGATCAAGGAGATGGCGAAACATAATGAAAGATTTGAGAGTGTTAGCGAAGATCTGGTCGGCTGGTGGGCCAAGGCGGAATGGCAGAAAGGACTGGCGGACAAGCTGGGATTCAGAGAGATCTTGGAAGGGAAGGACGATGGAACTGGAGAGAGTGGTAGCCATGACGATGACAGTCATGAGGAAGAAGTTGATCTCCAGGCCATGACCACGACAAAGGCAGGCTCAAGACCCCCTATAGGGCACCTTGGGGCACAAAAATCGCGCGATGAACTGCGATTCGCTTCTCGAGTCAACTCTAGTATAGATGCCACTCCTGACGCCTCAGAGAAAAGCGACCTGACTGTCCCACCAATCCTCGCCTACGTCCATCCCTCTCAGCCCTCTGCACCCCTCATCAGACGCGTCGACAACTCCGCTCTTCTACTCTCCGTCTCTCTGCGCCTCGCGAAACTCGAGTCGATCGAAGAAGTTGGTCGAACAGCCGCATCCTCATTTGCCCATTCTCAGAAGATCGCTTATCCGGCGGGTGTTGCCCAGCGGTGCACGGTGACCAAGGGCGACTGTCTCCTTGCCGAGAATGTCACCGTCGAAGAGAAGTGTGTGATCAAGGAGACTGTTATTGGTGCTAACTGCCACATTGCCAGTGGAGCACGGTTAACCCGCTGTCTGATTATGGACGGTGCTGTAGTCGGTGAACGCTGTCAGCTGACTGGCTGCGTCGTTGGCCGTAGAAGCAAGATCGGCCGTGAATCCGTGCTCAAGGACTGTGAAGTGCAAGATGGAAACGTCGTCGCAGATGAGACTGACGCGAAGAACGAGAAATTCATGGTCTTCCAGGGTTTGGAGGATGGTGACGAAGACATGAGTGCCACGGAGGATTTCGATGAAGATGGTGGTGACTTGGGATTCTGATCATGTTGTATTTTTATGACTCCCCTTACTTTCATCAACCTATCGTATAGAGAGAAAAGGTTTAACGAAGAAGAATATGAGGAAAAGTTACGACATTTGTCATTCTCATTCTATGATTACCTATTACGTACAACTAAGCTATCTTCTGTAGAAAATAACAAGAGTAGGAACAAAATTCAAGAACCACATATAAATGGATTCTCGAGATTAGGAAATGACCCAGTTATGACGCCGGAAAATAAGATAAATAATGTTATAGGCGAAGGAGACCCGGCATTATCCTCATGTCTCCAGTACAATCGACCTTTACGCACCCATAAGGCTCCCTGATGCGGGGTACCTGGCGCGAATAATAGCTCAGATCATCATCCATAATATTATTTTTTCCTTTTCTCATAGATATCTTCGCTGGGATCAGTCTGAGGGGGTAGAAGCGTAGGGTAAGATTCCTTCTCCCGTATTAGGCTCTGGAAGTTGTGATGCAGTGTAGCGACTGATGTTCCTCATCACAGCATCAGACAATCGATGCCATCGTTCCCCTATCACCTGCATTTCCTGCGCACCTTCAGACACTTCCTTCGACAAAGCCTGTACAAGTTCGTAGCTCGGACCTTGAGTTTCCAGCTGATGATTCAAAGCATTAATGACGGTCAGATGGTGTAGATTGGAGCTCGAAAATTCACGATGTTCAGCAGATGTCAGATGATCGATTTGAGTGTTCTGAGTGTACAACGGATATGAAATGTTGGATTGCGTTTGAGAGGTAATGTTTTGGTCTTCAGACATGACACGGTCTAATTCGAACACATGCTCATGAAATTCAGTTCTCGCTGGCGACGGCTGTTTATTTCCCGAGATCTTACTAGTCATCCTGCGATTAGTTTCTGCCTTGGTAGCCGCATTCGCAGGAGTAGATTGTCTCACAGTGTTTTCAACACCGGGAGTTCCCACAGAATCCTCACTATCGCTGCTTTCTGTGTCGGAAATATCCATGTCTCTGTGCGCCTGCAGCGACTCCAGATGCTCCATAGTGATCAGTGACTGGTGGTCATCCAACGTCGGGAACATGTCGTCCAAGTCGAGGAGCTCTGCGGTGGTATTTCCCACAGTCATGTGTGCGGGATTAACAGTATCTTGTTGATCACTGGAGACATTTCCACCATTTGGCATCGACATACTAGTGATTGCCATATTGCTCTGGTTTCCCGCGATTGATGCACCCAGTCCCTGGGCTTGAAGCTGAGAAAGAGACTGCATATTCGCGGAAGTATGCGCATTGTTGACAGCAGCCAACGCCGAAAGAGCATTCAATTGCGCGTTCAGATTCTGCTCGTGACCTTCAGGCCGTGGCATATCCAAACCATCCAGAACCCTATCGAATCTGAACCTCATATTAGACATATGTCCATTCTCATATCTGTCAAAATATTTTCCAATGATGGTCATCAGGTTTGGATGGTTTTCAGATACACCCAGTGCATTGATGACATCCTGTGCCGTCAGTTGAGTAGTAACCATAGCATTGATGAACTCCGACGGGGATTGTTCGCATAGCCAACAGAGAGATTCATCAAATATGGCTGTACTCTCACGCGGTTTGTGTTCAGAAAGGCTGTCGAATTGACAAGTCTCCTTCTGAGGGACGAGGTGGCTACAGATATGCCAGTTCACTGTGAGTTGGCACATGTTGGCTCTTGCAAGATGAAATCTGCCTTTTGAGATAACTGATAACACGTAGGGATGCAATATGGATAAGAAAAAGAAGAAGAGAAGACCTCGTTGGTACGTAATTCGAAAATAGTCAGCGTCGTTTTTATATCAGACAGCATTGAGCGTACAACGAGTACAATGGGAACTGCCAACAGAAAGAAGAGTTATCTGCACCTTGAAACACAACAAGGCTGGGCGTTTCGATACAGATTACTTTGATGTCAAGGATTGACTGGAGGGACGGGTCCATCATTGTTGTTTATTCTCCCTGCAGGATTTCAACGTGGAATTGTTCATCAAGACCCGCTATAAACATGGAGTAACACGGGGAAGGGCCTTCAATTTCCTACTTAACTTCCATATTCTTTGTTGTCAATGGAATGGTAAGGCGTAGAGAATAAAGCTAATGTCATTATAGTGCTCTTAATAACGGAGAATAGCGTTGTACTTCTCTCATTGTTATTGTGCAGTAAAAGGAACAAGTGGTTTATACAGTACCGATTTCCGCATTGCGAAACAGTTTACTGGGAAATAGCGGCGAGGTAGCATACAACAATAACACTATATAGGCAGAAGTCCACAATGGAAAGATAGTAGTTGAAATTTGTTCTATGATATATACAGTAGGATATAGTGTATATTAGACGCAGATTAATAGTGCGCATAATTGATACTATAGAACTATTGATATCATTGGCTATCCAGCCAAACGAACGAAACAGAGGAAGCCTATAGTCCCATGAGCAGTAACTAAGAGAGGACAGTAAGAAGCGCCAGGGTAGTTGTCAATTTCAACTTCCCGGGTAGATACCATACGAATATTTCTCTTATTTTACCGGGGAGCGTCCCTCGACATGGGTACGCATCGCCACCTCCAAGCCTACCGGTGTTGCAGGGATGTACCCGAACGCACTGTTTTGACAAGACTATGCCAACCGTAGTAGTGACGAGCCTCTACGGAGATTTATCACCAATCACAGTAGATCAACGGGACAGGCACTACATGCAAGCAAGTTTTAGAGGCATGTGCAAGCGAGCAAAACTTCTTATGAAAGACTGCATAGGACTTCCAACTTCTGTTCATAAAGTGGTCCTCAAGGTGGCACTTTAGACCTGCAGTGAGAGGTTCCACAACGAACAGCGCACAGTGGCAAAGATTGGGGGAGTTTATCTGAGCTGTAAGAACGGGAGAAGTGAGTTTTCTCTGCACAGAAATCTCCAGTGCAACTGTTAGATGGATGTCTGCCCGTCTACGGGCCAAAATCTTGTCCCGGTCATGTTGCATAGAGATTATCCCAAGGACCTCTCTTTAAAAGGGAAAAAGAGAGAGAACAGGACTCTCGCGAGCTGAGCCCCGCAGACATCAGTTGAGTTGATATCGTACCATATCACATCCAAGCTGACGACTCCCCACTGCCAGTCCCACAAGCTGCTCGTAATTAGTGTTCAGTGAGTGGATCGTTTCACCTTGCGAAAGTGATCTCTTTGCCTCTTATAATGAACACAATCCGGTGTCAAATGCGCGGAAAGCTTGGAATGTTTCTCCTAAAGAAATCCTTTCGAGTCTCATGAGGTCGTTTCTAGTAATTCTCGTTTATCAATAACGGTTATGTTTCGAGGGGAAAACCGTCAGGGACGAGTCTGACATCGTGAGACAAGATGATTAGGTAACTATCATCGAGAAGAGTGACTGGGTTCTGCATTCACTGTTGGCAAAACATGCCAACGTCTGTCTAGCATCCTTTCTGTCCTTCTATCGAGAGCAATTATAATCACTCATCGTAAGATGCTGTGATCTCAGGGCAAGTTCCCGAGATCGTTTGGTAGAAAGGGCCAAATCCTGGAGATATAGCGAAAGCGGTGAGACATGAACATGGTCCGGTTATTCTGCCGGCATAACCAAGACGGTGAGGCTGGTGAGCTGATGTTATCTGGTTAGATCTCGAAAAAATTTGAGAGTATCATTAGTCAAGATATATGGTATGCTCTCCGTATGTATTGACATCCCAGCTGCTTGCGGTAACTTGATCCTTTCCCACGGTTCCAAGGTTGAAGGATACATGATCTGACCAGGGGCTTTGACCTCGTTACCGATGGTCAAATTTTGCTGAAGTCGAAATGGCCATGGACGTTTTGTCACCAACCTGATCACTGTCCGCATGCATAATATAATTCAATCGGTGGTCGGCTCAGCAATAGCATTGGTCTCCGATGAATACCTTTTCTTAATCCGGGTAGGCTGAGACCTGACCTTTTAGCGTCGGATTCAGCCGCTCTTTCAAAAGTTTCGCGGGTTTAGAACCACGGAACCTGCTATCCTGGACCCATTGTTGTTCACTCAGGTGTCGAGCGGTGAGTTGACAAGTTGGAGCAATATCATGCTAAGAAACGACAGCAGGAAAGCTAGAATGCAGGTCGTACAGGTCGAGTGGGATCGATTACCCAACTCGAAGCTGGTTGGTACGCCAAGTAAGTCCGATGAAAAGCCTCCTGCTCGATCATCATTTTTTAACAGATCTAGTCCGTCTTGGCCATCGGTTGGACTGTGGTGTTGGTATCATGAAGGGTTCGCGAGGTGCCGTTCCCCACATCGTACAGATGTCCCACGGCCATGTCGTTCACTTCAACATGAAAATTTGAACTACATACCATGGAACGTGGTAGTCCGGAGCTGTGTTTCCGTGGGAAATAACACTTACAAAAGAAAAAAAATATGCTGTATTTGAAGGATTGTCGATGTGCCTGGGAGGACTGTGCTAACCCGCCGCAACCGGACATAGTTGCGAGATGGAAGGGCCCTTGTACAAGTGTGCCTACATTCTTCGGCCTGCACAGACGGCGAGGACCTGTCAACGTGGTTGACAGATATGACCAATAGTATAACCGAATGGATCTCTCTCAAGCCGCTCTCAGCCAGTGCTGTGTTCTGCTATTCCAGAAGCTCACAGAGATGATTAATGTCAGTTTATCGTGACTTAACTATACATCTTTCCGGCCGACAGTTACGCTGCTGATTTGGCGGGTCCCGAGTTCGACTTGTAGGAAGATATGAGACAATAATATGCCTCGTTCCTCTGTTCCCTTGAAAAGATCACAATTGCCTGAGATTGCGATATGAGAGAATCAGCCACATCCATGTGAACTCAAAGTGTTTCTCTTGTAACCTTAAAACAATGTCCCGGCAACGGAACTCTAATGCTCACACACGATGGTGGCTTCTCGACTGAGAGCGACTATCATTGTTTACTCGCGTGGAGTCCGTCCAGTCGTCGAGGGACAAATAACTGCCGGAACTCGGCTTATTCGCTCTGTCATCGGGGCGCCCCGCACAGCCTGGGCTCGTCCGCTTCAGGCGACGTGCAGCAGTATACAGGGCCTGTGCTGCTGTTTCCGTTTCACTTCTCAGCATTCGAACGTTGACATGCAGATCTGGACAGTGCCTGCAAGAGATTGAGAAGGGCGGCACCCTTCGATCGCATTGCTCAGATATTGAATTGGCCATTCCCTCAGCAAGTCGATGTGGATGGCAGAGAGGGATTTCCCTTCCTCTAAAGACATGTTACCAATGAATACGGGACAATGAAGACGCTGGTTGCAGCAAGATGAGCTGTACTCGGCTGGTAAGAGAGCAGTTGAGCCGGATCGTGAGTACAGCGCTTTGATTCGTGGTGGTAGTGATATAGCGCCTGCAGTTGTTGACACGATTGGGTATAGCACCGAGGCCTGCATATTGCGTGCGCCGTTTCAAGCTCGAGAAGGTGTCCTGAGGCTTTCGGTAGCCGTCCCTTATGGACGACCCCTTGCCTACAATTTTACTTTAGTAGTCGCGTCGCGTTACTTGGGATCAATACGGTCAGGTAAAGCAGTTGACGGTGCAGATGCATAGAATTCTCTTGGCGGAGGATGACTTTACAGGTCTGTTTCTGCGATAATATCGGCAAAGGTGGTTTACCTTCAATCACTTCTCGCTGCTGGCTTGCTTTCTCCATGCATCCCTAGTTTGGACAAGTTTTCCATCCTTCGATCCTTTGGCATGCGAACATACGGAGTACACTGGAGTCCAACTCGCATGCGAGCGAGCTAACTATTTGCCTAGGGCAGCAAATGAATGACGATAGAGCGGTATTGTAGATCGCTGTGGCCGTACCCCCGTTTTTCGTGCAAGCAAGGTCTGACGCATAGGCACAAAGTCACCTTGAACAATGATGCTGCATCCGGCCAGGTCAGGGCAAGGGAACTGCGGCCACGGTCCGGACCTGGATACCTTAATGTTAATCTCGCCAAAACCTCATTGGAGATCGATGACCATCGCCGGGTCAGGAACCTGATATATCCGTGGAACCCCCCACATCATCATCATCATCACCTTCCTGGGAGAATCTGTCGATGATGCCAACGTGGATGGAAAGGAGACCAGGGACTCTGCGGAGTACCTACGCATTTACGCATCCAGTTACAGATTGGGAGCAATCAGCGTTCACTTGATGTGTCCAACGGCTGTCGCCTGTAGACGCGTCATGGGTTGAACCAGGATTGTGGGGTGATCTTCTTTTTATGGGGAACGCAGGAATAATCACCCCGAACTCCACGAAATTGTGCGTAGGCAACCAGCTTGTCTCTTCAGGACCCAGGTAAATTGCACGTATGATACTGACTTGCGGCCATCTGTGCCACCGTGGAAACGGTAATACTCGAGTACCTGCGGAGGCAAAGGGTAACTTGCGTCCCCATCCTAGCACAGCGGCGGACTCAAACGAGCCAGAAATCTCAGTCCAACTGCCGATATCTAGGTCTGGGGTTGAAACCAAGAGGTCTGTGTTGACTCTTGGGGCAGTTATCATCCTCGTCTATGAAGTACGATACAACGGCACAATTAGCCTGTAGGCCGTAGTCTGCTCTAGTTAAGAACTATTACCCCGCGGACTTTTTCAGCGATATCATGGCACATGCAGACCCCTGTGGCTCAACTCCGGGTAACAAGAAGTCGCTAAGAGCAACGGACGCTAGACGGAGCCCTTACACCGCCAAGTTGCGCGTCGTTTCAGTACTCTAACAGCGGCTCGTCGAGATCTGTGGGGGATAGGAGCCAGTTTCAATTCGATCTGTTCTTCAGATTCAGACGAGCAAAAGCACAGCGCGTGCGGAATCGGCGGGCGGGTAACAGATAAATTGCGACCGCCCAAACAGACCATCGACAGGCAGTCAGATCGACTGCAGGCAACGAGTCACTGCGGAGTCTGAGATTCCCACGATTGTCAATCCTGTCGATCACACGGGAACAGACTGCTTGCGTGGGTCTGCGTATCCGGTCTCCGTCCCTCAGGATCCATACTCTCCAGGATAGTCACCGAGAAGAAAAGAAGAGCCGATGCGACGTGAGTTCGGAAGGTTGGAAAGATCACGCTGGATTATTATCTAAATCGCGGAGTGCTCGGATGATCTGCTCATCTCGCCCCGTTATTATTATTGTTGTGATGCGAACATCAACTCACAACGACAGAAAACATAGACGCTAGTTACAGTAATTGCCTCCGGTTTCGCACACTCTCCTCTTGGACTCGGTCATGGTAACTGTGCCGCAGCGGGAATGCGGTGATCAAAAAAGATCCTTGTATCTCGCAATAATACATAACAATAATATACAGGAATGGCAAGTCCTCTTTTTTATCTCGACGCGATCCTCCGCGCCAACCGTGCGTTGAAGTATGTTGCGCACGATCTGAATAGGGTCGTTAATACACTTTGGTCTAAGACCGACGAGGGGTTAAGCGTGGAAGCCTGCCAGCCTATGAAAGAGGGTTATCGAGGGTAATCGCACGTATCTACTCTAGGGACGGGAACTATAGGTTGCTTCTCCTCAGCCGGTCTGCTATCTTGTAACGCGAACGGACCCTTAGCCAAAAATACCTGAAACCCACCTGCACATAATTACTCTCATCTATCTACAGATAGTAGTTAGTTACAGGGCGACTGTGAATCAAACGTTGTTATCGCCGACAGACATGACAGAGGATCGATTCTACCCGTATAGATAAATCACATTTTTCTCTTGTTCTATGATGTTCTTCTGCGGTGGAGAATTCCCATGGAAGCATCAGGAACCAGAGAGTATTCCATGGTGCGCCAATAACCCAACCAAACGGTTTGCCGCGTGTAGAAATCTATTTTCTTATCTTTCCCGGGTTGGTCCATGGATGTGGCACGAGGATAAGCGCGGCAAGTCCCTTGAGCTATTATGACGCACATCCAGGGGACCTTGTCTCTCACCTGACGACGGTCTCCTATCTGTCGATGTATATCCGACACCATAGGCTCGTAGTAATCGGTAGCAAACGATAACCAGCTAGCCACAATCCCGCCAGCACTGCTGACTGAAACATATTCGAAGTCATCCAATCGCAGGGCCATCGGTTTCCAAAATAAAAATAAAAATAAAAAAGATAAATAACAAAAAAAAAAAAAATAGCTTTCGATTCCGATGATCCAAAACATCTAACTCCGTAGGATGCGGTAACCCCCAGTCTTGCTGCAAGGCTATTATTTCTCTGAACGGTAACCATACTTCTTGACGAGTTTCCATGGCAAGGCGAACCTGATGGAGCGACGATAGACTACGTACTACCGTAAGGGGAAGAGAAGACTTTCTACGTTTCTTTTTTTGTTATCGTGAGTCGTGACAGCCAAGGTCTCGCCTGTTCCCCCCGCTTTGGCGGGTAAGGGAAACCTGGTACGGGAGCGGCCACAGAAGGCGCTCGAATCGCAGATATACGGAATCTGGTACAATTATGCTGGCATGCAGTTTCATGGTGTCGACATGCTGGTGAACGACGTGGAAAAGAGAAGCCAGAGTCGCTTCGCAGGCGACCATCACGGGGGCCTCAGGAGAAAGTGACGGTCGAGTAACTGGCGTTACAGCTAAGAAGGCTAGCAGAACGGCCAGGCGAATCAGGGGGTGGCCAACGGGGGGCTTGGAGGTGATACTGGCAGTTCTAACCTTCTATGGGCCTCCAAATGGGGCGTTGGCCTCACAGCTGTCCAGCACGTTCCTTTCCGTTCCGCCGTTGGCAAGAACAGAAGGAAAGGGCAAAAATGGCAGTGTGTTCGTTGTCGGGATTCTTCTTCTTGGATGCAGTCATAATAATAGTTACTCGAGATAGTTAGCTGGTAGCGATCGGGAGAGCTCCATCTGCGATCTTTGGATCCGCACAGAACTCGAACCGAACAGGACGACTGTCTGGAACAAGTGACGTCTGTACATTCCGCGGCTGATACCGGGTCCTGCGTTGTGCCTCGAGGCCCGCCAGGGGAGAGAGCGAGCGACCTAACTAACGAACGTCTCCCAAGGGCTGATGGATGCTCGTGGATCTGTCTGTCTTGTCTGTCTTGACTGTCTTGTCTGTCTGTTTGGTATCAGTCTGTATACATACCGTACCGGAGACCTTTTCTTAGTGTATTATTATTTTGGAAGCAGACACGCTTTCGTGCTTTCCTCCCGCCCTGTGCTTCTCGCGGGCTCTGGAAAAGGCCGTCTCCGCCTCCAGTCCCGTCGGTCGGTCAGTCAGTCAGTCTGTCTGTCTGTCAGTCAACTCTCAGTCTGTCAGTCAGTCAGTCCCGTACTGGTCGCTCCCTGGCATCTTATTCCATTCCTGCTCCCTCTCCTATCTTTCCATTTCCTCCATCCCCTCCCCTCCCCCCCCTAGTCCCCAGCCAAAGGCCCATCTTCTGCGTCCATCAGAAGAGGAGGTGCCGTGCTACGGATTGGCGTCTGTTCTCTTTTTGGCTCTCTGCTGCTCCTTTACATGGCTTGAAACTCCCTCTGGCTGCTGCCCGTTCGGAGCCTTGCGTTCCTCGCAACCATTAGCCCCCTCTACCTTCGTCGTCCGGATTTTTTTTGGACACCCTTCATTTTTTCCGCAACATTCATTTCTTGCATCAAATTTGAGCGCCTTTTTTTCTTCCTTTTTTTTCTTTTTAATTAATTGTGTATCAATATAATCTTTCACAATTGTTTTGCCAGGTAAGACCCTCAACCATCGGACCACTGACTTCCCGTCCGCCGTTTTGACCACTTCACCGTGGATCACGATCTCGTGTTTTCTGCTCTTGTGCGGACCGTGGATGACTGATGCTGCTTGCTCTTTCCCCCGTTCAAGTGTCGGTCGAACAATGGACTGACCAGACCGTGTGTGAATCAGATCATTTCCGCCATTCGCTTCGTGGACACGACTCTCCCCTTCGACCATCAACACATCAACACATACCCGTATTCTTCCAGGTTCAGGTCATCAAAGAACTCAAGCGCCTTGAAGTGAAATATTTCGGGTTGTAGTCGAAACACAAGGCACCATGGCTGCCATTGTCCAGACGATTCCACAGACGGGGACAGTGACGATGCTTCAGACTCGCCCTTCCTCCTCATCGGGTTCCTTCGCGTCTCCGTCCCAGACGTCCCATCAACAGAGTCCCCGGAGTCAATCAGTGTCCCATACGATGGGTACCTCGACGAACCACAGGGGTCATCAGGCAATGGCTCCTGTAGCCCCCTATGCCTTTACAGCTACGCCCGGAAACCCCCAGAACCGTCAGTCATGGGCGCCTCAACCGAGGCTGGACAGCAGGTCGTCATCTGCTACTTCAGTTCCTCAAGGGTCGGGCAGTTTCTCATTCAATGGAAGTATGCACAACTCAGCAGCTGGTTCTGTATCCACCGCATCCACCTCTTCATCTGGATCCTACATGTCCAAAGACGACACTGCCATCCCTTCAAGACGCCAAGCAGGTGACCTATCTCCGCGTCCGCTGTCGACCGTCAATATCCCTTCATCGTCCTTCATGAACATCTCTTCTCCCGTTCTTGCACCCAAGCCGTCCCCCGACCGTTACCGTCGTGGGAACAGACGGGCTGATAACTCGACTGCGGCTCACAATTCGGCTGGTGTTCTCGCGACGTCGGGGCCAGTAGGTCGTGTGTCCACACCTGATTCAACAACACAAGGGAATGCTTCGTCAACCTCGAGCGTGCAGCGGCCTTTCCTGTCTCCGGACCGTAGCGCTGGTGGCCACGTACGTGTTTCCAGTGCGGACGATACACGATCCGAGAGACTACAGCAGCCTGAACTCGCAAAGCGATATAGACGCAGAAGTTGGGCGACCATCGACACCGCTGGAGTTGCCGGTCTAAGAGGCGAGACACCTTCGCCAGAGAATACACTGATCAACATGTCCGGTGCTCGTTCAAGGGAAGAGCGGCCCTCGTCACGGTCATCTCACTCGGCCAACGGTAGCACAGACAGCATACATTCGACGCGGTCGAATCACTCGGTAAGTTCCTTGGGGATTCATACGCCAGTGTCATTTTTTCGCTGACGTTGATTTCAAGGCTCCACGCGATGCTAGCAGCACACGGGCTTCATCGGCCAACGAGGAGAACGGACACCGTACCCCAGAAATCTCCAAACGGCCGGCCAACCCTTCTCCATTGTCCAATCCGGTCACAATGAGCCCTGTAGCCGATGCGTCAAAGTCGACTTCACCAGCTAAGGAGGAGAAGGAGACGAAACCCGCTGAAGGTTCTGCAGCTCAACGGCTGGCAGACATCACCAAAAATGAGCAAAAGAAGTCTGGAAAATCTCGTCTAAGGAGGGCATTTTCTTTCGGAAGTGCGTCCGAGCTGCGACGTGTTTCTGCTCAACAGAGCCTCGGCAGGAGAGATGGGGAAGTTGAGAAGACCCGTAGACAGCAGCTTAGTGAAGAACTGGGCGCTGAACAGGCTGAAATCGCAGAGAGACAAGAGGCTAGCGGACTTGGAGAGAGTATCTACTCGCATTTCGCGGGGTCTACGGACAATTTGTCTATCTCCTCGACCGCTTCTTCTGCATCTATCATGCTCCGCAAGATGGGCAAAGGGATGAAGCGTTCTACCCGGTCTCTCGTTGGGCTTTTTCGGCCCAAGTCTCTCGTGAATGCCTCTGCAGATCCGATCGCCGTGGAGCCAATGGCCCCGAAGGTGTCGATAGTGAACATCGAAGCTGACAAGAAGGGCACGGGCTTCAACCCAGATACACACGGACATGGTGGCGTCTTCGCTACTTCGGACGGAGCTAGCACAGACACCTCGAGAACCGGGTCTCTCCGTGAAGCATCGCGTAAAAGCATTATGGGAGGAGAGAAGGAGCGTGCTGAAGTTCTCGCGGCTGTTCGAAAGGGCATCCTTAAGAGTAAGTCACTCAGAGACCCTGGTCGGTTCATGGAACCCTCGAACTAATAGATGATAGGAACTGGCACCGATTCTGGGAACTCGTCCCCGGCCTTAAGGCCAGCGGAGTCTAGTGCTGCTCGTTCGAACGACTCTCCACACTCCAGCGCCCCCAGCACTCCTGAAGATCGTGCTTCTGGGGCTGGGCAAAGACGGGCTGATGCCGTGAAGATTGAGGGCGAGGATTACTTCCTTTCGGTAGGCAGGTTTGGGGGACCTGATTCGAAGAGCGCCCCAATCACACCGCAATCGGTCTCGAAGAATATCGTATTCAGCCCCCGTATCCAGTTTCACGAGACCTGGCCTAGCGGGGAATACGATCGACGGGGTGATATTGCTACCTGCAACAGGTTGACTCCCCTCCTTGCGCAGCAAATCAAGGAGGAGCTCAATACCTTCAAGATGGTACGTCAACACCTCCGTGCACACCGGGTCGGAGCTAACGAGATCTTCAGGAGATGGAAGTCCATGAGACGTCGAAAGTCTACACCCATTTTCTCTAGATGACTTTACAACGTTCGCCTGGTCTTTCGGAAAGCTCGCGCATATTCGTGAGGCTCTTGTAGATCTGCTGTCATGATCCTATCGTTGATTCCTGATCACTCCCGATTACGATATCTAGCGACTGTTCTTGTCTTGATCATTAGACTTGTCTCTAAAAGCATTACGGGGCCCTCGACGTCTGGACCAATTTTGACACGCCTTTTTGACGGATCCAGCGTCATCTCTTTCCTTTTCCTCATATACCAAGCGTTTGCTCTCGTCTGTGTTCGGAGTTTTCAGGCGTTACTGTTCCAAGGAGTCTGGCTTTGTTAGCGTTGGGTTCGAAGTTATCTATCTTGTATCTTTCTCTTATCAGTCAGCTTGAAACTGACCCGGCACCTTTTGTGTGGTGAGCTTATCACTTTTATTCCTGACCGGGCGGCCTTGGTACCGCTCTTCGGGCCCGCCACAGCCCCGGATCCTCTCTCTCTCCCTCTCCCTTCACGCTCATGTGGACGCATTTCTTGTCTCCTATTTGTCAACTCTTTACAGTATTATGTTCACACGTCTGTTCCTATTTGAAATTGCAAAGAAGCGGCAGCATATCTCGTCGTTTTTCATGTTAGGCTTTTTGTGGCATTTTCCAGGGCAGCTGTGGGTTGATTATTCCCGACCATGTTTCTCCATTCGATTAATGTGGCGCCGTTGCGGTGCAAATTGTCTACCGGCTTATCTACCATCCTACCGCTCCTTAACCTGTGTGTATCCCATTTTCTGTCAGCTCGTTTTTTCCTTGGTTGGATGGAAGTGAAACTGCGATGGAGTCTTCGTCTCCTCTTTCTTTTCTGTCGATTGGTTGGAATCCTGTGTGATCCCTCGGGTAGTGGTGAAAATGGAGGTCTAGGCAACGAGCATCTTGAGAGTGGTGTTTCCGCGTACCAAGCAACATAAGCGATTTTTTCGCATATCATGGCCTCCAAGGGCGTTTCTTCGTTGTAGAGTGCCGCAGATGTAGATGTATTTAGCCAGTTAAGCATTAAAGTTAATTAGTTGAGACTTTGCGTGGCGTGTTTAGCCGGGACCGAGCGACTTGAGATTCGATCCCGACCCCGGGGGTTCTCCCGCTCGTCGAAGGCAGCCCCGACCACCGGTAAACTGTCGGCCCGGAGTTGTAGAGCCGGCTAGCTCTAAGTAAGTACTACCTGGAAAGTACCGCGTTCTCTGTGTGTGTGCGTGACGATCTGGCCTCTGTGATCATTATCATTGCTGTTATGGTGCGTTGTCAGTGCCGGCATTAGCTCGACCTCTCGGCCAAGCTCTGGGGTATTTTCCAGTTCGTGTGGAGTGCGGGACAGGAATAAGTATGGAGTTCTTTTGTTTTCCCCGGGCAGACGGCCGTTTGGAACTTTAGAGTATGAGCATCCCCCACGACTCCCCCACGAGACTCCCCCACGTACCAAACTCTGGAGAGAGCTATCTATGTATCATTATTACCTCGGACATATTATTTTCTCTGTCTCTCTCCCTCTCTCTCGCAGAATCAACTCCAATGGCCGTCATACGATTTTCGCTTTCCGTGCATTTTTCTGCAAGCTAGACAGCGCCCGATCCCGGTTTTGACTGGCTGCACTGGATTCTCGGGTCTCTCCCGACCACTCCTACAGCGGTCCGCCCCGGGCTTCTCCATCCTATACATCCCCCGACCACGGCACAGACCCCTTCCCTACTCCATTCCATTATTTCATAGTCTACAGTCGCATGGATATGGCTAGACATTGATCCGGGGACGACAACCGACCGCGCACAAAATCGGGGCAATCCCTCGTGGTCGTCCCCCTCTTCTTTTCTTCTTCTCAGATTCTTCCTCGCCGGATTGATCTTTGTTTTTTTCTTCCTCCCTTTCTTCTCTGTGTGCTCCTGGCCGGTATCAGGGTCCTTGTTTCTACTCCCCCTCTCCTTCTCACCCCTCCTTGTTGCTGTTTACCCCACCATGTCAGTCGGCAAGAACAACGACATCTCTGCTGGCCCAGACTCCGAGATTGACATCGACGAGGATGGCAAGGACCTGGCCACTCATGTCTCTCGGGTCGAAGAGGGAGGAGTCGTTGCCAATTCCAACAAGCCGAACCCGAAGAAGGAGGCTCCTCTCTATGTGGCTGGCCTCTCCCCTGAAGAGAGAGAACAGGCTGAGAAAAGGCTCGTTCGCAAGATCGACTCCCGTCTCCTGCCAATCGTCATTCTTATGTACATCCTGAACTATCTGGACCGTAATAATATCGCTGCGGCTAGGTTGGCGGGTTTGCAAGAGGATTTGGGCCTGACCAGTGTGCAGTACCAGGTATGCACCCAGTTGAGATTCTTCCGGAGTTTCGTTTTCTGTCATGCAATCTATTTTTCTTGTAGTTGGTTCTGACGTATTGGCTACAGACTAGTGTTAGCATTCTCTTTGTGGGTTATCTTCTGATGCAGATTCCGTCCAATTTGTTCTTGAACAAGTTGGGAAAGCCTGCCATCTACTTGCCCTCCGCGATGATGCTCTGGGGTATCATCTCCACTGCCACGGCGGGTGCTCAGAGTTATGGTGGCCTCGTGGCAGTGCGGTTCTTCCTCGGTTTCGTCGAGGCTGCATATTTCGTATGTTGCTGAACCTCTGAGAGGAACACGAGGGACAGATAAGCTAACGATGGGTCCCCAGCCTGGTTGTCTGTACTTCCTAAGTGCATGGTATACCCGCAAGGAACTTGGATTGAGAACTGCCCTGCTCTATTCGGGATCTTTGATCTCAGGAGCGTTTTCTGGACTCGTAACTGCCGGTATTACCGGGAACATGGATTACACGAGAGGACTGCGAGCCTGGTAAGTGACCGGACTGATTGATTATCATCACCGACAAACCCCAATACTGACGAACTCGCCAGGCGGTGGCTCTTTATCATTGAGGGGGCTATCACCATCGTCGTGGCCTTCCTGTCTATGTTCATCTTGCCGAACTTTCCCCGCACAACAGGCTGGCTCACTGAGCAGGAAAAAGAATTGGCCGCCTGGCGTCTAGAGGAAGATATCGGTGAGGACGACTGGGTTGACTCCGAGGAGCAATCGTTCCTCCACGGAGTCAAGCTCGCCGCCATGGATATCAAGACGTGGATTCTGGTGCGTACAAGAAATATTCCCCCTACCATCTGAAACCGCTACTCACATCTCATACCCCAGATGGTCCTGGTCTTTTGCATGGTCTCCTCTGCTTCCGTTACCAACTTCTTCCCCACCGTCGTCGCGACCCTTAAATACGGCCAGATCGAGAGTCTTCTCCTCACGGCCCCTCCGTACGTGCTGGCAGTCATCACTGCCTTCCTCAATGCCTGGCATGCAGACCGCACGGGAGAACGATACTGGCACATCACCCTTCCACTGTATGTGGCTGTCGCAGCATTCATCATCGCTGCCTGTACAACCGCCGTGGGACCACGCTATCTCGCCATGATGCTCATGGTTCCTGGCGTGTATACCGGTTTCGTCGTGGCTCTGGCCTGGATCTCCAACACCCTACCCCGTCCGGCATCGAAGCGTGCTGCCGCCCTCGCGGCCATCAACGCTGTCAGTAACGCCAGCAGTATATATGCCAGTTACATGTACCCTAGCAGCGCTGGTCCCAGATATGGTACGTTTCAACCTCCCATTCTCTTTTTCCCCCCTTGTTCTTCTTCTTTTCGACCATAACCTTCACCCCTGTATACCCCTTCATGTTGCTCCATAACTAACAGCTACCTCTCTCCAAAACAGTTGTCGCCATGTCCGTCAACTGCGCAACCGCCTTCATCGCCATCCTCTCCGCCACTGTCCTCCGTATCATCCTTGCCCGTCTGAACAAGAAGCTCGACCGCGGCGAGGCCGTCGCTGGCGCCATCGCCATCGGTGGAGGTGTCCCCGGCCAAGCGAGCCAGAGAGGATTCCGCTTCTTGCTATAGGAAACGTGTCTACGATGATCTCAATTTCTTTTTTCTTGGTTTTTTTTTTTTTCACCTCCTCGCTCATATTCATGTCCTCCCCTGAAGGGGGAATATATAGTTACTATATTGTAAAGTCTGTCTAGATTACCTCAGATGTTCATGTCATGCCATGCCATGTCATGTCATATATGATGATGAATCACCGAATGATTACGTTGCGTTAGAGAACTTGAGATTTGGAACTTGAAGACTTAATTCAGCCGTTGTGAGAGTGTCTGCTCGCTCTACTTTGTACATACAATCCATCGAGGAGATAATATAGTTTAATTGTCTACTTATTTACATACATGATAAGTTAACGAGAAAGAGTAATATATATATTTCTTTCTCTACTTCTAGCTATATTAGCAAATAACTCCTCTCTCTCTCTCTCTTGTGTTCTTTATCTTTTTTCTCATTTTGTTATCTTCTGGATCAATCATATAGTAATGTTATGTACATGTTGTAGTAATAAGTAACTTCTTAAAAAAAAAAAAAAAAAAAAAAGAAAAGAAAAGAAAAGAAAAAAGAAAATACCCAGCTTCCCTCCCGGTCTTAAAACCTTCTTCTGACATATCTTCATAGTTACATAAGGGGATAGGCGCGTGCCTCCTTGGTTTTTTTTCTTTTTCCCCGGTCTATACCACCTTTTCGATCTTTCAAAGCAATTATTTGTTGATGTTATTAGCGAATAATAAAGGGGGATAGATAAGAAGATGATAAAAAAGACTTTCATATCGGTATTAGATAGAATACGCGATGAAAGGGTCCTTCATTGCTCGTATCGTGGATTGTTTTTTTTTCCAGGGTCGGGTTCTCTCTGGTCAGCGTGAAAAGAAATAGGTCGAAACGAGACTCGGTCGGTTTGTTGTGTCGGCCCGCCTACTTACTTATCGGAGTCCCGTGATTTGCTTGGCGGGATGCCTGATGAGCCTCAGAAGAACTGCTTCTTCGGGTAGATCAGTTCCTCGCTATCATCAGTCTCTCAGTAAGGGTTTATCTATCTTTGACAGATAAAATGCGTGTTTGGTTTATCAAGGAGAAACTCCATTGACGTTCTTCTCTGGTTCCAGGACGCCAAAGGGGTTACTCCCCTCGACTGGGCTGGTCTCAGGCTCCTTCTTGCTCCGCCTTCCGCGGCCCTTGGCAGGCACTTTGGAAAACCCTTCAGCCTCATCGTCGACCTTCTTGATACTTGCGGGGTCGGATGTCGTCTTGGACATCTTCTCGTCAACCTTCTTCTGCTGGGCGTTCATGACGTCCTTGACACTAGCTTCGTAAGCCTGAGTGCGGGGGGTCGCGGTGCCTTCTTCCTCAGTCGAGGAACCATCGCCATGCATCTCGAACACAGCACGGTGAATCTCTCGGCTAACACCCTTCAGTGCATCCATGCCGGCCTTCTCGGCAGTCTGCATATGCGTGGGCTGCTTGGCGCTCGGGTCCTTGCGTTGTAGGTAGGAGCGGACAAAGAAGCGGGCAAATAGGTAGGTCAACGGCAGGAGATACATCACGTTGAGCCAAACAGCGAATGCCTGGCCGCTCGTGTCGATGCAATCAATGGTGCGGTACTCGAGCCCATTCTGAGCGGCGGTCCTCGCCTCAGCCAGCTTCGCGGCGTGAACCGCATCAACACCAAAGTGCTGACCCTGGGCATTGAGAACATTCTCAGCAATTCCCTCTGCGCCTGCAGCGCGGAAAGCAAGCTTCTTCAACCAGGGACCAAGACTACCGGCGGCTGCGGTGGCGGCTGCGATACCAGACTCTGCGGCAGATGATGCGGCAGCAACAGCGGTGGCCTTGTGACGAGGCGACAGGACAGTCGGGACAGTGACAGGGATGTCATAGCTGATGAACAAGTGGATAGCAGCCATCGCGGTTCCAATGACGAACTGGGTGATCTGCATGGTGGTGAGGCTACGCTTCACCCGGTTAGGAACCCGGATACTGAGCGCCGTCAGCGTGTAGTAGGTATACATCAGAGCGTGGATTGCGGAGTTGACCAGCGCAAAGATCCAGATAGGAGACGCGACGTATCGGATACCAGCCCACATGCACATCATGGCACCCGCATGGTGATACGTCTGCAGAGTCGAGCTCTTCTTGCCCTTCGCCAGGATGATGGCGGTGTCCAAGACCTCGTAGAACTTGGACAGATAGAAGATCCAGCCAAAGTACGCCAGTCCCTGGTTCCAGAGACGACCGACATCCGTCGGGTCAGGGACGCCTCCCTCTGCCAGCTTGTACTCAGGGTTGGGCATCTCCCAGCGGCTTGTGGCCGGGTTGAACATGGCGGCGTTTCCGAGTCCTCGAGGGCCGTTGATCTTGCAGAGCGCATCGGTGACAGCGACGATGCCGTTGGGGTCATCGCGGTCAGGCATAGAATTGCGGAAGGCCTGGAACATTCCCACAAATGTCCACGCGGAGTAGATGGCCAGGAAGACATTGTGGAGGATGACGAAGGCCTTGAAGAGCCTGGTCTTGCTGAAGCCCCATGGCTTGTATCCCCGACTCTGGTTGATCCGGTTCACGAGGACAACGGTGACGGCATAGACGGACGCGATAGTGATGGGCACCCGGACGTCGAGCAACTTGGTGTACAGGGCCGGCGGGATGTTGAAGGGCTGCTGCCAAGTGCGTTCCGTCAGAGGAGCGGGCAGAGGCGCAGGATGCGGGCTGGGAGGGAATTCGAAAAGTGATGATGGCGGCAGGCCTAGATGGACGTTTGGCCGCACTCTGCGGTCCAGCAGAGATTCGAACATGGCGCTTTAAGCTCGCTTCTGCTGACTCTTCTTTCCAAGTCTGTGCAGTCAGAAGAAGCAATCCGGGAAGGATCCAAGTCGCCGCAAAGGTCAGATCAAAAGATGCAGGCTCTCGAGTAGAAATACAGCGGAAATCGGATCAGGCGCAGTAAAGATACAATTCAACAAACGGGGTAGAAAAAAAGTTTCCAGGAGACCGCCTAGCTAGTTATCGCCATCCAGGCCACTCGTCCATTGGTTCTCCTGCTCACAAGGGTCAGAAATAAAGTGAATTCACCACGACGCCAACGCTTTCTCCCGGAGCTCAATTTCCTCAACTCAGAATGACGGAAGATGCGGATTCGGCGCGGCGTGTGGAGACCAGGCGCATTTGTTGGGAAACTCGGGCTTCTAGTCGCGATCTTGTACCTCGGCTCGGCGCAGAAATCGACAAGGTGAGCGGCGGCCGATGCTCTCTCTGCGTGATTCTGGACTCATTGATCGAGAAGAGGGGACCATTGAGGCTAAAATACCGTTGCTGGATGTGCTGCCTTGGCCATTATTGCGAGTGACGTGAACGATGATGAGTTCAATGCCGAAATTAACCTGGTTTGATATCTTCTCTCTCTTTCTCTCTTTCTCTCTCCATCTGTCGGCCTCACTTTTTGCTCTCCCATAAGTACTCGTTTTGCCACTGCCGTCATCGTCACGCGACGCGCTTCTCCTTCCGCCTTCCGTTCCGGGATGATCATGTGACCTTGAATATCCCAATTATTTTCTTTATTTATTGATTAATTACTGATCAGAAGAAGATTGATCTATCAAGAGTCAAGAGTAGCTTAGTATCGACCCCAGTGGCGTCCTAAGAATTATACATACTCTATACTATACACATGCATATGATTTCACCACTCTGGCATTTGCTCGATCATATGCGATTGGGGCCAAAGAGCAGCTCGGCTAACTAACATCATTATTCCGGAGTCTCAACCTTTTTTTCTGACATTCATGACGGCACACAGAAAGGGCGGAGAATACATCCGATCGTCAACGCTGACTGGCCAGTTGCATTTTGTTGAATGTTAATCCGCCTTCAGTCTTGGTCGATCCGCAAGAAGCCTAACTTTCTAGAATACATTACTTTTTCTACGGCAGCGTCCTGATCGATTCGATTTCATTGCTGATGTGATTGACGACTGGCAATTGACTACAATAGTTAATTGGTACGTAACTAAGGAAGTGAGTTCTTCGTTGTTGCTCAATACTAGTTAGCTTCTGCTTGATACAATCATTCCACTCGATTGGCTACTCGACTCGACTCAATTCTAACCTAGGTAGTACCATAAAGTAGAGGTTACTTATTCTTCCAATCTTATCAATGTTATTGGTTAACCGGATGATTACGGAGTATAACCAAGTGAGTAGTCTGCAAAGTACAGTGAATGTAAACTGCTTATAACACCAAGCGTATTGCATTGCATGCATTTCCCGCACAAACGCCGATACAAGAACATGTATAAAGACAAAATCCTTAAGCGGAAGAATCGAAAATCCCTTGGTTGCCCGTCGAATACTCTTACATACAGACGTCATGTTGCTGTGCCAATCGATAATAATATACCATAATCCAAAGCATGGCGGATGAGCGGGAGAACCGATCAGCGGGGTTTAGTTCCCAACGGTAGTGGGGGAGGGAGTGGGGACTGCGCATCGACCGGACTCAAGGGGGTCGTTCGCATCCCCGGCTTCTTGGGCGGAGGCGGAGGGGGTGGTTTCTTCTTGCCCAGCGACGGTGGGCTTGCGATTGAAGGTCGATTCGAGCCCGTATGAGGCGGCGGCGGCGGTGGTGCCGGAGAGGATCTATTGTTATTATTTCCAGGCCGGTCGAGATAGCCATTGATCTTTCCATTGATCCGGTTCGTAATCTGGTACTTCTCGTTGACACCACTGATCTTCTTCTTGCCAGTATCAAGATGCTTCTTCCCGGCATCAATCTGATCGCTATGGCGATCCCGGAAGTCGTTGATGCGTGAGCCTATACTCCGTGTATTATTTGTTCCGCTCTCAGACGCAAATTGATTCTGACCGCTCTGGTGGCTTGTCATTGTGGTCCCTGGTGCGGGGTCCTCTTGACTGGTGGCAGCAGAGGTGGTCGACATCCTTGAGAACCGAGATTGCAGCTCGTTCACGGGGGCAGCCGTCCTCGACGAAGTGGGCGGTGCGCTATCTCTCCCGGCATTTGTTCCCCCGATACCTAAGCCAGGTACAGAGACGCCCGCCTGGCTCAGTCTCGAGGTCGCATGTTGATTCAGGAACCCGTGGGCCTCCGGTTCCGGTTCCTGTGTCGGGCTGTATGCCGGTGGCGGTGTCGACGGTTGGGACGGGGAGTTCCTTCTGGCAGGCAGCCGGGGCGGTAAGCTGGGCATAGGTCTCGAGCTGCTTGACGTTGTCGACTGCGCAGGAGAGTTGATACGTCGAACCGGGGGAGGGGGAAGGTTGTTGGTAGCCAGGCCAGTCGTGTCGGCAACATATGGCCGAGGAGGAGGTGGAGGTTTCTGGCTTTCTTGTTCTTGAGCATAGTGCTCAGCCTCCAGACGTGCATTTTGTTGTTGTATCTGCTCCTGTGAGAGAGGTGCACCCAGACCCGTGCGATCCGGTGTAGTTCTGTTCGGGACAGCAGCAGCACCATGGTAATTGATATGCTTGGGAGGAGGCCCAAAGGATGCGGGATCCTTCAGAGACGACAACGGACGAGATACATGCTCTTCTCGGGGAGTGGTGTCTTTGCCCTTGCCTAACCAGCCCGCCTAGACTCAGTCAGTTATTGAAGCATCGTAGACGGCGAGGAAAATGTAATTAACATACGACTTGATCAATACCCTTGAAGTCCCTCCGCCAGCTCTCTTGACCGCCATCTTTGCCTTTTGGATGCCATCCATCCTTCATCACCCCGCGGAAACCGCTCATTGTGCCGGTTAATTCTAGGGTTCGAGAATGGGACAATCGACTTCAATTTAAAATAAGAATGATCCCCGCTTCCATTGTTCCAGTTCAGACTCTGCAATAATGGGACTGTCACTCCGGCGATTTGCACGGCATAGCGCGGTCGTCATCGTCTCTACGGGCCAACGGCTAGCCGAGTGACTTATCATCACGTGAAGCGTCCATCTGATAGTTTCGATTCCTCAAAGAATAATAAATCAAGTGTTGCAGGTCTCCGATGCTGAGCTTCTCGAGGGATAGTCGACGTGCTCTTATGGCCCTTTTTATCCGAGTCTTCCCTCTTGTTCCTCTGCATGCTAACTACTAGCCTCTGAAGTATCCTTTATTCGGCCCCCAACACGTGACTCCCGACCAACATCACAGCCTCCGAGCCTCGTGAGATCGTCCTCTGGATAGAAATCCTTCGTTGCTTTCGATCCCATCCTAGTCTACGAGCAGATATTCTTGGAGCGAAGCTCGCTGAGCTTGAATTCTCTAGCAACAAGCTCAGCCTATTTATCTGTGTGGGTGGAGTTAGAAAGACGTAGGAGAAGCCCGTAGACAGGCTCCAACAGATACTTTAAATACCTTATTCACTCTCTTTCCGTGTGGTATCGTTCCACTTTCCTCAGCTGAGTAGAAGATGAATGACTATTTAAACATGGTCGTCGTAATCTATAACTAACTCTGGAAAACATTGCGTATCTCGTAGACCCGGACTGCAACTAAGCGCCTGCTCAGCGATACGCTAAGATTCTATATTTGGACCTGAAACCGTCTCACTCGGTTCACAACCGTCCTCGTGATGAGGACAACTACAGAGTAACAGTCACAGTGGTTTGCGCACGATTTCTCCATTACCATTTACTATATTCTCTAAAAGGTCGAAAACAAAAGTACAAAGGTCTGTAACTAGAACCAGGCTCGATCTCAAATATTGGACTACTTATCCTTGTCGATTAGTCGAGTTCCTGACCGCAGTGTTATCCTGAGCGCGCGCCTCTACCATGTAGATCGTTTTCGCTCATTGGCTGAGGTGACATACACCTCTCCTGTCAGCTTTGTATCCCAACGCGACGAGGGTGAATCCTGGCTGCGCCTCATAGGCGCTAAGATCTGATCTCTTTGTTCTCTATTATAATGCCAATTCATTTTTTCGCTCTCTCTCTCTCTCCCCCGCTTCGTGCTGTGTCCATTTTGCCCTGAACGTTCTGCTGCCCTTTGCGAACAACACAGAACTATGCTTGCGGAAATGCCTCAATATAATCAACATATATGACAAGAACTATGTGGGTTTTCGGTTATTTTCTTTGTGAGAGATGATACATCTTGGGGTGTGGCCAACAATAAAACGGAATTAAGACTGATCATCATACACATCACAGAATTAGCAGCTACTGCTTCACATTATTTCTCTAAGGATCTGCCTCATACTGCGCTTTGTTCTGATTAAGTATCAAAGCCCATAATATGGATTCCGAGGGCCGTTCACCAGCTTTCGGAGAAACCGACAGCACCACCGAGCAAGCACCAAACTGCGATGGATTTCAAAAAGTCCCATGCTTCAGGAGTCCAACACTTGGCTCTACTACATCACTCGGTCCGGACTTTACAGTAACCACACCCACAGCATCGCTGAATTCACTGTCCTCCTTGCCACAAACCGCTAGTTATAGCTTCGTCGGCACCTTGACAGATCCACCATCTGTGACCTCTTCACCAAACACAGTGGGACTAGAGACGCCTACTGCTGCTACAATTACATCGACCATTGCGCCTGTGTATACGACTGAGACGAGTCCATCTGAAACGGCTCCTAGCGATAGTAGTCCACATCCCAATACGAAAACAACAATCGCTATCGTTGTACCAGTCGTTGTTGGATCCGTTGCTATAATCATTGCAATCGTTGCCTTTCTCCTCTGGCGGCGGAGGAGGAACTCGAAAGCCAATAAGAACAACCGAGCTGCCCCTGGTCCTGAAATGAGCCGCGAAGCAGGACCGGTTTTTCTACCGGGAAATAACGGAGATAGAGGACAGATGGATGTAGGGTGGTCTCATGCTGCGTTCAGAGAATCTGTTCCACCGACTTACCAGCATCACAACATCTCTACTCCTATTATTCAGAGCACAACAGCGTCAGAGGTAACGCTCATGCATTCTCCACTCCCACCATCAAATGTTCCTTCTCCTCCTCCTCCTCCGCCGCCGCCGCCTCGATATTCGACTATATCTGCACGCGAGCGAAGCCAGATGTATAATGATGAGCGTCATTCAATCCTGACGATCGAAAATCTAGCTGCGCTTCACGGGTGGGAAGGTAGCGAAGATACGCGAGGAGTGAGAGATTCGAGAGACGAGGGCGCTCAATCACCTTTTAGAGACCCGTCTGATGGGACAAGTATAATATCGCCCGTTTCGGATATAGATAGCCCGACTGCGAGGCGACATGGTAATGGAGATGAGGATTCTCTGGTATCGTCGCTGGGCGATGAGCATAGAGGGAGTCATAGGATGCAATAAAATGGGGTGAAGGTGTATCTTCGTGATTATTCGTTCATTCATTAAAGAAAAAATATTTTTTTCATGGTGTTATATACTTAGTCTTTCCGGTCAGTGTTGTCTGGCATATTGTCTGTGATTGTATTTACATGTATATTGAATAGTTGTCTAATTTCTGTATTGACGTAGGGTATTGTCTTTTCAATGGCTGGATTCCTAGACTATCACTTTGTGGTGGATCAACTTTGCCTGGGCTTCTTGAATAGCCAGGTCACATTGTCGGTCGGTAGGATGTGGCCGAGTAGGAGGGAAATGGAGGTAAAGCCCGTTTTTTGTTTCTGAACAAAGGATGGAGGAGATTAACTGACGTATCATAAATTCGACAGTATTTCTCTTCTATTATCCTGGCCTGTTCCATGTATATATGCCTTCTCATAGTAAGAGCACTGTTTCCGAAATCCCACGGAGTTTAGACAACAGCAACTTCTTATTTTAACACTTGACCGTGATGTGGATTCAAAAGTTCACCGCTATGAATCATAAACCCGTCCCTCTGTCACCGAAAGTTGATCGCCTTCTCAAAGACGCGATGCATCTCCGGCGCGTCTGTGACCTATACTCGAAATTCTATGGCCATCCTCCCCTCTTCGAACGCATCTATGACATCGCGCATATGATCATCCATAGCTTTGGGTACATTGAACGTTCTAGTCGCCTGTACGGCCTTGACCCAGCCGGTATGCAGCGGTTGATCAGTACGCTTGATCACTGCGTTCTGCGAGTTGCGCAGTTAAAGCAGATCTTTCTGCAGATGCCCGACTCCTGGTTGTTATCCACTCGACAGAAAAAAGACCATATGAGAAGGGAGATGGAGGCTTTGGCGAATTCGTTGGTTGCATTTAAGCGCATCTATTTCTTGTTGGATGAGATTGATGCGCTTGTGATGGCTTTCGAGAAGGTCAATAGACCTGTGATCCTTTCGGGGTTGGGAATCAGTGTGCCGGCGTATTTGGTCAGATAGACATATTTGGCAGGTTGGTCGGTCACCAAAGGAGGCATATGTCAGTCAGACAGTTGATTTACTGTCCATATGTCATATTCTTTCAATGTCTCATACGTAAGGAACGGACTGAGGGCTGTATGTACGCGGAAATAAAGCTAGAGGGGCGTCTTGTATTGACCGCAGAGGAAGCATGCTTGGTGCATCTCCTGGCATAAATGACGCTGCTCGTTTCAACATTGGTTCCGTAGGGGAGATATTTTCGTGACTTGGGATCCCCTTGCCGCTGCTTTCCAACAGTGGTTTATCACTCATGGACTCTACTGCCCAGAGCAAATGCGGTCTCCACGGCTCGTCCAGCAGTTGCATTGTTTCATTCACAATAGTTTCATTCCATCCTCTCATCCACCATCGTTCAGGCGAATGGTGGACCAATAGGCAGAAATGTACTAATATTACAAGCGCCATCGGTCGCTTTTCTCGAATCGTTTCGACGTATTGTGACGAGACCAGATTCGCCCAACGCAGAGAAGGAAGCCACTCTCCCGGAGAGACACTAACAACCTCGAAACAGTCCCTCAAGTGCTGGATTGCATCAGTGTAGGTCTGGCGTTCATGTTCGTCCGCCGTAGTAGTCTCGTTAAGGATATCAAGTTGGCCAAGTGCTTGATATACTTCCGGAGGAACTCTAGGTGTATTCTCTCTAGTAGACCGTAACAAAAGGTGCATGACGGGTCCGACTTTCAACCAGGGTACCTGTCGCAAAGAATTTACAGCGTTATGGATCAACATAACAGACTGGACGAATCTGGTGATGGGATCTTGAACGTCGCAGATTTGATGATTCGGGTGCATTAAACCCAACTCGTAGAGTATCAGGAAACATGAAAACACAAGAACCGGCGTAGCGTTTTCCTGGGTAATGGTTTCAACCTCGGAGCGGAATGTTGCAAGTGCTTGGCATTGATGGGATGTAGCGACTGCGAGATATTCACGTCGCCTTTGTCGTTTGATATGGGCAAGGTGAAGAGCCGAGAAGCCCAGTAAAGAATGCAATGTGTATTTTGCTTCTTTTGCAGCAGATGGGATGAAGCTTCGCCACCGATCAAGCCTCTTGAGATCTGTCGTGATACTCAGTGTAGTGACCGTCATATAATGATGGAAAAGTGCTTGATCTTGTTGAGCTAATCCAGGGAACACTAGCTCGATGCCAGATCCAAAGGGTCGATCCAATCCATTCATAGAAGACATCTGGTGCATGTTGGGAGATGTTCGTGCTTCTGTAAGCGCTTGTTCTTTTGTGGATTGCTGTGTTTGGTAAGATAGCTTATCAATCTCGAAAGATATCTTTAGACGCCCGCTCTTGGAAGAAGCCGGTATTGTTTCCGAAATTGAGAAATGAGTTTTGAATACATTTCCATAATCGCATTCAATCCCTCGTCTGCTACAATTACCACAGCATGGGGGTCTTTCATCACACTAGGCAGATACATCAGCCTTGTTAAACATAGACAAGCAATGCCTCTAAAATGATTAATAGTGAACGAAGGAACACCCGGGAATAATTCCATACCTTTATCCTTCGCTTTTTACATTGCGCACATCCATTGCGAGACTTGACGTGAGTCCTTCGCGTGCCGCTCATTGCCTTGACGGTGTACTATCAGGCTGAAATCGAGATGTGCTGTTAATACAACGACCGGGTATTATCATCAATTCCTGGCTCTAGTGCTTAAGGACGGTATACAGAACATCACAAAATAGGATGAAAAATAGTTGACTATTCGGCAGATTTTAGCAAAGGTGGCTGTGCTTCGAAGCTCTCTGCAATCAATTCCAATCTTGAGAGACTGGAATCACGGCGAGACGGAACGCCGATCCCGACCGGACCCCGACAACTTCTACTCCGTACTAGGTATGTATGCAGTTTGCAATCTTAGCCTTATGCTTCTTTGATGTGGATACTGTACATTCATGGAAACTCTATGAAGCTCATTTGGTAAAGGCTGTCGAAGTCTAGTTTTATGAGACTCTGGATATGAGGAATGGACTGTTATATTTTCATGCAATGTTTATCAGCGATTCTCCGTCACAGCTGTTTTCCAACATTTTCTCCAGACTTTCAGTCTTACATTGATCAAATCAACTTTGACCCATTGGATCGGACCAGCTTTTGCTTGAGCCAGGGAATCTCCTCCAAGGAATACCGGTATGCCCGAAACAAGGCATTCGAATCTCCCGGGAAGATATTCGCGGTCACATCATCCGGGTAAGGGGCAAAATGAGGGTTGATATACTCCCAGCAGATATAACCATCCGCAGTAACTTCAAAGATACGGCCGAAGGCACTCTCACACAAAAGGGTGTTGCCATTAGCAAGTCTCTGAGCACTTCCCATGAATGGAGTAAAAAAGTAGAGCATCTGTGACCGATCGCGATACTCCCAGACGATCTTTTTGGTCGCCCGATCAACCTCAATTGCTCGAGTATATGTGATTGATTCACCGTTGCGAAAAGCACCATTATCAAAGATGAGAATGTTTCCGTTCTCCATCTCTGTAGCGTTGTGCTGCTGCGCCAGGACTTCGGATCCAACTTTCCAGACAATGTTCCCAGTGGATCTTTCAATGATAACGACAGCTGAAACTGATCGCATTGAGGCGAGAATGTGTTTTCCATCTCGCAAAGGCAGGACAGAGTTGATCAGAGGATAGTGCTCGCGCGTATAGTGCGCTTGAAGGGGATACTCGTCCCTCGACAATCGCTCGGAGACTTTCCATTGCCAAACGAGTTTGCCATCTGCATCAACTTCGTTGATTGTATCGGCGTAAGTGATCCCATCGATCTCACTTCCTGGCACTCCGCCGATGACCTTGGCTGAATCTTCCGGGGATAGAGCTTCGAGGGAGGTATAGAGAATTCGACCATCGCCGTAGTGATATTGGTCATGATGCCCTAAGGGATCAATGAATTGGCGAACGACATTTCCCTCCGAGTCGAGCTCGGACATCACTCCTCCACCATATTTATTGAAGAATGGGAACGGAAAAGGCCCTCCATCCGCCGTTGTCTGTTTGGGAGGTGGGCGAAGGGTGTTGACGGCAAGATTTCCATTCGGTAGAATTCTGGCGTGGCGGCCGATTCTGCCTGGGAGCTTCCAAGAGTGCACCTCCTTCCCATCAATGTCAATGAGATGAGCTGTGTCACTAGTCAAAGGACAGAAGAGGGTGAAGCCTCCAAATGAACGTTGCTTGTCTACACCAGTCAAGCCGACACCTCGTCTTTTGAGGGTGTTTTGTTCCATTGCCAGAGCGGACGGGGTGCTGTTGATGAACAGGGAAGAAGTTCACGTTGATACTGGAATGGTTGAGCCAATAACTCAAAATATTGCGAAGATAAGCATATGTTATATTTTTTATTCTGTGATACGGCTCATAAATGATAACCGGCGGCATCCCTACGGGACCGCGGCATACCGGCGGCTTGACAGCGGAGGCCCCCTTTATCAGGCTTTCATCGAGCTTGGAGATAGATAAGTCTGATAAGCACGTCATATTGGCTTTCATGGTATCTTCAATATCCTAAGATGTTGATTAAATGTGTTAATGAGTCGCCTTGTAATGTCGTGTTGTCGAAAATGTATAAAACTATTACTATCACCCAAGGGCATCGTCTAGAATCAAAATCCCACTTCGGCCATTTGATCCCCGAAGAACTCACTATTGATAGATCTTTGAGCTGTTTTCCAATTTTTGAGACATTATCATGGATACTACAGCCGAAAAAGGCTCTCTCAGTCGACATGGGGCTGACAAACTCAAGGATGAGACCACTCTGGACGAAACCGTTGAAGTTCCTGGCTATGATGCTGGTCTTCACTTTGAACCAGAAGAGGTTCGGAAGGCCTTATTGAAGGTCGATTTTCTCATTCTGCCCCCCATCGTGCTTTGCTTCTGCTTTCTACAGTTTGACCGTTCAAACATCGGCAACGCCCTGACTGACAGCCTGCGGAGAGACATCAACGTCGGAAACACAGAAGTCAACCTGGCACAGACGCTGTTTACTATTGGTTTTATCATCACAGAACTGCCTTTCAACATGATAAGCAAATATATTGGACCCGAACGATTTCTCCCTATCACCATGTTTCTCTGGGGTACTGTGACATGGTCACAAGCTTTCATGAAGAATGCAAAAGGCCTCTGCGCAACACGTTTCTTTATTGGAGCACTCGAAGGGGGATACATCCCGGGCTTTGCTCTTTATATTTCGAAATTCTATACAAACCAAGAACTTGCATTTCGGTATGCTATTTTCTGGGCTGCAAATAGCTTTGCTGGGGCGCTAGGTGGCCCCTTATCGATTGGCCTACTCGCATTTGGTGGAAGAGGCGGATTGGGTGGATGGCAATGGCTTTTTCTCATTGGTATGCGGAGTCCCTGAATGCACTGCAGTCCACTTCTGATCACTTGTAGAGGGAGTCTTGACTTGTGTCTTGGGCATCTTCGCCTACTTGTATTTCCCCCACAATGCGGCTCGACCAAAATCTCTATTCGGCAAATCGTGTTCACTTTTCACCCCTCGGGAGGCTTCTATACTCGTTACTCGGGTAATCTATAATGATCCGACGAAAGCACTCAGATACGGAAAGCCGGTCTTACCGTCACATATCTTGGATACGTTTAGTGATTGGAGATTGTATGGCCATCTTGTGGCCGCATTACTATCTATGGTCATGATATCGCCGATGAATACCTATGCGCCTTCAATTATCAAGTCCCTAGGATTTACTTCCCTTCAGGCAAATGGTCTTAACTCCGTGGGAAGCATATGTGCATTGATCTGGTCCGTGTCTCTTGCATTTAGCAGTGACAGGCTCCAAGAGCGTGGGTTTCATATCGCTGTTGGATACTTGTGGGGAGCCATTGGTCTTCTCTGGCTTGCACTAGCGCCAGAAAATGTCGAGAAATGGGTACTCTACGGTTCGTTTATTTACAAAGTAAAGGGAAATCAGATACTGATGATCACTTTAGGTGGGGTCGTCTGGACTCAAATGGGAATGGGAAGTGCACAGGCTATCAGCGCAGCCTGGCTTACTTCCAAAATGCAAGACTACAAGCGTCCAGTTGCTTTGGCTGCGTATGTCATATGTATCCAACTGGCGAATTTCCCCGGAAATCAACTATTTCGCACGCAAGGTAAGATCGATTCCGAGTAAAAAAAAGAGCATTCGAATAATATCTACAGATGCACCTCGTTACAAGTACGGCTTGACAGTAGCTGCTTCTTGCGCTATTGCGGCCACTGTGGTTATCCTGGTCTGGAAATTGCTGTACCGTTTGTTCGACGATGGAGACGCTGGTGTGGAGGCGAAGAATAGATCTTCTGAATATTGTGAAGCGCGCTCTGGCGTATAGTTGATATAGATACCTACTCACAATCTAGTCGAAAGATCAACTTGAGACTTGAGTGAATGCTTATCGTAATTCTTCATGACTCGTAATAAGAATGGTTCATGTTGATTTGTTGCTAGACGAAATCATTGAAGAAATGCATTGCTACTCAATGCTTTAGCTTACCACGGAGAGATAAATAGTACTCGATAGTAGAAAAACTCAGTAATTTTCCATACCAAGTGCTCGAATTTCCATACTTGACCTTCGTTCGCAGAGCACCACGTGATCAAGTATTGCGCCATTTCTTATCTACGGTCCATCGCCAATGAGATGACCATTTCCATTCACTCTGCAGACATTCGGTTATGAAGTTGTCATTGGGCCGCCAAATACAAATTGGATCAGGATCTTGTTATAATGCCACCTCTGCGCTCGGGAAGAGCTTCAAAAGCATGTGGCCTCTGCCGCAGGAACAAAACGCGTTGTTACGCCGGGGTTGGAGCTGGAAATACTTGTCTACGCTGTCATACTTTATCGCTTCCTTGCTCTCTAGAAGAGTTTCTTGAGCATGGCTCGTCTCGGTCTCTATCTGAGAGCCAAAATGAGCGTGACACTATGCACAGTAATTCAAATCCTAATAAGAACTCATCCACAGATGCAAGGTATGTCCTAAATCTTCTTTGGAACCTAATGAGCATAGATTAACACAGTTATCATAGACTTGAGAGGCTTGAAAGGACAGTTGAGGCTTTGGTAGATCGTTTAGACGCACAGTTCAAAGGCCGCGGAAGTCCCTCGACCTACACCACTATGCCTCGAACTGAAGAACCGGTGGCACCATCTGAGCCTAATCCAGCACCCGTTATTCTAATTCGCGATGCTGCTACTGACGCTGGAGTTGCATCCCCAGAGCAATCGGACTCACAGCTAGATTCTTTATCTGATGTGATTTCAACTGGACTGGTCACCTTGTCAACCGCCCATTCCTTGTTGAAGCTGTGAGTGTGGATCCTAACATGGCTTTATATTTGCTTACGTGACTAGATTTCAAGTTCATTACGGTCGATGGGTCAGATTCCCCGATAATTTAACAGCAGAGGTACTTTTATCTCAAGTGAGAAAGTCGCCGCTGCTGCTTTGCAGCATCTTATTAATCGCCGTGCAGCATACCACACAAGCTCTTGCGGATGAATTAGCACCACATTTATTTCGCGAAGCCAAAAGTCTGATTTCAAGAGCTCTTCTAGAAGTCCCACAGTCCATCGAATATTTTCAAGCTGCGTTGATCTTGAGTCTTTGGTCTACGACCATTGGGCAGCTGCCTCTGAGCATTGATAGCTGGCTCTTGAGCGGCTACGCGATTCAACAGGGATTGGCGAGTCCTTGTTTCATAGAAATATCCAAAACAAGCCCAATCTCGGATATAAAAAACGCCAATGTTGATGCATGGTGCCTCTGGAATCATCTATGTGTTGTTCATCTGCAGTATGGCCCACCTCTATCACCTCTCGAATAAAGCATGCTCATTATAATCCACAGATACTGTGTTGGTACACGCAGACCAGCAATGCTCAATCAGCAGCATGTTGACCACTGCCAATACATTTTCGAAAATGGGAATCTCACAAACTACGAAGCGAGAATGGTGGCCGAAGTTAAGTTGTACTGGGTCATATATAAGAAGTGTTGTCCACAAAGCCATCTAGTGGACCTCCCGGAAGCTGAGCTCGCTTTGAAAAACTGGAGAAAGGAATGGGCAAGTCTCTTTGGTGAATTTCTCCAAAGTCTATGGTGAATGCTTTGTTTTTGAGTACTAACAAGATTGTAGACGAGCCTCGTTCTCAGTTTCTCCAAATGGGCTTCCACTTTGCACACCTTCTCGCCTACTACCAATCTGCCAGGTATAATCGGTCCTCAATGGATGCATCAGTTATCTTAGGGATGATTGATCACGCAAGCACTATCATCAATCTGGCTATCGACACAACAGATGACCGTACCCGCCACCTCACAGACCATATTTACCATGTTGTCACATTTTCCGCACTCACGTTGTGCCGTCTTGTCCACGAATACGATGCGCAGCTTCTTGTTGAGAATGTCGATATCGATAGCCTAGATCGTCTTGTTTTGAAGCTCATTATTTGGCTTCGCTCAATTGGCTTGCCATGTCATGCCGCTCACTTGCTGGGAAATATTGTTTTATCACAGTTTAAGAAGCTGCGTTCAGAGACCAGTTCTGTATGTCATGATTTTGTAGATAATCCCGGACCGGACTATATTGCGCTATCGGGTCTAGAAGCCTCGCCTTTAGCATCCAATGTTGGCTTCATCTACCCTGATCTGATAGGATCGGAGTTATTTGATCTGGGTGATGGTACATGGCCCCAGTGGAGTTAGACACAGAATACAAGTGGAAGGACTCAGATCAACTTCTTTCCGGATCGGGAATACTGTAGGAGACACACTCACCTTCTATGAAGAGCTGTGGCTGCAGGCCATAAAAGACTGGTTTTTGTAGGTAAAGGATGAGTCGCCGCCTGTTATAAGCAGCCTGTTCAAAGAGATCTGAAGGGAAATCAGATACCAATATATAGTTTTTCTAGGATTACAATAAGCCTTCAAAAATAATGGTCAGGGCAAGTCCTTAATTAAGATTTATGCTTCTTTACCTATATGGTCACGTGCTCTAGTACTTAAGTAGCCGCACCTCCCGATTAGGAACGTCCCAATCCAACCGCTGAGGGGATGGCTTACTTGAATCGTCACTATCTACCACTTTGCTGTTGCATCCTAATAAGAATCACTAAAAACAGCCTATTCCACAATGCTAATTTCAAATACTATCCAAGACGGAGACTTTGCGTTTGAGGCAAATCCACCGCCTCCAGTTCCCTATGTCAAGGGCCATCGCTTTACGGTCCGCTCGCAGAACCCACCGGCCCCAGCGCCCATCACAGAGTCCTGTAGCCTAACAAAGGAAGCGGACATTGAACGTCGAACGGTTCCCCCACTTCAGCGTTGCATTTTGCACCCTCCTGTGGGTGGCTCAGACGGCGACTCTATGGTCACTTTCGAGGTATCCCATGAAATCCGGGCGGGAGAAGACCACAGTGCCCAAATTGTTGCTGTTAACATTCTTAATACCAGCCCTGATTGTCCCAAAACCCTTCAGGGCGTCACTACAGCAGTTGCCAAGCTATATGATCCTCTCTATTTTGACCACAGCGATGATGACACGGACCCTTTCCTCTGTGTTAAGTGCCATTATTCGCGCGAAGCAGCCTCATATGCTAGGCTCTCTGACCTCCAAGGCACGGTGATACCAGCTTACTATGGCTCGTACTCTCTTGAACTTCCCGTGGATGAGCCATCCTCTAAGACACGTACAGTTCGGCTCATTATGATTGAGTACATTTCTGGGTTTTCAATGCGCGAGCTTCGACCACGGGATTTCTCTCAGCTGCAACGGAAGCAAATTATCAAACAAATTATCGATGGAGAGTCCGCCATTTATACCCGCGATGTGCGGCTTAGTGACCTACACCCAAGAAATGTGATGGTGGAGCAGGACCCTAACTCCAAAGAAAACAGAATCAAAAGGGTCATCCTCTTGGACTTTGGAACTAATATATTATCTCGACACTGGCTTGGGATCCCTGAGGAAGAGCAGAAACTATTACCTGGGACCTATATATCTCCTTTGCTTCGCTGGCATAAGGTATGGAGGATGGTAAACAGCTTCTCCGACTGGGTTGACTGGGATTACCAGCCTTGGCTTCGGGCTGAATATGCGCATACAGCATCCTCCGTCACACCATATATGAAGTCACAGTGGCTCTCAGATTTTATTTTCGAAAGACGGAACATGAAGCGGGACGATGAGGGTCTGTATTAGATTAGTTAAACTCACTGTCCAGAACCAAATAGGTCGCTGTTTTGCCACAAGTTCCTGCCTTATCGTTAGCAACGAGGTTATTCCTGCCGTCTGCGGTCTTTCTTTCTGTGTTAGCCAACTTTGGCATTATCTACAACATGAATGCAGCAGAGGAGAATAAACATCCCCCGAAAACTGCATTCTCTCCTATCTCATATTCTCATGCTCCCATTCTGCCTTGCAAACCGCTACCTAAGCGCAAACTAAGATCTCTATACGTCTTCAGAATAAATTCCAAACCTGCTCTCCCCAGCCCCCCTTGCTGCTGTCCTCTATATAATTTGTCCAACATCGATCATGGAGCGGGTCATGACTATCTACGAGTCTTTCTCAAAGCCACTGCCGCCCGTTGACTCCGACGATCTAGACTACAATAAAATAACATCGGAGGCGACGTCAACGAAGATCAAGGATGCTATCCGTGTCCTCACTGAGAAGGATCCCGTTATTCTCTTGGAAAGCGCGAGAGAGGCCCTCCAGGCTACGCCGTCGATTCCCGAACGCCTTCAACGCCCGATGTCACAGCATGAGACGAGTCATTATCTTCACACGGAGAGTGACGTTCTGCGAGTTTCAGCATTACAGCTTATCCACCCTGTTAATGTTATTCTATCTGGCATACTCTCAGCAGGAGTGATGCTTCGTTGCCAGTCCGAGGTGGTTTCGCAGAAGGGGAAGGCTCGCATGGATCTTAAGTGGTATTGCCGAAGAGGAGGAAAGGAAACCGCCGTGGCCGTTCTTGAGTATAAAAGCATTAAAGTCCTGCGACTTGATGATTGGAAACCCATAATTACCGGCCTGGCCGGTGCTGCCGCGGTTATCGCGGAGGGGTCACGGACAATGCATTGTTCACTTCTTGAAGACAATGCGCTGAAATTATCCCGGCAAGTCAAGAATTACGCTGAGGAATGCAAGGACATCGCCTTATTCGATTGGTTCAGCATATATATATTTGACTTTGAGGACGTGGATGAGGATCAGAGCCGCCCATTCCCAACAAGGATCACCTATTCGAGCGATTCAAGCGAGTTCCGAAGCTTACTTCTTGGCATGATCTATAATAGGCTCAAAAAGGAAGGATTTTTGTGTGAAGCGCATACTGCATTATGAGCGGTAGTTAGGCACAAAGCATCCCGTACTTACGAGTTCCATTAGATATATTTTCCCTATTGATCTCTATTTTAAATATTAAAGAGATATTAGAGCGTCTGACTTCTCTAATAATTTGCATCCTAGAAGGATCTTGATCTTGAAAGGAAGGTTTTCTCAGGCGTATTGTCGCTGTGTATGTTTTGTTAAACGTTCAGTCTATAAAGGAGGTTGCTTTGCGCGACTCCACGGCGACATAAGTACCTAACGGGGAGATTTCGGTCACGTGGTGCGAGAAGCATACAACTATAAGCAGTCCTTCCTGAAGAGTAGTATGTTCTAGCTAAGATGTACTCATGAGCAATGGGCTCTATTGGTACCTGAAGCAAACTACTACAATATCAATACTTGAAGATTTGTATGTATATTAACAACTTGCAGATCTGATCGGAGTAAATAAGGGAAAGTTTGGTTTTAGTCCGTTTGTATCAATCTACGTGCTCTTTGCCAATATCTCTCGAAGTAACTGAACATGAATGTGATGATACAGTCGAGTCGACCCCCTTTTCTATTGAATTCGAAGCTCTGGCTAAGCTAGGGAGTATAGCTCAATAACCGCACTTTTGCCCAGGAGATGGAAGTGCTAGAGGGTAGACACCATCTCCGGGCTGAATATCAGGGCCAGGATTTGGGTATTTCACCTCAGCAGTAGTTTTGGGAGTCTCGCAACCATTATCGATATCCGCGAACAAGAAACTAGGCCGATCATGGAATGCGATGTGACCGGGCGAAGCACTGGCGTTCGATTTATTGTTCCATTCTAGCTCCTTAGAAGAAGAATGGATATAGTCATTGTTTCTGATAGATAAAGGACCAGATACTGCTGGACATTGGCATGTACAGCCGTTATAATTAACATAGCTTGATGATGTTGCCGTTGGGGACGCTGTCGACGTCCGAGAAGCCAGTAAAGGAGTGACATGTTTCGAGCCGCCGACAATATTCACTGAAGAACAGAGCATCGAGAATTCCTGTTCGCGATTGAACCATGTCCAGGCAAAGATGTGGTTCCCAGTGGGCATGTCAGCCGGGACTGTGAAGTTGAAAGTCTGTTTAGCAGGATCGACACCACCGTTACGATGAGGACAATCTCCTTCGAAACTTTTTGCAACTTTCCAAGTCGTGCCGTTGTCGACGCTGAAGCCAACCTGACACGAACCGCCGTAGTGGTTACCAAGTCCAGTCAAGCTGAAATTCACTGATGAGCCTGTAGTCCAAGTCACGACTGGTGCTCCTTGAGGGGTTCCGACCAGCTTAAGATATCCTTTGCAGGGAAACGGTGTAGTCTTTCCGCAGCAGTTGTAGGGATAGGTAAGATAGGGGTCAGCGGCGTCAGTGCGATGAGGGTTGTTCTCTGCAGCGAACGGAGGTGGCCAGTAGAGTTGCATGTGTGCCTGCACAGCAGCAACGAAGAGAAAGAAGAATGATATATTGTTCGAAGCGATGCTCATACTGTTTCAATAAGACTGTCCAGCAGTCAAGTTATATGGTTTAAAAGAGTGTAGCGTTGGGGGAAAGGAGCGTTCCTCTCGATGTATAACGATAAGATAGTGGTGGAAATTCTGTTTAACAATACCTAGCCAGAGTGTTGATCAGTGAAATACTTCTGGCATTGTCTCGCAGCAGTCATTTCAGGGACATGCCTTCAATTAGAGACAATCACTTTAGGAGTACAAAGATTCCAGTATATTTCCGCCTTAACGATCGACTAAAGTATGTGTCACCTCAGAAGCTGGCATAATAATGAATGTTCAAAGTGACTTCTCACTACAAAGGGACAAAATCTTGCATTGTCCTGAGGTCAACCCTGTAACCACAATAGCAGTCTAGGTCCTATAATACTCAGAGCGAACAAGGACAGTTTTGGAGATTCACCGCCTAGTTAAATGTGTTGGTGGCGCACGGCAGTAGCAGTAACATCAGAATGAGCAGTAGTACGGAATCAAAGGTCGATCATGGTTGCCAGATACCTGCCAGTATCCAAAGATAATATGGGCGGTATCTTCCCTAAGTTAGTGCCGTGCATCGTTGACAGCTAGTCTGGGGTAGATAATGTAAGAAGGGATTTACGGGATATGCCCGCTTGCTACTGTTCCCCTGATTTTTCAAGAGGGCATCGTATTCCCTGGCTGGTCCTACAGGTTTTCTATTGCGGATTTGATATTTTGTTCACCGCGAGGATAAGTAGGTTCTTTTAATTTTTCATCACTGGCTTCTGTCACCCGTTGGCGAATATGCATGCTCATGTAATACCCACCTGGATTATCGTCCGCCCCCAAAGTCTGGCTTGTAGGTCTTGACTCCTCCAGTCTTCATCAGCTCCCTCAAGGCCATCGTGGCGTACTGACTGGCTCCAAGTTGGAATTTCAAGATGACAGCGAGTTTATCCCCTGGCTCTACAGTAGTCTCGGGAACTGTCTCTCCAGATGCGTTCCTCAGTCGTTCAAGGTCTGTTTGGATGAACTGTTGATCCTCCTTTGAGTAAGATTTCACTTCAAATGAATAATCGGGTCCAGGTCTGCTGAGAAGCTTGCGGTAACTTCCGCTAAGACTGACGTCCTTCCATTTTCTCCGCATGTCAAATGGATCGAGACCGCCACCTTGCTCACTTGCCATAAAACGCTTATAGAAGTTTGTCATTTCGTTGGCTGGATAGATAATATCGAAACCGGGCTGCGGGAGTACCACATCGAATAGGGTGTATTTACCACTGGCAGCTTCCTCTGCCGTCAATGCACGAGCTCGGGTGAACACATCATCCGCTGTGGCTGCTGCATCCTCCCCCTGAGGGACCACGATGATTTCGCCGTCAGCATCAACTGTTTCCGACTCTTCAGTAGGAACCTTGTCCTTGTGTTCGTTGACGAGCACCAGGTCTCCTTCCACAACCTTGTCTCCATAGAGACGCCAGCGCTCACCAGCCGCAAAGTTCCAAACAAGTGACTGATATGCATGTACATACATCAAGCGCAGGTTTCTCGGTATGGTACCAAGAGCTCCCAGGTAGTCGTTCTTGGAGCGGCCCAGATGGCGGATAAGATTTGCCTCCGCAGAGAACTTTCTGGGAAGCTTGTCAAGAGCATCATTGACCCGGCCAGTAGTCTGGAATATGTGTATGGCTTCCGCTCTAGCCTTGTCATCGCTGCTAATGGGACTAGAATCATCAGGATTCTGGGCTGCAGCCAAGACATGGGGACTAAAATGAAAGATTGCGTCACAGGCACCCTTGAAATCTCCTTGCAACATCTTGACACCCACAGCGTCGGTCCTGGTTGAGAAAGTACCGAATCGCTGCAGGCCGAAGTAATTGAAATAGCCCCGGTTACGCAAATCGTTGAGTGATTTCTCAACTATTCGACTCGCAGACGCGACGGCATCCGGACTCTTGGGGTCAACACCGGGGAACTCGCATTCACGGAGAGTAATGACAAACTCGTTTCCAACAAGGTCTCCTAACTCCAGGCCGTGTTTGCGATACTCGTAGTCTCCGAGCGATGCATTGCGAAGCGACCTGCTTATTCCCACCAAGCGTTCAGCGTAAACTCGGTAAACACAAGCTCTCTGGACTGTGACTCCGCGTCTGTCCTTCGTACCAGCAAACTGAAAGCTCTTGGGGTTCGCCCTCAGTTGGCGAGCAAGAAAGGATATCACCTCCATCGTATCCTTGTTTTCTTTGTAGATAGTGAAATGCAGGTAAGGTCCTCCCAATTCGTCCCAGGACAACCTTCCTTGTCCCTGTCCCCCATCACCGCCACGGCCACCACGGCCGCCCTGTCTGTTGCGCTTGTTACGATTCGGAGCGGCCGAAATGGCCATTGAACCATCGGAATCGGTCGTCGACTCCAGTTTAGAATCAAATATCCGCCTAATGGCTTGGTGAATCTTTGTGCGCAGATCACGGTCGTCGATGGTGCCACTTTTCACCTTTCCAAGATCGCTTGGCCGGGCTTTAAGATCGGACAGCGCCCGCTTGTTCAAGTCCAGGATCTTTTGCGTTACATCCTCACCAAAGAACGAAACTAACAAGGCATTATCCTCTTCAGAAATCTGAAATTCGGCACCCTCGGAGCTGCCAGCATCAGCAGGCTTTTCTTGGATCTGCGGGGTTTCTGCGGTGGGAGCAGTCGACGAGGAGTCTGCCGCCGTTGGAATAGCCCCATTATCTGTTGTATCCTCCCTGCTTTCCTTCTTTACCATAGAAGGTGGAGCGACGAGATCACGGAGATGTAAGACTTCACCGGAAGGAAGGATTTCATTGACCAAAAAGTCCGTGTATCTAGAGACAATGACTGTCAGCAACCCCGCACTCAGAGATCACAGCCGGAGAGAACTAACCTTTTTTTCAAGATACCTGAGAAGCCCTCAGTGCCAGTGCTGACAAACTCAGTAATCCCAACTTCAGCTTCTTTCAAAGCCTGGGCATCTTGAGATGGCGCCGCTGGAGTTTCGGCCAACTGCTTCTGAGAAGTCGACGTCTCCGAAACAGCAACATCTCCTTGGGGAGCATCATCGGTCTTCAACCGCTTTCGCGGAGACTCAAAGGTCTCTTCTCGATCCATTGCTTATGTAGAATCAGCAACTCAAGTGCAAATTGGTTGTGAAGAGAAATCATGAATGCGGCGATATTTCTCCGCGCTAAGATGCGGCAGCGACCGGGGATCAACTTTTTTTGGCGAAAGCGGTATAGCGCAACCCTTTTAATAATGAGCAACATCCCAAGAGCGTAAACAATGATACAGATGTAAAACTTTTTTGTTTAAAGAATTATATTCATTCTATCCTTCTTTATCTGGGTTGGAATAAAGCCTCGTTTATCTTGCTCATAGATCGCTGATAGTGACAAGCCTATATTTGTGAAGATCAGATCCATAAAATCAATACAGAACTGAAATATCCTATCCAGTCAAAGGCAAAAAGCCATGAGAAGAGAGCTATAATGACATAGAGATGTAGCTCCTCACATTAATTATGCAAGGCTTTGGGATTATATGCTAAATAATGGGCCTGAGGTTGCTTGACCTGCTATGATCGCCAAAACAGCATACAGTTATCCATGCGATGAAGCATTGAGCTTATTGTCTTTACTGTACATTCAGATTATGGGATATTATCTACCAGCAAAAGCATATTTTGATTTAGGCCTTTAAAAGCCAATCGAAAAACAGATAGTGAATTATTGTATCTTGCGTACATCTATCTCCATGAAAAGAATATGGAACATGTAACCTCTGTTTCAAGAAGCCGTCCTGGCTCAAAGTGCATTCTGTCGATGATGATGTTAATTACAACTTGTTGCCATATTTGACGAAGGATTTAGGAAATTGTAGCAACACACAGCTTGCAAAACACAATGGTAAACAAACCAAGGGTTATTCTGGTGTTATTGAGTTGAGACTCCTGGAGCACTCCAGCATGTAAACAAACCACTACTCCTCATGAAGACCTCTTTATGATGGGCATTGTCTACCAAAACAGATCTCTTTGAACAGACTACTTATAACAGGAGGCGACTCATCCTTTACCTACAAAAACCAGTCTTGTATGTGCCTGCAGCCACAACTCTTCATAGAAGGTGAGTGTATCTCCTACAGTATTACCAGTCCAGAAAGAAGCTGATCTTGAGTCCTTCCACTATCAGGCTATCCACGCAAAAGACAAAATGTCTAAAATTACCAAATCTCTCCTCAAGGAGCTTCTCGGATCGAAACCTGTCAGCCCCCGCGCCTTATTTATCATGTTTGATATGGTCCAGAAGTGCGAATCGATGCTTATGGAGCTCGCTTTCCACAAGAGCAGCCTGGAGGAAGCGGCCCAGAAGCTGCTCGACTCCATGTGGATAATCGATAACAATCTTGCGCACGCATATCGCGAAAGAGAAATCACCGATAAAGAGCACGAACTCATTTCTGGACACTCAGAAATGATCACTGACTGCGCCCATGCCATCGCTAAGGGCAAGCATCCGTACGAAGGAGACGATGATATTGAGGACTGGGAACAGTGGATCAACCGCACCATCCGCGGAACTGAAAAGGCATTTTCCGATCTTCCTCCGCCGTCCAAATGCGGCAAGAGTGGAAAGAAAAAATAGCTTGAGATCTCGGATCAGTGCACAGCTTTCTTGGGATTATTTGGTGGATATGCATATCAGGAAGTGATGAAGGCATTGTCTTCATACTATCGCTATGCGAATTCCCTTGGCAGTATTGAAAGAAACGCAGCATCATGATGCATTGACCTAGCTGGAGTCATCGATACAGGTCCTTGGCTTTGTCACTAGATTTATGATTTCAGCTGCCTGTAATAAAGAGACGCAAAAGTATCCAAGCGGGTTCATCTTGAGTTTGTAGACAGTTTATTTACTGGTGTAGTTAGTACTATGTCAATCAAGAACCGTAGCTGCTCAGTAATTGCGGGTTTCAAAAGCGGTCCTCATTCTTGAATGTAAGCGATCAAGAGCCTCGAACATTGTCTTATATTTCGTCGGGTTCAGAGCAACATTCCCAAAAAAAGGACTCGAGTATTGACGAGATAAGATCTTAGCTTGTCCATGCGAGGGCCTTCACGCGCTCCGAGCGCGGCCGTAACTTTTGTGAGCATTTGCAGAAAAAGGTCAAGTGTTCTATAGCCACCGAGTTGGAAACGGAAGACAGCAACAACTATCCATTCGCGTCCCTCCAGAAAAAGCCGAGACTCTGTTCCAGACGTAGCACTCGCTTAAGAGTAGCCTAAGTGCGCCGGATCTCGTTTATCAAGACGTGTGAGAGGTTCGCGGATCTAGTGGAGAAGCGGCGATTGTCCGTCCGTGGAGCTCTAGAGCTACTCATTAATGCCTCAAGACGTACTGCAACCGAGTTTATGTCGGACCTAAACATCAGATTTGGGTCAAATAACTTCTTTTCAGCACCCTCTCGTTGAAAATCCCTTCACAATGCTCAGGACCTTAGCGTTCGCTGTTCCGTCTGTCATGCAGGCGTTGGTGGGCTATCAGGAGGTTGCAGTGATCAGATAGTCAGTTTGCGCGCCCTTTCGGCTGGGTATATCAGATATATAGTTATATTCCGACAATACATGGGATCATATATGACTAGATATACGACACGATTTCCTCTTCTGCCGTCTTGAGTACTCGATCTTGAATTTGAGCTCGGAGTATCCTTATTGCGCTTTGAGAGATCAAGATATCATCCCCTGCAGGACATATCACTCTTGTCATGGCAAGTATCCCTGCGGTTTCCTTGCGTAGGGTACTTTCTCCTAAACGATTATCTCAGGGTGTGCAACAGGTTACCAAGCAGGAGCCAGTCCAGCCAGTCCGTCCATACAATGACTGGCCGAATGACCTTGGGGTAAGACAAAGCATCTTATTGATCTTGCACATACAGAGGCTGACGATACAGTTTAACACCACATATGAAGAGAAGACACCTGTCGAGCTACAGGTAAAAGGTCATATACCCCCATGGGCGGCGGGAGTTCTCTACCGTGTCGGAACAGGGGCCAACGAAATCGACACTGAGAAAGGCACGAAGTTTAAAGTCAAGCACTGGTTTGATGGTCTTTCGGTTGTCCATCGTTTCCAGATTGGAGCTCCTGAGAACGATAATGGTCCCGTTCGAGTTATATACAACTCACGCAGTACTTGTGACGGGCTCATAGAAAAGATCCGGAAAACAGGTAACCGTGAGGGCGTGACATTCGCAGCGAAATATGACCCTTGTACCTCATATTTCAAAAAGACAATGTCCATGTTCAAATCGTTTCGGCCTGCTGAGATGAAGCCAAATGAGCGCACCGTTCCCGTGACTGTATCGGTCAATTTCCCCGGCCTTCCTACCTCGGGTCAGCGACATGCTTCTGGAATCGAAACACTATGCAGCAAGACGGACGCCAATGTCTTGCAGACCTTGGATCCAGAGACTTTGGAGCCAATTGGAATTACTTCTCAAACTATTCTCCATCCGGATCTCAAGGGCCCTATGTCTTGTGCTCATGCAAAGTCCGACCCTATCTCAGGTGATGTCTTCAACTACAACCTCGAAATCGGTCCAACATCGACATATCGCATTTTCCGAGTGTCCGCTTCGACGGGAAAGACATCTATCCTAGCCACTTTCAACACAAGTGCTGCATATATCCACTCGTTTTTCCTGACGCAAAACTACGTGATTCTGTGCGTGTGGAATTCTTACTTTACCGCAAACGGTGCTACCATTCTGCTGAATCAAAACATAATGGATTCTATATCAGGCTACGATCCAACCAGGCCCAGTATATGGTATGTGGTAGATCGTCGCTCTCCAGAGGAAGGAGGACAAGGTGTGATAGCCACTTACGAAAGTGATCCCTTCTACTGCTTTCACACCGTCAACGCGTATGAACAACCATCTGCTGATGGTAATGGAGTCGATATCATCGCGGATCTTGCTTCATATAGCAGTCATAACGTCATGAAGCGGTTCTTCTTCGAGAATCTCTATTCCACGTCCACTAAAGCCGCAGAACATGCAGACCCAGCAGATGCCTCAACCCGCGCCCAATATAAACGCTTCCGTCTTCCATCCATACCTTCATCGCCGACAAAATCACGACAGAAAGCCGTCCTCGAGTTCGTGGGTAACCCATTCGAGACCCCCGAACTGCCCACAATCAATCCTTCTTACGTGCTCCGACCTCATCGTTACGTCTACGGTATCGCAGATACCGGGAAAGCGTCCTTCCTTGATGGCCTAATCAAATATGATACAAAGGCCAAAACCGCTCTCGTCTGGAGTGAGCACGGCCAGAGCGCTGGAGAGGCTATTTTCATCCCTCGTGAGCCCGGCGTTGTATCTGAAGACGGAGAAGGTGAGGACGATGGCGTGCTGCTCACTGTTGTCCTTGACGGCCCGGTTGGCCGGTCCTACCTCCTTGTCCTCGATGCAAAGACCATGAAGGAGGTTGGACGTGCTGAGCTGAAAGGAGCTGCTGGGTTCGGATTTCATGGCACGCATGTCTCTGCGAGGGGAAGTACAGGTGTCGGTGGAGAGCTTGGGCGAGGCCTTGACTTTTAAGCCATCTCTTGAAACACAGCTGGTCTTATTGATCGATTCTAGCTATTTGCCATTTCGTGCCATACGCATAGCACTGTGAACATTCATTTAGATCTTAGTTGGAGCTATATATATGACCTTTTGTCTCTGTATATATCTTACGGGCATTATGCATGCATACGAATGTTACAGTCGGTTTTTGGTTCTATTCTATACAAGCTAGGATATCCGTCTGTATCCAAAGTAACATACGTGTGGCAACAGTCAATTATCGAATCCGGAACTTTGGCATAGACTCGTTCAAGGCCTTGCACAGAGGATGATGGGGAAAAAAAACACATTATTCCACTCGGTTAGCTTCCACGGAGGGTACGCCGTTGAGGTGGTAGTCGCAAAATGGATTCATGCAGCATGGCCGTGCCAAGGTGGACGGACAAGGGGTTCAGTTCTCCGTGATACCTTTCCTGTTATCTCCATATTGGCATGTCTTAGACGTTTCGATCCTTGCTGGCCAAGCAAATGATGATTTTCTGTTGGGCAACGAAGAATTTCAAAGATCATATAGCTCGGAAATTGTCCATCCCATGAGGATAGTTGAATCCTCGACGTCTGAACGGTCACTAGCCACCATGTCGAAGAAGCGAGTGAAATATCGACTTTGCGCCAATGTGCTTCACTTCTTCTTTGCCTTCTTAGCAACCTTCGTTCCTGGAGCCTTGGTCCTCCTCTTCCTCTTGATCCTCTTCGACGGCAGTGGACTATCTCTCCTCTGTCCTCCCCAAGCGGCTTTCACCTCCTGCACTGCATCCCATACCCGATCCCTTGCTTGATCCCTCTGCATACCCTGGTCTAGCAACTCCTCATACGGCGTATGCAGATGCCGAATATGTGCTTCGACTGCTAACTCCGCCTTACGCTCATCCGATCTCTTCGTCGAACGGCCTACCCGTCCGGACCCTTTCAGAAACGCGTGCTCGAGAATCCTCTCGAGCGATGATGGAGGCATTTTGGGAAATTGAGCTAGTAGTAGCTTTCGGGACCGCGCAAGGTCCCGCTCGTCTCGTACCTTGACGGCATCGGCACGAGAGGAGGCAGTTGCTACCGCATCGGAGCGAACAGAGTGGTAGATGTCTTTAGGGACACGAATGCCGAGGGTACGTTTGCCTTTGGCGTCCTGGTTCGTAGAGTTGGTTATCATTGGGTTCTTTGGATCGGGAAGTATGGATGCTTACATATACAAGGTAGACTGTGCGCTTTGAGTCTTTTGTCTTGCTTCTACAGTGGCGCGTGATGTATACGTCTCCTCTGCGGACGAATATATAGCCAGCAGGTAGGGGATCTTTCTCAATGCAAGTCTGTAGAAATAAGTTAGATGCGAAGACATAAGATGCAATTGTATATAACAGCCATGCTCCAGTGAGATAATCCAACGTACCTTTTCGAGTGGATCAGTGGAAATAGGGATCTTTACCCGTTTCGGTTGTGATGGCTGCGGTGGTGGTGATGGTGAAGAAGTTTGCACCTCTTCTTCTTCCTCTTCGAAATCGTCTTCTTCGTCGAGATCTTCCAACTCCTCCAAATAATCTGGACCAAACAAGTTTACCAAAGTATCCTTGTTCAGGTCATCTGATGTCCTTGGCTTTTCCAAATCTACTACTGGCTTCGTGTCTCTTTTCATTGTATTCTTGCCAGCCCTAGGAGTCACGCGTCGGGTGGATTTCCTTCTAGCAGAGGAGGGTTCTGACATCGCCATGACACATAATGACATTAAATTCCTTGGTGAATAGTAGCCAGTTGGAAGGATAATCTATTTTAGATATTATATTGACGGTGCTCGTTTGAGGGCTGGCAATGCCGCGTGAGTCCTGCTCGCGTTTGTTGACCGCGCCACTAAGGCGTAGAAGGAGTGGTATAGACGAGGATACTCCGTAGAATGGAGAAACTGGTATTCTAATAATAACAATAAACAAAAAAAAGGAAGAAAAAGAATACAATCAAGTATACTGCTTCTTTGTTTCCAGACACTGTCCTCGTCTTTGATGACATCTCCAAGGGACCAACGTCCGGGACAGGCATGATTGGTGGGACAGCAGACTGTGGCTTTGTAGGTCTCTGTGGCGTTTCCAGCCAATCCAATGCGACTCAGCCTCCCAAGTCATTCTCTACTTCTTGTGAATATGGACATACGAGCAGAGGGCTTCGGGCATATTTGCCTGGCTCTCAGATATTTTAACTTCGTCCAACCGATCATGGATCTATGTGCCTGCTTCTGGAGCTGCCAGTCATCTAGACTGGGCTACTTGCATATCAGAGAGGAAGTAAATATGGAGGATGGCCATATAACCACCTTGATAGGACAATCCGACGCTGCCTATCAGTAAGACGGGCGCCACCGGCCTCATCTGCCGGTGCAATTGCACGTTGAGGGACAACGGCACAGCTATCAGCTGGAAGCAGTGGGGCCACGTCAAGCGACCCCTTTCTTCATAATGCGTGATGATCATGGAACCGAGACTCAGACAGACAGGGAACTCTTTCCTGTCCAGGTCTCTCTCAGCAGCATGAAATCAGGGCAGCATATAGAGCTCTGATTTTACATTCGAACAGTCTGATATTCCGCAGCATGTTCCCAAAACTGAACGATCTCAAGTGCGGGGTGTGGGGCTGTTCACTCTCTCGATCGCTGAAATTCGTGCTATGAACCTTATCGGGTTACGAGGACACAGGCTGGATGATGCTTGCGAAAGCTTGATCAGTGCCCCTTTCTTATCGGCTGGCCTTGCTACCTTTGACGAGCTGAGGGAGAACCGGAGTCCAGGATCACGCCAGGAGTTATGGCCCAAAGGAGTGGAAAAGAAATAGTGTCCAGGTCATCTCCATCCCCTTGCTGAACCTGCAATGGAACAGATCGACGATCGAGAACTGGCGGCACTATTGACCTCCTCGGGTCCTTGGGCCCATTTGCGATTCGGTGTGATCTGGCGTCATAATGCTCAAGCAATATTGATGCCTCCAGAATGAGCTGTTGCGCATGTCAGGGGGGGAATGTTCGCCAAAGGCTCTAATTAGCCTTGAAATCCAGGCCCGTAGCTTGATTGAGTATTGCACGATTATCCCATGTACGAAATATCTTTGGTATGCGCGGAGAGCAAAGCCGGCGGTACCGGAGAAGTCGTCCCCGGCGAACAACGGCGGTCTCGTCTTCGATCAGAGACCCTGTCAGTCTTCAGATCTGTCTGGAAAGCATACTTTAAACCCCTCGAGGGGTTACGACCTAGTGACAGTGACGCAGGACTGTATCCTAACATCGTTCGAAGATCTTTTTTTCTGCCAGTAGATACGGGTACCAATTGGAGGCCGCTGTTACTCCTTCAACGATGGGGCTCCCCACAGCAATCTGAGCACCGGATTTTCAGCAGATCCGCATGTTTTGAGAAGTCGGCGCCGTGAAACACCAAAAGATATCTACTGTACGATGATGAAGCGGGTCGAGACTCGAGAGGGAGTTAGACCTGCGGGGGAACTGTTCTCATCCTGGGAAGATCGGCTCTGCGGCCTTCTTTTGCGACCAGGAAGAGACATGATACTCAAGATCACTGTTGCAGCCTCATGTCCTCCTTGATAGCCGTCCCTGCTCACGGTTGGGCCATTTCCCGGGCGGTCGAGCCAGCCACAGGCAGTCTATGTGCCTTGGCAGTGAGAGCCAATGCAGGAGCTTCCAATTTGATCTCAGCCTGGCTCAGTTCGGAACGAGGATCCACGGAAATTGCGGCGGCGCAGGGCGGGTAGTCAAACCAAGAGAGCTTGGGGCCGTACCTGTTCGGAGCTGGATCCATGGGTAAGCATCAGGATATAATTAAGACGGGCCGAACTAGCTGAGCAGCTCTCCTCGATGTCCGGCAGCAAAGTAGCAGGGCACTCCATCATTCTGGCGGAAGACTGTTGGAGCTGCTAGGAGAAGAATCCCGAGCCATCGAAGCCAGTTATTATCAACTATCACACATCACATAGATAGTTCCATCCCTCATTTTTTTGCTGTCCGGGTCGGCGGTTAGCTAGCTTCCCTTTAACTGAAGGTCGCACCATTCGGGCGAGAGCGGGGGAGCTGGATCTAGTTACTTAATAACAGAATAATAATTATTAGAATTAGTTAGTAGTTGACTAACTCAGCCCACACAGCATCATTCCTCGAGTGGCTCACCTTAACGCATCGTTTCCGCCGTCGGGCTCGATCCCTCGTAGACAGCCCGCAATCGCACATTGTGTGCCAATTGCGGAAAAGACCAGCTGGTGTCGCGCAGTCTTGTTCAAGTGGGCTCAGTGGTCAGTGGAGGAACCTGGGCTGGGTGTGACAAGACAGCACCGATCAATTATACCAACCATACCATCCTAGACCTCAGAAGAGTCAAGGCGGTGGATCTGCGGAGAGCAAAAAAAAAGAAGAGGAAAATTGTTGTTACAAACAGAGAAAAAGAAAAACACTGGACGCAAGACGACGAACGACCAACATATTATCATTCTGTCTTTATTTGTTCCCTTCGCTGCAGTAACACTAGACTACCTATGATCATCTGAGCATCAGCATCTCCGCAAGTTTAAACCACTAGGCAGGCAGCACCTCCATCGACTATTCTTCCTCCCTGGGCAGGGGCCGCTCTGCTCTTCCATCCTATCCTTTGAGCCTCCATCCTCCCTGTGTCCTCAAGCAGAAGTCAAAAAAAAAAAAAGGACATGCACTAGGTCGACGGGCTGCTGAATTGCCTGCTTGGGTTGTCGACCGGCCCTGTTGCCTGCTTGGCCTCGTGGCCATTGCTTCTCTCCCGCACCAGGTACATATCACTCGCCATCGAACATTCCTGACGTCGGAAGCGTCTCCACGGCACTGTGTCTCTTCTGCTTGGCAGCTCGACTTGCGTGGTTGCTGGGAGAACTCTTTCGCTGATATGAATTGGGATCGTCCGGTTCACAGGTATGTTCGGTATCTAAGTGCTTGACTCCGCAGGCCCTTTGTCCTGTCCCTTCTTTGACCTGGCGGGGACAGTCTGAACTGTCGCCATCCTCCTGGCCAGTCTTTCCATTCTCCTACCTCCTCACTCCTTGTTTTACCTCTGCAAGATGATACTAACGAAGCTTGCAAATATGTTCAGCTTCAACTATCCGAATGGTGAACCTCAGACACCGACGCGGACACCCAGGTTCACCAGCTTCGGTGATTCTGCCTTCCAAACGCCCAAACTCGAGTCCAGTTTCTACGATCCTCGTGTGACCTGGGACACATCCGACCCGTATGCCTCGAGCCCGGAACTATTCAAGACACCCCAGAGATTTGGATTGAGCACACCTTCGAACCAATTGAAGGCTCAGAGCGGATTCTCTGAGCGAGATACGAATCGGGATTTTGGGTCGACTAGCGAACACATAGCTCCAGGTTCGGAGAGAGCGAGGGCGTCAGAAGGCACAGGAACTGCACGAAGACTGCGTCTTTCTTCAAAGCCGGACATATGGGGTAACGAGGAGGGTCCCGGGACTGTCGAGTCGGCGAAGTCCGCCGCTTCGATGCAGACGCCGCCGCCAACCAGTACTTCGAGGAGGAAGGGTACGGAGTATGACAATAATGGGACGGCCCAGGCCTTTCAGAACAGTTCAAGAAAGCTCTCTACTGTCAGCATGGGAGGTAGTCATCTAGAGACACCCAGTCGGCTGATCGGAGCGTCCCCTCAACTATTCTCGAATATCCAGGGTTCTCCTGACCTGTTTCAATTTGCCTCGATCGACCAGTCGGCTTCTCCCTTCTTTCCTCAGCACAAACTCTTCTGGGACCAAGAGTCTGAAAACCAGGGAGAAAGCATCGGATTGCCGGGGAGTAGCAATGACATATTCGGTCCTACTACGGGGGCAGCATTCGGTCCAAGCAATACAGTCTCACACGATCAGCAAATTCCTCAGTTACCCACGATCCAAGGCTCACTCGACCTGCCTGAGTTCGGAGACACCAGCTTTGGCCTCAGAGGGACGACTACCGCAGACGCAGCATTGTTCCCAGCACCGTTTTCCACATCTCCCCGTGTTCCCGTTACCAAAGCCGAAGACCCTGCCATGTTTCTGAGCTCCCCGGCTCGACGTTTTGGACATCTACAAACTAGGGTGGATCCGAGATCTGTACAACGGGAATCGCAACGCCAGCCTTATCACCACCAGACTGAAGAATCCAAGAGGGAAGAACTGCATCGCTCTAGAAGCCTGCGGATGCCTGGATCGTTCTCAGATGAGGAGGACGATGACTGGACACCTAGTGGTGTCCGACCGGGACTGACCAGGAGCTTAACCCACACCGCAGTCTCAAGCCATAACAGGCAACAGAACCAGATGTCGTCAGGAGTGTTGGCATCGACCACCGGGATTCGAAAGACGCCATCAAAAGGACGCACCTCACCAGTCAAGTCCCTGCGCCAAAGTCTGCCTCGTGCTAACTCCGCCACCCTTCCAACTCGCTCCCAGTCGCTTGTCCTGAAGATTGGGAAGGATGGGAGGGCAAAGACTGAGATGCAGGTGGTTGATGAATCCTCAACGGGTCTAACCGATCCTCTGAGCGGAATGGACCTTGACGGCTCTGCCACAGAGAGCGAATGCGAATCCGCTGAATACCCCATCAGCCACAGTCTATTCTCGGATTCGAAGTCGAAACTCAGCCGGGCTAGTTCTACTTCAAGACCTCATTCAAAGGGATCATCATATTCTAGTGCGACAGTCTCGCATTCCGGACGGCAGTCGCCTTGGGCCAATTCTTCTAGGGGTTTAAGGCGAGCTCCACGACCGTCGTTGGAGGATTGGGCTGCTCAAACACCACGAAGATTGTCGATGCCTGTCAATGCTGATTTCTCTCGTGGTACATCTGCCACGTCGGACAGCCTTCCAGACCAGAATGAAGATGACGGAGATGCACAGCACGCACTGAGGCAAGTCCTCAAAGGAAGAAATAGATCAAGGAATTCTGTCGTCGGATACCCTTCTGGCCTCACACGGACATCCAATACCATTGCACATCTCCGTTCGTCTCCTCCCCATTTCGGAGCACGACTGGATCTCAACATTGCCGATTCAGGTAACTCGCCGACGACCGTCACCGACCCCGATATTGCGACGCCAAGCACCGACAGGCAAAGCAATCCCAGCAATAGCACCAGATGTATATGTAACTCGATGGACAACGGTGGACATCTCATGATCCAATGGTACGCCCTGCGAAGGACACCCATAAAATCTAGTGCATAGGCTAACTTATTCCAGCGAGTCCTGCAATCACTGGCTGCACACTAAATGTGTGGGCTTGGAGCGAGCAAACCTGCCTCCTGTGTACATCTGTGTCTACTGCTCACAAACCCCCATGAGGGGAGGCCGACTGCGAGACCCGTTAGCTGGGACGGCCCATGCGCCGACGTCACCCCTGGCACATAAGTCTTTCCGATATCGATGATAGCGATACGATCCCTTTTTTTCCTTTCGTTCCTAGCCTCATCTGATGCATGAATACGTCCAGCTTCTTTACATATATTATGCATACCGCCGTGATGGTCTTTGTCGTTTGTTATATTGCCTGTACTCCTCGACCTACGGATATATCCAACGACATACGGGGAGGAGACTCTTTTCTTATGTTTCCTGTTGACTTGTCATTTGGATACCCAAAAGCCTGTCTTTGTTATTTCGTGGCACGGCTGTATACCCTCATGCCTACATCATCGCCCGTCTATTATAGGGCTACTGTAACCACTACTTCTGTTCCATAGCGATTCCCTTTTCTGAGCCCCCGAGACACATGTCTCCCATATATGGACACCTCCTTGTTGTATCTACTACCTCATGTACACCTGGACCCCTTTTCCGCGCTTCGGGTGATCACATACAATAAATCCCCTCACGATGGAAGTTAATTCTGCGTTTCTTAGCTCTTCGCTTTTCGCCTGCGCCATTTGGAGAGTGTTCCCCAGGATGACTAGAGATCAGCAGACCTCGGTAGACAGTTACGATAATATATAATTTCACTTACCTTACGCTTGTGTTTCGCTATCCATGATCCTACCCTAGTAAAATGAATGATGACCGTGGTGACCTGATAAGCCGGACTGTAATTACACCAGCAATACTCAATATAGAGGGCCAAGATACATGATATACTTTACCAATATGGTCACATTAAATCGAAACGAGGATCCTCATGACGATGGTATATTATGTATATACATACTAGCTAGTACCATGTATCATGTCAATAGAGTGCATCAAAGCACTTAGAAGCTTTCTTCTTCTTCATAAGTGTCGAAGTAAAAGGTATCTCCAAAATCTAGACCGTAGCAGAAGCGGCCAAGATTGATCACGTAATGCGATGGGGACTAACTATTGACTGTGTTGTTGTCCCTTTATTCTGGTCATGTCATGAATTGCATTTCATATTTCCCCCTCTGCGCTGATGAGGAATTGAATGAATGAATGCAAAAGAAATAATCGTTTGAGTAATCTTTCTTTTTTGACAAAACGCCTCCCGTATCGGATCCGCTCCTCGTCTGAGGTTTGCGGGGTTGAGAATGTGTCGTTATCGTAAAAGGTAGAAGAAAAAAAAGCTCATAATGGCCTTCTCCCATATACAACGTAGCTGGTGGTAGGTGGATCTGGTTAATTGAATGGATTGAAAATATTAAGTGGGAGGGTTGTGTGTGTGTGACGTACAAATCAAATAAAGCATGTATGTTCCGGTCTCTAGCATCTAACTTTGCTTTTTCTGCCAGATGGACGACGTCAGCGGGGGTCCAGTTTTCGTATCTCGTCAATACTGCGAGGGCGCTAGCCTCGAAACCAGTCGAGGCTTGTAATAGGTTCCACATTCCTAGGGATTTCTGGACTTCGGGGTCAGATATGGGTCGAGGGAGATAAGGGATATATATTGTGATGACTGACTAGGTGTTCTTCCTTGGGCCATGGTCCCATGGGGAGCAGGTACTTCTGGACGTGAATTTCGGTAAATCCTGCCTCGTGGAACCATTGCTCCAGGTGCGGGCCAGGGCTCACGACGTGCCCTGTTTTCTCATAAGCTCTGATGCCGATATTGTAGTATTGTTCGATTGATGTTCCCGTGGTCGAACCGTCCTGTGAATACATGTTCAGGTCCCAATCTTGGAATTCGACCCATCCGCCCGGGATCGTATTGCTAGGTACGTTAGTAATTTAGTTTTCTTTGGGAGGTGATCCGGAGTTCTTACTTAAAGCACTCTGTGAGAAGCTTGGGAAAGTCTTTGATACCCAGCGCGAGGAAACGAGCATGGATAAAGTCGAATTTCTGCTGCTCGGGGAAAGCCCATTCATCTTCCATATCATCCACGATGAAGTGAACGTTTGGAGGGCCGCTACTGATTATGTCCATCTTATTAGCGACTATATATGGGGATGGGAAGTATGCTGGTGAGAAGTCGCCACGAAGGCTAAGATTGATCGAGCGCGCTCACACTCCCAAAAAGCAGACATTATAGTGGAAGGATCCAACCAGGCTGTCGAGAGATCCTGGAAACTGAGGCTACTTACTATGACGGTTGGATTGGACTGAGATCGGTACCAGTGACCTAGAAAATAAAATCGTTCAGCATGCTACGCCAATTCGTCCATAGATCTTCGAAGGAGAGATGTACTTCTGCATTCGGATACCGGTCGGCTAGATAGTGCAATTGGGGTCAGCATTCCCTTCTTTTGACTGATACGATCCGCGACTCACCAAAATCAAGTGCCCAAATACCCGTCCCCGTCCCTAGATCCAAAACTTGTTGGGGGTTATCCGCGATAGGCGCGAGAAAGAGCCGCTGGCCCATCATGAACAACATCATCTCGTGCATCATGTCTAATCGCTGCGCTTCGGCCTCATCATTAGGCAGAAGATACCCTTTCGTTGCAATTAGATACCGTTGACCCATATGGTCATCAAGGAGACTCACTGCCGTCGTGGTATGAGTGGTAGCGTCTGCCATGCTCTTGCCGGTAGTCTCGAATGGAGGTGACGGATTTCGTACAACTTGATCTGAGCAACTGTTAGCTTTCTACTGTTCTGCTGCTGCTGCTGCTGATCATCGGGATAGAATCTCATTACAGTTCATCCTCGTATGTGCTATCGGTACCCGTTACCTAAAAAAGGAAAAGGGAGAGACCCATTATTTCTTTGCCTCGTATGAAGGGGAGTGAACAGCATCAACGCGTGGTTACGGACCTGCGTATCGACCTCTATCGTCTGGTAGAACGGATCATCGCCTGGGTCCGGGCCCGTGTGTTCAGCCATCGACGATCGTCTGCCCATCGACGAGCATCGCTCATCGGGCAATTGTTATAGCGCGATATGCCTGTGCGACAGACAGCTGCGATACGAAGACCAGGAGATGGTGGGATGATTGCTTTTTAGGAGTATGCAGTAAATTGCAAGCGAAGTACCGGACCCGTCAGACCGGGTAACTAAGGTGTATTTCGTCTGGGATGGGAAGCTTTTCCCCTCATGCCCGCATCCGGCAAGGTGCAGCGCCGGCGCCGAGAAAGCCCCAGGGACGGCGTGTGCCGGGCATCTGATTGGCTGGACAGCGCGGAGAGCAACGGCGGCGGAGTCTCTCGGCGATTTCTGCAGAGCTGGTGGCGGTCACGTGCAGGAGATCCTCCCCGTCTTATTCCAGCTGGACGGTTCCCGGGATGCTAGAGGCGGCCTCAGGCGTTCTTGATAGACATAGATCATCGTCGATACAAAGCAACCATATCTGATCCATTCATTCATCCATCCATCCATCCATCCATCAATCAATTAATCAATCTGTCCTGCTTCCCCCGACGATCTTCGTGTCCACCCCATCGCGCAAACAAAGGGTCCATCCGGTGAGCAGCAGTGATGGCCGCCAAGCCTCCATCGACCCTAGATCAGATAGTTATCTTCATGACGACTCGGACTCGCCAACACTGACTCATGAAAGATTGAGCTCGGTCACCGGCCAATCGGGTGCGCGCATTATTCGGATGTCCGATAGATCTGGGGAGAGAGCGCTAGTCCCAAACCGGCTTATCAGCAATCCCCTTCACCGCCTCCGATAGCGACGGGCAATTTTTTTTGTCAGCGTGTGGATGACTCTTTGGTCCCAGTAACCAGTCTGGAAGAGTGATTCGATTCCCACAATCAGCCTTGCGGGATCAGTTGCCAACTCGACTCTCTCGTCTCCTGTGGGTTTCAGACTGCGTTCTCCTGGAACATGTCCTCTTCGCTCCCCGGCAATCGGGAGCTCCCCGCATCCCAGTATGATCTCAGTACCTACTGGGGTCGCGTGAGGCAGGCCGCCGATATTTCGGATCCTCGGTGAGTTGGATTGAACATTCAATTTGGTATTGGGTAGGGGAGTCGCGCAGAAGAGACGATGAGGGGCTGGGCTGGTCCAGTTCCTCTTGAGGATGGTGCAGCTGAGTCTGCTCTGACACGGCAGGGCTTCTCTCTGATTGCAAACACGGTCAATTGTTACTGCAGATGCTAATGATGCTTTGCGCAGGATGCTTTTCGTATCCTCATCCGGTCTGGAGCAGGCGAAGAAGCTGGTGACCTCCTACAAGCAGGGCGAGATTCCATCAATGACCCCGGAGTTGTGGCAGGCCAAGAAGGTGCTGGATTCGACACTTCATCCTGGTGAGACCGGCTGATATCTCTTCTCATTTGGATGGACTGTACTGATGTATTGACGCAGATACCAGCGAACCTGTTTTCCTTCCCTTCCGCATGTCCTGCTTCGTCTTGTCCAATTTGGTTGTCACCGCGGGAATGCTCACGCCTGGGCTGAAGGTATGACTGGCAGACAGATAGAGATGATCATGGGAAGGATTGGTTTCTGATTAGCAGCTAGACTACTGGCACGCTCCTGTGGCAGATTGCCAACCAGTCGCTCAACGTGGCCATCAACAGCTCCAATGCCAACAAATCCACGCCGCTCTCCGTCTCCCAGATGGCCAAGTCCTACTGCATGGCTGTCTCCGCATCCTGCTCGGTGGCACTTGGTCTGAACGCACTTGTTCCCCGATTGAAAAGCGTTTCCCCCAACACGAAGTTGATCCTGAGCCGTTTGGTGCCGTTTGCCGCCGTCTCCAGCGCCAGTGCTCTCAACGTCTTCTTGATGCGGGGTGAGGAAATCCGACGAGGAATTGACGTCTATCCTGTTCTCTCTGAGGAGGAGAAGAAGAAACGTGAGATCACCGGCGAAGGGTTGCAGAGTCTCGGGAAGAGCAAGAAGGCCGCTACGTTGGCGGTCGGTGAGACTGCTATTAGCCGTGTGCTGAACGCGACTCCCATCATGGTGATTCCACCTTTGATTCTTGTGAAGCTTGAGAAGATGGACTGGCTCAAGTCTCGACCCCGTCTGGTTCTGCCCGTCAACCTCGGCCTGATCCTGACCACTTCTCTCTTCGCCCTTCCGCTGGCCCTCGGAGCATTCCCACAGCGCCAAGCGGTGAGTGCTGATAGCTTGGAGCCGGAGTTCTGGGGCCGGGGCGGTCAAGATGGCAAGGTTGAATTCAACCGTGGAATGTAATCTCGACATTCCGTCGCCGAGTGAAGATCTCACCAGTAGGGCATGGGGTCGAAGCAGAGGCCCCGCCCACGCGATTCTATGCACCTCACTAGAATAAATCAGTGAATCATAGATCAGGCGGGAAAGCTCAGTATGGCTTGATAGGAGCAATGTCTTCGAGATGTGCTAGTCTCGTCAAGTCGAGAAGGACGGTTGCGCCCTTTCTCTATTTCATAAAAACGGTCTCTTTTCCCACGCATTTCGGGGAGGCATTAGCGTCGAGTTATTTCTACCTTACTTCTTCCTGCAGCAGCGGTCGTCAATTAGACCTCTCCTGTTCTTGATGAATAGAAGCTTTACTAGAGTCTAGATAGACTGTCCATAATTATCAAAACGTCATTGATCATCTGGAATATATCACAACACATACTATCTCCCTCTGTGTTCACAACAATCCTTGTCCATTCTATCGCAATGAGCAGTTATCATGTCTGTATACCTACCTACCCCGCCTCAAACTGTCTCAAGAACGGGCTCCCTCCGCGCCTGCAGAACGCCCTCGAACCTTTCCGCAATATCGAGCAGCTCAAAGTCCTTCCACGGCCGACCCAATAATTCAATACCAATAGGGATTCCCAAAGGGGCTGTTTCTGTCGGTGAACTAAAACCAGCTTGAGTCGTCGTCAGCTTATTATCTTTCCCCCTCCTCCCTCCCAACCTCTTCCTTGATCCAAGCCATCACATTTCCAAAACAGAAAAACAACAAAACGTACCAGGAACACAAATGGCCGGCGTACCCGTCAAAGCAGCCAGAATCCCATTCCTACCACTCTGCACCGTCTCTCCCACTCTCACCACCAACCTTCTCTGATGCGGATACACTAATGCATCGAGTCGATTCTTCTCAAAGCACTCCTGTAATTTCCGCTTCAGAGCCTCAATCCTCCCTAATCGCTCTTTATACTCCGGACTCGAAGTGTTGAATACATCCGTTTGCAACGATTCGAAGAACGGCGGCGTCATCGCTTCGCGCATGAACTCCCCACTAGCAGCAATAGAAGCGAGGGATCGATGCGTCGACCCGGGGATTATGATATCTGATTGTAAGAAGGAGTCAATTGCGGTGCGGAATTCGTATGATTGCACATCTACCGTCGAGAGGAGGGTGTGTGTATCGAATTCCGGAACGGAGAGATGGATGAGGTCTGCGAAATCATGGCTTTTCTTCAGTGCAGATTGGATCGTTTCGTTCACGATGGATATCTCCTGATCTTGATTGGTGTCGTCATCGAAGTAATTATCCAGGACTCCGATCCTGATCTTATGATCATGTCCGCGGAGAGCATTGATACTAGACGTCTCTGGGCCCGAAGGAGGAGATCTAGTTTCATTCTCCCTCCTCTCATCCACCGTGACTTGATCCTCCACATCTTGCCCTCTCATAACCTCAAAAAGAACCCTCACATCCTCCACCGCCCTCGCCATAGGACCAAGCACATCCTGCGCCATCGTCACTGGCACCGTCCCACGCTTCGAAATCTGGCCCCTCGACGGCCTGAACCCAACCACACCACACGCCGACGCGGGGCTACGTAGCGAATTCATCGTGTCACCACCACATCCAACCAGGGCCATATTCGCAGCAAGCGCGACGGCCGTACCGCCCGACGAGCCCCCGGGCGTGCGTGTGCTATCATATGGATTCAGCGTCTGTCCGCCGAGAGAACTGATCGTGATGCCCTGAAGGGAGAATTCATGAAGATTCGCTTTCGCAAGGATAATCGCTCCTGCGGCGCGGAGACGCTGGACGACAAATGCATCTTCCTTGGTGCGCAGGGTGCGGAGAGAGATCGAGCCCGCTGTTGTAGGCATGGATGTTGTGGCGTAGGTGTCTTTGAGGACGATAGGGACGCAGAAGAGGGGTGGTAAGTGCAATTTCAATTGCACATCCGGATCGTCAGGGTCTGTAGCAAAAGCTTTGGTCGCGGCAAATCGCGCATCTTTGCGACGTGCTTCTTCCAGCGCTTGCGGATTGATGGTGATTATGGACCGGAGGGTTTTGTCATATTTAGCTATTTGGGAGAGATAGAATGAAGTGAGTGCTTCGCAGGTTGTTGAGCCGGCGAGGAGGGCCGAGTGGAAGCGGGATATGGTCAGTTCGTTCATGGTAAATGGTGGGTTTGTAGTGGTGTCCATTGATTCAATTGATTCAGGGATATTGTCTTCTATAGATGTGTGTTTTGTGTGTGATGCACGTTATGTGGTGATTATGTCGAGCATGCAGTTAGGCATCTGCTAGTAGGTAGGTAGGTAACTACGTAACTTCTCAATTAGCAAGTCTATATCCAGGTACACAAGGGAATATAGTTCTATTTACCTTTCCGGTCGAATATTTTCCAATTACAACGTGCAATGTATCTCACACAGGGAAGCCATTTATCGGGCTTCATGGTTCTTGATATCGTTTATCGCGGGGTAAGTCAGCTGGTGTTCGCCGAGATAATATCACTGTGGTCCGATCAGACTACTCAAAAGTACGCGCATAATGTCTGTCGGTGTACAAAGAAGACAATCATCCGTGACACCAGGTTCCCGCATGGAATTGGATCAAACCTACTGGATTCTTTATATGCTAGAGATATGGTAAATATGGGATCAAATCTCCCTCTAGACCTAGAGTCACGCAAGCAATTCAGATTCTGCTTCCGTGCTAAAGGATTCGACAATGTGTGGTGGACTTGTTTATTCATGCATATGCAACTCCGCCGTACTTAAGTATCATGTATGTACTAGGACTCGCATACTTAGGACCGAAGAGTAAAAATAGAATCATGATTTTTGATCTCAACACATACATACAAGAAGAGGATTTGATGGAAAATTTGTACTCATACATACGCCCATAAACGTTCATCATTCTCAGATGCATCCATCCCAGAACATTCCATTAGCATCAACCGGGGGAAAATCACAATCCGATCCAACTCCTCGAACTCCTTGAATATGCGCAGGGCATTCGCTCCAGTGCGGTATCCGTGATTCATGTGTCCTTAGACTCTGCCCTCGCTATCGGTGAAGTCCGTAAACGTTCATCGTAAGCATCCAACCCAACTCCTTCAGACTCCTTTTAAATGTGAGCAGGACGCATCGGCTCCAGCGCAATGTCCGTATTCGCGGGATCCGTAGACTCTTCTTTTGCCAGCGGTGAGACAACTAGGATATTTCTACTATTGCGTCGCGAGTCGAAAGCAGTCGACGACCGCTGATCCATAAACATGAGTGACTCCCTGTACCGCTGCTTATCCGCGGGCGACATGACCCTTCCTTCACCGGTCAGAAACTCCGTCGAGGCAGTCGAATTGTCGCTGTTCTGGCTGATCCGGTTTTGCTTTTGACGATTCTGCTCTTTTCTCCTCTTGATGTAGCGCCAGAGGATAAAAATGAGGCCGACACCAGCCAGTGAGCAGAAGACGGCGATTGCACGGACGATGCCGTCATGATTGAATTTTCTGAGAGCTACACAGGAACTGCTTGTTGCCGAGGGGGCACAGGAGGAAGTAGATGATGTAGTGGAAGATGTACTGGAGGAAGTGGTCGTTGCCGTGCTGGACGATGTGGATGCGGTGGTAGTACTTGATGCTGATGTGGACGTGCTGCTTGTAGTGGTCGCGGTGGTAGAAGAGGCAGTCGACGCAGTAGTGGACGATGTCTCAGATGTGGTAGTAGAGGTAGCGGTCGTATCAGACGTAGTAGTTGCAGTGTCTGAGGTCGATGTCGCAGTTGTCGCAGTGTCTGTAGTTGCTGAGGTAGTATCAGTCGTGGTATCAGTCTCGGCGCGAATCTCTATGAGCTTTGAAAGAATAACACCGTGATGGGCATCTTTCTCGGCGTCTCTTTTGACGTGTTGGATTTTGTGATTCTGTCCTTCAGACAGGACGTGGCCCACTCCTGGAAGAGACAGTTCCACAACAGGCTGCAGAGAGATTGGGAGACGAAAAGGCCATGCCATGATAATGGCAGCCAAAGCCAGGATAACAGCCAACTTTTCCTTATGCATTCTGATAGATTTCACAGTAACAGGACTTTTTTAAATGAAAATCGATGATGGTAAAAGTATTTGTGTGAGCTCTGAGAAGCGAGTGTGAGGTGTAAAAGCGAAAGACAGGATAAACAAAGACAACCCTGTCAACTCATACAACACATAAGACAACAGCTCACCGCCTTATAGGCATCAAAAACAAGAAGATCAAAGACAGAGACAAAGTGGGATGAATACGGAATCAGTGGCACTATGAATTAAAAAGCCTTGTATGGTAGTAAGTAAGTAAGCTAGAAGAGATCTTCTGTCTAGACCACAGCACTAGCTCATCCAGAACTTTACCTTGGGGAAACACCTCCAACTGTTGTCGACTACTAAATTAAGGAAACGCATGCGCCCCCCGTGTCCATTAATTGGCACTGCCGGATGACGAATCCAATCCTTGTAACTAATGGTTGGTTCCTGAGAGACTACGCGGACTTGGGCTGTATCGCCAACGGAGAGAGCCGGCTGGGATAAGTAGGTATTGGCTGAGGGGGATAATCGATCGGCTTGTCTGCAGGAACAGAAGTGCATTTTTATTGCGAATAGCTTAGGAGATCTACATCGTGTTGGTTTGGCTCTTTATAGTCATTATAAACGGTAAGAGTATCTAAATTAGCGAATATAATAAATACAGTGACCAAGTACATATTATACTATCTTACCGATGCTCGATCCGGATCCTCATGGTCCTTAATAGTCGCCAAAACTAAAACCAAAACCAAAATCTACTCCAGTCGAATCAAAAATCATCGCCACTATTCATTCATTCATTACTTTTTTTTTTCCTTCTTGTCCGGAAAGCCCAAAAATAACTTTATTCCAGAGACTATATAAGCGCAGTGGATACCGAGCTCGTCCACGTAAGACTGCAAGTTTCTTAGCGCGCAAGCGTAAGTAGTGGCTGAGAGCGCGCTAGATTGAGTCGTCACGCTTCGTCACTCCGAGATCCCTTTTTGGGTCTGTTTTAAAGATAAAATATTTCTTCTTGGTTCTCTTTTATATCTCTAATAGATATTTTAGAAATATTAAGTGTGATATCGTATTGGAATAGCTAGTTAGTTAGTTGGCATTATTACAGTTGCGCGAAACTGCCGGCACTTCAAGCGAAATATCTTTTCCGGCTCCAGTCTTTTCTTTGTTTAGATCCCTGCAGGGAATATCAATTAAGCTTCTCTCTCCACCACGGTGAGTATCAGAAAACGGAAACAATAAACGGGCCGGATCCTGGAGTAGAGATATAAGTAGGGGCGGTGCGCTGATCTCTCTGCACCGGTTTTATCTGCGGTGCAGTTACTAGTACAGTACTACTGCCCTTGTAGGGCTGAATTATCGACGTAATAATTAATTAACCTACTCCATATATACTGTACTTTGCTCATGCTAAGTAACAGTCGCAACGCTCAACCTCCCCCATAACATAACCAAGCAACTACCTAATCAACTCATAACCCCAACCTCCCTTCAGCCTTCATCTTCCTTGCAGTCTCAATGGTATGCGGAACAACCTGTCTGCTCATCGCCCAGTACTTCTCCTCCAGCTTCTTAGCCTCCTCACTTCCCTCCACCACATCAGGATGCGGCCAGTGGAAAGTGAAGGTCAAGAATAACTCTTCCGGCGCACCGCTAGATGAGACAGAGATGATGTTCTGCACGAATTGTCCTGTTTTAGGAACTGCGAAATCGATCTGTGATATCAATAGTATACATTGTTAGTTGCCCCAAGTCCTTTCTTTCTTTACTATTGTTACATGGCAAGAGATGCGCCGTCTCTTGTCATCTATCGAGGCAGACGCCGAGATAAATAAATATAATAAAAGAAAAGAGGAAAGAAAACCCACCTTCATCTTCCCAAAATACTTAATCTCCTCCTCGACTTCTCCTCCCTTACCCAACTCGCCCTTGAAGAGGACCGCTCTCGTCAACCCGGTCGCATCTTCCCTGACGATGCGCGACGTCTCGATCGCCGCGACGAATTCTTCTGGATGGCGCGCTTTGGCCACTAGAGCGGCCCATATTTCATCGTGCGTGAGAATATCACTGGCTTTTTCGGGCGGATTGACGGGGTGAGTGGTTGAGACGTAGATGACTACCATTGTTGTGGTTAACTACCTAGGTAGTACTGGGGTTAATCAAGGAATCAGAAAAGGTTTAGGTATGTGTTGTTACTAGTGAGTGGATGAAAAAATCTGGAAGATCATGGATTCGAGTGTATACTCTTATTCGCATACCCAGAACCTGAGAATATGTATCAGAGGGTTGAAGTTAATTGACAACCCAATTCTGTGAGTGATCGATCGATCGTGGTGGTGCTTATTCAGCCAGTTCCACGGCGACTTCAACTTCCCGAAGGTTAATCAGAATGATAATCGCTACCTAGATCAGCTTTTTACATGTTCATAGTATAAGAGAAGCAATAGTCGAAATAATTGTTATTTATACCCATCGTAGCTTCCTGGCATAGGAGATCAAATTCTCTTTTGTGACGTCAATGCCTCATGCGATGGGCAATTCATCATGGAAATGCGCATTCTTTTAAAACTAGCATCACGGTTTCAGGCACAGGCACCTTCTCAGGTACACCTAGAGTGCTCAGCGAATGACCTTCTAAAGCAGCATGCAGACTCCTGGAAAGACAGGGCTCATCTATATAGGTAGCATATGGAGAACAGATAACAATCTCCGGGTCATCTGGAATAGTAATAGAACTAGAAGACAGCCAAAATCATACTGTTGGAGGACCAGGATGTGATAGTCAAATCAGCAAGGCTCATCTTCAAGACGAAGCCCAACATATGCAGACGCAAGTCCGAAAATAACATTAACCATCTGAACCATGGCTTCTGCCTCGAACATTTGATTCGAGGAGAACACTGGCAAAAAGTACTATGCAAGAATGTAACAACCTGTACCATATCGTAATCGCCGAACCCGTAAATATAGAAGTAGACAACGAGTAGGGCATAAAAGTGAAAAAGAAAGGGAAAAAAACAACAACAGTGCTGCAGAGATGGGTAAAATAAAGAGCAATCAATCCACACCCTAAATCCACGCCAGTTTTGAGGTCTTGGAAACTTCAAGACCCCGCTCCTTTTGTTTTCTTTGTACTTTGCGAAAAAGAAGAAGAAAACCATGTCCCATTACACCCACCATCGCGAGCAGTGCCCCCCACACGCCAGTCCATATCGCCTGCTCCAGCATTCCAGTATTACCGTCCTTACTGTGGTGCAACACAGTAGCTTCCCACACGATCCATCCATAAACGTCATCAGCAGCAGCACAGACAGTAGCACTCTTGCTGGAATATAGCTCGATATCCAGAAACTCTCTATCGATAGGTATACATAATGCTACCTCCGCAGACGGAACAGTAACCGGGAACATCACTGCAAGCGGAAATTGTTGCCGTCACAAATTAGATAGCCGGAATAAACATAATGTGTATGATATGAAATGATGGACCAGCGAGGCCAAATCATATCTAACCTCGCTGGGCGTTGCGTTGCAGTTGTTGACCAATGCGCAACGCCTCCGTGCCATCATCGATGATAGTTTCTTTGAACCACGGATGCTTGAGAGCCTGCTTGGCAGTGATGCGGTTCTTGGGGTCATATACAAAAATCCGCTGGAGGAGGTCGAGGAATTGTCTGTTAAAAGGCGTATTCGATGGAATGAATTCCTAGATGACGTTAGTAATTGAACAAGCCAATCGTGAACGACAGGCAACTTACCGAAAGCTGTTTCATGGCCTTCACATACTTCCGTGATTGCCTCGTCGTCTCCTCGTTCGGATAGTCAAGCTTATTGCGGTTGAAATATCTGGAAATGTCAGTATCGACGCGAAAAGCGAACGGAAATCATGCGCAACTTACTTGGCCGCTTGATTCTGGCTGTTGCCTCGTCCGCCCTGCTGGACTTGCTTGACAAGTTTAGTATCGATCTTGCCTCCGCAGACGGCCTCCATCATAGCAAGATGCTCGAGATTATCATGGGTCTGGAAGAGAGCATCCCCAGTGAAGAACTCCACGAGAATACAACCGATACTCCAGATATCACAAGGAAAGCTCCATCCCAGATTCAGTATGATCTCAGGCGCACGGTAATGCCTGGTGGAGACGACTGAGGAATGGTATTCATCGTCAAAGGTCGCGGATCCGAAATCGATGAGGCGGATCTCACTGTCCAGCAGTACACGTCTTTGTCGGGCGTTCCTTGAAGTGGTGTGAGAGGACGAGGGGATGGTTCTGTTATACGTGAATGTCTGGTACGCGTTGTTCACAAGCAGAATGTTCTCCGGTTTCAAGTCTGTGTGGATCAGGTTCAGGTCATGAAGAACTGCATATTTGTCAGTCTGGAGCCACCGGAAACGATTCTGGCTGTCATTGCAACTTACAAGCCACGCTGGTAAATAGTTGTCGAGCGAAGTTCTGGATCTGACTGCTAGGGAATGGGACGAAACCGTTGCCTTTCAAGAAATCAAAGACACTCTGTCCCAAGAGATCCGTGACGATGCAGATATGGTTTCGGAAATCGAAGCAGTCTCGCAAGTGAATACATTTGTTACGGTTGGTCTTGTCATTCGAAGACAATGTCGACAAAACTCGAAGCTCGATCCTGGATGCGTCTCGGTATTTCTGTACCGAGCGGATAATCTTGACTGCGCATCGAGTCTTCTTTTGCTTATCGTAGGCCTCGACCACTTTGCCAAATGTTCCCTGGCCGAGCAGCCTGATAATCGAATCTGTAAAAGATGCTGTTAGCTCTTTCCCCATGGCATGCAGTATTTCGATGCCCACTGAATTACGGGGTAGCTTACATCTATCCGTCAAATCCGTATCCGGCGTCACAATGTAGTGACCATCGTCATCATCAACTTTTTGGTGCTTTGAATAGGTGTACTGTACAGGCGCATTAGCATGATCGGTCGTGAGTCCTCGCGATGATTAATCTGGTCACTTACGTCGCGGACTACCGGAACTGGCACGTCCTTCGCTTTGATAGGTGGCTTCTTTGGAGGTATGTAGTTGAGGAACGCATCTCCAGCCGTCTCGAGTTCCCGGCGCTTTTGCTCGTCGCGAGCAGACTTTCGTGTGGTCACCCGCTTTCGCTTCTGGCCCACATTCGCATCTTCATAAACCACACCGTTGCTCGCGCCTGAACTGCCATGAGATCCAAGCGATGTGGGTGCCGTAGTGTGCAGAGAGGTGGTTCGATCAGTGGAGATGGATGTTCCAGATGAATCCTCTCCGTAGTGCTGGGGGTTGATCGAGAACGACGGGCGATCGTAGTACCCCAGATCATACGCGGTCTCGACACCAGTCCGTCTTTTCTTACCTGCGGGCTGAACGGTCATCCCACCCGTGGCCGTGGCTGTAGAAGGGCCGGCCGGCGGATAGGGGTCTTCCTCATGCGGCTCAGGAGTAGGAGTGTCATCGATGACGATCACCTCCTTTGGCAACCCGTTCTTATAGAACTCGCCCCAGTCGGGCTTCTTCCTCCGGGGGACCCGAACAGTGGTCGGAGCGTTGTTATTTGGATAAGAGGACATGGTCCCCGTCGTGGAGGGTACTGGAGGCTTCGATTGAGGATAGGGAAGGGTTGTAGTTGGCGTGTTGGCGGGATATGTGTACGGGTTGGCTAGGCGAGAAGTCCCTGTTGTTGTCGTAGCTGAAGGGTATGAACCGTTGGCCTGGTATGATGCTTGGTGATGCGGATACCCATAATGTTGATGATGCGAAGGATGTGTCGCAGTGGCTGTCGACGGAGTCGACATGACGGGACTGTCAGACCTGGGCGTCTGGACGAGCGACGAAGGCTGAGGTTGTGGAGGGACGAAAGACGGAGGTGAGTTGCGCGGAGCGAGTCAGCCACCAGCACGAGGCGACTTCCGAGAGGGAGAATTGCCCGTCGAGACAAGACTCGTCTTCACGACGGGTTTTTGAGGTGTTCAGGGATGCGATCGAGGGGTTCTTCTGGGCAGTGGAAACGTGGGAGACGTCCGGATGACGAGGTAATAATCGATCGGTCGGCGTTCAACCAGTCTCGTTTCCTTCAGCGGGCCGAGATGATGAATGGAACCACCATTGACCGTGAAGGAGGCATCTGATCAGGAAACACAGGATCAAGAAGCGATGCTCGAGGACGTGTACGGGATGAACGACGTTGCAACGAAAGATGGAAGAAGCAGCCGGGGGAAAGAAGACTAAACGAGGCGCTCGCGGATGATGGGGATGGAGACGATAGGATGCGATGGGATAGGATGGGGGACGGGGCGACGCCGCTGACTGTGGTTTCGTTCGGCTACGAGGATATCAGAACACACAGACACCGTCACCACGTTGATCTACGCCTCAGCTGCCTTCCATTTCATCGATTTCCTTCGTCCTCTGGGCTGGGGGAAAAGGGCGATCTTCCCGAGGCCATATTGACTAGTTACCATACAAATAGTGACTAACGGAGACGCTCTCTACTTGCGGTCCAGACTCCGCGAGAGATTTGAGGATGAGACTTGGGCAGACGGGGCTGCTCACTGTGCCCTGGGGGGCTCTGTACACCGCGCCATACCACTAAGAAACGAGTCTATGGTACACGCTCTCCTGCTCTGCTCTAGATACTCTTCTACTCTCTGCGCGATGAGGTAGTGTTGTTGTTCTCTGGCAAAGAATTCTCTGGATAGTTACAGACAGGAACCATTATTCGAAAAGAAACCGCCGTCGGTGGCAACGTCACCGCGACTCTTGAATTTCAAGAGGGTCGATGTCATGCCCCGAACCCCTCCGGACAAGAAAAAGTCCCCTTGCGCCCACTGGCGCTGCAGCCGACAAGAACAAATGAAGTCTTTTAATTATTAGAAAAAGTCAGTCCCTCCATCTTGCATCGCCATCGTTCCCATACGGACGACGCCGCGGTCAGACGAGGCTGGAACCGTTTTCTCACATCATTTGCGCGACTCCTTTTCTTTTTTTTTTTTTTCTTTTGATGGCTGCAATAATCCATTCCTCGATCTGTGATCTCCAAGGCATTCGAAAGAATGTTCCTAACATGGTCACAAAAGGGTCGTGCTCTCTCAGCCACATGGTATGTATGATAATCCCCGTCATTGCTACATGGAGCAAAGTGTCAAATCAGCACTAGCTGGATCTTGATCACGCTTCGTGATCACATATCGTCGACACTCTGGAGGAATAAAGAATCATCAAGGACTTTGTTCCACTATATCGACTTGTCCCAAGACGTCCCTGAAATTGCGCTTCCAAGCTGCGTGCGTGGCACCATTCCCGATATCGCTCGTATCCCCCCGCCGCGGACTTCAAAAGCGGCCCGTAGCACTTCGGAGAGATCAAATTCATCTTTACACGGTAGCAGCTATGCGGTTAAGGACTCTTTCACGCTGGCAAGTATCGTACCTTAAAGAGATGCGACAAAAATGTCGGATTACTACGATCCCCATCCGGGTCTATACATGACCACAGTTGAACTTGATGTCGATATGCTCTCCAATTATCGGACTACCAATAGTCATAGCTAGTAGATATTCCGTAGACCGTAGAGTAGGGTATACCTGTTTCGCTACAGGAAGCGCAGTGTAACTCGTATCATCGACTCATAATGTCGACCCGAAAACCCCTCAAATGGCAGCAGAACCAGGATCTCCTGGGCTGCGCTGACCGACATCCATCCGGAGGGATCTTCTCGCCATACTCAAAAAAAAAGTAAAAGAGATTCCGCACGAAGAAACTGGGCGCCGACCGCCGTGGAAAATATACAGACCATAAGGAAGAACAAAGATGATGGTCCCTGACAAACAGTCTGCCGCAACGCCTCAAACCATGATCCCACGCAGCAGCCATGCGAAATTCAGCAAGCGGCACTCTTGAGCGCCGCTGCCTCTCAGAGACAACACATAAAATCCAGGTAAAAGAAATATATTAAAATCCTGCTGGATCGATTACTCGAGTCGATCCTCTTTGACATCCTTTGAGTAGGCCTTTTGGACGTGCCGCGTACCTCGCCCGTCCAGTTCCAGCATGAACAGGATATCCCGCACTTGGATACCTGCGCCTTTTTCCTTGTCTTCCCGCCAGTCCCCAAGCCGCTTGGTGGCAGTCGCTGCGCCCGTATCACCGGACCGGCTGCCCTTGTCGCCCCCAGCGCCAGGCGTTGCTGGCTGCGTCCGTGGAGTAGAAAACCCGCTGCCCGCAGATGGGCCTTTGTTGAGCCATGAATATGTCTTCTTTCTGCCAAAGGGGTTACCCGACAGCATGTTGTTGGTAGCCATTCGGGCAGTTTCAATGGACTGTTGGTGCTGTTGAGCTTCGCTAGCTCGAGCATCCAACTGCTTCTTCGCTTCTTTCTTGGTTAATCCCTTCTTATCAAACGATGGCGTCTTTTCACCCGTGGGTGTAGCTGCTCCTGAGGCCAGAACATCCACCGAACCTGCTCTGCTACTATCTCCTAGGATGGCGCTTGCACTGCGCTTGGCCCGCTTGGATGCACGGATCTCCTCAACCGACACATCCTTATCCATGAACTTCCGGTATTTTTCCGCGAGTGGGTTAGTAACGGTGTCTGTACTTTCTGGATGAGAACCTGTAGATCTTGTTAGCATCATTACGCTATGATGGTTTCGGATGTACCGTACGTTTGAGAGAGGCAGCTTTCGGGCCGACCGCGTTCTCATCGTCCGCCCCAACAGGTACAGCCAGTTCCTTCCATTCAGTTGGTATTATGCCGTGGGAATGGTTACGCCGGCTCCTTGCCAGCGTCGCGGAGTAATCAACCACAGTCCGTAGTCGTTCTTCGCATGACAAGGACATGAGCGTCAAGATGTCCACCAGAGGTGCGCCCTCCTGGTTCAAAATCGTCTGGCCTTTACGCACAATAGACGACCCGTCGGGTCCCGTAACTTCGATTGGCTGTGGCCGGCCAGGCACGGGATGAAACAACCCTTCTGCTGGTATACGGACACCTAATTCAAAACCGCGCTTCTGCAGCCTCTGCTCTAGAACTTTCGTAAGCAGAAAAGGATCCTGCAGGTGATATTGTGACCGCCTAGCTGCCTGTGTGTCTTCGCGCGTCGGTTCATTGGGATCCTTGAACGGAGCAGGGACCGGGGCTGCTGGCTCTCCAGCATAGAATGAGTCCGGCGCACTAGGTGGTTTCTGTTGAGAGAGATCGGTGAAGCTGGCTGACGGGGTCATCGTACCCGGCGTGGACGCCTGGGAGGTAAAGGACATATTCAGCGGCGGCGGTTGTGGTCTCTGCTGCGCCTGCGCACCGGGAGCCGCATATTCTTGAGTAAGGAAGGCTTCTTCCTCTTTCATATCGATACCGGACGACGCTATCACATCTGTGAGCTCAGCGGCATCCGTCGTCTTCTCGACCGGCCGCGAAGGCGGTCCCATCGAGCCCACTGGAGGCGGTGCTTGTGAAGGCATCTGTGTCGGCGTCATGCCGTTCATATTTGTTCCATTCATCATAGGGGCAGGGTTCTGAGGAAGGTGAAGTGTTCCAAAACTCGGAGAGGCGTATGGAGATTGCGACTGAGGCATGGGCGAGAGCCGTTGTCGTTTCTGAGGAGGTGGAACAGCGCCCCCGTTCACTGGCGAAGCGGCGCCTGGCGATGGTGTAGACACCGGAGGAGAGAAAGGTTGTGAAGGGAACTGGTGAGGCTGAGTTTGCGCCATGATGAACAAAGACTCCTCGAGTCAATATCTATTGTTCGCTGTCCGGTCCGAATACGCCTATCGAGGTGAGGACAAGGTGCCCGCGCGAGGACCTGAGAACTGAGCGGAGAGCTCGAACCGTATTTCTCCGCCAGCTGTAACCATTTCAGAACTGTCTAGTCAGGCATTTGAATGAAGGATGAGCTAACAGTGAATCGCCCGGTTATGTAGATAATGGTGGACAGTGAATGGGAGAGGCCTGGTCGATGGGTCGCAACGGTGCGATGCGAGCTTGGAAGATCAAAGACGACCAGACTCAAGAGAAGCGCGCGCCGCCGCGATCACGTGAGTTGCATTTTTGAGTTATGTAAGCTGCCGGTCCTTCGCCTTTGCCCGCGCGAAGCGAAGGGGACGGACAGTAGAAGAGAAACAGGACTGTGTTTGGATTGTGCCTTTGTCACTGATATCAAGTTGGGACGACGGCAGAAGCTTGCGGTGTTACGATACATTGTGCAACATGTGCTGAACTCTTCCCAATGGCTTCTTTGACCCCATGATGCTGACATCGAGATCGCGCTCGATTCACATCTGACATGCTACGATACTGGTAGCTTGGCTATAATCTCTTGTAGCTTTTCACTTACTCGTTCATCTATCTATTTGCCCCCACATACTATACAGACGCAAGAAAAGACAGCTCTTTCGATTTGACATCTATTTTCGCAGTGTTGGATTATCATGGCGGCAAAGCGGAAAGCCTCGGCCATGACGGCCACGGTGGACGAGGAGCCTGTCGACCCTTCAGATGAGCTAGCCTTCTATTGTCTGGGTGGTGGAAATGAAGTTGGCCGTTCTTGTCATATAATTCAATATAAGGGGAAAACTGTCATGGTTTGTCCTTGTATTCCTTGGTTTCCGTTGCAGTGCTAACGACCGATAGCTTGATGCTGGCATGCACCCTGCAAAAGAAGGCTTTGCCTCTCTTCCATTCTTCGACGAGTTCGATCTCAGCACAGTTGACATACTCCTTATCAGCCAGTACGTCCGATCTCTTTCTTTCATTCGAGCTTGTTGTCACGCAGATATAATATCACTGGAGTGTCTACCTGGTGTGCTGTATACGGAGCGGATAAAAGCCCATACTCGAGCAGCACCGCTGGAAGAGGATCATACCACACACCCTTTATACTTGACTGCATGTATATCAGAGAAACAATACAATATCTTCAGTCTGACATTATCGGATATTTGTCCTCCCGTACGCCCTACTGTCAAAGCCTCTCGTATGGTTGCGAGCATCTCGCAACCTCTTGATCCATTCATGTGTCGCGACTTTCAATTCTATTCGCTTGCAGAAATAGCTAATGTATGAGTATTGTATCACTACAGTTTCCACGTCGACCACTCCTCTGCCCTCCCCTATGTCTTGAGCAAGACAAACTTCAAAGGCCGTGTCTTCATGACGCATGCAACCAAAGCAATCTACAAATGGCTTATCCAAGACAACGTCCGAGTCAGCAATACATCTTCATCATCAGACCAACGGACGACACTATACACAGAACACGATCACCTGTCGACCCTGCCCCTAATCGAGACAATTGACTTCAACACGACCCACACAATAAACAGTATCCGCGTAACTCCTTTCCCCGCTGGCCATGTCCTCGGTGCTGCTATGTTTTTGGTATCCATTGCTGGGCTCAACATACTTTTCACTGGCGACTACTCTCGAGAAGAGGACCGCCATCTGATACCTGCAGAGGTTCCCAGAGGCGTTAAGATCGATGTTCTCATTACGGAATCGACATTCGGTATCTCATCGAACCCTCCTCGACTAGAGCGTGAAGCAGCTCTTATGAAGACAGTCACTGGTGTTTTGAACCGAGGAGGCAGGGTTCTCATGCCTGTGTTTGCTTTGGGTCGTGCACAGGAACTACTTTTGATCTTGGATGAATACTGGGAGAAGCACCCAGAGCTCCAGAAGATCCCTATCTACTATATTGGAAACACAGCACGTCGCTGTATGGTTGTCTATCAGACCTACATTGGTGCCATGAACGACAACATCAAGCGTCTTTTCCGTCAGCGGATGGCAGAAGCGGAGGCCAGAGGCGACAAGAGCGTCAGCGCGGGGCCTTGGGACTTCAAATTTGTTCGCAGTCTAAGAAGTCTGGAGCGTTTTGATGACGTCGGTAGTTGCGTTATGCTAGCTTCTCCTGGTATGCTCCAAACCGGAACAAGTAGGGAGCTCTTGGAAAGATGGGCGCCTAGCGAACGAAATGGGGTTGTTATGACGGGTTATAGCGTTGAAGGAACTATGGCTAAGCAACTTCTCAATGAACCGGAGCAGATCCCTGCAGTCATGTCCAGGACGGCAGCCTTGCCTGTCCGAGGTCGAGTCCCGACTGCTGGTGATCAGGAGCAGAAGGTCATGATCCCGAGAAGATGTACCATTGATGAGATCAGTTTCGCGGCACACGTTGATGGCGTGGAGAATCGGAATTTTATCGAAGAAGTCGCTGCTCCTGTTGTAGTATGTATATTGTCCTTTACTATGCGTGGGCAATTTGAACTGACATCCTATCCCAGATCCTGGTACATGGCGAGAAGCACCAAATGATGCGTCTTAAATCCAAACTCCTCAGTCTTAATTCCGAGAAGACAGTGAAGGTTAAGATCTACACGCCTGCCAACTGTGAAGAAGTACGCATACCTTTCCGAAAAGACAAGGTCGCCAAAGTTGTCGGCAAGTTGGCGGAGATCACTCCCCCATCAGAACAAGATGATGGCCGTCTGATGGCGGGGGTCTTGGTTCAGAACGGATTCAACCTGTCGCTGATGGCGCCTGATGACCTCCGCGAGTATGCGGGCCTGACAACAACGACCATTACCTGCAAGCAACACATCACGCTTAGCTCAGCAAGCATGGATTTGATAAAATGGGCCCTTGAGGGCACATTTGGTGCGATAGAAGAGATCGGTGTCAGCCACCAGGAGCTGGCTAAAAAGGAAAACGGAGACGATTCAATCAACGGCAAAAACGGTCACTTGGAGAAAGTTGAGGCTGCTGACGAGGAAATCCCTCACGAAGAGGACCACGCATATCTTGTGATGGGCTGCGTGGTTGTCAGATATATGGCCCGCACTCGTGAGGTCGAGCTGGAGTGGGAGGGTAACATGATGAACGACGGGGTAGCTGATGCAGTTATGGCCGTGCTTCTGACAGTCGAAAGCAGCCCTGCTTCCGTAAAGCGTATGTTTCAGATCTACTGTCTTCCCAACTACTGTCGCATGATAGGACTAACTGGCATTCCGGATCACAGAGTCCAGCAAGCACAACCACCATAGCCATGATGTTCCACTTCCCCCGAACCCACACTCGAATCTTGGCCCAGAAGAGCGTTTTGGGCGCCTCTTGATGATGCTAGAAGCACAGTTCGGATCAGACATTGTCCCAATCGAACGTCCTCGTCTCCCTAAAGACCTGTCCGCTGCAAAGAGCCAGGATGGCGTGTCGACACCTAGCGCCATTAAGACCGAACCCGGCACTGAAACTCCAGCCTCCAATGCGGAAGAACAGGAGGAAGAAGAGGAAGAAGATGCTGAAGATGTCGCTGAGGCCGAGGCAGCAGAGCTCGCTCGCCTAAATGCTCTCGGAATCCCCTTCCCCGGAATCGAGATCAAGGTCGATAAGCACGTCGCTCGTGTCTGGCTGGAGGATCTAAATGTCGAATGCTCCTACGCCGTATTGAGAGATAGAGTGAGGGTTGTGATTGAGAGAGCGGTAGAAACCATCGCTCCCATGTGGGCTGAGGGACCACCGTCTGCTCCTACAACCAACGGGTCTGGACAGGGTTCCATGAATGAAACTAAGGCAGGCGTTGAAGTCAGTGCGAAGGCTTGATGGACGAATGGATGGATATCATACATGGAAGGTTTAATACTCTTTGTATTACTATTGATGTGAAATCTGCTTCTTTCTTTTCCTTCTTCCAATGTCGCTTTCATGATGAGGGCCTCACCCTCTATGGCGGATTCTGATAATATAAAAGAGTACTGGTAAAAAAAATACTTCAATTTTCTCCGTAGCATGGGCTCGTTAGCCTTCTCCCTCTCTTTGCTTATGGCGATACTTCAATTATGAAAATGGTACGAGAGTCCCAAGTAGTGATGAGTATTTAAAGAGTTACTGCTTTCCTATACAAAGAGTAAAACAACAATGAGAATGAGATATTACTCGATACCATCTCTCGATACGCCAAACAGTAGCTACCACCTTAGTAGTTAGTTCTCTCATCTTCACTTGGTGTCATGAAGATCTTCAGTCCAAAGAAAAAAGGATTCCTATCGACTCATTTGTCGAGACTCATGTCCCACCACACAGGACGACATCACGCCTGCCCGATGGTTCAATTAATGAATCAATTGAATCCACCTTGACATGGTAATAAATAACTTGGAAAGTCAAGGTGAGGAATCAAATTAAAAGAGAAGAAAAAAAAAGAATGAAGCATAGGCCCGAACCGCAATTCGAACGCGGGACCTCTCCGACCCAAACGGAGAATCATACCTGAGGAGAGAATGTTAGAGACAGACAAAGACTAGTGTGACATATAGATATTTGGTAACTTACCACTAGACCATCCGGGCGATGCTGTAATAGAACTCTCTTCGGAGATGCTCTAAGAAAATATAATGACAGCTCAATAAGAAAAAAAGGAAAAAAAGAATAAGGTAAGGCCCGAACCGCGATTTGAACGCGGGACCTCTCCGACCCAAACGGAGAATCATACCTGAATTTGAATTAGCAATGATGATTGGCTGCGAGGGTGCCATTTGTAACATACCACTAGACCATCCGGGCGATGTGATACATAAAATCTCCCTTTTTGACATTTTATACCACGTTTGTGCTATTATAAAAGAGTTCGTCATTTCACTACATGTACTTGTATATCTCAGAGGCTAGGCATTTCCCTCACTTTGAGGGTTCAAATCGAATTCCTATGTTTTTTGGATTCTCCGATAATATCAAGCCATTCTTTTGCAATTTTCCAATACGAAAGATCAAAACGTACAGTTTTAGGTCTGTTGGCGACGCACATTAACTAAAACAGACGTCCATGATTAGATAAAGGCCCACCGACCTGGTGACACATTTTGAAATAGAATGGTCATTACCCCGAGCAGATGATTGCAAATTCTTCTCATCAACCCTGCTCGTTTGAGGCCAACATATATCTTGCCCCGTAGGTAACAAGAATATATATATATATATATATATATATATTCCTGTACAGGGGATCTAGATAGCGGTAGACAGGCATGTTTGATTATATCTGAAGAACGGCTTCACGAAGCCGCATCAACTGGTGGATTACACAATCAGAGGAGAATCCTAAGTTATTAAAACTGCGGTCAATCCAAGGGTTAAACAGAATACGCTCATCAAGTCATCAACAACTTAGGAGCACAGCAAACTGTCCTCGCAAAGTAGTGTCTTCGTCCTCATCTTCTTTTTTGCTAAGAACCTGTCCCAGATTCACACGCCATTAACAACACCATCTGCCCTCTGTTTCTCATCCCACTTCTTCATAATCTCGTCCACGATCTTCGCTAGCCCTTCCATTTCCTCCTCGGCCGTTGAACCGGCCGCCACCGTGTCGATGCTACATCCGACATAGACGGGACGACGCATGCGACGCGCGAGGATCTTTGCCGTTCGCGTCGCGTAGTCGATGCTAGCGGGAGATGTGTAGAGCGCCGTGGAGAGTGCGGGGCGGGTGTTTGTGCGCTGGATATTTGTTAGTATATGTTCACTCAATATTTTGTCATGCATGCATGAATGCACTGGGCTCGCAAAGGGGTGAGTTGATGTAGAGCAAGATACATTGGTAGGCTATATAAGTAGCGGGAACGCGATAGAAGGGCAGGGCGTGACTGCATGGGGAGAGTTGAAACGGGTTCGATGCGGGCCCAGAATATTATTAGAAGAGAACGAGTGCTCTTCCAGATCAGGAAATAATATGCAAAGCCATAAAAGCGAATAAACCGGGAAGCGCAAAATCAATCCAAAATAGAGGGAAATCAAGAATAAACACTTGAACAACGATACAGGAGTAGGACCATAGGAAAATAAAGATAGACAGGAAATCAAGATCAGAAAAAATAAACCTACATCCGGCATCGCATACACAAAACTCCCCAGCGGCTTCATCGTCCCCGCCGAATCTCCCGGCGTCGTCGTGGCCAGAAAGACCATGGTTGAGGTAGCCAGGAAAGTCAGGTGAACATGGGCTGTCGTATGAGGTGTCTTTGGAAGTGGAAATGAGATCTCGATTGGAGTCGTAGAAGGAGATGTAGGTTCTGCGTGTGGCATTTCTATCGGTGGGGTGGATATGGTTGTCATTTTCCTTTCCTTTCCCCTTTCTTTTTTTAAGAATTGCTTTCAGGACCTGCAAGAGTGCAGGTGAAACGAACTTGATAGAGGATAATAAAAGTTGGATGAAGGAGATTGAAAGCAATATAAGAGAGACTTCGTAAAGATCACCGCAGATAGGCTGGTAGTATTCGATGGAGGTCGTGTACTTGTCACGTGGTTAAACCCAACTAATTGTGAAGAATCTTCTTCATATAGCGGTCAGAATTGGAAGCACAGATTAAGACCACCAGGACAGAAACCGATTCAAGCAAGGTGCAGGTGTATTATATTGACGATAGGAATAGTGATTCCTTTGGGATGTTGGAGGTCTTTGGACCCACTCCTCGCGCACCACTCAAAAAGAGACCCGGAAACATCCCCGAGCTTGACGTCCCACCACGTCAATACTCTGCTCTATATTGTTAGCTTCTACTGACCAAGGGTGACGAGTGTATTGGCCATCTATGCTCTTCTGATAGAGGGCATGCTTGATGTCAGTGAGTATTTGAGCTCGATCTGTATGCATATTTCTAGAAGTCATGGACCCGCACGCCCATCATCACGATGAGCCAGAAGAAGTCCAGAGTTGGGCAGGGGACTTTGATCCCTTTGCTGATCCGGAGGAGCGTCGAGTGCTCTTTTCTACTCTTGACTCTTTCAGGTACGTATCTTTTATTTATGTTTCCAGATGTGTATGGGCCTATGTACCCAGAGGGGGTAGACCAGAATCTGTCTATCCTGTGTTTGATACCGTGACCTTGATATATTCTGCTTTATTGCTTGTTAATCTTTATTGACCTTAATATCGAAGCTTGTCGTTTAATGTATTTCTTGTCTCCCAATGAATATGCGTTCGTTATATTGTGTGCTCAGAATTGATGCTCTTCATACCCTTTTGCCTTGTTGGTCTTGTTAATGTGGTCATGGGGTTACAAACTTCCATTATGAGATCAAATCACTCAGAGATCCATAATTTCATTTTGCATTCTTTACATCCACTAAGCAATGAATAGGCAATACCGAAGGACAGCTCACATGAACACCACTCACCGCCGACGACAGGCGTTCTACGCACTCCCATCCTCGCACTGGCAGATGCTAGCGGAAGCGCCTTTCAATCTTCTGGATAACTTCAACAAAGTGGATGATGCCATTGATGCGAATGCGGAACTTGCTGACGCCATACTCAAGACTGGCCTGGAGTCGTTCGGACTATCAGCGAACCCCGAAGAGGATGATCCGACCCGCAATTGGCAGGGAACGGCTACATCGTCCGATGTGAGCAAGGCTCACTCGACTATTAGACAGTTCTACAGGGACTGGAGTGCAGAAGGCAAGGCCGAGCGAGAGGTCTGTTACGACCCCGTTATCAAAGCTTTAGATAAGGAATTCGGGCAAAGGAAGGGGTCCCGGTCAGAAGTGAAAGTGTTGGTTCCTGGGGCTGGACTGGGTAGGCTCGTTTTCGATCTCTGCCAGGCTGGATTTGCAGCGGAAGGTAATGAGATCTCGTACCACCAGCTGATAGCCAGCAGCTGGGTACTCAATCACTCCCGTGGGCCCGGAGAGCATGTCCTCTATCCTTTTGCCACACAATTCTCCAACCTAGAGTCAAGGACGCAACAGTTACGAAAGGTCATGATACCAGACGTACATCCCATGTCTGCGATGCTTGCAGCTCAGCAGGAGCAAGCAGAGGGTAACGCAGAAGGAAATTTCGGGACGATGAGCATGTCTGCCGCGGACTTTGTGGTTCTATACCGAGGCGAGTCACAAAAGGACGCTTTCGATGCGGTTGCCACTGTGTTCTTCATCGATACTGCGCCAAATCTGATCCGGTATATCGAAGTCATCCGAAACTGTCTCAAGCCCGGTGGAATCTGGATCAACGTAGGCCCTCTGTTATGGCACTTTGAGAGCAGCAGCACCCGAGGTGGCAAGAGTAATGAGGAGACTGGCGCGAATACTCATCAGAATGACGGGATTGGAGAGCCTGGAAGTGTCGAGCTGACCGACGAAGAAGTCATGCTACTTGTGGAGCGGATGGGATTCCACGTGGAGGAGCGTGCTCTGAGGGAAGGGCAGCGTGAATGTGGCTACATCCAAGACCCGCGCAGTATGCTGCAGAACCTGTACAGACCTTCTCGCTGGATAGCTCGAAAGAAAGCGACATAAATATAGTCACTTCTCCATAGTATGCTCCCTAATGCCCGCTAGTAACGCAATATGGTTCTATTATGGGATGACGGCGCTAGGGTTTGAGTAGTATCGAAATCCGCCTTAGGCCACCAGTGTCCATGTTCTTTACCGTATGTGACAACCGCATCGGTACTGTAACGACTAACAAAGAGCATAGCTGCGTCGCCGGCAAGGGGTTCCATTGAGGGTTTTGATACACTAAGACAGCCTGAGAATCTTCGATTGCGGACATGGCCGGCAGCTGACGATGACTTGATGTCAAGCCAGATTCCACGTTATCTACGATCCGCAGACTCTCTCATCATGATCGGTTCAGCTGGACTCTTTCCACCCTCAACAAGATGGTTGTCGCAAGGCTGAATGTGGCTGGTGGAGAAAGCAAGCTCCAACGCTCTTCATCTGATTCCCGTGGGTCGTTCGTTCTGGGGCCGAGAGGTAGTCTACCTAGGTAGTAGTCTAGGGGCGCTTGTTGGCCAGCGCGCTATCCAGGGGGGTTTTGTCCAGTCAGTATTAACCTCGTCCAGCCAGGTCACCCAGCTGGTCCCGGGGCATTGGGAACTGACAATGAGAGGACAATTATTATTGCCGGAGGAGATTCTGCTATAGCCTGTAGTACTCTAGTGTCGAAGCACACGGCCTGAGAGGCTGGTTTGATCTTGCGAGAATGGCATCCGAGTCACCATGACTACCTTAGCCTGCCCGGCGTAAGCAGTAGTAGACAAGCCAGTTTGTAGTTAACGAACTACAATAATTATTAACCAACGGGGTCAAAAACGTTCACTGCGCTCCCTTGACTGCGCGATAGACATGGCACAGTGGGGCGGTATCTATCGGATCGATCACGGGATGCTCTGTTCACTCAAGGGAGAGCGCACTGATACTTGTAACTTGAGTACTAATCGGTTATTTAACTAGTTAATAATAGTTAGTCTGAGCCAAGTGAATCATGATAACCAAGGAGCCTGAATCAAGACGTTGGACACTGGAAAGGCGGGAAACGTGGTGTTCAACAACATACAGTCAGCAGCAGTACTTAGCCGGCGGGAAACATTCGACCCGTTGTTAGCAAGATTATTTATTATCCGTCGGTGACCATGGGGAAGCGCTCATAGATAAAGCCCGACCTGGTTCTTGATCTTGATCTTGAACTTGAATAATCGAGTTGTAAGGTAAGAATTACCCCGTACTGGACATGTTCCACCGTAACAAACGTCTGGTATGCGACCGTACGGAACGGAGATCCCTTGGGCGCTCCTCTCCGCCTGTCACTGGCTGGCTATGGACATCGCGAGCATGAGAATGAGAGGCATATCACGCCAGAACCCACGCAGCAGAGAACTCCAGTCTCTTTTTCTTCATAACTATCCATCGTAGTACCTTGATCTGGCAGCTTTCAGCTCTATTTTGGTTGCTTTTGGCTTGATCCCCGCTTGTTGGAAGGCCATACCTAACCGCCATCTTGCTCAGCCTCACAGCATCGCCCTGGCCTCGCACTAGACCCGCGCTCACTCTCCCCCGTATCGTCTGCAGCAAACGTCTCGGGACTTTTTTTGTCTCTTCAAATCTCTGCGTCGGACAGTGTGATCTGATCTTCAACCAGCGAATGTCTGCAGAATCAGTATCGTGTCGAGTGTAACCGGTGGCCATCGTCGTATCCTGCCCTCTGCGATACAGACCCCCCGCTCTCCGAAAGAAAGACCTAATTAACTGACTTTGTGCTGACTCTGATCTCCCACCCGCTCTTTACTCATCGTTTGCTTATCCTTTTGGCCCTCAGCCTTCCTCTTCTCCTCTCTTCTCCCCTCCAGGCTTTGCCTTCTTATGGATCTAATGAGCTCCCGATTCAAATCCCTCACTTTCAGCAGACGCAAGAACAGTCACAGCAACCTACCTCAGGACCAGGTCGCCAGTCCGCACAACAACCTCCTGGCGCCGTCGAACGCCAGCTCTACCGGCTCTCCACCGTCGGCCTCGACAGCCAGTTTACCCATGCCTGGCCACGCGCAGCACGGTCGCCCTCCCAGTTATCCATATAATGGTACGGGTCGACCGACCAGCCCGATGCCGCCGGGGCAGCAGCTTGCCCCCCACCCCGCACCTATAAACACCAGTCTGCAGTATGGGCAGCATGGTGTTCCTGCTATGGCGCCTCCAGCCTATGGAGGATATCCTCAATCGATTCCGCATGGGATCCAACCCACGATGAACCAGTATGGGATGCGCAACCCCGCAGTAGAGGTGGAGGGTGCAGGGCGGAGCAAGGCCCAGCTAATCGTCGGTATTGATTTTGGCACAACATTCTCTGGTGTTGCTTTCGCTTTTGCGACGAATACAGAGGCGAGGGAGGATATAATCACAGAATGGCCCGGAGCGGGCACGAATACCAAGCAGAAGGTATGGAGAGCTGTGTTCGAATGACCTTGGGATTTGACGAGTCTGGCATCTAACCTTGCTGTTGCTGAGTAGATTCCCACCGTGCTATACTACGATCAGTACCAGAACGTTGTAGGATGGGCCCACGATGTTGCGGACGCCCTCGCTCCTAGCGGCTATCCAAAACCTGGAGTACAGAAGGTCGAATGGTTCAAGCTACAGCTTATGCTTTCAGGAAATACCTACATTGACCCCATCAACCTTCCTCCGCTGCCTCCAGGCAAGTCAGAGATCGACGTCGCGGCAGATTATCTCTTCAAGCTACGACAGGCAATGCGGGCTCAGCTGCAGAAGACACTAGGAGAGGTTTTCGACAGAGAAGAGCGAAACATCAGATATTTCTTGACAGTACCCGCCATCTGGAATGATGCTGGAAAAGCAGCCACGCGATCGGCGGCCATTCAAGCTGGTTTCTTGCGGGATGAGAATGATAACCGTTTGACCTTGATCTCGGAGCCAGAGGCTGCTGCTATGTTTTGCTCCAAGACTGGACTTCTCAACTTGAAGATTGGAGACGCCATTCTCATCGTCGATTGTGGCGGTGGAACAGTTGACCTGATCGCATATGAAGTTGAGGAGGAACATCCCTTCAGTGTTGCGGAGTGCACCGCTGGTTCCGGTGACTCCTGCGGATCTACAACCTTGAATCGGAACTTCAGCAACATCCTGCGCGCAAAGATTCGAAAGATGAAACTCCCAGATGGATCACGGACCGCCGGAAGAGTATACGCGAAGTGCATTATGGACTTTGAGAACCGAATCAAGGCGGACTTCCGTAACAATGGTCAGAAATGGGCGGTGGATGTTGGTATCGAGTCTGACTATCCTGAAGCTGGAATTGAGGAGGGTTTCATGACTTTCACCAACGAGGAGATCCTACAGTGCTTCGAGCCGGTTGTGAATCGGATATTGGAACTGATTCGCAATCAGATCATAGCCATCCAAGCTCAGAACCGGTCGTTACAGGTAGGTGGCATTAACCAACCCCACTATTTGCTCTTATATGTGCAGTTTTTTTTTTCTGACGGTCACCCTAGAACGTCTTGATCGTTGGTGGTTTTGGTGCTTCCGAATACCTCTTCCAGCAAATCAAACTTCATGTGCCCCCTCAGTATCAGTCTAAGGTTGTGCGGCCCATGGACTCGGTTGCGGCCATTGTCAAAGGTGCAGTAACTGCAGGTATCACGGAGCGAGTCGTCACCCATAGAGTTGCCCGTCGACACTATCTGATGGCAACCTTACAGCCATTCAAAGAAGGCTACCACCCAGAGCAGTATCGCGTGCCCAGTTTGGACGGTAAAGATAGATGCAAGTATACACGGCAAATCTTTGTCCAGAAGGGTGAGCGCGTGAAGATCGGAGAGCCAGTCAAAGTCAGCTTTTTCCGCCAGGTTGCTCCTGGTGCTACGTTGATGTACGAAGATATCCTCTATGCCTGTGACGAGGATGTGTGTCCGGAGTATACCAAGGATCCTCGTAAGTTTCTCCTTTTTTTTCTTTCGCCCAACATAGTCTATTCCATCCATTGCTAACCGGCATTTCGCGTCAGGCATCAAGGAGGTCGTCACGCTTACCTCGGACCTCTCTCGCAAGAATCTCGAAAAGGACTTTGAGCGCATGGACACGCCTCAGGGCACCTTTTACCGCGTGTACTTCGACATCTATCTAACACTTGATGGAAGTGAATTCAACGCCGAACTGGTCTGCCAGGGTGAGGTCATGGGCCGTTGCACGGCAAAGTTCCGGTAGTTGGTTAGTCCTATCCATGCCTGAGACTCCCAAAGATAGAGAGAGACCGGACGAATGGCATTTTAGATGTTACAAGAGGCTCCGCGAAATCATTATGTCCTAGAAGCAAGCTTCCAATAGGTCCCATAGCCGAGCGAAGCAGATTGGACCTGGAAACTGGATTACGTTCATACAAAAAAAAAAGCAAAGAGAAAAGATGTCTGGGCACCTAAACCCGACAACTTTGCACTGCACTGGAGAACCGGAGTTTTGAGCGTACATTATTATTATCATTATTCCTTCGAGTGCCTCATGTTTTTTGTTTGCACATGATCTATGTCTGATTGATTATTTTTTCTTTTTTTTTTTTGGATTCCCCATGCGCTAATCTATACTTTTTTTTTTATGTTTCGTTTCCCTATTCCCCTGTTTTTTCGATACAGATCGAAATTTCGTATACCTCATATTCCCGTCGTCATGAAATTAAGAGATAGTTACTTTTTTCTTCTTCTTTTTATTCTTTTCTGTATTGTTGTTCATGGATTGAGAAGAGAAGAGATCTTATATATCATGATTAGCCTATATTCGATGCGATGCGATACAATCCAATTCAATCATATCATATCAGATGATCGGTATTATATCTTACCTTGACCTTATCACTCTTGTGTTGTTCCATAACTCAATTGAGAATACGTCTCGAGACATTCATAGATCAAGATGGGAAAGTGCTTCGAAAAGCCACTCTTTAGGAAATCCAGTAATGTAAGTCGACTTCCATACTTAAGGCTTGATTACCATAAGTGCTACTCATGCAAAGAATCTAGATCCAGTATGTTCTATAACTAGCGTATATATGCTGCAAAGGGCGATGTGACAGGTCTAATCTTTCTGCATCGACAAACAGACACGTAGTGCGTCATTTCTCATGCCCAACGTCTAGATCAATGAGCTCTGTTGGTCTGTAAGTTAGAAAGGTGTAACTTAGAAAGGATTGTCAAATCTAAGAAACAGATGATTGAAATATTCTTGGCTGAATTCAAGTCCCCGGAGTTAGGATTATACAATATCACTTCATCAATGTGCTACTGTCCTGTATGACTAGCACTGGAAAGAACTAAACGGACATTTGCCGATTTCTTTCTATTACTGCTAGGTTCGTAAGTCTCCCTTGCTGTCGTTGTTCTTGCCAAGCTGCCTCCGCAACTGAAACCTACATACAGCTGGGGAGGAATGCAACAGATGCATGTTTTGGGGTAGGATAGTACCTCTGAAGTTCTCATGACCTCTGTTTGTCATTCCTTATATTTTCCCCCTTCTCATGATCATCCTCATGACTCGTACGTATATTAGTATTATGCACGAGCTCCTAAGATCCGATGTGGGGGAAAGATGCAGAACACGGGTTGCAGGGTTGGATATTCTGATTTGGGCCATTAAACGGGATACCATCGACCAGGTGACTTCGTCTAATGTCCGTGCCTCATCCTCGTTCTGTAGGCAAGGCAGCGCATAGTGGCAACGTGGCAAGCTGTTCGGCCGGGGGAAACTCTAGAATGGCTTATCGAGAGAGGCAAGACTATATCACCATCGCCATTTAGAGGGAACACAAGAAACTAGGCGCATCGTTTTCTTCCTGGCTAAATTTGACAGAATGACACGAGTGATCTCATCGAGGGCTAACGTCCCGTCTGCGTGAGGGGTGCATGAGACGAAAGTTGACTGTGCCACATACTCGCTGTAGGAAAGATCGGAGCTGATGCTGCAATTGTACTCGGAGAAGCGATAAGATCCCCGGGAGTCAACTGTAGGAACTGACTACGTACCGCAGCTCTCAGATACCCTGTCGATTGGGGTGATTTATCGGTTGGACAGGGAGGTAAACAGATAGACAGGGATAGGTAATATGTACCACCTCCGATTCTCCTCGCTAGTACACTTTCTCCGAAACTCAGGCGTGCCTTCAGAAGGAAAATTCACGTTTGTTGATCAACTGCAGAGAAGCGAAGTGCGTGTAACCTGATGACGTTAAGCATTGCGCCGTCCATTTCTCCTGCCTAGCCTGGACTAGCATCTGTACAGAGGAAGTGGCTGCTAATGCTGTATAGTTTTCTCGTTTATCGAGGCAGAAGATGAGTTGTCCGAACAGGTAGAAAGCTGATACCAAAAGCAGTGGTTCCTTGGATGCCGATATCAAAGTTTTCCGAATCTCAGAAGACCCTCTAGCACTTTTTAGGGAATCTACTAAAAAGTCCGCTTGTAGAGACGGCGAGTCAAGGCTCAGGCTATTGCGTGTTCGCAGATTAGAACGCCCTTGTGCATCATCAGCCTGATTGTGGCAAACCACAGGTCTCAAGTCCGGCATCTCCGAGCCCCCCAGCGTTTAGCAAGAGTAGCAATGGAAGTCATTCGGTAATTGAGTCTGACCTGCAATTTGCACTATCGCGTGCGCAACCCGCAGCTTTTCATCCTTCCCAACAAGTGCACGTTGTGTCTGCTTGTATCTGTCAAAAGGTAAGATTTTCATGGACCGAAACAAAGTGCATTCACATGGTTAGCAGAAGTCCCGAATGTTAGGGTCCAGATAATTCTGATCGCATGGTATGAACATAGCTAGCTATAGCTTCTGCGGGGATAAGAAACAGTCGACCTATAATCACCGGAGGCGATAGTTCGGCATCAGATTGTATAGTCTGCAGTGCTGTCAAAATAGACTTGAAAAGCTCGGGCCCGTGGGGTATTGGAATTGAACAATCCGAAAGCCCAAATTGACATGACATGTCCTTTTTCTCCTAAGACTCGCAGCCTCGGTGCTCGCTAGACCATGCACGAGCTTGGGTGACGTGTTTGACCCTTTCCCTATAGCGAGCTGGTCTGTCGATCTGGAACCGGGTCTGTCGGCGTGGCCAACGTTATTTTGTGCTATCCGCACGCGTTCGCAGCAGTAACTGCAGAAGCTGTTTATCCAGTATGTGACTAGGCAATGGACCTACACTGGACAACGAGAGCCGGAGAGCGCACAGTTCATCAAGTACATGAATTGCCAGATTATAAGAATCGAAAAAGTGAAATAAGTTATAAACAGTACAATGTCTGATCCTGATTGGACGAGGACCCCATCGAGCATGTACTTCGCTCATAGGCTGGCTCAGGCGTCAGGAACAAGGGCTACTTGTTATCAATAGTCGCTAGTGGATTGGTCACGCTGCGGCTGGAAGTACATAGCATGAACCAGATACACGAACCAGATCTGCAGACACTAATGAGGACGCGTTTCAGGGGCGTCGACCAGGAAAGCATACTTACTCCTCCGCGCTTCCCGGTATGTTCGTTCGGGAGGTGGGCTCAATAATGGCCAGACTAATTGTGGATGAGACCCTGCGTCTGTCTAGAAGGTTAGCGTGGCCTCTTCACCCGAGCACCGGTAACAAAGAGCTGGTTGGCCCGCACCCCCTGGATCGAATAATGTAGCATCGTGGTAACTGCAACCGTTAACAGAATACTGACATAACGATCCGCAGCTAGGATCTTGGATCCCAAAGCTGACAGGCAAAAGGCACACGAGATAGATCAGAAAAAAGGCGAGTATGGCGTCATGACATAAGCAGTTTATCGGAGCCTCTCTCTTGACCGCTCACGATGAGTCGAGATCGAGAATGACTATGGCAGCGAACTGATTGGATTACAATCAAGATCTCTTAGAATAAGCATCAACCTCCAGGCGGCAAGCGCGCCTTGTGCGGGAAACTCAATAATCGTCAAGGCGGATTGAGCTTGGAAGCTTGTGTCACCAAATGATACTTCGAAGCCTGGACTTTCCGGGGAAGCAGTTCCACGATCCATAAGCCACCACCATGTGGAACCAAAATGGACCCGGACCCAGTGTTCCGTCACGCAGTTTCCAAGAAAAGGCGTCAGAGCGGTCGGTTGAGCAGACGCTATACTCCGTAGCCTTGTCCGCAGTAGGGCGGAGAAGCTGCCGGGGACTAACTCCACAGCCATGCTCAAAGATAGCGGCTCTTTCGAGTGGCTGTCGCGGTAACTCACAAGACCGAGAACTTCGACAGGGGGTAGCCGAATCCTCACCTATAGTTATTATCTCGAAGAGCTGAAATTCGGATGACAAGAGATCGGCGGGTACTGCGGTTCTGCGATCGGCTTCCGGCCTGTCTCTGATCGAGCAACAAAGGTTCCAAGCGCACGGACACGGCTCGGCTGGAGTTCCGCTTGTCATTTTCACAGCTTCTTGAATCCATGAGCTGCGTAGGACCCGTCTATACAGAGGCGTCTTGTTCCTGGCGGTTCTATTTGATAGTTTCATTATGGGTCTCGTCAATGGCACCGCGCCAAAAGCCTGCATGATCATGTGGATGTTGCCATGCTATGTAAGTAAGCGAACTGTGGACGTTGTGGGGAATATGAGGAACGTATCAGAAACACAGGCACGTGTCGTCATTAACCATTAAGCAAAATGAGTAATGGAAGAGAAGCTAATTGAGGCGGTTGTTTTTCCTTGCCGGACAAAGCTGGATTATAAGTTCCTCGGATTCTCAGCAAAATGTCGTCCGGATATTCTTTGTCAGTTGAAGTGATCCAACATTAAACATGTTACTTGTATACTTAGCGGTTTTCCTTTTCATTAGCCTTTCCCTTCAATGGCTTTATACACGGCTTCGAGACTTCCCATCCGGGAAGGGATCTCGAAGCTCTGCACACGATCTTGAGCGCATGGCACCATACCCTCCGAGGCCGATTCGAGGCCGGGGTACATATCGAGTCATGATGGACGTCCGCAAACTTGACCAACACAATTGGTTAACAATGGATAAGAACTATATGGACGAGCATCGAGTGAGAGCGCGTCTGCTTGAGGCGGAGAAGCCAAAAGTATTCCAAGTTCTTCCCGAATCTCGGGAAGCTTGTACCGAAGCATTGACAGAAGTCGTGGCCTTCCTCTGTGAAAGGTATCCGTGGATGTTCGAAAGCACAAAGAAAGATAAGGAGACAGCGGTCCATAACAAGAAAACAGGAGAAACTTTCATATTTGGAGGGCCAAACAGCAGCATGGAACCCCTTGAGGTTGCAGTGCGGCTATCCATGGAAGACCTGAGTATCCTGATAAAGAATGCGGATGACGAGTACTACCTGTATGTGTTAACACTGTGCTTGAGGACAGAACGAATGGCTAATGATCAATGCAGGGCAGCAAGTGGAAGCCTCTTTCCCGTCGGTTGGGCTGTTGCAGAACGGATCGGATGGACGGTGACTCAATTGCATAGCCCCGTGCCACTATGGAAAGAGCAAGTCTCCGCATCTGTTAGCAAGTAAGACTTCTCCACAATTCCAACAATGGGTATGCTCGTCGGCGGTGCTGATGCTCGTAAAGGTTCCTTGCTCGATTGACCCCTGAATCTCCCATGGAACGCTCCAACTACTTTGTAGAACTAAAAGGACCAAACGAGGGTCTTTATTCCACATTGTTCAGACCAGATGGACTCTCAGAGGCGACCCCCAGTCCTCGACCATGCGATATCATCATTCGACGCGAAAGACAGACCTTTCGCAAGCTACCGCAAAGCGGAGCTCTTCTTTTCGGCGTCAAGACCACTCTCACCACACTGGAGGAGCTCCCAAGAGAGGAACTGCATAACTTAGTTAGAGAGATGGAAACCTGGCCTGAAGAGGTAGCAAGTTACAAAGGAAAAGATATCTGGGGAGAAAGTGTTCTGCATTTCTGCCAACAAACGATCGGGCTGCCGCAGGTGGGGTGATTTTCGGGCTTCTGTGATGTTTTTTCAAAAAAGCATGGGAGGCTTCCTGCAGCGTTTTCGAACTGAGAATTGTATTATGAGCATTCCGGCATGGATCGATTGTCTGATTCACCTCTGTTAAATGGATTTCCCCCTTTTTAAAGGCGTTTGTCGCACTTGAGGAGACGGCGAGATAAGTAGTTGATCGCGGGGCAGGCGCTGGGTTGAAACGTGACTTGAACCACCAGGTGCCCAAAGCAGATCAACACGACTTGGTCGCCACTCTTCAGAATAAAGTCAGATAACATGTTGGTATATCTTCTTGGTGATCCATGGTGCGATAGACATCTACAGGCGTCAGTTGACCTGCGTATTGGTATTGGGGTGTTCTTTCTTTCCAACTCGTTCCTCGGTATACAATAAGCCGGAACGTACGTGGAATAACCGAAATTAACAACGCGATACTATCGAGTGTCGAGATATAGAATGCGAAAGGAAAGTCAGAACCCACCATGATCATCGTGTATCCAGATCATTCAGTCCGCAATATCATATATTTAAGGAAAGAATAATTTGAGTTTAAGGAACGGCTTCATGGCTATGATCTGTATTTGCCTGTACATTGATATCTGAAAAATCGGGGAACAAAATAAAGTGCTACCACGCCAAAGGAGGAACTGCAATAGCTGCAATTAAACCCTCGAAGTTTTAAAAACAATGGAAAAGATTCTATAATGGGGGTTGAAGACGTAAATGACACCATGCGTAGACTTATAGATACAAATGATCGAAAGGGAACAGAACAATGAGCGACGAGAACTAAGTACGGGTATATAATGCCTCAGATTGAATGAGGAACAGAAAGAGGTTCATAGTTTTGATGTCCTGGTCTTGTCCGAATCGTCCTGCTTTAATCGTACAAGACCCTATTCCATATTAGCCTTTCCGGTGCTGAAAACTCGGACGAGCAATGAAATGCCCGCAACATTGGCAGTTATCCATTGTGCCGGGATGAAAATGGAAGAGCACTTACCTCCTGAATGCACGTCGCGATCAACACTCCGTCCTTCGACCAGATCTTTTGCGTCACCAGTCCTCTTCCTTCCCCGGACCACGGACTATCCATCTCATTGAGCATCCATTCATCCGCGCGGAATGCCTGCGGATTATGGAAATAGATGGTATGGTCCAGACTGACCATCATCCCCACTTCTTTGTTTACGTTCTGGGCTCTGGTCAGCGCACCTTCCAGTCGGGATCGTAGCTCAGCGGTTTCCTCGTCCGCAAGATCCTTTAAGTAACTGGAGATCGTATCGTCATCTAAATCGGATGGGTTCTTCAGAGCTTTGAGGGCGCGCTGGAGGGCCGCAGGAGAGGAGAATCGCGGGATATCGTGCACGCGTGCGACAGTTCCGATGAAGTAGCTGTCGGTGATATAGGCGAGAGCAGAGAGGTGGGCTTGATGACCACCTTCGGCAGAAATCTCGCCGCGACAGCGGTTAAATTGGCGTATGCGCTTGTCCGTGGGATGGGGAGAGGCCCCTAAATAACGATAGCGGTTAGCTGGTTGGTCTTAACCAGGCGAAAGGATCGGCTGCGCATACTGTTCACAATTCCTGCTCTTCTCGATTCAAATGGTCCACCTTCGCGAGTGTTGCTCAACTTATCCAAGAAAGGATTATCCTCCGGCGGTGGTAGCTGTACGTCTGGCATCGGCACTGCATGCTCGATCTTCTTCTTTCCGCCACTGCCCTCCCGGCTGAAACTTAGAGTAGTCGTGAAGATTGGCCGTCCTCGCTGCCTCGCTTGAACTGTTCTCGTCGCGAAACTCTTTCCGTCACGCACGCGCTCGACATGGTATAGAATTGGGATCTCCGAGTCTCCGGCTAGGACAAAGTAGCAGTGCATGCTATGGGCAAAGAAATTGTCAGGAACGGTTCGCTGCGCAGCTGCCAGGGATTGCGCGATAGCGGCACCGCCGTAGATTCCGCGCGCACCAGGTGGATGCCACAGTGGGCGAGTATTCGTGAAGACATCCTGTTGATGGGACATTCATGGTTAGTGACGGTCTGACGAGGATGTCGTGGAAAAGGCACCAAAGGAGATGGAAGCAGATAACGAAAAGATGAACATTAGAGACAGTAAACTTACCGGACCAATATCTAATACAGGAGTTAGCTCGAGGACATTTTCAATCGGAGCCTTGGAGGGATCCAATGGCGGCGGTTCGAAGAGTGTCACTCTCTTAGCCATGATAGATAAGAACCACCAGGGGATGGTGTAAGCGTCTAGGCCTGCTTATGCTTCAAAATCCCGAAGTCGCAGTAACTATTACCACCCAGTGTGAGAGAAAGAAAAACCAAAGCCCCTGAAAGCCGAAACAGTTGAAATCTGTTGTGATCGAAGATGACGCTCCTGGTCTAATGAATTGACGATCGAGCCCGCCCCACGCATCAGAGTTGCCGAGGCTCAGCGGCGATAAAGTCTGGGCGCCTCGGAGCTTCTCGAGTCGCGGACAAGTCCTGATAAGTCGGGAATTTATATTCGCTGGCCAGTTCAATAACCGTGGCTTGTGCTTCTATGCAGATTTACCTTAAGTATCCAGCACATGCTAGTTTGTCAAATGAAACTTGATTTTCGTATTATCGTCAATTAGTGCAGACAGCTCGCGAAGAAATCCAGACAATTGCATCTGTAAGTCGCTGTAGCTAGCAAGACCCAATGCCCCTTAACCAAGCGCCATCGCTAACCAATGAACGTATGCGTTCTTCACAGGTAAGTTAAAAAGAAAGAAAAAAAGAATGAAATACTCAGGCATGCCTAGAGCCCTTCGAGCCCTTCGAGACAATTTTGATGAAGCAACGTGTCGTGGTCTGATGCCAATTAAGTCGAATATCCAACGAATAGGCCTTCGGGCCATGCACCTCAGGAAGCTAGCGACAACCTTTGCCCTCTCTGTCCCCTTTAAGTGCTCAGATCAGATAATAGAGTGATGATGCTATATTTTCAGCTATCCAGTGAATTCTGTTCTGGAAACCCTAGTTCTTGTATTTCTCGTGCGCACTCTCCGGCACGACAAGGTATCGATCCTGCTCTCGGCCCCTGAACGGATTTATATTCTCCGGAAGGTCGATACGGAAGGTACTCCGTACCAGGTTCGGGTTGGCGGCGTCCGAGTTATTCGCTAGAAGCTTCAAAAGCTGTCTCCGTTGCATTTCGTCTTCGCTGACGAAGGCCGCACTATCATCAGGGGAGGACGTATTCCGGGCAGGCCGTTGGCTGGAGATCACTTTCCAATACGTGATTATTGCGGCAAAACTGTATATAACCGTAGATATAGATGAGACGCCTATGACCAGAGTGGCCAAAGAATCTAAGGGGAGCAGGTCGCGGCTGAGAACGTTGAAGACGACGTTTAGTGCGCTCAGTAGACTGGAAGCGAAGCATGGTCTAAGAGACGAATATCAACAACCTGATCTAGAAACAAAAAGGTGCTGGGTTGCTTACAAGAAGAGTGATTCAAGGAGGAAACGGCGACGCAGCTTAAAGCATAGGACCATGGAAACGACATATCCCGAGACTACCAAGGTAGAGCCCAGTATGATTAGTGCTGTCCGGTTGACTCGCGGTCTATCGTCCCCTCTCTCGAGCGCCAGAGGTGCTGCGAAATAACTGTTGCTAGTCAGTACCCAGATGATACGATAGTAAACAGAGTACTACACAGAAACATACCCTGCTAATATCAACCACGGAGATATGAAGGCTGGGACTTTCCAGCACCATGATACAGTGTCTTTTTGAATGCGACTGTCGTTGGGCGCCTTAGACAGCGCCGAGTACTCAAAGTAATCCATGTTGGGCTATCATGTCAACTTCACAGACGAAAGCGCATAAGTGGGAAAAGAAAACGAAAGGCAATCAGAATAGGCAAATTTCTAATTATGCTGACGTCTAGCGATGCTTGTAAAAGAATGGAAAGAGTCAGAGTCGCCGAGGGAAACGAATGTGCGGCCAACTCCAGAGCATGAGGTTGCGAGAACGTGGATGCACAGAGCAAATATGCTAAAAACAGAGCAAGGCATTAAAGAGGGAGACTAAACAATAATAATAGCCGGCGACAGTCATCTCCGGCAATCGAGAGATCAGCGAGTCGCGGAGCAGAAGAAGGCCCCAACGTGGATCAGTAATTGGACAATGGGATAAGAGGAGGGGTTGGTATCAGGACGCTGGCGCTTAAACCACCCGGAGCTCAGGCGATCTACAAACAATCAACCTTCTCCTTTCCCATCCCAGCCCGTGCAGAAAGGATGCTGTTGCGTGCAGGGTGGCCTCTATTTACCGCGTTCAGCAGCTGGTGCATACATTTGACGAACCTCGTACCCAGGGGATATCCGTTGTTGATCAAATGTGAAGTACAGAGTCATAACGCCTGTACGGCAGTGGCTGAAACCACAAGCCAATCCAAAAGATCAGATGGACAGGGGCGCATAGACTCCAGAGCTGATCAGAGACATCGTCAGCTGCGAGGCTTAACGTCTGTGTAACAGCTTCTGTGTGCGCAAACTGCATAAAAGGAACCCAAGATTTAGACCACACACAGTCACCGGCCGCTGGACGCCGGCTCCTGGCAATTCTGACCTGACCACGCCGATCTCCGGCCCATTTCTGCCTAGTGAGCTGGTCCTGGCCGTGGCAGTGGGGAGTTGAAATGAAAGGGCCTACGCCCGAGCTGCCTTTTGATCGTTGCGCGTTGTGCCTTTAAAACTCGGATTTGTAAACCGTAGATATGTGGTCTTTGCGTCTTCAAGTCTGGAGTCTGGACTGTGCTCTCATGTTTTGGCCCCCACGACTAACTATGAGGATCTGACACGCGCCGCCAGGACCGCATCGACATACGGAGTACATCCGACGAGCTATGGTAGAATTTCATCAGTGATCTCGCTCCGGTGATAATCTAGTTTTGGGTTATCTGAAAATGCAGATAATTACCGAACATCACTCGCCTATTCTCCAGAACAATACCGGATATAGTGGCATGGAAGTTCGGAACAGTTAGCGCTCAACATGGCCCGTCTGCCCAGTCCCAGTTTTAGGGCTTTGTCGTATGTCGCGTGTGGCAGCATCGCCGGCTAGCGAAGATCATCTATATTAGGAGTTGTTTAAGGTCAGAGAGCTTGCTCTCTTTGCTCTCAGTGCCGACTCCACGACAGCTATTGAAAGGAACTTCGGCAGATCCTTTCACTGAAAGGACGGAATTTTCATTATCATATTGGCGTGCTAGGAATATAGTAGTCGGCCCTGACTTTCAAGGACCAACCTTGCTATCATTCAGATAAAGCGCCGTAATTTCTGACACGATTAATCTGTCATTGCGTAGGCAATAACTGGAACTGCAAGTAACCTCTCCCGATTTAGAGGGAAGCCTTGAAGGTACCTTCCACCTCTTCGATCTTTGCGGCAGCCTTCTTATAACCCTCCGTGTCTTGGAGACGGTTGATGTAGGCCGTCAGTTCCGGATACTCACCCTTGTCGAAAATATCACGGCCTGCTGCAGCAATAAGGGGGAAACTCATCATGATGTCTGCAGCGGTAAGCTCTTGGCCGCAGAGAAACTTGCCCCCATCGGGAGAAGTCCTGATCTGATCTTCAAGGAACGAGAAATGAGTTTGTAGATTCCTTGTGAGGAATTGGGACTCGATCTGCCCAGCAACGAACGCTGGGATCGGTCTGATGAAGAAGGGGACAGGTGCATTTCGGATCTCTGCACACAAGATTAGTAGACTGCAAATTATGCGGAGTGATAGAACACATCTGGACTTACTGTTTACCAAGAGCGCGATCACCAAAAATGGCATCAGACTCCCTTCTGCATAGTGCATGTAGAATCGATACCGTAGCCACGATTCGGACTCTCCCCCGATTTGGCCTTCCTTTCCCTGAGCATACCTCTTGGGGATAAGCCTCTCCCCCCCGAAATGCTCGCACAGATACTCTACAATCGATCCCGACTCCGCGATGACTAGTGGTTTGGAAGTGGCAGGCGCCTCGATGGAGATGACGGGGGATTTCCCTAGCGGATGCACACTCTTCAGCTCCGGCGGCGCAAGCATATCGCTGCCGCGCTTGAACGTCTTTAAGTTGTAAGACAGATTCAATTCTTCTAGTAGCCAAACAATGCGCTGTGAACGCGACTGTTCTAGCCTAGGCCCTCGCGACCCGTCAGCCCGAACAAGGCGGGAGGCCTCTCGTGGGCACGTACCAGTAGAGGGTGATCGTAGCACCCTTATTGTTTGCGGCGGCCATCGTGCAAGAATATGTAGGTTTGTGTGTACAATTGGGAAGTTATTGGCATGAAAAGAGCTTTGGAATGCTTTTATATACTATTGTTAGCAGTCTTCTTCCTTGGAACATCTCGTGATGTCATGACAAAACAGCCTCGGCTGTTTCAATGCCAACTTCTGAAGGTGGAATCTTGCTTAGTCGAAGTCTATAAGTATTCAATCCACCCTACTAGACATGCTATGAGTAGTCACATGAAGTAGTTTTCTGAGGACAGTATTAGAATTGGTCCTAACTTTTAAATCGACATGTTACTACTCATTCTCACATGCGCACGTTATGTATGGCGGATCCTTTCGAGACAAAGATGCATCTCCGTGAAGTATGCATGTACAAGTTGTCTATTAGAAAAACTAGTAGTGATATACTCTATATGTATGAAGTAGTTCAATCTCACATGCGGTATTAACCTTGCGAGAGAAAGAGAGAGAGATCCGGATACATCTAAAGCTGGAGGAAACCCGCGATCCTGCCCTTAAACCAAACCCACCAATCACCGCCCGCAAATCCGCGCTGACTAAGCCCAATCTCGAACCTCACGTTCATCTCCAACGACGCTCTCGTAAACCAGGTCTGCAGGCATAATACAGCTTTGAGCGCAATCTCACAATCACACCGCAACCATGGCTGAGAGCAAGTGTGAGTAACTCAGTCATCCATATGATCATCTCGATGATCCCATTCCCGTGCCCCTCTAGCTAACGCAATGCCCGCCACAATATAGCCTTGGTCCTCGACCCGGCCATTCAGAAATACTACGGTATGGAACATCCCCTTTCGTCACTATCTCGAATGTGTCATCGTTGCAGAGCTGAAGCGGCTCTGACTTCACTTCGATTTGATTATATCTCCTCAGATGGAACCCGAATGGACTCCGGATCGGATCGGGGGTCCTGCGGGGAGGAGGGATTCATTTTATGACAACGGGATATCTAACAATTGTCTGTCGCAGAACTCAACCAGACCCGCTTCAGGTACTTCCGATGGACGCCACGCACCGCCTGGTTGACTCTCGTCTACGTCGGCATCATCCCCGCTGCTCTGACCTATGTCGCTTATAAGACTGACGTATGTTGAAGTCTCCCCCAAATACCTGTTGGGATAAAATCATAATCTCCCCCTATTTACCTCGTCTAGGGAGGAATAAAGACAAGAGCTGACAGCATCGTGCGAACAAACAGGGCAAATATGAGCTCCGTGGGAAGAGACGGGGAGACACGATCCGCGAGTTTTAGATGGGTTTGAGATTGAAGGATTGGGATACCATATGGGATTCTTATCTCGACTGTTGTCATGCACTGTTTTTTATCGGCTCGCATAGGAAAACAGATCGTCTGGTCGGGAATTGAGGCAGAAGGGAGTACTCGTCCGTGTCGTGGAAGTCATGTCTTGTCACCTCTAGTCTGCAATCGAGGGAGTGTCCATTTTGACTACTGATCACGGAGGGACATGGCAGAGTCTTCCTGGTCATGCCTTGCTGTCTGCTTTTCCTACTTTTGTCATCCTCCATGGGGAGATAAATGCGACGGTCTGCTGTGTATATACTACGGATGCTAGAAAGCGGGCTGTTTTGTTCTGTTTCACACTTTCGTTCCAGCTTATGACGTTGGCTCCTATTCTGGTCTTTTACAACTTGCCGGAGACATTTTCGTATGTCTCATACTGACCGTATCAGGATGGTTGTTATTCAATTGATTGGTATCATACACGGGCAAGATTATAAGGTAAATAAACCTTATCGACACATATCGACACATATCTCGAACCGAAAGACAGATCCCAGTCCACGCTGTTTCAGCAGGGACCAGCTAACTCTTTGCAACCCCATCTCTCCGGCCTTGCCCTTTTGACGTTCACGTGCCGGAGGATATTTCGGTCCCGTCGAAGAGAGGAATAAGTAGATTGGTGACGGCCGCGGGCAAGGACGTGCTCTGAAGACAGAGACCCTTGACTCGAACCGTAAAACGACATCAATATCCCGAATGATTGCTTTAATTCATTCCGGTTTGCCGATTACCCAACGCTTAATACTGCCGACTGCTTCTCCTCCCTCCATATCGTCCACCAGAGCCTTCCGGCACTCTCTCCCCTCTCCTCCAATCCCCACTGGGCACTCCAGGTCCATTACCTCGATCAGAAAACCCCCCACGACCACCTCCTCTAGGACGACCGTAGCCATTCTCCCGTGGGGGTCCAAACGCCCTCATCCCTCCTCCCAACGCTGAACTAGGCGCGGCACCTCTGCCCGTCAGAGGCGGCGCGACCGAACCGTCCTCTAACGGGGGCAGGATCGCGCAGTCAATATAATCTCCGATCACGAAGCGGATCTCCTGCAACGTCTTATCGGCATCGTCGCCTTCCAGCTTAATCCCCGCAGCCGATGGCCGGTGTCCATTTGCTGCGTCTTCCTCGCTGTCTCCCCGTGGCGCCACAACCACGCTGCCGATATCTTTACTCAGGAACCTCCCTCGCACATCTCCTCCCATAGTCGCGGCGCCGCGCGTGTCGGGATAGATCAAGCGGAAGCTTAACCGCGTGCCAACGGCGGGGTCGGGCAGGAGACTGGGAATTGCGGATGTGAGGAGCTGCGAGAGCTCTCGCAGCGTGCATGACTGCCAGGTGTAGATCTGAAGGTGTGGCGGGAGGGGAGGCGGGGAGGTAATGGGAAAGTCGGACAGGTGGTGGAAGGCATTCTGGCGGTAAAAGAGCTTCAGATGGAAGGGTGTCGTCGACTGGCGGTCGATTGTAGGTTTGGGTGCGTCGCGCGCAGCCATTGTGATTTCTTTCTTTTTTTGGATGGCTTGTAGAGATTTCAAGAAGGCGACTAGGTATGAGTGATGTTTTTTCTGTTATGAGTTCTCTTTGGAGTAGTTCTGCCTCTTCGAAGAGCCGCTGGTGAGCGATGAGATGGGCGCGTGCCGCCGCGCGCGGTCGTCTCGTTGCTTGCGTTGAGGTTGTGAAACACAGATTCTCATGTGGTAATGGATGGATGATAAAAGTTCCAATGACACTCAGGGTAGATATTATAGCCTTGACCTTGTGGAGGGCGATATGCAATGGGGAATGACTTAAGGATTCAAGCTGTGGTTTGTCTAAGGAAGCTCTGCGTGGCTCAGGAACGGATCGGCGATCTCTCTCCCACTTGCTTTCCCCGGACGACCATCGAACGTTCTTTTCTGAACTTCAACGCAGCCTGGCCATCTACGCAACTCGCAGTTTATATTTCGCTCGATCTACAAAACAACGCTATTAAAAGGTCACACTATTAAATAAAGTCAAAAAATACACATATAAATCTCTAGCTGCGCCTGCAGCAAGCTATCTCCGTCATGGACTTCGCTTCGCTCATGGCCAAGGAGATATCCAAGGCCAAATCGTCCGCCTCTCCCACTCCCCCATCAGACAGCAACAACAAAGACACATCCTCATCCACCGCCCCAGAAAAGAAATACGTTCGCCGCTCTGAGCTCGAAGCCCAGCGACTAGCCGCCTACAACGCTGAACAAGAACGACTCCGGCAAGAGCGCGAGGCGCGCGCCGCGCAGAAGCGAAAATTCGAAGAGGAAGAAGCGGAGCGCAAGCGTGAACGGGAAGAAAAGAAGCGGAAATTGGCAGAAGAGTCGCGGAAGAAACGAGAAGCCGAAGAAGCAGCGAAGGAACGTGAGCGACGAAAGAGGCTGGGATTGCCGGAACTGCCACCGTCAGAGGCCGAGCAGAAAGAGCGTGGAAGAAGCCAGGAGGGAACGCCGTTGGCAGAAGGGGAGGAGGATATTCCGGAGGAAGACTTAATACAGAGATTACGGGATTTGAACGAGCCAGCAAAACTATTTGGCGAAACGCATCGTGGGCGATTGCGACGGTATCGACGTCTCGTCCAGCGCTCCCTGACACCGCAGAATGTCACTGAGGGACCGATCCCCACGACGCTGGAGCGTGTAGCGGAGGTTGATATGAAAGTCCCGAAGACAGCTCCCAAAGATCCTGAAGCTCGCAAGTTCTTATTCCGACAGCTGGCGTCATATTTCAACATGGTGCTGTCAGAATGGGAAGATGCTTTAAACAAGCGGGACGCGACGGTGAAACAGTCGTTCCAAGGTCGAGCGGCGTACAACGCGATGGTACAATCGCGGGAGAATATGAAGCCTTTGATTCGGAAATTCGAACGTGGGGACCTCGAGGATTCGATCCTAGACCCAGTGGTGGAGATTGTGCACTGTGCCCAAGAAAGGAGATATGTTGATGCCAACGACGGGTATTTGAGGCTGAGTATTGGAAAAGCGTACGTTGAACCTCCCCTCCATTACCTTCCTATTGCTTCCATACATATGGGTTATACATGCTGACATGACTACTTGCAATACAGAGCCTGGCCTATTGGTGTGACCATGGTTGGTATCCACGAGCGATCTGCCCGTGAGAAACTGCATGGTGATAATAATACGGCGCATATCATGAGTGACGAGATTACACGCAAGTTCCTCCAGAGCATCAAGCGTTGTTTGAGCTTTGCACAGGTGCGGTGGCCGCCGGACGACCAGTTGCAGCTGATGGGTTGATGGGAATCTATGACCTTGTCTTTATCGGGGCGTAATGTATAGAGTTATCTCAGGCATATAAAATGTTATAGCGAACACCAAGAAACATCAGCGTCGAGGATCAGATGTTGATTTAATCAAAACTGCCGGTCGTCATGACCATGATTCTTTTGAAATTTCAGTCTATGTCGTCCAGAAAATATACTAATCATGCCTGGGTTGTATCATCCAATTCGTACATGCAAGCATCCCATGGAGGGGATTCTAAATTAACCAAGTCTAAAACACCATACAGCGGGTAACCGAAATGCGTATATTGGACATCATCGCAGCATCTGCAGCAGTGAGGTCCACCAGCTGCTCGCACGGGGCTTCTCAGCCTGTGCAGTACCATGTTTCAAGCGTTCGTCCTCGTCCTTTTCCCGCCGGTCTTGCGGTTGCTTCTCGTCTAGAAACGAGCGTGGCGTGTGGTGACCATCCATGCCGTTCATAGCAGCTGGGACAATGCGTGGTGTCTTCTGCGTTGAGGTGGAACTACTGCTTCGCACACTAGCTCGCTCATCCAAGCCATTATGCGATGGGATTATTCTGGATGCCGCATAAACACAGCCTCCGTGGGCGAACCGAATCAAGGAATCGCCAGTCAGACTGCCGATGATGAAGACATCTGGAGCAACCTCTAGATTGTCCATTGCCTTGCTGCGGAGGGTCTGACCGGTAACAGAGCCATCAGTGTCAGTGACCCCTTCTCCGTCGAGAACCTCTGTAAGTAGAGCATTGTCCAGGTATCGCAGTGAGCCTTTTCGGCCAGCAGCGTAGGCCAGGCCGCACACCTCACGAGTCAGAGTAGTCCCATCGCTTCGGCGGAAAGACACAATGGCTCGTCCCTCGCTGACTTCAACATGGGTGATCTCAGTGTTCGGGCAGCCTTCGTACACTTCATCCCACGGGCGGCTCTCCAGGAAAGAAGTAGACGCCAGACGTCTGTTCTTTGGCCGGTCACTGGACTGGCACTCTAGAGTGAGAGCAGCCCGCTTCATCAATCGATACACACCAGCATACTCTGGATAGGCTTGCTGGTGACAAGCACGAAGAGGGGATGGTCGGTTATCAGGGTCCCATTTGAAGACATGAATGATCTTCCGGTCCTTCGGGGCGGAAATGATTACATCTGCCGCTGAGAAGCCGGACCCAATGACAAGTAGCGGAGCATCCTGCCTCGCTGATGACCCAAGTGGGAGAGACGCCAAGGGCTGAAGGAGTGAAGGAGGACTGATCACTTCAGAGAAGATTCCGCTAGCCAAGACCAAGCGTTTACAACGGATGCCATGAGATCCGATATAAAATCCATCTGCAGTCCTCGAGATGTTCTCCAGAGTCTCCTCACAGTGTATAACACCCTCAATTCCGACCGCTACTGGGTAGGCAGCAAAGTAGTCTGCAACCTCCTTTCTTGTTGGCCGGGTGAATGCGGGGAGTTCTTTGCCAGTCGACTTGCGATAGTGCTCTGCGAACGAGTATCCAGGTAAACCAAGCATGCCCGCATAACTCAGCGTCTGGATGTCCCAGCTGGCAGCAACTGGATTGTCAGTCCATTGACCTCCTGGGCGAGGCGTGTTGCCAAAGACCAGGTGCGGAACGGCCTTCTCAGGCACGTAACACCATTCAACATTGGTGTCCTTCTCGGTATCGTCAACTTCAGCGTTCGGGCGCACCAGCGTGTCGAACAAGACATTGATGGGCAACGCTTGCGTAGAATACGAGATCCGAGAGGCCGCAAAGTGCTCCGTAAGGCGGTCAATGTCACAAGACAATAGCTGGGGAGAATCTTTTAGCTTGGCATGGAGTAGCGGATCAGGATGCGGGGGATCCTGAATATAACGTGGAATGTGGCCATGCAGGATGTACGATAAGAGCAAAGCCGATGGTCCATTCCCTGCGATATTGGTCAGTCAGCCGGTTCTCCGACATCAGGCGCCGTCAAAGTTCAATTATTGGCCGAAGAAAAGACGTCGAGATCCAGAGAGCAAGGGAACAGCGAACGACGTGCCTGGCGGATGGCGACATACCGATGATTATGGTATCAGTCTCGATCCTCGACGAGGATGGCATGGTCTCTGCCCGGCGCTGACTATCCAACGAGGGGCATTCTGCATGAGACATGCGACGAAGATACCAGTGATGAGGCCGTCCAGCTGTGCTGGTGAAGGCTACAGCAGGTCAATTGCCTAGACTCAGCCAGCGACTTTCATCGAGGGCGTGAGGAGGCGAATTGCCTGGGGCAGAGTGGGAGACCCATGCCGGCCGGAGATGCTGACAAAACGAGAGACTTTTCTCGGAAGAGATGAGGCGGACCGTCACTAGGGTCTGGGTAAGTAACTAGAACCAAGATCCGGATCCAGATCCAGATCCAGAGCAGAACGAGAAGCCTAAAGGAGCATTAGCATCATCGAGACGTCAAGCTATCGACTGGCTGTGTTCCCTCTGTCCCTGACTAGAGTAACTGTTGCCGTCGTCCTGGATAAAATAGAGAGAGAGAGAGAGAGATCTCCAACTGTCTGCCCCTCTGCCAGAGAATCATTATTGTATTAATCGTCCACCCCGCATTATTATCTTACTGAGGATTCACTAGTTCGCCGTTGGGTTCCAAAACGGGACAACCAGGGTTTAGGGCTCTGTGCCACCCTGCCCTGAGCCCTAGCGTCTCCCGGCCGCAGCTGACGCGTAGGGAGATCGCCATGAGCTTCGACGTCCCTTGTCAGGACGACCTCCATGTTGTCCAAAGTTGCTGGATTTCATGTAATTCACGGATTCTCGAGGTCGTCTAGTATCCGGATCTAGCCAACAGGGAGCAACGTTGGGGAGCGCCCCATCAGCCATGCATGGGCCGTCCGACCTGCAACCGTAAACCGTGACCATGTACCATCTCGCAAAGTCTCTCTATCTATACGCCACCAGCAAAGAAGGTACGCCTATGATGATTTGTTTCGTCGTTGTGAGGCATTCATATCTATTGGAATGGTGTTACTATTGTTTCATCGCAGTCGCATGAGCAGCTTCTGAGCCTAGCGCATTACTACTATCTACTAGCAAAAACAGATAGCTGACAGGTGGCTTCGATAGAGTATTCCGTCCTGCTACTGGGTCTTGACAACGCCGGTAAGACAACTCTTCTATCCCAGATCAAAGCGCTATACCTGCCTCGCACCGAAGGAGCACCTGCGCCCGACCCAGGGAAAACTGTCCCGACCGTTGGACAAAATGTCGCGACCATCCCGATGCCGGATATGTACCTCAAGATCTGGGATGTCGGTGGACAGATTTCCATGAGAGGACTGTGGCAGAGCTATTACTCCAGCTGCCATGCGATTATCTTCGTGGTAGACAGTGCAGATGTCGGCCAGGATCCCGATATCACCCGTCTCCCGAATAAAGGCCGTCGGCCCAGCACCGCATCTGGGTCATCGGCAGCAGAGAGCGCACCGACATTCGCAGAGCAGATGGCAGGCATCGGTGCTGCTGGGGATAGTTTCGGTCGCCTAGATGAATGTCGCCAGGTTCTCGAGTCGGTGCTAGCACACTCCGATGTGGCAGGGGTACCGATCCTGGTGCTGGCAAACAAACAGGACCGTGAGGACTGTGTCGAGGTTGTTCGCATCAAGGAGGGTTTTGTCCGGAAGGTCTTTGAGGGAGAGAAGGGGGGTGGTGTTCGCGATAGCCGTGTCCTACCAATCAGTGCCCTTTTGGGTACCGGCGTACAGGAAGCGGTCGAATGGGTGCGAAGTCGCGTGAAATGGAACAAGGAAGGCCGTCCCCCGCTGATGAGATAAGGGACTTAGATGTGACACGTCTACGAGGACGGTTGAAGTGTGCTCTGGATCGAAGTCATCTTGAACTAATGCTGGAGAAATCTCTCCGCATATACCCCTCAGGGAAGCTGCTTATAGACGGCATTCCCATTCCTTTTGTCTTCTTATTTTCGGTTGCGGCGTTAGGGAGGTCACATATACTAGACAAGATACCTCGGTAGGCTATAATATCATCATTGATGTCTTTTGTTTTTCTGAATGGTCCCGGTCGCATCATCTTTGAGATATGTGAATACAGTACATACATGTCACTGAGCATGCATCGCTATTTTTGCGTTCCTGCTCACGCTGCTCCTGGCATCGCAATTGGATCACAGAAGCAGATTTATCTCTTTGCATAAGCAACATTAGTTGACTTATGCAGATGACCACATAGATACTGCCTTTGATACAAGCTACAATCTACGACATAAAAGAGCTTCAACGAAAACAACAGAAACGAGCAATGAACGGATCAAATCGCCAAGACTTGCGCAAAAGAGAGAAAAAAAAAAAGAAAAGAATTCCTCAATCCAAGGCAGATCAGAGCTAGAGTACCATATTACTTGTCCGTGCCATAAGAAGCGGTTTTGAGGCGTTCTCGGTGTAATTCGTAGTTAGTTGATGGGTTGGTCCACCTTGATCGACGTCACCTCCCGAGAACATGACGATTGCCTCAGAAATACGATCGAAGAGGACGAGCCACTTACTCTGCGAAAAGAGCTGTTAGTTACGTTACTTTACTCATAAGAGAATGCGAGGCTGGAGCCCTGTGGAGAGTAGAGTAAAGTACTCTAGAGTAAGTATGGGGCCTGGTTAACTTCATACTTGATCTGGATAGAAAGAAAAGAGAAAAAAGGCGGTTTGGATCTTCGAAGATGAAGTCAACAGCAGTCAGCCTGACGTCACGACAAATGGGACCTCGACCCCCTCTATGTAACTGTAGCTGGTCAAGAAGTCCACGAGCTCTAGAGACCTAGACATATAATAAGTGTCTTGGGATTCATCGTTGAGTTCGGACCAGATCCATTATCAGAAAAACAAAAGCGTTTGGATACAATCCGATATCATACTCTTTACTACGAATTGAACCTCGTTTGCTGCATTTCATTTATCTGACGAACTACGACGATTATAATCCTACCACAATGAGCGAGTTCCGCAACATCGAATCTCTCAACAACAAGCAGGGCGAGTTCAAGCCCGGTGTTAAACCCTCGGTTCCTGGACCTGAGACCAAGGGTGTACGTTTCGTATCCCTATAGTTAATCTTTCCTTCTGGGTATAATGCAATGCTAACGAGAATGTCTCTCTATACAGCACCAGCTTGGAGTGAAGGCCTCCCCAGCAGACTACGCCCCTGAATTCCACGCACAGGTCCTCCCCCCTGGCACTGCTCCTGCCAGCAGCTCCTACCAGCCTAACCCCATCAACGAGACTCCCGGCCAGGCAAACAACGAGGACACACTCCGGGGCCACGGAAAGGAGTCTACCTACACGGCGGCTAACTCGATGCCCGGTGCGACGTCAAAGGATGTCCACCGGGGTCTGGGTCACCCTGGTGTAGGCGAGACTAACACTGAGATCCGCCATGATGGCCAGCACCACCGGAAGCATGTCGGACAGGGCTTGGAAGGCGTTGGAGCCTCGAGACCCAAGATGCCCGACGAGGGTGCTCGGCCGGACCAGCGTGGTATTGAGAGAGAAGAAGCTCGTGGTGGTCAGCACGGTAACAAGGGCGCCCTGGCTGCAGAGGACAAGCAGCCTGAGCCCGCGGAGACCATCGCCGCCGAGTGGCATTACGAGCCAGGAACGAAGAGGAACCATGACTACAATCAGCGCTACCGATAAATGCATTCATGACGGAGAGAAGGCGCAGGATGTGGCTATCGGTTATGTATAATTAGTTGTTTTGCGATTGTTCACATGGGTATCATAGGATCTGCTTGATGCATGATCCCTACATAATAAAAAATCTATCATGAAGAAATGAATATAACTGAAGAATCGAAAGACGTATACCTCCCTCCCTCAGTCCCCTCCCGAAGACATTGATCCAGTAATATACAATGGGTTTCAAGCGCGTCACGAGATCGAACGGTGACGTTCTTGTGTAGCCTGAATTCTGTTTATTTCGGCGTCATCCTGTCTGCTCAACTTCTTTGGCCAACTCCGGGCGATATCGATGCTCGCCCGCGGCCACCACATCTCAAGGAAGACGTAGATAAGAAAGTCGATAACCACGCAGAGGCAAAACAACTTCCCCGCCCAGACACCGCAGCCGTAGTACCGCTTCAACCGATCGATCAAAGCGAAGCTGCGGATGCGGTCTCGGGTGGCTTCCCAGCCTTGTCCCGGGTAACAACCATAGAATTCCTCTTGGCTAATGGCTCCGCAGATACCGTTGTATACTCGTTCAGTCCGCTGAGCCACGTCGGTCCAGGAATACATCATCTTCACTTGATCGTGGAAACGGTCCGTACGAACCTTGTTCGAACGCAAGGCAGCGATGGCCTTACCCGTAGCTGCCACCAAGTCGTCCTCTTCCGGTTTTGCAAAAGTCGTCATGTGCTGGGGTAAAACTTCCGGGATACCACCGACCCGGGTGCAGACCACGTAGAGTCCGCAGCTGGCAGCCTCAACGATGACCGTACCGAACGCCTCTGTCAAACTCGGATGGAGATAAATATGTCCTCGAACCATGACATCGCGCACCTGCTCGTGGCGCACAGGTCCCACAAGCTCCACTTTGTCCTGCAGCACATTCCGTTCCAGCATTTGCTCCAAATCAATGGCTTTTGGTCCGGAGCCTGCGATGACGAACCGCACGTTCGGGTGGGAGGCTAGGATGCGTGGGATGGCAGCAATCAGTAGATCCGTTCCTTTATTGTAGAACAGTCGAGAAATAACAACAATGGTGATGGTATCATTCGGCCCAATGCGCTGTGGCACTTCAGACGGGGGGGCTAGTGGTCTGCTTGGTCGTGGATTGTATGATTTGGGTCGAAAGTTCTCTGCGACGACAGCATTAGGGATCACAGACACCATAAGTGGGTCTAGGGATGCGCGTAAAACTGTGTTTTCCTTGCTGTGACAGATCAGATATCGTACCATATGTTATCGACATAGGCTTCTTACCAAGTATGGCTCACGCATATGACATGATCGACGTCACTTAATGTAAACTTGAGCAACTTGTTTGTTAGAATCGAAGCTGCATCTGCAAAGCCGAATAGCGAATGGTCTGTGAAGACCGTCCGCAGGCCCATCGTTCGAGCATGGAGGATAGCTTCATGGCAGAAGTTACTCAGACTCCCATGACCATGTACTATCTCGATCTGCTCCCGTATGATGATATTGCGAAAGATGGGGAAGAAGGAGAAGACGGTTGGGAAGGTTGTCTCCCGATATATCACGAAAAAGGGGACATGGTAGACTTTCAAGCCGTTGGTAAGGTAGCGAACGCCGGTTCGGCCTTTATAAGCATGAGTGATGATAATGACTTTGTGCCCACGGTCTATGAGTTTCTGGGAGCCATTAGTGTCGGAGAAGCAACGCACGCCGCACGGATTACCTACCGAAGATAACTGGTATATGTGACTCTCAACTCCGCCTGGCTCATTCAGCATTATCCAATACCATGGACTCTAAAGGTAGCACTTACCAGGTTGTGGGAAGAAGAAGTCGCTGACCATACTTCAGACAGGTGTCAGCCACTAGCTCTGGAAAGCAGATGCAGTGCAATACTCACGCAATGTTGTAAGGCATGATGGCGGCTGTCTCCCTCAATACTTTTCCATGGATTCTGTGACGCGTTTAAGATCAACTTTCCCATGGCGTACGGCAGAACCGACGCGACACGGAGCAGTCAGTCAATGCTTCATGGCTCCTGGTGTGTACTCGACGTCGAGAAGGGGTCTGGACTCTTTCGGTATGCATGGGCGGCCGAGAAAGGCGGTGGCTGTTTTCTGCCGGCCAAATCCGGCCGGTTTACTTAGCGTTCTCCCCGCAAAGAGAAAAAAAGAAGCGACTGCGACGAAATACGAGAACGGTCGTTAGAAATTTCTAGTCACTGCACCTTTCCAAGTTCCCGAGGATGGCGGGCGCTTTCTTCAAGCGCTTTATTCCTCCAGGGAAGAAAGACCCGGTTTCTCCCCAGACTTCAAATCAATCGCGCAAACGAAAATCAGACGGCGATGGCTCCGCCAGCCTTGCATCGGCGTCGAACCCGGCGAAGAAGCAGAAAAGCGAAGACTCTGAGCATACGAGCCACTCCAGTTCAGGTGGTCCGGAAGTCTCAAAAGGACGTCAAAATGCCAACGTGGAAGTTGACGATGGTCTTCAAGAAACAGAGACCAGGAAAGAAAGTGTTACTGCGGCGAATGACAGGAAAGCGAAATCTAACGACAAGCAAGCGAGGAAGAAGAAGAATCGACGAACCTCCGGAGAAGGTGATGCAGGTGATGCAGGTGATGGAGAAGATGAGGATGCTGAGGCTTTGACAGGAGAAAATGAAACGCAGTCTACTGCTGAGGGAACTAGAGATGGCAAAAAGGAAAAGAAACGGAAAAGAAAGTCAGAACAGCAGCCCGAAGAACCAGAGGAGGATATGCCAGCAGCACTTTCCAAGCATTCCAAGATCTTGTCCAAATTCACAAAGTCTACCGTCAAAACGAAGCGCAAATTGGAAGAAGCACAACCTGAAGACCATGAATCTGCGGATCAACCAAAAGTAGAGCCAGTGGTTGCGCATGGCCTTGAACCACTTCCACAGCCAGCGCCAGCTCCAGAAGTTGTCGAAAAGCCGACATACTCATCACTTCCTTCATGGCTTGCAAGGCCGTTGAGGGAGTCTGCCGACTATCGCGCCCCGTTTTCTGAGCTTGGCATCGACCCAAGATTGCTGCGTACACTGAACGACAATGGGTACAAGGAGGCATTCTCAGTTCAATCGACCGTTATTCCATTACTTCTTCCTGGTGCGCGAAACCATCCTGGAGACCTCTGCATATCTGCTGCGACCGGGTCCGGAAAGACTTTGGCTTACGTCCTGCCACTTGTGACTGCGCTGGAGCCAACGCCTGCTCCCCGCCTACGAGGCCTTATTGTGGTCCCCACTAGAGAACTTGTGAGACAGGCTCGTGAAACCGCAGAGCTATGTGCAACTGGAACAGGACTGCGTATTGGAACGGCGGTGGGAAGCGCGGCACTCAAGGACGAACAGCGGACATTGATGCGGATAGATCCGATATACAGTCCTCAGGCTTTCAAATCCCAACAAGAGGCGAGGTTGACTGGCAGTGACTGGATGCAGTTCAATCTTCAGGATTACATTTCGGAGGCAGATGAACTACAGGAATCGTTGCCAGGGTACATTCAAAAGCAGGAGCCTAATGTCGACATCCTCATCTGCACCCCTGGCCGTCTTGTCGATCATATACGATTCACGAAAGGATTCAGCCTACAGCATATTCAGTGGCTTGTTATTGATGAGGCCGATAGACTTCTCAATGAGAGTTTCCAGGAATGGGTGGATGTTGTTATGGGGGCATTGGATGCTAAAGAAGCACCGTCAGCTAAGGGGCCAGCCGACCGGCTACTTTCAGATCTTGGTCTTTCTTTACAAAAAGAAGCCCCCAGAAAGGTCATTTTGAGTGCTACCATGACTAGGGATGTCTCAAAACTTAATTCCTTGCGGCTTGTCAAGCCCAAGCTCGTCATTATCGGCAAAGAGACGGCCGAGGGCAACGTCGACAACGGAACAGATGCCGACGCCAGCTTTACTCTACCGCCCACGCTCAAGGAATACAGTGTCTCCGTTGGAGATGGCTCTGAGAAGCCACTGTACCTTCTTCGCTTGTTGCTCTCTCACATCAAGGTGGACCTCCAGAGTTCCAGTCCTAAGAAGCGAAGCGTGTCGCCAGATTCCTCCTCCTCTATATCTGAATCCAGCTCTGATTCCGACTCAGACTCAGACTCAGATGATTCGAGCTCCGAAGATGATACCTCGTCGGAATCAGACAGCTCATCTTCGGATGAATCGGACACTGATTCTGATTCCGACTCTGACTCTGACTCCGAATCCGACTCTGGGTCAGATTCCGACTCGGAGTCTTCATCATCGTCAGACGAATCATCAGCTTCTGATGATTCAGATCCTGAGTCAGATTCACCCTCCCGTAAGCCGACACGTACCAACGTACTCATCTTCACCAAGTCTTCCGAATCTGCGACTCGACTTGCGCGTCTGCTCTCGCTACTGCATCCCTCTCTGGCCCCTCGCATTGGCACCATCGTCAAGTCAAACAAGTCGTCCGCATCCCGCAAGACTCTTAGCGCCTACAACAAAGGCAAGATCTCCATCATCGTTGCTACGGATCGTGCTTCCCGTGGTCTCGACTTACGATCACTCACCCATGTGGTCAACTACGATGTGCCGTCCAGTGTGACTACCTACGTGCACCGTGTAGGTCGGACAGCGAGAGCCGGTAACGAAGGATCGGCCTGGACGCTGGTTGCACACAGAGAAGGCCGATGGTTCTCGACCGAGATCGCAAAGGGATCAGAAGGAAAGATAACGCGGTCATCGAACGTCGAAAAAGTGAGCGCCAAGCTTGACGATGCCGAGTCCATCAGATCGAAGTATGCAGCTGCCCTAGATGAGCTAGAGAAGGAAGTTAAGACGGATGGTCGAAAAGGGTCCACGAGGAAGGCAAAACAGTGATGATACATAGCGCTTGGTGGATCATGTCCAAAATGCATTTCCATAATCACATAATTTTCTGTTTACAATGCATAAAATTCGCGGGAAAGGTGTTATTTATTTATTTATTTCTGCATATATCTATCGGGCTACTTGTGTGGCTTTCATCTAGAGTTTCAATGATGGATCTATAGCCCTGGCATAAAATATATCTTCCATCCTTCGAATGATCGGATGAATTTATCTTTCTGCAGTAACTGGAATATTATAATTGTGTGTTGTGGAGCTGATACTGGATAACCTCATCTCCACCTGGGCATTTGACGAAGATTCCAATTTCTTACAGAAACAGGACATTTCTTTATAGAAAAAGTCTTGAAAGTGGGTATCTCTTACTAAATGTTGATCTGTAAAGATAGTACTGTACATAAAATGACGTATCAGACTACGCATTCGTCAAGATATGGCCTTGTCACAACGATCCAGAAGCCGAGTGGCTGTACTTGGACTCGAAATCGGCAATACCAGGCCGATTTGTAGGTAAATATCCAGCTAATATAGTATAATTTGTCAATAACATCATGCCCTGGACCATGCTTCATTGCAAGAAATGGAAATAGCGTCTCTCAGCCTGTTGGCCGCTTCGTGAAGCAGTTCCCACCGCGATTCTTGGAAAGACATTTGGAGAAGGTGCAACATATCAGAAACGTTTCGCTCCTCAAACTCGAGAAGTGCTATCTCTGCGGGTGGCTTAAATGCCGCGTTTCTCAGAAAATGTTCGACTCCAGCATAATCAGCGGACGGTGAGTAGGCCACTTGCTCATGGCGGGTCATGGCAGGCGTAGTGGAACTGAGTAGCGTATTCAGTTTTCTTTTGAAATGACTGTAACACCAGACAACTAAAGCAGCAAAGTAAAGCACCCAGGGACGACAGAGAAGGCGATCATCTCGAGTACTATATACTCGGAGGCCAACGCCCACAGGATCACAATGCCGTACTAGGAACTTGTGGAGGAGCTGTACGGCATGGTGAACGGCTTGCGGCGCATTTTCAGATCTGCACCACTTGGTCATCTTCTCGCTTACTCGCTCACGATCAGCAACAGTGATCGCTCGGCTTGTTATAATACGGGCGCCGGCTGCAATCTGACAGTCTGCAATATCGATATGCATCGCCAGATGGCCGAGGTGATGAAGAACTGTGGCATGGTCGCTCACACTCATTTGGTCGAATGGTGCTCCCCACGTCTGCCAACCATTCGGTGCTGTTTGCATGTGGTTCATGTTCTCGTCAAAATCTCTTTTCCAAAAGTCGAATGCCTCCACTAGAGTTGTTCGCCACATGTCAGGGACAGCCATTGCTTGCGGTACTTCGAGCGTCGCCATTTGTTGCTCTCTCTGACGCATATGCCAGGAAATGGAGAGGAGGCCTGCCATCAGAACAATCCGGCCAAACGTGTTTGTACGGACTTTACGGCCAGTGAGGGTCCGCTTCAGACCCTGCAGGAAAGTTGTCGGCTTGATTGCGTTTGCATGAAGGCATGATTCTACCATGCCAACTTCAGCTGGCGATGTGGCGGACCACAAGGCTTCATCACAAGGCAAGGGAAGACGTATCTCTTGCACGACCATAATGGCAGGATGACCAAACATGATTGCATGTGTCGCATCTAGAAAGAAGGCGCCATAAGCGACCCGTCTAGTGGCCTCGGCAGTTATCCATCGATCCCACCATTCTTGGGGCGACATCGCGGTTTTCTGGGAGTGATTGATGCTGAGGTCCTCGTAAAGGGCTGTGCTTCTGCGCATAAGATTGACAGTGAGAGGCGAATGCACATTGGCTCTTTCATGGAGAGAGCGGGTTGCATTCATCTTCTCATAGACTTCCAACAAGAGTAAGGTCTGAAAAATCCAGAGCTTTGCTGGTGGGTGGAAATGTCCATCCATATATATTTGCCATCTGACATGCCATGCTATAAAATTAGCAAAACGATGGGCGGCTGGTGTTGCCACAGGATTATGCTCCTTGGTGAGCAATGAAGCACCCAGAGCCATGACAGTGAGCAGTAAAAGGTCCGGAGCTCTGTCCGCTGAGAACGTGGGTCGATGCAAGATCGGGAACTGATCATGGAAATTCTGCCAGTAGGAGGTGACGTAGCATCTCATCGAATGTAGACTGAGAATATGCTGGTTGTCATCATGGTCACCTCCTAGAATCTCCTCTCGGTAGAACAGACCAGCTGGTTCGTTGCCTCCAACAAATCGCACCCGCATAAATTCGATCAGATACCTCCAGCGGCCAGGAGAAAGGGTTGTATCTGTAGACTGTCCAGTTCCGTTGCCGAAGGCGTCAAAATTCGTCCGACCTGGCAGGTCAGTCGAATGTCGAGTAGGATCATCGAATGGACTCGTCCAGTGATCCGGTAACGCTGATGTCGCTGGAGGCCCTCCAAAGTCCATTGCTCCCAGAAAAGGCTGTGTACCCGTGACATTGAGACTGTCATAGAAATTTTGAGAGCTGTCAAAGAACCATGCCGTAAAATCATTCCTGATTGAAGATGGTGATTCAGAAAGTGACTGATCGTTCAGAGTCTCTACCATCCCTGCTATCGGGGCACCACCATGTGAGGCCTGTGAATTGGCAGAGATTGACAAATATCCGGGAGGCTGTGTAATTGTGAATTGCCGGTCTTCCCTAGGCATTGTATCTTGCCTTGCTGTATCTTGTGGCATGATTTGAGACCCAAGCAGGTATGACTGACCGCTGGGTGAGGCCCAGTTTGCTGGTGAGCCATGCGAATCTAGAGCTTGTCTATTGGCCTGTATGTGGGGAGTAGGCGAGGTCAGATTATCCTGCTGAACGGGGACTCTGCTGGGCGTCCATCCCACATGTGAACTTGAGATATGATTCGAATCGCCACGTTTGTGGTGCCCAGGCATTGGATTGTTCCAACCTAGACGTGGCACGACCCCAACTTCCTGGGTCACAGAATCGGTGTGCTGGTGTTGCTGAGCATCTCTACCGGAAGCAGATTGATCCACATCGAGTCTGGGGGTCCCGGATGTTGCTGAAGATGGCGATTGCTGAGTGATTACCGTCCTACACATTGTCTTACTAGGAGACTGCAGACCCCCCTGTGCAATACTCGAATTTCTCTCAGCTTCCTTAGCAAGTGCGTCCGGTGCGCTACTTGATCTTTTCAGCAGACCTGAGCCACCGCGTCCCATATGGCGTTTGAGATGACGAGCACAGAGATCTTGCCGAACGAATCGACGTTTGCAATTCGGGAAAGTGCAATGAAAGATCTCTTTAGGAGCATCTGGTATGGAACATTAGCCACTGAGCACAGATCTGAATTCCTGATCACATACGGTTGAGAGCGTGCCTCTCGAGATGCTCTGCCCGCGAATAGAGCTTCCCGCAGCCTGGGTAGTGACACATGAATCGCTTTCTGGAATTGGTTGGCTTCTGTTGATTGACCCATTCTGCGGATTGGTCTCTTGCCATCTGGTCGTTCAGCTGAGAATCCGAGGTGGTGTCATAACCACCTGGGCGTTTCGAACTTGCCATGATATCGCGTAGCGTGAGCCGGGCCGTGAGACAGGCAATACTACTTTCCTCTGAAGATACTAAGCAGTAGTCTATCCCAAGAGCACAGGACTAGCAACTGGAGAGCAGATAGTTCAACGTCGTGTCTTCTGCAATCGTATTGCAGAGCCCTCGAGAATCTAGGCGGCTCCCCGCAAGTCATCCATCACGGGGCATGTCCATTTCGGCCCGTACACTGGTAATATTCCAATAGCAGAGCTTGAAAATCGCAATGGCGTTCAAAGCCGTCAAGCTCTTTATATGGAAATTCCACTATGTTGCGCACACAGTTTTCACCGCCGCGCCCTGTCGTTTCAACGGGATGTTCAACCTCCTCGTCGCCGATCGGGACAGTACCGTGTCCCAGGAAGCAATAAACCAGACCGTCTAGAGGTTCAAGCTTCTAGTTTCAATCCGCCTGATGACTTCGACAGCACTGCGTCCCTGCTTCGGGTGAAAGTTCTGACATCGCCGAGACGGTCGGTTTTTGCGGGGAAAACAGACACGGGGGAGGCTCGACCGCTCTCGCCAAATCGTCTGGAAGCCTCGCCAATACCTAATTCACACTAGAACATCCACATGGCGATGGGCCTTTCCTGGCTACTGCAAGGCACAACGGAAAAGGAATTCTGCCATCGGAGAGAGAGATTTACCATGGTACGAGCATTCATGATGTTGATTGCAGTTTATGGCTTCAACTTTCTTTTCTCTCCGGATTGAACTGACCGTCTGACATAACACTGATGTCAGAACCATTAACTATCGTTAATATTGATGATGATGACGAGGATGACGATCAAGGCAGTGAATACAGGAGATATCCTGCCAACCAACCCAGCAGGGCCATTGATGTTTGTACGTGTAATGATTTAAGATTCTTCAGCTGTCAGGGATTTTCAATTCTCACCGGAGACGTGAATTGAATAGCACATCTCCGTTTGACGAACCGTGTTTACGGGTTATCTACATTTTCAGGCGGAAAAATAGAAACACTGCAATCAGCCGCGACATGTTGGGATACCTAATCAATTGGGCACACGAATGGACCAACAGGGCCCTAGCCCTGGTGAAATTATGCCAGAACCGCGAGGTTGGATGGATGACTCTCGATCGAAAGAGCCGCGAATTCAAGCGTGAACAGCAGCCCCTATGGAAGAAAGTCAAGATGCTCTTTCTCTTTAACCGGCTTACGGAATGGATCGATCAGACGCATCTGCTTCGTCTTTGGACGCATGAGAAGAATCTATATGCAGGTGAGCCCAGCATTGAGGCATCAAACCATGCAGGCGTATTCTTTGAGACTGACCCTTTTTCGCAACTTCCCGTACAGGCTGGATTGAAGGAAGGCCGCGCTCTAAGCGTCAGATCGCCAACTTCGTTGACTTCTATCACATTGATATGTCCGAGTTCGAACCATCCGATATATCAGAGTACCCAACGTTCGAAGACTTCTTTATTCGAAAACATGCTCCCGGGAGCCGACCTATCTACGAAAAGGACGACCCAACAAAGGCCGTAATAGTAGCTGATTCGCGTGTAGTGGTGTATTCAACCGTTTCCAAGACTAAAGAGCTCTGGATCAAAGGCAAAAACTTCACAATGGGGAACCTCATTGCAGACCAGGACCGTGCAAAGCCATGGCACGATGGCGCAGTTGCCAGCTTCCGACTGAGTCCTCAGGATTACCACCGCTACCACTCTCCTGTTAAGGGAACTGTTCGATGGTTTAAGAGCATCCCCGGCGACTACTACCAAGTAGATCCGCTCTGCCTACAAAGCTCTGTAAATATCCTCACTCAGAACGCACGATGCTGCGTCTGTATCGAGACCGAAGAGTTTGGACAGGTCCTATTTGTCGCTATTGGTGCAACTGACGTCGGGACGGTAGAGTAAGTTCATCGCCCTTGTCAGTAACTTCCCCTTCGCGACTCTAACTAACAGCTCACTCTTTAATATCTACAGGATCCACGAACCCCTCCGCACACCCGGCCACCAAGTCGAAAAGGGTGACGAGATCGGCCTCTTCCAATTCGGTGGCTCTAGCATCATTGTCGCTTTCGAACAGGGCCGGATCCAGTTCGATGAAGACCTTGAGAAGCTCAGCCACCAGAAAATAATGGTTGACGTCGAAGTTGGCATGAGTATGGGTCGTGCAACAAACCCCAGCGGACAAAAAGAGCAGTGATTCCTATTCCTGATCATTCCTTTTTGAAGGTCACGAGATATGACTGGGCCTACTTCATGTCGAAACGAACGAATAAGCTTAATCGTTGACTTGTCTGTACTCTAGTTCTTACTTAATATCATAAGAGGCGTTCCACATCCTTGATCTGCATCCGACAATGTTTCGCATTCCCGTAAACATTTAGATTCAAAAGATGCTAGAAAAAGTATGAATTCATTAATCATAGCTCATAAGAACTACTTTTTGTCTATATGTATACACACGTGCACTCATTTCAGGCATAACTTATATCCAACACTATTCCTGTATCTCGTTCAACGCTCAAAGGGGTATAAGTATAGACATAAGAAACGAAAAAAATAATAATTGATAGACAGACAATTATCACGCCCAATAAGATTAGGAATTATGTCTTTGTGGATATATATATTCAAAGGCGAAGCCACCCCTTACGCCGGCTCTGGACAGACCTCGACCGGGATCGAGACCGGTGCGTGATAACGGAATTCCTCGTATTGACGCGGTCGATATCATACGGATTACCCTGGTAGACAGTATCTGCTGGTTCGACGGTCGCAGCAGAATGGATAGAGTGTATTTCATCGCTGGTGGTACTGGTAGATTCACGGAATATACTTTCCTCCTCTTCATCCTTGCGGACGGTCTCCTCTTCCGCATGTGGAATCTCAGATAATTCAGTATCAGAATTCTTCTCTGTTGTCGTGCCCTCAGTCAGGAGAGCCTTTTCAGCAAGCTTCCTGATAAAGTCGTCCGCTTCGGCAGCGTACTTGCACTTCCGCCTCACGGCCGGTCCGTACTTGTAGAATATGAACGGGAACGGAACGCAGGCTAGGGCGAGAAATGCAGGAATGCAAGAGGCCCAATTGACGCCGAGACCCTGGTACATGTATTTTGCGAAAAGGGGGAATGCGCAAGCGAAGGTGGATCGGACGATGGAGTTCGCGGCGAGAACGGAGGCAGCGTAGATGGTATAAGCGTCGATCAAATAGTTCATGACTCCTAGGAAGACCAACACCATCCCGAAGCCGAATGGGGCGGCTGCAATGATACTGACAATCCAGTGGACGTTGAGGCCGCACGTCCAGGCGAACCAGAAAAGGCCGATTGGAATGATGATGCCTCCCATCATTGTGGGTGGGAGACGAGCCTCTGGCGGAGCGAAGCCGTGATGTTTTCTATAGATTTTCACAAATCGTTTGTTGTCCCACATGTTATATGCCACTGCGCTCATCATGCCCACCATGACGCCCATAAATGGTAAGCTTCCGATTCCAGCACTCCAGCCGCGTTGTTCTTGGTAGACGATGGGAAAGGCGGAAAAGAGCATATATAACGTGCCATATACAATGGCCATGTAGACTGACAGGAGCAGGACGATCGGTTCCGCAAAAAGGAGGATCCAGGGCCGTGAAAGGGCCCCCTTGAACGCATCGACGATGGTTATCTTGCCGGTTTGTATCTCGAGATGGGTGGCGTAGACCTTGCCTGTGAGCTGGGAAAGCTTTGCAGCTCGTTTTCGAAGCAGTAGCGGTGCATAAGTTTCGGGGACCAACAAGCTGCAAGAGATCCAGATAACGCCGGTAAATGCCCCTAGGAATCCTTGGACCCATCTCCATCCGGCATTCTCTCCTAAGAAGCCACCGACTACGGGCCCCAATGTAGGACCCAGGAACGGTGCTCCTGCGAAAAGCGTCGTGGCCAAACCCCGGTTGTCGGCATCGAAGATATCGGCGATGACTCCGCCCGCATTGGTCATGGGCGAGGAACCAAATGAGCCGGCGAAGAATCGAAGGATTAATAGGGTCCAGATATTCTGCGAACCTGCCGAACCCGAACAGAAGGCCACAAGGGCACAGTATGTTCCGAAGAACACCACCTGGCGCCCGATCAACTCACTGAGCGGTGCCCAGATCAGGGGGCCAAGAGCGAAACCCAGCACGAACAGTGAGACTCCTATGGTGGTGATCTCATCGCTGACATTGAACTCCGCCATGATGCTGTCAACGCCTCCTGTATAGGCTGACGATGTCAGCGAGACCCCGAAGGTCGCGAGAGTCATCATCATCGTATACAGCCACTTTGTCTTTGCGCTGAAGAGCCGTGGATTGCGAGGGTCGTTCGGGATCCATTCGACGACAAACGGATCTTGCTCTGTTCCCGAACCGGCATACTTGAAGTCGAGGATCTCCGAAGTGATGGGACTCTGGTCCGTAAGCAACCTCCAGTAGGGGATCTTGTCGGGTCTGGAGGACCTTCCCGGAGCGGCCTCGATATCGGGCATGATGGGGATCAACAGTAGTGACTTGTCCGGGTCAGCAGCCATGCGATACCTAGGTAGTCTGAGTTGCCCATCCCGATCAGAGGAGCAGTTTGGTCAACTTCAGGATCCGGCCGAATTTAAGTAGTATCGGCACCGAACGAGACCGTGAAATCATCTAGCCATTGTTCGCTCAGCTAGGGTATCGCGTACTATCAAACCCAGAATAGCTTTCTGATTCGATGCGACCAGTTTCTTTGTCCCAGTTCGCCATTGTTCCATACTGGAGTAGAACTCCACGGATGGCTCCACCGAATCCACTGAAAACAGCACGGCAGATCACTTCGGTTTCTGAAAAGAATCAAGCACGCCATCTATTGGTATTCGAGATCATTATTCTTCCTCTCGGCTCTTTTTTTCGGCAATCCGGGGAGCGGACAATGGCCTTTTTCAAGCCGTGCTAGTCGAAGATAGTGACTAGATAGGGCTGAGGGAGTCGGCCCGGGCTGCCCTAGCTGGCGGCCGAAGGGATGCCGATGGCCTCGATGGGATTGCAATCTGCCATGGCGCAGTCGGTGCGATCTGGGATGTAAATCTTCCGAGTGGACTTACATGTATTAAGCTCCTCATGATAGCAGCTAAGTAAAGCTCACCCCTGCGCAAACTGTTCCATAGAGTGGCATTGTTGGCTGTCCCGTACGACTAACTAAAGGTGATCGGCCGTATGGAAATCGGAAGAATCGGGGGCCAAAGCAAGCAAGGTTATTATTATTATTACTGTTACCTAGAAGTTGGCTTGTGATGGTCTTTCCGAAAAAAAAAAAGCGGAAGAAGAATGAATCGGTCATGAATCGGAGATCAGCCATGAAACAAACAGCACCGAGCAACATATCAAAAAGGCCTTTTCATCTCGCGTGTATTATTACTCTATGCTATGGATTAAGGTTACACGTGTCCAACGCTAGTCCGATCAATGTTATAATTGCATTAGGGACCAGGTTCAAACTGCAATCAGGACTGATAAAATATCCGCAATATTCGTGCTCTCGTCTTCTGCTAACTGACACAGCTCTTCGCGATCACGGAGAATTTCTTCAATACTTTCCACTGCGCCTGATGCGTGATAAATTCTGGCAATGGCGGCATGTGTCTCCAGAAGGACACGGCTAGGTAGTTCAGTATCGTTGTTGAAGGGCTTGGTAAAGTAAACTTGCTGTACACGGCCATGATCGGGATGGTAAAGATATAACCTGGGGAATCCACGATACGTCTTAAATGGAGTAAACATTATCCTCATTCTAAATTTATAAGTATAATTACCAGTAAAATAGTTTCAGGTTTACACTAACCGTGCTCTCCAAAGCGAATGCCAGTTTCCCGAATTCAGTGTTTAGGTCCTGCGACATCGTAATCATGTTAGGTACGTGGCTCGTTAATCAAATCCGGCCTCATGATACTGTTTAGGTCCGGGAATAATGAAAAAAGCGAGGTCCAGATGATGGTGAAAATCGTAGTTTCCTGTGACATTTCGAATTTGAAATTAGCATCCCCCCCCCAAAAAAAAGAAAAAAAAAAGAAAAAAAAAAGAAAAAAAAAAGAAAAAAAAAAGAAAAAGAAAAAGAGAAGAAAGGAAAAACAAGAAGAGGAAAAGGGAAGAGAGAAACCTACCTTGTACACGATTATTGAACTTTCCCAATGCAAATGGGATAATATGAGATGCATTAGTAGGAATACAACGTTCCTCGAAGGCATCATCAGTGACAGGAAATCTATCGCGACATTCACCAGCATAGGCGCCATAATTGCACAATGGAAATTGTCTCTTGAGACAGAGTTCTTTCAGTCGACCTTGCTCTTTACGGGTAGCCAAATCTGTATCTTCCTGTGCGATATTACCGATATCTCCAAAGGGACTTGGTGTTACTGCGGGCGTCTTATTACCTGCAGCCCTCACTAAAAAAAGAATCAATAATATCAGTACTTCAGAGTCGCACGTTGACAATGGTTGTAGGATAGAAAATGAACTTACTGGGAGCCAGGATAGCACCACAAAGGTGATCACTCGGTTCAGTGAGAACTGCTGCATCCTGGTTTACAGAGATGTAACGACCGAGGACATGTTTCCCCGAAATCGGGAGATGGTCCAAGAACGCTTGTAAGACTGTTTTGGTCTTAGGGTTATAGGATGTAGGAGAAAAGTCAGACAGTACTTGTTGCGCCAGTTGTTCATTGGATCCTACAGTTTGATGATCCGGGTCTGTGGATGCCAGAGAGTCACTCAATTCGCGAATGAATCGGTCTCCCATATTCACAGAGAGGACGTGGAGGATGCGATAAAGGAAGGTGGCGGGGTAGGAGGCTAGATAGGCAGAACATGTTCAAGATCGACGTAGATGGACAATCCAACCCCTAGGAGAATTTCACTTGATACATCTTTTCTCTACCATCGCGATAACTACCTAGCCAGTAGTTACAATTTACATCCAAATCCCAAATCCATGCGGGACACTCCCGCGCTAAATAATCTCCATCGTGGAAATCACCGGCATGTTACGTAGGCTCCACCCTCGTAGCTAGTTACTAGTAGTACTATCTATCTAGTATGTAAGTTAAACTGTACTAACTAGCTATTTTCTTTCTGGCGGAAAAGATATTAGCAGGAGCACTAACTATCTACTTGTATGTTTCTCAGCAGTAGATAGACAGCATATGATAACTATATAGGTTATATAGGTTATATAGGTTATATCGGTTATATCGGTTATATAGTCTAAAAAGACCCCATTAACATAATCCATGATCGCAGGCTTCAATGGGATAAACCGCTTCTAGCATTTCAGGAACCCGTCTAAAGCAGCAAGACAAGTCCACGGCACGATTTAATAGCTTAATAGTCATATTGATGGATTGCTTTGGGCCATGTTAGCATCGTTTGATATCAATGATAGTGAAGGTCATACCTCGCCGAGAGATAGATAGATCCGATTCCCGAACGATATCAGCTATTTTTCCATAAATCGACATAAATAAAAGAAGATAAACATAGAAAGAAAGAAAGGAGCAATATGGATCCTGCACAATGACATAGGATCATACTATTGTCGTAGCGAAGGGACAATGTATGTACATTTTCACATCTGTGCTCATTTCCATAAACGTTAGTTACAACATGGGATCGAGAGGCTACTACTTGAGTTAGAGAACTATGAGAGGGTAATCTGTACTCCATAATGGCATTAAGGTTCCACTGTCCACGAACAGACTTTACAAATGATGATGGATATCCCCTTCTTAATTAAGATACCTGAAAAAGGTCAACTACTCGCCAAACGGAGATAGACTACATACCAGAGAGAACAAAAAGCAAACAACCGCCGGGAAACCACAAAGACTTTGTTCTCAGTTAAAAATAGTATAGAAAGACAACTTATAAATAAAATAAACTAAGACTTTGTAGGAATTATACCCTATCGTTATCTTCCTACAGAGCTACCTGATGAGTTGACCTACTGCCCGGTGTGTATACAACCTACAGCCATGCCTTCGTCTCTAGGAAAACAAGTCGAAGATGAAATCAAACCAGGCCAGACTTTCTCATCACCACTCAGAAGAAACACGCCCAGACCTCGGTATCCTATCAGACTGGATGACCTTAGCCGTGATGATATCCATGCGCTGACCAAAATCCTCCATATAGACAACACCAGCGCAGCCGCACCCTCTGTCGACAACAGAATCCAAAAACTCATTGATGCCCTCCCTGCTCATCTCAGGAGCTCATTCCTCCTCCGCCTAGTTCCAAACTCCATCCTCTGCCATGCGGCAGTCTGTCCCTTACACAACGGTATGAATAGACATATCATCCACCATGTCTGGATGCTGATCAAGCGCGAAGTCACTTTCCACCTAGACATCATGTACGCATACCCGCATGTGGTTGGGCTGGAAGAGAAAGCGATCCTGCGCAATCTTCGTGCGGTATCAGGGATGTGGACACCATCCTCAAGTGAGGACTCACCACTGGGAGCGTGGGATTTTCAGACAAATCGATGCGAGGCATGTATGCTGGCGCGGATCGGAGCGAGGCCTACAATCCTTCGCAATATGCGTATTGTGCTATTGAGTCGGAGTCAAATGAGAAAGGCGATGAGGGCGCCGAGCTTGATACCGTGGGTGGATGCGTGGATTGCGCAGTATGGAGAACTGAGTACGGAGATGTTTTTTAGGAGTGGCGAGAAGGCGTTTGCGATGAAAAGGGCGATGAATGCGGCTGTTCTGGCGAGATATGAGGAGAGGAAACTGCGGAGGAAGAAAGATAATACTTTCTCCGTGGATGACGTTGCGTATGTCGATGGCGCGTCTCATATGAAGATGACCCGGGTGGTCAAGCAGGGAAATAATATGGGCGGAGACATGTGCTTTCCGGATTGGCAATTTGAGACCCTCGAGGATGAGATCGACAGCATCGTTGAGTTGTATGCAAGCTTGCCATCAGGCAGCGAACCGGCATCTGGACAACCATCGATGCCTCTGCAACATGAATCGCCATCCCCCAGGAAGGACGGCCAGGATAGGCAATCCAGCGGTCCACATATCAACCTTGTTGAAAAGCCATGGGATGTTTGTTTGGATACTACACATATCGATCCACCACAGCAGAAAGTTCCCAAGAGAGCCTCGCTAGATATCCCACGTAGCAGTTCAAGATCATCCACGGCTGCCGAACGAGAGAGCAAGAATGACTTCACTTCCGAATACAGCCAGGGGTCGTGGGAAACTGCGTCAATCTCATCTGACGGCACCTCTCGAACGACGTGGACTTCTTGTTACGGGGACAAATAGATAGGACGCAGATTGAAGTTCAAACATTGATATTATGGCAGAACCACTCTTTGATAATTAGTTATTATGTACTCTGCACGGGGCATCCTTGCCCCTTCATAGTAAGACTGCAAAATATACAGTTGCATATGTAAAATGTTGTCGAATTCTATTTGCAAACGAGCAGTCTGCCACAATCGAAACGCGTCCCGTCCTTAACACCAAGAACCTATACCTCTGTGCAAATAACCCAGACAAGACCGTGGAGTACGGAGTGGGAAACAACTGTAGACCGAAAGGAACAGACCATTGGCCGGGACTAATTAGGACTTATCCACAATTGATGTACAAATAAAGTCACAGTCCTGCTGTCCCAATGCGAGCATCCTAAAAACTCCTGAAAGAGGGGAATTTGAAGGTCTGAAAAGAAAGGTAGGGGAAGGAGAATGAAAACATGACCTCGTCGGCGACATTAGTATGAACCAGAACACTAATTCTGGATGATGCCCCTTGTCAGTCGATGGCTGGGGGAGTTTCCCCCATCAGCTTGGAGGGCAACTGTCTTCTTTCGAAGGATGGTCCGTGCCTTCAGATCATCCGCCTCTTCCGCAGAAACAGTAATGCTGCCATTTCTTCTAGCACTGGCCGGCGTAGTAACGGATGAGGTCTCGCCCTTGCTCTCTTCTGTCGCAGTTTGGGAGCGCTCAGCATCAACCTGCTTCTGGGCCGCCACTCTCGCTCTCTCGTAGCGCAAGCTCACATCGCCCTTCCACTGAGTACCCATCAGTCGGTCCCAGACGATAAAGAAAGGCTGAGAGAAATTCGTCTTAATGCCCCAGCTCTGGTGGTGGATGTCGTGGTAGGCCGCATTGTTCGACGTGAGATGCTGCAATGGATCCCACGGGAATGCATAGCCACAGTGGTCGTCCACGGTTTTGATGGTTGAAAGAGTAAAGAACCACATGCTCTGACGGTGGGTCATCATCGATGTCAGGAATGCAACACCCGTCCCAGCCGTGTCAAGCAGGAATCCTTCCACCGGATGGTTGTACAGAGCTCCGAACGCATACGGGACATAGAGGCGATGATGGCGGGAATGAAACATCACTGTATATTCATTAGAATCAACGTCGAGATAGCGCGCGGTTATAGATGAATACATACCATAGAGCCATCGATTCAGGTGCATTGCACGGTGCCAGAAATACTGCCAAGTATCCACTACGGAAATAGCCCAGACAAACTGGAACGCAGGGATGAGATAGTAGTAGATGAAACTGGCCACTGCCAATTCCCAACCCGCGAAAGCAGGAGCAATCACCTCCGCACCGTTATCCATGATAACCTTTTGCACGAGCGAAGGATATCTGCCGCCCGACAAAGCTCCGGCAAGCATGGGATGCCCCGATAGATTCTTGGCCAGGCCAGCGGAGTCGAGACCAAGGAGCCCCAGCAGACCAGGAAGCGTTCTCTGCATCATCCTGATGCGCCGTGCCCAGACGGCGACATCGTAGTCCTCCCTGCCGGTATATTCAATATCATCAAACTGTGCAAGGATCAGGCCGGCGATTGTCTGAATGACCTGCTGCAGGACGACGTCTCTGACGACGTCCCAGCGAGTCACATGGTTGCGTTTAAGGAGCTCTGCCGGCGTGTGGAGACGGTACTGTGGGAAGAGGTCGTAGATATCGATGATGTGGAAAATCATGGAAACGGCCCAGTAGGCGATGATGGGCAGCATCAGAGCCACAATGTTATCGGGGATCGGAGCAAACAGCGGAGGGCGAGGAGTCAAGGTATATGCCGGGAGGGGAGGTAGCTCCAGTGGTAGCGATGTGTTGGACGCCATCTCGAAGGACGCGACAGGACTTGTCATCGAACGATACAAATCGGTCGCAGAATCGCTCGAAACTAGATGAATTATGACAACCAGGAGGGCATTGGTCTTAGGACGACAAGTGGCTGGATGCGCAGTTCAGGATGAGACGATAAAAATACACCGAGAGCAAGGATAGGGAACGGAAAGGCCGACGCGACGGGAGACAAAACGCAATCGACTGTCGACCAGAATTAAATAGGATATCGCGTGAAGAGCAGATGCTCGATGAGAAAAAGGGTTGCTGATGAAAAGAGCGATAGGAAGGATCGAGATGAAGATTGGTTTAAGACGAGAGAAATCACGGAGTCTGGCGGCTTGAGACCCGGCAACACGGGTAGGTAGTTAGCAGCAGGCGCAAACGAGCCGCTGTCATTGACTATTAAGTAGTTGGCCACGGGAGCGCCCAGACTGACACGGATTGATATTCTCACCAATAATGATAATGATCACGATCAGAAGATTAATATTGCAAGAAGTTGGCCACCCTGAGGAAAAAAGTATGTAGACTTTCCCGGAACGGCGATTCTGCGTGGCGGCATGCGGGAACTGGTTCCTCCGCACTTAGTTATTCTGTACTACTATTTGATGGATCGATCTAGTTAACTAATGCTAACTAATTATTCCGTACAGAGTAATAAATTAACTAATTAACTAATTATTAATATTATGAATTCTGCCCCTTTTCTCTGGAATCCGATGCCGGCTGGCACTGCGATCGGAGTCGTAGATCTACGGAAACACACAGCCACAGGAGGAGTCCTCTAGAGTAAAGTGGAATAAAGTCGTCCAGAACCAGAAGCAGAGATACCAACTAAGAATAATATAATGATAATAATCTCCAGCTTGCTGTCCTCATCCCAATTTGCCAACCAACATGCCACTCGCCACTTCTTCTTCGTCCCTTTTTGAGGCCAGACGAGTCTGATGCCCAAAACGGACTAGCGCTCTTTGCCCCCCTCGAACCCCACCAAAGTTGGCGACGGTCGCGATAAAACTTCAAATTTCCCCTCTTCGTCCAGTACCGGCTTGTTTCTCTCTTCTTTTCTCCTCAGCAGCTTCCGGACATCGACCCGAGACCCTCTCTTTCTCTTATCACACATCCGCCAAAATGATTATCTACAAGGTGAGTACCTTTCCCTGTTACGGGGTTGCTTCTCGACTCTGTCAAGTACCCTGCGGATCCTTGTCGGGCAAAAAAACAAAACAAAAATAAGAAAAATAAAAAATAAGCGGTGTATCTCAACGGGCCAAGGCTGACTCTTCTTCTCTTGATCTAGGACATCATCTCCGGTGACGAGCTTCTCGCCGACACCTTCAAGATCAACGAGGTCGACGGTGTCCTCTGGGAGGCTGACTGCCGCAAGTACACCAAGAACAAGAACGAGAACTTCGAGCTCGAGGGTGCCAACCCCTCTGCTGAGGACGAGGAGGAGGATGCCGGTGGTGAGGGCGAGCAGGTCATGGTCCACGACATCGAGGACCAGTTCCGTCTCGTCTGGCTCAAGACCGAGGAGGGCATGAAGCCCTCCAAGGACGACTACAAGTCTCACCTGAAGTGTACGTCCTTATCCTGTTTTCGTTGGCAGAATCGCATGGGATATAGTACTGACATTGTGTGACTTTAGCCTACATCAAGAAGGTCAACAACAAGCTCAAGGAGAACGGTGCCTCCGAGGAGACCATCAAGCAGTTCCAGAGCGGTGCTGCCGGTGCCATGAAGAAGATCCTTGCCAACTACGACAACTACGATGTCCTGATGGGCTCCTCTATGGACGGTAGTGCTATGTATGTCGACCCCGCATTTATCCGCAATCGTTTGCACATTTGGGACGTTTCACTGACTTTATTATCAAACAGGCACGTCCTGATTGACTTCCGTGAGGACGGTGTCACCCCCTACGCCACCCTCTGGAAGCACGGTCTCACCGAGTACAAGGTCTAGATGCGGCAGATCTCCAGCCATAACGAATAAAAGAAAAGGGAAAAAAAGTTACTGGTTTGGGACTGTGGGATGTGAGCCGGCTACTGGGGCATATATCTTAATTTCTCCGCCCCCAGTCCTTACGCCTCCAGAGTCTTCCAATATTATATCATGCTTCACGAATCTATTGTTGTCTATGTCCTGTCCTGCTGCCCATGCCTTGGTCTTTCAGCTTGGGCCTCTTGAATAGAAACCACTGCATTGTGCATGACACATGTCCTCGTTTCTCAGTAGACCAATATGTAGTTTTCCTAACTGCCCTCAACTGCGAAAAATACGAAATACATGTCTTGACTATTTCCACATCATATATCTCTAGAAACGACCATTCAGTATATCCACGAGTTTCCCGCCCAGATATCATGCCGTGGGTATGTACTTGGCTATAGGGAATAATGCTACTACGTACACTTTGTGCAGAAACGCTAACTATCGCTGTCCAGATGATAAGGGTCATCCAAAAAAAAGATAAAATATATACAAAATATGGTATTACAATACTTCATTTAAGCAAAGAAAAAAAAAACTCCCACCATTAACCAAAATTGCCCCAAGATCCCATCGCGCCCATCATCCCCGCATCACTTCCGTTCCCGCTCGCTGGGTTCTGGTTACTTATAGGACCATTAGCATCACCACCACCGCCGCCGCCGAGATCAGGAAACCCGAACCCCGCCACGGGGTCAAGTTCCATAAACTCGTCTGCGACAGGTAGGTGTTGGCCGAAAACAGCGTCCCATTGGTCCCAGTCGAAGTTGAGGTTCGGGTCCATCATGGACGGTGGCGTGGAGGGGCCGGTGGTGGTCATGGTCATGTTCAGGGGCGGGTTTGTGATGGCGGTTGTGTCCATGAAGGAGGTAGTGGAGGATGCGGGTGCGTTGGCGAGTTGGTTTAGAGGACCGGTTGGATGTGTGGCGGTCATGCTTTCTGGGGGGGAGACGGCGGAGCTGGCGAGGGTGGAATCGAGACGGGGATTGAGGACGGCGTGGGGGACGGAGAATTGCTGGATGGAAGGAGGGGGCGGTTGTTGAGAGGCTGGTTGTGGAGTGCGCGGGACGGAAGTGGGAGTTGGAACTGGGAGTTTGTATGAGCTTCGAGGTGGTGGTTGGAGTGATACCGTGGGCTTGGGGAGCATATGGGCTCGTGTCATGTCGAAGAATCGTCGGGAGAAATCCGAAAGCTGTCTGTCGACGATGACGGGTCTCAGGTTATCTATAGGCGGCTCGACAGGCTGGGCATTGCTTGTCATCGGGGCGTCTGTCATGACTGTGTTATTTCCGTCACGAGCCACACCGGCCTGGATCTGAGCCTGTTCTGTCCAGAGCTGGTGAGGATCAAGGCCTGCTTTTTGCCAGGCTTTCTCGCGAAGTCGACGCATCATATCCCAGGCTTCACGACCGCCATCCTTGAGAGGCCTGTGGGTCGTGATTCCATCTTCGCCTCCGACAACGCCCCCGTCGGGTCCTGAGATGGAGAAGATCTTGTCGATGAAGGCCCGGGATTTAGGGGCTTCTGAACTGTTGGGTCGTTCGTAGAGGTCGATAAGCATTATCCTTATAAAGGGTCAGTTGGCGTTGAATATACGTAACAAGGAAATGGCTTCGACGTACATGGTAGCATGCATGGGCTGATGGTTTCTGTTACACACGTCAGAATTCATCGTCAAAGCAATCAGTAGGAGATAACTTTACCCAGGCCAACTCCATTGGAAAGGCTGAAAGTCGGGGTCTGTAGCAAGAAGAATAAACTTCTCCATGAAACCATGGCAATGGCGCAGCGCGCTGCGAGAGTCAGCTCAGCCCACAACAAGTGCTATCAAAGACTTCAAACGTACCCTTGTCTCGCAGCCGGCCAGATCCTACTCTTGGCGTTCTTCAGGAAAGGCTGATACGCAACACAAAATGCCTGTGGGGAAATGTTCAGTAGAAGCTCAGCAACTGCATCAACAGGCATCTTACTTTATCGATAAACAAAGATAGAAGTATGCGAGCCCATTTGTGAAATGCGGTAAGCACCGGTGAGTGATATTGCTCAGGACAACTTGACGGACCGTCTGCTGGCAGCTGAGTGTCGCTCGTTCGGACTTCGACCGGGGTGGAATGAGATGACAGCGACGGGGATACAGCACTGCCGTCACTGTTCAGCATAGCGGGCCGCTGAGCTTCTGGTATGCGATTTATTATTGAATTGAGATTTAGTTGCAGTTCTGAGAGAATTTCTCTCAAGTCTTCCATATCTTTCCGAGTGACCGGTCTGGTTCCCAGTTGAATTTTCAGTATCCGACGTACGGCACCTGTCTCCCTAGTCAGTCGATGATATCCATAAGAGAGAGTGGGATTAACGCACGAGCCATGATGTACTTCCCCCTGGCAGAGAGATAGTAGACGTTCACCATAGATGGCCCCCCGCAAACAGTGGGATCGTCTGGATTGTCCCGTGGGCGCAGGTTTGCGGCAACCAAGCGCTCATACTGATCAGCCTCTGGTGTCCCCAGCAAGGTGTCTTTCACTTCGCTCGTCTCGCCCACGTCCCAGTAATTCTCGTCGCTGACCAATGGCGGCAATCCACTGGACATGGCGACGACACCATCCATATGTACAATGTGCCACCATACTCGACGTCGAGTCTCGGCTTCCGCGGACGCAATCCCAAACTGAGCAGGATCTCGATGCAGACCCATTGTTTGCGCCACCCGTAGGGCAAGACTGATGAACAAACTGCTGGTCAGAGGCTCCTCCTCTTTGGAGAGAATGGTCTGAACAAGAAGAAATGCAGCAAGCCCTCTCAATGAGGGGCTTCTTGGAAACGATATTTTCGACAACCAGCGAGTCACCTCGTCGCTGTACGTTGTTGATAGAGCCGAGCGGGAATCCACATTGAATTCCGACTTGATCGTTCGTATCGATACCGTCACTGAACCGCCATACCAGATGGCGTAAAGCAGAGGAATAAAAGACGGGTCCGGACAAGGCTCTCCAGAGTGACTGCTGTAATCATACCAACGCCAAAAGTCGTTGTACATTTTCAAAACCGTCGGGGGATGTAAGACAGGACTGATGGCGTGAACGCCAGACATAAACCCTTTGTACAGAATATGGCTCTGTCGCCTCGTTGGTACGTTGTTAAGCATCTTATGATCGACGACCTTGTCGTGCACGGAAGGAGAATCGCCCGAAGGAAACAGAACCGATTTGTGGAAGTTATCATCATAGTTGTATGACCGCCGCCTGGCCCGGGAAGATCTTTCTGCGGGTACTGTCTTGTCCACTCTTGGGGCCGAATCTGCCATTACACTATCGTTAGAACTTTCGTCCGGGGGCGAAATATCATGAGAACGGTTCTGATCTCTCAGCAGCTGGTTGAGTTCGTTGATCTACACCCACGGTCAGCAACTTCCTGGCAAACAGAATAGACGAAATAACATACCTCTTCCGATATGTAAGCCCAGTAAGTGGTGCCCACGTATCTATTACCCGTCAGACAACTTGTCATCGAACCAAAAAAAAAATGACGATAGCGACTATAATCAAACTTACCTCGACTTCCCTCCGTCTTCCAAGCTCAGGTGACCTAGGTTCAGGCTACCAACAGGGTCGACAAGGTCCGTAGCTTGCCCTGATGGGATAGGGAACTCATCGCCGCTAAATTCTGCATTGCGTCGCGGACTCGCCTGACGAGATTCAGCAGACGACCTCATGCCCTGTCCGTCCACTACGCCCGCCTGCGCTCTGAGCAAGTTCTGTCGGTGTTCCCTCATTGACTCCAGCTCCGGGTTTTCCGCTCGTAGCTGCCTGTCTACCTCTTCCAAAGAAGGGGGTCCCTTTGTCCTGCTCAGCCTCTCAATCATGGAGGTGAGCTTGTCTAACCGCGCTTCAATTGCATTCCTCTGTTCTTGAGAACCACCGTTGCGCCCGTCCCTGGCATTGTTGTGCGGTGACTGCAACCCCTCCCCGTCCCCGTCCAGAGGTCTTGACGTCTCTCTCCTCCTCTTAACGCCATGGACGCTCGCATCTGGGCCATGGCTGCTTGTAGTTGTGTCCCTCCTAGGTACCGCATCATAAACGCACTCCGTTCCGTTCTTCACACAGTTTCCGCAAACCGGGTGAACCTGGAACGCGCCAATTCAAGTATCAGCTATAACCAGTCCAGATCCGAAAGAGATATCAGCACCACCTACCTTGTCGCACTTCACTTTCCGCCTCCGACAGGTGTGGCAGCTGTAGCTCGCGCGATTCCGAGTAATATGACGCCCTCCCGTAAGAGCCCCTCTACCCGAGGACTGCCTCGGAACTGGCTGAGGACTCATACTTGACGAAGCGATATCGAATGCAAACGGTGTATTCGACACTTGCGGAGGAAGGCCATAATCCACGCGACTATTCGTCGGACTGGGAATCATCCTGCCTCGATGAGCGCGGCGGGGTTTTCATGCCACAGCAGTCGAAGCAGATTCTCCACCCTATTCTGCGCTCGTCCGGAGATCACTGCGACATGGGAGTAGCGCATATAGCGACCGCGATACACATCTATGCGAGCGATGATCGATCAGAGATGCGACGAGTCGCAAACACGGGGGGCACAGAGTCTCTCTTTGCTGACTGCTAAAACGGTAGTTCGGCAATGGCAATCCGAACGAGAGTCTGGGGTATCGAGGGAGGCCAAAATCGGCTTATCGGAGACGATGACGATTGGTTCCCGCCTCTGTACTCGCACTAGAGCAACTCTCCATCCCGCCTACAATGTCCGGCCTATTGGAAACGACAGGCTTTTGCACGAAACAGTCTAAAGCGCGTTCTATAGAGGAGTTGGGCGCCCAACTTGCATTAGGCGATGGTAATAATGCGCAGGTCAGGTAACGCGCATCCTGCAGTGAGTTATTACTTGGCCTGTGGTCTCCTCTTCTCGTCTCTCAAGTTAGAAGGGAGTCTCTGGGATAGGTATCGTGAAATAGCCGCCTTTATACTACTAGCAATCGCCTTTACAGATTCAGATATAGATTTCACACTTTCTCAAGAGTGGTATTTAACCATAGCACGCGACGCCAGTGCTAGTATAAGCACCGCATCGGAGTACACTCCACCTCGCCACAGGGACAGTAGTATATCGCGGAGTCTAACACGATAGATAGTCCCTCTTCTTTAGAGTTGTGGTTAAATGCTTCGCCAGATTTGCGGAGCATGGGCTCCAGTAGATATGCAAAGAAAGCAAGTTCAGCCACTCAGCATGGAGAGAATATTTTCCACCGCAGCAGAGAATCAGCAGTCATCCTTTTATCACTCTCACAACAATATAATATCTTTTGATTCCCAGCATCGACCCATGTTTATACGCGTCACACTGTGTATCCTCCCGGACGAAAAGAGATAAACGCCAGTCGCCATGCAATGCAGACAAAGCCAAAGAAACAAACCATGACCAAGCTCGGCCGGACTCATGCCTTCGACTTCTTCTTATCTTTCTTTTTCTTCTCAGCGCCACTAGCACCGGCAGGCTCCCCAAATCCGGCCATGCCGGGGATCTCGGGCATCCCAGGGAAACCGGGCATGCCTTGCATGTTTTGCATCTCCGCCATGGCTTCTTTGAACGGATTGTCGCTGACACCGCCACCAGAGTACGCTGGCGAATGAATGGGAAGGATCTTGCCAATCTTCCAACCTCGAGGAGCTGGAGGAGGTGGCGGCAGTTTCTCTGGCATAGGAAGTCCTTGTATTCTCAGCCGGTAAGGCGACTGTTCTGTCGTGGGGTGGGCCTTCAGGTACTGCGCGACGAGAATGTAGAGGTGATGTTCTGTAGCCAGAGTCAGATAAACATAACACGAACTACGTATACCAATCTCAGCTCAAAAAAGGCAAAAGAGATGATAAACGTACTGTTCTTAACCTTGGGGTTCGCAGGTGTCCCATCTTCGTTCTTCAGCATAACCCTCACTCTTCCAGGATTGGCCCAATCCTTGGGATGCAGCTTTTCCGGTTCAAAACCAACTCTCAAGCCCAGCATCTGCACCGCATCCAGAATATCCCTCGCGAGTGGATTCTCCACCGCAAGCTCACTGCCAACTTTGCGTCCTTCTGCGCGCGACCTCGTCTTGTCAAAGTAGACTGGATACAGACATTGGAAGTGTTTCGGGATTTCACGTCGAGCTTCGCTCGGTCTGATTCCAGCCCCAGGACCAGGAACTATGGAAGGGGAGATGATGGACTCTTTGGCAAACTGTGCTTGGTTGAATTCGGACGGGGCGACCTCTTCGGGGTCGGAGTCAGAGACTTCCTCTACGCGCGCGTGCGACATGGCGGGCTGTATGCTCCTGTGACTGGGCAGTTATGGAATGTCGACAGCTCACTGTCTGGGGTGTTTGTGGAACAGGGAGACAGAGCAATAATTGTCGAACTGCGGAGGGGTGTGTTCGCGGAGAGCTAGTCTGGCCTTTCTGTGCGGAACTCCAACAGCTTTTGGTGGGTCAAGTGCGGAGCGGGCCAACGTCCACTGCGTCTACTTCATAGATGCACCGCATTTTATGCTATATCAATAAGTTTCTTCGAGGGACTGTACTACTGAAATCGACATTAAAGCTTAATTTCACTCTTCCATTTTCACGGATCTTTCAGCAAGATGTGCAAAAAGTCCGAAAACGTCAATAGCTCCTGCACTTGTCCAATATATATGTATGTACAAGGGACTGTAGCTCGAGGATGAACCATCTACCACCTCGTCATAGCATGCTATCTCTGCACGTTTCCGCCTGGCTTTGCCCCATACTCTCATATTCTTATCAGCTAATCAAGGTCGAGGCTTCTCATAGATCTTGTAGATCGTCATGCTCTGGTCTCTCCCTATATAGTACGGAAAGAAAGATAGTAGGGGACACAGGTTCGAACCCTGTTGCCAGCTCGAAATTATCTACCAACGAAACAAAAAAGAGCAAAAGAATAAAGTCATATCAGCCCTTTAGGGGGCCTTTTTCTCCTATACAGCACACTCCGAGTTCGCGTACAGGTCGTGCCAGACACAATCAACTCGTCAACATCCTAGCTTTTGCTTGAAGTGTTCTCCAAGGTTGCATTTATATACATAGTTCCATAGCTTCGCATATCCTATACCATATGGGAGGTCTAATCAATACTACTACTGTTACTACGTACGGTCTCAGATCTAGGACGATTTATCAGCTTCATAGTTCACGTTTGGATATCTGTATACGCCCTACAGAAGAAATACGAGAGGAAGTCACAAGTCTTATGAGTTATTTTGAATTGCAATGCAGAATCAGAATCATATTTAGATCATTAGTAACCCGGACATAGAAATCCGTAAGAAGAACAAGAATACTTGTATTTTTTCCCTTCCGCTTACAAAGAATAAAATAGTGGAATGGAACAGGTACAAGTAGAAGCAGATCAACCCCCTGGATAACTTATAAGTACATATCGCAGGAGGGAAGAGTAGCATGGCATCCAGACTCTTCGACGGGGGGCATCTAGTGATTGTATTTTGGGCCAAGATCCAAACGCTGGCGTGAATTATACCCGGATCAACAGCGTGCAAAGATCGCAAGGCATGCGTAGGGATATCGAGAGGACGAATCCAAGGTTAATATAATCATAAGCGACATGACAGCCACGACGCACGAATCTTGAGTTTCGTTAAGAGCTGTATAACACCTGTTTCTCAAGCTCTTTCCAACAATCATACTTGCAGACGATGTGATGTGTCGCTGCAAGGTGCCACCGGTGCACATATGTCCGTATAGCACGTCTATCTTTGCAGAGAACGATATCCATTTCAACATTCACGTCATCATAGTCCCTGCGCAAGAAAATAAAACCACATAAGGGACTAAGTCCCAAACCGCTGTGTAACGTCATAGACTCTGCAGTTGATGGGAGATTTTATCATCCAACCCATCTTAGACTACACCAGCGGCAGCTTGTAGGTTGTACTCGTCCAGATCTATATTTCAACAGTCTAAGACCAAGACTAAATGTTGGATGAAAGCTTCGTCATACGCTAAGAGGAATTCCAATTCCCAGCCAGCAAGCTCGTACAATGATTGTTCATCGAGTATGATTCAGTCCAGAGTCTTGGAAGCGGAGCAATCAGTATCGAGTCTTGGTTTGATATTCCATTTGCGCCGGGCAGATCTTCCATCTTCAGCATTTCAAGATATTTGCCACTAGATGCAATTCTTCTGGCTGCTGGAGTGATAGATAATCCATTATGGTGATCTGGATTAGATCTAGAGGGATTTAATATCTGGTTGGACTCTCCTGGCGTAGATTGTGGTGATATTTTACTTCAATGGGTGGTCCTCTCATCTTAAAACAGAGATTTAGTATGGCTAATGCTACGTTCTTGAGGTATTACAACGTTTCCGCTTCCCCTGGAATAACGCTGTTTCTTCTAAAGTGCTAAACGGAGTATTAGACTGAGTAGTAGTCAGAGCAGCTTATGAGATTGTTGCCAGACCAGGCTAGCCGAGGACTGGAATAGTTCATGAGGTAGTGATCTGGGTATTGGAAGGCAGGCCCCAGTCTGCAGGTTCTGCATTGTTGATTCAGAATCAGTATAAGCTTCCAACCAAATAGCGAGACAATGTTAATGGGCAAATTAGCTATCTTTAGAGAATCTCGTCATCTGATTCCTCGAAGCTATCACTCAACTCATCGATGATAATAACATCCAGTATAGCGAGCGAGCGTACTTCGCTTCTCTAGGCGAAAGCACCCGCTTATTTATATATACATATACGTATATTGTTCACTTGAAGAAACGCTCTCTACGAGATATCTATCATTCATCTTAACATGACGATAAAGCACATTACCATTGAAATCTCCAACTTTTCCCTCCAGTAAATACCATTAAATATAAATATAACCCCGGGAATACCAAGCAATAAGAGACAACCATTCCCACGCTTTCAACCCACTTAATTATAGAGCAAAATACTCCTGTACATCAATTAACCTTAGTGATACAAGACGCGAGTTTATTTTTAATACTCAGTTTGCAGCATTCAAATAGCTCAAATGCGTGGTACTTCCGGATGAGGAATATCCAGGTAGGTAGGTAAGTAAAGCGGACCGAATAGGGCAACAAGACGCCTATAATCGAACTGGCGGCGTTTTATAACCACGGACTATACATACTTGTGCTGTTGGATGTTTATTGCTTTTTGTTTTTCTTATCTTGCGTTTCTCAATGTGTGTGGGAATATCGATCATGGATTGGGAGTAATATGAACACTGCAGAGCATGAGATGTGGTGCATTTTAGCAAATAGATCTAGATATTCAACGCTCGAGGCCGTGGACGAGAGCATTTTGCTTTTCCGAGATTGAGATATCCATTGTATTAAGAGCTACATTCCAATGATATAACCTGAGAATCGGCAGTTTACATTCTATTGTTCCCTTGTCGATATTATATCCGATTCGTCTTATTAATCTGGAAGGACTGTATTACAAATCGAGAAATTCATAACTACTACATAACTTACGAGTACAGTATTACACTTTGCCAGTACAATGCCAATGGGGTGGGATTTCTTTTACCCAATACGTAGACCTAGCATAAGGTATAATTAAGCATTACTCGGGATTGCAGAGAGAGTAGTATATTTACCTCGGAAATCTTAATATCTCTGTCTCTATTTGGGAAATGGGAGCATTAGACATTCTTTGCAAGGAGATACGACTGTGATAGATGTGGATATCTGGAATGATAACTGGGGGTTATGACGGATCCATGGGTAATAGTTAACAGAGGATTAACAATGAATTGATTTAAGTCAAAGGACGGCAATATCGGATTCAATTGCTTAATGACATGACGAATGGGAGTGGACTAGACTAGCGGAGAATTATCGAGCAGGAGATATCTATGCCTATTGCATTAGATTAGATCCTCAGTTATGAAAATTCCGAGGATTGTTAAAGACTTAGAGTAATTTTGTTACACTATTGAAAGGCTAGTTAGTTAGTTGACTAGGTTGACACATGGATACTACATACTATGAAGAGTTCTAAATGACATTTGGTGCGTGCTCATAAGCAGGCGAATTGCACAAGAGGAAAGGACCCTCTCAGATCTGCGCATATTAATTTATACGGCGATTAAAATAACGTTACCGCCACCGTCTAGCACGAGGGATATTGCGTGGCTGGGCGGAATATGCCGCTCTAATACGTAGAGCGTCTATTTCAAGAAAAGAGTGGGACAGCAAACCGACCACCACGACATACCCGAAAAGGAATCCTTAATGTTATTTCTCTGGATCATTTCTCTGGGTCTGCGTGTTAGAGTGTTACATTTGTTTTGTTTTTTTTTTCTTCTCACCACTTGGCAGGGGTGAAGCCTTTCTAGAAGAAAGCTTAAAACGCGCAACACGTTTCATCGGGTGTTCCTGAAGATCCACGAAGTTGTGGAGCGCTTCCGACTTCCGTAGTAACTATTCGTTTCGAAGAGAGGAATTATGTATTGCAGGGGGGTTCTCCGTGAGGACGCCGTAGTTCCGTATATGCCGACTGCAGAGTGCCGAAGCTAGTTCGGAGGGAGAAATCCAAGAAGCCAAATGGATTGTTATAGAGTAGAGTCGCTATTTCGGTCCGTATATCCGAACATAAGAGTGTTTTCTTCCGGGTTTGCTATTGCGAAGGTGAAGAATTTTCCGAACTATCGGTAAACGCGCGCCGCCACCACGTGGGATTTCTCATTTCAGCAGTAGGGAACGGAGAGAAGAGGCTCTATTGTCGTCTGTACGGAGTACTCCGTAGGCGCAATGGGCATGGCTCATGGTGGTTGGGAGAGGTGAGCAATCTCGCAAAGAGGGTACGCCGGGTAAACTCTGTTATGAAGTTTAATGTGCAAGACCCTGATGCGAAATATATAGTTGGACAGCGAGAGCCCCAGATCAAAGGTTCTTGGGGCAGACTAATCGACTAGGTTGGCGCCAGATAAGCAGCTAAATTAGCGGAGAACCGAAGAAATCCATACTTAGCACCGCTGCGGGTGCCTGGACTTGGCCCTGGATCTTGCACGCTAAGCAGGGGAGAGCCCTGTTCCCCAAGGAACCCCTCGTGGCTTGATTTAAAACCAACACTGGCTTAAGCTGATCGAGGATGAGGCCACCATCGTGTGACCGTGCACCGCATTTAGCTGTTGCAGGCTTGGAGCGTGCATGGCGATATCGGGTAGTTACTGGTGCTTTCCAAGGCTGGGTGTCTATACGGCAAAAGCTGGCGGTGTCTCGGGCGCGAGACTTGCTGGTGAAGAAGTCTTCGCGAATTCGTCGGCTTGTTGTCCAGAACGTTCCCCATATCCAGCCATGCGGCCTGATGCAAGGATGTCCGGGGAGGAGCCGAGGGGCAGAAGTAAATACAGGACCAGAAATCCTACTCACGGTCAAAGCAGAAGCCCAATTTCGAGCGCGAGAGTCGTCACTAACATGCTGCTCTTTCCAGTTGATGTTCATTCGATGCTCACTGCGAGATAAGAAAGTTGCATATGAGCGGCCTTAGCGAAGCAGGGATGAGCTCGTTCTGCAGACGTTAGGCTATGTAAGGAGCCAGAGGGCCGACTGCCTCGACACAGTAGATATACGAAATAAGGATATGCAATCGAGACAGTCTATGCTGCAAGATTTAGCGTCTTAGGCAACAGAGCCCGTATGAGCTTGGTTTAAGCAGAGACCTGTGAAAATGGTGGACGAGTTCGTGCTGCTCATCCGAACTCATTCGTCTGTGAATCGTGACCAAGGGAAAGGCGCAGCGCTAACCTAGCTACAGTACAATGTAGTAGTACCTTGGAGATAGCAGCGCTGACTCGCTTGACATAGGCTAAAAAACCGAACGTCAGTGTAGACTGAGGCCCAAATAGAGTAAAGATGGTCCAGCACCCTAATAATTGACTCATCTAACGCCACTGCAAACATACTCTAGTTGATGTCGCACGCGGTAATCGGTATTCGGACGCCGTATGCTCGGCAGATTAACTGTAGCATTGGTAGATTGGATCACTGCTTGATGAAAGTGTTGTGTTATTGACATTCAAGTACAGTGTTCAATGAAAACTTTTTTTCGCTGCCGGAACACCGACTCTGAACGCAGCGGAGAGGCTGAGTTGGCGGCCAGCTTCGTCTTCCCCACCGCGGGGATAAGTATTGCGGGTGTACTCTACTCTAAGCACTGGACACAAGTTAGAATTCAATAGCCGCCGATCGTTGGCTGCAGCCAGGTGCCTGATTCGTTGCCAACGTCCAAAGTGTTCTGACAGAGCATCGGGCTATTGGATTTTGCATCCGTGGTTCATTTTACCCCGACAACAACTGCTGAGTGTCAGATGCTTTCCCGTGCGCGACCCTTGGGTCGATTCGTGCACTGTGCACACGGGACAACTTGTCAAGCAGAGCGCAAACCCCGGAGTGCACGGGTCTTAAAGCGTTGATTCAGTGGAGAACGGGGAGTTGACTGTAGTCTGTGGTAGTGAAAGTGTTGGATGAACAGTTGTATTGATTTTTAGTCCTAGTTTCTGGCTGTTGATTGGAGAAGCGAGGAAGTGGCGCCGTTTTAGTCTCGTGCTGCGCATTTTGCATCCATGGAACCAGATGGTTCATACCGGGTTGTCGGGATCAGAAATACTCGACGTTGCGGAATCTTGGGATTACAGTATCAGGAGAAATCGACAGCACCGTGGTTCCATCCCGCTTGATGAAGAAAGGGGTGTATGTTCCTGAGCATGGGACGCTGTTCCTGCATCGTAACCCGATATTACCATAGTTAGCAGACGAGGTCAAAGACACTTGGTTCAACTTGAGGCAGCCTCGAGCATGCTCATTGAAGGCTGGTATGATGCAAGGGCGTTGAGCACACACTGGCGCTTTCTGCTGCTGCTGATCACGGCAGTTGGAGTCGGTGATGCTAAGTATCGGCGATCAAATAAGTCTTTCCTGAAAGCCGAATCTGTCAGAAATCTCTGCTGCTTGTGGGCAAGAGCAGTAGTGACTTGACTTAGTCTTGACCTGACATGACATGACATGACATGCCCCTCCTCCCCGGGATCTTCTTGGACGGATTGCCACTGTCAAAGTCTCAAGACTAAATCATCCCAAGAAGGGCATCGCGCAGTCGACGGAGTTGAATGATCAGCATGAGGTTCGGCGCGGAATAAGTGGTATCCCGACCAACGAACCATGGTCTGCAGGCAAAAAAGGCGGACGATCGACGGCCGTTGCCGATAGCCACAGGCCAACAACGCCAGGAACACTCCCAAACTCCCTCATCTGTGAGGCATTTCTACTGATTGGTTGCGCCTGAGGAAATTCTCTGGTGGATTGGGAGGTCAAACCGTCAAAACTAAAGTCACAGACCGTGCACGCTGGTGGAATCCGACAGAAGTGGGTTACAGAGGAAATAGTCAACGGATCGTGGGCCAAAGATTCACCGCTCAACCAAGGTACGATTTTGGTCGTCTCTCGATAGTATGTATTCCTGTTGGCAAAGGGAAATGACGATCAAAATACAAACAGACATTTCTCTCCGGGGACCTTGGTAGTCGTCAAAATCGGATTATTTTTTTTCCTTCTCTATGTTCATTAAGAGAGACATGTACATCGCTAGGTCGTATGTGGATCCTCCGTCAAAAATATGCAAAAGAAAATATCCAAAGAGGGGCAGAAAATGGATGTACATATATAGAAATATGTAGCAAGAAAGAAAGAAAATGATGATCCAGTTTTGGTGATCGCTTGTTCCGAAACGCCAGTCCTCCACTCGGGTCGTAACATACCAGTCACGGTATATAAGGGTAAAAAGGCTAAAAGGGGAAAATCGAAAGGGAATGCTGCATGTACAAGTGTTTCAAGGTTCCGGTGCAGCGACAGCCAGGGCCTCGTGCGTCTGGCCCAGAGGCCAGTTCTGTCGATGTTCTGGCTCGATCTCTCGATGGTCGTGTTGGACAGTAACGGTGATATCCTGTCGAATCCTCAGAGCCCGGGCGGAGCCATCGTCGCTAACAGCTTCGCGCTCCTCACTTTGGCGAATGCTGACGTCCGAGACCTCTTTCAACGGGGAGGACCCGACACGCTCGAAGTCTCGCATGCTGCGCATGCTGAATTCGCTTGACTGCACTCCACTGGGCGTTCCGTATTTGCGAAATACTGAGCTCTTGGTGTAGGCTCCCGAACGATACCGTTCTGTCAATCTTCTTGATCCACCGGTCCAGCTCTTGAGGGCGGGGAAGATGTCGCGGAGGAGAGACCAGATGAGCGGGATGTTGGTGACCAGAATAGCGACCGTCGCTTCCCGGAAATACCAGTTCATGTAGACGTAGTTGATCAGCCACGGGACGAGACAGTAGACCTTCGTGAGGATAGCAGCGACGATGACGAAGGCGCCCATGCCGAACAGGAGCAGAAGAATCAACTTCTGCTTCAGCGGTAGACGAACGCTCATCAGCAGAGGGATGGCGACACACAACATGAGCAGATCGGCTGAGATTGAGAAGACTCCCTGGATGATCTCGTAGTGCTGGTACGACGAGCATTGATCTGAAGTGATATTAGCCATCCATGCTTTATGGAAGTATCCGCGAAAGAGTCCACTAACAGTTAGGTGTTGGCACAGCCCAATAATCCGACAGTGGGCGGCAGGTCAGGAAGAGCGCGAGTTCTGTTCCGACGAAGCCCAGGCCGACATAGACAGCGCAGTAATTGATCAGACGTCGCTGCCTCAACCCTTCTCTAGAAGCAGAAATCAACTGTTAGTAAATTCGATGCGGAGAAGTAGCATGTAAATACAATAGGCAAGACATACGTGATACGGGCATAGATGATCAGCATGCAGGCTTTCAGGCTCCATATCGTAAGCACCATGGAGTGCTCCGACACGAAAACCCACTTGCTGCCCGTCACTCGGTCCGCATGGATCTTTGGTGTCATGGTAGCGATCTCTTCCGGTGTCATCAAGTTGGAACCTCCTCCTGAAGCGACTTCATTCAATGCCACACAGAGCAAGGTATACCAGAAGACTGCGAACATCATCAGGTAGTCATCCGCTTGCAGATTCCGTATCCCAAGACGTTTGATTCTCGCCACACTACGAAGAGTCTCTGTTAGTATCCTCGAGAACCAGAAGGAATATTGCCAGGTCGAGTTTACTCACAATCGCAACACCACGCCCAACATGCCCACCCCATACAAGGCCCATGTTTCGCGGGCAAAGGACCCCCCAAAGACTCGGGTGGGCATCTTGTGGCGGCTTTGTCGTACTCACGGCGAGTCCACGAGGAACTCCGCGTCGCAAACCAAAGAGGATGACCCAGGACGTGGGATCGTGGTTAGGATCGATCCCCAGGGTGCATCTATATTATTATATTATCAAGATTATCCAAAGATCTGGAACATGTGCCAGACGGGGACGAGGGGCGGGAATGGTCGCCCATATCAATAAAGATCGATTCCCTTCGGCAAAGGGCCCATTCCAGATCCGACTATTGGAGGTGCTGGGACCAAAGTCTAACCTGACGATCCTCCATGGACCCTTGGATCTTGGCCCCTCTGAGGCCACTTTTTCCTTTGGGCGGATCAGGAGAGAGTTCGCAGACGAAGTCTTAGCGTGCCTCAATTGCGCATCGCAGAACACCAGCAGGCCGGGCCAATCGGTAAAGCCATGTGGGATTCAGGAATGCAACTATTGCCCGCGAGTTCCCAAGGGGCCCAAGGTTTGCAGCTTTACATGGCACTTTAACAACAGAGTCGGGGCGACCCTTGCAGGAAGACCCTACAATCAGCGTGCATTTGCAAATAAAGCCCGTTTCATCCAGATTCTTCCAATGGCTCGCTCGAACTGAGCCATGGATCCTATCTTCCCAGCCATATTTTTGGGTTGAAAGTTAGACCACAGTTGGACCGCTTGTGGCTATGATGAAATCAGATCCGAGTTCGGCCAGAAAATGGATGTTATGGCCCTTTTTTTGCCCCGGGAATATACTATAATTATATCATGTCCTTTCCAACGACTTTCGAGGGGAGATTTGGAGGTGCAGTCGATCAATATGAGATGCCACCGTCCACAGCTTTTGTGCGAAGGTCCAGGATCTAATTACGTACGTGGGCAGATCTTGCGTTCGGCGTGGCACGCGAGTCAGATCGTGGGTAGTAGCGCTATGTATCGAGTCTACTTAAGTACGCTATGCCCTGTGGATTCGTGTGGGCCGCAGCTAACAAGCAGAGTTCCCTAGCGTTCATGACGATGATACCGTGTATTCGGACATCACCCGAGAGAAGTCATAGTACCGGCGTAAGCGCGTCAAGTATTAGACATCCTCGTCTATGCATCGAAAGAGCATTGACGCTGCCCTTCACTACAGGAGCATGGTAAGGCCTAGTGGCTTCGTGCCTCCATATACAACTGGACTCATGTATAACTTAACTTACCCTACTACATAGTTACCCGGATCGGAGTACCTACCCCAGGCTCGATAGCGTCCAGCGGCCGGTGTCCGATCCAAGACATCGCGCCTAGATGTTAAGTTAGCAACCCAATGTTCCGGTAACCAGAAGTCCACCGCAAATTGTCATAGCCGCTGGTCATCATCCAACCTAACTGCGGTAATTAGATATTTATGCGCCTACAAACTATTATTACTCAGCCTTCCGATATTCGCAGCCTTCTCTCCCGGCACGTTTCATATCTTGCAATCGCGCTTGAAGACAGTGCACTCAGAGCTCTGCAATAAGTAATAGCCGCATGGGGGGGGGGGGGGGGGGGGCTTCTTTCCTCCGCGCGCTGCTGCTCAGCCACAGGTAGTAAGAATAATAATCTCGAGGGCCTCAGGTAGATACTGCGAATGGCAATAATACCCGCGTCGGCCTCTTCCGCTGTGTCCGACTCCCAAGATAGTGCATCCTCCGTCGTTGCAAGAGGAACAGAGTTGCACTCGACTAGTCGTCGCTATTCCAGACCAGCTAGAGGTTTGATGTGTTCAAGTCCCTCGTACAAGGGGTGGATGTCTAGTTCCTTGGGTTACTCAACAGGACCTTGGAAGACCATTGCCGTAGGAGTGCGCAAGGGATAGTGTGCTGGACTGATCAACTGGACAAATGGGCGATACTTGGTTCTGACATCGAAGGAGGGGTTGGGATAAAGTCTTTCGTGTGTCCTTCTCCCATGTAAGGGACAGGACACTCAAATTTGGATCAGAATCGAGCAGTGAAGACGGTTTGTTAATGGATGATTATCATTGTTATTATCTCCTGCTCCGACGAACAGGTGGCGAGCAGCCGGACCACGTGACCACCCGCCTGGCCGACAGAGTTTGACAGGCTCAGACTTGATGATTATTATTATTATTGATCCAATCTGACCCAGAGAGGCTGAGCATGGGCTGGCTGGCAGTTCGGAGTAGTAACAGTTCTTCAGCTTCATCGTCTTGACTAACTATCACAAAACACACGCACACAGGCTTATCATCCACGCAAGACCCCATCTGCTAGAGCTCCCTTTTCGGGCATGGCCTCCGTGACTTATCCCCCGGCTGCTCGACCGATATCGACGGCAACAAACGCCATCGCGGGTCTGCTCCAGTCTGTTCTCCAGTCCATGGCTATCCCGTCCACCAACCATACTGGCGTCTGCGGAGAGATCCTTTTGATCAGAATCCACCCCATGGCCGTGCAATGGCCCTTGGGTCCAGGCCGGCTTTTTGGCCACCTGCGACGCCCATTACCATTGCTGATTGGCCTTCAACGCCTTTTCCCCTGCGGTATCCCGACTCCGGGATGTTGTTAAAGATAAGGGGAATCGCATTGCTGCTGGTTTTGCAACGCTCGATGTCACTATCAGTCCATCTGCAAAGGGAGCATGGTCAACCCCGCAGGTTCAACATTCTCCTTTTGAACGTGGCGGCGTTCCAGTTGAGCCAAAACTCGCGTGGACTTCGTCTTCTCGAAGAACTCTATCGAGTCTGACCTGCTTTGATTGGAGTGGCTTCCCGGTGACACCCCGTCAGCATTTTGTGTTCACTCGTTGCTTAATTCTTCGTTTAAAGTCCAGTGCTGAGCCATCTTTTTTTTCCCCTTGGACGACTCTTACACTCCTTAATTCCCTTTTTTCTTTCTTCCTTCTGTGTTTTCCCCCCTTCTCGTCGCGGGCCCGTTCAGAATAGAATAGCCGACGGTTGGGTTGTCTACAATGGCCGACAAGGGGACCCCGGAGAAGATGCAGACAGTGGCGAACGCTGCGGATGACCACGACGATGTTGAGGTTGTTAATGCCTCGGGTCATAAGCAGGAACTGGAGCGGAACTTCAGTCTGGTCAGTATCTGTGCTACTGCCGTCACAACTGGAAATACCTGGACTGCCGCGGGAGGCAGTATTGTAAGTTCTGTCCGCTGCCAGCACACTAAAGACATTGGCTGACCCCCGATAGACTGCGTCGCTAAGCAATGGAGGACCTCCTGGTGCACTTTATGAATTGTATGCTGCTTATCTACCCTCGTAGATGTCATTGATCTAACTCTTTGCAGTATTGCGGTTTCAGTCTGCTATTGGTTGGTAGCGTCTTCTATCGCCGAATTGGCGTCTGCAATGCCGTCGTCTAGTGGTGGTATGTCACACATCTATATGGATCTCAATAATTGCTGCTAACATACTCATCAGTGTACCATTGGGCCTCTATCACTGCGGGCAAATATGGTCGTCCGTGCGGTTTCTTTGCTGGCTGGTGGAACGCTCTGGCCTGGGTTTTCGGGGCTGCTTCCATGGCTGCCATCCTCGGAAACCAGACGGTGTCGATGTATGCGTTGTTCCATCCGGACTTCACACCCCAGGCGTGGCATGTCTTCGTGAGCTTCATCAGCTGCTCATTCATCTGCTGCGCTACGGTTTTGTTCGCGAATAGAGCCCTTCCCGTGATCAGCAATCTTGGAGGCTTCTTCATCCTGGCGGGAGTATTCATCACCATCATTGTCTGCGCAGTTATGCCTCATGTCACTGGCGCCGGTTATCTACCCTCGCACACCGTCTGGCGTGACTGGGACAACCTGACAGGCTACTCCAGCCAGGGTTTCGTTTTCGTTGCCGGTATGCTTAATGGAGCGTACAGTGTGGGCAATCCAGATATTTCCACCCATCTTGCTGAGGAGATCCCAAGGTGAGAACCCACGTGATCTTAGATTCTAATTGCAGGATTTCCTGAGTCTAACTCGAGATCAGGCCTAGCAAGAATGTCCCCAAAGCCGTCCTGGCCCAGATGGCTATTGGCTTCGTTACGGGATTCCTTTATCTGGTCGCTATATTATACTCAATTCACGATCTCGACGCAGTCATGGGCAGCTCATATAACTTCCCTATCGCTGAGATTTACCTGCAGGCCACGGGAAGCAAGGGAGGAGCGCTTGGTCTGCTTATCATTGCATTCATTCCGACAGTTATCACATGCATTGGTTGTTACATGACGGCCGGACGCACTCTGTGGACGCTCTCTCGCGACCGTGCGACGCCCTTCCCTAGCTGGTTGAGCCATATCAACCCGAAGACGCAAAATCCGTTCAACGCCACCCTCGTGTGCGGTGTTGTCGTTACTATCCTGGCGTGCATCTACGTCGGTTCGACGACTGCTTTCCAGGCCTTCATTGGATCATTCGTGCAACTTTCCAGTCTCTCTTACCTGGCCGCCATTCTGCCCCATCTTCTCACCAAGCGGTCATCAGTCACACCAGGTCATTTCTGGATGGGACGCATTGGTTTTATTGTCAACCTCCTGTCCTCTATCTACATCGCCGCCTTTGTCGTCATTTTCTGCTTCCCGTACGCCCTCCCGACAGATGCGGGTTCGATGAACTATGCCTGCCTGATCACCGGCGGTCTCACCATTTTCGTGGGCGCCTGGTGGCTCGTCCGGATGCGCACTTATAAGGGGCCGTCATCCATCCCATTGACCGACAAGATCATCCCCGAGGATGCGATATAAACATTAGTACATGAATTCTTTGTCACCCGGCCTTGCGATTAGTCTCCGGGCCAGTCTCATCTTTCAATACCCTTTTGGGAACACTCTTTTATGGTCTGTTTATGATTAGATTCCCCGTACGTATATTTATGTTCGACCTGTCTATGTTCGGCGTGGAGTACTGTCTGAAAATATGGCTTATTTCTTTACTCTGCGCGCACGTAATGAGTTCGTCGCGTCGCACGTACATATTTCAAATATTCATATAATATCTATTGAACTCATGGACCGAATACTTATCCAACTCCGTCGTAGCCAATAACGATTCATCATCTACGTCGTCCAGCCCGACAGACGTCCGCAGGACATAATTTTAACAAAACAAGAGATTCAAATAATCATAAACTACTACATCGAGTGAGTACGTCGCAGTAGCGCCTCAGTAGCACTATCAATCCATACTTACATCCCACAGGACCACAGCTATAGTTGAATCACGTGATACCGCGCCCCTATGAACGCGCTACGCGACTCCCCCCGTTGAGATCAGACGAAGGACAGCTTGCGCATCAACAAGCGCAGCTGAAGACCTATATCTCTTTAAATATGGTCTTGAAGCCCTTCAAACCTCCTCTGATAAGGAAACAACCACCTAATGAAGCGAATAACGTGGACAAGACCTCCGCCCCTCAACCTCCTTCAGCGAAACGACGTCGCGTGAGCGATGATGACGCTACGACCGGCGAAGATGAGGGCGTTATTTCTGGGAGTAAAATTGAGAATGGTGCAAGGATCGTGAGACAATCGATGGCAAGGAAGCCTTTGGTGCAGGTGAAGAACTCAGTGGTGGAGACTGAAGCGGAGCCAGACGTCTCGAGAACCGGAGATAAAGAGAAGAGTAATGCGGAGGAAGGAGAGGAGGAGTATTTTAATGTCCTTTGGTTCGTTTCCCGTGTTATTTTGTCTTTTTATTTACGGAAAACAGTCCTCTGTGTGGTCGTTTCTAGCTTTTGACATGGATCATTTGCCACTAACACATCCAGGCGCAAGTTCACCACCAAGAAAAACAAGACATGGGACGGAGACGGTATCCTCTCCGTAAGGGGCGGATATGCATATTTAAAAGACGTATCCGGTCGGGATATGGGCAAGATAATGCTTAAATCGACGTTGGAGCCCGGCGCTATGCTCTCGATTGGCGGGAAGGAAGTCGAAGTCGATTCGGCCATCCCGAAACAGGAATATCTTTCTGGACGGCAGTTCCTTGGGAGTACCAAGACTGTTTCCCCTCCGAAGGCTAGAAACGAGGCCGTGAAGAAGACGCCTATGCAGGTGCCGAAGACTGTTTCGAGGACTGCGTCCATGGGGGCTGCGAAACCGCTTGTGAGGACGAAGTCTCAGGTTCAGAAAGTTAGCATGGGGAGCATAGCAGATAGTACTGCAGGGGAAGGGACAGGCATGACTAATGCCTTTAAGAACCCATTGAAGGACAGTACGGTTATGCCCCAAGCGTCTACAGGAAAGCCGACCCCTCGACATGATCCGTCTCAGCCAGGAGCGCTGGTGATGAAACGACCAGACTCTGTGCCAAAAGGTAAGCAGATTGTCGATGTCGTTGTGGATCCACTCCTTACGAAGCACCTTCGTCCGCACCAAAGAGAGGGCGTGCAGTTTCTGTACGAATGTGTTATGGGCCTTAGAGATTTCAACGGTGAAGGTGCGATCCTAGCAGATGATATGGGATTAGGAAAGACTCTGCAAACCATCACGCTATTATGGACGTTACTGAAACAGAACCCAATATACGAAGCTCCTCCGGTGGTAAAAAAAGCGCTGATTGTCTGTCCGGTTACTCTAATCAATAACTGGAGGAAGGAGTTTCGGAAATGGTTGGGGAATGAGCGGATAGGCGTCTTTGTCTTCGATGATAAAAAGAAGCGATTAACAGACTTCACCCTGGGTAAAGCATACAGCGTGATGATTGTCGGCTACGAGAAACTGAGAACGGTCCAAGATGGACTATCGCAGGGATCAGGAATTGATATCGTTATTGCAGATGAAGGCCACAGACTGAAGACTCTGCAGAATAAAAGTGGACAGGCGATTCAGTCTCTCGGCACTGCAAGGCGGGTTATTCTCTCCGGTACTCCCATCCAGAATGAGCTCAGTGAGTTCTTTGCGGCTGTGGACTTGGTCAATCCTGGGCTGCTGGGGTCCTACAAGACGTTCATGAAAGAATTTGAAGGACCGATTGTGCGAAGCAGACAACCAGAGGCGACTAAAAAGGACATTGAGAAGGGCGAGGCGAGAAATGAAGAGCTCAGAAGTCTTACGGCCCAGTTCATGCTTCGCAGGACGGCGGATATTCTGGCCAAGTACTTACCCCCAAAGACTGAATATGTGCTTTTCTGCAACCCGACCTCGACCCAGGCGAACATATATCGCAGCGTCCTTGCTTCTCCTATATTCCAAAGCGCACTTGGGAACTCGGAGAGTGCGCTGCAGCTTATTACCATTCTCAAGAAGCTGTGCAATAGCCCTTCCTTGTTGAATCCCAAGTCTGCGGATGAAACACCAAACGCAACAATTGCGGCATTACTATCGACTCTACCTCCGAGTCTTCTCCGTCACTTTTCGCCTTCGTCAAGTGGTAAAATACGCGTCCTGGACCAGCTGCTGCATAACCTGCGCACCAACACTTCCGAGAAGATAGTCATTGTCTCCAATTACACGTCGACGTTGAATCTTCTAGCTAATCTCCTAGCTTCGCTCTCCCTCCCATTTCTGCGCCTAGATGGCTCAACCCCAGCAGCAAAGCGCCAGTCTCTCGTTGACAATTTCAATCGCACACCCGCAAGTGCCTGCTTTGCGTTCCTCCTCTCCGCCAAAGCGGGGGGAACGGGCCTCAATCTCATCGGAGCCAGCCGCCTTATCCTCTTCGACGTCGACTGGAACCCTGCAACAGACATGCAGGCCATGGCACGTATCCACCGCGATGGGCAAAAGAAGCATTGTCGGATCTACCGCATTCTGCTGAAAGGAAGTCTGGAAGAGAAGATCTGGCAGCGACAGGTCACCAAGATCGGTCTGGCGGACAGTGTCATGGAACGGAAGGGCGGTGGTACCGCGCAGTTTTCTCGAGAAGAGTTGAAAGATCTCTTCCGACTGGATGAGACGAGCACCTGCCAGACTCATGAATTGCTTGGCTGTGACTGTGGGGGACGAGGCGTTGTCCTGCAGACCATAGACGACCAGAGATCCTCAGATGATGACAACGCCACAGACGAAGAAGAAGAAGAAGAAGATCTCCCAGACTTTCCCACCCTGCTCAAAGCATCCGAAGTTGACATGGAAGCCCAAGAGCGCCAGATCCAAGAGCGCAAACAAAGCCGAAATAAGGGAAGAAAGAATGATAAAATGCAGCAGTTTCTTTCTCATTTTGCACATATCGATCCGTCCCTACTGCTGGACTCTGGGACCACGGAAGATGAGACTGCGTCAGACATTAACGACCTTGTCGAAGACGATGTCTTGGTGTCCTTGTTGAAAGACGAGGATAATCGAGTTCGCTATGTGTTTAAGAAGACGACTGGTGCGGGGATTTAGGGCTGGATTGGTTGATTATATTCGGGTTTTTACAGCCGTGTCATGCTACGGAATAGATTAGACATAGAGCGCAAGAATAATGATGACTATAGACATCGCAGACGATACTTGAATTAGAGCTCGGATGGTCAATAATATTCTATTCCAGCACGTAGTTACCTTTGGTGTCACCAGAGTGGTAGTACTACTTAGTCGTAGGCGATAAGGTCTTTAATAATGCTTGTTTATCGCGCGAGAAGCTAAACATACGTGGCTGATGCACTAACCATTCCCAAACAGTAAGGCAGATCTGAGCATTTGATTCGAATGCTTAACGTGCAAGGTTACTTTCGGAGATTGAATGTTGCCGCGTGGGTCTAATAATAATGGCGTTGATCTTGGACTTTTTAAGCCCATCTTGATAGGTATTGCAGATGCATCAATCATCGATTATTGCAGAGACACAACTGAGAATCCTTTGCATCGCTAGAAAGTATGCGCATCTTCGATTTTCTCCTTCTTAACCGTGTTCGTCTGTATAACTACCACTGATATACCACCGTAACGTACGCACTAACTAATGTAGCTCAGTGACCCTCCTAATCCATTATTATGCCGACGGACTCCCCGTCAAGAATCCTGCTAAGCATGCGCCATCAACGCACGAGACGCGATAAGGAACCGACTTCCCCGAACCCCAAATGCAAGCTAGGTAATAATCTCACCCGCATCCGGACGATAAAAAGGTACCATGTCCGCCAACGCTGGTTTCTCTACTTCCTTCACGCCTAGTGATTGCGATCAGCTAGCACCGCTGCGATCGTGACAATGGCAATTCCAACAACGCGGAGGTCACTCTCCTCTTCATATTCATCTTCCTCCATGCTCCTGCTATTAGCAGCGGCGCTTTTCCCCGCCGCATATGCGCAGTTCGTCGCGCCGCCTACGGACCTCACTTCTACCAAGGGATACTTGGATATTCCTGTGCGGTATAAGAAGGTGCCGAATGGGGTATGCGAGACGGATCCGAATGTGAAGAGCTTTTCGGGATATGTGGATGTAGAGGAGAATGAGCATATTTTCTTTTGGTTCTTTGAGGCGAGGAATGAGGAGCCGGAGAAGGCGCCGTTGACGGTTTGGATTAATGGAGGTGAGTATCTAGTTCTTTTTTTGGTTTTATTTTTATTGTCTTTTGGGGGGATGGTGGAGGAATATTTGTGTAAATGATGCTGGAGATAACGTTGCCATTGTGTTGGATTGAGACATTGGCAGACATGTAGGTTCAGGAGAGGGAGGGTGTATCGAGCATCTTATAACTACTGGTTCTCACATGTCCAATTGACAAACGAAAACACCCAATGTTTTGCTTTTCTTTTTTTTGGAACTATAAGAAACAATCAAACAATTTATATTCATCTACGCAAATTAACCATAATACTAACATGCTGCAGGCCCCGGATCATCCTCCATGATCGGTCTCTTCCAAGAGAACGGCCCTTGCGGCATCGACTCCAATGGAAAGGTCTACAACAACCCCTACTCCTGGTCCAACGCCAGCAACATGCTATATATCGACCAACCCACCCAGACCGGATTCTCCTACAGCATCCCCGTGCCCGGCTACGTCGACTCCGACACGGGAGACATTATCACACTGCCCAACAACACCTGTCCGGACTACGCGAAGGATTCCTCCTGCGGCACGTACTCGTACCCTAATGTCACCCTGACGGCTAATTCGACCGATGCCGCTGCTCCTAACTTCTACCGCGCGCTGCAGGGTTTCATGGGTGCGTTTCCGCAGTATTCTCGCGAGAAATTCCATTTCACCACGGAGAGTTATGGAGGACATTACGGACCTGTGTTCAATGAGTACATTGAGAAACAGAATAAGAATCTTGCCCCGGGTGCGAAGGAAATTAAATTGGAAAGCGTCATGATCGGTAATGGCTGGTATGATCCGATCATTCAGTACCAAGCGTACTATAACTTCACGGTAAGTACTATACCATATGTCAAACCCCTCTCCCCTGGAAAACGAATCCGAATCCTCAATACTTATTTGAACGTACCATAACCAGGTCTACCCCGGAAACACATACGACTACCTCCCCTACAACGCCTCCATCACCTCCCTCCTCTACAACAACCTCTACGGCCCCGGCAACTGTCTTGACCAACTCCTCGACTGCGCCGCCCACCCCGCCATCAACGAAATCTGCAACACCGCAGACACCTTCTGTGCTAACCACGTCGAATCCATCTACGACAACTACCTCGGTCGAGACGAGTACGACTTCCGCGAACTCGTCCCGGACCCCTTCCCCTACTCCTTCTACATCGACTACCTCAACACCCCATCCATCCAAACCGCTATTGGCGCCTACGTCAATTTCACAGAGAGCAACAACGCCGTCTACCTCGCCTTCTCTTCCACCGGCGACGATGGCAGACGCTCCAACACCACACAAGACGTCGCTTCGCTCCTCGCCCAAAACATCTCCGTAGTCATGTACGCCGGCGACGCAGATTACAACTGCAACTGGCTCGGCGGCGAAGCCGTCGCTATCTCCGTCGACGCGCCAGGGTTCCAAGAGGCAGGGTACACGAACATAAGCACGTCTGACGGGATAGTGCACGGCCAAGTTCGACAGGCGGGTAAGTTTGCGTTCGTACGCGTGTATGAGAGCGGACATGAAGTGCCGTTTTATCAGCCGGAATTGGCCCTGGAGATGTTCAGGAGGGTGATTTCCGGAAGGGATGTCGCGACGGGGAAACATTCTGTTGTGCTTTCGGAGGGGTATAGGACTGTTGGAGAGGAGAAGAGTACGTATCGGGAAGGGAATGGGACTGTTCAGTGGAAAGTGCTGAGTCCTGATACGACGTATAATACTACGCTGAATGGACCGAATGCGACCCCTGTGGCTTCTTCTGGTTCTAAGAAGAAGATGCAGAAGAGAAGATTCAAGCCTGTGGCTGGTGGCGTCTGAGAAAATATCGATCTTGTAAATGGGAATGTATAGTGTATATGTACAGGTGGAGGTTATACCATCACGTATATATGACTCGTTAGAACATACTAAGATTGATTATGCTGTTGAACTATGACGGTGTCTAGCCTACAGGATCTGCAAGATAGAAAAGTTGCGAAGATTACGCTGTATAATCGGAAGGGACATTGATATTTTGTTAATGATCTTGTCTGTATTCATTCCCCGTATTCGTGTTGGAAATGGAAGAACCCCCAAAAATGTACTATGTAAATACATGCAAGGAAGAAGATTACATCACCCCCATTAAAACAGATACTTGGAACCTCCAACGCCATGCTCATGCTTATTCATCATTAACATCCGCTTTTGTGCTCGCAATTTCTTCATAATATTCATCAGCTGCGACTTTTTTCTTCGAGATCCGTTTACTCGTAGAGATCCATATCGGCACTGTTCTCCTCAATTTCGGCCAGTGCTTCATCTTCATCAACCATCTCTTCATCTTCCAACTCGACTCCCGTGTGGTTCGGCAGCACGTCGATCCGTCCTTCCTTCATGACCACACGAGCCACTTCACCATCCTTGATGCTGCCACGCAGGATAAGGACGGCCAGACGATTGAGGACCTCACGCTCAATAAGTCTCGACAGAGGACGAGCACCGTAGGCAGGCGAGTAACCGGCCTGTCCGAGGTAGTCCTTGACTTCCTCGGTGCATTCGATCTTGATCTTCTTGTCGTTCTGTTCGAGACGGCGCTGGATTTCGCCAAGACGGAGGTCGACGATCTTCCGGATCTCCGTTCTGGTGAGGCGGTTGAAGATGACGATGCTGGAGATACGGTTGAGGAACTCAGGCAGGAAGTAGTCGCGCAGGGCTCCCATGACGAGCTCACGGGTCTGAGGCTCGATCTTGCCGTCCTTGGTAGTCGGGCGAGCCAGGAATTCGGCACCCAAGTTCGATGTCATGACGACAATGCAGTTTCTCGCGTCAACAATGCGGCCTTGGCCATCAGTAATCCGTCCGTCGTCCATGAGCTGCAGCAGGACGGTAAGCACCTCCTTGGCAGCCTTCTCAACCTCATCGAACAAGAGAATAGAGAATGGACGACGGCGCAGGTTCTCCGTCAGCTGACCACCAGCATCGTGGCCGACGTATCCTGGAGGCGCACCAATCATCCGGCTCAGGGAGTGTCGCTCCTGGTACTCGGACATGTCGAACCGGATCATGGCCTTGGGGTCGTCGAAGAGGAACTCGGCCAGCGCCTTGGTCAGCAGTGTCTTACCAGTACCGGAAGGACCGCAGAACAAGAAGCTAGGCGGCGAATTCGGGTTGCTGAGGCCAGATCGCTGCAACCGGATGGCATTGGACACTGAGGTAACGGCTTCCTTCTGACCAACGACAAGCTTTCCGAGGTGCTTCTCCATATTGAGCAGCTTGTCCTTCTCGGTGGTCTTGAGCCTGGTTACAGGGATACCAGTCCATCTGGCGACGATCTCGTTGATCTGGTCGGGACCGACAGCATCTGCAAGTAGTGCCTCTCCCGCCTCGCCCTGGCGAGAACGGTTCTCGTTTTCGATCTTCTGGCGTTCCGCCTCGAGACGCTCGATGAGCGACTTGGTCTCGGGGATAGCGTAGTACTCGAGATCGGCGGCCGTCTGAGTGTCGCCCAGACGCTCTGCCTCGTCTCTCTTGACCTTGAGGGAGTCCAGCTTGATCTTGGCGTCCTGGATCTCCTTGCTGCGCTTCTTCTCGTTTTCATACTTCTCACGGAGTGGGCGGAGCTCCTCTGTGACGTTGGCAGCTTCCTGCTTAGCCGCCTCAAGACGGGTCTTGGAGGCTTCGTCCTTCTCGCGCTCCAGAGCATGAATCTCAATCTGGAGCTGACGCAGCTTCCGCTCAAGGGTGTCCAGAGCCTCGGGTTCGGATTCACGAGTCACTCTGACAGCGGCGGCCGCCTCATCAATCAGGTCAACAGCGGAGTCAGGGAGCCTTCTCGAGGTCAGGTATCGAGCAGCCAGGTTTGCAGCAGCGACAATGGCGCCGTCGAGGATGTTGACACCATGGTGGACTTCGTATCTCTCCTTAAGACCACGGAGAATGGAGATGGTTTCGGGAACCGAAGGCTCCTTGACCAAGACCTGCTGGAATCGTCGTTCGAAAGCAGCATCCTTCTCGATGTACTTGCGGTATTCTCCCAGGGTTGTAGCACCAATGCAGTGGAGTTGACCCCTGGCCAGCATGGGCTTCAGCAGGTTGGCCGCATCCATTCCACCCTCTCCCGAAGAACCAGCGCCCATCAGCAGATGGATCTCATCTACGAAGAGAACGATCATATCCTTGGCCTCCTCGATCTCCTTGAGAACACCCTTCATTCTCTCTTCGAATTCACCACGGTACTTGGATCCAGCCACCAACGAACCGACGTCCAGCGACAGCAGCCGGCACTGAGCCAAGTTGGCGGGGACATCAGCGTTGACAATGCGGCGGGCAAGACCTTCGACGACGGTCGTCTTACCGACACCAGGTTCACCGATGAGGACAGGGTTGTTTTTGGTTCTTCGGCTGAGGATTCGAATAACTCGGCGGATCTCTTCTTCACGGCCAATCACGGGATCGATCTTTCCCTCCCGGGCCATAGCGGTCATATCAATGGTGAACTTCTTCAGGTTCTCGTTCTCGCCCTCTGCATCGGCTGTCTTCGAGTCGACCCGTCTCGTACCGCGGATCTGCTGCACGGCCTGGTCAATAAGCTTCACGTTGGGGATGTTGGCGTCTGCCAGGGCTCGCTGGACCTGCTGGTCCTGAACGACGGCCTGGATAAGGTGGTCGACAGCGACATAGCTATCCTTTTGCGTCTTGGACAGCTCTGTTGCTGTGCGGATCGTCTTGGCGAGCGCGGGGGAGAGTCCAACACGCTCTGGTGGGGGATCCTGGCTGGGTTGCCGGACGAGCTGTTTCATCAATGATCGCTCGAGCAGCTGAGTGTCGCCGTGCGACCGCTCGACAACCTGCTTGAAGAGGGAGGGCGCACCGTCTGAAGGTGCACCTACTACCTGCCCCTCTGCATCTTCTGGTGAGGGGTTCAGCAGGGCGACTGCCAGGTGGACGGGGAGAATCTGTGAGTGGGCGTACTGCTCTGCTAGATTACTGCAATCTAGCAGAGCCTTGTTTGCTCTGTCTGTAAACTGTGCTCCGTTCATGTTGAACGGTAAGTGATTATGGGAAGTGTTTGTTGTGGTAAGTCGAAGTGTGGTAGAGAGGTAAGGTTAGGTAGAGAAATATGGTGAGTATTTAAGTATTGGTCACCGGTCGTCGTCGACCGTTGGGTCGTGGAACGAGCTCTTCGATGTGGTATCGTATGATCTGAATTCGCTGAATGTCTGGAGAATGCAAAGCACTCGAGGATGATGATAATGATAATATAGAGAGCTGCTGCATTTGCTGGCTGGATCTGGCAGTCCCACGTATCTTCCTCTGCCTTCCACCTCGTTCCGGAAACATCACGTGATATCCACCACGCCAGGATGACTTCACCACTCAGTCAGTATAGCACAAGCGTCATGCTTCTTCGGTCGTCAGTTTCCTTCGTCGACGGTTCAGTGTGCCAGTAGGCAGTTACCGTGGTTGCTGTGGCTTTCTGGAGATGAACTTCTGGACCCAGCTCGAGTCTTCTCACGGGGAAAAGAGCACTCGTTGACCATCAGACCATCATTTCGAGAGCGCCTGATGGCTTCCATCTTATCGATAAGTGTCTTCTACTCCGATAAGGTCTATCTATCCAAATTAAGCTATAATTAACCCGATCCGCCCGCACTACTACGGAAGGAAAGTATCCCGGGGATGGCAGCCAACATTCCATGGGGAAAGCTATGGCACCTATACACCAGGGGTGGTGAGGTGCTGATATACCGGTAGAAGAGCCAAGGCCATTGCTTAGCTGGAATCTGACACGAGCCTGGCATTTGTATCTGACGACAACCCGTCCAGTCGGCTATCCTCGTTCCGCATGGTACACTCGGATATGTCCAGTTCCAGTTCCAGTTCCAGATGACACGAGCGAATGGAGCTCGACCGATAAAGCTTGACCATCTCGTCCAAGCTGCGAGGGGGCTTCAGCCTTGGTCGTCAGTGCGCGCCGCCGCCCGTCCGCTGGTTTGCCCCTCGTGTACCAAGGAGCCGCTTTGAGAGGACTAGAGCACGGAGTACTCCAATAATAATACCTGAGAGTTCGACATTAAACTGATTCAGGAACAGCACACGGGGCTTTCCCTCGACCTTCTCAGTCAGAAACGAACCCGTTTTTCTTCTTTGTCATGGAGCAAGAAGCACAGAAAAGCGGCAAAACAAGAAACCCCTCCCCCGCCACGTTTAGGTGATAGAAATGATAGAAATGCTGTTCTAGCCCTCCAGCATGTCGTAGACACGACGGGAACCGCCGTGAGTTTGAGCCAAGATGGGACAACAGTGGCTTCTAGCCGGCAGACCTGCGGGGGGCGACTACTTAGATCAGGGCGAAGCGGACGGGAACCGACGCCGGTCCCTTATGCTAAGAGTAGTAGTTCACTGCAAGCACGGATGATGCAGCCGCCTGCACGGATATCGCTTGACCTCAAAGCCGCGCTGAATTTCAGATTTTCCGCGATAAGAGGATGGAAAAAAGGCGAGAGCTATCAACAGGAACTAGTGACGTCAAGAGAGAGGGGGATAATGAGATAGGAAAACCCGATGGTGAAAGCAGCAAGGCTGACGGAGTGTTGGTTTATATAATAATAATTAATTAGGGTACTAAGGACCCTAACCTGCTCCAAGGCTAGTGGAAAAGTCAGTCAGTAGTACTTCCAAGTATTATTATTATTATTAACTACTACAGACACACCTGTAGGAAGATTCGAACCAAATCACAGCCTTCTTCCAGCAGCAGAGGGTGACCAACCGCAGCGAACGCCGTGAAAGGACGGTACCTGAGTGGTGACTTGCCGAGATGCTAAGTCAAGTCGTCTGTCCGCTATGGCAAAAGCAAAAGGCAAAAGGGCCTCAGGATCAACTCGTCCGTTGGAGGAGCCAAGCCACGAGGTCAAAGTGCTACAGCATTTCGGGATGGCCGCTGCAGACCAAGGTTAGATCAAGCGGACGAAAAGAGGGTCAACAGAAGAATGCATCCCTGGTCGTGGCGGATTGGGTCTCGTCCAGGCCCGTCGTCGTCACGTACTCCGTATACCAGCTTTTTAATGGCCATGGGCCCCCATAATCTCGAGTCCGATCGTCCCTGAAGAGAAATCTACACGGTCGCACGCAGCCAGTGAACTTGACGTAGTCTACCCTCGGAAGGATTGAGACGCATCTGAATCCATCTGGCCGTTCATCAGCACCATCGCCATCACCAACTCATATACCCTTGCGACTATCCAATCCCGGTTGTATATCGGCATCCTTTTTTGAGTACGATCGTGTATTATCACTCTGATATTCACTATGGCGGGAAAACCGATCTTCGTGGCTACCCACCCCCGAGCATGCTCAACGGCCTTTGAACGGGTGAGTAACTAGCTGTCATCGACGATGACCCTCGACCAACCGGGCTGGTTCTGTTGCTAACACAGTTAACTTTTTCGATCCAGGTCTTCATGACCCGTCGGGATACTCTCAAATGTATCCACGAGCCCTTTGGAGATGCGTTCTATTTTGGCCCGGAAAGGCTCAGCGTGAGATACGAGAACGATGAGCAGGCCCGAATTGAAAGCGGCTTTAGCCAGTCGACTTTCAAGACCATCTTTGATAGGATCGATCAAGAAGCTTCTGAGGTCCGCTCCTCCTTTCTGTAGCAATTTCTGGCTATTATTGTCTTGCCCCCTGTCGTTCTCCTCCATCCTTGAGCGTCATTCTCTGCACAATCTCCTCCCCGAGAACCATCCAGCACCAGCCACCTTGGCGAGATCATTCGTATCTTCTGCCCTACCTGTCTAAGATCTATCATTTCGACTTTTTCCTCCTCTCAGAGACCTCGAATGGTTCAGAATCGGGGCCAGCACGTGATGGTTCCTGGTTTAGGGCCGATCCCTGGATTCGTCATACCGGCAGACGATTGCGAAATACCTGTCACCGCGAGAACTTTCTTTGAACCTCGCGTGACTGATTGATCCTCGTGCTCACTTTGACCTCAGGGAAAACGTCTGTTTATCAAAGACATCATCCATTATCTCGTGCCGCCCAATGGCCAACCTGCCAGCATTGCGCCCTCGCTGCAGAAGACCAAGCGTGGCGTGGGCACACAGACTACTACCAACGGAGCCCCCGAGGCGGATGGTGTGGCCGGTAGTACGACGTCGATTAATGGAGATGGGTCGCTGAAGAAGAAGGCGCCGTACCCCTACGGCACGGAATCTGAGCCAGGCAATCCGACCGTGGTCCCCACGGAGATGCTGTCCAAGTTCCATTTTGCCTTCCTCATCCGTGATCCTCACTACAGTATCCCGTCATACTACCGCTGCACCATCCCGCCTCTTGACAAGGTCACCGGTTTCTACGAATTCTATCCATCCGAAGCAGGGTACGACGAGGTCCGTCGTGTCTTCGATTACCTGCGCAAGGTGCGCCTCGTTGGACCTCGGATCGCTACCGACGGTCTCGATCCGGAATACGCCAACGAGAACGCGAACAACATCGACGAGACCAATGGCGTGGAGATCTGCGTCGTCGACGCGGACGAACTGCTGGAGAAGCCTGCTGAGATGATCCAGGCCTTTTGCAAGAGCGTCGGTCTCGAATACACGCCAGACATGCTCAACTGGAACAGCGAGGAGGACCACCGTTTCGCCAAGGAGGCTTTCGAGAAGTGGATGGGCTTCCACGACGATGCTATTGAGTCGACAGGCCTAACTGCCCGTGGTCCTGTAAGTTCTTTCCTTCTTTTTTCTTCTCCATCTTTGTCTCTTCCAATAAATACTCTCCAGTCCATCAAATGAACCAAAAGGAAAAGAAAAACAAACCTGACATAATCTCCAACCCAGAAATCAGCCAAATCCGAAGAAGACTATGACGCCGAATGGCGATCCAAATACGGCGAAAAGGGCGCCAAGATCATCCGTGAGACCGTCGACCGTAACATGGCCGACTATCTCTACCTGAAGAAATACGCAATGAGAGTCTAAAGCGGGCCTCTCTTAGTATTGATATTGATATTGATATTGCTATAACCTCCCGCCTCGGGTCTTTGCTAAACTGCCCCTCTGGACAATTACAATCACAGAGGGTAGACAGATATGAATTATGCGTTATTGCTTTGTTAGTAGTAATCTTATCGATGATGGATGGATGGATGGATGCGTCCATGACTTGCTATAACAGTAACGAAATCATTCTTCTTTTTCTTTCCTTTTCTTTTTATTTCTGCCTCGGGGCCAAATCATCAGTAACAACCAACCAACTTCGTTGCTGTATCAGATTCAATCCCTAAGTAACATCTCCGTAGCAGATATGTATCATGAACTCTCGATGGAGGTTCATATAAACCGAAAAGTAAATATCTCTCATATCATGAAACGATACTAACACTTAGTTACCTTACTATCTATCTATCGAGTACCCGTAGCCCGTTGATTTGATTTCACTTTAACCTTTTAGAAAAGCAACGTCGGGATCAAAAGGGTAGGTATTGAACGATTACCAAGTAAAGAATCAATAGTAGTTAATTGACCGTTATTTTTTCTTCACTAGGGACACATGTTCGATGGTGGTCTGCTAACTAGCTGATTAAGTTTAGATAGGGAATGGATGGATGGATGAATGTCAACCGCCCGTCAGGACCAAGTATTTCGAGCGAGGTCAAATCAGTATTGTTCCTCTAATTCATAACATGCCCTATGATTCCTATGAAAAGAGAGAATTAAGATAAGACACTAATGTACGGATCTACTGTTCTTGACTACGTACTCGATAAAATCTAACCTCAGACCCAGGAATTTTGTCTTCAAAAGGATACAAATTATATCATATCTTCATCTTCATCTACCCGAAACGTTAAGAAAACGACGATAAGCACTGAGCACAGCCACCATGCTATATGTGAGAAGCTAAAATAACAAGACAAGGACAATCAATCAATCCCATGGATGATAATGTAACAATAGCAAACATGACAGTTCTCTGCTATTCTATTCCTAGGTTAGGTTTCTCTTCCAGTGGCAACCTTGAATCCATTTTTCCAAAGTTCCGAGCTCCCAGACAGGCATAGCAGTAATAAAGCTAGCCGCTGGCTCTGTGAGTATATTGCACTACAGAATTAATCTCGAGGACGTGATCCAAAACGTCAAACAACAATCCCAAGAGGGCGAAATAACTATACGGCACTGTAGCCACCTCGTGTTCCTGTCCCTTGCACCGTGTTGATCACGCGTTTGATCCAGTCATTGAAGATGTACGGGATGTCGCGGATGGTGTCGCCGTGGGGGAGCAGATCCCAGCCACGGGCACCGTAACGGTTGTAGTTGAGCCAGGAGCCGAAAATGAGATAGGCTGCCGTGCAGAGGAAGACGCTGGATGTCGGAGAAACAAGACATTAGTTGTCACGATTTCGATGGTGACAAAGAGGAAGAAAAGGTCACTCACATGATGATCAGCCAGGTGATGAATCCCCAGTGGCTAGAGGAATTGCTTCCCTTGTTGTCCCGGACTTGGTTATCGCATGCGTACTTGGTCTTCCAGTCCAGTTTTAGAACATAAGACTTGTCATCACCGGGCCCGAAGCTCTTGAATATAAGACTGCGAGACTTGTCGTCTTTGTCGTCTTTGCCGTCCTTATCTCCGTCCTTCTCATCATTGCCATCGTCTCCATGATCCTTGTCATTGTCATCGTCACCATCCCGCTTCATAGCTCGACGCCGTTGCTTCTCATCGTCATCTTTAACATCCTTGAGTCCCTCCAGTCCGGTTCGGTCGGGGTCACACTTGAATTCGATGACGGCACTGGCAGCTTTCTTCGAGTCCGGTTTTGTGGGTTCCTCTCTATACTCTCCTCCGGAGAGCTTCACCAGCAACCCTTCCTGGGCTGAATCCAACTGCTTCAGCCGGGTGATTTCCGGGTCTATCGAGCCGTGGCCCATGGGATCCAATCCCACGATCGGAAAGGCATATTCAAAATCTTCAGATCCGTCGAGAAATTTGGTCTCTTGAAAGCCGCAAACTATGAGTAGATTCGAATTAGCATCACCGCACACGTAGGGGTTGGCAGACTGCAAGGAGCAGGCAGCATACTATTCTTGGACGTGCCGCACTTGGCTTTCCCCCTGATAGCAGCGCCCTTCAAGGGACTGCAGATATTCAGCACATATGTCGTATTGACGACGACGTCCTCCGTCTCCTCCACATGATATAGCGAGTGCACGCCCGCGAGTGGACTCAGATCGTACTCTATCCCATCGACCCTGATGTGAGCGCAATCGAACCCACTGGCGGCGGTGAGACCCGGCAGCATCGACGCGAGGAAAACGAGAGGTGATGACGAGTGTAGCCGCATCGTGGCGGATTGGTTGTCAAGACGGTTGATGGAAAGAGAAAGGGAATGGGACGAGGAGAGATAGACAGGCGACCGCGGAAAACCGATCCAGCCCGGCCGGAGCCAGCCAGCTGCACTAGAGTAGGGCGATTCAAGGGCGTTACGGGGCAGAAGACCTCAGAGGATGTTGCGAGAGCTGGGATGTCGCTCTCCTGCAGGAAATCCCGGTACGCTTGACTAGCGGAGAGGACAAGTTGGATAGCTGTGCAGGACGAGGAGAAGCCGAGATGAAGCTGAGGCTGGAGAGTATCGCCGCGCTTTCTCCACATGCGGCTAACTGATTAATGAATTACGAGATGATGTCACCCACAAGCCCCATGGACGCTCTGCTCACCACGAGAACAAGCGGTTTTTCCGCTAACTGTGTAGATAGAGTACGTGTGTCAGCCTGTCAGGTCAACTTGGATTGTTGTTGCTAGGATTGCTGGTCTGTTGTCGCAGTTTGTTCCGACGCTGTTTCAGCCTAGAATTAGATATTGGCGGTGGACTGCGGAGAGGTTGACAGCGATATTTGGCACGTGGACAGTCAACTGCAGCAACGACTGAGAAAATGGATAATTATAATGAGATCAGTATAATATAATATATCAATTCAATATAATATCCACTCTCAGCAGCGATAGTAACTTATTATCTAGTTATCCCCTGAAGAGACACAGGACCAAGCACGTGAGGATGCAATGAGAATCGCAGCTATGGATCCAATCAAGAAGACTCTTGGTATAAGAATCGAAATCTCATCAAAAGATATAGTTATGAACAGATCAGAATCATTGCAATCCATAACTAATCCATCGTTGTAATTAATAATTAATTCTTCTACATACTTACTACTGCCAACACTATCCGCGCTCCTCGCCCGCCTTCCCGCACGGACCAACTCTCCACCACGAAAGACACTTGCAAGCTATCCAAACCCCTCCGTGTAACTATCAGCTCCAGTCAAAGTTCCCGGCTCGACAGGACCCTGATCGAAGGCCTCTGCCCAAGATGCTGCAACACCGGATGGTACGTATATTAGATCTCGCATCTGATCTATTTATTGTTTTGCCCACATCGTTTTTTCTCTCTGGAAAACATTTGGTCAAATCTACCGTCATCATCAGGTGATCGATAGTGATGTACTGATTTTTCTCTCCTTGTCGCCAGCTCTCGAAAGAGGACGAGGCCTCTGCGCCGGGGGAGGATACGGAAGTCCGTCGTGAAGATCAAGAGAAGATCAATCGCTTCAGTCGACTGCATCAGCGGGAGACGGTGCTTGAGGAGCAGTTGAAAGCGAAGCAGGTATGTGGTTTTTTTCCGTCTTTCTTCCTTTTTGTAAGAAAAAAGAGAAATCCGTTTTCGAATACTTTTTTTTAATTAAAATGTGGTTTGGTTCATTGTTTATCTCTTCAATTGTGATATTTCCACCACTGCAGCAATGGAAACGCTGCTTGCTTCTCTGATACCCATTTCATCTTTCTATCTACATTGGTCATCAAATCCACCAGATTGGAATCCATATACGATGGATTTCAATCTCCAAAAAACGACATACCATCCAAAATCCATATCATATATACCCAATTAAGCAAAAAACTTCACCAAAGAAAAACAGAAGACGCAAACGCAAAAAGAGCAAAACTAACAAACCACAACAGAAAGACAAAGAAGATCTCGAAGAAGTCTCTACAGAACTCGAACTGGCCGATGAAGATGACCTCGTCCCGTAAGTAGCCCATTCATTCATTCATTCATCTACCTACCTACCTACCTACCTTACCCTTCATGCCATACCATACCCCCCACTAACATCACCACAACCACAGCTACAAAATCGGCGACTCTTTCATCTCCCTACCTCTTTCTGACGCGCAATCCATGCTCGCGACATCTACCGAGCAGATCGAAGAAGACGTCTCCAAGCTCGAGGAATCACTCAGTGAGATCCGTGAGGAACTTCAGAAATTGAAAGTGGCGCTGTATGCGCGCTTCGGGAGGAGTATTAATTTGGAAACTTGAAATGAAGGGAGTGGTGGGAAAAGAGAAATAATAGGGAATTAGAAAAAGTGAATGAATAAATAAAAATTACAGTGTATATATGTCCCTTCTTTTTCGAGATTTCTCTTTGGTTCTTCTTTTTTTTTGTATTCAGAGGAGGTGTTAGACCTGGATAGATATAATGTAAGCCTTGCTATTACTGCTGCTGCTGCTGCACAATCATACTAAACAGAAAAGAAAGTCCCTCAACCACAGAGGCAGAGTTTCGAACCATTTTATTCCAGAGAATCGGACGAATGGGGAATCTAGTGTTTACTTCGTATATCAGATATACACCTCCCAATTCAAGAGTGGGAAGTTAACTAGTTCCTTCTACTCATACAATCGAACATAGCAGAATAAAAAAAAAAACCCCTGAATAATAATAAAGATATGTTTATATAATAAGTATTCTGGTAACTAATATCTCATGATGACATGAATCGCATTATAGACACGTATCCGCACATACATGCATATGCATAAAACGCTCGAAGAAATACATGCAGCTTTTCATTAAACCATGACCTTCGTTTCACGTGTGGCCCACTTTGAACTGCAGGGAATAAATAATCGCAAAGGTTCTTAAGAACTGTAATCGTGTTAAAACAGTTGAAACCGGCAAGCGACTGAAACACCCTATATCCTGTATGTCATTCCAGGATCCTGCTCTCCGGTCGCTCGCTGGCTTTCATGCACGACCTCTCGCTCTGTTTTACGAGGATCAGCAGGGGCTGGGACGCGCCCTCTTCCAGAAAACCTCCCAGCCTAGAAGGAAGAAATTGTGTCCCCAGGCGATGATAAAAGCGAGCAGGTGAATAAGGACAACTGTTTCTTCACAAGCACCCTAGACACGTGACGATTATTGATGGATGAGGGTTCCATAACAGGGCGACGGAATGGCATCGCCGTGCTGGATTTAAAGAAATTCTTGAAAGTGATACATATCCGCCAATCTAGATGATGCTTGCGATTGTCATTCGCGAATTGGAGGCGCTGGAACGTGGCTGCTGTGGTGTACTGGACGAACTGGTAGTTTCCGAACCGACGGATGGCGGATCTGATCGTGTCTCCATTGACCTAGGCAGAGTCTGCATGTCATTCCTGTCGTACGTTCTTTGACGTTGCTCCTTTTCGTTGACGAGGTATTCGACCGTTCTCTGGACCCAATCCCAGCCTTCCCATTCTGGATCTCTCTCCCCGGATACGGAATCTTCTCTGAGTCCCTGCGTGGCGTTGCCTCCAAAAGGAGGAGTGTTCGATGACCGTGGGGACACTGTCGGGAGCTGAGAACCCGTCTCGCTCCCTTGCCAGATCCAGCTTTCTTCCGTACTGCTCTGCATATCGCCAGAGACATAGGCGAGCATTTCTTCATCGCGGTCCAACACCACTACCTCAGGACGCCGTAGCCGGTCCAGGAGAAGCCTCAAGAAGAATGCAATGTAACGTCCGCAAGCATTGTTCACAGATCGAGAACCACCAATTGCCGCACTAGCTTGGACGCACACCAAGGCAGCAGAGTATTCTTCGCGGAACAGGAGCATAAGAATACAACGCCACACATGCACACAAAGCATCGTACTTGCCGATGATGCTAACAAGGGACGCCAATCCCCGGTATTACTCACTTGGTATCCCTGCTGAATGTCCGCAGGAAGGTGCATGCATCGAGAGAGAAGGCGGGCTGTATCGAGAGCTATCTCGAGGCAGAACTGTATTGCCGGATAACGTACCTCGGGGGGACACAGCGGAGAAATGTTATGGCGATGAAGGAAGAGACGAGCGTTTTGCAGATGGATTATCGGAGCCAGAGAACGAGGGTCCAGAGGTTGGTCGGACTTGGGAAGATAGTGGACGGGAAACGTCGCCAGACAGGCACTGAAATGACGCTCGAATGTCTCCAAGGTGGCAGGGGTGATAACGGGAGACCGCAGCGTCTTAGTGAGCTGCCCGATGGATCGAACGACGTGGATTGTAGCCAAGAGAGGTGTTGATTGACCACTTTCGGGTAGAGTTCCACCTTCTGAGATGAACTGCTCATCAATCGGGCACGGGAGGTCGACATCGCAGTCTTGGTCATTGATCAAGAGCGGTTTCCCCATCTCCAGCGATATGAGTCTAGCAGAATGAGAATCAGATATGATCGGTGAATGGCAAAGAAGGGAAACAAACCTATCCCACGCGTAGATCCCCCACCACACACGTTTTCTCATCTCGCCTTCAAGAGCTAGCCACGGTCCAGATTCGAGATGCAGCCCCATCTCTTGTGCCATTCTCACGGAAGAAGACAACCAGACCCAACTGGCGGACTTCGAGTTTACCTCATAGAGAAAAATTGCCACCAAGAGTGTGGCCCGCGCCTGGTCCAGGGAGAATTCATCTTGCCAAACGTCCGAAACGCCTAGGGAGACCTTCAGATATTCCTTTCCGTCGCGAACCTTGTTGGGCTCGAGAGTATGCAGCGATCCGCACGAGAATACACCAAATAGAACGGCGGCCCAACCTCTCGGAACCCCACGAAGAGAACCGGCCTGGTACACCTTCTCGTACTCGCCAACGAAGGTCGGCCAGTGGATGATCGGATAGACAGAGTGCACACATGCATAGAATTGCGCAAGCAGATGGTCTGCAACGTTCTTTGGGGGCAAGGCTGGAGAGTCAGTGGGCAAAAGCGATTCGGGCCCCTGCTGTCGGTATGGCGGTGGCACCTTCATGATTCCTCTGCCATAATCGCGCATATTTGCTCGTACGTCGGACAAATCCTGGGTCATCGTGGGCCGTGCTCTCCGCGGCGGACGGTACCCAATATCTGGCAGTCGCAACACAGGCTGGCCAGCGGCATCGAAATCAATGTCCATCAGGTTATCCGCCCTCAACATACCAGACCGGAGTTGGTGCAGTTGCTGCTTGGTCGTTGTAAGCTGCTTTTCCAGGTCTTGAACTTGCCTATGAGGACGTTAGAAGAAACATCCAAATCCAAGTTCGGGTGAAACAAAAAGGACAGAAACGGACTTTATGGAAGACATTCGTCGGTTCGTTTCCTTGGTGAACTGACACCGTACTTTCCGGTTCGAGCATTCCGTACAACTGGTTGATTCCGAGGCATCGCACTAGATTGGTGTTAGGGGCTCTACCCTGGGAAAGAAGACCGGATGGGCATGCAATATTACCTTCACCTTGCGCTCACGACAAGCATCACAACTTGGGTCTTTTCTTCTTTGTCGGTATGCCCTCTTCTGCTGCTGCCCCGCGCTTGTCATCTGGCCGGACATGAAGCCTGCGCTCTCCGGAACCGATCCATTGAGCGACGGCGCATCCAAACCAGAGGAGCGCTCGGCAGGGGATCCCGACCCCGAATCATACGAGCGGGAATATGGCGAGGTAGAAATCGGCGCAGTTGCCATTTGAGGCGCCGGAGGTTGCAAGAGATGTGCCATTTTCAGTCCGCTACTAGGTCTGCTTAGAGGAGCGGAGAGGATAGAAGCACCGCCTTGTTGGAAAGTCCCCTGTTGCGGAGCCACGGATGGCAGAGACGAAGAATCGTATGCGGTGCTCTGATGGCCTTGACTAGCCGACTGATGATAATATGGGTTCTGCATAATGGACGTCTCTGATGGCAAGAAACAACTGCATATGGGTCACACACACACACACACACACACACAGTTGAGACCGGGGACCAACTTCCAGAACGAACACGATCACCGCCAGAAAAGCGCACAACAAGAGCGGAAATTCTTTATCCAGACAAACAGAGGGAAACAGAGAGAATCGATGGATCGCGTTTTTGGCATACACAGTACAATGGATTGACACTGCAAATTCCACTTGTCAGAAGTGGCGAGGGGAGGATATCAGTGGACAGTTTGCGGCTCTTCAGCGGAGCATTCAAGGGCAAGCAATAATATCGCGGGGCCGCCCAACACCTTTGTATCGGGGTCCTCGACGAGTCTCTGAGTGCTTCTGCGTTGACATTGGGCTGTCGGAGGGATTAAGCAGGTGTTAGAGTCATCCTAACCGCTCGCGGTTGAACAATTCGACAGCCGTTTTCTTAGTAGTCGTGGAGTTGCGGAACAATTGAGGTGTGTCGCCAGCAGGAAGAATAATAAGAAGGATCGCTAATGCCTCCCACGAACGAACCCAGGGAGCAGGATCGACGACACTTGCCTTGCGCGCTGGGGTAGACTGCCAGCCGATGCCAGGCTCACAAGCTCTTGGGCCGCCTCTCCGACAGGTTCGGTCGACCCCGGTAGCTGAAACGAGCCAGGTAAGAGACGAGAAGAAGATAGAGGGGGGCGGAGTTTGGGCAAGACTAAGGACTACACCGTGTATATACTAGAGTTTATTACTCCGGACAGACGCAGGAAAGGAGACGCCAAGGAAAACGCATATCAGTTAAGCTCCTTCAGCCGAGAATAATGGAGCTCGGGAACCACCAGAAAGGGCCCTGGGAGCGTTTTCCTGGGTCGCATACCATCAGATCCGTCCCGCGGATGGGATCGCCCGCGGTTGACTGTCGATGACAGCATTCGTGACTCTTCTTTTTCGGTTGAGTCCCCGGAGGCTCCCACGAGCCGGGCAAAGCTGTAGACTGTATGGTAGACTGTACCATAGGAACTGTGACCCATGGTCGCTGAGTCTGGAATAGTTTGAACTGACGGACGGCGGAGGCCTGAGCAGGCTACTGGCGTGGCTTCCGAGAGACCCTGGCTATGATCCTCTTTGCTCTTTTTTAGTGTTTTAGTCTTTTAAGTCTTTTAGCACCTGCCCATCCAGACCAGCGCGGCATGATTTCTTGCAGGGCTTCCCAAAAGAGTATCGAGCCCAGGACGGACACCACGCGCACGCCGCGTGCTAATTAGAGGCTGCAGCGCCAGGGAAACAGGAGGACTCTCTCATCTCACGACTTCCCACGGGACGGAGGCGTCCCGAGATCGGCAGCGCAAAAAGGGAGTGCAGGTGGTGTGAATGGCGCCGACAAAGCCCATTCGGACGGAGCGTTTGGCGAGCAATTGTGGGCATCAGATCGTCCAAAGACACGTAGATGCGTACCGGGCCTGAGCATCACCCAGTCAGGGATGCGTTGGTGGGCAGCGGTTCATTCGAAGATCACCCATCGACCGGTTTGCTCGGCGGTGTATTGGTGTCCATCCTCAGAGGCTGACAAGCCGGGATGGGGTGGATGCTTGCTCGAGTCTCCATGGCTCCATTCCGGCTGACGGCAGTGGATGGGGATTGGGGATTGGGGATTGGGGGGGGAAGAGAGAGAGAGAGAGAGAGAGAGAGAGCACAAATGGCCAGATTTTCTTCACGGACGGGCCATGGCGAAAAATACCGTCGTAGTCGTCGTCGTCGTCGTCGTCGAGAGTGGTATGGTCAACCTGGAGCCCCCGAGGCCTGGCCACACACACACACTGGCCACATGGGAACCCGACCGGATGGTGGACCCGGGATGCCAATATTATTATTATTATTTCGTGGTGGAATAGTTAATCACCCAGAGCACGTTAGACGATTGACTATTCTTGCCTGGGGCCCATGGTTGACCACGAACATCACAATAACGGAGCCACGAGGCTGGTCGTCATCGAATCACCACCGACGATGGCTGGAAAGATCCTCAGACGGCTGTGTCTGACGGGGTCATCGTAGTTAGTTCATCGCCGTGGATGATGGCCTGTTGAACAGTCAGGATGAGCGAAAAAGAGGCTCGTGGAACCGCCCTGGCGTTGGTTCGGCGATGCAGCGGCGAGAGCGCTTGCTCGTCCGATGGAGCCCGGATCTTGCACGCCAACGTTGAACGGGGGAGGGGTGGATTAACGGGCTTTGGTCGATTGGAAAAAGGTACCGTTGCAAGCTTGCACGTTTTGTGGCAGCTTGGGGTTTCGCCATTCTTGATGGCGCAACTACTGCCCACGGTACATGCAGCCGAGATGTCGCTGGGATCCGAACGACTAGAATACTGCGATTCCAACAGTCTACGGAGTATACTACTCTCCTTGCAGCCAAGTTAATCGATCAGTGACCCATTTTCCCATCCAGACGGGCGAACCAATTCCTGAATTAATTCTCTCCATCGCGCCGTTGAACTCTACACCCATCGTCCATACTTCCCACATCAACATCCCGGCCGCATCGATGGTAGGACCGTTTGTTCTCCGGGTATTATTATTATTATTAGCTATTATTGACGGAGCATGATCGTCTTGGAGCTGGAACCTATAAGACACAATGACTATAGATTGTAGTAGTTATTATTATTACCTGAATAAATGATAGAGACCCTGCGCAGATAACACCGGCCTTGCAAGGCGAGACCTGCTAGTCCTGCGCTCTGGACCTCGGTGGCCACACAGCAGAGTCGGATCTGGATCTCGACAGTATCTAGTAGAGTGCGACTTGTCTAACTAGAGTATCGACCAAGGAGGCTCCTCCCCGCACAGACTAAGATACCAACTAGGCCATCCCTCCCTTCAAAGTTCACCATCAACTCCCCCCTCGATCTCGGATAGGATGACGATTCTCCCGGGAACGACAGCCGAGCGAGCTTTCTTTTCATGCTCTCCAGGACTGGCAAATCGTGGTCGAGAGAAGGCTGCAACAGGCCATCAACTGGTCCGGAAATCCGTTAGCGAAAGCTACCATTCTTTTTACCTCCAACGCCCGGTTGTTTTAGCTCAGGACAATCTCGGGCCAGCCGCTCCATCTGACGTCGGCAAATGTACCTGTCACAACGGATGCTAGCTGGCGGTGATTGCGCATCTTCTGGGTCCAGCCTCGGCTTGTCCCGGTCAACCGGTGATCCCGGCTGCTCGTGCGGTGAAGGTTGTAACTTGCAAGAATCATCATAATCATAATAATCATAATAATAATAAGGATAGAGTCGAACGGGACGATGAATTGCTATTCTTGTTCCGATCCTCACTCTCTGGAATTCAGGTGGTCTGGGCTGGATCTCCCGCGGATTCGTGTCCCTGTTGCAAATAATAATAATAATGATGATAATGATAATAATAATAACACTCCGTAGAATATTGACACACCAGTCACGTGCTACCCCGCGCTCTTGTCTCTGTCGTGGTGGGATAATCAACTATGATTATTATTCAGAATCAGTGGTGTTCTAAGATGGACTAGATAAGTCCTTTGGTGGATAGTAGTAGCAGCCGTTCGACTCCAATGCCGGTTGACGCAGTGATGGGAAGATCATCTCCTGTGGACGGCCGACGAACCTTAGTTGTTAACTTGTTGGTGCCATTTGCCTCCGTTCCTTCATCGCCTGCCTCCATAGACATGTTTTGAAGCTTCTAAGGCACTCTAATTGACGCCCGGTGAAGTAGGATAATCGCGCACAGCACATCATTCCGGATATCATTTGCGCGCGGGAAGTGCGGGACGAGAAGGGAAAAAAAGGCGACACTACTAACAATTTGGAAACCGTTGGATTCTTCACTCTCTCGAGTTTCGGAAATATCCGAGTGTGCTCCCCCCTTGCCGAACAGGCAATTGTTGGGGCCCCAAACTAAGTAGAGTAAGTTTGTTTTTTGCATCGATCGTCCCCTAGATACCCGAGCTGGCTTGAAATCCATGGATCCATGGAGCATAGGAAGTATGCTTACTTTTTTGAATGAGAAATCCGTGAAAGCTAGCCCGTCTGTGGCTTGAAATCGATTCTAGCGCACCATCTGGCTGGGTAGTATTATTGTTATTATTATTATTATTCCCAGACAGTTGCTATTGTTGTTTACTTTTCCAGACTTTGTTGCCAAACAACAACTTGGTGCCAACGCTACTTAAGCCAAGCGCAAATAAGCGATGATCTTTCTCACTGCTCTCCTCTCCGAATTCGCATGAGGAGCCACCTTCAGCTTGATGGTGCTTTCCTCCCATGGCACATGTCGGGGTTATCTATCATATTGCATCTGATCAAATTGAGCATCGATAGTATAGTATAGTATAGTATGGGCGACCCGGCCGTTCCGATTGGCGGGGAAGGATGCAAATCATAAGTACTTGGGGAAAATCCCCAGGGTTTTGCTCCGACTGTATGATAATAACTATGGTAGATAGGGCTGAGAGGCCCTGCTTACTTGGTAACTGTAAAGGGACCTGGAACAACACTTAATTAGTTATACTAGTTATAGCACGTGAAGAGTTCCAGGGGTATTATGTGCAAGGCCTTGCATGAGTCGAGATGACCATATTCCTAGCAGCGACACCCATCTATCGGGTTTCATGCGAGATTCAACAGTTTCGGTAATACCAAACTCCAATCTGCGTGAATGCATTGGGCGAGATACACCAATAGAGCGGCCCTGTCTAGCTTATAGCGCTGACTGGGCAAACTATGCACCTACGACCAGGGAGCCAGGACTAGTTATGCGTCGTTTGTCACCACCAAGGCACATGCTGATTAACTGTCATATATGGGTGAATTTATCCCTTCTCCACTCTCAAGTTGACCCAAGACGTGCTTCATAGTAGTTGAATGCCTTGCCTTTGTTGGTGAAGTCGACACGTCGATCCTCTCCTCCCGATCAAATCGGGGGGTAAATACCGCAGTAGAACGGATACATAATAGGTCCTCGAGAACCTGGATAATCTTGTGCTCATTTCATTTCATATACACCAAGTGTCCATCGTATGTCCTCCAAATGGCTCGAGATTCAACCAGACCTATCACCATTCTTGTCTTGGATATCTAATGCGGGAGCCAGCCCCTAGAGACTATCTCTTGTCTTCCAATCATGATCATCAGAAAGTACGAATCTGCTAGGTACAGTAAATAGATAAATGTATCAGCGAAAGCTATGCGGCGATTTTCTTGACTCGTCTATACTTTCTTAGTGCTGTGCCCCATTCAGCCCCGCGACCCCGCAGGAGATATAGAGTTTCTTTTCTTCAAATTCAACATGCCTCGGACAAATAGGAAACTCGACGCTAAGTGGAAGGTATTCGAGAGGAACTGGAGGTCTTCTAATTCGCTGCGGGAGATAATATCCAAAGCAGGATTGGAGACGTCCTACCTCTTAGAATGACTCTGAGAATACTTGGATTTCTAACATCGTTTTAAATTCAGCGGCTTCACTGTGTTCGATGCCGAGCTTATGCTTGAAGAATAATTATATTGCTTATGCCGAACCATGTTCATATGACATGTCTTGCTGCCAATAATACCCCGACCTAACCAGACATTCTAACAAGCTGCTTCAAGCATATACGTTAATCTCGTACGCTCATGAGCCCAGAGCAGAGGACGGGGGCTAGAATCTTTCACATATGATGTTGACGAACGTAATATCGAGGACGGTGAATACGTCCCCCGAATTACATCTTATGAATAATCACAGCTAACATTACGTTACGAAGTCAAAGGGAAAGAATGAGAATCTTAACATACGAGCGAGCTTCTACCCGGAATAGGAAACGTACTACTTGGTATAGGGACCAGATCGAGGCTTTATGAATATAAAATTACCTTTCCAATACCAATCAAATTCATTTGATCTATTTGTTTACACTGTCTCTCCTATTACACGTCTCGACTCAAAGCAATAATACCAATTCAAAGGTAAGTTACCCCCGCAGCCGCGATAACTATTCAGGTTCACCCCATATCATACAAGAGGGATATTCTCCGCGCTGGCAAAGTCCGAGGTGTATCAGACGTGATTTGAGGTCGCTGGCGCCACGCAGAGATAGAGGCATACATAGGCTAATAGGAAATTGATTCAGAGGCTTCCAATTATAAGCTGGGTTGATAACTTCTCTCAATTACATCGTGTCGACTCTTAAATGGCACAGAAGCAACGGTATGATTTGAACCTTCCAGCTAGTAGCTAGTTAAGTTGTTTGCTTTGCTTAGCTCTATATCTAGGGATAAGAAAGCAATAGGCTTGCAGTTCTTCCAGATGCCGACATATCAATATTCCAAAATCGTCCAGCTTACTATACCACCTCCCTTACTGCCTTCTGATCTAGGGTCTGGCAATCGAAATGAATGCGAAATCGTCGAATAGGAACCAGGATCAGCGCAGTAATTTAGAAGAGATCATTACGCTTCCTATTGAAACTCCTAATGTCAACCCCCTACTATCTTTCGATCTGCTCTATGCAATACATATTGCATAAATTAGTGCCCATCAGTGGTGCAGCAGACATGACCGATAAAAAGCTTGCAGATAAAGACGAAGGATCTTTGAGGGATCTATATCTTCTTTCAGAATCATGAAGTTCGCCTATATCCCTATCAAGGGAACCTTTCGAATCCCTTACCCAATAGAACCTAAAACTCGAATTCAAAACCGGAATCCACCGTTTTGACCAGTCCACCAGAATGAATGCCACTATATATCTAACAACGATTTTGACCGTCTGCTTGCCAAGTATGCCAATCGTCCTGGATGGGGAATTTAATTTGGACACAGTTCGTTCTATGACGCGAACAAGACACCCCACTGGCAGCAGCTCTTTTATTTTGTTTACCAAACATCCCGCGGATATATACAGGACCAAATAATATGGAAATAATAAAAAAAGACAAAAACATACAACAGCAGGGATTCGCTGGTGGTCACCCACCCAACTACTAACCTGCCGGCGTGTGGCTTGAGTACGGCTGAGCGGACGGGAAGCCCTATTTTCCACACCCTATGGTCGTATGTGCTAGTTGATTACTTCAAAAGAAAGATATAGTCACGATGTATTATAATGCTATTTAGTCAATGTGAGGTTCCTGCAATGGGCTCATGGATGTCTTGTATATCACTAATATGGTTTGCGAGACTGGTAGTTACTGTCCGCTACCAGAGCCTAGATTTCGATTTTGCACATTTTGGCTTGGTTTAAATACGGGATATATTATCACTGCAATTGCGGTATTAAGAGGGGTATGTGTTGTATATATAGTATCAGAATCCCCGTGTATTATCTGTATCTATACCAGATACCCCATTGCTCATCACTGGACGTCCAGTAAGAATCAATTTCGTCGCAAGTGGCCCGGTCCAACAAGGCAATCAATCTGGATAAAGTAGAATCAAGACACAAGGACTTAAATATATGTTGAATCTCATAGTATCTGTTGTTCCTAGGATCAGCAATAAACGCTCAAATAAAACACGAAGTCAAGGACATAGAAGCGTCTGTCAAAGAGCCTTGACTTTTTGAACATCTATTATTATGTATCTATTATACTCTAGTCCTTCGTATCAAGGAATGGTCAATACCCTATTATATGCAGATCCGGTACTTTCCTCCGTCCCCTTCTTCACCGACACCCCCAGAGATCCGAAGAGATCCATCTGTTTCAGCTGATCGATGAAGCTAACTTTGCCCCCATCTTCACTTCCTCGAAAGAACAATAGCACGGTAGCAGGGACCGCACCCAGCGGAAGGTTGACATAGAAGCACCATCGTCCAGTAAGAGTTGGATTATCCGTAAACCTTAAACCCTGTATTTTGGAGAGGATAAGACATGCTCTTGTAATTTCCGCGGTGTGAACGGAGCAGTCGGCATAATACATGGAGATAGGATTTTGTAGAGCGTTTCACCAGCTTCGTATTTCTTCAGGCGAAGATGGTGCTGTCATGGTCTTACAGGGACAGCCACCATCCGGGGATGATACTGTCCCCGGAGTTGAAGGGTAGTCTTCTATTGTCTTCATGTGCCAGTCGAAGCTTTCATCCTAGGGATTTTGGCGAAATCTGATGTCAACTAGGATAAGTATGGCAAGCCGCGTTCTGAAAGATGCATCGTCCATCAACCCGAAGATCTTCTTTCGATGATCGAGATAAGTTTGTGTCATCTGGGAAGCTTCCTCACAACATTCTCTCCTCCTCTAAACGTCAGTGCACACGCCTTGTTGGGTAGCGAAATCTGGCCAGTGTGCACAATCCAAATTGCACAAACCATCAATTGATAGTTCTGCATATTTAGTGGACTTGTCCCAATCTTTAGCAATAATATTCCCCAACGATAATTGATTTTGCATCATAAGAGTACGATATATCTTGTTCTGAGATCTTTCAGGATACTGCCAACCTTTTGTTGCATGTATCAAACGTCCTATCTCGGCAAAGTGAATGTGTGCAAGAACAACATCAGCATATTGAAGATCGGCAAATGGCCTTAGCATGCATTGCCCTTCCCCGCCTTAGGCATACCTGTACAAACGTGGGCAGAGTATAATTTCGTCTAGAAGCCAATGGCAATGCTTGTGTGGCAGTCTCTATCCAGACTCCAGAGTCTGTGTCCATCTCGAACGGGGTCGCGCTATTTCCCCGAAAAGGATGCCAAGAGTACAATAATGATCTGAACATACGCTAAATGAAGAATAATCGTACACTAATCAGTGAACTAACTTAGCATCTCTATCCGCGGAGACCCCGCTGATCGATAAGGCTCGCACTCCACTCTGGGACTGAGAGCAATATCCTCCTCCGTTGTCGGTCTTCGAGAACTATCCCCTCTTTCAGTTTATTCTATCGACAGACAACCTGTCAGGCATCATCCCTGCCAGGATTACTACGAAATTAGATAACCGCCTGATCCATTGCGCCTTGTCAGTCTAAGCATCCAACGAATTTCGGTGAAAGGGATATCGGACTCCTCAATCTGGCGCCATGTCCAACTCTTTTCTAGGCCTTGAAGGGTTACATGTCTTCATCACTGGTGCCGCTGGCGGAATTGGAAGCCAGGCTATTCGGGAGTTTCTAGGTATGTGTTAGCTTTCTTTCGTCTTATAGTGTCTTCGATGATCCTTTTTTTTTTTTGTTGAACCCAGGAGTCTGGAAATTTTGCTTGATCTGCAGGGTTTGAAACTGTACCTGCATTGGCTCCATTTTCTGCTCCTTCCATCGGGTAACTAAAGCATGTTTTATTTCAAACAATGTTTCCTTTTCTCTTTCCCTTTAGTTGTGTCATGAGTCTTTCCATTTCCCTTTGTCGTGGATTTGATCGAAATGAGGATACCGTTACTATATAAGTTTGAAGGGGCGCATCTATGGCAATACAGCGATTAGTATGTGATTTTAATACTCCCCACTTATATGGATGCAGTTTAAATTTGTGTGTGAATCGTCATATTATGTAGTTTGCTATTGTCAAGTACGTCTCAACAAGATCTAACAATTTCCAACAGACCACGGATGCAATGTCACCGCACACGACCTCCGACCCATCGAGGTCCCATCTCTTCACGGCGAGCAATATGCCCGTCTTCACACCGTAACGGGTGATATTTCAGACGAGGAATCCATCCGTTCCTGCTTCCAACAAGCCAGGAAGCGCTTCGGGCCCGTCAACATCCTAATCGCCAATGCAGGTATCACGGACGAAAGTAACGAGTACCCCATCTGGGAAATGCCCCTGGACCTATGGGAAAAGACCTATAGGACAAATATCCGAGGCACATTCCTGACCATCAAGCATTTCCTGCGCGCTGCAAATGCCGCCCAGGATGCGCTTGGTAGAGAACTAGATAATCTGGCTATTGTCGTGACGGGCAGTGAGTGCGGCAAGTTTGGTCAGGCGGGTCATTCTGAGTATGCTTCTGGAAAGGCTGGTTTGCAGTATGGGTTGATTAGGGGCGTGAAGAATGAGATTGTTCGTTTGAACAGCAAGGCTAGGATCAATTCTGTCGCGCCGGGTTGGGTTAATACCCCGTTGATCGAGGGTAGACTTGATCATCCGAAGGAGATGTGGGCTGAAGCGCAGGCTACGTATGTTCATTCGAAAAGGAAAGCCCCTAATGTGAGCGGCTTCTGAAAGACTAACCTGGTTCTTTAGAGTTCCCTTAAGGAAGATCGCGAAGCCCGAAGACGTCGCTCGCGCAATGGCATTTTTGGCCTCACACCGCGCCGCGGGTCATATCTCTGGCGAGTGCCTGAGTGTGGATGGAGGCATGGAGGGCCGTCTTGTCTGGAAAGAGAACGAGGTTGTTAAGACATCCTCTTCTAGTCAGCTGGCCGTGGCTTCGAAACCGCAAGAGCAGAGTGTTTCCCAGTCTATCCCCAGAGCACTCACCAAACCAAAGAGGAACAAAATCCGTGTATCCGTCTCTATAGATCTGGATGCTGTCTCAGGATGGCTGGGAACAGGTATTACATTCGACTCTCCCTTATTCTCTCCAAGCCGACAATACTAACTTGAACTACAGGTTCGCATCCAGACAACATCTTAGCCGACTACTCCTCTGGCTTTTTCGCCGCCAAAGTCGGCGTCCCGCGTCTCCTCCACATGCTTAAAAAAGTCGGAATCGCCGACCGCTGCACATGGTTCATTCCAGGCCACTCCGCAGAGAGCTTCCCAGAGGAGGTGCGCCAAGTGGTAGAATCTGGCTGCGAAATCGGACTACACGGCTACGCCCATGAGGGCGCATACCAAATGACACCGGCGCAGGAGCGTGATGTACTCGAGAGATGCATCGAGATTTCCAAGAAACTAACAGGAAAGAAACCCGCTGGATACAGAGCTCCACTGTATCAACTTCGAGAATCAACTCTCGATCTATTGGAGGAGTATGGCTTTGAATACGGTACGTCATATGATATATCAAACATCCATAACCTCTCTCTCCCCGAACATCACTAACACAAATGATCTCCTTCCTACAGACGCTTCTCTCACCGACCACGATTCCCATCCTTTCTTCGCCCCTCGTCGTCCTGCCCTCCAACCCATCGACTTCTCCCAACCAGCCTCAACCTGGATGCATCCCATCCCGCCGCCCACGAACGACAACAAACCCGACCGTCGTCCCCTCGTCTGCATCCCCTGCAACTGGTACATGGAAGACATGACCCCGATGCAATTCCTCCCGCACGCACACAACTCACACGGCTACGTCGACGTGCGCGTGATCGAACAGATGTGGCGGGATCGATTCCTCTGGATTCGAGAGAATGAGGAAGAGCCGATCTTCCCAGTGCTCATGCATCCGGATACGAGTGGGATGGCGCATGTGATTGGGATGTTGGAGAGAATGTTGAGATGGTTGAAGGGGTGGGGGGAGGATGAGATTGAGTTTTGTCAGACGGGGGAGATTGCGAGGTGGTGGAGGGAAAAGGAGTTGGTCGCGGGGGCGCAGTAGACTAGATTTCTTCTCCTTTCTTTTCTTTTTTACTCGTAGATTATGATATAACATATAAATATGATTTTCTGTGATTTACCATATATGTTCACGTTAATAGGGGCTCATTTACCAACATAACATCTTACGGGATTAGCACGGTGCTTCCCAAAGTAGGGATGGATATTCATTATTCGAATAGAACTATCTTACATTCTATCAGCATCCACATAGGCCAGCCTCCCGTAGCATGGAAATGCTCTATCCGACAGACTTCGAACAAAAGGACGCAATACGTCGATGCCTCTAAAATGTTTGCATAATACCCCTGCAACCGAAACATGCAGACAATAATCAACGACAAATAAATAAAACCACGGTCAAAGACTAATCAGCTTTGGAATGAAATTCATTCTGAACATACGCCGCGATATTATCGAGGGCAGAAGGAGTATCTTGGGTTTGCTTCGCTAAAGACAACATAAACACAGAAATCAACAAATAAAGCATGGACAGGAAAAGAAATAGTCTAGATATGCGTATATTAATGAATAAATCGAGGTTGGCATCTTCATGTTCATGTGCAGTGACATCAGAGATCATGTAGGGGAGTATCAATGTGGGATATTGGTATGCATGCATCGAGGGGGGATAGGTTGGAAACGATTCGAAGTTCAATGAAAAAAAAAAAATGAATAAGGAAAATGAACATGAAATCAAAAACGTGTGTCGAAAAAGGGATAGTAAGGTAAATCGTGAATCATATGGTGTTCGAAGTTAGGACTCAATATCTCAGTTTCCCGACTAGGCCAAACGTGTACGCCGTTTCGGCCTCGGTCTTCATCTGGATCATATAGATCTTGAAAGATCCACCAGTCACGCCACCCTCCTTGGCTACGGTACCTCCTTCGTTCTCCTCCCACACGGAAACAGCGATACCAGTGCGGGCAACACGCTCGAAAGCGCTTTCGCCCAAGCAGACGTCCAGGAGGATCTCACCGCGTGTCTTTCCACGGACAATGATGCGCTTCTCACTCGTCATCTCGCGACGCGGCGGGGCAGATACAGATGGTGGTCTGGAACTCTCGGAGGCCTCAGAGTTTATGTTGCCATTTTCTGGGCTGCCCCCGGAGGTCTGTGGGCGAGAAGGAGCTGGGGAAGCTGGCATGATAGTGAGGCGGGCAGCTCCCAAATCCCGCCACTTCGATTGGCTTTCACGAAGGTATAATCTGATCTTCGCATTCGAGAGACCGATGCCATCAACGCCCTTGATAGCCCCAGCTAACCCGGCGAGTCCTGAACCAGGTGACTTAGCACCAGATCCTGCTTCGCTCGAGTACAGGCTGTCCCCTTTGCTGCCACCCGTACGCGATGTGATTGTGGACCGAGCAATGCTGAACATTTTGCTTCCGGCGCCAAATTTCTTCAACGCGGAGAACGCACTGCTCATGGTTCCTACACTGCTTTCAGAGGCTTCTGCAAGCGATCGAGGCGTACCAGAAGCACGGTAGCTGTTTCTCCGCTTTGGCCAGCTGAACCAGCCTCCGCTCTTGTTTGAACGTGTGGAATTGTAGCGCTCCAGAGATGCGGGCTGACCGGCAAACGGCCCTCTGGCATTTTGCAGGGCGATGTATGTCGGGTTGTTGATGCGTGCATGATTGATCATGGCATACAGGGCCTCACATTCTTCCGTACTGCGAGAGCGGAACATGATGTTGTTGTTGGATTTGATCTTAGATCTTTCCGTAGGCGGCGAACGAATGCTTATGTCAATTGCTGTGCCGCGACGGATTGGTACCAACGGAGTGAGCTCTAGGGCGATCAATGGACGCTCCTGAGCAAACGCCTCTGGGTTCGAGTGAGCAGCATTCATCTCAAACGCTTCTATAAGTCCAGGAGTGACAGTAATACTGCACTCGTCGGGGAAAAGATTCTCCCAAGTACCCTTATCTGACCACCCGAATATCGAGGCGATTGCCTTTGATGACTTCTCAGGCTGGAGAGGGACAGTTCTGTATGGGCCTTGGGAGGCAGAATTAGAAGGATCCAGGGACTCGCAAGGAAGAGTCGGAATCGAAGATGGTGCAGAACGTTTCTGCGACTTCTGTGGCTGGATTGGAGGCAATGGAGTCGGCATATCGTCATCTTCCAGCTCATCGTCCGAAGTTTCAGAAGAGGAGTATTCGGAATCCATGTCATAGTGCATGACAGTGGACGTTTCTGAGTACTCGGACGCAGTGTCTGAAGCGGTAGAAGGCTCGTATTCATGCTTCAGAGGGGACGATGAACGTCGTCTCTGTCTAGCAGCGGTTGGACTGAGGACCGGAATGTTCTGCTGTTTCAGCTGTGCAGTACTCGGGGAACGATGAGGCGGTGGAGCAGGGGCGTCGTCGGGATCATCGCCCTCAGAATTCTCCTTCTGAGGCTTGACGGCCGTATTCGGAGTATCAGAGATATCGCTGAAGTCATCAAGATCATCCTCATCAGTGGACAGGATCGTCGATGTATTGTGACTTTGTGTTCCTTTTCTGACTTTCCGGATAGTTGGAAGATCCATCGATGGAACTGAAGAAACGCGCGGACGCCTTTCACGATTCTCATCCACTACAGGACTCCGAGAAGACTTGTCCTTGTCATGTTTATGATGCACCGCACTTGCAGGCTCCGGAGATTTCGTAGCCGCCTTGGCGTCGTAGTATCGATCATGCTTCTGAGAAGGAGGTGATACGACATCTCTCTCTGGGGTGGTAGACATCCTTGAAGCAGGGCTCGATGGCAGATTCTCCGCATGCCGCGAGACCCGTTTCGCTTTAGATCTCTTAAGACCAGTTGGAGATTTCGCGGTGAGCACGTCTTCCGGTGCATGCGCTTTGGGAGAAGACTCTGATGCTACAGGGCTATAGTCTGACTCTCTGGTGATGGCAGAGTATAAAGATGTCCTTGACTTCGCCGCGGAAGAGTAACTGAGAGTGCTCGGTTCTGACAGCAGTTCCTTTGGACTGATAGAACGGCGCTTGGAGCGAGAAGCGGCGGTCGCTTGCTCTCCAATTGGAATATCGATTTCGCTCGGGTTTGGTGTCAGCTTTTGCTTTGGCGAGCAATCCGACGACCGCTCTTGCTGGGACTTCGAGCTATGATCCTTCGACCGGGCGATAAAGCTCTGTGTCCTGTGTATAGCCGGGGGAACTGGGTCCTTGCCCAACAACTGTATCCATTCCAAGCCAATCTCTTCATCATCAATCATTAAGCACAGAAGTTCTTGCCATTCTCTTTTTTCACCGGGCGGGCTCCTGATCATGACGACGATTTCACCCTTCACATCACCGCTGCGGGCTGAGACGCAGCTGATGTCGATAGGAGGGAATAGCAACCAACGATCTGAATTGTCCACTTCACATATAAGAAGATCGCCCCCAGCTCCATCTTCGGGCGCGTTATCCCTCAGCAAAAGTTCCGAACGACAGTCAACCATTTGACCGCTGGAGTGGTAGAGGGAAAGGTCGAAGAAATCTCTAGCCCGTACACGGCGAGTCTGGTCAATGCTGACATTGGGAAGCGCAGCCAGGGTCCCGGGATCGCGAGCTCTGGTGGGATCGATGCTAGCCGCAGACTCATCTTCTAGTCTTGCTCGTTCTTCGTTGGAACGCCGGCGTGCCTCCGTGACAAGCGCCTGGTATGCAGTGGCAATCTCTTCGGCCTTGGGAGAATGCTTAAGCGTGTTGATCCCTCTGAACGTCTTTGACAGATACTTCAGCCGCACAAGAGGTCTCTTCAGGAGATATGCGACATCAACTTTCTGACCATCCGCATTGACAATGTCGCCACTCTCATCTCTTTCCATTCCTTGGTCCAAACTCTTGGTGTCAGAATTCGGCTCTGCTGCGCCCTCTTCCGGAGGGGCGAGATTGACAACCACGTCCTGAAACCCCAATCTCCAGGCTTTGAGATAGTCACGATAGACGCGTTGCGCGCCATGAGCCCATGTGAGAAGCGTATCCGGATTATCCAGCGGGATGCGCTTGTGCATCGACTTCAGCCGCTCCAGGGCAACTCCCATATCGACAATGGGCTTCGTGAAATTCATGTCATCTTTAGGGTCCAGAGCAGGCCTGAAAAGCCCTGCGGCAATAGCCGAGTCGGATCTCGAGAGCACACACGTTAAGAGGACCGGAATGACTCCGCCAACTAAGGTTCTAAGTTCGCGCATGTACTTGGTCTCATCTGAACTGAGCTCCTGCATCAAGTCATCCATGGTCGCGTTGGCCAAACGGCTTCTGTTCGACCGAATGCTCCTGGTAGACCTAGTGCTTCGATTCCTGGTACCGGGTTCAGAAAGCACTGACATCAGGTCCTCATGGGTCGTTAACCGCCTCCTGAGACCAGAAGATGAGCCGGGAAGGGAGTTTGGGTCAAAAGAATCTCTTTCCTCCGATTCCAGATTTGAATCATCCTGACTTTTTGCCTTATGGTCCTCTTTCTTTGACTCGTCTGTCAATTCAGTCGTCTGCGGCTGGGTTTCTTCGTGTGTTCTCAGGGTCTCCGCGGAAGGTATTGTGGACAGTCGGTGCACTCCCGTGCTCGGAAAAGGGCGTCTGGTGTTGAGAGGAAACGGGGCTTCGCTGGCTGAGACCTCTGAACCGTCAGAAAACGGTAGTGATTCCGTGTCTGGATGGCTTTCCTTTTCATCAACTTCGCCCTTATGCCGTGGGCTATCTTTGCCAATCCTGGAAGCTGATTGACTGCGTTTATGAGCCGCAGTTCGCCTTACCGTCGACAATGAACTGGTGTCGCTCTTCCGGCGTGCGGTCTGAGCAGCTTCTTCTGCTATAGCTGAGAGAGACTCACGAGAGGATATATTATCCTTGTCGCTCACATAAGAATAATCCTTTCGACGGCTTCGAGAGCGATGTGTGCTTCGTCTTCGACGAGAGCCGCTGCTGCCGGGTGACTTTTCGGACGGTTCGTCAGCCTCGGACTCCATCCTTTGTGACGACTCTTTCGTGCTGGATACGGTCTTTAGCGGTGTCGGAACCTCGACGTCCGAACCATCATCTTCCATGAATGGATCAGAGGTGGCAGAGAGCCATGCCTCGATCTTTGCGCCACGCGTGGGCGCGGGAGGAGGAGGCTCTGGTCTCGCGAACATCTTCTTTGACTCGTCCAGCATATGCCCAAAAATACCTCCTTTGTGAATCTTTGGGGGTGGCCGTCGCGTACTATTAGTCGGGCCTCGAGCTCGTCTTCTCGACAATTCAGAAAAATTTGCTTCGCTCGGTGCCCACTCATTGCCGTCATCTTCGGGCAGTAAGGCGCTTCGTTCGCTCTCAGGTTCATCATGATGCTTGTCTTTTGGCGTTTTGGGGGAGCTTCGTTTCTTAGATCGCGTAGAAAGAGTATGATCAATCGACGAAGCTTCATCTTCCAGTATGCTCTCGGCGTTCGACGCCTCGTCAGGCGCATGCTTTGTTTGCTTTGACTGCCTCCGTGAAGAAGGGGGGGTGGCATAGATCCTTATTCCGTCATCATCTATGCGAGACTTAGAGGTATCGCTCTTTGGACCCCCTTTCTTTGTCCCCGGAGAGTTGATGAATTCGTCGTTTGTCTTGTACACTGTGATCCGTTTCGGCGGGCGTGTCTTTGGCGGAGGGGTCTTCGGCGCGCTCCTTTTGATCTTCCAATGTTCGTCACTGATGACTCGTTTGCGGGGAGCGATATTGCCCCTCTTCCTGGAATCTGTATTGGAGTCATCATCTACCTCCTTCAGACGTGCCACTGTCTTGTGCGGGGTCGCTTTCGGTGTTTCTTGTTCTATCTTTGATTTCGGAATGTTCTCGTCGTCCTCGTCGGCAAGGACATCATTGGCAGTGATGACACCTCCTCCTTGGTGCTGCCATAGCCTTACTTTCTCCCGTACAGAATTGGTGTCGTAAATGCCTAGCGGTTTTCCAATGTCCACAGCTTTCGACTTGGCTGGAGTCGACTTGGTGACCCCGCCGCTTTTGGACGAGCGACGCGTGGGAGCTGGGGACGGCATTGAGATCTGGATACATACGGATCAGCGACATTCTTGATCGCATTCCAGGGCGAATTGCCCACGTTATTGAAGTCTGGGGTCAGGAATGTTGTGGATGCGCGGAGGGCAAAAGCACAGTCCATCCGATCTCAACTAACTAGTGTTTGTGTGGTGCATTTGTATGTGTATGTGCACTTACCACCGACGTTTCAAACCTCAACAGTACATGCCTCGAAGCAAAAGAGTTGGTCGTTCTGAAGACAGTTTTCTTGATGACCGTCCACCTGAAAGCAGAAAAACAAAGAGAAGAAAACGGACGACTCAGCAGAGTAAGCTTGTCAGTGTCCCCGATAGTGACGTTTCTCCAAGAGGGTCATCTGGACCAGTCAACTGAGGGCGGATGGGCTGCCGGGGTAACGGGGACCCAGCACAGCTCAGAGATAGCGCTAAGCTCTCAGCTAAAGATAGCTCTTGGATAATTGGATATCGCAGACTAGTTGCTACTCACTAGCTTGGAGTAGCACACTCAACTGTATGGTGGTAGTAGCAGTAATAGTTAGCTGGTCATCCGTGATTACATCCAGACAGCTGACCTGAAAGTCGGCGACATCCTTACAAAGAAGAGGTCTGCTGAGCAGCCGGGCAGCTGAGCAGGTCCATTGTAGCAATCAGGTCAGATCACATCTTCTCTCTGCGACATTCGCAGTTGGCATGTTCCGCCATGTCCTCAGAGTAGAGTAAAACCGGTTTGTTTACCTGTCTCCGCATAATGGCCAGACGACAGCAATGATTTCAGGCATACACTTCAGGCACACATTTCCGTCCCGTGTCTCCGCTAAAGCCTCAAGGGAACCAGCTCTAGATAGGCGTTGGACACTGGCCTGCACGTCCATTGGATTCTATCGCAGGACTGGCTAATCCGGCAATGTGCCGGCTCCCGTTGTTGCAAACAGACTTACGTCTACGGTAGAGTATTTACCATACACTCTTCCGGCTGTGTAATTGCTCTACAGTGAAGTTACTCTACATAGCCGATGAGCTGCACGACCTATCGCCACCATGGCTTCATTTGAGTTCAGTCTGTCTCTAGCGTATTGAATATACATGAGATGCGGTCGCAATCGAGGGCTGTGGGTCTATCATATCTCAAAATGCGTTAGGGCTCGAAGTGGCGGTATTATGTGTTTGCTTCTCGCGACTTCTGTGCGATGCTAGTGTTATCTATACGAGTATTGTACAGCTTCGTGGTCTGCTCTGGTCTATCTATAATAATTAGCCACTATGTTCTTTCAATGGTCATTAGCAAGACCTAATCGACTTTGAACGTTAGGGTCATTCGTATATGTAGTGGTCAAGCCGATGTCCGGCAGCCTTCAGTGCGGTCAAGCTTTGTTTCACTTGAAGTACGAGATGCATAGCAAGTCCAGCTAGTCGCATAGCTCGATTACCTAGATTTGCGCAGAACAGCACTTTGATCCAACGCTTTGAATGCCCGCGAGATCTTGGTAATACTTTCGTATAGGTAATCTACACAGCGCATTAGTCACATAACTATCGCTATAGATATCTGACAAGATCACACTTACAGAATGGAACGACAATCCAAATGAAGTTCATCAAGAAGTAGTATCCCCAGAAGTAGTACGCCTCTGGCCGGCAGTAAGAGACCTCGTTAAAATAGTGATCAAATAGGCTGGTGGCGTAGTATAGGACATCACCATAGAGATGCGCCATGCAGACGATTATCTGGAACGGATAGCGAAGTGAATGCTGAATGGTAATGAAATATGCGACTATGAGGCACAATGGGCCCCACACTATCTATTCGTGAGGTTAGAAGACTCGATCTCAGTGCTGGAAGCCCCTATATGTTACTTACAACGGTGATGGTCTCCATACATAGGACAATCGGGTCCGAGGTTAAATATCGAGAATCGGATAGTGAATATTCCTTCCATAATTGTCCGAACAAATCTTGGGCTGGAGCGATATGCGTATGGTTGATGACAAAGTATCCTTCGAAAAAACAATGGAGGGATCCGGCTGGCAAATGGTCAGTGGCTTATGTTATTTTATTTTTTTTTTTTTTCAAGTACAAAAGTGATATCCGCGGAGTCTTACATAGAACAAACCATAAGATAGCAAGTTGATCTGCCCGATTCATCGAGGGACGAATGCGGGTAACAATAGCCAGTGTGCTTCCCAGAATACCTACGCAGCCAGCAGCGAAGTAGACCAGGAGTTTGAGCACGGAGTATTCATTTTCGAGGTAGCCAATAAGTTCAGCCTCCGGAGGGTAATATGGATGAGGAGGATGGGACAATTTGCCGTCCACTGCTGCCATGTTCGACACTGCGTGGCTGTTGAATTGGAGTATTGCTTTGATAGCGCAGAGCTGAGACCTGGTTGGGTGAAAATAAATAAATAACCTACAAGATCCGTAGGCCGTCAAGAAACTGAAGCGAATCAGGAATATCCCACGCAACTGTCTTTGACAGTACAGTGCACAGCCAGGATTAGAGATATTCAATCAATTCCAGAGAGCTCGCATTATTTTGAAAGTAGATCTATCCACTGTTGGCCGTGGAGTGTGCCCGAAGGAGGCTGGAGATCGGGGACCAGTGGACGATGGCTTGGCGGATCGCGCTGCCGTCTCCCGGGAGTTGATCCGGGGGCAGCTTATGCCATCATCCTATCGACCGCGATCGCACTTCATGGAGCCTGTGAGCTCACATCTACATCCAAACACCTGCAATGCCGTCGGAACAAGGCAGGAAGAAGTCCTTGAGACTTGACCTGACGCAGGCCACCGCGCTGGAGGCTCCTCCTAGTATCGCGGCCTTGTTCCTGATCCGTTTCGATATCAAGACGGGGTCAGTATCCACGACCATCGAGAATCTTAAACACTTATTACCTAGACGGCAGCTGACATAGTAATGCGAGAAGATATGTGATCTCTTGGAAACGATCCTTACCTGATGGTACTTATCCTTCTCGAGATGAGATGAGCTTGATGACGGAACTGACATGCGGGGTGGACAGTTGAACTAGAAGGCGTCGTCGAATACAGGTCGCTCCCATCCGGTCTCCACAACGTCACTGAGGATTTGGTGTATGCCGTACTGGCCTGAATATCTTGCTATGGTTTGCTGAGTCTGATTTCTAGGTATTTCATACACGACAAATATGCCGGTGTCAGCGCCTTCGTGAATAAGCCCGCCGCGGAAGCCGAACGCAATGCGCTGATGTTTGCTGTTGGCGTTCTGGTGCCTTTAAGCAATGGTCGACTGGGGAAGAGCTGGAGGCATGCAGCAGGCTTGAAGGAACTTGCACAGTAAGTTTGCTCCTTCCTGTGCTGGACCTAAAGTTGGATGCTAATGCGTGGCTCACTGCAGGAAACTTGACAATGAGACCTGGGATCCGCAACCTCTTCTGGAATATTGGGAAAACCATCAGGTTGGTGGGAGTGATTCTCCTACCCTAGTTGAGACATCGCTGGAGTCGCCTACGACCCTCAAACCCAGAACGAGACCGGACGCTTCAGAGACGCAGCGATGGAGTCGCGCTCTTAGCGATACAGTAACATACGAAGCATCCAGAACGGCACTGACACCTTTCCATCCTGCCGCATCCCTTCCAGAATTTATACGATTTTTTGGTCCTCTGGTGTTCCCATTGTATAGAGCTGCCTTGCTGCGCAAGCGGATTCTTTTCGTAACCGAGGCGCCAGTCCATATACCTTGTAATTATGGTATGAGCGTCCCACACCATTCTATGTTCCGAAGCTAACTATATTTCAGTGTACGATCTTTCTTTGCTGTCTTCCTTGCCTCAGTCGCTACTTCCACTACTTCCTTCCGAAGGGTTGCCGCCCCTTCGCCCTCGGCCCCTTTTCAACATCGGCGTACACGATATACCCTACCTCTCGTCGCTGAAACCCGCAACAGGCTCTGGAGAGCATCATAGCTGGATAGCATGCACAACAGATAATGTGTTGACCATGAAGTCTGAACTTCACGATGTTCTTGTTACGTTTCCGCCACCATACTCCAAGGACGCCGCGCAGAAAGTCTACCCGAAAATAAGTATCAAAGACGCCAATTCTGTTAATCAGAAATCTCCTCAACAGATCACGATAAAGGCAACACAGAGGGATGTTCGTCGTTATTTGAATCTGCGTGACGGCCTCCGCCATCTTGACCGCGAGGCTGTCTCTCAGAGCCCCAACGCAGATGATGACTCGGACGCTTCATCTACATTCTCGTCTAGCTCTATCGTCGAGCCACTCTCGTGGCCACGTCTGGCTTACACATCGTTCATATGGTGGGCATCCGCTGGTGAAAAGCGTGAAGGCCTGACGGAAGAGGAAGAAGAACAAGTGGAACAAGATACCAGTCTTCTTGCCAGCGTAGACAGCCTCTCAAACTCTGCAGCTGGATCTCTCCACCGTCGCAACATCCAGCTCGATCAACTGGGTAACCAGCCGCAAGAAGTTGCGCTTGTTGCGTACTTCCGTCGCTTAACGAGCCTGATTTTCACCACTCTTTCTGATGCCGTGGCAAGACAAGATGCTGATGACGAGGCGGAAACCAGCTACCGAGACGAACCGGGCGAAGATGACGATGAAACCGTCTCGGTAAACCGACATTCTACGGATGATGACCAAACTGCGCTACTTTCAGAATCCCGGCGCCGCAGAGCAAACGGAGACGATGATCTGGAGCCGGTGACAATCACAACGGAAGACATGGCTCACATGGGTCTGGATGTCTGGAGCGAAACGGACCGGATCTTCGTCGACCAACTCCTTCGACTCTGGTGGGGTCGAAAGGCCCGTGTGGATGGAACGCGAATCACATGTTGTGGTGTTCGTATTCTCTAAGCACCGACAGCCCTTCAGAATTATTTGGTACATATTCTTCCACTTTATAGCAGGACAGTTGTTATCATGGCGAGCAAGACACAGATCGATCAAGTACACCGCAATACCCCATATGCAATGTTCACGATGCTGGACATCGAGTCCCTTTCATTTCTTAACTCGAGTGAAGCGAGATCTATACAAACCTAGTTCTCTACATCGAGACAAATGTGATACATAGAGAACTTCTGCAGTCTACTCTTTTCCTGGAAAGGTTGAAATCGTTCACATTCAACAAAAAGTACTTGACACCATATCAAGAAAACTGAAGTAATCACAAGAAAAGTAAAGAGACCCAAAAGGAATATCAAGCATGTCCAATGAAAGAAGGCAAAAAAATATGTATCGACAAGAAAAGACGACGTAACCAAGGCCCTAAACAAGATCCATATATAACGCCCGGGATCCGATGAGTACGGCCTCCGATTCCAAAAACGCTCCCATGCAAGCCGGTGAAAGATAGAGAAGAGAAGGCTTTTCAGCAAACCAAGAATGGAACAAAAAAGTGCAAAACAAGAGAAAGATCCAGGAAGGCCAAGGCAAAACGATAAGTTTCCTTCCGAAAAATAAACCCAAGAACCTGCAGTATCAGCGCCTGGCTAATAGAGACAAGACAGAAGCGGTATGTAAAACGAATCGAAGCAGTAAAGAACTCCGTAATGACAAAAGGTATATTCAGCGGATCTATTGTTGCGTTACCAAGGCGAAAGACGCTTAGTACTTCCCGACAGGAGCACTGAGATCTCTCCGCTCACTCAGGTCGCTCTCGCTTTTTGCGTCTGTGTTATTCACCCCTGGAATTCGTTTCGGTCCGCGAACAGGAGCCGTACCCATGCCACCGGTACGGACTGAACCTTCCAGCGCACTCGCACATCTTTTGGGCATGCTGCGAGCCCTACCTCGTCGTGCTCTGATCTGTGCCAAGGCCTCCTCTCGACTAATAGGTGTTCCTGGAATGGTGGAAAGGTCTTGGACCGGTGTATGATTCTCCGGACGGAGGGGAACCTTGGTTACGGTAACGTTCTCCTTAACCGTTTCCTTTTGGCCCACCTCTGGCTGCGGCGTAGATTCCTGGTGGCGTCTGTCGAATAGGTTCTCGTAGAGTGAGGGAGGAAGCTCGATAGGTGCTGTGGACGGCGCAGCTGACATTGCTTCGGTAGGAGGATCAAGACGAAGAGCATTTGGGGCACTCTTCGGGCCTTTCTCGTTCTCAGGAACAAGTGGTGAAGTTGGTAAATGGCGAACAGGTGAGTGGGGTTGCGGCGCTGAGTGTACTGCCTGTGTCGAGGAAGATCGCCCCTCGATGCGCTGTGGTGATTTGTGCATGGGTGACGGGATAGCACGGAACGTCCCCGTTTTTGGAGAGAACGTTATGGTCGGCTCATCCGATGTTTCTGTCTGCGCCGTGGATCCAGTTTCAACATTGACTTCTTGAATCGGCGTTGATGCGCGAGTAAGGCTTCCAGCCTGGTTTTGGGATGGCATCACAGCCTGAGCCCGTTTCTTGATTTCAGCGTCGGTCTCTGCCTCGGCCTCCTCTCTCTTTTCCCTGATCTTGCACATGTTGTACCATTTCACGTCATACACATATTCATGTCCTTGGCTCTCCGCGATTCGGCAGGAGCACTGTTTGAACTGACATTCCATCTTGAGGAAGTGGACCATCTCCTCCGCCTGGAGTCTCAACCGCCTTTCCCAAGACAGTTCGAAGTTGAGCCGCTGGACCATATTCTCCTTTTCTTCTGTAGCCTCGACCTCCCGGACCTCCGGGACCTCTGTGGTAGATCCGCCGTGTGATAATCTCGGTTTTTTCGGCGGGGTCTCACTATGATGCTGCTGTGCTTCCGTCACTGAACCAGACAACTGCGACTTGTCGCATCCATCAAGGCTTCTCTTTGCTCTGCGAGGCGTTGGTGTGAGAGATGAAGGATGTTCCTGGGCCGCAGCCGACATTGCGGCACTGTCTTTCTCCATCTCTTGAGCCTTAGCTTCTAGAGCGTCGGAATGACTATCCGTCATTCGATCTGTTTCCAATGACCGCAACTTCCCTTTCAGAACCTCCAGCTCCTCAGTAAGGCCGGCCAGAGCGTAGGCACGTTCGAAGGCTTCCTGCTTCGCTTTATCCTTGGCGTCTTTCTCCACCTTGAGTTCATCCCTCAGACTCTTGATCTCCGTCCTGGAGTTTTTGATTTCCTCTTGTAGCTTTACCAGAGTAGAACCGGTCTTGAATGCTTCCTTTCTTGCTTTTCTAACTTCCTTCTCAAAGACTGTTCGCTCATGGGCCTGACGTTCTTTGGCGTTGTGTAGCTCCTCCATAAGAGACTCCAGTCTTTCGCTCAAGCGCCTCTCTCGAGATTGCGCTTCAGATAGCTGTGAAGATACATTTGCAAGTGCTGACTCGGCCTCTTCACGTCCAATGATGGCTCGTTGAAGCGCAGCTGAAGAGTTCGACGAAGAAAGTGTGGTGGAAGCTGGAACTGGACTTCCATTGCGCGAGAGGCCGTTGATAAAAGCGACCTTTGCTTGGACGTCGGAATTCTTTCTAGTTGATCGGAACAATTCTGTTGATCTTGATGGCGAAGTCATCGGTTTTTGTTGATTCATTCGTTCGGGCGACACGGGGTAGAGAGCCCCCTTGGGAGAGGCGGGCGACTGAAAGGACGGAGAATCCATTGCTGATACTTCGAGGGATGTGTTCACTGCTGTCATAAGGGTCTCCTGATGAACATGACACACGCACACAGTACGAGCTATGGTTCTTGTGTATATTCAGCTGGCACTCGCTTGTGTCAATGTCAATGATGTCGCGCACGGCTGTCAAAGGTTCAGAGAACTCCACCTGATCGACCGCGTTGATTGTGTTTACCGCCTTTGGGGTGGCCATCGCCGGTTGCCCGGAGCAACAATCCACTTAAGTTGATGATTGGTTTAGGGTATTGTATCTCACGTGATGATAATTGCTTAGTCATGAGTGACGCCAGATGCCAAGAATCAAATTGTCGATATGGTCTGTGTTCGAGCAAGTATCACTTACTCTAGCTCTGTGGAATTCTGGACAGAGTAACATCGTTACTAACTGACGAACATCTCCTGATTTACTGCATATGCGACGTTTCCAGTCAAGTCACTAGACCACTGACAGAGCGGGCAAGTTACCGGTCTACTACATTTGGAATTATCACATACCTACAGTTGTGGCTGCATGATAGGCTGTGAACTGGAGTCTGTCCAATACGAGCCCTCAATCTACGTGCAACTTGAGGCCGTTATAGGATTCGGGGTTTTGGTGATCTTCGAGAAATCAAGGCGGTTCCTGCGCCCGGAAGATAATCTGTTGTCACGATGCATGAAATTATCACACTTCAGCTTGGTCAACGGAGCAACTATGTAGCAACACATTTCTGGAATCTCCAGGTTAGAATCTGTATAGCCTTTTATAATGAGTGGAATTCCTAACATGCACAGGAATCCTACTTCACATACAATGCAGGCGAAGAGTCACCCGTAAACCACGATGTTCATTTCCGACCCGGTCTTGGAGCAGATGGGACGGAGACATTTACTCCAAGAACCATTATTTATGACCTCAAAGGTGGCTTTGGTTCCCTTAAGAAATACAATGCGCTTTACCAAATGGAAGAGGAATCTAGCATGCCAAGAGGACTATGGTGAGTGCCCGGGCTTGATCATTTTAGAACATTATCTATCTAAAAGCATCGTGTGTGAACGGAGCTGATACCAATTTAACAGGGACGGAAATGAGGTTATACAACAACAACCTCAGATCCCGCAGAGTGAATATCAAAAGTCCCTGGATCTGGGATTAACCCCACCTCCGCTGATCTCGGAGACGGTTCGTTACTGGTCTGACTTCAACCGGGTATTTTATCACCCACGTTCTATTGTCCAGCTGAACGATTACGAGTTGAATTCCCGATTGATGCCATTTGAGAACTGGGAAGTGGGTGAAGAATTGTTCAATGATCTAGACAAGGAGCATGATCTCTTGGATAGAGACGTCAGACCTTTTGCAGAGGAATGTGACCAACTGCGCGCCCTTCAGATATTCTCCGGGACAGATGACGCCTGGGGAGGGTTTTCAGCGAGGTATATTGATAGACTCAGAGACGAGTATGGCAAAACTAGTATATGGCTATGGGGCCTTGAAGATGGTGCTAAGGTCCAGCGGGTACGTAAATCAGAACACCATTCAGTACTTGAGAGAAAACTGACATTTTATGCATAAATGCAGCAGAAGCAAATTCTCCGATCGATCAATGTTGCAAAATCAATCTCTGCAATCTCGCCGCAAGTTTCCTTGTATACGCCCATCATGGACCCCCCTCATCCATTGCCAACCTACCTAAATATCGATCTACAATCAGAATGGTACAAGTCGGCACTCATCACCTCTTCAATCGAGTCCGCCACCCTGCCTTCTCGCCTTCGCCAATATCATGACATCGAGGCTGCGTTAGCGGGTGACGACGGCACGCACAGAATCTTCGAATTGAAGGCCTCTATTGTACCAGAAGCCAGCGAAAACCCTGCAGGATCATCGCGTACAGAAGCAGAAGCTGCCGGATCCTTGGCAGAGGACGATGGAATTGACGAGAATGCGAAATTTGACATTAACTTTAGTTATATTGATCCTGCTGGAAGGCATCACACCTTCAACGAGATCCAGGTCGCTCGTGGATTTGAATTTGCTAGAGCGGATGAACCATGGCTTGAAAATTCCACTCTTGCTCGGCGACAGCGCCTGTTCAACTCGCAATCTGCACTACAAAGGTACGTACGACCGAAAAATGGATCGCCTGAGTCACAACGACACCATAACCAAAAAAATATACTTCCTGCAATAAATGAACCAACAGCTGCTGTCCCCTGGCATTTGTAGGGCAACGGTTACTAACGGTCTACATGATTTCCAGGTTCGATACGGGTTTGCGGCTTCCTATCCTTGACAGCTTCCCCCGCAATCTCTTCGCTGATTCTAGGCCGGAAGCTGGCATCAAGGTCCATGCAGCATTGGCAGCCACCTCAGCGGTGGCAGATCGAATCAAGGCTCTACAAGCGATTGCAGGACGAGCTGTGGGCGTCGATGAACGAGAGGCCTTGGTCAACGGCCTCGGCGAGATCCGTGAGACATACGAGCAGGGATGGATGAGCGATTTGGACTCTGGCGAGGACGACTGAACACCGTACCCATCCGCTGCTACCTGGCCGCAGGACACTGGCATACACCACCGAGACGTCTGGCTGGCCTTGGGGCGCGCACGTTTCTCACTGATAGTTGGATACTGTTCCCCACAGGGAAATTAACTTCTGCCTGCATCTTACGGAGTACTCCAGTCCTCTTGAAGGACTCTTATGCACCTGCGTGGACTAAAGAGCGTCGCCTGGGGTAGATTCTTGCTCAGTGCTTCTCGCCGTTGTGGCGACCCGGATCATACTGCATATATTATAGAAACGTCTGCAAGAGGCATTTGCTCGATATTGCGACCGCGAATGCCAATTTAGACATCGCTTCAGTCTTGAATGGACCTGTCCAGGGCTATTTTTGTTATGTACTATCGAACAGCCCGACCCAAGATTTGTCAATCATGACCTGATTCACCTGAAAGCGGGGGAGGGGTAATTAGTCGACCCAGAAATCCGATCAGATTATCCCGGTTTTCGTCGACAGACCAAGAACTGCCATGATGGATGACCGGAAAACGTACGGAGACGATATTGTTAATATTTCATGATGACTCCAAGACATCTTTCGAACTAATAATCATCCATCTCTCTTTCTCGATCCGAAGCGAGTTGGCCTATTCTAGCGGCCCAACAACAACAAATCCGGCCTCGGAAGGATTACCCTTCGCGGCGATCGATCTGATATAATTAACGTACGAAGTGATGTGGTGTCGTCAGGGCCTGTCTGATAGTTGTTGTATGTGTATGTGTATGTGCTGTACAGGCACTAAAGGCATTTCTGTTTTCTGTTAGCGGAAAGGCGGAGAGAAATGGGTTGAGAAGAAAGTCAATCCCAGATCTTCCGTGATTCTGCTTGTCCTGTTCCTCACCTTTTTGCCTCGATGTTTGGCCCGCTGTGGAGAGAACGGGCCAGGGACCAACTGTGATTATTCTCGTTCTCGTAATCGTGTCGACGATCTGATCACTCTGGGCGAAGTGCTTTTCGATTCGACCCATCCAGAATCTCATCCGATCGGATCCGATTTGCGATGTGTCCGGTACCTTTTTTTTTGCTCTCATTCTTTTTTTCTTAGCATCCAGCTCGCTTGTGCTAACACTCAGTCTTGTCCCTTTCTACTCTAGCCCTGCAATTGCCAGGCTGAGGCCTGACAGCGTCAGCCACTCGCCACGTTCCAAGAACAGCCGACCGGACTCATGGCCGCCATGGGGCTTTTTGCCCGTCCGCCTCATCCGTGGATCGCGCATCCACGAGTCGAGGTAGAGTTGACTACTCTATACTTCTCATTCGTGGACCTGGTCCCGCTAGCTCATGCTCCCATGGCGCTTTTGTGTCAAAAATTCAATGACAGGCGCCAATACTGCAACCGTTGTGGCAGGGCACCGTCCACATGTTTCGCGCTCAGATTGAACACCAAGATTGCTTGGAGGAAAAGACATGTAGCATGACTGGTGCGTGAGCAATCAACTTGCGCCGGCGGCAGAAGGTCGAGTGGCGATTCGATCGTGCTGCCAACTCGTGGATCATCTGAGACATAACATGCACAGGCCAGGGGTTAGGCCGCACCGGATCGGACAACCGTCTGTCAGCTCGCATCCAGATTAGAATCTCCACTTCAAAGTCGATACTCTACAAGCCTTTGACATCACATCCATGGTCGAGATCACCCCACGAAGACGCAGTTGCCATTGGAGAATTGCACTGCCCTTTCTGGCCCTAGTCGGTCGATTCTTATAGTATTAGTCGTCACCATCTCATGTTTCGGGACCCAACCCACCGGGCAACAGCTTCGTTCTCGTCCATTCTGGTAATCCAGCGGAGGGGAACCCCCGCGAAAACCACACAAAGCGAGAGTGGACGGCCTTCAAGGTGCCACGGTACTACCGAACACCTGCTGCTACCCTAACTGCTACCCCGACCATCTCTCGAAAACAGCTCTTTCACGCCACAGATTGATCCTGTGCAGGGGTGAAACATCACAAATGTAAAGAGATGCCCAACACAGAACAGGTTACCCGGATCTGGCTGGCCTTGCGAAGGTCATCACAAGATTGCGTCGAGATTACCGCATCCTCGACAGTGTCTGACTGCGGATATCTCCAGACTGTTCTAAATATTCTTTCTTCTTCGCCTTCGTCCTTTTCTGGAACTCGAAGGAACATGAATGAATGATTCATGATTTCAGACTTGACTGTTTTCAGTAGAAACGTCTACCATAAGGACATGTTTACGACTGCACTCCACTGAGGAGTTAAGCTGGCGGCCATTCTGCATTCCTGTCATAATGCATCTTACTCCAGATCAGAGGTCGCTTGCTATCGTAGTGGACGGCGGTCCATGCATACGCTGTAAGCACCTGCAGGTTACTAAAAAAACAAGCATCAGCCTATACAGTGGATACGCGTGTATAGGAAATGCCTGCTATCACCTACAGGGGAAACGTCTCTATACCCGCGTATAGAGAGATGATCTCTACACAAATGTCTAGTCTGTTTTGGGTCCAAAGTAGGAAGTTCATTTCCGCCAGTTCAAATTTCTCGATACGGCTATCCAATATATCGTATCCGCTTCTGGGTCTACTGGATGGAGCCGCCGAGAGCCTCCAGGAAACCTTTTTGTTTCAGTGGAGCACTGACTTGATGTGCAGATGATTCACCATTGGCTGGCCTTGACAATCCATGAACAGACGAGTAGAAATCCTGCACCACGAGTACCGTGGAACCGGTTCTGTGCTGCTCGCCGTCCCAGAACTGATGCTGTTCACGGATCATGGTCCATCGACGACGTGGAGCAGAATTAGAATAACCTCCGAACTAGCCATGATTGCCCACCTGGACACATCGCAGACAGGCAATCAGAACGTCTGATTGTTCCGATAGACCAATTCGGTTGCAGTCTGGTGCCTTGGCCTCTGTTACCAGAACACTGTGCGATGGGCCCATGCTAATTAACCGCCGCCAGGTACATACATAAAAGCTCTGTCCCTCCAGAGTTTATGGGATCTTCGTGTCGTTATTGATCGCCAGTGTCATCTGCGAGGAACTCCTTCGTTACGGTTCCTTGTTCTCTCGTTCATATATTACTTGGCGAGAAGCAAAAGAAGTACTATACACCTTAATACGAACTACCCTTTGACATTCCACCCACTCTACCGCTCGTTATACAGACATCATGGTCAAAGCAGCTTTCGTTTTGCTCGCTCTGGCGAGCTCGGCCCTTGGCCGTGGACTCCAGCTCAGAGGAACTGGCGCCGAGGCTCCCTGGAGCTCTTCTGTCGCCCCTACCTCCACCAGTGTTCACTCGAAGCCCATCCGTACCAGCAAGGCTTCTCCCTCCAAGGCTTCTCCTTCCTACTCGCCGTCCAGCTGGGTCTCTCCTGTCCCATCTAGTACTACGCCGCAGCCTGAGGAGACTATCACTTACACCACTACCTACACTACGACGACTTGCCCTGGTATGTTGGAGTTGTCTCATTAATCTATAACATATGATCCTTGTAGCTAACCGCCAGCAGTGACCCCGTCGACCGTCACCAGTGGTTCTACTACTTACACCACTCCAGTCACTGGTACTAGCACTATTGTCGTTACCTCTGTGGTCACTGAGTGTCCGAAGTGCACCAAGACCAAGACTCCTATCCCTACTAGTACTGCTTTAACCGTGCCTCCTGAGGAGACGACTACTTACACGACTACCTATACTACGACAACTTGCCCTGGTACGTTAAGAGTTGTCCTTAATTTATATCATTATGATTCTTATAGCTAACTACTAGCAGTGACCACCTCTACCGTCACCAGTGGTTCTACTACTTATACCACTCCAGTTACTGGCACCAGCACCGTCGTTGTTACTTCCGTGGTCACTGAGTGTCCCAAGTGCACTAAGACCAAGACTCCTGTTCCTACGAGTACTGCTTCAGTTGTGCCTCCTGAGGAGACGACTACTTACACAACTATCTATACTACCACGACCTGCCCTGGTATGTTGTCAACAGGATATAGATATGTCTAGATCAATTTGTTATGACTAACGCTGTAAATAGTCACCCACACCACTATTACTAGTGGTTCTACCACCTACACCACTCCTGTCACTCAGACTAGCACCATCGAAGTCACCTCCGTGGTCACTGAGTGTCCTAAGTGCACCAAGACCAAGACTCCTGCTCCCGCTCCTACTGTGACTGTGCCTACCACTATCCTGACCACCAAGACCACCACCTTCACGACAACGACTTGCCCAGGTAAGCTCCCACCTGGGAACAGAACCACTGAATGATTTATTAACAATATTCCAGTCACCTACTCGACCGTCACCAATGGCACGAGCACCTACACCATGCCGGTTACTCAGACCAAGACCCTGACTCTGACCACCATCACCACCTGCCCTACGGTCATTCCGGCTCCTCCCACTGAGACTGCTCCTGCCCCGGCCCCTACTACCTCGGTCGTGACTATCACCACCACCTACGAGACCACCACCTGCCCAGTTACACACACTACGGTCACCAGCGGCACCAGCACCTACACCACTCCCGTTACTCTGACTCTGACCCAGACTCTGACCACGACCACTTGCTCTACCTCGGTCATTCCTCCAGCTCCTGTTGCCCCGACCACTGCTACTCTGACCGTTGTGCCGCACTCCTCCGCTCCGGCTCCGGCTCCTGAGAGCCCGGCCCCTGTCGAGACCACTGCCACGGCCAGCCCTGCTCCCGAGACCAGCGTCGTTGTTCCTCCCGCTAGTCCCGCCCCCCAGAGCCCTGCTCCTGCTGAGACCAGCTCCGCTGCTGTTCCCCCGGCTAGCTCTGCTCCGGTCACTGTCTCTCCAGCTCCCGCCAGTTCAGCTCCCGCTGCCTCCAGCCCGGCTGCCCCGGCCGTCCCGTCTTCCTCACCCGTCGGGGTCTCTCCTCAGGAGACCACTACGGCCTCGGTCTCGCCTTCCCCTACTCAGTCGACTGCTCCTGTCTTCACCGGTGCTGCGGCCCAGGTCAGCAAGCCAGGTATGGGTTTGCTGGTTGGTGCCCTGGTTTTCCTCGCCAACTTGTAAACAGATGGGAATTCCCAGTTTGGCTTTCCTGATTTGATTTGTCCATTGCAGTGATAGCGAAGAAATCTGACACATCTACTCACTGCGATCATAATTTCGTCTCGGGCTTGACCACTTAATGAACTCCAAGAAAAAGGAGCCTTGGAATAAAGAAAAGAATCGTGCATTCACTCTTTTATGTTGTCGGACGGTTCTTTTCGCTCTGCAGCTTTGGACATAATATTCATCCTCTCCTTTCAGGTGACGACTTTTCAATTCTTTGTCACGGACATAAATCATGACCGATATGACTTTTTTTCCTTTTTAATTAATGTCCTTAATTGAGCAATTACGATGTGGTATGCTTTAGCCGACATTGGTTCCGAGTAATCGGGTAGCGTAGCCGCCAAGCCCTGATAAGATTAAGATAGCAGGCGCTTATAGCTAACTCTCGAGAGCGTGTATAATAATGTGAGCATCGTTTCTCTAGCTCCAGCCATTCTTGCTCTTTTTTCTTTTTTTCTTCTTCTTTTTCTTCTCTCTCTCTTTGGTAGAAGATGCTTCTCATGCAATGGAGCGGGATGGTGTTTAAGAGCAACACAATTAGCACAAACCTCACTTGAAATTTCTTGGACCGCACCATTTTCCGTTCTATATATATATGTATGTATTATGTATGTATGTATGTATGTATGTATATATATACAAGCACAGTTGACATTCGTCGCTTTTCAATGGTGGACCGCAATTTTCAGGAATGTGCCGAACATGCCGATACCGCACCGAATCTTAGTTTCAAGACGATAACCGAAATCGTTAAACGCGACGATCTAATAGCCCAAGAGCGGCTTTTACTTCTTCCGCATCCAATGACTTCTGCTTTCTCCTGGTTCGATGTCTAAACTGAACAAAAAAAGTTCTGAAGGCGGGCATTCCTTCGATTTTTAGGTGCCCCGGTGGTGTTGTTTTGAGAGAATGACAGAGGCGCAGACTACCACAAAGGCCCAAACGAACAATATCAACGGATGGGATGGCCCTGATGATCCTACGCATCCGAGGAACTGGCCAACATTGCGCAAATGGGTTATTACCGTCATCACGTCGCTCATGACGTTTTCCGTCACTTTCGCAAGTAGCGTGTTCAGCACGGCGGAAACACCGACAGCTGAGAAGTTCCACGTTTCTCACGAAGTGATGGTTTTGGGATTGAGTCTTTTTGTTTTAGTATGTTCGAGACCCCTCTTTTTTCCGGCTGCAAATAATGATTAACCTGCGCTCATAGGGATATAGTTTCGGGCCTCTGCTATGGGGTCCGCTGTCTGAAGTCTGCGGGCGGAAATTTCCCCTAATGCTGGGTGTAATTGTCTTTTGCGTCTTCCAGATACCCGTGGCAGTTGCGCAAAATGTCCAGACCGTCATAGTATGTCGTTTTATCGGTGGCATCTTTGCCTGCGCGCCCCTTGCTATTGTCGGAGCATCTCTATCTGATATTTGGGATCCGGTCCAACGAGGGATCGCGGCATGCATTTACTCTGGTGCTACCTTCTCTGGCCCTGTTCTCGGTCCGATCGTTGGCGGGTTTCTGGTCAATAGTCATCTGGGCTGGAGATGGACGGCTTGGATCACTCTTATTCAGGGATTCTTCTTCTGGGTGCTTGGTATGCTGTGTGTCCCGGAGACACATGCGCCCACGTTGCTGCGACGGAAGCTTGAGGCTGTTCAGAAAGTCGCAGATGAGAGCGCACGCCGTGGGAGTATACGAAGGATGATCAGTCCAGGTGTGAATCCACAGCAGAATAAGATCACCTTACGGATATTTGTCACCAAGTATTTAACGCGACCACTTGGTAAGTGCATCACTCTGTTATGACGACTTGCCTTGTCTATCTGTTTACATACGATGAACAGTCATGTTGGTATCCGAGCCAATACTGCTTCTGACTACGCTATACATGTCCCTCGTCTACGGTACTTTATACCTTTTCTTCGAAGCGTATCCCATCTCTTTTCAGGAGCAACGTGGTTGGAACCCCGGAGTCGGCGCACTGCCCTTCCTAGGCATCACAGTTGGCGTGGTATTCGGCAACATCACTATCCCAGCAACCACCCTCTTCCGCTTCAAGCGCAAGTATCTCGAAGGCGGGAACAAAGTCGCGCCCGAGGAGCGCCTGATCCCCATGATGATCGGCGCCGTGGTTCTCCCACCCGGACTCTTCTGGTTCGCCTGGACCAGCAACCCGCACATCACATGGGTTCCTCAGGTCATAGCTGGAGTGCCCATCGGGATGGGAATCCAGATCATCTATACGATGGGATTCAACTATATTCTCGACGCCTACACCCCCTATGCCGCTAGTGCTGTTTCTGCTAATACGTTCATACGATCCATGGCCGCGGCAGGGTTTCCGCTTTTTGCGACGCCCATGTATCATAAGCTGGGGATCAGCTGGGCAACGTCGTTGTTGGCCTTCCTTTCTCTGCTTCTGATGCCGGTACCGGTTTTGTTTTATGTATATGGAGAACGAATTAGGAACCGGGGACGGTTTAGCGTTGGGTAGATTTTGTTAATAGGATTTAATAGGAATTGTACATATAAATCATAGAAATCAGCAGTACATAACTGGTTGTGAATGAAATTTTCCGTCTGAATAGTGGATGATGAGATATGTAGCTTCAAGATATACCGTAATCAAATATCTGATTCCTGCGATAAGATAGAGGCCCACGTGACCGGAGTCAGATGACGCCGTGTGATGCCAAAGTGTCCTCAGTGGAACACCCAAGAAGCACTTCCTTGGGGAATTTGTCCTTTTTTCCTGGTCTACCGTCTGTGCCAGGTGGCCACTTGAATCATCCTGCATGGCTTGATCGTTGTAGGGTCGATTTTCTGTCTTCTTGTTTTCTTGACATCTGTGGTACGTGTTACGTTGTTGTCCGGTCCTGGCTTTCACATTTACATAGTTTCTCGGAGAGCTTTCACGCCGATATTGTCTTGTTTGCCTTGGTGGGCTGGACTTACTCTTCCATAGTCTAGGTACTGCACGATTTTCTGGAGCTGGAACTTGGGGGATCTAATCAGGGCTTTTTGTCCTTTTTTTATTTACCGCCATTGAGGTATGTTTCGAATGGTACCTATCCATGAAGGAGAGCTCCGCGGACTAATGCATGTATCTATGTTATAGCGGACTTAATATACCACACCCCATGGCTACCCATGGCCGACGGCGGTCATCCGCCTCCGTCGCCTCCCTCTTCTCTTCGCCAATGCTAATGACCGTCATCTTCCCCTTTCTCTTATTCCTCGTCTGCTTCCCGGTCCCCGCAGCCGCTGTCGGGTCCGCCGTTCTCGGTATCGATCTCGGAACAGAATACATCAAGGCCGCTTTAGTGAAGCCCGGTATCCCGCTCGAGATCGTCTTGACGAAGGATTCGAAACGAAAGGAATCGGCCGCTGTCGCCTTCAAGCCTGCTAGGGAGGGTAACGCCCCCTTCCCGGAGCGGTTCTATGGCGGTGACGCGCTGGCCCTTGCGGCTAGGTTTCCTGACGATGTCTACTCGAACCTTAAGACTCTCCTGGGTGTTCCATTCAACGGAGGCGAGGAGGAAATGGTCCAGGTGTACAAGAGTCGGTACCCGTCCATAAATCTGGAGAGCGCACCAGGCGACAGGGGAACAGTGGGCGTCCGCAGTGGAAAGCTGGGACAAGCGGTGGGCAAGGATGCGTTTCTCGTGGAGGAACTTCTGGCCATGCAGTTAAAGCAGATCAAGGCCAACGCTGATGTGATGGCCGGAAAGGGATCCAACGTCCGTGATGTTATCATCACGTATCCGCCTTTCTACACTGCGGAGGAGAAGAGAAGTGTGGAGCTAGCGGCTAAGCTGGCAGGATTGAATGTTGAAGCCTTGATCAGTGATGGACTGGCTGTTGGCCTGAACTACGCCACGAGTCGTACGTTTCCTAGTGTCTCTGACGGTCAGAAACCGGAATACCACGTGGTTTACGACATGGGTGCCGGTTCTACGACGGCCACTGTTCTGCGTTTCCAGAGCCGGAAAGTCAAGGATGTGGGCAAATTCAACAAGACCGTCCAGGAGGTCCATGTTATCGCTGCTGGCTGGGACAGAACTCTCGGTGGAGATGCCCTGAACCAGCTGATTGTGAACGACATGATCGAGAAGCTCGTTCAGGAGAAGAAACACATCTCGGCGGCTGATATTAGAGCGCACGGAAAGACAATGGCCAGACTCTGGAAGGATGCGGAGAAGGTTAGGCAGATTCTCAGCGCCAACACCGAAACTGGAACGTCTTTCGAGGGATTGTTTGAGGAGGATCTTTACTTCAAATACAAGATCACACGCTCCGAATTCGAGAAGCTGGCAGCAGAGCATGTCAACCGTGTTGGTGGACCGCTTGAGCAAGCACTTTCCGTCGCCGGAATACCCCTGAGTGATATCGAGTCAGTGATCCTCCATGGTGGCACTATCAGAACGCCTTTCGTACAAAAGCAGCTAGAGAAGGTGGCAGGAGGATCAAGCAAGCTTCGCACCAACGTCAATGCCGATGAATCTGCCGTCTTTGGCGCTGCTTTCAAGGGAGCCGCTCTCAGTCCAAGCTTCAGGGTGAAGGATATCCGTGCTGTTGACGCAGCTCAGTACCCTGTCTTCCTCAAGTGGCCTGCAGATGGTAAAGAGCGACAGCAGAAGCTGTTCACACCGACGTCGCAGGTCGGCGTCGAGAAGCAAGTGACAGTGAAGAACCTGGATGACTTTGAGTTCAGCTTCTATCAGCAGGTCCCTAAGGGCCAAGATGCCATCGATGCCCCTGTCTTGAAGGTTGAAACAAAGAACCTTACGGCTTCTGTGGCTGAACTGAAGAACAAGTTTGGATGCTCCCCCGCCAACATTACCACCAAGTTCGCTGTCCGTCTCAGTCCTGTGGACGGACTGCCTGAGGTGCTTAGTGGTTCCGCCAGTTGTGAGGTCGATAGCGCTAAGAAGGCCAGCGTGGTCGACGACGTCAAGGGCTTCTTCGGTCTCGGCTCGAAGAAGGATGCTCAACAACCTCTGAAAGAGGATGATGAGCCAACGGAGTCTGTCACCCTTGAGCCTGAGTCGTCATCTACCGCGACCTCGACTTCTGAGACCTCCACTTCCACGGAGCCCGCCAAGGATGCTAAGAAGGCCTCCCCGGAGCCTCAGACCAAGCTCGAGATCATTCCTGTCAAGCTCGTCTCATCGCCGCTTGGCACACCAGCTCCATCTCCGGCCGAGCTGAACCGCATCTTGGAACGTTTAGCTGCATTCGATGCCTCAGACCGAGACCGTGTCCTACGTGAAGAAGCCCTCAATGAATTGGAGAGTTTCATTTACCGTGGACGTGATCTGCTTGAGGACGAGGAGTTCCTTAAGGCCCTCAAGCAGGATCAGGTGTCGGTCCTGAAAGAGAAGCTTTCAGCCTCCAGCGATTGGCTGTATGAGGACGGCGCCGACGCTAAGACGAAGGATTTCCAAGAGAAGCTGAAGGCACTCAAGGATATTATTGACCCGGCCCTGCGCAGAAAGCAAGAGAACGCTCTTCGGCCCTCCAAGATGACTGTCCTGGAGGAGATGCTCAAGAGTGCCGGCACCATTTCGGAGATGATGGAGCAGACGATCAAGGCTGAAGAGGAGGCCTTCTCTTCCTCCCTGGCCGCCGCCAGCCCCAGCTCCACTACGGAAGCCAGCTCTGAGACCTCTACCAGCGCTGATTCCTCCTCTACGGAGTCATCCTCGACCGACGCTTTCGCCGATCTAGAAGAGGATCCTTACTCAACCTCGTCTTCGACGACTACTACGGCGTCGACCGCCCTCCCTTCCAAGCCCGCCTCTCCAAGCTACTCTCTCTACACCCCTGCTGACCTCTCATCCCTCACCAAGACCTACGAGTCCACGAAGACCTGGTTCGAGACACAGTCCGTCCTCCAGGCCAAACTCACCGAATCCGACGACCCAGCCCTCCCTGTTGCCGAGATTGACGCCCGCCTCCGCGAACTCGAGCGCATCCTGAGCCGGATCGGCTCCAAGATCCACGCCGGCGGCAACAACGGCAACAGCGAAGGTTCATCTTCGAAGAAGAACGGAAAGAAAAACAACAAGAAAGACAAGAAGCAACAACAGAAACAAGACAAAGAAGAAAAGAAGAGCCGCAAAGATGAGCTCTAAAGCTGTAAACCACATACGAACCAATGCCCGATAATGTTTGTATTATTCGTCTTGTCTGTTTTGTTTATTAGAGAACACATTTATCAAGCCAAGAAATAACTAGTAATCGATGCATTTCATTGCATTGCTTAGCTTTACTTAGATTAGCTTTCTTTGTTGGTTGATTTCTCTTCTTTGTACTGTACTTCTTTCTGGCTCTTGGGATTTAATTAAGCATTACTTACTTACGGGAGCGACACAGATGAAAAAGAATTTGGATGGAGATCGAATTTCTGCGTGTTTGTACTCTATTAAATTAAACTGCTAGATAGATAGATGGAGAGGGTTCCTAGGAATAATATATGAGAGATCATTCTCTATGGTTGATTTATTTGTTTGTTCTACGCTACTATGGCTTTTTAGATGGTAGAAAGTATAGTAGTTGTCGATGATATATATGGCTGAGGAATAGATATAATATTTCAAAATTGTAACTAATACCAGCCTCAGGAAAGTAAGTAAGTAAAATAGAAAACGAGAATATGTTCTATTTAGGCAAAGAAAATGACAGCCGGGTGGATCACTGACCAGCAGACCCGACTGGTGAAACAGCTAATAATAACGACACTTGAGAACAATGGACAAGAATATTCCTTTCAATTCCAAACAATCACGCTCACGTTGATACATTCCCATGAACACCGTACAGTAAGTAATAAGAAGAAGAGAGAGAAAAAAAAAAAATACATATCAGAAAACAAAATGAGCATGAGAAAGGACAGCGATATGACACGGTATGATGGAACAGGGTATAGCATAAGATGTGGTGGAAGGGATAACTGATAGATGAAAGGTGAGTGTAAATAATGTAACACATCAAGCACCTCTCATCTCGACCTCGCTGCCATTGGTGAGGTAGTCTGCGTCGACTTCCTCGCGCCGGCGGAGGAAGGCAGGTTCTTCGAAATCATCAACGTCCATGGCGCCAGTGGTCGATGTAGAGAATGGATCTCGGTTCTCCTGGCCCCGAGAGAGCTTGGCTGCACCGGGGAACTGGCGTCTCTGCTGGCCCAATTTCGGAGACAAGATCGTCCGTCGGGAGAGAGAGGGCGAGGTATTGTATGTGTTGAACCGGCTAGAAGCAAGAGGATCATGCCAGATACCGCTAGCATCCATATCGTGATCTTCGTCGTCCTCTTCTAAGTCCTCGTCATAGGTGCGCTTATGCGGATTGGGTGGAGGAATCGAAGACGCGACCGACTCCTGACTGCTCGATGGCAGGGAGAAGGCATCTCCTTCATCTGTCGAGATTTGCTCCGAACCAGCCCCGAACTCCGCAGCTGGTGACGGGAATGTCTGAACAGCATAGTTGCCAATCTTATGAATACCGCAATAGGGCGCCAGTTCTGCATACGACGTGCGACTGGCGATGTATCCCCCGCTCGTGCTCTCTTTGGCCGCAGCCAAGGCATATACACTAGGCTTCAACGCCTCCGTCTTGTATCCCTCCGGGACAGACTTCCGGACACGCATTCCGACACTCAAGAGTGACGACTGGATTTTATGCGGCAGCGCGGGGGAGGCGGAGTATGTAGGCGCAGAGTAGTTGTGGTGGGAGAGAGGGGAGCTAGTTCCATTATCATTATGATTACTCTCCGTAGTAGTAGGTCCCGTAGCTGCGAAATAACTGGTAATTGGTGGTTGGAAACGACGTCGTTTCGAGTTTGCGTCTTTGGAGAGAGTAGAAGCAGTACTCGCAACGGTAGTCATGGTGACGATAACGATAACGATGACGGTGTAAGCGTTTGTACTTAAGCACGTGAGAGGAACTTTTTCTTTTGATTTTAAGCCAAAGTGCTTATCGATAAGAAAGCATTGAAGGGATGCAGATGATAATGACAGAAGGAACAGAGTGGAGAGGGGAGTTGTCGTGGTGATGAAGAGGCGATGGAAAGGCTGGCAGGAGAAAGAGAGGAGGCTGGGCTTTCGCGCGCGCGACGCGGAGAGACGCGATCAGTATTGCTTTACTTAAGCTGGCCTATATAACCCGATCGGGATGAGGTTAGGGCTTAGGGTTTTGCGCATCCAAGGACTTTCTCTGATCAGTACATACTGTATCTGATAATACATGATAATGATAACCAGCAGGCTTTCGTCTGTTTCTATTGCAGGATGTTTGTATTCAAGCAGAATTACTGGGTACGGTGTATGTATGAAACGGCACTTTTTATCTGGGGAATCAAATAGCCCCGACCTGGCACGAACATGTGCCCCAGGACACATTGCTTCTATCTACATCTAACTAGATCCAGCAGTATATGATAACTATGGTAAACCATAACACCAGAAACTCCAGAACACAGGGTAGACACCTTGGTTTCCATACAATCAAGGCTTAACCGAAGTTTCCTCTCTTTCCACCTCTCTTCTGTCTCTCCTGGTGAGCCCGCAGAGCAGCTCTCGTCTCGACCAGACTCCTCTTCCCCTTGCTCTTGGCCTTGCCCAGCGTCATGAGGAAGTTCTTCTTCCGCGCCTTCTCCTTGTTCGTCGTACTCTTGCCCTCGGCAACCTTCTTGTCCTTGCGTCGGGCAGTGGTACTCTTGTGATCGTCGCGATCTGTCTTGGATTCCTTCACGCGAGCGAGCTTCTCTTCTCGAGTAGCCTTGTGTGAGAGAGCGGCCAGGCCCTCGATGTCCTCCGCAGTGACGGCATCGTCGACATGTCGACCAGAGGCAGCTGCTTGAGCACGTTTGGATTTCGCGCCCGGCAGGAGAGCATTGACAGAGGCTTGAGCGCGAAGCTCTGCCAGCTTGGCCAGATCAGCGGGAGTAAGGATGCGGGTGGTCGCCAGCTTGGAGATTTTCTGTTCCTTCTCCTTCTCGTCGGCATCTTCCTCGCCCTCCTGCTTCGCTTTCTTTGTGGGTGGTTTGTCATCATCGTCATCCGAGTCGCTGAGTTCAATCTCAGCGTCGCTCTCCACGTTGATCCAGCCGCCGGAATCATCACTGTCATCTTCTTCCACTTCCCACTTGGACCAATCTTCGGCCTCGTCCTCCTCTTCATCATCGTCTTCACCGTCCGACGGAAGACCTTTCTCCCGTCTCTTCTTTCTTCGTTCTTCCTCCTTCCACTGTTCCAGTAGTTCGATGCCCTCGATGTCACCGACAGCCTCTTCACCAAATCGCTTCTCTTTGAGTTGACCAGACCGCAGACCGATGGAAGCGTCCTTACCCCGGTCACGCTTTTTCAGCATCTCAGCGCCCACCTCTCTGTATAGTGACAGCAGACCCTTGGCGGCCATCATCACGCCCTTATCCTTACTCTTCTTGTACATGACAAGATCCTGTAGGAGCGTCTCATTCATAGCAAGCGGCTGTCGAACACAGACCTCGCGGATAGCATTTAGACCAGCGGAGGCAACTTCGGCGGCCGACGCCTCAGACACGAACTCGTTCGCAATTTTCTGGATAAGGGGCTCAAGAACATCCGGAGGCACAAGGTTATGCGTAGCCTGGGCCAGAGATGCTAGGAATGACGTGACGGACGGTTGTCGCGGAGTGAGATATTTCTGGAAATAGGAGTAGAGTTGGATGACGTGCAACTTGTGAAGGCCGACGAGACGCGACACAAGATTCAGCACAAACAGCTTCTGCTCCAGATTCAACTTCGACTTGGAATTCTGCAAGTGCTTCTGGAACAGGGTCTCGGCAAATCCTTGCGGATCGTGCAGGAGATGCAGCGCGGAGAAGTTCAGGGGATGCGGCTGATTCTTCTTGCGTTCCTTCTTCTTCACCGTCTGAAGCGCCTTTTCCACCTGACGAGACTTCTTCTTGGTCTTCTTGTTGATACCCACTTGGTGTCGTATCCGAGCGACGTCGATAGTCTCCTCGTCACTGCTCTCATCTTCCATCTCCTCTCTCTCTTTATCTCCACCAAGGAAGAATCGTACGCCACCAACGATAACCTTCTCGTTATCAGATAAACTCGCCTCCTTCATAATCTCAACAGTCTTGGCATCAGTCCAGATCTGTCTCTTCCACAACTCCCTCGTAATCTTGATAGCCCACAGAGCCTTTGAACTGGTGCGATCCGAAGTAACCAGGTTGAAAAGAACAGTCTGCATAGTCCGATTCAACTTGTGGTTCACCGTCTTCGAATTAGAAGAGCGCAGATCCGACACGATCTTCTGGAAAAGCAGCGCGCGGAGCGTCTTGCTAGACGTAGAGACGAGAATAGGAAACAATGTCTGTAAAAGTCTACACCGAGAAGCAAAAAAAAAGCGTTAGCAGACAATTCTTCTTATCTCCCAGCAACAACAGGGTGATATCATACGTAGCCGAATCCAAAATCTCCTTTTTCCTTAACAGAACCAGACTCGTGACGATCTTCTCTCTCAGCTCCTGCTCCAGAACCAGATGATGCTGCATCAACATATCCATCAATTGTTGCGGGAAATCCTTCGTGATCTCCGGATAGCAATCCGCCACGTGAGAAATAAAATCGATCAGATCGCGGAGCGATATGATACCCGTGTCGGTGGCCGATGATGGCGCAGCCATGTAGATTTCGCGGTGACTCTCATATTGGTAATGCTGGGCGCGGAAATCTTCAACGTAGGATCTGCGGAACAGCAGCGAAAGATATCAGTAACTTTCTCCCTTTTCTTGTATCGCACAGAATAGCTTCAGGGGTTAGAACTCACTTTGGATCTCTCCTGATCTTATGTTGCAGGTTCGGACTATGCGAGAAAGAGTAGAAAGGTCAGTATTCCATCTTGACCCAAGGCGGACAATTCTTTTTTGCGGCGGAGGGGGGAAAAGCGACAAAACTCACAGATCTGCTTCCACCTTTTCCAAGGCGCCAAGCTTTCTTTTCACCATCTTGACGGAATTAGTGAAAAAGAAAGAAAGAAAGGTATTAAAGAATGATGGAGGTTGGGTGATCAGAAAGTCACCCGGGGTTGATGTTGACTTTTTTTTCTTCGGAGCTTGCGAACCTCCGCGAACTTTTTTCTGACGGCCCTATCGATAGCGGTGAGTTGCAGCGCAGCCCGCCTGTCAGCGCTGCGGAGGCCACAATCCGCGCTTTCGTTAGGGATTGCAATTATACCGAGAATTAAGAGTCTGTTCTATAGTAGATGGAAGATCCTATGCGGTCTAGATCTACAAGGAGATTACATGTGTTTTTTTTTTTGGAGACCTCGGATTACAACGTAAATTCCCGTCGAGGGCGGGACAAGATAATTCAACATTTTTTGTCAACGCCTAGTGAGATTGGAAGGATTTTTCATATTGCAGACTAATCTGAAGTCTTCATGATCGCATCTCAACTACGAAGAAGGAAAGCCATCCATTTTCAAGACCTTGCTTCCTCCGTGGCTGTTTCCTGGCATGTACAGCCGCGCAGATGCATGCAAATCGACCGGACCCTGATGACACCCTCTCCACCCCCAGCAGGCAAAATCGAGCAACATACAAGGAAAATAAACGTGAATTCCTTTACCGGTTGCTCTTGGCAACACGCTCGAGCTCGTCCTTCTTCTTGATGGCGTAAGAGTTGGAGCTGCCCTTGGCGGCGTTGATCAGCTCCTCAGCAAGGCACTCAGCAATGCTCTTGACGTTGCGGAAAGCGGCCTCACGGGCACCGATGGTCAGCAGAGAGATGGCCTGGTTGACACGGCGGAGAGGGGAGACATCGACAGCCTGGCGACGGACGGTACCAGCGGATCCGATACGGGTGCTGTCTTCACGGGGACCGCAGTTGACAACGGCATCGACAGCGACCTGGAGGGGATTCTGGTCGGTCATGATGTGGATCTGATTGCAATCTGTCAGAAAAAGGAAAACTATTCAAATTCGGTTGTGTTCCTTCCAGTTGAATCTCTGCCATGGAAGGGCCATCTTAACAGTCCGGGGGTGAACGTACGATCTCGAAAGAGTGAGCAACGATGCGGACAGCCTTGAGCTTCTTTCCGTTGTTGCGGCCGTTCATCATGAGCGAGTTGGTCAGACGCTCGATGATAGGGCACTGAGCCTTGCGGAAACGCTTCTGGGCGTATCGGCCAGCGGAGTGAGGAAGGTAGACAGGGGAACGGATCTGGACGTAGTCGCTATAATCAAACAATCAGATCAGCAAAAAAGTTCGTTCCTGCAGGGAACTCTGCGATATTCCCAATTCCGTTTTCGTTGTGCTGCGCAGCTCTTGTCGCATCCTCTCTATCCTTCTTCCCCACAATGTTGTGTTTTTGCATATTCCTCCTTCTACCCAGGAAGCGCCAATTTGCGCAGCAACAATCGATGGAAATTGGAGATGAATCTTGTCGCAGAGGAGGCCTTATTGCAAAAACACGTACGTCAAAGAAATGTCCCTGATCTCAACATCCTCGTAGCTCCACTTGTTGAACAGCTTCACGCTGCCCTGCTCGGCCAGGACATCCTTGGGGACGGCCTGGAAGGCCGCCGAGCTTTCGACCTCGACTTCGCCGTTGTCGGACATGTTGGACGCCGTATACACCTGTTGTCGAGGGATTAGTTGGAGGTGACAGACGGTGCCGTTGGGTGAACGTTGAGCGTCGACGGTATGCAGTCGGTCGATTGAAATGTTCGCTGAGCGGAGGGAAATTCGCGGTGCGCCTCGCTTAGGTCTGTGTGGGTGGGTTAGGGCAGCCTGGCAGCCAACCAGCGCGGAGGTGTCATGTGATGGTGCCGCTGGTGGTTCCATAGTGATTCATGCCTGGAGAACAAGGCATATCTTCGACTCCACTAGTAGAGCAATAGTTATTCGAGGAGATTATTATCCAGCTTGCAGATTCTCTTATATCAGATCCCCATCACTATCCCGACGATGTGTCAAAAACGCTGAGCTTGGAACTAGGGCTCTTATTCGATCTCCATCCCGTGGCCTGGAAATGTCGCTATGGAAATCTCTCAAATCAGGAAAATGGATGTCCCAAAATTTTATATCCTGCAAGAAGTGCCAAACCTGGCCACTGTCAGCTTGCTAAAGAATGTTCTTTTCGAAGAAGCCTGCCAACAAAGAAGAACTCGAAAGCCCTGTTTTTCCCCGGCGCTGATGGTCGTTACTGAAGCCATCTGTCTTGATACTGTAGGAGACGTGTGCGGCAATGCATAACAATCGCATTTTGCCCATGTACTCTTGCAACTGGACAGATATTAGCTAGGCTTCATCATCGACTAAGTATTGGAGACCCGCGCGTATCGTACCGGTTACATTCTGGCTTCCCTTTATCACATTTGACTTTTCGAATCCTATGTTCTCCCTCTGAGTATCTGACTAGTCCCACAAAGAACGGACCAGGAATATAGCAGCTCAACAGCCTTGACTGACTTGCAAGTAAAATAATACAACCCGTGCGCATTTTGGGCTGGCACGTGGCAGACTCACAGGCATGCTCATATAGACTGCGACGTGATTCTTCGTTGCTGAATTATTCTCAGAAAATGGTATGTTAGAAATCAATTCCCTCTGCTGTTTGCCGGGAAGTTTGAGATCGAGCTAGAGTGGGAGCAGATAGACAGCGACCCCGACCATCAAAGCTTACTTATATCTTGCAAAATTGGATAGTTAGAGAGCTACATCTTTCTAATAGCGCAGGATAGAGAATGCAAGCACTACTAGAAAGTACTTTCTCTTCACATCATTGAGATCCTCGTGGTCCATTTCAGCCATGAAGTTTCCATCGTGCACTACATAGTTACATAGTAGCTGCCTTGTTCCACAATACTGTAAGACAGCGACACTTCCCATCAAGCTGGGGATCCGCCTCGACGGTACAACTACAGAATAAGTGTGTATTCGTGCCTCGCACACTGACTCCAAGGGACTCCGCCATTGAATCCACCATCTCTCCAGGACCCTGGGGTATCAGCGGAAACAGCAAGGGGTTTTCATGTTGTGGCCGCCTTTCTTGCCCAAAAGTTGGCACTGCGCACCGGTAAGCAATGGAAATGAATTTGATATCCAAGAGAAAAGCGTGTCTTGATTCACCTTCTATAAATACTTAGTTTTGCCGCCCGGGTCATCCAGTAAGTATCTGTGGCGCCAAGCCAGTGTCCGTCCGCTAATAGTTCTGGTGACCCGTGCAGCCCCAGAACGAGCGTTACTTGTAGGGAACTGAAATATGCTGCTGTCCTCCTCCCAGCAACAGCATCTTTGTCGCGAGACCACCAACTAGTTCATCATCTTCAGTAAGAATCATCGACGGATGGTCATATGGCTGCGGCGAACTGGCTCAAGAGCGATCGACTAAGTAAGCTAGAGCAGTAATAATTGCTCGACTAGTAGTAACTAATCATCCTGTACTTAAAAGACCTCACTAAATTAGCTCTCGGCAAAGCCCATTGGGTTCCTCTTCCTCCCAACACGCGGGGCAGCTGACGGGACGTTTCTTGTGACGTTGTGGCTCACCCGCAATCCTGGACGAGGCGCAGACAAGATTCACATCGAAGACTTTCGCTTCCGCTCCTTGGATGATCCTCAACTTTCTCCGGGGAGCGTGTAAAGATAACCCGGGCGCTCCGTGTCCTCGAACGCGCCCTCGAATGACACCCTTCTCGACCATTGAATAAATAGACGGTGCTTTTGCGAACATGGCTGAGGAAGACATCCAGGCTGCTTTGCAGGCCCTGGAGCAGGAATTCGCGGTATGTGAAAGACCGTTGATCGCTGGCGTTTGGCGGGGTCCCTCGTGCAGACTGGACTGTATCTGTTTCACGCCTAGGAGATGCTAACTTGTACGTTCATGCACAGGAGGGCGATATCACCGAAAAAGGGTATGTGGGATCGAATGTGCCATCCGTATCGCCGCCGGATTGAAGCAGTCTAAGACGAGACGGATCGTGTCGGAGCTCTCTGATGGACGGTTGGACCCAAGTTGGACCTTGCTGACTTGCGAAAGATATCAGAAACGCCGCACCCTTCTCCTTTCCCGATTCCATAATGGCAATCAGACCCCGGGCGTTAATGCGGCACAATCCTTGTCAGGCAGTGGTGGCTCCCCGGCCACTTCTCTCATCGCAGCGACAACACGTCCCACCAGCGGTGGTTCATACTCTCTGAGCAGTGGAAACTCGAACGCAGGCATCGCACGTCAATTGATTCCTGGACGACGAGATAGCATGGCTGCGCCCTCTTTCGATCGACGATTCAGCGGAGCGAGCCAGGAGTATATACCACGATTTAACGGGAACGCAGAGATACCGTCCTCGGCCTCCCACGATTCTCTCTTCCTACCCAAAGGACCTGCTCCTGCACCCCATCACCCAGATTCCAGAACGGCGACGTTGCTGAGCCAGAACTATGCATTTAACCCCAGTAACCAGCCTGGCTACACGGAACGGCCGTCGAGCGGTTACGACACGAGACAGTCGACCATGCTGGAATCTCAGCAAGGCTTCTTTTCGGATTTCGCTGGTCAACAAAATGAAGACTACAGAGATAGTTACGATGGCGGGTACCACCGGTATTCTCAGTCTGATGCTTTTTCGCCTACCGCAAATATGGCTCCGCCGTTAGTCCCTCCTACCGATCTGTCTCACGGACGACCAATTGAGCACCTCTTGCCTTTGGAGCCTCGCGATGTTCCATTTGCAGTATACGACCCCCACGATGGGAACACCTTGATGTCGAAATTCGATAACCTCCCAGCTGTCCTGCGTCATCGCGCCCGAACGCACCCGAAACAGCCGGCGTACTGGGTTCTCGATCAGAAGGGCAAGGAAATCGCTTCCATCACGTGGGAGAAGCTCGCAAGCCGAGCAGAGAAGGTGGCGCAGGTGATTCGGGACAAGAGCAATCTCTACCGTGGAGATCGGGTTGCGTTGATCTACAGAGATGCGGAAATCATCGAATTTGCCGTTGCGCTGATGGGCTGTTTCATTGCGGGCGTTGTCGCTGTACCTATCAACAACCTAGAAGACTACGCGAGTCTCAACGTGATCCTCACATCTACCCAGGCCCACCTTGCCCTGACGACGGAAAATAATCTGAAGAGTTTCCAGAGGGAGATTACTACGCAGAAACTCAATTGGCCTAGGGGCGTCGAGTGGTGGAAGACGAACGAATTCGGAAGTTACCACCCAAAGAAAAAAGATGATGCTCCTCCGCTTCAGGTTCCAGACCTAGCGTATATTGAATTCTCAAGGGCACCCACGGGCGATCTTCGAGGTGTCGTGATGAGCCACCGGACAATCATGCACCAGATGGCGTGTCTCAGTGCAATTATATCAACGGTACCCGGGAACTCGAGCAGCGCCGCACAGCACCAGACGAGCGTCCTCACCGGGAGGGGCCACGGCGAAACGATCATCAGCTACCTGGATCCCAGACAGAGCATTGGTATGATTATGGGCGTTCTGCTTACTGTCTACGGTGGTCACACGACAGTTTGGCTTGAAGTTCGAGCGGTTGATACCCCTGGACTTTATGCCCACTTGGTTACCAAATACAGGGCAACGCTGATGGTGGCCGACTACCCCGGTTTGAAGCGAGTCGCTTACAACTATCAGCAAGATCCGATGTCAACGCGACACTTCAAGAAGAACTCTGAGCCCAACTTTGGAAGCGTGAAACTTTGTCTCATTGATACCCTCACTGTTGATCCTGAATTTCATGAGATTCTTGCGGATAGATGGCTTCGCCCGATGAGAAACCCCAGAGCTAGAGAGATTGTCGCTCCCATGCTATGCTTGCCAGAACATGGTGGAATGGTGATCAGTATCCGGGACTGGCTAGGAGGCGAGGAGCGGATGGGATGTCCTCTGACCCACGAGATGGACCCAGTCGAACCTCCTGAACAGCGAAAGAGAAATGAAAAGGCTGAACACAAAAACGAATTCGGCAGCAGTCTTATTGGCGGCACTCCAGCTCCTGCCCCGAAGCAGCAAGGGGGTAACGAACTCGCAGAGGTGTTGCTCGACAAAGAGGCTCTGAAGAGCAATGAAGTAGTAGTCCTGGCCATGGGTGAGGATGCCAGAAAGCTTGCCGATAACATACCAAACGCTGTCCGAGTTGGCGCATTCGGCTATCCCATCCCTGATGCGACACTGGCTGTCGTTGACCCAGAGACGAATCTATTGTGTACGCCGAACGTTGTTGGCGAAATCTGGGTCGACTCACCGTCCCTCTCCGGTGGCTTCTGGGCGTTGCCCAAACATACAGAGACCATATTCCATGCGCGCCCCTACAAATTTGAAGATGGTAATCCTACACCGGTCCTGGTAGAACCTGAATTCCTCCGAACAGGTCTGCTCGGTTGTGTCATCGAAGGCAAGATATTCGTCCTTGGTCTGTACGAAGACCGACTCCGCCAGAAGGTCGAGTGGATTGAGCACGGGCAGGAGATTGTGGAGCACCGCTACTTCTTCGTGCAGCATCTAATTATCAGCATCTTAAAGAACGTGCCAAAAATCCACGACTGTTCAGCTTTCGACGTATTTGTTAATGAAGAACATCTGCCGATTGTCGTCCTCGAGTCGTTCTCTGCTTCGACGGCGCCAACAACTTCCGGCGGGCCTCCGCAGCAATTGGACACTGCCCTTCTAGACTCTTTGGCAGAACGTTGTATGGAAGTGCTTTACCAAGAACATCATCTACGGGTGTACTGTGTCATGGTTACGGCCCCAAACACTCTTCCTCGGGTGGCCAAGAATGGAAGACAGGAGATTGGTAACATGCTATGCCGGAAGGAATTCGATATGGGTACTCTTCCATGTGTACACGTCAAATTCGGTGTTGAGAGGGCAGTGATGAACCTGCCGTTAGGAGTTGACCCGGTCGGTGGCATTTGGTCTCCCATGTCTTCCTCAGCAAGACAAGAAATTTTGGCGATGGAGGAAAAGCAATATTCTGGTGTGGATTATCGGGATGTCGTCATGGACGATCGCACCTCTACTCCTCTGAACAATTTCTCGACCATTGTTGATCTTCTGCAGTGGCGTGTCTCACGACAGGCCGAAGAACTGTCCTACTGCACCATCGATGGACGTGGCCGTGAGGGCAAGGGAGTTACATGGAAGAAGTTCGATTTGAAAGTTGCTGCTGTCGCAAACTACTTGAAGAACAAAGTCAAGGTCCGTCCGGGTGACCATGTTGTGTTGATGTATACTCATTCGGAAGAATACGTATGTGCGGTGCATGCATGCTTCTGCCTGGGAGTGGTAGCGATTCCAATGCCCCCAATCGACCAGAATCGCCTCAATGAAGATGCGCCCGCATTCCTCCATGTCATTGCGGATTTCCAGGTGAAGGCGATCATTGTCAACAATGATGTCGACCATGTAATGAAGCAGAAGATCGTTTCGCAGCATATCAAACAATCGGCTCAGGTCCTTCGCATTGGTGTCCCGGCCATTTATAACACTACCAAACCTCCCAAGCAGTCTCACGGTTGCCGAGACCTCGGATTCACAATCAAACCATCCTGGCTCGAGACCAATCAACCAGCGGTGATCTGGACCTACTGGACAGCAGATCAGAGACGAATATCAGTCCAGATTAACCACGATACAATCATGGGCATGTGTAAAGTGCAAAAAGAGACTTGTCAGATGACGAGCTCCAGGCCCATTCTCGGAAGTGTCCGCAGCACTCTAGGCATAGGATTCTTGCATACCTGCTTAATGGGCATATATGTGGGTAAGTTATATGTGTCGTTCTAGCAGTTTAAACCCGGAAGCTGATGTAATATAGGTGCTGCAACATATCTTGTCTCTCCAGTCGACTTTGCGCAGAACCCTTCGTCCCTGTTCGTCACTCTGGCCCGCTACAAGATCAAGGACACATATGCTACCAGTCAGATGCTGGACTACGCCATGAGCACAATGCCCGGGAAAGGGTTCCAACTCCAGGAATTGAAGAATCTCATGATATCAGCAGAAGGCAGACCCAGAGTTGATATCTGTAAGTCCCTATGCATTCTTCGGGTGTCAACGACCATTGTACTGATTCTGCCTTATAGACCAGAAGGTGCGGCTCCATTTTGCCGCTGCCAGTCTGGACCGGACTGCAATCAACACGGTTTATTCACACGTTTTGAATCCTATGATTGTCACGAGGTCATACATGTGCATTGAGCCCATCGAACTCTACCTCGACCTTCGAGCTCTTCGTCGAGGACTTGTATATCCCGTGGACCCAGACACTGATCCTACCGCTCTCTTTGTACAGGACTCCGGAATGGTACCTGTCAATACGCAGATAGCTATTGTCAACCCGGAGACATGCACTTTATGTCATGCCGGTGAATATGGTGAGATCTGGGTGCAGTCGGACGCTTGTGCGAAATCCTTCTATGGCACCAAACAGGAAATCGATGTCGAACGATTCAACGGCAGAGTTATTGATGGCGATACGAGCGTGCCATACGTGCGCACAGGAGACCTCGGTTTCCTTCATACAGTCACTAGGCCCATCGGCCACGGCGGCCAGCCTGTCGAGATGCAAGTGCTTTTCATCCTGGGAGGCATTGGAGAGACCTTTGAAATCAACGGGCTCAACCACTTCCCGATGGACATTGAAAATTCCGTAGAGAAGTGCCATCGCAATGTTGTCAAAGGAGGATGGTAGGTTGACGGCCGGTAACATTGTGTGGAACAATCACGCTAACAATTCGGATAGTGCTATCTTCCAAGCCGGAGGTCTCGTCGTGGTTCTGGTGGAAGTGACGCGGAAAGCGTACCTGGCTTCGATCGTGCCTGTTATCGTGAACACGATTCTGAACGAACACCAAGTGATTGTCGACATTGTCGCGTTCGTGTCTCAAGGAGATTTCCCGAAGTCTCGTTTGGGCGAGAAGCAGAGAGGCAAGATTCTAGCATCTTGGGTCACGCGAAAGTTACGGACGATTGCCCAATTCAGCATTCGTGATGCAGACGCTTCCGATACTCAAATTGCAGAGATTCCGGAGCCTCGCTCCAGTAGGAGTTCAAAGCCCGGCAGCACGATGGGCAACAGCACGCGACGGTCAACTATGGCACCTGATAGTGACTTCATGGCGGTACCAAGGTCTCCAGCCCAAAGTCAAGAAGTGAGAGGACCTGAAGGACCCCCTTCTAGAGTGGCCAGTCAGGCGTCTATGCAGCAACAGTGGCAGCAGCAGCAACAACAACAACAACTGCAGCAGCAGCAACAGCAACAACAGCAACAGCAACAGCAAGAGCTGCAGCAGCAGGAGGATAAGGAGAAGGAGGAGGAGCAACAGCGGCAAGAAGCCTACCAGCAGTACGACGAGGAGTATCAAGCGCTGGCCAACGCTCCTCGCTATCAACTTACTGATGCTCCGGTGAGTTCGGATATCGAACCGAACTTTGACTTTGACGATGAGATCCCGGCACCGGCCCCTCTGAGCATTATGAACCCGGATGTAGATGATAGCCCATCTACAATTACTGGCCTGAATTTTGGATCAGACTTCAGAGATGGGGAAAGCGAGCACACGACTCGCCAGGCTGATATTCCTTCCGTCGAACTCAGTCCTCCTGTAGAGACACCGCCAGCGGTACCCGACAAGGATCCTTTGCACGCAGTGGCCTCGATGCCTGCGCGAGGACGTGATTCTCTGCCCAGTCAGCAGCGGCGTAACAGCAGTCTTCCGGCCGGCTTCAGCGCACTGAAGATCTCCGAGGATGGTTCTAGCGCTCAGGAGGGACAGAGGTCACTGAGCCAAGGCTCCCTGCCCAAACACGAAGAGCATAATGAGAGTGAAGAGGAGTGGCCACAGGAGGCTCTCCTGTATCAGAAGCATCTGGGTATCAATAGCCCGGGCAAGGGAGATGGGGATGGTGTCGGTCGTAGCCCGAGTACGAACAGCTCGATAGTGAGGAAGAGGTACGACGGTAGCGACTATGACTTTTATTGAAGACCGTGGGACCTCTCGAAGCAAGAGCATAACGGGGCCGAAACATGATTCGCGACATTGAGACAGCAGTCTTTGCAGCAAGCGACGATGGAATGGGGGGGTCCTCCGACTGTTTTTATGGCGCCGTGTTGAAAACTTCTGACTTGACTTACCCTCTTCTCGAGGTGAATCTTGTCTTTTCTTTTCTCTTTTTTCTCTTTTCTTTCCTATGATCTGTCGCATGTTGTCTGTTTTTTGTTTTCAATTCATCTATGTGTCACCTGATGTCCGTCATGAGAAAAAAAATTCAACGACCTGCATGTCTGTATACTCTCCGTGTACGCATAATACCATTCTACTGTGATAATACACTATTCATTCATTCCTATTCGGTCTATCTGCAGATTTCACCTTGGAAGGAATTTTCGGGACTGCGCTAAATCTCCCTCTTAACTAAGACTCTCAGATATCTAGATCAGATGGGGTAGGTCAAATGTCCTTGCCTTCAATTCACGATTCATATTAATTAATACTAGACCAGGATCGTTATGATCGCCAGTAATCAGAATAAAAACTCTAGTCTAAGCATAGTATTATTAGTTACTATATTGAACTTAACTGGGCCGATGCAACTAATTTTATTTCCCTTTCTCGATGTGTTCGGGATAGCGAGAATATACTTCTTCTAGCTCGGACTAAGTAATTTGTCATTATATACCTTTCAAGTACAAACTTCTCTGATTTACTTTCGTTTCCCTTTAATATTCGTCTGTACATAAAATAATAATGTGCTAAGAGAAAAAACTTTTCGTTCTGCCTATCTATGCTAGTTATCACCTCTGTAATTGTGTTTTGTGCCCCTCCAATCCTTCGATTGCTGACCCCCTCTCCTATGAATTCTCCCATAGTTAGTTATCCTATGCCAATGCTGACTACACCATAATATCCACAATACTGATCCAGAAAGAAATATGTGCAAGAAGATGAGGAGTGTACCCGAGAGAGAGAGAAAAAAAAAGAAAAAGAGAAAAAAAGAAACAAACACGTCGCTGTCACATTATGGAAGGATAAAAACATGAATTAAAGTCGTCATTCTAATTTTCGTGCTGATGATGTGAGAATAATAGATCTAGGAAATAAATCAGAGATTCTCAACCTGCTGTGCCAACTTCTCTACATCGACCTTCTGCTTCTGGACGGCTTGGGCGGCTTCGTCACCTGCAGCTGTCCGGGATAGATCGACGTTGTTGTTGAGCTGCTCGAGAGCCTCGAGATCCTCTTCGGAGAAGGCCACCGTCCGAATAGGTCGGAAGGGAGCAGGGGAACCAGCGCGGGAGGTCAGGAACTAGTTATTGAGATATATTAGGATTTTCTCTAGCAGGTGGAAAGAGGTTAAATTCTACTGGCTACTTACCGAGCTCGCAGCACTCAACAGAGCAATCAAACTAGCCTGGACAACATCTTGGTGGATACCAACGCCCCAGACGCTATCCTGGTTGCCTGCTGCTGTGCACTGAATATATGTCGCAGCCTTCACGTCACGACCGGTTCCGATGGAATGCTCCTTGTAGTCGACCACGTCCAGGTCGATACCGAGGGTGGCGAGCGCGTTGGCCAGGGAGGAGATGGCACCTGGGCCAACACCCGTGATCGGGTGCTGGACGCCGTCAATCTCGATGATACCGGTGAAGCGTCGCTTAAGGTTCTTGGTATTGAGGGCCTTGCCGGGCTCTGGGGGCGCCGGAGACTGGGACCGGTCGGTCGTGATGTTGTAGTCAATGAGAGTGAATCGGGGGTTAGTCTTGAGGTGGTAGGCCTTCTCGAAGAGGGCGACGATTTCGTTGGGACGAAGCTCGCGGTTGACAGCCTCGGTTTCCTTCTGGACGATCTTACTGAACTCCACCTGCAGACCACGCGGCAGGTCCAGCTCGAGGCTGCGGAGGATGACCCAGGCAGCACCTCCCTTTCCACTCTGCGAGTTGACACGGATAACGGCCTCGTAGTTCCGTCCAATATCCTGGGGATCTAGTGGCAGATAGGGGATCTCCCAACGGCTGTCTTCCGACGCACCGGCCTTATCCCGTAGGTTGAAGCCCTTCTTGATGGCATCCTGATGACTACCACTGAAGGCACAGACAACCAATTGGCCGCCGTATGGCCACCGCTCATTGACGGGGATCTTATTGCTCTCCTCCACAACCTTGATGATCGAGTTGATATCAGAGAAATCGACATTGGGGTGGATTCCCTGGGTGTAGAGGTTCAGGGCGAGAGTGACAAGGTCCACGTTACCCGTCCGCTCTCCGTTACCGAACAGAGTACCCTCCACTCGCTGGGCACCTGCCATCTGGGCCAGCTCAGCAGCAGCCACGGCGCAGCCGCGGTCGTTGTGCGGGTGAAGAGAGACGCAGAATTTCTCGCGCTCAGTCATGTTGCGGCAGAAGTACTCGACCTGATCAGCGTAGACGTTGGGGGTCGCCATCTCGACCGTCGCTGGAAGGTTGAAGATGAGGGGTGCGTCCTCTGTGGGTTCCCAGGCGGCCTTGACAGCCTCACAGATCTGAACGGCGAAGTCGGGGTCGGTATCAGAGAAGGTCTCGGGGGAGAATTCGTAGAGCCACTCAGTGCCGGCCATCGAAGGGTCATCCTTTGTGATTGAGCGGGCAAACTTGGTGCAGCGCACGGCCAGCTCGATACTCTGCTCCTTGGTCATGCCAAAGACGATACGGCGGAAACACTCGCTTGTGGCCAGGTACAGGTGCAGGATGGCCTTCTTGGCCCCGCGGAGGGAGTCGACCGTACGACGGATGAGGTCCTCACGACAAGGAGACAGCACCTGAAGCCAGACATCGTCGGGAACAACGCCGGGGGTCTCGACAAGGCGACGAACGAAGTCGAAGTCAGTCTGGGAGGCGGAGGGGAAGGCGACTTCGATCTCCTTGTAGCCGATGTCTACCAGCATCTTGAAGAAACGGAACTTCTGTTCACCATTCTAGAGGAGGGTCAGCCAAACGACCAAGACCAAGATCCATGTACCAGCATCATCGGCACTCCCTTACCATGGGGTCGACCAGACTCTGGTTGCCATCTCGCAGGTCGGTGGCCAGCCACCGGGGAGGCTTGTCGAGGGTCTTGTTGGGCCATTGCCGGTCCGGCAGATGGAGAGGCTGGAACTTCTTATATTTCTTGGAGGGATCCTTGAGCCTGCCTCGTTGTCAGTTTCTCTCCAGAACATCTCCCAGCATCGTCGTGGACGAGCAGTCATACATAGGCATCTTGACGGCGGGTGCGGAGTCGGCAGCGGGGGATGAGTCAAGAAAGCGGGATGGGATCGATCGCTGGAGGGGGCGAGATGAACCAGTCCCAATTGACGGGGAACCTCCAGATGGGAAGTATAAATAAAAAAAATATAAGATGGACGATAGTCAGACTGACGGAAAAGAAAGGCAGCAGTCGGTATGGATGAAGACGATTTAAAAGCAACCAACAGCGATGACGCTTCTTGGTGAATCCTTTTTTTTCAACTCCGACAGCGGAGGCGGGGTTGTTAAGCTCGATGCCGGATTGGCCCGTGTGCTCCCTGCGGCCAGCATCGGAGTTGGTCATTTATTATACTATAATCACTATATGAGGTTCACAGGAAGCACCAGGACACTAGCACGGCAACCATCAAGGGATCTCTCGGTTGGCGTCGGCTGCAAGATGCAAGATGCCGCGCGGGAATCTGATATTCTTCTTCTATAAACAGGGCATTATTGATTTTTGTCATATGAACAGATAACAGAGACAGATAAAGGAAACAGATGGCGATATCTAACTATCTATCATCGCCCAGAATGACTCAGACTCCCTCATGAACCCAGATCCCACTCATTTCTTGCCCTTCTTCCCTTTCTTTGCGCCGGCCTTCTTCGGCCGCTTCTGAGGAGCCTCTCGCTCTGCGCGTCCCTTCTTCCACACTCGTCCCTCGTGACGGTCCCGCGAAGCATCCAGCTTCTTCTTGTCCTTGTTGCTCAGCTTGACCTTCTTCTTTTTCGAACCTGCCTCGCCGTTGAGCTCCAGAAGCGCCGCCTTCTTGGCCATCTGCTTGTCCCGCTCCGTCTCGAACCACGTCCGCTTGGGCCGGGACATGATCTCGCGCTCGTGCTTGAGCATGTTCTCTCCCTTATTCACTTGCATCTCGGCCTGCGATAGCTGCTTTTCTTGTTTCTCCTCCTTCAGGATCTCATCGACCTCCTCTGCCAGGGCCTCAACCTTCTTCGCCCACGAGTCCGCGACAGCTGGCTCGACCACGCGACTGACCACCTTGGCTCCTTGAGCCTTGCTCGCTTTCACGGCTTGCTTGACCACCTTACGATCGGGCTCCGCGGCAATGGTACAGGCGCGACCAGATCGGCCAGCACGAGCTGTACGACCAACACGGTGCAGGTAGATCTCGTGCGACTGGGGAGCCTCGTAGTTGATGACCGTTTCGACGCCCTTGATATCCAGACCACGAGAGGCCACATCGGTCGCTAGCAGGAAGGCTACCCGCCCCTCACGGAAGTCTTCGACACTTTTGATACGCTAGATAATCACGTTTAGTTAGCTGTAGATCCGAAATCCGTAGAAATCCCGAGTCTTACCTGTTCCTGGGTCATGCTACCGTGCAATTCGGCAGCTTTGAGCCCAAGCAGACCGAATACAATCCGTACCCGATGCGCTTCTCGCTTCTGTCGAAAGAAGATGATCACTCGGCCCGTGTAGATCTCCTCGCACAGATACATCAGATAGCCCAATCGCATGCCCTCTCGACCGGGCCTCAACCGCACAAACTCCTGCACCAGCGTCGTGACAGTAGACTTCTTGGAGTCAACCATCAGCCGGACGGGTCGGTTCAGTCCAACTCGGATAAGCTTGTCGACGGTGTCCGTCATGGTGGCAGAGAAGAGCATGGTCTGTCGCGACTTGGGGATCGTAGTCAGAATCTCGTTGAGTTCGTGAGCGAATCCATCTTCCAGCATCCGGTCAGCTTCATCCAAGACCAGAATCTCCAGCGTGTCGACTGTGAAGCTGGCAGAGTTCCGCATGTGATCGATGAATCGACCAGGCGTAGCAATGATCACATCCGGACGCTTCTTCAGCACGTTCTCCTGCTCCCGCAGACTGAATCCACCGACCAGCTGACAGAAGGTGATGTCTGTAAAGGTGGCCAGTTTCGTGGCAACGTTGTAACACTGGACAGCCAGTTCACGAGTGGGCATCAGAATCGCAACACGGCTGGTCGGGATCTTGCGCGGCCGATACAGCAGACGCTCGAGAATAGGAATAATGAATGCGCCAGTCTTTCCGGAACCTGTCACAGCTCCTCCAACGATATCCTTGCCCAACAGGGCCACCGGGATGGTCTTGCGCTGGATGGGAGTCGGAGTAGAGAAGCCAACCGCAGCCAGACCGCGAAGGATGGGACGAGAGAGGTTGTAGTCCTGGAACGACCCCTTGGCATTATCATCCGACTTGTCGGTTGACTTCTCTTCAGGAGCGAAGAAAGCCTTGCGTTTCTCGGCTTCTTCCTCATCCACGCTTTCGTCGTCCGAGTCTGAAGCCTCGTCGTCGGGATGCGCAACTGGAGAGGCGATCGAGTCATTGTCCGAAGCAGCATCTTCATCATCATCATCATCATCTCCGTCTTCCTTGCCATCTTCAGAATCCGAGCCACTTCCCTTATCCTCTTCATCTTCATCGTCACTTTCTTTCGCATCGCCAGCACCCATACCAAATCCGTCTTCTGCGAGGAGTTCGTCATCCTCAAAGTTCACAGACTCAGCATCTTCATCCTCCTCGTCTTCACCAGCATTTGCGGACTCTCCTTCGCTACCACTCGCCTCAGGATCCCATTCTCCATTCTCCTTTTTCTTCTGCTCTTTCCGTTTCTTCCTCTCCTCCGCATCCTTCTTCCTCTCCCTCCTACGCTCAATAATCGCATCGATATCAACCCCCTTTTTATCACCACCACTCTTCTTAACCCCATCCATAACCCAACCATCAAAATCCTCAACCACCCCCCGATTACTCGCGCCAGCGACATCGAATTCGAAATCCGGATTCAACGCACCATCATCTTCCGCACCCGCCAGCGCATTATCCTCCTCCTCCTCCTCCTCATCCACTTCTTCGTCCTCTCCATCATTGGCTCCTTTTCCGCCCTGCTTCCGCTTCTGCTTCTTCTGCTTCTTCTGTTGTGCCTTTCCCGTAGCAGCATCGTTGGCTTCACGCTTCCGTTTCGTCCCGGATGTCTTCGTGGCTGGTTTGTTGCTGAATTCATCTCCATCGACCTCCTCTTCGGATTCACCGACATCAACAGGGTTCTCATCGTCAGAGAGTGTGAGCACGAAGTCGTCGTCTTCGCGACTTCGCTTTTTTGTAGAGATCGGTGCCATTTTTTTTTTCTCTCTTGTCCTTCGTTATGGGGATATGTACTTGTATATCCGGAGATTATTTATGATCGTGACGAGTAATACCTGGTAGAGAAAATGATCTCTCTCTCTCTTTCCAGGCTCGATCAATTCGACAAGCAAACGAGCGGTTGGTGTGAAATCGAATCGGGCAAGAGAGAAAAAAAAAAGTCCGAAATGCCAAGCGTTGCAGCAAGTGATTGGAACGCAGTAATATAACTGCCGAATTTGATTGAAAGCCCTCGACTTATCAATTCGAGGAAAAGAGGAAATAAGGATTCAATAAGAGGATTCGAAGAATCCTTCGGGGATGATTGTCCTCCGCAATGATAATCTCGAGCTAGCAGAAAAAAAGTTGCCCGCCCATCTGAGGCGCCGGCGGTGAGGAAGCTGTATTCGGCAGAAAAAGGCGGCGGCAGCGTCTCGGTTGCCCGATTAGGTTAGCCTTCAGCTTTCTAACTCTCCTTGTACAATGATCGCATACATTAAATGCTGTTGCTTTTGAGAATTATCGAAATCCTGTATTATCCTCAGAGTAAAGCAATTTATTTTGGCTTTTCTATTGTACATAATTGAGTTCTATCTCAGGAGAGAGGACGACCAGTTGCAATTTGTAATCATCAAAGGGAAAATAGGAGAATGGACCCGAAAGACATCACCTTTGCTGGTAGAGGAAACACAGGAAAAGCATGAGAAAGAAAACCGAATAAGGCACAAGAGGTGGAAGACTAGTGCTTTTGGGATATTAGTAGATCAAGACCGGAATGTGTCTGGAAAGCTCTATTGCTGCTATTGTTCGATGACCCGAGTCTATGAGCCGGAGGGGTCATTGCTTCTTTTCATAGGGGATCAGATCGTTATTTTTCATCTCTTTTTTTTGGGTCGACAAAAGAGCAAGTACTGTGACCACTATGGATCATAGTACATCAACTTAAGAATAACCAGTTGCAACGTACTGGACAGACACTGGATCGTATGCTCTCATGGTGTAAAATTCGCGACGTTGCGGACAAGATAACTGACATTATGCCTAGCACGGTTGTTAAATAACGGGTACAGGTCAGTTTTGGGAAATTCAACTTACAACTTGCCGAACTTCACGCAGACCCCCCTGAGTAAACCCTGCTCATAGAAACTGTACTCTCCCTTTAGCCATTCTTTAACCCGTTCGTACTCTGATTTATCGTCCTCTGAGAAGCAGTATGTGAATATCAGACGTGCAAGCATCCTGCGTCCGCCGCACTCGTATCCAGGGCGGTCATCTAAGTCCGAATCGAAGAAGTACCCCAAATGGGGCACGTAAGTCGGGTCACACACTTGAAGAAGTTTATCCATAAGACAGCGGGCGACCCCGAGTCGTTTGCTTCCGTGGCTGACGAAGACCTCTAGTTCGACCGTATGTCGTCCTGCTGTAGTCTGCCCCATATAGTCCGTTGCGAGTGCGTATCCCAAGACTCGTTCCAGGTGATCAAGGGCATGTCTGTTGTTTCGTTCAACGGCCACAATGAACGGCAGTTTCTCCTGTTTGCTGTCGGCGATTCGCTGGATCATTTCAGCACGGGTAAGGGTCTCAAGGTCAGCGCACAGAGCCGTGTTGTGGATATACCAGTTGCACAGCTCCAGGAGCCCGGGAACATCCCTGTTCTCAGCTGGGCGTAGATATATGTTTGCCTTTGGCACATATGGATTTGGCTCCTCGTGGTTCAGACAACTTTCGAGATACACCCCGCGCTCTCTCCGTACCCGCGCTCCTTTTTCCTCTGCTTCCTTTAGCAGATGCAGCCTGTAGTTGATGATGTACCCCGCGCCGGTTTCATTATAGTGAAGGCGTGTCTCCTCGTCCGTCATGTCTATCTTGGTATCGTGGCTCTCGATGTCTGGTATGAATAACCCTCGCTCCCCATCCGTGTGGGCTGTTCCATCGAAGAAAGCTTCATGATAGATATCGACAGGGTAGGCGAGTACCACTGTGGAATCTAGCCAGCGCCAAAACCACTGTCTGTATCTTTCTAAGTTCGTATTCGTCTCAGAGTAACTTGGGCGAAATAGCCAGTCTGCTGGTATACCGTCCCAGATCTCATCTGGAAAATCCCGGGGAGGCTGCGGAGGCTGCTTTAAACCGACTGATGATCCATCGTCATAGGAGGCAAGCAAAGCTGACCTCTCTTCAGATTCAGCAGTTGGCTGTGTGGAGATCATAAACTTGCCACCTTTGTCGAATGTAGGATACGCAGGAGTATCTCGAGAGTAGAAGCTCCATTGCAGCTTTTTCCGTTCGCCCTCCGAGACGTCCTGGGGAAAGCGGAATCTCCTAGATAAGACGTTAGACGACTCTGGTCTGTTTCCAGGAACATTGATAGTCCTGAAAGCTGCGATTTTAAGAAACTCTTCGCTCTCAGGATCCGTTCCAGGGCCTTCCCTGACCACATTGAGAGTTTCGGGGTTCGAGTTCAGAACTACTTCAAAGCGCCGCTCAATGGCCTTGGCCAAGGCTTCTTCTTGAAGCTTCTTGAGTTCCTCCTGCACTTCAGGAGGTGCGACCTTGTAAGAAGATCGAGGCTGGCTTGTTAGATCCTCTGGTCCAGTGTTTCCCGCAGTGGAGATATGCTCTACTGGAGTGTTACTGGGTCCATCTGTGATCTTATCGCTCAGAACGTTACGTTTCCCGTTTCGCCCATTGAGCCTCTGCGAATGTGTTTTCTTGTGCTTCCCGGGCTCTGTCCCAGTCGGACGGATATTTTCCTGATTCTGTGAGCTCGAGTTCTGATTTCTAGGACGTAGCATAACTACATCAGAATCGTCGGAATCAGGCATCCTGGAGGCTGGTTGCGGTTCTAAATCTGTTCCTATTGAATCAGTATTGCTAGATTGAAGGTAAGATGACAATGAAACTACCTTCTATCTTCGTGGAGGGAATAGATTGCAGAGCAACGGATTCCTGTGTAGCACTGACTTGTGGAGAGCCAACCTCGTGCGGCTGGCTTTGTATCTGATCGAGGCCAGCGACAGAAAGCGTATCTTGGAATGTCACTGTTGCGGGTGGAGATGGCAAACATTCACTTCCTGCTGAGCAAGTTTCTGGCTGCTTCTCACTTTCCTCATCTGGAGCAGTTATGGTAGGGATATCATTGGGTTCAGCTTCACTGTGCAGAAAGCAAGGCTCGGGCTGCTTGTAACTTATCTCATCTGAAGTAGTTATAGTAGGGATTTCGGGGACACTCGCTTCACTTTCTGCAGGGCAAGTCTCTGGCTTCTTTTCACTCGATTCATCTGAAGCACTGATAGTAGGGAGTTCGGGGACACTCGCTTCGCTTTCTGCAGGCTTCTTTTCACTTGATTCATCTGAAGCACTGATAGTAGGGATTTCGGGAACATTCGCTGTACTTTCTGCAGGGCAGGTCTCCGGCTGCTTCTCACTTGCTTCATCTGAAGCACTGATAGTAGGGACTTTGGGAGGTTCGCCCTCACTGTCCCTCGAAGAAGCTTGATGCTCTTCGGTATTTGCTTGGGGTTGCGACCCGACAGGTAAACCGTAATTGCGATAGAAGTCCGTCTCGGATGAAAGACGTACTCTCGCAGCTTTTACACGGGCCCATATGGTTGCATTATCCTCGTCACCGTCTTCCGATCGAGTGCTAGTCATGGTGAGACCACGAACGGGTAATGACAACAGAAGGCAATATCAACGCGATCGAATGAAGCTTGGGTTTGCTTCAGAAGAATGAGGCCAACTCAGACATAAGAGTAAAGATACGCTGAGCAGAGTCTTGAGACAAAAAGAGACACGAGGATCTTGATCTTTAACGCGTTCTTGTGTTGCTGCAGACAGGGGATACAGAAAGACGAGATTAGCAACCATGCAGGTTTCGAGGATGAGAGATGATGATGAAGCAGAGACAGAAAAAAACATTATCCCATGACAAGGGGACCTTTATGAAAAGCTCTCATTGTTTGAATTTTCAGGAGGGGTTGGTTGCTGTGGAGTGTTGTGGTGGCTCATGCAATGTTGTGGCCTGAAAGAAGACGGAGGACGCCGTCCTCATGAGTAACACCATCTTTCGGCACATACACCTTTGCATGAGACACCCGCCCACACGATAACAGAAGTCAAGATGTTATCTATACTTCGGAAGGCGCGACTAAAGGACAAGGAGATGAGAATATTGATGCTGTTTGTCTAGTGAGTCCTCCGATGGGACAATCTGCTGATTTGCATGTTAGTGGTTTGGATAATGCGGGTAAAACGACCATTGTGAAAAAGATCATGAATGAGGATGTGACGACTGTGAGCCCAACCCTGGGGTTTATCATCAAGACCATTGATTTTCAAGGGTGAGTACAATGCCATTGTCATCATTTTCAATTAGATCACTGAATTTCAACAGATATAAACTCAATATATGTAAGGCCAGCTCGGTCTCTGATCCGCCCACAGAAACATTAACCTCATCGCCACAGGGGATGTTGGAGGCCAAAAGACCCTCCGATCGTACTGGAGGAATTATTTCGAAAAGACTGACGCCTTGATCTGGGTCGTAGACGCGACAGATCGCCTCCGTATCGACGATTGTCGCGACGAACTGGCTGGCCTGCTTCTCGAAGAGGTAGGCACTTGCATCGCCAAGGAATTTCTATTTTGGGTGTGTGACTGCGGCTGACCCAGTCCCTAGCGTCTGATGGGAGCCAGTCTCCTGGTTTTCTTGAACAAGACAGATGTTGCGGGCTGTATGACTGAGGAGGATATTCGTGAGGTATGTTTCCAGCTGGTAGTCTTGCAGCCCATTCTGGACCATACTCGAGAGCCATGAAACTCATGCTGGTCTACAGGGACTTCAATTAGATGCGATCAAGACCCACAAATGGACGATCCTGCCGTGCAGCGCGATGACCGGGGTGAATCTGAACGAGGGCCTGGAATGGGTGGTACAGGATGCAAAAGACCGATTGTTCCTCTATTGAAGTCGGGATAGTTAGTCTTTGGCGTGCATCGATCTATTGATTTCTATTAGGCTCATCTACTGCGAAGGCAGCTAATGTATTGTCGACTCGATGTCCTGCAGTTTCATCAGGTATCTGCCAGGCACAGAGGAGCAGAAACGTCCTGCTGAGTGATGTATCAACGATATGGTTTCTCTGCCATCGGCTGATGATTTACTTTTGACGCTTCAAGTAGAGTTTCTCATATCCCGCATTTATGATCTCTGAGTTGAGGGAATGCAGTCTACGTAGGATATTGCTACATGTCCGTCCACCCCCGTGACCGTTTATGCCCGTCGAGGGAACCAATAATGCAATCCACGTTCTCCGCATAGGGATTTCACGGCAGAAGCATCCATCAACCATTGAGTCTCATTTAAGTACAGTACCAAACGGGGCCCGGATCCTCTCAAGACGATCTTTCCGCACCTGTCAGAATACGTGATTACCCTTCCGCTTGGTGTGGCTCTCGCAGAAAAAGGAAGCCTATCTACGGAACAAGCGATCTACTCTAGGACGACGGTGATGGACTGCGGTTGGTTTGTCGCAGTGGAAAACCTCCCGGGCGGCGGCGAGACGAGAGATCGCAAGTGCGGAACGCCTTCAGCTGAGCTCCACTTGAGCCAGCCAAAATAAACACGATGAATCGAGTAAGAGGAAAACAGTGGCCCAGCCGGATGTTGTAGATAGAGTAATTTTCAGCTATTATTATTTCTCTTCCAGCCCAACGCAGAGAAAGAGAGGTCTCGTGGACGAATGGCACCGGCAGGAATGATGTGCCAATTTGCAATAATAATCCACTCTCTCTCTCTGTCTCTCTCTGTCTCTCTCCAAGGGCGGTGTAAGTAAGTTAGTTAGTTAGTCTAGAGTAAATCAGTCGGGCTGCCAGCAGAACCAGAATGGGCACGCGGTGGGGCGAGAGGTCGTTCTCAAAATCCAAATGTTCCGCCCTGCCAAAGGGTCCACCATGAAGGGGAATTTAGGCTCCTCGTCTCCAGTGTTCCCCTCCAGTGTTTAAGATCCAGAGGTCCCAGGGGAAGAGAGCGCGACGAGAGTTGTTGTTGTTGTTAAGTCGTCGTTGTCGTTGTCGTCTGTCCTGTAACACCCCCGCCTCTCCAGGCCCTGTGTTTCGTGTGTACAGGTTCCTATCAACCATGGCACCCACCGCGGAGCATGACGCTGCGGAGGATGTCAATGACTTCCTGCTCCGCATCCGCGAGTTGGGAGATAAGCGTGACAAGGAGGATGAAGAGCGGACTAAGAAGTTGGAGGAGGAGATCCTGCAGGGTCGGAAGGAGAGACAGGCGAGAAGAGCTGGTAAGCTGGCGTCCTCCCGTGTGTTATTATAATAAGATGACTCTGGTCAACAGCCCCTCTTCTCCGGCTGTCACCCAGAGGGACCAGGACCAGTAACAGGAACGAGAACATCAACACTGAGCTAACCTTCTAATGTGCTTCGACACCATACAGAACGAGCGCGATCCATTTCCCCCACGAAAGATTCCCCATTACTGCAGGACATATCGAGATTGAGCCTCTCAGTGGGCTCGTCTGCCATCAATCCGCCAGAGAGCCTGCGGCCATCATCCCAGACACCAGAACCAGACGCGACCTCCAGTCCAACCCCCAAACGCGACGAGGACACCCTCGACGCGACAGAGGATAAAGTGACCACGCCAAGATCGAGAGATCAGTCGGCAGCAGCGTCACCAGCACCAAATTCTGAGAGAACCATGTCCGGAAGAACAAGAAGGGGGACACTCTCCTGGCAGCAACGTCCTGGATCGAGAGATCTAAATCTAAGATCAGGGTTGTCTTCGCCCACTCGTGAAAGCAGCTTGAAGCTCGGCGCCGCCATTGGAGGAGAGGAGCCGGAGATGTCAAAGAGCCAGGCTGCGTCCTCACCGGTGTCAAAGGACCCCTCCTGGTTTCGTCAGACGGCGGACGGTGAGATGGGATCGCCAGCCCTACGAAAAAGCCCCGAAGACGCGACGTCAGATACAGCCTCGATCAGCGGCAATACAAGACTACCGGGATTGGGCCAGGAGGAGTCTACTACTACGGAGCCAGAGAAGGACATGGGAGAGGATAGATCGCGGTCGCCATCGAGAGCAAGCTCGACCTTTGGAACCAACAGCGTGGGCAATCGCTATTCCAGCGTTTCCTCAGTGTCCACCGCAGGAGGACTGGGTTCACCCTTCGCTTTATCGAACCCTCCGAAGCTGGAAGCGCGACAGGCGGAATCATCACCCCCAGAAAGTCCAGTTCTTCCCTTGTCGCCGTCCCAGCGACGTGGTTCCCCTGAGCGGCCCGTATCGCCGACTAAGGGGTTGGGTGGGTTCGTTCAAAGCGCCATGATGAGACGCTCGGACAGTGTTACGAAGCGATGGAGCGCCCAAGCCTCTCCGGGACTGAACAGGGGGAACTCCACCATGAGCACCCGGAGCGGCTTTGGATCTGCCTCTTTGGGCGACTCCAATTTGTCCACTACGGAGCCCAAATTCGTTCGTGAGAGCTCTCCGCTCTCAACATCGCGTCCGGGCTCGAGCCATAGTGAGGCAACAGTTGTCCACCAGATGAAGGGCACCGATCGACCCGGAACGTCGGAAGGCAGTAAAGGCGAGTCAACCGCCAACGAAGGCTTCGTTAAGCCATTCTTCCCGTCGCATTCCAGATCGTCCTCCAAGGTGGAGAGCCTTCCTTCTCTGTCTCCCAGGAGCCCTTCGCCTACAAAGTCCATAGACCCTAAGCGCTGGAGTCCCACTAAGGCATCGTGGCTAGAAAGTGCACTTAATCGACCAGAGACTCCCAAGCAGCCGAGGGCTTCTACGACGGCGCAACCCCCGGCTTGGTTAAAAGAACTCAACCAGAACCGGCGGTCGAGGGGTAGTGTGGACCTCGGAAGACCTAGCAGCAGTCTCAAAGATGTGACGCCGACCGGTCTTCAGCGCTCCCCTGCTCCAGGGAGCCACTACAAAAAACCAAGCATTAGCGGAATCTCAGAGACCCTCAATAACCCCGAAGGAAATAAGACTAAGGAACTAGAAGCCAAGCCAGCGGCGGATAAGGACACTGACGTACCGTCCCCCGGAAGCCAGGAGGAACCTCCAAAGGAATCCCCGCAAAAGCCGGAAGACAAAGACACCCAGGGAGAAGAAGCCTCGAAACCCCCAAAGGATGCCACTCCGCCGCCCAGGCCCTCTCCACCTGCGCTTTCGTCGAAGCCAGGTTCTTTGTCAGGTTCTTTGTCAGGTCCTTCAGGTCTGGAGGCCCTCTCACCTAAGCCCAAGCAACAATCACCGGCGATGGATTTCAGAGCCAATTTACGGCGACGAGAGCTCCCTTCTGACAAGCCGGCTCAGGAGGAGCCAGAATTCAAAAATGTTTTCGGGAAGTTACGAAAGGCGGAGACCAAGAATTATGTCCCTCCGGACGAGCTCAAGGATAATATCCTGAGGGGTAAAGCAGGTCTAAACAATACGGGGGGCTTCAAGAAGGCGCCCAGGGTCGATCCACTGAAGGAAAGTATCATCAAGCAGAAAGAAGCGATGAAAGCAAGCGGCGGGTCTTTGCGACGATCAGCCACTGGAGACAAGGAATTACCTGCGCCAGAACCGACTGTACCGGAAGCCATAGCGAGACGGAATAATTTATCCAGATCTGATAGCTCTCATAGCAATATTTCCAGCGGTCTATCTTCGCCTGCCTTCGACCGACGCGGGTCCACCCAATCCACCCAGTCCACCCAGTCCTGGCGAGAACGTCCGTCATCTGCGACCGAACAAAGCAACCATAGTCAAGAACTGAAGTCCCCGGGAGCTGCGTCGACAAGGGCGGTCTTAGATGCGACAAATGTAGAAACCGCTGAAGAAGGCAAGGATGCGAGCCCTCGAGCAGAGTCAGGTGCTGCGGAGGCGGATGTGAAGAAGAAGGACTCGAGTGAGGAGACAATCCAATCGGTTCGTGCTTTGCCATCGAGGAATGAAGCGGGAGCTGCCAAGGTGGCTGCTGCAACTCAAGGGCTTGCTACTAAAGGAACCCTCGCAGACCGAATAAACCCTGCCCTAGCCGGTTTCCTATCTCGAGGTCCACCAGGCGCGGGTGCAGAAAGATCGAGTGTGGCCTCTACAGAACCTGCTCCTACTTCGTCGTCGCAGCAGGGAGGATCGACTTCTTCGGCACCACTGACGCATATGACGAAAGGTCGTGCGAGAGGACCCAAGAGAAGGTTGCCTAAAACTTCTGAAGCCACCACTACTAGCGGTCCTACCAATGGTCCTCCTCCAGAAGAAGACAAGCCGGCGCCAACTAAGCGGGTGTCTGCGCTGGTGGAAGCAAAGAGACAGTCATTCACTTCTCGTCCCACCGATAAGGATGCTGGTTGGCCGCTCCCCAAGCCATTGGCGTCAAGGGATTCGTTCAAAGAGCGAGTGCCTGAGTCGCCGCCGCGGAAAGCAACTGATGAACGGCCGAAACCAGCGGTAGCGACCAAATCTCCCGAGTTGAGAAAGGCCTCGTTTCCAACAGCGGCATCTAACTTAACACAAGAACCAAAACAAGATGCTGTAGATCAGGATGGTGAACTGCTTCCTTCGAAGCGCTATGACGAGGCGGCAGAGGGGCGTTCCTCCCAGGTCTTTGTTGCCTCCACATCCCAAGAGAAACCCGAAGAGAAGCCTGAAGTGAAGCCTCAGGAGAAGCCTCAGGACAAACCTCAGGAGAAGCGTGAAGAAAAGGACGATCCCACGCATGGTCAACCGCCGGTACCCCCGCCGAAGTCTGTAGGACTGCCTTTTGTTTCCGCTATCACTCCTCAAAATGGCCAGTCGAAATCTCCTACGTATCCCACTCCGTCTCCCAAGCCGCTTGTCACCAGCTTTGAAAGCCGGCTTGAGCCATGGAAGAGCCGGGAGCAGAAGTCAGATGTTGGCCTTGGGATTGTAGGGGGTGATGTGAGCCCAAAGTCACCACAGAACAAGGCTTTGCCGTCCTTGCCTGTGCCGCCGAAGAAGGCCGCCTTGACCCTCGGGATATCCATCGACACCGATGTCGATCCCAACCGAAGACCATCCTTGACGTCGCCCATCCCGCGGACGACAGAATCTACGGAGACCATTCATCGTTTCTTCGAGACTTTCCCGAAACCCAGCGACAGGGTAGACATTGATCCGCAGACGGTTCTCAACTCACGAGAGCGTCCGAAGATCCGGACGCTGAGAAAGCAAATTTGGGAGATTACTGGTGATGGGAAGAAGCAGGACTTGCCTGTCAACCAGGAGTACATCCTGTACGAGGGTAGCATGTACTTGTGTGTCCACGTATTCGAGGCCTACGATGCAACTAAGTCTGAGGTCCATCTGTGGTGTGGAGATGACGTCGGAGAAGCGGCCATTGAAGATGCGCAGTTGTTCGCTCGCAAGGTCGCACGGGATCATAGTTGCAAGCTCGAGCTTATGCTGCAAGGCAAGGAGACTGCCAATTTCATCCAGGCTCTGGGAGGCATCATCATCACTCGCCGGGGATCGAGCTCGCGCTCGAGTTCGTCTGCGCTGTATATGCTCTGCGGACGGAGACACCTTGGCCAGATCGTCTTTGACGAAGTGGACTTCTCCCGCAAGAATCTGTGCTCGGGTTATCCGTTTGTCATCTCTGCACGATTTGGCAAGCTTTATCTGTGGAAGGGACAGGGAAGCGGTGCGGACGAGATCGGCGGCGCTCGATTGATCGGAATGGACCTTGGCCTTACGGGAGAGATTGAAGAGGTGGACGAGGGCAAGGAACCCAGCAGCTTCTTTGAGATCTTCCCTGACCACAAGGAAACGGCCTCGTACCTGACTGCAGACCACTGGAGCCTGAAACCGAAGTACGGACAATACTATTACCGGCTTTTGCGGGTGGACCACGAGCTGGGCCAGCGGACAGGCTTCTGGAGCCGCCGAAGCTCATCATCCCCGATCACTCGACCCAACGACGTTGTACAGGAGATTGAACCGTTCTGCCAGAAAGATATTACTCCCCAAGGCATCTACATCCTTGATGCCTTCTTCGAGCTTTATGTGTAAGTATCCTCTGATTCCTAATGAGTCATGTTCCACTGCTAACCGTTTCCTGTGCAGGATCGTGGGTGAACATGCGTCGTCCCGGTCAGCCGACTTCGCATCGGCGCTGTTCTTCGCGCACGAATACGGCATCATGGCGGTCTCTCTCGAAGACCGGCCGTTCATCCCGAGGAGCTACGTCGCGATCGGCGGGGTGCCGGAGCCCTGCAAAACGGTGTTTCGGAAATGGGATCGGCGTGACTGGAATAAGGCCGTCAAGGTGCTCCCACTGAACGCTGCCATCGAAGCCATTCGGTCGTGAGAGGTGTTGCGTCCTTCTGGGTAGATTGGATGGCGTTTCTCTGTGAAGGTCTCTTTTTTGGTCCTTTTGCATCCCTGGTTGTACATGGTCATGGGCAGCATTTCCCGGTGGGTGGTGTACAGTGACTTGTGAGGTCTCAGTCGAGCGGGTCATCGTGTTACATTGTTCGTGTATAAATTACTTTACTCGTTTTGGGGTCTCAGGAGGGCGGATGGGGATTGCATGGACGATGGGCGTTGTTTCTATCCGCTCCGGCTTACCTTGAAGCATCAGTGTTTGCTCGTTTTTCTCTGGGATTTTTTTCTGTATACTGTACTCGCTACCTCCATACATACAAACATACATACATACATCTATCTATCTACCTATCTCATCGAGCGGACTGGAATGTCGAGTAGAGTTTCGGTGGGGCATAGATCAGATAAGTCAATACAAGCGTTTAACTAATTAAGCATATCGTTTCCAATCCTGACTTTGTTAGTGCTGATCGGGTCATGGTCTCTTGTTATGGAAATAATAATGTCAGATCCAGGCAGACCAAATGGAGGATTCTCCCGTTTGGTCGACTGGCTTGAAGCCATCATGACATGTCACAATGGATTATCCGATGCTACAGTACAAACATAAGAATAAGCAGCGGTCTATCTCGATTCTATACATAACAGAACAGGTCTGTCTACAAAGACTCCAGCTAAATATTCTCCAGCTGCGTGTGAGGCCAGTGTTTCTCTCATGATGCGACCACGCGGACGCCGTTCCTGATTCTCCCGATTCGACTTGGCGGACTTTGTTTCGTCTTGCTGATGTCGCCATCGCCTTTGGCTCACTCTTTTTTCACTTGGATCTTCTTATCACCAGGACTCTGGGATTTCTCCATTAGCTGTGACTCCATCTTCAGCATATTTGGTCTTCTGTTGACAGCATGCTGTCTTGAACGCCCCTCCCCGCTCTCTTATCAGCTTTTTTTTTTCTTTCTTCCTGACATCGAGATGGACCCCACCATTGCCCGCGAGCTCTCGCGGCTCGACCCTACAGTGCCTTTTCGCGCTTCAACTGCGCATCTGCACCACACGTGGGCGCGCACCTTTTTCGCACGGCCTGAGCTCTACATTCGACCGCGCTCACTGCCGGAGATCGAGAAGATCGTCACTCTCGCGAGACGCTGTCGTCGTCGCATCGTTGTGGTCGGGAGCGGCCATTCGCCGTCTGATCTGACATGCACGTCATCCTGGCTCGTCAATCTCGATGACTTCAACAGCATCCTCAGCGTCGATGCAGACAAGAAGATCGTCACTGTTCAGGCAGGAATCCGGTTGCGAGACCTGGGCAGGGAACTCGAGGAGAAGTACGGGTTGACACTTTCGAATTTGGGCAGTATCGACAGCCAGTCGATTGCAGGCGTTATCGCGACGGGAACCCATGGCAGCTCGCTCAAACATGGCTTGTTGTCTGAGTGCATCCTGTCGTTGACGCTGATGCTGGCGAACGGCCAGACGGTGCGCTGCAGCGCGACCAGCAACCAGGAGCTCTTTCGAGCGGCGCTGGTCTCGTTGGGCGCGCTGGGCATCGTCGTCGAGGTGACCTTCCAGGCAGAACCTACGTTCAAGGTCAAATGGCAACAGACGTTGCGACCGCTGTCGCAGGTCTTGGATGAGTGGTCATCCGATCTCTGGACGTCGCACGAGTTTGTGCGTGTCTGGTGGATGCCGTATCTCAAGCAGGCGATCGTCTGGCGAGCAGACAAGACAGAGGAGCCGCTGCGTCCGCCTCCGCAGACGTTCTACGGACGGTGGTTGGGATACCAGATCTACCACAATCTGCTGGCGCTGTCGAACTATGTTCCCCAGATCCTGCCATGGATTGAGTGGTTTGTCTTTGGCATGCAATACGGATTTAAACCAGGCGCCAAGGTGACGGAGGCCGTGCAGACGGCCCGCGAGGGTCTGCTGATGGACTGCCTGTATTCTCAGTTTGTCAACGAGTGGGCTTTACCCTTGGAGAAGGGGCCTGAAGCGCTCACTCGTTTGTCTGCGTGGCTCAATGGCGACGAGGAGACAGCGCAGATCCCGTACAGTTCGAAAGGAGTGTATGTCCATTGCCCGATCGAAGTCCGCGTCGCGGATACCACGTTGACCGATTCTCCGCGGCCATATCTCGACCCTACCTGTCATTACGGCCCTACGCTTTACCTGAATGCTACGTTGTATCGTCCATACCTCCGCGACCCTCCCTGCACCCACCAGTACTACATGGCCTTTGAATGGCTCATGCGCTCCATGGGCGCAAAGCCGCACTGGGCGAAGAATTTCACGACTGACACTGGCCGTAAGGAACTACACGGCATGTACGGCGCTGACATGGATGCTTGGTTGGCGGTCCGAAAAGAGGTCGACGTTGACGGAATGTTTGTCGGGGAATGGCACCAGAGAAACCTTCTGCCTGACCCAGCTGCAGAGGCCGGCGCAGAGCCTACCAGTACTCTACCACTCCAAGAGCGCGAGAAGGCACGTCGGAAGTTTGGTGGTCGAGGTGCCGGGGATGGACTCGAGTGGATTGGTGAGCGACGCTGGGAGCTGGCCTCTGAGCGTCGTGTGCCCGGTACGGAGCAGGAGTCGACGACTTCGACCCCTAGTCCTCCCATGACCGCCACTAGTGAGGAGAGCTTCGATTTGTTCGCCCATGGTGAAGCTAGCCTGGTTCTCCCTCCTTCGCAATCATCATAGAAGAAGAAGAGCAGGGGGGGGTGGGAAACAAGGGGCCAAGAGTCAGTTCAAGCAATTTGTAAGGCGGCAACACAAGATGAAATTCATATAGCCACGAGTCCAATGGAAGATCCATGAAAAAAAAAACGCATACCCTGCATTATCTAGGTAGTACTACCCAATGAAAACACTTTTCTTCTCATTTCTCATTCTTGTAGTCTACTCCGTAGTATTCCCCTTCTTTTTTTTTCCCCCCGCTTCCCCTCGGAGTAAAATATCCAATAAGTCTTATCCAAATATACATCTCATTTCATAAGTTACTAACTCTAACTACATACCCTCACAAAGCACTATAGTAAATCCATTCCTCAGCTCACTCTGCATTTAATGCAATATGTAATCCTAATCTAACGTAAGGTACTTTTGTCACTCACCTATCATACTTAAAAGAAATATAAAAAAAAAACAAGAATAATAATAAAATAATTTTGCAAATGCACGTCAGCTCACGTTATACGTCACCTACATACATATACGTATACATATACATATACATTGTGTACAATACATGGTATGGTATATCGTACCGCCTCACCCTTGTGATGGGTCTGGAGTATGTTAACTAGCGAGTATATGATAGATAACTAGGGTTTGGAATGGCTGGGCAGTCTTGGCTTGGTCTATTCGACTCTGCCTGGCAATGGTTCACGAAAGATGAAGTTTTTGAGACTCGCTTCTCTGATGAAAGACTCAGGGAAGAACGCTGGTCGGAGAGAGCAATAGTAGGTAGTTAAGACTGACTGGCCTATTCACTGTTTTCGCCGTGTGTATTTGATCCTTAGGGGGAAGACACTATGATGGAAATAGCAATCTCCTTTTTTAGAATACAACAAACACGGCCGCGAAGAAAAATCCCGCCGAGTCAAAGGATCGTGGTTCTGATTGTTTGTAGGAATATAATATCTTTCCTCAACGAACAGCTTAAAGTCAGGGGTATCTAATCCACAAGAAGCACAGACTGCTAACTATATCAATATCAAACTCTATTCCTCTTTCTCTCCCGATGCCACTTTCGACCAGATCTCATATTTCCAGTTTTCTCTTTCCTACCCAGCTAAGAAATCGCCACTTGCCTGATCTTGGGCATATTCGATCCGTTCAACATTGGCAGGCATCCCCTCTAAGAGTATATATAGAAGGCACTGCGAAGATCGTTCAGCTTTTCAATAGAGTCCAAATCCTCAGCGATCTGTGGGATATCTTGGCGATAGATAGATACATTATCAAAGATCCCAGGTGCAGACGAGGTTTTGTATAACTGTCCTAGATATTGATTTTCCGATCTCTCCAAGACTAATTGCTAGTTAGTTAGCAGTTACCTGATTTTTTTCATCTCTATCATCTTCACCTAGTTAGCCTGCAGACGAGAAAAATTATTGACAGCTAGCTTCTTCCCTTGTGAAGAGGGTGAGAAATTTATGTATGTGCATAATGCTGATTATCCTCGAATATCCCCTAAATCGAACAGGAACATTCATACCATTGACCGGGAATCTCATGCTGCTTTTTGGCTTTAGTACTAACTAGAAATTGACGAATTATAATCTCCGTAGATAAAAATAGAAGAAAAATGCTTGCAATCTGCCTAGAAGGGAAGCAACGAAGCCTGTCGATCAATCAGTTATTATAGAATCATGAAAGTAAACAAAATCAAAAAACCAAACAGCAAGATCTCGAGCACTATAAACTGACACATCCTACATTCTGCATAAAGGAGGAGTTAATGTGAAATTAGGAAAGACAGATCCTTCCCCCCTATTTTAATCGAATTGGCCCGCACAGATGGGGTTTGAGAGCTCCCAGGGTATTTATTAGGTTATTCATCCTTTCGGAATTATAGAAAGAATGAGCACTCAGACTCGATAGCAGCAAAGGTATTTATTTCTATTAGAAGCTCCGGTTGATTACGCCCACGAGTAGTTTTGTTAGTTAGTTAGTTAGTTAGTTAGTTAGTTAGCTGTTCACGAAATGATTCAATACAGTGTCAAGGTTCAATATCATGTTTTGCTTGATCGTATCTAATCGCTAATTATCATCTTCGTCCTGCGTCATTGCCTATGTAGTCCTTCCTCCTAAAACCTAGCCACTTTTCCTTCGATAAAAGATCAAAGCTCAAGCGGTGGAGCTCGTTAACCAGGGCTTGTTGGTACTCAAAACGAAGGTCGTGAGAATCGCATCTTGCATGTACTCGCTCTTGTGAATTGTCGGTTTCACCTTTGTAAGTTCGAGAGGAAGGTATCTGCTCTAGAAGGTGCAGAGCTAAATATTCCTGAACTTCGTATCTATATGCAGCCAATTTTATGCGCCGATAAGGGACGAAGGGTCAAATTATTTGCCTTCTAGGGAATAGAAGAGATTAGTTGTAGTCTCGAATTTGGAGCTAGTCCTCGCGGAAGGTCATTGAAACGATTCAGGTAATCAGACCATATGCCGGTGATGAACTAGCTAGTGTGCATGCATCAAATATTTAATTCTGAGAAGATCGTGTTAGAAATATCGCAAGACAACGATAGCATAATTTAATAATACTATCTATGAAATCCTTCTGAAAGGTTCTTTTAATCGCGACTCTCAACGATATTGTAGAGTCGGGTTTATCCTCTGTTATCACTTTTTATTTTGCTTAAGTCCATGGGAAAGCTCTTCCCTTCCTAAGTCATCCTTTCAGGCAAAAAGGGTAATTGCAGTACCGCGTCAGCGTTTAACCAGAAGGGTGTTGAAGGAGGCTACCTAAGATGGACGGGCCCATACATCTGAGATGCAAGGGTACTACTTGCGGGAGCAGACGCCGATATCACTTCAGCTCATTTCTCAACAGAACTCGGTTGCGTCGTTCGCTAATAATGCTGCAATCACAGATATCACTCGCATGCCATCTGCATGCAGCATCGTCTAAGGGCGACAGGGGAGACAAGGATTAACCTATCTTACCAGTTGATACGGCCGAACACCATTCCATATCGAGCATTTTCTTTCAAGCCCCCCCGCAAAGAGTTGCAGCAGGAATTGCAGCGACTAGGGGTGTAAGACATGATCAAAATTACTCCCTGAAAGAGGAGAAATCCAAAGAGCCAGTGAATTTGCCCCCCTCTCCTTCGGCGTTTTCTACTGTTTGCTCCCCGGCGAAACCAAAATCCTTGTTGAGATGTGAATACCCTGTCGTAACGCTGATTCTATAGCCATGGCACATACAGGATGAAGACAGCGTCCTAGAAATGCCCAGCGAGGGGCCGCCACAAGCGATTAAGGGCCAATGTGTTCACTTTTTCTTCTTCTGCTGCTCCTCCTGCCGCTACCTTTTCCACTTCATCCTTTGTCGTCGTACAAGGACATTCTTCCTCTTCACGAGGCAAATGCTGTACGAAGATGCAGAGGTTTAGTAGGTGATTACCTCGAAAATCGAAATCTCCAGTCACTGATAGTATCGGTTATCATCGCATAATTACGGTTCAGGCACATCATTATCCTGCTCTGAGGACGGCTTCCTGCTATGATATTAATTATGAATAACCTTGATTTGAATCACTATACCTGATTAATTCCTAATCTCATAGGTGAAGGGACCTGGAGCTTCCCCTCGACGCATATATTGCATTGCGCGCGCTAGGATCATATGCCGATCCTTCGTCGCTTAGAGATTATCAGCAAGCATATGAGAACAGGCAGGCGGCTTATTCCGACAGGGATATAGAAGTCGACGTGGACCGGACGTGGACTGGATTCAGCTAGTTAGCCACAAGTCTGCTAAGCTCGAAGAGTAACATTGAGAGAAGGCCCCAGATCTATCACGAGAGATAAATCGAATGGTGTAGATCTCGGTGACGTTAATCTAACATCGATATGTTCTGAAGGCTGTGTCCCCAGGTCCTTCAGCAAAACTGTTTATCAAGGACTGAGACACACATCGTATAGACGGGTGAATACGGAAGAATCGTTGGTTGAAGTCATTTTCTTTTCAGCACCATTTCAAATATGAATCCCGTTCCACTGATACATCTCGTATTGGTACCACTGACCAGGATCAATAAAAGGCGCAGTAGAATGCTGGAGAAACACGGGACAACTCACTATCATCCAAAGTATATGGAGTGGCGCTTAACATGCCTAGACGCTCCCTAGTCGCAGAAAGGTAGCAAGTGAAGTAATTTTAGACTCAACGAAGAAATAGAAGCGGCTTCCTGGTTTCCTGATCTCTTTGGGACCTCGGCAATGTGAGACAAAAGCAAGTATTCTGTCTCCTTGTTTGCTTGGTATGTAGTCTTTTGTGGGCAGTATCATACCCCAGTCACTCTCCGGTCTCCTAATGCCTGTCACGGAGTCCAACCCTACAAACAAACGGGACTAACAAGTGTAAGGGCTGAAGTAGTTATTCTGCGTCATTTCTTCAGACGCGACGCTTAGCAGCTATGTGGTTAGCTGCGGGAATTGGATTTTCTCCTCAATGACCAGTGCCGGATTCGCCATAAGTAATGATTATCCACAGTGGCCGGAGAGACTGCCGTATCTGCCAGTCAGGGTGTCACAAAACAACTGGCAAACCGACATCAAACAGGAACCAGTAATATTACCGACCAACTTTGCATAACTATATGGCCACTGTATCATGTGATATCCACTACTTCACCTCAAGGCTAGTGATTATCACTGTCGACTGGGCATATATCCCACTTTGGCCCGGAACCCCTGTCCACGTCCTAGCCAGCTTGACGAGTAGCTAGTGGCTCAATGATGGTGGGACTATTGTGGCAAAGCAGTAGCAAGCCATCTGTATAGCCAATATAAATCGGGTCGGCACACGTAATATATCTCAAATTATTAGATATCAGTTCCCCGCCCCGAATGATCTTGCGATTAGAGGGACGACGAATCATATATTGTCTTAGTAGCGACAGGACCGGCTGCCAATATGTGAATACTGGCTTGCCTCTATGACTTCAAGGCTAGTACCAGCTTCGGTATTCATTCGTGGCTAAGGGACAGCACCGGAAGGATATTCGCTGGAGGTTGAACAACCAGTATAGATAGAGAAGGACAGGGGCTCAAAAAGGTGTCAGATCTAGCCGTCACGTTTGCAGTAGTTAATTTGTCCGGATGCCGGATGATGCACCCGTGAGGCTGCTTGGAGCAGTTGGTCAGGACTAGTATCTGCCCCCTGTATGTATCAACTGCGCTGATAGAACGCCCCGACAGGATCTCGAGTGGCGTGTCTTTTACACGCTACTTTGAGGCCATTAAAGAATTAGTCTTCCCCCATGCCTCTTCCCTCCAAGCACTAATGGGCTTGCAGTTTCATTCGCGGAGCGTCCCTGCTTCCACCAAACGACAGTGAGCATACGCATGTCATCAAAGAAATCAATAGATAGCAGCAGTGACATCGGCAAGATGACGGCGGCTGACTTCCAGCTAGCTGCCCAAGTTACCAGGTGCCATCCATCGAATTGTAAATTTTGAGGGCACCTCATTTCATTCAGCTCCCCGATCACCTCACGGGTCGGTCCGCTGGTTAGGCCCCCTCCTGTATGCATATCATATCCACAAATTCGCGCAAGCGTGTCAGAAGGCAAGAAGTATGTAGCGGGGCCACCAATTCCACAAAGAACAGCCGCTCGCGTACCTCTCGCAATAATCAGGCTGCTCTAACCCACCAAGATGGACCAGCGGGAAAAAGGGGGGCGAAGATGAAGCCGATCACTATGACTGACCTCGTAGTTGGCAAGGATACGGGGAGAACAAGCACCGGAGTTAGAAGACCTTCGCATGTGCGGGGACGTAAGTAAGCGACCCTGGATAACTCCGTCTTATATCTAGATGGGAAAGAATAATACCTGCTACCACCGCTGACGCGTGCGCCTTTGACGATTTCTCAGACCCTCATTTGTATGTCATATGCCGCTTGGTTTCTCCACATATTCCTCTATCTTGTCAAGGAAGACAGTATCGTTTGACTTCAATGTCTTCCCCAGCTCTATAACGCAACCAGATGTCCAGGCAGCCCAAGCTCTGTCCGAAGTCACAGATGCCAGGATTCCTAGGTGCTCTGCCGGAATTCAGCCCAACGACATCTATCCCGGGCTTCGAGACATTTCCAGGGACAGTAGAAGTGAAGGAGCATAATCGTATATTCCGGGTGAAGAGGAAACATGTCTTAAAGGCTTGTGACCGGTGCAGGGTCAAGAAGACCAAGGTCTGGTATTCTGAGTCGACGTTCACGAACTACTTTGAACGAGAGCATGAGCTAAGTGAACGTTATATCAGTGTGATGGCAACCAACCTTGCAATCGATGCTCAACATACAATCACCCTTGCCTCTTCCGGGAGAGAAAGGCAACTCAGACGAAAGTCTATTCCAGAGAGTGAGAACCCTCAGATCCAAGTTTAGCGAGTCACTCCGGCGTTGAGTTGTCGATTTATTATTAACAAGGTGCCGTTGCGCCCCTTCCAGTTTTGTCGAGATGCTCGAATCCCAGCATTCACTCGTTGTCAAAGCGCTCCAGAGGCTATACAAGCATTGTATAAACAATGAAGGGTTTCCAGGAGAGCCTCTTGTCGATGTTGCTGACGGACATCCCCTAACGCATGCAATTTTGGACCGCTTGGGACTCATCAAACAAGCGGAGGAAGGCACAGATGAACACAGCGAGAGTAATGAAGAGCCACTCCAGTGTCTACGACAGTTGTCCACCTCGACTGACTACACCGGCACGGTAGAGCCGTCCCCGGAGCCAGCAAGCCCACGCGAGTCCAGGGAATTCGGGCCGGAGATTTCGCCAACTGCAGGAGACGTCTGCAAATGGGATCTTCCATCAATGCGCACTGAGCAGCATAGCGTTTATCCTCGATGTGACTACATTGGTCAAGTCCAACATGCAACTACGACCGACAGACTCTATCAGCCGCCCATTGTCCTCAGCGACGCAAGCAGATGTCCCGATGTATATTATCAGACTGACATTTGCAATGCAAGCAGTAGGCCAAGCCACCTACATGCCGGCACAGTACCATGGCTAGGCCCCTATCAAGGAACGGTTCAGCCATCTATCGACACCCTCAGCCACTATCAACTTCCGCTGGGACAACAGCCCTACCTTGTCGATAACGTTGGGTTACCCTCCGGCTGGACATATCCAACTGAACACTGAAAGGCATTCTAATGGCAAACGGATACATCGTGCTTTCTCCCTTGTGCTCTCCCAGCCTCCTCCACGGCAAGTGCTGCTTCTGAGCAGGGAGAACAGGAAAGTCCAGGACGCTGGCATTGGTCTTGAACACAGTTGCCGCAAATAAACGACTTCTTATCTTGCCGTCTTCGCACTCTTTCCAGTTGAAATTTGCCTTTTCGATTTCTTAGTCGTCATTGCTCAATGTTTCTCCTGTATTTCCGGCAGAGTACATTGGAAACTCGTCGAATGAAACGGGCAATTAAGCCTATGCTCACTCTCAATCGTATCGAATCAGCGTACGTACTCAGGTAATCCAGGCTCTGTCAAACATTTACTCTCCGCCATAGGAGTCAACCAGCGAGGATGACAGCAACTCTCGGAAATTCGATGTCAACTTGTAATATCATCAGTTTCAATACGGAGATCAACGGCGTCACAACTACGGCTGGTGGGCATATAGGAAGCTGTCACCAAATATGATCCTTGTTGCTCCTTGCAGAGACAGATTCCCCTCCTGACACATTAACTCCTGAAAGGGGCAGCAGCATCCCTTAGCCAGATCACTCGCGCACAGGGGCTGGAAGACACTGCTTGGCTAGGTGTCCCTCTCAAAATATCATTGATGTATGCCTGTCGAGAAAACTGATTGAAATGGTGCTTGACCTGGGATCCGTCAGGATACCCTAAGGAGCAATCTCTAGTTTTTGTCGCAGCTCACAGTGGCCGCCATTGTTTTGTCGATATCTTGAGGGCTGCAACTACCTCGATTTAACTCAGGGTTAAGAGGCGGATAGCACCTCGTCTTCTTGGCTGACATTGATGCTCAAAAAAAGGAGCCAACTCACCCGATTCCTAGAGGTTTGCTTGAGTCCGGTGCGGTGGCCCATGGACACACGAGAACAGCTTCTGGTGAAGGCAGATCAGGGGAGCAAGGAAGGTGACCACCCATTAATACTCAGCTTAGGGGTCCGTCAGGCCGGTCTTTAGCGGGGTTTCCTTTTCCGATATAAGTTTGATGGCCCTCCCGAGTCCTTGTTGCCGAGATCATGCAGTGACATATCAGCGCCGGAAGTGAAACGGAAATCTCCACCGCTGACGCCAATGAATAGAATTAGGTACGTAGCGTGCTGCAACGTACATACAATCACCGACTTCAGCTTTCTCCGCAAGATGTGATTCTTTCCAGACGGATAGATAGAGGCGGGGTACATGAGCATTGAGTCCATGATCATGACTAGCTCCAGCAGTGTAGGTAAATTGCAGTGACCTCGTATCATACTTTCATGGACAGGTGGGACCTCGCGTGGGAGTCGCCATGAAACTATCCGGAAGCTCTTTTCCGCGACGCTCCGGTATGTTGTTCGTTGCCTATCTGGTACTGTACATCAAGCCGTAAGGGGCAGCACACGGGAATGACTCCCGCCACAACATTGTTGCTTCTTAGATGTAAAAAGAACGTGCTAGGGCAGTCTTTTAACATCCTTCGTCTTAAGAGTACTATATATCCGCTGCAATCATGCTGATCGCAGAGTGGGCCACACGGTGTCTTGGGATGATCAGCGGATACCCTTTTCTCTTGTGGAAGGTATGTTTACTTCATATTGGACCCATGAAGCCATTTTTGACATCCTTAGTTGGCATGGACATCTGCTCCGACGGAGGGCTGCCGCTAGGACTGTAAAAGATCATAGCTCTTGTTGATCTGACCCAGGTCTGTGGGTGCATGGAGATCGCACTGTTCCTTTGCCGCCAGCAGCCTCGGAGGCGCCGCATAATCTTGATTGATTAGCGCGCTTGCGGGGCTACGAGGACCATTTCAGCTGCTCCATGATTCTCCGCATCTATGGTAGTCAGAGCAAAAAGGAGAACGTGGTTAGCTGACGTCCGTGGTTGCTGTCAAGAACCAATGGCCTTGTGTTGAACAATAGACTACCAACTTCCAAGTCGAGTAGTTGTACAATTGGTTGTGGATACGGTCCAGCAGGCGGCCCAGACGGTATTCAATCCCATACCAACGGATTGAGACTGTCGTGGCTTGAATGGCCCGCCCTTGCGCAGCTATGCGCCAATCTTCCACAACACTTCGTGGCTCTGCTCTAATCAGAAACCTCTTTCGTGCTCTCCGGAATGACCATTGGCGGTTGCAGACGGATGAGAGATGTCTAGAACATGATCGGCTGCGGGTAGTAAGCGACTTGGTTTCCCGAAGCAGACGAAAAGTCGAGCAGGTCGAGCACTCCATGAACCGATCCCAGCATCAACCCCGCCCGACGCCTGCGGTTGTCTCTCAGGGAGATGAACATGATTTTGTCCGAAATCGCCACAATACTCTGGGACCCGACAGAGAACGATTCCGTCTGATTTGTATCCGCAAGATCGAAAGATATGGCACGGCGTTGGTTCGATGTCTAGAGATAACCCAGAACATCCCATTCCTGCAACGAGGGGGAAGGCTTGACGCCAGAGTCGTGAGAATACGAGTTGAACGAGCACTAGGACACCGTTCCAAGTCGCGCAGACAATGGACTCGTATGCTTCCATCCGATAAACGATAAAAAACATCTTTTGACGCGTCTCAGAACTGTATAAATCACGCAGATTGGTGGCCTGGGATTCTAGGACAGATGGGGGCTTCCTTCTTCCGGGTTGGGATAAGCGGCTAAGAACTGGCCCAGGAGGATTTTCTCCGGGAACAATGGTCGTAATAATAGTGAAAGCGTCATGGCACTTCTTGTCCGTAAGACGATCTCCTGCCAGTGCGTCGTGAGACAGTCCGTAGATGGCCGCCACGAAGCCCACTAGGATCCATCGTACTTCCCCGGTAACGATTCCGCTCGAGTCAGCGACAAAGTCCACCAATACCTGGCGAATGGCAATGCATACCTGCTATCTGCAGACAGCTCGTCAAAATCATTGTTGGGCGCTGTTCAAAGCCTCCGCTTGTCCACATGCTTGCGCTAGCATTGTTTAGTGCAAGGATGTCACTTCCGATCCCAATCAATGGCCATGGTGACATTGAACGGAACCCCCAAGAGCATGGAGCACCTCTCCGCAAACAGAAAGCTTCTCAAGGATGTAGACCAAACCGGTTCTTGTTGCGATGACGGCAGCTACGTGCCAGACGCGATGGTGAATCGCATAATATCATCGCATAGATTCTTTTTCTTCAAGAAAGATCAAGTATCTGATATGCAATCTTACTTCTCGACACCCTTGGGACATCCTAATGGCTGACCTCGCGGCGATCTTGCAAGAACTCGATATGGCACAATATCTTCCCAGTTTCATCCACAATGGATTTGAAAGCTGGGCTGATGTCCTCGACATAACGGAATATGACTTGTAAGACTTCATTGGTCCCCCCCCATAAGTCCGACAGCGCTCATCTGGCCTTCTTCACACACAGAGATGCCCTGGGCGTGAAACTCGGTCATCGAAGGGTGTGTATAAATCCTCAATTTTATGAAGCGTGTGACCTTGCTCTAATTGTCTATGCAGAGATTGCAACAAAGAGTCGCGAGAGAGCGCGGTCTTCCCCCAACCCCGCATGGCTTGTCTCGTTCTGGGACGGGCACCGAAGAGATGGCCGCCAGATCGAAGAGGAGATATCGATGGCATCCTAAGGTGCGTATCTCCGGCAAGTTTTGACGCGCAAATACACGCACAACTGCCCCCAATGTGCTGCTGATGCTATTAGCAAGTCTGACTCGAAGACTTACAATCTCATTCAGGCGGATCCAAATGCTCCTAAAAAGCCACTGACTGCGTATGCGCAATTTGCCAATGGTAAGGCTGGACCACTATTTATCAAACTCGTCTATCTCATGGCCAGCTCACTGATAATTGGCAAATCACAGAAAAGAGAAGAGAGTTACAACACCGTGGTCTCTCATTTGCCGACATGGCCATCGAAATCGGAAAACTCTGGAGGGAACTGCCGGAAAATGAAAAGAGAGACGCCCAGGCGCGTGCGATCAAGGCCAGAGACGACTACAAAGAAGCTCTTGCAGCATATAAGACAACGGAGGAGCATAGGCGTTATGAAATGTATCTCAAGGAATGGAAGGCGAGGAAATGCGCTAGAAAGACAAGTAAGTGCTCTCCAGTCAGCCAAAGACCCATAACCTGTGAGATTGGTCTCATTATCTCTTCGATGATGCATGTCAGCTCGTTCTAAAACCCGATATCAGGCGTCGCAGAAAGTGTCAATCTAAACGGATACAACACGACAGACCAGAGAGATGGGGATCTGGAATCAACATCTCCAAGCACTGACGCTCGATCCGCTCGCAACTATTCTGAAGATGGTACGACCGACATCTGGTTGGCGGCTAGCAACGATTATAATAATCCTGAAGCGAAATTTGTCCCACCGGCTCTGGGTTCCTTGTCCATGGTCCCCACTGTATCGGAAACGGTTTGGTGGGCGTCATCCCAGCCAGAGAATATCTGGGACTCTCACGGAGGGGTGCATGGAGGCATCAACGCTACAGCAGACAATATCGAGAGCCCGCGCGGTCGACAACTGTCTGCCCAGTATGGTTGGGTACCTAACGTTGGTACAGATGGACTGATGCAGAAAGCCGTCCAACATTAAGAGAGAAAGAATAATGGGCAGAACAGGCCTGCGACAGGGCGTACATCTTTTTCACCTAGTCGTTATAAAGGTTTTCTATCATGACCGACTGTCGTAAACTTGCGACAGACAGTCCCGGATTTTTTTGGACGGTTAAGGAACATGACGTGTACCGGAATAAAAGAGAGGTTACAGGGCTCGAGTAGTCCCAAGTGTATCCTAGAAGGGTTCTGCGACTACCTCACCACGTCATTCCTTCCCTTTGGAAACGCGAAATGAAGTCGATGGGTATTGAATAATGTTGGATGACTGTCGGGTAGTTGGCGACTTTTGACATGGGTTGGCAGTCTCGGTTTTTTTCTGCGTGTAATACCTTCATTTTGGGTTCCGAGAGGCCTTCTCGCTTGGATAGAACTTTGGTAATACTGCGCGTCTCATAGGTACACAAAAGCGGTTGAATATGGTAATATGAATCACACTTGCGCCATGAATAGAATGCCCTGCCTAATAGATCATCACCCTTAAAGGTCATCCTGCTAGCAATATTAGTAGACAGCGACCAGTGACAGATGTAACCAAGTGATGTATCTATCAAGAATAACGATGCTGGTGCTGAACCATTCCCCGGGTAACACTTAAACAAAGTTATACATGTTAGGGTCACATAGACGAATGGGGCTCCGGGCAGATGAATAGTTGTTCCTTGCACACCTACGCTCCCTCCTAATCTGCCTCATTTGAGTTTCTTCATCCAGCTGGCTTCCTTTGACCAATTTTTGACTGTCGTGACAGATCTCGACGGCGCAAAGTGATATCATTGCTCGCCACGGAATATTGGAAACCGACCAATTACTCGAAATGGAAATGTAGCCCTATCACCGCTACGGGGAGGGCGGCTGTTTTTGTGTTTCTGCAGCGTGGTTGGCAACCTAAATATGTGCCGTTACTGGTCACGGAAACTTTTTCCTGCATGCCACTTAAGTAAAGTGGAGGCACCGACTACTGGCAATGCGACGTCCTGGAAGAAATATAAGCAAACCGCACTGCGTCGTTCGAGGTCAATGAACATCGATATGGGAGAACGAACCTTTCGGGCCGTTTATAACGGCCTGCAAATCATACACCTCATCCAGAGCTGTACCAGCAACGTGGTGTTCCTTGCCTAGGGGCTAGATAAGTACTGGGCTAGTCCCACAAGTCTAGCCAACGTGCTCTGAACACAACTGAGTGACGGCAAGCCCCTACCCCATGCAGCGAGATCTTGGTGGTTGTTAGCTAACACGTCTCAGTTACAACAAGTATTGCCCGGCTAATTGTATTTCCAGTCAGCCCTCGTCGCCTGAAAAGAAGGTCGGCTTGAGAGAATGCCGGCCTGATGCTCGCAGCCTAGACAGAAAGATCTGAGGCAAGCCGCAGCTAGTGTGCTAACTACCTACTGAGACTTCTCAGACTTGACCCTCGGCGCAGGGACTGCACAGCGATTTCGCTGTAAAATGCCTTCGCATAAGAATAGACTGTGAGCAGGAACAGTCCCTATATTTGCGGCCCAGTGGAGCAGTCAAGAAACTAAAAGGAAAATTGCTAACAGACACGGCACATTGTTTTTTTATCTTTTGGGTCACACTGGCTGCACGCTATGCAGATGTCATGATACTCTCTAAACTTCTAAAGAGGCAATGGTCAGATGATTGAATCCGCGAGTTGTTCCTTTCAGATCACGATCACCTGTTGTTGCCGTCTTTCCAAATTCCGAATTCTCGTCTTCACGGATCACAACTTACGTCTCTGAATGGCACGAATTCAGATCTGTTCTCCATGGCTTCTGGTCTCGATCTATCAATACCAGGTGGATTCTATTGGCTCGGACGTCTCAAAATACATCCGACCAATAGAAACCCGCTGTTTCTCGACCCGTGATGTATACTGTCCGGAATTGCTTTTATATTTGACGCTACGTTGCCCAAGAATATATGAATTGGCTCTCTTTTGTCTCCTGTTTGTGCCAATACAAAGTCTCTGTTCAATTGTGAGCGATCCTGGAGATCTGGAACTCCTATATGATGCCAATATATGGAGTGGGTCTCTGTATTGTATACCACTTTCTTTCAGCCCGAGGTATCTTGACTGCGTCCCTTTTTTTTCAGTAAGTTTGGGCCCTTCCAGAATCCATTCGTGGCCTGAGGTCACTGGTGAAGGGACGATGTGATTCGCTCAAGGGTCACTCTGGTCACTGGTGAATTCCCGTGGGCCAGACGGTGCTTTGCTGATAGATTTCCCTACCAGGCATAATCGAACGTGACCGGATCTAAGTGGATACATTTATTGGCCTGGTGGAAGCGGCGATAATACCATGTTATACACTATTGGTAATTTTGTCGTTGTTCATAGCTCAGGGCAGATCTGGCCGGAAAGAAGAGAATACGGTTCTCGCACCAGCAGGCCCTTAGACGTCGAATGTCGGAGCCGCTTGATTCGACTGCTGATTGTGGACTAGCTCCGGATTGTAAATCCTTATATAGGCGTCGAGATGTCAGGGACGACCCATATTGTCCAACGATTGGCCGTCACCACGCGGACCTGCTATCCGCGCTCTAAGATGAACACCTTGCGCCCCCTCATTCCACCACACAGAGATATTAAAAGTCCAGCGATGAGCCCCATAATTGCGCACCAGTGAAAGCGAAGCGTCTATATCTCATGTCCGTTCGGAAGACAAAAAGGCATTCGCTCATTCCAATCCAGGATGGACAACCGTGGAGGCAAGAGACGGCAAACCATAAGACCACAGCCTCAACGACCTAATGCACCTGGCCAGCGTGGTACTGAGCCAGAATCGGCCGCAATACCCGCGCCATCAGAGCAGAAGGTTCCAATTCCAAGACTTCAACGACCTGCTCAGAGACAACTGTCGGTGACGACTGAACGTCAAAGAGTAAGCCACGCATGCGAGCCTTGTCGCCGTCGAAAAGCAAAGTGTGATGGTCTTCGGCCAGTCTGTTCCCGGTGTAGAGATAAGGAGCTTGCCTGTTTTTACGCAGATGGGAAGCGCGAAAAATTGAAACGGCAAGTACTCCGGACCTTTCTAGAAATCCTTAGATCGCGGTGGAGAGGTGACGGTCATGACCAGTCTCCTCTATACTAACAGTACTGTCGTTCTTCAGAAACACGCGAACCTTGACTGCTAGAGTTGCACTCTATGAGAATCTGCTGACTGATCTCATGCCGAGTCTTGATCCTGCCGGCCAGCAAGCTATAAGAAACGCCCTCGCGGAGGTACGTGCGGAGGACGACATGAATGCCATCTGGAAGCAAGTAGCAGGGCTTTTTCCAGCTGTTGCTGACACGCCCCAAAGAATAGATCGGCCATCGACGATGATATCGGCGTATCAGGTGAAGGAACCGCTTCGGGGGAAGAGATCAACGAAGACGAATTCTCGGTTTCAGCGGGAGCTGGCTCTCCCCGTTTTCAGGACCGTGTGCAACAGGACGCGGCAGGATTCTCGCGGTCATTTGGGTTTTTGGGGAAATCGTCAGTTGTTCGGTGGTTGGAAGACACGGCGATGAAGGTGACGATCCCTTTTGTCGAGCCAAGCTGTATGTACATACATACCTCAATCTGTAGTGGAGCTGACACGGCACTAACAGTCTTGAAGTTCGCGCTCTGTCGACAACACACCGGGCAGTCATAGATGCTATGAACAATGCCCCTAGTCCCGAAGATTTCAATCGACTGTTGCTGGAAGGATGCAATTATTTCCTCAGCTACCTTGATCTGAGAGAATTTGGCGCATTCGGTGAGAAAGTGGACGCATTTGAACTGCCGCCGCGGGAGACTGCCGATGGACTAGTAGACATCTACTTTTCCACTGTTCACTCCTTTTTTCCTATCTTATCGAAGTCCTGTTTCATGAGACAGTATGAATCATATTGGCAAACATTACATCCACCGGAGAATAGCATACTTTGGATCGCCACATTAAATTTGGTCTTTGCTGTCGGTGCTCTCTATGCAAGCCTTACGAAATATGTGGGAGGAGGTGGTGAAGTGGACCATGTTCTTTATTTTATTCGCTCTCGGATACTAAGTCAGGAGCCCACGGCTATGCTTGACTTACCAACCATGGCTCACATGCAACATACTACTCTATGCGGCATGTACTTCCTTGCCAGCTACCAAATCAACAGGTAATTTTACCACTGCATGTCAGTTATAATCTTCTCAGATACCGCAGGTTCTAATATTATGTGTCTCTATATAGGGCATGGAACATCATCGGTCTTGCAGTACGATACGCACAGACTCGCGCCCTGCATCTGGTGAATACTACAAGCATGACGGACGAGGAGCACGAATTTGAGATCAGGGCATGGCATGCGCTATGCTCGATTGAACGGCTGTTATGTGTTCTGACTGGTCGGCCACCCGCCATTCATGAACGCTTCGTCAGTACACGCTATCCTAGAGCAACTCAACCCTTCTATCCGCAAGAGACCACTACCGGACTCAATCTTCCTCCTTCGCTAGCAGATGCGGATGGGCCCGCAGTAACTGCATTCACTGCTTCACTGCGCCTGGATGCGATCGTCGCAGAGGTTATATCAGATCTCTACAGTTCAAGCACAGTCAATTTAACATGGGCTCGGGTGCAAGGGATCGTCGCAGATCTTAACACGAAGCTCAATCGCTGGCAGTTTGACTTGCCGTCGAGTCTAAAAGGCTCCCCTGCGCAACAAGGAATATCATCCCAGACCTCGAGGGATCGAATGTATCTTGCATTACGCTTTTTCAGTACTAGTATGCTTATCAACCGGCCATGCCTATGTGAGTTAAACGAGATCAGTGCGATGATGCCTTATCAGACGGAGCCATCAAGAAGGCTAGATGCTGAAGCGGCAATGCGCTGCATATCTTCTGCGAGAGGTCTGCTGCGCCTACTGCCGGATGAGCCGAATTCTGTCAACCTTTACGCCTCGACACCGTGGTGGTGTATACTACATTATATCGCTCAAGCGGAGGTGATCTTGGTGATGGAAATCGTGTTGAAAGAGGTCCACTTGCCCTCAGAGATGGAACAGTCGATTTCAGATTGTGCAAAGGTTCTGCAGTACTTGATAGCATTATCCGAAACTAGCCTGGCCGCTCAGAGGGCGTGGGTGGCCTTCAGTCGACTCCTAAAGCTGGCTCTGGCGAGCGCTGAATGGGATTTGGGGGTGCTTACTTTGTATTTGGCAGCAGATACTTCTCTTCCTATGACAGAGCCTTTCCAAGCTCAAGGGTTCCCGCCCCCGAGGGCTGAGTTCTTGGGCCCGATGGATCTCACGGATACCAGCCGTGCCATGTAGACTTCCCGCGACTTGGCCCGACCTCCCTTTCTCCTCGCTCTCTCCTATCCGAGTCTTATATATATACATACATATTCTTATGAACAATATCTCGGGGTCTCCAGGGTTCTAGTGCGCTTCTGGTTTCCTCTGTGATCTGAACTCCACACCCTTCTGGAGCTGAGTCGGCATTATGGGATTCCACATAGCAAACGTCCAAGGGCGCGTCCAATCCATATAAACAACAACTCCCAGTACATTGGTCGAGCATGTTCGTTCCTCGTTTTTCCATTGCCACTGATCTAGCAAATTGCTGTTTTGAAAGCGATGTTTTCCCTTTTTAGCTGAGCTTATTTCTTGTTTTTTTTTTTTTTTTTTTTTTTTACCCTTCTTGTTGTCTCTTGATGCCCCTTGTTGAGTTACTTTTCAGTTCGGCGTACTGACGTATTGAAGTAGAATTTTCGGGGTTTTAAAAAAAAGGGGTCTAGAGGAAATAGAAAAGACATAGAAACATAGAAAAGAATGAAGATATACAACGGATCGAATCCAATGATATGGATTTGGTTTTTGATTAATCTAGAATTCAGGAAAAAAAAAGCAAGGATCGAGTGCGATTTTATGCTGTTGGGTTATCGGTTAAATCTAACTCCATAGGGGAACATAATATACTATGTAATACTCTAAGTTGCAAGTTAGGTGCGTGAGAAATTGAAATTCTATGTACATCAGATAACTAAGATGCGGGGGATAAGGAAAAGAGCGTTGACTTGATGTGGATGGATGGGGTGACTCCACCCTCTCTTCTCCGCATTAGTTAAGTAGTTAGGTAGTTAACCTAGTTACTTAGTCTGGACTCTGCCGTGTTAGATTGGGTCGTGAATGTATGATTGCCGATACGGAGACGTATATTCATTCAAGAGTTACGGAGACATATCTGATCTGTGATTATAGATTATAATGAAAGAACATGAGGGGAATATGCGAATTATATAATGACTATTGTCATTCTTATACGCTCTATCTCTTACAATTATCGTCCGACGCGACGATGGGAAGGGAGGAGGCAAAAAGAGAAAATGAGGTAAAATGGGGACAAAAATAAAAAATAATAACTCCATATGCGCTTGCGATTTTACTCCTCATCGGTATCAGTCTCCGTGTCCGTCTCGCTGGTATCATCTACGTCGCCTTCCGTGTCACTCTCGTCTTCACTTGATTCATTGGCGGGTCTCTTCTTCTTTGGTGGTGGTTGGCCCGTCTTGAGAGCCTGCATCTGTCCTGCAAGGGAATCTGTATAACAGGAAAATTGCGTTAGTCTCGCATACTCTTTTTTTTTTTTTTTGCTTGTCCTGGTGGGACTTGAGATTTTTGGGGATCGCTTTCATACCTTCATCGGGTTCGCTAATGTCGTCCTCCTCTTCCAACGCAGCCGCCTTTGCTGGGTCGTCGACGTGCAGTGTGATTTCCATCTTCGTGTCAAAGCCAATGTAGCTGTCGCTGATGACGTGGAGAACAAAGGTGAAATCTCCCACCTGAGGAGGTGCCTGGAACTGCATCTTCATCGTCTGTACCTCAAAAGTAGGCTCGCCGTCCTCGCCAAATATTGGCTTATCAAAGGTTGCGAACGTGAAAGGAGGAACAGCCATCTTTCCCTGCTTGGCATCCCCTAGGAGAACCTGCCACCTGGGCGGGTGGTCTCTAGCCAGGTATGGTGCATGCGCGAGTGGTGGCTGGACAACTTCCTCCTTGGCCTCGACCTTCTGACCGTTTGCGAGCTTGACTGTCTTGTTCCTAGCAGATCTTCGGCCCATAAATGCGTCGAGGTCATCCTCATCAGGATCGATATCTTCCAGATCGAGCTCATTCACCTCTGGTACGTTCGTGTAGCCAGGGGGAATAAACCGGGCCTTCACCACCAACTGTACCAGACTGCTGGGGGTGATAACCTTTTCGCCCTGTACCTTGAAGAAAGCCTTGACCACCTCGAGAGCGGGTATCTGCCTTGCAACGGACATGGCGGTCTCGTACTCCTCCTCAGACAAGAGACCCGGACCAACAGTTAGAACCTGTCGTTGAACTTCAGACAGTTTCATGTATTTCTGTACCGACATATGGCTTTTCGCATCTTCTCCCTGGATCGCATTGACAACGGCAGGAGTGAAGTAAGGAAGCTGTAAGAGCGGCGATGCACCAGGAGTAACTGCCTGGGTAATGTTCTGGGGGATACGGAGGGAACCGAGCAGAGGCTTCAAGTTGCCGAAAGCAAGGCAAATAGCAGTGAAAGACTCGTTCAGGGTCAGCGCAATCGGCGCGACCGCGTACTTCTCTATGGAACGGGTTAGCGGTGCATACTTTGATGGAAGCCGGGAAATATAAGCTTACCTTCGTTGAGGGTCACATCGTCTAGATCGGCTCGCTGTAGGTATGCCCACAGCAACGCCAGAGCTTTTCTACGGGGTAAGTCATCCAGCTGCTTGAGCGCTTCCTTGTCTTCAGGCGATAAAGATGTCCCCGCTAGAATCTTCTTCTCGATCTTTGAAATCCCGGACTCAGATTTACCCTTCAGCAGTTCCTTATATTCCTCACCCGAGGACAGAGCCGTAAGAATACCGCCGCCGGAGATATCATCCTTGTACTCTCGGAACATATTACCAGCACTGGCGACAAGCACCTTTTCCTTGGTATACCTCTGGGACCCGTACCACCACTTGCCAACAATGTAAGGAAGCAGGACACCGAGAAGGCCTCCGTAAGCCAGCAAGACATATTTGCCATTGCCTTCAGTGACGATGAACTTGGGAAGAGCGATACCAATGCTAAAGCTCTGCTTTCCATCGGGATGACCGTATTGGAGGTAGTTGTTCCGAATTTCCTCATCCGTCAGTGCCTTGTAAGCTTTGGTGAGCTCCACGAAGCGCTCGTTGAGGGTCTCGATGGTCTCATTCTTCGCAGGGTCTGGTCGAACTTTATCCGGGTGGTAAATGAGAGAAAGACGCTTGTAGTGTCTAGAGATCTGTCTCTCGTCGGCACTCTATATCAGGAAAACGTGGAGTTGTTAGCTGGTCTATTCTGGGCACGTCGTAGCATAGCAAGATAAAAGCTCACCCTTGAAATACCCAAAATCTCATATGGATCCCAGATTTTCGGCCCCGTCCGGGCAGTGACGATGATCAAGTAAATCATCCATGCCATAACAGCATATCCCACCAGCACGGTGGTAATACGCTTGATGCGGCGCTCCTTACGTAGCCGTTTTCTTTTTAGTCCCTGGATCAGGTCGTCATGTTGCGGCTTAAAGTCGGACTTTATTCGCGGGGCGGTGTTCTCGAGTCCTTCGAAGCAAAAAACGACTCAGCACACATATCATAACATAGAAAAGAAGCAGTCACTGACCTTTGCTCGGTCTGAGGAGGCTGTATGTGAGAGGAAGCGTGATTAAGCTGGAAAGAGTGAGGATGAAGAAAGGGAAAAATTGTCCCTAGAAATAAGCAGTCAGTCCCATTACGATTTTTCCACCTTCCTGCAGTAAGACAAGTCCATACCTGCTCATCATAGTTATAATCTGTCGAAGACATCTTCGCAGGGAATCAGTCAGGCCAACGAGGGCCCTTGGACCGCGCGCTGGCTGTAATTATTAGGGTAGCTCGGGGGCGTTGTTTGGTATATTGAGATGAGAGGAAGGAAAAGAACAAGGTGGAAGGAATGTATAAAGAACTAAGTGACAGAGCAACAGAGCATATTCCTCCGAGAGACACCCGAGAAAGCGACTGTAGGTTGAAAGGACGTTCCCCTGCAGCGTGTTCGGAGCGGTGATCCTCAGATATTGCTGTTGGTTAACTGACCGACCGTGTCCTTTATGCCTTCTTGGGCTCACCGCCTGCCTTGTCCATACTAGCTGTCTTGCTCCGCCAAAGAACACGTTCACTTCAGCGCCATCACGATGACTCGATCTCCTTTGTCTCCTTGTATGATGCTGCAGAACTTTGGCCGACAAATAGATTTTGTTTCGGATATGCTTTCTGCAATACATTTTTACCTTTCTATCCAATGAGGCCATTTACACATTCCAAAACACTAACACAGGAAGATAAAATCCCAGATTCTATAAATGACATTTTTATCCATTGATAGGTAATTTACAAGATTTTCATTTCCCAGAAGCTAATAGTCGAAGACATGCCTATGGATAAACTCCATAGCGACGACTATTGCTGGTGGGTATAATGTACCAGATTGATCATGACAACTCCTCTCCCGCCAAAAGCGAATAGAGATAGTGCGCTGCAATTCCTCATGATAACGTACACATCTCCGATCAGTGTCTGATCCAATTCTTCGAATTTCCCTGTAATCTAATACGGGATACTCATTGACGGTCGAGAAATGACGCGGCGGATCCTTCCGCGGCTCTTCTTCTTTACTGATGGGAAGGGATGAAACAGACGTTTGTTTCCTGAAAACCCCCGACAGCTGTCCTACCACACGGAGAGCTCAAGCGTCTACGATATGATAGCATATCGGACACGAGCACCACCCGCATCGATCAAGGAAGTGTCAGCTGCATCTGTCCCGCCCCTTCCCTGGTCTCCCCTTTTCTCGTTGTTTGCCGTGCTTTTCCAGCAAGGGACTTGCGAAAGGGACCCTGTTCCGGTGTTCGAATGGCCGAGCATTAAGTGGACCAATCCAATACTATGCCAATGACTGTACGTGAATTCACGGAGGCATAGTAACTTCATTGCTGCAAGTCGACAGCTCGCTTTTTCCCATGAACCCGGCGCCCGTCATTTCAGGAGTTGTGCTTCGAAGTCGATTTCTGATAACGGGAGTGACCAGTGGGTCACATCCTGCATCGTTTATTCTTTTTCATTTTCCGGGATCGGTTGCCTATTCCTTATCCAAACGAGACATCGAAGGACAGAAGAGGTAACCATCTCACTCAAGCTCAGACATCTCCTAATCTACAGACAGAGTATGTGAGAATGCGTTATCCGACTAGGCTTTCTGAAGGGACCACTTACGGGTCTATGTAGTCGAGTCCACCAAAGTACTCGAGCATCCGATAACAAAGGCTCACGTCATCGCCTGGTACACCTCCGAAGAGACGACATTGCTTTTCTTCCATCTCAGCCGCCTCCTTCCACAGCTTGCGCTCGTGAATCCGCCATTCCTTGTACCCATCGTGCCATTGTGGGGGCAGGGTCACTGGAACATAGCTAGGCGAGACATAAGCGGTGGATAGGGCCGGGGAGGATTGAGGAGAAGAGCTTGTTTGATCGATCAGCGAGGTAGGTGTGTAGACGGTGACCGGAGGCGGAGAGAAGTCCGTCGACGAGACACTTTTGTTGTGACGATTCCGGGATCGAGGTCTGGTGCGACGTCTGTTGTGCTTCTGGCCCATTTCAGAATGTCTGCGTGATGTCGTGGATCGTTTACTTGGGGGTCGTGAATTCGTATGCGGAAGGAACTATTCCAATCAAAGAGACTTTTATGGCTTTTTAGTTGCCCTCAGGCAATGGTGAACAAAAGGAAAGAAAACGAGACAACGGCCGGGAGAGGAGTGACCGGCATCCTTTAAAAAAAGGATGCGATGGGAAGCAAAAGGGAAGGATAACATGACAGCAGATGACTGCAGCTTAAATGAGTCTGCTGAGCTTCCGAGTCAGGCTCGCAAGGTTAGGGGGTGACTCACCCGGCCCTAACCGCGTTGGACCTGATGGTCTCGACCATGGGCGCCAGACGATCGCCCAAAGGGGCCCGGATGGCGCCATTCCACGGCAAAACACGCTGAAATTTGAATCGTGCGCGATTACGGGCTTCTCTATGGCGAATCGGAGTCTTCTCGAGCTTTCCTGCCGACTCTTCCTGTCTTTGTTTTTCGTAGGGCTACCGCTGGGCATCGACTCTAAACGCGGAGTTCTCTTGCTTCTCCCCGTTTTTGGAATTTTTTCTTTTTTTTTTTATTATTAGGTCATAAAGTGGACATATTATTCTATGAATCACAGACCAAGTAAGGAAAAAAAAAGTTTCAATAATGTACGTCCCGACGACTCCCTCTTTCCAAGCGGAAAAGAAGGCACAGTCCGAGTCATCCATGTCATGACCAACTTCAGAATCGAGACAAGCCCCATGACGGAACCCACCACGGATCGAGAATCAAGGATCTTATTTCTCGGATCTTGACAACAAGAATGAAAAAGAACCTGAAACGTGCGAGTGGGGGTAGAATCAAGCAAAATTCCTTTTTCTTTTGTGCGTGCTTTCGTGGCCCGAATCGTGCGATGATGACTTGCATGTCAGAAATTGCGTTGGAATAGTAGTTTTTTTTCCGGCCAGGTGTGCCGAGTGGGTGGTCTGACGAGATGAGGTGATCTGGAATGGTGGAAATAATGCTCTCTATCTAGCGAGCGAGTGTTGAGTTAATTCCTGCTACATTCCTCTGTTTCAAACGGCTCATGACTACTACAATACTGTCGGGAAGTAGATGACATGTTGATTTGATTTTTTTTCATTGACTTTTTCTATTTGCCATGACTCAATGAAAGGCCGAGTTCCTGAAACAAGAATCGTTGTTTGAATATTATCTAATTAACGCACAATTCTTCTACGTACTACTTAACGGCTTGCCGAGAGATCTCCCTCCGTTGCCGTCCCGTCAGAGCCGGACGGGTTAAAATGACACATGTGGACTCGTTTTAGGATCGACAGGGTTATCTAGTCTAGTCTAGGGACCTAAACTAACTAATCTCGGGAGCATCGAATGGTCGCAGCTTAAAATGATGATGGCGTGTCGCGATCTGACTAGATAATTTGACTTAGATGGCTTGCCAAGATGCTGCTCCATCCATTCCCGGGTTTCGCTTCAGAAATAATGACGACTGCCTGTTCTGCCCACCCGGGGAATTCTCTTCCCAGTTGCGTGTGTGTCGGGTCCGTCCGGCATGGACATTGAACGAGTAAAAAAAGTTATGACATGGACATGGACATCAGGCTGAAGGATTCTAGACTCGGGTGGTATGATATTATTCTGGTAGTTGAAATTGCTTTGGTTTCATATCATTCTCCAAGATGAGAAAAGTGAACAAAGCGCAAGATGGGGGGAAAGGGGAATAATAATAATTAAGGAGCGGATAATAATAATAATGTTGGCGAGCTGGCACGCTCGAATACCGCAGTCCCCTTCCTGGTTACTTTCTTTCTTCATGATAATACGCATTATGTTTTCTCCAACAAGTTCGGAAATACCATATAGCTCCAGAAACTATCGTGTATATATCTCATGTGTATCAATGCTATACTGCACTCCATCTTCAACATATCGTTGCATTCATAGGTAATTCAGCAAGATAACTTAGTCAGGAGTTTAGACTATTCGTTATTAAACGTCTATGATGCAAATCTCTTTTTCACGACTTTTAGATCTCAATTGCCAAGTCCTCATTAGTCAGAGGTAGTTAATTCGCTAATGTATTACGTACCCTCAACTCTTGTTGTCTTGATTAGCATTAATTGCTATTTCTAAATCTGGTCAATAACCTACCATAGGTACCTAGTTAGCTAATGCAAAGCGTCTAGAATAATAATGTCTCTAGCGTTTCTCATAGGATTCCTTTTTGCTCTAGAACCTACCTAGGAAACAACTAACTAAGAATAAGTAGCAAAGAACAGATTGAAGAAATCTACTTCCAGTGAGATTACTGAGATCTATTCAAAAAAACTCCATCGTCAGGCCTAGCTATCTTGAAGTTGAATATGAATAGCAGCGGAGACGGTGGGGAAGTTCTATAGATCAGAATTTCTTCCTAGTTCCTTAAAGGAGTTATAAACGCCGTAAAATAGTGGTAGATCTAAATACGCGATTTGCTATATAGAAATTTAATTAATAGGCTATAGGTAAGTAGATAAGCGAGATTAAGCTAGGGGACTTGATCTAGAAGCTGAAAAGGCAGCAAAGGTAGCTCTAGAGGCTGGTTATAATGCCTGCCTGTTTTGATTCTGATTATTGAGAATTACGTGGTGTATAATATAGTTTCAAATAATACGAATTTGATATCTTGACGCGGCGGCTAGGAGTAGTGCCGATGAGCCACCCTCTTCAAAAGCTTGAAGGTCCATAAGAATACCGTATCTGTAGGAAGTGCATGTCTGAATAGTACGTACCAGCCAGATGGTATCTATATCATTTACTCGCTGCAATCATGCCTGCAACGGTTGCCTAAACGCTAAATTCGATAACTAATATCCAGTTCTCTGGACGACTGTTCTCCAGCCAGCTGATCTATCGTTTGCAAGCTTCGCTTCGCTTCGCACTAGAGTATTACTTACTGTACATTGTAAAAACGAAAGAACACGAAAAGTTATTTGTGTCCTTATCTCAATGCTAGCTATTCTCCTACTGCAGTAACAAAAAGACTTTCGGGCTTTTTCTCCAGTCCTGGTGGTTTCTTAGTGAGCGCGGCAGATAACGCAGCCACGCAGCCAACGATCATTGACCACCAGTTCCGGTCTATTGTCCCCGCCGGATGATTTCGAGCATCTTCTCTCCCTTCGGTGCGGTCGTCAGATTCTCGTATCCGCCATCCGTGACGAGAATGTCGTCTTCAATACGGACGCCTCCAACGGGGATGTACCTCGCAGCCACATTGAAGTCAATGTATTTGGCATACGGCTGCTGCTTGGCATTCTGGAGGGCAAGCCGCGAGAAATAGACACCGGGCTCTACGGTTACTATCATGCCGGGCTCCAAGGTCGGGGCGGAGAACGTGCATGGGGAACGACTGGTGGGCGGAACTAAAACTGAGTCATCTTCCTGTTCACCAGAGGCTGCCATGATTGATTTTTCAGAGACATCATGCACCTCGAGCCCGACGTGGTGACCTAATCCGTGCGGGAAGAATACTCTCGACACGCCGCATTTACGGATCTCCTCTGTCGAACCACCCTTGAGGATCCCCAGGTCCAGCAGTCCTTCAATAGCAATAACGTGAGCCAAGATGTGTAGATCCAAAAATCGGACACCTTTACGTATGCGCTTGATGCACTCCTCCTGCATCTTCTCGACGATACGATAGGTATCTCTAGCCTCATCGCTAGGCCAGCGGCCTTGAAGAGGGAAGGTCCTGGTCACATCGCTGGCGTAGCAATTCCACTCTGCGCCCGCATCAAGACAGACAAACTGTCTGTCTGCGAGCGGCTCGTTGTTCTTCATGTAATGCAACGTGGCAGCGTTCTCGCCCGATGCCGCGATGATCCCATACGCCTGGTTCTTTGCTCCCAGGGAGACACAAGTATCGAGGAAGATGCCCTCGATCTGAGTTTCATTGACCATCTTGCTGATATTCCGCAGAACCTGGATGTGAGCTAACCCGGAGACCTTATTGGCTCGCCTGATCTGATCGATTTCGTGCTTGTCCTTGACACCGCGGCAAGTATCCATCGCGGGCTGCAACTGCTCCGCATCAAACTGAAGGTTAGCAGCCGTTCCTGTGGGCTGTTCCGACGCATGGAGAAGATAGATAGGATAGTGCTCGTTATTTTCGGCGGCCCATCGGTTTATATCATCCGATAGGGAAGAGTAGTATCGAGCTTGATCCACGTCGTATCTACTTCAGTATCAGCAAACGCGGTCGGGAAACTCTTAAGTGGTGACAGATGTGGCCAAAGAGACCTAATACTTACCTCTCCTGGGCTTCGTCCACTGTGAGCGTGGGGCCCATCCATATCGCTCGTCGCAGATCAAAGTCGGGGACGTACAAGATCAAGCGATCCTGAGCGATATCGTAGGTGAGATAACAGTCCGGCTCATCAACGCCGCTGAGATAGTAGAAGTAGCGTCTCTGGCGGAAGGGGACAGTCTGGTCGGAATCATCCAGGTATGTCGTGGGCTTTCCCTCCAGATAGATGAGGCCGTGGGAGACACCTAACCGGGCCGCGACCCTGCGAACGTGTTGCTTGGCTGCACCGCACGTTGTCAGTACCTGTTAATCCATAGCACGGTCGAGAGACGCCCTGTGAGGAACGTGGCCCTTTCTGGAGGAGATGCAGGGTGGGAATCGATACTGAGACACGCTGCTATGCGGCTGAGGGGATCTGCGAACTAACCAGGGTACTTGTCACAGTTGGCGCCGAGGAGCTCCAGATGGATATGGTAGTTCTGGATGATGCTCGTGTCGACCTGCGACCGCAGGGCATCGTCCGTGAGGGAGCAATCCCTAGAGCGCGCGCGCAGCGACTGTAATTTCATGTTGGTTGCGGAGGGTTAAGGACCAAGGGGCTCATGACGCAAGGAGCCACGAGGTCGGCCAGGGGAGAACAAGATAGTTAGATAGTTAGTTAGATAAGTTAACTAACCGCGTGCTGGCGGTGGAATTGGGTATAGTGTCACGACTACTTTTTGCCAGTCTGCTTGACTCGATCTAACATGGCCCGTCGCAGCCTGGCGGGGCTGAGACTCGGGGGATTTTGAAGAAGAAGAACCACTATCTATCTATCGCATCCCTTGAGGAGGCTCATATTTATTTATGTATCTGCCTTGCGTATGGAATTAGCAAAAGTAAACGAGAGGGGAGCTGTGCTGCTCTAGATAGTAGTTAACTCACTAAAGAGTAACGCCTCCGTCCGGATGCGAAACCAGAGAGACGCTTACAGTCTAGCCAGCCGCCAGCGAACAAGAGACACACCCCACCGCCGGGGTTTCGTCTTCGCCTCCCAACTCCAAGCCTTCCCGGACGGGCTCTCATCTGCGATTCCTGCCCCCATCTTCTTTACATCCATCCATCCATCCATCCGTCGTCCATCGCTGCGTGCTGTTTCTTTCTTTGCGTAACGAACAGATCTGTTGTCTGCTTCCCCCTCTGTCCACCTGCTGCGCATAATTCGAACTGCTTCATGAACGATGCGGGGATCTGAGGCATCGGGCCTCGGTGCTCTCGACGAGGCTCCTTCAACCCTCGTCATGGCCAACCCGGCAATGACACAGACACAGAACGGCTTCACCACGCTCCCACGCCCAGCCCCAACGCTTGCATCCGATCCCGATCGCAATGTTCACCGTCTTCACCGTCTCCAGCAGGCGGGTTTATCGGCTCATGTGCCGGTAAAGTATCCCGTACATGTGAACAGTATCGGTGACAATGCCGGGTCGACCGGGAAGGGGATCTTGATCGGGATCCTCTCTGCGTTTGGATCCGCGGGAGTCGCAGTCATCATCCTTGCGATCTTCTTTTTCTTCAAATATACCAGTCGGGGACGCATTATTTTGGATCGCATCGGTCGGCCTGGTGAATACGATGATGAGCAGGCATTTGCACGGGAAGAGGCGGAGGCCCTCGAGGTCATGGACGACATCTCACGGTCGGAATATTTCAGAGCTAAAGGTTCGTGGACGCACTTTGATGAGGATTGGCTCGATGGAATTGCATGATGGAAAAGGAAAACAACTGACTGAATGATAGCCTTCGTCCTGGCATACCCGCCTGAGACGATGCAGACCGACATTTCTCTGTCGCAATTCCTCGCCATCCAGGAAAAAGGTGTCTCCGCATGGGAATTCGAGCCGGAACTCGAAATCGCCAACTGCTTCGTTGAGGCCCGTACAGAGATCGAATTTTTCGATTCAGTAGCCAGTGTCCAGAGCAACCTACCGATACCGAAACAGAACGATGTATATTACTGGGAAGCCAAGATCTACGATAAGCCCGAGTCGACTCTGATAAGCATTGGAATGACTACCAAGCCCTACCCGTTGTTTAGGCTCCCAGGTAAGTGGCAAGCGGAGAGATGTAATCTACAGTGCGTTCAATACTGATGCTTTTTGTGCAGGATTCCACAAGACGTCCGTTGCGTACCAGTCCACTGGCCACCGGAGACATAACCAGCCCTTTAACCCCACTCCTTACGGTCCCGAATTCCAACAGGGTGATGTGATAGGTATCGGATATCGTCCTAGGTCTGGAACGATCTTCTTCACGCGAAATGGCAAGAAGCTTGACGATGTCGTGCACGGTCTGAAGTCGCAAAACTTCTTCCCGACGGTCGGTGCCAATGGGCCATGCATGGTCCATGTCAATTTCGGGCAGATGGGATTCGTGTTCATTGAGGCCAATGTGAAAAAATGGGGGTTGGCTCCTATGACCGGCAGTCTTGCGCCTCCGCCCCCGTATGGAAGCGAGCAAGGCAGTATTCTTCTGGAGTCCGGCCGAGAGAGCACTGCTCCCAATGCCCAACGAGGCTACCTAGATGCTGGCTATGCGCGACCCAGTGCTGCAGTCCGGGTCGCCCCTCCCAGTCCTGGTCCTCTACGCTCCCCTACCGACATCTCCTTGGCTCAACTCTCTCATGTCCCATCACATGATGACGGCGGTGAAGGTTCCAGTCGGACAATGGATGGCGATGAGGACCCTCCTCCATTGCTGTCCGGTGAGCAGGCCGTTCCGCCGCCCGAATATTCCAGTCCCCCCGGCAGTCCGCCGCCGACCCACGGCTCTGATGAGAGGCGCTTCCATCCCCCGGATCAGCCGCCTATCTACGATGCTGCCGTTGGTAATCTGGACCGCGGCCCGTCTGATGTGCGCGATGACTGTTCCGAACGGTGATCCCCAGCACCAGCGGCATTTGTTGTTGTTATCTTTTCTTTGTCTACCGCGATCTTTCAAAATATACCGTCCTCGTGTCTGTCAGTTGAACTGGTGTTTCTCCCGTGCTGTTTCCTCGATTTAGCGGTCATGTCTGGCGTTGGATGGCTGGTATAGTTTTTTTTATTTGGGATGATTTTTTATATGGGATGGGAACTGGCAATGGGTGTGAGGAGGCGAATCACGGGTCATCGGCCATTGCCCATGGTCTTGGAAGGATGTTGAGCGAAAATGCGAGCCGGCGATTTGCAGGCTCGGGTGCAATGTGTTCATACTCTTGGGCCATGTATTCTGCGGTTGTTGTTTATACACGTGTATATGGGGCGAGACAGCTCCTTTGCAGTGCGCTTCGTACATGTACAGTATGGGTTGATTTCTGTACAGAAATTTCGCCACATGACTTTGAATACAGATGTGCTTTTTTCGGATATCCCCATCTGCCTTCTTACTTAATCTGTATATTCTGTGATGTATGGTCGAAGGTAAGAGTCAAAAGTTCTCTCACATTCTTGAATGTGATATGGATCTTTAGCTAAATTACTGAATCCGTATCGGATCAGAAACAGATAAGACCCGCTGGTCCACCTGATTATTCTGGGTCCGGTAGAGCCCTGGCGGTCCAGGCGCTACGCTAAGGCACCAAGTTCAACTGGCAGGTGGGCCACTGGCTCTAAATAATGACGGTAGAATGGGGTAGATAGATCGAGGAGAATTCTCATCAGTCGTCATTTCTCCGCTAGCAGGCTGGCAACAGTTGCTTGGGTCCCTATAGTGGTAGATTCCCCGTAGCTTTCTTTTTTTTCTATTCTGTTTTGATACAACGGATAAGTACGTCATGGCCCCGTCCACCATAATTCTCCAAAGACAAGCAGAGAGTCAATCTCCTCTACCACAGAGTCCCTCTTCTAGCATGAGCTAGCCGTCAGTCCCTCAAACAGGGCAATACTAGATAGAGTACTCTACTCTGTGTCCTCCTCAAGTCGTGCTAATGGCCCCTGGATCTGCTCTAGAGTACGGTTCGTTCCTATGGCTGCGAGAAATCCAAGCGCAAGAAAGCCGTCCAAAGTAAATACTTAGACTACTTAAGCGAAGGCGGAACCCCATGGCAGAACGGGTCCAGTCTCCATAGGGCTGTCGTCTGTTCCCCCCATTTTCCCCAGACACGGTTCAGATCGTGGACGGTCAAATAACGGAAACTTGTGCGATTCTCTAAGGCGTGAGAATTGGACCAGTGTTGCAATCCAATATCTCTGTTGGTTCTTCGAGAACCAAGGTTTTGGGTTGAATATTTTGTTGCTGGAGTCAAGCGACTGTCCCCCGATACGAAGATAACCTCCAGTCCCCATGATTGATAATGCTCAGTGATGATGCCAGCAGGGAGAAACAACCGCTCCCAGACAGTCTGGACATGGCTGATAAAGCTGCCTTTCAAGTAATTGTTCTGGTAAGTCTGCAGACCGTCATATCTCCTTTCGTGCTTTCTTGCATATCATCCGTGGCCGGGGGAATGAGTTCGCCCATACGCCATAGTTGAGGTATCCGCGTCATCTCTTGCAGCCCTGCATGACACCCCAACTCTTCGAGGTTGAATGGCTACGGCCATGGATATGCTCTATATACTATTCTTTCGAAAGATTCCTTGGTTGATCGGTATCTTTCCGGGCTCCACTCTGGGGTTGGCTTGAGCTAGCGGTCTCGGGGCCTGACAGTTGAAACATGCGCAGGCTAACGATCGTTTTGGCATAAAAATAGGGTCCCTCAGGAGGACCCCGCGAAGATGTTGTCACCGGTCTACTGGTTCGATCCACGTCCTCCCGGTGGTCCATGGGCTCAGTAGTCGCTGTCGACGCAGGGACACTGCTGAGCGGGATTATCCGGACCCTCGAACAGCACACCGCGGAATCCGAAGATGGAAAGGCAATCATGAAAGGAGGGCCATTTACGGGGCTCGAATTGCCCCACGTGACGGCCCAAGCCAACGCTGCTTATATCTTCCGGGAGATCATCGGTGCCGTCTTGATCACGCATCCTCATCTGGATCACCTGGCTGGTTTGGCTATCAATACTCCTTTGGTGGAAGCTGGAAGTGGACCAAAAACCGTCGCGGCCTTACCTTCTGTGATTTCTGCCATCAAGAATCACATGTTCAATGATGTTATCTGGCCCAATCTGTCGGACGAGGATGGCGGTGCCGGTCTGATCACGTATCAGCGTTTGGTGGAGGGAGGGAACCCCCGATTTGGCCGTGGAGAGGCGAGGGGCTACGTTCGAGCGTGTGAAGGCTTACTGGCGAGATGTCTGAGCATCAGTCATGGCAAGTGCAGGCAGAAATATCACCCAGAGACTGGCAGACACCACCGCGTAGGCAGTTCTGTCTTTACCGGTGACCCCTTGATGCTATCCTCCAGGGCGATATCCGCGGATCACACGGATGCAGGGTATGTCGTCCCTTCATGCAAGGTACCCCCTCGAACATGAGACTCATAGTTTTCCAGGATCTATTCGCCGATGCGGTCCCCAGCCCTTGGGGCAGGGAAAGACGCGAGCTACGCATCCGTGGAGAGTTCTGCTTTCTTCATCCGTGACCATAACACAGGAAGAGAGATTATCGTATTTGGGGACACTGAGCCGGACTCGGTCTCACTGGATCCTCGCAATAGACGTGTTTGGGAGGTGGCAGCTCCGAAGGTCGCTTCTGGCACCTTACGAGCTATCTTCATTGAATGTTCCTACAACGATGACGTCGACGACGGCTCCCTCTATGGACATTTGTGTCCCCGTCATTTAATCGCGGAGCTGAAAGTATTAGCAGCAAAGGTTGTGGATATACAGAACCCAGGACAGGGTCTGAAGCGGAAACATGAAGACGAGAGGATATCCTCCAGAGAACCCACATCTGGAGTCAGTCCCAAGTCCACACGACCGCAGGCCTATGTACCCAGCAAATATCGTCGGCAAGGCACCACTCCCGGCCAGAGGTCCGGTAGGAGCGGCACGCGCTCGCGTGTCAATTCGGGAGACTATAGCGACGAGCCCCCAGAACTTGTTCATGACGACCAAACGCCCAGCCTCCCCGACCCAGTTGACGTCGGCGACGATGGCTCCTATGCGGGCGACTCAACTATGCAGGACGAAGTCCACTGGGCTGATTCCGAGCGTCCACCTCTGACGGGCCTGTCGGTCTACATCATTCACATCAAAGATACGTTATCCGACGGACCCCCGCCGGAAGATAGGATCTTACAGGAACTGCGGGCTCATGGTGCAGCCGCCCATCTCGGCTGTGAGTTCTTTGTCCCTCGACGTGGAGAGGGTATTTGGATTTAAAGCGCCGGTTTTTTTTTTTTTTTCAGGAGGCTCATTGTTAGAGGTTCTGGCTTCTGAAAGTAAAAGGCTACATTACGGATATCATTTTTCTATTCGGAATTGCTTGTTAATGATAACTTTCGGTATTGATACGGACACAGGAACGGACTGGTGGTCTTCTGTGAGATTCTTTTTTTATCTTTGCCCGGCGTGGCATTGGGATGCGTGGGCATATTTATTACAGCAGAACGGCATCGGGCATGGGAGCATAAAGGTCAACCGTACGATTATCTAGACTTGGTCCGGTGTTGTGGAGTATGTTATGTGTATCGTTCGTAGTAATAGATAATATACTTTATATATTTATTCAACTTTCGGTTGGCTTTTCTACATATAAGTAGCAATGCTAACTTGTCCCTTGGGTGTTTTCTCCATTCTTTTCAGTCATTCACCCCCACACCTGCCATTGGTTCTTGGGAGGACTATCGAGATATCGCTCCTGCCTTACTTATGAGGGGGCTCTCTCTGTGTATGTGTGTATGCATAACTATACGTATATACGCTCAACCGAGAACAGTGGTTACTTCTTTTCATCCCCATCGTATCATCATCATCTTGTATCCTCATCATCTCATTTCATCCCCATCGTGTATCATCATCTTCTTGTATCCTCTTCATCTCATTCATCCCCATCGTGTGCCATCATCTTCTCGTATTCTCGTCATCTCGTGTCATTCCCATCTCGAATTGTTACTAACGTGAGTGATAACCTCAGATTGTGAGTCTGATCCTTCATACCTGTCAAAAACTCGCCCTCCGGGGACGTCCACGGCGTCTCTCATGAGGACTGCGTTGTTCTCTCTCCCGCCTCGAATTGTTCCCAACCTGAGTGATAACCTCAGATTCTGAGTCTGCATTTTACTACTGAACTTCATTCGGCTTCTTCTTTCTTCCGGAAGCCCAGTAGAAACCCGTGACATCAGCTTGTTTACATATAGGAAGGTGTGACTGCTCTCAGAGGTGTGTTTGCCTGCAAAAACTAAACCCGACCAGGACCAGCGACTGTGGCTGCTGCCTGCACAATCTCGCTACTTCCATACTCCTTGACTCCAGTCTACTTGAATACCTCGCATGACTCGCTTTCTGCACTTCCCAGCTCAACACAACGCCTCCATACAGCATCAACCATCGACCAGTCATCATGGCAGAGCCTTTCCCCCGACTGCGGCCTCTGTCCCCTGAGGGTGCCCTGCCGACCCCTCCAGATTCACCAAGAAAGCGTCGACGGGAGCTTCGAGAATCGGACGACGCGAGTGGTCATATATCGATCGAGCACTACCTATACCGCAGCGATCCATATCGCTCAACGAGCGTCTCGAATCCTCTGCCATATCCTCTTCTTTCTAAAGACGCCCCCGAACCAGTCCGAGCGCGGGTTCTCGCGTATCACGCAGACATCCTAGAAATCCTTCGAGACCATGGATTCCACGATCAGCCTGCCTTCGAGGTTGTCGAAGACACCAAACCGGGTTATCCAGGCGGGGAAGAGCCTGTAACCATGTTGAGACTCCTGTTCCGTCTCCAGATGGTGGTCCCACGGGTCCTAGGTCCTGCCAAGGATGCGATTTATGACTTCCTTTTGACTCGGGATATCTACGACGTCCACGTGGAGATTGTCCACTATGATCTGTGTTTTAAACCCTCGCTATTTGCGATTGATCCTAACCATAAGGCGGTCGAAGCCTACGAAAGAGCAAAACTCGGGCTCGTGGAACAGCTTAATACCAACCTGGGTTCCTCTTGGAGGGTCATGTGTCTGTTCAATTTTGGACTGACAGAGGACAAGGCAGTACCAGCTGTTGTCATTATGGTAGACCCTGGCGTGTATTGTGATTTCGCGGTTCTCGAGATCTCTCTGCGACGGCAAGTGACAACCGAGATCACCATTGAGTTCCTGCCGGGAGGCATGTCTCTATCGAGTCCGGAACCGAAGCAAAAAGAGGCACAAAAGTCTAGCCCAGGTGTAATATTCTTGTCACGCATGAGGTGTGACTCACGTATCGAAATGGGATGTTCGATAGGAGTTAGGGGTGAAAGGGGAGGGGGCACGATGGGGGGGTTCGTTACTTTGACAGAGAATGGACTTGTCCGCAAGGGAGTTCTCACCAATTACCATGTTGTGCAGCCGCCCAGTTCTGCGGATGAGGACGTGAAACTTCTGGCTGATCGCCATGGGTCCGCCATTTCGAGGCCCGACCAAACCCAAGTCGATGTACTCTACTTTGCAGAAAAAGACATCGAAGCAACCTTGCAGGACGCCAACGAGCACGTTGCCTCTCTTGAAAAGGAAGTGCAGAAGTTGCGAGCAGAGCAAGAAGAATGGGTAGCCGTCGGCGCACGAATACATCCCTATATGGAAACTCGGCTTGGCATTAATGAGAAAGCATTGGCAGAGACCAAAGAGAAGCTGGCGGTGGTCAAATCTATGCCCTTGCCCATAGGCAAGGTGTTGGTTTCGTCGGGGAAGTCCATCGTCTCGAAGAAGATCATTGACTGGGCGTTTGTCGAGGCTGATTCCCCCGAAGTATTCGGATCAAATACAATGCCTCACATCCCGCTGAAGAAGCTCCCATCCATGTACGGCCATCATCTGGCTGTGGCTCCAGAAGGATCGGTTTTAGGGCCATTTGGGAAGCTTGAAAAGGGCGCCTACTACGTCAAGGTAGGCAGGACGACCGGTCTCACAGCCGGTATATGTAACGGAACACTGGCTTATTGTAATCGGCCTAAGGAAGACCAGCTCCGCTATGATGAGCAGGGCAACGAGGTCAACGTGGCGTCGAATCTGACAGAGGAGTATGTCATTCTCGACAAGTCCACCGGCGAGCCCATGCATGCCCAGACATCGTTCTGCATTTCGGGGGACTCGGGTTCGTTCGTTCTGGATAACATGGGGCAGATATGTGGTCTGCTGTACGGAGAGCTGTCTGGAGCATGTGGTCCTCCCGGCGGTCCGATCACTGAGACAATCTATGTCCACGCTGGGCTGGCGACGTCGATGAGCGACGTCATTCAGTCGGTGCAATATCGCACCACTCCCAGAGATGGGAATGGGGTAGCGACTGGGACGCCCGCGATACTCGGTCTTCCCGGATTCCTGTAAACGACATGGTCGTCTTCGCCTATCATGGAACATTAGCTACGAGAAAAGAGGCTTATTGCTAAAACTTAGCTAAGAAGAACCTGGTTTATGACTGCTTCTAGATTAGTGACTCTTATAGGAACACATCTACTTGTAAGGAAGGAATACAAAACTTGCACTGTAATTATATATAAAGAGCGGATCCATTACTGTTCCAAACACGAACATCATATCCTGACATTATGCGCGTGATGCCCCCCAAAAAACAAAAGAAGACCACACCAATATATATATACCAATATCATACTACAGTAATCAAACACTAACGTTTTTCTCCACTTCAGAAAAGACATCCACCCACGTAGTGCTGTTCCCACTTGGTTTCCTCAGACCGGTTTCTTCTTCTTCTCGTGCTTTAGTCGTAGAAGATATCTTTGCGCCAAGATCCAAATCTAGAATTCCCTGTCCATCTCTAGCGAAATCGATCAGTATCTCTTCACTGCCCCATTCGCTCATTCCCATGATTCCAACGGGGACGGAACCCTTGTCGTCATCGCGGAGGTAGCCTGCCGGACAGTTAATGGCGGGACAACCGGTGAAGTTGGCAAGGAAGGCATATTCCATGTTTCGGACGGAGGCTTTGGCGTCGCTGACGCCGTGGGAGAGGTCGGCATCGCCTCGCTCGATCTTCCAGCCGGGCATGGGCGTGGTGGGCGTGAAGATGATGAGGCCGGGGTATTGCTCGAAGACATGCGCGAGATGGGCCATGAGGAGTTGGCGCAGACGTTGAGCGGCGATGAGGTCCTGCGCTTTGATTTGGTGGGCGCCCATGCTGACAAGGATTTTGTTGGGTGCTGTCAGTTTCTTGATCTGACTGGGGGTGATACCAGAGGCGATCTCAGCCATGATGGTTACGACGTGTGCGCGCTGGCCTTCGGGGAGGTAGGGAATAGAGATGTCGATGACGGTGTAGTCTTGTTGGGTGCGGTAATAGTCTAGAGCGGCGTCGAATATGGCTCGGACGGGAGCTTCTGAGCGCTCGATCCAGGGACGGAAGATACCTATGACCTTCTTCTGCTTGGTGGATGGAATGGTAGAGAGAGGGTCTGGGAAGAGGGCAGAAGTGGGATCCTCAGCCGTTGGAGCAGGAGCCGCCATGATGCGGTAGGATAGCGCTAGATCATCGATGCTAGCTGCCATGGGGCCATATACTCCTACGGTTGTAGCGAGACCGACTGTGGGAGCTCCTGAGATTCTTCCATGACTCGGTTTGAGACCCCAGATGCCACAGAAGCTGGAGGGAAGACGGATCGAGCCTCCGCCGTCAGCGCCCAATGCAATTGGGACGAGGCCTGCTGCGACCACATAGCCAGAGCCACCGGAGGAGCCTCCGCAGTAGTATTGTGAATGATGAGGATTCTTTGGTGTGCCGTAGATTGGATTGTTGTTGGTCGTGTCTGCGAGACGTGTTAGCTGTGGTGGGTGAAACCTTGATAGATGTTGCGAAATAGGGAAGTGGTATGACACGACACAGTTCAACGGCGATTATTCCACAATTGAGCTGCGACTTCAGACAAAAGGAAGACGCACCTAGTCCAAACTCATGCATTGTAGTCTTCCCGATCATGATAGCTCCAGCTTCCTCCCACTTCTTCACGCACCACGAGGTCTCATCGATATTCCCCTTCATGTCAATCTTGCTTCCCAGCGTTCTCTCATACCCCTTCACATGCACCTCATCCTTGACTGCCACGGGCACTCCGTCCAGCGGACCCAGTGGCTTCCCGTTCTTGTATCGCTGCGTGGATGCCTCTGCTGCAGCACGAACAGATTCAACGTGTGATTCCAGGAATGCAACCGAATGCTTCCCCGGAGGCGAAACATCACGGCGGATCAGAGGCAGCAGGGCCTCAACCACAGCAGTAGGCGTGAGCTCTCCGGAAAGATATCGCGCGTGGTAGTCTGCGGAAGTGTAGTACGCGGTACCGTTGCCTTTACGCTCTGTCGGGGCCGGGAGGGACTGTTTCGGGGCAGACGCATCCGTGATAGGGATCACAGTCGGATCGAATCGCGCAGTATAGCTATCGAGCTGCTTGATATCGTGGATGACGTCGAATCCCGCATTGCGCCAGAAGTGGCTCTGAACAAGGCCGACATTGGAGATGCTGTGCCATTTCTCCCCCCCAGTCGTTAGTTTTCTTTGCGATCTCAAAAGGCTGTCACAATCAAGAACGTTCCTTAAACGTGTGTAGAAGCCCATGATCTTCATCGGAACAGAGAAAAAGAAAAGAAAACCCAGCAACTTACACGAAAGCTCCAAGTTCCAACGGCAACCCGCGAAAGACAGGAATGACCTGCGTCTCATTCTCATACGGAACATCCGGTCCCGCACGAGGAATAGGATAATTATAAAATCGGGGCGTGTCAACGTTTCCCATGGTCATTGCACTCGTTTCGTATCGTTACTGTCTTTTCCTGTTGGATGCTGAGAGGAGAAGCAAGAAGCAATTATTATTATGATCACGATGAGTTATCGACAACCGGAGCAAGTCTGCTTACCGACATGCTGACGATCTCAGCTCGGCCCGCATACTTAAGAAGCCGCGGTTCATTTGAAACCTGGAAAGCGGAGGAACTTCAACTATCTAGCTACGCTAAAGCTTATTCGATCAGCTGGTGAGATTTTGGAGCTTCCGTGGGGCGTGAAGCCCACGTTGGAGGATGAGCTATTGTGACTCGATGGTCTTGGAAACCGTGCTGTTTGTGTTTCGTGATGTTTTTTATGGAGTACATCTTGCTATGGTATATAGTGTTTCTTGCACAGGAAGGTCACACAAGCTGCTTATTTAGTCCACATGTTGGTTGATCAACCTGATCTGCAGGGTAGCCAGCCGAACAACTACGCTAAATTTGTGAATCTATATACGGTCCAAAGAAAGAGCTCATATTAGTAACATAACATTTCTTAATTTCATATCCTACAATTTCAACTTAATACCAGACCAGTCGAGCCCCATTGCCACGGCCGTTACGGCAGCTGCGTACACCATCAAGACAGCCATGGCTTGCGGCGTTTTCGCATCAAGCGTGTGTATCCCAAGGTTGACAGCCCCAGTAAGCAGATTCGCGACCAGGAAGACAGCCAGTCCGTTCTTGTTGAATGCCGCCATGACTCGGCTCGTGGCAAAAGAAATCTGTTCGGATTCGCTATCCTTGTCCGTCGCCTGATGTGCAGAGGGGAAGAAGACCGTCTCGATCAGGCAAAACACGAAAAGTTGCGCGTTGTTGAACGCAGCGATCCAGAGAACGTACGGCATGTTGGCCAATCGGCGCGAAACTGGAATACCGGCTCCATAGCCAAAGGCATAGGTCGAATTGAAGAAGAATAGCCCAGACCACACCGCAGTTTCGAGGGCCAGGCTGATCAGGACACTCCTCCTTGCTTGCTGTGGTGTCTTCGACAGACCAGTGCCGCGAGGAATGATCCGGACACCGCTAGCACGGCCGGCCAGAAAGATGGCCAAGTAGCCGATGAACGAGAACACACCTTCTCGGTTCTTCGAAAGGAGATCAGGTCCGCGCGGCGACACGAGAATATAGCCCTTCAGATCCGTGGACTCAAGCGCTACCTGATACGCGACTGCGATGGTCAGAGCAAGGAGCTCATACCAGGGCACTACTGCAGTCAAGGAATGAAAGATCTCGACAAATGGAGGCAACAGCGCCAAGGTAAAGAAGAAGTTCCAATGCACGCCATACTCCGTCACATGCTCTGCATAATCTAGACCCTTGACGCTCAATAGCCGTATGAATCCTAGGGCGAAGAGAGGAATCGAGTGCCGGATCGATGCGATCAATCTCCGCGGCAAAGTCGCTCTCGATTGTTCCTTGAGAACAGACCGCGCTGATACAACTCCGGCAGAAAAGACGAAAGATCCAACACCCAGATCCATCAGAGAGGTGCCCCAATTTTCGACTTTTGCGAAGCGCCTCGGGAAGACACGGAAGTCAACTGCGAGAATAGCAACGCAGGTGGCTATCATCATAGCCGCGCGGTATGTCGTAAGAAACGGGTGAACTGGAAATGGATCCAGGTCACTGGAAGTTTGTTTGGAGGTAGCATCTTTTCCTGAAGTCGAGCGCGGAGGCTTCGCCTTCTGCGCTTTCCAGGATCTCTTCGGACTAAGCAGGAGTAAAATTGCCGGCGATGCAAGTAGGATGTTCAGTAGGACGGACGAGGAGGAATACACGGTAAACGAGAATAGGATCGCGCCAACATTGAGAAGGAAGTCGACTACAAGCGCCGGGGCACTGTATGGGGTGAAGAAGGAGATGCGGGATTGGAGAGCAGACCAGAGAAGGACAGCTGTCTGGAGCCATCGTGGTCAATATTGTGCGCTGAACATCGGAACAGTTGGAACTCACCGACGCAACAAGAGTCACACTGTTGATCTCCGTGATCTCTCCTCCAGAGAGATTGGACACAAAGGCCTCTTTTCGAGCTTTGTAGGTCTGGTCCATATCGTCGAGGTTGTCCTCTCAGCTTCCACCCGCAGTTAACATCTATTCAATGATACCAGGCAGATTTGGAACATAGTATAGAGAGCCTGGCGATTATTAAAGGAGATCACTCAAAAGAAGAGGCCACGCTGTAGAAAGCTCTCCGCAAAGGACACGAAATGTCTTCTGGAGATCCCCAATGATCATTAAGCTACGCCAACGCGGGTAATCAACTTACTGTAGTTAGCGCGAAGCTCGTTCTGTGCCCCGCCGAAGCTGCCATGAACTTCGAAGCTTCCATCATTCTTTTTTTGCACTTATTATTTACTCGATGGTCTCACCTACATTCGACAATTACTGTCTGGGAGATTATCCTAAATTGACAGATAGACATTCACACGGCTACGTCACTCCCTTGTGGGCAACTAGATATGCACACCAATGAGCAACTTGCATAGGGGCCGTATTCAACAGAGTAAGGAATAAAACAAATAAACAAACAAAACAAACAAACGATCTCGGAAGAGCTGCAATGTGCGGGCTTCCAATTCGAGATTTGTGATCCCAATTAGGACTAGTAGACGAGGACTACGTACCTACCTAGGTAGCCCTGGAGGTAATGATCAAAATACCAATTAGGACTAGTACCTTGCTAATCGAAATCCCAATTAGGTCTAGTAAACGAAATCCAGATTAGGTCTAGTAAATCGGATCCCTCAGGTATTTACGTAGCTACTCCCCTACTCCATAGGGACTTAGCTTCTTACCTCCCCTTTCTCCCAACAGGTACTTTCGAGCAAAAAGCCATCAGCTCGATCTCTCATTTCTGCTTTGCTTATCTGCAAACTCGTTTCCTGATGCCGTGACGACCTTTTCCTTCCTTTTCACATCTTCTTTCCACCTCGACCTTTCTCCTCGACTCTCCGATTATTTATTCCTTACCTTGCTCCCTTCAAGTCCGGATCCTTCTCTAAGAATAACCAATCTTATTTCTCTTGAACTTGAGTTCAAGGGAAAGAGACTACGATGGCTTTCTCCCGGTCGACCAAAAAGGAGAACTCCTAGTTAGTTTGCCTAGATCTTCAACAGATTATTTTGTGATTACGAGAAACCCTCCAGCTCGATACCGTAGCTGAGACTCTACTGCTATCAAGAGTCCGAACTTGTATTGCCTCTCTACTTGTGTAGCCTTGCCACTGCATTGGTATCCTTTCATCATTACCAGAGTATCGCTATCGAGCTGCGGATTTGGCCCGTCGAAATGGCTGACGACAACAGCCTACTCATATCTCTCTTGTTCCTCCCTGAGGAGAGTAATAAATTAAAAGACAGATTGTCACATTACGTGAGGCGGTCGCATTCAGATGATATACAGCGAGTTTTGACAAGTTTTGTTAAATATTTACCTCTGCACACGGGAAAATGACAGTCCCAAAATTCATCGCCGCATCACAACCCGACAATAAATTATTTGAACTTGCAGAGCACTTTTATAGAGCAATCTTCATCCCATATGGGTACATTAAATTTTGTGTTTTCACTCAATTCCCAGATGACTCATATGATAATGGCTTTCTGCCACTCGAATAAAAAGGAGAACTCCTAGTTAGTATACCTGGATCTTCAACATATGACTTCTGCTGATTTCAGCGTGTACAGTGCGTGCTAAAGGAGGCAAAACACCTTCTGTGACTCCATCTTCCCTCGAAGATGCAGAATTTGAATTGGAAATAACCGTGGCGACAATGCTCCAGTTTCCTAGTAGAAAGGATCAAGATCAACTTGGGCCAAAATGTCTACTTAAAGCGGGACAGTTATCGTTGCGTGATTACCGGGTTTTATGACCACTCAGCGAGAAACGTGATTCCTGCAGAGCAAATTGGTCTACGTCTACTTTATACGTCTACTTTATACTTCTACTTTATACTGATCTAGCTCACATAATTCCTTTCTCCATGGGAAAACACGACAAAATGAGCAGGTTCATTAACCCCTTCCACTATTAATAAATGCTAATCGAAGTTGATACTTAAAGTATCCAAAAAAAACCGAGCGTGTCGATCTCAACTTACCTGTGACGGCGCTGTCCGCGGGCACAGCAGGCTTCGGGAGTACTCCCGGCTGTTTTCTACACCTCTTCAAGATAGGGAAAGCAATCATACCGCGAGAGAAACTTGAAGTGAAAACACCACAAACTTCGCCCGGGATCCTCTCCTCTTTTTTTCTTCAGATTGAAAGTCTTCGTTAGATGCTACCCATTAAATATGGAATAATATCACGTCTTTTTAATGGAATGAGCCTTACATTATCAGAATCGTTGTGCACCGGAAAACCAGCGGTGACTTTGTCCTGCATTCGAAATTCCCAGAGTTTGACCCAAATCGTTATGGTTGGCGATCACAAGCAACTGTCGCCTCCAGCCTTCACCGATGAAGGCAAGGGGATGTGGGGAGAATCTGCGTTCGAGCGGATAGTCAAGAAAGACTATCCGAAGACCCTGCTCAACGTCCAGTACCGCTCCCATGAAATACTTTACCGTCCAACATCGGAGATCTTCTACGAGAACGCAGTCCGGAGTGATCGAGTTCGGCCCCAGCTGAATGGTGTACTACTGCACAACGGTGGATTCGAGATCGCCCACATGCGGAAAACGTGGGCTATCCAGAGCGAAGTTGCTTTCCTGCACTATCGTGGCGAGACGATCCTCGATGATTCCCACTCCATCATGAATCCAGGGGAGCAATCCTTTATGGGGACGAAGTCCTAAGTTATCGACTTAGGCCGAATTGAAAATATCTCTTGTTACTGAAGAAAGGAGGATTCGCCATCGACTATATGCAAAAGAAGTGTGGACAATCGAGAGCGAAATTGCTTTTCTCAACTATCGTGGCGAGACGATCCTCGATGATTCACACTCAATCATGAATCCAGGGGAAGCAATGTTGGCTTCTCAACTCGCTGCAGAGTTGTTGGGCATCGGTGTGAGGGATGTCCTCATTGTGTCTCCGTATCGAGCTCAGGTCTCGGAAACGGCAAATATATGGTCAGCATCGTATCCACATTCGGAGTGTAAACCTCGCATCCAGACAGTGGATAGTTCTCAGGGGTCAGAAGCGGATGTTGTCATTGTGTCACTGACTCGGGCAAGAGGCCCGCCTGGACTTTTGCGTTCAACAAAGCGAACGAACGTGATGATTATATCTTTGTCATGGAGCAGACCCGCGGTCTCACCGCCTTATTCTGCCAGTCATATAGTGTATATTAGCTACCCCGCTCTCCTCGCGGGACTTAGTAGAATTCAACCTTCCTACACCTTCACTGTGCCAACAATCTTCTTTTTATCTTAATATTTTCTCCTCTACTCTTCTATTTATTCTTTACTTTATTCTTCTCTTAAATCTAAGCTTAAGGGAGCGAGATTATTTTATAATTATTTTTTCCCTTTAAAAATATCTACAGCGCCTCTTATAGTTAGAGACTGAGTATTACAAAGCTTATGCTATTTAGATTTATAGCTTCTATAAATATTGTGATTACTTTCTTCCCTCCGGGGGAATCCACGGCGCCTCCCATAGGATTGGCGCGTCGAAATGGATGACGACTACGACCGACTCGCTGAGTCTCTCTTTTCTATTAGCTTATCTCTCTTGTCCGTCCCTGCAGATTTTGAGCTAGATGCTGCAGAGAAAGAGGCAAAAGACAGATTATCACGCTATATGAAACGGTCGCCTTCAGATGACACACAGCGAGTTTTAACAAGTTTTATCGAATACTTACCCGCACGCGGGAAGCTAACCGTCTCAAAATTTATTACCGCGTCACAGGCCGACGATCGACTATTTGAACTCGCAGAGCACTTTTCTACAGCGATCTTTATACCGAGTAAGTATAATAATGCACTCAATTCCTATATAACTTCTGCTAATTTCAACGTGTACAGTGCGTGCTCATGGAGGAAAAACACCTGCCGTGACTCCATCTCCCCTGGATGATGCGGAACTTGAGATAGACGCTGAACAACAGCGACTCAAGACAATGTGTCTAAAAAGGGATGGCTATCGTTGTGTGATCACTGGGTTCTATGATTACGAGGCAACGAAAGTGTTTTCTGCGGCGCAAATCGGTTCACAGATAATCGATACTCAACTAGCCCACATAATCCCTTACTCTGTGGGAAAATACGACAAGAATCATGGCCAGGTTCGTTAACCACTACCACTTCCAGTATTAGTAAATGCTAATTGAACTCGAAATTGAGGAGGTGAAGATTGCGCGCACCTGGGCTACGCTGTACGCTTTGTTCCCAGATTTGCGGGACAAAGCAAACTTTACAGCGGACGATATCAACCACCCCAGCAATGCTATGCCATTATTCGGCCCTCTTCATACAGAACTTGGAAGGCTTAATCTTGCCTTAGAACCCACGGTATGCATCTGATCGGAATACTAGAAGTAACATAGGCTTATTTTACTAGGACAAGGAAAACACATACGTGATACGCACGTATCATGGTTTTCGAGCCCTTATGTTCCGAGATCTGCCTCTTCCTAACAAAAACAACGAGCGTATAGTCACATTCAACAAACATGACGATTATGACCTTCCCAGCCCAGTCCTGCTGAGTACGCACGCCACTATCGCAAAAATTCTTCATGCCTCCGGGAAGGCTGAGTCTATAGACGAAATCCTTAGGGATCGGTCTGAGCTTCGCTGTCTCGCTCCGGATGGAAGTACAAGCAACCTCGCGCTTTTACTCTCATTCTGATGAAAGACGAGTTCTATACCACGGCAAGTGATACAGGTACGGAGCTATGGGGGCAATAAGTTGACTGCCCCTGCTTGAACGGCTCATATAAGTAATCTTGGCCCGACAAAGCGTAGGTAAAGAATCAATCATTTAAGTAATTTGATCACTTCCATTTTGGGGGGTTTGAATCTCTTACAACTGTACACAAATGCGCACAGGCAGGATTGGCGTACTACACAGTTTTACTACTCACATGAGGGAATAATAATAACAATAATAAAGCAACGATAGTAGAGGTACTTCTCCTATGATAAAGCACGAAGAAGCAGTGACCGTGATACAGAAAGAACCGGCCAGTTTTATTACGTAGTGTAAACAAATTCCTCTACTCCACTGCAACAATAGTAGCTCTATGCGTACGGTAGTCTACTCCCATTTCCAGATGTCGTGCGGCGATTCCGGAATGTCCCGGGTTGCCATTCGGAAGTCGCGAGTACGTTCGGCTGTTTTCTTCACCGAAACGAGTTCCCTCTCAGGATGGATACGTCGATATAATATTATTCAGGTTCTGTAAGGCTGGACTACTAAGAGAAGTCATGGAAGCCTCACGTCGCTGCTCGGTTCTCGCGGAAATGTCGCGGGTCATCTGCCCTCGCTCGTCGGGAAAAGACGGCCGTCTTGGCGATCGTCTTTCTACTTACATCCGCTCCGTCAGTGTCTTACCATACTCCTTGAATAATGCTTAACCCATGTCGGCCCTGAAGTTCGCCACTCTGGAGTGGCAGATGAACATGGCTGATGCTAGATGAAAGCCATTGTTCTTTCTAGCTCCCTACTTCGTCGGCGAGAGCGGACTCCGTATCCGCCTCTTCCCCGGACGTTGGATCGTCGTGGCTGGTGACTCCGCTACAACATACGTTCAACATCCACATATTTTGGTCCTTCCACCGGCCGAATATATTAGCGTCCTGGATTTGGCTGTATAGCGGACCGAGATGGCGGCCACGCTCCATGAGTATGGAATTCGACGGGGACCAAAAGCCACCGTCTTCTCCCGTTCTGGTTCAAGGAAGACTCCTTGATGCTTGTGGACACTGGTAGATGCTACCGGCAGTTTCGGCGCTCTCCATCAATCACAGTGCAATTTACTACAGGTGTTGCGATTCCGAGTCATCAGACGGATTGATTCATCACCTATTGTATTACTGAGTCTGGTATAGTTCACAGGCCATTAAGGTGTGGCGATGATCGTGTGCCGTGATGGAACACTCCGTTGATCTCAAGGGCCCTGGAAACCGAGTTTCCGGATCATGATCCCCATATGCTATCCTTCCATTGGCGTGCCCCTTGGTGTGCACGGATTGTTGTCCTATATATTACCCTTGTGTCCCAGACATTAATCTTATATTGACGTTCCTTCGCTCCTTTATTTCAATAGTCTCTCCTTCTTAGATAAGGTAGTTTTACCCTTGACCTTCACTAATGGCTCACATTGAGGAAGACCGCCTCGACCATCTGAGGACTGAGGTCGAGAACATCTCCCGCACTTTGGGAGCTCAACATGGCGTGGGAAGTACGAGAGATGAGCTTCTCCACAGCGCCAGACGCATCGTTGCCTTTATCGATTCTATGCACATATCTCAGGAACCTCGGATAGAACGAAAACAGCTCGAACTCATTGAGGCACTGCAAAATCTCGCATACTACGATGCAGACTCAGGCGGCGTGAAAGATCTTGCTGAGTGGTGCATGCAAAAGTGGCTAACTGTTCTTGAGGAAGATCCTGAGAACTGGCAGGCCCTGAAAGGTAAAAAAGCCCTTATTAATTCACAAATTATTCGTGCCTACGTCAACATGCTTAGATTCCGAGGCAGGTCTTGGCCACGCATGGCTGTTTAAATCACAAGTGTCACTCGCAAAGATCCACGGCAAGGAAGAAAGCGCCGTTTCTACTATGGAACTGCCAAGGCCCTCTTCTGGAGAGCACCATAGTAAAATGGACGACGAGAATGTTTTGCATGGTGCCGACTATGTGGAAGCTCGCGGTACCTTGCAGCCATCAACAGAGTATTTCTCTCGCGCCGTCAGGGCTGCCGAGAAGAAGCACGAGTTGACAGGAGAGCTCCTGGTTCTGGTAGGTCCCTATATCGAGGCCAACTATGGTCAACAAAATACGTTATTCGCAGCAAGCTAAATATCGGTGTTCTTCAGGCTGCAGAATCGTTTATGAGTCTCGGGAATGTCTCGTATCCTGATACGAGCATGCAATATTTCACTCAAGCGGTCGAGTATCTTCGAATGGCTGAAGCTATTCCCGGATACAGTCTGCCTGCGCATCTATCTCAGTATGTAGATTTCTTGCTGTCCAGCTCATATTGCGCCTATGCTAATCGGAGATAGATATCTTCAGGAGTATGGACGATTAATACCTTGACGTTCTCGGCAATCAGTCAAGTCAATGATGCAACGGCCACTTATAGACAATTTCTGGGAAGCAGCTCAGTCTCTGCTCTCCCACGACCATTTTTTTCGCGAAAAGCAAAAAGAAAAGAAAAGGGAAATTAGAAGGAGGCAGGTGTTTTGATTGAATTCATTCTCTCGTTTACAGGCAGCGCCTGCAGATTGGCTTTTTTTGATACTAGAATTCTCAACTTTCCCCAAACTATCATTCATTTCGGGGAATATGAGGCATTGGCCTCAAGAGCAATTATACAATAGCACCATGTGGCTGCGAAGTTCTTCAGCCAGAACTCTCTGTTTATGAGACCTCCTATCGGAGGAAGAAGAGTACACCCGCAAGTAATGAAAGTTATTTCAATGAAAGAGCCGAATTTCTGGCCATTGCCACTGCCTACTGTACGGGCGTTTACCGGCAAAAACAGACGAAAGGAGGTGGGTTTCAGATATCATCTAAAAGTTTCCGGCATGCTACTGACGAAGTAGTGTGTTTTCACCTTCTGTTCGCGTCTCTAATAGGTTGGGCACTAGCCCTCTTCTTGGTGGACGACAGTACCACGGAATAGCAGCATCGCTTCCATCCTTCCAGAGGGGAAGCATTGGTGGATATACTCTTGCATGGTGCCCTGACCGAACAAAACAAAACCACCATAAAAGTGTTTGCCACATACTGCGCCATAAGATAGAGTAGAAGAACAATGGAAGCTGAATATTATTCCCTGTCCCCACATTGGACTGTATGGTACTGCATCGGCCTGTCCAGATGCTTGTCGTTCGAAATCTTTCTATTAGCCCATTGGACCGTATTTGAACATTTTGCCTCTCGGTCATGTCCGAGTGGTAAAGTATCATGAATTATAGAGTATTCTAGCTTCTAAGTATGGAGTTCACCAGGGAGTCCTTTCTTTTCCCTCCACTCATTTGATATCCATCTAACTAACTTACATACTCCAATAACATAAGAAGAGCCAATCCACTAATGCCACTACTATCATTCCATGGACTCACTCATAATGTCACAAGTTTAGAGATCGCCACTAGCACTCCACTTCATCCCCCCGGATTATCCCAGATTATACAGTTGGCATAAGAATTCATTGAGCCTGAGCCGTGTGGCAACAGTCAAAGAAGAAGGAAGAAGAAGACAAAAGAACTCCAGAAACATGTGATCTTTATCCGTAGATGTACAGGGTGGCGTTAAAAATAGATCTCAGTGAGTCAATGGATTGTAAGGAGCCCTTGGGGTCCTCCAAGAGGATGATGAAGGTATAGGGCGCAGTGCCTGTGCTGCGCCATCGAAATTTCCGGATAAAGTCCGTGGGAGAATAAATCAGGGAACCAGAATTATCAAATAATATACGCGTTCCTGTAGTCAGATGCACCGGTTGCCAGCATACAATGGACGTTAGTTACCTAATACAGGGCCCATCATCTAACATCTTGATCCGGGCATCATCCAGCATTAGTACGAAAGATCATGCGCAAGCGGACATCGCCCGAATCCGAACCCCATGGATAAGTTAAAGGCAAAATCCATATAGATAATCTGATTATTCCTAAAAAGAAAAAGGGTATAGGATTCGCATCACGAGATCAGTCCAGCAGACAAACGGATGATGTTGAGTCGGCCAAACGTCGCGTGTCTGTTCTCGCCGATCCGGCCGACTGGTTCGACTCCGCGCGTTGCACCGGGCAACCAACGCCTAGTAAACAATCGAGGGGTTTAGCTTTGTCGAGATCCACGCCCTGAACCAGGTTTCTTATCTTCATAGTGAAAACGCTATAGACGATTCTTGCATAATATCTGGCGTATTGCGAATTGCATTATCGAGCTTTCAGTCTGGTGTTTAGTTTTTGTTGTGCTGTGTTTTAATCGAGATGATACACGCTTAAAGTCGATTCCGAGCACGATACAATTTGACACGGGAGAAACAGACACGAGGACAAATCATATTGATTGAGTGTTTAGAAGATTACTACATGGCATAATTACAGCGAGCATCCTGAAAAGAAATAATTGACAGACAACAACGACAACAACAATGAACCTGTTCGAAGGAGCAGCGACGCCCTGTCCCGGCCCAAGATCAGACTGGAGCGCCTCCGCGGATATCTGGGACGATGGTTTTGACGCGTACGAAGATACTGGCGCGATTGACTTCACCACAGAGATCAGACCCCCTGTGCTCCGTACAGCAAAGCCTAGAAGAGCAAAGACTGCCGCCTTCACGATACACGAGGATGGAAAAGAAGCTACGTCTAAAACGCAGTCACAGTCACAGACAGAAGCAATGGCTTTGAAGAGAAGGACGGTCGATAGGAAATCGACGATGTTTGCCCAGCCAGCTCAACGCTTCAGGCCAAAGGTCAGCTTTGCTATCAGTCCTTCAGACGATGCCTCGACCAAGGCAACAGTACCGCAAGCAAAGCCCGTCACCAACAGAGCAGCAACAAGCCAGAGACAATCTGTGAAACAAGAGGATAAATCTGTGGATACAATTCAAAAGAAGGATGCCTTGAAAAAGGACGTGCGACGAAACACGGTCTACATCCCTACTGAGGACACTACCGTCGCCAGCGTGTTTATGAGCATCTTCAGCCCCATAAAGAATGACAATCCGGATGGAGTTCAGCGCGTAATTCCGGAAGATACGGAGCTAAACAGTTTGGAAGCGCAAATAGCGAAGAAACGGACGGCGAAGAAATCGACTACGACTGCGCCACGAAGAACACCATTACAGCAAAGTCTAAAAGTCGTGCAGGAGAGCACAATAAACGCCGACATTGCTGGTCAGAACGGCGGAAAGGAGAATGTACCACCGGGAGGGCTTCTAATTGGATTCAAGGAGAAGGATAGCAAAGCGGAACTCCCTGTCTTCGAGCTTCCTTTGAAGAACAAGTCTGACGGTGGGAATCGCTTACCTTCATCAAGAGTGACGAAATCCCAGTCAACAAGCATGCTCTCTGCGAGAAATGTCGAAAAGGGTCCCATCACGAGCACAGCCCGTCGGCCGGCTTCGAAGACTGTACTCGGCGTCAAACAGAACGGTGCCAACCCGGTATCCATGAAATCTGGCATAAGGAAAACTAGCACTTCAACTACAAGAACCGTCTCTCGCAGGAATCCAGCAAAGATCTGCAAAAGCTCAACCTTATCCAGCTTATCTACGTCTTCGAGGACGAAAGTGCCTCCCTCGAAACTGATCACCCCCAACGTACCTGTCAAAGTCGACCAGAAGTATCCGTTGCTCGCTGAAGATATCGCAAACCCCGCTATGTATGAAGACAATTGGCTCGCTCACCAGGAGATCGTTATCACTCAGTTAATCAACGGCCTATTCGATTCAGCCTATGGAAATCTAGACTTGAACGACCCTGACATTCTACGACATGATCTTCTTGAAATATACATGGATCGTCCTTTTAAACTGCTCTACAAGAGGCTTCAGGCGTCCATATTGTACGGGGCGTTGGGTATTCCGAAAGACGTCCTTTCTCGAGGAAGTCGCTGGAAGGAAGATTTGGGCCTAAAGCGGAAGTTCCTGGACTTCTGGGTACAGACATACGATCTAACCGCGCTGAGGGCAGCCGCAGAGACTGTCATCGGTCGAAGGATATCTGCTCCATTGCGTCTGTCAAGCAGCAGGAACGGTTCGTCGGCGGATCAGGCGGCCCAGAAGCAGGAGAAGCTCCTTAGACGGACATTAGAGGCTTTCTTGGAGACATTCTTGATCCGAAATGAAGATCAAGATCAGGATTCAACAGAGCTCAAAGCCGGAGAAGGCGGTGCAGTTGGTTGGGGATATCGACGGATGGTCCTTCGCAGCATTCTGATGATTGTCCTCCTCGACAAGGCCAGGACAACCCCTGAAACTTCACTTCCTCGTCGGCTATTCAATGCCTCATCGCCTTATAAAACCTCTGCGGCTGTTCTTCAGGCTCTTGGAAATATGCTTCTACCATCTGTGGGCGACATCAACAGAGCACTCAGCCATCTGCACTGTCAGGTGGCATACACGCAACATCCACTGCAGGAGTATGAATTTTGTATCAACAATCTAGCAGTCGATCTCCGGGACGGTGTACTACTGACAAGGCTCGTCGAGTTGTTGCTTTATCCTTCTGCTTCCCAGATCCTTTCTCGTCAGCACGACCCGGATACGTCAACCACTGTGGCGATGCCAACAGGAGAAGTTCTTCCCCTCTTGCAGGGGGAGAATGATTGGCCCCTATCACAGCATCTGAAGCTTCCATGCGTAGGACGCGTGACAAAACTGTTCAACGTCCAAATTGCTCTCAGTGCTTTGCGGGGAGTCAAGGGCGTGGGAGTCATCGTGAAGGATATCCGTGCTGGTGATATTGTCGATGGACATAGAGAGAAGACCATCGCTCTTCTTTGGGGCCTAGTTGGGAAATGGGGCCTTCCGGGACTGATCGATTGGGATGATGTGAGGAAAGAGATTATCCGACTGGAGCGAAAAGTGTCTCTAAGATCAGAAGGCATGCAGGAGGACGCTGAGATCTCTGACTGCGAAGACGACTTCGACGATGGATATGAGAGGCATGCTTTCTTGTTGAAGAAATGGGCGTCTGCTATCGCTCGCGTAAGGGGCTTGCAACTTACGAACCTCACCACGAGTTTCGCCGACGGCAGGATTTTCGAGGCTATTGTGGATGAATATGAAGACTACATTATTGGTTCGAAGCCCGCAGAAGGCTGTGTCTCTGGTGAAGCACCCATGTCCACGAAATCTGCTAGCGCAGCCCTTGGCTCTCGTCTTCGGGCCCTGGGCTGTAGCTCTCAATTCGGTAAGTCGCGGTTTTTTGCTCCTGTATAGGGCACTCTTCTGACAATTTGATAGCAACCCTGGTGTCACCATCCGCAGTCTCATCTCGCATTTTTGATCGCGACTTCACATTGGCTTCGCTCGCCTTCCTTTGCTCTCGTCTGCTATCTGCTTCGAAGCGAACTAGAGCGGCCCTCGTCCTTCAGTCCGCGTGGCGCCACATTCTTGCGCGTCGCACGCTGCATCGCCGTGTTGCCGCACAGGCGGTTGCAAGACAGTGTGCTGCCGTCGTTCAGACAAGAGATCGCATTTTATGGGCCAAGGGTGTCATAGTCACCTGGTGGAGACGGCAGAAAGCCAGGAAGGCAGTAAGGATCGCCAGGGCTAGAAGCGGTCCGGAGGTGATCAGAAAACTCTCGAAACCTGGCTTCAAAAGCGCTCTGCCAGTTGCGATTCCCAAGCGGCAGAGTATGAGACCTAATTCCACTGCGCATCAAAGGCAGAAAGACAGGACGGTGGTTATAACCAAAGAATCGGTGGAGTCCGATAAAGAAAATGAGACCCAGAGCGATCTCTGGTTGTCTCTGTGACAGAATTTGACTTGGCCCAGAGTTCATGGCGATATGACCTCTCATTGGCATCTCTTGCGTTCTTGGAGTTTGGGAAGTCACATTATGCATCGTGTTGGGATAAGGGCGGTCTGAGTTGTCAATTTCCCACAGCGTTGGAGTTGAGTGATCATTCATTATTGGAGTTGTGATGTTCTTATGCAAGACATAATACCCTTCCATTTGTTTTGGTTTTTCCGTTTACAGTCAGTACAGACTCCAGATACTGAGTACACAATACGATTCGTCTGATGAATTTCTTCCATGTCTTCCTTGGTTCGTCTTTTTCCCCTGAAATCGACCAAGGTGTGCTTTGATTCGTTGGGGATGTATTGCATCGGCCTCTAACTACCTGCAACCCACAATTGATCCCTGTATGAATCGCTTAGCAAGACGATCTGCATTTGTTTTCTCCAATTATAGACAATATCTTCGATATGTCATATCAATACTAGAGGGGACCTCCGGTCTTTGCCAGGGTCGCTGGACTCGGGTATTGCATATGATATCAGGGTACTCGATATAAATTAACTTATTTTTTTGTACCGGGTTTAATCACTGGGAAAGGAGAATGAGCAGCACAAATCAAGAGATAAGAGACATGATATGATCCCTTGGCCCGGATCACGCCTGGTCCGTTAACCCACAAATTTAAAGACCCTTGTCAGCAGTAGTATCCCAGTCGAGTATAGGGATATAAGAAAGTCACTGCACTAGTTATCGGTCGACACTAAGACCGCTAAATGGCTCTTTGACGTTTCAGCACCCATGCCACGACAAGCGCAGATTCGATCACTAAGACAAAAATGGATCAGCACTAGCAGGAAAATGGGATAAGCGAATGAGCATTATTCGTAAGTCCGCGGTAAGGCGAACTAAGGCAACCCGTTCCAACCCCGTTCCAACCCCGATAATCGAGATCTGCCCTTGGGGATGTTCGTGATGGATTTCCATACTCCTGAGTCCTGACAAGGCCTCCCACCGCACACTGCCTGCACAGCAGATGAAGGAGACCCCACTGCCTACTCCGGCTTTGCTTCCTATTCAATGAACTCCATTACACTTGAGCCAAGCCAATATGTGGGTTTGCAACTCGTGGTCATCCAGCCCTTCTAGAGGGCCAACTCAACGTGATGGTTCACGGAACGTTTCACAGAAGAGCAAAAGTTCCATCACGTACTTATGCACCCCCGGCTGAAGTATATGCATCGGCGACATGCATATACGGACAGGGAAAGAGACCAGAATTTTGAGACTCCTGGGCCGAGCTTCAACTCTCTCGTAGTACCTCCCCAGCTTCGCGAGTCACACAAAAGGAGACAATAAGGCTCCCTGCAGTAAGCGCGGGCCCGTGAACATCTTACTTACATTTTCTGATGTATTCATCGTATTGAGATTAGTGTGTTGGTCTTTGCGTCCCGATCGTGGCATGTTCGTGGCCGATGAAGCGATGGAATAAGTTATCCGAGACTTTCCTTGGACGCGAAATACGAATGTGAAAGCTCACGCCTTTCCAAGGCCCCCCCCCTGTCTGCCCTTGTGATTGCTTTTCATCGGCAGTAATACGGGATGATGCGTGTCATCCTATCGCTCTAAATATTATTGGTTATTTATCGTCATTGGGAAATCCCTCCGTTCTTATTCGTTTCGCTTGTACATTATTTCTAAAGGTCGAGGAACCTTCGACCTTTTTGTTTCTTCTTCTTCCATGCAGATTCAGTCCTTCTGACGATTACACGGTACGACTATAACAAAGGAAAGGGTGCTTCGCCTAGACAGACAGACAGGGGTATTATGGCTTTGGGCGTCGTCTTGAAGATTGTTCTCGTTGGTCTGGGACTATACTTTCTCAGATCACGACTCCTTCAATTGAAGAATGGCAAGCAAGCACCGCTGCCCCCGGGGCCGAAACCAAGCTTTTTGGTTGGGAATCTGTCAGATCTCCCGAGAGACGGCGAGTTGGAGTTTATCCATTGGCTCAAGCACAAGGATCTATATGGTTCGTATAGAAATGCCCTTTCAACTCCGGCTCATACCAAGATGACGCCCTATATCTAATCTATTCGGGCCCAACAGGACCAATTAGTTCGGTGACTGTCATGGGCCAAACAATTGTCATTATCAATGAGGCTCGGATAGCATTTGAACTTCTGGAGAAGCGATCCTCCAAGCACTCGTCTCGACCAAAGCAGATTTTCGCTGGTGAAATGCATGTCTTCTTTTACTCCTAGTTTCATACGCCCTTATGAAAATACGAGGTACGAGATCTGACAAAAGTACCGCTTTACAGGATAGGCTGGGAAAACTCGCTTGGCGGGTCCCCGTACTCGAATCAATTTCGTGCGCATCGCAAGTACATGTCGCGTATCATTGGCTCCAAGAATGTTGCTGCGCAATTCAATGACTTGCAGGTGGTTGAAGTCGGTCATTTCTTATTGCGGGTGCTTGAGAACCCGGATGGTTTGGTTGAGCACATTCGAAAGTGAGTTTCGTCCGTTTTCTTTTGTGGTAGGATATCGATATCGATATCGATATCGATATCGATATCGTAGATCCGTGTCAGGGGCAGCTGTTAACTGTTGAATCTAGGGAAGCTGGAGCAGTTATCTTGAAGATTATCTATGGATACACCGTTGAACCGCATGACAAGGATGCTCTTGTAGATCTGATCGGTGAAGCTATGGACCAATTCGGTCAGGCGGCAGTTCCTGGAGCGTGGCTGGTGGACATCATGCCTTTCAGTGAGCATTCATGTATCAAAATACGGCATGTGGTGCAGAAGCTAATCCTAGCAGTGAGGCATCTGCCCGACTGGTTCCCTGGGACTGGATTCAAGCGTACAGCGGAGAAATGGAAGAACACATTGATTGAGACAGCTGACAAGCCATTTGCGTTCGTTAAGCACCAGATGGCACGCGGTCAGAATGAGATATCTTTTCTCTCGCGCCTGCTGGAGCAGGGAGATCTCAGCCCCGAGAACTCTCTGGTCAAGTGGTCTGCGTTGTCTCTCTATGCTGGTGGGGCAGATACTGTAAGTCTGCATTGAACAGATTCAACCCCATGTTGTCGATACAGGACTAACCCAGTCAGACCGTCTCATCTCTAGCATGGTTCTTCCTCGCCATGACCGTGTACCCAGAAGTGCAGCGGAAAGCGCAAGAGGAGATTGACCGAGTCATCGGCAGTGAAAGGCTCCCCGGATTCGAAGACCGAGAGAACCTGCCTTATATAGATGCGATCGTGAAAGAGATTCTCCGGTGGAACCCGGTTGGACCGATGGGACTGCCCCATATGACGACGGAGGATGATATTTACGAAGGATATCTCATCCCGAAAGGGGCAGTCATCCTTGCTAACATCTGGTCAGTACCCAGCCGTTTTATCACCCTGTCACACGCTGACTATCCTCTTCAGGTACTTCTGTCATGATCCCTCGATATACCATGACCCGATGGCTTTCAAACCCGAACGCTACCTCTCCCCAACCCCCGAGCCAGACCCTCACAGCCTCGCATTTGGATTCGGTCGTCGTGTCTGTCCCGGGCGGATCCTCGCAGAGAACTCACTGTACCTTAGCATCGTGCAATCCCTCGCTGTATTCAAGATCAGCAAAGCCGTCGATCAGACGGGCAAGGAAATCGACCCCGTCGTCAGCCCTCAAGCGGGAATCGTTTGCCATCCGAACCCGTTCAAGACGAATATCAAGCCGCGGAGCGAGAGGCACGAGACACTTATTCAATCCATAGAGCAGATCCATCCGTGGCAGGAGAGCGATGCGAATGTCCTGGAGGGAATCAAGATATTGAATTGATGTTGAATCTGGTTTATGGGAATAGAGTGTAAGGTATGGATGATAATTGGGTGGAGGGTTTGATTGTTTTGGATCTGGATACCTGGATAAGTACTTGGATAACATGGGACAGGTACATTTGGGGGACTAGAGTTTCATTGTACATACATACATTATCAGACTTAGGGGCCAGACCTCTAAGGAGTTCTCCTTTTTGGTCTAGTCGTGCAGTCGACTTCCGTCTACATATATAATAATGACATACATTCGCTCAGAGCCAGCAGTTGGCTGATTTGGATTTGGACTCTTTTAATCTGAGCTTATTTGCGGAGGAGTAACTAACGTATTGTATTAGCTATTTTGGGGGTGGCTTTGCGAGCAATCCCAGTAATTTAACGGGCTAGCTTATAAGCTATCTCAAAGGTGACTTTGCGAACATCTCAGCTTTCTTACAGATTTTTTTTTAGCAATGGCCTACAACATTAATTAGTTGTTACCACGGGACTCGCTTTTACACTTTTAGTATATAGAATCTATGCCTTGCGCGTCCTTTCGTCTAACGGCCTAATTTTATCAGATCCACTTCCGCGGACCTTAGATATGGCCCACGAGTGTACTGACGCGGCGTGGATTATTTCTCAGCTTAGCAACAACTGCTAATATTTTCTAGAAACCATTTTGATATATATTAGTCTTCTCGGAGTGAATTCCTTTTTTTTTTTTTTTTTTTTTTTTTTTTTTTTTTTTTTTTTTTTTTGCAACTGCTATCTATTCCAGCGGTTTCTCGCTATACTTTCCCACCATTCACCAACTCAAATATGCTGCATTTTAAATCTGCGGTGGCTCTGGGCATGGCTCTTGTGGCCTTGCCTGTCCAGGCGCAGCTATATAATAAGACCATCCAAACAACCTATGGACCTATTATGGGATTTAAATATTTCAATGAAAGTACATTAAGGACTTATTGGAACATTTCAAGTAGCAATGTGGCTGCCTTCCTGGGTATTCCCTATGCTGCAGACACGGGTTATGAGGTTTGTTCAATACTATAATTCGAGAGTCAGATACTAATATTGAATATAGAATCGTTGGAAGGCACCCCAGCCACGTGAGGCCTGGAATGACACTCTACTGGCAACGTCATTTGGGCCTCAATGTCCAACATCATACGCGACCGATTACAGTGAAGACTGTTTGAGCTTGAATATCTGGACCAACGCCCGCACATCTACCGATAAACTGCCTGTCATGGTGTGGAATCAGGGTAGTGAAGAAACGAGTGACAACCCCTGGTGGTATGGGGGCGGTTTGGCCCTGAAGGACGTTGTTGTAGTTACCTTCAACCGCCGTGACGATGCCTTCGGCTACTTGGCCCATCCGGAGCTCAACGCCGAGGGTCTCGCAGCTACTGGGCATAATACGTCAGGTAATTACGGTGTCCTCGACTTCCTCGAAGTGCTCAAATGGGTCCAGAAGAACATTGCCAATTTTGGAGGTGACCCTGATCGTACGTTTGTCTAAAACTCTCCAGTCATGAAAGATTTAGTACTAAAGGTTCTATTCTAGGTGTGACCATCGCTGGTCAATCTTTTGGGTCATCTCAGGTCTATCATGCTGTCAACAGTGAGCTGTTCAAAGGCTATTTTCATCGCGCTATTTCTGAATCTGGAATTCGGTATCCTTACGACACTCTGTTAGCGGGTTTGGCTACATCCTACGTTAACATGGATGAAGCACTTTTCCACGGTGTTAACTATACGAAGTTTCACAACGCAAGCTCAATTTCAGAGCTCCGAAAGCTCTCCACTGAAGAGTTACTAGTTGGTTCCGGTGACCGCGTCAATGGGACTTGGATCTGGTGGGTTACAGCACTTTCGTGTAACTACCCGCTTATCTTCAAGCCTGTTCTAGACGGATATGTGCTGCCCATGAAATACATCGAGCAGCTAACTGTGGGACCGGCGAATGATGTCCCTCTTATTACCGGAAACACCAAGGATGAAAGCGGCGCCACGCTTCCATTGAACGGTTACACTGTGGATGAATATGTGAACTACACCACTTTGAAGTATGGCAACCTGTCGGCTCGCTACCTCGAACTATACCCGCCTCTAAACAACGATACGCATGCCGACGAGGCTTGGAACGCTGCAGCACGCGATACCTCGCTTGTGAGCACGTGGTTGTACGCTAAGAAATGGGTGTTGTCTGCCTCCAGCCCTATTTACACATATTACTGGGACCATGCTCCTCCGGGTCAGGATGAGGGTGCCTTTCACCAGAGCGAGATTATGTACGCTCTCAACGCCCTCTACGCGAACGCTGACACATATCCATTCACAGCTGAGGATTACTATATCTCTGATGTTATGAGCGGATACTGGGCCAACTTTATCAGAACAGGAGAACCCAACACCGGCGGGGCGTTTGTGGGTGCTAACCTAACGCGCTGGTACCCGAATGATGCGGCTACCAAATATGTTATGCACCTTGGTAATGGTTGGGGTAATCACAGCATATCCCAGCCCGAAAGCGTTCAGTTCTTTGAGGACTACTTCGCGCAGCAGATTCCCTATTAGCATTTTGGAAGCTACGCGGTTAGGAAGGACGCTCCAGCTGTATATATTCGAATGGATACTATGTTTCCCTGATTCTATATTGTGTAAAAGTATCTCAAATTAGACCTTCCTTTACAAGGCAAGATGAACCGTGAAAAGGCGGGCAAAAATGTAATTGAAGATAAATGTAGATTACCCAGAGTCTAGCGCTCTTCACAGCTTCGGCCTATATGGAAGAGCGATGGATATAGGGATGCACCCTGCAGGATACCTGTTACAAACCCAGCAATATAGAAATGGGCATAACAAGATGAAACGCTGCGGGACCGCACGGCAAAATTGATCACCCATACATACATATACCAGCCTTCATCAGCACAAAGCAACCTCGACAGAATGAATGCACCGAAGCGACAAATAACATCCTTAGTTAGACTCTGGGCGCGATCAATGCTGCGCAACTCGTAACCATCAAAGATGACTATCCTTCCAGTCCTGAATTAGCTTGTCCTGATCCTCTAACTTAAGACCCATTTCAATTTTTCTGGCGTGGATAAGTCTGTATCTTTCCTCTACCAACGCCAGTGTGTCAGTTTTCATCTTCGCTATTTGTGCCTTGCACATTCCCAATAGGCGCTGTCCGTCCTTATGTAGAGAGAGCGACATTTCTGGCGAATGCAGTTCTCTAATTCTCCTTTTATCTTCGAGAGCAAACTCGTATCCTAGGCAAACTGGGCACGACTGGTCGGTCGCACAGCTGCCAAAAATATCGGGAAATCGTACACTCACTCCTCCGCATCCGGGACAAAACCAACCCAAGGTTCCGCAATTAGGGCAGCTTCCTTTGAAATAATGCTTGATTACGTCCCTAAATACTCCTGTCAATAAAGCATATCCCATGGTTACTTTCAGACGGTCACGATCCCGAGCAGAAGACATACCTTCCGTGAGGATTCACTATGAGGGAAACATCTGAAGAGTCGTCATTCGCATCTGCATTGGCAGAAACCATTGTTTTGAGAAATTCTTCAAGGTTATCCTCCTCGAGATCAGTAGAATGGTCTTTATAAAGACAATACCAGCTGTAGATGAAATTGCTGTTGTGGAGTTCTTCGTCCTCGACTACTTTTTCGGCTTTATCAATATAGTAGACTTTTGGGCCAGATAGTGTCCAGAAACCAGGAGATCCTGGAATATGCCAGTTGACCTTCTGCACTGTGATTGACGCTGCATTTGGGATAGCATTTGCGTTGTCTGTATGGTTAGGAGCAGACTTCACAAGCAGCATGTGTGCCTTCTTGGGTTTGTAGACGAGAATAAGGTCGCCCTTGTGGACGACTCCAGGGACCGTGGGTTGCGCCATGACTGATGAATTTCAAGTGTTTAAAACCAAGTTTGTGATAATAAGTTGTGTGGACTGAGAGATGTGAAAATGGAAAGAGAGTTATAATGTCCAGCGCAAGACCTAGGCAGCAGTCGGAGGTTCTGCCTCAGGTACTCTCGAGTGACGTCTCCTTGTCAGGTATAGTTAGTTCCCTAGATACCCATGGTACTAGAGAGGTCTAAATGCGAGTTTATTATCTTTAAACCTAAGTTTTTAAGCATTATTATTGGCCGGGACTATATTAAAATAAATTTAAATAAAATAGAAACAATTGCTAAATAAAAGAATAATAGTTGGCCTAGAGTTTTCAATAATTTATTGTTCCGGCAATTTCTTGTTAGTTATATATCTAGCTACTCTTCAGAGAGTCTGCAGAAGGCGTCTCTGAGGGGAGATAAAAGCTAGAGACGCTGGGGTCAGTCGAGGGTTAAGCGCTCTTATTGCCAGCGCCAGGAAGATGTGCAGGTGCAGTTGTTTCGAGATAAAAGTCACAGCGAACGCAAGGACTCTCGCAGTCAACTCGAGATTGCAGTTCGTTTCCCGATCGAATGTGTCACCGAAAGTGTAGATCGACCATGGTCATCTTAGATCTTAGCTCCTCCTCTATAGAGTCTCTCAGGCGTTGCAAACTTCAGCCAATTCCTCTAGCATATCAGATAATATTTCATTGCAAGAATTGAAGACGGTAATTGTAATCAATTTCTTCACTGCCCCGAGCACTACTTACTACTAGATATCCCATACAGAAACGGCGGTACTAGTTCTCATTTCAATCTATCGACTGTTCACAGCTGGCTGTATATCGTAACATTGGTTTTCTTCATCTCAACATTGTGTTTTCTACGCATATGTCCCCACCACTCCATACTTTCGTGACTCGCATTTTTTTTACCCAGTCACCACGACAGTTATAGCTCCATGAAGCTGTAATCTGAGCTCATGGCGATGTCGGATCAGATTACAAACCGATTCTTTCTCCAGCCTTTGTTCATTTGTACATTCTGGAAGGTAATTAGCCAATGCTCATACAAGAGATAACATAACCGAGGTAATCTACGTATATCAAAATTCAATATCCATTTGACAAGCGCAATCCTCTTCAAATTTAGTGTATTTATATCCGCTGGTGCGTGTTTCGGCTCGATAACCTATGCCGTTTAATATGTTCTGATGAGTTGAATGGGAACATTATAAATCTCCACTGCTTGTCGTATAGAGCGATATCTTTCTTTCTTTTTTTTTCAAATCAGACAATGCTAATTGGACTTACCCTGTTGTTCAGCCGAGTTTTTTTTTTTTTTTTCGGGTTTTATTTCGAATTGGTAACATATCGACGCGTCGATTTTTCTCGAATCAATAGGAACTGTCGGACGGAAATAGCTAGCTCCGCTTTTACCTTCAGGTTGTAGAGCCTTAGACTATTTCTTCTGAAGTGTAAATGATAGCGACTACATTGGGGATATTATGAGAATGTAGTACTTCAATCTGTGTTGTATATATTAAGCTTTAAGGCGTGACTTCCTCTCCTACAAAATTTAATAAAAGATAATGCCTTCAATAAAGAATATATATATATAGCTATAAAATAAGCTTATTTAAAACATCCTTTGTTTACGTTCTCTTTCCTCGCTTTCTCTTATTCGAACCAAAACGAAGATCGAGAAATTATATTCTAAGTATGCACTGAACTAAACCAAACCGAACCGAACGCATTATACCATATATCCGCAGCACGTGGATAGAAATTCAAAACAAACACACTACATAATAAATCCAGTTTGACGTTACGGATAGCATAAAACGAGAATACCAATAACTACTCATAAAATTCGCGTTTAGAAGACTCTAGATAAATTGGTTATGTTATTATTACGAGTAAGTATTCCGGGTTGTTGGAGGGCGGTTTTAAAATAGAAATTTCCGATGATCTTGTTCTTGGTTTTTCCTTGGCACGTCATACTTATCCCCGGTTTTTGTTCCTGCCGGAAACGTCTCGAAGGGTGGGATATACCATATACCTACCATAGGAAATCAGGATAAATGTGATGTATTGTAGTACCAATACCATACAGGCTGTATGATTATTTATGGTACTGCGACACGGGGAGTGGGACTTGTTCATGTTGGTTTCGTGTCCTGTTTACCGTATGGTAGAGTGTGTCAATCTTCATCGTCAATAAGGTTGTGTGCTATCTACTGTATTCTACATGTAAGTAGCAGGAAGTGCAAGCAAGTTACCGTACGTCTCGAGTGAAGATAGCCCGAGTGTACTTACTCTGGTCGTATCTATCTTGGTTATTGCATTCCTGGGTACTATGGTACAGTACATACTCTAGCAGTGGATTTCTCCTTGTAGTTCAGAGAATAGCAACCAGTACGTTAGTTGGTTAATGAGAATACTATTATGATGATCATGATATACCTACAAAGTAACTACTCCGTACAGCACCTTGAACCACGTCCGGCTAACTACCATACCATAACGAGCGAGTCGGCGGTCAGAGTAGCAGCCCAACTGACCGAGCCCACCAACAACGGTATGTTTCTCCGGAACACCACGCTCCGGTGTTCACTTACGAGTACGTGTAAGCAAGTGACTTCCTCAGCTTCAGCTTCAGCTCGGTTCGGCCTGGTGGCTAATAGATAGCTGGTGGTTGGGGTTGGGCTGTACAGGTGGACAGATGGCGATATATGACATCACAGCACATCCCGCGAAGATCAGCTGAGTTGGGCATCTTACAATGTTACCATACATAGTTACCTGTAGGACATACATACATTCTGGTTGGGCCTTACCGTACCTACCTACTACTAGTAGATCTAACTCGCGATGGCTGTGCATGTGGTAGGGTATAGTATGCTCTACCACGTGTAAAATGGAATTATGATAGCTAGAATTCTATCCTGGTTAGTTGTTGGTCTTTCGTCATATGTAGTATTCTAGGTAGTCATCATCATGATGGGGAGATGAATGAATCCGGAATGTGAGTCAGGCTGGGACTTCCCGTCCCTGTGAGTAGGTACCTTACCGCCTTGGTTTAGTACGAGCAACGAGCGAAATGCAAGAGAAAGAAGGATTTCGGATGTGAAGTAATAATAATAAGAAAACTAAGAAATGAAATATTATACTGACTCAAAATATATCTAAAAATCACTCATATATATATATATATATATATCATTCTATCTAATGATCTATCGCTCTGCAAGACGCGCTAGGTGGCTAGCTAACTAGGTAGCTTCAATGCATCCGAGTACATATATTGTCTGATAGAAATATTCTTAAAACCTCCTCGTATAAAGATACAGGGTGTAGTTAGTTGGGGTTTAGTTATATCGATATATCTATCGCTATAAACGGATACTAGTTATCTAAACTAGATAGTTAGACAGCAATACTCTATAAGCATCCTAGTTTTAAATATTATATATCACGATCATGGTATTATGCTATACCATACTACACTCCTCTAAATCGCGGACCGATCCGCTATCTACATTGACGAGGATTAATCATTATTCTGATTCGATCCGAGGATATTCTATCCATCTATGGACTACCTACCTAGGTAGGTAGTTAGCTAGAGAAGGGGGTAAATACTTCACTTCAACCAAGCGTGATTTATAACGTCATAATCGACAGGGATGTATTTGCTGTAGTTACTCTACGGTACTCTATGGTAGAGTGATTGATTATTAACTATCAGAAGACCTGGAACCGATTCATTGATTCAGCGAGCTGCTTGTATTATCAACTAAGTCGGAGTATAAAAAGAAAATCTCTCAGTCAGTCAAGCATCGATCGCCAAGCAATGCCCAGATATCCCCGCAGGGGCGTTGCGTTGCGTTGCGTTGCCATAACCTAACGCGCCTACATATATTGATGATCGTCAGTTCGGCTCGTTGCGTGGCGTACTTCTTCATGCGCGATGATGATGATGAGAGATATATTTTTGTATGTAGTTGTGGTTTCTGATTCCCGGGGTGTGGTGTGGTGTGTGTCAGGGGTTCCAAAAAAAAAGGGTCCGGGGTTGTCGGTTGTATTTACTACCTAGGTAAGGGCAAGGAAGGGACTTGATGGATGGTGGATGGGTGGAGAGATATCTAGACTACATGTCGGTGGAATTCTGCCTAAATTAATCGAGATGGAGGGCGCAGGCGCGTCGATCGGGATGTGCGTGATAAAGCGTGATAAACTATCTAGAGTAGAAAGAATACTGCTGACTCTATCATAATTATAATATACTGGCGATGATGATGATAGATAGATACGTATATATACTCTAGACTAGCAGCCGAATTAGCAACTACAGCTACAATGTATGGTATAGAAAGGCAACGCGAAGAATTTCGAGACTAGTCTAGCCGTTTGATCTTCCGGCTCCTACATGCCAAGTTGAAGACCAAGACATGTCTTAGGATTCTTGTCATGTATGTACTGTACGATCCTCTTGGCTCTTGGCTTCTTGGCCCGCATAGTCCATGTTTGATTTTGGTTTTATATATAGATGGCCAAGAGTAGACTACCGATTCTGCAGGAAGGACAAGACGGCCAAGAAGCTTGGAAGGCTTGTCGCGTTCAATAGTGAGCAGTACTATATGTTCTGGTCGTCATGACAGCTGGCGCGGAATCAATGCCGAGCATTCTTACTTTGTACGGCCGCATTGTTTTTTGTTTAGTGAGCTGTACGACTGTAAGTTCACTCGTTGACTAGTTGATGACTCGACAGAGACCAAGACGGTGCAACCAACAGTGGTCAGCGAGCATGATTCTTCTTCGTCCTCGAGGATCGCCTCCGGGGAGAAACTCGAAGTCATGATCGGCGACATGACGACGGACTGCAGCCGGAAGAGATTGTTAGCTAGCTAGATAGATAGATATCCTGACCTACTGACTGGAGTGCAATGATCATAACTAATAATACCATAGCATAGATACTCTAGTTAACTACGAGTAATGCTGTAAATAATAATAGAAAGCCATAAGCGACCTGAAATGACATGCAAGGCAGACTACCGTACCTATCTAGTAGTAGCGCCAGACTACACACAGAGCACTCTCTGCTACTTGACCCTACCCTCCCCGGGGCGGTCGACGAACTCCGTTCACATTGCCAGATGGAGCGTAGACTAGTCTACGGAGTACAGTAGTTTACCAGTGAGACTTGCTCGAACAGCTGCAGCAGCACGCGATCATCAGCGCGCGCTGGGGGGGGAACTGGTGAGATCGCAGTGGAGAGCTGGGTGCTGCAGGTCCTTTTTCGGTGTGGTTAGTTATGTGCGTGTTGGTTGCCCGGGGATGAAAAAACAGAAGCAATGACTGGATGGGAAGTTCAACTAGCTAAGTGGAGTTGAGAGACTTGACGGGCAGGGGGGGCAGAAAAAGAAGGAAGGGAGAAAATCCCTCATAGAAAAATAGTTCAAAGGGCCGATCTCTCTCTCTCTCCACCGTACCGCATCGAACCAAGATGGGCGGCTGTGAACTGCTGCACAATCAGATTGGAACAAGTCGCTTGTATTTCCCTCTGTTTTTTACCTTGCACTGAGAATGCATTCCATCGATTTTTTTTTTTTGCCTTTTCTCCACTGCCAGATCCCGTGTTTCTTTTCCAGAAGAAGTACGCCTGTTTGCTGTGCGTCTCTTCGAAGTTTGCACTAGACTCGATAGAGCAAATTACAGTTGAGAGAGCATTGGAGATAAGTTACAGCTGCCCGGACAAAAAGGGAAAGCCTACACAGAGAGAGCTTTGTTGATTCCGTCCTCCGTCGGTATGATTTTTTACTATGTACTGTATTAATTTTCTTACTACTTTACTACTCTGTACTACCAGTTTACACTATTTATGGCATATCCAAGAATTCTTGGCTGGCACATCATCAACCGAGGCGTCCAGTATTATTATTTGCGCTAGCTTGGCTGAGCAAGGCGCATCTCCACACTGTGCGCTTCCCAATAGGGGAACGCGACTTCAGGAGGTCGGAGAGTATGGAAGAAAAGAATATAGTTAGTAGTCGTCAGTAGCAACAGCAGCAGTAAGTAACTACCATGACAGTGAGAACGCGCGGAGATCTGCTCGTGTCATTCCCAATGTTGAATACGCTCGCATGCTGGACGGATGGCAGATAAGGAGGATCGAGTCATCATCTCAATGTCGTGGATCGGACCAGACGATCCATGCATCTAATAATTTTTGCTGCTGCACACAAGCAGAGCAGAACGTGGCCGGTCTCAAAGCTTATCGGTTGACCCCAGGACGGCGGGCAGAAAGAGGAAACACGCCTCGATTGGAGTCGATCGAATACGGAATAACTAATCTTATTCATATTATTATTCCGTGCAGGGGATAACTAGGGTTCTTTTTTGTTGACAATTAGATTATTATTGTATCGGAGTATCCGCAATTTATTGTTATGAATATTATTATGAGTATTATTATTATTATTATTTAACTGGAGTCTGGTGGTATGATTATTTCCCATTGCCGGTTTGTCGCTGGCGGCGTTTCAGGTCGCCCCAGGTTCATCCCCGGGTCACGGTCCTCGAGCCATGCACGCAGCACAAAACAGTAACAGTAGTAATTCTTCAAGTTTGCAAGCGCTGTCAGACATCTTGGCCGATGCTGGATTAGCGGGAATTTAATTGCTGCAGTCTTCTGTATCATGATTTGATTCTTCTTCTCCGTCTACCAGCAACAACTGAAAAAGAGAATTCGTGCTAGAGAAGAATCGTGCCGCGCCGGACCAACCTACCTGTTGCATTGCATCCTCCAACCTCGCGTCTACTACGGTGAGCGACGGTGTGTCTTCTTCGCGCTGCAACGTGACGCTTGTCGCTCTCCAGCCAGAGAGCGACCCGTGCGTCGGCATTGCTCTGTTCGGTTGAGGGAGCAGCGGCTAGCCAGGCTAGCTACTCTAGACTGCTCCGTAGTCGTAGGAATTTCCTCCAGTGCTCTCTCTAGGGCCCGAGCAGTTATTCCGCCTGGCTGACCACTGGTCGCCTTGTCTTTGGGGAAGATCCTTAGGGGCGGCAGCTCTGTTTTGGGGGGGGACGGTTTGGCCCTCTGGCGACTGGCTGCTGGTGGACAGGATGGATTTACTTGCTCCTTCCTAGTTAGTGAAGGCTACGTCAACTGATCGGGCGGCCGATGACCGGAGGGGAGAGTGAGGACGGAGTGTACATAGCTGGTTCATCAATAATCAAACCACACAGGTAGATAACTTGGTTCAACGAGGAGGATGAATCCAATTCGCAAATAGCGGTGCCTACATTCTTGCCTATGCCCATAATCTGGTAGCGAGGGTGGGTAGAGCAGGAAAAAAACGAAGGAAAAAAGGAAAACGGAAAAAGAGCCAAACCAAACCAAACCAAACCAAACGAGGAGGGGCTTTAACTTTCCAGCAGAGTCTCTCTCCCGTTCAGGTTCAGGCACGGTAAGATGAATCCACCAGTTTCTGCTGTCGCCGTCAAATCCGGCGTGCAGCCCGCCCTCCCTGGCTGGGAAGGATGGAAATCAAAGGAAAGTAATTTACGGGCGCAATACCAAGGCTGCTGCCGCCGTCATTTAATATTATTATTATTGTCTGCGCCCGCGGCGATTAAAACGGCGGTGCAGGACACGGGTAAGACGGTCACGGAACGGTAATTAATCAAGAATACATAATGATAAATGACGACGGTCGGCCTCATCCATCGGCTTTTTCATCATTGTGGTTGGATGATGACCAGATCGAAATGCGGAGGAGAGAAAAAGGCACAATCGAGGAAGAGAGTAGTACATAGTAGAAAGAAACACCACAACACCATTTATCTCATCTCATCTCGTACCACGTAGTTAGTTAGCAGAAGTTACTTAGGATCATAGTCCATCATCCTCTGCATGTCCTCCACTTGCTAAATTAATTACCCTGATCCCGTAGGATCGTCCTCAGCAGCCTCATGTTATATTATTATTGCGTTCCTCTCTCTCGTCTCGTTCTGCGTGGCTGCATCGCATTCGCAGCGACCATCTACCTAGTTACTGGGCAAACTGACCAAACCGAAAAAAGCCGCAACAGCCTGTCCACCAGTTCTCTACCAGAACCTCCGGGAACTAAATAATTATTTACTCCATATTAATTAATTATTATTCTCTGATTCCTTCACGGCCAGAAACTAATCAAGTTAACTAACTACTGCTTTGCTTCCCCCACCCTGTGCCTCGGTGGGCGAGCCAAGCATTCGTCGTTGCTGGAACGGCCGTGAAAAAAAATAAAAAACCAAACCGCCCTCTTTCGGTGTGGCGTGGCGACGCCGGTCTTCCGCGCCCCATCCAAACGAACGAACCCTGAGCGGCCCCCGTTTTCAACTGCCTCATACTTCCCTTGCGACGACTCCTTCTGCTTCTTTTCTAATTTACTACTTGCTCCTCTCTGGGACTGCCACCTCAAACCAACGTGGGTGCTGCTCATCCCATTCCTGCGGCTTTCCTGCTCGTTCCTCTTCACATAACGGTCGCCTTGTCCTTTCCTTGGCCTTGCCTCTCTCATCTTTCTCTTCCTTTCTTCAATCTATATCTTCCTCATCCCACTTGTCTCGTGTCTCAAGATGTACTCTTCTATATTATGACCAGCTGGGTCCTTCTACAGGACAATTTCCGCCGTCTTTCCTTGAGGGATTTGATCGGCAATCGTATTCGGAGTCGTCTTCTCGATTCCCACGATACGAGTCTGTGCGATCATACCGGCCAGGGAATCTATTCACTGCCAAGCAGTTGGTCGTGAACCTGGCGCATATCCCTTGAATATCGATACTCGTCTTTTAATAACAAAGAAGAAAAGAAAAACTATCCCTTCCCATACTCGACTTCTAGTCGTACGACCTTGTGTCTTCCTGCTACCGGATTCTCGTGTCACCGACTGAACATAAGAACCTCTCGACCTCGTGTCTCATATCCGTTCCTGGAGGATGTCGCATCGCCACGGTGAGGACCGCCCTCGTGGGCCGTCGCTGCAGAACGTGCTGAGGATGCTGCTGTCGTCCAACCGCCCGACCGTCCCCGCCAGTGAGGATAACGACCTGGTGGAGGACGTCGACGAACCTCCGGATAATCGTTTACACCAGTCTCCATACTCGCAACACCCGCCCTCCGACCCCGTCTACGTCAAGTCGCCCACCGTCGTGACGGACAACCGCAAGGAATCCCTGCTCACGCGGGCCTTGATGGGCAGCCCTGATCTGTCTGCCTCTGCTCATGATAGTCACTACAACTACTACCTGCACAGCAGCAACATCAGCGGCCCGTCGACGGCGGAACTCACCAGCGATGGGGATCTCACGAGCCCCGCGCTGTCCAACGCCTCCAGCCCTCCTTTGCCTTCTCACTTCACGGGCCTGCAACCGACCATAATCGATGGCACTGCTCCCCCTAAGACCGGTGGTGAATCCGTGGTCGAAGCCAGCCTGGGACGCAAGCGTTGTATCAGCTTCGCTTGTGGCCGCAAGCCGACTGATGACAAGTCCGCAGAGCCGACGAAGCCTCAGCCTCAGACTCAGCCTCAACCCAAGGCTGACAGCCAGCCAGCGGAGCCTCCCAAGCGAAAGTGTGCCCTGACCTTCGCCTGTCCTACACGCTCTCACGAAACGAGAAGACAGCGGTCGTCCAGTCGCACAACCTCGTTGAGGTCGCGCCCTCGCCCCTCGCCCGCTCCTACCATGCGTCGCGCCCAGACCGACCCCGACATGTCACAGTCGCGTGGTCGCGTCCCGCCGTCTCCCAAGGCCGAGCGAAAACAGAGAGGAATCCCCACGAGCGGTCTTGGCGGGTTCGAGCCCTCGGAGGAGACTCGCTTCCACGAATTTGCCAGCTCAGAGGAGGAGGTCGACGAATGGGTCAAGAAGGACACCCCGCATGGAGAGAAGATCACGCTGAACGATTGCCTGCGTAAGGAGAACGCCATCCGGAAGCTGGGTGAGGAGGCGGAAGCGGAAGCCCTGCAGGACGAAGAGGATGAAGCAGAGGCTGAGGACGAGGAAATGGACGACGATGACACCGTCCATGACTTCTCCTCTGACGACGATGACGGAAACGAGTCGGACAACGAGGCAGGTTTCGCTGATTCCGACGACGACAGCGACTGCGGTTCCGAATACCGATTCTGGGCTCCCTCGACCACGACCGCAGCCACGAGTGCTGACAACCTGGATCTCGTGCGCCAGGCGGCCGAGAGGAGGAACTCCAACACCTCTCTCGAATCTCTGAGGCAGGAGGAATACCAGAAGTGGCTGCCGGCACCTGCTGTACGCGAGAAAGGACGAAGACCCTCCAAGCCCGTCAAGATGCGTCCTGGCACGCCCAGTCTCCCGGACAGCACAGATTTCGTCTGTGGAACTCTGGATGAGGATCGTCCGCTCGAGGCCGCCTACAAGTCCTGTCTGGAACAGCGTCGTCTGTCGAAACACGTCCCCATTCCTCAGGATATTGATCCCAGCTTCCCCACGACCGATCCGGAAGACAATGAGGACGATTTCGACGACGAGGACGATCTGAGAGACGTCGAGGAGGACACGGCCAAGATCAAGCAGCAGCTGGTTGGGTTAGACGAAGAGTCTCTTCGGGGCAGACAGCGTAACACTACCCGGAAGATGTCGCCTCGTCTCTCCCCCAGGCGGCCGCCCTCACCGGCTCCTCGCGCGCTTGGACATTCGCCCAAGCGGGTTTCACCCAAGCGTCTCAGATCGCCGGCTCCGCCTCCCCGAATCAAGTCCCCTGCCCCCATCTCCAAGCGGATGGACATGGACGACGTGTCCCACGCCCAGATGAATGGGGTGAACATCACCGGCTTGGTCCAGCGCCCATACCGCGCCCGCACCAAGTCGCTTCCGCGCACTCCCAACCCTTTCTTCACCAGCCTGGAGAATGCCCACAAAATGAATGAACTCTTGTCTTCTGCACGTGACGCTTCCCGGCCCGTCGAGATGCATAATCGTGGGCCCATCGACATTGTCGAGGGTCTGGAAAAGAAGCGTCAGAAGCGCAAGGAAAAATACTGGCGCCAACACTGCCGCAAAGCTGCCAAAGAGCAGATGGAGCGGCGGCCTCTCCCTGGAAAGGGGGCCGAACGGATGAAGGAGCTTGGCCTCGAAGTTGCTGAGAGGTTCAGAGCATACGGCGTTGGCCAGGACGCCCAGCTCGTCCTATCTGTTTGAAGCCCCAAAATTCTTTCCATGGGTTTACCCTGAATATACACTTTATTAAACTTCTCGAAGTCTTCTGTTCTACTTTCTCTCTTCGACCACCCCCCAATTCTTGTACATATTTTACGTTTCCTTACAAGGGATCTATCTTCCTTGATGGAAAAGAACGCACCCGTGTGTGCCCGAAATGACCTTCCATTCCGTGACTCTCCTGGTTGTTCCCAGTCAACTACGTTTCGTTTGTCGAGATCCCTGTACCAACGGAGGCTCATCTGGTCTGCATTTAAGCGCGGCGGTCGCTATATACTTTGTTATCAAGAAGACTTTTTAACTTGAACTTGCTTTATGAGTAACGATGTTGTTCTTTCTCTCTCTTGTGATTCTGATTGATGCGCGGGCGGTTCAGGGACAGGAGCATATACCCCCCCTGGTTTTCTTGCTTTGTAGATAGGCCGCTAAGCGACCGAAGGAGTGCAGGAGAAATTGAAAAGATTCCATCTGATAACTTTGGCGTCTCGCAATGAAGGGAATCGTCGTAGTATTCAGTAGACATTGTGGTAGTAAATCGTGATTCCTTGGTTGCCACTGGGGGAGTCGCGTGGTCTCTCGGTCAGGCTCGCCTAGGAAAGGCAAGCGAGCTGCCAGCGCCCCGATCGGGATCAGGACAAGTTCCGGGGTCTCGACAACGGAACCACCACCAAGACAAACCCATCTCACTCCCTTCGACTCGTCCAATTCCGACCCGTCCTCTGCTGCTCGTTCTTCCAGAAGTTTTTGTACTCGATTCCACCATGTGGATTATCAACTGGTGTAAGTTCGCTCTCGTTTCTGTGTGTTTTTCTTTTGCCCTTCGTTGGCTTTCAGCTACGGGCCAGATCACATCATAATCATCAAGGCATCGTCACAACGTCACTTGTCGGACATTACTCCAGCCTGCACACAGGATGTCCTGGCTTTTTCTATATACTACGTGAATAATATGCTGATTTGTAACGTGTGTGTGTTGGTCGATTGCAGTCTACGATATCCTGGCCTCCCTTGGTCTGCTCAACAAACATGCCAAGCTTCTATTCCTCGGTCTGGATAATGCGGGAAAGACGACGTTGTTGCACATGTTGAAGGTGAGTTTTGGCTTGATGGAAATCGATTCATGATGGAAAGATTAGGAATGGGATGGTGTGGTGTGGTGTTTGAAGGGGGATTGTTTGGAGTCGTGCGATGGGGTGGGATAGCCAAGCTGGCTGGCCATGAGGGTGGAAGATCGCAGAGATCGCAGGTTGGCGGCGCGTATTTGGGGATAAGATTATTGGGGACAGGACAGATATCAAAGAGACGAGGGACCCGGCTGACGTATCTGATTCTGTTAGAATGACCGAGTGGCTATTCTGCAACCGACTGCTCACCCCAGTACGTTCTGATTCCGTCACCGCCCGTTGCGCGAGAATGCAGTCGTAAATGCGATCGATCTGCTGACTTGAACAGCATCGGAGGAGCTTGCCATTGGTAACAACCGCTTCACGACTTTCGACCTCGGTGGTCACCAGCAGGGTGAGTGATGAGATGCATTCCGACGGGTCTGGTCATGATAAGGAACGAGGAATGTTGATGTTGACTGTACTTTTTTTCTTTCTTTCCAGCTCGTCGTCTCTGGAAGGACTACTTCCCCGAAGTGAGCGGTATCGTTTTCCTGGTCGACGCCAAGGACCACGAGCGTTTCCCCGAGTCCAAGGCCGAGCTTGATGCTCTCCTGGCCATGGAGGACCTCGCCAAGGTTCCTTTCCTGATCCTCGGAAACAAGATCGACCACCCCGATGCCGTCAGCGAGGACGAGCTCAGACACCAGCTCGGTCTGTACCAGACGACAGGAAAGGGCAAGGTGCCGCTCGAGGGCATCCGGCCCATTGAGCTGTTCATGTGCAGTGTCGTCATGAGACAGGGTATGTCTACATCGAGGATACAACAAAGAACTGTTTGCTGATGCTGATTCTTGTACAGGCTACGGTGAAGGTATCAGATGGCTGTCCCAATACGTGTAAAGCCCCAGCCGCCGTTATATCCGCTGCTACCCTTTTATCCCTCGGTCGCCGGAGGATATGGCATATGACACGCAATCTGAGTCTTTGAGTTCAGCCAAAAGCACTTGAATAATTGACGAGGTCCTGAAGACACACTTCCTATGAATCCCACCATCACCATCCATCACTACCAACACCATGTAACTTCCCGCCACCCCTGCATCCCTCCCCGGCGCTCAAAGCGCTTATAGGTACTACGATACCGACTTCCCTCATCCCTTTTGCTTAATTGGCGCTCCAGATTTCTTTTTTTCCCAACTTTGATAGCTTGTCAAGAGTTTAATATCTGTTATTTATCTTGAGTCAGACCTTTCGTAGATTGGCTTAGTCTTATTTTTTAGGGGATCCGTAGAATCGTCGGCAAGTCTGATATTACTCTACTCTGTCTGGGTGGGTATTGCTCTTTTTTGCTATATGATTCACGATATATGAAGTAGATTATAATCATGATCATTCTTGCGTATAAAATGAACCATTGTATTATACTAGCAGTGATTAATAGTATCGTTAATCGTAGGAATCCTCCTTAGCTCATTCTGATTATGTCTTTCTAGTTCTAGATTGTTATTTCTTCTCTATTTTAGTTTACATTTCCAATTAAACTAGTATCTATTATCTCAATTGATAGATATATTTTAAATCAGAAGAAAAGAAAAGATAAAAATGCAGATTCTCATTTAATGAATTTGATTTGCTTTTCTTGGCTTTCCTAGGTAGGTAGATAGGTTTTATCTCCTGTCTGTCTAGTTCAAATTGATTTAATTCAATTGTATTGTATTGTATTCCGTCCATTTTACCCTATTGTGGCTTTTGTCTGTTTGTTTGTTTGTCTGTTTATCTGTCTGTTTGTTGGCTTTATCTTTCGACCGCGTCGGGCTTTCTTCAAGGATCGAGTGTATGTATTAAGGAATATGTGTGAATAGTAGTAAGTGGTAGATAGATAATGTTTGTTTGTCGTTGGTGTTGCTGTTTTTTTGCTCTGGACAAGATAATGATAATGATAAAACGCACCTGTTACACAGAAAAAAAAAAAAAGAATACATGAGACAACAGACCTCATAATAATAATTAACTAAGAAATGCTGAACCTGGATTTGTTATCAAAGACATAGAGGAGGCTGAAATACAATCGAGGACACAAAAGATAAAAAACTTAAAACACCATTTGAGATATTCAGTCAGACCAACAGATAACTAGTAGACTGGTTGGTACACATGAAAAGATCAAAAGAAAAGAAAAGAGAGGTCTCGATTAACATGTGGATAGGAAGAGAAGAGAGAGAAGACGATCTGTCGTCTGGATGTACCTGATTCCATTGCCATTGCCATTGCCATTGCCCTATCAGTTTATCACCCTTCCCGTATTTGACTCCCAAAGAGTATGAAATTAAGACATCCCGCATCATCCGACCAATGCAGGTCCTCATCCGCGCACATAGGAATGGAAAGAAGATAGCCCAATCATTAGCCGTACAGAGTTGGAAAAAAAAAAGAAACAAACAAACCAAAGAGTACTGCATTGAAGAATAATCTCCATCTCTCCGGGTTATCCCGCAGAGACCTTCCTCTTCCCGCCAGAACGTAGTCCGGCTCCTGCTTTTCCCTTTCTCTCTCATTCGAATTGCACATTCTCTGTCATGACATGCATACTTTACCGGGCATTATTCGGGCAGGTTCTAAGTACGTATGCAATTTTTTTTGCATGCTCTGATCAAGGAACGAAGTGAGTAGGAAGCAAACCCTCGGCGTTTCTGGAAGACAAGAATTTGTCGTTGCAGATTTCGCGTTACACTTGACATGAATATTGAAGTAAACGGAGATAAACAGACATGCGCAGTCCGCCGCTCCCCCTTCCCCCGCGAGAGGAACTCGGGACAACAAGAAAAGAAAAAGACGAATTAATGGCCTGCGGGACGCAGACGGTACCTTCCGGAACAGTATCAACAGTTCAGCTCAGCTCAGCTCAGATATGCGCAAAGTCTCCTGGGGAAAATATCGGTGGCACGCGTGGTAAAACTCTCTCTCGCTCCGACGGGTTGTGGATTGGATAAACGGATTGACGGCGGATTGGGTGGCGAGAATGATCCTCGGCGTCGCTATGGTCTTGGTCTCTGTCGCGTTGTTTGCATCGAAAAATGGTATTTATCTCCGCCCGAACCTGCTGTACATGGAAAAGCTCGTATGATTCCTTTTTTACTTCTTTTTCTGCTTTCGCGGAGGAGTGGTGGGTCTGCCAGTGTTCATGCCCCCGTAAACGTACTTTTGTTTCTTCTCGGCTGGTTTCAAGATCTAATAGGAAACGGTTCATGTCAGAGATTGCATCCAAACAAAATGTCAGACGACAGATTAGGAAACCTACCTGGAATGAACAGAGTAGACTCTCGTCTACACTCATCATAGCACCTGCATTATCGAATTCACCGCAGTAGTTCGGAGCGCTGAACAGCGTGACGAGCTGTCTCTTCGAGAAAAATTCGTATCCGTCTTCGACGACTTGGTGCGCGCGACATATGAGATCCATGTCATGCTTCTGTAGGAAACGTGACACGACGTCGGGTCCGAACGTAAATGATACACCGCGGTCGTTTTCGCTCCAGCCGGTGATGTCCTTGTCGGGATCCGACCACAGGAGATCACAGAGGAGACCGCAATCGGGGATCTATTAGTGGTCAGCGAATAAACCTTGAGCTTCAGGGAGCTCCAAAAAAAGAAGATTTGTCGTCAATGAACACGGGCACCTCCGTGCACCCAGGCAGCGCGCACGGGGCGGGAAACGAGGTCTACTCACATCAGTGGGACGCATAACGCGACGGATCTGCTCCATCGAGTTCAGGTCCGGACTCAAACCACCGTGCATCGTGAAGATCTTCTCATCAATGATAGCGGCGATGGGAAGGCAGTTGAAGCAATCAGTGAACGTCTTCCAGAGCTTGATGTTGTATCTGCGCTTGCACTCATCATAGAACCCATAGATACGGTTAATCGAGGCACACTCGTGGTTACCGCGGAGGATGAAGAAGTTCTCCGGGTATTTGATCTTGTATGCGAGCAGGAGGCAAATGGTCTCGAGCGACTGCTTTCCTCGGTCGACATAGTCGCCTAGGAAGAGATAGTTGGCTTCAGGCGGGAAGCCTCCATACTCAAAGAGACGCAGCAGGTCGTAGTACTGTCCGTGGATATCACCGCAGATCTAAGCCGCCAGATATTAGTCATCGTTTCATAACATCATACGACCTGCACGGGACCGCTGGAACAAATAAATTACCTTAATTGGCGCCTCCAATTCCAGAAGAATCGGCTGAGAGATGAAAATCTCCCTGGCCTTGGTGCAGAGATGGCGAATCTCCGATTCAAGAAGCTGGACCTGCTTGCCCGGCCGGCTGCCCCTCACCTCAAGTAGTCTATCGATGATGGAGTCCAAATCCACTTCACCCTGGTCAGCCATGGCTTGCTGCCTCGAATCAAAAGCGACTCAACAAGAGAGGATAGCGGGAAAGAAAGGTTGTCGCAAATGGACGAAGAGAGAGGAGGGGGGGGGGGAGAACGAAGGCGGAAGTCAGGCTTCCGGAGGGCTCGGTAGTGTCGCTTTTTTTTCTGTCGAGGAACTAAAGACACAATCTATAAAAGACTCTGCAGAGATCACGATAAAAAATCAGTAATTAGGACACAAAAATCCAGCTCATCATGAAGCGTTGCGCCGGAGAGAAAAAAAAAAAAGAAAAAAAGAAAAAAATCTCGACGCGCCGTGGACGCGACCAAGATAGGGATGCGGTGAAGATCTCACACGATTCCCAAGATCTCCTGCCGCAAAAAAAAGATCCGACAAAGAGGGACAGGCCCAACGGCCTCAGAATCCAAGCTCTGGCACGAATGCCAGAGGACGAAGAGGTGTAGCACCCAGTAACGGACGGGTTGGTGGCCGGTGCGAGATGGCGATGGGGGTGATGCGGCTCCCGCAGGTTTGGATGACGCCTCTGATGCACAAGCGGGCCGAAACCTGAGAAAAAGGTGGGAGCTGGAAAACGGCGCCTGAGAGTCCCTGAAGACTCGTGGGATGGACCGGCGATGGACGCGACAAGGGAGATGGCGGACGGGTGTCTGCTGTTGCTCTGGATGAACGGTGTTGTGAGGGTTGAAGAGAATGCTCAAGCTTGCAGAGCGCGGTGGCGGGGAAAGGGGATTTGTTGGGCGAGAATCAAGGGGATCCTTAATTTTTTAGGGCCAAAGGGATCTGAGACCACCGAAGGCAGGCTGACGACGACGAGACACTGGCAGCAGGAAAATTCGATGCTCGATTGCTGGATGAGGAGGGAGGGGGGGAAGACCAACAGGTTCTGCAGGAAGAGGGCAGGATGAGATGTTGTTCGATGGTGGTGAGAAGTGAAAGGCCCCGGGGCGGTGGTGGTACGGGGTTTCAAAGTGAACGGTTGCCGAGAGAGTTGTGGGAGAGAGAGAGAAAAACAGCAGAGAAGGTAATTAATTAATGAACTAGTTCAAGCTCCCGCTGGGAATGCAGCAGCAGCAAGGAATTTGACGGTCATAATATTATTATGATATTATTTATTATTATATTATTATTATCATTAGTTAAATAATATTGAATAACTCGAGCATGTTACAAAGAACCCACGAATTATTATTATTATGACCAAACTTCACTGTCGACAACGCAACGACTCTCTGATCGAGACCTTTTCGTTTTTATTTATTTAAAGAAACCCTTTCCACTCTTGCCCATCCGATCCCGCCGCGTCCCGTAAGTTACCCGTTTTCCTCTCCTGCGTGTCCCACTGTCGCACATCAATCAATCCATCCATCAATCAATCATCCCCTCCCTTCTCTCCCTTCTCTAGTTCTTCCTCTTCACAATAATACCTGAAATCCTCGATCCTGTTCCTCATGTAATATTACTCTTCTTCTCTACTCTCATAGTCCCCTTCTGCCTCAACCGTGCGGCGGTAAGCAACACGCTAGCACCATGCTGCCCTGGCCACTCTGAAGCTCTAGATTCTCCTCTTCCAGATATTCCTCGCCCCTCGTTGGGTCGGCAGCAGGGCTGGACGCGCGATAAACCCCCTCAGGAACGGTCTGGTAATCGCCCCAGAACGGCGCCAGCTTGGCCTCAGACCCCTCCCTCGGAGGCTTTCTCCAAAACAAGCCCAAAACGGAGCCCTACATCAGTAGTTGCAGGAAACTTTCCCACTCTATCCAGACAGCCTCTCTCATCGACTGGATCTCATGAGCCTCGACGCGCCGGCGGACCGAAATCGCGTGTACTCGGGTGTACCTACAGCAGATCTTACGGCCGGAACTCTACCCGGGTAGTCTCAAAAGTTCATCAAAATTCTCATTGCTCATACATTACCGCCCAGCTCGTACGTAGTCTGGGCTTCAATATCGAAAGCATATACACAGGGGACATCGCGGAAGAACTTAACTGGCGAGAAAACCCGAAATGCTGTGGCAGGGACGGAGAATCATTATAAACGGGCTGAACGCGGAATCAGAAGCACCAGGCAAGGGCAGAGAATCAAAAAGGCGTCTAACGCGAAAATCCCAACGCCAACCGTCTCGAGTCGGATATCGTACAAGTAAGCAGGTCTAAGAGGAAGGCAGATATCGTGAACGATACCCCGTAGAATGTAGTAGACTCGACGGCAAAAACAAAGACAACAGGAGGGGAAAGGGACATACAAAAATCATAACAACACACCACCCACTGATATCTGAAAAATCCGGGATAACGCCTCTTGACATGCAGATGAAATGATACAGAAAACGTCAGGCATACTGCGGCGAGGAGAGAAGATTCGTGTAAATGCCGTAAATCGAGGGTTGAAAGACATAGCCACCGTGTCAGACATCTTTTTCTGAAAGGATATTTTTTTTTTCCAAAAACGGCCCCGGTCCGGATGCAATTTTGCACAAAAGCCAATCGTGCATGGTCGACCACCCAAAGAATAGAGAAAAAAAGATAAAAGGGGTATTTTAAGCGGTCAAATCTTCGACTCCCAAGGCATATTTACCTCAGGACTCGGAGGTGAGAAATGAAGAAAGCGCTTCACAATGATCACGCAGTTTAGACATTCAAGGCATGTTAGCCTAGAGCACGTCCTCCGCTAACCATCACCTGGCTTCCTGCTCTCACAGCGCTACCGGGCTGTAAAACCGGTGAGCTGTTGAGACTGGAGCCAGTACGAGGCACGCGGACATCCTTCGGGTCCCAGGATTCGTCTCCCAACACGGCAAGCCAGCCACTCCCAATCTCCTGCTTAAGAGCCTCCAACCTCTGTCGGTAGGCATCTCCATCCACGTTCAGGTCCATATCATGGACAATGGGCAGGAGTGGATGACCGCCTTTTGCGTCGCGTGTGGGCGAATCGGGAGTTTGGATAGGTCGCTTCAGAGAATCCTGGATCGAATGACTGGAATTGGGCACTGTCTTCCGTGAACCCTCATCACGAGGGATATCAATAAATGGATCAGTCATGTTTGGACTTTGTCTGGTGACAAGGTCAACACCGTCTGTACTACCGAGATCTCTAGCTGGGTGAGATTGTTCGCCGGTAAGATCCACTCGACGCCGCTGACCTTTCCGCCGACGACCAGAGCCAACTCTTTGCAGTGGATTGGACTCTGCTCGACTTTTAGTCTCCTGTTTCTGTAGGGTTTGAACGACCGTCGGAGCGGGCCTGGTCACGGCCACATGTTCGCCTTGGAATGCCGGTCGTACAACAGGAGCTCCTTCTGGTTCGGCTGCACGCTCCACAAGTTGTTTCCTTTCCGTATAGCCAGGGCCCGTGGCATCGATGATGACGTCTTCGGAATACCCCGGTGTTCTGCGGAAGAGGTTGAATATGGTCACCCGGTAACCAGAATGCGTCTTCGTGAACGGGTTGCCAGACACCCAAATCTCCCGTATTTCAGGCAGACCAGTCAGTCTGGCAAGTTCCGTGGGGTCTGACAGCTGGTTGTCACGGAGGTCCAATCTTTCTAGAGACAAGAGTCTTTCAATGCCGGCAAGAGATTGAAGGCGGTTTCCACGAAGGTTCAGGGCAGTAATGGCAGGGAGCGGAGTTTTAGACAGGGAGTGAAGGGAGGCGATCATGCAGTTGGAAAGATTGAGTGCTCTCAAAGAGGCTAGAGAAGCCAGACTGTCAGGAACCTCAGTAAAGAGGTTGGAAGAAAGATCCAGCGAGTGGAGCGTGTTAGCCACCGGGGCCAGGCTAGTCGCACTGATGGACATGAGGGAGTTGTCCGCCAGACTGAGATGACGGAGGAATCTCCATTTTGAGGGCGGGAGGAAGCCGGCCGACAAGTTCGATGAACTAGTGTTTCGATATCCAGTCGATGCCTCGCTCGAGTTTGAGCTACCAGAACCGGACCTTCTAATCTTCGAGGAAGTCCCACGAGAATGGCGGTATCCCACATGCTTCGAAGTCTGCGGGCGGGTTGGCGAGATGCTACCGGTGCGAGTATGGCCCCTTATACCGTCAGATGCGCCTCGGATCATGGGGGTTGCTTGGGGACTGGTGCTCGTGCCAAAGCCCGTGTCGGGGGTGGGGGAACCAGGGGCTGAAGCCGACTTCGACGTTTCCGATCTATGAACAGGCTGGGGATTAGCACTGCTGGACCATCCGAGCGCCGGCGACGGTTGGGCCTTGGAGGAACGTCTTCGTCGCTTATCGATATCATCGAGGACGATGCCTGTCAGGAGATCTGCTGGGTCGTCCAGGTTGGCCCGTTTCACCGTCAGAGTGCGCAGTTGCTCGGAGATCCGATCCCAACCGTAGAAAGACCGGAAATCTATATCAATAATCTCTAAGGAGCTTAGGTTCTTGAAGGAATGGAGAGGCACGGCGGTGTCAAAGGGAAACTCCTCATAACCACGGATGAGGCGGGCCCGGTGGTCTGGCGCCAGACGCAGGCATGGGATCTTAGTAAAAGCAGAGTAGAGATACTTCAAGTCAGCCTCCAGGGCCGCCTTGGCTTTTTCAGACTTGGAAGAATCTTTGGAGCCCAGTCCAAATGACGACCATAGGGCACTCATACCAGACATGACACTACGGACACTTGATACTGAGTGGATCGAGTCTCTATCGCCTTTGGACCGTTGGGGCTTGTTTAGGAAGGAGACATAGGAGGCTGAGGTGTCAGAATGTATGTTCTCCAGTCTGACACTCATAGGGCCCACGGGGATCCCGAGATCCTCGAAACGGGAGAGAAGGTAGAAAAGGTGGTGTGGAGTGAGGGTCAACTTGGCCGGCTTTATACTATGGGAGACAAAGCCCAATGCTCCAATGGACAATGCCGTGGCCAGGGTAGAGGAGGAAAAGGAACCACTTGAAGTGGACGGAGATGTCGCCAACGAACGGGAAGCCTGTCCATTTTTGGTCGATGACTGACGCCTCAGCTGCAGTGCATTGGCCAAAGCCTTCTCATGAGTTCGTACGAAGCTGGCGAGATTCTGTAGCCGTAGAAAGGAGATTAGATCTGTTATCCGTGCAGACAAGAGAACAACGCAAGATGCGAGGGAATGGAAGGATCGTCTGGACGGACCTTGATGAAGAGCTGTCCATCTTCAGTGTTTAGTTTCTCCATCACGACGTCCGTTTCACCAACGAAGCCAGCGGGTCAGGAGAACTCCGAAGAAGGGCGCTCAAGCGATAACAGGTATCGACATTTTTGCTGACACCTCGAGAAAGGAAGATCGAATGCGACGACGCGATCTGTAACACGAACGGAGAGATATTTAGCAGTCTGACTTGACTATTGTTTCTTCCTCCCCCTTTTTTTTTCCTTGTATTTCCCAGAAGATCCCCCACCCAAACACCGTGAGGGGTGGTCTTGACAGTGAACGAGTCAAACGATAGCGGGGAGTATTACCTGCGATACTTATACGGATGCGTCGTTTGGAAGAGGTCCACGGGGACAGAAATGACAAGGAAGAACCCGTGTACGTGTCGCCTGGACAGATCCTGAAGAGAATATTCCTGATGACCGGGTGGCTCGCGGTGGCTTGGGCGTCGAATCACCGGAGGACGCCTGCGAAACCGGGCAAGAAAAGTAGTTCGTCGTGATGCGAAAGGGGTCGCTGCCTGGAGGGCGAAGCTGAAGATGAAGATTGAAGACGAAGGGGAGGAAGTAGCACAACAAGAAAGACAGTGAGGATATGCAGGAGAAGACCAGAGTGTTTCACTCTAATAGAAGCAGCAGCAGCAGCGATAGGGAACCCGCTGCAGGGACGGAGGAACGATGTTGTTATTATTCCTGGGATCTACTTAGTACGGCCGCCTAGTGAGTTCTGCTGGAGGGCGACCGGTGGAGGGGCCGCTTAGCTCCCCGAGGGCGTCCCGTGCGAGTTGAACTACTGGCGAGTCTAGCTTTCGCCGGCAGCTTTGGATGCTTTGGATGCTTTGGATGGCTTTGGATGGCTTTGGATGCCCCTCCTCAAACCCCCTACTTCGTCCGTTGGATATCAGCCGGCGTCTACCTGTTGCTGCAACTCATTGGTCCGTCGCGCGACACTGGACGAGCTGATCCCGAAGCTCAACCTCGCAATCTCCTGAACCGGCCACCAGCGTCTGTCACCGCAGCCACACTACTGATAGAAAACTGCTCCGGGACCACGACGGGCAGCCGACCGGCGTCGAGTAGTCGCGGTACTGCTCTTGGCTTATAACATTGCGAACCGATGGTGCACCAGTGCGATGCAGCACATAGCGCGCTGGGCGATTCCCAGTATGAGCACGGAGTAGAAAATAATAACAGCTGGAGGACGAATTACAATGACTCGTCCGCCATCTCTACATGCCGCTGCGGAAGTTTGTGAACAGCGGCAACAGCCTCATGCGGTGCTGTGGTGTTCATCTCAGACCAGCTGGCGGCTCCCATTCGCCTCCTGTTGCGACAATGACCAGCCCGTGCTGACATTCCTTCTGTTCGCATTTCCCCACGATGGAGCTGGATGGAGCTGGCTCACGTTTCTCCAGGAGTCCAGCATCATCAAGTGACCCATGGATGAGGTCGCAATCCTGGGGACAAGCTGATCTCATTGCGCTCTTCCAGCAGCCCTCCGTCCACCACACCGCTCTGCGCATCCCACCACATTCCTGGTCATCCTGCCCTCTCTGTTGCTTTTTACGGTACGAGCTGGCGTCATGTCGGGACACCCTCGAACGAAGAGACCCCGCCGCGCGGGTGATGGATGAGTGCGCCAAGTGTCAACAAGTTGAGTGCTTCGCCACTACAGAGATCAACCAACGATCAGCCGCGCGAAGACGATAAAGGAACAGCCTATATGCAGACGACGATGGCGGGTGCATCCTACGGCTTATCAAACACCTCCCTACTAACTAAATTTTTATAATTTTTTTTCGCCGCATCAAACTACTGACGCGCAGGAGCTTGACGGCATACTGCAGAGAAGCGACGTAGCCGATTGATTATCTCTGAACATTGCGCGTTATGTTACCCCTCCATTCCGAAAGTCTGATCGACGTTCGCTGCATTCTGCGAGGGATACCTCTTGGGGTCCCTCCAAGCGCTGTTCCTTCTGGACGGTGATTGCTCGCTTCCACGCAGAGAGCGGTGTAGCTCGGCATCTACATCATAGTAAAGTTGAGGTGGCAGAGGTGCTGCCGTGGTAGTACTCCGTGGTATCTATCACTTTACCGATGCCGCTCTGGCACAGATATTCTCAAATCTTAATAAACAACAATAGTCGCGTTATGGCACACATGACCGTTTGAGCCACGAGGACTTCTATCCAAGCACGATTTGATCTCCATATTGGAGTGGAGGAGCAGTCAGCGAGCGGGTCTCGGAGATCTGTGACTGGGAGTCTCCACTGCCTATCCTCAGCGTGGAAAGGGACCAAGGGGATCAACGTTCGCAATGAAACCTGCACACCAATCAGACAACATGTTATAAAGCCCGGCATGGGCAACAGTATCAATGCGAGCGTTGGCAAGAATAATGCACCATCGATCCTGTGAATTATTATTATTTATCCTAAGACTACTGCGAGATAAGTGCTGTGGAGTGAGTGGAGCCGCGACTATAGAGATAACTGACATACGGTGGCTCGGAACATTTATCGTATCACCTATTTTTTGCTCATCGGCACAAATCGGGCGGCATCGTACTCTCCAAGCTACGTTTGCAGTATAACTACTCTTGCTCTCTTTCGATTTCCTTTTTGGACCTCGGTGGAGTACCGAGTAGTTATTATTATTTTGTTTTAGAGGCGGCTACCGCGTGCCTATCATGGCCGCATCCTGATCGTTGCACTACCTAGACATGACGCCATCTGAAGCTCTACACAACATACCAGCACATTCTACCAGATGGTCTATGGGGAAAAGATAAAAGAAAAAAGAAGAAAGAATCCCCCAGTACCCTGATAGTAGTAGTGATAACCAGGCCTCGCATCTCTGAGCGATCGCCCCGTCCTCTCCAGGGAGCGCAGAGAGAAAAAAGCGATCCGCGTCGTGTTCATAGCTTCAATGACTTTCGCCAAGTGACTAGCAGTAGTAGCTGCGATCGCTAGTACCAAAATCATCAAAAAACGATCCATGCGTGTTGGCTAGGGGGCGCTATGATTTGACGCTTCTTTTCGCCCCGTGGAGCTCGGACCGGCACTTGACGATAGAGTGCAGCACGATCTGTCGACCATAAGTGACCGTCCTATCCTCGAAAGGAGTCAAAAAGGACAGTCCCTCGACTCGATTGGATAGGTATTGCAGGCGACATCTGAAACTTTTTCGCCTTTGGCTTGGTCAGGTTGGCTCGTAGGAGGCATATGGTACTCTACTAGTACATAGTGCTGCAGAACCGGGCGCTGCATGCATCTCACGCAAAAAGATTTTTTTTTTACCGACTATTATGCGATACGATCCTGATATGGTGAGCTAAAGACACGATCTACGAGTCCGTCGTCGGGACCGGCTCCTGCACGAGAGAGAAAAGAGTAATTAGTGACTCTGCGAGGGCACGGGGTTCGACGCGGTTCGCTTCACCACTGAACAGACCAGCGTTGTTTGACAGTAGTCTCCTTGAGTCTCCCTGAGAACCGACGAAGCCGTTATCCCACGGGGATGGATATACTGGATCTCAATCCCTTCTGCGTCATGGCACGGACATTTTTTGTTTTTTTCTTTCCTGCTTTGGAGACACTGGGGGTTTGATGCTTTGAAGATCGGTCGATCGCGATGAGATTTCTTGTTGTCCCTTTTTGCCACAGATGATGATGATGATGCAGATTTGTTGAAGGGTCATGATTCTTGACATGGCAGCTTTCTTTTCTTCCAGATGTTTCCGTGGCTGTTGTCAAGACTTTTAGAGGAAGGTGATTCTCAAGCATGCAGATGCCAGATGATTCCAATGACACACCAACAACCAGTGCGACCGGTCACCGTGGGGAGGACGGGACAATGACATGCTCAGAAGAAGCACAGACCACTGATGATCTTGAACGTGCTCGCTATTATTATTATCTAGTGGTTGTACGGAGAGTAGACTACTCCGTACTCCTGATAGATAGTTCCCATGGAGGAGAGTAGCGTCGTCCCATGGTGATAACCAGAGCGTCTTGAGAGGGCACGGGGTCCTTTCTTATCTGGCTCAGCGGGGTGTTTTGGCCCGTTCGGCACTTCCGTGGTCGGATGATTCCGGGGTTTCTCGGGAGCTAAACCTGGTTGAGCTCGGTCCACCAGCCACAGATCCCGTGGGGTGGCTTGACAGCTGAGCCGCCTGGAGGCCTGAGGCCTGAGGCTCCGGAGAACCTCAAAGACCCATGCGGACTGTGGCTGGTGGGCACCTGACGTCGTCCTCAGGCCCACCAGGGTCATCGTCATCGTTCCCTTCTCCTGTCGACGGTTTCACGCTGACTATTATTATTACCTATTCTTATCATTGAACAAGCTGCATACATGATGAGGTGAGCATAGCCATGGGCTCCGTAGAGAAGTCTGCGCCTTATGATGAGTACGACCCTCATAATCTCCCCGACTATGAGACAGAGTTCATCTCGCAGGATCACCTCCGTCAATTCGAAGAGGCGCTGAACGCCCCCGAGGCCGAGTCGCTAGTCGCCATCAACGACTGGCGTCCCATCCGCCAACGAGTTCGCAAGCCGGGTCGTCGTCGCAAGACTCCCAAGCGAAGCAAAGATGAGACGAGAGAAGGTGTCGTCTACGGCATCCTGAAGTGGCCGTTCCTCGTCATCGTGTTCGGTTGGCTGGCGGTACTCAGCATCTCCTATCTGCTCACCCGACTATATGTACACCTGTACGAGCACTTTGTGACATGGACGGGCAAGCGCGAGAGGTTGAGGAGGGCTCTGCATGCAACGGCAAACTATGAGGACTGGTTGAAGGAGGCTAGGGCTCTGGACGCATATCTGGGCAACGAGAACTGGAAGAAGCAAGATGAATATGCGTACTACGATCATTTGACCATCAACAAGGTCGTCGCACAGCTCAAGAGGATCAGAAAAGAAGCGCTGCTAGAGGCACAAAACGGACTATCCAGTGCCAGCGAGGTACCGGCAATCGAGGAGCTGCGTGCACTGTTGGAAGCTTGCGTGAAAAACAACTTTTGTGGCGTCGAGAATCCCCGGTTGTATAGTGAAACCTACTCGGGAACGAAGGATCTGGTACAGGAGTATATGGATGAAGTTGAAGCTTCCCTCAAGCTGCTCTCCGACAGCCGGCAGTTGAGCCAGGAAGAGAAGTATCGGCACTTCCGCCACCTGGATTTGAACTTCGGCCGCACCGCGCTATGTCTTTCCGGCGGTGCCACCTTTGCATACTACCATTTTGGTGTCGTGAGGGCGCTGCTGGATAATGATGTCTTGCCGGAGATCATCACAGGAACGTCTGGTGGTGCTCTAGTGGCGGCCTTGGTTGCGACCCGGACGGATGAGGAGTTGAAACAGCTCTTGGTTCCTGCTTTGGCACATAGAATTAGGGCTTGTCATGATGGGTTTACCACTTGGATCAGACGTTGGTGGCGCACGGGGGCCCGATTCGACACTTTGGATTGGGCCAGGCAATGCAGCTGGTTCTGCAGAGGTTCGACGACGTTTCGGGAAGCGTACGAGCGCACCGGCAGGATCCTGAACGTCTCCTGCGTGCCTTCAGATCCTCACTCGCCGACGATCCTTGCGAACCATATCACGTCGCCGGACTGTGTGATCTGGAGTGCGGTCATCGCTTCCGCAGCTGTGCCCGGTATTCTGAACCCGGTGGTTTTGATGATGAAGAAACGCGATGGTAGTCTCGCGCCCTATTCCTTTGGCCATAAGTGGAAGGACGGAAGCCTCCGGACCGACATACCGGTCAAAGCATTGAACTTGCATTTCAACGTCAACTTCACCATTGTTTCTCAGGTATGTCTATTGCTACCCCGTCCATCTTGCAATGCGTTTCCGCTGACGACTTAGGTCAACCCCCATATCAATCTATTTTTCTTCAGTTCTCGGGGAACCGTTGGTCGGCCAGTCACACATCGAAAAGGACGAGGCTGGCGTGGCGGATTCCTAGGATCTGCAGCGGAACAGTATATCAAGCTTGATCTAAACAAATGGCTCAAGGTACTACGTCATCTTGAGTTGCTTCCGCGGCCTATGGGTCAGGATTGGAGCGAAATTTGGCTCCAGAGATTCAGCGGCACTGTCACTATCTGGCCCAAAGTTATCGCGTCTGATTTCATTAACATCCTTTCCGATCCCAGTACGCAACGCCTGGCTCGGATGATCCACGTCGGCCAGCAAAGCACATTCCCCAAGATACAGTTTATCAAGAACAGAGTGAAGATCGAAAGGTTGATCATGAATGGATTGTTGCGGACATCTCATACTGGCGGCCGTGATCTTTCGCCTCTGCTATCGCGGCGTCTCGAAAGCAACAAGCAGGGAGAGTCGGATCCAATGGTTGAACGTATTGACCACGCCTTGCCAGAGCGGGGCCAACCCCATGAAGACGGCGGCTCACATTATCTCGAAGTTCCCGATTACTCGTCAGCAGACTCGTCACACGAGCAAGAGTTCCGTCATCGACGAAGCAGCGGCAGCGTTATCGAGGAGATGAGGCGACAATCAGCGGTCTTCTTCGACGATCCTGATATCTATGGGGGAGATGACACCGCGAGCGAGTGAAACGGACAACTGAAAAATACTCCCCACGTTAGCCTTTCATCCCATATTGACCTGTTAAGACTCATAGAGCCGACAGAACGTGGGGGCCTTTCCCCGCATCCTGACACCAGATTCACGTGATCACCGCGGCTACAAATCATCCATCAGTCCTGCCTGTATATATAGAAGCACATGCATATCCTTCCTGTAAATAGACATATACGAAAGTTAAATATATCATATTACTCGATAGTACCCACAGGTACAGTTATTCATTAGTATCAGTACCTACCTAAGGTTCCAGGTTCCCAAAAAGAAAAGAAGGGAACAGACCCCATTACCCTAGGAGGCAAGTAATACTTATCTAGTTAACCAGGGAACAACCCCATCATCTACCAAGGGATATATTATTACCTCGGTGAGTTAGATTTCTCATATACTTATCGGGAGTAAGTAATTAATATATGATATGGGACGAGTCACGAAGGATCTTCCAACGTGAAACTTCCCCACATTCAAACTTCTAATTATGTAACTACTTACTGTATATAACGGTTTATAAAATGACGTTGGTGGTTCCAGAAATCGCTTATTCTTAGGTAATTATCCCTCGGGAAGTAAGTTAACTAAAGTTAACTACCTACCTAGGTAACTAACTAGTCCAGTTGACTACCTACCTACCTACCTAGGTAGGTGTCGGCTATGGGATATAGTAGTTAGTAGAAAGGTCGAGTATACTAACAGAAGATGAAAGGGCCAGGTTAACAGTTAGAACTGATTGGGTTAGTAGTGGTACAAGTAGAATAGCCTGGGGAAACTGATCAATAGATTTTTATAGCGTCGTTTCATTCTTCCCGCGAAGATCATTGCATCGCCCATAAGTAACTATAACTAATTGCCTCATAGTTAGTCGTCTGTCATTGGTCATCCATGTCCTTATATACAATGTAGTACTTTTATCACAAGAAAGAAAGAAGTCATGCCGTAGCGTTAGGTCTGGAAAAGGACTAGAGATATGTACATATTTCGAGCGGCTTATTCCGTTTAGTTCCCATTTTCGCTGCCCAGATCATATGACAAGCCATTTCTCAGTGACTTCCTTGGCGGCGAGTAGGTCGCCACTGAGCGCGTAGATCGTTTGTAGCGCCATTGCCGCCTCGCTTGAGAAGTCCTCGATATTCTTGCGGTCGGGCTGGTCGTGGCGACGCGGGGTTGTGGTTCCGTTTGTTTCTGCCTCGTCCTCCATTGCGACGTCATGGTCCTCGGAGGGTTCAGGCTGGTGTTCGGGTTTTGACGGTGCCTGCATAGATCGAATCTGCTCACCGATTGTGAGGACTCTCTTGTAGCCCTCGACGGCGAGGTGTGCTAGGCCTAGAGAGTGGTAGACGCGGGCAAAGTTGAATTCCATTTCCTGCCGCTCTTGGATCAATGTGCCTTCTTTCTCCCGTACGCGGCGGTACTCTTGCATGAATGATAGCCCCTGCATAATCAGGTAGTGCCGATTTTCGGACTGGCGTTTCATGGAATGGTTGATGTAGCAGAGAGCGATGGAGAGGAGGACTGCTGGGTTTTCATCATCCAAAGCGTATGCGCGGAAGAAGTAGTTCAGCGCTGGGTAGAAACTGTTACCGGAGTAGAGGATGTGGCCGTAGAGGACGAGCAAGGCGACGTCCATCTCCTCAGGCAGAACGGTCTCGCCCAATTCGTCGCGCGAGATGGCAGCGCGATCTCCAAACACAGATTGTCTAGTTCGTCTGAGAGGAGTAGACACTGACGCTGTGGGATCGTGGGGTAGGCTGTAGTCCAAGGCTTTGACCTGCCGCAGCATGAATTTCATGCTGGGGGAAGAATGGAAGAGGGATTTATGAGGGTCGCTACAAACTCGCCCGAGCATTGAAAATAGGCGATAAGTATCGGTAACGAATTGATACTCTTTGATAAACCAACGAGCTTCATTCACGAGCGTTTCTTCGTCCCGCAATCTAAGGGCACATGCTATGATGTAAGGTTAGCATAGCGGTTCATGCAAGCATGATACTGGGATAGACTGACTGAACCAGCAGACGTGTATTTGACGGCTACTTGGTTTTGAATGATACCAGACACTGGCATCTGCTGCCGCAGAGAGGGTATCGTATGCTTCCTCAGATTCGCCTTGCCCCGCGACAACCAACGCGTACTCGAGGAATATGTCGAGCCATTCGTCGAATGAGATTCCATGGTAATCAGTAGGAATTGCCGTTTGCAAAGGTTCTTCCGCAACATTTCCTGCGATGCTCGTTAACATATATCCCACGTAGTTGGTTGAGTTGCAAGATCGAAGCAGAGCTGTACTGACCGAGTGACTCTTGGAGACGGCCAGCCATCTCTCTCATTTCGTCCATCATCGTTTTGCCCTTGCCTGCGCTTCGTTGGCCTTCCCTGGTATATCCCATAAAGACCGCATTTCGCTGCATGGGGTAGAAAATTCGATTGGATCGAAATTCCCACAGCAATGCATCCGCGATATCCAGCCAATCTTCTGTAGCATCCATGTTGCCTTCTCTCATCTGCTGCCGTAGGTCCATCATTTTAGAATAGAGAAAACGGATATGTTCGGTTCCTTCTCCTTCCAGATCCTCCTGCCGCATTCGCTTTCGGGCTGCAGCGGCTGTAGGGGCTGTCATGAGGGCGGCAGGGGCTTCTTGGGGAACCTCCTTCGGAGCAATACTCCTGTAAGTTGGTGTTTCCCCATCGATATGCGTGGACATGAGTCCCCTTGCCAACTGGCCCAACCTATTATCTCGTCTTTTTCTCCGTCTGATACTGCGCGTCTCCTGCCGTCCTAGCAACACTGCCTCATTCACATATTTGAAGGCCTGTTCTGTCATCCCGATATTCTCATACAGTTTGGCGAGATTAACTCGCGAAGCAACATGTTTCGGATCGTGTTCAGCGACGGTCAGGAAGCAATTTTCCGCTTCTTCAATCCTGTCACAGGCCATGTAGCACTCGCCCATTGCCATGAAGAATCCGATATCTGCATATTCTTCGGTTTGCTGTAGTGGTTCGTAAAAGCGCAGAGCGTCTTCGATCAAGCCAACGTCTTTGAGTGCGTCAGCGACCTCACGAAAGAGGTCACCGTAGTCGTAAAGCCGGGATCCAGGGGATGTGTCCTCAGGATTTAGCCACTGAAAGTGATGCTAGGTCTTATCAGTACTTCTTCAAGACTTCCATTAGAATTATGCTATCCATTGCTTACCAGCGCTTCGTCTTTGTGTTCCGACCCCATCCTTAGTCGAAACATCCCCATCTTTATTCGCAGTTCCAAGGGAAGACCTAGTCCGTATGAGTCTGGAGGGTAAACATCGGGGTCATAATCCTCAGTCTTTATCCGGCGAGGCAAGTCATGTGCATCCCATTCGCGGTCATCGTCCTGGAAACATTCCCACAATTTATCACCCTTGCGCCCTAGGAGCCACCTCGACAGAGACTTCAGAGTCCGTAACCCTTCCTCGTGTCTTCCTAAAAAGGTAAATAGTTCCACATAGATGTTCACGTCTGACCACGAAAAGTCTACGGCCTCTTCTGGATCGAGAGACATGTAGTACTGGACGCTCTCTGCGTAATGATCCACTGCCTTTTGAATCTCATTTAGATCGATGTAGACCTCAGCAAGGTGGCGCAAGGCCCTCGTGTTATGAGGGAGGAGCTCCTTTAGAATCCTCTCGTATTCCGTAGCAGCTCTGCCATTGTAACCCAGTTCCCGATAGATAGCAGCTCTTTGGAAACGGGCGTTATAGTTTTTCGGGTCTATCTCGATAACGCGACTGTAGCAGTAGATCACATCGTTCAAGGCTGCTTGGCGGTCTTCACCAGCACGGTCCAGAATCAGCCTTGCAACCTTCATCCATACACCCGTGTCCTTTGGACGGGTATGGGCTCCGCTGAACAGAGCCGTCAAGGCCTTGTCCTTTTCGCCCTGAGCCAGGAGGATCTCAGAAAGAAGCGAATGGGCAGCAAACATCTCCGGGTTGATCTGGATAGCTTGTTTCACGAGCTGGATGGCTCGATCGTAGTCTCCATCAATGAAGGCTGATGTCGCCTCTGAATGCAATAGTTTGAATTCTGGACTTGGTTCGAGCGGCCTGCGTGGCCCTCTTTTGATGCCCTTCCCTCCGCGAGCTCCAAATCGACCAGAGAAACGCCCACCGCGTCTGCGACGGCGCCGTCTTGCGTACTCATCGTCAGAGTCCTCGTCCGCAACATCGTCGGCCTCAGACATCTCCTCATCGCTTAGCCAACGTCAGCTGCTGAGATCCCAGTTATTAGATAGTTGGTTCTACACTTACGTTGAGCTTTCATCTTCCTCGGAGACGTCGTACGTAGGATCTTCAGATGAATAATCGCCGTCCTCGAAGGTTTCGGACTGTCTTCGAGGTTTCCTAGGGGACGACCTGTAGTCACTTAACGTGTCCTGCTGCAACCCATCTGCTATGTTACCAGCAAAAGGGTCGCTGTACAGTCTCGGATCGATAGCAGGGTCTACCGGAATCTGAGACAGGCCATGCTCATGCTGGCTAGGCGGCCACGGATACTGCATGGTCTCGTCAATGTCCGGGTACATCATCTCCTGTGGAGAATCATGTTGCGAGGCGCCTTCTGGATAGTCCATTCTGGCGGCAGAGCTGAGCTCCTCAGTCCACTATCTGCTAAGATGGTAGTTAGTTTGTCTTGTTGGTTAGAAAGCCAAGAACTTGACTGTTGATACAGAGAAGGGCTGTGATTGGGTCTCTCGAGGACCTATGCCAAAGTGTGCAGCGAGCACTAGCCTTTGCTGCAGGCACCCTCAAGTACGAAGCAATAGATCGTCCCCCAAAGGGTCAAAGAACACAGTTGGGATTGCTATTTTTGGAAGAGAACTGCAGGAAGCCGCCAGACTAGCAGACGCCTAGTAAGAAACCTGCACAGATCTAGATGAGGTCGGGGACAAGACGGAGTTCGAGTCGCAGGAGTGAAGATCCAAGTATGGGCGTGGAGAGCACTGGACAGACAGGACCCTGAGATCTGCCTGCATGCCACCGACAAGGCGCGTTCACGACCAGTTGAGATCCTGATCAGATCTGCCGGAAGTGAAATGGGAGGCGATCCATCTGCTTTTCATGATTATTTCATAGCGCCATCCCCACCGGCGATGGACCGGGTGTGGCGCGTGTCGAGGGAGTTCCTGGGCAGAAAAAGGAGCTTAAGCCTCCCGAAGGGATCGCTAGTGAGAGGGATTAATTAATTATGGTAAAGGGATTGATGCACAGAAATAAGATAGCTCACTAAGGCTGTTCCAGTTAGGGCCGTATCTAGAGCAGTGTTTTGTGCGGCAAAGTTGGGGTTCTGGCCTGGTTCTGGCTCTGGCGGTTCTGCGGGCGGTCTCTCTCTTCTCTCTCTCTCTCTCTCTCGTCGCTCTGGCTCGCTTCATCCACTTCCATCGCTCTTCCATCCACTGTTTGTCCTCTTTTTTCCTTCTTCCTCTTCTCCCCGCCTCCCAAATCCCCAGACCGGTTTCTCCCACCGCGTTGTCCGTTTCGTTTCTTTTTTTCCCTTGATGCTCCAGGGTTGAGAGCTATTCTGTGTTTGACACACGGCTCCGTCCTGTCATCCTCTCGTTCCTGTCTTAATCAACTCTCACGCCCCCCCGAAAAACCGTCTGGACGCTCGCCTATCCCTCAACCCTTTGATGCCTTCCGGTTCGATCACAACCTTTGCAATCGAATCAAGGAGTGCAGCCGCTGGCCTGGCCTGTGCCCTAATTGTTATCGCCTAGAGCGTTTGCTGTCGGGTTCTTCTGTCGGAAGTCTTTTCTCGCCAGGGTTTTCTTGTGCCCTGCTTGACGACTCTTTTCGGAGCCGGAATCAGTCCGATTATCACTCGAACATATCTCGAAAAAAACAAAAAAAATATTCGCAAACTCAGCAGGCGCTGCAGGAGCTTTGCAGTAATTATTAACTGTACCTATTGTTCCACTTTTTGCGACATTCACCGGTTGGACTGCCCCGTTTGCCGCCATAGCACTTCACCATGGCTAGCCACATCATCGGAAACCGCAACAGCACCCCGGACGCTTCGAAGTCCTCTCTTCGTCCTCCGTCGTCCTCTCGTAACCTGGGAGGCTCCCATCAACTGCGAGCTTCAGCGGACATGTCGGGATTCCCGTCTCCTCTTTCCTCGCGGAGCATACGTCCTTCGTCGGAAGTCTTCTACAACCAACAATCCCAAAATCAAAGCAACAATGACGACGCTCTTGACCGTGCTGCGCAACAGTGGATTGCCGACATCGACCAGTATGAGACAACTCTGGAGGAGATGGCTGCCGCCACGTTAGATCAGGACTTCAAGGATGAGCTGAGTGCGATTGAACAGTGGTTCCGCGTCTTGAGCGAAGCGGAAAGGACGGCTGCTCTCTACGCCCTGCTGCAACAGACTACTCAGGTTCAGATTCGCTTTTTCATCCAGGTTTTGCAGCAGATGGCCAAAAGCCATCCGATGTCTGGTGTCCTGTCGCCTGCCAACTTTGGGGAAAAGGGTAAGTTTTGCAGCTTGGAGTATATTGTTTGGCTGGTTCTAGACTCTGACAGCTTTATAGATCCCATGTCGAACCGTCTGAATGATGCCATGGCCAAGTTGAATGTGGACAGCTCCCGCAACTCGCTGGGTCGCCCGCCACCTTCTCCCGGCGCCAAACGGAACTCAGGACTGGACTCCTCTACGATCAACGCTATGTTCCCGGATGCTGCTGCGGCTATTGCAAAGAAGAAGGCGGAATTCACTCAACAAACGGGTAATGCGCCAACCTCAAACCGCAACAGTGCTGTCTTTGGCGGCGACCGTACCTCTCTTGTCACGCCCACCATCTCCGCCCCGGACAACGAGAACTTGGGCCAGCCGCCATCGTCGCCATGGGCTCAGCGAGGCCCCGAAACTCAGCCTCCAATTGCGCGCCCCAAGTCTTCCTCCGGTCAGCAGCAACCAATGGGTCAGTTCAGCCAGCCCGCTTCGAGTCTCCGTTCCCCTCGCCCTGGCCAGATCTCGACCGGGCATGATCTCTCCGCCGATCCTCCTCTCTTGTCTCCGTATAATCTTGGCAACGCGAGCTGGGCTTCGATGTCAAACACACCGATGGCGGCCACTTTCAACACGCAGCAGAGTGCGGCCTCTCAGGCCGATATGGTTGCTAATGCAACCGCTATGAAGCTTGCGGCATTGTCTACTGTGAACAACCGCATCGCTCTGGACGATGCTCGAAAGTACCGCCGTGCGCGGTCTAACGATGGCCACGGAAAGAATTCGAATGCCGGTCAAGTTCTGTCTCCAGGACTCCCGCACACGAACATTCCAGGAGCAAATCTGGTAATGGTGAATGATGCTGGCCAGGCCCTGAACGCCCAACAGATTGCTGCTCTGCAAGCTCAGCAGCAAGCGGCAATGGCAGGCCGGCGCTCGCGTCCCAACTCCCCTGGATTGGCCATGCAGGGGGGATCGTTGGGTCCTGTGGGATTTACTTCGCCACAGAACAACGGTTTCCTCGCCGCATATGATCCCAATAGCAACCCCCTTCTGGCGAATGGACTGGGTGCTCTTGGTCTGAGCCAGTTTGGCCTTGGACACGAAGGCTATCTCTCGGACCACTCCGAGGTCACTCGTGGCCGCTCTCCCCGTGGTCGTCGCGGCAGCTCTAAGCCGCCAGAGGATCCAACCGACCCTAACCTCCTGCAGGACATTCCTGCCTGGCTCCGGTCTCTGCGCCTGCACAAGTACACAGACAACCTGAAGGATCTGAAATGGACTGAACTGGTTGAGTTGGACGACAAAGGCCTGGAGGAGCGGGGAGTAAATGCCCTTGGAGCCAGGAACAAGATGCTGAAGGTGAGCTTGGATAACGGTACAGTTCTGGCAAGTCAGCAATGCTAACTACTTTATGATCTAGGTCTTTGAGCAAGTGAGGGAGGCCAAGGCGGAGGGCAAGCTGGACCACGCTTTATAATCCGACATATATCCCCAGTCGTTCTTTGTTTCTGCTTGGGCAGTCCGACACGATCCAAAAGTGGTAACTGAGAGGAGCTGAGAAGAAAAGTCGCTGTGAATTTTTGGAATGACGTCTGTGGGCGGTTTGGAACCGCCCTGTTATAGGCACAACTGTTGTCATACCCGAGAGCAACTGGCCAATTTTTGTATCTATTCCATTGGTGTGTTTTGGCTCTTAATGGTCGCATGTACGACTCAGATGATATAGGGCCACGGATGCTTCCTGACAGGAGCGATCTCCGAGAGAGTGCTGGAATGTCAGCGGAGGCATATTATTTATGACTGTGTTCTGTCCTTCTTCTTTTTCTTTTACTTCCACTCTGTAATTGAGTCACCACAGTGTCTCCAGTCTAATTTTCAGGATGCGTGATTTTCATTTTCCGAGCGAACTGGGACTCATGAATCTAAGCAAGAAGTTGACGATCTCATTTAACGGACTCATAGCGCAAGATACGGTTAAGAATAAGGATGTGCACATAGACCATTTGCGAGAATTATCTGGATATTTCAATCTTGTAAACTGCTCGATTTCGCCCTTCGTAGCATGCTAGCAAAGTATCAACCAAAGGTGCTGCATCTAGGTATGCGGCGGCCGGATGTGGCCCGCGCGCTCCGGAGCTCGACCCCGAACCTCACCTGCACTGCGCATCAGACACTAGACGGATATATCCTCACCCCCAGGCCACGAAAAGACATACTGTGCCTGTCACAAACTGGTTAGATCGTTGATTCAGTGATCGGGCTTGTTATTTTTCATTCAACTCTGTTTTTAACCCTCGAAGACAGTAACATTACGAGCTCGAACCATCAAGACTGAACTTCCTCAGCGCATCGATTGGCATCTCTTTCAACATCACGAGAAAAGACAATCTCCCTCAACACTAGCGGAAACACTCTACGACGAAAGAACCAGCTCCAATTATTACTACCTCGAGTCGAATTCCCGCAACAGCAGCAACCATGCCACCAACAAAACAAGAACTCTCCCTCCTCATCAATCCCATCGTTCCTGAATCCATCCAGCATAATTACCGAGTAAGCAAACAAACCTCATCATCCCTCCCTCCCTCCCTTCCTGTCTGTCTATCTTCTTCAGCAAAAGAAAAAAAAACAAGAACCTAACTCGATCCTTCTTCATTATCACAGATCCTCTCAAGCCTCCACTCCCTAACCGCCTTCCTCCTCGGTCTCAGCGCAGGCATTCTCGCCCTCCAATCCGCCCAGGGCTTCATATTCTATTTCCTCGGCACGATCTTCGTCTCGGGTCTCTTTCATCTCTTGCTTATTATTCTTGGATCCGGTAAGAATGCTGCTGCTGCGGCGGGATCTTTCTTCCCTGGTAGTAGTGGGGGGGAGATTGAGGGGATTGATATGAAGGGAAGGATTTGGGTGGGTGAGCGCGAGAAGAAGAGTGGGAGGAGGAGGGTGATTTGGAGGAAAGGTGCGTGGAGGGATGTTTGGTTTGGTGGTGGTGTGTTCAGTGAGGCGTTGAGTGGGTTCGTATTGGGGTGGGCTGGGGTGGGTGGTGTTTTGAGGTGATCAACACTCCGGGGGGGTGGGGGGGAGCAGGGGAAATGGATATGAAAGAAAGAAAGAAAGAAAGAAAGAAAGAATGGTTTATTGTCGAGTGTGATGATGTGAATAGTGAGAATGGAATATGGATTTAGCAGGAAGGAAGGAAGGAAGGACAGGATTGGAATTGATATTTTCTTTCTTCTTCTTCTTCTTCTTCTCTTTCTTCCCGATAACATATCGATATGTATCATATTGTATTCTTTTCTTCTCTTGATAGGTAATTATCCATTGCAAAAGAAAACAAAGTTATATATATATATATATATATATATATATATATATAAAATTGCCAGAAAGTAGATTCTAAATCAGCTTGCTTGCTCTACCCCTTTCACGCTCGATTCTATTTCTTTTTTATTTTCTTTTTGCATCAGAATATCGCAATTATGTACATACATACAACGGCAACAGAATGTAACTAATACAACGATAATGTTATTAGAAAGCTTAACTGTATGAGAGAGAGAACAGACATAGTTCGCGTACAAAGTTATTTATAGCCCGATTCTTTTATGTTGTAGATGCTGGTTTATTTATTTGTAGTAGCGAGAACTAGTTAGTTATATGGTATTACTTACTTTACGGGGAAGGAGGGGGAGGGGGGGGGGGGGTCTATCCACTATCTGGGCATAAGAAGATAGATAGATAGAATAAATAATAGGGAAGTGGCAAATTCAGCTAAGATGAAAGGAAAACTCTCCATGATGAAGTATCGGGTCTTTTGAATGAGTAATTAATTATTAATTATAACGTTTTCGATAGTTAGCGGTTAATGATAATTAGTTATAAGCTTCTGCTTCTTTCTGCTAACTACTGTACTACTGTACTTTACTCTGCTACATGTATCAAGTAAACAGATTGAAATCGTTATAGTTCATCAAAAGAAATCACCATTAACAAATCTAAGTACATGTGGAACATGACCACGGGTATGATCTATAACATCAAAAAAAAAGAAGATTCAAACCACCATCAAAGCAACCTTGAAGCTGAGGGGACGAAGAAAAATCCCCCTTTTTTCTTCTTAAAAAAAAAGAAATCACCACCCCGATTCTATATACAGATAACCAACCCGATTGCGAAACGATAGATAGATAGACTCGAGGGACGTCATTGACTCCTGATATATATAGGAAATTCTCAATTCCCCGTCACCACGCCAGGTGAGACGGGATTTACACACGAAATCATTCCTCTGTGAGACCCTTTTTATATGCTTCGAGCTCTTCAGCATTGGCAATGGCACTTTGAAGAGCGCTCGTCAAGTCAATGTGGAAGAGCGGTCGGTTGATGCCCTGCACAAGGGCCACCTTCCGATGGTGATAGGCCTTGCTGCTGGTCAGCTCCCGCCGCAGGTCGTCGCCGTCATTGCTACCGTCTGAGCTGCCCTCAACGCCATGTCTTTCACGTTCGGTAGTGTGAGATTGCCGAACGACGCCAGATTCGACATCCTCAACCTTCAAGTCTTGTTGTTGATTCACAATATCGGCCGCGGCCGCGGCTGAAGAACTGCCTCCGATTTCCGCCACACTGAAGATGGGCTTCCATCGTCTGAACCCGGAGTCCTGGACGGGAGTGGGGTATCCAAATCCTGCTGACGCGAGGGCTCTCTTGGTCCATCGGTTATTGATGTGGGCAAAGTGCCACTGGACAGGCTCCGGGGCAGCATACATATCCAGCTGGTTGCGGACATCGATCAGGTTCTGGATGGAGGTGACATCGACGTTGTTCACAGAGGAGAAATCAAGAATGATCGCTTTGAGTGTCGGAAGATCCGAGCGGTCGTCCTCCGTCTTACCGCGACGGGGTCCGGGATCATTCCAGGGCCGATCTCCCAGTCTGGGATATGTCTGGAGGTTTGTTCGCCGAGTGGCCTTGAAGATCGTCGCGACGAGATAATCGGTGTAGTGGTTCGCGTTGGGGTAGTTGAATCCTTCAGTAAATCGGTAGATGAAGATACCGGGATGCGGCTGTTCTGGCTCCACCATGGGATTCGAGCCGTCTTGGTGATCCGTCGGAAGGAAGACGTTGCGATACGCGATGTCTGTATCCTGGGGTTCCCGCGGCTGGCTCCCGGCGAGAGCGCCATATTTTCCGTCAGGATCGAGCAAGTGATCCCCCACCACCGAGTGAATTTTCACTCGACCAAGGAAGTGGCCCTGTGCCTTCACCACTCGGAATAACAGGACAGCGACAGAGACACAGATAGTGGTGTAGATGCCGTTCTCGATGGAAGAAAAGATGGTAACAATGACACCAATGAAGAAAATGATCGCTTCGATGGGCGAGACCCGCCAAAACTGATAAACGGTGTTAGGCGGAGTGATCAGATCGCCAACAGCATGGATGATAACCCCCGAGAGCGACGCTTGAGGGATGTAGAAGAACAATGCCGGGAGAGCGTAAATGGCAAGTAAGACAACGATCGCGGTGATCAAGCCAGCCAACGGAGTGCGGACACCGGCTTTGGATTTAATGGCCGTTCTGGAGAAGGAGCCTGTTGCGGGGTAGGCGCCCAGAAAGGGACCAAGCAGATTGGTGACGCCGATCGCGACCAGTTCCTGAGACGGGTCAATCGTGTAGTTGTTGACTCGGCCGAAAGACTTGGAGATGGCAATGTGTTCGATGAGCAGCACGATCACTGCGGCAGGGATGTCGTTTGCAAATATCTTGATGATCTCGGTCGTCACCACCGGCTTTCCAGCTTGCTGGAAGCCTCGAGGTACAGTACCTAGAAGCTTGAACGCCGGGTTGCTTCGGCGGTGGAGGTTCGTTGCAGCGCTGATCATGGTGTAAAACAAGATCACGAACACCGTCCGCATAGTCGACATGAAGAAGAACAACTTGGCCCGCCGAGGATTCTTCTTCGCTGCGTATGTACAAGCGTATCGGATGATGTAAAGCATGGCCAGGGCCGTCAAGCCCATCGCCGCATCTAGCTTGCAGGTGGGGAGAAACTTGAGGGTGTTGATGATGACCATGTAAGTGGCAGCCTTCGTGTTGAATTTAGCTTCTCCCAGCATGGTTGAAACTTGTCCAGCTATGATGTTGATGGCGGATCCAGTCATGAATGCCGAAATGGCCGTCAACGGGATGAAGTCCACAATCCAACCGCATCTGATTAAACCGATGAAACAAACAATGGCCCCAGCGATGATAGCCAGAGCAGACGCAATGATGTGACCTGGGATGTCCGGATGTTCTGCCTTTGCTCTGAGGACAATATCGCCGGTCAGGGTTGACATGACAGCAACGGGCTGAAGAAACAGTTAGGAGGTTTTTTCTCTAATGAAGGGATTGAATCGTGTCGCTTACTCCAATGGTAATGTCCTTTGAGGTGGCAAAGAACCAATAGAGCAACACGCCCATGAACGAGGAGTACAGGCCGTATTGAACCGGCAGCTCGGCCAGCTTAGCATAAGCCATACCTTGGGGCACGACGACAGCACCGACCGTTATCCCTAATAACGGAGGTGTCAGCATACCTATGGGAGCATATCAATGAGAGGATGAGAAAGCATACCGGCTACCAGGTCACCAAACAACCACTGTCGGTTGTACCTTGTGATCCATTGCAGAAATGGGAACAGACTGTAGAAATAGTGTCCGACCTGGCGCCATGTTGGAAAATGTTCGCGAATCCATTCGGCCGTGGTTGGCTCGGGCTCGACATAGGTGTCTGCTGTACCGGTCGAGAAAGTCGATTCACCGCGAGTAACAGGGTCTCCCCCGGCTCCCAAAGGGTCTCGATACTGGACCTTGATGCCCAGGCCCTTTGCGAGGACGTGGCCGACCTTTGAAGCCTTCGGACCAGCCATGACTGGGATGTCTCCTTGGCTGCGAAAGGAGTGAACCTCAACGTTCCCCGCTGAGTTAGGTCTGGCTTTCCAAAAAAAAAAAATAAAAAAAGAGTTCGTCAAGGCCAGGATCGTGGAGACAACCGGGAAGGTTGTGGACAGGTTCCCCAAAAAAAGCCCTGATTAGGAGAGGAAGGGGCTCAACTATATAACAAAAACCCCGACCCGTCTTTTGCGTGACGGAGACTTGGGAAACGTGATCGATCAGACAAGAGAGAGGCTTAGAAAGTCCCCATTCCTGTTGGTAGACACGCGGTTGACAGGGCTAGACTGTGGCAGAGAGATCTGGGGAGGTAAGGCCAATATCCGCTAAGGATGTCGTGATTTCAGCACTCGACAGCGCGAGACGCGCCACAAACACGACGCAACGTATATTATTATATAACCCACGTGGGGAATTTGGTCGAGGTCAATTGCAAAAGAAGCGTAACGGGATTCCCTTTAAAGGTGCAAGGAAAGTAGTAACTATCCCCCAGGGAAAATCAACAGATGCTCGCAATCTGAGCAACGGTGGCGGTTCGTTTCGCCTCGAGAAATTGTGACAAGCAGCGGAAGAAAAACCGAGGGCTCCCAGGTGCCACTCCACTGCGCACTCGTGTCAGTCAGAACAGGCGTTCTCGATAGATTAGATGTGGCCAGATGGTAGGGAGAAGAGAACAGAACGGACACAGGGTGGAGGTATAGTAGAGTAATAATCCCTAGGTACGGGAGGTCCGGGCGGAGCAGAGACACCGATATATTCTTAATTTCTTTAGTAGTAGGCCGCTTCGACAGCATATTAGTATTATTATTATTATGCTGCCCTGGTCAGGGAAGAACTAGATCGATAAGAGACCCTCTTGGTCATCGCCCCAGCAGTAAATTCTCCACGACCCTGAGAAGTTAGTTAGAACATGCAGGTCCATCGGGGCAAGCTTGGTGAGCGGGATGGGTCCAGCCAAGGCAATCCCAAGGACCTGGCCCATTGGATTGGAATTACTAGTTCTGCTCGCGTTGCTTTGATTGCACGAAGTTGTTTGCATCCTCTGCGCATTCTGGCCGTAATAATTAATTAATGATAATAATTGATTCTGTATCCCAGGGGCATCTCAGAGTATTCGTAACTCGAGCATCGGCCGACGCGATGATGAAGCTGGGTTCGCTTAGACTCCCGCTTCCGGCAAGGCGGTGTCGGCAGTCAGGATTTCAGCCAATGAGAAGCTGCCCAGACGAGGGCCGCATCATCGAGGACCACAACATCCGCTCCGCGCAGTCGATCAGTGGCAGCGGGACTCGGCCCAATCAGCAAGTCGTTAGAAGACGCCATATCAACCGGCGATGGTGACAATAATCTGGAAAGAACAAGACACGTTCTTTTTTCCTTGATCGTCTGTGAGAAAAAAAAAATATACCTCCCACCTTCGGCAGTTGTCCCCGTGCCGATGCTCAACTTGCTGTCATCGCTTTTCTCTTTTTCAAAGTGTAACGAATGCTTACACAAAAGCGTGTTCAAAACTCAAGCTAGCCACAGGGCATAACTAGGTATTATTACTCGATTCCTGTAAGGTAGAATCATCAATCAATAAATAATAATACTTCTTACGGCAAGAGGACGAACTGCAAGATGCCGCCGTTAGCACCAATTGCATCTGAACGTGGAGACGATCTTGCCGCTATCTTCTAGCGGCAGCCGCCATGCGTTTAAAAAGTGGTTGATACATACGAACACATCCATACTCCAGATAGTAGAGATCGCAGACGCACACTGTAGTTATGTGCTGCACATACCTACCAAAGCGTGGAACTGCCAAGAGCTTGCGAACCGCTCCCGCAAGGCTCTTAAGACACTACGGTACGCACTCCCGACGATCGAGTTAGTAGAGCAGAATGAGAGAACTCTCAGAACTTAGAAGAAGTTAGGTAACTGTTCAAATAAAAACTTCGGTGTCCCCAACTACCGATCTTTGTTTGCTTTTGCGGAGAAGGCCTCGATCTGTGCGACCGTTCCGAACACGCCATCGCCACCGGGATCACGTCATGAACGCGACAACCGACTGGCTTTTCCTCGAATGGCTTTCTTCGCTTTCTTCTTTTCTTTCTTGCTCAGACTCGTCGCGTGCTTGGCTCAATAATCCGGACGGGATCATCAATCCGGACGGGATCATCGGGTTTCGCACGTGTTTCTGGCATCTTCAAGACTATCTAAACAGGTTATCTATCTATCTATCTGACAATTTATGGTGGATAACTAACGGAATAACCTTAATATTGCGATACGCAAATCTGCCACGCGCAGCGCGCGATCATCACCATATGGTACTTACTCTAGGTAGAGTAGTAGGTCTATCTAGTAGTACATAGTACTATTAATATTATTATTATTAGCAGTCCGCCTCATCTCGTTCACACTTTCCAGTTAGGAGGCTTTAAGCGGTCCAGACCGCCACGGAAGTATATCGATCGGCTTTGAACGTTGATCTATCATTCCATTCCTCCGTACTTAGTTAGCGTATCGCTATTGTTTCAAGTAGATGAAACGCCCAGCCTTCCATTCGCAAAGCATAAATCGTCTGCAATAGTCAATTATTATTATTGAAGAAGTATAGTTAGTACTATGTACAGTACATACATAGACTTGCATCTGGAGATATCTTTGGCTCCGCTCGGACTTGTTAGGCCTCACATGGCTCGAGCGACTCAGATTTCAGGAGTAGTCACTCTATCCCTGAAGCAAAAGATCGATATCATCAGACGACCAAAAAAAAGATTGCAGAACACAGGGATGGGGTTCGATCTGATGCGCACTGGATCAGGTGACCATTCATGCATTTTTGGCATGATGATACATAGTAGCCATCATGGGATTGCTTGCTTGCTTGCTTGCCCCTGAACCCTTGGTCGGTAAGGATAATCTTTTTTTTATTATAATCTATCTGGGTGCTGATGGTGATGATGACTATTCTCTGCACTAACACTGATTACCATCTAGATACTTACATCTACCATGATCCTCTTATTAATAACTCGTAAAGGACACCTGATCGTCGCTAGCTGGCAAAATCGCCTGTGAACGATTCTGTGTCCGTTCGAAGAAGAATCCAGCTTTTCGCAATGGTAGCCTGGTGGGTGCTACAACCAAAATTGAATTCAGAGGAATAGCAAGATTAAGAGATGAAGCTACATCGATTCGGACGTATGTGGATATTTCAAGACACGAGCTGATCAAATGACTGCGTTCTAAACATTATAGGACGCGAAACGCCTCAAGGATAACTACATATAAAGGAGCACAGCGGGAATCATGCAAACCCTCGAAAAAGTCCCCGTCCCGACCGACAGCATTTATCATCAACACACGCAGTAGTAGCAAAGGAAAAGGACAAGCACGGATGGCAAAGGCAACCCTCGAAACCAAAAGTCGTTCCTCTTTCAAACATCGAGACCATGACTGCTATCCTGGGCTAGCCCAGCGCGGAGAACAGCCGTCTCGTCCATCAAGCCCCGAAAAACAATGAGATCTAGTTCACATCGTATCTCATCCATATCGTCCCATCGGCGACTCCAGATCCCTTCCCCCTATGCAACGCAAAGAAATGCCAGAACTCAGGGGAATCAAAAAGAGAAGAAGAGCGGCGAGAGGGAAGGAACAGGTGGATGAAGTGAGAATACGATTCCCCTCGCACAAGTCCCTAAATCCTCAAACAAACGCCTTCGAAGAGCCGAAAGAAATGCCATTGCTTGGTGATGTCCACCAGCGAACGGTATCAAAGAAAAGGAATCTCATATCACATCTCACCGCACCGCAGATTAGACCCCGAAAACGGATCTACTGCGAGGCACACTGCATGCGTTCAGCACCGGGCGGAACGCCATCCTCGTCGTCCTCGTCCATGCCTGCTGCGCCGTGAGCCCGTGCCTGAGCATACTCGCTCTGGTCAATGTCCTCCAGCTGGAAGTCTTCGACCATCGAATCCGCGGGTGGCTGCTGCTGGGGCAGACGAGGCGGCAGGACCTGCTCCAGGAGATGCAGATTCTGCAGCTGGTCACCCTGGGGGAACTTCACGTCGAACTGGATGTAAAGATTGCCGAAGTCGTGATGACGGTAAGAAGGCATACCCTGGCCCTTGATCATCTTGATGGCGCCAGGAGTGATGGGTTCACCAGGAGCGATAGCGACAGACAACCATCGGTCATCCAGGTGCTCAATGTTGATGGTGCCACCGGCCAAAGCGGTGAGAAGGTCGATCTCTGCGTGGTAGAAGAGATCGTCGTCCTTGCGCTGGAACCGTGGGTGCGGCTTCTGCTCGATCTCGAACACCACATCACCGGGCAGAGCACCGGGGATCTGGTCACCCTCGCCTCGGAACTCGATCTTGTGGCCGGGCTTGACTCCCTTGTCGACGTGGACGTGGAGAACTTTTCGCTCGACGATCGTCTTCTTGCCATTGCAGCGCTTGCAGCGGTCGCGCTCGCGGATAATCTCACCCTCACCATTGCAGTCAGGGCAGACGGTCTGGAAGCGTTGGATCATAGGTCCCATCTGGCGCATCATCGTCTTCATACCGGAACCACCACAGCCAGTACACTGCTTGACAGCACCCTCCTTGCCTCCACGTCCATCACATCCTGGGCAAATAACGGATTTCTGCAGCGCCAGTTTGGAGATCTTGCCCCGGTAGATGTCTTCCAGGCTGACCTTGTGCATGTGGTGGATGGTCCTAGCCTTCTTGGGACCCTGCTCACGCATGCCGCCGCCAAACATTCCGCCGAAGGCGCCTCCGCCGCCGAAGAACTGAGCAAAGAGATCTTCTGCGTTCATGCCGGCGCCACCAGCACCGCCCTCCAGACCCTCCTCTCCATATTGGTCATAGATCTGGCGCTTCTGGGGATCAGACAGGATCTCATATGCATGAGACAAGTCCTTGAACTTCTCTGCGGCCTCCGGGGTATTTCCGTTCTTATCTGGGCAAGGGTATTAGAAACAGCATTCCGGAAAGAAGGTGATGTCTGTCATCAACTTACCAGGATGATATTTCAACGCTCCCTTCTTGTAGGCCGTCTTGAGCTGAGATTCAGTGGCATCAGGGGAAACCTAAGCAGCATGTGTTAGCGTCGATGATCCTGTTCAGGTCGTACAGCGAGTATTGCTTACCCCCAAGACATCGTAAAACTTGGTATCTTTGACCATCTTGTCCCTCACCTATCCGTGTACTGGGAGGTTCTGGACGCGGATATAATACAGACGCAAGAAACTGAAATGTAACAAGCTGGAGCGCCGATATTTTGTGTCAACAATCCGTCGAGTGAAGAGGTTCAAATAGAATAACGCAACGGGTGGTCTGGAGGGAGAGGTGAATATGAGGAATGAGGAGAGAGGAGAGTTGTCGAGGTGCCTCTGAAGGGCCTGTATTTAGAAATCTGGAAGGATAGAAGGTTGGAGAAGGAGAAGGGGGGTTCCGGGTGGAGGGTCGAGGAAAAAGAGGTTGAAAGGGCCCCCGGATGTTATCTGAATGGACCAGCGGCGGGTGGGAGTGAGAGGGCTGGTTGGTAATGTAAAGTAATTAAAACTAACCGAACGCCAGGTACCGCGGACGTCCTTTCCGCCACAGAGCTGCGGCTGTCGATACGCCAAGCTTTCCCGTAATCTGGGTCGGAGATACGCAGCAATGATTATCCAGAGTAAAGCCGATGAAGGCGATCGACTGGATGACCTGTTCAACTTTTTGTCGCTCTTCGAGGAGAATAATAATGATGAGGAGGGTATCAGATGGTCGAGAGGACACGGGGGCGGACGATGCAGCTTTTACACGAAACCGCCTCTCAGCAGGATGTTTGTCCAAATGAAACCACAAGGCTGACAGCCGCCTTTCAACTTTTTCTCGTTTCTTCGATACTGTTGCGCACAAGTGGCCCGAGCGCGGACCCGTTCCGGATTCGATGCGATTCCATCTTATTCCATCGACTTCTCAGCTCTTCCAATTCTTCCATACACGGTCACACCGGCAGTGCTGACCCCCCCGGCTGTGCCCTGGTTTGAGATCGATCAGTTGTGCGGAGTTGCGACATCATGAGTCGTCGGAGATCGAGAAAGAATTATTTGCATCGATTCCATCGTCTTCCACCATCGCGGCCTTAATCAACTGAGAGAGAGAGAGAGAGAGAGAGAGAGAGAGAGAGAGAGAGAGAGAGAGAGAGAGAGAATATGGGGTAATTAGATAATCACTCGTGCTCCGTCCGATACCGGCGCTGTAACTGCCCGGTATCGTCGTTGCCAGGCTCCAACGGTCAAGTTGGTCAACCCCCCGTTACCGCCCGGATACCGTACCGGTACAGTACCGTATCGTGGCGCGTGCCCGAGTCAGCCATCATCGGTGGCTGCGAAAAGTCCTTATCGATAAGGGCGGAGCCCCAGATTGGCCCGATCCGGAAAAAAAGGTGAACGCCCCTCACTCGCTCGATCTGGTAGATCCAGGCCCCAGCGAGGGGCTCAACGGTCGTGGCCATCTGTACCAATTCGTCTGTTACCTATAGATAGCATTATTATTATTCTCTCCCCCTTGCCATCCCAATACTAAAGTTATATTCTTGCCTCACGTTGTACATACCAACCATGGAGAAGGATCCAGGCTTCATCGCGGCGGTGGAGGAGGCTAAGCAGGGAGCGTCCGAGGGCGGTGTTCCCATCGGTGCCTGTCTCGTCTCCAAGGATGGCAAGATTCTAGGCCGCGGGCACAACATGCGCGTGCAGAAGGGCAGCGCAACCCTGCATGTCAGTTAATCCCATTCGCCTCTCCTGGTTTTACAGCGTCCTCACGCCAGTCCGGTCACACTACAGGCAGAGATCTCGGCTCTCGAAAACTCCGGTCGCCTGCCCGCATCTGCCTACGAGGGCGCCACCATGTACACCACGCTCTCTCCCTGTGACATGTGCACCGGTGCCTGCGTGCTCTACAAGATCAAGCGGGTCGTCGTTGGTGAGAACAAGAGCTTCGTGGGAGGGGAGCAATACCTCCAGAACCGAGGCATTGAGGTCGTGGTTCTGGAAAATGAGGAGTGCAAGCAATTGATGGAGAAGTTCATGCGGGAGAAGCCCGAGATCTGGTATGTATTTGGTCCCTTGTGTTTTCTTTTTAATCTACCCATCTGCCTGAACTTTTTCTTCCCTGCGTATCGAGATCGCTGATCATCTCGTCTTCGTGGTAGGAATGAGGATATCGGTGTTTGAAATATGCATGACGGTATGATTTTTTTTTCTATCTTCGTCCGTAGGTCAGGCGACATGTGCAAGCATGCAATGTATGACCAGAGTCGTCCCAGCGTGTGAGTTTGTTGTGGAGGAGGCAGAGCGCTCATGGTGAAGCGGTTAGTCGGTGGATTTCCTGGAAGTAGAACCGCAGGTCTTCGGGGTTCACGAAGGGAGTAATGCCTAATGATAGTTAGCATTGAAAACATCGTGGACGGAGCGTAATGTGCGCGGACCGTGTCCCAAGTTGGCAATCCATCCTTTCTTCCCACCGCCGAAGCCCTTGACCATATTCTCTACCACTGCTGTTATAGCCTCCCTACCTCCGTATAGGACGCCAGGGTCGGCATTACCCTGCAGGGTCACCCGGCCCCTTGCGATCTGGTAAGCCTCGGCCGGGTCGTGTAGCCAGTCAAGACCGACGACATTATATCCCGACTCGCAAAGTTCGTCCAGTGCATACCACGCACCCTTCGCAAAGACAGTCATGGGGACTGGCTCCAGATCCAATTGCTTCAGCCTCTTCGGAAGATTCTCAGAGATGTGTCGTAGGTAGGGCAGCGCAAAAGACTTGAAGGATGCTGGAGACAATTCCCCCGCCCACGAGTCGAAGACCTGGACTAGCTGCGCTCCTGCGGCCACCTGCAGAGCCAGGTACTCGACACAGATGTCGGCAATCTTCTGCAACAAAGCCTTTGACTGCTCCGGGTACTTGAAGATCCACGTCTTAGACTGAATAAAGAGCTTCGTACCACCGCCCTCGACCATGTAGCAAAGCAATGTCCAAGGGGCACCGCAGAAGCCAATCAGCGGCACGCGGCCCTTCAGCTTGTGCCGCGTAAGCGTGATAGCGTCGTAAACATACTGCAACTCTGCCTTGACGTCGACCTGCTTCTTCATCACTTTCTCGTATTGCCCGTCGTCCGGCGACTTCAGCGGCTCGGGGAAGACCGGGCCCTTCTTATCGACCATCTCCACGGTCATACCCATCGCCTGCGGAATGACGAGGATATCGGAGAAGATAATTGCCGCGTCAATGAGCCCTGCATATCGTTCAATGGGCTGGAGAGTAAGCGTGGACGCGATCTCAGGTGTGCGGCAGCATTCGAAGAAATCCCGGTTTCCTTTCGCTTCGTGGTACTCGGGGAGGTATCGTCCAGCTGAAAATACGACGAAAAGACGAATCAGTCTAAATCCCACAGAAAAGCCATCATGGCTGTGGAAGCCACTTCATCAATCCATGGTTGGAGATCACCTTGTCGCATCACCCATATCGGCGGGCGTTCAACCTTCTCGCCTGCATATCAATGTTAAGCGAATGGCTTCCCAATTTGCAATTAGAGTCACATACCCCGCGCTGCCCTCAAGAGCAGGTCATTCTTTAGGGGTTCAAAATTGTCAGGCATTTTGGCGATATATGAAGAAGGTAAAATGGGAAAAGGGACCTTGGGAGATTCTAGCCGGCCTTTTGGGGGACCCCGCGGCTCTCGGCGTCGGCCAAGGCGGGTGCGCCGAGCCCAGACTGAACGGCTGTACAATTACACTGTTACTCAGGGTCCGACCTCTAACTAGTAAAGAATATCATCGTTCATCAAAGCAAGATCCGAAGCATCAATCTAGTAGAACGTATTCCAATATTCCCTCATTTTTCCAGCCATTGTTCAACGAGGCCTGTCACGACAATTGCATTCCCATTCACAATATCCACGTCTGGTTTTACAACGAACTCTTTCCATACCAAGGTTCTTGTGGTAAAAGGGAGGTTTGATAATGCAGCTGAGCACTCATGGACACTCATGGACCCCTATAATGTAGCTCATCTGTAATCCCGGCACAGAATTGTTTATAGCCAGAGTTGCTGAGACTTTCAGATACCTTTTCTCGTCTACTCGAATAACGATTCGTCTGTACGCAGAATTTTACCATCTCTTCCAAAATATACAACTCTGGATAGACTAATAAGCCGAACACTGCGATGTAATAGATCGTCTTGCTACACGACAGACTTAATGGCATGTACACAGGATGAACATAATAAAAAGGAGCGGGCTCATCCGATGTCTATGATGTCAAGGGACTCGACACTCCTGGTATAAACTGGCACCGGGTATTAGTATTCAAGGCTGGCATCAAAAACTGATTACGAAGTGTATAGTAATGATTTTTCATATTCCTCTGTCTATACTCAGTACTTGCACCAAGGACTGGCGTAAGTAGCCCAATCATGTATAGCGAGTGTCCTTGGGCTCTGCTGCTCATGGAGCTATCCAAATGAAACTTACATGGCTTCATCACCATCCATATGCACCGATTCGTCACGACAGCCTGTTTGTTGTTGCTACGGAGGCAGTATTAGTGACCTCTTTCCCTTTCATGGTGGAAAGTTGGGAAATTAATCGAGGAAACTGTACAATCCGCAGCTGCTAGGTGTACCACAGAGCGAACTATGCCGGCTGATACCACTCTCACGACATACCCCAGCCCCAAGAGCACAAAAGCCGGCCAGGGGAATTGGTCAAGATAACTACGGGTTTAAATCGCCACAGCCTGGGAATTGTCTACAGAACAGAACCGACGGGCGGGGTTAGTAGTTCCGAGAATGAATACTGGCCAGAAAGGGAAAGGAATTCCAGCACATTGTTGTTCTCTTCAAGCCTACTATAGAAGATGATAATAATGGTCCACCTGGATAATCAGAAGCCTGATTGATTGGAAATAGTAGGTAGTCATGGACGAGATCAACCGCACGGGAGCCGCAGTCGATGCTCACTTACCGTCCCGAGGTACGCAGGAGTATACCTACCTCAACGTGATCAACATACACTTAAGGAGTATAACTATCCACTCCACTTGGCCATCCACGATAATGAGAGGAATATATGGGTTAGAAAAAGTTTCGCGTGTCGCAAGATACCCATGAACGTGGTAGCGTCCTCAAGAGTCATTTGCGCCACTTACGCCCTCCAAGTATAAAAGGGAACGCGACTTCCTCCATCAATATCGACCAAGCCAGCAACCATGGACACTCCACGCAATCCAAAGGACTCGATGGAGATGACCTGGCACAAATGGCCGAGGGAAAAATGGGGTGTTTTCCACCGGGGCATCGAAAGGGTCAACACGTTCCCGATTGATTTCAATAAAGAGGTGCCCGTTCATTCAAAGGAGGAGAAGGTCCCTCATATGCCCGGGTGGTCGATTCATCGTTGGGTCATTCTGTACAGCTCGATTCCTCTCATCCTTCACCAGGCTTATACCTATCTTACTGGCCACTGCCTGGGGCCTATAGCCGCTTTCTGGCTCTACTTTGGCTTGTTTAATGTCATTTTCATAAGGCAGACGCACGTTACTCGACGACTTTCGCACCAATGCGGGTTCCTGGATGGGGACAAGCACGAACGTGATGGTATCCCGGATGTCGGCGTGGAAAAGGTTGCTCTGTCTCTTCTCAAGACGACTGGCTCCCGGATTGCGCTTGCAATCTGGTTGACCTACAAGCCCAACCAGCTGCCCCTGGATATGAGATGGAAATGGCTCTTCCTGGAGGTGGGTCTATATGGGATTGTGCTTGACTTCTGGTACTACTGGTATGCCAGAAGATGATATCTATTTCCTGCCACATTCAGGAGCTAATATTGTTGTTAGGTATCACCGCGCCATGCACGACGTCGACGGCCTTTGGAAATATCACCGCACCCACCATCTCACCAAGCACCCAAACATGCTGTTGGCTGCCTATGCGGACTATGAGCAGGAGTTATTCGACATGGTCGTCGTCCCTTTCTTGACATATACCACTCTCAAGCTTGTGGGGTTGCCCATGACTTACTACGAGTGGTGGATCTGCCATCAATATATTATTTTTACCGAAGTCATGGGACACAGTGGTCTCCGTGTCCATGTTTCCGCAACGTCCACGCTAAGCTGGCTGCTGGACTACCTTGGCTGGAATATCATTATTGAGGACCACGATCTTCACCACCGCAAAGGCTACAGGAAGAGCCACAACTACGGCAAGCAGACTCGCGTCTGGGACAGACTTTTCGGTACCTGCCATGACCGCATCGAAATGAAAGATGAGAACATCGACTACGGGAACACGGTGGCTATGCCTTTCTTTTAGAAATATGTCCTCGAAGAGACGCAAAACGATAGTCAGTTATTGTTATTATTGTTATGGCTATACTAGGCAGGAGCGGGAAAGCGGGAAAGTTCCCTACGAACTACCCTGTCTGTACGCCGAATATAGTGTATTCCTCTAACCATCATGTCAAAACAAAGTATAAGCGCTATACGCATCAAGTACTAGTAGATCGCCGAGTATAAGGTTGGTTATAGACCGCTTCACATGTCCCCGCTAAACCAAACGAAGCGGAGATCATAACTTACAGCCCTAATTCATTCCTACCAGGAAAGACAACCTATCATTGAAGTGGATGGTGAGGCTGACAAAGTTATCGATCTGTCACTGGAGGCTGGCGTGAACACTGATAATCTCGAGATCGATGTTTGGGCGGACTGCTCAGCCTCTCGAACCTCTTAATCCCTACCTGCTTGCTATTACTGCACTACTAAACTCTGCTACCTCACAAACGTGGCGATGATAAGGAAGACATTGTAAAAATTTACTGTTGCATTTGATGAGAAGGGGCTTGCAAAAAGCGATAAGATATCTAATTGAGTAGTGATTGTACGCATCTTATATATATAGGGGCACACCAACACGAGTTAGTTGTGGAAGAGAAAGGATTAGAAAAATTAAATATACTATACTCCCTGATTCTGGCGCGGAGAAGACCCACTAGTACCGAACCCAGGCTCTGAATTATTAAGGTCAAAATAAGGCACAAATAATAAACCTGCAGGTTATTTCGTCTCTTGGTACCACCCAGTAGCACTTCAAGCGACGTAGGGTACATTGAATCGAGGGGTTATACAATTCTTTTTAACCTTGTCCTCCAAAGGTATAAGCTGGGATATATCTGGTTGTTTTGTCAGATCGCAGATCGTCAAAGCAGACAGCTGAACTTTTCATATTTTCAAATGCAGGCTCTTATCTTAATGAGCTCAAGTATATATTGTACAATTATTCCTCCTCTCCATTCGCCCTTTTTCTGAGGTTACCGAGGCCGTACAATGCATCAGTCAGATCTTTCTTTGACTTTTCAATGGCCTTCTCATCGTCAGAGGTAACGACATCCGTGGTTCCCTCAGCATTGACGCTGCTGACCAACGAGTCTTCAACTGCCTCGAAAGTCAAATCGTCCCGTCCCTCAACAACACGAAGGGCCTGTAGAAAAGATTGGGGTGCAGTAGGGTTCTCTTTGAAAGCCTGCGTGGAACCAGACTCATGAACTCCATCCAACGACACGAGGATGGAGTTGTTTTCCCCATCATATGCTACATCCAGTACGTTGGAAGTTAGCTGAATCGAAGGCTGTCGTCTGAGTTGGCCGTCTGATTCCATTGTGTAGCACAAAAGCTCTGGAGATCTGGAATATCTGTTAGGAACATAGAGCTACTGCGAGTGGCAATAAGGAAATCACATACCCTTCAGCAGCTACAAATACTACTTTCACAGCATTTCCAGAGGCAGGTAGTGAGAGTGCCCAGATACCTCGCACGGCAATTTCACGGGACTCTGACTTGTCATCCAACAATGGCACCTTCTGCAGAATGCGGCCTTCTTGCCACTTCCAGACGAGAAGGTGGTCATCTCCTCCACCCGAAACTAGAAGCTCCGGTCGCCAATCAGGAATGCACATCTGAGTGATGAATGAGGTATGGCCGAAACAATAGTTCTCAATGACATGTGTCTGTGGTATTCCTCGAGACACTCGGATATGCTCATCGCGATCTCCAGTCAGAAGGTAGCTCCGAGACTGGCCTGCTGACGAGGGAGAAGGAAGCGAAACATATGTAAGAGCACTGAGCATCGACACATGGCCAAGCAACAGCTTGTGCTCGAATTGAGGTGCTCTTTCTTCTGCGCTCTTGCTGCCCACGCGGAGCTGCTGTTCCAGAGCTTCCAGATTCCGCTTGGTGTGGACAGTTAGATTGGTGGCTGCAGGCTGAAATAGCTTCGGTGTAGAGGGCTTGGCCTGCACAATCGGCTTATCGCTTGGAATTAATGGGAGAGAATAGACATCTCCAAACTTATCACCACATATAATGGTATTGCCATCCGGCGTCAAAGAGATGACGCTGGGACGCTTGGGCATGTGCCTATTTTGATGAGCAGTCTGTTGACTAAAGTTAGGGATTACTTCAGAGTCACCAACCTTTCGCTGATATGCTGAAGGGTACCATCTTTGCCGACCTCGAATACGCGGATGCATTTATCCTCCGGGGTGACGGCGACTATATGATTCCCCGTAGGAGACGTCGCCAAAAGAGAGATATGTGACCACGAAGACGACGCTTGAGATTTTCCTGTCTCTTTGGTATTAGGCTTGGGATCACTGCTGGACCCGTCCGCAGAGGGTGACAATTTTCTCTTTTTTCCGGGAGGTTCCTGACCATCTGCACCGGTGCTTTTCTCGGCGATGTCTGAATCTTGACCATTGGCCGTCTCCTGATCTTGAGGCCAGACACTTAGTCGCCGTCCAGACTCAGCAGCATAGCAGTAAAGCTTTGGACCAGCAGCAGCAACCAATATTCTTTGAGCCGGCGCCTGTGGCTCAAAGAATTGGATGCGCTGGAACGGATATTGAAATTTTGCAGCCATGGCGGAGTCAAATGATGGAGAGCTGCAGAATATACGATGTAATGAGCTTACTGAGCGACGGCAGCAGGATAGTCAGATGGTTGGAAGGACGCCGCGCGACCAGAAAGACAGCTTGACACCAAGGCACTTCATGGCCATTAATTGATCTCTATATCGATTTTGCTATCTGCTGGAGCTGTCGCCGGCCGTACAACGGCGCCACGTGATTGGTCGCGACGGCCCCATTCGGGCTAGTTAGGCGAAGCCACAAGAGAATTTCCTAAATCGCACATCTCGGGAATTTCTCCAAACTCCAACTTCTACGACACCAACCAACATCAGACATTTTCCCTTGCCCTTAAACATCCTATCTTCAGTCAAAATAAGGAGACATGGGGGGCAAGTCCGCTACCAAGGCCGCTTACTTCGATAAGCTCAAGAGCCTTCTCGACGAGTACAAGACGATCTTCATCGTCAACGTCGACAATGTCAGCTCTCAGCAGATGCACGAGATTCGTCTGAGTCTCCGTGGCGAGGGTGTCGTCCTCATGGGAAAGAACACCATGGTAAGCAATTTTTCTGCAGGCAATTGACTATTTCGAGAGCAGCAATGACTGACTATGATTCCAGGTCCGCCGTGCGCTGAAGGGCTTCATCACTGAGAACCCTGAGTACGAGCGTCTCCTGCCCCACGTCAAGGGTAAGTCTCCTTTCAGCGTCAATCGCACTCCTCAAAGCTAATCGGGCGGTCCATGATTATAGGCAACGTCGGTTTCATCTTCACCAACGGTGACATGAAGGAGACCCGTACCAAGATTCTGTCCAACCGTGTCGCTGCTCCGGCTCGTGCTGGTGCCATCGCCCCGGCCGATGTCTTCGTCCCTGCTGGTAACACCGGTATGGAACCCGGAAAGACCTCTTTCTTCCAGGCTCTCGGTGTCCCCACCAAGATTGCTCGTGGTACCATTGAAATCGTCAGCGACCTGAAGCTCGTTGAGGCCGGTTCCAAGGTCGGTGCCTCCGAGGCTACCCTCCTGAACATGCTCAACATCTCTCCGTTCACCTACGGTATGAGCATTGCTCAGGTCTACGACCAGGGCCAGACCTTCGGTCCTGAGATTCTGGACATTGAGGAGTCCCAGCTCCTTGCTACCTTCCAGTCTGCCATCAAGGCCATCACTGCCATCTCTCTGGCTGCCAACTACCCCACCCTTCCTTCCGTTGTCCACTCTCTGGTCAACTCCTACAAGAAGGTCCTGGCCGTTGCTATCTCTACCGAGTACAGCTGGCCTGAGATTGAGGAGCTCAAGGACCGCATTGCCAACCCTGACGCCTACGCCGCCGCGGCCCCCGCTGCCGCTGCTGCTGCTGCCCCGGCTGGTGGTGCTGCCCCGGCCGAGGAGAAGAAGGAGGAGGAAGCCGAGGAGTCCGACGAGGACATGGGCTTCGGTCTGTTCGACTAAGGGTGAGTATCTAAACTCAAGTTGCTGTATTATAAGGACGAGCAATTGCTGACCCGATGTCCCAGGATTCGGTGGTTTCTTCGACCAAACGGTTTGCAGGGGCCATTTTCTGTCACGTGCTACGAATGCGATGTACTAGATACTGTCATGGACCATTACGCTGCTCGTGGTAGAATGGAAAACGAATTGCCAACGTCAGAACTCGTTATTGCTGGCATCATTTGCCGATTAACATAGACGTAGACACAGTTTCTGTGCCTCGTTTATACAACTAAGAAGGTGAGCATCTCAAATCTCTTTTGATACTTGACACTTCACATATCACCCTCATCCCACCGCTGGCGAATGATTAAAAATTTTTAACCCCGAGACCACCATACTGGTGGCACTGAAGATTAAAAATGCAACAACAACACTCTAATTTTTTGATGACGCCCTTCATATACAATCTACACTGTTTATCATTGGATTCATCATCAGTTCTGGATACAATACAGGATGCTAACAGTGTCATTGATTGATAGGTCCATATCCAATTAGAGTGATATTCTTTGTCCCTCGCAACAGCGTAGTCCGTGGGATCTTTCTCTTGCTTCCCTGCCCATACGTAGAATCTTGATCACTCCATGTGGTCGCGCACGAATTACCGGTTGGACATTGCGTTAGTTAGTAGTGGAATCACAAGGCCTAGATTCAAAACAATGAAAAGTATATATATATACGTTCATGACTTCCCGTGCGGTCACTATATAATCAGGTATCTTAAGAAAGGGACAAGTAAACGTCACAAGTAATCGCAACGGTTTCACTTCACTGAGTGCTGCTGGTATATTATTCGTACATGGATGCCGAAGTAATTAGGTGTTTTTGGTTTACTTCGAACCGCCATCCTCTCCTCCCCTTCCAAACCTGCCACCAAGCCCACCCAGATCCCGCCGGAAGAACTTCCCAATATTCTTCAAATTCTCATTGAGATTGGCTGCCGCACTGCCTTCGCCGCCCGGGCTGAGACCGCTGAACGATGCCGAGGGAGATAAAGTCCCCGATGCACCCATAGAGCCACCGCCGCCTGCGCCGGAGCCGAGGGTACCCAGACTTTGGTTTCCGAATCGGTCGACACCATCCTTCGCGGCGGAGATGAGGGCAGAACCTAGGACGGAGGGGTCGAACCGGGTCGGTAGATTCGACGAACCGAGCGATGCTGCGGCCGAAGTTCCTAGAGTGCTGAGGCCCAGACCTTGAGAGACTGAAGTCGAGGAGGTAGTTGTGGATGAGTAGCTGGGCTGCAAAGCTGCTAGAATCGGATTGCTCTGTTGGAGATGAGGGGCGTAGCGCTCTGAAGACCGATGGGCCTGGAAGAGCTCCACAAGGCTGTTCTGCTCTTGTCGGCTGCGGATGCCCTTGAGATCGAGGATTTTACGGAAATTGCCATCGTTGCGGTCCGCAATGTGGACAAGGTACGCTTGAACGAGAGCCTCCGGGGGTGATGGTCGAACTTGGACTGTCTTCAGAAGGGTCTCGATCTTTGAGAAGCTGGTGTTGACACGCTTCACGAAACCTGCTGGAGCCGGTGCGGGGAGCAAAGAGGAGAGACCGGTTTTCAAAGTATAGGAGTCCAGGAGCATCTAAGTACGTGTTAAGAGACTTCAGATCATTAGAGGTTGGTTCTTTCTTACCTGCTCAGCGCCAGTCTCAGACACAGGCCGACACTGGAAGATATTCGATAGGAAAGCATTAGATATTAGCTCCACCAGGTGATCAGCAAATGCTCTCGCATACTGATGCTTGTGCAGCAACTGTAGGATCTCCTCTGCTCTTGTTTTTATTCTTGTCATGAGCTCCCCTACATATGAGCTTTGGTCGCTTACACCTTCGAGTCTAGTCCAAGGTGTGTTTCGCATTTCCCGCCAGCAAGGCTCCAATTCGACCTCTACCTTCCGAACCAGTCCGCGGACAGCAGCGCTCGCCAAGCCCATGAACGAATCCGCTTGGCTTTGTAGGTCCACGCTCTCTTTAAGATTCTCGTCAATTCTGCCCTTGATCTTGTCTTCCAACTGATTGCAAGTCGTATAGCAGTAATCTGCCGTGTTAAGGACTAGGATATAATCTTCCAACGAGGGGACCTTTGACGGAGTTTGCCCCGTAGGCCTTTCACTGATGTAGGGCAGAAGAACATTCTGTGCATATTGATCCAGGTACTTTGCGAATACCCTGGACAGTTCAGCAAGCGGAGCTGCCGTTGACAATTTTGCACATTGTTGCAAGCAGTGGCGGTAAAACGTGAAAAGTTCAGTCGATGAAGCTACCACAAGTTGAGGGCTGAAATCTTCATCCGGTGGCTTCGGCGGCTGTTGTCGGTACTTCGACATCAAGGTAGCCAGCTGCTTGTCTTGCGCCTCGACCCAGACGCTTAGATATGGCTCAAAGGCTTCCGAGATCGCCTGGGTGAATACTGGAGCTTCACTATCAGCGAAGGTATCGATGGATGCGCGTGATACATTGGTAAATCGCATGTCGAGGGAGTGTTCGAAGTCAAGGGTTTCCTGCAGGCAAGACAACAGAAGATTGACATCTAATGCCTGACCACTCCTCACAGATCTCGACAGGATACCCTTGAAATCATCTCTGGTATTTTCACAGAATACGTTGGCCAATATCTCATTCACCCTCCAAGCAGATGGGAATATAGCAGCATGCTCTTCGTCGTACGTCTTCAGCATGCGCTTGAACCACGAGTATCTGCGGGATATGTTATCCAGAGAGCCAGCCTCCTCGTTACCCCTAAATACTTGGCGATATTCTCGTAATTGCGTATTGCAGTACCACGTAACCAGCCTGGATCTGGCGTTCTCTCCCAAAGCATCCATCACCAAGCAACCCTCGGCTAGAGTGTTCTTCTTCTGGGCCACCTCTCCTTTCGCGAAGGCAAGCTCAAAGTCCTCGCAGATCTGCTCGAGCAGCTCTCTTTGGATATCCGCAACATTACGGCTGAGTGTCGCAATTTGATCAATAGAGCGGTACGACTTGAAGTGTGCCATAAGCTGGATCACCGCCTGTAACAATTGAGCACATTCGCGATACTGCCTAGTCTTGCTGAGCGCGCGAAGCTGCTCATATGCCGTCGTCAGCATCTGCAGCCTCTTCAGTGCCGTCATTGACAGAGTCAGGTTCTTCTTTGCGCTATCCAACTGTTTTATGTCCGCCGTCATCTCCGTGATCGCCTGCTCCGTTTTCAATGCCCGTTCGCGCACATCGTCGATCTTCTTGAATAGCTCCGAAAGGTCTGCCTTCGCAGCCTGGATCCGCTCGACACTCTCCGCATTAGAGGTGACCTGTTCCTCCACCAGCCTGGCTATGTCATTGTCTAATTCCTTCTCGTATGCACGGAGCGCTTGAGACGTTTTCGAGACCGACGAGAGAGTCGAGGGGTGGGAGAAGATAGCGTTAAGATGTTCGACGGGGTCATAATCATCTTGAGACACGTATTAGATCTCAAATAGCGCTGCCGATTCTCACGATAACTTGTTTCTCACCTGCGTCCAGAGGGTCGGGACTCGAAGCTCCGTTGGCGGGCATATGGTTCGTGGACAACATTCGATCGGATCTTCAGCAACGGATAAAGCGCATGCTGCGACTCTCTGGGCGTCGAAACACCGATTTCTTTTATTCCGATCGCTTTCCAGTTCTCCAGAGCACCGTTCTGGCGTTACAAACAAGGACAATGTCTTGCGATGGTGGCTTCGTAATGACCAACGTAGCGACCAAGTCGGGGAGTTGATGAAGCTCCCGAAGTGGTCTAGTGCCAAGCAGCTTGGCATCCAGCACGCCGTTCATTATTATTGTTTCATCTTGATGGATTCCCTCATCATCCTTTATTTATATGTCGGACTCCACGATAGACTATATATAGTTTATTGACACCTTGTTAGGGTTGTACGTATAGTGACTTCAGATATGTGGTAATCAAGTTATGATTTCTGAAGAACAATGATCGACACTAGAAAAGAATGCAATTGTTTTGATTTAGTCGAGTGGTCACGACTTGGTATCAATCTCGATAAACACAGTAGAATCTCAAATTTCCCCTCGTTTGCTCGAGCATGAGAAAATAGGAACCAAATTTCAATCACCAGTACAAAATTAACACCCTGTGATTCGCCATGCCATGCACATAATTCCGTGATATGCGTAATAATTTTACAAAGATAACAACGATCACCTGCTTACGTCTCCAGCAGAGTCGACTTCGTGAGAAAATAAAAATTTTATGAAACTGAAGAGAAATCATCTCGATGTGCACTCGTGTAGTAGAGGAACTGATCAAGCACCAGGGAGGAAGGCGTCAGGAGGCAACTTGCCCTGTGTCTACACCCAAGTTAGTAAGAGAACAGATTGTCGACGTCGTGTGCGAAGTGAGCTCACCTTCAGTTCTTCGAAATTCTTCAACGCGGCCTCCATGTTCCAAGAGTTGCCTGAAAGCGCCATCTCTGAATACTGCAGAGTCATCTTGGTCTTCAAGCTTATCTCCAGAACCATCTGCTCTTGTTGAACTTGGACTTCTGCTTTGCCTGGTGCCGGCATACCATAACCTTCAGGAGCCTGTGGATGAACGGGCTGAGGGACTGCCGGGACTGCCGGGACTGCCGGTGCTGCCTGTGGCTGAGCTATCTGAGGATTGACAGTGGCCGACTGGCCGTCTGGTCCCCAAGCTTCGTTGCCACCATACGCCCTCAAACAGAGCATGTCATTGACCACTCTCAAGCCCCCAACTCCACCACCGGGGCCAAGCACGAAAGTACGGTCAAAGCTCCGAGTCTCGACTTTGGACGGGTTGGACGTGTTGATCTCATCAAATTTGCCGTGCACCATGATCAAAAGACCACCGACGCCAGTCTCACTCTGTCCAGTTGGATCGGGGAGACCGGGGACCGGGTGACATTCAATGAGCCAGTCCTCTGGGTGAGCCATCATGTCAGGGTGCTTCGTTTTCGGCAGGGTATTCCACACCTCGCGGATCTTCTCAGCCCCGGTGTAAGTACGAGACATACGAGCGGGAAGATGGCTGATCTTGAGTAAATTCCTGCTTTTCTTGATCCACTGGTCCCAGCTGGCAGTCGCATCCGACTGTAAGGCTCGCGGGGCGGCTGTATTGACACTGAGAGAGAATGTGGAACTGTTGTCGTAGATACCATTCACCAGATCATTCCTGTCGTTGTCGAATCCGACAAAGAAAGCTTTGACAAAGTTCTCCGCGATCTGAGAGTCATCCTGGAGATATGGAGCCTGGACTGGAATAGGCGTCTTCTTCTGAGCGGCAAGTTCCTCCGCTGTCCGAACTTCTATGTTGTTCAACATCCTCAATCTCGGATACCATCTGAGCATCGTATCCTTAAATTTAGGATCGGCGCTGAATGGTGAGCCGCTAAGGTCGAGGAACTCGAGATGCCGGAACTTCCATCTCCAGTTGATCAAAGCCTGCGCGTCCTTGAAAGCGTTGTTGGATAGGTCGAGGTTTTTGAGGTCGGGGAACGTTTGCGATAGGGTAGTAACAACGGAGATGTTAGATAGTTGGTTGTTCGCGAGACTGACACTTTCAACAGCTTCGCGTCTAGCCTTCGCGTTGTCAAAGCCCATTTCCCACACCTTCATCAAAGCAGGGAAGAATTTCGATTGGGTAGACATGCTGTTGAACATGCCCATCTCCAGCAGATCCGGGTCGCTGGCAAGATTGGAAAGATCAAGCAACTTTGTCTGCTGGTAGTAGCGCTTGCCGAGGAATGCAGTCATTTTGGCTTTGGTGTCAGCCGTTGTCGGCTCACCTGCTCCTGCCGCGCCGCCGTAGCGCTGGATGGTAAGAGGGGCGCCTGCAAAAGTGAAGCCATTGATCTGAAGCATCCTGTCTAGAAGTTCTGGGCGAATAGATACTATGAGGGAGTCGCCTTCAACGCGCGACTAATGAATGTTAGCAAGGCTAAAGAGACCTTGGAGGTGTTGCAGCCACCCAAAACGAAGATGCGATAAGGCCTAGGGAGTAGTCTCGGTCGTCGTCGTGGAACACCGTCATGAAACGAGAACACACCGGAGAGGACGCTGCGAATCCATGTCGGTAACCATCAGATGTCGATTCACACATACCTTTGTTATCTTTGCGCGGGCACTGTTCGGGGCCTTCGAGTCTTGCGGGGTGATTTTCTTTTCAAGAAATGCGACCAGACTCTCAAGGCCACCGTCGGGGTTGGATGCCGCCTTGCTCTGCTTCCATCCAGTGACACTGACTTGTTCCAATCCTCCCCTGGCTTGTCTAATGTTGGCTTGAGAGTCGACTTTGCCAGTGAGCGCTTTCTGGATGGCGTTTAAAGTTCTCTCACGATCGGGGCCGGCTCTTCTCTGATCGCGGCCCTGCGTCTGGCCACCAGCTGGTGTGCCTCGTCCAGAGTCACCGCGCGACCTCTTTCCACCACGGCCACGACCGGTTGGCCCATCCATATCCAGATCACCGTCACGGTCCATACGCGTAGCGCCTCGTTTGCGAATGCCTCCGCGATCCGGGGCGTTAGATCTGCCGCGAGGGCCTCTGTTTCTCGTGCTGTTCATGGTCGCAGCGGACATCTTCAACATCCCTCCAGCGGCAAGGAAATAGAGAACGGTAGGCGATTTGCAAAAATAGGATGTCGAGGCAGACGGAGCGCTCAGCGCCTCAACTATTGCCGTTCCGTTTTATGGCTTGCGCATACAGAAGGGCTGAGGACTCGAAAGGTAGAAGAGCTCAGTATTAAGAATAAAGAGATGTTACAAATGTAGGTGGCTGGGTAAAACGCACCCAGCGTCAAGTGTTCTTGGGTGAGTTGAATGAGGGTATGAAGATCAAAGAATAGGCTTGACGTGAAGCAAGAGTTTCCTGTTGAGGCGATGACGGAGATGACTAAGCAAGGCAGCAGATCGCATGCATGTCACATGATACACCCAAAGAGGCTTAGCTCTCGATGTGCCCCGCGATCCAATCACCAAGCGTTGTCTGGCCTCAGGTATTGTCACAGCGATACCGGGCATTTCATACAAGGAGTCAAGTAGTACGCGGAGTATTGGACAGCTTGCCGGAAGGGTTCAGGCGTGCTCTTTGCTGATAGCGAAGGTGGCCGCATCACCAGTCTTGATTTCTCTCTTCTCTTCGTTCGCACGACTCAATTGCCCATTCTCTGGAGCATTCTCAGCCTTGGGTGGATCGGATGGTCTGTTGCAGCTAACTACTTCTCCCAGAGCCCTCGACGCAGGCGCTAAGTGGTTATCCATTGAACTGCATCGCGTAATTACCTCTGACCATCGCTCTCTTCGCGTCCATGGTGCCTCGAGTATAAAAGATAATATGCCTGCCAAATCACGGTTTACAAGGCTAGATGCCTTCGCGAAGACAGTGGAGGATGCGCGCATCCGCACCGCATCGGGCGGCATTGTCACGATAGTTTCGTTAATCGTCATCCTATGGCTGGTCTGGGGAGAATGGGCGGATTATAGACGGATCGTTGTTGAGCCGGAGCTGATCGTGGATAAGTCAAGAGGTATAGAACGAGACAGATATTCATTCCGTATGCGAGTTGTCAAGAAGGCGCAAGCTAAATATTATGTTGGTACTATGCAGGAGAGAGGATGGAGATCCATCTAAACATGACGTTCCCGCGGCTTCCATGTGAGCTATTGACACTCGATGTGATGGATGTCTCAGGAGAACAGCAAGTGGGTGTCGTCCACGGAATTAACAAGGTGCGACTGAGATCGCCTGCGGAGGGTGGTGGTGTCATTGATATCCAGGCACTTGAACTGTGAGCAGCAAGCCCTCCCACAATTGACACTTTCACGGTCACTCTAGATCAATGCTGACATCTTCCCCCAATGCAGCCACGCGAAGGAAGACAGTGCAGCGCATCTCGATCCTGAATATTGCGGCGAGTGCGCTGGAGCTCCCGCACCCCCGAACACTATCAAACCCGGCTGCTGTACCACCTGTGAGGAGGTCCGAGAAGCATACGCGTTGAAACAATGGAGTTTCGGAGACGGCAGGAATGTCGAACAATGCAAAAGAGAAGGTTACACAGCTAGACTCGAGGCACAGCGGAAGGAAGGTTGTCGTCTGGAGGGTGTTATCCAAGTGAACAAGGTCGTCGGGAACTTCCACATCGCCCCCGGCCGCAGCTTCACGAACGGTAACATGCACGTTCACGACCTAGATAACTACTTTGATCCGAATCTCCCAGAGGCAGAGAGACACACAATGACCCACGAGATCCATCAGCTGCGTTTCGGTCCACAGCTCCCCGATGAGCTCGCAGACCGCTGGCAGTGGACCGACCACCACCATACCAACCCTCTTGATGGCACGAAACAAGAGATTCAAGACCCAGCCTACAACTTCATGTATTTCATCAAGGTCGTATCAACTTCCTACCTCCCCTTGGGCTGGGATCCTACCTTCTCCAGCGCAATCCATACCGCATTGGACAAGGCACCACTCGGCCAGCACGGCTTCGGATACGGCGCTCAAGGCAGCATCGAAACGCACCAGTACTCCGTCACATCTCACAAACGATCTCTTATGGGCGGCAACGACGCCGCAGAAGGCCACAAGGAACGTGTCCACGCGCAAGGTGGTCTACCCGGCGTCTTCTTCCAGTACGACATCTCTCCCATGAAAGTCATCAACCGGGAGACACGTCCCAAGACCTTCACTGGTTTCCTCACCGGCGTTTGTGCCGTTGTGGGAGGTACATTGACCGTAGCAGCCGCCATCGACCGTGGCTTGTACGAGGGCGCGTTGAGAGTGAAGAAGCTTCATTCCAATTAAAGCCAACCCTCAAATACTCAGCAAGATATATAAAAGATTAAAAAAACAAAAGATGATATAGAGATGGAACAAACCCAGGACTCAGGGACAAGCAAGGAATAAAGAGATGATTCTCTTGTTCTTTTATCTCCATAGTGGTGGGAAAGTTTCTTTGCAGCTTAGCTATATAGCGAAGCAAAGAGCCTCTTCTTTGGAAGTTTCATCCAATAGCAAAAGGAAGGCGTTCTTACTTTTCTTTTTATTCAACGGATTTGTTCTTGTTTGTGTTTCTCATTGCTTTATCCCCCCTGCCACTGTTAGGCTCGTGTATTCTGTCTGCCTTAGCCTTGTTTTCTGTGCTTCGATGCGTGCTTTTAGTTATCTCTAGCGGCATTCAATCTGGGACAATTTTGGGAGAGGGAAAAAAAGAAAAAGAAAGCGGATTAACCCTCCTTGATACTTACGCATGGTAAAAGCATTAAGACTCGAGATTTCCTACTAGGTAACAAGTAACTACGAAATAGTGCTCAGGAGAGAAAAAGTATCGGTATTCAAAACATCTGGCCACTATGTAACAAGAGTACACTACAGTAGATGTCTAACTCCATTCTGCTGCATAGGGAGAAGCAAAATAGCAAGAACAAAATCTTTGATGATGAGGAGGAAAACCACAACTTGCTCTTATCGCGACTGGTCTCATAGCGAGGCAATATGACAACTTAAAAGGAAAGGACAAGGAATGGATACCAACAGAGACATGGAACAAGAACAAGACGCCTGATCTATGTGCCAACTCCGTTCGATGATGAGGATGCAGAAGATGCGACTAATTGCCGACTTACTCTTGTGGGATTCGTGCAGGCATAAAGCTTGTAGCGGGGCACAGATCTAGGAAATATCTGGCACAACTGGAATAAGAGAAATCAATTGAAACCCAAATAAGAGAAAACACAGAAAAAGGAAACACTCAGAGGTATGTTATGACTGGGACTCTTGCTGCAAGAAATAGGCGGCGCATTCTATCTGCACGAACACTAGACGCCGTTAAAATGCAAGGGGGATAAATAAGCACGTAAGTAGAAAGTAAATGCTTGGTCATCATGGATCTCAGTGCAGTCTCAAATCCTGAGGTCCATCCTTGGGAGACACTCAGCGATTATGCGAGAATTGCACCCCAGCATCGCTATAGGTGCCAGGATATTGTTGGAAATACTGATTCGGTTGAGACATAGGAGGCGTTGACTGCTGAGGCTGAAACTGCCCCGCCCAAGATTGTCGACCACGCCCGTTCATCGAATACGTTTGGTCTATCTGAGTGAGAGCATCCCACGTGCGGTTTGCCGTCGGAAGATTGTACATGCTATGGCCACGAGCATGCTGCTGCTGCATAGCGTACATTTGTGCCTGTTCTTGTTGCTGACGTTGAGCGATAGCATATTCAACCATCTGATTGCTCATTCCCTCCCTCATACTCTGCCTTTCTCGCTCGCGGACATCGATTGCACCCACAAGAGTAGCCGGATTCATGGGAGCTTGCTGCCTACTGTTATTCGATGAGATGTTAAAGAACGACGATCCAGTAATTCGAGCAATATGTTCCTGTTCTCTGGCAGACAGATGTGAAGTGATATCATTGTAACCAAGCGTGCTACCGGCACCGCGAGACTGAGGGCGAACTGGCAACTCTTTAATGTATGAAGGACGACGCGTATGAGCATTCCAATCAGCCGAGGATGGTCTGGGTGGTGGTGTCATTGAAGAGCTGCGCTGATGGGCGTAGGCCGGGGATGGCTTCCTGTTTATGACGGCCCGCTGTTGAACGAATTGCTCCGGTGTCAAAGTTTGACCGGGGGTGGAAGGGCGAGCAGAAGCCATGCCTGGCTGCCAATAGACGTTGCGACGAAGCTCATCTCCGCTAGGAGATCTGGAATGAGGACGGTCCTGCCTCGCCATTCCTGGGCTCTCCCTGACTCCGGCCAGAATCTCATTGCGACCGACAGTAGCATCAGAACCTTTTCGATGATGTCCAAATTCGCCTAAAGCATCCGGTGCACGAGGGCTCTTGGTGGTCGGAACGTAGGACAATGTCGGTCCGAAATCGACCGCTGGGATCTCTGCTTTCGGCGTTGGTGGAGCGTCACGCCTGTACTTAGCATCACCGATAACTAGTTCTTCCGGTTCAGGATCAACCCCGACGGTCTTCAACACGCCCATCCTTGGTCTCGGGATTGACTGCTGAGAATTTTTGCTGTCTATGGACTTGCGAGTGCTTGCATAATCAGGAGAAACAGTCGAGGCGTCGTCGTCATCATAGACACTCTCCTCATCTGGCCGACAGTCTCGATCTGTAGAGAATGATGTCTGGCGGGCAACGATACGATTAAGAGCCTCCTCATCAAAAGCGTGCCGGAAACTTCCTAGACTGGCCTCGCTGGGGCTATCAGCTGGCGGCTCCGGTCGTCGCTGGGGCACAGGTTTCCGTGTGATAGCTTTGGTAGTATCGATCTGGGGGAGATGCGAATAGCGCTGAGGGGAGGAGTGTGCAACATCCTGAACTCTGGCGTTGAGATCATAGGAACCATGAACGGGCACGGACGGGGGGCGCTCATCCGGGGTCGCAGTCTTATTCCCTGGAGTCCTTTGGGGGAAGACGTTCGCGTTAGCAGTGGCACGAAACATGCTGGTATCATCATGTATTACTTCTCGCTGGTCTATCCCTCCGGCTCCGGGATCCTTGCGTTCCGTGGCGCTGGCCAATCCTCTCAAGTTTCCTGCCTCAACAAGTTGCGAAAGGGTGGCGTCCGACATCCGGACTTTGGCCTTCCTGAGATCCGGTGAAGGTAATGGTCTAGTCTGAGGAACCTCTCCAGGGCTGTGTGCAAAGGCCGGCGGGCTGACCACCGGGGACGGAGGTGAGCTTGGTCGAAGATGCTGTACCACAGTTTCCGCATGGGTGGCCTGCAACTCCTTCGTCTCACTGTCGGAACTAGTGTGTTCGCTGGATTCCTTTGTGCTAGGCCGTTCTTCGCTCTCCAAAGACTCCGGGTGAGGTTTCTCCAAAGGAGTAGGCATGTACGATTCGCGTTGACGACCCATAGCAAATCCAGTGGTATCTGAAGCGGCACGTGTGTGGGTGGGTGTTGAATAAACCGTTTCGGCCTTTGGCGAAGCCTCGTACACGGCATCTGCAGATTGATTGAACTCGAGATGTACTGCAGGGGTAGTCACAGACCGCTTCGAGTCGCGATACCGCAATGTACTATTCCGCGAGGGTAGACTCGCCCTCTGACGGCGCGTTCTGATACTATCAGTCCGGCTTCCCTGAGTGGCCATCCGGCGAGCAGTGGCGTCTTTCAGTTGCTTCCTCCATTCTCCTTCGCTCCAGTTCCGGCTACCCTCCTGCTGGATCAAACTGGCAACATCCAGAATATCTAGATAGCCATATCGCTTGTGCTTTGGGAAGGCAAACATGATGCTCTTTGCGTTGTTTGTATCCGCCAGAAGACGCGTCGGCCGACCGTAGAGAGAGAAGGTGTCGAAAATGGGGAAGAGGAATCGCAGCATCATTTCGAAGCCAGACACGGCCGGGTGCACCTCTGGCATGATAAATACGAAGCCCTCCGTCGTCGACTCCGGTTGTGAATGAATGACGATCTGCCCTTCGACCTTGACCAAAGTGGATTGGTCGATTAACGGCTTCGACTGGGGGTAGATGGCGTAGGCTGCGAATGCACCCGTGATTGTAGCAATGGGCTTCGTCTTCTTCGTCTTCTTGGTTTCATAGAACTCGATGTTTCCAGTGGGCATGGGAGGAGGCCTGTCATAGGCCGATTTTTTCTTCATCGTCTTCTGCAGCTTCTGGTACTGCTTCTCGTCGGGCGGGTTGATGACACACCAGCAGCGTCTCCAGGGCGTTCCCGCGCCGAATCTCACTCTAACCCAGTCTTCTTGCTTGAATCGAGTGCGCTCCATGATGGATCGAATGTTGTTGAGCATCTTGCCCTTGCCCGCAATAATCGAGCCGGTGTAGGCCTCCTGCAGAGAAGCATGTTCAAACATCGCCAGACGGATACCAGCCGTCCACTGCGTCATGGAATGGAAGGAGTTGAAGTGCAGTAGATATCGGTTCTTGCCCGCGGTCGATACGCTGAGCACGTTCTGCAACGGCTGAATTCCTGGGTTTCGCGTGGGCAGCTGATCGATCTACACATGTGCGAAATCTGATTAACGCAACTGTCTCCAGAGCACACAAAAAGTAGAGGATAATCTTACCATCTTGATCGAGGCGTCTGCTAGGTTAATGAACGTCGGCGCAACTTCTCCATCGTGACCGGCTGCGTCCAGCGCAGACGCATCCCACAAGGAGAGGACCGTTCCGATCAGCTGTGCAAAGTATTCGACCCATTGTCGATCGGGGCACGGCCGTCCATCTACAATTTCACGTCAGACAGATTCACTTCCACATTCTCCGCCCACAGTGATCTACATACGCGAATCCAAGTCATTCAGCTTCAAAAAGTACCCTTCCTGGTACAGCTTATTCGAATGACTATTCAGAAAGGTAAAGATAGGAAACAATTCGGGTAACGTGTCTTCCGTGACATCCATCAATGGGGGATGCAGGGAAAAGGCCATCGACGCAGGACGTAGAGTGAAGCGCTCTGGTCTCATCGTCGTCGCGGCCGAAGCCGTGGACACTTCCCGCGTAGTCGCTGACGCATACTGATCTGGGGACGGGTTGTCGACTTTGGGCTCTACCTGTGGTTTCGATAGAATGGCAGCTGTCGAAGCCGCGGGACTCTGGTCTTGATTGTCACGGCCATGGAGATGATGTCGGCCAGGCCCGAAGGTCGATATGAAAGAGAAAACTGATGCGACGCAAGGGGGTCAGCAATCCGCGATAAACATTTGCACGATCCGATCCGATCTCAAGCATCGATCTACTTACCTCGAGAGCGACCCATGACGGGTGATCGTCCGTGTCAGAACGGGAAGCCTGTTCGACCGTTCAACTCGAAGGAGAGGAGTCTGTAAACCGGAGCGATCTTCGGCCTGGGGACAGCCAAAGCGACGAGGTCGGATGCCAGATAATGGCTGGGAGGAGCAGAGAATACCGAGGACAGAAGAGGTCGAGGAGAGAAGATGACTACCGGGAGCAGGGGAGTTCTTAACCCGTCTTCTCCACTGGCGCCAGAGAGACGTTCTGGGGACGATGAGGGCGTCTATCTGGGCTGTTCCATGGACAGAACTATGATCAAGCGAGTGGAAGGGCTGGAAGCGGAAAGCGAAGAACCGGAGGAATGTAGAGTAAGCGAAAGTGCTGCAGATAATGACGTCGGTCTTCTAGAAGGCTGACGGACGCTTGTTCACGATGATCTTCGTCCCCGAGAACAGGGCAGAGCAGTTGGTGCGGCCCAGAGAAGAAACGATAAGAGAAAAGAAAACGAAGGAGGGATGGTGGTGGTGCTGGTGGTTTGACCAGACTGAGGAGAAGAAAGAGAGAGAGAAAGAAACGGGGAGGCAAAAAGAACTAGTTCCTACTGAGTACTGACTGACTGACTGTCTTGTCTGTCTGTTCTCTCTGCGTATTCCCGTGGTTAACCTATATCCAGCAAGAGCCGGTAATACCGGAGATGCTACTATTTGTTACCTGAGAACTAGAGTAACTACTACACTACTAATACTACTGCTGAACGATGACTAGTCTTGACGGTCCGCGACTCCCGCGCCCTCCGAGAGAATAGTGAATCCCGATAGCTTACCCCAAAGGGTCAAAAAAGAATGTTTCTTGGGGTGTGTTGTTCCGGATCCCTGAGCATGTCTCAAACGAATGCTGACACTGACCGATGCGTCGTCTGCCACAGAAGAAGAGAAAAAGAGAAAGAGAACGAGAGAAGCTGGCGTCATCCCCTCTGGATCGCACTAGATAACTATCTAAATCAATTCAATTCTCCACCAAGCATAGTATCACCGCGCGTCGTCCTCGTCTCCGCCATTGATCGGGCTCTTCAGCATCATCTGGGGACCGGGTCGCCCTGGACTTCACCAGACTCTTTACCCCAGCGCTCTCATCCAGTCCAGTTGCCATCCCCAATTTTAGCAACCTTAACGGCGCATGTCTTACGACGACTTGCGGCACGTCCAACGCCGCCAAGCACCCGCTGATCGTCTTGACGGGTTGGATCATCGATGAGACGTGGAATCGAACCGTGGCGGCCTCTCATCGCTGGAAGATGGCCTACTAAAGCCGCCGCTAGGAACCCAAAGGTAGCAGAGATTGAAAACCCGTCAACTAGGCCGATGGACCATCATAGTCTCGGTTCCTTGGACTCTCTTGGCTGCCCGCAACGGTACGATCGTTCGTCTGCTCTTAGCCGCCCAGTCCCCGCTAACTCAGCCACATCTTCTTGATATGCGAGTTATCAGCCAGCTCTCCATGCAGTCAGAGTCCTCATGACTAACATCATCCGTCCCTGCGAGAGAGAAAAAAAAAAGGTCCAGAAGAACCTAACAATAACAAGGGCACTAAGAGAGGGAACACGCGGTTGTTCGAGCGGCCGATGTTTCACAGCTCGTCCGTGCGTCGTCGTCCGCAGTCATCCGTGAAAGTCGAAGAAAGAGAGGGCCCATGCGATCAGTAACTGATCTTCCTAACAAAGGGCGGCATAACCAGTTGATCTACTCCCGTGCAGAGTACACCGAGGGGGATGGGCAGGCTTATACGGTGCCGGCGCGATTCGAGCGGGAAGCTTCTGATCGATCTGTGGCTGGTTTGATCACTCGCTCCATAAAATTATCTGCGAGTATGGATTAATACTCCATACGGAGCAATGAACACGGTGCAAAAAGAATGCACGTTCGTGCGAGCAAGGGCCACTAAGGATTCTCATCCTCGAACGCGGTCTGTTAACTACTAACTACTACTTCAAACCTCCGATGAGCTTTTTCCTTTTTTTTTTCGCGCATCCCGGGCGGAGGAGGTGGAGCCGGTAAGACGCAACGCTTTTGATCATCTTTTGATGTACGGAGTAATTAACTTACTATATCATCATCGCGCGTAGAGATGGACACCCGACTCGTAAGCTTCCGCGTTTCAGCTGAACCAATAATATCCTTCGTCGATGTTGTTAACAGTCACTCTGTTCTCGATACTTTGCCCTTTACCATAATATATTGACAACTATATACGGAGTACAAGGATCGGAGTGTTATCCGCCGTGGAGCTTTCGGCGGCCGGCATGACCGGGACAGGAACCACAGTCGCGAAACCCGTGGAAAAGAAAAGGATACGAAAAAAAAAAAGACTCGAAACGCATCATGAACCACAGTTAACATGCGACAAGGTTATTTCTCAGACATGGAGCCCCTTCTTGGCAACGCGCGGGTATCGTTTTACCTCTTATCCCAAACCACGGAAGACTCACGATTGGGACAACCTTCTTTTACAATTGACAGCATTGTAAGCAACTTGAACTTCTTGATATTCCGTTTACAGAGCTGTCCGGAATGCGTGCTCGATCTGATACCCAAGCCACCTACCTAATTACGCAGGTTATATCTACATATCCTCACCGGTCAAGCAAAAGAAACCAGAAAATTGCACACACACACACACACACACACACACACACACACACACACACATAATATTATTTACCTTTCATGGAAGATCTGTTAGTTCTAACACTGTCAGCAGACTCGGAAAGAAAAAACACCATCTAGTTATACGTCACTACTTACCCTCCTATCCAAATGCACGGGATGGGATCAGCCGGATCTGCAACCACCCTAAGTTAATCAATAATTCATCATGGGCTTTTTTATCGACGGAATACGAGTAATCTCCTGCATAGCAGAGCTCACGTTTTTTATTTCTTAAGTGCGTGACGATCGCACGGGTTTCATGGGTCATACCGTCATGGGCTCTTCGGAGTACACGGTGTCTCGGTCAATGTCAATCCCTGCTGCTATTATCTTCAGAGTACTCAGCCGTGAAGCCGATGATCGACCCGCCCGCGAAGGACTCGTCCTGTAGTCCTCTGGATCGGTCAGACTGGAGGTCGCGTATCGACAAGGCTTTTTACTCCATGGAGCACGGATGTGGTGTCCGTAGTTCATACTCCGTACTTTCGATACGACTTCGCTGTAGATCCATCGAGGCGATCCTAGCTGCTTATTTGCATCCGGAACAGAATATGGAGCAGTAGTTATGTACGGAGTACAGCATTACTAACTTCTAAGTGGAACTCGGATGGGTCTCGCATTATATAACTAAAATCCATTCGGAAGGTTAAACTGGGGCAGAAGAAAAAAAAAATCAGCGAAAAGAAAAGAAAAGGAGACAAAAAATACCATAGTGGTCTATCCACCTCACTAGCCCTATGCTGAGGAAGTTATGATTCAGAATAGTTATGCACTATTTTATTCTTCCACTAGCATTCTGCAAAGAGCAATCAGTGCCTCATGATAACTTCTAGGGATAATAATAATAACTCTGTGCTCTGCTTTATCAAAGTATACACCACTGAGAGCTTGGACCTAGATTATCTAGATAACCGTTCTTTGGACTCTGGAGCTTTCCAGATCTCAGACCAGAAGTGTTTCGAAGCGACGAAAGTATTGAAGTGATCCAAAATTCGGGGGTTATACTTAGATCCATATGCACATACTCGGTACACGATAACTAATATCTTTTTTGTATTTTATGTTTTTTTTTTTTTTTTTTTTTTTTTTTTTTTTTTTTTTTTTTTTTTTTTTTTTTTTTTAACACTGGCTGTCTCACTGATAGTAATGCGGCAAAGCTCATGCTCTCTTGCAGTGACCATTGTTCTAAAGCGGCAGCTCAACCATATAAACCCCTCTCAGAGTCTCAGGCAAAGTATAATCGGTAATCACAGAGGCCATCTATATGGCTATTCCAACCCTTCAATCCGAAATGTTTGCTAGCGGGAAAACTACGCAGGCTCTGTGCCACCTGTTGAGGTACTCAGCGCCTCAGACCGTACATTAACCAAGAAAGGGTTTGAGCAAACAATACTACAGTACAAACTCGACTGAACCCCTAAAGAGGCTCGCATCTATGACTTCCTCCAAGATCATGAAACATTTTCTTCTACTTAGTCTACCTAGTAAAGATCTATTCTTGTTCCCTGCATATGCTGCCTGTATCTGTATCGTTTAGCCAATGAAGAACACTCTGTAAGCGCCCTCATCATTGGAAACCCTCCTAGCGCCCTGATACCAACCACTCAGCTGTATGATCTTAGCGCCTACAAAAGGACGTTCTTTTCCTCACACGGCAGGTTGCATGAGGCTGTGACAGCGACGTAAGCCAGAGATGACATGTGCAATGTCGGGCGTCAGGTTTGTAAAGGTCGAATTTCTCTGCTGTGATTGAGCTTCATCACGAATCCTTTTTTCTATTATACTCGGGAAATACTAATGTATGAAATGGCAGGTGGACATTCTTCTCCATCTTACGAGAACCTGTCGAGACCTACCAGGACCGACGACCTCGTTGGACGTCTATTGAGCCCTGCCACTAGCTCTAACGAGAGAAGGGCATTGGAAGCATGGGCAAAGGCCATGGTCCAAATCTTCCAAGATGACCCTAAAAACTCATATATTTTCGAAGCGGCCCATCTATCCTGGTGTGCTCCTGAGAAGGAATATGTGGATCTTCTAGCAGCATTTTCAAACGTCATCATCCAAGGGACAAATGACGGGAATATACTCGAATCAACACTCCTCACTAGTTTCGCCCATGTCCTTCGTCGAGCTCCGAGTACACTATCGGCCGAAACTGCAAAACTCGGATCCGTCCTACAGTGTCTTCAAACAAGGCTAGAAAATGCTGTCAAACGAGCTGAGATCGAGACCCAGTATCAGCTCGTGTATATGTTGTCTGTCGTCCTGGATGCCATGGTGGATATTCGTGTTTCTGGTCTCAGCAGAGAAGGTTTACATGAACCTCTTCTCAAGCAATTAGAGCCCCTGAAGAATCATCGAGAGCCTCGACTTTCCCAAGCAGCCCGCTATGCTTATCAAGCCTTGCTGGGTGTTCCGGACGACGAAAGTCCTTATGAAGCACTTTGGCGCTACAGCTGTACAATCATCAACGCTACAGCAAATATCAGCGCCGCTGTTATGACTATGGATGTGACGAAATTCCTTAGTGCTACTCCAGCCCTAATGGAACTGCTATCTCTGGTCAAGAAGATAGCCAAAGCGGCACCGGGGGGACCTCAGTCCCGAAGTCTACAGAGTCTCGTCGACGGTATGATCAGCCTGTGTCAACAGAAACGCTGGTATACGGCCCTTCGCTATACCGAACTGTTGATAGAGATCGAAGAATTCGAAGTACTTACGGTCTTTATTGAGAGGTCGCCTTGTCGAGAAGATGAGTCGTTCTTTTGTGGCTTATTCGCTCAGCTCGAGCTGGCCTGGATGACTGGCGATGGATCAGATCAGAAGCAGATCCTGCAGTTGACTGCGCGTCTAATACGACAAATAAGGCCGAATTGGCGACGCGCTCAGGACTGGGTCAAATTAGTTGCAGGCACTATGGAGCAATCCAGTTGGAGAGAAAGCTTCTGCAAGAATCGACACAGATTGAGAATTTGGAAGAACAAGGACTACGAATCAAGACTGAGTCGGTTTCCTACTGAGATGGTAAAAACACACCATCTGTCAGCAAAGTTGCTGGAAAGTGCTTGGCTTCAATGCCATGAAGCTCAGCAGTTCTATGCTGATAGCAGAATACGACATTATTACACTCAGCGCAGGCTGCTTGATATTAAACGACTCTCCGGTGACCTTCTCGATATGGCGTACTGTTATATCAATCTTGCTATCATAGAACACGAAGGGAGTGAGTCCACAAAGGAGCTATACGGTGACAATGTGGAGAGTAACTCTTCAGCATTTACACTCTTCAGCCGTCTCAAAGTGAAGGAATCCGATATAAAACCGGAAATTATCCTGCCGCATCTATTCAGAAAAAGAGAAAAGTCAGACGGTAGCATGATTCGGCCCAGGAGGATTCTTATTCGTGGACGTGCAGGAGTAGGAAAAACCACACTGTGCAAAAGGATTGTCCACGACTTCATATATGAGAGAATGTGGGAGGACGAATTTGACCGAGTGCTTTGGGTCCCTTTGAGAAAGCTCAAAGAGAGATCAACGCTGCAGCAGTTCATCTACGATGAATATTTCTCCATGCACCGTGAGCGCGATATCCTAGCCCCGGCATTATGGAAAACTATCTGCGACCAGGGCGATAGTAGAACCTTGTTCATCCTCGATGGATTGGATGAGATTTCTGGGGAGCGTAATTCTTCTGGAATTGACCTGGTTGAAACCTTCAAAAACTTGCTGAATCGACAGAACGTCATCATCACTTCCCGGCCACATGCTGTACATCTGCCCGTCCTTGAACCGTTTGATCTGGAATTGGAAACCGTCGGGTTCCATTCAGACCAAGTTGACAGTTATCTGAGCAAGGTTGTCGGTGACGAAGATACGGCACGAGAAATGCGGTCATTTATTCAGAGCCATTGGCTTATTCAGGGGTTGGTCCAGATTCCAATCCAACTCGATGCATTGTGCTACAGTTGGGACAGTGATTTCTCTTTTCGAGGTCCACCAGAGACAATGACAGCGCTGTATCAGGCGATCGAGCTGAAATTGTGGACAAAGGATATTCTGCAACTGGGCAAACCAAAGGATAGTCCGTTGTCCGAATTTGACCTGCCCTACGTATCCCCTGCAGAGATTCTGTCGATAATCGAAGAAGAGGATACGCTCCTGCAGTCTTTGGCTTTCACCGGGATATATAATGATATCATCGAATTCAACGCCCAGCATCGAGACGAGGTTTACAAGCACTGCAAGCTTGTCACCCCGCTCTTATCGCGGAATCTAGTGAGGCTCTCTTTCCTGCGCACGGCGGACTCCTCAGCCAGGGAGAAGGATAAGTCTTACCATTTTCTCCATCTTACCTTTCAGGAATACTTCGCAGCGAAGTATTTTCTGAGCTGCTGGAAAAATGGAAAAGAGCTACTGTGCTTCAATTTTAGCCTCGCAAAGCAAAAGCGTGTGACATATGTCACACCGGAGATGTTCCTTCAGCAGGAGAAGTATGACGGGCGCTACGATATTTTTTGGCGTTTTGTGTCTGGGTTACTCCAAGACCACGATGAAGAACGACTGCACACATTCTTTGAAATGCTGCGGAGTGCGCCATCAGACCTATTGGGCCCAGGACATCAGCGGATTCTAATGCACTGTCTCAGTGAGGTCCCTCCCATGTCATCGTTTGGTGATACCCGCACAGAAATAGAAAATCAATTGAAACAATGGGCGTTTTTCGAATACGAGCTCCACAAGAAAATGGAACTCTGTCGTGGAATGGAGTTTCCTGATCATCTGCTGGATACTATGCTGGAGGAAGGAGCCGAGGACGTCAAAGAGCACATCTTGAAAGTTTTGAGAGATCGAGCACGGATTTCGCCTCTCATTTTGAACAGGGTGTTGTCCTTTCTTGAAAATGGCACTCCGGGAGTTTTGACATCAGCGGCACTTTATGCACTCGGAAACAGAGACACAGTGCTACCGGAACATATCCTCCCAGTAATACTGACCCGGCTTCATGCTCCCGAGGCAACTATCAGAGAACATGCAAGTGTTGCTTTGAGCCAGAGAACCTTACAAGAACATATCGTCCAGGAAATTCTGCACAAGCTGGATGATGCTAGCACGGGTACCCGAGAGTCAGCGGCACGCGCTCTATCCAAGCAAAGATTGCCAGATCGTGTGCTCCAGGTGCTTATGTCTCAGCTAGACGACGCAGATGCTGACAGAAAACAACTTGCGCTTCGAATTTTAAGCAATCAATGCTTGCCAGAGCATATATTGCAAAAATTAATATGTCGACTGCAGGATATCAATCCAGATACACGAATAAGTGCGGCTGAAATCCTAAGGGACCAAGATCTGCCGGACAATGTCTTTCTAAATGTGTTGTTACGGATAAAAGACCCTGTTCAGGATGTCAGGACGTCGGTATTACATGCAGTGGGTATCAGATTATTGTCCGACGATTTGACTCGAATACTGGTATCTTACTGTCGAGATACCAACGAAAATGTGGACACAAGAGAAGCTGCACTTTGGGGCCTAGCGAGAAAACCCATCTTTTCAGACTCTATTCTTCGGGAAATAACATGCTTACTCCGCGATACCGACACGCGACTGAAAAAGGCTGTTCTTTGGGTCCTTAACAATCGGAGAACCCCGCTGCCAGGCGATGTAGTCAGAGAAGTTGTATCCAAGCTGGAGGATCCTGATGAAGATGTCAGATACGATGCACAGTATACCCTACGTGGCCTAACTTTACGGGATAATGTTCTGCAGGATGTCATATCTCAAGTATCCAAGTTGACGAAGATCGATCCGGACTCCAGAGATGATATTATTTACACCTTGTGCAGCAGAACGTGCGTTCTGCAGGCGGATATCCTTCGGCATACTTTATCCTTGCTAGGGGCCGTTGACCAACATGACAGGAAATATGCAACGCTTGTGCTAGCCCGCGAGACTACTTTGCCGCAGCACGTTCTTCCACTGGTGACCTCCCGACTAGAGGATAGTGACAGTGACGTAAGGCGACATGCAGCTGATGTCTTACGAAATCAAACCACTTTGCCAGAGCACATCCTCCGGGCTGTGGTATCCCGACTGGAAGATACTTGGCTACACCCGAGGTCTTCTGTTGTTGATACTATAGTCAACCGAGCTGACCTGCCGGTGCCTATTCTACAAATGATAGTCGACAGACTTCCCCACATCCCTCATTTGGTACGTCTAAGGATCGTGCGTATGTTGATGAGCTATGATTATTTCTACGACAATTTTCCGGGTTTTGGTACAGAAGTTCTGCGGTTGTTATATGGGGCATGGATCGAACGAAGCTTTGACGAGCAGTTCAGCTGTTACGTGCAGCATGGCAGTCTATATATAAATACGTCGGAAGGACGAAGAATCGTTCCGTTTGCGTCAAATATAGACCGTGTTCTAAGCGCTTTTCGGCAGGAGGCTGCGGCCTTAGGGAGCCCTATGGGTGTGGCTGGTTCATGGGCAGTGAGTTGAGAGCTGCGACGCCATTCAGTCTCTTTACATTGAATGAATATGGACTAGTTATTTTGTGTTCACTCCGTGGTACACCGCGTTAATTATCTGGAGACTGAGAGATAAGACCACAATAATACCAACAAGATGTATCACAAGGGGAACTGCCGCAGGAGCGCACCATCTTAGAACGACTTGTATGATTGTCACACTTACTTTTTTAATTCTCTACATTATTCCTCTGGGTTTCCTGGGCAATAATATCTTCTATGGAGTCTCTGTTCGTCCACAGGGGTGTCAGGAGCGGGTAATCGGATTGCCCAAGGCCTTTCATCCTCTCTTGCTAGAAAATACAAAGGAGCACTTAGAGCACTTGTCACAGAACGGCGGTCTGGAATCCTGTCACAGAGCACAGAGCACACTATATATTATTACATATCTGGTTATTGAGACAAATAATAGAATGGTGGACCAATCAGAGCAATAGTAGAGAGTATTCTGTTGCTATCACCGACTCTATTATTATTGTTACTCGCATTGCTCGGTTGTCCGAACGCCGATGCTGACAAACACGGAAAGAAAATAATACCCGATCTATACTGATGGAGGAAAGGAGCTTGCACAAAGTGATACACGGAAAAAATTGTCCCGATGTCCATCTCCTCGAGGGTTACATGCCTGTATAAGTGTCCCAAGGTGTCTCCGATTTGTGTCCACCTGGGAAAATACACAGGTTCATGAAGTGAAGAAACCTACCGCAACCATGTCTCCTTTATTTGACTCCCTCAGAGTTGGACGCATGGCGCTTCAACAGCGTATCGCCATGGCTCCAATGACTCGTCTGCGTGCTGATGCCAATCATATCCCCCTACCTATCGTCAAGGAGTTCTACCAGCAACGTGCCGCCATCCCAGGCACCTTACTAGTTACAGAAGGAACCGTGATCAGTCCTCGACACGGTGGATATCCCAATGTCCCTGGAATCTACTCAGATGCACACCTGGCTGCCTGGCAAGAAGTTACCAAGGCAGTTCACGAGAAAGGGTCCTACATATATCTCCAACTGTGGGCTCTTGGTCGCGCAGCCAACCCAGGATTTCTCCAACAACAAGGGCTTGACCTGGTCTCCAGCAGCGACGTGCCCATGAAGAGCCCCTATACCGACGAAATGCACAACCCCAGACCCTTAACTGAGGGAGAGATCCAGGATGCTATCGCCGATTTCGCTGCTGCGGCTAAAAATGCCATTCGTGCTGGATTTGACGGTGTGGAAATTCACGGAGCGAATGGATATCTCGTCGACCAATTCATCCAGGATGTCTCGAATAAACGTGTGGATAATTGGGGAGGAAGCATTGAAAAGCGATCCAAGTTCGCCGTTGAAGCAACCAGGGCCGTGGCAGACGCCATCGGCCATGATCGCACAGCCATTCGACTTAGCCCATGGAGTCGCTACCAAGGCATGCGTATGGACGATCCGACCTCCCAGTTTATAGACGTTGTAAAGAAGTTGGCGGAGCTCAAGCTTGCTTATTTGCACGCCTGTGAGTCCGATGCAAAGGCCCAAGGCGAGGATTTGCTTTGGCTGCTTGACGCCTACCGCAACGCGAGCCCAGTCATTGTCGCTGGCAACTACAATGGTGAATCCGCCGCGCAGGCACTCGCAGGGGAGTATAAAGATCGTGACGTGGTTGTTGCCTTTGGACGTCCGTTTATTTCGAATCCAGACTTGGCTTTTCGGGTGAAGCAGGGAATTCCCTTCGCGCCGCCTGACCCATCAACCTTTTACGGTCAGACACCGGAGGGCTATATCGATTACAAGTTTAGCAAAGATTTTGAGGCGGCTGCGGTTCAGGCGTGATTTGGAGTATAGATGGATGGAGTCTTGGGTTTAGACTCTGTATTTTTACTGGGGTGAACCAGACATCGCCAATGACGTTCCCTACTCATTACTTATAATCTACCAACCTGCAGCCATTAAACTGTAACAATATTTCTTACTCCTTTATTCCACTTTAGAGTGCCTTTGAAGGGCTCAAAACCACCGTCACCCCCATTCAAGTTTCAAATTGCATGTCAGCATAGAGAATCAATTGTATGTGCTTTCGTGTTCAGTGTGACGTGATCTCGTATCGATGAATGGACTTTTTTGTTGTTGTTTAGGACGCCGACTCGAGTGAAGAAGCGGAAAAACGTTACGGGTGATATCGGATAGGACTCAATCGTTCAGCCTGGGTATCATTCATCCACTGTCAGCTTAGGGACATTTCAACTGGCCGGCAGACTAGTGACGACAGGGGTTTTACGGGTTCCAACATGCAGGTTTCCGGCACCGATGGCACCTGGTGCAGTCGCCGTAAATAGGTGCCTTCTAAGCGACTGTCCCGAGCATCTAGGTCGGTTTTCACTATATCCGTCTCTTATGACCGCTTTGATCATGATGGGTAAACCGATGGTTGAATTGTCGGACGCAATGTATTGCACTTCAACGAGGATTTTTCGAACCCGAATGATTCCATTGGCTGTTGTAAGTCGTTCGATGCCGCAATTGAGAGATGCAGGTATGTTAGATGGATCCAGGCCAAGGGAAAGACAATCATCCATAAATAACTCTAGATAACTGGACCCAGTGTCATCCAATACCGTAATGAGTTGGACATTCTGAAAATCGACAATGCGAACAAGTATGTGAATCTGAATTTATCCAGCATCTATTAGCGAATTACAGATATTCCGGAAAATCAATGTGTAGGCTCACATTATGATGAGCCATTATTTCATCGGTAAGTGGATTGAAGTTGTTCTGAGGCTGACGGGGGTAGATAGATAATGCTGCCATTTGAGGATTTGCATCAGTCAAGCTCCGGACCTAATTTTAACTCCTTAAGCCAAAGACCTAGATAAAAAAAAGATCAGATTCGGAGCAAAACTTACAGTCTCTATCCACAAAGATCCCTTGCCGTGTTCTTTTTCCCATCGTTCTATGACCTCAGTACGTTGGCTGCCAGGAGGTCCCGGGTTCTCTGTTTGTATGCCGTTGTACCAATACGTTACAAGGCCTGGTTGAGGAATTAGAGAACCGCTCCTGTATGCATGAAGAATAGCATCGATATTGATTCTTTCAGATTCGTTCAAGAGTGTATAGTTGGCGAGTGTGTCTTTCAGTATCTCAATACAGTGATAGGTTATCAAGGTCAGCCCTGTCGGCTCAGACGGAGGAATTCTAATAGATAGCCTAGTTAGACTCGATCATAATAATAGCATTTTCAATTAGATCAAGGGAAAAGTTACACAGGCCCTTCGGGAGTATGGGTTTGAATCCATTGGAGTCTACGTCGATATAGTGGACTGTCGGGCCATTGAGCCACTGCCTTATTGGCGACTGTCAGCTGGCGATCTCTGTACCTAGAAAACAAGCCATCTTAGTCAACGTCTAAGGAGCTATGATAGATTCCTACCTTTGATATTCAGCCGGATCCCATAGGGCTCTAAGAACCCATAATTTATCGTATGAATCGTATGTAGCTTGATCCACTTGGGTGGCTTGTACAGTCGCCATCTTGCAGTCAATAATGCCGCTCTTTTTGCTGAAGGTGGATTCAGAAAGGGAGTTAGAATGACGCTATTTGTCAACTTAAGCAAGATAGCGTGAGAGTTGTATATTGGGAAATTTAAGCGAAGTGCCCAACTGACTCAAGCCCTGTCTAGCCTCTAGGAAGTAAGTGGCGTGGATGGTGTCATCTGCGTGTGCTTTTGCACGCTTTGTATTGGCGATTATCAGTGTCCAATTTCGCATAAGACTAATTTTTTACGGGTGCGGGGTAGAGGGGATAAGTAATAAAGTGTTACTTTCCTTTGATGTCATATGACAATTATAAATGTTTTTTTTAAGTTCGGATATGGGATATAGTGGTGATGTATTTTTATACTAGAATATACTTCACCAATCGGGTCTAGCTGAGCCTTTTTCTTACTACCGATATTGCTGAAGGTCACTAATTCACGAGGGAAGATTTGCTAGATTGGCAACATTGAGCCTGTTAACGAGAGATTATAGTACTCAAAGGGGCCGCAGCTGGGGAGAAGTAGACATGGCCACTGGCTGGCTTGTGAGATAAGCAAAAGGTAAGTTGTAACTATCAGGTAGCGAGGAATAGGAAATTTATAAGAAAAGTCTAGTGAACTAAGAGCCTCCTCCTAATCCCAAATGCAGCCTCTAATCGCAATTGCCGTGATACTGCTGGCGCCCTCTCTCAGATCTGGAAATCAGTAATCAAGATATGCCTGTGACAACTGTAAAGTCATTTATCAGATATAGAATAGTAATAGTAGAGCTGACTGAAGTCCAGTATGAGATTCAATATTCGTGAGAAAGAAACCAAAAAGCCAAGGTATTTTGGAAGTAAATCTGGATGAATCTGATAGATTTCCGGACGACACATATAGTATATAGAATCTACCCAAGCATATCGATATAGGTTGACCAAAACTTGATGCCAATCGCGAGCTTCAAGCATGAAGGAGTGTTCCTGGCATCAAACTATAGTGTGGAATCGAGCTGCGTATAACGACGCCTTCACAGGTCGCTATGGGAGGCTTCCACGTGCGCAGGAAGAACCGTTTCAGTCATTATTGGGCAGTCTTGCCGTTAATTGAGAGAAGTCGGACCCGACTGAGACTCGAGTTAGTATATACTAAAAGCTTGAATTCAGAAGCCAGACGCAAAGGCAGCCCCATTGAAGAGGCAACCGGGCGATGGTAACACAATGGGCTCAATGATCCGTAGAGCAGTCCGCGTCTTGAGGATGGCCTCCACCGAGTCAAGCAAAAAAATCTAACAGTGAAGGGGTGGGTCGTAAGCTAAACAAGAGTACTTACAAAACGAGTGTGGCATTTGGCGGGATCAGGCCCGGGAATCCCCTAAGTAAAGCTAGGATCAGTATATTGCGCATACCGTGCCGACTTTCACACAACTAATTATTTGATACGGCAAAACCGTAGAACATATCTCAACTGTGCCAATGGGAAGTTGTGTGCTATGGTTTCGCCTGGTGTGAATCGGGATGCGGGTTTAAACATACCTGTCACCATATGCATATGGTCTGTGTTGAGGAATGTAGTTAGCATGCTTGATTCTCTAAAGCCCGGACATCATAAGAGGTATAGTCCCAAGGCGAAGACTCGGACTCGTCTTAACTTACCCAGGAATGGTCAAGATGCTCTGCTCCCCGAGACTCATCTCCAAAACTCCTTCATCCCAACCTGCCGACAAAATAGTCGTTAGAGCATAATGCGTCGTTGATCCAAATAATGCATTTCTATCAATCTTGATAGGAGACACGGAATTAGTGCACGTACCTTGGATCACATTTTTCACCCCAATACGGGTGCTGAGAGGTCCCCTGTTTGCTTCTGGGTTTTCAGAGCTATCAAATCTGGACATAGTCAGGTCCTATCCTCAACCTAGCTCTGAGCTTCAAGGTATAACTAACTGCTTTCCCATGTTATGTTCCTTCGATGGGTCGTACAGACATCCTGTGTAGTGGATGCTGACGAGGTCACCCTTCTTAGGAAAATTCTGCTTATCACCCTCTTTGAGGACAGTTCTCGTCCACTTTTGTTGTTCCGGCATTTTGGTCTTCTGTAGAGGTTTCCAATGAGGATTTGAAGGGAAGTAGCGTTATGTTTTAGGTGGAACAAAGTCAGAGGAGCTTGATGCGAGAAAGAGCTACGTATATGTTGCGGGGAGGGGCACGAAGCTTTAAGACGTTCTCAGCTCCGGCCAGGCTAAGTGGGGTCCCAGATGAGCATCATGACTCTGGGACGGGACGTAATAATATTGGACATCAGAGCTACCTTAGTGGTGAGAACTGAGGTCTCGAGCCATCGATCAACTCTCCAAAGGATGCTGCGTTGCTGGATGATTGGGCTTGGAACCAGCTAAGTACTGTGGCTCGCTTCCCACAGGCGAGCAAGATAATGTGAGCGGCTTAACCGACTCCTGCATGACGAAAGCATTTCTGCACATTAAAATAGTAAATTTACGGCGATCCATTGATAGCTCAAAGATCGGTTCCCCTGCTCATCCAGTGGCAACCATTCTCGCTAAGCCTTGTGTGTCCTGGACTCCTGCATAATGCTCCCAAGAACCATAGCCAACCTTATGTCGCGTGTCTTTGTCGCTATTAACTATTGAGTTGTTCATAAGCTCCCTTGTAGACGGTCCAGAATGGTCGACGGTTAGATCGCTTCCCAAGCTTCCAAGAAGGTTTGCTCGAGGTCACTCCGAAGGTCTCTTGTGATCCATTGAAGTTGCAGAGTACAGCAGAAACGGCTCCTCGTATCTCTCGTCTCCACGAATAGGGTTTTGCTTACTCGAGTATTGGCACAATGATCAGGTTATAGAGAGGTCTTGCACCGGTATATGCAATGGGTTGCTGCACACACCAGTCAGAATGTGGAGTGACCGACGTCAGATATTGATTTCTTGGCCATGTCGCCGCGGTATGGCTCCCCAATCTGCCTTCGTCGCGGTATAGAGTGACCGCACAGTATAGGAGAATAATCTTGCTATAATAGGACACTGTGTTAGAATCATATGACAATGCTGATTCGAAGCATAGGGCGGGGAGAAGGCGAGGAGAGAGTGCGGATCAGAACCTCGCTTAGGTGTATATCAGAAGTACTGTACATAGATTTCGCGATCAAATGTACATATATCATCGAGCCTGAGCAGCGCGGAAGTGATTGCAATTCTCCGAGATAGTATGGAGGCAGTTCTGCGCATTCCTCAGACACGCAAAGCAAAGAACAGCAATCTTTGGACGTATGCACAACCACGTTGCGGGGTGGGGATAATTTGGCACAGGGAAGACTGCGCCTACAGGTCCCGTCCCATCTTTACGGGAGAGGATGAGCCTTGCAGGCTAAAACCCGTAAGACAATGGCTCCTCTGTGGATAATGGCATGTTCCGGAGTCTGACCTGTGCAGGGTAATGTCCATTGGGTCTCCTTAAAGGCTTAATGCCACCATAGATGCGTGGACGGGCGATCTAGGGCCCCAAGTCATGAATTAGATCGGTCACCGGCGAGTCCGTGGCCCTGGACTCGGACGTCCAAGTCGAGCGATCGGCATCCATGAACCCTGGAGTTGTTTTCAATTACTGCGCCCATACTAATAATGCCCTTGTCGATCTATTTCCAGTTTATCAGACTGCTGGCATTTTCGGAGGCCTGTGGCGGCTTCAGCGGCGCGGTGATACTAACCCGTACGTAACGCCATAGCCGCCTTGAAAATCAATACTCTTGTCCTCGATGTCCATTTTCGGAGATTGGACCCTTTCCTTGAAGCTCTTCACTTCCAATGTTGCATATGCATCGTCAATGCGACGGTAGATGCCAAGTAAGAATTATATCCTCATCCTTATCACGAAAGACCCTACTATGCTATTAGTAGCAGAAGCTAGAGTTCATATCTACCTGGCAATCCGCGAACTTCACACAAGCATCTGCACCTCAGAGCGCTAATCATCTTTTCCAGTTTTCTCGCGACAACGTAATGTTACGCAAGAGGTCTAGTTAGTTGTTATGTGAGACGTCCGGAATCGATATCAGCGTTGGAATTTATCAATGGATGAAGTGTCGTCTACGAATGACTGCTCTTTTGCTGATGGTAGTATCGCCCCTTGTCTTGACTATCGTGATCATTGTCCCATAATAGCTGCGTTCAAGACAAGTCCCTAGGTAGCCTAGTCTGGCTTCCGGTCTCTCCCATTTCGGTACCGTCATGCGTGCTCCATCGCACAGCGCAAAAATTAGAGTCCATGCCGTCCATGGAAGGGCCCACGTATAATAAACTTAGGATTGGTGTCTCTGCCTCTATGACAGAAAAGACCCTATTGATGGTTTCTGTTCATTGATGGTGAACAAAAGGGGAGCTGTTTCAACGCGGAAAGGCTCAAAGACCGTATCCTTGTCCGTGGAAATCGGCTATCCACAGGATCCGTAGATTGCGTATCAGACAGCTCCAGATAGTGAAGTGTTGAAATAGCGGTATCCCCCATAAATTGAATGACACGGTGGAAATTCAACCCTACTTGGTCAATTCCATGGCTATCGTCTGATAAGCAGAAACGCCCATTTCTTACTAGGAACTCCTATGGGAAAGAGGCTTCAGCACTAGTGTTCTCCAACTTACAGATTGGCGGTTAACCTTACCTTGCAGATTTCTGCTTTCGGATATGGCTCACTCATCCCTTTTCGCAGGGCAGCTGAATTGAGTTCCAACAGGCCCCCATACTCTGCAATAAAATCTAGATTACGCAGGATCTTTCTCCAAACGCCAGGCCACTGGGTGAAGCTCCTCTCTGGGTCCTCACTCTTCAATCTGATGAGGTCAAAATGGCCAACAACAGGTGGCTTCAACCTCTTCAGCATGTCGAATTGGGCGTCGAAATAATCCTCGAATAGCTTTTCGTCACTCCCTCCAGCGATTTCTCGTGCCTTTTCGTACATTGGGGTATCATAATCGATCGGGATGGTATGAACGTGATGAACAGATCCCACGAAAAACTCAAAGGGGAATGCGGACAAAGATTTCTCGATGAGGGTGAGAGACTCGGGGCGGATCCAGTCGATCTCGAATCCAATCAATATTTTGATTTGGGACGCATACTTCTCCCTCAGTCTGGAGGCCTCCTTGAAATATGCAGCCTCATTGACAACCATTTCTTCTTCAGTCAGATGGGCTTCGACCTAGCTTCGAGGTCAGAAAAAGGATCCACTGGCTGCGGATTTCTCGGCCCACCTCTTCGGGATAGAGATCTGCCTCATGTCGAGGCATGTGCTCGGTCAGACAAAATACCTCCATCTTCTGGGAAATTGCGGTTTGAACCACTTCCTCCAGAGAGTTCTTGGCATGTCCTGGGCAAAACTGGCCCGAATGGCTATGGTGTGAGAAAGGCATGAGGGGCGGTTCTCACACAGTCGGCCAATTTCTCGTGTCGTCAATTGTGGCAGCGTGAAAACTGTAGTGAGTAGGGAGTCTAGAGTTCCTGGTTAGTGAGAACAGATAGCACAGAATCCTGGCTCAGAAAATGCAAACGGGCCCAAAAGCTCTACTCAAAGGACACAAAATTCCGTGACAGATACGAGGCGATGATCTTTAAGAGCACAAAGCAAACGCCTCTTGAACGAGGAGGGGGAGAGGCGAGGACCAGGAACAGAACAAGCACAAATACTAAGAAGAGAAACTAGATACGAGAAGGACTCGAATCTCTGAGGCATGAAGGAAAAAGAAACATGAGAATGCAGGTGTGATGCTAGCACATCTAGATCGGTCATTTCCCGCAGAGACAGCCGTACTGATCAACATCAATGACAGCTTCAAGATAGACTACTTGACATACCTGGGACTATTGGGTCCGCGATAGCGATATGGGCTTCGTCGATGTACCAGAGAGCGTTGAAGGAGGTAGGAGTGGATGTTCGATATGAATACAGACAGCGGTTGTTGAAGTTTCGATGTGGGACCCCCGGGAACACGGTGCGATAAGACTGCGATACCTACTCGACAAAGTTTTCTTCTGTAAATTCCCCGACATGAGCTCTTTCCCCACTTACGGCCATTGCATCTTTCTATAGTCCAGGTAGTTACATCATAAAATGCAAAGATCTCATATTATGTAGATACGTGTATGCTTCATTATATCTCCGAAATTAGTGTCTGGCTTAACACAATTTCATGTTGTGTTATTGTTCTCGTCTGATAACATCTGAAGTTCTGCGTCACTCTACAACACTTGTAGGTGTGAGCGAGCGGTCAAGGCATTTAAATCGAATCCCGCATGATTCCAGCAACCAGAGCTGCTGTACTAGAACTTCCCCCAAGTCTGTTGTCCAGCTTAAATGGAGATCGACCCCGGATCTCACACGGAGTACTCCGTATCCCAGCCGTTTATACTTCCCACCTATAAAGCTCGCAGCGGAAACGAAGGGACAGGATAATTCTCCGAGAACAGACGGGAGCTAATCTTCTCGAGTGTTGATATGTGACGCGTGTGCTATCCTTTATCATTCATCATGAAACTAAGGCATCACAACTGTGTGGCTCTTCCCGAGAGGGTGATAAAGCGTGCTCTTCTTTCGGTTCGATTCTCGTTAGCTCACGAGAATCTAGACATGTCTGACGCTGAGAACTGCAGCGTGGGGATAGCAACATAGTTTCACGTTACAAACGTCGATATCCTAGCCGAGGATGGTATCTTCAAGTGCGTGGTATGTTGAGTAGTATCTGCAACGACTCTCTTCCATGCTTATCCGTAGACAGCCTTTTTAGGCCTTTCATATTGTCGACTTGTATGCGACGGAGGCAGAGTCAAAGCCGGACACATCATACACCACAGAACCGTGGCCATAAGCCACAGAGCTTGTACACTCGTAGGACCCAATCACGAAGCATTATGGACGGCACACGACGTCCCCTATTCTCAGACCAATAAGCTTCCTTGTCTCACTCAGCAGCAAGAACCGTTGCGACGACATATTCTCCATCGTGCGAGATGGAGAGTTTCCCAATCCGTGCATTCCCCTCTGTCTTAGCATCCAAGTAAATGACCTGCGGTCTCCCGGATCCCAGCGTCCCTGTGTCTTCAACACTGACTAGAACATCCTTCCATCCAATCGCACCTGCCCCTCTAGTTGAAGCCTTGCGTGCCGCTTCCTTTGCTGCGAATCTACCTGCCAGCCAACGGGCCATATCCGGTGTAGGAGTTACTGTACTGAGACAAGGTCCGGCTCTAGTAGACAGGTGAAATCTGGACCGGAAATCTCGTTGTTCTTGTTCGCAAAGAATTCGACGGGTGAAACGATCGAGCTTTGAGGAGCCTTCTTTAGTGGCAGACGTGATCAAACGAAGGATACGCGGAAGGTGGACTATGTCAGTACCGATGTTGAGAGGGTACGGGAAGGGTAATGGTTTCATGTTGTTGTTGTCGTTGTCGCGGGTAGTAAGTAGCTTGGCTCAAGAATTGAGTGCACATCCGGGCCGTGAGGCATCAGTAGTATAAGTTGGCCATGTCAACGAGTTGTATTAAAGGGCTGGAGCATGGACTTGGGTCGCGTTCCCAAGAGAACAGACCAGAGGGGTAATAAGCTACAAGCAACCCTTGGAAAAGTTGACCGATGACACGACTGGAACTTCCGCCGCATGGGCCAATAAGCGGACGTTGTTACTACCAAGAGTCTGGCAGCGTCAACTCCGATAGCAACCTTGTTATGCGAAGAATCAGTACAAATTAACAGAACTGTGGCCTTTAACTAACTGTACCTTTGTTTTTCCAACGGACTTTATTAGTCTGCTGTTAAGTCTTACAGTGCTCGAACAGGTCTGGCAATTGGTCTACTACTGTTAATCAAAATAAGGGGACGGATAATAGCAGCTCTTGACTACTTGTTGGGCCAGATATATCCGAAATTTCCACACAAGATGGTGACCAAGGCGTTATATCACGAGCAGTCTTATAATCACCCATCATATCTTCCCGAAGGAGCTCGCCTGGTCGCGAATGAGACATCATACCCATGAATACCCATGAAGTAAACAGTCAGGAGAGAAATGTCGTAAACGTTTCTATGCGAGTTAGACCTTTATATGTACACTATCACATCATGAGCCAGATCAATCAACCGGCTACGATGGTCCTATAAGCCCCTCAAGCGACAAGTAACCTGGATCCGGAATACCACCAGTCATTCTTGTGTAGCCGCGCCCTGAGATCGATCATGCCACGCTGTCATTGTACACTGAGTAGCTGTCCTCAGATCATGAATGTCTTCCGTTGGGAGATTTCTAGTGGCTTGCTGCCTTCGAACCTCCGTCGACATTCTTCAAGAAGTCCCTAAATGGTACCACACGCGTCAGCAACCCGTCGGTTTTGAGATTATATATCAGAGCGTTGCTGGGGGGGCCAAAATCGCAGATTGGAAGGGAATACGCACTGGATAAACTGCTCCTCATCCTTCGAGGCGGCGTTGATCGGAGGACCCTGGGCCGGGTTCTTTGCAGCACCACCGCGGGTAGCGAGATAGGTAGTGCCAAAGATCGCACCGAGGACGCCCATGGCGAGCTATAGTAACAGGAAGTCTGTTAGTTGCATATCTGGCACTCAATTGACTCTGACAAGCGCAAAGGGAGAAGGAGAAACCGAGCAAAATAGAGACCATGACAGAGTGACGTACATAGTGCGAGCCGACCTTCTTGCCGGCAATCTGGTAGTAGGCGACCATTGTAACGGAAGAGTCTCGTTCAGAGCTGTGAAAAAGCCGGTGGAGACAGGATCAATAGGGCGATAATGGTGCGAGGCAATCCTATGGAGGCGATGCGAATATGAGAACGAAGGTTGAAGCTGCGTATTCCGGAAGAGCGGCCTTGGCAGGCTAGCCCGTTTCTGGATATGTGGTCACATGATATGGAGTGCCGCCAAGTCCGAGAACGACCGAGGAAAACGCGGAGGCCGGCAAAAGGTGGGATGCGGAGAAGAAGCCGGAGGAGCTCCAGGCAAAGGCCGACATGATGAACGCTAAGACTGGTAGATATGTGAGATGGCGGACGTCATGAACGGCGCAGATGCAGCAAGCAGAACACGATGCCAGCTTGTAATAATGCGTCTTGGGGAGGGGAAGATTCGATTCCACATCATGGCAGTGCTGTCCGGCACTCCCGGGGTCTTCAGATGTTGCCCAGCAAAGCAACTATTCGAAGCAATCACCGTCGTCGTAAAGTAATAGTTGCTGTTCCCCCCGGTATTGTGCTCTTCCATGATCCACCGTTCCTCCGACGGCTTTCTTCCCTTGCTCCTCGGATACCCCTTGGCGGAATAATACTTGCCGGTTGCACAGCATTTACTTAACGTGGTGCCTGATCTCGTGCCGCGGTCTTGATCACCTTTCGACATACTCTCTTGTCTAAATTCGCTGCTCCTTCCAACACACGAGGAGAGTCCAGATATTCCAGTTCGCCGTCTTTAACATCTGTGTCAGTCCTCCGCCTGTGATAGTCCAGCCTTCATCTAGTCACGATGTTCTGGGGAAAGCGGAAAAGCGATGACGACGGTGTTGCCCATGTCCGAGACGAACCTCGTCCGGACTTCAGCAAGCAACCTCTACCCCGCGAGAAACTTCCTCCCAAGCTACAGCAGCTAGTTGACCGTGAGGATAACTTTTTTGACGAAATTTACAGTCCATAGTACGTCCGATCTTGCTGTTTATCCGTCTCGTTGCATTGCTATGATCTAGCTCGCGTGCGGGCTACATACCCTCGGTCAACGTCATTAGAGCTTCTGGCTCCGCTTCCCCGCGACGTGTTCAACACCATGTCAATATATTCGGGGTGCTACGAACCCGGCGCAAAGTGGCCTCCAGAAGCTCTTCTAGATTGTCATTGAGCCTTTTACGCATTTTGACTGTCCAACAGGATATAATAGCTAATAACTCGACAGTTCTGTGGACACCAATGATACCCCATACAGATATGCTGCATACGCGAACCGTATTCGTACCATCCTTCTTTCTGCACATCGCTATGTCGCCTACACATCCGACATAGGCGAATCTTTCCGGCCAGTAGCACATCCCCTGCTGGTCCGCGGAGCATACGCGATTTCATGGACATACATCCTTGGTGACGTCGCCCATGAGGGCTATAAGGCCTATTTGCGCAACAGGCGCGTCCTAGCGCCACCCAGCGAGGCATACAAGGATGCCACGGACCTGAACTTACCGCATGTGATGAGAGGAATGGCGACTGGCAATATCAGTGGCTCCCTCACATCTAGCTCGTCTTCAGTTGATCAGAGCAGGCCGAATGAAGGGGACGCGGATCTAGTGCCATGGCCTACCCCCCATATTCCATTGATAGAGGACTACCGGGTTATCATGGCGAAGCGGGCCGTGTTCCAAAGTATAGCAAGTATGGGGTTGCCTGCATTCACGATCCACAGTGTCGTCAAGTATTCGGGCAAGTATCTCAAGAACAGCAAAAATGCGATGTTACGGACCTGGGGGCCTATAGGAGTGAGTAACACCCTGGACAGACGTTCAACCGGAACCACACTTCGAGTAGTATGAGCTAATTGTATTGTTCCTTTAGCTTGGTCTCTCCGTGGTCCCTTTCTTGCCTTATCTGTTTGACCGGCCCATAGACGAAGCAGTTGAATGGGGTTTCGAGACAGCGATCCGCTCGTTTGCCGGAGAATCGGAGGTTGTGCCTCTCCAGAGCCCTGCTCACTCTCAGTCGGGAGAGGTCGCTACGCTCGATTCTGTTTTGAAGCTGCAAGGTGAGAAAACGCGCCAAGAGGCAGTGCCTGAGGGTTCGCAGAGTAGCGATTCGGTCCCGTCATGGGAAGAATATAAGGAGAACAAGCTTCGCCAGCGTGAGCAACGAAAGCAGGGAAATCAAGACAGTAGTATCTTGTCGAAGATTTCTTTTGTGTCCGGCAAGAGTAAGGAGGAATGATCCAGTGCACAGAGCTATCTGTTAGTTCTCTCAACTCTTGTTCAGCCACGGTTTCTTGCGCACTATATAATTTACCCAATGAGCGACTTTACAGGATGAAGTGGTTCGTTCCTATAAGCTGGGTTTCTTTCCAATGTCCATTCTCTTGCTTTAGTTAATACCTGCACTAGATGTGCAGCAAACATGTTCCTCTATGCCTCAGCGGCTTGTGATTCCTTATGGTTGAGGATAAGGCCAGTAGGTCAGCTACACAATAACATTTACTGTCCACTTGTATACTCTTGTGATATAGATGTAGAAATTGACCTTGTTTGGTGTCTGGTAATGTGAAAATTGAAGGACCTGTATGTGTGTTTCCCTGAAGCCCGTGCTATTTTCCAGTAAGATCTGGCTATTTATTTATCCGATATCTATGGCCATTCCAATTATCCGGGTTGACCGCCATCGCAAAAATGTAGGGTAACAGTCTAACTCTACATAATATTAATATACTAGAACTCAGTGACTACAGTAGTAATCAGATATCTCCACTGTTAGAAGCCTCCCCTATCTAGACAGTCAAATATTCTCGGGGGTTGAATCGAAGTCTATCTAGATACATTTGCGCGTACAAGAATGACGTCACATAAAACGTTTGTCACTGCTTGAGAATGTCTTGAGAATGTAGCAATAACCCTCCGACTATAGGAAAGAGAGTAGATAAAATCTATTAGCTCTAGGGATATACCACAGAGATGCTGTACCAGAATGCATGCGCTTTTTCAATAAGGGCATACTTGGGGCAAGCGGGCGAGGTTCTTATGTGCGGAAAGTTCCATATATTTTCTAGTTGCGCTTGGACCTCTCAACAATTGGCCGGCTGGCCCAATGGCAAGGCGCTTGACTACGAATCAAGAGATTGCAGGTTCGATCCCTGCGTCGGTCAATGAATGGTCTCTCTTAAAGAGAGATCACTTTTTTTGTCTCTATACTTTTTGCAGGCAGCACAAAATCCATTAGACTTAAATAACAATCTATATCTAGAATATAGATTAAGAATAATATTAAAAAAAAGTGAACTTCCTGTACCCTTCTGTTAAGCGCAATATTCAGTTATTCATTTTTTTTGTCCGGCTCTATCCGGCGAGAACTGCGGCAAAATTTTTATTGCGTAAGGTAGAAGGTGCAAAAAAGAAAATTCGAATGACCGACGCAGGGATCGAACCTGCAATCTCTTGATTCGTAGTCAAGCGCCTTGCCATTGGGCCAGCCGGCCAATTGTTGAAGATTGGATTCGGAGTAGCCATATAACAATCTCAGACCATGTAGGATGTAACCACATAGTCGTCACTACCTACCTACGTCTGTAAAGACGCGATACTTACTTTTTTCTCAGTATACTACTTTCATAGAGTCCTTTTACTACTAAGTATATATTGATTTCAGGCTAGCTATAAAGGACTGTATATATAAGGACGTCATCCCCATTTTACAGATGCATTCAGTTCTTCATGCTATATATATATATTATTACTACACCATCTACTACAGGTCAATAAGAAAAGTAATCAGGAAGTTCACGAACTGACTGAGCCCTACTTCTAACTTAGCTACTCTTACCCCGTTTATAAAGACCCTTCGAGGCATATCAACTGAAAAGCCTTTCTCGAAGGAATGTGGTAAGCAGGTAGGATCAGCTACTTAAGTATACGACCCAGATCAATGAGGCACACATCTGTAGACAACCGTAAATAGGTAGCTATCTTGCCAGTCTCAATTGTTTCGTGGATGGACTACTTCGATGTATAGCCACCTAGAGAAGCCATGATCACGAGATTAAAACCGGCGAAAAAGTCGCCGTCTGCGGTCCGTCGGGCAGTGGTAAAACATCTGTGATAATGACCCTCCTGCAGATGACAAAAGTGAAAAGCGGGAGTGTCTCTATCGATAAACGGGACCTGGCATCCATACAACCATCTGATATCCGCCTGCGACTCAATGTTACTCCCCAGGACCCGTACCTCATGCCTGGCACCATCCGGCTCAACATAGACCCCCATACAGTCGCCTCTGATGATGAGATACTCCGCGCAGTCAAGAAAGTGGGCCTGTGGAGACAGATTCAGACGAACGGTGGCCTTGACGGAGATCTCAAAGATTCGAAATGGTCCATGGGAGAAAGGCAACTGCTAGCCTTGGCGAGAGCGTTAACGCCACGAAGTCCCATCTTGATCCTCGATGAAGCTACAAGCAAGTATGCTGCTCCCAGGTAATGCAGCAAAGCATAGATTTACCACGAGAACTAACGAATGATAGTGTCGACCGTGAAACAGAGTCGATCACGCAGAAAGTGATAGAGACAGAATTCGCCAATAAGACGATTATCGCGGTCACACATCGACTCCGCTATATCACTAAGTCTGACCGAGTGGCTCTGATAAAGAATGGAGAGCTCGTCGAATTTGATAGTCCATCCGCATTACTTGCGCGGGAATCTGAATTCGCGGGCTTTTTTACTGCTTTCAGAGGGTCATTTTGATCGTCTACACACAGCTGATCCTTCTAAGAAGCTTGATAGATATAGGTAAGCTAAGTATATTAAGGGTAAAGAACGTGACCTGACTACTTAACAACTCCGAGCACAAGCTGCAGATATTCAAACTAATAAAAAGGCAAGTTTAATTACTCTAAGAAAAAGCCCTTCCACCTTATAATTCCAAGAGGATATGAAGCAAAAAGGGACAAAAAAAAGAGGAAATAAATAAATAAAAAGACAAAAACATACAACAGTAGGGATTCGCTGGTGGTCACCCACCCAACTACTAACCTACCGGCGTGTGGCTTGAGTACGGCTGAGCGGACGGGAAGCCCTATTTTCCACACCCTATGGTCGTATGTGATAGAAATATACTGCTTTAGGAAACTTAAACACCCTATAAGAGGAAGAAAAGAGACAGGCGTTTTTAGCAGAGCGAAGGTCTCTTTTAAATAGAGCTAAGAAGGTTATGAATTCCAAGTGGATATGTTACTATGTTTATCTATCCCTGGCCAAGCTAACTTGTGCTATAGTAGTTAAATCAAATCGAACTGCGCGAATCGGAATACCCGAGCGATTTCCTGGTTACATATTCGGGGAATTGAGGGTTCTCCCGGCATATAAAATAGATCGAACCAAGCGGCTCGGGAATTCCGAGGGATGGATGCTTTGTCGCAACTAGCAGTAGCTTTTATTTATGTTTTATACCCCCTTACAATACTACTAATTCTGTCGGATATTCCCATTCTGTCTTTCTCAAATGTAGAACGATGATCCTCGGTTTAATCCTCTCTTATATCGGGTTTCTTTTAAGGACTAAGATTTCTCAAACGGCACCTTGTCTGCATCTCCACTTTTGTTTTAGGTCAACTGACTGCATTTATGTGTGACGAACGATATACTCCATAGAATTCCGCAATACTTATATACAAGATCTCCTGTAATCTACAGTGGACACCCGTCAGATGTCAGCTTAATTCATTGGAGCACATCTTGATATAATATTATCATCAGGAGGTAACCTGCACAATGCATTTCCGGCTACTATTCGCAGTTACAAGTACGCTTCTAGCATACGTTCCCATAGTTCCTGCACATTCAACCTTCGCGGTTTCCCAGCGTAGTGCAGACTCATTGCCAGAATCACTTTTCGTCGATACACCTCCATCCTATCTCCGTCCATACGTGATCCCTCATTACGCATCTGCCCACGCCGTCACAGTTGGTTCGCAGACGTACCGATTCTACGTTACTGGTCCTTCCTCCAATTATGCATTCACACTCATGGGGACCAATGCACCCTACACCACGGCTCTAGGAGTTCTTCCTCATATACATTATCATCATTACGAGAATTTCTTCACTTACAAGGGCCGTGTGCAATTGTGGGCACAAAAGGACAATGCTACTCAACAATCACGAGTTCTCTACCCGGGCGACTACGGATCGGTGGTAAGGAATACGACGCATACATTCCAGATCTTGGATCCTGATACCGAACTCGTTGGAGCCATTGTTCCAGGTGGATTTGAGTAAGTCGGCCTAATTTGTCTTTAGATATTGGTTATCTGCAGTGACCCATCCAAGGAAATGTCGGTTCTCCAATTAATGATAGTCCAGGGAGCTCTTCTACTATTTAGGTTCAAACCTTTCTACGACCACGCATACTCCCTATGTCCCACAGGCTGACGATGGCTCCTCTGCGACGGGACCAAATTCATCTATCATTTCATCTCTAACAAAGTTCGACGTCCATGCCCAATTAGACTTTGAACCTCGACGGGATGCAATAAATGGAACAGCCCCAGCTAGCAATTGGCACACGGGCAACAACACGCTGACTACTGATGGTAGCCCTTATTTCGTCGCAAACGGCTGGGGTCCAAAATACATCAACTCGCAGTACGGATATCAGATTGTTCAGCCTCTAGCCACACCAGCCCAGACGCAAGACACGAACTTCACTCTGTCCACTATTTCAATCAGCACTACACCAAAAAATATTACTATCCCGCAGTGGTCATTTCCTGGTGCTGCAGCATTTCAGGTCCTCGAAGGAAATCTAAAAATCCAGATCGCTCAGTATCCAACCGCATCGCTTAGTACTGGTGATGTGGCTTTCGTTCCTGGAAATCTGACCTTCAAGTACTGGAGTGGCTCTTATTTTACCAAGTTCCTCTTCCTCAGCAGTGGAAAGGAGGGTCTGGACCAGAAGTTGATTCAAACTGGGGCTTTCTACGACTATGTTACCTTTCCTACTACTTGGTAATAGGGCAGGTTCATCGTCATTGAGAATAATATCTGAAATGGATCTGTTTGTAGGCTGAAGCTTATAAGAATCGCTCTTTGTATTGTACATACCATGCGGCATTTTGCCAGAGGAGCCTTTTTTTTTTTTTTTTTGAAAATGGTACCACTTCCTAGAGGCTGGACAGGGCCTGATCCATAAATATAACATCTAATTCTTTGAAAGACTGCAAAATAGTCTTCAGGATGTAATTCTAAAACCAGGACCGATTTCCCCGCCCGGATACTAAGATCTCGTATACGTATATCAGATTGGAGACTGAGGAATGAATGAAAAGTATATCCTCTTATGCAAGTGGTTTTTTTTTTTTAAATGAGTTTACCCCGCACTTAGTGTTTCGTTTTGATTATATGTATGTACGTAGTTTGTTTTCTAACTGTGGAGCACAGTAAATCCCGAAAACAGGACCGTACTTTCTCTGTTGAGCATCGAGTGATGAACTGCGGGTGTCAATACCTCAGTATATGTACAGTACAAGTCAGATAAGTTGACATTTCAGCCTGCCACTTGCGTTTATTCTACCCCGCTAACTATCGGCTGGTGCGGAGATCAACAAAGCAGTTTCGACCGGTTGTTTCTGCAGCTTATACTATTCAATGCATATCCCTGGCGCAAGTCAACCATGCGGTGAAACAGAAGAGCTTTCTAAATTCAATGATAGCAATTGATCTGAAGGTATTTACAACCGGAAGGAAAGAAACAAGTCCTGTGCGCCGGCGCCGGTGTAGCTCCTATAAACATCACTTGAACAAGAGGTAAAGGACGAACAGAGGTCCTTGTAAAAAGCTGTAGCAACATTGATTTGAGGGTTTATGACATGGTATCTGGGTCTGTGTATGACATTTCGGGCTCAATAACACGACTGTAACAGGTGAGAGTATACTTGCGCAATTAGTCTCGCTCATCTAGCAAGAGCTGAAGAGAGAAAGAAAATGAAAAACAGGACGATTGATCTAGTGCACTCCCATGCCGTACTACTCCGGAGGTACGCCCAAAGGAATACAAATAATTAGATGAACCGATGCAGTCTGAGCGACTGACGCGCCCAGATACTGGTGCAGAACACATCGCTAGTGACCATAAGACCAAAGTAGCGTCGATGCAAAACTCACTCGTACAGCTCGTTTGTGTTTGTGGAGGCACATCAGTCCTCCTTGCTGCTGTCTCGAGACATACCTGTGCTGGACAATCCTCTTCTCTGAGATGATTCCTCACGCAGGTTTGAGCGCGATCTTGCTCCAGGGGGAATGGCCAGCCGGCCAGTGCTGCTCCCAGGTGTTGCTCTTCCTTCAAGACTGTCGTCCATTTCAATCAAATCTCCCATCCCTCCGATTCCCATTGCTTGCCCCAGGCCATATACTTGGCCGCCTTGCGCGTTCTGCTGCAGCTCGTTTAGACCTGCCTTTGCCCGGGTTGCCATCTTCCTCATCCACCCTTCGATAGCACCACCGACATTCTCGAGTCCTGTGGTGGACGAACCCGACGCCACGGTAGAAGTGGACCCAAAAGAAGCTGTGCGAGGTAGGCTAGGAGGTGCTGGAGCAGTGAGATTCGGTAGATGTTGGGAGAAGAAGTTGTTTAGCTTATCAGGGGCAGGACCCGGCGCCGTAACATCTCGGCCAAGGGTGCCAACGCCGCCGGGACCAGAAAGATGGAAACTACTGCGCTGACGACGATGGCCATGTCCTGAAGGCGGCGTCGGGCCATTGGCTCGCGAAAAGGAACCCGAAACCCGACCATTGCGTGTGGGAGAAAATGTGGATGATGGTGCAGTGGACAGAGGTTGAGAGTGGGAGGATGATGTTCGTGGTTCCGACACGGGCTCAATTCGAGGTATATCAAAAGAGGTCACGGCAGATTCCGAATCGGTATATGGCAATGATTGCGACTTTCGGCGTCTGCGCGGGAAAAAGCCCAACGTTCTGCGTGGTACACGTCCAATTTCCACTGGCCCTGGAAACCCATCTATATTGACCCACGCTTCATGCTTCCACGTCTTGTCTTTGTTCTTTCCACCTTGCGCATCAGTTTCGACCTCGTTATCACGACTGGCCGTCTCAGCTGGTGCAATTGAACCGCCAATTGAGTCGTCGAATGGTCTCCGGCCAGGTGTTTCGTTTTCGAGAAGATTGCCCTCCTCACTCGACTGAATCCGACGTCCTTTGACCGTGCACGCCTCCACTGGGAGTAGGACCGTCTTTCTGCTCTGAATGCTGTCGCTCGGCCAGAATCCGTTGGCTTTTCGCATCACACCAGGGTTGCAACCGTACTTTATAGTGACTCCAGTAATGCTATCCGCAGGCTGGACTTGATGTACATAGACCAAAGCATCTTCATCGTGCTCGGGGTCCGCGGCAGATGCATCCGCAGGCCCACACGAATCCCTTCTCTTATGGCGGCCGCTTAATTCTGATACAGAATCTCCGTTTGCCAGTAGTAACGCCTCCCGCTTCTTCGCCTGTACCAAAGCGCGTCGCTCTTCTTTAGTGCCTGATCCGATCTGGACGGTGGAAGGCTTCGATGGTCCCCATGACGAGGGCGCCGACTTCGGTGCACTGCTGATATAGGCATCTGAACGGGACGGTTTTCTTCTCTGATGCGAATTTGGTGTCTTGTTCGACGCTGGCCGTGCAGCGTCACTCCCCAGAACGGACGATGCTAGGCTCTGCAACGACGACCAGGATGTCTCCAGTAGACTGGAGCCAAGTTTTGAGTTCGCGCTCTGCGTCTTGCTCCCATTATCCAGACCAAAGGCAGAAAAATAATCCACCAGACTTTGTTTGCTCCGGTTCGCGGTTGTCGTCGCCCGGGAAGGATGGGTGGTAGGCAGGGGCGATACCCCTCGCGATGTATATGGGGATGGAGTAGCGACAGGAGACTGCGGAGGTGTCAAATCGAAATCCGAGGCCGGCGGCAGCTGCTGGTGAGCAAGGTCACCTCCCAAGTTTCCCTGATCATCGTCGTCGTCGGTCACTGATATCAGGCGACGATTGCGTGGCCGGACCGTAGAGGTCGACCTCCTGCTCGTGGTACTACTCGAGGTCGACGGGCTGAGAGCGTCGAGAAAACTGCTACTGGAGCTCATTCCCGCCGACAGAGGCTTGATATATCCTGTGCAAAGAGACATAGACTGTCAGCTTGCTTCCGACTGCTGGGCCGGCGTCATCGGAGGCAGGTTACGGTTATACCTCGAGATCATTCGTCATCCAGCGCAGTGACCACACCCGCTTTCGCGTAAAACTCAAGGGCAAGGGAGTTCAAGTAGTGACATCGAGACGCATGTTCTGATGCGAATCCGAACCAGGTCTCCGGACCTCAATTGCGCGGCCGTGGTGGTTTATCGGGGCGTCTACGGAGCGCGGCAGGTACGGGCGTGACGACAGAGGCTCCAGGGAGGAGAGATGAGGCAGAGTCTGAGGCCTGGTCTGTGGTCTCAGATAAGACGCTGGTTAGAGGATCGTTAGGGCTCTAGGGGAGCCTGGTACGGCGATCTGGTAAGAAAGAGATCCTAGGAAGCGTTCGTTAAGGAACAAAGCAGTTGGTATCAGCAGAGGGCTTCTTCCCTGGCCAGCCCACGCGGCCCGCTCGCTGGGCGGCCCAGCTGTACGTATGTAGGGGTACGTAACTCCCACGCGGAAACTGTACTGGACGCGAGGTACCGATACATCCCACTTGGCTGATCGGCGCATTTTGCCCCCTTGAAGGACTGCCTGCTACGGAGCCTCATCCACTCATACTAATACTAATGCTCGCTCAGTCTGTGGCCTGAACGATTTCATGCCTAGATACTGTCTCAAAGATACTGTCTCAAGGCGCTTCAAGGCCACTTCAGGTAGGTCGTTCACACTCTGTTTTCCGGTTTGGTGGGTGAAACGTCTATCTATCTATGGCGGCTTCCTCAAGTCTTACTCGCAGTCGGTTTACCGGAATTGCGATCATGTGAACCTCGAGCAAATCGTTAACTCTGGTATCTACAGGCAAAATACCGTCAACATCTCTGGGAGAGCATGCCAAAGGCGGCTGTAACGACAAGGAATTCTAAATACACGGCCAGCAAAGGCCTATTAATGGCAACATGTATGACCGGAAGATCGTGGTGGAGTGATTTAACATAAACAGACATCTCTCGATCAGCTCGTGGTGGATATGTCCGCAACGCCAGTCCCTCGGGATGATGTATTCCGGCATGAGAAGGGTCGCAAGGGGCTCTATTGAATACCTATTCGGGCGGCTCGGCCACTGGCGCAGTTGATGGAGCATCAGCTTCTTCACCAACCTCATCGTCGGTGACCCATTCTTTCTCCGACACAGTTTTGCTTGCATCCAGTGAGGGTGCAGGCTTAGGAATGACCTTCACGCCTCCTGCCCGAGTGAAGAAGTCGTCCGTACGGAGTCCTCGCACCTCGCTGGGATCCACGGACGTCATATGCACACTGGCCGCCTTCTTCTGCCGAATGAGTTCCCGGATAGGGACCATGGCTGCATCGCGGCAGGCCTCTTTGATATCGCTGCCGGACATACCCGCCATCATGCGAACAAGATAGTCAAGGTCAAAGTTCTCCCGGTCGATCTTGGTGTCCTTCAAGATAAGAGCCAATATCCGTAGACGCTGCGGTGCTGGCGGTAGCGTGACGGGAAATTTCTTCGGCATTCGTCTCAAGATTGCTTCATCGATATCTTGGATTCTGTTGGTAGCACCCAGGACCATGACCCGTTGAGGCTCGCCCATCGAGTTGGCCGATGTGAGGCCATCCCAGTGCGTCATGAACTCTGCCTTGACCATACCGCTGGCTTCATGCTCGCCACTTCTCCGTGTTCCCAAGACGGCGTCAATCTCATCAATAAACACGATGGAAGGCTGGAGCTTCCTGGCCAAAGAGAAAACGGCGTTGACAAGTTTATTCGAGTCACCATACCATTTCTCCGTCAACGTAGAGATATGCAGATTAATGAAGCACGCTCCACTCTCGTGAGCTAATGCCTTTGCCAACATGGTCTTTCCGCAACCTGGAGGGCCGTAGAGTAGGACACCAGACGGCGCCGAGAGCAGCGAAGACGTAGATGAATATAGATGGGGCATGGTCAGCGGGTATATGACGGATTCCTTCAGCTCTTCGATGATCTCGTCAAGACCCCCAATGTCCTCGAACGAGACAGGAATGTCCTCCGGTGCAACCACATCCATAGCAATAGCTTGCTCATATTGCGTCAACTCTAGGTCTTCCTTCCGCTGTCTCCGTCGCCGTCCACCCCGCCTGGGCGACTCATCTTCCGACTCCTCGGTTCTATCTAGCCTTCGCAGAATGGCCGCTGATTTGCGCTTCTGCTCTTCTTTCTTGGAGCTTTCGGGGTCGAAATCGATGCGCGAAAGAAGGTAGCGAATCAGGAAATATGCGGATGCGGACTATGCAACTTAGGTCAGATTGCCTTCAATCAGCGACAGCTGTGTTCACCACTTACTGTTCCCGCGATCATGACAAGTTCCTGAAGGAACTGTTGCCATCGCCGGCCGCCAGCGGACGCCATAACGACAGATCAACTATATCACGACTACCCCAAGGAAAGAAAGGATCATGGACTATATGAGAAGTGTGAGAGTAGTGATTAGATCAAATGATGTGGAAGAGGTAGAGGCGATGAGTTCGGGGAGCTGTGGCGCTTGGTTCCCATGTGGCTTGCCGCGGAGGTTCGGCGTCAGCGCTTTCGGTCACATGCTGCTGCGTCGGAGCGCGTCTCTTTGTTTGCACAACTGGAGAACGCGATAGGATCGCTGTGTTGCGCCTCGAGTCTGGTGCGCCACAGAACACTACAACACTGCGATTCAATTATATATACAGTGTGCGACAGTCCCAATTAATATAAGCAAAATGCCCCCCAAGCGCAAGGCCGTCCAGCTTTCGGGTCTCGTCGACACCGACGACGAAGATGATGTTATGCAGATGGATGCAATCGAAGGCGCAATACGCAGCGACTCAGAGGCAGAGGAGCGCCCAGTCAAGAAACACAGAGGACGACCTCGATCGTCCGGACAGGGCGCTCCTGAAACAAAGAAAGCCGCAGTGAAGCCTCGAGCGGCTGCAGTAAGGGGCAGACCTCGAGTGAATAAAGCCCCGCCAGAACCCCAGCCTGAGGATCCGATAGAAAGCGAAATTGAAACGGGGAACGATGACTCTCTCGAGATGGATCCGCGGAGAGACGTCTCTAACGACGAACTGGACTCGCCTAAGAATGTAGCGCCAGGAAAGAAGACAGGAAGGCCCGCAGGTACACGAGGGCGGAAGAAGGCTGTTCCCGAAAAACAAGTCAGCAAGGATGGCGAGTTCGAATACACACCCAAAAACAGCAAGGCGCTGAAAGCAACAGATAGAGCAGGGCATGGAGCCAAGAGGACCGCTGGAACCAGACAACGAGCGGAGACGGACGAGAACGAAGTTGCTATGGAGAGCCAGGCGCCAGAGATCGATGAGACTACTCTCTCTCCAGAGAATTCGATTCTTCAGTCACGGCAATTCTCACCTTCGAAGTTTCACAACGCAGGAAAGACGGGGCAACGCGCCTTGCAAGAATCGCAGAGTCGCTGGAATGCTGGTAGAATGGCAGAGGCGGAGAAAATTGTCGGAGACCCAGAGTTGAAACGGAGATTGAGCGACATGACGAAGAGGTATGAGAGTCTGGAGTCGAGGTTCCGGACTCTTCGAGATATTGGTATCGTGGAGGCAAATGAAAATATGGAGAAGTTAAAGAAACAGTGCGAGACTACGACAGAAGGTATGGAGATTTTCTAAGAATCACGGATGCTGCACTGTACTAACTGCAGACAGCATCGAGCAAACTTGTAGCTTCTTTGAAGGAAGAATTGGCAGCCCAAAAAGCGATCAGTCAGCAGACGCGAACGATTCAGAAGAAGTTGAAGGACCGCGAAATGCAGGTCGGTGACCTCGAAGCACGAGTGGACGAGCTCACGTCAGAGCTGTCGTCCGCCCAGAACGAAATCAAAATGCTGCAGACGAAATTGACAGCTGCCCGCAACACGGTAGCGAACGTAGAGAGCATCACATCAAAGGCGCCTGGGAGTGCTGTTAAAAACACTCCGGCAAATCGAAGCATGATGGCCGCCAACGCGGAAGCAGTCCAGGCTGCTCAAATCGCACAGCTCAAGGAGGATCTCTATAGCGATCTTACGGGTCTAATCATCCGCGATGTGAAGAAGAGGGAAACGGACGATATGTACGACTGTATCCAAACAGGAGCCAACGGAAGTAAGTCTAGATATCTTCTACGATCCAAGCTTTTACTAATGACAGCTCAGCTCTTCGCTTTAAACTGGCTGTTGCTCACGAGGCAGAGAGCAAGACCACCAGCAGTCTCGAATCTGCTGAATTCCACTACATGCCGTTGCTCGATGAGAATCATGACAGGGACTTGGTGGAGATTTTGCCGGATTATCTTACCGTCGATATCACCTTCTCCCGACAGCAAGCTGCGAAATTCTATACGAGGGTCATGGACGCGTTGACTAAGAGAAGGGCAGACTGAAGATTTTGTTTAAGATGAATTCTCTTACAGCAACAACGTTTCACAGTCTTCTGTTGACTGGGTTGGTGAATCAAAGATGGATTTGGGTGATCTTTACTGGCGTTACTGTTGCATACTTCATTGCATACTTATGGAATACCCTGGGCGACAGCGAGAGGTTATATAAAGACAATTAGCTTAGTTACCGTAATGTTTTCACGACATGACTGTCAAAGACTCTCCGATCCTGAGTCGTCATGATAGGATCATCCATGATTGGCACATGAGGTGCAACGCAATTGTTTATGTATAGATTGTTCAATCCATCGTCATCTATTCAGGGGTACTGCACAATTGGTGTTCATGAATGACCGTAAAATCCCCCGGTGGACGCGGAATAATGTGTGCCAACGAGAGCCGCCGTCATTGGTTCTCAGCCTTGCAGAAATCGAGAGCACCTCCGGAGCCTGCTGAGTTGAACACGCATCAGCCTACAATGCGTGGGCCACACTAGATTCTTGTTCTTCTAATCTCTTTTCTCTTAGTTGAGTATCTTTCTCTGTGTCTCTCAGGGGACCAATTCCGCTCTTTTGCTTATTTGTTCTGAAGACGCAGCCTCCCCGGACAGCGGAAGCATGGCGCGTCTCGGCCGCGTAGGGTTCCTCGTCCTGGCGGTGGTTTTCCATCTCCTATATCTCTACTCAATCTTTGACATATACTTTGTCAGTCCGATTGTGAGTGGCATGCGATCATTCTCCGTCGAACGGGAACCAGGAAAAGAAGCGCCGGCGAAACGTCTCGTTCTTTTTGTTGGCGACGGGTTGCGCGCGGACAAAGCCTTCCAAGCATTTCCGGATCCCTCGCCGCCGGAGGGCGAGCAGGATGAAAACAGCGAGCCTATTCGCCTGGCGCCTTTTGTACGATCTCGAGTTTTATCCTACGGTACTTTTGGCGTGTCCCATACCCGAGTTCCCACCGAATCGAGACCCGGTCATGTTGCGCTCATCGCGGGGCTTTATGAAGACGTATCGGCGGTCACAACAGGCTGGAAGCTGAATCCTGTGAACTTCGACAGCGTGTTCAACCGGAGCAGGCATACTTGGAGTTGGGGGAGCCCAGATATTCTACCCATGTTCAAGGAGGGAGCTGTTCCTGGCAGGGTGGATGCGGAAATGTATAGCGAGGAAGCAGAGGACTTTTCAATGGACGCGACGTATCTTGATACATGGGTGTTTGACAAGGTCAAGGAACTATTTGCATCTGCGAAGACGGACCCGGAGTTGAACGCCAAACTAAGGGAGGATAAGCTGGTGTTTTTCCTGCATCTACTCGGACTGGACACAACCGGACACTCCTACCGACCCTACTCCAAGGAGTATCTGCATAATATCAAAGTGGTCGACAGAGGCGTCAAGGAGATCACGGAGTTGATCGAGGACTTCTATGATGACGATAAGACGGCTTTCATTTTTACAGCAGACCATGGAATGAGCGATTGGGGTAGCCACGGTGATGGCCATCCGGACAACACACGTACGCCCTTGGTTGCTTGGGGTGCTGGTGTCGCAAGGCCCAAACATACGGAAGCTGGTAAAATAACAGGTCACGAAGACGGGTTTTCATCCGACTGGGGATTTGACGACATCCGAAGGCACGATGTAGCGCAGGCCGACGTTGCTGCCCTCATGGCATATTTGCTAGGATTGGATTTTCCAGTGAACTCTGTTGGCCAGTTGCCCCTGGAATATATCGATGCAGACCCGAAGGAGAGTGCATTAGCGGCACTTGCGAATGCCCAGGAAGTGCTGGAGATGTATCGCGTCAAAGAGGAGCAGAAGCGTGCGACTTTGTTGCACTACAAGCCCTATGGACCATTAAGAGATAGCCAGCACTCGATCGAACATCGCATCGAAGTGATCAGGAACTTGATCGCCAACGGAGAGTTTGAGGAATCGGTCACGTTATCCCAAAATTTGTTGACGACTGCGCTAGAAGGTCTTCGTTACCTACAAACGTACGACTGGCTTTTTCTCAGGACTATCATCACTCTTGGATACTTGGGCTGGATTGCTTATGCTATCACCACCGTCATCGATCTTCATGTTCTGCACGGCACCTCTGATGCCCACCGTACGACCTCTAGCACTATTCTCTTCTCTTCGGTCCTGGTTGGCCTATTCTCAGTATTACTGTACCAGCGTTCTTCGTGGAGGTATTACGCATACGCTATCTGCCCTATCTTCTTCTGGGAAGAAGTATTTGCGAGAAGGAAGGCTTTAATAGCAGGACGCCAGATTCTTCTGGGCCATATTCATAATTTAGGAGGTTACGCGTTATTTGGTCTGCAGGCATTTGCTTTCATTGGCGTTTTAGAGGCCCTTGTGAGCACCATCCCCTCTACAGTCCGTATCTTTGAGTTATTGGAGTACTAACTATGAACTAAAGGTCCAATCGTACTTCCATAGAGAAATATACACTGTATGTTTCCTACTAGCAGCTTTCTGGCCTTTGGCCTACGGTTCAGAGTTCCTCACCACGAACAAACTGCTTTCTGCGACTTGGGCTATTGGATGTAGTTTGATGAGCATCTTCACTTTGCTACCAGCTGTGAAAGTGGAGAGTATCACAATGATGTATGTGAACAGGACCCCGGGCTTTCATGCAAAAGAAACCCACTAATTATGTGGCTTATAACAACCAGAACTGTTGGTGGCCTTCTCATGTTCTTCACTGGAGCATTATACCTGGTTTTCGAGGAAACAATTGCTCGGCATTCAGGAGCAAGTGTCGTAAGCAGCATTGGCTCGAGAATTATCATGGGAGTCCAGGTATGTTGTCAAAATCGATTATTTTTATCTGTCTTCGGGCACTGGACAATAAGCGACATTACTTACTATGACAACTGTTATAGCTCGGTATGGTGTTACTTGCCATTATCGTAACTAGGTCGAGCGCCGCATCTCTACAAGCAAAGAGAGGTCTTCCATTTGGCAACCAAGTGGTTGGCTGGTTCGTTCTCGGTAAGTTGCCGGGATCTTGCTCAGTTAGATGGGCGTCGCTGTATAGTCATACTATATAGCCAGCGTGATTTATATCTTTGGGATTTTAGCTCACCTTGCTTCTGTACAGTCACGTCGCTCTTACTTCCCTTCGTCCATCGCTTCTATCCGAACAGCCACTATCTTCATCGCCTTATAATAATATTCCTTACATTTTCTCCCACCTTTATCATCCTCACCATCTCCTACGAAGGGCTTTTCTACTTCGTCTTCTGCATGACCTTGGTCACCTGGGTACGACTAGAGCATGCTATTTATGTACGCTCCAAGACCTCATCTGGGAAAACAGTCACTATCGATAGTGCTCAAAAACATGTTGACCCTGTTGTTGATGCCGTCTCGAAGCCCGAAGACAGAGTTGGTTCTGGGGCTGAGTCTGGACAAGATTCAACCTCGACCGCAACCGTGGGATCACATACCTACAGATACCGCGCTCTCACTATCTCTGATGCGCGTGTGGCGCTGTTCTTCTTTTTCCTGCTACAGTCTGCATTCTTCAGCACAGGAAATATCGCATCAGTATCCTCGTTCTCGATGGAGAGCGTGACCCGACTTATTCCGGTCTTTAGCCCATTCAGTCAGGGAGCGCTGCTGATTCTGAAACTATTGATACCCTTCGCCATTATCAGTGCCAACCTTGGTATCTTAAACCGCAGACTCGAAGTAACGCCTAGCGCGCTCTTCATGGTTGTGATGTCCATATCGGATGTCATGACATTAAACTTCTTTTACATGGTCCGCGATGAGGGTTCGTGGCTTGACATCGGGACGACGATCAGTCATTTCTGCATTGCAAGCCTTCTGTGTACATTTGTCGCAGGGCTGGAGTTCTTGAGCGAAGCTTTTGTTAGCGGCGTTGAAGTTGGACCAGTTGCTCCGCATAGCCTTACCAAGGCCGGGACAGCTGTGACAAACACCCTCAGAGTTGATGCTGAGCCTAACGGCTCCATGGATGGCAATATCAAAGCCGCGAATGGGACCGCCATCACGGAGGCAAACGGCGCTAATTCTTCATAGTTGGAATATCTATTCGAAATGTAACCCTCTTGTGCATTTTATGCAATGCATCTATATATCTAAAGTCGGGGATCCATGAATCTTTTTGCTGGTCTTTGAGACATCTAGATATCCGATATCACGTATACGCGCATACTTTACAAGAGAAACCTTGTCAGAGTATATGATACATACCAGAGATAGCTAATAATATCAATTTAAGTGTTCTGTGAATATTTAGAGCAGCGAAGCAAAAATGGAAGCTGAAGGAGCTGTCTAAAATATTGCTCCCACCCATACCCTAAGGCGTATTACTGCAGCCTGGCTCGTGGAACGTGATTTCGTCCTCAGCACTGCCCCAGCCTCTTCACACGAAGAGGACAATGCGCTGTCGATATCGAATTGACCGTAGGATAGGTTGACCTATTTCAGGAAATCTGAGTCTCTCGGAGTACTCCGAATTACCATTTGCCTCCACCTACAGCACTGAGTCCAGCGATCGACATTGTTACGAGAAATAATAGTTACATAATAGATGGGATGTCCGCCTGGGAGCGGTCATATGTGTCAATTGAATGGCTTGTTCAATCTCGTGTTCTCGAGAACGCAGCCGCAATTCAAGCCAGGCAGACACGGGCCCATTACTTAACTCCGCCCCCAAATATCTATTTATTCACATTTACGATGACAATGCGATGGCTTGCAGATGACAGCACGCATGTAGGTAGCCTTGTGAGACAAATAAATGGCACTACCCCACCCCCTTGTTAGGAGCCTCAACGTAGATTGCCTTTTTTAGTGGGATAGTATCCTTCTCATCGCACTTTCCATCCCTTCTTTTTTTGCTACAGCCTGGGTTTTTTACGACTTTCTATCTGTGGGAACTGGCATCGTGTACAGAAGCAGTGCAAACGAAATCATGTCGACTGGTCAGGATAGCAAGGCACAATCCCGTGGGTTTAATATATATCCACTATATACCCTCTGCCTTGGTAAAATTGAGAAACTTACTTCTGTCTATTTACAGCTCCTTCTTATGAGACGCAGGACAGAGAGGCACCTAACACCGATGCAATAGAACCCCAGTATGTTTCACGTTTATCCATGTCTATTTTCGTTTTTTCCATATTGCCCATATTACCGCAGTCTTGGTTAGGAAATTGCTGGAAGATTCCTATTCTCAGTTCTCGCGTCCTCAATATATCTCCCAGAACTAACTGCTCCTCTATTTTCTATATACCCCATATCATCAAATACACATAGACATCGCTGACAGATATGTCATTCAACCAGAACGTATCCCGCGCATCCTGACGCGGCACACACAGAGTCAAAGCAACCAACTGGTGTTTATCGGCCGGCCGTCCCAGGACAAAACTTCACCACTGCTATCCCGATCACTTCACTTTCACGGAATGCTGCTCCAGTAGATTGTCCTGCTTGTGGGGTCAGGTCTCTGACCAAGGTATCATACCACAGTGGGAACACAACCCAGTATGTGCAGAAGTTACCCAAATGAACCAGATCGAGTTTGAAACGTACCACTAACCTTTTTCTTTTTTGTTTTCGAATTTGAAGCGTGTGGGCTCTCTTTATCTGCTGGTGCACCTGTCTCGGTTGTATTCCGTACCTAGTTGACTCGACGAAGGACGTAGAGCACCACTGCGGTAACTGTGGTGTGCTTCTCGCAACTTGGCACCGTAGTGGTTCGCTCGAGGTGAATTATCAGAATATGGTGCAGCGACGTACCTAAGGGTTTGGAGTATGTTCTTCTAGATGTGGGTTTTGGGGGTTTCTATATTCTTTCTGCTGTTAGGGGTTATTATATTCTTATTGGGGGTTATCGGTAGCGTTGCATTAATTCATGGTCTGTGGTACGGGGAAAGTTATGATGTTAACATACGGGCGGGTTCAATAAGGGAATATACCTCTATTTCATATGGTCAATAATGGACGAATAGAGAGTCTATAGAGCGTACTCGACATTATCTTGAGTGAGTTCGATATCCTAAGGAAATTTCGAGATTGTATAGTTTCTATACTTGCATGGCTTGTTTTCAGATTTGACATCTTCTCCAGAATCGAAGTTGTAGACTGAAATTCCCTGGCCTCGCCGACTGGCTAGTGAAAGTATTGCGGTACTCGCAGCAAGATCCGTGATACTCACCCCAGGACACCATATAAAAAGCCCGTTTTCTATCCATTGTACAAAAAGCTAGTTACTTCCAAGAGAGAACTGACGATATTCGTCAACTCCTCTTGAACAAGCCTCGAGAATAACCGGCCATGTGTACGAAACTCGTCCTACCATGCAACCCAAAGCAGACATTAGCACGTCCATATACTCCATGGGAGGCCACCAGGGATACAGCCTCCACAGGTCACTTGTTCTAGCCCACTGGGATCGAGGTCTACTCCGTAGATAAAGCCCGTTTATGCCTTCTTATGTATGTAATGTATGTCAACTGACTGTACTATTTTAGTGCACTACCAAGACTAAGCCTGATCGGGGGTGATTGTTGGTACGTGCATACTCACCCGACCATTTGAAATACCAATGATATTTTCTTGAAAGTCTTTTCAGTCTCGAACTAATACAGTAAACACTCTCTATATCGCTCGTAATTTACAATATTTTTCTTTCCTACGAGTCTAAATCATTAGTAACTCACCCATTAGGGTAGAAATAACGAGGGGCACAACAGAGATTGGGGTAGTTATTATGGTTTGCGATAAAGAATGACGAACTCAGCTATTCAGTAATATTGAAGAAGATTGAGTTCAAATTGTAATTTGCCTCTGGTAGTTGAGATGGTCGGGTGAATGTATAACTACAGATCATCTCACCTCGCTCCAAAACCTCGGTTCACCACGCACGGACCACACCGAGACCTCCGAGACCTCACCTCACCTCGCAATCTTCGCTAAGTAAACTCGTTACCACATATGGTAAAAATATACTCTATATACATTCCTTAATCCCCCTAATTTTAAAATATTCTATATTCTAACTCTCCCTAAGTCCTAACCCCCCTAATACCCTAATTTCCCTAATGCCCTAATGCCCTAATTCTCTAATTTTAAGGTATACTTATCTAATTATAATGGTAAAATAAGAATACCTGATAAAATAACTATAGGAGATTAAATTTAAGGGGTAGTTAATTTTACAAGGGGGTAATAACTAATTAAGTAGTATAGTTACAGGTAACTAGTACTCTTCTTTTATCTCAGTTACCCTATAATATACTTATTAATTAACCTACTAGTTATATATAGAGTAATTAAAAAATTTTAGATTATAGGTCTACTTAATTATTTTATTCCTTTATTATTTTATTTTCCTTAACTATATACTTTTTTAATATTCCTTTACTTTACCTATATCTTAACTAGTTATTAACTAGTTATTAACTAATTATTAAATATTTAAATAAAGTTATTAGATTTTTAAAGTCCTAAGTAAAATCTATAATTACTTAATAAGTACTTAATAACTAGTTAGAAACTAGTTAATAACTAGTTATTAACTGCTTAGCGAATTATTATATAGGACTTAGAAAAATTAAAAAATATTAAGGTAATTAGATTTCAGATACTTAATTAGTATTTAAATACTTTAGCTATCTCTAAATACTTATTAATAATATCTGCATTATATAATAAAGGGGGTATAAGCTAGCTTAATTAAAGAAAGGGTCTAGCTAATCTATAGACTCTTAAATAGTATAATATTAAATAATAACTAATAAATTTATAGATTAGCTAGACTCTTTTTTTAGTTAGATTAGCCTATACCCTCTTTTTTATATAATACAGATACTATTAATAAGTATTAAGGGGCAGCTAAGGTATTTAAATACTAACTAAGTGCTTAAAATCTAATTACCTTAATATTTTTTAATTTTTCTAAGTCTTATATAATAATTTACTATATTATTAATAATTACTTATTAATTAATTATTAAGTACTTATTAAGTAATTATAGATTTACTTAAGACTTTAAAAATCTAATAGCTCTATTTAAGTACTTAATAATTAATTAATAACTAATTAATAACTAGTTAAGATATAGGTTAAGTAAAAAATACATATAGTTAAGGGGATAAGGTAGTAAAGGAATGAAATAATTAAGCAGACCTGTAATCTAAAATTTTTCAACTGCCCTATATATAACGTATTTCCCTGCCGACTGGACTACCCGACCGACCGGACCACTGCCGTATTATATATAAAATGCCCATTCTCTAGACCTAAATATCTCAACAACTACGTTTCTAAAGACTATAAGAGAAGATATATATAAAATATATATTATTTCAAATATATATGCTTAATTTTATCTGTTTAAATTCTATAATTCTCTGGGTATTTTCCAAATAATATAATTACCAAAAATTACAGTACTTAATCATATTACCTAGAGAAGAAATAATTTTTGAAATCTGAAGTTTGAGTATATATAAATATACTGTCCTAAAAAGCTATATATCAAATATTATATATATTAGATTTGTGGTTGTTGAGATATTCAGGTCTAGAGAATGGGCATTTTATATGTAATACGGCAGTGGTCCGGTCGGTCGGGTGGTCCAGTCGGCAGGGAAATACGTTAACTAACGGGTTGATTAATAAGCAGATTGCGGGGCAGCCGAGGTAAAAGAAGAGTGCCAGTCACCTATAACCACACAACGAATAAATACAGCGAGGTGCGGTGAGGTTTGGCAGAATGTCCGTGCGTGGTGTGGTTCGCTTAATTTGCGAGGTGCGGTCATCTGCATCCTGGGGTGAACGTGCACAGACCAACCCTAAGCCCTTATTTCCAGAATAGGATTGGTCTTGGTCGTGCACTAAAACAAGTCGGTCATTCTGACTCGCTGTACATAACTCCTCCAATCTTTCCCCTTCTTTGTTTCCCACTTGGATTGCTCTTTAGACTCATAGATATGGATGATCCTTCTGTCTATCATCAGCATAACCTTCTGTACACAGAGGAAAGACTATCACGATATCGTCCCGGTGGATACCATCCTGTCTGCCTTGGCGATACTTTCAAGAATGACCGCTACACGGTATACCATAAGTTAGGCTGGGGAGGATATTCGACCGTTTGGCTTGCGAATGACAGAGAGTACGTTATGAATCATACCGTAAAATCTGTTATGTAACCTTTCTAATATAAGAAGACGAGCCCAATGGGTCGCACTGAAGATTATAACAGCAGATAGTTCCCTGAATTCTCGAGAACTTGATAATCTACGACTCTTAGAGGAACGATTACGAGGAAGCTTATCATCAAACTATATTGTTCAGTTACTCGACTCTTTTATTCATCAGGGACCGAATGGGGCCCACCAGTGTCTCGTATTTGAGCTGCTTGGTCCTTCTGTCAATAGGGTTCTTAGTGACTACAATCATTTTGGAGATACCCTTGAGGCAGAAGATATCCTTCGGATGTCAGAACAGCTTCTACAAGCCATTCAATCCATCCATAATGCTGGTATGGGACATGGAGGTAAGATCCCGGTATATAACTATACATTGTTTTTATACGCTATAAGAACTCGTTCTTGCCTCCATTTGATGGTACTGACGCAATGGCAGATATCAGCGGCGGAAATGTTGCATTTACCTGCAGCCGCCTATCGCATATAGCGAAGGAGGAACTCTTTAAAATCATTGGGATGCCAGAGTCTGAAGACTTAGCTCGTCTCGATGGAAGACCGTTGGACAAAAGCTTACCGAAATATCTAGTGAAAGCAGCTGAGTGGGTTGACTGGGTAGATGAGGACGAAGAAGATATTCGGATTTTGGACTTTGGCGAGGCATTTCTTCAAGGAAACGAGCCAGGAAAACTCGCTCAACCGGGTCAATTGCGGGCACCCGAAACGATTTTCACAGAACACTTTGATTACCGAGTGGACTTATGGCGTGCAGGCATTATGGTAAGTGGCATATAGAGCCTGCGAAGGCATGGTATTAACGCTGCTCATCCAGATTTATTCATTTATATTCACATCATATCCATTCCAATACCTAGGCGACGATGATTTCCTGGTTGCACAAATGATTGGTTTCGTGGAGGAGTTGCCTGAGGATTGGCATCCACAATGGATGCGGTTGAATTCCAAGCGCGAGTTGATACTGGAAGAAAGTGAGCGAACGACAGCCATCACGAGACAACCTCTTTTGCTAATTTTGTTCAAAGCTTTTCAGATATCGAAACTAGAAAGGAGGTTCAAGGAAAGAGTGCATGATCCAGAACTTGCACCCCTTTTCACGATCATTCGAGGATTGGTGAGGTTCCTACCGTCGAGTCGCATGAATGCTTCGGAAGCACTTGGTTTGTTAAGATCAGGACAGACGACAAGCTAAGAAGATGAGTAAATGCAAATAAATGAATAGAATAAGTAGTTAACATTCTGGCTAGCTATGAAATTTCTATCTATCAAGTATTCTGCGCCTACTACGAATTGTCTGGTAATCAACGACACGGAAAGCCCGGTAGTTCAGCCACGATCAATTTGACGATAAGCACATGCTAAAAACCCGTGCATCCCGTGTTATGGGCTTGAAATTTGCATAGCCTTGCTCTTTTTTGCTCTTCAGTTGAAGATACCAACTTATCTCTCTGGCCTTTCACATCCTGCAAATGTCGAGTCTGGCATAGGACGATGCCGTTTTTGGGGGAATTGAACATCTGGACCCTGGATGGATGATCGAGCGGGAGAACTCTTGGACCGGGACCGGAACAACAAGTCTATCCGCACCATCAATTATCATAACGTCAAGTGTTTTAATAGTACCAATGGCGGGTCCTTTTCAGTGACTGGTCACATTATAAGTGGCAATACAACTGCCGGAGACTGCATCATCTGGGGATCTATACGATTAGTCTATATAGCATCTATACGTACATATCTGCACTCATTAACTGCGAACTGTTTTTGGCGCCAGGCTTTCAGCTATTATGTTGTCCGTTGGGGTATCTTCCCACTGCAAACCTTCCGAGTACCAGCTCCTCGAACTTCCACGGCCGGAGATCACAGACCCAAAAGATGTTATTATCCAGGTTCATGCTGCAAGTGTCAACCCCGTAGATCTGAAGAAAGCGGAAGGAGTTTTCAAGATCGCGCTTAAAGACTCGTGAGTGCAAACCTCTCCGTCGTTGAAAGAGACCTACTCAACGCGGAGGTCATAGATTTCCATATAAAATCGGCTACGACGCTGCTGGAACAGTTGTGGAGATTGGGACAGATGTGGCACGATTTAAGGTTGGCGATGCCGTTTATGTTCGATTGCCAGAGTCTCATCGAGGTACTGAATATACACCTTGACTAGTCCACTGTACTTCCCGCTGACTTCTATGTCGTTAGGCTCATGAAGTGAATATGCTGTACGCCCAGAGCGCTGCATCTCTCTGAAGCCATCTTCGCTGTCCTTCGAGCAAGCGGCTTCTATACCATTGGCAGCTACGACGGCATTCCAAGCCCTGAGAAAGTATCCCGGCGACCTTTCAGGGAAAACTGTACTTGTGCCGGCTGCCTGCAAGTCACCCTTCCTATTAGATTCAAGGCGCTCTGCTAACAGCATGGTAGTGGGTGGTACAGGTCTTTTTGCCTGTCAATTAGCCAAAAATGTTTTCCACGCAGGGAAAGTGATCACTACCGTTTCGACTTCAAAGGTTCCTAAAGTACACGAACTTCTAGGAGAAGGAACAGTGGATGAAAGTATGTACCCATCGTAACGTAGTCTGTGAATCCTTGCAGATATATAATTTCTGACATCCACTAGTTATCGACTACAAAAGGGTCGATCCGAAAAGTGTCATTGAACATGGCTCGGTAAATTTCCTATTCGACACCAATGGTCTCGCTATGGAGTACCTCTGCCTCATGCGGCCAGGGAGTGGGTGCATTATATCCATATCAACAACACCATCGGGAACTCAATTACAAAATTCCGCAGTTATGAGACTTCCCCATCACCCTACTGTTCCATTGGTTCCCCGGCTTGCGTTAGATATGATGGATTCTATCCGCAAGCTTCGTGCAAGACGTTACGGAGTCAGCTATTCTTACATGTTCCTAGAACCCAGTGGTGAAGACTTGGACATATTAAGGGGGTACGTTGAGGAGGGTAGACTAAAAACAGTAGTTGGAACTACTGCCAATATGCGGGATATTGAAGAGGTTCGAAAGGCATGCCAGGTTGTATACAGCAATCAGGGTGGTCTTGGGAAGGTGATTATCGTTGTCGACAAGGCAGGAAATGGCGACGTTTAGCTAGAAAGTAGGTTATTAGTGAAGCGTCCTCTATGAACGGCTCGAACTTTTCGTATTTCGATAGCCCAAGCAAAGAGTTTCTAGAACCATATGTCAGTATTTCCAACAGAACATACCACATTGTGAGTGAAGCGTATCCCACGTGATTAAAAGGCGAGGAATCCCACCTTTATTATTTGTTGAGGGTCACCCGTCTAGGACGTTACGCAGAATCGTCATTGATACATACATTGAATCTCGGAACGTGCTTCTCTTTGGAAGATCCACGTCTCTTGC